CCGCCCCCCTCCCTTCCCCAAACTCCACAAGATCCGACAAACAGAAAGGAAAAGTGCAAAGAAACTCACAGCGCCAATATCCTCCGCCCTCCCCAACCTCCCTCTGGGGTTCCCCTTCCTCCCCACCTCCTCCTCCCCTCCCAAGATCTCAATCAACCCATTCGCCAACTTACTGGGGAAGAAGCCGGGGGAGACGGTGTTGCACGTGACGTGCCGGGGCGCGAGCTCGACGGCCAGTTGGCGCGTGAGGTGCGAGGCGGCGGCTTTGCTGGCCGCGTACATGATGGTGCCGGAGGAGCCGGTGTGCGGGACCGTGGTGGCTGCGACGGAGGAGACGGTGATGATGCGGCTGGGGTCTGAGGGCGTGGCGGTGAGGGTGAGGAGGGGGATGAATCTGTTGATGTGGGCAATGGGGTCAGAGGAGGGAGGGGGGGGGGCAGGGGTGAGGTGGATGCTGAAGGGGTAAAGAGAGGGCGGCGGAGGAGATATTGGGTTAACGCACAGCCGACACAGGTTGAAAACACCCCGGACATTCAGATCCAGGATTTTCTGGCTGCTCCAGTCCGGCGTGGGCTCGAAGGGGCCGCCCCATGTGGCGCCGGCGTTGCAGACTAGGATGTCCAGGCCCCTTTTGCCGTCCTTGGCCAGGATCTCCGACACTTGGGTCACGAGCTTCTCAATCTCCTTGGTGTCGGCGACGTTGCTGGGGATGCCGATGGCACGACCCCTCACGCCAGGGAGGGCGTTGAGTCTTGTGACGGCTTGGTCCAGGCCATGCTCGCCGCCGGACTTGCGGGAGACGAGGATGGTGAGGGAGGCGCCGGCGAGGAGGAGGGCGGTGGCTGTATGAAGGCCGCTGGAGGGAGAGGCGTTGGGTTAGCTGTTTGTCGACGGAGGACGGGAGCACACTGGGGCTTGGTAGGACGTGGGAGCATGTTTGTGTGCCCCGGGTGTCTCTATACAGCAGATATGCTCGATCGGCAAAGGGCCTGAAGTACTTACAGGCCACGAGAGCCGCCGGTGATTAGGGCAGTCTTGCCGGAGAGATCGAAGAGCGTTTGAATCGGTGGGATGTCCGACATGGTAAGGCTGAGGAAGGCTAAGGAGTATAGTCTCAACTGGACAAATTCGCAGCACAGGACGAAGAAAGTCTACTACAGATCGTACAGGTAGGTATGAAGTCTCGACGCTATCTGGGGTAAAGCCGGGGTTAAAGTGTGGAGAGCCGGGCTGGACCGAGGTACCGAGCATGAATGGATCAGCTCCCCAAAGCTGCTGTAGTCTATTGCTGCGATACGGTCCGCAGACCATAAACGCTCGTTCCTACTTCGACCGACACTGGAGCCCCGTCTTCTGGTGCAGTTGAATACTGCGACTTGATGGTGTACTCGGGCCACGAATACAGACCGATGTGGGGAAAGCTTGGCATTAGGCGACGAGGCAGTGCTTTCTTCCTCGATACTCAAGACTCAGGCAAGCAACCAAGTCAAAACCATTGCCATGGCGAATACTTTAAGCAGGCAGCTTCCATGATTGTCCAGCCCCGACGCTTGGCTCTCAGCCTTGAATGTCCCATTTCCCGAGGCATACCACTCCGCGCTCTCCGTATGATTCGCAAGAACAGGCAGTCCGTCCGCACCCACCTCCAACCGCATCCCCTGTCGGGCTTGCGCATCCGCCTTCTCCGTCTCATAATCAGTCTCTGCATTCGTCCAGAAGGCATAATCCACCACGCTAGGTACCTGTCTGTCTCCACCAAATGTAATATGAGCCCTAGTCTCACTTCCAGTCTCCTGACCCGTGTACAACACATACGGGCTCGCGGCCCATATCTCTACACTGGCTTCATTGTCGGCAAAACGAAACGTGAAGTTCATGACGTTGCGCATGTTGAAGTTGAACGTTTGCGAGGCCCAGCAGCCGCCAGGGGGTGGCTTGTGCAGGTCTTCATAGCCGCCGCAGTAATAAGGCGATTTTTCATAGCGGCAGCCGAAGTACACTGATTGCGTATCATCGTCTTCGTTCGGCGAATCGGTAAGTGAAGCTTGAGTTCCGTTGATGATCCAAGTGGGCAACCCGCTCGACTCCTCCCTCGCAGTATCGCGGGCCAAGATCGCGGGTCTGCCACCTCCCTCGGAGGGCCCCGAAACACTGCCGTTCGTGATGAACGCTGGAGAGAGGCGGAGATTGTCGATTGGGTCGGTCAGCTGGCCAGATGTGTCAGAGAGTCGGAGCTCGGCGTGTAGAGTCGTCGAGTCTGGGGTGTTGAGGGAGTTGAGTGGCGGACAGATTTCGAGAGTAGCACCTGAGATGACTGGAAGATTCATTTCCTGTGGGCAAATCTCTGAGTCGTTATAATTATATCTGGGCAGTGCATCTGGGAGCTCGAGTTCGGCCCTGACAGAACCGTAGTACTTGATGCAGAAAAGATAGGCATTGGGTACATGGTCAGCTGCATTGATGGTTGGTAGCCAGCAAAAGATTGGTAATGCAAGATACGACCAGCGGTCGAAAAGATGCATCGTGTCTCTGGAGTTATTCAGCAGCCTGGTCACGTTGATATCCTGAAGTCTGTACGTCCTAGACATTGCTCGATGGTCAGCTCCCCACCACTTCGAAAGATTCATTTTCATCATTAATGGTTCCTTCTTGCTTTTCGAGCCGAGGTGACATCGGATGGATTTGAGATTGGCAGCATGGTGAGTGAAGGGGGTACAGTAGCCGGTACCTTTGCGAATACGAGGCTGGCAGCTGGCAGGGGAGATTGAGGCGTATAAACACCAATGGAGCCCGTGCCAAGTCATGTAAGTTCGGCCCCAGACGAGCCAGACTCAGCCTGAGACCATTTCACCGCTCACCGGTGTCAGACCCTTGTCGAGTGACAAGCATTTGAGAGTCGTTGGTAGGGAGCTCGCAGGTAACATCGTTGCCTGGGGTAGCAGATACAGGCATTGATCTGGAGTCTTGTGCGTAGTCTGTCGGCTGACATGCTGGGGGCTTTCGACTCCCTGTCTCGCGCTATCAGGCTGCTCAAGAGGTTGTTGGGTTCTCGAACGGTCTGGATGATCGGCCCCAGCTCAATGGATCGTCAGTGGCTGTGGTGATGATCTATAAATCAATCAAATCGGGGAGTTCCAAAGTCATCGAATGCTCCTGACACGCATTTCGTCTACTACAAAGGACCGGCCCGAACCCGCGATGCGCTTCAAAACCTCAAGGTCAATGTCACTGTATGCAGCATGAGATCAAATTTATCATGTATACCGACGTTCTAGTTGCTTGACATACATCATGATCTGTCCGGGTTTGGTGAACTTAGTTGTGGTTGGCCCAAGCAAGGGCCGATATACATAATATACAGAACAGTGTGGCTAAGTGCCATTTACGAACACCTCGACAAATCAGCTCCCCTGGCTACTACAATGTATCCGGTGGCAATCGTGTTGATTAATACGTTCGATTAGAAGCGAAGTCGAATCGTGTAGAGCGTGTAGTACTATCACGACCATCACCTTTCCCACCAAGCTTGGAGCATCTTTCTCCCTACTTGTCTGACGGGTGGAAAATCGACCCTGGTGTCGAGTCTCACCAATCTTCAATGAAAGAAGCAAATTCATCGTAGGAGTCCCCGGTGGGCGGGTATCGCGCGTGTCCATGAATGTCAGAGCCAAGGGGTCCGACTCCTGCATCGAGGCCCGGAGCCCATGACATTCTAGAGCTTTGCTTGTCTTCGGCGCGCTCCCTGGCGTTATGTACAGCTTTGGGAGGACCAGTATTGGCAGCGTGTTGATTCGGAAGAAGACCAGCTTCATTTCCCGGAGTGCAGGGTCCGATATCCGTATCGACAGGCGTGATATCGAGCCACGAAAAGTCTGCCGGTCCAGTCGTGTAATGCATCGGCGTTTCTGGAGGCAGATCTGGCACGGGTGGCGTCGTAAGTTTGTCCTGAGGTAGATTAATGTTGGTTCTGCTCCTCTCGCGTCTGATGGCCCCTTTGATGAAGCCTCCCAGCTTTGTCCGCTGAGAATCCTGCGTGAGACTCGATGACTCTTGCGGGTGCCTGTCTGATCGGGCATCCTGTCGCTCACCAAGTCCCACCCCAAGTTGTTGTGAGGGCACATTTCGATGTATTTGGCTGCCCACTGGCGCATCGTTCAGCTGAGAAGGGTACGAATGGCCTGGGAAGTAGCCAGTGGCTAAGCTATGCGGAGAGCTGTTGGCATGCCTTTGGTCCGGAGGAATCGTGAAGGATGTACTTCGTGTTGGACGATATGGACTGCCTAGCCCAATCGCCGATCTGCGATAGGGTGCCAGATCTGTGGGTGCAGCTGGTTTCCCAGTAAGACCCATTCGAAAAGCGTAGCCAGAAAGTTTGTCCGCAGTGGCAAGACCAGCATATACGGCGAGACTTGCAACATCCTCTGGGAGTGTCTGACGCTCGAGTGCGAAAATGAGACTTCTGTGTGCCTGTTCGTTGAGAGGCCAGGAACAGCGATCCCAGTTGTACCTTCCAGTTGCAGCTTGCAGAAACTTGGATTTGAATAGAAGCGACTCGATCAGATTATGTTTCGACCACCCGGTTACTGTAATATCTGTCGCATTGCTGTCTCCCCATGCGATGTCTTTGAGGTGGCTCTTTTCGTGTCTGTGCCATTGCTCACATGTATCGAAACAGCTCTTACATACAGGGCATGGCCAGGCTCTTTTCGTTGGAAGTGGCCGAAACGCGGCTTTCAGATCCAGCTTGGTTACGTGTGAGCAGTGTGACGAGCTACAGTCGCCAAGGCAGACATCTTTATGGCTGGTGTCGAAGTGTTTTCGCAGTGTCTCTAGGCGCTCAAACGGCTGTCTGTGTGTGGCGGAAACATAACAATGATAGACACCTCCACTCTCACACTTCTCCAGGCGGTGTCTCGCCAAGCTGTTCTTGTGACGGAACCTCTTCCTGCATGTGATACAAACATATGATTCGCTATCATTGTCGGCACAAGAAGAAGGCGTAGGTAACTCCAGACAAGATGTGTCATGATTGCGTCTGGAGAAATGAGTCGGAAGCGCAGGATTAGTTTGCAGCCTCAACATATCGTGATGAGGATGATCTGGTCCCGTTTCCCCGTGAACGGATGAATCAGGGTTTGCGGAAGCATTGTCTGTGGCGTCCCAAGAGCTGGCAGAAATACTCGAGAAACTTGACACGACCGAGAATATTGACGAGCGCTGGGAGTCAGACAAAGGTAGTGCTGAATGAGGGTGTCAGATATGTATGTGCATTCAATCATGTGACTGATGTTAGGAGTGCTTACAGTCTCTACGGCGCTTCGAGACTTCGTGCTTTATCTCCTCTTTTGAGAGATGGTGGAAATAGTCGTAGAGTTGGCCAATCTCCTCCGGGCCGTAAATGGTGCTGAGGACAGCCAGCACTTGGGGTCCACGATGACCCGAGGCGCTCATCCCTTGCATTGTCTGAGCATGCATGCTGATCCCAACCGATGGGTCAAGGTTGTATGCACGGTGGAAGACATATGCACGATTGTCGCGGCTGAGACCAAGTACGATGTCCGATATGTCCACCGATACACGGACAAGGCTGGGAAACGTGGTGGCGTTCAGGACGAAGTCGCGAATCGGTCATACTGAACCATTCCTTGGTCAGGCGAGTGACATTGTCAGTTACTCGATGACACAGAGAGAAGAATACTTTACAGTGAGCGACAGATTTTTAAAAAGTGACTTGGTGTTGTTGCCATGTCAGGTGTGAGGCTCTTGGTGAGGCGGCATGTGGCTGGCGCCTATCAGAAACTGGATTAGTGTATAAAGCTGAGAACCATTGGGAAATTAACAGTTGATCTCCCCAGGGTTGGGCGCCGCATTAAAAAGGCTTCGGAAACCGTAGGTGTGCGGACTGTCAACGAAGTTGGATCTCTTGACCGCCGATATCCAGGTTTGCAAGACAAAGTGACCTCGTATCTCCTCTCTCAAGGAACCACCCGAGATTAGGTGTGAGATGGTTTTAGCTAAAGGTGTGGAGAAGGTACATGTACGAAGTGGCACGGGTGGCGCAGGCCCAAGTGCCGCAAGGTCCAGCCCGGCTAAGTGGTCGATCTCCCGGGCTTCGTGGACGTCGCCCTTGTCAGATCGAGCCTAACTTTAGGTCCAGTTACTGACTTGAGCAAGTTGCTGAACCCTAGGTTTCGTCTTCGCACACACGCCTCCGAAGATGCACCACCAGGTTCTGGAAAGAAAATGACGCCAACGAATCTCCCCTTGGTCAGTGGTCCCTCGGCTGGTTCTGACCATGGGTTCTGTTGCGAATTCGTGCCGTCAACCATAGGTACTGCGCCGTGGTGTATAAGAATGGCAGGCACGATGGTGCTCATTATACAGAAAGGTCAAGTCAACACAACTCCAACGCCCAAGAAGCGCAGCTCGTCAGAAATCGACACCCGACCGAGATCCCTTCACACGTGCCAGGCCAGCAAACTTCCGAACTACTCCTCGTGGGCTCACAACTCGTCATGCCACAAGAGCGGTCCGGTCCGCAAGTCAAGGGCTTCGTGAGTGGAGGCCATCATGATCATCCCGACACAACCAACAAGCCTATCAGAAGCGACGCTGTTGATCGCTGGATGCAGCAGGGGCCGCGAGAAGAACCTTGGAACGCAGTCTCTCGAGGCTGTGGCATGAAGAATGCATCAAAGTCGCCCAAAACTAAGATATAGTGCAGGATAGCTGGGCCTGACTGACGAGCGACGGAAGACTGTGCGGAATCCTTATGTGTGGTGAGAATAGGCACGAAGGGCAACCGTGGCGACCTACTGGCGCCGGGACATGCCTAAACGTACCTGCTTAGGCGCGTTGCCGCGTGGTGGCTCAGCCGAGTACGCTACTATTACGGTATCTGCCACGAGCCACAGGCCCGTTGCACTCTACACGCAAGCACGCACCACTCGTGGTTTCGATTTGCTTCGTCTACTTGGAGAGTAATCAGAGTCCTTCCTTGAAATGCACCAATCTGTTTTCCATCGCCATGCTCTCAACGATTCGTAGATGTAGCAGCTCAGATGCTTTGCCTTGTGCGTGTCGGCTTGCAGTTGCCAAATCAGACAACATTCCAGGCTGCAATTCAGCATGCTCTGCCGATGTTGCTGTCGATGATACTCTTGCCTTGGTTGCCTAAGAGGAACTTGTTCGACCACAGCAATATCCTTTTTGGTGACTGTAGCACAGTCGCGACGCGCAGGGACAGTTTTGGTAACCACCTACCTCAACTCAAGGATTGGACGATATCAAATCGTAGCACAGCCTGTAGTCATTGATTACCACGCGTGCGCAGATAATGTTTCCGATGCACATGAGATTCGTCCGATCTTGCAATTGCTTGGGCGAATCAGAGGTATCCGCTGGACAGCTCTCGGGCCCGAAGCAGCGTGCATCTGCGTTTCGAGGTGCTGTTAAGCCTCGACTTTAAGCACAGCCAAGGAGACATGCTGCCTGGGCTGACGAGAACGTGGTGACGGCGGAAGCGGCGGATAAGTCGAGGCGACATTTGCCCGAAGCCAAGCTGCCGTTCGATTGGTCAGTCGGATCTTGCTGCTTCCGATCCGACTTTCAGCACCAACGCTTTCAGCGTCATAGACTTTTCAACATTGCTGTTCGCAGCATCCTGTGCCCACGCCTCGGACGATGATCTGTCCAGCCGATTACGTGCCCTTTACGATGGACGGACTTAGTCCTTCCACGGCTGCATTGCCCACCGATTCTTGGCGCAAAGCCAACAATGCTCCTCTGGCCCTCGGCGGGTTTATTGTTGCGTTTCGAACTGACAATCCTTTAAGTGAGCTTGCCAGAAGGTTCAGCAATGCTCTTTGCGAGTTACACATAGAGCAAAATGGATGAGAGACCGACACCAAGCAGTATTCCAGGCGGATATCCAGAATCACACGGTCCCACCCCGGTTGGTAACGCGCCAAATGCTTTTCGCGGGAATACCCCAAACACCAGCAATGCATCAGTATCGCAACAAACCCGACAGTCCTCGTACTTCAGAGCAACGCCTGTAGTGTCATCGAACACGCCATCCTCAAGCAGTACACTGCGCGCCACAAGCACTCAAAGCCCAGAGATAGCTCATGATACCGGTGCTCGCAAGACGCCAGATGCTGCCTCAGCTTCGTCATCATCGATGTCTGATGATGGCTCACAATACGAGCCATTAAAAACTACCCAGAGCAGTCAAAGTCGACCTGGTCTTGCGCACGCCCGAAGTATCAAAACCGAGGATGAACTCTTCAGAGTGCTTTCCCAACGTCGGACCAACGCCTCCGGCAAGGCGGATGAGGAATTGGATGAAGAGAGTCAAGAGATCGAGCGCCTCATGTCTCGTATGTTTGGAAAGGCTAGACAAGAGCACAGTGAGGAGGAAAAGACACGCCATAGCGGTGTCATCTTTCGCGATCTCACAGTCAAAGGTGTTGGCCTAGGCGCTGCGCTCCAGCCGACTGTTGGCGACGTCTTCCTCGGACTACCTCGTACGCTGAAGAATCTGTTCACCAAAGGACCGAAAGCCGCCTCATCAAAACCACCAGTCCGCGAGCTCCTCTCCCAGTTTAATGGCTGTGTTCGCCCTGGGGAGATGCTACTCGTCCTAGGTCGACCTGGATCCGGCTGTACGACCTTCCTCAAAACCTTCTGCAATCAGCGATCTGGCTTTGAGGCGGTCGAGGGCGACGTAAGCTATGGTGGGACGGATGCCAAGCGTATGGCCAAGGACTTCAGAGGCGAAGTCATCTACAACCCCGAGGATGACCTTCACTACGCCACTTTGACAGTCAAGAGAACGTTGAGATTTGCGCTCCAAACGAGGACCCCTGGCAAAGAGTCTAGGTTGGAAGACGAAACTCGCTCCGATTACGTCAAAGAGTTCCTGCGTGTGGTTACCAAGCTATTCTGGATTGAACACACTCTCGGCACCAAAGTTGGTGACGAGTTTATCCGTGGCGTCTCTGGCGGTGAGCGGAAACGTGTCAGCATTGCTGAAGCCATGATCACTCGTGCCAGTGTTCAGGGATGGGACAACTCTAGCAGAGGTCTGGATGCCAGTACTGCACTCGAGTACGTCCAATCCATTCGGGCCTTGACCAACATGGCAAACGTGTCAACGGCTGTCTCACTTTACCAAGCAGGCGAATCGCTGTACCAGCTTGTCGACAAGGTCTTACTCATTGATGGCGGGAAGTGCCTCTTCTTTGGACGCGCAGAGGATGCCAAACAATATTTCCTTGACCTCGGCTTCGATTGTCCCGACCGATGGACAACGGCTGACTTCCTGACATCTGTCAGCGACCCTCACGAGCGGAGTGTCCGAAAAGGTTGGGAAAATCGCATACCGCGAAGTCCAGATGCCTTTGCCGAGGCCTACCGTAACAGCGGTGCTGCTCGAAAGAACATGGCCGACATCGAAGAATTCGAGACCCATATCCAAGAGCAGCGCGAAGAGCGTCAGGCCAATCGATCGGAAAAGAACAAGAAGAAGAACTACACCATTTCATTCCAAAAGCAAGTCATCGCCTGTACCCAGCGCCAGTTCCTTGTCATGACCGGCGATCGTGCCTCGCTATTCGGGAAGTGGGGAGGTCTGGTCTTCCAAGGTCTCATCGTGGGTAGCTTGTTCTACCAGATGCCTCAGACCGCAGCTGGTGCTTTCCCCCGAGGTGGCACACTGTTCTTCCTGCTGCTCTTCAACGCTTTGCTCGCACTGGCAGAAATGACAGCCGCCTTTCAGTCGAAACCAATCTTGCTCAAACACAAGTCTTTCTCGTTCTATCGACCCGCCGCTTACGCTATTGCTCAGACGGTGGTCGATATTCCACTGGTGGCCATTCAGGTGCTGCTGTTCAACATCATCATATACTGGATGGCTGGCCTGGCGGCAACAGCATCACAGTTCTTTATCGCTTGCCTGATTCTCTGGCAGGTTACCATGGTCACGTATGCGTTCTTCAGAACTATCTCAGCTTGGTGCCCAACATTAGATGATGCTACGAGGTTCACTGGCGTCGCCATACAAATCCTGATCGTCTACACCGGCTATCTGATCCCACCTTCTTCCATGAGGCCATGGTTTGGCTGGCTGAGATGGATCAACTGGATCCAATACGGCTTCGAGTGCTTGATGGCTAATGAGTTCGCTGGATTGGACCTAGCATGTGACAGTCAGTACCTGGTACCACAAGGACCCGATGCATCGCCGGAATATCAATCGTGTGCTCTTCAAGGTAGCCAGCCTGGCGCTACTTCTGTCAATGGCGCGGATTACATTCAGACGTCCTTCACATACACCCGAGCTCATCTGTGGAGAAACTTCGGCTTCATGTGGGCATTCTTCATTTTCTTCGTAATCACCACTATGGTCGGCATGGAGCGTATGAAGCCCAATGCTGGCGGCGGTGCTGTCACTGTCTTCAAGCGTGGTCAAGTTCCCAAGACGATCGAGAAGAGCATTGAGACTGGTGGTCGGGAGAAGAGTGACGAGGAGTCTGGACCCACCAAGCATTTGTCCGAGAAGATGGAGAGAGATGGCGACGAACCTGCTGCCCTCGACGACGAAGAGCACATGAAGCAAGTGGCCAAGAACGAAACAGTCTTCACATTCCGCAATATCAACTATAAGATCCCTTATGAAAAGGGTGAACGCCAGTTGTTGAACGATGTCCAAGGATATGTTCGACCTGGTCGTCTGACCGCTCTCATGGGAGCCTCAGGAGCCGGCAAGACGACTCTGCTCAACACTCTGGCCCAGAGAATCAACTTTGGCACGATCACGGGAGAATTCCTTGTCGATGGTCGTCCATTGCCGAAATCATTCCAGCGTGCCACAGGCTTTGCCGAGCAAATGGATATTCATGAACCCACGGCTACCGTCAGAGAAGCACTACAATTCTCTGCCCTTTTACGTCAACCTCGCGAAGTCCCACGGGAAGAGAAAATGCAATACTGTGAGACAATCATCGATCTTCTGGAAATGCGCGACATCGCAGGTGCCACCATTGGCAAGACTGGTGAAGGGTTGAACCAGGAGCAACGTAAGCGCCTGACTATTGGTGTCGAGCTTGCGTCCAAACCTGAGTTGTTATTGTTCCTCGACGAGCCTAGCTCAGGACTCGACTCCGGCGCTGCTTTCAACATCGTTCGCTTCCTTCGAAAGCTTGCCGATGCAGGTCAAGCTGTATTGTGTACCATTCATCAACCGTCAGCAGTTCTGTTTGAGCACTTCGACGAACTAATATTGCTCAAGTCTGGCGGTCGGGTTGTATATCACGGGCCTCTCGGCCACGACTCCCAAGAGCTCATTCAATATTTCGAGTCAAATGGAGCCCGGAAGTGTCCCCATGACGCCAACCCAGCTGAATACATGCTCGAAGTCATCGGAGCCGGTGATCCCAACTACAAAGGTAAAGATTGGGGCGACGTCTGGGCCAACTCGAGCAACCACGCCGATCGCAGCCGAGAGATCGAAGAAATGATCCAGAAACGCCAGAACGTGGAGCCTTCGAAGAGCCTGAAGGACGACCGGGAATATGCCATGCCGCTATCCGTACAGACCTGGACCGTAGTCCGGCGATCATTCATCTCGTACTGGCGCACACCGAACTACATCGTCGGCAAGTTCATGCTGCACATCATGACCGGCCTTTTCAACTGCTTCTCATTCTACCATCTCGGATACTCGACGGTCGACTTCCAATCCCGGCTCTTTTCCGTCTTCATGACCCTCACAATCTCCCCACCGCTCATTCAGCAACTCCAACCCGTCTTCCTCAACAGCCGCAATATCTTCCAGTCGCGCGAGAACAACGCCAAGATCTACAGCTGGTTCGCGTGGACCACCGCCGCCGTGCTTGTAGAAATCCCTTACTCACTCGTCGCCGGCGGCGTCTACTTCTGCTGCTGGTGGTGGGGCATCATGGGCTACCGCGTGTCCAGCTTCACCTCAGGCTTCACCTTCCTCCTCGTCTGCCTGTTCGAGCTCTGTAAGTTCTTCCCCCTCCCCCACTCCCCCGAACACCAGCTAAACATCCATCCCCCAACAGACTACGTCTCCTTTGGCCAAGCCATCGCCTCTTTTTCCCCCAACGAACTCCTCGCCTCCCTCCTCGTCCCCATCTTCTTCCTCTTCGTCGTCTCCTTCTGCGGCGTCGTCGTCCCCCCGCTTCAACTCCCCAACTTCTGGCGCTCCTGGATGTACTGGCTCACCCCCTTCCACTACCTCCTCGAGGCCTTCTTGGGCGCCGCCATCCACGACCAGCCCGTGGTCTGCAAACCCTCGGAATTTGCGCGCTTCGCCGCCCCGCCCGGCCAGACCTGCGATAGCTACGTGGGGCCCTTCATCGAGCAGGCCGGCGGGTATGTGCAGACGGGAGAGGATGGGTTGTGTGAGTTTTGCCAGTATGCCAATGGGGATGAGTTTGGGCGGGGGTTCAGCGTGTATTATGACAACATCTGGAGGGATTTTGGGATTTTTTGCGCGTTTATCGTCTTTAATTGGGCGGTGGTGTTTGTGGCGACGTGGATGAGGTTTCGGGGAAGGAATCCGTTCAAGGGGGTGCTGGGGAGGTTGAGGAAGCAGTGATGATACACCGATGTATGGACGGGACATAAATGGGGCTAGCGGATCTGGATGTAAAAGGGCTGTGTCGTAGGCAAAGGCTAGGAGTTCTTGAAAGGCGACAGACATGTGGAAGAGGAGCAACTCCATTTTCAAGATACTCAAGACTGTACCATCCTCGTCTGCTGATGGAGATATAGACACAGTCGTTCGAGTGCCAGCCAATCCTCCTCTCAAAAGTCCCATCATCGTCCTCTGTCTATTCAAACATGCCCGCCATTCGCCCTCACCACCTGCCCCGTCACCCACCCCGCGCCGGGCGACGCCAACCACGCAATCGCTTCGGCCACCTCCTCCGGCCTCCCGATGCGATTCTTCGGATTCAACGCCGCAATCGCCTTCAACGCCGCCTCACTCTTCCCCTCGTAAAACAGCTCCGTCCCCGTGGGGCCCGGCGCCACACAATTCACATTAATGCCCCGGCTTGCCAGATCTTTCGCGACCGTGCGCGTCATCTGCTCCACGGCGCCCTTGGTGGCGCAGTACAGCGTGTACGGCGCCGAGACGGTGGACGCGTGGCACTGGCTCGTGGAGATGAGGACGACGGCGCCGCCGGAGCGCATGTGCGGCACGGCCTGTTGGATCAAGAAGTAGGGCCCCTTGACGTTGAGGGCGAAGCTGGCGTCGAAGTCGGATTCGGTGGTGGTTTCGATGGTTTTGAGCGACAGCACGCCCGCGTTGGGGATGAGGATGTCGATGTGTTGGAAGTGCGTGACGGTTTGCTCCACGAGGGAAGAGATGCCGGGGAGGGAGCCGGCGTCGGCTTGGATGGCGTGGGCTTTGGTGGGGCCGCCGAGGTCGGAGACGAGAGCGGTGGCGGCGGCGGTGTCGCGGCCGTAGTTGATGGCGACGGAGGCGCCGAGCTTGGAGAGGGCGAGGGCCGTGGCGCGGCCGATGCCTTTGGAGCCGCCGGTGATGAGGGCGACTTTGCCGGCGAGGGGGAGGGGGGTGGTCATGTTGGCTGTTGTCAGGGTTGAGGTTTTTTCACTGGTGCGATTATTCGCTGGACAGAGGTTGTGTGGAGGTCTTGCTGGTTCGAGCTGGAGTGCTTGTGTGGACTGAGGCTGCACCTACAGTTGCCATTATGGCTCCTATATAGCATCTGCTATGCTCCTGACGTAGCAGTTGTGGACCTAAACAGCGCCTGCGCCTCGGATCTTGCTGCACGGAGATATCGACATCTTTTCCAGGTTGTGGTCCTGCTGGCGAAGCTGAGTCCCAACAGCTATTGACAAGCATGCAAGATCTAGACCTGCTGGGAAGTACGCCTTGTTGAGCGAGAGATTATACAGAATGTCTCCGAAGTCCAGCCAGTTACGCCGAGTGAGGTACCAGGCACCAATCAGAACAGATCCGATCCAGTCTTTCCCCGGTGGCCAATCGGACCCGTGTCTCTATCGAGAGGGTATGTCGGAGTTACTGTAAACGGTAATTCTATCGCGGTAACGTCGGGAGGAGTTATATGCTATCAGCCCATTGCTGCATTAGCCACAACCCTCAAGTACGCCGTGGCATTCAGATAGTTGCAGGCCGATGCTTCGGAGTCGTTTATGCTCACCATGTCGGTGAGTCTGGTCAATGTACCCCTCGGGGAAAGGAAAGGAGAGAAGCCTGTGTCCGACTTTGACCTAAAGGGTCGTGCCCCTTGAACTTGAAGGCAGTGGGGCCAGAGAAGTACTGCTGAGATGAGAAATGATACATAAATCGTGGCTAGCATGACTGAGAGGGGCTCGCTAACCCATCAGCAGCGCCAGCAGGTGCGACATAAGTATCTATATCCGCCTGGCCATAGTGAACCAATTACGACACTCTGGCGTGAATCTTCTGGGAAGATTGAGTAGGATGTAGATCAGTCTTAAGCATTATGGTACAGTCCCAGGGCGCAGCGCAAGTGGTCGAGTAAAGGCATTCCAGGAGATCACACCCCCGTCGGACGAGCTCTAGACCGTCTTGAGACTAGAGTACGGCCAATCCGAGCCAAAGTCCAGGAGTCAGAACCCCGTCAAGATGTATAGCAGACTACTAGTACTACGGCGCTGCCATATTGGGTTTAGAGTACGATCTGTCCGAGCAGATGCCTTAGGAGGCGACAGACAGGCAACCGTCGGCCTAGAATGCGGGCTGATTGGGCCTAAATGCACGCCAAAGAGCGGTTGACGCGAAGATGTGTGATGCGGCTCATAGAACAGGTACACAGAGAGTACAGATCGAGCGCCATCGTCTCAACTCGTGATAAACTGCTGATGGAGCGGTCACTCGAAAAAAATTGTATGCAACTTTCTCACACCGAGCCAGCCACCTGGCTACATCACCAGCAATCAGACCACTTTCTTGACCATTGCTGCCCATACTCTCAGCTTCTCTTTGAGCCCTTCCCTTCCAATGCCTTCCTAACTTCTCTCCTTTGGCTCTCCACCTGCGCGCGATATTCACGCTCTTTTCGACTCTTCTTCTCATCATCGCGACGATCACGATCTGTCTTCTTGCTGCCACTGCCGGAGCTGCGGCCAAGGCTGGAGACAAAGATCAGAGGGTGAGCCAGAGGCAAAGTGGCGGCCTGGTCTGCGGGCGTGACATTGATGGTGCCGCGCAGCACGGCATCGAAACCGTGGATAGATGCCGCGTCGATGACATAGAACACTTCGTGGAAAGACTGCAGACCATGAGCGTAGCGCCAGCGGAGGGTGAGAGTTGTGGAGGTGGTGAGGGGGACTCGGGCAGCAAAACCTTCCCTGTGACTCGCTCTGGCTCTGTTGGTCCTGGAGGTATCGGCCGTGCCGGCAGCGGAGGCCGGGTTCAGAGTAATCAATAGGGATAGTGGGGAGCAGGGACTGATGCGACCCTGGGTAGCGAAGGCTTTAGACTTGCTGATCAAAGACCGCGTGAGGCTAGGATCGTAAAGCGTAAGAGGAAGATCAACCATGTGGTCATGATCATCAGCGATGACGGCGATGTGAACCGGTGCCCTGGTATTGTCCGCCTGATGATGGCTGTTGTTAGGCGCCAATGCGTCTACTTGTGGCGAGTAGGTGGTACGTACCATTGGTGCGTTGGCTATGCGATGCTGCTGGCTGTGCTGGCGAAAGAGCTGCGGCCGCTGCGCCTTCCATGAGCGATATGAAGATTCCAAGCTGGCGTCACAGGCCGACATGACCGACGGGCTGCGCTCTCTTCGTGTGGCCATAGTTCTCGTTCTGCATATGGGTGAAGCCAATCGCCTCTTGGGGTTTTCTGTTGAGGCGGAGTGCGAGAATGGATGCCTTAGCCTCGATTGAAATTTTGAACAGCTGGCACATCTCATGGTTGCAGCGAGCGAGTTCGCACATTTCATATAGTTTGGTGGATGCCTTGGGTTGCAGCCACGAGGCTCAAATCGGGCGCTATGCGGGATTAGGGGGTGGGACGGCGGATATTGTTGTTCTGGGATGCTGGGTGTAGAAATCATGAGATCCAGACTGACTGGTACAAGTAATGGCCAGATTACATTCGCGTACGAGGCGTTGGCAAGCCACGAATGAGCACCTCATGACCAGGCCACAGCTCGCTTTCGTTTCGTCTAGGGGACATGCTCCTGCAATGTCCTGGGGAGAGTAGCAGTCATCCCGGAGTCCCCTTCTGGAGACAAGACTTGTCCTGTGTTACGTGGCGGGCCAGCTGACCATGCCCAAGCCTGGTCGTGATTGAGATATTTTGATTTTCACGGTTGCTCAAGTCACATAGCTGGGCGCGGTAGAGGTTGTTACTGGTGCCATAATTGTCATAGGTGTATCCTGTGCTGCACGACAGCTTGTATCAACCGAGCATAAACAGGATCGTCGTCCCATGCAGGAGGTACAGCTTGTCGATCTGCTTCTTTCGCCACAGCGGTGCCAATCTTGATTCGAAGAGCATCTGGTACGCGTGATAGATAACGCCAGCAGGCAACGCCAAATTATGTGGGTGTTATCCTCAATTCGACGTGTGCGTTCTTTTGACCAGTGCGGAGAAAAGATCCATATGGCGTGAGATCCAATTGTGACTCAAGATGCAGTCGAAAGCAGCTCTCTCGGTCTCTGACAGCACGAAAAAGCCATCGGATAGTGAAGGAAGCCCGTTGTCGGATGACGATGGAATGAAGTTCCAGCACAAGGTCGTCTCGCCTATGATGGTCGACTGACCCCCCAGCGAGCGGACAGCAGTTCGAAGCCTTCGCAACGGAACTCCCAGATCACGATATGTGGCATTGCTGATCAAGTTGAGGTCACTTCCAGTATCAAGCAGAACACGCTTCATGATCTTCCGTCCTGTGTTGGTGTGGATATTGATGTCGAAGACAAATGGATTGAGCCGGTGGTCTGCCAAGTGGATTGTGCGAGGTCGAGAGCTCTCTACATGCGCCAGCGATTGAGGTTGGCGCTTCGACGGGTCCGACCTTACAGGTGTGGAGTGCCAGCCTGGTGAGTGAGGTACCAGCGGTGACGAGATACGTTGAGCATTCGTACTCGACTTTGAGTGCGAAGTTGGAGATTTAGGGCGAGAGTGTTGAACTGAGCTGTGCCTCGAGGTCATTTCGTCCGAAACCAAAGCCGTCGACGTCTAGATTCTGTGCCGAATGTTGTCAAGATGTGAAACGCAAATCGTTGCAAGAAGCCTCCAAAAACGCCAGAGATGTAGACGATGGTCGATAAGCAACACCATCATCCACACCTGTTGCGTTTATATTGGGAATCCAAGGCAAGACGCTACGAGCTGAGGTTTGAAACCTTGGAATCCGATGGAGAATGCTCAGGAGCATCGATATCGAACGGATGGTCAGACTTTTTCTGCGTAGCACGAATGGCACATGTATGTCGATGGCAAGTAGCATCAAGGTCAGCAGAGTCCCGAACCAGTTGTCTCTGCACTAGCGGATTCCAGCTCCATCGAGTGTGAGAGCAACCTCTTATCGAGAATACAAGGCGACAACGGATGCTTTGCTACCTTGTGGTGCGACAGTCCCGACGCGTCATGATGTTTTGAGAAGGTCGAGACAATGCTCCAGAACAGAGCATCCCGAAAGGGGATATTGCATCTCTAGGCTTCGTTCAGGACCACTCGAAACCGGACCGGTCAAACAGTGACTGCGGTGTGAGGCTATCTGCAGGGGCGGTGGCCAGACGATCGCCGTTCATCCGACATTGAACTAGCACCATGTAGTAGCTCGAGCGGATGTTAGCCGAAATCAAGGGTTCGCTGTCACTCGTCCGGTTGAGAGGCGAGCCAGATCCTCAGGGGATATTTTGGAACGCATGCGTTGTTGAATCATCAAGCAAAAACACTCACCTCGTTCGTGGCAAAATCAGGTAGAAATGCATGCAGGTCATCCAATAGCACGTTCACCACAACAGACCACTAGGAGGCAGTCGGCGAGACATTGCCCTCCAAATATAAGTGTGGGCCGAGCCGTGGTGCGGACCTGCGGCTCTCCGATTCATGTCCCACGTTAGCGAGAAATCTTGCACGATGCCTGGATACGATTGTCTGGCGGGGTTCATGTCCTCTCGACAGGATACAGGCATCTTCAGAAGATTCTCCCACCTGAACACAGAAAGTTTGCTACACATGCAGGCCGAGTTGTTGGGGCTCGAACTGACGCTTGAGGAAATGCGCCGTCATCCAGACAGCGGCGGGTTCAACATTTCGTGGCTAGGAGTGCCATACAGTGACGCAAATGCTGTCATTGCGAATGTGTTTGAGCGCGTACGTGTGCTGCTCGACCAGTATCGTGGGTATGGCATGCTCCACGCTGTATGGATGCTGAGTATGACAGACAGGACTTTGCTGCAGACAGCCCAGGTCAATGAGCTAGACGCAGTAGCGGACGACAGCTTCGAGCTGCTGCAACGATGGCATGACAAGGATGAAGAATCATTTCTGGAGGGCATTGAAGCCGGTGTGATCCGAGATACGAGATTCAGGGGTAAGTGCAATGTGTTTTCTGGAAAGATCGAGGCTGACAAAATCAGACGACCTGATCAGCGTTAATCGGAGGCCGGGGAGAGACGATACTATTGCTGTCTTCATCGCCGACCGAGTGTTGCCGATTTATGATCGGCTGGTGGGACATCGGCTGCATGCAGGTTCGGTGGAGGGGATTGCAGATGCGCGTGAATATCACATGAAAGCACTGATGCTGGCTGCTAACGTGCTGTGCATGGTCCTATCAGCGGTGATGCCAGCGTTAAGCATCTTGGTGCTCTTCAACGTCAAGTCGACCTTTTCCCGGCTGGTGGCCGTAGTCCTCTTGAGCTTGGCATTTTCTATTGTCATGACAGTCGTGGCTCAAAAAAAGGCGGACATATTCATGGCAACGACCGCTTTTGCAGCAGTGCTGGTGGTATTTGTGGGGAGTGCGAATGATGTTGAATGAGGGACTGCAGCAGACACTTAGCTCAGCCCGCAGGCACGTAGGACGCGAGAAGAGCCCCCGTACCACAGACAGGGGAGTATTCACCGCCCGCTGTCTGACCAAGACTTAGGAGCATGTTTCTGTTCAGGTCCAAGGTTACTTAAGCCTGGCCTCGTCCGTTTTTTCCTGATGTCGAGACCGGCTTGATGGCATCAGGCTGTTGATCACGTGAGCTGACACACCCGAACTCGAGAAGGATGATGAGCGGTGAGACGGGGAGGACTGTCGACAGGATGAGATTCGGTAAGAGGATTGCAGCGTGGGCCAAAGCGAAAGCGAGGGGCAGAGCAGAGCCTACCTCAGCTAGCTGCCTGAGGGCGGCGATACGTAAGGGTGACGGAGTTTGTGCCATTCAAAGTCGAAAAAGCTCGGACCACCGTTTTGGAGCTTGGCTGAAATGAGGAGCTGCCAGTGCTGAGAGCTGCAGCTGCAGCAGGCCACCCAACCTCCCCTCGCTCTCCCCCCTCTTCCAAGGTCCAGGAAGCCCGGCAAGCTCTCTTCCACTTCCCAGCTTGCAAATGTAAGCTCTGGCGGGACCCTCGATTCCCTGACTCGCCCTGACTCGGGCTGCGGATACTATCCTTTGATGCAGGAACTCTGGCTCTGAGCTCATCGCCAGCCGCCCACGGGCTCGCCCTGTTCCCCAGCCCAGCTGTCCCAGCTCCCTCGCTCCCTTGCTCGCTCGCTCGCCCGCCCGCCTGTCTCTCTTTGTCCTTCCTCTCCTTACTACCTGGCCCCTTTGCTTTGTCAGTCGCTCAGACTGACCGTGTTCGCGCTCATATCGTCGTGCTTCATCTTCTCCCTCTCCCTCACTCTCACCATCTGCACACCCCCTTAGCTCACACACAACACCATGCCTCGCAGAAGAAAGGAGGAAGATGACGAGTCCGAGGAGGAGCTTCAGGCCCTCCCTAGCGATGATGAAGAAGAGGAAGAGGAGTATGTGTGCCTTGCTCTAATCTGTCATGTTCCTTGCTCGCTCCATCATGCGCGGCGTGCTCTTTCTGTTTATTCGATCTCGTTGGCCATCGCGCATCAAGTGCCTCAGCTTTTACTTTCACCCGCGTATATTGACCTAACTCGGCAACAGATACGAAGACTCCGAGGTAGAAGACGAGGAGGAGGAAGGTGACGAGGAAGAGGAAGAGGAGGAGGCGGAGGGTGCCGAGGAAGAAGATGCAGCACCAGCCGGTAAGCAAGCTGCTCCTGTACTGAGTCAAGTCTAACCCGGCCTGCAGAACCTGCCACCAAGAAACGCAAGGCCGAGGACGATGCGCCGGATACCGATGCAAAGAAGTCCAAGACCAATGACGTCGACGAAGACGATGAAGATGGAGCACCAGGAGAAGACGATGAAGAGGAAGAAGAGGAAGTGGAAGATGAAGCTGCAGTCAAGACCTCGACCAAAGTTCTGACCGACGAAGGAACCAAGCCCGTCGCCGCGGAAGCAGATGATGAGGGCGAGGATGAGGATTGAGCTGGAGCTTCACCTGAAAAGTTTGAGGAGCAGCAGTCGATTCAACTCCGGCTTGCCGTCCAAAAAAGATAGAGCTTCATCCAGGCCTCAAATCTTGACCCCACTTCTGGTCTGCATTCGCTGAATTGAGAAACTCACCTGCTTCAAATCGTAGCCATCACCACGGAGAAGTGACGCCCAGTAACAGCCCACTGATGCTTCGTCGTCCGACGAAGATCTTGACAACGGCTTATGATCAGATCTATCTCCAAGACAAGTCCTAAGAGTTGCCATGATTATTGTTCGACACGAGTGACAGTCTCGAACTCCGAACAAAACCCTGTAACGCGCTGGCACACGCTAATTGGCCACTGGCTCAGAACGCGCCAAGGCATCCTGTTCGCGTTTGGTCGACGTTCGAAGGTCTCAATTCTTTGATCTCTGGCTCATATCCGCGCTGGGCCTGAGCACATCGATTGAATCACTTCACTTGCACCTCGCGGGCTGTCAGGATTCAGTCGCATGCGCCAGCCCTGTATCAGTCGCGGTTGTGCTAATCGTCGATTCTTCGGCCACGAGGAACGGCCTGCCACAGCCTGTTCCTTCGCGTAACTGGCAAAGCCCAAGGAAAGCCAGGATGTCCCATCGAGCCAGATGACCCCTGCCTCCTGCCTTGACTGTCTGACACGTCCCATTGGCCTTTGGAGACGAGCCATCAAGGCGTCACGCTACGTCACAGATTGTTTACCTTTCCGAGATTAGGTCTTGACGCTATGATCAGCCAACACGATATGGGGTATATCTGTCTGTTGCCTTCCAGGGGCCTCTACCCCTGAGAATGGCCATCCCATATGGTTCAATACGGTACGTTATTACCAGGAACAAACTGCTTTCTCGATAAGACTTTGGACTTTCCATCTCCTAGCCAGCCATAGAATGGCAAACTCGAAGCGACCTCTGGAGGAGTCGTATGCCGGACAAAACACTTCTCAGATCGCGAAAGCCGCTAAGACGGCCCATGTTCAAGGAGCTGAAACGGAGAATCAACCTCAAGATGTTGTCCAGCACATTGCATCTTACATCCCATATACCCGCGGCCACCACCCATCACTAGATGTGCTTGATCCAAATAGACAAACGACCCCATATATTGCACCTCGTTATCCGAGCCCAGCCTGGCGGGCTCCGGATTTGCTCCCACAGGCTTCCCAGCCAAGACATATGCCTTACGAGTCACTAACCGCACAGTCCTATCCTCGACCTGCAGAGCGCAATAGACCTGCATGGCCATCTGCCCCCACCAATCTTGGGGGGAGGCTGCCTCCGGGTGGCCCGAACGGACCACTCTCTGGGCTGTACGAGGTTTTGCGCCAACAGCAAGATCGGTGGCAGTCTCCAATTGCGACATTACCTCAGCCACCCTCGGTGTGGCAGGACCCAGACCGCGAAAGTGATGGCTTGAAGTCGAAGCCTGGCGTGATCAACGAGACTCTCGTCCAAGATATTCGCGAAGCTATGCAAAAAAAGGATGGTGAGGTCTTTGTCACGGTTCTCATCGGCAACGATGAGAGGTGGGTTGGCTCACATCTGGTCTCGATAAACCACTCTTTTGAGGGCGCGGTCGATGCTGCTCGGAACACAGCGAATGACCAGGGCTGGGATGACGACTGCTGCATAGAGAACGCCAGCGATACCTCCAACCGGATCAATGACAAGTTCATCTCTAAACACGCCGAGCTAGGCAATGACGTCGTCATCCTCGATTTTCCTGACGATGAAGTGTATGAAGACTACGGTGGGGTTATACGCATCAACCTTGAAAAAATCAAGCAGTGAGAAGCAAGCACGTTGTCGTTCGACCAAGCCGGTTATGAATTTGTCCGAAATTCAGGCGTCCTTCTACGCGGTACTCCGTATACAGTGCTGGCCAACCGCTTCGTTTCTGCAAGCTTTTGTCAGTACTGGTGATCTAGCCTGAAAGAGGCAATCGTCGAGGCATTTTGCAAGCGACACAGCCAATCAGAAATACAACCTTACATCCGATATACGCTTCGACATGCGACGGCATCTCTACTTAACAACCTGCTGTTCTCAGGGTTTCATCAATAACTCTGGCTCCACGTATTCAACCCATTATGGCTGCACCAACAAGCACAATCCTCCCCAATGGCATTCACGCCCTCAGTAGCGGCGCCCGCACCAACCCTGCGATAGTCTGCCTCCCAGGCTGGCCGGAGACCGCCTCGGCCTACCTCCCCCTCCTCCCCCTCCTCTCCCCCGCCCACTTCGTCCTGATCCTCGACCCACCGGGCCTCGGCGCCTCCGCCCCCTTTCCCACCAGCTACACCACCACCGCGACCGCCACCCACCTCCTTACCGCCATCCAAGCCGCCCTCGGCCCACACACCCCCTACCACCTAATCGGCCACGACATCGGCTCCTGGCTCGCCTTCCCGCTCGCCCACCGCGACTCCCCGCACATCCTCTCCCTGACGCTCATGGACTCTTTGATCCCGGGCCTCGCGCCCCCGCAATCCTGGCCTTTGCCTTATGAAGCCAACATCCGCCTCTGGCAATTCACCTTCAACGCCCTGCCGGACCTGCCGGAGATCCTGGTCGAGGGTAAAGAAAAGGAAGTGCTGGACTGGCTCTTCGATCGCAAGGCCGCGCATCCGGAGCGCATCACGCCCGAGCGGAGGGCCGAGTATGTGAGCGCGTACAGCAAGGAGGGGGGCATGGCGAGGGGGTTCGCGTACTATCGCGCCGTGAGCGAGAGTGCGGTGGAGCATAAGAGGTTGTTGGAGGAGGCCGGGAAGCTCCGGGTGCCGGTGTTGTGTGTGGGGGGAGGGAATGGGACGGGGGCGACGATGAGGGACATTGCCGAGGTGATTACGACTGAGACGGCGAGGTCGAGGTTCGTGCTGCTGCAGGACTGCGGGCATTATGTCATGGAGGAGCAGCCGGAGCAGTGTGCGGATGCTATACTGGAATTTGTTGGGAGGGTTAAGCAGGAGTAGCTAAGATGGTAGGACTGTTGTGTTGCCGTTGCAGAGGAGAGTCAATGGGTGGTTGGGTGAAGAAAACGTAGTTCTGTCAGGATCTGCGCCCAACCCGTTGCACAACAACTATTTCATCATCATTTCAGACCATCACTGCACTGCTAGCTGGTATCTATCTATAGTATTTCAAAGCCCAATCAAATCCTGCCATCATGAATCCCTTCGTCCATCGATGGCGCCCCCAAGTCTAATGAAAACTCATTACCCCCCGAAAAGTCATCACTATCCACGATGAGCGTGAAATAGCTAGCCCTCGAACCAGGAACGCTTGGGAGCAAACTGCTCTCGAATCGCCACTTGCTTGGCACATCAGTTCGCGCTGTTGCGAGGCCAGGCGCTTCAGGTTACCTTTTGAGCATGTAGCTATGACCAGTCTACTGCCCAGTGCCGTCGTCGGTTGTGCTCGATGCGTCCTCCGAGGATGTGGTCGTCGACGGATCATCTTCGAAGGAAGTCGTGGTTGCCTCGAAGGAGGTGGACTCCGAGCTGGACTCCGAAGTCGGGGTGGCTTCGAAGGAGGTTGATTCCGAGCTGGACTCTGACGTTGGATCGGCGTCTGCCGAGGAGCTTGATTCCGAGGTTGGGTCTGCGGAAGAGCTTGACTCTGATGTTGGGTCGGCATCTGCCGAGGAGCTTGATTCTGAGGTTGGGTCTGCCTCTGATGAAGTCGGGGTCGCTTCAAAGGACGTTGACTCCGAGCTGGCTTCTGAGGTTGGGTCTGCTGAGCTTGACTCTGAAGTTGGGTCTGCTGAAGAGCTCGACTCTGATGTTGGGTCGGCGTCTGCCGAGGAGCTTGATTCTGAGGTTGGGTCTGGGTCCGCCGATGAGCTTGACTCCGAGGTGGGGTCTGCCTCTGATGAAGTCGGGGTGGCTTCGAAGGAGGTCGACTCCGAAGTGGGGTCTGCGTCTGACGAGCTTGACTCCGAGGTTGGGTCTGCTGAGCTGGATTCTGACGTTGGGTCTGGGTCCGCCGATGAGCTTGACTCCGATGTTGGATCCGCATCAGCAGATGAGCTTGACTCTGACGTTGGGTCCGCATCAGCAGATGAGCTTGCTTCCGACGTTGGGTCTGGGTCTGGGTCTGACGAAGTCGGAGTCGCTTCAAAGGAGGTTGACTCCGACGTTGGGTCCACGTCTGACGAGCTTGATTCTGATGTTGGGTCTGGGTCTGACGAGCTACTTGACTCTGACGTTGGGTCCGCATCAGCAGATGAGCTTGATTCCGACGTTGGGTCTGGGTCTGGGTCTGACGAAGTTGGAGTCGCTTCAAAGGAGGTTGACTCCGACGTTGGGTCCACGTCTGACGAGCTTGACTCTGATGTTGGGTCTGGGTCTGCTGAGCTTGACTCTGATGTTGGGTCTGGGTCTGCTGAGCTTGACTCTGATGTTGGATCCGCGTCTGCTGAGCTTGATTCCGACGTTGGGTCTGGGTCTGGGTCTGACGAAGTCGGAGTCGCTTCAAAAGAGGTCGACTCCGATGTTGGGTCCGCGTCTGCTGAGCTTGACTCTGACGTTGGTTCTGGGTCTGGAGAGGACGTTGTGGTGGCTTCGAAGCTAGTCGACTCTGACGAGCTTGACTCAGGGGTTGCATCTTCAGAGGAGCTTGACTCGGGGGTTGGCTCAGAAGTTTGAGCTTCAGAAGAGGTTGGCGCAGTAGAGACCGTCCCAGGGTCTACATCGTCGGATGAGCTTGACTCGGGGGTAGGCTCAGAGGTTGGCTCGGCGGTTGACTCTGAGGTTGGCTCGGCGGTGGGCTCAGAAGTGGGCTCTGATGTGGGCTCAGAAGTGGTCACCCCAGGATCTGTATCTTCAGACGAGCTTGACTCGGGGGTGGGCTCAGGGGTTGGCTCGGAAGTGGGCTCAGAAGTGGTCACCCCAGGATCTGTATCTTCAGACGAGCTTGACTCGGGGGTGGGCTCAGGGGTTGGCTCGGAGGTTGGCTCAGGGGTTGGCTCAGAGGTTGGCTCAGCGGTTGACTCAGAGGTGGTTGCGTCAGTTGCAGGGGGCTCCTCAGAAGACGTTGATTCTGAAGTTGTAGGTTCAGGTGTTGGCTCACCGGTCGTTGTCTCTTCAGAAGACGTCGTAACGTCGGGGTCGATAGTAGCTCCAGAATCATCCGATGTAGTGGAGGTTGTGGACGATGATTCATCTCTTGGTCCAAGTGAGTTAGATGAAGAAGATGTTTCGGTGTCAGGGGTAACCGTGTCAGATGATGCCGTCTGCGTCAAAAAGGTTGTGACAGAGGTTGTGCTTGATGTAGAAGTGCTTTGGGGCTCCTCTGCGGCAATGAGGATAGCTTCAACTGCCAGACAACCGGTAGGCGCGTCGCCGTTGTCAGGAACAACGACGAGAGCGCTGCCCAGCAAACAGAATCCATCAGCTCCTTGAATATCAATGCTGCCATCACTGTTATACACCAATCTGACGGGTGGTAAGGGCGCTGTAGTTTGCAGTCTGAAGCGAAGGACTCCACTTGAAGTATCGAAAGCAACGAATAGATTGCCGCTTCGAAGAACATCACCATCAAGATAGAAGACGGCTGCAAGTTCCACGTCGCAAATTAGGACGCTCAGGTTGTCAGTGAAACTGAGATAGAGAACGGCGCATGTTTCCTGCCGCCTTCTGAGGCCACCAGCATTTGGATTTTGGAAAGCGATGTTGAAGGTGTCGTCTAAAACGCCGGGATCGGTCGATGCCACTGGACCGGTCGCAGACGTTGTAGTGCCGGTCGATACTGCACTGCTTGTGAAACCGGTTGAGACCGTGCCACTGGTCGACCCGGTTGATGCGCCACTGCTGGGCGTACTTGAGCTTGTTGACGCAGCAGACTGAGTATCGGACGATCCATTGGAGCTTGTCGATATAGAAGACCCAGTCGACTGATCATCCGAACTGGATGACGCAAAAGACGATACGCTTGATAATGTGCTGAAAGTGAAGCTCGGGCTCAGAGTCCCGCTAGACGTGAAGGTATCGCTCAATGATCCGGTTTGGCTGCCGGTACCGGAAGATGTCGTAGTGGTTGACTGCAAAATAGGATTGTCTGTGTTCGTGTCCTGGCCAATAGAAGATGTACCAGGGTAAGCAGTTTCCACGACTGTCTCGTAGCTAGTTACAGTAACAACACTGGTAACATTATAGCTCAGACAGACGGAGACCGTGGCTTGGGAGAGCGTTGCTTGAGCATGTACGCCCGCCGCAAGGAGCGGTGCCAGCCAGGTGAGTCGAGTCATGTTAGTCAGGGAGAGGTTCGACAGTCACTGGCAGTGTATCACGAGGCTCAGTCGCTTCATATACATACAACGCGCGCCGTCTATGCTCGGAATGAGGCGTCTGTACCCACCCTTCTGCCCATCCTTAGGAGAATAACGAGCATGGCGGCAACTGGTTGCTAGGTAAGGAGGACTCCGTCTGGCCGTCCGTAGATATGCACCACACGTGCCAGACAATGATCATAATCCCCGAATCCAGGGAACACGATACGGGAATGTAAGAACGGTGCCTTAATTTCGCTTCCATCTTCGATATGAACAGGCGCAGCAGGAGTCTATCACGGTATTCTAGGTGGCGGAGGAGTCTTGGTGGTCCAGAGAAGGGGCTGGCTGGAATAGCGGCGGTTCCGCTGGCGCGGCGGTTCCGTTGCATCCGTTGCGGTAGCCAGTCGTGGTATGCACAGGTAAAACCTCAAAGGGATGGTCGATAGCGCGTCTGGTATGTCGCGCACGATAGAACGGACCTGTTCAGCATAGACCGAAAGACAATTGTGATAAGAGTTTGATGCGCGAAGATCACATCACTGAGTTAGAAGCGTGGTAGGTGATGGGTGATGGGTGATGGGTGACAGGTGGCGTCCTGAACGCCTGTCAGCCACCTTCAAAACCCTTGGCAAACCTCGACCAGTCTGTGCCGTACAGCATTCTACGACTACGTAGCAACGGCTTGAGGGAATCACAACAATGTAAATCTGGCTCCGGGGCAGGGCAAGTGCAAGCTTCTAAGCTGCTTCAAGATCACGTTCTGCCTGACCCAGAGGCTGAAGCTTGGCCAGAGTAGAGACCGCTCGGCGCGTTTACAGCAACCCATACTGACACAGAACACGCAATAGGAGGTCCTCGCCGAGAACAGCGAAGACAAAATCTCACGTCGAGTCTCATGTCTACAGTATGTGCACCTAGTCAGGTCAGGTCAACAGCCGCATCTTCCCATACACTCTGTCACCCAACGTCTGAGCACCAACGCCATCACCATTCCGCAGATTCATCCCCCGGAGCTGGGCATGCACCCTCCCCTGCATGTCCTCGTCCACGGCATTGATGTTCATCAGTTCGTACTCGACGGCATCCCATCTTGCTTCCCTCCCGTGATAGCATGCGGCTCCTGAGCGCCTCCCAATCTCGACGGCCCTGCACCGTCCCCATCTGACATTCTCGAACTCTTCCCTCAAGCACTTCGACAACACAACCTTGATGTTGATCTCCTCAACCTCACCCGGCATCGCCATGCCAACCATATCGGCGGAGCTCCTACTGCGCCTTCGCTCAGGCACGCAATGTCCCACGCTAGCGGGCACCATTCCCCCACGCTGTGACTGGTCATCACGACCCAGAGCACCGCCTTCCAGCACAACCCTCACATCGCCCGTGACAACCCCCTCGTGGCATCCCAACCACGCGAGAAATGAAGCGACTTCCGCGACCTCCACCACCCCTACCTCTAACTTCCGCAATCCAATCATCTGATGCTGCACAGCACCCCACACCCTCCTCTGCACCAACACCCCTCCAGTCCTCCACCCCATTCTAACCGCAGGATCATCGTCCCTCGCCGGCAACGCCCTCACCACCTCCGCCGGCAGCGACAAGACACGAATCCCCTCCAGCACCGCCGCCGACACAAGCCCGAGGTGCAGGTGGTACACGCCATCTCGCGCCTCGTCCATATCATCAAAGACGATCTCTGTGCACGCATCCGCGTCCGTCACTAAATGCACGACATTACACCTCCACACCGCGCCCCTCGCCTCGGCCTCGACGGCTCGACACACGCGTAGCAGCGCCGCCTCGGCACGCAGCCCCGGCGGCAGGCTTGCGTGCAGGGTGCGCAGGCGCTGCCGCGTCGAGACCCGTAGGGGCACTACGTCAAGCGAGGACGGGGACAGCGGAGGGCTGCCGCCGTCCGTGACTGCGGTGGTCGCGGCCAGCCACTCGTCGTTGGCGAAGTTGGTGCTGGTGGGCGAGAGGCAGACGGAGCACTCCTCGGGCTGCAGTGGGGTGCGCTGGACGGTCGAGAAGAAGTGCGTGAGTGCCTTGAAGGGCGCTTCGGCGGGGAAGGGCCACTCGTCGTCATCGTCGGAGGCATTCGACTCTGCGGAGGGAGAGGACGATGGGCTGACAAGCTCAGGGTCTGCATTGGCCCGCCGGAACGAGTAGTGGCGGGCGCGTGGGCGCGGGAAGTGTCCGCTGTACACGAGGTGCAGGTACAGGCCGTCACGGTAGGTGAAGTAGTAGGCGTAGATGCGTTCGCGGATGGGGCTCGGGAGGTCTAGTAACGAGAGGCGGGAGGCATCGCGCTCCCTGTATGTAAGGCTGCCGGTGGTGTCGGTATAAAGGTGATGCATGGCGTCGTCGACGACAGTGCTTGTTTCAATGGTCCCTTCGCAGAACGGAGCTCGCTGTCGTCACGATTCTGCGTGGGTGTTGCGTAAACCACAAAAGGCACGAAAACACCACTTACAGGTAGCCAGGTCTTGCGTCTACAATCTACATCCACGACAGCTCCCAGCAGTGCCATATACGATGTCAACAAACAAATCCAGCATCTTCCACCTGTTCCCCGCCCAGCCAGGCCCCATATCCTTTGTCCTCCATGTCCTCACGGGCACAGACCAATTCTAGGCTTTCAACCGAACTCGCTTTATTTGGCGCCGCATCCGTCGACATGACTTATCCTATCACTGACGTTATATTATTAGGTTTCTTCCTGCAACAATAACATACGCCGGAGGAGGGAGAGGAGGAGGAGGGAGATGGTAGTCCATTCGCCCCCGTCATGCTCGTATCACGGCACGGCACGAACACGAACGTCATAAGAACTGCCCGGCCTCTCCTAAGCTCCTCCCTCCTGCGATGCTCAATCCACCCCCCCATCCCCGCGCGTCCGCTGTAGAACAAAGAAAGTAGCCAGCACAGCCGTTCGCGGCCAAGCAAATGGCTCGTTCCAGGGCCTAGCCAAGCTGCGGATCTCCTTACCCCTTTTGTTTTGTAGGCTCACTTTGGTGGCCGGAGTGCCGTACAGCCAGACGTAAGTTGTCTCCCGCATGTGTCTCGGCTTTGTAGTCTAGCGCGCACGAAGTCGCTCTGGAGGGGGCAGGAAGCCAAGAGCGTCACTCGCGAAGTATGCGAATTGGTCAAAGGTATGGGATGGTATTGCAAGAAGCAAAATCGCTACCAAGCTTCCTCCCCCCACCTCGTAATCAAGATGCGCGTATAGAGTCTAGAAACACCACAGCGGCCCGCTTGGCATAGACGAGAAGGGATACTGCGAAAAATGGACGAAGGGAGGAATTGAGCTTCGGAAGATTAAAAAAAGAGACTCGGATTGCATCTCGCTACCGCAATCAAGCGTTGTATTCAAGACTAAACAGCCTGTCCCAGGGCTTTTTGTTGGGGCTCGGTGCAGCACCTTTGGCTGGGCTAGCAGTTCGCTGCTGTTGGTGCTTCTGAGACGCGGGCGACTTCACAGGCGATCGATCGCTGCTCTACTTCCCCGTCAGCGTGCACTCAGGGTCCTTGCAGGAGATCCTGTCTTACGATGTCAAACACACGTGCATCTTCCCGTGCTGGCCCTTGGTAGCTATCGCCTGGCTTGACCACCGAGTCCGCAGCTTCACCCCCGGTTGGCCCACCACTGACAATAGGCGCAAGCGGGCTATCTTTGAGACTTGAGCTATCCTTCTTGATGCTGCCACTTCGCTTTGACGTCGAGCTCGAGCGTCGACTTTCAAGGCTTCTGTTAAGAGTCTTGGCCACTTGGGCAGCGTTGGGGCTCTTCCCAATCGCCTTTTCTTTCCGGCCCATCATCGCTTCTGCTTCCACAGTGCTAGCAATGACGGTGCTCTTGCCCACGCTGGGCGTGCCTGGAGCGCCTGGCTTCTCCTCGGCCGCATCGATCATGTACCATCGTAGGCCATCCGAAAGCTCGAATGGGTTCTCATCGTCAACCGACCGAGCTGAAGCGCTATCCCCAGCCTCTGCGTGGAGAGAAGCACCGCCCCGAGTGCTGGACAATGATCTAGACAAATCCACCACGCGCTCCTCTACTTTGGAGATGCGAGCTAGCAGCCAGTCGCGACTCTGCAGCTTGTGGTGGTCTTGCTCTCGGAGAAAGTAATGTGGCGCTCCGACGTTGAAGGCAGCCCAAGGTCGAGTAGCTTGGTTGCGCGTCGGTAGGAACAGGGCTAGGTCGCCATCTTTGAAAGAACGATAGGCGATCTTATCGTGAGCCTCACTTTGCAGGCGATGACACTTTTCGCGGTAAGACCTCGAATCCCTCTGGTACTTCTTGGCCAGGTTCTCAACATCTTTGTACCGCTTCGCAACAGTATCGATGGTCGAATCCAAATCGAGTCGCTGTAACGCGTTCAGAAAGCCGTTGTACTTGTCGTCTTCCTCGGTCGTTTCAGTGTCAGATGTCCAATAGAGCATCTCGAGATCGGAAGGATCCGAGTAATGTTGAGGTGGTACACTACCCGAAATAGTGCGCTTCATCGGCGTAGAGCTTTCGTTGCCGCTTAGAAGCGTGCTGGCACTTGCTTTAGAAGCGCGCTGAATGACAAGAACATCGTCCTGACGACTGACGGAAAACCCAAATTGCTCAAGCATGCGAATAATGCGATCGTTGTGCTGAAAAAGCCTCTCAGACAGCATCTTGGCTTTATCGCCACGAGACTTGAGCTTCTTCTTCAGTACATCAAGCTGCTCAGCTGCAGTCTTGCCATCATTGGTTAGCGTCTCAATTTCGTTCTTCAGGCCCTTGATCGTGCTCTCGTTGTCATATTTGAGCTCCTGAAGCTCAGCAACCTGCTTCTCCTCCTCGATCAATCGTTCCCGAAGAGCGTCGGAACCAGTTTCACCCGCCGCAAGTTTGGTTCGGAGGCTGTCGAGCTCGGCTTGTCCATCACTAGCTTCCGATCGTGCAGCCTTTACCTTGCTACGCTCGTGCTCTAAAGAGTCGTTGAGACTTGTTGCTCTTAATTCAGCAGTGTCTAGCTTCGCTTTCAGCGTCTTGGCGTTCGCCTCAGCATAAGCCACTTTATCCTCGAGCGATTTTGTTTCGGCCGTTGCCAGCTGGAGATTGTCATCGAGTCCTCTTGCGTGAATGGCAGCGCCTTCGGAGAGGATCTCGAGGGCCCTCGCCAGTCTCTTGATATCATCGGGAGCTGATCCGGCTGGGGACAGGTTCGAATGCACACCTTGCAGCGAAGCAACAAGATCCTGTTGCTGATCTTCGTGCGATCGGAGTTGATTTGCAAGTTCCATGTTCTGATTACGTGCCGCGTTGCGTTCGTCGCGGCACTCTTGCAACATTTTCTCGAGACTGGCCGCTCGATCGCGCTGGGTAAGAAGATCCTTTTCCAGATTTTCCACTCGCACTTGGGACTGTTCTGCATCTTCCCTCTGCGTATCACGGAGCCCATCGAGCTCAGCCTTGAGCTCGGCAGTCTTCTGGTCATGGGTCAGCTTCATGTGATCTCGCGAGCCCAGGATGCGATCAAGCTCGTCCTCCAGCTCTTCAATGCGAATCTTCAGCTTGTGAACTTCATCGTCCATCAACTGTCGTTCCTCGTCGAATTCTTGACGCTGGGCCTCGAAGTTGGCCATGAGGTCTTGCTTGACTGATTCAGCCTCCTGCATTTTATCTCGAGACTCTGTGCTCGAGCGACGTTCTTCGTGAGCCTCAGTTTGCAACTTGTGTATTTCAGCTTCTAAGGCGCTGATTTTTTGAGCAACAGCTTTTTCGTCGTGCGCATTGGAGTAGCGCCGGAGCGATATGGAAGACCGATGTGGGATCTCACTTTGCTTTTGGAACGACGACGGAGAAGGTGTATGACGACTAAACTCGGAGATGCCACCTGGGGTGAATACGCCACTAGTGGGATGGCTCATTTGGCTTTGACGGTGCAAGAGGTCTTCCAGCTTCCTCACACGACTTTCAGAAGCTTTGACCTTCTCCTCAAGTCTTGCTTTTTCATCCTGCAGTGTTCGTACATCACTGTTGACAGTAGAGCTGGCGGCTAAGTCGTGAACGCTGCCATTCTTGAAAGCTCTGGGTCGTGGACGTCGTACAGGGCCTTCCAGGTCCTTCATTCGTTGCAACAACGTCTCGATGGTATCATCGATGCCCAAGGCTCGTAAGTCGTCAATGAAAGCATTGATCTCTTCTCGCTCGACAAAGGGCCAGGCGTTGCGAGGTCTCGAGGCCTTGATATCGATGAGTGCATCATAAGAATTCAGCTCCTTGTTGAGAAACTCGCCGTAGGAAGACACCCACTTCCTACGTCGACGCTGCTCTTCCTCTGTCATCTGGGAAAGGTCGTTATGAAGAGAATCGACTTCGGATTGCATCCTGCTGGTCCATTCTGATCGCCGAGTGGCCTCGATCAGGGTGCAGCCGTAAACAGTCGGGAGCTGGAATACTCTATAGAGTGTGTCAAGTCCCTCCTGCTCCGTAAAGTCAAGAGCCGCAACCTCGCTCTGTAGACTGCTAAGCCGAGATTGAATTCCAGAAATCTCGCGAAGGGCGGCATAGTAATCCTTGATAGCTGCGTTTCTTGTTGATTGAGCCGTTATGAACGTTTGCTGTAGATCGGCCATTACCCCCTGCAGGGTAGGTATATAATCTCTTGTGTGCGCTGCGCCCTTTCGAGACGCCTGAGCCACTGACTTAGGGTCGTCTTCCAGTTTGAGAATGTCATCGTAGTCGGCACTAATCCGCCGAGCCAGCGTCTCAGCTTCTTCAACGAACCCAGCAGTATCGCTCTCGGGCACTTGGGTTACATGCTTCTCGACCGCCATAGTATCGCGCTTCAACTGATCTCTTCTCTTTTGTAAGCCTTGTAGCAGGTTCTTGAATTCGTTCGACGCGACTGAGACGGACTGCTCTATCTCGCGGAGTGGCTCAAAAGCGATAAGATCGGCCAGAGTACTGATTTGCTCTGGGCCTCTTTTGTCGCTGGCCCGTCTCATGATTGAAGCAACCTCGTCCCGCACAGGTAGCTCTGACAAGGTGTTGTAACTCTTTTCCCAGTCCTTGAGCGCATCGCTGTGCTCCTGAATACAATCGACGGCCCACTTTCTGGTCTCATCGAACTTGTTGTTGGCAGCCTGAAAATAGTTCTTCACGTTCTCGAGTGCCGCTTGTATCGATCGCGAAATGACATCGGCTTCGAAAAACAAGGCTTCGGTAGTGTCTGCGCCTACTCTAACGGCATCAGAGATCTCCAAAGCCCATCTGCGGTTCTCCCGGACCGCTTCCTTCCATTGCTCAAGATTCGCATCGCCAGGTGCAGGTGGTGCATCTCGTGGATCTGATAAGCGCTCGTCTTGGTCGGGAGGGAGTTCAGAGGACCTGGAAAGATTTCTCTTGTCGTAGACGAAGACATCGCTGTCATTGACCAGGGTCTTGACATTCTTGCCCCGTGGGGTCATTAGGATTTGGTGATTCGGAGGAATACCGACATGCTGCTCGACCCATGGTCGGAGGGCATCGAGACCGGCAGCAGGCTCCCCAAACAGCAGGTACTGGCCCGAGTGAGAAATGTACACGCGAACAGCCATCCCCTCCACCTCCGCTGTCGTGTGCCAGTTGGACGAAGCCGATTCACATGCAAGCTTCGGACGCAGGCGTCAACGTCAGCGTGAAGGGGTCATAGGCGCGACCGTGAGCGGAGGAACAATGTTTCCCCGCACCGTCGCCAGCCGCCTGCCGCCAGCCTGGAGAAGTGTCCAAGTCCCCGAAAGAACGCCTAGTACTCCGTAGTAGGCGTCGGTCTCCACCTGGGAACTCGAGAAGGGCCTCGAACGGTTCTCGAGCTCTGATGGTTTGCAATATCGGCTCTTGGCGTGGCGAGGTGGTAGAAGATTCATCAGTGTATTTCAGGTAGTGATATGAGAGAATCTATCTCGAGTCAGACGGAAGCTTTGCCCAGTTCTCAATTGCGCAGTTGGAATATAATTGTATCAACTCTTCCACGCCTTGACACCAGCTGACCAAGTCATTTGCTGCTACTCATCACGTTGTCAGGCAAGGCAGCATGTCTTCAGCAATGGAGCCTCCACAGGCGATGAAAGACTTGCTTCACTGGGAGGAGCTGCGAAAGACCTCATGGGGAAAGGGCATAACCGACAACTGGATCAATATCGGAATGATGCTATTCTTCCTCGTGGTGGCAGGATCCAGATATATATCGAACACGGTAAGTCTTTACGAGCAGCAAAGGTCAGCCTAGTACACACTACTCACTGCCTCAAGAGAACGGCCAGAAAAGCAGGGCACGATGCCCGCTTCCTTCCCGCGCCCGACTTCCCCACCATCACCGAACAGCCAAATTTCGACTATGCAAAGACCGAGCCTCTCCAGCTCCGGACCTTCAAGCCCAAATACCACCTGACCATGGGTAAGCCTCCTCACTGCCCCCTCCCTACTGGCACTGACAATTTCCAAGCTGACGCCACAGCGCTCGAAAACCTCGATCCATCGGATCTCATCCTCATGGACAACAACTACAGAGACCGCATTGCATATCGCCGCCGGATCTTGAAGGAACACAAGGACAGTCTCTCCGTGACCGAGGACCCACGTATCAGCGCCGCGGTCCGTGAGTACTATACGTTCTTGACCGGCACCTACCTGCCCCTCCGCTACCCGAAGATGTTCAAGCTGCACAAGACCACCTACGAAGTCGGCGAGCACTTCCTCCTGCAAAACCAAATCACGGGAGAAATGTGGCCGTCCTTCCCCTTAGATCCACGCGTCACCGCCCCCGCCTCTCTTCTAACCACCCTCGGCAAAACCCTCGACGAAGACATCCTCTTCCTCCTCCCAGAAGAAGACACGCCAGAGGGCGAGGAACCCAAGTACGTCCTGCACGCCTACGTGGCCTGCTGCCCCTCGGGCTTCAACCCCGCGCACAAGATTGGCAAGCGGCTCGCCGACATCCACGAGCCCGTGCCTGGCTACGCGTCCAAGTTGGAGGGCAGCATGGACCGATACTTCGCCAAGTTGGAGGTGGGCAAGTACGTCAAGCGGACCAACTGGAGCATCACGACCGGCACGGAGCTCTGGGCTGCGGGCGACGGCACGAATCACGCCCATGAAGGCGACGAGATTGAACAGCTCACCGATATCGACGTAAACAAGGTCCGTTCCCCATTCGTTGTCCATACACCTCACTAACACCTCTCCCCCTCCAGACCTTCCTCCGCTGCGAGCGCCAAACCCTGCACCGCCTCCCGAAATCCAACGCCCTGGTCTTCGCCTTCAAGACGTACCTGTACCCGATCGCGCAGATCCGGGACGAAGGTTTAGGTCCGCAGCTGGCGGAGGCGATCGACGGCCTCCAAGGGGGAAACGTGCCGCAGATGCACTTTTACAAGCGAGGCGCCGTGTGGGGCGAGGCGGTCAAGCGGTATCTGCGTGCGGGTGGGGTGGAGGAGACGAAGGCGGGAGATGGCGAGGTGAGGAGGCGGAAGGCTTAGGGCTGGGTGAGAGATGGTGGAGGGAACGGGTTAAGAATAGATCAAGATTGAGAGTAGGGTTTGGGAACCAGGCCATTTTGCAGAGAAGAAAAGCTCAAGTTTTGGAGACCATATCATTACTTTTTAGACCTACATCTGGTGCTCGGTCTCTACCAGCCCAAGCGGCACTTTGCAGTCGTGAAGCCTTTACCTCCTGCGACACTTCATATCGCTGTCCTGCGCCGGCTAGCTTTGTTCGCTCTTCAGCCCAACCTCTCGACGCACTTGAGCAAATCGCCCAAGACGCCCATAGCGGTCACGTCATTTCCGGCGCCAGCGCCCTGTACCACCAACGGATTGGCACCGTACCGCTTGGTGTAGAAGCAGATGAGGTTGTCACTACCCTTCAAGCTGGCGATCGGCGATCCCTGTTCAACCATCTCCAGCCCGACCTTGACTTGACCCTTCTCCACATCGACCTTGCCGACGAAGCGCACTACCTTGCCCTGCTTCTCTGCCTCGGTTTTGTAGCCCTCCATCTCATCGTCGTGGTTGGGTAGCTTCTGCATGAATTCGTCCGCCGACGCCGCCGATTCGAGAGCTTTAGGGATCAGGCTCTGGATAGGGAATGCATCGGTGCCGGCGACCTTCAAGCCGGCGACACGCGCAAGGATGACGCACTTCCGGGCCACATCCATGCCATTGAGATCGTCTCGCGGGTCGGGCTCGGTGTAGCCTGCGGCCTTGGCCTGCGCCACGATCTCGGACCATTTGCCACCACTGCCGCCAGCTGCCGGTGCAAATGTGTTGAACAAGAACGACATGGTCCCTGAAAAGACTCCTTCGATACGGGTGACTTGATCGCCTGTCTTCAGCAGGTCGTTGAGCGTCGAGATAATTGGCAGACCCGCGCCAACGGAGGATTCATGGTATACCAGGGCATTGCGCGAAGTGGCGGCGAAGATGTCGTCCCACAACCGTAGCGATCCTGAAAAGGCTTTCTTGTTTGGAGTGATAACACTCACGCCTTCGGACAGGAACAATGGGTAGGCTTCGGCGACATCTTGTGAGGAGGTGTTGTCGATGAGGACGACTTTGGAGGGGGCGGAGGCGAGGTATGAGGCAATATCTGGGAGAGAGAGAAGCTTGGCATCTGAAGAGGCGAGGGATGAGGGCGAGACAGCGGCGTAGGAGGAGTCGTACAGCTGTTGGTTGGAGCGGGAGAGGAAGATTAATTGAGGGGCAGCGGTGGAGGGCGGAAGGCGTATGGAGGGGAGGGCGGAGATGAAGGCACTGCCGACGCCGCCGGTGGCGCCGATGATGGCGAGAGAGATGGGTTTGGACATATTTGTTATGTATATCTTGAGGGCTGTACAACCGTGGTGGAATCCGTGGATTCTGTTGTGTGCAAGTCACTCTTGAGAAGCGGGGTACCGCTGCGAGATCGGACACTGCTGCAGGTACCTGCAGGTACGGCCACCACCGGCAATGCTCCCACGATACTTGCACCTTCTTACCTGTACTGTCTACGATGTTGGGTGTCATCATCTTGACACCGGCGCCGTGCATGTTGGAGTTGCGCAATCATTCTTCGGCCCGTACTGCAAACCAAATCCCTTATCCGTGGCGACTTCGGAGTCCACCACATTCATGAATATTCCACATTGCTCGAATGTCTTGTAAATGTCTAGCCTGAGATGTGCAAGATGCGCAGAAGAAGGCGGCCAAGACCTACTGATTGCCTGGGGCGAGATTGAGAGATCAGTCACCGCCATCGCTGATTGGAGCGGTGGGTGCTTGCAGATAGGGATCTCCTCCTTGAGCGACAATGAGAGATTGTGCCAAGTGTTTCATGGCCGGTTAGCGAGCATTATTGACAATTCAACCGTGGCACGAATGGATCTGCAGCTATACAACATATACTACGTATTTTCCTGTACGCTGCTCGAGCTTTTCTCTTCTTCCTCTGGCTGCCGCGGGAAGTGAAGAGTGCCGAGGATGCAGTGCGAGACCAGGCGGGGGTGCAATCGCGACTGCCGTGGCAAACACCACGGGTCTTGGTCACCCTTGCTTGCCTTCATCCCTAGCATCATTTCCTCGATGCATGCACCATCAAGTCGACATCGACCGAAGTTCATGCCAGGATGAGAAATTCTCGTCGTGTTCAGGAGTGTATTTCTCAGCATCATGAAGCAAACACCGGGACCTGCAGATGCGACCCAAGTCTTTGCGCGACACCCACATGGGCCACGAACACTGCAGCAAGGCAACTCGAACCTACCGGATGATCACCCCGTCGTCGAGTTATGGCACCTCGTCCACGTTGTTTCGGCCCAAACAGAAACTTCTGTCGAAGGCGCGCTCCGAGGTCTTCTTGGACCTCAGCCGCCATTGGTCCACGCCTACACCACCTGCAGACAAAAAGCTTTCGGCAGACAGTCGAGGTTTCCGGCGCACCGGGTCTGCATCTACCATGCTGACGTTTACTCACGTGGCCAAGTGTTGTCGACAGAATCAAGAACACCATACTCCAGTACAGGGAAGAATTTTGCACGGCATCAGGTGGGTTTATCAATTCTTCCCGTTGTGTGGTTTGGCTGTGTCCCGTGTTCGTCCACCCCTGCGCCCTGTTGCCACGAAAATCCCGAGGCCGCATCCCGGACTGGACTGCCCTCACTCAAGCGCCGCCCTTGTTTCGCTGGCGTCTAGTCGCTACACTGGCCTGAGAAAGGCCGCGCACTGATGGCCGTTCGATCAAACCATACCGGCGACAGTCAGATTAATGTTCCAGCGGATGATCACCTGTGCCAAACCACAACGAGGCTGCCCACCGACCCAGCGATGCGATTAACCTTGCTGCTAATGTCAGGTACGCGACTGAGCGCCGCCATTTCATTGGGCTGCCCCTGAGATTGGCACGCTCTAGCTCGTTTCAGCGGATTTGGTGGTTAATTGTCCGGTTACCCATCCAGCGCCCTGGCGTTCCCGGTCCCACCCAAGCTCAGACCGAACACCAACCGCCGCTCAAGAATTCATGACTACTGCAAGCCACGTCGACATGCCCCAAACCATGCCATCTGGAACCCGCCAATTTTACAGTGGGTGGCGGGTGGCCCCCCCGGCGCCTTGCCTTTGCTTTGGCCGAATCTCTCCCACACCCAGGCCAGCGAAGAGCTCATCCTTTTCCTTCCTTTTCCTGTCTTATCGCACGTACAAAGCCCCGGCAATCACACCTCGTGAATTTGCGTCCGTTCTCTTGTTCTTTGTTTCCTCGTATCGCTCACGTCCACTCTTTACACTCCCACATTCCTTTCTCTCGACTCTCGCGCTGCGCGTGTCAGACAACTACAATCCTTAACCGCCTCACGAGCGATATACAGCAATCATGAAGTACACATCTGCCATTGTCCTGGCTGCTGCCAGCCAGGCCGCTGCTGGAGCCATTTCCCACGGCCACGTCCGCGGCAAGGTTCACAACCACGCGTTGCGCCACGCCGAGATCAAGGCTGATGAGCAGTACGTGCCCCTAACTTCTGAGCATGCCTGCGCGCAATCCGCAGCGATGCGCTCGCATCCTCTCCTCGCCGTCCTAACAGTAAACTAACAACTCTTAGCCTCGGCAAGCGTGACATCCTCTCCGATGCCAGCGGTTTCATCGCCGGCCTGGGCGCCAAACTCGGCATCAACAGCCAGGCCCCGACCTCCAACGCGTGGCTCGGCAGCGAAGGCCCCTACACCAACGAATTCACCAATGACTCGGGCGAAGACCTCGTCCTCTTCTGCTGGGGCCCCGCTGGCTCCTGGGTCAACGCCGTGCAGCCACTGATATCGCACCCGCTGGCCGCAGGCGAGTCTGTGACTGTGTCATACGCTGAGGGCGCATCCGGCGGCTGCAGTGGCGTCTACCCTGACACCAAGATGGTCAACGGCCAAATCTTCAACACCTGGTTGGAGTACACCTTCGCCGGTATCTACAGCACCTATGATGTGAGCCGCGAAGTCAACATGAACGGCCGCGGCATCAGCACCGTCGGCCCCTCTTGCACCACCGACATGGATACATGCGTCTTCAAGTGCAGCGACGCCAACGCCTCGAGCTGCTGGTTCGGCTACGAACTCTTCAACTGCCACTCCGGCAACGGTGGCGGATCTGGCTTCGACCCGTCCACCGGTGGCGCTAGCGGTGGTTGCAACGGCCTCAACGGCGGCAGTGGCGCGTTGAAGACGTCGCTGCAATAGAAGATCCATGCGATGGGACGGTGAGAAGGCTTGTTGTGCGATAGATTCTCTTCGGGTGGTGGGTCCAGGTGACCGGGCCAAGTTTTGCTGTTGCTTCGCTTGACGCCATTTCACCTTCAAGCAATCCCAGCTGGACGGCGTTGGTACTCTTTTGGATGGACTCATTTAGGAAAAGGTGTCAGGAGCAGAATGGTGGGGTGCGCATAGAGTAACGGCCTCGAGAAGTGAGGTTTCGGGGCAAAGGAGTTTCCATGACAAGATCACAGGATCCCACACCTCGCGTCAGGGCTCTCCCGTTGCTGATGCTAGCCTCACCCAATTTGTGGACTTTGTCAGCGTCATGAGTACATACCTACTGGTTGCCAGCTTTCATTGATCGTGCAATGGATGCTGTGCAAGTTGCTGACCCAGGATATATACGAAAGAACATGAAAAAATATACTTGAAAAATGATCTTCGTGCTTTTTATTGGCCTTTGCTTTTTGCTTTGCTTTCTCTCTCTCACCCAGCTGGTGAGGTCGGCGTGGCAGGCGCACTGTACACAGTGTGTCGTTGATGCGTGCTTCGACATCTACGGGAGTACTCTACATAGCCTGCTCGACGGGCCTGCCTGCAGTGTAGTGTTGCGATGCCTTCTGGCTCTCGTGTGTGGGCTGATTGAGACGGTTGATAAGCATGCAATAGAAGAAGCCAAATCAAGAGGAGACAGAAAGCAGCAGAAGGGGACGTAAGATCTCAAATCAATTCTGGTGCGATATGTTATACACAGGCATCGTCTCCTCCAGTCCGACTTCAGTCGCCGCTGGCCGCCCTCTTTCACCGACCCATGTCAAAGCACACAAGAAAATCCGCCTTCCCTCAACCAAACTCATGATTTCTCTACAAGCACGGACGACTCAGGCAAGTCTCCAGGGGGCCAACGAGGCAACCCTCGGCAACCATCGCCGGCAACCATCGCCGGATGCCGAGACGTTTGCCCTATTTGCGTTGCGCCCTTGCTGACTGCACCTGCGATAAATCTCATCACCCAAATTCGCGTGCGGCCTTCTCTTCTCCTGGCTGGCTTCGAGTGCAGTCGTCAACAAACGCAAAACCATCTGCTGTCGCGCTAGCATAACATACCGACGCCTCCCTTCTGCCGCGCGTCTGGAACGCGCTGGAACCCCCCTGCCTCCCGCTTCAAACTTCGTCTGGGAATTCGGTATGCGGGTCCTCCATGTCAATGTCAACCTTAACCATAACACCGGAGCCACGCGAGCATGCCAATGTCGCGAGAAAAAGGTCGATGAAAAGCTTGTTTGCGGAATTCTCCCCTTGTTCGTGACCGCCGGAGCTCGTGATGGGGAGATGTTCCCTGACTCTCAGCTTTGGAGTTCGCTGGATTATCGACACACTCCGCCCACAACACTCCCTAGAAGCCAGCACCACTTGGACAACTTTCCTTCGTCCCACCTCCACCGGGCAAACAAACCCAGCTCATCGACATTCAGCACGCTGATACCGCGTTGCAGCAACTCGCGCCACACATATCCCATGCTGCCTGCCGGCCACGCTGGCGTTCCCCAGTAGCGTGACTTCAAGCCCAACTGGGCGGCTTGCGCGACTTGTTCACCCATCTTGTTCTTCTGGCTCTCACTGAAAGCTCCTGACAGAACCCCAGGATTGCCAATCGCAGTCGACAATGAAGCCGACGCCATCGCGCTGTTGGAGATGTTGTAGGGTGAGTCTGTATCTCGGCCATTGGGGAAGAGATCGTTAAGTGGGGCGTCGAGGAAGACATCGTCATGTGGGTTGAGCGTCGGGTCCATGATCATGTCCAAAGGAAGAGCGCCGGAAGCAACAATTGTCAGTGGTCGCTGGTCGATGCTTATGGTGACGTTGTTGTAGGTAGTAAGGAAGCCGGCATTGCGCAAGGGCGTGAGATGAGACTGCAGTAGAGCAAGAGATTGAGCCAATGCGTCGGGCGACAATTCCTTGAAGTCCAACAGGAGAGTCAGGTAAGTCGAGGAATCGGACAGGAAAGGCCCGTTCAGGTCGGTGTCGTTTGCAACAGACGGGTTCATCGCCTTCAGAACCGTCAACAGCGGTTCGGTATACAGACTTCGTAGTGTGCGGAGTGATGACAAGGCGCTGCGCTTGTGGCTTACCAGCAGCTCGCTTGTGTTCTTGCTCGCGTTGTCCAAAGGCAGGTAAATATCGGCCTCAACGCTCACGCAACCCGCAGCCAGAGCCTCAAACAGTGGCACGCGATGCATATAGTCATTGTGGCTGTGACATGGTTTGGGAGTCACAGAGGATGAAAAGGTGTACGAATCGATGTCTAGCAACCTAGCGTCCGCCGATTCGGCTCCACGCCACGCATCGATGATCATTTGCAAGCCGTTCTGTGGGGTAGGGGGCTGCAAGGACCGCAGGATAGAGGCTATTGCTGCGAGGTAGAGTCTAACACGAAGTAAGTATAGCGAAAACGGGGTACACATGTGAGGGAGATCGAGAGGATGGTACTTACATATACAGCATGAATCCGGTCAAACTCAAAAGCGGCACGAAGACAACGAGGCGGTAGGTCACTTTCTTCCTTGGCTCAGGATGGTAGAGATCGATACGATGCCGCCAGAGGCGAGTCCATCGTTGCTGTAGGCTTGGTTTCTCCGGCATCGTCACAATTTGTTCGTCCTGGGGAGAGGTCTGGACAAGTGGCGTGGTGGGATTGTCAATGTTGACTGTCGATGGTTGTCTATCCATCTCTGCATCTGCATCAAAAGCGTTGCTATGCCCGGATCGCTTCTTGAACTTGGCAAAAGGCATGTTCAAATCTGGAGCGAGGCGCAAGGTGTGAGGAGCAAGAGTGGCGTAGCCTTGCAAGTGAAGGCGCGGACAGTCCAACTCAAATCACTGTGCCCTCTGTCTCACAGGAAGGAACCGTTGGCCACGGGAAGCTGCGATGCTGTCTTACCTGAAGACTCGAGTTGAGGACAATCAGACCGGAATTTGACAATGGTAACCATACTGCTTCAGAGGCCCGTGTGCTGGGCCCGTGTCCCTTTGTCGGGAATTTCAGACATGGCGCGGCCGCTTTGTTCGCATTCACTGCACACTCGGTATTGTGGACGACAACGTTGATCAAAATATCAACTGAAGCAAAATTCGGTGCCAACGGTTGCTGTTCGTCAGACCCTTGATACAGCATCCCTGAGGGTAGGCTTCGGCACATGTGACATGAATCACAGCTCTTTAAGCTGACCGGTTCTGTTCACGTAGCGTGGTAGTAGACTCTGGCCAGAGGGTGGTGTCTCGTTAAGTTGCCATCCCATTGACAACATTTGAGGGGCGGATCTATAGATCAATTCCGGTGTGAGTAACCGCACTGACTTCAAAGCAGCCACGTCGAGATCTCGTCTGACCCAGACCGCCAGTATCAGCGAAAAGTCTGCCTAAATCCTGCTGCTGATGAGTCTTCGGTCGCTCTGTGTTGCACATGTTGATGTTGTTGGAGGCCAGAATTGACGAGTGAGATCAATTCGTGCTCTAAAGCAAGCCAATCTCGATTTCCGCTGATGTCGATTCCGATCCGTTCAACCTAAGTTCGCCGAGGTTCCTCAGCATAGTACTGTACTCCCTGAACGCGATTGATGTATATCTCAGCGCGGTAAAATTCTTGCATTCTGCCATTGCTGACGCCTGCTAGCCTCTGCCACCACTTTCTTAGCTAATGTCGCTAGATACGGGGAATGCACAGCATCATGGTAGAAGAACTTTTCCTGAAGCCCCCGCAGCTCGTTCAGAACTTTATCCTCATCCGTGGCCGTTTGCGCCTGGAAGACAGCCCCGCTGGATACTAGCAGGTCGGCCAACTTCCTGATGAACCACCTAGCATCTTCACTCTCGGGCACGGCACTCATCGCACCCAGCGAGAGCATCCAGGCTTTGATATCGGTATGATTGAATTCGAGGCCCTGCTCTGTAACCGCCTTCAATTTTCTCCGTATCTGGGGCGCGATCACTAGTGCTAGCCGCTTGAGTCCCAATAGAGTGGTCGTAGTGACAATCCAAAGCACTAATACGGCCCGGAATGCATCAAGGCGGGGGTCCTGGACCTCAAACAATAGCAATCGATGTCGAATTGCCATACTGCGCATTTGGATCCAGCGCATAGCATGGGTGCTGGCGTCCGGTGACGCCTCCTTGGCATGTATGAGCACCCAATTGAGCTCCGCCACCTCGTCGATGAGAGCCTGAATAGGTGGAGGGATGATTTGGTGGCGCGGCTCTAATCTCAAAGCAGGGCAGAGGTTGCCAGGCTCGTATGGGGCATCGATGCGTAGCTCGTCCGGAGTGGCATCGGAATATGAGCCGGGATCAAACTCGCAAGGCAACTCACACGGCTGCAGAGTCATGGCCGAGAGAAGACCGTCTCCAATGATGAGCAGCTCACGCATCTGAGGGTCTTGTAGCTTGCTGAGACCACCGATTGCAGCAACAATGGTCTTGGCACCTCTCATATGTATCTTGGCTGCGGCGGTATTATTTCTATACCCTTCAGCGGCGTACAGATGGAAGATGACCATCAGTATTTCTTCATGAGATTTGGGACCCTGTTCTGCCCGCTGCATGATGAAGCGGCGGGTAGCGGCGAGAGCTTTGCCAAGATATTCGTCTGTCGAATATCCCTCTCTGCGATCAACATACTGCTGCCGAGATGCCATGCACGCCAACAGTGCATACATGTCGACGTCGCTGGTCAAGGCACTCCGAATCACGTCGGCAGCTGAGGTTTGGAATGCATAGCCGCCTTGAGGAGATGCCTTTGTTTCCACATGCCAAACTGCAGGATGATATACCTCCTTGTAATACTGAATAAGAGAGTGGCTCTTGTTGTCCAGGGGAATCGATGACCGCTGAAACGGATCGATAGGGTTACTGGAGAATTGCATGATGCCGGTAGGGGATCCGTTCGGAGTGGGAAGACCATGTGCTATGTGGTGCCCACGTGGGTCAGCTTCGGAGGTGGGGCTTGCAATGCTGACGAGATCGTCTGATGTTTGCTGAGCAGTACGTAAATGATTGTCATTGTACGGCTGTTTGGATTGCTGGTCAGTGTCGACCAAGACATGCTCGCCATCGGAGGGAATAAGAAAATCATGGAACCCGGATGAAGTCCGCACTGTCAAAGAGCCAGAGGAGCTTGAGGACGCCGAGGGAGAAGCACCCGAACCACTGCTCTCTGCTTCCTTGAGGGATGGAGGTGAGGCCTCCTTCGAGGATTCTTTCCTACGAGCGGAAGCATGAGGTTGACGCTTATGACGACGACCCCGCTGAACGTGGCTGTTGATGGAGGATTGTTCTCTCTCGGAGCTGCGGGTCAGCGAAAGGGACGCAGCGTCCTTGTTGACGAACAGAAAAGACTTGTTGGACTTGGACATGGTGTCGTATTAAAGGGCAATTTCATGATTGCTGGTGAAGACTAGAGGATGCATGAAGCGTTTACTGTTTTGGTCGATGGTCGATGGAATCTCATACTCGTGCGGGCCACGGATGATTCGTGTAACAACAACTGGTGGTACATGTCATCATTGGGCCAGACTGCAGAGCGGTGGGGTTGGCCGTTGTATCAATATAAGATGTGCTGGGCATGCGTGATGACAGGAAGAAAGAGACAGCCGGTGGCTCGATACGAGCGGATTAAACCTCTTACCGAGCAGCACCCAGTAGCCGCATCCGCGGCGGCGTACCGGGCCACTGCACCATGGGTGAAATGGAGGGCTGGGCGCCCCTCAGAGAGCTCAAAGTGCGTCAAGGAACAAGTTACTAAGGGATCTGGTCCCCGATACTGGCGCTAACTCGGGGTCTCTCCAGAGCCCTACCATGCCATAATCAGATGGGCCTCGGTAACAGCTGCTACACCGGGAACGATGGCGAGCTCATCTCATCATTAAGCGAGCCGGGCTACTCGGCTGTCTTTATCATCTACTGCGGTACTCATCGTGGAACTGGATGGTCAGAGCCGCGAGGAAGCCCGGGATCTCCTTCTTCTCCTTGACCCAGAAGTCGATCTGCTCTTTGATCTCCCTCGCAAAATCCCCATCCGCACCACCGCTGATCTTCATGGTCCCATTTTCACCGTCAAAGATGATATAATGCTCGTCCTCGTCATCTTCTGCCTCGCCGCCCCTGCCGTAGAACATGCTCGACACTTTTGCTTTCCCGTTTGGCATGAAGGTGATCTTCCACCCCAGCACCGAAGCAACCACATCGCGAAACTCGGCTGCTTTATCCGTCCAGATCTCCCTTTGCCGCCGCATTCGCTTCTCCTTGTCCGCCACGACCGTCTCCATATCCTGGAGCTCGAGTTTCAACGCGTCCAGTGTACTAACAGGCACGACCTTGACACCCTGTAGATTCTCGCCACGTAGTTGACCCAATAGATCGCGATTCTCCTCTTTCAGGGTCCGGAGGGTGGCCATCTTGATCGCTTCCGCATTCGCTGTTGGATTGTCGCGGAGCTCCAATACTCGAGTTTTGGCGCTCTCCCTCAGCGACTTGAGTTGGGTTTTAGCCGCCTGCAACTCCGTGGCCAGCATCTTCGACTGTTGCGCCGTCTTCTGTAGTGCCATTTGCAAATTCTTGTTCTTCCGAAGAAGTGGTCCAAGCTGAGCCGAGTTGTCTGCATCGGGCTCCTGTGATTCGGCTCGCCTCTTGGTGCCATGAGGCTCGCTAGTGGCTGCAGCTGCCGACTCTAAGCTCGATAGCTCGGCATGTATAGAAGCCACCTCGGTCTTGTACTGGTCAACCAACGCCTTCAGCTGCTTGATCTGCTCAGCCCGTTGCGTGTCAAAACTAGGATTCTCCATCGTCTCTTCGCTGTCAAAAGAGCTTAGTTGCGCTCGGAGATATTCAGTCTCCTTGACCGCCAAGTTTTTCTGTCGCTCGAGTCGCTTGTACGCTTTGTTGTCATTGGTCTCGGGTGCTGAAGCGACTGTGGCTTTTGCCTTGTCCAGCTCTTCTTGTAGCGACTTTCGCTCTGCATCGAGTGATTTGAGCATCTCGTCCTTTTCGGAGCTTTCGGCCTCGATGCCGCCAATGCGTCCGGCTAAAGACTCGGCCTCGATGCGGGCTTCGACAAGTGCTTTGACGACAGCTTCAGGGGAAGCGAATTCTGGCTCTTGTCCATCGCGCTCTAGCAGACTTGTCCACTGGCGCTTTTCGTCCAGGAGTATCTCTTTCTGTATCTGCGCCTCACCGAGTTGTCGCTCCACATCTTTCAAGACCTGCAGCTCGGTTTCCAGTCCACGTTTCTGCTCTTCCACAACCTGTACGCTTCGATGAGCGTCTCGTAGCTTGCGTAACTCCGCAGTCTGTTCGCGGTTCGCAGTCTCCAGATTCCGGATATGCGCGACTTGTTCTGTCAGTTGGGTTTGTAGGACACTGAGCGCGTCGCTGTCGCCCGCATGTGTTTTGAGCTCCAGGACCTGTGCTTCGAGGGATTCGACATCTGCATCTCGTTGAAGTAACCGGCTCTGAGCACTGTCCCATTCCTTGAGTTGCTGTTCCAGATCTTGTCGTAATTTGTCAACTGTTTCCTGCAGAGCAACACGTTTGGCTTCCACATCGTTCAGCTGATGCTTGTAGTGTCTTTCTGAGTCTGACAGTCGTGCCTGCGCATCCTCTGCATCTTCTTTCGAGGATGCGCTCTGATCTTGAAGGTCTCGTAACCGGCGTTCGAGGGCTGCTTTTTCGTTGATGCTCTGGTCCTGCAGATCACGCATCTCTTTTTGTAGACTCTCATAGCGCTGCGTCGCTTTTTGGGCAGCGCTTTCGGAAGCCTGGTATTTCTTGAAGTCGGTGTCAGCTTTGGCCTGTAGATCGCGCATCTCCTTATCATGCTGCAGCGCGACCATATTACGCTCTTGCTGCAGGTTCTTGAGCTCATAATCAAGTGAGTTCACCTTCGCGCGCAAGTTCTCGTCGGTACCATGGTCGAGTTTGCTGAACGATGGCTTCCTAAGCATTGTTCGTTTCGCTGGGTGTGCATTCTCAGGCTCGCCACCGATAAAGTCGTATGAAGGTTGCGATGCGGCGATTCTGCTCACATTGGGAGGCTGCGATGGAACAGGCAGACTCGATTGCGATGTTCGGAGAGGAGTACGATTCGATAGCGACGTTCTCATCGAGGACAGTCGCTGTCGCTTCGCTGTGGATCCTGGAGGGGAGCTCATCGTCGCTGATGTCGCGTGCGACGCGCAAGCTACTTGCACAGAGGATCTAGCGCATTGGGAGGATGGAGGAGGATGCCTTTGTTTACTCCGTAGCGGCAAAATTTCGGCACAGAGAGTCGCTTCTCGACTAAAGCGGCTAATCGCCTGTTCTAAAAGGCAATTGCAGCTTTCAGCGGTGCGAAATGTAATGCAAACGAATCTCGAAACAAAAGTCCAACTATATCAGTCACTGTCTTGAACCTCGAACTAAGTGACAACCACAGCCCAGCTGACATCCTCCTGTTTGCTATTTGCCCACATGTTACCTTGTGAAATGTTCATCAAAAAATTTTCGACAATCTGCCAGCAGTACGTCCGGGCACTCCAGCGCGGCGAAGTGTCCACCATGGTCAGACTCATTGTAGAAGACGAGATTCCCGCTCCTCTCCACGCCTCTCTTGGTACCCGGTCTTGAGTCATATTTAAAACTCGTGTAGCCCATGGGGCACTTGATGCGGTTCTCCTCCTTGAGCACAAACTCCCCGAACCCGGCGTGCTTCACGTTCTCATAATACGGGAGCATAGCAGTCATCATACATCCGCTGAAGTGGTACAGACAGACCTGTGTCAATATTATCTGCTCCCACTTCTCATCCTGATTGTCAGGATTGGCAAGCTCGTTGAACTTCTCACCTACCCACATCATGATGCCGACAGGATGGTCGATGAAGCCCACACCAACGGTGTGCGGCCGTGACCGCATACAGACAGCATAGCCCAGATGATCGTCGAGCCAGTCATCACACCGGTCGTTCACCATTTTCTCTCGCTCGGTCAGATCTGAGTCCTTGAGGTCTTCAGGTAACGGCGTTGGGCAAAAGTTGAGGTGCACTGCTTCGCATGCAGGGTACTTCGCACCCAATTCGCGTGCAATGAACATTCCCCAATCACCTGCTTGAGCTACATACGCACTGTAGCCAAGCGACAACATCAGCTTGTGGTAGAGGCGCGCAGTGTCTTGAAGTGTCCATCCCTTTCTGTGCGGCGGCGATGACCACATAAAACCTGGTATATTGGGAACTACGACATGGAAGGAGGGCATGTCGGAGCTAGGAGGATTGGCGAAGCAGTCGACGACACGATCGAACTCAGCAAACGAACCAGGCCAGCCATGGATGAGTATCAGAGGGATGCCGTCGGGACTTGGTGAGGGAGTATGCGTGAAATGAATGTCGACACTGGTGTTCTCGTCTGGAATGCTCGCAATGTAATGATTGTGCCGATTGAGATGATCCTGAGCGGCCGGCCAGTCGAAATCAAGGTACTTGTTATACAGACGATGTGTCCAATCCATTGACGGGCCTGCTTGGTTAGTCCAGGTTAAAGCAGGCGGGGCCTTGCCTACCATAATCTTCACCCGCCTCTGGAACGATCGGATTCTTTGGTAACCTAGTATCCCGAAGTTTGCGCTTCATGCGCTCGACCTCCTCGAGAGGAACATCGATCTTGAATGGTCTGATGTCAACGCTCATGGTGAAATTATGTTCTCGCTGACTGACTGCACACACAGACCGATGCGCAATGCCACAAGACCGACCCCAGCGTTCGATGCAGCATATCTTGACCGAGGACTGGACTGACTCCGCAACGACTTCCGAGCGGGGAAGGCGCCAGACAGAGAGATCCGGATCTGACTTCCTATTGCTGAACGACTTCCGAAAGTCTACGACTACATAGAGTGCTCATCGTCCCTGCAAGTCTGCTTGCAGCTAACCGCGACACCGACAAGCGACATCAGCTGTCGGAAGAGGCACTTCGTCCTAACGAAGCAGGGTTCAAAGATGCGGCCCCGATAAGTACATCTAAGCTTCAGTTCAGGTCTTCGCCGGCCTAGACTAAGCCGTGCCGAGCCCCGCGTTTTGAAGTTCCAACTCTCCTCCTCATTCTGAGCGGTGTCTCGTCTACTTCAAGGACGGTGACCATGGCTGCAAGACCCACACAAAACGAGCCGAGTATCACACCCAACGACAAAGCTAGCGGACGGTCGATGTGCATTCTATACGGCTGGACTCATGTTCGTCCGCAGCACTGATAGGTGGACGGCGCCGTCAACCACAATCACCATCAACGGTACAGGCGAAGGCTATCGCTCGATTCGCCTCAACTTCGAACGCCGCCACTGAACCAGATAGCCATAACCACCCGCATGAAATTAGTCAGATACTATCTGATGAAGGCAATGGCTGACTACAACACGACGAAGACAGACGAGGTGGGACGGATCTTCAACGTTTGGTCACGACTTGGGACGTAAAGCGGTCGCTCAAGCAATCGGCAAATGTTGCCACTGGCCTATATGCTCTAATACTTGTCGAGGGCCTCTCGAGGCACATGCACAAAGACATTCCTCGTCCATCCATCCGAGCTTGTCACGACCTGTCTCTCCAGCTTATATTTCCCAATCCGTGGCAGTATTACGGCCCACACAATCCAATATACGCCACCCGCTGCAAGGATGCCGATTCCAACCAAGCAGTGCAGGTAGTACGGCAGGTCGTTGTACACCGAGTTGCCGTCGGAAGGAGGGATGAACGGAGCAATGATAAGGTAGATGTTGCTCAGCAGAAAGAAAATCGCTACTGGGAGCGAGGCCCTGAACGGTGGATTCCAGCCATACTGCTCACGGTGGAAGTACAGCCAAATGAGACCCGCTGCCACAAAGGCATTGACGACACTCAGAGGGTAGCTGATGACGTTGAGAATGAAGTTGTACGCATCGCCCGGTGGTGGTGCAAGCATGATGATCATGCTGACGAGCCAGTGCTCAAATAGACCAGCGAGAGGCGCGCCAAATGGTTTGTTGCTGGCCCAGAATCTAGAAAACGGCAGAATACCTTCACGTCCCAGCTCCTGGACAAGGCGACCTTGCGAGAAGATCACGCTGAGAACGTTGCCGAAGGCTGACAATGCCACGAAGACACTTAGGGCACGTTCGGCCGACTCACCCATGACGTTCCGGAAGAAGGACGCCGCTAGAATGCGTCCGGATGACAGGATCTCCTCGCGTGGTACAGCACTGAAATAAGCGACGTTTGCAAGCAGGTACAAGACCGCGACAAGCGCCAGCGCCAGCGGCGCCGCGACCTTGAGTGTTCGAACCGGATTCTTGGTTTCGGAGAGCGCATAGTTGGCGTTGGAGTAGCCGATATAACTCCAGATGACGTTATACAGCGCGGTCACCACACCATACGCGGAGCCAGTGGTACCAGAAAACGCATTCGTGAAGTTGTCGGGCTTCGGATCGCTCTTGACATGGCCACCCAGAGCGACGAAACCGCCGATGATGATGATCAGCAGAATCGCCAACTTGACGAAGCCGAGCAGATTCTGCAGGCGAAGACCCCATTTCAGAGCCAGACCATGGATGAGGAAGGCTGCGGTGATGCAAGCAATGCCTACACCGCGTTGGTTCCAGCGCGTGACTTCGACTTGGGCAGCATGGAGGATGTATTCGCCAAAGACAACGGAGTTGCTACCGGCCCATCCAAGAAGAATGACGTATCCAGTATAGAAACCGGTGGCCAGGAAACGGGGCCGCTTGTACACGAACTCGAGGTAATTCTTCTCGCCTCCATTTCGTGGGATGCCGGTGCCAAACTCCCTGGCTATGGTCAGCACACGTTGCTCAGCAGGCTCTTTCTGGGAGGAGGGAACTCACATATACACCAGCAATCCAGCGGCAGCAATGATCGTACCAGCCACCCACATGAAGAGCGACAGGCCAACCGACCCCGACAGCGCGAAGATCGCGGATGGGGTGGCGAAAATACCCGTCCCGATCATTCTGTTCAGGATCAGGAAGACCGCAGAGGTGAGGCCGATGGTCTTGCGCTCCTCGCTCGTCTCATAGACGTCGCCCGCCTCATCGATGATGACCGAATCGCGCCTCGCGCCATGCGTTCCAAAAGCATGGCTGCTAGTATGCTGTTTGTGCTCAGCCGAGCTGCGAGACTCCAACTCCGACATGCTCAATGCTATTGTGCTGCTGCTACCTTCTCAGCAAACTCAGGTTACCTTCTCCAAGATCGATCTATATACGATCAGCAAGGCGGGACCGGCCACAGGCAAAAACGCCATATGACAACTACATCGCGAGTGTGAACCAGCTTTTCGGCCGCCCTTGAGTTGCTTCGCGTGTGGGCTCCACGCAGCCTGGTTGACGAGTGGTCGGCGATGGCGACATAGGAAACCATATGGTAAAAATTTCGGCCTTGGCGCTCGGATGGGCCCGCTTTGAGCCGGATAGGAGGCGATGAGTACTCAAGGGCCTGGGATTGCACCATCGCCAGTGTCGTATCGAGGAGGTAATTATTGGCGCATCGTTATCGTTGTGTTGCTTTGACGGCGTGCGCGTGAACGGTCGAGATCTAGCGGTGGCTATTAAGGGTCGAGTTGAGTGATGATGGCAGAAATGCGCGCCTCAACAGAAAGATTCGCGGAACAGGGGTGCAGCAAGATTACCAAGGGTCGCAGGCTGCTGCTACTCGGTGTTGTGTGGTATGATTCAGGTTCCTGAATGCTCAAATTCAGGCCTGATGCGACCTGGAGGCTCGTGAGCAGCAAGGTAAGCCGCCTGAATCCGTGATGTTGCGAATGTGCCTTCCTCTACCGAGAGAATAGACCCAACCTGCCCTTGCGACGGATCAGCGCGGCGGGCACAGAACCGTTGCGAGCCACGGGCCACGCTGCCGCTGCTATGACGTCCAGGCAGTCCCTCCCTCCACCAGGAAGGTGCTGAGCATAGAGACGCGCCCATCTGCTTGGGCACGAAGCACGCAATACGGTAGGACTTGCTGATGTGTGAAGCCATTGGGAGCTTCACTCATGCGCAGCTCTGCCACCGGCGGCTAATCAACATCCATCGCCCGGAACGAGGGGGAGAAGAGCGCGTTGCTTACACAGTAGAGTGGCTGGCTCCACCAACTCAAGGGTTTGCCTGAAATGTGGGACCCACTCAGCCGGTGAGGAATCAGGCAAATTTCCTTGGCGCGGCCGAGCATTCGGTTCGATGGCGTGCACCGTGCGAGCACAGCCTGAACGAAGCGCATTCGGATGCGGGTGAGGAGACTGTTCGATATCAGTTTCTCTGGGCGCTGTTGTTGGTCACATGAGAGGCACGTTGCTCGCCAGATGTACGTGGTCTACGATAACTAGTTATGTCGTTGGTCTTGCGTCACATTGTGATTGCAATAGGTCCATTCCCTGAGCCATCATCGGCATCGCCGTGGTGACACATAATATGATATGAGACACGGGACACGTGGTATGCTCGCTACCATCATATTTGTGCTACACTTGCTGTGACCAAGCTCATATCGTCACACAATGTATTCTCGACACAATCGTTTGCGCTTCAGCTCAGAAGACAGAACCGCGTCCTACAATCATTTGCCTCGCACCGAATACACACCGGTCAAGCCAGTCTGGGTGTCGACCTATCATACCGGTTTCGATCGAGCTTGTTGACATGGCTGGGATGACTTCGAGGCAGCAGTCGTCCGGTAGGGTGTCGAAGGTCACTTTCGCTGCAGTCCATGCAGCCGATGCCGAAGCCATTGTGAGGCGAGGAGGGGCAGTGACTATCGGAGTGAAGGACGACTGAAGGCTTCAAAGGGGGGGGGGTAAGGTTGCAAGGAGGATGGAGTCAGAGATCAAACAGAAGTGGTGGCCAGGTGGACGGTGAAAGAGACAAGACTGATAAGTGAACAGAGGCTGAACTTAGGACATACAGGGCAGGCACGCGTGTCGCGCCCCCGTATACCCGCCGAATCTGCTTGCTTTGCCATTGTCGCATAAGGACACTGTTGCGTGTCGGTCTTGAAGAAAGTTGGTTCCGCTTACCTACTGATGCGGATGCGGTGTGAGCCACCAGCTTCCAGTACTTCCTGCTGTCTGCGATTCCCGAAGGCTTTCGCGCCTTTCGCACCTTTCTTACGCCCTCCTCTTCACCTCTGCTTCATGCCTTCATGCCTTTTCCAGCTTGCTGACACCCCAATCACCCAGCTCTAGAACGACGCCGGCCGCTCTGTCCTTCCGCCTCTTGACTTTGACATCTACGTTCCTCTGCTGGTGAAACCAGCCTTGGCATACATCCCACTGCTTCAGTTCTCCTCGTTCGCTCAATCCCACGCCCTCGAACGCGAAATCTCTCAGGATGGTTGGCAAAAGCTTGTACATCTCGACATTCGTGATGTGCTTGCCAATACAGATCCTAGGCCCATAACCAAACTGCAGGATGTGCCTTTCCATGTAGCCGGCGTGTTTCTCGCCATCCCTGATCCATCGCTCGGGATTGAATTCTTCTGCATCCTCGCCAAATACGCCTTTGTCGAAATGCACCGCGCATTGATTCATGATGACACCGTGCCCACCAGGGAAATACCTGCCGCAGATAGTTGCACCGCCTGGCGGGACGATGCGCGGTAGGCCGGTGCCGAGAGAAGGATGGACGCGCATGGCTTCGCGAACAACAGCGTGCAGATACGGGAGTTTGATGCAATCTTGGAAGCGGAGCGGGTAGCTGAGAGCGCCGGTATCAAAAGCACCATCAATCTCGTCGCGAAGCTTTTTCAGAACGGCAGGGTAGCGATGGAGGTGGTAGAAGATAGAAGTAAGGGCTATAGCGGTGGTGTCACTGCCAGCCCAAATCATAGTCCAGATCTCAGCGGCGACGTCCTTGATGGTCCAGTGAACCTTGGGGTCCGGGTCATCATTGACGAGGCCAATGAGTTTGGAGAGCATGTCGTGACGGGTCTTGTGATTGCCAGACCTCATGTCGTCGAGCCGCTGCTGAACGGCGATCTTGGCCTGCTTAATGACATCGAAAAAGCCAACAGCACCAGCGCGGGTGGAGGGAAAGATCATCTCGGACATAAAGTAGAGGGTCTGGAACCCCCAGGGAACGTAGCTTACCGAGCTAGCAGCACCTGGCATAACATCCATGAGATGACACCAATTGTTGTAGTCGATGTCGTCTCGCATGAAGCCGAACCCACCCGACCTGCCATAGAAAATCTCGCCGATAACATCGAATGTGTATTTGCGAAGCCAGACAGCCATATCAAAAGACTCGTGTGTGGTGGCGAAGGATTCCATTTTGTGATAGAAGATGGAGATGAGTCGATCGACACATGGCTCAAATTCGAGGATAGAGGCTTGCGTATAGAGCGGTGCAACGATCCGTCGTCGGAGTGTGTGGCGACGCTCGTCTGCTTCTTCAAAATTGCCGCGACGTGGCGATATTTTGGGGTTGAAGCCCTCGTAAAAGGCCGACTTGATGAAGACATTCTTTGGGCCGTACTAGATCTGTCAGTGGTACATTTGGACCATGGTTGTTGACGTACGATAGTCTCTATTGCGGCCGGATCCATGATCTGGACCTGATCGGGCGAGACACGGACGAATGGCCCATATTTCTTGTGTATGGGCAGTTGATGATCCTGCCCCCGCGCATATCGTACTGCGCGCCAATACCTAGAAGACGTGAGAAACGCGATCAATGAGGGTCCATGAAAGGCATCGCGCACCACAGAGGTGTGATAGAGGCCCAGAACGGGCCTGGAAAATCCTTGTACGGATGGAAGTAGCGATTGTAAATGGCACATCCCAGACAGTAGAGTACGAAGGCTGGAAAGAGTACTTCGATGCCTAGGACCAAGTTTGAGCTGCTGAATACCGGAGACAGTAGCATGGTGTCGCGACCGGTACGGGGTCAAACGCTGGGAACGAAGAAGAGAAAGAAAGATCGGTGGAGATGCCAACAGCTACATCCTTGTCCATGTTCTCGGCTCCAGGACGAGCGACGAACGTGCCCCTCGCGAGTTGATAGCAAGCGAGCGGCAAATTCATGAGTTTCGGACAATAGCTGCATGGTAAATCTTGGGTCTCATTCGGCAAATCGGACTGGGTGGGCATGGTTCCTGCACGAGACCGGGGTCCTGCATACGTGGCAGATGCACCGCCGTACGTTGCGCTATAGCTTGCGGTAGACCGTGCATAAAGCTCGCGCCGGCGGCGGGGAGGTTATCTAGGGGTTTTGAGCTTCTGATATCGGATTGCATTTCTGCTCATGCAAGGATCGCAGCGACAGATTGTGATCCCTGATGTGCGGGTGTCGCGAGCACTGTCGGCATATTTGTGGCGCCGTATGGCACGGAGCGCTGACGCATGGTGTTTGGATTGTTGTCTATCGAAGCTTGTGACATTGATGGTATTCTCGTACCGATCTTTTTGGTGTTACACGAGACAGTTGTGCCTGACAGCTCCAGCAGGTCGCCAAGGTTAACTTGAAGGGAAGCTGCGAGCAAGCCGGAGCTCGGGGCTTGAAATAATGCCCCTCGTTCCAAAGCGGTTAGTGACCTGCCCAAAATGCGGCTCTCGTTGCTTTCGTCAGGTCATTCTAGTCGTGGCTCGAAATCTGCAACTGTCAGTGACAGCTTGACAGGTGCGATTCCTCCCGACTGCAGTACGCTAAAATAGGTAAGTTGATATTTCAAGGACGCCACAGCGAGGGTCGTTGAAGCCAACAGCATCTCATGGACGTCGCGCCGTATACCGGCGCCGGCGCAGGAGCTGCTCTTTCAGACTCCTTCACGCCATCGAATCGACCAGTTGCCTTTCGCATACGATGGTTCAACAACGGCGCCACGCATTAGTGCCTCACACTTCCGTCTCTGCACCTCACTGGAGAGACCATCATCTTGCTTCTTCTTCCCCTTCTTTGTTGCACTTGCCGTGGCTGGTCGATCATCCAAAACACCAAACACCACGCATCTTCTCGCCGCACGCCTGACCTGCTCTCGCTCCTCCGCTCTCTTCTTCCCATCAAGCCTCTTCTCCGCATCCTCTGCTGTCTCCTCAATCTTCTCGGCCTTTCCTCGCTCGCCGCCAACACTGAAGTTGACCTCTGACTCTGTCTGCGGTGGTCGTACCTTCGGACCCGACTTCTCCTTCAGTAAAGCACCTCCGTCTTCTTCCTCGTCCTCACTGGATTCCTGCTCAGTTGTACTCTCCATATCAACACTCCTCCACTCTCCCTTCCCGCCAAGCACTCTACTCTTCCTGTTCTTCCTCCTTCCATATACCTTCTCGGGGTCGAAACGACTTCCAAAGACAATCTCCTCAATTTCATCCATCGTGATAATAAGACGGTGATCACCCTTGACCACCCTACTCTGGGCGCCGGTTTGCTCGATCCCAGAATCTTGCTCTGCGTTGAGCAGTGAGACGATGGTGCCTTCGATCTTCCTGTCTGACGGTCCTGGCTTGCGATGTCGACATCGATCAGAGCAGTACTTGACCGGGTTAGTGGCGACCTTCGTTGACTTGCGGGAACCTATCCGCGGTCAGGAAAGAGTCCTAGAAATCAAAGACTATGCGCTGAACCGTACTCATGACCCTGCCACACGTATGGCAATAAGGTACATCCTCCCCTGCCGTGAGGTAGAGCGGCGGTGGAACTGCCGCCTGTTTGGACGGACGGGACCATGAGTCCATCCAGCTCATTTTGCTTGGCCCGGTGGCAACAGTGCGACGTTTGATAGATGCAAGTAGATGTCGTGCTACGGTGAAACGAGCAGAGTCTACTAAGCGGGGGCTGACGATCATCTGGGACTGACAAGGTAGGCGGACGGAGAATCAAACGAGTCAAGATCGGAGAGAAGCCTTCTGGCCAATAGCTGACGTCATGTACTATCAGCACGTCTCGTGTTACTCGTACAGCAGGAGCGGTCCGAACCACTGCAGTCTACAAGGCAGCCACCAACCATACGACTACCGTCTCTTTGGCTGCTCAGACAGCATAGTCACACCCTCGTTCCCACTGCCGATCTCCCCTGCGACAGTGTCTCTTGCGGCCATGTAACCTACGGCAACACTTTCCGATCCTTCCTCCCGCGCACCCCAAACCTTCCATTTGGCAAACTCGGCCTTCCTTTTCTCATTGAGGATCTCTCCTTGCGGAAGTCCTCCCACTGGTCCCCGTCTGGCAATCTCCACCGGATTGTACCCGACCACTCGATCCTCATCCCCAACAGACCACCTATTCCAGACGCCAAGTAGGGTCGCCAGCAGCGGCACGACAAGCACCAGCAACACCTTAGGTTGATACACATACAGATCTTCCTCTGTGGTTCTCGTCACCGTCAAGTCGCTGGCGTTCGCCTGCTTCGCATACGCCGACAGTGTCGCCCGGTCAAAGTTTCTCTCTATTTGCCTCGCCACCTGCTCTCCTCCATTGTTCGCATCGGTGCCCAATAGCTCATAGCCTATCGGATTTCGGTACAACGTGTTGTCTCCCGTTCCCACTGCGCCTCCCGTGAAGCTGTAGGGACTGTTCTCCGATCCGGACTCGGTGTATATGCGATTCATTTGATAGAAGCTTGCTTCGCCTTCCCGTACCGACCAGTCGGCGGCCACGAACGAATCACGGTCTAATGTCGGTGGATTCGTCCCGTTTTGTGTGATTGTGACATTGCCGAACGTCAGCAGACACTCGACAGCATGGATATCGTGGGCGGAATTTCGAGTTACGTCGGTGCCGCTGACCCAGACGCCGAAGAGGCTGCACCAAACGCCAGGTGCACACGCGCCGGTCGATAGGCAGTCCGGATGGTAGTAAGAGCTGAAGTTGGCATAGGTATTCGGGCTGGATGTCCAGAGTGTCACACACAGATCTGGCATAGCCGTGCTGCAGAAAGGATAGCTTTCGGACCCGGACAAGCCAGAGATTAACCCTATACCGTCAGGATTTGCCCTCGTTGTCGATCTGCACTCGGCTTTGATGGCAGTCGTCAGAGAGGTCAAGTGGCAATTGTCGTCGCCGCAGACATCCAGGATCGAAGCTGTCAAATTGGCCATTTCTGCAACGCCGGCGATCAAGGTAGGATTGTCTCGGGCCTGTCCACCGCGGTATGCGCTGTTTCCCACGTCAAGACGATTCGAGACCATAGGTACGGTTGCCGGTTGCTGCTCTGTGGTAGTTGCAACCTGTCTGGGTTGAGAGATGCCGCTCAGTAGAACAGGGTTAACGGCGGCGACACCAAAAAGGACAACGCCGCCGAACTTGAGGAGCCAGCTAGAACCCTTGAACGGGTAGACGAGCAGACGCTCGAAGGGGCTGACGCTCCATTGGGCCAGACGGTGCGACTCTTCAACGGTGAGCGCATTCTTTCCCGGGCTGGTTGCCGACAGCCTCAGCCAGAGCGACTGCTCGGCACAACGCGTGATCAAGGCGCTGGTGGCACCGAGGAGTGCTGTGGATAGAAGGCCGACGGCAACAGAGGGCTGGATCGTGCCAGAGTTTGGGTGGATGAGAGAATCAAGTCGATACGTCTTCGGCGTGACAAAGAGGAGAACCAAGAGCAGGTAGCAGACGATTGACAGGGCCAGCAGAGCTAGATTGAAAGTCGCGCTGACCCATTTGCCTCTGATGTCCAGCATGATTGCTCGTTGTTCGTTGCTCTTGAGCTCAAGTACAGATGAATGGCGAGGTGGTTTGAGAGATCGTTACGACACATGGTGGGAGATCTTCCTGCGGCTCCTTCGCAGAAGGGCTTCCTTGGACCAGACCCGACGAACACGAATGCCATTTCCCTTTTTCCCAGCACCACTTTTGGGAACACTCGCCTGCGAGCGCCGAACACGTTCCAGATCCGAGTCTTTGACAGCACCGGAGAAGGCTTGGCGCGCACCGTCTGTTCGTTAGCTTGCCTAAGTTCGTATAACGGGCCAATAGGGGGTCTTTGTTTGCCCCGTTAAGTATTGACCGGTTTGCGCGTGTGGCCCACGTCCTGAGCCTGACGGTAAAGCCACAAAATTGCAGCCGCGGTATGTACCCAGTGGGGGTGGTGGGGGCGGTGGTCGAGCCTACAGGGCAGTAGGATGTTGCGCCGACGATGCGACGGGCCAGGCAAACATATTGACTTTGGTATGTACAGTTTTTAAAAGGCCTGGTGATATACATACATATGTATGTATCACAACACGCCCGCCCACGCTTTATCGTTGTGCGAGGCAGTCATGTAGAATAATACCCCAGCGTCCCGGCCTGGAACACCCCATGAAATCGAGCAAACCAGCGGAACTCGTCTTCGAGTTTCTGTATGAATTTGGAGTTGTCGGAGCTCTTCCACCCCAGATGCCGCCGGGGAGATAGGCGAGAGGGGCTCTACGGGGAATCTGGGTGACGCTAAACTTCTGGCTCGGCGGCAGTGCTAAGAAAGAGCGGACCAACGGCCAGGACAGTCTTTCGTCTGACTTTGGGCATTGCAGCAAGGTCTTTCATCGCAAATGAGTTATAACGATCCGGGCGACAGCACGTATAAAGGAATGCAGAGAGAGCCCTGGCGAGTACTGCATATCATAAAGTACATGGGGCCGCAATCAGGAGACGGGGTTCTATCGCTGGTTGATTGCCAACAAAGAACGACTGCGCTCGATACAATCCCAGCATCCTCGCGGCTTTGCCAGCGAGATGAGATGCGTACCCCGTGGTCCGAGCATATCCGAGGCTGGTAAGCAGGGCTGCTCTCTGATCAGCGTTTGGACGCGGCATCAGCAGGCTGGTGTCTAGATAACCTGAGCACCTAAAACTGCTCGTTCCCCAAATCGCACACAACAAAATGCTGCTCGTAGACCCCACCTGCGATGAGCTTCTTGCGTTTCGGGTCGACTGCTGCCCCGGTCAAGCCAGAGATCTGAGAGCCATCGTCCCAGAACAGCACTTCCGGCTCGTATTCTTTGCTCTTGACGAGGCGGAGCACGGCAGCGGAGGCAGTGACCGAGGAGTTGAGAACGTTCTCTCCGCTGAGCTTGTGAATCAGGTGCCCGATATGCGGGAAGACTGCGATGGGCATCGGTCAGCACATCAAGTAGCCGCGAATGGATTGACAAGAATTGCAATGGTTCCGGACTCACCACAAACAGCAATGTCGCCGGTTCCGGGGATGAAAGACAGGTTGTCTGCAGCAGCACCCAATTTCTGCACACCAGTGTCAGCAATCTCTGCTTTGAGACGTCCACACCGAATCAGACATACCACCTTCTTCCTCACTGTCAACAGTTTGCTGGAGGAGTCTATGTCGTAGATTGTAGTACTCCCGTCGATAACGTCATTGACCATCAGAGTCTTTCCATCATCTGCCAACAAGATACCGTTGGCGTGTGGGTGGTGACCATTCGGCGATACCTCCTTGCACTGGATTTTGGCGTCTGAAGCATCACAATAGACAATGCCGGTCTCCCAACGAAATGGGCCAAGAAGGTCCTCGAGCTTGCGAGGGATGCCGAACAGGAAGCCGGGATAGAAGTAGTGGTCGTTCGAGATGTAGAATGAACTTGCGCCGTTAGCTGCGGGTGGAGCCGGTGCCAGGATAGTCATACTTTGGAGTGTCAGCCATCACAGCATTTGGTGTCTTGATTAGCGAGTGTGAAAACTCGCGCTCGAAGGTTAGGGTGTGTGTGCCGAGGACGTGGGCAAACCGGAGGATGGACTCGCCTTTGCGATCGTGGTTGACGGCGAAGATGTAAACCTACAGACAGAGTCGTAAGCAACAGGCCGGGCGAAAGTGCTGAGGTCAGGCCCATACAGTGGATGAATCGGCGCCCTGCTTGACATCTAGGCCATGCAAGACCAGATCTCCTTCCCAACCGACGATGCGAAGGCGCGTGACGCTATTACCCTGAGTCCTTTTAGCATGACGCTTGATAGGCAACTTCCGAAAGTACGTGCCTCGATATCGTATTTCAGGAAGTATTCTCGGTACGTCTCGGCGCTGGTCTTATCAAGTCGATTCAAGGGCGGGAAGAAATGATTCCTTGTCTCCGGGAAACCACAAGCTATGATGAGTAGTCAATATATAGCACTGTAATGCACAGGCTCTCAGATTTGTACCCAGAAAAGCTGTCCCAGACTCATGGTGGATGCGTACATCCTCGCATGCCTTGCCTTCTGTCAAAAAGGTCAGGATACACATTCGGAGAGTTGTATCCGTGCCAGCACTGACCGGGGAAACTCTTGCAGCCGGCGTTATTCTTGGCTCCGTGGCCCACATGAGCGAAACCAGGGTTGACAACGGGAACCCTTCCGGCGTACTGATTGAGCAGGGGGAAGAAGTTGTTATATAACATAGGCAACAATGTGGCCAGTAGCAAAGGCCATACCATCAGGAACCTGGATGAGTCGGCCATGGCTGTCTGTAGTAAACTTAAGATGTGGTCGTTATGATGGGTACGGATCTGGAAGCAACAGGGTGAGGTTGAAAGAAACTCTTGAACTTCAGCAGAACGACAGCCTCGGTAGGCTGTTGCGGAGAAGCGCGGGGAGTTGCGAGCTCGTAACGCTGGGAGAGTCGCGGGGTGAAAGTATCACACTGGGTTGTAGTGGGGCTAAAGGAATAGTAAGCTGGCATCAGAGAGCACCTAACTCTCACATGCGGAGCCATAGCTAGCCATCAAAGAGACAGCTGTTGTTCAATGAATGTAAGGTGTATGCCAGGACAGATCATGACTCCGATGGACGGCTTGCTGAATCTTGCCATCGCCCAGCGGCCGCTCAACAAGAGAGCATTGATGCAAGGCAGAAAATGAGAAACGCCAATCTGCCTCCGGTCCCTTGCATGATGGACGCGGTATAGATTTGGGATGGAAGCGAAGATGCATGTGAAGACGAGTGAGCACGAGGTCTCCGGGTGGGAAGAATTATTGGCCGATGTTCCTGGACTCGTAGTCTCTTCCAGGCTTCGAACTTCGACGCACTCTTTACCTGCTCGTGCGCCGACATCACCACTAGACCGCGCAAAGAATGTCTGGCTCTTCGACCGTATCGGTCCTCTTCGTATGCTTAGGTAACATCTGCCGGAGTCCCATGGCTGAAGGAGTCTTTCGTTCTCTTGCTGGCTCCAACGACCGCATCGGAATTATTGATAGTGCTGGCACCGGTGCCTACCATACTCTTGAACCTCCCGACCCACGCACGATGGCTACGCTGCTCAAGAAGGGGATCAAGGATTATGACCATGGTGCGCGGCAAGTCGAGGAAGAAGACTTCGACGAGTTTGACTACATCTTCGCAATGGACAGGTCCAATTTACGAGATCTGGAGCGCATGAAGCGAAAAGCCGAGAGAAATGGGAACGTTAAGGCACAAGTCATGCTCTTTGGCAAATTCAGCGGTAGGAGCAAGGACGAGGAAGTGCAAGATCCCTACTACGGCCGCGACAACGGCTTCGATACTGTCTACGAGCAGGTCAATCGCTTTGCGACCAACTTTCTCAACGAGGTCGTGGAAAAGCGGGAGAAGCAGTAGGCCTGGTTAAGCCCATAACGGCATCTTAACCGGCCACCCATGACAGGATGCCACGGATCCCCTTCAAGGAGGTTTCTCGCTTTAGCTATCCCCCAAGTCCTCATTCTGGCATGCGAGAGAATCTGCCTGTGCCCGAGAAGGCCAAACAATCGAGTAGAGCGGGCGACTTGAACCAGTGCCATGGCAGTGTCGAGTCCTGGTCATTGTCGTTGCGCAGCTCGCAGCACCAGCGCGAAGCTACCCAGATCATTAGAGGAAATGGGCGCAGGCAAACATGAGTAGCAGCCACCCAGATACTCGGGGGAATTAGCCATTTCCAGATGGCTGCTCCCAGGCTCGTTCTATAAGCGGCGCGGGACACGAATGTTTACGCCAAGTGCGGATGACTTCATGGTGTTTTTAGGCGGGACATGGTGGCAACGTGGCATCCGCCCGCTCTGAGCCGGCCCCCCGGAACTGGTCGCATGTCCATGTCATAATTCTGAGCTGCATAAACTACTCAGCCTCTTGCAAGAATACATGAGGCGAGGTATTCTAACTTGTCAGCAGTCGCTGTTTCGTGCGGACCGTGCCTTCTTGTCATCACAGTCTGCTTTTCCATCACCAGCACGTCGGGTCCCCTTACGCAGCTCGCTGTCGTTGGCCCGCCCACATTACAGCCAACCGAAATATAGCCCTGGGTTACAACATAGACACAATTCCACACTCTTTTCTGGAAGCGGCCTCATCTTCTGGTGTACGATCGCTGTCACTCTTGCTATCCCGCTCCACTTCTACTTCTCCGAGCCAGCATCGCCGCCCGCACCCACCCCAACCGTTGAACCCGAAGCGCCGACTTCGCGCCACGACTTGCTCTTCCTGAACATGCCCACCCCGCCCGGCCATCGCGGCAACCTGACTCCCGATCAAGAGACTAAACTACGCGAACTCTGGGTTCTGACACTCAAAACTTTTGGTGTTTCCAATCCCGCGAATACCAATGGCACATCAACACCAACCACCACCGAGGAGGCCGCAGCTGATCCAGCGGCCACAGAGAAGAAGAAAAAGTCTCGCATGTCGATATTCTCGTCCAGGAAACATGATGATTCTTCGTCCCCGAGCCACCCTCCCAAGCACCCTGACGACTCAGACGACAAGTACGGCCAGGTGAAAGAATACCAGAATATCCTCGCGACTCAATCCCCGGAATCTCTGCGCACTGCGTTCTGGAGCATGGTCAAGGCTGATCATCCCGATGCGCTACTATTGCGCTTTTTACGGGCGCGAAAATGGGATGTTCACAAGGCACTTGTCATGATGATCAGCACAATGTCATGGAGAGGCAACGAGATGCATGTTGATGATGACGTCGTCTATCAGGGAGAAGTGGGGGCCCTGAAAGACAGCAAGAGCACCGATGCAAATGTGAAGCGAGAAGGACAGGATTTCCTGGAACAGATGCGCCTCGGGAAGAGTTTCCTGCACGGAACTGACAAAGAAGGACGCCCGCTATGTTTCGTCCGCGCAAGATTGCACCATGGTGGCGATCAGAGTGAGCGGAGTATGGAGCGATATACGGTCTACGTTATTGAGACTGCACGGCTAGTGCTACGGGCGCCGGTGGAAACAGCTGTGAGTGCCTTTTACTGTGTCCTTGGATGGAAGCTAATAACATCAGACTATCCTTTTTGACATGACTGGTTTCACAATGGCGAACATGGACTACACTCCTGTCAAGTTCATGATCAAAATCTTTGAAGCCAACTATCCCGAATCTCTCGGCGCTGTACTTGTACATAAGGCGCCCTGGCTGTTCCAGGGTATCTGGAAGATCATCAAAGGTTGGCTTGACCCCGTGGTTGCGGCAAAAGTACACTTTACAAGCTCGGTGGAGGATCTAGAGCAATTTATCCCGAAATCACAGATCATCAAGGAACTTGGTGGCGACGAGAATTGGGAGTACGTGTTTGTTGAGCCAAAGGAGGGAGAGGACGACTTGCTCAAAGATGACGAGAAACTGAAGCAATTCCAAGACGAGCGGAAGGGCATGGTCGATGAATATGAGAGCAAAACCTTCGAGTGGATCAACACCGCCGACGCGAGCCACAAGCAGAGGAGAGACGAGCTCGCGACGAAGCTGAACGACAACTACTGGAAACTCGACCCATACATCCGCGCGCGGACACTTTACGATCGCGTGGGCATGATTGAGCCTGGGGGAAAGATCAACTTTTACCCTAATCACGAGAAGGCCAAGAAGGAGATAGAGGGAACGGCTGCGGCGAACACGAATGCCGAAGATGTGGATTAGTGCTCCGTGTGTCTAGGAGGCTGTCTTCTGAGATGGGAGGCAAAGGATTCGCGGGAGTGGAATGACAATACGAGATGAGATGCGAGAGCAGGCGTCAAGAAGATCTTGAATAGACGATGACGGATGCGCAACGCAGCCTGCTTTGACCCCAAAAACGATGCGTGGAGGCAACACTCCAAATTCACCATTGATGTAACTCCCGATATAAGGCAAGCAGCCTATGATGCCCCGGAGCAACGACGCGAGCACCCTTCCTGGCAGTCCTTCGCACCTTCTACCTGGTGGCCAAGCTGAGCGGGGTTCTGTTTGGTAAATCCATGTAGGTAGGTTATGTTTTGGTTCGAATGGGCATTCCTCCCCAGCGCCAGCAAGTCTGGAAGACAGCTACGTTCAAGGCCTCATTCCGTGGCTACCATCTGACAGACATCCCTCAACCATTTCAATCCATATCCTTGGCTCCTCCCGACCTGCTCCTACTCACTTCAATCAGCCTCCCACTTGACTCAGGTACCCAGCTGGATCGGGAATACTGACACAGAATGGTCAGAGTATGCTCTCTATAAGACGACCCTTCGTTGCTGCTATCCTAGCGTTACCAGTATGCTGCCCATGGTGTGCTGTTTGCGATCAAGGAAAAGATCCCTTTGTCCACATTCCTGTCACAACAAGCTTCCGGCATAGCGCAGCCTGCCCCAGCGATCTTCAGACTCGCGCCCCTCGCGACCAGGGACACTGATGGATGACCTTGAATGTAGCTGGGCTTGGAACACGAGCATGATGCCTCAGATTCTCCGGGAAAATGTGTCCAGTGCGGGTACAAAAAGGTCCCGTGAGCACCCTGACCGCCTTTGTCACTTTATACTTGCTGGCACTCGAAAGCTCAAAGAAATTGAACATCATAATGGCAAACCCACCCGCTGTCGGCAAGGAGCCACTTAGCCTCTCCAAAGGTCTCCAGGTCTGGACATATCTCGAGCCCCACAGCCCGATCACCGTTGAGCTGGACCATAAGGGTCAACGGACATACATATGGGGGCCGTCGTCGAACTACACCGATGCAAATGACATAGAGTTTCCGAAAAGCCATGAGCATGCAACGCTTTCCATCAAAGTCAACGGGCAGACCTTGAAACAGTATACCATGCAGCTTGGTGCAATCGATGGCTCGCTTACAACAACCATTCCCGCTACTCGAGCCAACCCTGCTTTCAAAGTCGGCGGCTATTGGCTTTCCATTGGGATCATGAACGCGCCATCTGGGTATCAGGATCAGCTATACGTGCATATGACTTCAGATCAGTCGGACTGGATGGCTGCGTTGCCTCCTGGCACTCCTTACCATGCGCTTTGTCTTGCTGGAGCCCACGACGCCGGCATGAACACCATGCAAGGGCTAGACATGATCACCAGCAATAAAGACGCGCTCGACGTTGCTTTGAAATTCCTCTTGCCTTTCATTTCCATCCTAGTCGCCCACAAATTCCCCGATTATGCAGTGTGGCTGGGTGGCCTCACCCAAAAGGACACTATCTCGAATATGCTGGCCATGGGGGTCAGATACTTCGATTTTCGACCGGGATACTGGGTGAACCAGCTGCGCCCCTTTTTCCATGACATTCGTCACCAGCACGCGTTCCTGCCTGGGGCACTCTGGAAAGACAACCTGACAGAGATCCTTCGATTTCTGACTGCGCATAAGAACGAAGTCGTCCAAGTCGCTCTGGGCAGCAGCGGCTTTCAACACGCCGACATGATCCCAAGCACAGCCGACCTAAAAAGCATAATGGCGCAGGCCAAGGCTTCTCCTGGCGTAGACCCGACCCTGAAAGTTGCTGGCCTGGAGGCGTTCCAGCAGACCCTTGACTCACTTCGTAGCACGAACAGCCGGCTCGTGCTCACTGATGCAAACCACGGCCCCAAAATGAAAGTGCTGGATGCCTACAGTGATGGAGCTTGGGCAACTCTCAAACCTTTGACGATTCGCGAGGCTTTCCAAAACGCCATAACCCCGGCAGCTCAGCAGGGAAAGGATCAGACAGAGTTCCAGGTCCAGGGCACTGCGACTGCTTGGTACATCAATGCCCACCACTACCAGTCTCTGATCGATGCGAACCATTACAACCTGCCACTTGTGCAAACGAAGGGTCAATTCGACAACAACTTGTTAGGATACGTCCTTAGACAAGTGCCAACTTTGACAGCCAAGCAGCATTGGGTCATACTGGATGACTTCGTTGATGGCGTGACGGTGGAGACCGCTATCGAGATCACCAAGAAACGTATTGCACAGCTGGGCCTGCCGTAAAACAAACAGTTTGCAGTGCCTAGATTGCACCTCTCCACTGAGCAGCTTCTCCTTGGGTGATATAGAATGTCGCGGGTAGGGCACAATTCATGCGCGTGGTCATGGTGCCCGCATCTCAGGGCTCCCGATGAAAATGATTGTCAGGTCAAGGACAATGAGTACGAACTTCGAATTCCTCATCAGGGGTCAAATCAAGATAGATCAGGCCCTTGAAGTTGCCAGATCTTCGCAATCACAGTACACTAATATGCTGGAGGCTTGTATATATGTTGACCGTTTGCATCTGTGACGCTGCATTGCAAGTCTACTCTCATCTTCGACTGTGCAAGAAGAAGAGTGATCAAGGTCGTTGCTGACGGTGCTCCAAACGAACCATGAGTGCATCTTTTCACGTGACATGGGCCGTGGACCTCGGCTTCTTTGCGAAAGACTGCCTGTGTTGCCCTGCACTCCATATCTTGTCTCCCTTTACGGGTCATAATCTGTGAGTGAGATTACTCCGCACGGTTTGCTTGTAATGATACGGCCATAAGGTAGCCAGTGCCATCTTATAAGAGCCGAAAACCATCCTAACATCCCGGCGACTACTCTCGTGCAAGACCACCGGTCAAGATGACAGCCATCACGATCAACCCACCACCACGCTATTTCAACATCAGCTCACCCGCTGAGTACGTAGCACATGTGGAGATCAACAGACCCGACAAGCTCAATGCATTCGGGCCGCCCATGTGGCCCGAATTGCGTCACATCTTCCAGCAGTTGTCCGAGAATGCAGACGTGAGAGCTATTATTATTAGCGGTGCAGGCGAGAAAGCATTCACTGCAGGTGAGTATTTAACGAGACATGTACAGACAGACAGCTGATCAACACAGGGCTGGACGTTACTGCGGCTTCTCAGGGAGAGCTAGGCTCGACCAATAACGACTCTGCCGACCCTTCGAGAAAGGCAGCCAAATTGAGACGGCATATTTTGGATTACCAGGATGTCATCTCATCAGTAGCTCGCTGCGAGAAGCCCACCATTGCATTGATGCATGGCTACGCGTACGGTCTCGCCATCGACCTCAGCTCTGCATGCGACATTCGCCTTGCCACGAAAGACGTCAAGTTCTGCGTCAAGGAAGTCGACATTGGACTTGCGGCGGATGTGGGAACGCTGAGCCGATTCCCGAAGGTCATCGGTGGCCTGACCAGCTGGGCCAAAGAGGTGTGCCTTACTGCACGGCCGTGGGGTGCCGAAGAGGCAGACAAGAATGGCTATGTGAGCCGCATCGTCAGCAACAAGGCTGAGATGATCCAGGAGGGGATTAAACTGGCCAGCTATATTGCGACCAAGAGTCCTGTCGCAGTTCAGGGAACGAAGAACATCCTCGATGCCGCCTGGGGAAGAACGGTAGAGGACAATCTCAATTACACAGCTACCTGGAATATGGGTATGCTGCAGAGTACTGATGTGCAGCGAGCAATGTTGTCGGGCATTCAGAAGAAGACGCCCAAGTTCGAGAAACTATAGACACAGGCATAATTATTAGCTGAGCAAGGCTGTCAGTCGGGCCTCGTTCAATTCATCGGATCCGATGTCAGCTTGCATCAGTTGATGCGAGTGAGTGCCGCAAAGCAGAAGTATCATTCCGAAGACCGAGCTCTTTGATGGCATTCCAAGATGACGATGTAAAAGCTCTGACGAATGAGGACTATTATTGCCGGTACATGGAATCATGCGGGGGGTGTAAGGTAAGCTCAGCTAGAATGGAGCTTTGATAGGCTTGGATTCACCGCGTCATCAGCCCTGCCAGAGCCAAGTTGTTTCGGCAGCGACGCCCGCAGGCAGAGGTATTGGCGGTGCTCGGGGCAACCGGAAGTCGCCGGAGCTGCGTCAAGCGCGCGCCACGGCAACCACACGATACGTATACAACCATCTCTACTCAGCATATATGGCAGTAAGCATGCATCACATCTGCTCACCTCGCCGTCTACCGTATCTGCACTTCATTCTGCAACAGCCACTTGCCATATCATCCGACCGCAACAGTAATCTCGGTGCTCAAACTCTACCCGGATCAGCCAGGAATTCGTCCCAAGTACACCAGCTAGGAGGAACCAGCTAAGGCAGGCGTCTCCACCCGCCTATTGCCCCTGCCCAGTTAAGTTTGCGCTGTACGTCATTGGGAGAAGCTGCGATCGCTGCCGCCTCTGAGCGTCACTGTCGAGGCAAAGCTCTCATTCCACCTACTTCCGGAACTGCCCACCGAGTCATCACTCTGCCAATTTCGCAACAGCAAGACAATAATATCCATCTTCACTGCGCATCCCTTGCCCGTGCCTCCTTAGCTGCACCTTTACGAGCTGCATAAGCTACCTTTGCACACTCTACGCCCTCAAAACATACATCCTCCAGTACCCATACCACCGTCAAGATGGTGTCGCGCGCTCTCAACCTCATCCTGCGCGGCTTGCAGTTCTTCTTCATGCTCGTCGTCCTGGCTCTGATCGCCGCCATGATTGCACAGGCTACGAACGGCAACCCGGCCACGGTCAACTACAACATATTTGTCGCAGTGTTTGCCATGCTGTCACTGTTCTACTTGGTGGCTGTCGCTTTCAACGACAGCTTCACGGGCCATCCGATTATTCCCATCGCCCTCGATGCTCTGAACACGCTCTTCATCTTCGCTGGAGCGACTGCCCTGGCCGCTGGCCTGGGCGTGCACTCTTGCAGCAACAGGGTAAGTATATATTCCCGTATGCGCAGGTCATAAAGCTAACCTATGCAGTCATACACCCGCTCCAATCACATCACCAATGGTGCCAACAACACGGGCAATCGGTGTCGCGAAGCTCAAGCTGCAACAGCTTTCCTGTACTTCGCGTTCGCCTGCTTCGCTGTAACGACCTTCTTCAGCTTCCTCGGCGGCCGCTCATCTGGTGTCAACATGCGTGCTCCCGGCATTAGGAAAGGTGGGCCTACCATGTCCCAGGTTTAAAGCGAGCAGGATAAGACCACAAACTCCGAGCAGCAATTGCCACTCTCCCGTCATGGATGTATGCCTATTGCCTCCCGGACGTTCTAAACCTGCTTGCGGCCGACAAGGCAAAAACTCTCGTTCTGCTTTACTGGCCAATGGAAACTGGAACTGACATCTTGATTGCACAGTTGGCCTGGGAAGGGTATAATTTCGCCCTTGGACCCATTCCACATCCACTCCTTCCTGCGAACACATTGCGAACGGCGCACAATCCGGATAGGAGCGAAGATTTGCAACACAATACCCACCGGCGTTACGCAATTCGAAGTTTTGTCCAACCGCTGTTCCAGTAGGGTTGAAGTTGGAGGTCGCTCGATGCATGGCTCGCGCCACCGGCTGGCGCTGGACTGCTGTAACGGCTGACGACGATGAATTGGGCTGCGACGATATGAAAATCATTACGCGACATAGTAATAACTGTATGGAATACTTGGGCAATTAGGTAGTTGAAACAGAATACCTTCAACTGGTCGTGTGTGTATGTGCTCATACGTGTTCCTTCCTCGTCCATCAAGTCGCAAATCGCAAATCGCTCTTTACGCGCACACGAATGGTACCGGCTCGTTCCCACGCGGCACAGGTATAGATCGTCTAGTATAACGAACGACAGACGATACGCACAAGCCTCTCGTTAAACGACCGTCGCCTTCGCCGTCACTCCACTTCACTCCATGCCACTAACTAGGACTACAATGGAACCCTGCCACTTTCCACGCTCAGCACGCTGGAAGCACGGGTGTAATTGACCGACAGACCTGAGTAGACTTGAATTGAACTTGCTTGGCTCGGCTGACTTATTGATCGCTCGCTCCACTGACAACAACTACCACTACTTACTTCCTCGCCAGACGTGTTTTTCTTCTCCTCTGGCTTCCAAGTTTCTACATACACACAGTGCAGCTATCGCGGTCCACCAACAACCCAGTGCCCACAAAAAGCCTAGAAGTGGATCGCCTGGCTATACGTGCTCATGGCGGCCTCCTTGAACGCCTCTGCGAGCGTGGGATGCGCGTGACACGTCCTCGCCACGTCCTCGCTGCTCGCGCCGTACTCGACCGCCAGGGTGCCCTCGGCGATCATCTCGCCGGCGTTGGGACCGATGATGTGCACGCCCAGGATGCGGTCCGTCTCGGCGTCACTGAGGAACTTGACCATGCCGTCGGTGTCGAGGTTGGTCTTGGCGCGCGAGTTGGCCGAGAAGGGGAAGGTGCCGACCTTGTATTTGACGCCCGCGGCCTTGAGCTCGCCTTCGTTCTGGCCCACCCACGCGACTTCCGGGTGCGTGTACATGACACTGGGAATGGCGCCGTAGTTGACGTGTCCGTAGCCCTTGCTGATGTACTCGACGGCCGCGACCGCTTCCTCCTCGGCCTTGTGCGCCAGCATGGGGCCGAATGTGCAATCGCCGATGACACGGATGTGGGGGATCTTGGTGCGGTATTCTTGGTCGATGACGAGACGCTTGCGCTCGTCAACCTCGAGGCCGACGTTCTCGAGGCCTAGGCCCTCAGTGTATGGGCGTCGGCCGATCGCAACGAGGACGACATCTGACTCGATAGTCTCGTTTTTGCCACCCTTGGCAGCTTCGATCTCTAGCTTGACGCCAGCACCTGAGGCGTCGCCGGAGGTGACCTTGGTGTTCAGCTTGAATTTCATGCCCTGCTTGCCGAGAATCTTCTGCGCTTGTTTGGCAATATCGGCATCCATGCCAGGACCGCCGATTTGGCCCAAGAATTCAACAACGGTAACTTCGGAACCAAGGCGAGACCACACGGAAGCCTGCATGTGTTAGAGCAGTGCTAGAGAGGGAAATTCTGGACGTACCATTTCCAGACCGATGATGCCGCCACCAATCACGGTCATTTTCTTAGGAACCTCTTTCAGCGCAATTGCGCCGGTGGAAGTGATGACCTTCTTCTCATCGATCTCCAGCCCAGGGAATGGTGTAGATTCTGAGCCAGTTGCGACGATAATGTTCTTGGCTCGCACGCTTTGCTCACCGCCATCGGTTAAGTTAACCTTCACTGTGTGCTCGTCCACGAATGAGCCAGCACCCTTGATATAATCGACCTTGTTCTTCTTGAAAAGAAATTCCACACCCTTCGTCAGCCCGCTTACTGACTCGTCTTTCGCCTTCATCATTTGTGTGAGGTTGAGTTTTACTTCGCCGACGTCGATACCGCGCTTCTTGGTATCGTGTAATATTTGATGGTACAGGTGGGAGTTGTTGAGGAGGGATTTCGAAGGTATGCAGCCGACGTTCAGGCATGTGCCACCCAATGCGCCGCGCTTCTCGATACATGCTGTCTGCGGCATAGTCAGCGTCCACAATCGAACTGGAGCGCGTGTTGGGATTTACCTTTAGACCTTCCTGGCCGGCCTTGATGGCGCCAACATAGCCGGCAACACCACCTCCTATGAACAGTACATCGTACTCAGGAGCCTCAGATGCGTAGCCTCGCCGTTGTAGCTGTGACTGCGGCACGATCTGGAAGCGGGGTGTGTTTCTGAGATTTGAGGGCCCAACCTGGGGAGGAGCTCTGGCAGAAAGAAGCGAGCGACCTGCGCGCGGCAGCAATGACTTGTACATGGTGAACCGGCGATCAATGAAAGATGCGAGAGGGAGTAGGATTTGCGAAGAAAGCTCACCAGGTCGTGCAGAGCGGTTGATTGAGGTGAGGAGGCGCAAAGTGCTGAGAAATGTCGTCGATGGCAAAGGACCAGAGCTCAAGATGTGCTCCCAATGCGGCCTAGTGCGGCTAGCTACGGCGGCGAACGCCCCCTCAACCTCAATTGCTCCGAGCCCTCCCGCATCTTCTGGTAGTATTTGAGGCGAAAGAGTCAACGTCGCACGAGGTTCAACTCGACCTCCATTGAGTCATATTATTACTTTGTATTTGATAAGAGTTGAAGTCTTCGAATCCCAACCCCGAGGGAATATGGATTGTACAGGCAATACCCTGGTCAAGTATTTCCCTCTAGTCAAACAGCCCGGGCTATATCGTAACGTCGTGACCGCCAAATAGTACTCAAGACAACATCCTGCAAGGTTGCAAGATCCCAGAAATGCAAAAGATATTAGATCTTAACCAAATCTCACATGCCAGGCAGTCGGTCCAAGATGGCATCCATCTGCCCAACATCGGTTTCTGTGTCAGTGTCATGGCCGGTCTCCTGTTGCATGCTCTCCCGCGGCTCGGAGACAGGCTTTTCATCGTACGGTGTGAACGGCTCAGCTTGTTGACTCCTCACGCTCGCTGCGACCCCCTTGCTGGATTCGGATGTACGACCAAATGCTTCAGTCTCAGCTGTTGTGGATAGGCCAGCGGATTGTTCACGGCCATGCTGCACGAATCGAGGCACGGACGGCGGTTTCATGGCCGTCGAAGCTGTTGCAATTCGAGGTGGACTTGGCGGTAGAGGCTTATCCGTCGCAACTGAGGCTCGTGCGTCGGGATGATCCTCCTGCCTGGAGCGCGGCGTCGGTAGAGGTTTGTCGGTAGCGAACAAATCCTCGACAGGCTGAGTCAAGAGTGCCAGCCTTGTGGCCAGAACGTCTGGCCATGTGTCGTTGTTGACTTTCTTGGTTGCGTCTACCAGATACTGCAAAGCCGTAAGCCACATATTGTGTCGAGTGTCGTCTGGGGCAGTAATCTTGAGGACCTTGGATGGGGCAACCACGACGATAGAGTAGTCGTAGGGAGCAGCATGGGTGGGAATGCAGCCATCCAGAGGGATCCGATTGGGGACTTCGAAGACCAACTTGATTGGCACTGTCACAGGTCAGCAAGAATAGAGAATCATCGAGGTTGGCGCACCTTTCCTGCTCATCTTGTGCTGTGCAGTCTCTACAGTGTCCCATTTACTACTCCATGACAAGAGTCGCTCGTAGGGGTCGATGCGAAACCACCGCCGCTGAGGCACACCAGTCGCTCCTCGAGGAGGGGGTCCGATATGCCGTTGCAAGATGTTCGACTGGGGGAACAGTCCCGGCTTATGGGGATCTTTGAACAGCCATTCTCCAACAATGACATGTGCTAGAGATTCTGCGAGGAACAGAGCTGGGTTCGGAGCCGCTTGTGCCGCAACAGGTGTATCGACTCTCCTAGGGTCGCCCAGTCGACTTGGCTGTGAATCACGTGGAGGAGCTTGTGGTGTCGCTGCTCGTGCAGGTTGGTGGCTGGTCGAAGGCTGTGCAGCTTTGACCGCAGACGGCTGTTCGGCCTTCTTGGTGCGCATCGCTTCTCTCCTCAGAGCCTCTTTCTGTTTCCATGACCTCTTGTCGGGACCGCTCGACTTTGGCCGTTCAGTGTCAGGCGACTTCCGCGCTGGGGCTCGTAGCGAAAGAAAACTTGGTTTCTGAATACCCAAAAACGTTCGAGGCTGCGTCTTGGGTGGCTCGGCTGACTGCACGACCGACAGAGAACTTTGTGCTTGTTGGAGTGAGGTGGCTCTGGGTTCAGAGTCCGGTAGTATGTGCTCTTGGAACCTGGCTCGCGCCGATTCAGTGCGAGGTCCAGTGCGTGGTCTGGATGTCGCGCGGGGCGTGTCGGAGAAATGACTGGTACGCGGTCTTGAGGCAGTCCGCGATGTAAAGGAGCCGTTCTCGCTCTGGAATCGCTCTTTCAACGCAGTTTCGGAATAGAGCCTTCGCAACGACTGGGCATGTTGACTCCCTTCTCCTTCTCCTTCATGGACCTGAATACCCTTGGCTAGCTGGCCGCCATGAAAGAAGGATAAAGCCATGCGCCGTCGGCCGCGGCCTATGGTAGCCGGCACGAACTTTTGTCGCAGGCGCGCTCTATGATTGTAAGCGATGCAGACAAAACACAAGCGAGGAACCGGGCGGCAGCCTCGGGGCCCAGAGTCTAGATGAAGACGGCATGGTTGACCGGCCGCAGCTCATCGGGGCTCTCGGGCAACGGCAATTGAGCGAAGACAAAGCACTTTCCGATCAGCCATGGTGCTGATGGGCAACGAATGAGAGTTGGCACGAGCAGCCTCGCCGTCGATCGCGTTGAAACAAGCTCGTGGGCTGCGATCTGACTTGCCAGATCTGGCCAGGTTTGACCATTTTTGACAACAGAAGTACTCTAAAAGTGCTGGCATTAATCTCCCGACAGGTCTCAAGCGAACAGTGGACATCGAAACGCCCGAGCATGGGCCAACCCGATGAATCCTCCGAATTGCACCGGCGTGATGCATGAGGCCGGTCGGTATACGGTGAGCGGCAGATGCAAAATGGGCTTGCACCGCGTCGATGGCTTTCTGTGCATCCTCAGACACCGGCTCGATTGATGTATTTAAAAGACGCAGGGTTCATGAATCATCTTCGGGAATGCTTTTCGAACTTTTCGCACGGCACACCGAACTATCTCGCTCAGTCAGGGTGCGTTATGCTGAGAGCGCAGGCAGAACACGTGCTCAGCAGGTGAGGTGTCTGATCGGTGGATTAGTGTCCGACGATTGTACGTAAACGCCTAGCCGAGACCCAGCGGCAGCTCCAATAGCTTTGTATGACCAGATCCAGCTCCCGACTAGCCCATCCGTTGGGATGCTTCGCACGGCAGATAGAATTCTCCTGGTCGGCAGCATCCGCACTTAGATGGACGAGGTGTCATGGGTGGAAACCTTCAAACCTCCTCTGCTACCTGTATCCGTGGCTCGAGTCACAACAGAGGTCACTAGTAATATGAACAAGTCCGCCAGCTTCCCGCCGGTTTACCGCCACGATGACAATTTAGGGGTACAGCATGGTTCGTCGCTAGACAGGACGCTAGCTGTAAGGAGTGCTGTAGGCTGGCCTCGGTCTCGCTTGGCTGCCAGGATTCTTCCGCTGTACGAAGGCTGAGAACATGCACTGTGTGCTACAGTATCGACTGAGCTTTGAAAATCTGTTGAAGCCCAGATGGCTGTTACTGGGATTTGCAGTAGGCAAGGTCGAGAAAGTGTCTCACCGCGAAACTGGCACAAGCAACGCAAGGAAAACTCCCCGGCAGACCAGCACACAGATTTGCCCCACGGTCCAGAAGTTAAGCACGATACGCGACAACCGAAGACGCACGGCGTTCCTGACTAAACTGCATTTGGTTTCCTCTAATCCCCTGAACAAGCCCGAGCCTATAGCAAGCCAACACCAGTCTGTTACGACCAGGGCCGTCTGGGACCTTAGTGGTGCGGTGTTGGGCCAATCTTTCGGCCTCGCACAGGCTTTCGGGCCTTGCCTCGTTGATCCCTCCAAGTGTACGGAGTACCTGCCCCGACACCATGATCCCCTTTCTGTTGCAAGGATCCCCACGATCCCTGCCCTCCTTCTCACCTTCCCTCCGCGGTGCTCAATCCATTGACGAAGTTGTCATCGCTTTCACGACAGGACGGCGCTCCGGGATCAAAGCAGCGTTCCCTGCTCTTCTGCCATGAAGACAGGAGCACTTCGACGCTACTGAATCAGTTCCTACAGCGCTCAACACCGGGGACATGCTTAGCCTGTTGGACAAAGCGTCTTTGCGACCTTCATCACGACCGTCGACACAGGGCCAGGCATCGCGGCCTGGCTCAGGACACCCATCCGTTCTTGTACCACCGCGATCGTCATCCGCGAGTGTCAAAGCCGGTCCACAACATATCGCACGCCAGGCAACCAATGCCCTCGCCACCAATCCGGATGCCAAAAGCTTGATCCATGGGTACATGGTCTGCGGTCTCGCCAGGTCTCCCGAGGACTGGCTAATCTCTGCACAACCAGCCGTTAGTAAGGCACATCGCATCCATGGCAGTATAGGGCCTTTCGTGCAACCAACGATTCTTGGATCAATCCCTCCACAGGACAAAGATGCCGCCACTGTCCGAATGTTTGCCGCCGCCCTCAAAGCGGCCTTTCCCGATGACGCCGAAGTCTGTGCCGTCGACAAAGCACCGCCATCCACCTGTCACGCGTTCGTCTTACAACATGATTCGGACGAAAGCCTCTACGGAGTTGCCCTTCGACTATGGGTCAAATCCGATGCTCAACGAACCGGCAAGATTCTGGAGGTCTTGAGTCCCAATGATCCAACCAAGACCACCGACAACACGACTCTGTGGATGCCCTATTGCTTAACCTATATCTCGCACTACCCACTCTTCGATCTTATGAGTGACTACCTGCGCTGCACCTGGATGTTGTTTGGTAAGGACCCGGACAAGTTTAACAGCAACGGTGTGCTCCGGCTGACGCGTATGCCGCCACCTCGACCCGAGCAGTTCCTCCGTGTTGATCTTGACAAATATACATTCTGCTACAAGATGCCGTCTCACCCAGAGGAGTTCCAAAATTTTGCAATGTGGCCCCTGTTCACTTGTATCACACCTGTACAGATGGTGGCTGTCATTGAGGCGGCGCTTTCTTCCAGAGGACGAATTGTCTTTACCAGCGCGCACTACGCCATCTTGACCATGGCTTGTGAAACCATCCGACATTACGTGAAGACCTGGGCTGGTCTGTACGTGCCAGTTGCGTACGCAGGCCATGTACAGCAACTCCTGGAAGAGCCTGCGCCATACATGCTTGGTGTCACCAAGCAGTCGCGGGCGCTCACGAATCCCCCAAAGGATGCCCTGGTTGTCGATCTGGATGCGAAGCGAATTTACACCTCAAGACCGCCCGGCTCCCTTTCTCCGCGGCAGCGAAAGAGGTATACCGCCTTATTATCGCAAGCACTCGGTAAGGTGGTCGCTGATGGCCCGCCTCCTCATCTCAAATCCGCGTACGAGCAAAATTTCCGCTTCAGTGCCGTGGGATCGATCGTGGCGACAGGCAACACGCCCAAAGCTGTGCATGATCCCGCCTGGTGGGACCCCGTCAAAGTCTCGTCGGTCATCAACCACATATGCAAACGCACGGTACGTTCAGAGCCTGTTGTAATTGCTTCAACTAACAGATAGCAGCGTCAGAATTACAAGCTGCTAAGCGCACTCGATAGCATGCGGAACCAATCAGTTAAAGTCAATGTTCGAGATCTCACCAAGATGGTGCATCACCGAAATTGCTTTGCCCGGGAGTCGAATGATGCGTGGGATACGTATATCAAGCTGAAACGCAGAACCGATGTCAAGATTGGCGATCTTCTCAAGCACGAAGAAGCTCTCGAATCCAGCATTGAGGATCACAAGAAAGAGTTTGCCGACCTGAGCGAATGCACGGAGCAGCTGATTGAAGACACGCGGCAAATGCAGAAAGTAGTGAACCAGCAGAAGAGAGACAACGCACGTGTCACGGACGAGCTTAGGGACAAGACGATCCACGCAAAACAGCTCTCGAGCCATGTTACCGAGTTACAGTACGAACTCAAGGAAGCCACAAGGACGCTGGCCATGCAGCAAGAGCTGATAGAAGAGATCGAACGATCGCGGGACACGGCTAAGATGTTCGAAAACCGCTTCGAGGCTGTGTCATCGGAACGAGACGAGGCGCACCGCGCGGTGATCCACCTGACCAGTCTGATCAGTGGACAGATCACCTATATCGAGCGTGTGCTTGGATCGCTTCTGGCACCGACAAGCAGGCCCAGCTCCCGCACCGAGAGCAGGTCCTCGCGTCGCCGATCTTTCCAGAGCATAGCTGGTGGCTCACCAGTGCCATCGCCCGGCTTTTCTAGCCCACAAAGTCGTCGTCATACAGCTGACTTCTCTGCCAACGGCAGCAGTGCTTTGGGCGCCGCGATTGCCGCACATACATCTTCTGGAAGGTGTAGCAGTCCTCTGTCACAGATGGAAACGCCCAACGAGGAGCCATCGCTCAAAGAAAAGGTTGGAGCTGTTGTCGTCACCGTTCGCAAGATCAATCAACAGTGTTTGACCACGATCCAAGAGCTGAACGACAAGAGAGCTGAGATGGACGCGGATGGAGATGCTGCCGAGCCCCTGGACCCTGCTCAGACACCACCTCCTGCCCAAGAGGTCCGTCTGTCGAACCCCCAAAGTCTGGTCTCGCGTCTGATCCAGCAACGACTGGAAGACGTTAACGATGATGCGGGTTCACAGATCTCGAGAGGTACATTGGGGACCTTTGCATCCGCAGTTTCCTCGCTCCCAGACCTTGAATCAAGGCTGTCATCTATACGCACAGACAGTGCGAACGACCTGCATGACGACGATTCATTCCAGCAAGACAGGGTTGAGCCCCGAATCCAGGCGATTGAAGAAGAGGATGAGGGAGAAGCAGAAGGGATGGTCGAGGAAGAGCCAGTGAAGCTGTTTGAATCGGCACTCGGAGATCTGCCAACGGTCGCTGTGTGAAGATGCCGCCGGACGGAAATGATGTTGAGCTTATGATACCCGATTATGTTGCGCTGAGCTTTGTACAATGTTATTAGCTTTCCCTTGACTCTTAGTCAAAAGCATCCCCAGTGACTCAGATGGCCAAACCCAGCCCAGAGGCTCTTAGGTGGTGATCTGCTGTGACCCCAGGTGGGCGGCAGGGTGCCTCTTCTGGGCAGTCGGTACTTCCGTAAAGAGATGGGACCGCCTTGACCAGGCGGAAAGACTACTTGACTGGCACAGGCGGGCCCCCATCCCCAGATTTCATGCTTTTCTTGTGACGAACGTAACGCTGTCGCTGCTGTCGGCGATTGTATAAAGATGAGCGCTGCCGGGACGTCTGACTCTTGTGAGTCTCCCATCTGTCTTCAGCCGACAAAATGGCCACGACCGTCGTCCACACCAGGCACGAGCTTCAGGATGTTTCTGGTCTCGATGCTGGAAAGCAGCCTGTCCATGCTCCATCTGATCCAACATCAGGCGCACCGTCGAGCATGATGTGCGACCCACCAGAGCATGCTGTGTCGGCCCTCGAGCGCTGGAACGGCTCACGGGCTAACATCTTCAAGACCTGCTCGACTTTCTTCGGCTTCATCATTATGGGTGCCAACGATGCAGCCTATGGTGCGATCCTTCCATACCTACAAAGATACTACAACACGTCGTATACAATCGTATCTCTGGTCTTCCTCTCACCATTTGTCGGCTACATCGCCGCCGCAGGCACCAATAATCTGCTCCACAAGACCGTTGGGCAACGCGGAGTGGCCCTGATCGGGCCTAGCGCACACCTCGTCGCCTACATCGTCATCTGTCTGCACCCACCTTATCCAGTGCTGGTGGTGGTCTTCATCCTGGCAGGATACGGAAATGGCATCCTTGACGCTGCCTGGAATGCTTGGATGGGGAATCTGTCGAACCCAAACGAGCTGCTTGGCTTCCTGCATGGCTTCTACGGTCTCGGCGCCGTCATCTCACCACTCGTGGCGACTACGATGATTACCCAAGGAGGCCTCCAGTGGTACTCTTTCTACTACATTATGATTGGTGGAGCTGCCATCGAGCTGGCTACATCGACCGCGGCCTTCTGGCGCGAGACTGGTCATCGCTTCCGTGCCGCTATGACCGATGATGCCGTCCGAGGTGCTACCCGTGCTGCTCTCAAGACTCGCGTGGCTTGGGTGAGCGCCATCTTCTTACTCATCTATGTCGGGATCGAGGTTGCTCTCGGAGGTTGGATCGTCGAGTTCATGATCCAGGTTCGGGACGGAAAGCCTTTTGAGTCGGGGCTGGTTGCGACCGGGTGAGTTCTTGTCACTTCCAACCAGTCTTTCTGCTAATCGTGACTAGTTTCTGGCTAGGAATTACCGTTGGCCGAGTAATCCTAGGCTTCATCACTCCTCGACTCGGCGAGAATCTCGCCATCTTCCTCTACCTTGTCTTTGCTGGCGTCATGCAGCTACTATTCTGGCTCGTCCCACAATTCATCGTATCTTCTATAGCAGCAGGTTTCGTGGGCTTCTTCCTCGGACCTCTGTTCCCAGCCGTCGTGGTCGCAACGACCAAGCTTCTTCCAGCACACCTACACGTCGCCACTATTGGCTTCGCAGCGGCATTTGGCGGCGGTGGAGCATGTATCTTGCCGTTCGCCGTCGGCGCCATCGCTCAGAAGGCCGGCGTCCGGGTTCTGCAGCCGATCATCCTTGCGATGCTCGGTCTGGCGTTGTTCTTGTGGACACTGGGGATGCCGAAGATAGGCGCTAAGGATGCTGGAAAGGACGGGAAGCTCGAGAAGGCTAAAGGGGCAGCCACCAAAGTGTTCTATGGGTGTTTCTCTGCAAGGCTGTAGCTAGATACTGGCAAATGTGGACACCTCTGCTCCTCCAGCTTATAGATTGAGCGGCTACTCCGTACATGGTGACCAAGACTCCACTGGTTCGCACCAACACTGCGGCTCGGCTCCCCGCCACGGGGCGGAGGTGGGCGCCTAAAAGTGGAAAGTGACCACCTGGGGCCCCCCACTGGTCTCGCTTAGAAGGCGCACTGGGCGTGCAAGCAACCACTGGTTCCCTTTCGCTTCGCCTCACTGTTCCCGACTGCATCTGTCAAATATGCACCTATTTTTTCAGGCCCTCGTGTACGACGGCATATGCACAGCCTGATCGCCGTAAAGCAATGCAAATCGCCAAACTGCCCAAATCCCCGGGTAGGCAGACGCCTGCTTTTTTCTTCGACGAGTATGGCGAGCCTCGCAGAGCTCTTCACTATGTCTTCAATCATCTTCGCAGCATGCACCAAGTTGCATGGACGTTCGTTTCGTTCTGAGCTTGCTGATCTAGCTGCTCGTTTTTTCCCGGCCGGAGGATGATGACAATGTCTGATCAGGCTGATCCAGACGCCCATCACACTGTCCAACGGCAGCCTGACGGAGGGCTTCTCAGACGCAGCACCATGGCTCACGCTGACGACGAGTCATCAATGCTTCGGTTGCGTCGCCCTTGTAACGGTATGGACCCGCAATGGCAGGCTGGCGAGGGCGACGCTGCAGCAGAAAAGAACACCACCACACCATCAACAAAGGATAAACTCAGCAATCCTTATAGGCAGGTGCCGTCGTCATGGGTGCCCTACACTCTGAGAAAGCGTTTCCTGGCCGGCTTCATCGCTTACACGCTCGTCCTCGGTATCACTACTGCGGTGCTGCATTTCATCTCGTCCAAGGACATGGGGCTCGCAGACGAACAGAACTCAACCGTCGTCTATGTAGGCTCTAAATTTGTGCCCACCTTGCTTGCAGTCCTCTACCTCCTCCTTGCGACAATGTTACTGGATGATGTCAAGCGTACCGAGGCCTTTGCCCGACTGTCCAGAAGAGAAGGTGCCCCTGCGGATGTATCAGTATTTCAACACATCGATGCCTGGTGGTCTGCCCTGTTCAACAGTTTCCCTAGTCGCCCGAAGCAACGACCTGTCGCCTGGACCATGCTCTCCGCCACTCTGTTATTCGTTCTCAGTTTCCTCGTCCTCTCGCCCTTTTCGTCGACTCTGGTTGAGTCACAGGACGTTGTGTATCGGCGAAATATTCAATTTGCACGACTACCAGTGTCAGCGACATCCCCCCTTGACGCCGAACCAGACGCAACAACATATTTTCGCTCCATAAGCAACATACTGCAAAACGTATCCACGTCGGCCTGGATCACGAATGAGTACGCCATCGTTCCGTTCTGGCCACATGATAGGGCGCCGCCTCTGGGACTGTCCCTCGGCGATGAGTCTGAGTACTGGACCTCCGAGACAGCGGTCATTGCCAGCGAGTTGAGCTGTGAGCGTCTGGAGCTGACCGAGAAAGCTATTGTCACCGGTCCAGATGGTTACATCCAATATCCAACTATAACCCTATCAAACCCCACCTGCTCATATACCTTGCTAAGTAGGACGAGCTCTCAAACAGGGACCTTCTGGTCGAACCGTCAGAATTTGGCTGCCGTTGCGGAGAGGATGAGGCTTAACCTGACAGCTGTCCAATGCAGCGAAGATAGCGTCCTCGTATCATCAAGTCCGTGGCAAGACTCTGATTTCGAATGGGTTCCCGAACTTCGCGCCAGCGGTTATGCATGCAATAACTCGTACTCCACGGCAACGCTGGCCGTCACTGCAGCGCTCGAAAAGGGCGCAGTGAGCTTCAGTTTCGACAAGGAACAGTATCAGACCAGAAAAATGCCTCTGGATGATGCTACATTCAACGTTTCTGCTTTTACGAATGTCTTCTACGGTGCTTCCTGGGGCGACTATCTTGTTGCTGCAAGTAAGAGCATTGGGGAGCGCGCCCCTGCTGAAGGTCCTGCAGCTCTCGCCACAGCAATTTACGAGTTCAATCCGTTGAGTGTCATGGATGATACTGCGCTCATGTCCAAGGCAAACAAGGTCCAGCAACGGTTCATGGGGGAATTGTTGCATCAGGCCTATACCGCCAAAATCTCGCAGCAGGCGGATGAAGTAGATGGTGAAATCACAAGCCAACGCAGAAGACTGGTTGTGGTGCCAGCTGTGGCTATACTACTTGAAGCAACACTGACGCTACAACTTTGCCTCCTTGTTGCTGTTGTATGGTGTTCGGTAAACCGCCATAGACCACTGGGTCTCGAAGCCGACCCGGCGTCTGTGCACCCACTGGCCGCTTTAATTACCAAAGACTCAGATGTGGCACGCCTGTTCAGAGACCTTCAAGGCCAGTCTCCACGAGAAGCGGCAATAGTCCTACGGAAGAAGATCCTTCGACTTTGGAATAACGAACTCGAACTGGCTGGTTCTGCTATGACTTTGCCTGAGGGACACTCCGGGGCCAAAGAGAGTCGAAAATTGCCAAAACTCAAGAGCCCTATACCGTGGGTATTCCGCCTTGCTGCTACAGTCAGCCTGTGTACTCTTTTACTGGCCATTATGGTCGTTATCGTGACGCTCTTCGGGCTCTCGGAGTCGCACGGTCTGTTCCAGGAAGCCTTTGTGTATGAGACGCATTTGAAGCTTGGAAGTACGGATCTAGGCGCAATCAATCCTGCATCTGTGTTGAGTACTTTCCTTGCTGTATGCGTTGGGCTTTGGTGGGGTGCGCTGGATGGCGCACTCCGTCAGCTGCAGCCATTCCTTTCTCTGGCTGAAGGTCCGACTTCCCCTCGAAATGGAGGCTCTCTATCTTATCGGTCTTCGTACCTCGTGTGGGCTGCGGTGAAAGCCTTCCGCCGAAAACACTGGGTTCTCGCCTGCGTTTGTATGGGAGCACTTCAAGCGGAGATATGTAAGTCACATCGGAACCTGTTCAGCGCCTCGTAGCTAAAATCGGACAGTTACTGTTGCCATGTCAGCACTGTGGGATAGAAGTCCAGGCGCGCTGTCATCCGTCATGGAGACGGCACGGCCACTGGAGATTCGCCAGATCCCTTATCTCACCACAGGGGACTCTCCCTTGTTTCTTCATTCTGGGCCGATCACGAGCTACCAGAGTGATGTGCTTGCACAGCTGTACGATAACCTGACTACCTCATGGATGTACGGTGCGGCGGTTCAGCTAGTACTGAACGGATCACAGCCTGCCTGGAGTTCTGAGGGCTGGAGTTTCGCCCCAGTCGACTTCCCTCATATTGTTGAGCGCAATGGAACAACGCCTATCAAACAAGGGAATGCTTCGACGTCAGACGATGCCAGCACTGGGCTGGAGTCGACGCTGATCAGCCTGGATACTTCTGCTATCCGGGGCCGAATTGAATGTTCTCCCTATGCAGCTCTCGACGATGAGAGCAATTGGATCACAGAGCAAGACCTAAGCAATACATCAACATGGACGGTGCCGGATGAGCCAAAGATCGGTACAACGATGTACCAGCTTGGTTGCAAGGTTGGTGAGGATGGAAGCGCACTTGAAGAGACGTACCTCTTCAACCTCTTTCCGAATACGTCTAGCAGCGAACCATGCTCTGGTGAGTACTATACTGGATTCTTCGCCAACCAAGCCCAACTCAGTTGTTGCCAGAACGTATCTGGCGATACTATTGGCGACGCCTATGTGGGCTACTGGTCGCCCAACTACGTACGCGACGGCTATCGAGACTTTCCGGTGCTTGCGGACACATGGCCGGTCAATTTCACCATCAAATGGATCTATGGCCAACCTGTCGAGGAGATCGTGGAACACGAAGAGATCTTGGATTTGGGAGGGCGGCTGATGTGGGTGAAGCCACCACGAATGCAGGCGCTCAATTGCAGACCTATAGTTGAAACAGCCAACGCCCGAGTCAAGGTAGATCCAGCCAGCGGAGCCGTGGACTCATATACGATCACCGACACTCCTGTTGCGGACGACAATGCATGGCGCGAGATCTTCGCTAGGCATGCACCTCCAGGCTATGGCGCTACCCCGTCGGACACAGACACCACCATCAACGTTACTGTGAGCCATGGAGTGCTATTCATCGGCGCCCTCCTCGGCGCGGCTGACCTCAATCACCTCTCACGCGGCGGTGGAGGTTATTGGAACACTCGAGTAGAGTCTCTCGACGACCGTACGTACAACATTCGCCTGCCAGGCTTGAATGTCGATTATATGTCTTACTCGATGTTGTCACTGGCGAACAACGATCACCAAGCACTGCTCAGCCGCCAAACCCTAGGTGAAACAGCGCAGACCGTCTTCTCGACGTTCTTTCAACATTACGCCAGCAATAGGGTCTCGTCCAGTACTGGAGGCTGGGTGTATCAACCGCGTGGCGCCGAGCTCCCTGCTGGCATTGATCAAAATGGCAACGAAAACAAGATGAAGCGTCAGACAGCAGATGGTGCCACTGACGACGCGACGGCTACTTTGCACGTGTCACAGCCTGTCGAAATGCTGCGAATGTCACCCATCGCTGCCGGCATCTGCATCGCTATTCTTACGTACCTTATCGGCGTCACCATTGCGGTCATGCTGGCGTCGAGGAAATATGCAAGAGTACTTCACTCGCGCATCCAAAGCGTCGCCGATATTGCGGCGCTGGTGGCTGGTAGCGATAAGCTGCTGCAGCTTCTGCGAGAACGGCCGCTATTGGAGATCGAACACGATGATAATATTGCGACTACACTTGGATGGTTCGTCGGCGGGGACGGAAAGGTGCGTTGGGGAGTTGAGCTTGCTGGACCGGGCTCCGGTACGAAGTTTCTGACACAGGACGAAGCGCATGCTCTCATGGCGCTGGAGCCGGACAACACAAGAGTGGCCAGCGCGGCCAATCCTGGGCATTCGCACCCAGTTGCACTGGTGTCGTCGCCATCGGTCTCGTCGTCCTCCTCACGTCCGCTTTCGAATACTCATGCAGCAGCATCCGCGAGCCTTTTGTCCGCCTCCGAGTCCCCCGAGGCCGGAGCGGAGCAGAAACTCGACACGCCGCAGTATCCGCTTTTAAGCACGACCAGCCAATTGGTACACTCTCCAGCGCATCGTGACACCAGCGCTGCAGCAGCGCATTCGTCTCCGGTGTCTCCTATATCTCATGTGAGTCGCGCATCGCGCAGCATCGACCTCAGCGATGTGGAAACCGAGTGGTTGCCGATGCTGGCGCTTGTAGAGGGGCAGGATGATATTAATGGGGATTTGAGCACGCCAGTGGAGAGCTCGTCAATGATGCGACCTACGCCGGCTAATGTGAAAGACGGTCTGCCAGCGACAAGAGGCTCTCAGGACAGAGTCCCTGGATGGGCTGGTGAGCAGGTCGAAGCCTCGTAGGCAAGAAGTCCTCTGCATAGACGAACCTTTACTTCCGTTGCGATGATGATATGCTTCGCGCCAGAGTGACGCCGCTCACAGTCGTCTCTACCATCGAGGATGGACCATCATTCGGCTCACGCGACCAAGAATGAGAGTCTCGGTCCATGGGTGCGTAGCAACCAAATTTATTGCGGAGGTTATTTTTAGGCCTTCCGGGCTTGCTTCAGGACGCCATGCAATGCAATGCACGCTCCCGCCCGCCCGCCACCGCTGTGCTGGAATAGGCGCTGATTCGCGAACCGTGTCGATACGCGGGGTCATGCTTACGTACTAGACGTTTTCAGGGGTATTCGTTCTGATTATACATCGGTCTTCACGTTGTTGATGGCGTCGTGGGTGATGTCAACGGGCTATTGCGGCTTGCCTGTCAGCTCGCCACCGAAAGTCATTCCAAGAACCAGCGATGCTTGGACGGTGGCAGTGTAACCGGTGCCGGAGCCTTCTGTGGCTGGCAATACGTCGCATCACGCGCGTCGAGAAGGTTTGCCCCTGGCCTGGAAACGGTAGATGGACCTCGTCGCCCCCGGCTGGCCAATGGCTTCATCGGCTTCAATCTCAGGTCTGGGCCGAAATTGCTCCAAAATCTCCACTCGATGAGTCAGTCTACCCACCACCAGCTCTCTGCGCTCTCGTTTCAGCCGTGGTTCCGCCTTGGACTGGGGAATCCTGAGATCGAGCGAGTCTCGTCCCCAGGAGACGCTAGCTTGGAGAAGCTGAGGGAGGCTGAAGAATAATAAGTATCCTGCGCGAGCCCCCCTTTGCTGAAACACTCGCTCAAATCTTTCGCACCGTTGTCACTTAGATTCACAGCATCTACTTTCGTTCTCAAGACACAGTCTCTACGACAAATCCCCATCTTTTCAGACAATCTCCAAACATGCGTTTCTCCACCATCTTCGTGGCAGCCGCCGCCGCCAGCGTCTCCTACGCCCAGGGCATCGAAGACATCCTCGGCGACCTCGCCAGCGACAGCGCCGTACAGGGCATCGTGGCCTCGCTGGCCACCGACCCAGGCTTCCAGTCGCTCGCCTCGGAGCTCATGACCGCCACCGGCACCGACATCCTGACCAACTCGATCCTGCAGTCCATCTCCTCGGAGCTCGCCACCAACTCGGCCGTCATGTCCGCCTCGTCCGCCCTGGAGACCAACTCCGACCTCAGCTCTCTGGCGTCCGAAGCCAGCAGCGTCGCCTCCTCCGCCTCCGCATCCGGCTCCGGCTCCGAGACCTCCGCGACCGGCGATTCCTCCCAGACGACCTCAAGCCAGACTTCGTCCGGCTCCAGCCCCGTCTCTACCGAGGACAGCGCCGCCGATCGTTTGGCTCTGGGTGCCATGGCCGCTGGCGCCGCGGGTGTTTTGGGCTTTGCTGCCCTTCTGTAAGAATCAGAGAAATAGGGACAAAAGTGTCCGCTCAGACGTTTGTGTAGCAATAGCCTTTGTGTGTGTGTGTGTGTGTTCGAGCGCGCCTGGAAGTCTGTGGACTGCGGACGGAGCCGGCCCCTCTGGTTTGCTAGACAATTACATGCTTCTATAAACATTGGAGGAGGAAAGAACTGTGAAAGATGCGGGAACGGAAAGGCGGGGGTACCAAAAGCATTCATATGTACTACTGTACCAAAAAGTCGAAGCACGTTTTATCTGGCAAAATGATTATTGGGGTTCTAATCCCCCCACCCACAACCCCCAATTCTTTGTTGATCCTTTTTCTATTCTGTATGAGCACCCCCCCTAAACACGTCAACCCTGTCTTCTCGTGGCCCCTTCTTGATCCGTGCTCTTCTAGTCAGCAGGCCTAGCTGGCACCTGGCAGTACAACCGCCACGACGAAGTAAGCGAAAAAGGCACCTGACAGAGCTCGCATGCAGCAGGTGTCGGCGGACCCTTTGTCCACGCAACACGGGTACACTAGCAGCAAGCAGGTTTGCTTCGTCTTGGCCCTCGAGTATACAAGAGGTCGTCAGCCGACTTAATGTGCGTTGGTGGTGACTCCCCGCCCCAGAAATTGTGTCCAGGCGTTCGCTGTGGCAAAGGAGTATCGCTGGGCGGCACAACCAGAGATGTCTCGCAGTCGCTTCTGCTGCGCTGAGTCGCACGGAAAGTGATACATCGAGAAGCCCTTGGTATGCCGTCAGATGACACCAGGACGTGCAAAAGCTGACTGCTCAACCCACCTGTTGACGACCTCGTCCATGCTGATGTTACCCAGTAGGGGCCATCGTTTGTTAGGTCAGCCTACGTGTACTTGATCCGATCATAGATCGCCGCCAATAAGGACTCGGTGGAAGTGCTTGATCGTCGCGGGAGTCCACGGTCTGCCTCCCCAGCGGCCCTCGAACGCTCGGATGAAGTTGAGCGACCATTGTTCCATGCCGTGCGCCAACTTTTCCTGTTGCTGCTGCTGCTGCTGGCCGTTGTTGTTGGCGCGCAATGTCAGTCGTTGCCAGCTGCCAAGGGCGTACAGAACGGGCATGAATAGCCACATGACGCGGAAGCGGAGCGGTGAAGCATCTTCCAGAGCCCATTCCTCACAGGCGGCGATCTGTCGTGCGGCGTAGGTGTCTTGCTCGGCAACCGCAGAGGCGTCGAAGCCTGAGATCAAAGGGCTCCGAGAGTCGGCTGAGAGGTCGCAAAGCGTCAGGATACAGCCGCAGATGAGGCATCGCAGCTCGTAATACGCTGTGAAGCGCATGAAGATGCGGGATGATGCGAAGCCCAATTGGGCTGTGTGGCAAATCCTTGAGGAGGCATCTGATGGAGCCGATCCAGACGTTGGCTTCCACCATATGAGGCCAAGCACAAACAACTGCTCTACCCAGTCCTCCAGATTCTCCTGGTATAAGTCTTTGGCTAACGCCAAAACGTCTTTTCTCAGATTGTGATCATGAGACGCATGACGCAGCTCGCGAATGAGGCGTATTAAGCGTGGCAGGCGTATGTAGCGCTCTTTGTTGTATCGATCAACGAATTCAGGCTGTGGGTAGTTTGGGTGTGCGAATGGAGGAATGGAATACTGTAGCCAGGCAGGAGTGTCGAAGACTGAATCGGTGCCGGTGAGGACCGCGGGTAGGAACTAAGCATCGAAGTCAGCTGTGTCCACGAACAAGTTGCATGAAGAAGGGCTCACTTCGCGGCCAACGCAGGCCCAGAATATCTTGATCACATCATCGTCACACTCGGTACCATGCTTCGTCATTTCCATGAGCAGGCGGGTTCCGCCCTCGTGATGAATACGTCCAGACGCATTATAAGTGTTGAGCAAGGACCTATCGGTGAGTTATTCGGCCTCAAAAGCTCCATGCATGGGCAACTTACTCGGCAAAATACAGTAGAAAGGTCGTAAGCAACACGTCCGTGCGGTATCTTTTGGAAGCTCTCTCAAGTGCCATAGCGTCTCTCATTACTATCAAAGCCTTCGCATTAAGCTCGTAGGCTTTGATGTAATTTTCTTGGGTGCGGTTTGCAAACGCCACGGTGCTGACTATGGCGCACTCGAGACCAAGGTCGAAAGCCCGATTGACACCGACACGTTGCGGAATGACCTCAAGATATTCTCCGCAGAGGTATGGTATGGGCTCACCCGGACAGAGACAGTCTCCCCAGCTCTTCCAACGGAATGCCAGGTCCGTGGCATGATCAGTGGGTTGTCTGTTGAGGGGCAACACGCTCAAGAGGTCAGTGCCAGATGATTGATCGGATTTCCGTACACGTGTCGCGTTGCGTTTGGACCGAGAGTCCCTCGATCCGGGGGATCTGGTCATTCGAATGCTCCCTCGAGGGTTCTGCGTGCTGGTTGTCATACTCAAGGCAAGGCTCGTCCCCGGAAGGTCGAGATTGGCCAGTCGAATGATATGGTTATTGTGCTTCATCTCGGGTGGGCCGATGATAGGTGAATCCATTGACTTTATAGACAAGGATTCGGAAGTGTTGCCAGCGACGAAGGCCAAGAAGGGACGCTTCGTAGCGTAGTGATAGGTGCATTGTCGCGCCTTCTTCTGGCAGGGTCCGCAGCATGGCTTACTTTCGTCGCACCTGGAGCAACCGCGTCATTCGCTGAATCGATCAACAGTATGCAGGTGGACACCAACATACCTGACTTTGCGCTGCCTGCAGACATCGCATTTGCCCTCTCGTGTCATCGCTGCCGAATGATGAACTCGTTCTCCACGGGCTGATTGCGCATTGGCCTGAGTCCAGCCTGGGACACGAGGTGGAGATATGGTCGAGGGCCGATGTTGGGACTGTTCAGAATCTGGCCACCAGTTTCGATCCGAGCAGGAACTGCGAGATGGCTTGTCAAAGTCCCAAAAAGCCTTTAGAAGTATCAAGGCTTGTTTAGCTGTACGTCTTTAGTTCTCCTTATCTACTGTATCGACCTCGGTTTACCGCCCCCATAAGCGAAATGCTAGGTAGTATCCCATGAGAACCAATCTCTTGTGGACTATGAGCATTGCTGTTCAGCCTGGGAGCGATCAAACAGAGCCAAGGCAACGGTCAACAACGTGCTTCGAGGTTGTTCGCGAACACTAGAGATGCAGAAAAAGAGCACGATCTGCAAGCTGAGTGTTAGCCGTCGATCGTCGTGGTTACATTGCGACGTAGGGCTGAAATACTGTCGATCATTGGCCATCCTGGATCAGGCCTGGGTCGTGGGCTGTTGGGGGCCTGACCACGTGCAAACTCGCATTTCTTCGCTGAAAAGGGCAGTGCCAGTAGACATTCCGGGAGAAAGATATGGGCCTTGAGACGAATGCTGACGATCGAAGGCAAATGCCGTTGACGATGCCGTGCAACAAGCAAGAGAAATAAAAGTGTTGGAATGGGGTACTAAAGATGCTGCCGTCTATAACGCTTGGAGGAACACCAGCTCAAGAAGATGGTACTGCCGGGAGACTTGAATGCTTAGAAAATCACACGACATTTACCTTATGCGATATGTGCGGAAGGGACTTGATCATGCCATGCCAATTGTTGACACTCAAGGATTTGTAACCAAAGACCAGTTCCCTACGCTGGACAATAGAAGCCCTGGGCGATAGTAAGTGTCTGCCAAACCCTTAGCCATCGACAGAAGGATACATATTATCTTGTTCCTCCTATCCGCTGGTACACTCAGGAGGAAGCTGTAGCTGTGCAGGTGCAGGACCTGACCAGAGCTGGATGTTCCTGTGTCGGACTTAATACCCGAACTCACAGTCTTTGTGAGCTAATCTGATTGAAGAGGCAGATTGCGAGCACGTACCGACAGCATGATGTTGGCTCCTGAATCTAGACTTGCGCAGTCTCAGCCTCATGGCTGGTCTGATATTCGGGGGCGCTTTTAACAAGCAGTCAGGAGTACTAACATTCTGAGTGACTCGCTTGATGCTGCTGTGGCGATTCTTGGCTTTCCTAATCTCAGAGGCCCAATCTTACGCCTTGCTGGCGGGCTCATGCAGGCATGACTCGTTACCGCAGCTCTGGGTTTCTGCGAGGCTTCCACATCACCTACGAGCAACCAAACTGCGACAGATACTGTCCATTGCGAGAAGAGAAGATACATATCTCGCGTTCCACGTGTTGAAGCAGCATGGCTCGTTGCCGGCCTATTTTGCGAGGAAATATCTGCGCCAAAGTACATAATGCCTCCGAACTTCACGATGAGCTCCTCTGGATCATACCACATCGTTGAGCTTCAGCAATTTCGCAGAGAACGACCTTGTGACAATGAACCCACTGCTACAGGTACCGCCGTGCTTGGATGCGACACCATCTACAGAGAGCACTTCAACATCTCCACAGCCCAGAACAGGCACCTCTGAGCCACCCAAGAGGTAGAACCACCGGCTGGTCCCAAATGAACATTGTGATGTGTGGCCGGAGTTTAGGGGATGGCCGGGAAGGATCGCAATGGACCTATCATACGGTCACACTCCAAATTTCCGCCTACGGCACCTTGCTACCGCTCACCAGCAAGACTCTCATCCTCACCACAACCGCTTGCCAACTGCCCAATGTCGCCAATTGCTCTCGGGACGGCTTCCGACATCTGCTATGTGTCTCTCAACTTGCTGGTGTGAGCATTTGGAAGGGCCCCTCACCCGGGGCTCTCGAGGCGATTGAGCGGCCTGAAGCAGCTGTTGAATCCTGATCTGGCCACTCAGGAGCTTTTCCACTCCCAAAATCCCTCTTCACATTGTTCAGAAGGAGAAAGCGTACCTTACGATCCGACCCCTAACGATCATTCACGACAAATACTCTTTGCCAAGCCATTCACTGCCTAAGAGTGGATCTTCCCCGCAACTCTAAGTGGACGCCCACGTTCGCCGCGGCCACGAGGGGTTCACACTTCAACCGAGGCCATCTCGGCCCAGTGCGCTGGGCCAGGGCATCGTCTACAGACCAGGAGCCGAACGACACTGCATATCACGAATCAGAGTCTGAAAATAAATGCTGAGCCCACACTTCCATACATCCTCTTTCACTCCGTCCTTCACTGTGCCTCCATGAACGCGTAGCATCTCCTGCCCCTTTCAAACTCACTCAGTATCTTGAGTCCTTTCCGCCAGGCACAGACCGACTGGCTGCCACAAATTGAAACAAAAACCTTGTCACAATGGGCTCCATCCCTCCTCCCCATGACGCCCAAGTGCACGCCCGCTGGACGCAACAGCGCGGCACGCGGCCCGTGCGCATCGGCAACGCATCCGGCGCCCGTGGCGACCCGGCCTACCAGATGCACCGGCAATGCACGCTGGGCGACATCGACTTCATCACCGGCGACTATCTGGCGGAGATGAACCTGGCGGAGAACGCGGTGGCCATGGCGCAAGGACAGCATGGCGGCTGGGAGCCGCACGCGTGGGAGGGGATCGAGATGTGCATCGACGAGCTGGTGGGGCGGGGCATCAAGGTCGTGGTGGATGGCGGGGCGTTGAATCCTCGGGGCTTGGCGGAGAAGGTGTGGGAGCTGGTGAAGCAGAAGGGGTATGCGGAGCGGTGTCGGGTGGCGTGGGTCGAGGGGGATGATCTGTTGGAGGAGGTCAAGGCTGGGGTCGCGCGGGGTGAAGTGGTTGCGCATCTGGATGAGGGGAATCAGGAGATCAAGGAGCGGCTTCCGGGGAATGTCAAGGATTTCCTGGCTAAGGAGGGTGGGGGGCCGAAGGAGGTGGTGAGTGCCAACGCGTATCTGGGCGCTCGAGCTATACGACGGGGTTTGGAGGAGGGAGCGGATGTTATCATCTGTGGAAGAGTGGCGGATGCAAGTCCTGTCATTGGTGCTGCATGGTACTGGTATGGTTGGGCCGAGGATGACTGGGAGCGACTCGCCGGTGCGTTGGTTGCGGGGCATCTCATTGAATGTTCGAGTTACGTGACAGGAGCAAACTTCTGCGGGTTTGATGAGTACGACTTTGAGAAGCTGATGATCGACCTGCCGTTCGGGATCGTGGAAATCGAGAGAGACGGCACCTGTGTTGTGACGAAGCATGAGGGAACCAACGGCATAGTGAACGTCGACGTGGTGAAGTGTCAGTTCCTATATGAGCTGCAAGGGCGAATTTATCTCAACAGCGACGTGACGGCCGACTGCCAGGACATTAAGATCGAAGCAGCCGGCAAAGATAGGGTTCGTGTGAGCGGCATCAAAGGTGCCCCACCGCCCCCTACCACCAAGCTGGCAATCTTCTACAAAGGCGGCTATGAGAGCCAGATGCTCTACAACGCAGCAGGGTACGCGACGGCTGAGAAGTACCGCCTACTTGAGACCAATCTTCGTCACCAACTGAAAAGCAAAGGACTTCACGACACTTTCCAGCTCCTAGAATTCCAGCGCCTTGGTGTGCCCGAACCCAATCCTCGCAGTCAGCACGCCAGCACCACCTACCTGCGCGTCTTCTCGCAAGCAGACACGGCCGAGGCTCTTTACGCTCTTCTCAAAAGCTTTCAGGAGATCGGCATGCAACACTACAGTGGCTTGCACCTGAGTCTCGACACGCGCACCGCGATCCCGAGGCCGTACCTTGCCTTCTACCCGGGAATCTTGCCGCAGGACAACCTCAAAGAGACCGTGTCAATTCTCTCCCCAGACAGGAAGCCTCGGACCTTCGAGGCTGGGCACCCGCCGACCTACCAATCTCTCAGCCCGCGTGAGAGCTATGAAACGGCAGATCCGCAAGACCTTGCCTCCTTCGGGCCCACCACCCGTGCTCGTCTTGGCGACGTCGTGCTGGCGCGCTCGGGCGACAAAGGCGCCAACATCAACGCTGGCTTCTTCGTGCGGCGTGCCGCGCACTATCCATGGCTGCAGAGCTTCCTGACCATCCCGAAACTGCAGGAGCTGATGGGGGAGGATTGGCGCGCCGAGTACGTCATCGAGCGGGTCGAGTTCAAAGAGCTGTGGGCGGTGCACTTTGTGATTTACGGGCCATTGGGACGGGGTGTGAGCAGTTGCCGACTCCTGGACAGTCTGGGGAAAGGGTTCGCGGACTACGTGCGCGACAAGGTTGTGGATGTTCCCAAGTCGATACTGGATGAGATGGGAGATGTGCGGAGAGAACGGCTGGCGAGGCTGTGATACTGCGAGTTTGATGGATTCATCTTCATGCCCAGTCAGTCATGGTGTGTCGCGTGAAGCTGCAGCCCCTCACGTTTACGGGAATCTTGGACTTCGGAGCCTTGGGTCATGCAGGGACAAGAGTCCCGTCACAGAGTTCCTGCATGATCACCAGCCTCAACACCAGACTCCTGCATACCCAGGCTGGGAAATCGAGCATATTTCGATGTTTGCAAGCTGCCCTAGTCAAGCTCCCACTCGTGCTGTGCACATCAACAGCAGAGCCAATCGCAATTGAGTTCGACTGCATTGAAGCAGAGAGCAAGGATGAACGTGAGAGACGAACAAATTGTCATCCTGATTTCACGTCCGCTGCACGTTCCACTTGCGTCTATAATATTAACTGCACAGATCGCGTCGTACTACAATCCAACGACTATCATTCCTATTAACTATATGTATACCTAAGCTCACTATAGACTCATTACGCCGAATATGCAGTGAAACCCACCCCCTGGTATTGGTATCTTGGCATCGCTCCCAGTCACTTCATACCGCCGTTTCCGTCGCTCTCATGAGTGGCACAGCCTCCCGCTGACCTTCGCCAACACCACTGGCTGCGCTAATGGTCGACCCAACAGCCTTCGTCACGGCCCTCATTGGTTTCGCACTGACCAGGTAAACCAGATTCACCGTCCATAAATGCGTAAATGCAGCCTGCAGCAAAGGAACAGAACCGTACAGCGTACCTGAAACCGGGAACACGAGAAAGTCGAGTATGGCTCTGGGATGCCACCTCCTCCTGCGAGAGAACGAGACCTCATCAGCGAGCCCCGCCTTCCTCATTTCCGTCTCGCGAACGTTCAGGCAGGTGGCGTGGTAGCTCTCGTAGATAAAGAGAAAGTAGGACACCATTGCGATGAAGCCGCCGGCGCGCAGCCATCCGAAGATGTCGAGAAAGAGCGGTAGCCACAGCCACTCGTCTGTCGGGCGAGGGAGAGCAGTATATATTGCGGAACCAATCAGAATCAAAGGCAGATGGGCGGGGATGCAGTGTGCCTCGAGCATCCGGAGGCCGAGCGAGGCGTTCCGCAGCGTGAAGCGCCGAGGGTTGGTGATTTGCCATTTTAGGGGTTTGCTGGAGTGGGATAGTTTGCGAGTCCGAGGCAGACGAGGAGCGAGTGACGGCGAAGACTGAGGCGTGGATGGGATAACGTCACTGCTCATCTCTAACCAGCGCCTGGCTGCGTAGCCTGTATCAAGACAGCCCCACATATGGCGGAGTGCTTGCTTGTATCGAGCATTGTGATGCTCGAGGTACCCACGGATACCTCGTTGTGGCGTATCAATGTTGCATTGACTGGCTGGGCTAGGCACTGACTCGATGTTGAGCAAGCCCTTGCTGGCGAAATAGCACTTGAGCATCATGTGCATGTCCTCGCCGATAGCATCAGCACCGGCATCCCAACCGTTAGCGAGCTGCACGAGCGGTAATGAGAGGGTGTACACGGAGGTGGGAATAGCCAAGTGAGTGTCGGGCGAGCTATTAGCGTAGCAGGATAGCCCAGCACCGCTCCACATTAGATCGGCGGCTCGAACAAGCAGCGGAATCTCATGCGCATTTCTGTCGAAGACAATGGGAGGGACGTATAATACCAAGTTCGATTGGGGATCTCCTTGGCGCGTGGCGAGGTAGCGCTCTCTTATGAAGCGAAAGTATTGTTGTTGGAGATGGGAGTCACCTGGAAATGTCAACGAGAGAACCTATGTAGCCGGTATGACATACTGTCCATGACGGTGACAAGCACATCACTCTCTCCGTTGTATTTGGCCATGACCTCCCGAGCGGTCCAACTCACGTTTGAGCTTTTTCCTGCGCTCTCCCCTGGGATGCCCGCTGGGTGGAAGGTTGCTTGCAAGTCCAGAAACCGGGCAGCATACTCGACGGTCATCTGCTTCGCACTTACTATCGCGCTGGGATCGCGCTCCTCCATGGCTAGGAAGACCTGGTACAGTGAGAATGGTGTTGATTACACGACCAATGCTTACATCATATGAAGTTGAAGCATCAGTATGACTGGCTAGAACATCTAATGTTTCTCGCATGGTGTCAAGCGTCTCTTTGTAAGCAGGAAGAATGATGACCATGATCGTCGATGGCTCATTCTGCTTGAGTGGTAGGACGTCTCGGGCATGATAGGATCGAATACCGTTTGTGGCAGTGCGAGCCGCATTGGCGAGTCGGAGAGGGAAGACGAAGGCTAGAACGTGTAGAAAGAGACTGTAGGCGGAAAACAGGAGCTGTGGCACGATCGGGTCCAGCAATGGCCGTTGCGGCTGCTTGTGGTGTAGGTAGAGGTATGTTGATCGTCCAACACCAAGAGAAAGCTCGATCAGAAGGAATAGTAAAAGTATGGATAGGCCTGGAGCGCAGCGTAGGAACCACTGATACAATGCCATGATGCAATCGAGGAGTGTGCAAGAATGACAGGAAACCGACAAACATGGACTGCGGTAGGCGTTTCATTATGGAAGTGCTCTTGAGCACGGGGCCTGGCCATAGCACAATGCACACCGACAAACTCGTAGTCTGCTGAGAGGAGATTAATCGCAACAACAGTCTAGCATGAGCTCGGGAAGGAGGTTCAGGGCTGCTGGCAGGCAGACTGGGCTCAGATGCAAGCTGGCGACGAGCATCGCCACCAATAGATTCGCCATGCTCTGGATGGTGCGCGACATGATTTGCGTGCCGAGACGAAGTTAGTGAAGAATGAAGCGTGCGGAAGAAGTCGCTAAGGATTCTTGAGAAGGGTGTTGGCAGCAAAGGCGGTGGTGTCGCAGAAGATGGTGGCGGTTTGCGTGGTGACAAATTGACCAATCCGGAGCAAGCAGTCGACCACGGATGCTGAGGCTCGCACATGGTCGTCGATCATGTAAATCATGAGACCACACTATTCTGGAGCCAAAAGAGCGACAAGATTCCGAGCGAGCGATGTTCGCACGTTGGCTTGTGTTTGGTCGCGACTCGTAACTGCCGCATTTCAGTCCGCCATCGTAGGTGCCGTGGACGGACGCCCAGCAGCAAGCAATGTCGCCCATCCTGCAGCCCACGTTCTTGACAACTTACCTCAGGCAGAGCGTAGCTACTCTCATCATCTGCTCAAGCTGATAAATGACCGGTCATGCCAGACTCAACTTACCTGGAGCAGATTTCCGATTTCGTTTCGCCCGTGCTCGACTTCCGCTACTATCTCTCCTCTCAGTCTCCTTGATATGCAGGAAGCCTAAACGTAGCAGAGACTTCGGCCGACGTCCCATCACTTGACATGCCACTTTAAGCTCACACGCGGGTCCCGCTGAGACATCATGACAAGAGGAGGTGAAGAAATTTGGTGTCGAAGAGGTCCCTTCAGGGCTCCCTCCAACTCCAGGGGGTCGCTATGCAGACTCTGTCCCTTATCGGCACGTGGCAGAAGTCTGCGGCAGCCCTGATGACCAAGTTCATCGAGACCAAAACATCATGTCGTGGACGTCAAGTATCCCTTAGAATACAAGAAGAAAAGCAAGAGTATGGTAGGGAGATATACGTTGCACCCGTGGGGGCAGGCGGATGTCGCGGATGCTTGGAGCAGAGGGCTGAAGCTGACACTCCACTCCTGAGCCAATATCGATCCCACACTCAATGCCTGCCTCACACGACCCATCATCACCCATCTCCCATCGCCGCCATGGCACGACGTGCACAAATACTCGGAGCAGCAGTGTTGTCAATATTCGCCTCGATCTATCTGGCTTTTCAGATCCTCCTCAGTGCCAACCACGAGCCCGCTTCTCTCCCTGGGTATGCTCATCCGCAGACTATTCAAATGCTGTATACTGCCAGCTTACAAAACTCCACCGTTCGTCCTCCTCTGCGAGCTCAGGGGCGTTATATGGTTGATAGCGTTGGCACTCGCATAAAGCTGACTTCCATCAACTGGTATGGCGCATCCGACGAACTCTTCGTGGTAGGAGGTCTGAATGTTCGACACCGCGATGACATTGCTCGCACCATCGCAGCCCTCGGTTTCAACAGCGTCCGACTTCCTTACTCAGATCAGCTCGTCATTGAGGATCCTATCATCCCATCTGCCCTGTTAAGCGCCAATCCAGACCTTATCGGGTTTTCTGCGGTCGATGTCTATAGCGCTGTGGTAACCTCCCTCACATCAGCTGGGATCCTTGTGATTCCCAACAACCACATCACCACGGCACGTTGGTGCTGTGACGCCAATCTGTGTGACGGTATCTGGCACAACGACTACCTTGGGCCGCTGTGCAAGGTTCCGCTGAGTAAAGCCACCTGGATCGACCATCTGGAGACCATCATGCGCCCTCACGTTACAAACCCCTTGGTCATTGGCGTCGACCTCCGCAACGAGATTCGTGCCGTCAAAGATGGTTTTATCTGGAAGGAATGGGCCGCCGCCGCCGAAGAAGCCGCCGAGCGATTGCACCTTATCAATCCAGAGTGGCTGATGTTCATCGAGGGCGTCTCCTCTGCCAACATCCTTTCCGGCGCCCGCAAGCGGCCCGTCACGCTCAGCACACCCGACAAGGTCGTCTACTCTGCGCATGTATATGGCTGGTCCGGGTGGGGCACGCTGCGACCGTACTGGAACCGTGACTATGCTTCATTTGCCAAAGACATGCAGAAGCACTGGGGGTGGCTGCTCGACGAAGACGTTGCACCCGTCTGGATAGGCGAGTTCGGCGCACCAAGCGAGGCAAACGGCCCCAACAAGGGTGATCTTCGGTATTGGCGGCATCTGGTGCGCTATCTTCGCGAGGTGGATGCGGACTGGGGATACTGGGCGCTCAACCCGCGAAAACCGAGGCAAGACGCAATGGAAGGGTACGGCATATTGGACGACGACTGGGAGAGTGTGAGGTGGGACTACCGTCTGGCTGACCTTGGATCCCTCATGGCCGCAAGGGACATGCTTGACCTGTGAATTTGGTGAGTAGTGCTGCTCTGCACGATCTCGCCGTGTTGGAACTTGCGTGCTCCTTTCAGCCGCGGGACGGTATTGCGGATTGATGGGACATCGCGCCGTCCTAGGCATATGCTTGCTTGCCTGGCCCATTACTGCTGGCGGCTCTGACGAACGTTATGACATTGGATGCTTGTTATGCAGCGTGCTGTACATTTAGACAGCTTCTTTGAATGTATTATACATGGACCTTTGCTCAATAACTCTGTTCGTTGCAGCTCATCGAGGTATAACATGATGGCCGTGGTCTCTCTCTCAGGGACCTTGCCGCCCCGCGTCCCTGTTCGCATCCGGTGCTGCGACCATCACGGCCGAAACTGCCATACGGGCGTTCGAGAAGACCACAAGGTGTTCGACACGGTCGTTGCCCGGCGGCAATCGGATTCGCAGTGTCGGCGGGATACAGCTTGGCTCAGCCCGTCCCGCTCGCGTGCACCCTCTCTGGCCATAGAGCTGTGCCCCATCTTTCTCTCCTGCACAACGTCTCATCGGACGCTTCATGCAGATTTGAATGCGTGCAAGGCTAGCGCACTCAACGCACGACCACCGGCTCCCGCTCCGGCACCTTCTCCGGTGCCATAGCGGCGCCGCTCGTCAACGGCGCACGCCCCAACGGCATCTTCTGCATGTACTCCGCCACGGCGCTCTGACTCTGCGTATCCCTCACGTTGCGCGACTCTGGCTTCGGCCTCCTCACCTCCTGCAACTGCGCCACCCTCTTCTCCTTCAACAGCCACGCTGCAGGGAACGTCACCTTCTTCGCGACCTTGACGTGTCGTTCGTCGCGGGGGACATCCTCGAAAAGATCCTGGCCCTCTTTGGCCTCGCGAATCAGGGAGCTGACCAGATCGCCCAGATAGCGTTTGTTCTGGGCGGCATTCTCGAACTTCTCGCATGAGAGGCGCGCTGTGTCGCTGGTGGGGTTGTAGCGTGGACCGAGGAGTTTGGTGAGCTTAACGCGCTGTGCTGGCGTAAGTTGAACGGATTTGGCGAGGTCGGTGGAGGTGAATTCTACGACGACTTTGCGGGCTGCTGGATGGGATTCGCCCATGTAGGTGGTGTAGCGGAAGCGGAGAGGGGTGGCTAGTTTTGGTGGTTCAAACGCCTTCTCGACAAGCTCTGTTGTGGCGAGGGTTAGCAGAAGCATAGCGAGGCTAGAGGGGAGAGGGCCACTCAAGGAACGTACTTGTTAGCAGCGGCATTTCCCACGCCGCGGCACGGGTGTATTGTCGAATTTCTCTGTGAAGCTGAAGCTCGTTCTCGGCAACGCTGGTAATCATGCTAGGATCCCACTCGTCATCGTCGTCAGGCTGTTGGGCGAGCTCATCTACTTCGTCGTCCGCCCAGTATCCCGCACCGGTCCGTTCGCTTACAGCTTTTGGAATGTTCAAATCGATATGATGCTCGCGGTGCAGTCTTCCCTCTAGCTTATCGGAGTCGGCTTCGACCATCTCATCGTCTTCGGATTCGGAGAGAGCTTTGTAATGATTGAGCCGCGGAAGGTAGTCTGATCGTTCGGCTTGCGAGAGCGCCTCATAGTCGGCACGTTCATCTGGGGTGAGGTCGTCTATTGTTAGGGGAGTCTCGGGTGAGAGGTATTCAGATGGCTGAGGATTGTAGAGAACGCGGAAGGCTTCCTCTTCCTCATCGTCAAACGCGTCCGAGCCGACCTCCTTTTCGGCATCTGCGACGCTAGCATCAAGATCTCTGAAATAAACAGGATCCGGAAAGGTGGGCTTAGGTTTCGAGTCGCGGCCACGAATGGTGGTAATGGTGAAAGGTCGCTGGCCCTGTGTCAAGCATTTCCGCTTTGCCGGATTTACCATCGACACTCGGAGCAAGCTCCGGTAAAGACTGCGCGAAGCTGACGCCATGGTGTGCTGCACGACCTGGCGCTCAATTGAGAAGCGAAGTGAAGCTCAGGAAGAGTCGTAGCACTCCGCAGACACTTTTTTGCGGAGTGCACCATTGGTCAGTATGGGCCGCCGCCCTTCACATGTCTCGAGTCCACTCCCCTTCAGTGTCTGTCAATGATTGCTCTCCGCCGGTGACATGCAGCGATACAAGCACAAGCCGCGAGCTACCCAGTAATGCGACTCGACCCGAACACTCCTCCGGTTTCAGCGGGTGGGAAACGTCTCTTCGTCACCATCGGTGCGACTGCTCCGTTCAACAGCCTCATCCGCGCGGTGCTCGCCCACGGCTTTCTCCAAGCCCTAACCGATCACCACTTCACCGAGCTGCGCATCCAGCACGGTGATGGTGGAGCGCACATTTTGCAGGAGGCCGACCTGTCCAACATCAAAGAGCGATATGGACTGACGGTGACGGGCTTCGATTTCAAGAAAGAGGGTCTGAACGGTGAGCTGGCTGCATTGCAGAGCAATGATGTCGAGAAGGAGGGTGCAGTTGTAAGTCATGCGGGCAGTGGAAGTGTCTTGGACGCATTGCGTATGAATGTGCCGCTTGTCGTGGTGCCGAACGAAGATTTACTGCACAACCACCAAGTGGAGTTGGCGGAAGTGCTGGAAAAGCAGAAATACGTGGTGCATGGCAAGCTCGGGTCCGTTGTCCTCCGTTGTGTATCCGGATAGAAGCTGACGAGACCAGAGATCTTGCCGCAGCGATAGCACGGGTTGAGCAGCTGCGCCGGGCAGCGCGACAGTGGCCTCCTGTCACAAGCGGAGAGGAGAAGTATCAGAAAGGCTTGAAGGGTGTTTTGGATGAAGAAATGGGCTGGGTGGACTAGAGATCCTACCGACCAAAGATTGGCGACCGACGGAGACGGCGAGTCTAAGCCACAGACAGGCCGTCTCAATAGACACAAGCCGGACCAGAAGCGCGAATGTCTGTATCCGGCGCTGGTCCTAGGGGAGAACCGGAAAATAGTGTCTGCCAGTATCACGACGACATGAAGGAATATGCCCACTCAGCAAGATTGGGTATGGCTCATGGGCGAGGGCAAATTGCCACGCTCTGCTGCGGCAGGTCTGGTTCAGTCTTGCTGTTTACACAACCACTGCTCAGCCTTTAGGATTAGGACTGAAATATCGTACAAGTAGACCGTCTGCAGACATTCGGTACGAAGCTAGACCATACGCGAAAGACAGCTCGTCCTGCTGCACCTACATGGCGACCGTCTCATCTCCTGCCGAACCTCAATCCTCATCATCCTCAGCCAGCGCCAACTCCAGCGCCTCCCTATCCTCGGGACTCAACTGAGCCATCCTCCTCCGCTGCAAACTCCGAAACCAACTCCTCTCATGCTTCCTCGCCACCCTCTCCAACGCCTGCGTCATGTCCTCATCATCCTCCCCCTGCACACCGTCCCTAAACTGCTCATCGTCCAACAGCTCCCGCAGCACCATCTCGTGCTCCTCCAGCGCGTCGCTGCATTTCACCTCGCCCAGGAATGGCGACTCGAACATGACGTATTCAGATCGGTAGTCAAAATGCATCGTGATGTCGAGGCTGCGTGGTGGAGGCTGAGGCTGCTTGAGCATGGGGGCGATGTAGTAGATGCCCGGCCACAGGTTCTCGTAGGACGAGGGTGGGCGCATGTGGTGCCGCATATCGATGCTGGTGAGGGACAGGCTGCCCAGGCTCTGGAAGAACTTCGTTAGGCTGTCGTTCCAGTACAGGCAGTTCTCGAGATCGATGTGGGTGATGAGGATGAGAGAGCGCAGGTTTCGGGCCAGTGATCGGGGACTTGCCGCGTAGAAGCGTGACAAGTCACTCTCGGAGTTGAGGAATAGTGAGAGGTTGGTGTAGAAGGAGGGGAGTGCTTCGCTGTATGCCTGACGGCAGATCAGGAGTGGTCGAATGATTTCGGACAGTGGTTCCGCACTCTGAGGATGTGGTGTTGGGTGACAAGGCTCGCAATACTCAATGTCGGCGCCCTCGAGAGGGGTCTTTCGTGGTATTGCTACCGAATTCTGGAAGACGACATCCCAGATCTGAGCGCGGATCTCGCTTGGAAGCGTCTGGAGATGCATGACAAGATCTGCGGATTGACAAATAATGGTCTCCGTACGGCTCGAGTGTCCGTTTAACAGAGCCAGCACAATCGCATTGAGGGTGTCAGTGACGCTCGCCAAGTTTCAGGCAACTACAGCCGGAGCGACGGGCATCGGACAAGACAGAGCAGTGAGTCATGAACTTCTTTCACACCAAGGTCCATGAATCGCGATGCTAGTCCTGTCCTCAAATTACTTTCTATCGTTGCAGTCTTTCAAGTACCACTCTGCCGATGCCCCAGGCACTCTATTTGATCATCAGGTTCTTCGATGATGGTGACACGGACGTCTCCACCGCCTCTCCCGGTGGGTTCTCTAAGGAAATCACATCTACTACGACGGAGGTGTCAAGGCAGAGTTGTATCGCTGGCGCGCTTAGTTGAAAAGGTGTGAAAAGATGGCGACTACAAACAGCGTGGTCACAAACTCGTACAAAAGTAGTGCGTATGTCAGGGTCTGCCATGTTCGACAACTCCTGTGTAATTACTTAGACGCGCTGGGAACCTTTTCTCTTTACAGAGACAGTCTTGCACTTCCCGTACTTCGCACCCGACATACTTTCTGCGCCCTCTTCGAATACAGGCCGTGGCAACGCTTCCCAAATCCTCTGGATCCGCAGCGCACTGACCTCAAATCGATCTCTCACACTGTCCACCGCCACGTCTTTTCCACCAGGCCCCACAAGGGGGCTCATAATCTCGTGATCCTTCTTTAACCACTTACCCTGAACCATGACTCCTTCAATATCTCCCGCACCGCCCAAATGCAGCACCACAGCAGCCACCGGGTCTCTCACCGCCCACAGTCCAGCCCGTGTCTTCGTGTCGATGAGCACCAGATCGGCCTGCGCACCAACGCTAATGACGCCCAAGTCCTTCCTTCCCAGTGCCTCTCCACCTTTTTGCGTCATCAGCAAGAATGCAGCTTCGCAGTTCATGGGATTGTTAATCGGCACTTCCCCGTTGTCCGCCAGTGTCTGTCGGTATCGTCCGTACCGCTGCGACTGCAGCCAAAATCTCGCCTGGAACGGCATGAAGGAGGAGAAGGTGAAGTGTGTGTCAACGCCGAGACTCGCACAGTCCTGACACAGGTCCGCGCCTACGCTTGTGTGCCCGTAGTGTGCCTCGGATTCGGGGGTGGTGGAGATGGAGGCGTGCGGGTTGCTACGGAGGACCTTGGCGTCGTTGTTCGACAAGAAGGAGGCGTGTGAGAAGACGACGGGGACCTTCGCGGGTGTGGTTAGATTCGGCTGGGACAGAGCGGAGGTGGGAAATGAATCAAGGAGAGTCGGAGAATTGGTGGCAGGGAATGGGCCGGCGACATGATGGCTGGTGATCAGCGAGAAAGGCGCGCTGGGGTGCGACACGGTGTTGTTGTGGTTGATAATCATGTCCATAACCTTCACGTTTGTTTCGACCGGTGCAAATGCCCACCCGTCGTAGGCGACTCCCAGTGCCATGGGATTGGCCTTGTCCGCGAATCGTGGATCTCTTGACAGCTGTAGCAATTTTTCTGTCGCCATACCAGTAGTATATCCGGTCGTCTTTATCTCCTGAATGGCATGGGCGAAGAAGATGCGAAGGCCTGAATGGAAGCTCGCTTCTAGGGCTGCATCAACGTGCTCGTTCGTGAACACGCCATGCGCATGGTCGAGCACTGTAGTCGTGCCGCCGTCAATCATTTCGAGAGCGCATGCCAATTGCCCCAGGTAGACATCCTCTGGCGTGAAATGCTGTCCAGATGGACCCTGCTGAGAGTACCGCCCTGCGAAATACTCGCTCAGAAATGTATCGGGACCAAGAGTCCGGAACGCAGACTGCCACATATGGTGATGGGTATTGATGAAACCCGGGGATATGGTCTTGCCTGTGGCATCAATCACTTCGGTCGAGCTTGGTAGACCTAAGAGAGAGCCCTCGGCGAGCTGAGTGACACGGCCATCCTCGACCAAGAGCGAAGCATTGCGCAAGATCTTCGATGACTGGGTCTCTTCGTCGTAGCAGATAATGGTAGCATTCTCAAAGAGAGTTGGCTCGCTGGAATCCATAGTATCTCAAGTACGCAATCTGAAGGGCAGCTAGTCGGGTGGCATAACGAAAGAGAAAAAGCTATGCGACTGGCCTGTATATGGTTGAAGGCAGAAGGGACGTCTAATTGAGCTCACGTATTGTGGCCACTGAAGCAAGCCGACCTACTTGAGAGGACTTTTGGTCGACTATGTTGATCGGAGGTCCACCATAGCTCACGGCTTCCGACCGCGTTGCTGGAGCTTTTTGGAAGACGGTGTAGGCTTAAGTCCTCGCCTGAAAGACTGTGCGCTGTGAAACTTCGTGGCTACCAGGACCGACGCGAAATTGAAGCAGCTGTCTTTAGTCAGATACTCGGACCTCGGAGGTCCTAGGTGGCGAGCCCGTACAACGATCAACAACTGATGCTCGTTCGACCATAGAAGCGACAGGGTCTGGCTACTTTTCCCAGTACGAGTACGCTTTGAGGGGAAAGTTCGGGTCCGAATCAGGTGGACTCCCAGCCAGAAGAGGAGGCATTGTGTATGACGTTTCTAATACGTATCATCCATGCTTTCTCTATCTATTGCCTGATGCCGATTTTACCCAGGTGCCAGGGCTGGGCAGGGCCACTGACTTCATCAGGTAGGAGGCTGGTGGTGGGTCTCTCATTCGACATGTATGTGCATTCTATTTTGGCTCTTCACGATGCATGCGACCCTCGACCGCGGTGCGAGATGCGTAAGTGTCTCACTCCAGGTCCATATTCATAGACAGGTGATTGTCGGTGTCCTGGGTCCAACCAGAACACGCTGCGCCCTGCTTCAAGACTGCAGTATACGCAGCATGCCACCATTTGCAGGCACCTGGTTCCCGTTGATCCAGCTTGCTGCGGGACTCGCCACAAACGCGATGATGCTGGCCACCTCTTCGGGCGTCCCCACTCGATTCAGCGGACTCATGCTGGCCGCCATCTGAAAGTAGCCCGGAAATCTCTGGTCGGCGCCCCTCAAGCTCTCGGTGTCCGTCGCGCCTACACCAATAGAATTGACTGTCAATTTGCTGTCCTTTCCGTACACCAAGGCCAGGTTAGCGGCGATTGAGTCCATAGCCGCCTTACTGAAACAATGTCCAACATTTGGATCACCAAACGGCATCTTCGCGCCTCCAGAAGAGACGAAGATGATGCGCCCACCAGGTTTCGTCATGTAGGAGACAGCAGACACGGCAAGGTGGAAGCCCGCCCATGCATTCGTCGTCATGTACATATCAAACTTTGCCTTATCGATCTGAGCGACGGGGACATATGCGTCTACATCAAGGAGGGCGGCGTTGGAGATAACGATGTCGATATGAGACACCCCAAGGCCTTGCAGGGACTTGTTCACAACAACAGACCCAAAGCTAGCATCATTAATGTCAGCTTGCACGGCGCAGGTGACGATGTCGGCAGAAACAGCTTTGATAGCATCGAGGGTTGGTTTGGGATCAGCCGAGCGGTGAGTAATGGCGATGTGAGAACAGCCTTGAGCAGCAAAAGTGAGAGCAGTGGCTCTACCCACTCCCTTGGTGCCTCCCGTGATTATGGCAACCTTGCCATTTAGAGGTGCAGCAATGGTCTGGATGGGCATGTTTGTCGTGGACGAACTGACAATATTGTAAGGTAATCGTAGAACCTCATTTATATTCGTGGGTCTTCAACGGTCTCGACTCTGATCCCAAGACGGTAAAAGTCACGCGCTTGCGAACTGTTGCGAGCACCCGAGACACTTGTATGGGGCCAAATCCTGCAGGGCGCCCTGGAAAGACACTGGCTGTTGATTGACGGAGCAAAGACCAAGCCGGTTGAAGCCTAACAGGTCCAGGCTGCTTCCACCATCGCCGTATCCTCACCACGCATGATTTTAGAGATCGCCAAATCAATTGCTGTGTGACCATGGCCCTCGGTTTGCAGAATTTTGCGGTCTCGAGGACTTGCTTCTGCCTCCTGACTTTCATGTTCGCTTGACAAATATGTTCCGGAACAAGACAAAGTCAAACTTTGTGCAGACGTAGAGGTCCTTCTAACACAACGATAGGACTATACAGGTAAGCAAATCTGGGCCGTGCCTAGCCTCCATAGCACATTTCACGAAGTTGCTCTGCTGATAACGGCGACTTGGATCACAGTCCGTTTCAAGGTCGATTTGTTCTGCCTGAGCCACGTGGAGGAGGAAGCCGGGCGGGCGCGTATTGTCGAATCGTGCTGTCGAGCTCAATATGTCGAAGGGCATTGCCTGCGGTATATGCAGCTGCTGTGTGGCGCTCGAGGGAGTCACTGGTTCCCCGAACAGAGACATGCAGGGCTGCAGCTTGATGGCTCCTCCTGATCAGATTTCTCATTCGAATGTCTTGCTTCCATGATGGACGCCATCAAGGCTGTCTGGCAAGTGTTGGAAAGGCGGGCCACTCCCTTTGTTTGGCTGGCCGCGCACATGCTTGGGTCTTGGTGCCCACCATCGTACCAAGATGGCTCAACGTGTGACAGCAGGACGCTGTGTTTGTTTTAGTCCATCTTGCTTCGATCGCGGCTTAAGCAGCTGCAGCTCAATGTCGTCCTTGGCGCGGCGAGAGTTGGCCTGGAAACTCTCGCAGATGCTTCTCATTTGAGGGTTTACGACGCGCGAGATGTTGTGGTAGCCATTCTGGGGCAGCGCCGTCAGGAACGCGTGCAGGGTGGAAAGCCAATTCGTGATGCGAGCCATCTTATCAGGTTCGAAGGACTATCGCGTATCGTCGTTCCACGCTTTCGGGTTCAGAGGCTGGTCGTGTGATTGACGTTAAGGAGTGCGATACGAGACTTGAACGGTGCTGTGTGATGATTGCGGATGGTTTTTCGAGAACGCCTGGCTGATGAAAGATAGTCAACGGAACAAGACTTATCAATTGAACAATTTTCACTGGTGAACGCAGACAATCAGTAGCGAACGGATCCGATGCGACTGCAACGTATGACTTGTGTAGTTGCCGAGAAGGAGGCGAGGTGGGATGAGTGGGCAAATGCTGGGCATTGAATTTCTGGAGACGCCGAGAACGCCCCCAACTTGGCGGCGGCTATGGCATCGGGTCCTGATCGATTGCTGGTGGCGGTGGCGACATCAATACTAGTGTCGGTGCCAATGCCGACGACAACAATGCTGGCTGTCATTCAATTATCATTTAGACGTAAATCATATATACATGTACTATGCAGTCGCTGTTGGTTTCATCTGATGGTGTTACAGGTCTCGCAGGCGTGGCCCCGGCCAACATCCTGCTCTGGATTCCAGCACTGCAAGAGGTCAAGTTGCAGGCATACGCCGCAGTCATTGCGGTGGCCCTCGTATAGCTTTGTGTCTGACAGTGTTCATCCATGTTGTTAGAAACGCTGGGGATCTACGGCTTGTCAGCATCACCCTCGATGGTAGGCGAAATCGACAAAGACAACTTACATGTCATTGATTCCCTCCTCGTTGACATTGCCTAGACAGAAGCTCTTGACCAACAGGTAGAATTCAATGTTCTCTTTCCCAAGATTCAGATACTGCCTCTCGCCGTGAGGCGCTGTAGCCTTATCCCAGAGGTGAGTGAAATGGTCAACCATTGCGATCTTCATGGGCACTTCGGGCTCAAGCGTGAGTGGCCCCGTAATTCTTGATCCCGTACCAAACGCCCATCCGAAGTCGGATGGGGATATAGGCTTGCGAAGCAGCTCTCGCAGCTTTAACCGCGAAGCGTTCCGCAGGCTGTCGAGGTCGAAAAGCTCGGCGAGGTGTAATACCCCAATTGTTTCGCAAAATGTCAGATCGTGAGGCAGTCTGTCGGGAGCCTCAAGGGCATGCTGTATCTGTATATCTTGCCCCATAGCGTACAGGAATCCGACGAAGATCAGGGCTTGCCCGTCGTCTTCACCGTACGTCTCCATGAAGCCTTCCATCTCCGGATTTCGACTCAACGAAGTCACCGCGCTTTGCACCGAGCTAAATATCAGGGGGAACTTGAATATCGATCGTAACAGGAAGGATACAAGCGGTTCATCGATACGTCGTGGCATGGTGATGAGATACTCCATCGAAGCAGAAAAGTCCTCGGTTCTCGTATCGTCAATGGGCGATGCCACCATCGGCGGCGATGCCAGCGGTGACATTACATGGATGGCTGTTTTCTTTAGAGAGCGAACGCTTTCCGAGTGTCTCGCAGGTCTGGCTCTGCCCATGGGGCCTTTCGCGGCCATGACTGGCAGCACGAACTGGAGAACTGGGATGAGGTGCCAAGTCCAATGGTGATGGTCGTCTTGGTTCGTCCTGAGAGTGATACGTCGAATTCGTGATGAAGTGGCGGTAGAGGAAGTAGAGAAGACACCCACCTTCAGTTCAACAATCTATCAGGCTGGGCCGAGAGCTCATCCCACGCGTGGCCCGCGATCGAGGATATGACCGTGCGCTGGCTCGTACCCGAGTAAACCTATGTCATCTCACCTGTTATTGGTACATATTCTTAGCACTTGGGGGGCCTGTTGTCTTCCTTTGCCGTGGGCAGCCCTTGCACAAAGAAACTCACCGTTGGGCTGGGCCTGCATATGCTGGGGGGGGGGGGGCAGAGTGAGGTGCCCCACTGCTGGGTATCAATCTAGAGTATCCCACCACGAATGTGGGTGCTACGCACTGGGCGGGAGCACCGTCTGCGCGATGTCCGGATTCAAAGATATTCAGTAATCGGATGCATTATCGATACAGTTATCGATGTGAGACTTCTACTAGCGAGATCCTTTTCTGGCTTGGTAGAGTCATGATAGCGCAGTGTTGTGCCTGCAGCGCGCGCGAGGTTGGGCAAGCTGACGGTCCGGCGACGCCATCTGCCCAGGCAAGATCCAGCGAACATGGCCAATATCGAGGCCGAGGACAATGAGATCTGTGTCAGATTCACTCCGGAAGCAATGGCCCATCACGCAGTGGAATGCCGAAGTCGAATTTCTGTGTGATGCTGACGCCAGCGAGACGGGATACGGAGAAACTTCGGTGGATGCCCCGCGACCAAAATTGCCTGCGGTCGTTGCACATCAAAAAAAGTTGGGAAATCTATCCAACTTCATGCTCACTCATTAAAGTCATGGCGCCTTCGCGATTACAAGCTCCTGCTGTAAGACAACCTGATGGTGCTGCATCAGACCATACCGACGCTCAATTTCCACTGCCCGCCGCTAAGAGACGTCGCACATCCAAGCATGAGGTGCCTGACGAGGATTCCAAAGACATGTCCTCGTCAGATAACGAGCCTTCAGTAGAGTCGCCCTCCCGGGATGAGAATGTGCGCTTAAAAGCTGTCTCAATAGGCTCTACGGGGAACAGTGGTGCCGAGACATCTGACAACGAAGACTCAGTAGATCACAGCATCGCTATTGCGCCAACCCGGATATCGAGAATCCCAAAGGCCTCTGCAAACGCATTAGATATCACCCCTCGAAGCGCCGCGCCGTCTGCTATCGCGACCACGGATGCCACATTTGCATCTTTATCGGTTGCGCCCTGGCTGGTACACACTCTCGGGTCGCTATCCATCACGAACCCCACCCCAATTCAGCAGTCATGCATTCCCCCAATATTGGCTGGCCAAGATTGCATAGGTGGCTCACGGACTGGCTCCGGTAAGACAGTTGCATTTGCAGTGCCTTTGCTGCAGAAGTGGGCCGAAGACCCTTTTGGAATCTATGCGGTGGTTCTTACACCAACCCGAGAACTTGCCCTCCAGATCTATGAACAGTTTCAGGCGCTAGGAGCACCACAGAACCTGAAGGTCGTCCTCGTAACGGGCGGCAGTGATATGCGACCTCAGGCTATTGCCCTGTCTCAGCGTCCGCATATTGTGGTGGCTACCCCAGGCCGTCTCGCTGATCACATCCAGACCTCCGGCGAGGAGATCACCACCGGCCTCTCGCGTACCAAAGCCATCGTGCTTGATGAGGCCGACCGTCTCCTGGCGTCCGGACCGGGCTCAATGCTCCCAGACCTAAATGTCTGCCTGTCCGCGCTTCCGCCCTCCTCCTCCCGCCTCACTCTCCTCTTCACCGCGACCGTCACCCCCGAAGTCCGCGCTCTCAAGTCTCAACCCCGACCCGGCCGCGCTGATGTCTTCATATCCGAGATCTCGGACCCTACAGATGATACCACCTCAGTCTCAGGCCCTAGCTTACCTCCGACTCTGAAGCAAACTTACCTCCAGATCCCCTCCACCCACAAACCCGCCTTCTTGCACGTCCTCCTGCAAACATCCTCCCTCACGAATCAAACCCCAAGTATCATAATCTTCACCAACCGTACCACGGCCGCCGACCACCTTCACCGCACCCTTCTCCATCTCGACCACCCCGTCACAGCCCTGCACTCAGAGCTCCCGCAGCGCCAACGTGCCGCCAACCTCTCCTCATTTCGCGCTCTCAAATCCCGCATCCTCGTTGCCACCGACGTCGCATCCCGTGGCCTCGACATCCCCAGCGTTGCCGTCGTCATCAACTACGACGTGCCCCGCAACCCCGCCGACTACGTGCATCGCGTGGGCCGCACGGCTCGCGCCGGGCGCACTGGCACGGCCATTACATTTGTTGGGCAACGCGACGTGGAGCTTGTACTCGCGATCGAGGACTACCTGGACGGCCAGAAGATGACGGCATGGGAGGAAGAGGGAGTCAATTTGGAGACGAGGGTCGTCAAGGGCAGGACGCTGAAGGATGTGGGCGAGGCGCGTATGGAGGCGAATCGCGAGGTCGAGCAGGGGAGGGATGTCAATGGCTGGAGGAGAGGGGTTATCAAGAAGGATCGCAAGAAGGCCAGGCAGTGAGATGGAGTGACGGATCGGGAAGACTAGAAGTGACTGTGCTGTCGGTCGTCGAGAGATCCCAGTGACAATGCTTCCCTACAGCTCAATGCTATCAATTGACACACCTCGGTCGCAACCCACTAGCCTTCTGAATACGAAGGTCTCACACACCCAGCAACGAACATTATTGACAACTTGGCCTTCTCCTACACAATATCCCGACCCACCACCATCCTCCCATAAGAGAGTCTCCCCCTACGCACGCGGCCTCACGCCTGCCTTTTAGTCCTCCTACTTGGCACAGCTCCCCAATTCGAGCTTCTTGACATCGGCGCCAGGACTGATATCGAATTCGAAGATATCCATGGGCAGGCCGATGGTGGTGCAGGCATTGGGGATGTCAACGATCCCGGCGATGTGGCCTTCGATGGGGATACACGACAGCATCAGGTAGATCTGGTAGTCGTCGTAGCCGAAGCGGCGGAGGTACTCGATCACGCGCAGGCAGGACTGGCGGTACGCGACGGTGGCGTCCATGTAGTGCTGCTTGCCGTGCTCGTCGACGGAGAAGCCTTCCTGTTGGTTTGGTGGGGTTAGTGGCTGGATCTGCTCGCGGGGAAGTGGAGGGAGAGGAAAATGTTTGAGTATATGAGGAGGCGGGTTGGAGGAACGTACGAAGTACAGCATGCGCCCGGGGCTGAATTGCGGCTGCACTGGGCCAGGGATGTAGATGGGGGATTTGCCGCCCACCATTCCCAGCTTGGCCTGGCCGTTCTTGATCACGTCGAACTTGATGGTGATGACGCCGGCAATCTCGATGGCGCCGCAGAAGGAGATCTCGCCGTCACCTTGCGAGAAGTGCAGATCGCCGACGCTGAACTTCGCGCCTTTGACGTGCACGGGAAGGTACACTTTGCTGCCGCGGGAGAGGTTCTTGATATCGCCTGCGTGGAGTTAGGAGACGTTGGCGGAGGGAAATGGTGGAGAGCTTACAGTTGCCACCGTGCTCGGGGCGGCCAGGGATGGTCCGCGCACCTTCCCTACCTACTTTCTCCTTGATATCCGCGCCGCCTTTGCCAGCATGTACGCTCTGAGGCTCGGGAGGCTGTGCGACCACACGCTTGAGGGAGGTGGTGCTGATGAGCTCTGCCTCGCGCTTGTTCCACTCGGCCAAAATCTCGTGCGAAGGAGCACAGCCGAGAATGCCAGGATGAATCAAGCCAGCGAACCTGACGCCCGGAATGTGACGAGAGGTGCAGAAGATGCCTTGGAAGTCCCAGATAGCCTTTGCAGCTTCCGGGTAGTGCTCATCGAGAAACCCGCCACCATTGTCTTTGTGGAAAATGCCCGTGAAGCCCCAGGGCTCGTGCTCGAACGGCTGGACATCTTGAATCTCGATAAGTAGGACATCACCTGGCTCAGCATCTTCAACTTCAAAGGGGCCAGAGAGGTAGTGAACTTGGGTCAGATCCACATTTTTGACATCGTCAGCACTGTCGTTATTTTTGATCTGTCCGCCAGTCCAGTCTAGGCATTCGATCTTGACCGTCTCGCCATTCTTAATGGTGCCGCAGAACGGGACGTCCGGGTGCCATCGATTCTACAACTTGTTAGCTCAACAGACGCGTTTGGGGTGTTTGACGCGTACATGGAGGTACTCCTGATCCTTAGCTGGCTTCTCCAAGTCTACTTTCAGAGCGGTGCGAATTGGTCCAGAGTGAGGCATCGTGAAGCTTGCAAACGGCAGAAGGATTGTCGAGCAGCTGGTGAGGAGGTAGAGGTTGCCGTATGAGCGAGTGAAGCTGGGTACCCCTCCCAAGGCGCAGTTGAATCACCATTTATCATATCGTATCGAGCTCTTCGACATGCGGGGCACTGTGTTTACGCGTACCCCGCCTGGCATTGATAGGCAGTTCATCCCAAAGCTTACCAGGTCATTGAGACGTCTGGCCCGGCGAGTATGAATTAAGCGCTGCAGATGAAGGGCCCCTGATAAGGCATGACACACGGCAATGTAGCTGGATGGACTTCCCCGCGAGGAACTGCTCCAGCGTCGAAATTGTAGCGGGAGCTGTTCGCAATTCTCTCCAATCGCTGTTGAATGTCACGATAAATCGAGTCGAGCTGCATGCCTCCACTACCAATCTTCCATGATCTTTGCAGTCGATAGGGAAGAAGTCGCAGTGTGTCAAGTCGATTATTTCTCACTTGATTAAGTTCGTGCCGCCCGTTCAGTATTAGCGTGATTTTCACTGCCTGATTCGATCGAGGTTCATTTTAATCAGGATGGCAGTCAGCGATGCACAAGTTCGACAATAGCACCGAAGAGACGCCAAAGCTCCACGAGACTCGCATGATGGAGGCTCTGACTCTATGAGGTGAAGAGAACGACATGTCTTATCCTGACGGAGTTGCGATGCCGCTGGACGTGGGAGCCGGGGCTGATGATTGAGATTTCTTTGCTTCGGTGTCGAGTTCCAAAGTCACCTAAGTAGGGTAAGTATCTCGGTTGGCCCCAGTGCTCGCGTAGCATGTATTTCAATTCACTTACTGGGCCGTCGTTGACCAGGCTGACCTGCATCATGGCTTGGAACACGCCGTCCTTGACCCTAGACGCTTGGTACAGTGCCTGAACCTGTGAGAAGAAGTAGTCGTACAGCTCCTTGGCCACCTCTGATCTCGCACTCCCGTGGAAATCCGGCTTGTTGCCTTTCTTGGTGTTTGCGTAGAGGGTGAACTGGGAGACGCAGAGCACCTCTCCTTCGATATCTTGGACGCTTTTCTTCCAGTTGGAGTCGCCGTCATCGGGCCAGAGCTTCATCTTCAAGACCTTCGAGGCCATGGACTCACAGTCTTTCTTGGTGTCATTGGGACCGATGGCAGCAAGCACTAGTATTCCTTTCCCAATCGAGGACACCACCTGGTTGTCAACTGTGACAGACCCGGAGAGGACTCGCTGCAACACAGCCTTCATTGCGATTAAAGAAGTGTCCAATAGCGGCCCAGTAGCATGCGGGCCGCTTCACATCAAATGGGCGGTAATTGAGCTCTCGTGTAGTTAGTCTGGCACAACGTGAACGCGCTCTGAAGACCTCAAATTTGGTGAGGATAGAGCTTAGTCAAGGCGAGTGTCCGATCAGATGACTTGTCCCTTCTTCAGACGCGGTCTATGGTGCTTGACACGTATACTCGTCGACATGGACCGAATTTCTTGTCACGGAGTTTGGTGTGAGGCCGAACTTTCCCCAATTAGGTTAGCGTGACTGCGGCACAGCACGCTCAGCTGCAGTCGCAGGTTGCAGGTGCAGGTGCGGCGCGACAGGGTGCCTGCATGCGACACCTCACCCGCCATCTCGACCACGATACGCCTTCTTTCTCCCTTCTTATCCGCCGTCCACGCTCGCGCTCAATGCAAATGAGATAACAACGCCCGCCATGGCTTCGCGGAAGATTCAACAGGAAATCGATAAGACCTTCAAGAAGGTTGACGAAGGCATCGAAGACTTCAATGGCATCTACGAAAAGATCTACTCGTCGTCAAATGCGGCTCAGAAAGACAAACTGGAGGATAACTTGAAGAGAGAAATCAAGAAACTGCAGCGGTCACGAGATCAGATCAAGACTTGGGCAGCCGGCAACGATGTCAAGGACAAGACACAGTTACTGGAGTACCGGAAGAAGATCGAGAAGGTTTGCATGTCCGCAACATGTTGTTTCAGCAGTACTGACCATTGCGCAGTGTATGGAGACGTTCAAGGCTGTCGAAAAGGAAATGAAGACAAAGGCATTCTCCAAGGAAGGGCTGTCGCAGAACATCAAGCAAGATCCTAAGGAGAAGGAGCGGCAAGAGCTATGCGATTTCCTTACCGACCAGCTCGACGAGATCAACCGAATATTGACGGAAGAGTTGGAACCTGAGGCGGGCTCGCTACAAGTTGCACTCAAGAAGAAGCAGAAGGACACCTCGAAAGCCGACCGACTCGCCGAGATTGAACAGTTCACCGACACCTACCAATGGCACGAATCTCGACTACAATTGGTGCTACGGTCACTCCAGAATGCCAATCTCGACAACGATCTAGTAGCAGCCATCAAGGGGGATATTGAGGAAGTGGTCAAGGAGGTGAGAGAGCCGGATTTCGATCCCGATGCATACGAGGGTATCTACGATGACCTGAACTTGGACAATGAGGAAGCCCAATTCGGCCTGGCCAATGAACTCGATCATATCTCGTCACAGGATGCACAGTCTATACAAGATCATGATGAGCCTGAACCTCCGGCTCCGCCAAAGAAGACCAAGTCTGATCCTCCCACCGCACGACGACCCTCTACCCAGCTCAAATCCCCCCTACCCGCTCTGGCGACTCTGAACAACATGCCCCCGCCACCTTCAATACCCAAGGATCCGACTATGAAGCCTGCGCCCATACCGAATCGGCCACCAGGCGAGACACTCAAGTACGCCTCAGCTGCGGCGGCTGCGGCAGCGAGTGACAAGTCTGGCATGGGAATCAACCCACTTCCAGCTCCCGTCAACACCAGTCCTGCCCCATCCATGCCGCCTTTACCGGCCCCTGTCAAGACGTCATCTGTCAGCTCACCATCGACAGCGCCCGCGCAACCGTCAGAAGCGTCAGCAACTCCGCCTGTAGCAACCGAAACACCTGCTCAGGAAAGCAACGAATCCAAGTCTCCCACATTGAGCGCCACCAGCGCGCCTGGAGCAAGCGTGCCCAGCAGCATACCCCCAACGCCCGCCATGGATATGGCCGAAGCGGTACAAGAGCCCGTAATTGCCGATGATGTTGCGGCAACTAATGGCGAATCTCACGAGGAGTCGGAGGAATCAATATATCATCTTCCACCGGGGCTACAGGATCTGCTGGACTCGTTCGAGACGACCAAGAGTAGGGTGTCACAGCCTCCGTCGCAGCTCTCTCGGATTTTGCAGGCTTCACAAGAGACATGCCCGGAGCCGCTGGATGCTGATCGACCGCAACATTACCGACCCACCTTCAAATACAACACGCCCGCGCATTATCCTCAAGATGTACTGCCTATCTTTGATGATCCGGCTTTGTACGACAACCAGCGGATGGAGACAGATACTTTGTTCTACATCTTCTACTATCGGCAGAATACTTATCAACAATGGCTGGCGGCACGTGCGCTCAAGAATCAGAGTTGGCGGTTTCACAAACAATACCAGACCTGGTTTCAGCGACACGAGGAGCCGAAGTCAATTACCGAAGAATTCGAGCAAGGAACCTATCGGTTCTTTGACTACGAATCTACATGGTAAGTGACAAATTGCCTGCGGTTCCCCACCTTACTAACAGACGTAGGATGAATCGCCGAAAGGCCGACTTCAAGTTCGTGTACAAATTCCTCGAAGACGACTTGTGAGGAAGTGTAATTACATAGTAGCTCGAAATCATGGTCTTCGGTCCAGTCCATCGAAGTCGAGCGTGTGCTGCATAGCAGCTTATCACCAATCAGAAGCAGCTTTTTGAGCCGCATCCCCTCACCGTGCTCGGTTTCAGGCTACGTAGCGTCCTGGAACTATCCATCGGACTCTGTTTGCAGCTTGTCTTGTCAGTGGACGGACGGGTGACTTAAGACAAGAAGTGCTGCCTGACTTCGCCTCGCTGCATAGTACCACTGACCTTGTGACAGCGGCACGATCGGGGCGATGCAAAGAAGGCAACCTCACTAACTGTCTGCGCTAACCCGCATTTAGCCATGTTCGGACGTTCCTCGCTTCGAAGGCCTTTCTTTGCCAAATCACTGCCGCGATCCATCTCACAGTCCATTCACAAACGACCCAAACCCGTCCGAGGCATCTTGATGCCCCTCATATGGTTCGCATCCATCTCGTCTTGGCTCTATCAAGGATCCATCTTCGCAACCGTCTCCTCTGATACGCCAGGCTGAAGTCCGACTCTTCCTTCCCTGCAGCTTCGATACTTCAGCTCGTGTTTTAGGTCTATAGTCGAACTTCAGGAAGCCTGTCTGTATGCCAACGCATGAAGTTTGGGGGCGGAGTACTGCCTATTACCATTTCGGGCTCGGCAGTGTCTGCCTCTGTTATCGCTGGGATAGACCACATGACGATCAGTCCACGCAACACAAAGCTCCTGAACCTCCCGCGGCGAGGCAGCGAATCTGATAACAGCGTTACTCAACCTTCTAACCTGAAAATGAGCCGTGGCGATCGCCTTGCGGTTGCAACCAACTCCCAAACTTCTCAGCCTCAGCAGTTTGTCCGACACTGGAAGATCCTCATGGCCTTCCGCGAATGCTTGTATTCCTGGCGTACTACACCTTTATTGAACCACTTCTTTAGGCCGGTCGGTGGCCGCCTCTACTTGCTGGAACTCACGGCAAGTCTGTCCAGAATCTCTTAAGAATGAGGCTGAATGGGACGTGGTAGCAACGTGCCGCCCAATCGACGTCCAGGCTCGAATCTTGATCGGCACTAGTTCCCAGCCAGGTCTCTAATGTGCCAAACTTGCAGAGTGCCTAGACAGGCCGCATAGCCTTCATTCTACTGGTTTGTTTGCCTCCTTGACTCGAGTACCGAGGACCTCACATAAAGCTCGCACAGGTCGCCCCTACGGCCTGAGTCTTGCTATGGTCTCTTCCCCTACAGACAAGGCTAGAAAGTACCACAGGCTTCAAACCCCTTGTCATCCTCTTCCCAAAAACCAGGCTATATCTCATTCGGCACAGCGCCTACATCCTATCGGAGACCCTCACCCTACTCGTTGCTGTTGCATCGACCGCCTTGTTCTTGATCAAACGGGCCTGACTGAGCCTGCTACACCAGATGACAATGGCGATGACATACACTCGCCATCAGACTTTTAGCCAACAATTCGGCGACCCTATGGCTTATCAACCGCCGTATTACCACCATGAGCTTCATTCTGGGGACAACGAGTCTCTGTTCTCCCGCTGCCAACCTCGCTTCGTGGGAGCTGATCGCCATGCCGTGTCGAGCTTCAACATGTACGAACAATCCTGTTTCAGTCATCCAAGCCACGCTCCCCACACCGGGTTCTTTCCTGCGAGTCCTAATGACAATGACGACTACAGCAACAGCTACTCGACTGGCACAACGCCTCGGTCTAGTGTCGACAGCTCTCCGAGAGAGAAGCATTACAAACCAATCCTCTTTCAACAACCACATCGGCATGATCAAGACAGGCTCTCCGGCTCCGTGGAGCCCGTCTCAACTAAGACGCTCCTCGTCCCGACAAAGCCTCACTGCATTCATCCAGACTGCCTCGACGCCTCGGGCCAGCCGCAGAAGTTCTTCTCCAGGAAGGCGGATGTCGGCCGGCATGTCCGGTCTCAGCATGAGCGAAACTACATCGACTGTCCCAAGAACCGCTGCGCACGCAAAGGGGACGGTGGTTTCACAAGACAAGATCACCTCAAAGAACATCTGAGACAATACCATCAGGAGAAGCTTGCGAAGAGAGCCAGCGGGTCGGGTTCCAGAAGGACGACTTCCAGACACGTGTGACCGTCAGAGAGTGGGCAGCGTACCGTCATCATGGGAGAGGACAGCTTGGACTAGGTGCACGTCTCTAAGGAGGCATCTGCTTGGTGTGATGTACACTCCGTCGTTGTCGGTGTGGATTCCACAAGCTTGGAATTGGCGCTCAGGACTTATGATTCTCTCACGGTTAACGAATTAACGATACTATCTGTACCTCGATATTTGAAGGATTCATGGAGGGTGCTCCATTGAAATGTACCTCATAAAGTTGTGAGGAGATGGCCGCTCGCTTCATCTGTCTTTAGACGCGTTCTATAGACACTCAAATAGCCTATACTACGGTTGCATGATATCGTCGGAGTTGTGTTGCGGCATCTATGCTGTTGTACACCCTGGCTCACGACAATAGAGTCCTCCCTATCACTTCTTCCATCAGCAACCACCATCAACGCAGACGAAGCCGCGGCCTACGTGGAAGCCACAGACTGAGGACCAAGGAACGATGCCAACAGATGCAAGAAGCCACCATACTTACCGTTCGGTCGAGACGGTCACCGCAGAATCTCATAGTACATCACACTCTGTCGATTGCTCAATCCGCGTAGGTAGCCGCTCATGCCCCCCGCTCCAATACCACACCGTACCGAACTTGTTGACGCTCCCTCAGAGTTCCCGTGCTTCCTTCGCCAGTCGTTGAGTGTTCTGCAGAGCCTCCAGCACATAGCCCGTAGGGTACGGACCTCCTCAAGCTGAACGGTGAACACAACGATGTGCTCGACAAACCTCTAATACGGCACTGCACCAACCCGAAATTAGCTGAGGTCCCACGTCAGAACTGGAAGCTAAGCATGCCTCTGCCTCCAGGGTCGACCAATTGGCTGTTCCCAGGACTCTTCCCCGTACGCATTTGCCGAAGTTGCACAAGCAGCATACTCCACGTTTGACCTCAAAGGGCGGTAAGAGCCTCATCTAGAGAGGATCATGGCGTGTGTACTACAGGCGCGGGTAGATCAGCGCTCAATCGCGATCCTCTGAAGAGGTCTTGCGGAGAGGCGTGCTCCGGGTGACGGTCGTATAGCGAGCAAGGAGCTGGTGATGTGTTCCTGGCCTTCTGGGCGCCCGATCGCGGCATACCTAAACCATCATAGTACACTATCCATATCTCGAGCTTCCGGCGAACAGGCGCGTATCGCTTGACATGACTCAGTGTTGGTGGTGTCTGACCGGGCATTCACGTTGCTGTTCGGGTGTAGAGAGTCAGGCTGGCAGCTGCGGATTAACAATTGACGCCACACGTATACGCGGTGTGGATCATCACGAAGTGGATATTTATACAGCCCGCCCCCACGCAACCACCACGGACACCCGCGAACATCTGAGGGTGTTCAACACCAGCTAGAAAACGATCGACAACGGCAAACCGCCGAGATAGTAACCTTGAGCAACGTCACTGTTCACTTCTCTATCCTGACCCAGTGCCAGAAACACCCACACACCCACCCGACAGCCCCCGCCTCCTAGCATACTCAGCAGGCGGCCCCCCCTCCTACTTCAGTATCGATTTGCACCACAATGGCAACAACGCCAAAACGCATCATCTTCACCGGCGGCTCCGGCAAAGCCGGGCGCAACCTGATCCCGCTCCTGCAAGCCTCGGGCCACCACATCCTCAACCTCGACCTCCAACCCCTGCAAACCGGCCCTCCCCCGCCCGGCGCCCCCACCGCCTCCCGCGTGCACACCATCCGCACCGACCTCACCTCCTCCGGCCAAGTCTTCAACGCCCTCACCTCACACTTCAGCCCCTCGGAGCCCCTCCCGCCGCACCTCCCGCCGGTCCCAGACGCCCTCCTCCATTTCGCCGGCTACTCCACCCCGCTCCAGGCGCCCGACAACGAGACCTTCCGCGTCAACGTCCTGGGTCTGCACAACGTGCTCGAAGCGGCGTGTAAACTGGGCGTTCGCAAGGTCGTCGTCGCCAGCAGCGTGACCGTGTACGGCGTCACGTTCGCGCAGGGCCCCGCGGAGTTCGCGTACTTCCCCGTCGACGAGGAGGCGCCCACGGAGCCGGAGGATACGTACGCGCTCAGCAAGGTGTGCGGGGAGCGCGTGTGCGCGAGCTTCGCGAAACGGTTTCGGGAGAGGGGCGTGGACGTCTATGTGTTGAGGATTGGGCGGGTGGTGGCGCCCGAGGAGTACAGGGAACCGGGCGGGCTGTGGCAGGGGTACGTGGAGCGGCCGGGGGAGTGGGCGGGCCATGGGTGGAGTTATGTGGATGTGAGGGATCTGGGGGCCATGTTGGAGAGGTGTTTGGAGGTGGATGGGTTGGGGTTCAGGGTGTGGAATGCGGTGAATGATGGTGTGAGTTGCTATGAGGACGTGAATGGGCTGTTGGGGAGGGAGATGCCCGGGGTGGAGTTTAGGAGGGCCTTGAAGGCGAGGGAGGCGCCGATCAGTAATAGGAGGATCAAGGAGGAGTTGGGGTGGCGGCAGAAGTACGACTGGGTGGATTTGGTGGACCCGAGTTGGGAGCAGGGGAAGCGGGAGGAGATGCTGAAGCGGGAGGAGATGCTGAAGCGGGAGGAGGAGGAGCGGAAGAGCAAGGCTGCGCCGTGAGGGTCTGGTTGAGTCGTGAAGTATGGAACCATAAGATCAAGGGCAAGGCTCAGCCCTGAGGGTTTCACTGGGAGCCGAGGAGTCGCAAGTCTAGTCAATGCTTTCAAAGCTCCTACACATGGAGGTAAAGACAGTGTCTATGGTATATGAATACACTTCTGAGAAAGAATGGCCATGCCGTTCTGGCTGAAACAGATACTCCCACTTAGAATTTCAGTCGACCCAGTTCTCCGGAGAAGCATGGGCGGATCTCCCCACGCTTCGCGCCTTACCCCGGTTCAAATACTCGGCACACTCATGGCCACTGCCGCGCAGGAGACCTTCACAGTCAAAGTCCTTCTTGCACAAGGCACAGTACTTCTGGTTCCGCGCGAAATGGCACTCACGCTGCTGCTCGTTATCGAAAGTCTCTTCACAGAGGTAACAGGTCACAGGCGGAAGGTCGGCATTGGGGAGAGTGGATGACGTGGCGAGGACTTGAGGCGCCTTGAATTCAATTGTGGCTCGTAGGGGCAGTAGGGCCCTGAGTGCTTCTTCTGGGACGCTGTAATTCGAAGAAGGGCCATTTGAGGTGAAGATATGGTCAAAGGAAGCTCCACTGGGGTTGACCGGCTGATCGAGGTTTGCCAGGTTGATAGTTACGTTGAGTCCTCGCTTCTGCAGTTCGCGGCCCGCCTCGTACCAGTTCATGCGTGGTTGAGACTCGTCCCCGAGGTTGGGCAGATCAGCATTGTCAGATGTACGTCCGTTACGTCGGCGGTGACGGTTGCGGTCTGGGAGGCTACTGGCGATTGTAGTCTCGGCAGACTCAGCATTGTTGCTGCGGCTGCGGTCTTGTCGGGGATCCCGAGCCATGTTGTCGGGGTCTGAATCGGAGTCTGTGATAACGACCGAGGAGTCGGAAGGAGCGTATAGAGACGGGGGAGGAGTGATGGTTTCTTGCGGGAGCTGAATGATGACTGGGGGTTGATTTCCGCGACGTTTTCTGGATGCGGCTTGGTTGGATTGAGACACCGAGCTCGGGACTGTATCTTCGGCCTGATGTGGGCGATGTTTATGCCTGCGTCTGCGTTTCTGACCGGGGGTTAGTTCCAGAGGTTGATAAGCTGCGTCTGAGCCTCGTCCGGATGCGAAGGAAGCACGGGGCGAGATCCCTGCAAACCAGCCCAAGACTTTATGGTCCTGGTATCGTCGACTGCTTACACTCATCTAGTGATGCAAAAGGCATGTTTGGGTTCAACCGAACCCATGGTGTGCTGCCTAAGGTTATATGCCTTCTGTAGAAGACAAATGGACGATAAAGTAGACGAACTAGGCTGCCAGCAGATCAGCAACGCTGTTCACGACCTTCAGACGGGTGTTGGACGCGGCGACGCGCTCGTGTCGGGCAGTAATCGCCAGGCTGAATCGGACACTGGCCCCAGAAGGACTGCACATGTAGTTGGAGAAAGTACAGCACAAGAGATACAGCACGTGTGAAACCCTCATTGGCCCAAGGCAACAAGGCAACTGCTGTGGGTCGCAACGACCACGTTCGCAGGACCGAGCGAGCCGTGGCTTCGAAAACGAGCACAGTTGATAGGCTCAATATCTCGTATATCTTGGAAGGTTGCGACCGGTGAGTTGATGATGTTGGCCGCCCAATGTTGCCTCTCGTCACCAGACTTGGGCGATACCACATCCAGGATAAAGCCCGTTCAGATAACGCGACCGAAGTGCGAACAAGGGCGACTCTGCTCAATTACTGCCATCTGGGTGAGTTGAGGGTCTAAAGCCACTTGATTTGTGCCTGCGCCTGGGCTGTGTGACAAGCAGCGCAGCCAGTGTCTCGTTCTCGCATTGCTCAGGCTACGCCAATCCTGCATTGACCTTTGCTCTGTGACCGATTAGACGGTAGCATGACATACAGTGCCTGTGTACCCTTGACAAGCGACGATGCCAGGCCATTTCCCAACCTTATGTTTCCTGCTGAAGAGGGTGACCGAGAGGATAGCTGATGAGCACACCGTGCGTCTGGCTCCAAGGAACAGGCAAGCTCGTCTGTGTGCCATCAGGATCTATCATCCAGCCTCTTGATTCCTGAGACTATGTTTGTATACATCCGTATCTCATTGTGTAAAGGTCCAGTAACCTGGATTAAGCTGTTCCTAATGTACGTTGTTTGTCTCGCAACAGCAGAATCGATGGCTCCCGCCCACACTCACACTCCACAAAGGCTCACGCCGGCTTCCCCGGTGCCGTCTTTGAATCGGCATTAGGTAGTTGCCTACATCTCCGACGTCGCATTGACGGCCGCAACTCACGAGCTGCTCGTTGAATTGCTCCCAAAGCTGGCCGATGACAAAGTTGGCCCTCCCATCAACCCGCTCTCGGAAGCCCAAAAAGCATGCTGACTGATGATCTCATCTTTGACCGCCGCGTATCCGATGGTTCTCGGATGGAACGCCTTCATGAACTTCGTCTTGAGCATTTCCTTCTTGTCGTCCGCCCAGTCCTTGAGTTCTTGCATCAGATCGCGCGGGTAGATAGCGCCATTCACGCCAGCGTCCGGGTTCTCCTCCACGGCTTGCGCAAAGGCACATTCCAATTCCGTGTATGGGTCTTCGCAGAAAGCCTCGTCACGCCGGGTGTGGTCGGCGGGTGGATCGTTCGCGGGGTCGCGCGGGTCGATGCTCGTTCCGTCGGGTTGAATGTCTCTGCCCCACGGCAGGAAGAACCAAGCTCCGCCAACGTTCGCGATGTCATCGCCCTCGGTTGGCTCACAGAAGCGATGGCCTTCGAAGAGAGTGTCGATGTCGATGTAGCGAATGCGTTTCCGGACTCCTTGGTTGTCAAGTTGCTGCTGAGCTTCTTGCACGGCTTCCTGAATCATTGCATTGAAGGCGCGAACGCCTCTGTTGATTCGTTGCCGGAGCGCCATGGTAAGGGGAGGAGCGAAGTATTCCGGCTCGAGGTTGTAGTGTTCGAGGATGCCGATCGTTGTCGAGTCGCACCGATCATTAGCTTCGGAAAAGAACGCGGCGTAGCCGGTCACGACCAATGTAAAGTCCGCGGATGCTGTGTCGAGAATGTCCATATAGGCTGTCAGGAGGTTGCGGGACAATCCATTCTGGTCACCATTGCCAGGATTTGTGATCCCAGCAAGAGTCTCTGCACGCCTCAACTTTTCCTCACACCTTGACGAGTAACGGGGCAAGATTCCGAGAATGCACCACTTGACAACGCCGCTGAAGCCAAGATCGTTACCTCCGATGGACAGTGTAGCAAAATCGTAACTTGAGGAGTCGATCGTCCTGAGCATCTCAACCTGGGAGGTCCGATCTTTGCTTGGACTTTGGTTGATGTGTGTGATGAGATCTCCGGTGCAAGACAGGAAGTCGAGTTTTCCGCTGAGGACGCTAACCGATCTTTCAAGCTGGAATGGATATGCGTTGGTTGTTGTCAGGCACTTGCGGTTGGGGTCGCGAGGATTTTCGTAACCACCTCCTGCTCCGACCCCTGCAGAGTAGGAATCACCCAATGCCACCCACGTTGGCTGATCGGGAAACTCTGGCGACCATGGATTGGGATTAGACGGCGAGTCAGTACCTCTCTCGGTATTGTCGCCGGGATCTATAAGTGGACATTAACGAATGTTGCGACACATTGAAGGGCCAGCAACGTACCGTAAGCAGGCAAGTCTGGATTCTGATCAGGATCATCTTGCCCGGAGCCATCGCCATTGCAATCATCGTTGAACTGCGTCCACGCCTGGTTGGTAACAGGGTCAATGTAGTGCAGATCAGCAAATCCATTGCCTGTGAAATCAGGGTAGTACTGATTGGCTCCACGAGACTGGCCATCATAGTACTTGCCCATGGGATCCCAGTGGAATTTGCTTCCACTTTGGCGCTCGTTCTCAGGCAGCTCACCGCCATTCATCCAGACAGAGACATCGCCATTGAACTTATCAACCCAGATATAGTCGGCTTTACCGTCGCCATCGATATCCGCGAATCGGATGTTTGCACGATCCTTTGAAGGTTCCGCGAATTTGACCTGTCCAACATCGCGCAGTCCGCCCGGTTCGTTGATCAATGCTGTCGTTCGGCCATTACGCTCAATACAAAGGTAATCTAGGACATGTTAGCTCGGTACATGGCGACACGAGATAGCACAGTGATGGATCTGTACGTCCAGTGGCAAAGGGCGCAGATGACAGAGTCCACTACTCCAACGAAGGGATTTTCAAACTCACCTGCTCGTCCGTTCCCTGAGATATCTGCAAACCGCAGTCCGAGGTCGAACAGGCCAACACCCCACCCTTCGCGACAGAGACGGGATATACCTTGGACGTTACCACGAAATTCGAACGTGGGAGTTCGTCCATTGTTGCTGTTGAATGTGTTCTCCCACCACTCGACGGCACCAGAGAACCGGTCAACGTAAAGTACATCGCATTTGCCGTCACCATTCCAGTCAGCGAGGTGCAGACCTTTTCTGTCGCGGTTGAAGCTGTAGACAGGTACAGGATGCTGCCCCCAGTTCGGTGGGTCGGCAATGTTCTCGTACAGTGTCATCTCGCCAGTGGATCGGAACCAGACATAGTCGTCACGACCATTGCCTGTCATGTCACAGTAGCGATTGCCATCTCCTCTCAGCTTCGTGCCTCCTTCACCCTTGTTCCTCCAGGCCTCGATTTTGATCCGCGAGTTTATAGTTGGATCAAGGCCGAGGCGGAAGGGTTCGACCTTGACCCGTGCATAGTCGTACCCACCATAGGCCCAGATTCGCGCAAATCTGATCTGATCTCGTGCGCCGTCTTCTCCCATTCCGCCATGGGCGCATCTAGCCTGGATCCAATGAGGCGCCATGCCTTTGCCGACACCTCGAGAGTTCGTCCAGATATCGGACGCTCCTCGTTCGTCTAGCCAGACCCAATCGTCACGGTGATCACCATTGATGTCGACAAATTGAGTACCATCGATGTTGCCCTTGCCCTTGCCGGTGAAGACAATACCCAAGTCTTGCCAATACTCTGCACTTTCCATGCCGATGCCGCCGTTACGCCAACAGGTAATGTCGCCGTTGAAGTCTGTACGACAGTAGTCCAGTCGCCCATCTCCATCGATATCCGCCAATTTCACTTGACGCTGTTCTGTTGCCATTGGAGGAGAAAAGAAGGTGTTGACATATTTGAACTGTGGTGGGCTACCTCCTTGATTGATGGAGACAAACATCTTCCCATCAAGGCCGATGCATATAAAGTCGTCTAAGCAGGGTCCAGGGGTTAGTGTTGGATCGCCGAGCAGGAAAGGCAAATGGACTTACCAAGGCCGTCACCATTGACATCCCCCCAACGAACGCCTCGGGCACGGCAGCCCTGACCCGGCTCATTGACAAAGAACTCTTTGCTTTCGAGAAAATTCTGCTGATCGTTGACGTAGACGAACATCCTCGCTTTGCCTTGCCCTCCAAAATTCTTTTCTGGATCAATGTAGACAACCAGGTCATCAAGTGCTCCCGATGGATCAGGATTACCTCCTTGATTGACAAGCTGAGCGAAGGAGACTTCATTCGTGTCAAGTTGAATACCTCCGATAGCTTGTTCCAGGATCTGTCCCATCGGTTCGCTGTTATGGCAGTACTGGCCGTCATGGTCGCCACTTCCCACCTGTGTCCGCACCGGTGCTGTCAGCTCTCTTTTGGCGAGGGTATTTGCGTTCAGATTCGCGGCACATGAGTCGTCTTGCTCAGGGAAATCAGGGATGCCGGTATCGATGGGAAGACGGAATTTCTGGTCACCATAAGCGCGCTGAATTGCCGCATCGAAAACCGCAGCCATTTTGCGAAAGCCATCATTGTCGGGATGTGTGCCGTCCACCAGGTCGCCACCAGTGATGAAGCTGCCATCATTCATTTCGGCTAGATATAGAGACTCTCCGTTTGCCCATCGCTGTCTCACCATGGCTCGTATATCATTGTTGATGAGGTTGACGTTCTCATTGCCTCTAGGATTGTCGGAGATGGTGTTCACGAGAAGCGTGGACAGCACGACGACGGCGCCCTCACTCTCTCGAAAGATCTTGTCAATCATGCCACTGAGCCTTTCGCGAGCAGTACTGGGCTCGAAGTTTTGTGTAGCGTCGTTAGTCCCAGCATTGATGAGCACGAGGTTGGGCTTTCGTTGAATCACCGCATCAAGACGAGTCCGTACTTGGTCTATGCGATCGCCAGAGACTCCTTCATGCTGCCCATTACGCATGAGTGGTGCTCCAGCATCGTCGTCTCGTTTGTTGTTTCTAAACACCAGTTAGAACTATTTGGGACATTCGAGGAAAGTATCGCAGTAAAAACTGACTGATTGCCGATCATGTTAACTTGATCACCTCGCCATCTTAGCCTGTCACGTAGTGGTTTGCGAAAGCCATTCTTGGGGTTAGATCCCATGCCTCTTACAATCGAAGCACCCAGGGGCAGAATGCGCAGAATAAGACCTCTTGCTTGTCGTGGCTGAAGGTGTGTGACATTGCCGGGAATGATATCAGGATCAAGTTGGAGTAGTCCAAGATCGGTTGTTTGAGGCGTTGGATGCGTGATAGCCAAGTGGAAGCTTGCAACAAGACAGAGTAAGGGAAGAAGACATTTCAAAAGGAAAGACTGCATGTTGAAGGAGTGAATGCCGAGCGCAATGAAGCTTGCGCTGCTAACGTAAACGAATGGATGCCAGAGACGGCAAAATGAGTGGACGCACCCTGAAGGTGCTAGGCAATCGAAACACTGGGAAGGGAGAGTGTTTGGACCGCACTGCGAGTTCAGGTGGCCATGGTCTTGATATATGCGCTCGACATGACGGAAAACCTCGCATGCCTCGCATATGGCCCCCAGAACGTGCGGGAGTATTCGCGTTCAGGCGTACATACGTACCGCTTGGCATGCTTGATTCGATATATGCACTTTCTGTAAAGTGATTGCTGTTGTCGATGTTCTGGCCCCAAATCCGTTCACCTGGGGGCCAGAATCTCCGGTAGGCATACTAAGACCACGACTTGGCGTTGCTTATCGCACGGAAGTGGTTTCCTGTCCTATAGGGCGGCCATGCGAATGCAAGAGATGTTCGGCTGCGGCAGATCGGCTCTCGAATATGTACGGAGGTAACGCGATCGAAAATTGGCCGAGGGTTTTGTCTCATTAGCCATAGTCACTAAGACTAACACGTAGTATACACTACCTGAACATGGTCAATAGCATGTCACCCTTCGCAGGTGATTTGATTGCTACAGGGTCCATCAAGTACCGAGGAACATCGCAGTTCGAGACCGATACAGCATCGGCCTATGGTTTTGTGTGCCGCACAGCCGTTCACCCTGCACGTGGGAAGAGATGTGCCTGGATTATGGTTGTTGGCGTCGATTGAGTGACAGCACAGATGGGAAAACAGCTCTATATGCATAGGTAAGCATTGGAATCCTCTGTTATAAACTGGCCCGTCGAAAGATCCGTAGCTCAAGACACTGCATCTAGCTTGTAAAGAACAGCCTTCATCGGCAGTTATACTATAGTTCAATTGACGCCACGACTTCAACTCCGTGAGCAATAGGCCCTTGCTCGTTGTGCAGGTTCATGAACGATGGAACCCAGGAGCGATTAGGCATCAGTCGACTGCTGTAGGCCGCAACCGAGATGAGCCCAGTCTAGCTGTTCAGTGATCCCCACCGAGTTCCCGGCTACCATTAATATAGCGATGCACGTTCAGACTTTCTGATGCTCTGGCAGGTCCTCCGGAGCTGCGTCGAGTGGGTGCGATCACTTCTTGAATGAATGCAGTCTAGATCGTGTTTTGGGTGTTGCTGAGTAACACGTACCTTGAATGTGACGGCTCTCTGACTCGTGCGCAATCATTGTTCCACGCTGCAGGACTTGGCAGGGGCGTAAAAGCTTCCTCACCCCGCAGCTCAACTGCGGTCAACTCACTAACGGGGTGCAACTTTCAAATTCAGGATCTTTGTGAGTAATCATGGACAGCACCGCATGCTAAGGGGACAGTACCTGACTCTGCGCGTCATTGCAGGAACCGAGGTCATCAGAATTCGCCCCGGGAAAGGCTTGCAGCCCCCGCAACTTGTAGAACGTAAACTTATCGTAGTGCAGAAAATACGGTAAGGTATAGACTTACATGGTCAAGTGACATACAGAGGTGACGTGGTGACGTTATGAGGAGCTCGCGGGGCTGCTGCATCGACTTACTAGGCCGCCGTTTGTGAGGAGCCAGGCGCTTGAGAGGCATCAGTCCCGACCATCGGATAGGCTAGCTTGATCTCCTGAGGTTCCTTCGCAGTCGGACAGAGGGAGCAAGTCGTCAAAGCAGTTGCGTACTCCTGTACCATCCTCTGCACGACTTTCGACGCGGTGTCAAAGAGTCGACGTCAACATCAGCCGAGGTGTACACAGTATGCTTTCGCCGTGTCAAAAGTTACTCGTTAGGGCAACTTTGTTGCGCCCGGATCAATGCTCATTGAGGAAGGCGGGATCGGCCGCGTTTTCACCGACGTGCAGGGGTTATAGTCCCTGTTCAAGGTTAGGGGGGAAAGTAAATTCACGTGACTTGTTCAGTCGCAATGCACAGCAGCTGTCAAGCTGCTGGAAGATTCTGTCGAGGCGGTCTTGAGTGCTCCGTAGCGAGCGCCTAGTAGCCTGCGCATACATCATTCTGCCTCTTGGCCTGATGATGTGGTGCGCTTGGACAGTTCCTTGGCATAAACCGGTGCCCCACGTGGGCCAGAAGGGCCAAGGTCGCAGCTGTTGCAAACTCGAAGCCGTTGATCGACAGTTGATCACTGGAACCCGCAGTGTAGCGGCCAGTGAAGTGAACAGGGACGCGACGACTTGGGCGTCAGCCAATAAGTGACCGTCCAGAGTCGAAAAACGGGGCAGTTCTGAAACGTGCACTGAAGTACCGACGTCCGAGACTCGGACCTGCAATATCTGCAGGGGCAGCTTTCCTTGATTCCCATCGAAAAACAACAACTGCGACCCCTGACCAAGTCGACGAGACTTTTGATAGGCAAGAAGGCACGGCGGAAATCTATCTGCTCCGCGGTCCATGTTCAAGTGCACTTTACCTCGGGAAGTGAGACAGATCGACCAATGCTAGGTCAACGGTCGTCGATGTAGCTGGAGCAGCTCCAACCGAGTAGGTTGTAGTCAAGGGAAAACATCGCCGAGGCTTGAGCATTCTGCTGGTAGGAAAAAAGTTTCCGGGGCGAGAACCCGCCCGATGAGGCGGTGATAGTTTCCAGATTCCCAGGCAACCTTGGTAGCTGCAGGCGAGTCTGAGATCTCTTGCACGCGATTCTGAGATTTGATTGCCGCCATGATACAACTGCGAGATGAAGCACGTTTGAGACCTGGACGTGTTGACACCGTCGCAAAGAGGCTCTGGCAAATTTGAACAGGTCAAGCACGCCCCTGGCATACCTAAGATTTGACGAATCGTCAAAACTTGGAGACGAGCAGGTTGAGTGGTTCTGCATACCCCAGACTCTGGGTCCCCAACCGTCGGATGGTGTACCGGAAGGACGCTAGTGGGCAAGTCGGCGTTTTGCGACGGTGATTAGAGCGCCGTTGGCCCCGACGATTGGCGGTTGGTATCGACAAGCTTGAGACCGTTCACAGCGCTGGTCTCTGAAAGCTGTTGTTATCGATTATATCAGGCGAAGACGCAATTCAGGTTGAACAACGAACCTCCGCAGCGCCGTTGACGTATGCAGGTTGCCATATGACCTTTGCTGACATGGTAGAAGCAGGAGAACGATGCGATAGTCGCTTGGCATGGGCGGTGCTGCAATGTCATCTGCTTTCCGGGCCCGAAGCAACTTCCGATGAGGAATCCTGACTTTTCGAAGTAAACAGAACCTCGAGAACGGAGTTTACGTATTCAATGGTGGCGGGGAAGACTTGGTCGAGCGTCGACGACGCGTCAGGACACACTTGACCAGTTCAAAAAGTTGGAGTGGCAAGCACGGCGAAGGTAGATGCCGATGTCCGACCTTGGCACTACGGCGAACTGCAGCATTCAGCGCCGCCGTCTCGCAACGTAGATGATGCCATCGAGACAGCACATCCGTCCGCCATTCTGTACACTTCTGATGTGCTTGCGGATATCTGCATGCTCAGTGCGAGTCAAACGGCAACGGCTCTGGCATGGGCAGTTGCAATCGATCACATCGACTCCCTCGATTCTGTTCGTGTATCCCATGAAGTAGCCGTCTGTCCCATTCGTGCAAGCAAATAGAACAGCATTGCCCGGCGCGCCCGAAGCATGAGCATACTGGACCGGACCATCAAGTTCGGCTTACCTGGCTTGCTGTGTGGCGCATCTACACGATCCGTGCAGGGTGGTGCTCTCGATCATGTGTAGCTGCAGTAATATCGTGAATGGGCTATCGACCGCCTCATACTTGGGACAAACGCCATGTTAATCAGCACATTCGAGACCGCTGTAACGGAAACTCTGTCCAATTCTGTGGCAGGTATACACGAACGGCTTCCATAGCGCAAAAGAAACCCCCAAGGGCAAGCTTCGGGATGGCAGCCGATCGAACCCTGCTGTCACCATCGTGCCGTCGCTCAGGGCCTTCACGCATTTTCAGTGACAGCTGTCAGAAGCAAAGAATCATTAATGTGGCAGCTGATATGGCATGTGGTGGCTGCTTCTGGATGTGGACGTACACGATAGACCGTTGTAGACCTACCAGTACCGGTTCCGGCTGTGTTCATCGAACTCGATCGGGCTATGGAAATTTCCACCAAGCCTGGAGCACGTTCGGTGTGAGCGCTGGGGCTAGGGTCCTCTCGGGCCTAGGCCGGCGAAGCAGCAGCCGCCCGCCGGGTTTTGACTCTGGACCACCCGACAGGGATGCTGCAGATGGGGAAGCCCTCGCATGACTGGGATGCTGACCTTGGGACTGACAGACCAGGGTACGAAGCCACGGTGGATCCACGGGGCCTGCACGCTCCGTGCAACGTGAGCGGCAGAGGCTGGCGCTCCTCTCCTGCATCAGGTGAGTTCAAAGAGAATGCTGAGACGATTCCTCAACTGGTCAGGCCCTTGCCACTCTGTTTGGGTGCGATTCCCCTCCAAATCCTGTCAGCCAAGCACGCCCGTCACCCGCCCATTACGACAGCCTACACGCACCCTATTGTGGCAAGCCCATTTCTTACCTACCTGTACCGCCCGGTTCTTCTCACCACGCGCCTAATCCACTTTGATTCCGGATCTCCCTCATATACCTTTCCCACCACCCTCGATCGACACTCTTTTACTCTACCATACACCAACCAACACCACTCACCCCGAACTTTCAGTACCCGTTTTAAAGGCTCGCAACATACGCTCAGACCGACCAGTGCCCTTCACATCTCGGGAATTTCAACCTTGACCTGTACTGACTGGCCAACCAATTCGACAGGCTCTCGTTCGAGCCGGTCACCCAAACCAACAAAAGGCTTTCACTGCCAAAGCAGATACACATCTCCTCACAATGACGGAGACGTCGACTACAACAACAACAACAATGGCCGTGCCACAACATCCACAAGTGGGCGCCATGGCCGCTGCGCTGAGACAACGACTTGAGCAACTCCCACAACTCAACCTCCAAATCGCCGAACAACCCCCCAGGCGTGGACATAGAAGAGATCCTTCAGATGATGTCTCTTCTGCAGCCTCATCACATTCGACTCGATCTTTTGGCTCACGCAGGTCAACAGTGTCCAACGCTACGGACGTAACAGACATGACCCTCACCCCACTGCGCTCAAGAGCCGGAACATTATATCAGACAGAAACAGTTGTACCCTCAGCAACTCAGCATGTTCCGTGTAAACCACCTCTGCGTGTTGTACTGGGCACTGCATCTGTCGGCTCACACCTGTCTCCTCTTGCTAAGATCACCACCACCGAAGATCTCCAGAAGTTCGTGAACACTTTTCGGTCAAGAGGCTACCTCGACATCGACACAGCCCGTGCCTATCCAGTAGGAAGAGGAGGTACATGCGAGAAGCTGCTCGGTGAGAAGGCCTTGAGGTTATCCAAGTGGGCCAATGTTTCGACCAAAGTGTCCAGTTTCATGCCTGGCAGTCACCGGACCAAGAACATCAACCTCAGTATCGACCGCTCATTAGAAGCCCTGGACGCTGACTCGGTCGACATCATGTACCTACACGCACCTGATCGAGCCACACCTTTCGAGGAGACTTGCAAGACTATGCACAACGCTTTCCTCGAGGGCAAGTTCGAACGCTTCGGTCTCTCCAACTATACTGTTGAAGAAGTCGAGCAGATTGTCAAGATCTGCGAAGAAAACAACTATGTCAAGCCTTCGGTCTACCAGGGTCAATACAATCCCATTTGCCGAGGAGCCGAGGAACGACTCTTCACCGTCCTCCGCGAACACAACATCGCCTTCTACGCCTACAGCCCTTCGGCCTGCGGCTTCTTTTCCAGCAAGGTCAGCAGAGCATCTGCAAAGGACAAAGATAGCCGGTGGAACGTCGCATCGCCCCTGGGAGCCAAGTACTCGGGCGACTACTTCCACGACCCCCTCTTCGCTGCTGCCGAGATCGTGCGACAGCAAGCCCGCCGCTTTGGCATCTCTGGCCATGCTGCTGCGCTTCGATGGACTACATGGCATTCGGAGCTTGGTGCCGAGTTCGGTGACTCAGTCATCATTGGCGCTTCCAAGCTCAGCCAGCTTTCCGAGAACTTGGACATACTCGAGCAAGGCCCTCTCCCCCAGCCGCTTGTGGACACCATCAACGGTGTTTGGGAGGATGTGAAGGCATTTGAGCTCGGCCCCAGGTTTTCATTTGTCTAGGCGCCTGGGTCCGCTTGAGCGATTTCTGTACATCAAGACTTCATTGTTCTCTATATTTTTACGGCGTATCGACCCGCCCGGTGATAGGGCTACGGCGAAAGATCCCGGGCAATGCATCACGACTCAATAGAGGGGAATGGCCTGGTCTGATTTATCCGCTTCTGTTTGGAACTCTCAAGTGCTGAGACGGATCCCCTGCCCTTTTCAACGACATTTGGCGCCATGGCGCTTTCCATCGAAACGATACCCAAATTACCATGTATGTACATCTTGTTGAGCACCAGAGCTGGAATATGGAGGATTATTCGGAGCCGCTGAGGGCTGGAGCAAAAGCAATACGTGTGCTTCGCACCCACTGGGGCGGCAACGGATAGGAGGGCCGCAACTGAACTAGCAACAGAACTAGATAGCAATGGCAATATGCGACCCCCAAAACAGTCCAACCTCTTTTTCCATCTGGTGTAGTATCCGGGCGAGCCCTTGTACACAAGCTAATGTATTTACCCCATACCTGCCCCTCCTGGGCCCGGGGCGGCCATGATGTCCCCCATTCATGCTATGATTGTTCTTATAGCCAGGAATCCACATGCCAGCGAATCGGGGCCTAAATCAGAAAACACCGGATCGTTCAACATTCCTCAGAAAGCGAGGCTCGCTTAGAAGAGACTCCGCCCTTTCTGGAATATATTTGTCTGGCAGCATGCTGCAGACTAAACCCCACCAGTCAGTCCCCAGAGTCCATCGCTTAGAGTATGTACGGTGATTGTTGTCCACAATAATAGGACTTGTAGCGGTCTCCAGCTTCTTCAGGCCATACAAAACAGGGCCGTGAGGCGAGTCGATCATTGCGCCGGTGGAACTGCAGATTCCATCAAGACTTCAGGCATTCAGTCAGGGACCATTGCGAGGCACAACACGGGAAAAGGGTCTTGTTCTTACTCAGCCAGTCAGATATCGGGCGCTCCCACTTTCTAGGTAACTTCCTTGTCGTATCAAAAATACCTTAGGGTCGCTTAGTGAGTAGGGTCAGATGCTCTTTGTGCTGACCACCAAACAGCAAGCCTGCCTCCCTCCCGCGCCCCTCAGACTGACCACCTAGGCCCGGAAATCTAGCCTTGTCCAAGACGTACCTACGCCAGCGTCTGCCGGAGCAGAATCGATGGGATTTTTTACTCTATCGGCCTTGCACACGAAAGCATCCGGCGTTAACTTTGGTGGAAGTCCTAATGTGTCCATCCTCTACCAGAGGGATACCCTTCTTGGGACACACAAACAAGCCCCTACCTCCTGCAGCCGAGCGCTAGAATGCCATGTGGCTTCTATTGGTGGCCGCAAACCCGCGTGCTAGTCTGATTCCGCGAGGGCTGCTGGCCCAAGCGATGAGGCGCTCGTATATTTTTTTGGGGCTTGCCCTCATGGCGGCAGGAATTCAGAAATTTCTTTGCTGGGCCACAGAGCAAACACGACCTGTCAGAGCATTGACCAAACTCCCGCGCCCACAGCAGGCAAGCCTCGCCGCAGGGGTCCACTTGATGCAAAGTTTTGGGGCTTGCAGCTCAGCTTGCACTTCCGCTCTGTTCTCAAACACGAGTCGTATCCAACAGAAGTCCAGCTGCAATGCAATAAAGTATCTCTCTGTCTGCGCTGCAGAGCGACTAACGTTCTTTACTGGCCGCCCAGCCTTTCAGCTCGCCGTCCTCAGCGAGGGTTGGGCGCTATCGACAATCGATAACGACGCCGATCACAAACCCGTCTCGCTGCGCCAGGCGCACGCGGCATCACCGATACGAGAAAGCCTAAAAGCCGAGTTTCTCGCGTGCACAGTGAGCAGCCTAAACTACTTGTGGCCGAAACCATTATTCGTGATCATTTTGTGGCTGTGTGGCTTGGGCTTACTCTGTCCAAATGCAGACGTAACGCGCGCGCGCTCACGTGCGGAACCACAATCTGACATGAGAACTAGAAACCTTGCTTTTCTTGGGTGTTCCATCCATCTTGTTGGCTGACGGGACTTAGCGAGAATAGGGAATGATTCTGGCGGTGGACAGTTGGGTAACCTTGCGACGTCGGAACAAAGAAGGCTTCTTTCTATCGATGTACATTGTGGATATCCCATTTCCATCGCCGATTCCTCCTCGCACGAATACTGGATGGGGAGAACGCCTTGTCAAAAATCATGAGCATCAGCCTAATCACGGTGAGTCCATATTCGTAGTGAAAGGCTGGGGAGAAGACCATGAAGAAGACCATCCGGAGCCGCAGCTGATATTGGCGTCTCCCTCACATCCATCATCAGCAAAAAAATTACAACCAGACAAGAACCAACGTTTCTGCGACCCCAGCACGTGGCTGCTGCGTGGCTCAATAATACCACGGTCCATTCCTATCTATTGCCGTGACCACCACCAGGCGCAGCATCTATCCCTCTCGTTATCTCCAACAAGCCCCCGTTTGTTGGTGTCGAGCAATATCACTATTACGCCTGCGCTGCAAAACAGGGACGTCGAGATTGACTTCTCCACCCTCCTGCCGCCAGGCCCAGTATGCCGCCTAGGTGCCCTGTGGTCGACGGAGGCTGGCATCCAGACCCAGACCTTTGCGCCAAGGCATCCAGGCCTTTGTGCGACGCAGGCGTTTCGAAAATCTGCCATGTGGCATACTGTGTGGCGGAGCCTGGTTGCCCGGGCTGCGATATTTGACCGATAAGGCAGGAGATTGCCGGTGCATGGAGGTTGCCGATTGACAGGTTTGTGCAGTCTGTACGCGCCTCTCCTATGATTGAGAGGCGGAAGTGAGCCCTGAGATGGTTGGGCTTCGAGTGTTGGCTCTGGGTAGGTGAGTTGGCGGCCGATGCCCGACGCTGCGGGAGGTAGGTCTTTCGTGCCCTCCCTATCACTACCGGACTACCCTGCCATACCACACAGGAGGCGAGCGAGCCCGGCTAGCAATATCTACAGTACGCCGCATCGCTTTGCGCCTGCTCCAGGCAGCGGTCGGCTCGCCGGCTGATGGCATGGCCCCGCAAGTCCTGTGATCTCCCTGGCCATGAACTGTCCATGTGCAGCAGCAGGTCCGGTCGCGCATGCCAGGCCAGACCGAACCCCTCCTCCCGCCGTCCGGCCCATACGCAAACGCTTGCTGGGCTTTTTCGTCCCATGTGAAATCATCACCATCTCAGCTATATTATCAATAACACCACCCCTCCCTACCCCCACAGCATACGGCGCCAGACCCCCGGCAGGGCATGTAACGACCCTTCATCAACAAACACGGCACTCAGCACCGCACATCGAATAGGTCTGATGTCGCACAAGGCTGACACTCCCTACGCACGCTCCCCGCATTCCCGCTCAAGATCACACAAACCCCCTTCCCCCTGCCCCGACCCCCCGCCTGCTGTGGAGTGTGTAGGTTCCGCGACATGCTGGCTGTACTTGTCCCTCCTGTACCTGCACTACCTCAAGCGAAGGACGACGACTTTCAAGCTCCTGTGTGTCGTTGATCGTCGGTCTCGTCTGAACTGAGCCAGACTGGGCTGGTCCAGGCCTCCCTGATGGCGCGACGGCCTCTAACGGCTCGATAGGCAGTTCGTGAAATGGAAACCATGTGTTGCCCCAGCTAGGCTCCCTACCTGCCTGCCTGCCTGTCTGCCTGCTTGCGTTGCAACTGGGGTTGGACGCAGGGGGCCGGGCGGGTTTGGTTTCAGGCTGGGAATGGGGATTGGGGAAACTTCACCGCTTGACGGGAGTGAGTGAGGGGGCGCGCAGAATGGCTGGGAGACCCGTGAAGTCAAGAAACATGGAACATGCATGTAAGTCTGGTCCCTGGACCCAGCACCTGAAACGAGAGGGGACAGAGACGCAAGCAGGGGTTTTATTCGTGACGACTAGGTCTATCTGCGAACAAATGATAGCCAATTTGCCGCGGCTGCCGCTGCTCGCATGGTGTTGACTTGTAGTCGTGCGAACATGTGCACGAAGCCAAATAAATGTACTGGATCCAACGTCTTTCAGAAGGAAGACATTCTGCCTCACTCATTTCAACGACGATTGCCGCACGTGAGCGCGCTGACAGTCGCTTGAGCATTGAAAGTTTCGTACTCAACGAGTAGCAACTCAGTTCAAACCCTCCATTCTTCCACTGAAGCGTCGAAGCCCGCTCTGGCGATTCCTCATGCGCACTTAACTCACACCGGTACTTTCCCCCTCCACTACCCCCTTACTCGTTCCACCCACACCTACCTCCACGATCAAATGCAACTCAACACCCCCATCTTCGTCCTCGCCAACGGCCAGCCCGCCATCTCCCCACGCACCACTCAGCGCGAAGCCGGCGTCGTGTACCACAAGGGGCGCGAGAGTGAGGAGGCCCACGCGCGTCAGCAGCGCGCAAAGGGAGCGTGGCTCGAGTACGTGCCGGGCCTGGCGGCGTGTCTGGGAGGGGATCGGCGGAGAAAGAGTGGTGGTGGGATCAGGATGGGGTTTAGGAGCTGGATCCTAGCATGGGGATTGGGCTTGGAGATGGGAAGGGAGGAAGTCAGGTATGAGGAGATCCAGATGCAGTAGAGGCTGGAGGGGGTCAGGAGAGTGGGAGTGAAGTGGGAAGCTTGAACGGCGCCTGGGAAACTCGTGACTTGCCGGATTGAAGAATGTCGTGTAGTCGAGGGACGCAGGAAGACGCGGAGACTATCGCAGGACCCCGTCCGAGCCTCTCTTTCCCGACGTGGACTCACATGTGGCGATACCTGGAGTCCTTAACTGATGGCTTGAATCGGCCATCAAGCGATTTTAGATCCTGGATATTTTGCAGTTGATGCACTGGAGCAAAGTGATATCTCAGGCCATCTGAAGGGCCAGATTGTCCAAGAAGCGCTCTCTCAATAGATCCGCAAGCCTCCCCTCAAAGTGCTTCTCTGAAAGGCTTATCGAGCTTGCTGTGACCAAGCGCTTGCCAAGCAAATAGATCAACCCGGTCTGTATATCCGGCGAGAGTGGGCCGAGCCACGTGGATGCTGATCTCCGGCGACATGGGAACGAGAAACAGTTTCCGGTCGGCGATGGTCTGGCACGATAGCCAAAGCGATGAGCTAGTCCTGTCAACAATGCCAGCAGAAGGATACACGCCATGTGGGCGACAGGGTGCAATAGTCCAAAAACCCGTGCAGCCACTCCAATCTCGTGCAGGGGCTGGCATGGCGCGCAGTAGTGTTGATGAGTTGCCCAAGTAGTAAGGTGTAAACAGCGCGAGAACCAACGCACTGGCCTGGCGTGGCTGCATACCTCTCCGCCAGGCTAACAGGTGCTGGCAACACGATTCGGGACAGCCGATTCTGCGGGTCCGGACACGCCTATACCATGAATGCCTGCAGGCTAGGCCGAACACGTCAACGATAGCACATAAAAACCAATCATCATGTGTCCATTCTTCTGGCAGCCACCCCACCGCCCCCATCTTGCCTTATTTGCCGATCGTCAGGCAGAACCGGCGATGGCGGCCCCAGTTGCCTGGTGAGAAATGTACTTATGCTCCACGTGCTCTCAGCCAGCCCAGATAAAGCATAGACATCTTGGCACTCATGGTGCTATGGACGCCCCACAATGTATAGCATACGAGGTTATGAGAACGCCACACAGCCACATAGCCGGAAAGACGCCAAAGCATGTGCCGCTTACAATATCCCAAAACAGATAGACCGCTGGTCAACCGCCATGCAATTGTAACTTTGGGGCGTTCGGGAGTCGCACTTCGAGGCTGAGAATATCGCTATGTGGAACGCCAACACTGCGAATCTTTGTAGAGGCGCCCTTCTGAGTATGGCGTTGGAGGCGTGGAAGTTTGAACCGAGCGGAAAGGGCGCCGAGACTTGGTTCTAGACCAATACCTTGGCGAAGATATTATGCCGCTGTCACCACGCGGCTGTCGTCCCTGAGACATCGCGCCCGCGCGCGCAAGTGGATGTGCAGCTTTCACTATCCATCACTGTGGTACGAGTGGCTTATCAGGCTCCGAAGTTCTAGGCCTGGGCGAGGTTATTGCACTTGACCTGTATGAGGAGAACCGTATTTTTCGTATCAAACAGGTGCGTAGCCTACCTCGTGCGCTCGGCAGCATTCTCGCACTGATCAGGCACTTTGGTCAGTGTTTGTTAACTCTGTGAGCGTGGGGCACGACACGTGGTGGGATCGGCAGTCGGTTCTGGATCGATCCAGAAACGAGAGTCAGGCCAGACCTCTTTCAGATTGAATCGTATTAGCCTGTGACGTGCAGACTCGAGCTCCCGAGGGTGCCGATACCTGCGATCTTGGGTTAAAGATACGAAGACGATGTTGATCCGGCGGAATGCGAGCGTGGGTGCGCGAAGTTCTGGCGAAGCTTAGGTCGTGACGACGTGGTTCTAGGTGCGTCGAGATCGGACTTTTGCAAGCAGTCGTGTGGTGAACAGAAAAAGTTGCCTCGCGCTAGACGTCCCAAGTCCGTAGTGATCGGAGTAGGCAGCGAATCATACGAGAGCTGGGACCAGATCATGCGCCTTTGAATCAGCTTTCCTCCCAATGGTACTGATACATCTTGGATTCATCCCATCACCGACCTTTTGGATGCGGAGCGAGTCTGGGGAAACGGTGCGATGGGGAGGAATTCAAGATCTTCAGGCAGTGGATTGTGCTTGGCAAACCTCCGCAACGGATCCAACGGCAAACCCAATGTGATGAGAGCCTCTTTAGCAGCGAGTGAGTGTGCATGATCTGGTCGCGTGAACACCTTGTGATGTCAAGACTACTCGCTTGAGCCTCGATCGCAGCACTGGGTTCAAGACGTAGTATTCGAGGCCGTGGCTGTCTTGTCGGTGCACGGAGTTGTCAGATACCGTCAGACAGCAAAGGGCCACAGTTGTACTTTGTCATGGCAAGGTCGGTCGCATGCTGCCCGCACTGCTGCACAACCTAGACTCGGTAGCTGCAAGACTTCAGGCTCATCGTCGGTCGATCGCTCGATCGGCGAATTCGTCCTGTAATTCCAACCCGCGCCCAAGATGAGAGCTCGCTGCGCCGTATGTGTAGTGGCACCAACCGAGAAACGTGGCCGCCAACCTTCAACGATGTAGTTTCGGGGCGTTGGATCACTTCAGTGGTCGGTCATCTTGGAGTATTACCTGTCGAACGTGCGGAGATTTTGGTCCTCTAGATATTTGGATGCGAGTCATCTCAACTGTGGGCCGAGCAGCTCCTTAATGTGATGTATCCAAGCTAGTAGCATCGGAAGCTAGGAGAGCAAGCGCTGTGCCTGTGCCGTGACCGCTGGCGACGATCAAAAGCACTCGGGCTTTCGATGCACTGGGCGATGTCGCAGGATGCTACAAGCGAAGCCGATCTGATCTTCGCGATACATTTGACAGACGTGTGACCGGCTTTGCACCCTGGCATTGGAACACGGAACAGGCCGCTGATGAGGCTCTGATGAGGCGCCGATGAAAGAAGCTGAGGAGCATAGAGGTCTCTGTACGGGGAGGTTTGGGTGTGATAGGGCCTCCATGCCAAGCAACGTGCCCCATAACGGATCTTGCGCAGGGGAAAGCGCCGACCGCGGCGGGGTGATTGGAGGGGCAGGTGCAGCCTGTAAGGCTGTGGAAGCTTCACGAAGCACGCGCATGGAAACATTTTTGCAGTAACTGCTTCACGCTCACCGCAATCTTGTTGCGCTTACCACCAGACCTCACTCTGAGATTGCGTTGTAGTTCCTTCAACGCGAATATCTTGTAACCACCCTCCTTGTTGCAACATCACCGCTCGAATCCCGCTCTTGCACGATGTCGACAGGTACCTGCAACAAAGAGTCGTTCCAATAGAGACTCAGTGCTAATTGCCATGCAGGACGCCCCAGAGTCTTCTTCGACATCAAAATCGGTGACCGAAGTGAGGGTCGTGTGGTTTTCGAACTCGTGAGTCTCCTTGGAATACCTTTGTAGCACTGACTAACGACGGATCAGTACAACGATGGTTTGCACCCAACTACCTACGAGAACGAAACTTCTGCTAACGAGAGCGCAAGTCGTGCCCAAGACAGCCGAGAATTTCCGCTCCCTCTGTACCGGTGAAAAAGGTCAAGGCAAGCAAGGCAAGCCACTGAGCTACAAGGGTGAACAATATTCATTTGAGGCATACGAGCAAAGCTGAGGAGAGACAGGTTCCATATTCCACCGTGTCATCAAGTCGTTCATGATTCAAGGCGGTGACTTTACAAACTTCAACGGCACAGGAGGCGAGTCTATCTATGGCGAAAAGTTCGACGATGAGAATTTCGACCTCAAGCATGACAAGCCCTTCCTGCTGTCTATGGCCAACTCTGGTCCCGGTACCAACGGCTCCCAGTTCTTCGTCACGACTGTTCCCACGCCTCATCTCGACGGCAAGCATGTTGTGTTCGGAGAAGTCATTAATGGAAAGAATATCATTCGCAAAATCGAGAACTTGCCTACTCAGTCGGACAAGCCTCAGAATGGCGATGTCACGGTCGCGGACTGTGGCCAACTCGAAGGGGCTTCATACAAATCAGCCACCGACAAGGCTCCAGATGCCACAGGCGACCCCTACGAGGATTTCCCGGACGACCAGGGGGAAGATCTCAAGGGTGAGCAGTATTACAAGATCGCATTGGACCTCAAGGATTACGGCAACAAGGCTTTCAAGAGTGGAGACACCGAGACAGGCATTGAAAAGTACCAGAAGGGTTTGAGATATCTGAACGAGTATCCTGCCGCCAACGATACCGATCCACCGACACTGCAGGACCAGCTTGATTCGCTACGTTTCACCCTGCACTCCAACTCCGCCTTACTTGCTATCAAGGGAAAGCGGTACCAGGAGGCGGACAAGTGGGCGGGTTTTGCTCTCGATTGCATGCCTAAAGATACGAAGGATCAGGACAAGGCCAAGGTTTACTACCGGCGGGCTCTCGCACGACTTTCACTCAAGGATCTGGATGCAGCTCTGAAGGACTTCGCCGAGGCTGCGAAGCTGGCTCCCGAAGACGCTGCGATCAAGCGGGACTTGACCTCAACCAAGGCTAAAGTACAACAAGCTGAACAGAAGGAGAAGAACGCCATGAAGAAGTTCTTCTCATAGTCTGTCAGGTAGGGATGGTGGGAGCATTTCGAGCGTGGCGTCATTTTCGGACACCAAAAGCGGCTGCATACTCTTGGGGTGAATCTCGAAGTACGAAATACACGGTGAGTAGATACCAGGGTAGAGCAATACCCATTCGAAGAAGCCATGCACACTTCTACCAACTGCATGACAGGTTTTCCCGCTCTTCCATTACGCTCACGTTCCGACAGACCCAAAGCGAGTCAATCGCGTCCAACATAGCCATGTCCGTTCGTTGCATGTTCCCCCTTTCCAATGAGGCCCCGATGGAACCCCACTGGGCGACTAACTCTCTGAGCCGCAGCAGCTGAACTTCAAGGAGCTTGCAATGGTAGACGAAGCAGATATCCTTCTTCAGTGGACGCATTCATGCTGCGGAGGACTAGCTGACATGCCTGTAGCTTGACGAGCATCGCCCAGCCAGCTCTCATCCGACCTCCGAACCCTTCCCGCTCCCAGGCGCAAAGCTCGTTTGTGCCGGCTAACAGTCTACGTCTGGGGGTCACGCTTCGCTGAGGCTGTGGCATTGCGATGGCTGTTCTGGGGAACTCGCCTGTACAAGCATGATGCATACCTGGGTAAGCATTGAGGGTGGTGCACGGCGCAAGCTGACGCAAAGCTGGAGAACGTAGAGAGTTGAGGCAGTGAAAGTCTTGGCTTTGCTCGTGAGGCGTTGCATTAGCTGCTCAGCTCGTAAGGAGCAATAGTAGAGCCTTTTCAGAAGTTGAAGTTGATGGCATCGCCTTTCCGCGCCTCCGATCACCCACGAATGTTCTGGCTATTTCATTATTTTGGCTCTTCCCGTTTGGTGGGTAGCAAGCTTCCTGCGCCCGCACGTGCACTCAGCACTGTCAAGCCTTTGTCACGACCTCAACTCCGTGTGTGAGATGTTCTGCTGTAGCCAAGCTCTTCCCACTTCAACATCGTCACGCCCTACTCCAGGGCATTGAATCGTACGCCTCGTTCATGCTCAAGTATCCTCGAAGCCGGTGGTAACCCATCGATTCCGTGGCCGTCAGACGTGCGAAATGTCTTTCGTAGAGATCAAGGTGAAGACTAGGTCATCTTTGTTGAAGGACAACTTCCATGTCAGCTCGCGCTCGGTCCATTGCATGCCTCGTAGTTGCTGATCTGGTCAGATATTCTGGTATGCCTGGAACCTAGATAAGAACTCACCAATGACGCCATGCGATCAGGTGTCGCACCTTCCCACACTTTCCCACGGCCATGGTCGATATTCAGAACAAACCGATGTTTTAGCAGTAGCAGCAGGTCCGGGAATGTTGCGAATAGAAGTCGAAAGGAGTCGTGCTGGCCAACCGAAGAAGTCGCAAAAGCTTCACGCTGACGGAGGTCATTTGCGTCGCTGTCAGTGTACATGGCTTCTACGAGAGAGGTCTGTAGTTGCTGCAGGCCTCTAAATATCTTGAGCGATGCAACTCTTTTCTTGTTGAGAGTGATGCTTCTGATGGTCAGACGTCGATCGAAAGTGATGTTGCGAATGAGTCTGCGATATTTCAAGTGAATTCCACCCTGCATCCCGAGCTCTTTTGCGTAATGGACGTAGAAGATATTCTATGTCTTGGTTAGCAACTTGTCAGTCACTCACTGAAGCGCAAATGACGCAGACGAACTGGAAGGGGCAGGCAGCTGGCGAACCCACCTCGACAAAAAAGATCGGAATGGCCATCGTATGGAATTGTCGGTTGAGGCGCATGAGCCCTAGGCCGAGTGAACCTCTCATGCCTCGCCAATCATTCCATAATCTTCTTCGAAAGCGACTGGGAATACCGATGGGGGTAGGATAGATCAGGGCAAAGTAACATATCATCAGCTTGACCTCGTCCGGAAGGGATCCAAGCATAGGCGCAGGCTTGCTCAGGCTTGACCAGAGATCTGACATGGCGTCGTAGGGTGCGAGACTCGAGTTCGTGTGACGACACAGAGATCTTTGCGCTCTTTCCAAAATATTGAAGAGGTAATAGAAACTGGTGAATTTTTGGAAGGAAGTGTATAGCAACAGGTAAGCGCAAACGATGTTGAAAGGTGCGTAATGACTTCGATAGGCCGCACAACAGCAAGAATTGGCCACATTTTCACACGCCCGAAGCACTATCACTAGCCGCAAATCTGCAGAGTGAATGTCGACGAATATCGCTGCCTAGCTGCCGGCAGACCGTCACTTATCTCTCATCGAAGAATCACCGTTCCGTCAAGTGACTTTTCAACACGACCCGAAGGCAGTGGGACTCCGTAGCCAGGACGCCGCAGCCTATCGGCGGCGGGAAGAGGGAGCACACCCTTAGAATAAGAATCGGGTAGTCACTGCAGGGTTCGCCTCTCGATGCATAGCAACCAACTCCGATTGTATGTCATACTTATGGCCGACTCTCGACATCATGGCGAGCTCCAATTGATATGGTGTCAGAGACCACGCTCAACTGTATTCAACAAATTGGACGGTCATGACGCAACTAAGGCAAAGGGCAAGACCTTGTTAAAAGGAAGGATGAGCAGCTCGTCGAAGTCACAACAAGCTACCTATCGGTGCCCCACAATCCCGTGTACGGAGCGCCAAGAGCGGGACCACCGCTGCCGCAACGACAACGACATGATAATTTTTCCCTCAAGATCATGTGCCACCACGCCTCATCAACGGTGCGATAGGGGGACGTCAGACAACATTCCAGCACAAGCAACCATGGCCGACCACGTATTGACCTTCACCTGTCCTGACAAGCCCGGCATCGTATATGCGGTGACCGGCGTGCTAGCACACTACAACCTCACCATCCTCGACCTACAACAATTCTCCGACCCTGTGCAGAAGAAATTCTTCATGCGCGTCCACTTCGGCCACGCCGACGATGTCACCCACCTCGACCAACCCCTCAACAGCCTCAACCTGAACATGGAGTACCAAATCCGACCCTGCGCGCAAAAACCGCGCGTGATGATCATGGTCTCCAAAATTGGGCACTGCCTCAACGACCTCCTCTTCCGCCAACGCAGCAAGCAACTCAACGTCGAAATCCCCCTCGTCATCTCCAACCACCCAGACTTCCGCCCTCTAGCGGAGAGCTACGGCGTGGCCTTCCACCACCTGCCCGTCACAGCCGACACCAAGCTCGACCAGGAGCGCCAGATCCTCGAGCTGATCAAGCAGCACGACATCGAGCTCGTGGTGCTGGCCCGATACATGCAGATCATCTCTCCGGGTCTCTGCGAAGCCATGTCCGGCAAGATCATTAACATCCACCACTCGTTTCTGCCATCCTTCAAGGGCGCCAAGCCCTACCACCAGGCCTACGACCGTGGTGTCAAGATCGTGGGCGCCACGGCCCATTTCGTCACGGCGGATCTGGACGAGGGTCCTATCATTGAGCAACGGGTCACGCGTGTGGACCATAGCATGAGCGCCAAAGAGTTGGTGGACGAGGGCAGTAACGTTGAGACGCAGGTGTTGGCTGCGGCGGTCAAGTGGTGGAGCGAGCAGCGGCTATTCTTGAATGGGACTAAGACTGTTGTTTTCAACTAGATGGGCTGGCCTTGGATATGCAGAGGAGCTTGTGGGGTTCACGAACAACACGAAAAGTAAATAGAGCCTAGACTCGGGTCGCGCGAGAGCGCTGTGGTGCCGTTTCTCTATGCGTTGTCGCAATCTAGACACATCGGCTTGCCTCATCCTGCCCTCTTCCACCCCCCCATTCACAGCTCTGCAAACGCATCAGCCCATTTGTTCTTCGATTTCTTCGTCTTCCCCTTCTTGACCTTGTCGTCGTCGCCTTTCTGGTCGCCCCGGCCCCGGCCCTCCTCCTCCTCCACCCCCTTCCCCTCCCCCATCTTCACACCACCCTCCCTCAACCCCCTCGCCACCGCCACACACCCCTCCAACTCCGCCACCAGCTTCTCCGTCTCCCCTAGCCCCCACTCCCTACCACACCTTCCCTCCGGCGCCCTCGCATCCAGATAGCTGGCCAATTCCTGCCGCTTGGCTTTCACCTTGTTCAGCGCATCGAGGTAGCGCAGCGCGGCGGCGTGCGCGTCGATGACTTCCTGGGTGCGCAGCTGCTGCGCGACGATCGTGTGGGCGAGGGCGGCGCTCGAGTCGGCGTCGGTGACGTGGATGAGGGAGGCGGAGAGGAGGACTCGGGCTTGTGCTGGTGTGGGTGGGTTAGTGGTTGAGATTGGGATTGAAGGGATTGAAGGGAAGGATGCTAACTGCGCTGGTCGAGGGCGGTGTAGTTGCTTGGCAGGTAGACGCCGCGGACGAGGGGGTCGATTGCGGTGGTGACGGTGGATATGCCGCTGATGGTGGGAGTCGTGGTAGCGGTGGTGGGGTCCGGAGAAGAGTCGAGGGCGATGTGGATGGGCGAGAAGTTGATGGCAGTGCGCTTCTGAGAGAAGGTGGGTGAAGTGCGAACCAGGACGAGGTTGTGAGATTTGGAGGCCATTTCAATGGTGCTCGAAGCCTCGACGTGATGCGAATTGGGATCTGCACAGCGAGCAGTATGTGATCGGGAGGTTGCAAGTTTATGGCCTTTCAACATTGGTGTCGGTGTGTTTGTAATGGCCTGTGGATGATTTAGATGGATAAAGACTGCGACTTGAAGCAAACAAAGTCCACGGGTGCGGCAGAGGAGTGTTCTCGGATCTCGATGTTGATAATCACTGCGGTGATGAAGTAGATCTAGTGCGGCAGTATAAGTCAAACATCCTGCCATTAATGAGCGCAACTAATCCGCTCAAGTGCAAAACAAAGACGGACAAGAGTAAGCGTGAAGTAGTTCCACTGATCTAAACATTCATGTGTATCGTGTGATTGTAGCAAGGACTGTGGAAGAATTATGTTCAAGGCCACGGTGTCTATGCAATACATACACAAATTGAGCTCATGGCTGGCTTCTGCCATCTTTGTTCGGACCAAAAGCAAGGTTGTCAGTGCTCAGTCCTGTCTTCATGTCTTCCCTCCAGGTGAGACGCTCTTGCTTGGACAAACCAGGACCCTGGTAATCACTCCCATAGATGCCATTGGCCCAACTCTGACCAGCTTTGGCCTTCTCACTTTTACTGTTCGCGTGCCTCTTGCGGTACCACTTCCCGTAAGCCAGTAGATAGTACAGCCTGAAGCTGAGAAGTGCAAACTTGTCATGCTCAAGATCTTCAGGATATTCGGCGCCAAGGTCAACGGCAGCGGCGATGCCGGATAGGATGGCGACTTCGTGAGCGTTGACAAGAGTCCAGGAACCCGCGAAGCGAATGTTTCTCTTTCCTTGGAGGAACATCATCCATGGTACGAGCAACACGTAATGCGTCCAAGAATGGCAAAGCTGATGCCACCAGTCCTTGCGGATGATTTTCGACTTGTCGATCTCATCGATTGGCCATAGCTTGGAATCGCGGTCATTGTTGAGGTAAATGGTCTGGAAGACATGCTGCTCAAAAGGCACCTTCTCAGGAAATTGTGCCTGGTAATTAGTCGTATCGAAGCACATCTCCAGCTTGGATTGGTCCTCGTCGTACATCTTGATATAGTACATGGGCCTGAAATTGTTCTTGCCGTACTCGACTCGTTTCGACTGGTCAACACCCGAAAGTGATGTGACAGCAACGTTGTCGTCAAAGAAATTTTGGTAGTGCTTCTTCATGTACCCAGCGTCATTGTGGGTGACAGTAATATCGTCAGAGAATTTCGCGGAGCCGAGCACACGCTTCTCACGGAACGAAGCTGTCTTGCCGAGAAGGCGTTTGTTCGTATCTGCAAGACCGCAGAGTATGACTTCATCGTAGTGCTCCTCGAACATCGGAGCATCGAGGTCACCGTCGTTTGGGTTGTGCCCGTCGAGCGCGGGCGTCCGTTTCTTCAATGACACGATTACGCCAGTCTTGTCGCGCTTGAGTATGCCAACCACTTCGGTCGATAGTCGCACGTTGACACCGCGAGACAGGAGGTCCTTGCGCCACGTCTCGTAGAAGTTGGAGAAATTAGGGAAGACGACCATGGGTGGAAGATTGCTGGCGACACTGAGCTTATCCGACGGATACCACATGCCGTACGTAGGACTGGTGGTGAGGCGCTCAAGCATGATCGTAGGTACCTCGGGGGTCGCATTGCCAGTCCCAAGGAACAATGCGGTCATTGGGAGAGCAACGTTGTTGACAAACTCTGTCGAGAAAAGGAACAGTCTGAAAAAGATTTTCATCGGTATCAACATGAAGAAGACCTCGAACCACCTCATGAACCGTAACACGAAGTTGAGCTTCTTGACCTCTTTCTGATGCTTTGCAATAAACTGAGTCGGGAAAACGTTAGTCCAGAAGTTGTCGCCACGACCAAAAGAGACCTGAAGATTGACTGGATCGGCATGATATCCTTGCCGCGCGAACATTGTCAAGGTATGGTGGAATATTGAGCTGCCTCCTTGAACGCCCTGATTGAACCAACTGGCCCCATGTTTCTCTTTGTCCAGCGGCATGGAGAAGGCCTGGCCTCCACAGTAGTCGACAGCATCGACCAAGTTGACGTTGAACTTATCAGGATGGTTGGATAGGTGATGGGCTGCGGCCATACTGGTGAACGGTAAGCGAACGAACGAAACCCTGCTGTTGCTCACTTACCCAGCAGCACCTGCACCGACGATCAGCACTTTCTTCCGTCCATCCTTGCTGTTGAGAGCCTTCTGCGACATATTTGAGGAGCCTTCCTGCTCGAGGTCGCGGTCGAATCTGCTGCTATCCATCAACGAGTCCTCGGACGACGATACGCATGGCAAGGAAACACACAAAGAGATGGAAGAAGGATGCCCTTCACAGTGGTTAGCAGCTGAGAGTTAGGCTTTCCGGGCGTTGAACATTGTCATGACGGCTGGTTTGGATCTCCACGTCATCATTACTGCAGGTACTGTCGCGCATCGATCGAACGCGTCGCGAGATCTCGGAGATCGGATGCTCGAGCTAATCATTCTTATCCGCACCTCTCATGCACACGGTTGGAACAAACTTAGTGCTTTTGATGTTGGGCGAAGATTGAACACCATCGGAGCAGCGGATGAGCTTTACCGCAGGTGAAGAAGCGCACGCAGTCACGAGCGCTGCACTGGCAGCTCAGCTCAGCTCAGATCCCCATGCTCCACCCAGCGATCGCCAAGTCCGGTGGATCTGGGTCGTCCCCACCTTGCCTGGGCCTGTTTTTCAGTCGTGCCAGGTCGTAGTAGCATATTCCTGTCTACTGATCCGGTCGTCGCCTTGTCCTTCTTCAAAGTGACCCCACGATTGATGAGGCCATCAATGTGGTCCTTCTAACTTAGCGCTGTTGATTGATACAGATTTCGCCGACTGTGCCAATGCAGGCTCTTTCTAGCGCTTCGTGAGAAAGTAGACCACTGCATGTCCGCCCACTTGCTGCAAGTATTCGGGCCTTGGATTGAGAGAAGCGTTGGACGTTGAGCGTGAGAGCAAGACCGGCTTTGGGAGGTTGTGTGTAGTCCCCTCAGCCCTCGCGGACATTCGGGAAAGAATCTTAAGGTGGTTTTATACTACCATTGCATCCACGAGCCTAATATATAAACGTCCCTACGAAGAGCACTGCCGAGTACAATGTGCACACGGTCCACTGGGTCTCATGCCAGAAAGTCCATTTCCCCCATCTTCGCTTTTTCCAGTAGGGTTTCGGCCTTGCCACTCCAGTTTTGGGATCGCGGTCCAGTAGATCTTCTCGGTCTGGCACAGTCGGTGGAAAGACCATGTAGAAAAGCGGCGTGGCGAAGGCGGTGAGACAAATTATCCAGAGCATGGGCGGCCAAAAAGCATGAGTCAAAAGATACATCAGCTTTGCTGTGGTGTCCTGAAGTCCGCTCGTGAAGGCGCGCGAAGTACTGAGTGCCACAGCGACCAGCACGAACAGCACATATGCCAGATGTATGTAGCACTCACATGTCCAGATGATTACCACACACCGTCGCCACAGTGGAGCGCGGTTCTGTGCATCCCGTTCGCCCAATTCGCCTTTGATGCTGCCGGTTGGTTTGAAAGCCATAGGCTTGATGCCGAGCCAACTGGGAAGTAAGACACTTCGAATGACGGTAAGGCTGTGGTATGGCGTCATCCAAACATGTGCTAAAGCGTCGCGTTGTGCGAATCGATAGCTTGCCGGGAGGTATCCCACGAATTCGTGAAATCGAGTAAGAATCAAAGCGATGAAGGCGAGTCGAATCTGCCATCGCAGGTCGTTGTAATTGGCGTAAGCAACAAGCGTGCCACCAGACACAAGCACCACGGGTATGCTGACGAGCACGACCGTCAGAAAAAGACTGAAGAGCTCTCCAGCTGGGAAGAGAAAGCCAGAGAGTCGCTGGAGGAAAGTCATATTCTTGACCACATCCCCGTAGATGCAGAAATTCAACTTGATCGCCGTTTGAATCGTTCCAAGGCTCCAGCGTGTTCGTTGCTTGAGATGGCTGGTATATGTGTCCGGAATGGTCCCAAATTGCAGAGGTTCATGAACGAATGCGGTCTTCCAACCGTTGCCCAAGAGCAGACTTGAAGTGTAGACATCTTCGGCGAGAGAACCAGTGGGCCAGCCCCCTATAGCCTCCAGAGCCTTGCGTCGTATGACGTAACCACTCCCAGTGCACCAGGCGACGCCGTTGGCGTCCTTTGTCGGTTCCATGACATGAACAAACGCATCGAGAGATTGAACAAGTGGGTCGTTGTCAGGAACATTGTAGAACAGTTGTGGCGGGCAGACAAGTCCCATCTGTGGATCCTTGACCATGTGCGCCACGACACAGCGCAACCAGTCTGGCTCAGGAATCATGTCCGCGTCAAGAGCTGCAATATACTCTCCCGCTCCTCCAGGTAGTAGTTCGACCATCTCAGTGGCGGCAATGAGGTTTCCAGCCTTGAAGTGGTGGGGTTTGCCCTTGATCTTGATCCGAGCATGATAGTAGAGATTGAGGTGTTCCAGTGAGAGACCTTCGATGACGGTACGCAGTTGTAGATCCGCACCATCGTCACAAACAATGACTCTATATCGAGAAGACGGGTAGTCTTGAACGCACGCCGCTCGGACTGTATCAGCCACCACATCAACGTCCTCATTGCAACACGTGATGAAGACGTCCACACAAGGAACTTGATTGCCTTCGAGTCGAAGCTTGGGCCGGCGGCGACCTCCAGCCGAGATCAAAGTATATGCGCTGTTGAAGCATGTAGGGACTATTATGTTTCAGCATTCACCATATCGCCCTCTAGCTCTGGGGAACGTACTCGAGACAAGAAATTCTGAAGCAATAAAAAGCCAAGCTACAGGGAAAACCCGATGAAGAGTTCGCTGGGCTTCAAGGGTTGCATAAACACGGTAGGCGAAATACGCAAAGTATGCGCCCAGAGACAGTGAGGTCGCCAGTGGAGTTACAGCATGTAGTTTCGTGCGCCAAGGGGAAATCCTATCGCCATCATCGTGGGTAGCCAGTTCGTGTACGGCAGACAGCGGAGTAATGGGTTGGTCGTGAAACGTCGTGATGGCCGAAAACGGTCGGGGAACTTGAATCTAGGGATATAAGCAGGCATCCTATCAACAAACCGATGATCATACCTTGTTCACGCCAGGAGTACTGTCGACTTCAACGATCTGGGAGAATGCAGAAGCGCCAGATATTGAGCCCTGGCCAGTTCTGGTTCTGATGCGGTAGTGGATAGCGTTTGGCGTCCATAATGTAGTGCCAACAATTGACGATCGTCGACTACCAACACTCACTGTATGGGCCAGTCGAGATTGAAACTGTTGTATTGTTTCAAGGCTGTGAATGCTGTCCGAACGCTTTCTTTCGAGCTCTTCTTTCCATCTCGATGACTGGCGAGGCCTGGGCGGAGGTGGAGGGACCTCGCCGCTCTGCTCCTTAGAAAGCGGATCCCGGGGACCAGCTTCCGTGTCTGAATCGCTAGAGTATTCTGTGATGTCGCCTAGCCGCGGTTGCCAACTTACGGCCTTCCACGCCTGACTACCAATCACCACAGGTCGAGATATGTCGACAGGGTTGATGGTGGGTAGAGAGTCGTCAATTTCAGCGCTGACAGTGTTTGGGACTTCTTCTTCATCGAGAACAAATTCTGGTTGAGCTGCAGCAAATGCATCTTGCGCGCTATTGTAGATCTTATCCGAGAAAGACCGCATGCCGTAAGAGGTCCCAAAAATTGCGAGAGGAATGTGCCTAAACAGACGGAGGACAATGCGGCTATATATCGTCCACCACCTTCAACTTGCCGTTGCACTCGGAAGTGTCGGGCCCGAGTAGACCAGACTACCGGGAGTGTGTGTTGACCAAATGGACTCAACAACCATCAGTTGTGTCAGGTGGCTCAGGGCTGATTGTTTTCTCACTCCACCAAATGAACAACCTTAATGGAAGGAATGTGTGCCATTTTCAGCCTCAGAGGATCCACCGCTTCTAGATGCTACGTTGCTCGTCAGGTCGGAAAAGTTCAAAAGTGGGAACAATACACGTTGACAACGACCGTGGATATCCCGCATTTGCTGTGTTCCAATGGTGACAATCATTTTGTGCATTGATATGGTGAATGATTGATCATGCTTACTATGCAATGACCAGCGGGATTGCGACTTCAGTGCTACGAAGCAAGATACTGACTGACATCATTGAACTTGGGACAGACACAAATCGTGCAATGTGTACAAGAACGCCAGCCGCTAATCGAGATTGAATGCCGTTGAGGGTGTCCCAGGATGCGCTTTCGGAGATCTAGATGGAGGATCTCAGGAAGCTTGAATTCCGCACCACTAATTATGGCCGTCGCGGGGTGGGGTGAGGAGCGGGCTTGGCGCCAATCATTCATCGGGAACTCTTTTTCCATAGGTATGTTGCTTCAGCTCTCTACAGTAGCGGGTTCCACCCCGGCGACTACGCGGATCTCAGATTGGCGAGAATACCTCGCTAGCCTGCCCGCTCGAACCACTCCAGCCTCCGCAGCTACCTCTTACGGAAGTAGGCCAACACAAATTTATCAGCCATGGCAGCCTTTCGGCTCCGGGGTTGGCTGGGCTACCCGTCCACTCGGGGGGACGTCACTGTTGGTTGAATGCGACCCGTTCCGCGCCTGGAATCGTACAACAACAACACCATTAAACAGTATCTAAACATGAAGGTCTTCGCTCTGGTCAACGATGAAGCAAGTTAAGTCTTCAGTTCTTTGCCTGTCCGGACGTTTCAACCGTCAAAATCTGGGAACATCGGAGCTTGGTTCATTGTCCTTCGGTGGGTTAAGACACTGTTGTCCTATGTCTAACCGTACGTCTCAGGCGCAGCCAAACAGTACACAGGGTGGCCCAGCCGCAGCTCAGTATCTCTTTGTCAGAGATCAGACGAAGTAGCCACGTGCTCAGGTCTGAGAGTGGATATCGAATTGGGAAGGTCAAGTTCTGCCGCTCCGTGCCGTTATTTCCTGGATTAGGAACTAAGGAGCTGTTCACAGTATCAAAAATAGGGCTATGGCAGCCAAAGGTAAAGTAGGACAAGGAGTCGTATTACCTCGTATTCTTGGGATGCCAATGAACACCCATCCAGGCGTCGGATGACATCAATATCGTAGGCTACTTTTGCCTCACCTCTCCACATGTGTCGCCGAAGTGTTATTCGCCTCCTCCACCTTAGCCTCATGCACGCCGTGAGCAAATTGATCGACCTTGGTGTACTTGAATTTGCGGGCCGGGACCTTGTTATCGAAAAGCAAATCAATCTCGCCGAACGACCGACCCTTCGTCTCCGGTAGACGAAAGAAGCACCACAAAAGACACAAGATATTGGTCCCGGCATAGAACAGACCAGCCTTTGCACCCCAGTTCCAGGCTATGCCGCAAATCAGAAATCAGGCCGGGTGACAAGTAGATTGAGGAAATGACGTGGCTTACCTGAATCAGACAACATGCGTGGCGTGATTGAATTCTGAATGACGCCTGCCACATTGTATGAAAACCTTCCGACGGTTATGGTTTTGTATCTGAGTCGCCCGGACGGCGTCTCAGCGACGATGGGATAGCAAGTCGGCCCCATGCAAATCGTGTTGACGAAAGTACAGACGACCAACAAGATGCCAATGGCTAGTTGTGCATTGTGGCTATCGTTGAAGCCCAACCCACCAATCTATATCACGTCAGCGTCGTCCATGCGCCCCTGATCCGAACTTGACTTGACTTACCACCACCAAAGTAAGAAGCATACCCGCAAGCCCGGACATGTAGATGGTTCTTCTTCCGAAAAAAGGGAATAATGTGTAGCATATCAGCGGGCCAACCACGAAGCAGGCATTGATTCCCATGTTGAGGTTGAATGATTGGGTTTCATCGAACCCCGCGGCTTGAAGGAAGACGACCGCATAACTGGTCAGTGGATTGCCGTCCAAGATCTGGCACATCCATGTCATGCAATTCTATGTCCAGTCAGTCGACCAAACTTCGTCCTGCACCGGTCAAGAATCTCACCACTTCGGTACGACGCAGATTGACACCCCTGAAGCACTCCCAAAGGCTCGCATCTTCGGTCTCGGCCTTCTCTAATTCGGTAGTGTGCCGAATGTATGCTATCGTAGCTTCTACTTCGGCCTCCTTGTTTGGACTGTCGCTTCGGAGTCTCCCGAGGGCTTCTTTTGCGATCTCTGGCTTGTTTCGTCGAATTGCATTCCATGGTGACTCAGGGGCGAAGTAGGCACCAATACCGAGAGGAAGAGGCCAAATCCATTGCAGAATGAAAAGTAATCTCCAGCCCATCTCGCCTTCCAAGCCATCCACTGCCCGTAGGGCTCCGGCTGAAAGGAGGATACCCATACCCCAGCAGAGGCAGACATATGCAGTAACATATTCGCGCAGGACGATCGGAACCTAATTGAGACGAATTAGACTTTGACCATGGAAGTGATGGAATCTATTCGAGACCCTCTCAAGAGTCCACTGAGTCCACTGGTAACCCACAATTTCACAAGCGTAAGTTGTAGTGAGAGTCTGCAACATCGTAAGCTGGGGTTGTCCACTACTTCTAACCTGATAGCTCACCTGGAAAACACCCCACGAGATACCACACATGGCTTCCCCAAAAGCCAAAACTGACAGATTGGGCGCAAAGACTGCAATGAAGATGGCTGCACATAACCAAGCCATGAAAATCATGTAAGTCTTCCGGCTGCCAAAACGATCCTGCGCCCAAGTATTGAGAGCAAGGCCAAACAACTGTCCAACCAAAGCAGAATTCGCAAGTCCGGATTGCCACGGCGGAGTGATGGACTTCTCGCCATCCGCACCGACAACGCCGAACTTTTCTTTGAATTGGGACTGGCCAAAAAAACCGTTGATCTGCAGAACGAATTAGGGTCTAATTCGAACAAAAGAGAACTGAAACGTACAATGACAACATCATATCCTTCCATGACCAAGGCCGTAGAGAGTAGGCAACTCCAAGCCACGGCTTTCTTGTACTTCTTGATAGCAGCCCATAGTGTTAGCTGACGATCGGCAGCATCGGCCGCCTGCGCTTGCCGGATGAGGTCGATGATGTTAGTATTGCCTGATTCAAGGTGCTTGAGCTCCCTTTCGGTTGGTACAACCTTTGCTGTCTCCATGACCGCGTTCAACTGGTGAAATACAGGAGCTGTGATGAGTGAGAGCAGTCTCAAGCGAGGGGATGGAGAGAGTTCTTACATAGCTGCGCCGGCAACCGAGCCCGTTGGTCGGGGTAGGAAAGACAAGTGCTCGCCTGTTGTCGCGAGACATTGTCGGATTATGGTGTTGATGATCTAGACTGGGGAGCCTCACAGCCGTCGCATATTTTCAAACAACATTATCCGGTGGTATTGACCGGCGGGGAGTACATGATTGGTACCGGAGGCGAATGCGTGTATCCGATGATTGAAACAGCCATGAATGCCAACATAGTCCTCGGCACGACAGGACAGCTCTGAGTAGCATCTATCAGGTGATCCCTCGCTTCAGCGACGTGCAAATTGTCCGTCGACTCCTAGTCTTTCAGACTTAGGCTAAAAGTTGGGAGCACTAGTGAGAATATGGCATGGTCGCGGGGTCGAATATCCTCAGAGTATACTGGCCTCGGGTCATGAGGGTATCAACCCCGCAATTGGGCTTGATTTAAAATATCCGAACGACCTGGATAAAATGGACAAGAATTACCCGATCGGCTCTCATCATAGACAGAACCAGAGGTCTAAATCGGCACGGAGGGCCCTTCTAGAGCAAGGGATGGGGCGAGTGACTTGCGTTGCTCTCTGGGCACCCCCCACGAGCTGGACATAGAGTCTACTTCCACTTGAGCGCTAAGTCCGATAGAACTGGTTTGTTCCCAGCCTTTCCGAGCCTGTCCTTGCATGTCCTTCTCTTAAACACAACGAGGTGGTAAATGAGAGTGCTAATGCGCTCCTCCCTCGTTCAGGGCTGCTGATTGACTATACAATAGATCCTTGAGTAATAAAACCTTGGAATTGTCCAAACGAAAAAGCCTATAACCCAGGTATAGCCTATAAGACGTACTGATACTGCACACAGTAATCTTTGTGGATGAATTTTCCCCGCTTTACGACGTTGACCATCTTTTGAGGGTCGACCGGAAGGTATTATCTCCAGCAAGGCAGATTCCAAAATCACTGCAACCGCATTCACACAGAAAAACTCTAGATCTGCATAGTCGATACAGCCGTGGTTGAGCTGCCAACTGGTAAACTGGTGGATCGCCCCTGAAATCATGAACAAAGAAATCGTCATGAGCATTTTCTTCAACATAGGGTTGTGTAGCACGCGGCGTGGGAGCATGAGACGGACATAGTCGCTGTATCCGCTTAGATGAAGACGATGCCAAAAGCTTCGATTCTTATTAGCCAGCATTCTTTAGGCAGATAGGCGATACACGTACTTCTTCCAAAATCGGCCAAGGGTAAAGGCCTCTAAAGGGCTTCCAAACAAGTCTGGCCAATCTTCTGGTTCATCAACACGCAGGATGCAGATGAAGAGCACGGCTAGTGCGGCATGGATGCTGTCAAGTAGTACTATGGGCGCCCAAATCGTAGTCGTGGTGATCCAGAGCCGTATCGCCATGTCTCTCATTGGCGGTGGTTGATAGAGACATGATGGAAGTAGACGTCGAAGGAGGATTGCCTTGGCTGGTGTGAAGTCATTGCTGGTTATACGCCCCAAAAGTTGCTTGACAACCAAATGGTTAAGAAAGAGAGTTATGCTAACTTTGAAGACCAGTCGCAGGATTCTCATCCATGAAAACTTCCCATGAATAGCAGTTGTTTTGACTTCACGTTGGTCAAAGAGAAGGACGTTCTTGTAGGGGACCCTAATGAAGCGAGGATTACTTGCGACCCTGTACATGTGCGTCCAAAATCTTCTGCCGAGCTTGGTGCAGGTGGCTTTCGAGGCATCGCTGGTCTGTGCAGTCGTGCGAAGTGTCCATTTCTTGATGTATAGTAAGGATGAGAAGTGCACCAGACTGATGAGAGTGATACTCCCCCACAGCTCTGAGAGACCAGGCACAGAATTCAAATTTTGCATTGTCTGAAAGGAGACCGTAGCTGGTACCAAGATGGCAGGAAATCCATAGTGGCGATATCGGTCGGGAACGGTAAGTAAGACGCCCGCAGCAGTGTTGAGGAACAACCACGAGAGAATGGGTATAGGAGCTGCTGAAGTCATCATTGGGATACGAAGTACGAGTTTTCGGCTTTCAGCCAGGTTGTAGCAGGGGTAGGCCGAGGGGGAGAACGTGCAGGTTTGCCCCTGGTTGGATGAGCAGCGCAGCACAATGATATGCAGACTGATGTTTACCATTTGCTTGCAATCACTACTCAGGAATCTTCATTGTCTGTGCCACAATCTTCGTGCGCCACGTACGGCCGTGCGACGGTGTAGTGCATAGACGAGCACAGACCGTTCTACCCGTGCTCCGACTACAACTGGGATCGGTCTGAGATATGCAGACCTTTGACAGACGACAAAGAACGCGAGTCTAGACACAAGTACGACTCACCACTGAATAGTGGATCAACAAAGACTTCGAACAATTTGAAACATTGAAAGTACGATTAAAACATCTATTGTGTCTTTAAATGGATGTTGGTGATCTGCGACAAGGAGTCCCCGCAGTATATTGCTGTATATAAGAACCACATAGGCGCCATTTATCAATAGTTTCCTCAAACTTTTCAACAGCCGAAAAAGATATGAACCTCTGTCGCTTCTTCGCACTTCTTTATTTAACCTGCTTTGTCACTGCAGGACCTTTGGTAGCCCTTGTCGGCACCATTGCCGGCGCGGTCGGCGGAGAGGCTGCTGCGGCCGGCATTGCTGGTAGTAGTATCGCAGCAGCCGTTGGTGTCGGCGCGAGTAGTATCTGGTACGGAGGCTTTGTCATAGTCAACGGTGCATTGTACTACGGGAGTACAGTAGCAGCTGCCGGTGCAGTAGCTGGAGCTGCTGCTGGTGGCGCCGCTGCCGGTCTAGGTAAGTTACACCCGATATCCGCGTTTGGCGCTACGATTTATGATACTGACCCGGAATCTAACGGATATAGCGGGCCAGAGGGTCGAGGATGAAAAGTTGAGTAAGTCAGTTATGTCTTCAATGTCTTCGGAATCGGTCGCATCAGTAGCATCCGTAGCGTCGGTAAGCTCGGTAGAGCACGCCTCAAAAGCCTCAGAAGAGTCAAAGGCGTTGTCGATTTCGAAGGCGTCGGTAGCAGCCTCAAGGAAATCAAACTACGGCATGAAAGCGTCATTGCCGGCATTGGAGAGTCAATATGCAACAATGTCAGCTGGACCAAAAAAGTCTGAAGCCTCCAAAATCATAGCAGGCCTCAAAACAGCAGTGGCATCAATTTCCTCTTTATCAGCAAAAGCCTCGATGGTTAAAGCCTCCTTCGAAGCATCGAAAGCCTCAGAAGCTGCAAAATCCTCATCAGCACCGAAACCGACACAAACATCGAACGCATCGAAGCCAGTGAACGGACCTATTACGAGATCGCAAGAGTCGCCACCTAAAACCACAGGTAAGTACATGGCAGGGCATATTTTCTCACGTTCTTTTCCAACATGGCTAACCCCGAGTGCCCAGGTCCCGTAGCAAACTCACCAGATCCACCATCCCCAGGTAATCTTCCACCACCTCCAGGTCAACCTGTGTCGATACTTCCTCCAAGTAATCGCCCAAAAGAAGTGCCTCCTGGAGTTCCAGAGTATAACTTCCGTATGTGTCAATACGACATCATAAGGATGGGACAGAACAAGCAGAACCTCACCTTCGACAACCCCTCTGGCTACGGTGAGTCCCTCCTTTGAAAGCATACTACTATTACTGACTTTCCATGCCAGACCTCAGGATAGGTAAAATCCCCCCGACTTGCATGGTCTTAGCGACTGTAATGCTTGGAAATCCGCAGCTGGGTCCGCATCCGATTCCTATGGGTGTAGATAGCCTTCAGTGGAATAACATACAACCGGACACCATGAACGCGTTACGCAACAGCTTTGGATTGGGACCCGTTAAACCATAGAGGTAAGGGACGCTCCTATACCATCGGCCATGACAGAGACATAGAAGAAGCATCCAAACATGTGTTGTTGAGACCGACTAAGCGCGCAAGAAGCGCGGCATAGCGATCCATTGGCAATTCGGTGAGTCTGAGAAGTTTCTAGTCGTCAGGGGCTATTTTTGGTCTGTTACTGCCCAGCGATGAAGTACTAGTAGTTTGTTATGCTATCATTCAGGTTTCTTCTCTTAATCTCACAGAGTCTCGGATTCTTGGGCAGCTGCTAAACAACCTCTTCAGCCCTTTGTAATGACTATCTGATCCCGACCTGCCGCGGGTACTTAACGCACCTATGGCGCAGATTGTTTCGAGACTGGCATGTTGTCTGTGAGCGCCTGAAATCTGACGAGTAGCATACTTCCAGACGTTACTCTAAATGCCGAAGGTACCATCTATTGTCCGCTTCACTCTTATCACAATGGTTTCTTTGTCCAGAAAGTCAGGGCATTGTTCCTGCACAATGTCCTTCTCAAGAGCATTAATAGGCCAAGGCTATGTGTGATGGATCACTCCACCAGCATATCGCAGCTTCGAACATTGACCAACCACATTCATGCCAATGGCCACTTTCTAAGACTGAGGATGGCGTCGAAAGGGACGATTTACCTCTACCAGCGCTAACGCATCAAGAACGAATGTATGAGCTGGTTAATCGACCAGCCACTCCACCGCCCTTTCCAGCGAGCCCGTCGGACAGACCTACTACGAAGTACTACAGATGGTGGCTTCTTCCGAGCGTGCTAGGCTTCCTGCTAGTCCTATCTATGGTGGCGCACGTTTGCCTCAGTATCTTCTTTAGCCGAGAGAAATCTCTCAGTATAGGCCTCGTCTTAGCTAAATCCCAGCTGGAGCTGCAGCTACCAGACTTGGCTGTTACCACGACAACCTCCACTCAACATCATACAGCGGAATTGACACGAACGTCCAACCATGCGATTCAGGAGACTATCACGTGGACCAGGATTACTGACAGCATTCAGCCAAGTGAGACGCCCTTCTCCGGGATAGCGATTGTTTCCGCAGATCCCCGGACCTCAGGATCATTTCGACGATACACACGCTGGTGGCGCCGTTCAGGTATCGTCCTCGCGTTGCGAATGGTCAAGAAGAGGTTTTTCAGTCGATAAGGTAGCAAGATAAGTGAAGTACATATTCTTGGACTATGATTTTCCCCACCCATAACAGATTGTCCACCTTTTCTCAGATGTTCTACTGGCATTTCTGCCTGTAGATTGCTAGGTTTGCATGAAAAACATTCAAGTCACTCGTTTGAGTGAAGGCTCAGTAAAGTGACGGGCTGAGAAGCAGGGAGAGCTGATGTTGCGTGTGGATGCTTTCGGTGAATGTTGTGGGTGAAGGTACTCAGCGAGGGCTTTACCAGGCAACCACATCTAGAGTACTTAATCTCCACGCTCTCACCTACTATGCCCACGCCACGCCCACGACCTTTGAAATAGACAACTCAACTAGCATAGCTTTTGCCGCATCGAGCTACCAACACCCACCAGATCAACGTCCGCCGCACCACACCTCCACATCAAACACCACATACCCTCATAATGTGCATCTTCTTCCTCCCACCGCTCTGCGCTTTCTCACAGCACAGGCACGCACGCCTCAAAGCCGAGGACAACACCGCCGCCGCCCATCGCCACCTCATCAGCATGATGCGCAACCCCGACACCGGCGTCATCGCCAAATGCGTCGCGCCTACGCACGCCAACCCGTTCTTCTGCGCCAACCCACGCCTGGGCGTCGAAGTGCGTCACAGTCCCAGCAAGGAGAACCCCACGGGTGAGTATGACGCGTGTGAGACCTGCACAGCGCTCGCGAGGGGCAGACAGGCCGGCGTGTTCAAGGAGGTGGCGGAGGTGAAGAAGGGGAAGGATGGCGGGCTTCGGTGGAAAGAGATGCAGCAGGAGTGTCTGTGCGAGAGGGCGACGAGGGAGGGCGTGGAGGTGAAGGCGGAGAGTCGACCTCGTGGTCCGGTCGTGAAAGGGAATGCAAAGTGAAGGCACGGACTCCGGAGACAATGATGGCAGTGGGAAAAGTATGGCGCATGGTGGCAGAGGGATTAGATACTGGGTTTCTTACAATTGACCGATCTGATGCAGGAGAGATACAGACCAGACCTGAGCTCGGAGGTCACCGACGGGCCCAAATCACTCGCTTCCTGATCGTTAGGCTGCAACGTCCCAGGACTCAGGCCATAGCACATCTTCCTCGCCTCTAACAAGCTGTTTGAGCCTCCTCTTATCTTCTTCGCTCCACAATTCATTCTCGTCAACCACTGCGGCGACAAACGCTGCCTCGTTCCAACCTCTTTCCAGTCGCTTACCTTGCAATAGTGTTCCAGTGCCCTTTAAATCGTCCCTCCATGCACCAAACCCTCTTCTTCGATCGCCTTCGACTAGCTTTGCCAGCCCCTCTTCATCCAGCGGAGGATCAATTCCGATGTACTCGACAGATACTAACGGAGCTGCAATGGCTGGAAGATGCAGGTTGAGGAAGCGAGACTTCTTGAAATCGTGGGACACAATGATGAGCTTGTGAGGCCATTGTGAACGGGACGGTACGTTCGCAGACAAAGGATCGGAGCTCGACACTTCGAACTTCAGCGACCGTGCGGAGCTTTGTCGCACAAAGAGAGGGAACTGGATGAGGGACAGTAAGATGTTCTGATAGGAGTCTGTAGCCCATGTCTCTGGGAAGATTCGTTGGCGTAGCGCTGGCGAGCCTGTGTCTAAGCCAAAGAGGCCGCGGGCAAGTGCAAGGTCCTGGATGATTGATGAGCCGACGCCGGGGTCGTTCTCGTGCTTAGGCTGCTGCAATGGCAGGTCGAGCCACGAATTACAGAAGATGATCCACTCACCAGATAGCTTTGCCCTTCGGTTCTGGAGCAACCTCGATGGGTTTTCGTCGCTCCTCCGCTGAAGACTAGAATTGCATCTTCACCATGGCCGAGGCACTCGCCCAATTGAGTAACGCCAGCCTCAATATGCCGGATGAAGGTCTGCGTTTCCCCTGCCTGGAAAGATTCGATGAGCCACTCAGCGTGTTCGTCGTTGCCGGCGTTAGGGTTCGGCGTAGACGGACCGAGGTAGATAGCATGGCAGCAGACCACCACTAGCGTCCTTGGTGAAGCACCAGGAGACGCCATGTAGTTCTTCAAACACCTTCAACATTGGGTTGATGTCGAGCCACGGGCGACCAGCCGGCGGTCAAAGGTTTGCCCGATCCGGGAAACCCCCCTTGCACGGCAACAACAACTTGTACGTCGTCTTCAAGCCTCGTTGTCTCCACAGCCTTGATTCGACTGCGCAAATCCATGCTGACGCATACACCTGCCCTACACATATCGACAATCTCTTCAGGAGCTCGGACGTAATTCACTGACAGGCCCTCTGTCTTGGATCTGGACGTCGCTTAATAAGCGCATGACAGACCCTGCATGTCGCAGGGAGCGAAGATGCCATTTCGACACCTCCTGTTCGAGGAGAAAACATCGAGGAACCTGGGAATTATGTTTCGGCCGACGTTGTTAGCAAACCGGAAACCTGACACTGTCGCGTTGCTGATGCACTGAGGTCGAGTGACGCACGTGGCGGCCGCCCTTCATTGCCATTCACAAGCTTAAAACCTTGTACTACTACCACGGTCTTTACGATAACAACAGGTCACAAGAGTTTTGACATGCTCGGAGCTCCTCCCGTACTGGTCTTGCTTTGGAACTATATCACGTCCAAGGGTGGTAACCGCTAATGAGGCACAGTGAGAGCACTCTAACGCACGAGTACGCCTACTTGAAATCGCGTCATGTGGGATGTAGGTGCCTTCAGAGGAAGGTCCCGGGCTCTAACATGCAACTTACAACAGGCATGCGGCTTCCCGACGACCCGGGGATCACTGTATGAAGCCTCCACGGCTAGAGCAGGAGCTCAACGACTGATTTGAGCCAAAAGGTGTAAAGGTGTTGCCCGTATTGGGTTAGGAGCCCCACTTGCCACCATGTGAGTAAGCAACAAACAGCCTCTCGTATCTGTCCTTATTTCGTCCCGGCGAAGGTGATGGCTTTGATCAAGTACAGCTCTGGGCATGGATGTCAGATAGGATTTGGCCCGTTCTTTGACGTGAACTTACACCTCTCCCTTATTTCCCCTCTCGCCGCCATTCTGTTACGACCTCTCTATCTGCAGAGCAGCCCAACGCCGACAGATATCCTGGCTTGAGACTCCGAGCATTTACTACGTTCATGTAACGACTTGCATGTCATTCAAGCCCTATGAGAAGCAGTCCGGATCGGCCGAACCGGATTCGGATTTTGCAGCACGCCGGAGACACAAGCCTTCGGTGATGCAGATTCGCATACGCATACGAGAGCAACTATGCCTCGTTATCGCTATATTCTCGCTACTGGCGCTGACAATCCTGGCAGTAACGACATGGACTCAAAGTCGGCGGTACATGCTCGACAGCAGGGCGAACATGCTGCAGGTCACTGCCAACCTCAAAGCCGATGCACTGGCCCAAGAAATTGCACTTTTCAGTGATTCCGTTGTAAGCATTTCAACCAGGGACAAGCTACAAACATACATGCAGGAGTACAACCGGGGGAATATGAGTGAGGAACTTCGTGTGGACCTGGCTGTAGGTCTTGAAGATGTGAGCACCTTGCATTGCAGCTGACCATACCCAGGCTAACCTCGAACATGCTATTGCCGGAGGCGCAGACAAGTCTGTCTATCTGCAGGCCGCCGTCTACCCGCGGAGTGGCTCAAATGAGACAGGTAACCAACAAATCACCAAAGTGACCGGGCTCGGTTCGATAGGTGAATATCAACTCCCCTACACCAATCCGAATGGCAGCAAGGTCTATCTTGGAGTCGGTGATCTCGGTTATCCACCTACTCTGTATCCTAATTTCACCTATTCGGACGATCCAGACGCGATGACTGTTGCTTATGAGTCTGTAACATTACACATCAACTCCACATTGCTCCTAGGCCCGTTGTTTCTCGAGAGCAACACATCGCTCATCTCCATGACGGTTGCGGTGCTTAACAATACATCGCGGACTGATCTGCTCGGCTGGCTCACCGTGGTTCTTGATGCCAGGAATCTGTATTCCATCATCCATTCAAGAGTCGGATTGGGCAGCAGTGGCGAAGTTGTCATCATCGGTCCGGCTGGATCAATCAATGTCTTCAACACGTCTTTGGCTGGCCGTCCAGAAAGCGAAAATGCTGATATTCCTGTGCAATTCGAGCTACCACCATATCCGAATCGACATCCTGCCCGCGCAGACAATCCGTCTCTTCCCTTTCCTATGAGTCAATATCCAGCAGTCCTCCAGGCCTGGTCGAGCACTAATGATGCTATGAACAATGCTTCTCATCTGATACACACACACAACGAGAACAACGCATCTATTTCGGTCGGCTACGCTAGGATCGCTTCGCCTTTAGTGGACTGGGTCCTTGTCTTTGGTCAGACCACGGGTGAAGTCATGGGGCCGGTGAATTCCTTGCGTAACACAATCCTTGCCTGTGTTTTCAGCGTCGTGGGTGCAATCATTATCATCTGTTTCCCATTGGCTCATTATGCTGTCAAGCCGATCCAGGCGCTTCGAACCGCTACAAACAACTCGGTCACAACCTACGAAGTATATGTGCCGCCATCTATCAAGTCCGATACAGATACAGAGAAATCCTTGCTTGACTGGTCGAATGCCGAAAAAGGCTTCACAAGACCTTTTAAGAAGACCAACCCCAAGTCTGTTGTCAAGAAGACACGCGCGTTTCAGATCCCCGAGCGTGTTCCGGAGAAGAAGCACCTCGTGCATGATGAACTCACCGATCTGACCTGTAAGTTCAACGAGATGGCAGATGAGCTATCGGTGCAGTACGCCAGACTCGAGGAGCACGTGAAGACAAGGACTGCTCAACTCGAGCACAGCCGGGACGAGGCCCGAGCGGCCAATGAGAGCAAAACACTGTTCATCGCAAACGTCTCTCACGAACTACGAACACCCCTGAATGGCATCATTGGGATGTGTGCCGTAGCGATGCAGGAAGAGCATGTCTCAAGGATCCGGCAATCTCTCAAGATCATTTACAAATCTTCGGACCTCCTACTGCATCTGCTCAATGATCTTTTGACTTTCAGCCGCAGTTCTTATGGTCAGCAACTCTCGATAGAGGAAGGAAGCTTCCGGCTTGTCGATGTAGGCTCCCAGTTGGTGTCTATCTTCGAAAAACAAGCGAAAGATGCCGATGTCGGGTTGAAGGTCGTCTTCCTTGGACCTTTTTCGACGTATCCGAATTCTGGAGCTGATCCCGAAGACGCGATCGTGGCGAGGCAAGATATTGCTGGAAACTTACGCAAAATCAAGACGAACGTGCTGGCAATGGGACCGGCCGACACTGGACCACTCCGACGAATCGGGCTTCGCGGCGACAAAAACCGTATACTCCAGATTCTGATGAACCTGGTCAGCAACTCCTTGAAGTTCACGCCCGCGAAAGGTCAGATCGAAGTGCGGATCCGCTGTAAGGGTATGGTTGACCTGCCACCTGCTGACGACATGTCTAATGCCTACACGGTTGGCGATGCACTCACGACGCCAGGTAGCGAGATGCCTACCATCTCGATCCGCAAAGCTTCTGAGGCTTCGACAGCTCTGATGATGGCTGATCAGCCGCACAAGGGCCTTATATTTGATTTTGAAGTGGAAGACACCGGGTCTGGCATCCCTGAGCACCTACAGCAGGAGATTTTCAAGCCCTTCGTTCAAGGCGACTTGACACTGAGCAAGAAGCACGGCGGTACTGGATTAGGCCTTGCCATTTGCTCACAGCTGGCCGAAATGATGGGTGGTGATATCCGACTGAAGAGCACTGTCGACGTCGGTAGCACCTTTGTTCTATCACTACCGTTGAAGTATACCAAAGAAACAGTACCATCGGTGTCCGGTTCTCTGGCGGTTTCTGCTCGCCGTCTGAGCATGTCCAGTAGCGTACAGTTCGACACTTTCAGCGCCAAGTCTGGGCGTTCGAAGCAGCCACGAACACAGCCTCAGTCGGCAAGGGCTTCGATATTGACTCAAGAGAAAGAAGGCGATACAGCAAGTCTTGAACATCCCCGTATCGTTGGTTACTCCCAGCCTTTTATCCTGGACGATGATGATGGTCCGGATGAAAAGAACATATTGCCGGGGAAGCAGTCACCACGCGGTCCTGGCAGACGCTCACCACAGCCATCACGAAAGCTTCAGGACAGCTCTTCCTGGTCTCGCCTCGAATCAATACAATCAGCCACTGCCGCACCTCTTGAGCCTGCTGAGACTGCGGCTAAGACTCCCACCACCGCAACTGTCTTCGAAGCACCGAATGAGCAGAGCAACACGCTTGCCCCTGCAACCGCGGTCCCCAAGAGCCCTGCCATGCGTGTGCTCGTCGCAGAGGACAACCAGGTGAATCAGCAAGTGATACTCCGGCTCCTCAAGCTGGAGAAAGTCGCGGACGCGAGCGTCACTCTCGCCGAAGACGGTCAGCAAGCTTTGACAGCCGTCCAGCAGTCGCTAGACGACCCCGCCGCGCCGCCATACACCTTGGTCTTCATGGACATTCAGATGCCCAAGATGGACGGCATCGAGGCCACGAAGCGGATTCGTGCCTTGGGCTTTGACGCCCCCATCATAGCATTGACGGCGTTCGACCACGAAACGAACAGGAAAAATTGCGAGGAGGTGGGTATGAATGCTTTCCTGGGCAAGCCCATCAAGCGCACGGCGCTCAAGGGGGCGCTGGAGGAGTTCAAGCCGAAGGGCTAGCCAGGCGTCGGAGTGACAGAAAAGGTCGGGTGAGGAATCAAAATTTGGGCCGTTGTCATGAAAGCCATGGCGTGGCGTGGCGTGGCATGGCATGGCATGGCATGGCATGGCGAAGGACAACCAAAAGAGCTTGTAGGGACTGGGGGCGATATGAATCTGCCAGATCGGGCGAATATCATTTCACTGCCTCTCTTGGCGTTTTTCTATTTCTATACGGTCCGGTCCTCGCGTATCCGGCAAGGGGCTTATATGCGCGGATTCTGTTACAGGCAGGTATGGCGTTCTCCTCGAACCCGGCGGACAGGTGTTGTATTCGAATCCAGTTAGGTGCCTTGCTTACACCGGCGATCCTGACACTGACCCAGCTGCCGATAAGTCCGGGGGAATTGAAGCAATAGGTTCAATAAACGCACACCTGTTGTAAATCGCCCCTCCCCTGCTACTCACAACGGGCATTTCGTTGCCACTACAAGGGGTTCTGGATTCTCTAAACGCGCTCTAGCAACTTTGCATTTTGCTTCAATAATAACATCGACGCTACCGACAACAGATCCATAAGTGGCTTCTCACACTACAACTTCCCAGCCCTTACACCCTCTCATCTGTCCTCTCCACCACCGTCCTCCCCTCCGTCACCTCCAGCTCCGCCCTTGTCGGGAACCTCGGCAGCAACTTGAAGATGATGGGCCCCGCGGCAGCCAACAGCGCGCCCACACCCGTGAAGCACGCGATGGCGGTGAACCCCGTCGCATACTGCGGCGCATCCTCCGAGGGCCACAGCCGACTGCCATAGACGGCGCTCAGGTTGCCGACACTGTTGGCGATGGCGATGGAGACGGCGCGCTTCTCCGCCGGGAGACCGATAGTCTCCGAAACCCAGGTCATGGTGAGTGGGAGGGAAGTGTAGACGCCGGCGATGCAGAAGCTGAGGAAGGTATAGCGGGTGGCGTCGTGCTCGACCTGGAAGCAGATGATGGCGCTCATGAAAGCCAATGCAAGGGCACCCGCGGTGTGCCAGCGTCGGTCCTCCAGCCGGTCGGCGGTGTAGGGCAGCACGATGAGGAAGACGGTACCGACGACCCAGACGGGGACGGTCATCCATTGCACGGCTACGCCGGAATAGCCCATGCTGCCTACGATGGTGGGTATGAAGTAGTTGATGGTCGCGGAGCCGTTTTCGAGCATGTATAGGATGGCGAAGAAGTAGGTTCGGAGGTCACGGAGGGCCGCCCAGACAGCCTGCAGCGCGCTAAGGCGTTCGATGACCGGATCGGTCATGTTGCGGTCATGGGCCAGGCGGATGACGGCGAGTTGGCGCTCCTCCAAGCTGAGACGCGACGAATTGGCCGGATAGTCCATCAGGGCGAAGAAGGCGATCGAGGAAAAGGCAATGCTCATTATGCCTTCGATGAGGAATAGCCAGCGCCAGCCCTGCATGCCTCGAGCGCCTTCAAGGCCAGAGACGATGGCGCCCGCGAGAAGCCCGGAAACCGCCCCTGCAAAACACAAGGCTGTGAAGAAGATCGAGAAGCGCTTGCCTGGGGGGCTGTCAGCTATGTTGATCGGCACAAAGGTCAGCGGATGCCTACCGAGCTCGTCTTTCTTATACCAAGACGACATGATGTACATTACTCCTGGCATGAAGCCCGCTTCGACAGCGCCCAAAACGAAGCGAGCAGCGAGAATGCCTCCATAGCTTTGAACCTGGCTCATGCAGGCACAAACGGTGCCCCAGCTGATGGCTAGCACAGGGACGTACCACGATGGGCGGACTCGGGTAATGATTAAGTTGGAAGGCACTTCGCAGATGAGGTAGGCGATGAAGAACATGGAGATCAACATGGCGTATTCTGTCGTGCCTCTTGGTCAGTCTTTCACATTCATGCTGACCGCGTGGCCAAAAATGCGCTAGACTTACGTGACGAGTCAAGGCCGAGGTCTTCGCTCATGCCGGCGGCGTTGGCATTGCCCTATATCGAATGGTCAGCTCATCGTGCTCCCATTGTCATGCCCATAGAACATCGTCAAGGTTCAACTCACAATATTGTTCCTATTCAAGAAGCAGAGAACACACATAAACCATAGCGTTGGTATCATGTACCAATCGACCTTGCGGACCAGCTTCTTCTCTAGGTCGGACCCAGGAACATAGTTCCGGAGCGCAAGATCGAGCTGCTCATCGCTGTCATCGATCCCGACATTGTTGCTTGACACCTGCTTAATGCTAGGCGTCTCCTTCAGATCGAGCTGCGCATCATTGACTGCTCCAGCCATAGCCGACGAGTGCTAGAAGTCGAGGTTGAGTCACAAATGGTGGCAAAGGGCGATGTCCGTAGGATGCTCAAGAGCAATGAGCTGCCGATGTTACCGACAGACAAAGCGGTGCTACCATGCTGGCTTTATGGTGATACCGATCCATGGCAGACGGCAGGAGGTTCCTGGCAGTCCCCGCCCTCGTATCTATCGCATGGTTTGTAGCGAGATGCGCTAGCCTCCACAGAGCGGAGACTTGTTATCTAGAAGGTAGGCCCTGCAGGGACCAGCCGATCCAGGAAATGTCTTGGCCGGCTGGCTCCGTAGCATGGGCAATGCCTCCCTCAAGCAACATCGTGAGCTTGCCAGGAGAGACCCTGTTGCTGGCGGTCGTTATCTCTGGCTAGGCCTGGCCCGAAACGACATACCAACATGATGAAGCACAGATAGGAAGAAGACGATGGACATGGTCGCTGGCGTTGCAGTCTGCATATCATAGTGGCTATCCTGGCGTTCACAACAAGCAGCCGAGAGCGATGGAAATTACTGCCGTATTTGCTTCTCCATCTTCTCACGGTCGCTGCGTGGTCTCTCCAGGCTGGCATCTAGGACCTCTTCTTTGGTCATGACCGGTTGAGGCTTACTGACCAGCCCAGCGTAGAACCAATTGGCCAAAGTGGTGACATCCCACACTGGCAGGCCTGTAGCTTTCTGCACCGCGTTCGCGAACGGAGGGAACTGTGTGCACTCTAGTAGAATGGCACCGATGTGTGGTTGCTTTGCGATCAGCTCCTTTGCAGTCTGGACCACTTCTTCTGTAAGCGCTTCCAGATCGTAGGGAATGCCATCGCGAAGGGTATGCTTCATCCTGCCCTCCTTCGGTGGTCCACTGATGTATATGTTTTCGAAATCGTGCAGACCGACAGCCTTCAAGTGGTTGAAATTCAGCCGCTCGCTGTCGAAAGTCAGGATGCCGATACCTTGGTCCGGCCGAATGATAGTGCGTATCATGGGGACTTGTAGCAGCGAGGATGTGGCGACTGGTACAGAGAGCCGTTGCGAAAGCCTGATGCGGTCGTCAGCAGTGTTCGCGTGGTCACAGGCCGGTCAACCATACTTCTTCTGTGATATGGCCCAGAACCCACAGCTCGTGACCAAGCCTATTGCTCCTTGTTCAATGAGACGATTGCCCGCCTCCACGAATGCATCGACCATCTCATCGTCATGCTCTTCGTCGGTCACCATAGACACAAGAAGTGCACCTTTGATCTCCGTCTGAATTACCGGAAAGTCGAACGTCCTTCGGTTACCAATGTCTCCTGGTGCCCGGTGGATGTTCATCTCAGACGCGATAAGACCCAGGATCGGGCGTGAGCCCATCGTTGTTGGCGCAATAGAACCCATGTTGAGTGAATTGACTGAGTCCTGGTAACAAACAACTCACAATCGAATCAGATACACTTAGCTATTTGACATGCTTAGCCATGCATTGTGTTTGGGGTCAAACTTCGAGGCTGTATTGCCGTTCATACGCCCTGTGGCTCCGTCCGGCTCATTCCGTGGCGAGGAGGGGGAATTCCCCCACTACAATCTGTAGGAGATCGGCATTCGTGGGTCGCGGTGCGCATGTCGACGCGTTTTTTAATTGTTGCATAAGAACAGGAGACCTGCGCCGTGTCGTGGTCGCAGTCACTCGCTCACCAACACGAACATTTTTGAAGCCTCAAGTCAGTATCCCGATTTGCAACTATGACTCCCCGCAGACCCAAGGTCGTCACAATTTCGCCGCCCAACTGGGCGGACCCTGAATATCTGAAGGAGTTCGAATCCAAATTCGAGGTCCATGTTTCTGAGGCAGGCGACAGACCAACCACAATCAAGAACCTGGCTGCAAAAGTGGCTTCGGACGGGCCTTTCGACGCAATCTGCATTCTGATGGGCACAAAGCCGTACGAGCCGTTTGATGAGGAGCTGCTGAAGCCACTGGTGCCTCAATGCAAACTCATGACCTCCGCCAGTGCGGGCTACAATGAGTTCGACGTTGACTGGATGTCGCGTAACGGCATTACCTTCTGTAACAGCCGTAACGCCGTCAACGAGTCTACTGCGGACCTGGCCATCTTCATGATGTTGGGCGTGATCCGCGACGTCCAGCGCCTGCAGACCAGTGTCGCCAATGGAAACTGGAGAGGAGGCCTCGTGCCCGCGCGCGACCCATGTGGCATGAAACTGGGCCTCGTGGGCATGGGAGCTATCGGCAAGCACGTTGCCCGCAAGGCAAAGATGTTCAACATGGAGATAATCTACTACCAACGCACACGCATGCTGCCCGAGGAGGAGAAGATGTACGATGCGAAGTACTGCTCGACACTGGACGAGCTTTTATCGACGTCCGACATTGTTTCCTTGCACTGTCCTCTGAACAAGAATACGGAAGGCATGATATCGCACAAGGAATTTGCAAAGATGAAGGAGGGAGTCTTCTTCATCAACACCAGTCGTGGACCTCTCGCCAACGAGGAAGCGTTGATTGAAGCTCTAGAATCGGGCAAGATTTGCCGGGCCGGTCTGGATGTGTTCCATGGCGAGCCCAAGATCAAGTAAGTGGTCATTCTATGACGAGACCGACACAAGCTGATACTCGAAAAGTCCGTACTTTATTCGAAATGACCGCGTTATCATGCAGCCGCATATGGGTGGAATCACGGATGTTGCATGGAACCGAGCGTACCGAGAAGCGCTCGAAAATGTTCGAGCATTTTTCGAGACAGGAAAGGCGATCAGTCCGGTGAACGAAGCAGATGTGAAGGCGCATGCAGGCACAAATGGCTCCTCGTAGATGGCAGTGTTATAGATAGTTAAATGACAGTGGCCTTTCGAATTCTTCCAAGCAGTCGCTGTCGTCGCTCGCTCGTGAGATTGATGGCCTCAAGCCCAGGCAGTGATACGGTTGACCGCAGTGCTCCTAACGCGAAAGTGGCCGTTTCCAGTTGCGCCTACGCTGGAAATTTGCCGAGCAGATAAGCGTGGATGTTCGACACGGTACCCTGAACACAGGTGCCGAAATCCGCAATGACTGACCACGTTAGGGTGGCCCCGTTAGACTTGGCTTGGGGTCTGTTAATTGAGCACTCGGATTGAGCCGACTCTCTTTCTGCTTCCCCAAACAGAGTCGGACTGTTCCGTAGCTGAGGCGAGCCACGAATGCCTCACCGGAGCTGCCCTCGATGCGGTGCGCTCGCTTCGTGGACTAACCCGGGATAATCCATCGCCCTGGAGATCCTGACCCGAACTTTCATGGCGTGATCTCTCGAGCTTCCAGATCCTGAAGGGGTCTGGTGGGTGCAAAGGAGGTCGCGTCTAGTGTTTGGAGGTTAACGGACTTTTTGCTTGCTCCTTATGTCGCGCTGTTTTCGCAAACAACCATGTCCTCGAACAAAGGAGCAGATGTTGGCATCGTCGGTGCAGGTATCATCGGTCTTACATGTGCACTGAGATTGGCTGAAGCGGGTTACAGTGTGTCCATACTTGCGAGAGATCTTCCAGGAGATGAGACGACAACGTGGGCCAGCCCATGGTGAGTTTGTGATGATGCTTGCCGATCGAAGCTGAAGTCTGTGTCAGGGCTGGCGCTGTGGTTCTGCCGTATATAACCAAAGACCCCAGAGATAGGGCAATGCAGATTGCCTCCTTGCGGTATTACTGGGCTCTCGCGCATCAAGACCCAACATGTGGGGTTCAGGTGAGAGTAGCTTTCCCAGCTTTAAATCCCCCAGCTCACTGGCATTCAGACTGTGACAGTCTGCGAATATTGGGATCAGCCGACTCACGACAAGTCGGATGAGTGGTATGCAACAGTCGTCCCACACTTTCGTCGATTAGGACCAGACGAGCTTCCTCCGGGAACAGTGGCAGGCAATACACTTATGGCGATATCGGTCAATCCTGATACATATCTGAATTGGATCAAGGGTCGGCTGGAGGCTGTGCATCAAGTCCATTTCATCCGAGCTACGGTGCAGTCTCTGGATGAAGCGGCGGAAGTCTTGGGCACGAAGACCTTGGTCAATGCATCTGGTCTTGGAGCCAAGGAGCTTGCAAACGATCAACACGTTGTCGGTATCCGTGGACAAACAATGTTTGTCAACTTCCCCCGAGACCCCAAAGATCCGGCGCGAGTCTTGGACAAGGAGGTCCGAATCAGACGAGGTGCTGAATACACCTACGTTCTTCCAAGAATGCTGTCGGGCGGCGTTGTGATCGGAGGAGTTGAAGAGGAAGGTAGCACCAATACGGACATCAGCGTCGATCTCCAGCAAGACATCCTCGAGCGAGTCAATGTTATGACGAATGGCTGGTTTAGCGACTTAAAGCTGAGCGATGTAAAGAGGAACATTGCCGGTATCCGTCCGGGGCGAGAAGGTGGATATCGGGTTGAGAAGATTGGCAACATTGTACACGCGTACGGATTCGGAGGAGCCGGCTATCGCTATAGTGTGGGCGCAGCCGACATCGTGGTCGATCTGCTTCGGGGGCAGAGGCCAACGACGTCCAAGTTATGATCAGTCGAGTGCGATTCGCCTTGTGCTCATCTCTGAACCATTTCTCTAAGTAAGAGTTCAGTAGAAGGGTCCATTCCGATAGCGTTGATGCTTGAAAGATGCTCTGGGATGCCGAGGTGTGCTTGCTTCAGCACCGGTAGATTAGGGTCTGGGTGGCCGCGCTCCTCCTGTTCCGCCAACATCGATTGGGTTGCATTGACAAGCGCCTGGAACGTGTCCCGGTAGGGTTGGGCGGGGCTCCACCGTTCTGTGATAATGACCAGAGCCACCGTGCAGGCTGTACAGGCACTATTGACAGCGTCCCTTCTATAGGCCCTTCGACATGCGCCGTCAGTCCAGAGGCAATACAGGAAGGTGAGCCCTGCGAGAAAGAGGATATGGAGGGCCCCCCAGGTAGAGCTGACTTTGGTGTTGAGGTATACGTCTTGGTAAGTGTGGCAGATGCGGGCCGCGGAGTGTGCACAGTCAGCATATGTTGTCGACATGTCCAGGGTCGAATCAAAGCCATGTCTGATATGAGTTACTAGTTTGTGGCGATTCAGCAGTAGAACGGTATGATCGTAGGCAAGGGTGAACCATTCTGGAGTACCAAAAGGCAAGCCTTGTTCAGGTGTTCGAGCGAATGGCTGAGGGCATTCGGCGTACCATTTCATAAGCTGTGTGTGTATATCGTCGGCAATCTGATAGTCTGGTGTACGCGGGGTCTGCTCAAGCTTGGAGGCGTAGAAATTCGTGGTGATATCTCCCCATATCCGCCTGAGTCGCAAATGATGGACAGCTGCAGACATCGTTGTTGAGGGATCACGATGATGGGTTCGGGGCTCCGCGAGGAGCTGATCTGCGGTGACGTGCTCGTCGTTGATGTCGCTTGGGAATTCAACATCAATGTCGTCGTCTGCGATACCCACCGGTCGGCCAAGCGATACAGCAGAGATCCTGTCAAGATTGTAAGAGACCCAGAAAACACGCTTACGCATCTCTTGTTGCAGCAGATCGAGACATTCGTCCGCCCAGACCAGCTTCTTGTTCAGGCCCAACTCCGTGCATTGTCTCAGCGCAATGCCAGACAGAGTCCATACGGATACGCCGCTGGAGGAGCGCATCGAGTACATTGCACAACATAGGATAGCCTGTATGGGTTGAACTCCATCTGCAGTTAGAGCTTGGTCCAAACAGAGATCTGCCGCAGCGTAAAGGCTTTCGGCGGAGCTAGGACACAAAGCGGGCACGATCAATGCACCCACTGCGTACACAAGGTAGACGAAGAAGTTCTCGACCGGGTCCGAGGTCAAGCCGTTGTCGTTTGCAAAATGCACATTGTTCTCCCACTCCTCAAAAGTAGGCCGGTGCAGGAAGGGATACTGACGATGCACATGAGTAAAGTAGGCATCACTGAGGAGGTCTCCGAATACCCTGGCCGGTAGGGGAGCAGGTAGGGGCTTTGGCAGGTTCTTGAAGACGTTGTCTCTGATGCCGGATACACTGATGCCAGGGCCCTGATAACGAACACTTCGCATAATAGAGCCAACGATTCGTACAAAATTGAGCCCGGAGGAGGCGCCATAGTACTGAGGTTGCGACACGGCAGCTGCCATACACAGGGATTCGATTGAGGGCTCGGAGGCGTGCGTAAAAGCGCTTGGTCTACTGCCGTCGCTTGGATTTGGCACCTGTTGTGAGCTCGAAGACCGCCCATTGACAGACACAGGCTCTGCATCGGCTAGGGATGAGCTCTGAGGAGTGTTGGCGGTTTCGGGCCGACTGCTCTCCACGACCATATGATCAACCCCGATCTGAGGATGTGTCTCTCTCAAGAGACCTTCGAGTTGAGCGATTCGAGCTTCCAGCAATTCAACGTAATTCGGAGGTAGATTCCTCCTCGTCGATGGATCTTCAACGGTACATTCTATCTCGTGTTAGTTGGGGATTCGATCCGAGCGACGGATAGTGTACCTCGACCGGTCTTGGTACAATTGCCACACGCGGGACGATCGCCATCGCATTTCTGCTTCTTCTGCTTACACGGATTGCACGCGATCCGCGCCCGCTTTGATGGGCGTTCTAGAGACGAATCCATGCTGATGGCAGTGCATTGGCAAGAACATGGTGATGGAATGAAAGGATAACCCAGACTACGGGTAGCTGCTTGGAGAGGCTTGGGGAGGGTCTAGGCGGAAAGTGATAAGGCATGATACAGAGGTGGGCAGCTTTCTGCCGCTTGCCGCTGTGGGGAAACGTGGCGGAAGCTGCGCCTTACTAGGTACGGTTAACCATGGCTAGATATACGGTGGAGGGTTCCTTCCGTCTATGGACTTTCCATCCTGACCTCCCTCACCCATGCCCGTTCACCCCTATGCTTCTACTGTTCAGTACCTCGCGTGTCGACTTCACGAATATGCCAACCAGCTCGTCAATCTCGTCAGCCGAGATGATGTACGGCGGCGCAAACAGTATAGCGTCGACCAGATCAGAGCACAGATAAACCGCAGCACCATTCTTTAAGCAGGCGGCAGCTACCTCAGCCCCAATTGGTTTGTCGTGAGTCTCTGTAGCGAACTCGACGGCGACGAACAGACCCATACCCCTGATCTCCTTCAACAGTGGCACTTCGGCTTTGAGCTTGTTCTTAAGCAGTTCGCCCGTGGCTCTGACATTCTCGAGGAGATTATCTTGGATGATCGCCTGCTGAGTGGCAACAGCTGCTGCACACCCGATCGGATGATCCTGATAGGTATGTCCACTCATGAACGGCTTTGTCGAATGCGATTTGGTGATAGCATCAGAGATCTTCTTGCTGAAGAGGACCCCTGATATCGGCTGATACCCACCCGCAAGACCTTTGCCGATGGTTTGTACGTCTGGTGCTACTCCGCCAAGGGACTGCCAGGCATGTTGGCTTCCAATCCGACCCATACCGCACATGACTTCGTCAAAGATGAGTAGAGCGCCATGTTTGTCGCACAGCTCACGCAGACCGGCCAGATACCCTTGCGCAGCAGGCACCGCACCGAGCGTGGCCCCCGAAACCGGCTCGACGATAACTGCAGCGACTGTGGACGGTCCAAGCTTGATGAACATTTCCTCGTAGTCAGCTAGGAGACGTTTCACATATGCAGACTCGTCTTCTCCGGGACGAGCATCTCTTCGGAAGAAACATGGAGAGACGTGATGGAATACTGGTGAAAGCATCGGCACAAATGGTCCTCGACGTCCCGGATGGTGTCCAGCTGACAACGCGCCAATGGTGTTGCCATGATATGCGGATTCTCTGGCGATGATGTTGACCCGCTCAGGTTCGTCGTTGCACAAGGCGTACTGTCTCGAGATCTTGATAGCCGACTCTACCGCCTCCGACCCCGAATTCAAGATCAGCAGCTTCTCGAAAGCACCTCCACTCGATTTGGTGAGCATTCGGGCTAGCTTTTGTGCAGGTTCGCTGGCAAAGAACGAGCTGTGGGCGAACGCCAGTTGTTGAGCTTGCTGTACGATGGCCGCAGTTACATCTGCATGGCCATGTCCCAGACATGAGACTGCTGCGCCACTGCTGCCATCGAGCACCTTTGTCCCGTCTTCACGAACAAGATATACTCCAGCGCCGCCACTGGCTCTGCTGTATTGCTTGCCAGGCGCTCGGGTCCATACTGCTGCAGGTTCGGCGTCGGCGCTCGCGCTCATACTGACGAAGTTACAATCTTGCACACAGACCTTTTCTTGGAAGCGGCCACCAACGAACACCGCCTCTATCGCGGAAGGCCCTGGATGTCATGCTGGACGATTGATTCGCGCCATCAGTTGGAGATGGAGCGCACGGGGAGCACGGAGATAACGTATCGGCTACTTCCGGGGTACCTCGGGGCCTTTGTCGGAGCAGCCCGATTTACCGCTGGGCACCATCTGACATCCCACACAGAGTATCAAGACGGGGCAAACGCACAGAAGGTGAAATGATCGGAAGTGGTCGGCCGTGCACATTGAGAGAATCTCGGCTCACAGGTTGCAGCGCCTCTGCAAGTATACAACTTGCCAAGTAAAGCGTGAATGGGCTTACTGTCTCATCGTCTATCCACAGGTTGTCATCACCAAGACACAAGCCACACACAGCAATTTCATCGCCGGTATACTCACCAGCAATTCAGATACTCTCAAGAATGGGCCCCGCATCTGCAGCCTCGAGATGGATTACATGAGCGGGTACTCGGGAGCAAGCCCAGGGGCTCCGCAGCTAGGGCGAGGATCTGGAGTCACCGTGGATTGTCATCGCCTGCGGAGCTACACGCTTGTGTCTCCATGCCTTTCATGCTGTCCCATCAGCCTTGAACCAATCTACTTTATTGATGTACGCCTAGCATCAACCATGCAGCGGCAATCCGGCATGCTACCGACTCAAGCATGCATAGCCAAGTACTCAATCCCTACATCTCGCACCAGAAGCCACCAATTCCAAGGTAGTCAGACTTTCCCCGCAGAAAGCCACGACTCGTCAAACAAAAGCCCAGACACTTCTGTAGACTCCTCGCATCGCAAAAGTACAGTGCCATAACGTCACCGCGGCCTCGGTCGCCGCTATAGGATTAGGGGATTTTCACTGATACAATGCCAATATAGCTGTTGTCCAATCATGGTTCGAGGCCTCATCATACCGGTTTGGCAATGGCGAAGTTCCTGGTGGAACGAGGGGATTTCGCCGCCCAAGGTTGCTATATCAGCTCTGGTACGTACTGCTTCGTGCTAGCACCTGGGGGAACGAGGCACTTGAAGCTGCTCTGGCCCCATATGACGTCTGTAGCTCATGTATATCTCTATCTATATGTACCATTGCCATTCGTATCGCAACGCCCCTCTCTTCATGACCATTCGCACCGCGACGCCCCCCCTCTTCACCAGCCACTCACCCGCCAGGAGCACCAGCACCAGCACCAGCAGCCCCAGCCAATCCAGCCCACCGCCACTCGTACCTCGCAGCAATGTACTTCGCCACTATCGCCCTCGCCGCCCTCGCGCTCACCGTTCCCTCGACAGCCCAGAGCCAAACCCAAACCCAAACCCAAGACCTCGACATCCCCTCCACCATCTCCTCGGCCCTCAGCGTCGCCAGCTCCTACGTCTCAGCGCACGACATGAACTCGATCATCTCCTCGGGCCTCAGCTACGCCAGCTCCTGGGCCTCGGCCAACGCCGACAACATGGACTCGATGATCTCGTCGTTGGGTGCCGAATACGGCATCACGGACGCCAGCGGCGTGTCTTCGGCGCTGAGTCGGGCCACGGCGTTCTTTGAATCGATTACGAGCGACGGCGCTTTCGCGGCGGGGGACTTGGCGAGCTTGACGGGTGGCGCTGCGGCGGCCACTTCTGGCGTCGAGGCTGAGAATGCTGCGTCCGCTGATGATAGCAGCGGTGGATCGGGGAGTGCGAGCGCGGCGTCGACTGGAGGGGCGAGCTCCGATCGTGGTGCTGTACAATGGAGCGCGACGGTTGGCGCGGTGGTCGGAAGCTTGTTCTTAGGGTTGATAGCGTATCTGTAAGTCCGAGGTCGCGGATGGACGTGTACGCCAAAGGTAGGCGTGGTGGGGGGAATGCTCGCCAACAAGAGGCCATCGAAGTCCCTATTCATCAGTCCTCAAAACTCACGCCAAAGCTCGCCTGCACATGCTTCGCTCGCGAGATCTCCTGCGCCTGCAGCTCTGTCTTCCGGGCGATTTCCGGCCTCCGGCGTATCATGTCGTTCACCATGTCCGTCCAGTCGTTGCACTGCGCCCAGAACCACGCTGGCGCCCCGCTTCCGCGATCCTTGCTCCAGAAATCCGCACCCGCCGCCACCAGATACTCTGCCGCCTGCTTCTTCCCGCGGAAACAGGCCGCTTGTAGTGCCGTGGACCCGTGCCGGCCACCGGGGTGCTCGAGATCGACGTAGATAGACCTGGGTTGACGGAGGAGAGCCCGCACTATGGGGACAATGCCGAATGAGGCGGCGTAGTAGAGGGGTTGGGTGCTCATAGCAGTGGTCGGGTGGCAGTCAGGGATCAGATAGCTCACCCAGGCTCCGTAGTTGCCGCCTCGGAGTAGCGTGCGCGTGGAGAAGAATTTCTGTACCCAATGCCACTCGACCGTGGAAGCGGACGATGCGTGTAAGCCCCAGTAGTGCGCCGCATAGTCCAAAAGCGGAAAGTCTTGCTCGCGGGATAGAAATTCAGTACGAGTCGATGCAACACCAGGCCTGAAGTCGTCAAACATCAAGTAAGTCAGGCATCTTCGCATCAGCGCTTGGTTTCCCTCGTTAATGGCAAAGCTGAAAAATTTGTCGCCTTCGGTCCGGGCGTAGTCTGACAGCAAGTAGTCTTTGACGGAAGAATGCGCGAGTTTGACCGCATTGCTGTCAACGTCGTGCTCGACGAAGCCATTGCAAATGTCGAGGATCTCTTCCGGGTGGCGTAAGCGAGAGTCTTGATCCAGTGTTGGGTCCGAGTCTTCGAGGACGGCGGCTTCGCTCAATTCGAGTAATGTCATGGGGCGCAAGGAGAAACTCAGCCACAGCAGGGCTTCGCGGGCGATCGGTCGATCAATTTCGGGAATCACGCGCAACATGCTTGCGTATGTACTGTTTAAGGTGGAAGGCATCTGTTCTAATGCTTTCAGGACAGCCTTTCCAGTGCGCTGCTTGCAAAGGTTGTCTAGTAACAGGGCGACCCAGCGGAACCTGGACAATGTTAGCACGCTCTGCTAGGTGATCAGGTTCCTTAGTAGCACTTACGTTTGATCTGCCTTGTTCATAAGAGTCGATCTAATGGTCTGCCTGCATTCGTGGCTGAGGTGACCTAGAGAGCCAGCGTCGGAAAGGTGGGCTTCAATGTAAGCCTGAATGTCTTCATCTGGCTCGAGCTGAATGTCAATGGCGTGAGGCCACTGACTTATACCAGCCGTAGAAGCACTTCGGGTACTCGTGACCAAGACCATAAGATTCGGCAACTGCTGGAGTAATCTCACAATGCACGCGAGGTTTTCGGTGAAGTCACTGCTTTCGTTAAGAGCGTCCAGCAGGAGAATAGCGTTCCTGAAAGATGGAATGTGCTTGACCAGAACTTTCTCCAGATCAGTGGCCTGCAATGTTCTGTCCTGCTTTCGGGTCTGATCTCGCTGAAAAACTCTTCTTATATCGTCTAGTATCGCGGGCTGCTGGGCAGAGATCTGTGCCACCAAAGAGCCGAGAATGTTGGTGAGCTGCTGTGAAGCTGGGTCGCTGAACGCGCAGTAGTGATACGCAACTGCTGTGGAAGGGACCGAAAGGGAGAAGCTCCTAGTTTTGTCCACTATATGGGAGAAGAGAGTTGTCTTTCCTGTCCCGGACTTGCCGTTGATCCACATCAGCGAAGCTTGGTCACGCTTTTGAGTGAGCCATTGCAGTAACGGCCCCGATGTGAATGACACGCCTGTATCTGGATGTCTCGACGCTGCTGTCTTCGTATGCAGCTCTTCTGATCGTGCAGGCGCAAGCCAATGAATCAGTTCATCCTGATTTGTGTCTAACTTCGAGGCCTCCTCATCAGAGAATGACACATTTGCTGACTTTACCCTCGAAGAGCCTTTGACCTTGGCTTCAAGTCGAGCTAGGGCCTTTTCACCCTCACCATACCTGAGAGACATGGAGACGTCGAGAATACCGAGCAAACAGTACGCCTTGTCCTCCATCTTCTTGGTCTGACGGCCATTCGTCCATCGCAGACGTTCGTCCACAGTGAACCCCGATAGCGGCTCTCCCCGCAAAGCAGCGATTGGGATCTGCGTGATCTCATGAATGAGAGCCTCGAGGGTCTTCTTGCTGCCCAGTCGCATCCCTTCCCTCGAGAAGAACTCGACAGAAGCAGGAGCCAGTAGCTCCTGTAGTGTCCAGCCACGCCGCCACCTGCGCGTACAAATCAACACGGCCACAACCAGAGAAGTGGCGAAGCACTCACCATCTACTCTTGCGAAACGCATCCTCCCAGCGATACCGCACCAGCTCGCTGTCGTGGCCATCGTCGGAGACATCGGCGAGATAGACGTAACACCTGGCCGCCTCACGATACCAGCGGAACATCGAGGTGATGGCCTCGGACAATTCGACATGATTCGCCCTGTCGATGCAGCAAGTATCGATCCAAAGGTGCTGCAAGCCGTCCCGGAGTGCCTTCTCTCGGCAGAACTGGATTTTCCGATATCCTTGCTTGCCTGTACCACGTCCTCTCACCAAGTCGTCGAAGGTCACTTCCTGATCTGCGTCGCCCCATGTGTGAGATAGAATGGCATAGGCGGGTACGGCGTCAATGAGATCGGGCGTGAGCTCGACCCTTGCGTGGCTGGTGCTCTTCAGAAGCCGCATGATTTGGCGTGGTCTCTTGGTAACATCCTGGGGGCAGCCTGAGAGCTTGCGGCTGCCAGACTACCTATGATTTACCCGCTGGGTGTGGTACGGGTATGGAGCAACGGGCTCATCGGCGGGGGAGATACAAAATCAGAAGTCCAGGCTGCTTGGCAGCGAGGTTGGCAAAGCCACGAAACACGTGATCGCCGTTATTGGGCACAGGGTGTGCATGTCGCAGTATATCTACAAAAGTACTTAGAAAAACAGCCATAATGCCACCTTCTTCACCTTTCCAGTCCATGTCGCTTCCTGCCCTTCTTTCAAGGCAAAGAACCACCTGCCAGGACCCGTGACCACCTCACCATTCCCACCACTGGAGCCGCGCCCGTCCTTGTAATCAGGATTGAGATCGTACCGATCCGTGATCAGGTCCATCTCATGCAGATGAACAAATTTCGTCCGCTTGAAAACCTTCCAGAACACCAACAACACCACCATGATGGCGATCTCGATGTAATAGGACACGAAATCGACACCACTAAAGGTCGGACTGAAGCAGGACCACCCCTGAACCAAAACGAGAACACTGTTAAGTCCAACTGCCAGAATAGGACCAACAGGATAGGTCCAGTTCTTGAAAGGTAACAGATGCTCCATGCCTTGAGCTTTCACAGCCGCTCGGAAGCGCAAAGATGCCAACCCGATGCAGATCCACGACAGCTGGTTCGAAACCCCTACGATGTTCTGAAGCCATGTCCACAGCTGTCCGGCACCGATGTAGCTTGCCCCAAAACATAGCCCAGAGATCGAGCTCGTGACCAGAACTGCTACCCACGGGATCCGCTGGCGGTTTAGAGTGCCGAGGAACTTCGGTGCGTAGCCGTCCACGGCGAGGGTGTACATGAGCCTAGTCCCGGCGAATAAGGCGTGGTTGCCTGCAGAAATCACGCTTGTCATGATAACAGCGTTGATGAAGCTGCCGGCAACGTCGCTCCCAGCCTGGGTGAAGACAATAGTGAACGGACTCGTCTTGGTGTCCTTGTCACTCAAATTCGGATAGTTGTATGGCACATTCAGGCCAATGATAAGGATCGAGAGGATGTAGAAAAGCAGAATGCGCCAGAAAACGTTCCGGACAACCTTCGGTAGATTCTTGGAGGGATTCATGGTTTCGCCAGCGGTGATTGCGATCGACTCGGTGCCACCGTATGCGAAAGAAGCCGTGACAAAGACAGAGGCGAAGCCCCCGATGCCTCCCACAAACGGAGCATCGCCAATGTGCCAATTATGCCCGCCGATATATGTGTGGTCGGTATTGGCGCCGCAGTTGACAGCAATCCCGAGAATGATGAAGATCACAATGGTGATGACCTTCAAAAGGCTGAGCCAGTACTCGACCTCGCCGTATACTCTCACGCTCAGGAGGTTCAGGCCTATGATCAGCAGTAGGATGATCAAGCTGATAGCCCACCCTGGGAAGTTGTCGGTCCAGAACTTCAGTAAAAGTTGCGCTGCAATGATGTCTGCTGCCGTGGACACCGCATCGTTCAGCCAATAGTTCCATGTCAAGGCGAAACCTAAAGAATCGTCTACGAAGCGGCCAGCGTAGGTACAGAAGGACCCAGCGATGGGGACGAATGCCGCCATCTCTCCCAAGGATAGCATTGTCACAAAGACGATCGCACCGACAATGGCGTATGCGATCAGTGTCGAAGCCGGCCCGCCGGTCGCCAGTGACTTGCCCGTGCCGAGGAAGAGGCCAGTACCGATAGTTCCACCGATGGCAATCATCTGCACTTGACGGGCAGACAACTTGCGGGCGAGCTTGTCGCCCTGGATGTGGATCGGTGCATCGTGGCGATCGTAACCAGTTTCCGGGAAATCCGACGCGCCTGCATCAGTAAAAGCAATCCCTTTCTCTTCGTTTGACGGTTCTCGGGACATGTTTAGATCGGAGACGAGACGTCTGATAGAGACGCACTCAAGCTGCGTAGAAAGAGGGGGGCAAAGCTAGATGACGCACGCGACGCACTTACTTTTATTGCGGAAAAGGTACCAACCACACCTTCAACTAAAGCGCTGCGTTGCAGGCTAACGATGACACCATGTTGTAAGGTAGTATTGCTTGAGTAAAGCTTGGACACGGAGCCAAGTGACCCAGCAATCACAAGGCCGTTGAATGGCGTGCTAGTTGATGGCGTGCAAAAATAAGCAACACGCCTGCGCCGGGCAAGCAATGCAGCAATTTTCTTGGAGAAGGGGGGCCTTAGTCAGCTCCTTTGCACCCCCAAGATACTGAGAACAACCTCTTTACTTAGGGGTGCAGCACCCTGGGTACCGCATTTGGGGTTTCATGGATACTTCAAGGCATGTCAGACCACTGCCAATCGTATTCTAGTTGTTGTATATTCCCGTAGGATGGAATGGTCACGTTCGCCACGGGCCACGGCATGATGAAGTCGACATTCGCCATATGCTCCGTCGCCGGCACTGTGACACGTGAGCAACAGAAGTCCGCAAAGTTGAGTCTGGGTGGATAGCTTACTTGCTTGAAACAGAGCATCCGCATCATTGTCTACTGCTCCCACCTCCTCCGACCGTGGGATCGTTGGTATCTCCATTGGCTGCATCGCCGGCGACATCAAGTGCAACGATAACGACATCAGCGGGGCCTGCAGTGTCGCTGGTGAGCCTAACGCCCAAATAGGGAGATCCGTAACGTGAGGGATCTTGCCGCGCGACAATGACAGATCCAGTGTTAGTGAGAGGCGAAGGTAGATCATCTGGTTGTCCGCAAATACGTCCGACCAGTTGGACGGAGGATAAAGCGCCCGGTCTGCTGGGCTACTGCCTTGGTCCCTTGTTCGACGGAGCTCATTCTGGCACATTAGAAGATGTTGGATCTCGGTATCTGCTACCTGAAGCAGATTATTGATAGCGGTTGTGACGCATTCAGTGTGGTCGTGCTGAAAACGGAAGAGCGTCATGATCTTGTTGTAGTGGCTAAGCTGCTGTTGGTGGGCAAGTCTTTGCGCAGCGGAGGAGAGCCTGAGATCAAGTGTTTCCAGAATTAAAGGGAGAGCAGAGCATGACGGCCTATCACAGCCTTAGCGACAGCTCTAGAATAGGCAAGATGCGGATTCGCGACAAAGGCGATCAACTTACGCGCTGATGGGGAGGCAGTGTGCGAGCCCTTGCTCACTGAGGCCCTTGATCTTTTCTGTGACATTGGCGATGGCTATTCTCAGCTCGATATTGAGCACTCTGATACGGCTTTCGTAATCGTCGAGCTGGGCTTCATATCGCTTGAGGACTGACGCTTGGTGGTTGTAGAGGGCGACTTGGGTAGAGCTAGGACATTCATTCAGCAGGTCTTCATCTTGCTCTCAAGGCACATACTAGAAGTGAATCAAGGTCATGTCTCCGAAGAGAGACACTGAAGATCGAGCAGTCTCTTGCAATTGGTTCTCACCAAGATGACTTGTGAGATCAGACTTGAATCTGCGTGCCCAGATCATGAGCTCGGTACGTGCTCGTTCGACCTCTCCCATAGATGAAACCAGAGCAGAGATAGTGAGAGGATCCTCCGAGCCGCAATGGGGTTGTTGATACGCAGCTGTCATAGTCGGCGTCATCGCAACAGCGAGCATACACTGCGCTACAACAATTCTGACGAGCAGGCGTTTCGTTCTAGAGTCATAGACTTCCGAAGCGTCGATTTCTCCCGCAAATTCCGCTTCGTTCAAACCATGCTGATCGAAGTCGAAGTTGTCTGGCGCAATTTGTACGTTGCGGCGCACGCCGAGCGCTATCATTCTGTCCCTCAGAATGCAACACCACCACAGCCGTTTCCTCTTCATACGACATGCGTCGGCTGAAGAGAGTGCGCAATAGTAGTTGTTGGCTCCGGCATGCTTGGCGTGTGATATTGCTTTCGCGAGCCAAATTGAATTCAGACTCTGGTCTTTCATCGTGGAGTGGAGGGAGAGCAATAGGGATGTCTGAGCGAGGGCAATATTATCGCACTCTAGTTCATGGGACAGCAGAAGCTGTACATCTTGCGTTAGTATCTGTGAATCTATAGCTATAGGCATTGTCTTACCTCGGCGCGTCGATGGAATGCGGCTCGTGCGTGTTTAAGGTTATCAAACCCACAGGCGTTGATCAACGTGATGGGAACGAACTATACGCCGTAAGCGAAGTGGTCGAATCGCCTTCAATCACAACTCACTCTGGATGCTGCAAAGAGCATTGCCTGGAATAAAGCCAGTGAGAAGCCAGTCGAGTCTTTCCGGGTGTTTCCAGAGTTCGAGTACAGCGCCCAGAAATGGCCTTCGTCCAGGACAGGCAGGCATGGATGGATGTACAGAAAGTATTGGCGCATGAACTCGTCCAGTACTGAACCACTTGGGATCTTGAGGCAGTCCTCCTGTTCCAAGGACTGGATCTGGGCGGGCGATAAGTGTTGCATGTCCGCAACCTCGAGGTATTTGTAGTAGTAGAAGGGGACGAATACGTTCGTGACATGAGGACATCCTGCGAACAAGCTTCGTAAGTCATGGTGCAACAATGCTCGCGTCATTCTCAAGAGGGCTCTTCGGACGTTCTTTACCGCTACTTGCAGTAGCGCTTTCCTGACATGGCGCGGAACTCGTACCTAGGGTTGAGGTCCCCGCGAACAGCAGTCTCCTCTGCGTCGATGACGCACGCCTGAATTCACCAGGGACGGGGGCTTGGATTTGAATATTTTGCTTCGTAGCGGCAGCAGCATTGTCATTCCCAGATCTCGTAGCTTCTTGCTGGGACCGCCGCTCCAATTTGCCTTTCCGCCCTCTGCTCGTACACTGTGGCATCAGCAATTGCAGCTCAAGTCCGAGTAGATCATCCATACTGAGTCCGAGTCATGCAGACAGGTCAAGGAGGCATCCATGGATTGGGGTCACGCAAGACATACCTTTTCAACGGCGTTCTGATGGCACATCGCTGTCCATTCAAACGGCAATTGGTGCATGGCGGTCCAGAGACATCGACATCACAACGAACCTTGCGGTGATGGCAGCACTCACAGGAACTGTGTGTCTTGGATTTCTGGGAAACGTGAGGTTCGCCGGTGGCGGAGGATAACCACATGGCCGCCGAAACCTGGTGGGCTGATAGGTTGACGAACTAACGTCAGGTACGACGGGACAGCAAATTCAGGCACAATCAAGCCAAGCGGCGTTGCAGCACATCTTCTCTTGTGGCGCGCTACAACGAAGAGCTTGACCACACGAGAAAGATATGTAGCTAGTAGGCAATCGAACCATTTCCACCCGCTGGTGGTTGAGGTGCTTTGAAAGAAGCGACTGAGCATCCCGCCCGGGCAAGGCTTGGCCAAAGTGTAAATGGCGTTACGTGAGGAATGTTCCTGCGGGGGTACCGTTAGGCGAGAATCTCCCTTATTCGGGCTATAAGACAGGCCTGGGCGGAAGCTGCTCACAGATACCGCGGGCACCTAAGCTCTCATTCTAGTACTATGTGATCCAGGACATTCTAGCTCACTGTGGGAGATTAGTCATTCACATCAAGCCGTGAGATTTGAATATAGCTTCTACAGCCGACTGAGAAGTCCGTCTCTTTTCATCCTGCACAAGTATTCTCTGCTAATATCAGAGACCTTCGTCACGCCCATCAGCCCCATACATAGTCGAAACTCGTCTGACAGAAGACGGAGACACAGCTCGATGCCTGCTTGTCCATCGTACGCCAGGCCCCACAGCACAGGACGACCGATCCAGCAAAAGTCCGCGCCGAGGGCCAACGCCTTGAAGATGTCGGCACCGTGACGTATCCCACCGTCAATGTGAACAGGAATTCGACGATCAACAGCTGCGACGATCTCAGGAAGCGCATCCAAGGTCGCGAGTGTGCCATCCAGCTGCCGCCCTCCGTGGTTTGAGACAATGATCCCATCCACGTTGTGAGCAACTGCCAGTTGGGCATCTTCACCTGTGACTATGCCTTTCAACCAGACCTGCATTGGCGATGCTTCCTGCTTCAGCCAGGGAATAGCCTCTTCCCAGCTCAGAGTTGGGTTGGCTCCATGGCTGTGAAAAGTGATTGGTCCGGCTGGCAGCACTCGATGGTCTCCCTCATAGAAAGCTGCCGAGCTCGGGCGTGGTCCAGCCCAAGTGCTGGCGTAGATATCGTCTTCATCGGCGAAGTTGGCGATCTTGAGGTGACTTGGCAGATGAAACTGGTTCCTGATCTCGAGATTCCTCCTGCCGAGCAAGGGTGTATCCACAGTCAACACCACTGCTTTGTATCCTGCTTGCTTCGCACGCTGTATCAACTTGCTACTGTGTTGTCGATTCTCAAAGAGATACAGCTGTAGAATATTGGGTATATTCCCACTCGCCGTCCGGACGTCTTCCAGTGTTGTCGTCGAGAATGAGCTGAGACCCATCACGATGCCTTTGCTCTTGCAAGCCCGTGCTGTCGCTAGCTCTCCATCGGGATGAGCAAGCTTCTGCATAGCGGCTGGGGCAACACCGAATGGTACACTGTTCCGCGCTCCTAATACCTCGACGGAACTGTCAACCTTCGAAACATTTCGCAGAACTCTGGGTCGAAGGCGATACTTCTTGTAGGCCGACATATTCTCTCGGACAGTGGAGCCGCCGTCTGCACCTTCATTGTAGTAATCCCGTGTCTGCTTGTCCATGCGCTCGGTAGCGAGGACTTCGAGCTCAGCGATCGTGAGACAGTTGAGATCGTGAGCCATGATGGGCTGCGAATGAGCGACTGTTGAGTAGAGTCTCTTATGATACTGATTTCACCACCAATATGTGTCTGGACAATGAGACGAAGGTGTCGGGGAGGCTCGCTTCAGAGCAGATTTCCCATGAGCTGTAATCTGGAGTCGTAGTTGAGACTCACCTCGATCATCTCCATAAGCTGACCACACTGGTTTATGAAGACCTTCTGGCGATGCTACAGCACGACCGTAAGCTGGTTCATCGCACTCCTTCCCGGATGACCTATATCAGCAGCCCGGGGACGGAGAAGTTCCCGTGCATCGCAATCGTGGTGAAATCATCCTGAGCAGAGGTGTCGCAGATGGGGCCGAAGAAATGAGCTGCCCTGATCGGCGTAATGGGCTGGTGGGCTGATGCGCCATGCTGCCTGTCGACGCGCACTTCTCCTCCATCAGTACATACCACGAGAATGACGGTGCCGCAGCAGGAGCCGTCAAGCCAATTACATGTCCTTCTGAATGCGTGCTGCTCTACACCGCGCGACTGAAAGAGTGCAGGGGTTCGCTTAAGCTTTTCAAAAAGACAGTTTTGAATTCGCCGAGGTGAATTTCGACTTTCACCGACTGAAGGCTTGGCATATTGGAGCGCGGCTCCTCGCAGCTCAAGAGTGATTGGTGATTCTGAGAGCAAACATTGTTCTAGCCTGCGCCTTCTGGGTCATGCCCGCGGCGAATTGCTTTGGCTGGAGCCTCGACTTCCTGATCATGGGGCTATGGACATTAATTTTCTAGGCATTGGCGACGAATACTATCGTCGATGGTACGCAAGCAGACCCTGTGAGTATACCTGAGCATCATCACTGGAGCCACCGACCAAACAAAGCTATGCGAAGCATGAATCTGGGGCAATGGGGCAAGAAGATGGGGTTTATCTGAGCCGGGGTAGGAGTACAGATTGCCATTCTGGTCTGGCTATAAGTATGTTGGTCTTCCCCAGTCGTCAGGTCATATGTTTGCAGGACTTCATCAGACTTCTTTTTTGGGAAATTGAGATCAGCCACATCTACAGCCACGATGTCTCCAAACCAGGAGAAGCGTGATATCGAGGCTGCGGTCCAAGAAGCCGAAGCGACCTCCCACCAGATCGATCTGAAGGCGAGCAATGTCGACTTCGAACGTGGCCAGCTGCTTGCTGGCCTGCCAGACCCAGACGAAGAGAAGAGCGAGGAGGAGAAGAAAGCCATCGACAAGAAGCTGATGCGGAAAGTGGATCTCTGGCTTGTACCGTGGCTATCTATCCTGTAAGCCGCAAACCACCCCTGCCGCAGACTGTGCCGCAACTGACAGCTGCTCAGATATCTGCTGTCGTTCTTGGATCGAGCAAACATCGGCAACGCCCGCCTGGCCGGAATGGAGGACGACCTTGGAATAACTGGTCAGCATTACCCAATCCAGTTCGGGACGTGACCACTGACTCGTGTCCAGGTACCCAGTACAACATCTCCCTCACAATCTTCTTCATCTCGTATGCGATATTTGAGCCAATCACGAACGCCTTGTTGAAGAGGCTGACGCCCCGATTGTTCTTTACCGCCATCATACTTGCCTGGGGTACCATAATGACACTGATGGGCCTGGTCACCAGCTATCAAGGTCTGTTGGCCGCGCGCTTCATGCTTGGTGTCGCAGAAGCTGGCTTGTTCCCTGGTAAGCTGACCAGGCCATCGATACCCTCTCCGTACATTAACCTCGACAGGCGTGACATACTATCTTTCTTGCTGGTACAAATCCTCCGAAATTGGCGTCCGTATCGCGCTTTTCTTCTCTGCAGCCGCCATTGCAGGCTCCTTCGGTGGACTGCTCGCCGCGGCGATTGCTCTCATGGACGGTATCGGCGGCCGACCGGGCTGGGCATGGATCTTCATTCTTGAAGGGCTTGTTACTGTGCTCGCAGGTGTCGCTTCCTGGTGGTTAGTCTTTGACTGGCCCGAGACCGCACGCTTCTTGACACCCGACGACCAAGTCAGGGTGCAACGGCGCCTGATCCTTGACCGACAGGGCAAGACAGCTGAGGATTTCGACAAGCGGTACATCATTGAAGCCCTCAAGGATTGGAAAACCTATGGCTATATGGTCATCTATATGGGCTGCTTGGTTCCACTCTACGCTTTCTCCCTCTTCCTGCCAACGATCGTCCAGGGAATGGGATACAAAGGCCACCACGCTCAACTCCTCACAGTCCCACCATATGTCTGCGCCGCGTTAGTCACGGTATCCGTGGGCTTCTTCGCTGACCACACCCGGTGGAGAGGATACTGCAACATGGCCACGGTCACTGTCGGCGCTATTGGGTTCGCTCTTCTCCTCTCAAGCTCCAACATCCACATTCAGTACGCAGGCACCTTCCTTGGAGCCGCAGGTATCTATCCCACCATCCCCAATACCCTCTCCTGGGTGTCCAACAACACGGAAGGCTCGCTCAAGCGAGCCGTCGTACTGGGCATGGTGGTGGGATGGGGCAATCTTAACGGAGTCGTCTCGTCAAACATCTACCTCAAGACTCAACGACCGAGATTCTGGACCGGCCACGGCGTCGTGCTGGGCTATCAGCTTGTCTTCCTTCTTGGCGGCTCGATCTTCATGCATTTTGCATTGAAGCGAGAGAACAGGAAGCGTCGGTCTGGAGAGCGGGACAATATGCACGCGGGCCTCAGCGAAGAGCTCAAGATCATTAAGGGCGATGTCAGGCCGGACTTCATTTACACGTTGTGAGGAATTTGGATAGATTGGGTGTCAGTGTAGTCAACTGTCTACGGTCAAGTTGTACAAACGCGATGAGATGTTGGTCCAGGCAGACGCTGACCTTTGACGAGTGCAGGTAGGCTTTGGCCTTTCAGTAGACGTTTGTTCATGCAAAACACATCTTGCGCCCTATGAACTATTCCATGCGTTCTACTTGACTCCTTTCGTGCTCGCCGTGGTCCTTCACAATTGCTATAGTGCCGTTACAGGGCTAGCGGATATATCGACGATGATCTCTGTAATCGTGTCTCTGAAGCACCTGTGGAACGCAAGAGCAGAGATCCATGCGAGAGAAACTTGGTGTCACGTATCTATAAGGGTGAGCATATCAGCTCGTGGGAAAACGGATGTCTTCTGGAAACACTGCATGGCCATGCTGGCGAACAGGAGAGGAAGTGACGGAATACGAGTTGCGGAGCTTGATTGAATGATGACTAGGACGGCATGCAGCAAGGCAAAAGCCCCAAAATCATAGAGTCACGCGGCGTCCAGCTGCAGGGATGTTACCGCGATTGTTGCACCTGTATCCATAGATTTCGACTAGTCAACGAGCGAGCAAGACCTAAAACATAGAGTTCAACACATCTGGCGGCCAGCATGCTCGATAGTCGAGGCAACGACTCTTGAAAGTTACATGGGAAGGAAAACGAGGCGCAGGTAGAGGACTGTTCGGAGTCGTGAGCCATCAGGAGCGGAGGCGGGAACGATGGATGGTATGGCAGCCTGCGGCGCCACACCCTCGACTTTACGCAGACCGAAGGGGACTTTCTGAATGCGCTAGTATTGTCGATGGAGATATCGTACGAGACAGGCCACTTCGCAGATGGTTTTGAGCAGCTAGGATTAGGTGTGCTCGGGTAGTTCCGCAGCTAGGTAAGTGTTTAGCAAGTGGTAGGTGACAGTATTAGGCTACTGCGTTGTGACTAGCTGTGTAGGGGAATAGTTTGGCTGTTACAAGAGGGCCCCACTCTCACGCAGAGCCTCACTAGGCAATTTCAAGAGTAGCGCCTAGGCATCATCTACCATCATCTACCACCCCCCGGATCGCGGCAGGCCATGTCGGAACTCCCCGACGCCCAAACGATTGCGTTCACCAACTGAGCAGACAATAGAAGTGCGTATTCGCCTTGAAAGGAGAGTAGTCTTTCCCTGGGCACGCAGAACTACCCGGCCCGTTCCTGCGCTCATCCATTAACGAACGTATAGGTGCCGGATACAACATATCCCCCACAACTTTCGTCTCGTATACAAAACATCCGTATCAGCGGCTAGCTTGCGCCCGTCTCTCGAAGCCGCAACCGTAGAGGTTTCAGACGTACTCTTTGCAGCAGCGCTTCCCCCAATGCACAATATCGAGGACGGCCACCTTACGGCATAGATATCTCATGGTCGAAACGTTTACCAAGAGCTTCGCAGGCATCTCTTTCTAGTCGTTGGTGTTGGGCTAAGCCGAGATCATACGTTCTTTGGTGTCTAACGACCACATTGCCGCGAATTCTTGATCGACAAGACAATGCTGCGGAAGGCTTCAAGGGCACTAAAGTTTCGACCCTTCAGGCCCGGAGAGATCTCGAAAGTTATATTGAAAGGGCACTCGCAGTACGTACGGGCTTCTCCGTTGATAAAAAGTCTTTAAGAAGATCTACTAACGTGCTCTCACACTGAACAGAACCACCTGCCAGCGGCCGACTTCAGCATTACCAATAACCTCAGCGTTTGCAACGACACCGGCGGCTCTTTAAGCGCAGTAGTTATCGCTGTTTCGATCGTTGCCTGGACCCCTGACTTCAGCAGGTCCTTGACGCCGTTGACAGCCATCAATGCTTACACCAGCGATCTCAGGGAAGAAATTTAGAATGCTGCGGTTACTCGGTGTGCAAGGTACGATCTAGCTTTGAGCAAAATGATACCACTTTCGACAAAGACTGTGCTACCAGCCAAGGTACGGACTGGCTCGACTATGCCATCTGACGTTTCTCTACCAGGGGGAACGGCTATCGAGGCTCGCACGGTGCTGCGAAGTGTCATCCAGCCTACGCAGGTGCAAGCAGATTATATCAGCCGTTGCAACCACAGGTTTACGGCCTGATCGTTCGCCCAATCGTCAGCTCATCTATCACAAACCTTAAGCAGCTGCAGCTTTGGTGAGCATGCATGCCCTGGGCAGCCACGTTGGGAATGCGGCTGCTAACGTAATCATTGATGCTCGGTCCAGCGCTGCATGGGGTGGTGTTTCACTCTCAGAAGCAGTCCCCGCCCGATGTAATGGCTGAGCAGTACCGACATTAGCTGTGCAGAGGCCTTACGAGCTCAACTTTCCACATCCAGCCCCTAACCCGGCTACAAGACCCATTCCCATGACAAATCCCAGTCCTGTATCAGTGACGTTGGCGCTAGATGTATTCACTGTCCAAGGTGAATGAGCTGAGCTGCATATTTCCATATCGCCCATCTGCCCGTGGGAGCCAGATAAGGACGCATCTGCACCTACCGTGTTGAGTAAATGCACAGAACCTCAGCAAGCCACCAGCAGACCGAGTGGAACGTTCATGAGCAAGGTAGCCCACGCAAGCCACAGCGGCTCCATAAGGCACAGCTATGGCAGAACTCACCTCTCGGGCTGGCATGCGGAGTCTGGGATAACTCCACTGCAACAAGCAGGCCATAAGCTCTACCTCTACCGTAACGGGCGTGTCTGCAAACTATGGTGCCTGCTGACGCTGCCCAGTCATCAAAGCCACCTTCGGTGGCCCAATACTCCATGTGCGTCAACGCCTTACACGCAAATGAGGTGAGAAGTAGACTTCGATGGCACAACTCTGGCACAACGTGGTCTCCGGGTTCAGAACGTAGAGTTTGCCTTACGTGCGAGCTACTCGAATGGGGAAGTTGCACTGTCGGCTGATGGTTCGCTTGGTGCGTTAAGTGTGCAGCAACCGTCATGCTGCCAATGCCCTCGCAGACAGCCAGTATTCTCGAACTTGGGATTGCGGAAGCCCGCAGCAACGGGCTAGGGGGCGAGACACTTGCTTCTCAAACGTCAGTCCCGCCGGCGGAAAGGCAAACATATGAGTAAGTGAGCGTGCATAGTAACGTATACTGCTACGCCCGCGGCGGGGGGGAGTCAGAGGCCATTGCATCATAGGGGTCCAACACGCCCTCCAGCGCTTTCGTGCGCATGCTCGCTCATCTCGTACGGCAGCGCCCGTAGATCATCAGGAGGGCAATGACGGGGGCTGCGGAATTGCTTGTCCGGGGACCGATGTCGCTGGGATTTCCTTGCAGAGGTATTTGTCGGCGAAGCGCAAGTGTGTGGAGGTGAGGGGCACTTTTTGCTGGAGGGGTCGAACGCCCTGTGCCGACGCAGCCGAGGCGCCGATCACCTCAGGATCTTTAGGGGGGACTTTCGGGATCGACGGCTACTGCTTCTGGGTCACGATCTCGATGGATCCTGATCTCTTGGAGAGCTTGTTTGTGCGCGGAATGAGTGAGCTGAAAACCCCTGTTTGATAGGGTTTCCTGGCTCTTACGTATGCACACTTTTCGCACGCCTCCAAGTGTGCCAACTTTGGGGCAGCACTTGAGACTGTAGCTTGAAAGTCGCGAGATGCCACCGTTCCAGCCAAGTCCTGGGCGTGATGTGTACACGTTGCATTGTGGGCAGCGCATGGAAAGAGTTGGCAGATTGTGTGGGAAGATTCGTCATCATTGAAATGGCCCTTGCGGGCGTGCCCCTACTACGGCGAAGTGTCTACACTGCTCTCCACCTCCAGCGATTCCACCAATTGGATGTACCGGACGCAGTCAGGACCATTTTTCCAACAGGGACCGGATAGCATTGCCGCTTGCCACAAATCTCTCACAGGCCGGCATCAAATGGGCCGCAACTTCTGTGAAAAGCAATGGGCGTTCTGCATGGTGCTTCTCTCGTGGTGCATGGATCCCAAAAAGTCTAGGTGGCTTGGCGAGGCGTAGTGATGATCGAGCAGAATGGTGCTATTGGTACAGGGCCAGGAAGGGCTGCCTTCCAGCAAACTGGAGTCGTAATTCGTAAAGTCGTTAGGTGAACAGGTAGGCGAATGTCATATCACCTCAACTGCTGTTACCCGGATTTGCGAAGTGGGAAAGTCGATTGGTTTCGATCTTGAATGAGGCGTTGGTGGTGGGCGTGACGGCGACTTAAGGTAGCATGTGCTAAGAGATTCACCATCGTCTGAGTCCGACGAGTCACTATTCGAGTCGGAGTCTTCGTCGTTGATAACGGTGACAGTGGAGTTATTGGTTGACGAATACGATATCGACTCAAAGGCCATAGCTTCGTCGTCCGAATAGTCGGTGTCATCGTCGGAGACTTCCTTTGCAGAAGTCTGCACGGTATCGTGGCGCTTTGGCGCGGGTGCCTCGGTGACGACTTCGAGGTGTGCTTGTAGAGTGAGATGTTTGAGGTGGTCGAGGAAGTTGGCATGGCCGACCACATGCCTTAGATCCATATCTGGACGTTGGCACTCTTTGACCATCTTGACCCGCGCAGAGCGAGCAAGAGTGTTAACCTCGAGGAGGCTCTTCCTGCGTGCCGAGTTCATTTCGAGGTATGGCGATGATCTGATGTTGGAAGCAGGATTATGATTCTCAATAAAACGTGAGAGGCAAATCCAGGCAGCCAGGTAGGTCTTATAGAGTCAGTGAGAAACTTACATCAGCACTTGCCGGATGTATACGCAAGCATGATTATGGCAACCAAAACCGTATTTCTCGGGTCCGCGGAACAGGATTGACCGGCAAACGGTATGGTGGAGCGCGGATAGGCTTCGGGGAGCAAGTCAGGCCCGACGTGCGAGAGCCAGCTCGCAACGAACCAAAGGTCGCGTACCTTCTGACAACTCTCCGAGCTCGCAACATGACATCAGGGTAAATGTTCTGCGGGCCGAGTGGGAATAGTCATCAATCTGCAGATGATGAGCGAGACTGCACGGTGCTGATCACGCCGAGTAGGGCGCAGCATAGTCCGAATGCGAGCTCGACCACAGTACTTCGTATCTGGACATACTTGCGACCCCTAGAATGAGCCATCCGCTTTCACATCATCGCGAGACCTTCCCAATCTGGAACTACTTGATCAAGCCTAGTCCTGCGTTGTCATCATTGTCGCATGCTACTAACCTAGGCGCATGTGCAGGTCGCTGCGTTTTTCCGGTTCCTGAACCCTTCTATTCGGCCTCGTTTTAGGGCCGAACACGGGCGTATCTGGTTCCGGAATAGCAGTCAAGCGTATTGTGCTTTTTCCAAATCCACACGCGATCAACGCGTTGCTCGTACGATGACAACCACAGCCCAAACTTACCCTCCTCAATCCGCAGCCTCCCGAGCCCTTGCACCCCTCAACGCCCTCTCGGGCGCCCTCGACACGCTTCAGCAAACTCTCCAAACCTCCACTACCTTCTCCGCGCTACCCAGTACGGCCAACACCCTTCTCGCCGCAGACGACTCGCTCTCTTCTGCCCTCGCCCTCCTCCACCAGCACCAATCCAACTATGCCCGCATCCTCTCCCTTCGCTCGGAAGCCTTAGCCCTCGAATCCCAGATCAAGGATATCGTCCGCAAGGCCCGCTCCCTGCGCAGAGAAATCACAGATATCCACCCCACCATTGACACCGACGATGCTGAAGCCGACAACGCAGAGCAACCAGAAGTCGACTACCAGCAGCTTCTCAACTTTGCCGCACGCATCGGCAGGCATAATGCCGTTGCAAAGTTGGAGGCGGAGAAGGAGGGCGAGACCCTCAAACTCGAGGCCGTAAAGGCACGAAAGAAATCCGAACAACTACAGCAGGCGCAAGGCACCACACAGGAGGCTGCTGCCGACGACAACAGCACGGACGCAACGGACAAGATTCTCCGCGAAGCCGCCGAGCTGTCCGCCCGCAGCGACGCCTTCCACGTCTACTCGCGTCTGCCGTTTCCGGCTCCAGACATGCTGCGACTCGGCGCACTGGGTCAACTACAGAAGGTGCGGGAGGACGAAGCAGGCGATCCTGAGGGTGCGGTGGAGCGCGAGGCGGAGCGCTTGGTGCGGGAAACGGAGAGCGTCGCACCTGACGAGGGCATGGCAAGAAGAGCCAGGGACAGAGAGGAGAAAGACAGAGAGGCGGAGACGCGGCGGCAGGAGAGAGCGGCAGCCGCGGCCGGGCCCTCCCAACCTCAGCAAGGTAGTAGAGCTGAGTCTGCTGAGTCCAAACCAGCAAGAGAGAAGAAGAAGCTGGATCTCGACTTCCCTGGTGGGGATGACAGTGATGAAGATTAGGCTGGCAAATTTACCGTAGAGCATGCCAATGAAGGACATCCTTTGCCCACCACACCCGTTAGGTTGTATCTTTCTAAGATCTGGTGCCGCATCGCTAACGCAGTCTACGACTCGACGAGTTCACACACAACCTCGGCTCACATATTGCGAACAAGCACCATGAAATGTCCCACACCACAAGCCCAGCCGCCTCCAACTCTCCCACTCCCCAGCGATAGATAGCCTGCTCTCAACCATCCCCACAGGGGCGGCGTCCTCAAGTCAGCAGTCACGCAAGGAGAGCGGGAAGGTGACAGCCGCAGGTACAAATGGTCAAATTCGTGCAACAACGCGACCCTCAAAAAGAGAGGGCGAGCGTATGAGTAGTGGAGTGGGTTGAAAATATGTTTCAATCTTTCGCGAAGAATACTGAGCTGATAAAAACAAGGTATTGATCTCACCTTGCGCTCCACCTTGCATCGCGATTGGGATGAGAGAAATGAAACGGACCCGGAAGATGCAGGAGGCAAAGGAATTCTGGGGTATCTTATGTTTTTGAGCTCGAAATGCTCACGGTTCCTAGCATCGTGTCCTGACGGGAACTATCTGTTGGAGACTCTTGAGTCGCCGGAAGTCGTTTTTGGACGTTAGGTCAAGAGAAGAGTCTGCGAGGGTTGTTCTTCGTGACGGACTTGGGTGCCAGCGCAAACTGCGAGACCTTCGTGGGAGTTGGCGAATCCATCCCCATGTCGACATCATCTTCTAGCATCATACTGGAACCAAAATTGGGTCTTGCTCTGGCTTGAGGCTGGAAAGTCTGCTGAGGTGCCGTCTGTGATTTTTGCATGTCTTCGAGATATCGATCAACGCCATCGAGGTCGAGGTTTCCGGACTCCAGCAGAGTTTGTTCGCCAGAGTACGCGTTGGTCTCTTCCTCCTCTTTGAACTGCTCTGGCTCCGCCAAAGGAGCTACGTGAAGAATCAATCTGGAACTTGTGGAGATGAGAAAGTTGGGTGTAGATTGGACATCGAATGAAGCTGGACGATACTCGTTCGGAAGTTCTGGAAGGATAGCAATGCTGGTGATATCCTCGCCACCAGCTCGCAAATTTGGCAGGATAGTTGCACGATCGTAGGGTTGGAGAGCGCCCTTGCCGGTGGCGCGTGACTTCCAGTATGTTGCAATCGACGAAATAAATTGAGCTTGATTGTCGGTCCGGAGTACCACTGAGTCGTCATTTCTTCGGCCTGCCACCGGACTCACACAAATCGTGCCGAATGATGCTCGGTGTAGGTCTTCTTGATCTTTCAATCGGGCGTCCTGCTTGTCTTTTGGGCCCTTTGTCTTCGCGCTGAACGCCCCTTTAACTGCGAATTTGGTCCAGCCACCACCAACGATGCCGGTAATGTTATTTTGTCCTCGGATGACACCTTCGTTTGCAGCAGGGCCGGCAGCTTCTAGATCCCAGATGCCCCATTCATTGTCTTCGAGCAGTGCAACAACAGCTCGACCAGCAGAGATCCACTTCGCATCAAGCACACGTTTCCGCCTGACTACCTCGTCCTTGCGCGATGTCTGGAATTCTGGTAACAGGGTGACAAGAAACTTCCCGCCTGCGCTGGCTGATGTGACTGATCTTGAAGTGGAGGCGGAGTCCGTCGTCGCAGCTGAGCCACGGCGGTGCCGAACTTTTGGTGGGAAAACCTGGTAGACTTTCACGCAAGGACTGTCCGGAATCGTAACAAGCAGTGTCGAATGTCTCTCTGCAGGAGGTAGTGCGTTATTGAAGGCAATTTTCGCTGTCATCATCGGAGACCTAAGGGTGGCGCGTCTCAGAAGGCTAGCATCCGTCAACTTGTTGCCCTTTACGAAGATCTGGTGCACAACTAGCAAGCCTGATCCGGAAGCAGATGTCGAGGCCACCAGGAAGGACCATTTTAGTGCTTGAGTATCTGGCAACTGCTCTTCCGAATCATCTTCCCCTTCCGTAGTACAAGTAATGGCAATGCTGGAGATGAGCTCTTGGTGAGCACTGGCAATTGGCAGTTTCAGGACCTGTAACACACATTTGGACGAGTCTGTTATGTCTGGCGAGGGAGGATCCAGAGGGACGACGACTGCGCGGATAGTGTAGTCGGCACATGCTGCTGTCACGACGATATGGTCTCGCAATATTGTTGGTAGAGAGTCTGAGACTTCTTCGTGCGCATTAGGTACAGCTAACTGTAGCGCTGCGCTTCCGAGGGGAATATCAAGACTTCTAAGCACGCCGTAGTATGGTGCGGATGGATCAATTTCGTCCACCTCTTCCTCAAACTCGACTTTCTTCGAAGGTTCTGGCGCATCATCGTCGCTCTCGAGGTCGATCACCATGGGGTCATCCTTGCCATGGCCATTGACCTTCGGAGCGGTAGACGCTGGTGGTTTGAACTTCCTTCCGGCATACCAGACTACTCGTAGCCCCGATTCATTCCCGTACACAATGACAATGGAGCCATTGGACGATTTCCGTGGATAGACGTGCGCGTCGTAGATGTGGTGAGGCACTGGGTAGCTAAGTATGTCAACGACTTGCCATTTCATAGAAAACTTGGAAGGCATACTTGAGTTGATAGCCTGTCCTATGCTTGAGGACTGTAAGCTTCATCGTGGCGAGTTTATGTACCGCTGGCGCACGGATGCTGTCAACGTAGGCAAAGAATGCAGCAGTTGGAGTTGATGAGGGCCCGGCTAAAGTCCGGCAGCGACGCGACGCGTTCCCCAGAATTTCGAGAGCAGCCCACCAAAGCGTTGTGTACCCACGACATCTTCCGACCGAGGATTATGGCAACGGACAGCGCCTCTTTCTTCTCAATGCCTCTCTCGTCAACGCTTGGGGCCATACAGTATGGCTACCGTCCGCTCATTAGGTGTTCATGAGCCCACAGCTCTTCCCTACCTCATCGCTGAAGGCACACTACCCAGCGACCCATCACCCGAAACATACAGATACCATTCCTATCTGACGAAGTCAAGGAACGATTCTGAACTTGTAGAAGAAGAAATCTTGATTGCGGACTCTTGCGTTGTATGGTCGAAATGCGGCGTCATCAAGCGGGTCTTGAACTTGAGCATCGAGGATGATTCTGTTCTACAAGCATTCACTACATTCTTTCCAAAAGATGATCTGGGGTCAGAAGGGCCCAACAGAGAGTACGAAGAAGCGCTGGTGGTGGTATTGAAGAGCCAAGTGCATATCCTACTAGTCTCTGGAGATAGCCATCTGTTACCGCTGTCTTTCGAAGCCCAGTCTGCCTTTGCCTGCCCGAATGGCTTTCTGTTGCAGCGTAGGGTGGCTAGTGAGGACGATGCGACGGAAGAATCAACAATCGCATTCCATCACGATTTGAGCACCATCAACGAAAGTCAGGGAACGATTCGGACATCCAGCGCCCGGCCATCGCTTGTTCTGCCAGATATCACGAAAGACTTACCACAACCAGTCCGACGTGGACATGGCATGCCGCGTACATTCTCATGCGTCGAGACCATGTCAGAACTAGGCCTAGTGGTGTTTGGCTCAACTGACAGAGCACAGTCGCTAGATGATTGCCAGGCGTTACCGACCAGCGAAACACTGCTCTATATCTCGCGCCACGATGAGCTGAGGTACGCCAGCGAAGATCACGAATCCTTGTGCATCTCAGTTACATACGACCCGTCGAGTGATGCCATCACTATCTGGCATGTAGCCGGCGACGTGCCTCTATCTGCTCGTACCAAGTCCAAGTCTCAGAAACAGAACAGGAAGAGTGCAACATCAAAACGGAAGAGCTCAAATATCTATGGAAGGAATCAAGGTGCTGCCACTCCTGCAGCTCTCAGAGAGCCTCATCCACTCCGCCAAAGTTTCACCGGCCTCGCTCAGTCATATGCCGAGGGCAACCTCAATTCTTCTGCAGCGGATCAGAGAGCTGCTGGAGCTGATGAGCTGGCAAACCAGCTAGGTCCAGAGTTCGAGCAGGTCGGGGTTCAGACCAGATCAGCGCGTCGTGTGAGCTCCATGCTTGCCCGAACGGATCTTGGCGCGGTTAATGACCGTAACACCTTCCACGACCTTGCTGTGGGCCATAACACGCGAAAGAGCGTAGGTCGAGGTCCTCGCCGTGGTGAGTCCATTGGGAGCTTCAGCGATCGCCAGAGTTTCGGTATACGGCGCAGGAGCTCCTTTCACGCCGCAACCTCGATCCTTAGCACCGGGACATCTTTTCTTAACGTGCCCGGTCAACTGCGCGTTGATGACGTGGACTCGCACCACCATCTAGACATGATGTCGGAGGATCTGCTAGAGTCTACCGACTTACGCCGCGATCTGGGGTTCTTTAAGCTGACTAGCTTCTCTTTGTCGGAAGAAGGCTCGTCAGAATCCCAGCCAGACCTGAAAGTCCTCACGATCCCCACACCGAAGCGCTATGATGAAGAAAGCATGTCCATCTCGGTCTGCGTTCATGACCACGTTTCAGAACAGATTGCAATCGTCGATGTTCACGTCGATACAGTGACAGCAATCAAGAAACATAAGCTATCCAAGAAGATCAAGCTGAAAGCTACCAGTATTCGGCGTGGCTCGAGCATATCAGGTGTATGTCTCGTTAACGACGATCATGTTCAGCGACTTCTTATCTTGACGAAGACGCGACAGGGAGACCCGTTACTTCATTTGGAGGCTCCATGGAGTCCGTCGTTCAGGATGGATTTGCCCTCATCGCACCTCTTATCAGATCCACTCGACTTGTTAGTTCGCTCGACGCCCACCAAGAAGAGAGATGAAGGCCTGCGGCGAACCATACCAGCATCATCAATTGAAGTTGCTTCTGTCTATCAATATGGTCGACGTGGCAGGGTCGCTCTTGTCAGCCCTTCAGGTCGGGCTCATACGTTACTGATTAAGCTAAGACCTGCCGACGCGTTGGTTTCTCAGATCCTGACAATGTGTGATTTCGTTCTAGGAAAGGATTTTCAAGATTGCATGTTGGTAGCGTTTTGGGAGGTGCAACGATGGTTGAGCAAAAGAGAAGCGCGGGAGTTTCCCGAATGGACATCTTTAGTGGTGACCCTATTCACTCTTGCTGCACCTTTCATCGACGAAAAGCATTCGAAGAGCGGCACACCATCACGGAGAAAACGAGGAGGTCTACTTCGTTCAGCCAGTGGCACTGCAATCGATTTGTCCAACTTCAATGCCATGAAAGAAGCGCACACAACGGCTGGCTCTAACTGCCACCAGTCAACTTCATGGCAGTGGTTGATTGATGATGATCAGCGCGATTCACTCCCCAGTCCGTCTCCACGCTCACCTCGACATGCCAGAAGCCAAAGTCAAGCAGTGGACGATGCGCAGGAGCGCAAAGACTCATTCATTCTTCAATGCATTGGTTGGGCTCGTGAATTCGTACAGTCACCTGCAGGCGAAGCTACGAATGGCCCGGAAGGGTATCTGCCAGTCTCTATCAACAAAGAACGAAGCGTACGACAGACTGCCCTTGCCAAAATACTAGTCGGGATCCATCTCCTCTATGAAGAACATAAACTCATGTCTATCACGGATCGTCCTCAAACTTCTTTTGAGTCCCTGCCAGGTGTCATGTCACAACTAGGCCTCTGGCTTGGCTGGCAAGCGTGGACAATGCATGAAGATGCCTATTATGTCAACGAATCGAGCTCTGACAACCGCTGGCTGCTCGAGGACTCGCGTGTTAGTGGACTAGAAGTCCCAGATCAGCCTTTTGAACCTCCTTCGATCCTTCAATACCTCTGCCAATGTGTTATTGGAGATCCAGAAAGATCCTTTCCCACTCTCGATCTCGTTGCCGAGTACCAACAGCCGCCCGCTTCGGATGCACCAAGTGATGCAGTTTTGTCTCTCACGCCCCACACACATATGCTCACAACGGTCATGAACTCGAGCAGAGAATGGACTGGGCCGTTGTCAGCCTACGAGCATTTTCGAAAGCTCGATCTTTCAGGACATCCATACGTTCATGCCCCTGATGGCTTTGCTGCAGCATTTCGCCAGGCCCTCGCGTCCATTCGTACGATGACGCCAGATCTCCTAAACATTGAACAAGCGGAGCTCACAAGACCTTCGCATGGCGCACATCGATCGAGGCTGACAGGTCTGGCGCCTCACGCCGCTAGCAAAGACTATCATGCTGCGAGCGTAGCAGCCTTCGATGCAGAGAGCATTCAAAGATGGGACGTGTCCTCTGAACTCGATCGTCAAGCTGTGACCAAACTTGTTTTCCAAGACGACAGACGTTTCCAAGAAGCATCCAAGCTGGTTAATCAGACAAGACCGCCTCTGGTCACATGCATTCCGGAGCCTGACTGGACCGAAGCCGATCTCTTAGAGGCTCAGAAAGAGTTGGCACAGCTTGTGGCGAGGCGTACCCTATCCGTTGCCTCTGGTCGTGCCATGATGCACTTCAGCGCAAGAATTCCATTGCTAACGGAACGGGTGCCCATTCCGGCATTCTCTCTGCAATGCTTAATGAGCCCTCGAAGCACATCTGAATCCGCCCAGCCCATGACTTTCAGCGCCGACAAATCTGCCTTCACCGAAGAAAAGGTCTGCTGGGCTTTCTTTCACAACGGTGCAAGTGCTGGACTCATGATCTCGAAGCATGCCAAATGCATTGACACGTCTTGGATACTGTACAATAAGCCGCAGGAGCTCACGAATCGGCATGCAGGTTTCCTGCTGGCTCTTGGGCTCAACGGACATCTACGGTCATTGGCAAAATGGGTCGCGTTCAAGTATCTGACTCCCAAGCACACAATGACATCGATCGGTCTGCTTCTAGGCCTGTCTGCATCATATCTGGGAACGCAAGATCAGCTAATAACCCGACTATTGTCTGTTCATGTGACCAGACTACTTCCTCCGGGAGCTGCTGAACTCAACTTATCGCCTTTGACACAGACTACTGGGATCATGGGTATCGGCCTCTTGTACTACAACTCTCAACACCGACGCATGTCCGATATGATGCTCTCAGAGATCGAAAACAATGACTCCGAGGAAGGCATGGCAGAAGAGCTTGTGCTGAGAGACGAAGGCTACCGCCTTGCAGCTGGTTTCTCTCTGGGTCTTATGAATCTCGGACTCGGTAACCAGAATGCCAGCCTACACGACCTGAGTGTTCCTGAACGACTGCTTGCGATCGCCGTGGGTACCAAGAACGTTAATCTTGTCCATGTGCTAGACCGGGCAACAGCCGGCGCCGTTATGGCTGTCGCATTCATGTTTATGAAGACCAATGATGCTGCCGTTGCTCGGAAGATCGACATACCTGAAACACTCCATCAGTTCGACTATGTTCGTCCAGATATCTTCCTCCTTCGGACACTAGCACGACATCTCATCATGTGGGAAGCCATAAGCCCAACTCAGGATTTTGTCACAGCATCTTTACCAAAAGAGTATCGACACCGTGCATCGCTGCAAAAGACCGTCCACCTCGCAACCGAGGACATGCCTTTTTTCAACATTCTTGCTGGCATCTGTTTCGCGCTCGGCCTCCGTTACGCGGGTTCGCAGCGATACGACGTTCGTGACCTACTAGTATCATACCTCGACCATTTTCTCAGACTCTCGCACCTACCGTGCCCCCACTACGACGCGCGAGTAACCCTGAACAGTGTCCGAAACTGTCTGGATGTGGTTGCTCTCGCCACTGCTACGGTGATGGCCGGATCCGGAGACCTGATAGTGATGCGGCGTTTGCGGAGCTTGCATGGCAGGACGGACAAGGACACTCCTTTTGGTAGCCACATGGCTGCTCACATGGCACTTGGTGTGCTATTCCTCGGCGGTGGCACCATGACCTTCGGGACGAGCAATCTTGCTATTGCGAGCCTTTGCATTGCCTTCTATCCACTTTTTCCAGGCGATGTCCTCGACAACAAAGCACATTTGCAAGCCCTACGACACCTCTGGGTGCTGGCAGTGGAAGGACGCAGCCTCGTCTGCCGACAGAAAGAAGGGGGCGACCTCGTGGCTGGCTTGAATGCCAGGGTCGAGCTAAAATCTGGCGAATCTGTCACCGTCAGAAGCCCCGGACTGCTCCCCGACTTTGACAGCATGAAGCGGCTACACGTCGCTGGCGAAGGCTGGTGGGACGTCACGCTCGATTTCACCGACGACGCCATCCTGAACCACGTCAAGAAGGAGGGCGCCGTCAACATTTGGCTCCAAAGCCAAGCCGATTTCGACCGGCCCACGGCGAAGAGCAACATCCTGTTTGAAGAGCTGCGAGTCCTGGACCGAGAGGGCATGCGCGGCGCCAACGGCGTCCCCAGCGTGATCCGCAACTTCGCCTCGCGGACACACCCGAACGCTTTGCCGAGCGAAGGCAATCCCTTTGAATGGCTTTTTGATCTACGCAGCTTCCAAGACTATGACGCGAAAGAGCGGGACTTGGTGCTGGACGCCCTTCAAGGCGAAGGCAAAGAACTCTTGAACGACACGCCGGTGGATTCGCGCCTGGCGCTGGAGAGGGGATTGCTACCCGAGGACGAAGTGGGGAATATGAGCAGGAGTAAACTCTGGGAGCTGCGCGCGCTGCTCACGTGGTTTGACAGGTTTGAGATGGAGGACGAGGCCGCCATGGGGGAGGGCGAGACGAAGTGGAGTGATGGGTTGTGGGTGCGGAGGGAGGTGGTGGAACGGTTGAGGGAGCGGGTGTGGGATACGATGGTGCAGAATGGGAGTGTGGAGGCGTAGGTACCGTCTGTAGAACGGGGCCTCGTAGTGTATATCGTGGTGGTGACGAGATGACTTTATCCATGAGACTCATGAGAATGATAGAGAATGATCCAAAGGCTGAATTGAATTTGTCTTGCTGCCTACCTTGTCCCCTGTGACGGTTGTGCGGCATCACTCCAGAGCACCGCCCGAGGGGCATCCCATTCACTCCTTAACGACGCTTGCCCCTGCGCAGTCTCAAGGGGCTTTCAGCCTCGGCGCGAAGCCGCAAGTATCCGTACGTTCGAGAAGCCTCCTCATCCCCGTAGCATCAGCCTGGCAACGATCGAGGCGCCCACTGTAAGAAGCCCGATTACAATCGATAAAAGACAGCCAAATACACACAAATACAGATACAGATACAGGCGACCAACAAGGCAATCATTGTCAATTGATTTCAGCGATAGTGACTCACCAAGACCGGCCGGGCCATCGTCACCCCGACTGACTTGACCGTCGCGCGACTCACCGCCGTACTTGAGAAGTGTAGCCGTATGTCCGCATTCGTCCGCCGCCGCCGCTGTTTGTTTTGCCCGCGAAGGAGCCCGCGCAAAGATGGTCTAGCTAGCAAGCCAAGCCCAAGCCCAAGCCCAAGCCCAAGCCCAAGCCCAAGCCCAAGCATTTGTCCGCTGAGTCCAGGTCTACAGTAGCGCCCGCGCGCACGCTGGCCCGCCAGATGCGCTATATGGTGCTTTCAAACCCATTCGGGTATTTACTCACGTTCTGTCTAGAATCGGGGCAATGTCTACCCTTAGCCTGGACGGGGGATCCGCTGAATTCAGGGGTGGTAATATATGTTGTTTGGTTTTCTTTAGGGCGGCTCAATAACCCCGAAGACACAGTCAGCGCGCCGGGTGGGGGGCTGGGGGGTTAGGGTGAGCGATCGTTCTTGCCGATATGGTCCCTGCATGTGAATGTCATACGTTCTGGACCGAGATGGTGCGCTGTGCGATGGAGAGGCGGAGCAGGAGATTGTCCCTGCGTGTATGCGCGGCGGGTTCTCGGGCTCGGGGGGATTCTCATTCCGGGGGATTTTCCAATTTGCGTGGATACTTGCGGACGGAGTACTGGGGATATAGTAAGCCGACGGCTCGTTCGTATGGTGTATTCTGGGTCCCAAGGACTGTTGGCACATTGCTGCGCATGCGAGATGGATGGTTTTCCTTTTGTTCACGTCGTATGGTCAGTGGATTGTGAGAGAGTCTGCTGTACCTGACATTACCATGTGTATAATCGGCTGGAGACCCATGAATCGAAAATGCAGACGAGGCTGGCCTCGCTTACTCTGACAAAACCCGCTGGTCATCATTTAGCGAACGATGCGCCTGGAGCGGATATAGCCGTTGGTGTGCAGCCTTCTCACAACCCGCATGATTGTGTTGTTGGCTTATTGTTGTTCCGTGCAGGGGTTGGGCGGCAACAGTTGGCCAGATTCGTAGCCTCGTGAGGAGTTGTCCAGCAGTGTTTTCCTCTGCCGCGAATGATTTGTCTTGATTATGGTGTTTCTCTGGAGAATGGTCTTGCATCAAATGAAATGGAGGTTGCGAGTGGAGTCGATACTTGTCAGCACGGCGTTACCAATGGTAGAAGCGGCTGGTAGACCTGAGAAGGCATTAAGAATGTCGTGCCGCTTTCTTAAAAGCGCTCCGCTGGTCTTTTGCAGGTTTGGTTTGCGAGCTGACGGTTGAAATAGAGTCTAATTGGGATACGATCGTCAGGTCCAGCACCACACAGCTGATATCTCATCCTCTACAGCTTGCGACTTGGCTTCGTATTCGTATCTTGGGCCGTTACGATGAAGTGCAGTGTGGTCGACAAGGCCTTGACGGCAGACCAGTCTGGCTTGGCAAGTTGCCGTGCGTGCTCCAGGTTGTGTTCTGCAATCTTCGTGGTTGGAGCGCGCTCAGGTCGATGGCTGTTACCTCTCTGGGAAATGTTGTTTGCGTGGTGAATAATCCAAAATTCCTCGAGAGGAAAGAAAGCTTGTCATCAGCGGGCTAGTTTGGGATTATGTATTCACCAGGTGATCGTAAACGAGACAGTTACCAATTCTGGCTTTCCTGTTGGCGAGTCTTGTGCGGTCTTTGGTCCAGACGGTGGGATTGACAGGGAGGATCGGGGGTATCAGCATATCTGTGCGCGACCCCCGTGCAGCATGCCTCAAAGGTCTATAGCGGCCCTGGAGGGCTAGTTCTCGGCCGACTGGCCAATGAATTCGATGGCATCGTTCGACCGGAAAGTATCACCAGACATCTAGATCCCTTCGATACGAGATCAATGGGTGTCGGTGCTGCCGTGATCTAGAATTGCTGGATTGGTTAGCAGTGTCGCAACAAGCACACTTCGTGCCGTGGTATCTCGTTGTGGGTGGCCCAAGCCAGGCGTGCAGTGCGATGCACGCACGCGCCATAGTCAAAGCTCCACCAAGTTGTCAAATACGCAGCGCAGCTGAGATGTCGCGATTGCTCTTCAGCGTAACGGGTAGTTTCAGCGAAGTCGAGTGGGGTCAAGCTGATGACACAGCAAGACCTGCGACCAATGGACCCGCGGAAGCAGGAAGCGTTGATGACCGAAGGGTATCAGTCAGCAGGATATGCCCAATCAGCATTGACAATTGTTTCCCCTAGGAATGCTGGTCGCCCGTTCCTGGATTCGAGTCTAATCCTTGATTCTGTCAGCTACCAGACGTAGTCGAGCGTGTTCGGTGGGTTATGGGACCGCGGAGCTGCAGCCACAGCATGGGTGTGCCGTGGTTCGAAGCATGGTGGAGGGATTCAACCATTGAGTATCGCCGGAGTCTTCAATAACGAAAGCTTCGTCCAAGGTGTTAGCAATAGATGACAGCCACGATCGATCATGAGGAGGGACGCCCTGAGGTCAAGGTTGGCATGGACTTACTCGTGCGACAACCTCCAGGTGCGAAGCTGAACGTAACACGCTTACCATATTACATACACAGCGTTCTCCCGTGACAGTACAGCCATACCTGATGAGGAAAACGTTTATGCCCGAATTATGCAGAACTTAGCTCCCCCATGTCGTCATGTGTGGTTGGTCCGGCTAAGAAATGTGTCCGGGGGTGGACTCGGGAGGCTTATGGGCGAGATGTTTTGGTGCGCCTCGGACGAGAACAGCTGCACACCGCGCGCGATCTACACGTCGTACTCTAACGGGAGCTGTTGGTTAGAATGGGGATGGTCTTCGCTTGATTTCGGTAGTTGGTACCCTAACGAAACCCCTGATTTGAGAGGACAAGCATCTGTTTTTCCTGTTGCCTGAATTTGATCTCGTACGCGACGCGAGAGGGGGTAAAGTGCAGCAACGAGGTAGGCAGTGCTAACTACGCGAACACGATTACGACCAATGGGTGCGCGCGCAGTCCGAGGAAGGCCTTATTTAGATGCTGGTGAGCATTGGCGAGCGACGTGTTCGTAGTTGAAACAAGACTTTCTCTGTGGTCGACTGTCAGATCTGTTGTTCAAGGCAGACCATATCGTGGCTGTGACTGTGGTAGTAGACAAGACTATGGCACGCAATGCACCACTGGGCGTTGAGTAGGACTGGCTGCGTCGACCGAATCGCATTGTGATCCTCCTTGGGGATGGACAGGACAAGGTGGCAGTGATTTCGCAGTCTTGCCATGCCCACCTAAACCAGAGGATGCACTAAGATCGTACTGCATCGCGACCGGGTAGTAAATACGCAGAAGTTGTGCAAAATCAAGAAGTCGGTGCGCGAATGGCCCGAAAAGCCTCCCCCGTCCGAAAACCCTTGAGCGGCATTGGCGCCAAGTCGCTCGGGGGGTTATTCGAATTGGCCAGTTTAGTCAATTTTTGCGCCTGGAGGAAAATAATGTTACTGCTACTGCCATCGATCGCGGCAGTTGGCAACAATAGCGACCTCTAGTGCTGTCGCGGACTGTTCGCCGCGGTCTGCAGGACGCAGATGACCATCTGAGTTAAAATGCCTCATCAGCAAACACGGGCGTCTTTGTCACTCGTTCACGATATTCAGTAATCCTTACAGTAGTCGGCGACCCGTGAAGTTTGGGCCGGAACGCCTTGTCCGCGCGTCGGCTCTTGCTTAGGCCCGACGAGCGGGTCGCCGACGCCCGACCCGCTCTACCCTTCTCGAAAGCTTTGTGCATGATCAAATGCCCGCGTTTTGGCAGTCACGAGCTCAATAGCAGTCTTCTCGAAGGTTGAAAGGACCTTGCAGGTGGTAGCGATGGAGACAATATCACTCAACTTCTCCGCTTTTTAGCGATGGTGGTCATGAGGCATATATCGAACAAGCAAAGCTTCTGGAAGGAGAGGAGCTCTATGGATCACTTGCGTCGATGCTTCGAAAATTCATCGGCGTGTGGTGTGACGAGGCAGTTTTCCTGCAGAATTCCATGTGCCTCGGCTTGCTGCCGATGACATTGCGTCAATGTTTACACGTTTCTAGCATATGCGCCGTGTTTAGGGGTCCTAGTTGTGCCTTCGTGCAGCATGAGGGCATGAGGCGTTGATTGAATTTTCTCTTCAGAGCCTCAATCCTGCCATGCTCTGTACACGGTCTTGGATCCCCACTTCTGGCCTTTTTTCAGCAGCATTTGATTTCTCCACTCGGGCACGTTGATGGCGTTGATGTAGCGACTGGGCTCGACGCAGAGACCAGCACGTGGTCCTCGTTTGGGAGTGTGCTCGGTTGCTGCTACGTCGATAAAGGCGCCTGTGTAGAACTGGAAAGCCGGCTCGGTGCTGAAGATGTCGAGATGGATCTTGGTAGCGGGGTGGTAGAGGCGGACCAGGTTGTTCAATGGAGACTCGCGCGTGTCGAGCGGGATCTTGAGGTTTGAAGGATTTAAGACGAAGCAATGGTCGATGCTGGGCTCTTGAGGACCAAGGGTAAACGTCTTGTTGGCCTCGACTCCTGGAAAGTCGTCAATTGCACCTGTAGGTATGGCGGCGTCATCGACGACCTGGTATTTCGATGTGCTCAGGGTCGCTTCTGTTCCAGCGATGCTTTCCGCGCCACTGACATTGAAGTAGCTAAGTCACAGTCAGTCTAAGTCCAAACCCAGTCCCTCGAGAGATACCATACCTGTGGTTCGTGATATTGACCGCCGTCTCCTCGACCTCATCCCCGATCAGCTCCACTTCGTACTCAGTGATCAGGACCGTCTTGTCAACGCCATCCTCCTTCTCCTCGAACGCAGTATACCAGACCCGCAGCTCGACCGTCCCAGGGTAGCCCTCATCACCATCAGGGCTGACGTACGTGAATTGCACGCTCTCCGTGCCATGCCTCTGTGTCGGCACTGGGCCCTTGAAAACCTTCCTGCCCCAACCTTGTTTGCCACCATGTAAGCTGTGCTGGCCGTTGTTCTGGAAGAGTTGGTAGGATGTGCCATTCAAGTCGCTAATGACGCCATTTTTGATACGATTCGCGACGCGCCCAATGGTTTCGCCGAAGAAAGGTGCATCCTTGTAAGGTTCTGGGTTGGGGAACCCAAGCACGATGTTCTGCCCGCCAACCTTGAATTCTTGAATTAGAGCGCCCGTCGGCAGGAAGGTGAAGGCGGATTCGGGAGCCATGATGGGAGGGCACGGACGGCAAAGGCTCAAGGCGAATTTAGCACCGCAAGGCAATGTATTTACGAGCGAGATGAAACAGAGGACGATCGATCGAGGGCGGTTTTGTTCAAGGCGAGGGTGAAGGCGCGGGGCGGTTGATATTCGATGTTTGCCCACCGGCAAATATCAATGTCACGTTGGCGGGGGGTGGTGCCTCCGCTGTCCGCCGCCTAAATTCCAACGCTGATCGGCTCCATGCGGTGCAGGGGTAGACATGTTCATCGTTCTCGACTTCCAAGCAAGTCTTTCGAGAGCGCGCAGTTGAAGCGATTCATGCTGGACGCGGTGCTAACACGAAAGATGCCTTTGCGATACGCGTAGCTTGCAAGGGGGACGGGTACGTACCGCTGGGGCTAGCGATCGCCGATGCACGTGGCAGCCTGGGATCTCAAACGGCTCGCCGAAATTCTTCGCTCGGTGTCTCTCGCCTCTCGTACCAAGTCGGGTCTCTGTGAGTTCAGTGCTATTTGTCAAAGGTACAATATCGGTCTGGTTCGATAGCTAGACGTCGATGTTGCCGACAGTTGGCCGTCCTGTTCGCGAAGCCGAACTCTGCGAACTCTCGTCTCAGCATTTCTGCACCCAAAGTCTCGACATGCGTCTTTTGAATAGCAAAAAGGTGGTGATGTGGCGGCTTTGACTTTGACACCGCTCGAAAGACCACTGTCGTGTCCTCACTGTCGTCTTCGAGATGCACGGTTGGAACGAGAAGTTTCACATGTGTTGCAACGCGAATCAGCATTACGCCCTGCTACCACGAAGGAATCGACTCATGTGACAATGCAGCTCGTCTACGCATGACTTTGTAGATGGTGGTCGAGGCTACACGACCTTATCGAAACTTTTGTTGGCAGCTGAATGACATGATGTCAAGTCAAAGTATCCTTGGAAAAATCTACCACCCAACATGAGCGACAAGGACCATGTCATGGTGTTGCGGCTCGCAATAAACGTGTTGTCGTTGCGGCCTTTGTGCAAAGGAGCATATTCCAAGATCGACAGCGGCGAGGATACCACATGCAGCGACTGTAGCAAGGTTGTCAATATTTCATCGAAAGCCGCCATCGCCCTCGGACTCGGCACAAAGTAATCAGCGTAGTGGCATGTTAACCTCCAGCGAATCGTCATCATGACTGACAGTCTCTCATTAGATCTGTGATCGTCATGTCTTCAATCAACCCAATGCACCGATCGCTAAATGCATTTCACAAATAAACCCAAGTCTCATGCTCCGGAAGTGCGCTTCCGATATCTCCGACAAGCGGATGTCCCTGCCAAGCCCACCACCAAACGTCACGACGTACTCTGCGCCGATGGTAATTCGAACCCCAGTCCTGTAATGTTGTACATGCTTTACCCGTCAAGGGTCGAGCCCTGGGTATCTTTTTGAAAAGATCGATGATGCGCCAATTCTGAGACCAAGCCTTCTGCGGCGGGTGACTGGCGGAACACAGTGCCGCGGAAGGGCTGCGCTGAATAAGCGGCGAGTCAAGCAAGGAAGACCTTGCTATCAGGCATGCCGTTTGCGCTTGAGTCTCGTCGACCATCACGGTTGACGTGATGTCAGCTGAGTTTTTATTCTGGATACTGGCTTGCCTGTTCAGATCATGGCGGGGTTGACGTATCGCTGCAGGTCGTCCTGACCAGACCAATCCTTCATGGTGTAGAAGGGGTTGATGGCAGCTGCGTCTTGGAACATGTGGGCCGGGAATTGACTCATATCCATCGACGGATCGACCATGGGGGAATCGTATTGATTGATGAAGTCCATGCCGTCGTCAAAATCAGGTGCTGGGGTAGTCCAGCTGAGGTTTGAGTGCGGCACGGTCTGGGGATAGGTGTTGGCTTTGCTAGGATGCATTGTACGTGCTGACTGTGGATATGGGCTTCTGTTGGGCGGTGTGGGTGGCAATTGATTCAGGCCAAACGGGTTGGTGAAGTGTGGCTTCTGTGGCACAGAGTCGTAAACAGGTGAGGGTGCGGACTCAGAACTGCCATCGTGTGAAGCTTCTCTTTGCATCATGCCAGCGCCGCTTGCGACAAGTCGTTGTTGGAGCGCATTCAGGTCTTCCTCGAAGGCATCTGTTGTGTTATGGCCATCTTGCTGCAGGGCACCCAGGTGTTCCAGGATATCGTGTGTCAAAGGGACTCCGTTGCTCGTCTCTTTGAGAGGTGAGCCATCCCAGCCCTGGCCGTTCTGCATGCGCTTGTACAGCTCTTGCAGTCCAGTCACGAGCTGAGCCTGTTGGTTCTCGAGCATCTCGACATAACTAGGCGTCCCGTCAGCTTAGGCCCCAGGCAGCCCGCATGCAAGAAGACTTACCCTTTAGGATACACTTTGTCGTGTGACTTCTTACGTTCCCCGAACACACAAATGGCATTGTCTGCTTTGCACCTGGAGCATGGAGTGGCACCATCACACTAGAATGTGTAAGAGAGTGGACAGACAGGAAGCAATGGGGACATACCTTGGACTTCTTGAGACGACACCGGTCGCAAGCCTTGCAGACACGTTTGCGAATGCCACTGTCAAGAGGGGAAGCCGGTTCCATTGGGGGAGTCATCATGCTACCGCCCATTTGTACTACAGTCGCGATATATTGTGAGCCGGACGAATAGTCCGAGCTGGGCAGAGCAACAGTGACGGGTGATGCGGTGCAGGTCAGAGTCCAATGTAGGGGACACGAAAGCTGGCAGGATAGGTTCACCAAAATATAAGACTAGGTAGAGAGTAGATCAGCTTATTAGCATTCCAGAAGAAGAAGCGCCTGGGGAGGGTTGGCGGCCAAGGACGTAAAAGGAAAGCCTTATAGCATTGCACGGAGTTAGTAAGATGGCAGCAAGGGTGGAGCCCAAGAAGGTACAGCGTCAGGATGAACTAAAATTGTGAGGGTCGGGCAAAAGTTTGTCGTGTCGACCAAGGTGATGACATGATGAGCATCGCTCGGTCATTCGGCAGCTGGCTGGGATGCCGACTCAAACAGACGTTTCGCACAACTTCTGAAGTGAGCAATCCTGCAGTAGGGCTAAAGCATCAGACGCCAGAAAGTCAAATGCCACAGTACGCGCAGGCACTCGGACCTGGACCATGCACGATCCCGGGCCCGAGTATGCGAAATCCGCGAGCACAGAAAAAAGAAGCAGGGTCATGGGCTACCGCTGCATAACTCAGCAAGGACGGAGACGATCACTAAGGATCACCCCTGTCGGTCACTAGTCGGGCGAGAGCCAACGTGAGCGCGAAGCCCCAGGCCAAACGGGCGAGAGTTGCGAGCAAAGCGGCCAGCCCGCAGCTGTTCCGCACTGCTAAGTAATCCCAATCCGCCTTTGTAGCGCAGAGATATGCCCGAATTGGCTAGGCCCCGTACAGACGTAAATACGAGACCGTCACAGCCAAACATACCGCTAGTACTCTGAAATTTGCCCAGCGAAGACTTCAATGCCAACGCAGCTGTGACTTTGTCCACAGTGCTTGATCGACGCTCCCATCGTCTTAAATTCTCGCCAGCTCCTTCATGGCACATGTCGCTCGATCAGCAATTGACTCCGTGCTATGATGACTCAGTCGACTACCTCGGTGAAGCCTTGACCATGCAGCGAGACCTTTTCAGCTGGTGGTGGATGTAGATTGCAGATAAGGACCACGTGTAGGTGAAGCCACCAGCCGTTCGAGAAGGTGTGGCAAACGGGGTGATTGGCTGGCCTGAGCCCGAGGCCTTCATATCAGCATCTAGCCACATCCGGTGTCTGCAGCGTGCTCACTGTACAGAGTCTGCTATGGACCTGCAACATCCTACAGCAGCTACGGCGTGCCTGAAATGGTCTATTATAGCTCCAGCTACGATATGTTTGCGGACTTAGTGCTTCACATAGCGAAGTCTCGTCAATGACCAGCCCTCGCTGTCAGTGGCTCCCATGCCCCATTATGGCTCGACATTGTACGCTTCTGCAGGCTCAACCGAAAGCTCTGACACTAGCACCTTCGCTCACCATCAGTAAAGCTCATCCCTGTATCTACAGGCCGATGAATGCAGAACGCCTCCGCCTGGTCACCGCATTATTGAGCACGGCGACGTTCTGTATGGAGACCATGGTAGGCATTACTTGCTCATCAGGTTGCCGTATGATACACCCGCGGAGGGCTTCCGGCCATGAACTCAAAAGCAGACGCTCGACGCTGCAATACTCGCGCAATGACAAACATCCTCTTCGATGGCGGCATACTCCCGAACCTTATCACTCGATACTTGTAGTATACACTCTTCCAAATCCTCATCAATGGTAGTTCTCACCAGTGATCGTCCGGTGCGACCAAATCAGCAATCCATACCAATATAGAACGCGAATTAACAGCAAGCCCAAGCGCGATGGTCACTGCCCACTGCTTCATCCATAGTGGACCCTGCTCTGTGTACATAATCAACCTTTGAGTACTGCTGGGCTCTATTATTCACTTACCTAAGAGCCCCACGATACGTTGAGGATGATGAACAGTGCTTACTGACACGTCCTACTCTACCATCCCTAGTTAGGGCTTTACTGCATCGGAGATTTAACCTCTAAACAGGCAAGTCTAACTACACTCTTATTGATACTGCGAGTTGGCCATTGCTATCGGACGGCAGATCGTTCTGAAGACAGACTACCGACATGAGGGGGTTCAGACTGTCTCGCAGTGTCGCGGGCTCTAGCATCCCTCCAGGGAACTACACATCTTTGGCGGCGTTGGGCATCCACAGGCAGACTTCCCAGGCTTGGAAATGGGCAAACTCACGGTTCTCTCGATATCTCCCCGTCTGCTCCTTGAGGACAGTCCTAATTTTAGAGTACCCGCACGCCTGGCAGTTTGGAGCCGGATCCAAAGCATGCCCAGCTCGCCGTGGCAACAGCAAGCACAATTAGAAGCAGGGATCAACATCGACAGTGTCGGATCCCAGTCACGATGCTCTTGGACACCCCTGCCTCTCTGCTTAACTCACACAGGCTGGCTGGCAGTACGGGAAACCCTGTCAGTCAAATGCATCGGGGATGCTGGTGTGGTCTTCACCTACACTCCCGGACACAGTCGATCTGTGGCCCCTCAGATATCCTGGCTATCAAGACTCACTCCTCTGTTGCCGACGCTGGCTCTGAAGCACACGTACTGAACTCTCCTTCCCGTTTCGCGCGACCGACCGACCGTCTCGGCTGCAGCATGTACGCAAGCATGAGACGCCCAAAGAGGGTGTACTCACCACCACCACCTGACTCGACCATGCGTGACGCGGCGAGCTCATGGTGATAAGGGGGGCCACGTCATTGGTCGCAGCGTTCGCGAAGAGAGTCCGGAGAGAGCCGCAGCGACACGTAGGTGGGGTTTCCCTGGGTGCAAGTGAGCTGAAGACATTTCTAGCGGTGCATTCGGTGTTCAGGAGGATGCTTCCGTGAATATAGTCGGGGAAAAGGTTTATGGTTTCGATTCCTCTATATCCGCTCCCGAAATCTAAAGAGGAGAGGACCTGTGCTCTTCGGCACCGCGCAACGCGCATGATGAGCCGCGTTACCGTAGATGGCTGCACATGCCATCATCCTGCTGGGTATCTTAAACAAAAAAGAACTCCATGCCCATCTATTGCCAGCTTGCGTGCGGCGCACTGCTCCTAAATGTCATGTTACCTTCTCGATGTAGCGAGTTTCCTCCTGATCATGAGTCGAATGGCTGTCGCAATGGTTGCGCTTGACTTCGCAATTGGTCCGCGAATACTTTGGGGCCGCCTACGCGCCAACATACCAGACTTCGACGCCCAGTACCTCGAACTTGCGGCCCTCTTCGCTGAGCTCCTCGTTTCCGAAAGTAGGACACGTCTCACTGATCCCGTGATCCAGCGTGTCGTCTAGCCACAACCCGTAATGCCCGTCGCCTCCGCCAACGGACAGCATGCCGGCTTCGCAGTAGATCATGAAATCGTTCACACCTGAGTAAGGGAATGCCTTGAAGCGAATCCGGTCTGGTGTCGAAGCGCCTGAGGCTGTGCCTGATGGCGGAGGTGGAGGAGCGAGGCGGTTGGCGGCCGAGGTGTTTGTGGATGATTTCGAGGTCGGTTGCGAAGCGGAAGGGTTGGGCGTGGACTGGGATTTGCGCTTTTCGCCACGGACGGTGGTGGTGCGTGCTAGGTGATCGGTATCTGCTGAGGGAGGAGGTGGAAGGCCAGCTAGTTGTAGAAGGTCGGGCGAAAGAGGCTCCGAAGTATCTGTTCCGTTCATGTTGGCGGAGACAGCAAGATTCCGCAACGATGGCAATATACTGGCACGCCAGAGGAAGCATTCACCCGTGCCATAGTAGTGTTGGGCGGGTTTTGGTGCGTCCGTCAGGTACGCGCCGAAGACAGAACCAGTGGCACCCAAGGAAGAGCTATCACGTACTACCAAAACGTAGCCGGAGCGCTGTGTGTTCAGAGAGACGCGTTCACAGGCGTCATAGAGGGAGCGTAGGGAGGAGCCGTGCACTTCGAGCGAGTAGGCCAGCTTCCAGTGGTCTAGGAGCTGCAGACGCGGTGGTAATAGAAGACGGATCTCCTCGGCGAGAGAACGAGACAGTAGCAGTGATGTGGCGGCGGAGCCAGAGAGAGTATGCTGGAGAGCGAGGGGCGTGAGAGGCGGCGGTTGGAAGGGTGATGCTGAACGGCGGGGCGGTGTCCAGCCAACGGTGTTCCTGGAGGGAGTGGGGGCATCAAGCAGCTTGTGGACAGGATTTTCAGGAGGTTCTGTCATGCGTCGGTAGAGTGAAGACATAACGTGTTTGACTGGGTAGGCAAGGTACGCAGCGGAATTGGGATTGTAGGGATTCGACATTAACGTGGCCTCGCCGCTGTCCTGAGCTTTTTCTCCCTGACCGGAGGGCTTCCGGCCCGGCTGTGATGTAGATTCCATCCTGAACTCGTCTATAGTCTGGCGCGTGTTCGTGGTATTTGTCCGCTGTATCGGCCGGCGGCGAAGGGAGCGGTCGCACTCATGCGAGGGATTGCGGCGGGTTATAGGCGCCCACGGTCCAGGAGAACAATTTCGGAGATATTTTGAAGGAAGCGCCGTTTGAGATGCGCTCTCTTTGTGGTTCGCACTCCACGGTCGCCGTATGCAGGCACCAGAGCTGAAGTTTCAACTGGTTGCAACCAACACAGGGTTACCTGCCAGGCAGCCTCATCGCCGGGACACGAGGCTGAGAATCTGCACTACGTCATAGGCGAATAGAAGGCAACTGATCTTGTTTGCCGCCTTCAATATTGTCAATATTGATATTCGCTTCCAAATTGACCTTGAGTACTTCAGACTACATACAGCATCTGGTTGCGCGACAGTCGACTGTTCGATGCGCTTCTCGCGCACCGCACCTAGACCGAGATTCTTTCCGCAGAGCCCACCGTCGAGATTGTGGTCACCCCACTATCGCCGTACGCCTCACCGCGTCAAGAGGAACTGCAAAGCAACAGCTATCCGTAGCAATTGATTGCGCTGCACTGGTGCTCGTCTGAGCGGCATTGAAAGAAAAGATCAGCTGCGCGCTGTGCCTCGCGCGTGAAGGTCAAGATGTTTATGGTCAAGAATTGTATGGAGAGACCCCGCCGGTGCCTTGAGTTGTTTGCTAACCCCGCCATAGTCACCAAATACCTCTTCGGCGACGGTTCAAAAGAGACAATCATCGACATTCCCCAAGGCCAGCTGTATCTGGTGCGACCGCTCTCGCCGAAAGGATATTCCGAGCTTATCTACAAAGACGCAGTCGCCACAATCCGCCGCACGGGCCAAGATTTCCAGTATCAGCTTGTCGTACAGCGCGCGTACGAGGAGGGTGAAGAAGAGCTCGGGGAAGAGGAACAAGAACCAGATGCACTAGACCAGGATGAAAAGACGTTCTTACTGGACGAGGCACTCCATTTTCGATCCGACAAGCGAGGTACTGAGCACGTCTTTGCTTGGAAGGACCTGAGTGGTGATCCTGGCGACCTCTACGAGTTCATTTGCGACCCTTCAATTGCGGCAGAGAAGTCACAGACGTTCCAGCTAGCCGCTATCGAGTGCCAGTACGAGCGTAAATATCGCAAGAAGGCTGAGTTCGCCACGGACGGGGAACTGCAAGAGTTTCAGTTCGACGAGGAGGAGTCAATACCCAGAGCAACTTCGATCTCGGAAGAGACTGGTCCGACCTCCAAAGAATCAGCTGCTCATATGGCGAAAGAGGTTAAGCAGTCTAAGAAGAAGCCTATTGCGGCGGCCAATACCGCAGCACAGCGAACAGAGGCTCCAGCCGCTCAGCAAGCACCTACTCGGGGCGAAGTCATCACCAAGAAGTCTGGCGAGCTACATCTGTTCGACTTTGAGTCGGGTTCTTTCAACCTGATGGATTCACAAGTCGCCGTTGCAGTATCCGACCTGGGCAACTGGAAATACTGGCTGCAGATCACATCTTCGTCTGGTGAAGAACGGCTCGGTCAAGAAGTGTCTGCCGACATGAGCCCAGTCTTCAATTTCGAATATTTGTCCTTCATCTGGAATAACTACACGGAAGACGGCTCTGCTTACTCATTTCTCCTACGGTTTAAAGATCGAGAGCAGCTGGAAGACTTCCAAGAAGGTCTGATGCAGGCACTTTGGGAGCAGTTGAACGAGCAGAAATGGGGCAAAGTTAAGGACCAGGCCGAGAAGGACTATGTGTTCGAAGCCTTCAACGATCTAACCATGGATGACGCTCCGCCTACCGAGGAAGAGGAAGAAGAATCGGAAGACGAAGAGGAAGACGAGCGCCCCCGCAGCGAGCACTACGACAGCGACGAGGCCGAAAGCGATGTGGAAACTCGCGACAAGGACGGCAATGTCAACTCTCAACTTGCTGTCGGCGCGAAGAACGACCGTTCGTATGTCATTCGCGGCTCCAAGATCGGTGTTTTCAAACACCTGCCGAACAAACACCTCGAATTCACCACCAACATCTCCAAGATCGAAACTCCGAAGGGAAAACTTTTCAGCCCTAAGAAGGTTATGCTCCATGCTGAAGACCAAAACATGGTTCTTCAGGACGAACTCAACCCGAACTCCCTCTATCGCATGGATCTCGAGTACGGCAAAGTCGTTGATGAATGGAAAGTTCACGATGACGTTCCTGTCATTGGCTTTGGTCCCGAGACCAAGTTCTCTCAGCAGACTGCTTCTCAGCCCTTTGTCGGGCACTCCCGCAATGCTCTCTTCCGCCTCGACCCTCGTGTTTCGGGGAACAAGCTTGTCGAGTCTGATATGAAGCAATACGCATCCAAAAATGACTTCTCCGCACAAGCAACCACGGAGAAAGGTTACATTGCTGTAGCTAGCAACAAGGGCGACATCCGCCTCTTCGATCGTCTAGGTGTCAACGCCAAAACTCAGGTGCCAGCATTGGGTGACCCCATCCTCGGCATTGATGTATCCGCTGATGGTCGCTGGGTGCTCGGTACCTGCACGAACTACCTCCTCCTCATCGATACCTTACAGACCGATGGCCGCTACGAGGGCAAGCTCGGTTTCGAGCGCTCCTTCGCCAAAGACTCCAAGCCCAAACCTCGTCGCCTGCAGCCGAGCCCTGAGCACATTGCGCAGATCCGCCACATCACAGGGCAGCCTTTGTCGTTCACCCAGGCCAAGTTCAACGTCAGCCCTGATGGCAAAGAAACCAGCATCATCACATCCACAGGCCCGTACCTGGTGACATGGAACATGAAGAAGGTGCTGGAGGGCAAGAAAGATAGCTACAACATCAAAAAGTACGGCGAGAACGTCATGGCGGACAACTTTGAGTACGGCAGCGACAAGAACGTCATCCTGGCCCTACCGAACGAGGTCGATATGGTGAGCCGCAAGAGCTTCAAGCGCCCCACGCGGGAGAGCATCATGGCTCCGGGATCGCGGCTGAGTGCGGGAGGTGTGCCGCAGACGCCGAGGCGGGGCGGTCGCCCGAGTCGGCTGCGGGACGAGGTTGTCAATTCCCCTTACTAAGGTCAGACAGAGGAGAGGGGAGGTGCGAAGAGAGATTTGCCATTGAGCATCGGCAAGCGGAGTTTGTGAGATGTGCCCCGGGGGGCGCCCACGACGGATGCAGACGGAGTGACACTGCAGCGACAGACAGATACCCTTTTTTTTGTGTGTTTTCTTCCTTTTCATCCTCGGTTTTTCTGCTGTGCTTCTATTTGAGAAATGCGCCGTCGGTTCAACAATGGCTGGGGAATCCACTATGAGCACGGACGGGCACAGAGCAAGGAAGAGCACGGAACGGCCACGAATGCCCTCTCAGATAGTACCATGTAGACAAGTTGACAATTGCCAACCACCAAGACCAACTTTCTAAAAGGACAACATTATTTTTTTCTTAGTTCAGTGATGGTTCATCAAGTCGAGGTACTGTAGCTCAGGCACCGTACGGACGAGAAACGCACGTATCCATACATATCTACAATTTTTATACACTGGATTCGCGGGGGTAATGTCGGCTAGCAGCGCACTTCCTCACTGCCCATGTCGCCTGTTGGCGCCATGCCAGCCTGCCTGCGTAGGGCCATTCCATGCGAACGGGCATTGACTTAAGGCTGATCTCATTCGCGCCGCAGAAGTTGTGGTAGGCGCAAGACGAAACAGCAGGACGGCCGGTCTTCGAGTCCGCTTCAATGAATGGTAGGAATTGTTCGTGAAGGCATATGTGCACAGCGTACGAAATTCCCGTCCAAGTCTGCCCGTTCTTGCGCTCATTGACCGTGAAGCAGCTCCATCGCCTTGTCTTTAGGAGATTTGACTGGTGCATGGAACTTAACATTCTTTTTCATCGAATACGCTTGAAGAACCAACCCCCTTATTGCTCCGCCTCGTCATCATTGCTGATCGTGCTGCTACCTCCACCCTCCAGCTCACTAATCAGCCTCGTTGCCACCACATCGCCTGCATCGTTCGTAAACACCTGGCTGATGACCTCGATGCCAGGGAACGGCCGGTAGATATACTCGCGCTCGGTGACGCTCTGGCCGTCGAAGATGACACCCTCACGTTCGCGACCCGTGAACTCCATGTCGGTGTCGAAGCGGCCGACGACGCGCTGATTGTAGACGATGCCGCCGTTATCGAGGCTCTGGTCAACGAGGTCCCCGTCCTGCGAGAGCACGCGGTTCGTGTGCACGTTGCCGCCGTAGTCGTTGATCGAGTAGAGGATGCCGTTCGCCAGCTGGCTGGAGAAGCTGCGTTCGGCCAGCGTGCCGGTGGTGCCGTCCACGGTGCCGTTGCTGCCGGAGTCGCCGTCTCCGATCACGCCGCCGATCACGTCGCCGACACCGCCAATGATGCCGCCGGTTAGGTTGCCCAGCTCGGCGAGGATGGGATTGAGGTCGACCGAGTCGAGCACGCTGCTGACCATGGCTACCAGGTTGGAGAGGCGGGCGGTCAGCTCGACCTTGGCGGTTACGTTTTGGATCTGCAGGCGGATACGGTCGACCGAGACGTCAACACCGGCGTTGAATTCGAGGAGTTGCAGGACTTGTGCGTCGATGTTGACCTTGGCCTCAAGTTCGCGGACGAGGATAAAGATCTCGCCAACGTGTACAGACGCATTGAGGTAGACATCTGGTGGAGGATAGTCGGGATTCGAGGTGTTGGCTGCTGTGTTGGCGGTCTCGTAGTAGGCGGAATCATTGTCGCCAGTTAGAGTGAGGTTGTAGCCGGTATAGCCATCGGAATCCTGGGCGAGAGTGGCGGGAAGGAGGGAGAGCAGCAACAGCGCGCAGGTTGAGCGCATCTTGATCGAACGGTGGTTTGTCGCTCTTGTTGTTCACAGCTCTGGAATGTCGTGGTCGACAGAGTGAAGAAGCCTAGGTGGGCGGTTGTCTTGAAGACGATGTGAATGGTAAGAATGGCATAGGAGAGTAGAGTCAACTGCCGATCATTGGTCTCGGGCTTACCTCCTCGACGGTGCAGGCGAGTTGTTAACCGACAGGCTGGACGGTGGATCGACAATCTCCAGAACCTTGGATGTCTTTGCGGGAATTTTGCATATTAAGAGTCGGGTAGGAAGCGAGATTGGTCGACGTAACTGCTGCCATCCACCAAACAGATTGCTCAAACATCGCTTGGGAACGTGGCGGACCGTGCAGCGAATCATGGACGCGTTTCTGTCGGCAGGGGATGCGAAAGTGTCTGAAGACGGTTTTTTCGATGTGAAATGGCGTTAGAAAAAGCAGGGAAAACTAGGAACTTGGCGCTGTTTCAGGGGCAAGCCCCGGATCAGCGCAGGGGTACCAGGGTAGATGAAAGACACCCGAGACGCCATGAAAGGAGATTAACTGCACGAGCGATGCGGAAAAACGGCTCGACAGTTAAGGGGAGGTGGTCTTGGGCTGTTGGAAGAGCTCAACGTTCTTGACATCTGCACATCGCTGTTCGTCTTCTCAACACCACCCACGACAGTCAGTAATCATGGTGCGCCAGCTATTCCGGACAATCCTGCTTGCGGGAGCTCTTGCAGGCTTCGCGACAGCGCAAGACTCATCAACAACTACATCACCGTCAACTTCCGGCACGGGATCGACGTCGACGTCTCCGCCTGCATCTACATCTTCGTCAGCATTCTCTGAGGTCCCGGATGTGGTTCTCAATGTACCGGAGCTCTCAGTTGGCCGGATAGAGCTTAATGTCGACAACCTGGAAGCTGATATCAATCTTCACGCCAATGTTGCCAGTCTGGTGTCGATCAATGCGGGTGTCGCACTGTCAATCCGGGAGGTCAACATCACCATTGCGGATGTCGACGCCGAATTGGAGCTGGTGGTGCGCCTAGGCCACCTGGTCGACATTGTCAACCGCGTGTTCGAATCACTGGATCTGAACCCACTGCTGATTGATACGATTGGCAACCTCACCAACCTGCTGGAACCGGTCATTGGCGCAGTCGATGGTCTGCTCGGTACTGTCACGCAAGGCGGATCTACCATCTCTTTCTTGGTAGACAACCTCGGCAACATTGTTCAGGAGGTCGGCGGTGTTCATTCGATCGTTGGTAATTACCTACAAAACATGACGCAAGTTGGCGGTGACCAGACCCTATCCAACGGCCTCATCCAAAGGACTTTCGACTACTCGCCTTTGAACGCGGTGGTCGAGATGCTGTTCAACACCGCTGGTCAAGTCGTCCAAGCAGTGGTCAACAGAGGTGGAGGCGGTGGCGGCGGTGGCGGAGGCAGCAGCTCAACATCGATATCGGCGGCGCCCACAGCAACGGCTTCTACAACTGCCGGTGCCGCGAAGAGATTCTGAGACGTTTCCTTTCATCTGAGGAGCATTTGTTCAAAACCAGTCTGAGGTATATCTTGAAACCAGGCTCGAGGACGGCTAGGTCAGCATAGGGACGATGGTTAATTGTGTATATCAAGAGCCGATCCAATGTAAATTCGCAACATCGTTCATCAAGGCAACAGAAGAAGGAGCGGCGGGTCACAGGATGTCAAAAAGCGCAAGTTGAGCCAAAACTGTCAGTCGGCCACGTTTAGCTGGACAGATGTTGCATGCGCTGTACAAGTACGTGGCATTTGAAGAGATCAATGCGAACCAGATACCTACCTATGCAGTGTTCTCTAGGTCCAATGCCATTGCCGTCGATGCCAAGCATGTAACTGCAAAACGTGTCTACTGCGGAGCCACAGTCGTGAACAGTCGCTGCTCTTCATTTTTACAGATCAAATCCGTCCCTCTGAATGTTCCATGCTCCTCTACTCGATTGGAGTGTGCCTTGTCGTATCGATTGCGGTCACTCGAAACATCCTTGTCTGCCTACAACACCCCTACGGTGAATGCCCCCTTGGCCGCTCTTAGCAATCTTCTCAGCGGACTGAAAATACTCCAGGCAGCACCAATACACGTCATCAGCACAGCCTATATCATGCCGACCTTTGGGACAGTCGGACGAAATGTCTACGGTCAACCGAGTCCGCAGCCATCAGAGACCCCGATGCACCGCCACACCTCTGACCAGCTACCGCAAACCTGTCCCACTACAGTAAGGCTCGAGTCCCACATACATGGTCCAGACGTTGTGTGGGGTTGTATGCTTCGGAACTGAACCCCGCGTTGTCCATCCTGGACAAAAAGAAAATGCCGATAATAGTGCGGCGCAACACAGGTTGTTCCAAGATGCTCATGTGGGACATTTCTGTCGGCACGCTTTCATGACCGTGCTCCATATCACTGCCCATGGGGTGAGATCCGTTGCTCAGGCAAGATTAATCAGGTGAAGCGTTCTTATTCCGCACTATCTGCATCTATATGACCAACGCTATCTGTTATACCCCAAGCTTTTAACCCTCGTCGGCGTCTTGACCCCATCGTCTTGTATATCAAACATTGAGATCATTCCACGAATACTAGCAACCGCGCTCTATCCGCGTTCACCGCCGCCATGATTGCCGCCAAAGACCTGAAGCACAACCTTACGGAGGAGAAGCAGAAACACGAGAAGACCAATGTTCGTCGAATCACCACCCGCCTTCTCCCCAGTACTATTCACTGACTTGGTCATAGGGTGCTCCCGCCTCCCGTGGCCCTTCGCCTAACCGTGGCTCCTCCCTACCCGACCACCTCGCTGTTGGCCCAGACTCTGAATCCAAGGAGGCCTGGCGTCAACGCCGTAACATTTCGCGAGCGAGTCAAGTCAAGATCGTCAAGCTGTCTCACATGCGCTACCAGCACCCGGACTTGAACGTCATCACCACCTTCCTCCGCGACTTCGGCCTGCATGTTACACACAAGACACCCACCCAGCGGTGGTACAGCGGTTATGGACCTGATCAGTACGTCTACTACGCCCAAGAGGGCCCGGCCAAGTATTTGGGCGGCACCTTCGAGGTCGAGTCGGAGGCCGAGCTCGAGAAGATCACCAAGCTGCCTGGCGCCAAGGTCCTCAACGAAGGAGTCCAAGAGATGAGCGACGCGCCTGGCGGCGGCAAGATGCTCAGCATTCTAGATCCCGAGGGCTTCCCTGTGAACTTCGTTTGTGGGCAGGCACCCGTCACAGAAAAGCGCAGCATTCCGGAAAAACTCCTTCTCAACGACGAGAGTGACAAGCCGCGCCAGAAGGCGTTTCAGCGCTTCGAGCCTGGTCCCGCTGCCGTACACAAACTGGGACACTTTGGCCTGAACGTCGAGGATTTTGCTGCACAGATGGACTGGTACACGCGCCACTTCAACATCTGTCCTTCGGACATCCTGTACGTGCCGCTGGACGGCCAGACGGATGACGAGGGCAAACCGAAGCGCAAGGAGGTGGCTTTGTTCGCGCACATCGATCGTGGCAACGACCTGGTCGACCACCACACCATGTTCCTGACGACCTTGACGCCCGGGGTAGAGAAACACGTACACCACTGTAGCTTCGAGGTGCACGATTTTGACACACAGGCGCTGGGTCACCAGTGGTTGGCGGGCAAGGGGTATGAATCCGTGTGGGGTGTCGGCAGGCACATTCTAGGAAGCCAGATCTTCGACTATTGGTGGGATCCTAATCGGTGAGTTTCCCTTGGGATGATACAGAGCGTCGTCGCAGCCATCAACTAACTTGAGACAGGTTCATGGTCGAGCATTACGCGGATGGTGACCTGGTGAACCAAGATACGCCGATGGGCTACGGGCCTGCTGGGCACGAAGGGTTGGCAGTCTGGGGCCCGGACGTGCCGAAAGAGTTCCTGGAGTAGCGAATGAGTCACAAGTGACAAGTTGCTGGGTCTAGTGTTTCGGTGGAGCAGTTTCGAATTAATTTGCGATCTGTTCAGAAGCATTCCCATGTCACTGGATGTACCGGGCAGTGACTATGTGGCCCCAGACGAGTAGCTGAAGAGTGCCAGATATCTGGCTTCGGCACATTTCTGTCTCTACGGGCATCTATTTTGCATATACGAGCGATAGGAGGTAGGCACGAAGCACAGTGCAATAGCACCAGGTCTTTCACTTTGGCGCTATGCTTCATGGCGCTATTCGCTTCGTGTGACTGTTGAGACTGTGGACGATGTCGACCATTCCCGGCAGACAAGATTCTGCGACTGCGGCACGTTACCTGAATTCCTGTACATCAGTCGAGATAGGTACTCTGCCAAAGGTATCGAAGCTAGATGCCTGTAGACGCGCTCCACGACAGTCATCGTTTATCGAGCATGTCTCTCCCCAACTTCTCGCCTTGAAGAAGAGACAGTTGCTTTGCGACTTCTATTTCCTATGTTTATCTACCAATGCCCACCCCATCTCTGTATCACTGCACCACTGCCATTTCCTCCTTCCCTTTTTGTTCTGATCCAGTCTTTATTCCTCCCAAGCGCACACCCACACGTCACACGTCCCCCACACCATTCCCACTGTCTCACCAGCTCTCATACCGCACCTTATTGACCAGCGTGCCAATCTTGTCGATCCACACGCGAATATCGCCTCCATCTTCCAAGACGACGCGCGGCTGGCGGAAGTAGCCGATCCCCGCCGGCGTGCCCGTCAGGAAGATGGTGCCGGCCTCGAGCGTCGTGCCCTGCGAGAGGTACGAGATCTGCTTCTTGATGTTGAAGATCATGTCCCTAATTTCACACACGCGCGCGCGTCGTTAGTCAAGATCGCGGCTTCACCAGAGGAGGCCAGAGACCCGGGGGGAAGTCTCGCGAAAGACTCACTTGGTATTCCCATCCTGCACGACCTGATCATTGTAAATGGCCTTGATCCCCAACGTCTGCGGATCTGGCACCACTTCTTTCGTCACCAGCACGGGCCCCAACGGACAGCTGCCGTCCAGACCTTTGCTGAAGCTCCACTGCGTCGTGGCCATCTGCATGGTGCGGGCCGACACGTCGTTGCTGCACGTGTAGCCCAACACGTAATCCAAGGCCTGGTCCTCGGGGATGTCGCGCCCCGTCTTGCCAATGACAAGACACAGCTCGGCTTCGTAGTCCGAGGTGCCGTCTTGCGCGGCTTTCGGGATGGGGATGGCGGCGGGGTAGGGGTCCGCGAGGGCGGTGCGTGGCTTGGTGAAGAGGATGGGCGCTTTGGGGAGGGCCATGTTGGCTTCCTTTGTTGAGGCGGGAGGTGTCAGTGGGTCGAAGGGGGAGACAGGTGGGATTGAGAGGGGATGGGGGGCCAAACGGTACCTTTGCGTGGTCCATGTAGTTCAGGCCTAGGCAGCGGATGTAGTTACAGTCCTCCATGGAGACGGGCGAGAGAAGCTGCTTGACCGTGTAGACTTGCTTGGTGACTTCGCCGGCGAAGATGGTGCCGTTGATTAGGTAGGCCTTGATCTCCTTGCCTTCGAGGCTGTCGAGGCCAACATCGCGCGACGTGTCGACCAGCTGCCCAATGTGTATCCGGTTGTCTTCGGCGGCGATGAAGCGGACGATGTGTGTGGGTTTGGACATGGTTGCTGTTCGTTTGCTGGCTTTGGCGATTGCGGTCTTTGCTGCTGTTGGTTGGCGGTTTCTGTGAAGGTGTTCAGGGTTGCTGTTGTTGTTATCGTCAAGGAGGAACGACTACAAGTGAGGTTCACGAGATTCACGGAATTGACCTGTTGATGCCAGGTTCTGAGAATCGTCAGAGCGACTTTTTCTCCAAACAACCTACGTGAAGAGCCCCACGTTCACAGAGACGCCAACCCACGAGGTTTGCGGTACCGGGCGGCGTGTAAGCCGTGCCACGCGAATCGGTGGCAGGGGTGGTTCGCGGGACGATTTCAATGAGGGGTTGCTGTCGGACTGATTTCGGTATCTTGGTTTGTGGTGTCAGCGAGGGGTCTTCCTTTATGGAGTCACCTGGCAATGGGTGGAGGGGCAGCAGTGTGGCGTCGAGGCAGTTCTGACTGTGGCGTTGTTGTTGGCGTCAGTGGGTCTGTTTGACATGTAAGTTGCTTGACATGCTTCATCGGGCAATCTCAATCTAGCAGGATATTCTGGCAAAGGTATTAATCAACGGTGCTTTGCTACACATGAGATGGACTAGTCTGAACTTCAGTCAGTCATACAGTAATCCGCCCGTCCAGAGTGTCGCTTACATGCTCGTCGTTACTCCTTGCGTGTTCTCTACATCATTGTCCTTGTTGCCTTTCCATCCGCAGATGGTTGATAATCGCACCGTACAGTTTCATGATCGTACAAAAGCGTCCACCGTCATTATCCTCGTCGTCAGCATCAGTCGTAATCGTGTCAGTCTCTAGGAAACACCTTCCTCACCAAGGCTCCCTTCAATCCACCAATATACCAATAGACCCGCCCGAATACAGCAGACCATTCCCAACTCATCAACTTACAAGCACGTCCCTGATGGCCCTCGCAACTTTCACAATCGGCGCCACATCTCTCTCTTGATACCTCTTTTCACGCCTGCGATCTCTGTCGCTGCGCCCACTGCGCATATTACTGTCCTGCTCTCTCTCCTTGCCCTTCCCCTTGACATCCTTGTCCGTTCTCATCCCGTGTCCACGCCTTTCTTCCTCTCCCTCTTCCTCGCCACCACCAATCACGCTCTCGTTAAACTTTATGAAGAACAATCTCCCCTTCCCCGTATCACTCTCTCCCGTCGTCATCCTCTTCAATAGACCCAGCTTCGGCCCACCATCCCTCCAACTCCCCCCCGAATGCCCGCTACCAGTAAAACTCGGCCTACGCCTCCCCTCGCTCCCAGGAGCGCCCTCCACCTCCTCCCGCCTCCTCCTTTCTTCCCTCTTCCTCCTTCTCCTCTCCAGCTCCTCCCTCTCCAGCTCCTCTCTCCTTTCCTCCTCCTCCCTCCTCCTCTCCTCCTCCTCCCTCTGCCTCCTCTCCTCCCTCCTCCTAGCATGCCTCTCCTCCCTCTCCCGCACCATGTCCCTATACTCCTTCGTTTTATGCCTCTCCTCCTGCTTCGACCTCAACTTATCAATCGCCCGGCCATACTGGTTCGTAAACAAGCCCTTTTCGTCCTTGTGCCGCTCTAGTCGCGTGCGATGCCCGTTGAGCGAGTCTGAATTGCGCCGCTCGCGCTCTACATAGCCTTGCGAGGTGGTGTGCGAGTCGCGTCGGTGGCGGCGGCGGCGCCGATGCGATGAGGATGAGCCGGCGACCGTTGCGGCTGCGGCCGCTGCTGCTGCTGCTGCCCCGACGCCGGCTGCGATTGCGGTGTCGGTGTCCGGGCTGGGCGCGTCTTCGACTGCGATGTCTTCTGCCAGGGCGTCTTCTGCCGGGGCGTCTTCTGCCGGGGGGGCGTCTTCGGTCGGGGGGGCGTCTTCGGTGGGGGAAGCGTCTTCGGTGGGGGAAGCGTCTTCCGTTGGGGGCGCGTCTTCCGCTGAGGGAGCGTCTTCAGCAGGAGGGGCATCATCTGCTGGAACGTCCTGGGGGCCGGCATCGCTTCCAGCTGTCGCATCTTCAGCGGGTGTATCTTCAGGGGCAGGCTCAGCCTCTGCCGGTGGATCATCCGCAGCTGTGGCCTCCGCCGGCGCGTCATCGTCTTCTTTTGCGTCCGCGGCTACGTCGTCTGGAGGCGCATCGCCCGCGGGTTCAGCTCCGCCATCATCAGCCTCTTTTGCTTCATCCGCAGATGGATCTGCAGCGGGCGCATCCTCAACAGGCGCGTCCTCAGTCGGTGCATCTTCTGCCGACCCATCCTCATGAGCGACATCAGGGGCTGGAGCTCCCTCATCTTGCTTGTCAGTGTTATCTGCCTCCGGCTCAACAGGTGCGGCTGCTTCTGTAGACACTCCATCGTCAGCAGCGGCAGCGGCAGGTTCTTCGACGGGTGGATCATCGCCTGGTGATTGGGCAGTGTCTGCTTCGCCAACGGCTTCTCCAGCAGGAGCTTCGACGGCGTCTTCAGCTTCAGGCTCTGCCTCTTTGACTTCATCGGCGCCCGCATCCCCCGTCTCATTGGTGTTCTGGTCGTCAGGATTGGCAGGCTCAGTGGCTGCCTCTTCCGGAGCAATTTCCTCTACTGCTGCTACGTCGGGAGCATCTGTAGGGGCATGTTCCTCGGATTCTGCGGGCTCCCCGACGGGTTCCGTTGGCTTTTCATCATCGACGGGTAAAGGCTCGTCATTCCAGTTGTCCGGAACGTCGTCCTCTAGCGCCTTAGAACTTTCCGGCCCTTCCGCGTGTTCCTCATCTGCTGCTGGAGTTTCTTCGTGCGGCGCTGCGTCTCCAGCGGGCTCCGAGTCAGCATCTACAGTGGCGTCAGCGTCGGCATCTCCAGCAGAGCCATCCTCTACGGGCACAGCTTCTGCGTCAGCGACAGGCTGGACTGGCGGCTCGTCTGAAGGTTCTGCGGCCTTGTTGTCTGCTTCAGCAGCCTCATTTGCTTCAGGTTCAGGAGGGTTCTGGTCAGCTTCCTCGGCGGGTGCTGCTTCTGGGGCGGCATCATCACCACCCTCCGGCGCCGCCTCAACGGCGGGCTCGGGATTAGGTTCAGGAACCGGCTCAGTAGGTGCCTCTCCCGCGGCTTCAGCCTCTACTTGCGGCTCGGCTTTTGGCACTGGCTCAGGGCTTGATGGCTCGTCTTTCTCGAAATTCTGGGCAAGGGCAGCGACTTTAGTGCCCCTCTTCTTTAATCTCCTGATCGGCATCTCAAACTCTTCTTCGCCGGCTTCTTTGGGCGCTTCAGGCTCTGCAGGTGGTGTTGGATCCTCGGCCGGGGCGGAGGCGAGTTGTTCTGGTGGTGGGGCATCCTCAGGGGCGGCTGCATCTGTTGTCGAAGGGGCCTCCTCCGTCACAGGCGGTGAATCGTTAGCTTCTGGTGTATGCTCGGCCGTATCAGCCTGTGGTGGTTCGTCGTCCGCGACGGGCGGCTCTGAATCTTCTGGCGGAGGTGCTGAATCGCCCGCATTGTCAGTTTGTAATTCATTGGTGCTACCGTCGGCGGGCGTCGGGTCTACTGTAGGCTCAGTGGGCTCTTCAGGTGGTGCGGCCGTCTGATCTACTATTGTCTTAGCTCAGCTGCATTGGGTATATCACTACAGGGCTTACCTTCCGGGGCTGGCGCTGGATCTGCAGCAGGCGTCTCAGCTTCAGTGGCAGCTTCATCAATTGCTGGGGCATCACCCGCTGCATCGGGGTCGGCTATCTACTGGTCAGTAACATTCACAGTCGTTAACGGATAGACGTACCATTATCCTGATCTGCATCGCCCAAATCTATAACCTCAACCGGATCGGTGTCTTGCTCGGGTTGCTGTATTGGTGTCGGAGGTCTCGTGTCCTTGGTATCTCCTTCACCTTCATCGACACCAGACTTTTCAGCATCGTCAGCATGATGAATCTCACTGAAGAGAATACGCTCGCGCGGGACGATGGGACGAAGGATAGATTTGCCATCCTTCAAATCAAAAGTCTGGTACTGAAAGTCTTGACTCCCGAAGGTTTGATATTGGAACACTGACCCGGAACGATTGAGTGGCGGACGATTCATCGTGGTCCTGTGTGGCTTCTGGGGTGGAAGAGTTGTTGTCAACCAAGAGGCTAAGCGGGGTTTTATTTTTCTTGCGGTTCTTTCTGCCCATGCCGTAAGGAGGGCAGGGATTTTAGGGTGGCCTCGACTGGGGTGGTGGTTGAGGGGAGATGGCTGGTCACACCATGCGGCCCCTGGCAGGAAGACTGAAGGGATACGAGGTCGCGGAGAAACTCGGTTGAGTGCGGATGATGTGAGAGCTCAAGGGCGGAAGACAGAGGTCAAATTAGACGTGCAGGGTGAACGTGAAGAGCAAGGTAGATGTGCATATAGCAGAATAAAGAAAGAAGTGATGGTGGGATGAACGTGCACGTGGATGGTCGAGGTGGGTGGGGGGAGGCCGTGGCGGCTTCGGAGATGGAACTTGTTGCGCGATATCTTTGGACGACCTGCGTGGGAACATCGTTTGGACGCATGTCAATGGCATGATGTGGCATTGGTCCACGTTGTAGGTAGAAGAGCAGATCTTGGCTTGGGGCAGATGGGCAGCAGGGTCGGGTAGGCAAGGAGTGTACCCGACCCGGAGTCAGGACCCGAATCAGTGAGAGCGAGAGCCGGAGCCGGAGCGGGAGAGCGATGTGCAGCTGGAACTGGGTGTATGCATGCATGAGAGATGGGGAATGATGCCCGAGTGGTGATACTTGCAGGCGGAGGTTGGCGGGTGGACTGATGCCCAACCTGCGTTATTGGTCAATGATAAGCTGACTGGTCGTCCGATGGAGAAGACTGCCAGGAGTGAAGCTTGCAGTAAGGACGGAGACTTGAGGGCATGTCGCTTGCATGCCGCTACATCTGCACCAGTTCATTATGTTTGGCAGCGAGGTTCATGTGAGGTTGGAAAGGAAAGCAAAAAGCTAAACGAAGACAAAGGGTGATCGGGCTATTGCTCGGTGCGGGCCGCTTACCGAGACTCGGGATTGGCGGAGCCCCGGGGCGTAGTGCAGGATTGGCCGCCCCGTTTGTATGTGGCGGGCAGTGATTTGTCTGATGGTTATGATCAAGTCGGCGAATCAGAAAATTCTCGGAGGACTGTTTGAGCCCACAGGATAATTGCTTCGTGGGTGGGTCCAATGCCCAGGAATCCCATCTGAATCACGTGTGATTGGGCAAACATGCGCCTTTCCACGAGTCACGGTGTTGCCCTAAGCCTGGCTGCCTCACAGTTGGCGTTCAGGCGGTTAGGCAGTATACCTGAAGCGGAACGGACGCCTTGCTGTTGACATCAATAGTCTGCTTGCGTGGCTCTAAAATGAGGCTGTCATCTACCCAAAGTCTTCCTCCATCTTGATTCTCCAACGTGGCCCGAATCCTAGGTAAGTTAGTCGAAGATTGCATTAGGCAGCCATTACCACTTACTTCTCATTGCCCAGATGACGCTGGCACTGGACAGGGCCCATAGCCCAAGGATGGTGAACAGCCACCCATTGCCAATCGCCGAGATCAACGGAGCGCCCACGATACCGCCAGCACAGCTGAAGATGTTCCGGACAAAATTGTTCAAGGCAACGCCGGACGATGACCGTTGAGGCATAAACTCCGTGAGCATTGTTGTCGCCATCGCAAATATAAGCATCGAACCAATGCCATAGAAGAAGTTGGCAATCATCTGCGGCCACATGTTAGCTCTAATGCCTTGTAGGCAACGCACACGGTGCAGCGGTACTTACCGGAGCCAACCAATAGACACCCTTCTCAGCCGTCCAGCCAAACCAGATCAAAGCCACTGGGTACAACAGTGCTCCAAGCCAAGCGTTTTCGCGCATGCGGTCCTCTGGTTGATAGACCAGCTTGCCTTCGCGGACTCGGTTCGCCTTCACCGCCTCACGCTTCATGATGTAGTCCATCCATCGGCCGCCAAGCACACTGGCAAGGATGTAACCCAGAGAGTTGGGCAGGTAGAGCAAGCCGATTATCAGAGTTGTAAAATTGTATGGTGCCCGCTCGAAGGTATACGTAATTGATATGTTTAAAACGTAAAGAGTGCCAAACGTCACGCTGGCGTAGTAAATAGTAAGGAAGACAGCCGGATAGCGTAGGTATACGAAGATCTTGAGCGGATCGATGAATAGCATTCGCAGTAAGCGGATATACTGCTTGGACCGTTGCTGAACCGATTCGCGGGTTGATGTGCGGCTCATGGTAGGCCCGAGTGGATTATCAGTACCTTCGACTTCTTCACTGGCTGCTCCGATCAGGTTGGACGTTGACTTGAGTGTCTCTGGCAGGCCGAAGAAGACGAGCGTCCATGTCAATGCTACTACGTGTTAGCTTCGTGATCTGCTCGTCACCATCTCTAGAAGCTTACCGCCATAAATGACCAGTGCCCATTGCGTAGCACGCCAACTCCATCGTTCACCAACAATGCCACCAAGGATGGGTGCGAATAACGGGCCACACAAGGGCCCCAGGTAAAAGAAACCCATCGCCCTGCCTCTCTCCTCGGATAGCCACACATCAGCAATCGTGCCCACACCCACAGCTTGAACCGATGCCGCAGCACCACCAGCCAACATGCGCATGGCGATTAGCATGCCAATCGACTGGGAAATAGCACTCAGGATCGAGAACACGACAAATAGCGCAAACGAGGCAATGTAGACAGATCGTCGGCCCGACGCTTCGGAGAAGGCGGACCACCATAGGGGAAAGATGGCCATACTCAACATATATAGCGCGACTGTCAAATTGGTGATGACGGGAGTAGTGTGTAGCTCCCTAGTCACCTGCTCTAGAGTCGGGAATATAATCGCGGATCCGACCGGCGCAGCAGCTCCAGAAATCGACACGATGAAGGTGATGAACCATTTTGTGCTATCCTTGTAATCGTAAGGATTTGTCACCTCGGGAATGAGAGCAAAAGTCGCGAACCACCCTCGACGCTGCTTTCTCGGGACCCTGACGAGCTTCTGTTTGGGTGTTCGAATCCTTTGTAGTGCCGCTTCGGCATCTCGTTGATTGTTGTCGGCGACAGTAGAAGGCACAGAGTCAACAGAATGCAGTGTTGTTGTATCATTTGTAGGCCGGCGTACTTTCTCCGGATCGTAGGCGCTCACCCCGACTGAGCTCTCTTCAATGATATGATCGTGAGCAGTAGTAGTCTTGTCATCCTCGGGAGAGCCCATGAAGCGCCTTTATCGACGCCTTGGCGCGAGGTGGTCAGTGCCTGGCGTGTTCCGCTCCGATCATCGGGCTTTTGATGGTGCAACGACTGAACGTCATGCACGCATCAAGCGAAGTCCAAGGGAAACGACGGGACGTGCGGACTTCCGCAAACGCTTCTGTGTCCGCGTTGCAAGGAGTCGTAATGAGATGAGAAAAGAATCGGGGTTAGAAAAGAGAGGCGTACATTCCATCTCGAGAAATGCGATCGAACTAGCGCTATGTAGGAGGGCGGATGAGCATGATAGCGAGTCCAGATACTCCAACGTGAAGACAACGAGCCAGTAACGACAGAGGATGGAGAGGGGTCATAACGGGAGCTGGCAGCACAAAGGGCGAGAGTTATGATTGATGATGCAGCCAATTGTGCCGTTTTAACCGAGCATAGAAAATGTCGACGAGGGAAGCGGTAAAAGACTCGAGCTGGATGGGGCGACGGTGAAGCGCGGGGTCTGGAGTAAAGGTGCCGATAACACCGGAAGTCGTTTCAAATGAAGGCTCATTTTCTGGTCTTTTTGCGAGGAATAGCCATGAGATGTTCGCAATGTGGATGAATGAGGGGCGGCGGCAGGTTGTAAAGACCTGGATTTACCTGCTGCCGAGGCATGCTCTTGACCACGCCCCAGCATGAGCCCTCGATGGGTTTTGAGGGCCTACCATATTGGCAACTGTATCTCCATTCGTGGTACTCAATCGTTTGCCGACCAATCAGACGGACGCGCTTCTGACGTTGTAAGTGGCTATTGTGAGGAAGGGTGACTGCGCTTGTAGCCACGACGTTGGGATCAGACTCAGGCGGCTGGCCTTCATCGCGGTGGTGCCCACTCAGGAAATCGACGGTCCGCGTGTAGTCCTCGTGTCGGCAAGTGTCCGAGATTTGTGAGATATCGATCTGTGCAACACTGACCACCCTTGCACAATCATGGTCATGCCCGCTTCTTATCCGCCGGTGCGAGATCTACCGCAGGCAGAGGTGCGTGCTGAATTGAAACGACATTTTGGCGACTTCCAGGGAGAAAAGTATGCCGATGGCTGGGCCAAACTGTGGGAGGCTGGAGACTTCCTACCATGGGATAGAGGCAGGCCCAGTCCTGCCTTGATCGATACTTTGACGAACTATCGATTACTCGTCGGAAGTGCGATGTTTGATGGCAGGCGCAAGAAAGCCCTCGTGCCGGGCTGTGGCCGCGGCGTCGACGTATTGTTATTGCAAAGCTTCGGGTACGATGCAGTCGGCCTTGAAATCAGTCAGGGAGCGGTTAAAGCCTGCCACGAGTTTGCAGAAGCCAACGAGAATTCGTACCCGCTACGAGATGAGGGAGCTGGTAAGGGAAGCTGCAAGTTTGTGCTTGGAGACTTCTACAAGAACGACTGGAAGAAGGAGGCAGGCTTGGCCGAGGATGAGCAGTTTGATCTCATCTACGACTACACGGTGAGTATAAGTCCAAAGATGGAGGGCGCCGTAGCTGACTCTTCCAGTTCTTCTGTGCTATGCAGCCCTCAATGCGACCCGCCTGGGCACTGCGGATGAGCGAGCTGCTGAAAGACAGTCCACTCGCGAATCTCATATGTCTTGAGTTTCCAACCGACAAACCCGCTAATACCGGCGGCCCACCATTCGGTTCTCCGTCCTCTGCTTATATCGAACATCTCGCGCATCCTGGGGTTCAGGTATCATATGATGCGGAAGGCAACGTCAAGTTCAATGCCTATCCTGAATATTCACCGGGCGGGCTGGAGCGGGTAGCCTACCATCATCCTGAAGACACCCACGAGGCGGGCAAGGATGAAGCCGGTAAAGTGAAGGACTACATCTCGATCTGGCGTCACAGATGAGAATGAAATCGACCTGTCATCCTGGCCAAGCCACCTCAGGTCTTCTCACTCTTCTTCAGCGCATTGTAATGTTCGCCCAGACCGAAGCTGTGTCGGTAGTAGGCTAGCCAAACATCACCTGGCTGCTCACTTGCGCTTGGGCCGGAGCGGATCTCTTCGACACGCCCATCCGCTTGAAGGACGTGTATGTTGACGTTGTAGGCACGCGCAATCGCTTGAAGCTCCAGCTGACCACCCCATTCAGCTGTATCTTTGACTTTGGTCACATACTTGTCGAGCGACTCCTCCAGAAATGCGGAAAAGTCATCTGGGTGCTTCGAAATGAAGTCTGCTGCTGCGAGGCGAACGTTCTGGTACGGTAGGGAGTGTGGCCCCGATCGCGTCACTTGTTCTGAATCCATACCTAGAGCACATGCAGAATAGAGACAGTGGCCATCAGGACGGATGAAGGTCTCGATAAGGCCGTGCTTTTCTTGTAGTGTCTTCATGGCACTCATCTCTTGCTCTCGTAGGTCTGGCAGATTGGCGGCCTCCTCAGCGGCTGCAGCTGCTTGGGCTTCTTGCTCTGCAGCCCTCCGCGCCATGCGTGCTTTCTGTCGGTTAGGCTTCTTGGTCCGGGAAACAGATGAATCCGACGGCTCGACTGGATCCTTGGCGGTCGCGTCGAATTTTACCTGCTTCCTGTCCTCATCGTTGACAGCAGTGCCTGTATCTTCCCCGTCATTTTCGAGATCATCAACTTCTTTGTCGTGTCCATTGATACTTAGAGATTCGATACCGTTCTCGACACTGTCCGGTTGCAGAGCCTCAACTTCTGCTCGCTGCTTCTCTCGAAGTTCTCGTTCCAAGGACTCACATTCATCATTGACGCCCTTCCTGGTTTTCTTGGTGGCGTTTTTCTTTTTGGAGGTGATGCGGTTCTGAAGCTCGCGTTGCTCTTTCCGATGCCTGGCGAACAACTCGTCCATGTCGCCCTGGGATTTGCCAAAAGCAGCACAAAGGGGCGGCACGCTTATTCAGGCCTACGCCTACACCTACACCTACACCTAGCGCGTCCCCAGCGGCAGTGAACGAGCGGGCGCTCCTTGGCACCGCGTCATCGGGCTCTGATTGGTCTCGTTTAAAGTGGTCGATTCCAGCCCTGCGAGGCACGTCAGGCCCCTCCATCGCTCGAGCCTCGAAAGCACAGTTCTTACCATTAGCCGCCCGCGTTGCATGCTTCCAATCTTCCCTGCGTTTCGAGTCTAGGAGTGAGGAAATTGCAGTGAGTGCCTGTTGCGAGCATTGGCATCACTTGCGCGCGCTGCAATACCCATCTACGATTGCCCAATCGCATGTGCTGAACCCCACCTTGACCTTTGTTTCGCTGTCGCAGGCGACGTGTCAGCATACGCTACCCAACTTCTTCAGCCGCACGGGCACGCCGAAATATTTTATGATTGCTGACAACTACTTGCCTCTCCATCCTAACACTCTCCATCGATCCCAGACCGTTCAACTTAGCGACCTATAGCCCGTCATGGGGGATCTCGGTGGCCGCAAGACCTTCAAGGTCTTCAACCAAGACTTCATCGTGGATGAAAGATACACAGTTACAAAGGAGCTAGGGCAAGGTGCATACGGCATTGTTTGGTAGGTGCCTCGAATGGCTGATGCAGTCTCGCATCTGACACTGCAACAGCGCCGCCACAAACGGTCAGACCGGGGAGGGCGTTGCCATCAAGAAGGTCACCAATGTCTTCAGCAAGAAGATCTTGGCCAAGCGCGCCCTGCGAGAGATCAAACTGCTTCAACATTTCCGAGGCCATCGCAATGTACGCACGGTAACAAGTCTGGTGGGCTCGTGCTGACATGCCTAGATCACCTGCCTCTACGACATGGATATTCCTCGGCCTGAGAACTTCAATGAAACCTATCTCTACGAGGGTCAGTGAATCAATTTGAGCGGTAAATCTAACGTGCTGATCTTCCCAGAACTCATGGAATGCGACTTGGCTGCCATTATCCGTTCCGGTCAACCATTGACGGATGCTCATTTCCAGTCCTTCATCTATCAGATCCTGTGCGGCTTGAAGTACATTCACTCAGCTAACGTCTTGCACCGAGATCTCAAACCTGGTAATCTCCTCGTGAATGCCGACTGCGAACTGAAAATCTGTGATTTCGGTCTAGCTCGTGGCTTCTCGATGGACCCAGAGGAGAATGCTGGCTATATGACTGAATACGTTGCTACCCGATGGTACCGTGCCCCAGAGATCATGTTGAGCTTCCAGAGCTACACAAAAGCCAGTAAGTTTACGCCTCCGTGTAGGTTGTGGATCTCGAGCTTACATAAATAGTCGATGTCTGGTCTGTAGGCTGCATCTTGGCCGAGCTGCTGGGTGGTCGGCCCTTCTTCAAGGGTCGCGACTACGTCGATCAGCTCAACCAGATTCTACACTACCTGGGCACGCCAGTCGAGGAGACTCTGTCGAGAATCGGCTCACCTCGTGCACAGGAATATGTCCGGAATCTCCCATTCATGCCCAAGGTGCCGTTCCAGCGTCTTTTCCCTCAAGCAAACCCGGATGCGCTTGACCTTCTAGACCGGATGCTGGCATTCGATCCTTCGTCTCGTGTCTCGGTTGAGGAGGCGCTTGAGCACAGGTACCTTCACATCTGGCACGATGCATCAGATGAGCCCGCCTGCCCCAAAACATTCGATTTCGCCTTTGAAGTGGTGGAAGATGTGCAGGAGATGCGCAAGATGATCCTGGACGAAGTCACCCGCTTCCGCCAGCATGTTCGCCAAGCTCCAGGCTCGCAAGCCTCTCCGGCAGGTGCATCTCAAAACGTACCCATTCCTTCCAATCCCCAACAGTACAGCAGACAGCCAGAGGACCCGAGGCCCCAGGAGGCATCCAATTTTGGCAACGATCTGGAGCACGAACTCCAAGCTGGCTCGGACATGATGTCGCGATGATACGTCTGCTGTTCGTCCCTTTGGCTAGAGTTAAAGAGAGCGAGTTGATCGACATATACCTGTCCTTTTTTTATCAATCAGACTCTTCCAAAAGCGGCCCGAGCTTTGTTTACCATCCCTCGGTGGTTGTGTTCTTCTCATACTCCCATATGGTGTCTTTCTTGCAAAAGCGAATGCCATATCCTGATACACCTCCCTCATCCCCTAACTGTCGTAGGTACCTGGCACTTTTCCATCCTAGCCACAAGATCAAGGCCGGAGAGCCAGTCGCACATGAGCAACTGTCTAGGCCCTGCCTTGTTGGCTACAAGTTTCGAGCACCCAGCGCTTCATGCGACTGCGGCTGTGCGAAGAGCAGTATCACCCAGACCGCAAACAAAAATCGACTCGAGCAGCAGATTGACATCGAGACCGAGGGCTCGCTGCAAGGCATGACTGTATCCAAGAACCTAAGATACGACAGCGCGCTCGCAGGCGGTCGCATAGGGATTCATGCACGCTGTGCTACAAGGGGGGCTTCCGACACCTTTCAACTACGTGAAAGACCTCTCACAGGTATCGGCAAGATACCGATAGCGCCCGGAAGCTTATGAACCTCGAACAGGCGTATATGTGCAGGCCTGTCTGAGTGAACATGTGGCTTATCACATCACGACTTAGCCAGCTGAGTCACAGCCATGTATACCTTGCGAATTTATGCTTGGGCGAAGGCAGGGAGCCTGAATTTGAACATTTGGGGTCTAACGAACTATGCTGGCCCATATCCGTTCAAAGGCTGAGCTGTCCAATGAGGTCATGCGTGTCTCACCTTGACCGACATATGCTTGGCTGTCTATCGAAGATACAGCATCGAGTACACGACCTCGCCGTCTGTCCCACTAGTTGAACTGTGCAGCAAGCAGAACTCAGTGACCCTTTAACAAGTCCTTCTGCGCATTACGCAGTGAACTGACACGATGATTGCAGGTCCATAGCGGTCGTGTGCTGGTCCATGTCCAGCCGTCAACCTTTCACGCAGCTTTGTCCAACCCTACGTGACCTCGCAAAGTCTCGATACCCCATCCTGTCACCGTGCTTCATGCTCTCACCAAGAAAGGGCCCAGAGGCGATCGGCTCTTCAAGCACTGCTGTGCCTCGATCACAGCGATAGCATAAAAACATGGAGTCATCTACTCCCCACCACACCCCCGGCCGCAACCCACATCAAGTTCCCCTGCCCAGTAAGTTCCTACTTGTCTACAGGCCCCAGAAACATAATCTCAATGGCTCTTTCATCAGCATTGACTTCCCCTCTCCACTACTCCACTACCATCCTCCCCAATGGCCAGACCTGGCTCGACTCCTCCGTCTCTAATAACACCGCCGCCTTCCTTGCGAATACCCAATCCGCCATCGATATCTACATGGCCTCCGGGCTGTCCAACGGCATGATCGACGGCATCGAATATTGGCAGGCCGCCAACGGCTACACGGCTATGGTACTGCACGACGCTTGGTCCGGCAGCACCGCTAACCACGGCACCCTGCTTGACAACCTCACCGTCGTGATGAGCAGCACTGGCCACGACGACGCGCACGACGGCGGCTCCGCGCGCACTAGGGGCTTCATCAACGAGTTCAACGACGACAGTCTGTGGTGGGGCCTCGCGGCGCTGGAGACGTGGGAGTTGCTACCGGATAAGGTCATGGCGGAGCCGCTCGTGGCTGCAGCACGGCATGTTTGGGATCACGTGAGTAACTTCACGCTGCCCAAGGGGACGAAGGCGGCGGACGGCACGGATATGAGCGGCGGCGTGATCTGGACGGCCAGGGCAGGGGAGGGGGCAGTGAATAGTATCACGAGTGGGTTGTTTGCGGAGCTAGGAGCCAGACTGGCGGTGCATGAACAGCAGTTCAGCGAGAAGCGTGAGAGGTACATGCAGGAATCACAGGAGGCGCTGGGCTGGATTCTGCGAACGCGGTACAACGAGGCGGAGAAGCTGGTCATGGACACGATCGACTACAAGACCGGCGAGACACACGACTGGACCTTCACCTACAACACGGGCCAGACCATCGCCGCCGCGGTGGCGCTGTACAAGGCCCTACAGCAAACAGAGCCGCGCCCATCGTCCAACTCCAACGAAAATAACACCCGCGCTCACCCACGCGCCTTCACCATCCCCTTCTTTCGCACCCGTGACCGACAACTCTCCTCCTCACTCACCAACCCTTCACCCTCCAACCCCCCCACCGCAGCCCAATACCTCCGCACCGCCCTTGACATGGCCCTCCCATCCCTCACGCGCACCAGCTCACCACGCTGGATCGACGCCGCCACCGGAATCCTCACCGAGCTCGACGCCTACCCGGGCAATCCGCCGCTGAACGCCACGCAGAACAACGACGCCGTTGGCTTCAAGTCCGTGCTGCTGCGGAGTCTGGTCAAGCTGTGTCGGGCTTTGCGCGAGGGGGATGATCTGGAGAGCGCTCGGGGTGGGGGTGGGGGTGGGAGTGGGGATGTCGACCGGGATGCTGCGCAGGTCAAGTTAAAGGAGTTTGTGCAGCGCCAGTTCATGGGAGTCATGACTCTCAATCGCGATTTCCGCCGCAGCAGCAGCAGAAAAGACGATGATGATGATGACGGTGATAATGACGAGGGAGGCGTTGACAAAGAAGAGGATCCGCCCTTGCGCTTCGGGCCGTGGTGGGCCGGACCCTGGGACACGCCGACGAGCCACAGCCAGATGGCGGCGCTGGATGTCGTGGCGGCGCTGTGGGGCGTTACGGAGCGTGGGCCTGTGGACTACATAGTCTAGGTACCTAGGTTGGGGGGTTCAACTTGGGTATTCACGGTACTTGGTGATCTGGGCTTCATTGCACTATTTCGGCCAAGATGTCGGCGATGCAAATGACAGGCGACGGAGATGATTACGCCTTTGTGGGCGGGGAGTTCCGCTTGGTAAATTCATACACTTCATGGGATGGAAGGGGAGGCTGATTCGCAAATGATGGAGGCAGGCAATAGACGCAGTTCTTGACTTGAATCCGGCGTTGACTTGATTGATGTGTTCGACGGAATGGCGACTCAGGAAATGTAAACGCGCAAACAAACACATCTACTACACATGATATAGTCTCCATGATCCTGCAAGGCCTTTTCTCGGGTAGAGGACTGGTATGCACAATGTTATATTCACGTAGTATCCTGTACATTACTTCGCCACGTATGTCCCTACCTACAAGGTATATGGTATATATATAATATGTCCGTGAAAATACGCCGTCGAGTCGACAATCATTAGCTCCACGACAGACGCCTCCCAGTACACCCCAACAAGGACTCTTGATCCTAGGTAGGCACCATAGGTAGGGTGTACCATGCTGGAAAGCCAACCAAACCATTGCTATCCCACGTCCCTTTCGTAGTTCACATGGGTCGCGTCCGACATATTAGCATTTAAACATGACGTTCCCTCATCGCTTTGTTCACTTCAAGTCTCTTTCGTACAAACGAAATCCATCTCTTCAGGTTTCCTTGCCGCATTCAGAAATTCAAAGGGTATATCACTGCTGCTGCTGTTCGTTGTTCCCCTCGAGCACCTGCCTTGCAGCATCCAGTCTTTCTCTGAGGGCCTTGACCTGATCGCCCTGTCGCCTTTTCTCTGCTTTCAATACGCCATTGCATACCTGGCCTACTTCTCTCAGCAACGCCAGTACCAGTTCTTTGTCGACTTCCGCAAAGACTCCTGATCGCATGCTTAGAGCCGGTGAGGATACCTTGCCAGAGGCCGGACTAGCGACTGATGATGGAGGCTCCGCCTTGAAATCCGGGTCGGCCAGCTTGATCAGCGATTCCATGAGTATCTCCGTATTGGCGGGGTGATCAGACGGTGCTTCAGACGGAGAGCCAGGTGTGGGCTGCCCGCTGCGCAAGGAGCGGGGAGATCGAACAGAGCGGCTGGATACTGAATTCGCCGGTGAACGTACAGGAGGCGTGGGGATGCCGGTATGGTGTTGACCATTGCCAGTCACCACATGTAGGACCGGCGCCTCCTGCAAGGTCACAGGACCACTTCGCTGCTGCTGCGGTGGAGAAAGCGGTGCCGTTGTGCGTGTAGGGAACTGGAAAGTGTTGCCCGGGCCTGTCTCTCGTCTGGGACTGGTCAAGGGTGGTGTGGGAAACCCGTGGACGTTATTACCCCAGTTCAAAATCTCGCGCGGTGGCTCGTCATCTTCTTCATCGTCAGACAGTCCGTTCGAATCACCTTCGGTCGCCGTGGCGAAAGAAGCCTGCGTCGAAACAGACATGACGCTGTTGCTTCGCATTGAGTCGTTGAGCCAAGGTTTCGCCGGCGCTTCCAGGGCTTTGGGTGTAGGAAGCGAGGCAACTTCTGTACCTTCCTCATCATCTTCAGCGTCGTTGTCAGACTCCGCCTGCTGTTTCTCGTCCAGGTCTGAGTACTGGCCGGCGGTGGGAGTTGACTGGTCAGCCCGACTTGTTTCCACGCTCGCAGTATCGCTGTCAGTCTCCTCGCCTTCTCTGCCTCTGTAATTACCCATGGCGCTGTGTAGGAACATATTTTCGTAGTCAAATGCATCCAGCCGATCTTCGTGCCGCTCAGCTGATGAATCGACAAGCATGTGCTCTGTCAGATCAGCTTCGTTAGATTCAACGTCATGCAGACTTTCTTCCAGCATCTCATTCAGATAGATCTGCTCCTCCTCGGAAGCTGCGATTGGCTCGTCGTCGTCAAAGTTTTGGATGGCATCCTCGTACTGCGATTGCTCCAGGACCGAGTCGTGGGCTTCGGGGATCGGTTTGAGCGAGGTTTGACGCAAATTCGGCGTGTTCTGATCGGTCCTCCCACCGGGTGTCAGTGGAAGAATCGTCTGTGGTGTTTCAGGCTGCAATAGATCCGCCACTCTCGGAGGTTGAGGAGTAACTTGCGCATCGAGGCTGTTTTCGCGGGTGTGATGAGGAGACCAGCCCTGTCCAGCGTTGGCATTTATCGGACTTCCGCCTTGCTTGTACTCTGGTGATGAGGTATACCAGTTCTCCGGGTTGGCATTCGTAAAGGGACTGGGCGTGTTCCTGTTGTGAGAACGCCGTTCCCTGTCAGCCTGTGCTTTGGCTTTGATGTCACTGATACGGAGACGAAGATCTGACATCGACTCACGGATCGATCGAGTAGAAGCAGCAGATTCTGGACGGCTTAGAGAGTTGACAGATGCCGATCGCGCCAATGTAGGCGAAACTGCTGAACGAACATGTTCTTTGTGGTCCCTGTTGCCAGTGTCAATTCCAAGCCCCCGTGGCTGTGAAGTCTCGGGAGATGTTTTTGATGTGCTTGGGCTTCTTTGTTCGTCATCTTCCTCCTCCTCTAGAGCTCGCATAGGTGAACTAATGCTCTGGCTGCTAGATGGCGATTGTGCGGTCAATCTTGCGGCAGCAGAAGGTCGACTGTACGGAGATTCGGGTTTACTTCCATACTCCTGCGCACTTGAGGCTCTTGCTTCAGGGATCATGGAAAGTCTCTTCAATCCGGTAGGGGTTGTGTCGCTTGAGCCTCGTATATGGGATGGAGAGCTGGTCGAAATGACGGGACGCGAGTATCGCTTATTGGCTCCAGCTAGAGAGATAGAGCGGTACAAACTGCCAGCGGGTTGTTGATGATATTCTGAAATGTTTGGTGATGAACGCGGACTCCAGAGCGTTGAATGCCGGGCTTTACTCAGGTTGTCCTCCATATGCGTCAACCTTTTCCGCGCATTGGCTAGAATCTCTTCTGCTTTGTCGTTCAAGATGGCCATCTCGTCGCGATCGATGATACTGACGGTACTGTTTCGCTTGCTTGACAGTGCTTCCTTTTCTTCCTGTTTCGCAACATCTGCAGCTAAACGTCCACTCATCATCTTTGAGGAGTCAAAGTTCTCCCAGTCGCCAATGTCAGACCCGTCACTCGAAGCCGCATCGCTTTGCCGCCGCTCGCGTGGTGTTTCGTCGGCGTTGGATATGGCATTTGGTATTGGCGAGAGTGGCTCAACAGGAGATGGACTTCTGCTCTGTCTGGTGAATTTTGACCTGGGCGTAGCTTGAGAAGCAATAGTCTCTTCCTCGCCAATATCGCTGAGCGGTGCGCCATGCTCGTACCCGGAGAAGGCTGAGTATTGACTTGAAGGCGCAACAGGTTTAGCACGCATCTTGGCCGTGGTCGTGCCGCCTATATCAGGGCGCGGTTCGGGAGGGCTCGACGACAATTCTGGGGGCAGTGTGAAGTCGGCATGGCGCAAGATAGGCGACGACGCAATGAGTCTGTCTGGCGATGGGCTTGAAAAGCTGGTGTAGGACCGCGGTAGTATCATATCCGGGTTGGTGAGGGTAGGTGAAGGAGGCGCATTCTGAGGAGTCGTTTTCCCTGAAGGCACCTCTGGACTATAGACAAGCGCCATGTTTCGATGCGCCTCTTGCAGAAGAAAGTTCGTTCGTTGCAGGACGAGGTAGTAGATCTCGAGGGATCGCCCGAGCACTACGCGAGCTTCGGGTCCCAGAACATGCTGCTAGACATTGAATGCCGACCTGATCAATGCGTACGAACGCGGTATACCGACGGACTGGACGGATAACGGTATACAGATGTCGTCGACGAAGGGTGCGAGAACCGGCAGACTGACAGACTACGCCGTTGCTAACAGGAGCGCTTCTTGGGGTAGACAGAAGAAATCGCGACAGTGTTTGGACAGAGGAAGACAGCTTGGAAGTCTAATGAATGGTCAAATCATGCGGTAGGAGGAAAGTTCTAGGAGGCGGACTGGTGGAGATGGGGGGGCTGCGAAGTGCAGGCGGGAGTGGCTGGCAGGGGGGGTTCCAGGGCCCAAGAAGCGCATTTTCGCTTAACGGGGGGAACCAACCAGCACCAGCAGCGAACAGGTTACCCCCTGGCTGCCGCAGCTGGCCTTTCCCCTATCATGCAAGGTCCGGAAGTTAACCTGAGCTTAGGGTCACGCCGCCTGTGCGACGGATCGCGCTTGCTCGAGCCGGCTGTTGGAAAGTCCGCTGCGGTACCAGCTGTCGCGAGAGATCATCAAGTCCTGGATTGAAACTGAGACTGCAGCTCATGACCCAGCACATCCCAGCATCATGCCGGCTTTCGTGGTGGTTCCCGCTAACCCTGACGACCTGGAGGCAGTGACCCGAGTTCAGTTCGACGCCTGGGCCAACGACGCGGGCTTCAAGCTGATCTTCCCCAAGGGGCCAACGCCAGACACCATTCAGCACACCGTCAACCAGCTAGAGAATGACATGGACAACGACTTGACTCGGCATCTGATGCTCGTCAAAGACGCGTTCACAGGCGAGATCGCCGCATACGCCATCTGGCACTTTTATCCGCAACGTGGCCACGATGAGATTGAGAGAGAAATGTTAACAGATCATTTTCCTCTACCACGTGATGCTGACCTGGAAATTGGGAACAGATTGACACACAATGGTGTGAGGAAACATCATGAAGTCGTTGCAAAGCACTTGGGCCATGGTGCGCCTCATGCTTGTTCGTCCAAATTCATTCCCGCTATACATTTGATCTGACTGGACCGCAGTCCTCTTCGCCGTTGGCACCAGTCCCAAGTTTCTGAGGCAGGGTGCTGCTACGATGCTAGTGAAATGGGGCATCGAAAGGGCTGACGACTTGCATCTGCCTTGCTATCTCGAGTCATCACCGGCCGCCAGAAATATCTACGCCAAGCATGGCTTTGAGGAAGTCGATCAGTTGAAGCTCGAAGCACCGACGGATGGTAATTTCTATCATATTTGCATGGTCCGGCCAAGTCCGACATGAGGACTCACTCATGCTTTCGACTTCCGCTTCTTCGAGGTCTTACTTTTGGCAGGTATCGCCTCTGCCTGCTCCTGGACGCCCAAGAGATCCAGGATCTTCCTTGCTCCGACATTGTCTACCTCCAGATCGGTGCTCCTTGTCCTGAGCAGCTGCATCAGCTCGTCCTTGTGTGTGAAGCCCGGTGCCTCAAGCATGGCAAGGATTGAGAACGAGTTTGGACCGGTGGCCCACTGCAGGACTCGGTCCTTGTCTTCCGCTGTGATGGCTCCGTATAGTCGATCGTGGAAATTCAGAGGTGGGTCGACCTGCACAATCGTACCAGACGTCTTGTCGAAGTGTCCGCCTCCGACGAGCGTCTTCAACATACGGCCGGCTTGGGGCGTCTGAAGGGTTTCGTCCGCTGAGCCGGCGGCCAGGTCGGCCACTGCCTGCAGTGCTTCGTCCTTATCACCTGTACCGTTCAAGAGCACCTCGGCGACGAATTGACATCCATAGCCTGTTTCAGCCAGCGCCGCGGCATTAGCTGCGATGAAGTCGAGCAGTGGCTGAGAAAGTGCCTCGGACAATTCCACCCTCCTCTTTTCGGGATCTTTCTTGGATGTCTCCTTTCTCCGCTCCCTCACTTCCTCCACGATTTTTATGTCTTCTTCGCTCACCAGCCACTTTGGCGGCGTGGCATTAAACGGCCACAGCAAGGGGATCCGTGCAACCAAGTGATTGATCTGGCCGAGCAGTTCCTGTTTCCTCAACTGCTCCTCCATATCCTTGCCAAGCAGTTCCTTGAACAAAGTCTTGTTCACTTCTCTGGTGTCGTCCATGACTTCCGAGACAGTCACCAGGACCCTCATGCCATGCGTGTCGCTCGCCAGAAGTCTCACATGACCCTTCAAAGACCCCAGCAAGCCTCTGCGATATTTTGCGTCGCCGGCTGCCAGACAATTGCAAAGCAATCTTGATCCACTCCCGGTGAACGCCAGATTCCTGACCAGGTCGCCCTCTTCATCATCTCGAAGCCAGTCCATGACCTCCTTCTCCTCCGGCCCGCCCGCCACACAGTTGTCCCAATACTGCCACAACGCATCATGCAGCATCGTGAACCCCGTCTTCTTCATCTGTACCAACTGGTTACACATCTCCTTGAGATGCTGCATCACCGGTCCTCTCAACTCTGGCTTCGCCGTCAAGATTGTCTTCAGCTCGCCAGTCGTGCCCAAGTCCCCCTTTTCCCCATTCAACAACCCCACCGAAGGGCCATACCACTCCCTCAACAGCAGCTCTTTCTGCCCCTCAGTCGCCGCCCCACGATACACATCATCCAGAATCCACCCGCTCTCCGAGCCCCTCACGCCTCGCTTGATCCACCCACTAAACTCAGCCACCACCAAGTCCCGCGCCTCGTCGCCCACCACCACCAGCTTCCCTACCAGGAACTTGGCGTACTTGCTCTCCGCCAGCTCCCGATAGCAGCCCTTCAACTCCCGCGCAATCATCATCTTCTGCTCCTTGCTCCCGTATTTGACTGCACATTGAATGACCCGCACACTATCGTGCTTGAACACAAAGTCCTTTACCCGTCCCGTGATGATCTCGAACAGCTCCTTGACGAGCTGCTCGCGCTCCTCGCGCGGCACGTGCGACTTGCGGCGTAGGCGTTCCCAGATCTTCTTGCTGCGCTGGATCAGGTCCGCATTGGGCTTGGAGGCTTTGCGTTGCGCGGCTAGGTGCTTTTGCTCGCGGTGCGTTTCGGCTGAGGTCTTGCCTGTTGTTGAGACCGTTAGAGTTGGCTTGCTGGCGAATGGGAAGGTTTACGTACCATTGAGGACGGTCTCCTTGTCTTTGGAGTCCGTGGCTGCGGCACCATACTTGGGCTTGTCGGCGGGAAATGACTTTTTGCTTCCGACGGCAGTGAATTTTTCGAACTTGGGCTTTTTGTAGGCTTTAGTCTCCGCGCTGTCCGCTGAGCGCTTTGTGCCGGCCATTTTTGACATCTCAGTCGAACAGCAACAGGTTCACAGTCGACAGTTTGAGAGTCAGACTGAACGGTGAACTGAACTGTGGTTGGACTAGCCAGCGCCAGCGACTTTTTCTCAAGGCTTTCGGAGGACGCAAGATCTTTTCTCCGCCGGGGAACCATCAATCCTTGGCATACAAGACCACTTGAACGTCAACCAGCATGAAACGTTGGATACGCAAGGACCTTGGTAGGAGAGATCTTCCATGCTTTAACGCCCCGCATTGCCAGCTAGCTACTGAAAACAAATGGTCTCGGCGGCTACCACGGTCTTAACACTACTACAAAAGTCCGAATTTGGGTTGGGGCCGCAATATAATTGCACAGGTTGGTTGGACAATGCAGGTGAGATGAACAAAGGTATCAGATCAAATACAATGACACTCTAAGAGACAACTGACTTCCTGCTCGGAGCCTAGTGTAGCAAGCAGCCTACCGTCAAACTGTTATTCGTGGTCCGACCCTGGAGGAGCGGATGAGACGCAAAGGCCAGCCGGGCATGTATGCCGGACAACCGAGAACCTGAACATAGTCATGGATGCCAATGATGAAAATGATTGCTATCGGGCTGCTTTCTCCCTTCGAGCGGTCAACACATACTGGTATCGCCCATGAGGTATTCAATCCTCGATCAAGCTGTAGTATTCGAAGTTCAGAAGCGCGCCTAGCCAAATTTTGAGCAATTATGAAGTCGTTGACAATTGGTAGTATTAGAGGATACGGCTGCATAAACGAGCGCCTCCCCGCGGAACACTATTACCTACACACTTATGCTCCGTGTTTGATCAATCATGAGTAGTCATACAAGCCCCAGGGTTCGGCAGAGCACAAAGACGCCGCTCATATGAAGGAACCTCAAAGTTTGCTCATGAGCTCGAGCTTCATTTTTCGCCAATCGACCCAGAACAATCCCCACATGAATCATCTCGAATCCGGCCGCAGAACGCCGTGTCCACTCCATTCAGGTGGTTCGCCTCTAACAACAAATCAGTGCCCGTGTCGATGCGATATCTTCCACACCTACAACTGCACGACCTCTCCACCTCTTGGAGGCGGCCGGGGCTTCTCGACGCCATTACTGTTGCGCGACAGGACTTTCCCTTTCTTCCCACCACCACTCACCAACTTGGGGTCGAAGTGGATGGTCCTCAACTCTCCATCAAACTGCACTCCTTCATGACCCGGCCCTTGGCGTGGGGATGGATATTGGAAACCATGCGGTGGCCCGCCCTGCACATGGGAGTACGGCACATTACCGAACTGTGGAGGTGGGTACGAATAGTTCGCGGGAGCTGGTGGAGGAGGCCAGCCAGGCGGTCCATCTTTGGAAGTTGTTGTTGGACCTCCCTTCTCACTCTCAAGCCGATTGATACGAGCCTCCGCGGCTGCAAGCTTCGCTTTAAGGAGCTCGAGCTCCGACATGCCGGAAGTAGCGTCGGCGTCGGTAACTTCGGCGGCGGCCTGTGCGATACCAGCTAGAGGTTCGGCAGATGGTAAGGAGGCCGTAGCAGACGAAGGGGGCGGGTCTGCACCATTTGTACGCCGTTGTTTCTGAGCTCTGCTACCCCATGTGATAAGATCGCCGGACATGTAGCCAGACATCATGCCAGGAACTTGGAGGGATGGTGGGCGAACAACGCCTTGCCGAGGTGTGCTGCTTTTGCGGCGAGTGGCCTTTTTCAGTTGGTGGAGTTTCTCAGCAGGGTAGATGATAGGAGGAGCGGCTGATGATGCGCTTTCAACGGGAACGGATGGAGAATGGGTATCACGAGCAGCTTCACGGTCCGCCGAGCCAAGGAAGTCGATGAGTGGCGCAAGGCTGTCATTTGCTGCATCAGAAATGCCGGCATCAGCAGTACCTGGCAGTGGCTCGGTTGCACGACGCTTGGGCGGTTGGGGGGGCTTCTCGGCTTTCGCTTTGCGCTTTCGCTCTCGAACAAGCTTGTCAGGCTCGAAGACTTCCATAATCTTGCGGCGTTTGGAGTTCTTGCGTGGAGGAGGCGCGCGATCCTCATAGGTCTTATGGCATGGGATGTGTTTGTAATGCAGTTCCATACTTTGCTTGGTGACGGAGAACTTGACGTGGAGGGTTCCGTGGCAGTCATAGACTGGCTTCATCTTGCGCTTACCATCCATGTTGGCGCCCTCATTGGCAGCACGGCCTTTGTTCAGCGTCGAGTCGTTGCAAAAGTAGGAGAACCGATGTGCCTCATCTTCCTTACTGAGCCAGTTGTTGTGAAAGCTATAACGAAAGCCGTCGGCTCTCTGGATATGTTCGACAAGCGTTTTGGCTATCGACTTCTGTTTCTTCAAGGATTCCTTCTTATCAACCGGCGCAAGCGCAGCATCCACACTCAGTGCAGATCTATTCAAGGTGCCGTACAGATTTGCTTTGGGTTGACTGCCGCCCAAATACTCGCCGGTATAGACGAGGAACGCCGATGAGGTTGGGAATGAGAACTCGATGGTGGTATGTTCAGCAGGCGAGGTTGGATCGGCCAGGTAGTCGCGCAGGTACGTCTCCATCTGGTCAACGCCTGTGCATTGGAAGCGGACATACTGAGCGAGCGGATCTCGCGCCTGTCTGCCTCGTGGATGTACTGTTTTGCTCCATTTCTCTTTCGGCTGGGGCTCTGCCGACGCGCTGGCGACAACGGAGTCCGAACGTACATTGTCGCCGCCAGCCGACTGCTGATGAACCTCAAGGTCGGGCTGTATGGACGCGTCCGCCTCCATGGCTGCAGCGCGCTCGCATGAGACGGGTGAATATTAGGTAGTGTTTGTCAGCCCGTAAGTCGTAATACAGAGATAATGTCGCAGCGGCAGTCCAAAGTGGATGGCACAAGTCCCTGGCGGCCAAGGCGCTAAGAATGCCCCCGATGATCTCCAACTAGCGGGGCTGCAGGGCCCGGAACAATGCTACTAGGTATTTCTCCCAGACTTTCACCGCGTTGCTCAGTCGCTGATTCAAAGAAGGGCCGTATGCTCAAGTCGCGATTGTTCTTTCGAGCGCCGGTCTCTTCACATTCTCGAACATTGCTCACGCAACCACTACGTACAGCTTCCACCATGGCTCCGGTCGGCGAGAACCGCCCCATCGTCTTCTCCGGACCCTCAGGTACCGGCAAGTCCACCCTCATCAAGCGCCTGTTCGGCGACCACCCAGACCTCTTTGGATTCTCAGTCTCGCACACGACACGCCAGCCCCGTGCTGGAGAAGAGGACGGCACGCACTACCATTTCACTACCACCGAAAACTTCGAGAAGCTGATCGCAGAGGACGCCTTCGAAGAGCACGCCAAGTTTGGGGGAAACTACTATGGCTCCTCGAAGCAAGCTGTAACTGACGTCGCAAATGGCAAAGGCAAGAGTATCGACGGCTCCCCAGCTGAGGGACCGAGAATATGTATTTTCGACATTGAGATGGAGGGCGTGAAGCAGTTGAAGAAGAGCAACCTGAATCCAAGAATATGCTTCATTCAACCGCCAGACTTGGAGACTTTGGAAAAGAGGCTGCGAGGCAGAGGCGACACGAGCGAGGACTCGGTTCTCAAGCGTCTGAAGCAAGCGGAGAACGAGATTGCGTATTGCAAGACAGAAGGTAAAAACGACAAGGTCATCATCAACGATGATCTGGACAGAACTTACAAGGAACTCGATGAATGGGTGATGAAGGAGATTTCGACCATTTCATGAAGCAGTAGAGGCGCCGAAAGATGGATCAAGCACGAAGAGCAACTTTTGCAAGTTCGTTACAATTACTTATGATCTCCGACGAATAGAGAAAAGGCCGGCTTCCCCTGGCGCAACGCTGCATCAAAAACGCACGAGATAGAATAGACATGACTCCCACCACTGAAGCAGTTTCAGGCCTGCCAAAGTCTGTACCATCGATTCACTCGCCTAGTATCCATTCATGGTCATACGCTGAGAGTTCCTGCTCAGCTCACGGTCCGCAGACGGTGAGATGGGCCTGCTGCTGGTCATGCCACCCGCAGCACTGCTCTCCTTCAAGGCCAGTAGTTGCTTGGCACGGAAGGTTTCGTAATGGATCTGGCTTGTTGTCTCGATCAAATCCTGCAGATGTGTCCGCGTCAGGAAGTTTCGCAGGTAGACGAACTCGCAGTGGTTCTCGTCCTCGACATTGATAACACCCCATCTGTTCTGTCGGCCGCGAACTTGCTTGCCATTAACAACGATTGACTTCTCGCTACCGACAACAGCGAAGGGAATGATGTCCTTGATGGTGGCGTTGGTGGCGCGCTCCTCGTCATCGAGCTCATCGTTATCGTAGGGGTACATTCGGATGCCGTGGAAAGCGAATTCCTCCTTTATCCTCTCCTTGAAGGCGCGGCGCTCCTCGAGGGTAAGTGAGTCTGCCTTGGCGATGACGGGGACGACATTGACGACGTCAGAGAGCTTCTTGAGCACAACGATGTCGATAGGCTTGAGAGCATGGCCGGAAGGCTGGATGAAGAACAAGCAGCAGTGGATGCGGGTATCTTGGATATAGCGCTCGCGCTGAGCGGTGAGCTCTTTTCGGAGGTAGGCCGAGTGCTGGTCTTTGATGTACTTGACGATTGGGTCCCAGCTATAGCACGTTAGATTTGTGGCTAATGCAAAATCGTGGACCTTACCATCGGTCGTTGTTGACGAGGTCACCGTAACCAGGGGTATCGACGATATTGAGCCGTAGACGAACACCATTCTCTTCAATGACTAGTTCTGATCAGTCGCCTGCTCGCCTTGACTTTGCTAGCACTTACTGTGAGAGACGGTCTGGATCTCGGTGGTGGATCGGACGGGCTCATCTGGTCGCAAGCGGCCTTTGGAGTCGATGAGGTGGGATGCGAAGATGGTGTTGATCAGGGTAGACTTCCCCAGACCGGTCTGGCCTGCACACGACCATTAGTAGATGCCCAAACAAGGGTTTCATGATACACGTACCAACGCAGATGACATTGAACTGGAAGCCTCTCTTCAACAACTTCTTCTCGATCTGCTGGGTGATGCTGTCGAAGCCGACGTGGCTTCTGGGGAATACGGCATTCCCCTGATTCATTGCCATGGTCATCTCGGCTTCGGCTTTAGGCTCTGCAAATATCAGATAGTAGCGGTCGCAAATGAAAGACGTCAACCGATCCTGAACGGGCTCAAGAGGAGAAGCGAAGATGATAAGGTGATGCACGAGAAGAACGTTGCGACCGCGACAAATTTCCAGTTCCCCCAGAACGAGCGCAGCTGCCACCAAAAGAATACCAGCGGCCCCTATTCTTGCCAAGCCAGCGGTCAGGGGCCGCGGTCGCGCTTTCCTGCATGTGTACTAGCGTGGCGCTGTCGATCATGCAGCTTCCAAAAAGTCCACGACCGACACGATGGTGTAGAACCTCAGTACACGAGTCAATTCCAACATACACTCCTGCCGTACTCTCCTTCTTCGGTGTTGAGTGGTCCGACGACACACAGCATGGCTGCTTTCTCGAGTGCCCTACTGCGCAGCGGTAGCCTCCTCGATGCCTCTAGACATGCACTGGCAGCGTTCAATCCACTACGAACGGCATCCGTGAACATTGCTCTGCCAGCAGCGGCCATCAGCATCCCGTCATTACTTTCAGACATCTGGGAAGGCATCTTAAAAGCTGTACCAAAGAAGAAGACCTCGCATATGAAGCGGAGACACAGATTACTGGCAGGCAAGGCGATGAAAGATGTCAAGAGTGTCGTCAGGTGTCCCGGCTGCGGCAAGCCCAAGAAAGCCCATACATTGTGTCCATATTGTGTTGCAGGTAAGATACGCTCGGATCCGATCTCTACGCAGATACTCATGCTTCCAGAAATTAAACAGGCCTGGAACGACGATAAGCGCGCTTCACAAACCGATCTCAAAGAAGCTTGAAACCAGCCCACGAACTCGATGTATGAGCCTCGAGCCGCCGCGCCACCTCTGGTGAAATCGACAAGCGCTCGCGCAAGACTCTTCCCGCGCCGCTTCACGCACCGAGCATGAAGCATGTAACATTAAAGGGCTGTGCATTCCGAAGTATACTCGGCAGACCCACGGAGAGACTATCGTGTGGATTTATTCGAAACCGCGTGGAGAAAATGAGTGTCTAGCGGGTGCTTCAGAGGTCTACGGGCATATTCCATGTCACATGCAGGATACCGCAAATTCGGCGGTTCGGGCGCATTATGCGGAATCAAGATCCTCCCTCGGGGCACCCGATCTTTTGGTGGGATGAAGAGACAAGGCACTTGCAAGCTGGTTTCACTGCTGTCAACCAAACTCGCAGGATGCTTCAAGTTGTAACGGATAATGGAATGCTGAACTGTAGCAAGAGATATCAAAACGACTTGGCCAAATGAATGGACCTTAACCTGTCGCGCGTGTACATTATATAGACACATTCGAAACGTCATATTGAAGCAGTTCGAATGATTGTGTACCTGGACTTGACCTCTATAGGACTTTCGTAACAAACTCTTACAAATGAAGCTGCGTCATGTGGGGTGAAGGTGCCGTATATTTTAGCTAGGTACACCTCAACTTGAACGTGTCCATCATTTGTCCACTACACGAACCCACGAAGTCTCCTCGTCGTTGCAATTTCTCGGATCCCTCCTTCACCACTCCGAGCAATGCCCACGGGCCGTGGTCACAATGGTGCGCATCACCCCTACTAATCCACCCCTCTTGCTGACTGCTACAAAAGTCCAAACAATACCTTGCCCTCCATAGCATCGATAATGCGCACCCTTCAGACGTCTTCGCCTTGGCCACGACATCATCGTCTATCATTTCGGCCTCAGGCGACCCTACCATAACCATCCATTCCACCAGCAGTAGCGAAGACGGCACCGCATTTCCCCTCACACAAGTCCTGTCGGGCGCGCACGCTCTTGGCTGCCACCACCTCGCTACGTCTCCGGCAGGCACGCGCCTCGTCTCCGTTGGCTTCGGCGGCGAGCTTAAGATCTGGGACCATGCAGAAGCTAAATGGAGTCTCTCCGGGGAGATCCTAGATGGGGTGGTGCGCAAGGGCAAGGCAGGCGGTGCTAAGAGCAAAGCGGGCGAAGTTTGGGCTGTGGCCATCAGCGCGGACGGAGCGTACGTCGCGGCGACGACGGCGGACGGTGGCATCAACGTGTGGGATGTGCAAGATCCCAAACAGCCACGGAAGCTGGCGGAATATGCCAGCAAGGGCAGTTTCGGCATGTGCGTCGATCTAAGCGCGGACGGGCGGTTCGTGGCTACTGGAACGGAGGGAGGCAACGCGTTTGTGTTCAGCACGAGTGGTACGGGAAGGCTGCTGCATAGTCTGCCGGGCCTGGTGAAACCGGTAAGGGCGGTCAAGTTTAGCCCAGGCTCGAAGCTGCTGGCCGCGGCGGGGGACGCAAGGGTCGTGTCACTTTACGATGCGGAGTCAGGCGAGCAGGTGGCGAATCTACAGGGCCATGAGGGGTGGATCACGAGCCTGGACTGGAGTGCAACGGGAGCGTATCTGCTGAGTGGTGGCCTGGATGGTCGGGTCAAGGTGTGGGATGTGGAGGTGCGGAAATGTGTGGCTACGCATAGCGAGAGTGAGAAAGGTCTATGGGCTGTGAAGTGGTTGCCAAAGGGAGACACGAGCGTTGAGAGAGGGAAGGCCGAACGATTCGTCACTGCAGGAGCAGCAGGAAGTGTGGCAATTTACAGAGAGGCGACCGGTGGTTGAGAAGAAGGAAGATGACAGGCAAAATGACGACGCTACGAAACACAGGTCTCTAGTTGAAGAGTGGTCGGCACAGGGCACCCACACGACAGAGGTCGGCAGACGATCATATCAACTGGTCTCGCATGATCTACACGCTGCATACGGTGGCAAAGAGACTGCAGTGCTCTTATAGCACCATTCTCGCAAGCATTCCGAGCTCAGCTGCATCTCTAGATGGCAGACTGCGTTGCTCCAATCCCACAGTCCATGACATCGCTCAGCAAGAACACAGACCACGAACCAAGCACAAACTATCCGTCTCGTTCCAAAACCTCACGGCGTGAACTCCAAGTCGTAAGCCAGCGTATCCGTGCATAGCTCCTCGCGGAACTTATGGACCCTATCACGCCGCTGTCAGCATCATCGTTCGTCAAACACTTCGCCCCCCTGACCAACACCTCATCCTCGGTTCCAACCATCCGCCTCTCTCCTACACCTCTAAAAACCTCCAACCACACAACGACGCGCCCTCAACCCCTAAAAGACCGACACCCACTCTGGCCCCCAACAGATCGTCCGCCCCAAAACAAACAAAGAGAAAAAACACCAACAAAAAAAACTTACGCCAAATGCGCCGGATGCGCCGCATAAACGCCAATCGTCTCGGGCTTATCCAACACGGCGACCAAGCCCATATCAAACCCCTGTGCGCGCGACGCCGAGCTCGGGTCCGGAGGGTTGAGGTCGATGCGCTGCAGGCCGGGGATCTGGCCTACCATGCCTTGCGCGGCTGCGATCCATTCCTGTAGGCGGGCCGGTGGGGTGTTGGGTTTCAGCTTGAAGAGGACGATGTGGTAGATTGCCATTCTCTCGGAACGGGGGGAGGGTTTGGGGTGTCAGAGTGTGGGTTGGTAGGGGAAAGGAGGGTTTGTGAGGTGGAAAGGGGGTCGTGAGGTGTAAAACGTGGATTGATAGATGGATGGGCTGAGTGCTGTGTAGCGGGTCTTGTAGATGTATCTATATGGTATGTATATGTAGGACGAAGAGGCCCGACGTCGGGACAAGACGGCGGGGCTCCGTTGGAGATTCGCGGTGGGGTTGCATAGGGGGGCGGTTCGGTAAGTTGCCGATGCGCTGCGAGTGCGAGCTGGGGATCTATGATGGCTTTTGAAGAGAAGCGGTGGCAGCGACGTCTGCAGAAGAGTAGTCATTGCATTTCCAGTACGCGCCCCGATCGATAGTCCGCGCATTCATCTATACATAGGTTCCATGCTCTACCATGGCGTCTAGCACAGTGCGTGCAATGCAAAACGACAGAGCTATAGAAAGTAAATAATGTTTCTCGTCGAAGAGACGCACCCACATTCACGAAACAGCCCCCTTTTCACGGAGGGCCAGATAAGAACAGAGTGAAACACGATCAGAGATAGAGCGCCGGGGCCTTGTTCAGGCCCGCTGGACGCCCCGGGGTTTGCTCTGGGCACAAATTTGACAACATCTACCATGGTAGCAAGAGGATGGATGAAGCTTCGAAAGTGCCTTTTTTGTGGTCGAATGGTTGCGGGCGGAAGTGCTGGGAGGGTGCTGATAGTTGATGAATAGCGCAGGTAGGCAGGTAACGCTCTCCGATAGAGGGTGTTCTCGAAGGCCATTGCTCAGTAGCAGGCTTCATCATGACTGTGAGTTTTCCCCACGGCATCGCGCGAACGCCGGTCTCGTCGTATGAGAGCCTCATGGACATGCAGCGCGTACGGGACACAAGCAAGCGATCGATCAATGTCTCATCAAAACAGAAGGAGCATATTGCCCCGCGCAAAGGTGTAGATGTGAGCCAGAAGCGAACCAGTCAGCCCACAACCTCACTCGGAGGTCGAGCAGACCAGATTATGAAAGGCACTTATTGAATCGCTCTCAGGTCACTCAAAAATCGCCGACGCCAAGGATGAATAGGATGCATGCACGAGGGTATGTGACCTGGTATTGAAGTTTTATGTTTCGAAGAAGAGAAGAAAGAAAGCGGTTGAGATGAGGTCGAAAGATTTTTGTCCATTGCGAAAGGCTTGGCGACGGCGGCGGGCATGACTCCACTTTGAATTTGGGGTCGAACTCTCTGTTAATAGTTCATGTTGATAGTCAATGGGTAGTGCTCGACGGGTGGTTCGACAGTGTCAGACGGCAAACAGTGGTTGCGAACGCGTAGATTTCTTGCAATGGCTGAACTAGTCTTGGATTCTTGAGTGTTCACAACGGCAGGGTGCCTTTACGGGAGCACGAGACTTTCCCCTGCCTCACCTCCTCTGCCGCTGCAGCTTCAAAACCCATGACCAAAACGGGCCTCTTCGTTGAGCTGAGCCTTGTCAGGTGTTGCTGTGTTCTCCCACATCCTCTTAACAACATTATCGGAAGACGGCTTGCTTCCCCAGCTGCGGTGAATGCATGCTCTCCGCCACGTGTAAGCGTTAGCATGGTGCAGTCAGCCACTTTTTCCAACGTGCTCGAGGAGCTGCGCTTCGCAAGACGCGTGCGCAATCCGGCGGCCAGTATGAGTAACACATCCGTTGTCCAAAACCACTCAGTGCCAATCAGCCGTCCATCTTGGATGATCCGTCTCGCAGGACTCCGCCTTGTCATCGCCAATGCTCAGGATCTCGTAGCGCATGACGCGACGAAGCAGCTGCTTCACTGACTCCTGCAACGACCTATCTTTCGGCATGTCCTTCCACCGGAACAGCTGCACGTCGTTATTCTTCCCGTCGTGTGGTGCCTTAGAGTAGGTCAACATGCACAAAGCCCCCTCCGTATCATCGCCGGACTTGGCTTCAGGAAACGAAATGTCAATCAGCCTGATTCTAGCTTCAGGCGGGACGTCCGCGCAGTTGATGACCTCCGGCACCGCCCTCTCTTCAATCTTCATCATTTGCTCGGCAACCATGGCCATTCGCCGCCCGGGCCAGTCGCATTTGCGGAGGTATTCTATCGCCATCCTCCGAAAAGCGGTCGCGCGGTAGTGTGTGGCGACGAAGAAGAGCGGGCATAAGCACCGCTCTTTGACGGCATCGGTCGTCTCTTCGGTGATCAAATGAGACATCTTGATCATGACGTGCTCGAACTGGCTAAAGTATAGATCGTACAGCTCCTCTCGTAGGTAAGGGTCACATCGAGACATGGCGTATAAACACATATAATGCACCCTGAGTAAATGCACTTCGACCCTATTGGCAGCAGCCTCCTTTGGACCATATCGAAAGACCATCTCATCGAAGTAGACGAGCCATTGATTCAGTTTAGCGGTGATATTCGGCACGATCTGGAATCGAGTGAGAGGAGGTTTCCCCAGCGTCAGCGGGTTCTGGCAGGCCGGCACCAGACAACGCAAGCAATATGAAGCCATTGCTAACGAAGCGTAGCCTTGGAATATAGACGACTTCGGCCTACTCCAGCTTGGATCCATGCCCGCCTTCTTGGCCCAAGTTGCCGAGTTGTCCTTGAACGGCCATCGCAGCTGTTTGGGCAGAATCTCCTGCTCAAACTCTCCAGTCTGGATTTCTAGCCGCCGGAATATAGGCGCGAGCTCCTCGATCGCGTCGCTGCACTGAACCCTGTCTTTGTGACTGTAGCCAGACATGATACGCCTCCCAGCAATGATATGCTGCAAGGCACCGAATCTATTCTGGTTGAACTCCTCACAGACGATGAATAACAGGCACGCCATCAGCAAAATAGCCGGATCGGGGTTCGCCCGAGTCCCCAGCGTCCGCAGCGCGGTGCGGTAATGCTCATCATGGTACTTGTTGGCCTTATCTAGGCCCAAGACGCCCCGCTCGCGACAGTCCAGCAGCGCCGTCGCGAGCACCAGGTGTCGGATGGCCTCATCCTCGAGAGCCACTTGGATGACGAGCTTGTTCCAGAAGTAGTGGCTACCAAAGTTGACGAGCGATGGAGCAGAGACCTCTTGGAAATACTGGTATGCGAAGAGCTCGCAGTGCGAGTACGACGTTAGGTTGCCCTGCGGCACTGGTACTTCTAGCGATGCTGGTGCCGGCTTGCTGTAGCCGTCGCACTTGCGTCCTGTATCGAGACATTTGCGGCAGGCTGGACGGACCTCGTCACATTTGACCTTGCGGATTCTGTCCTTACCAGTTAGTTTCTATCCGAACACGAGCACCGCGCGCCAAGCTGATGATAGATACAGGGGAGTGCAATCCAAGGCGGTAAGACTGACTAAGCGGCTTGCCCACGATAATCCTTGTCTGTAGAGGACACTGACCTGCAAGTGATGCACCCGTTCCTGGTACGACTGTGCTTCTTCTTTACCACTGGTGCAACTGGCGTCGGCTTACTCGGGGCCGACGCTTGAACGTGCATAGCTGCTGGGACAAGCCAGACACAACGGTGCTGAGACTGACAATCGAAAGGCCTCGAGCGACGTGAGGTTTGTTCAATTGGTTTGCGTCGAGGACGCACATGCAATGATAGGGGAGGTGCTGCTTTCGAGTAATAGGAAGATGAAGTCGGTGGCGAGCTTTGTCGTTACAGGCCCGCCGGGAGGCCAACAATCGATACCTTGGGGGCTGCTTTGTAAGCCGGCGTCTGGCAACTCTTCGCGCCGCCCTAGTGGGCAGAAGCCAGTAATGTACTGCTTGACACAACATGATTGATGTCATTCTTTTCTGGTGTACCTTGTCCAAATGGGTTCGATGGGTCCCTTTTCCCAGAGATTTGGGCCCATGCTACACGCTGAGTATGGCGGGAGGGAGGAAAGTATCTCAGACTTCGGAAGCACTATACCAGCGTAATATAGGATGGCGGAAGGGGATCTGGGTACGATCTTTCATTGTCAATACTGTAAGCTCTTCACCAAGCGTCCACCGCCATAGGAGCAAACAAAGGAAACAAGGTCTCTGTCACCAAAACGTCCATCCGCAGAATCGAAGCCACAGTTCCATAATCCTCCCCGAACACCCCCTTTCTCAAGCCATTTCACACCTGATTACCCGAGACTACCCTGAGACCCCTCTCACCAGTCACTGAAACAGCTCCCCCAGCTACTCACCCGCTCCCGACGCACCAGCACATACTTGCCGCCCCTAGCGTCGACGCGCTTCTCCCAGTACAAGTCGGCCTTATCACGCCTCTTCTCCCTCTCCCTGTCCCTCTCCCGCTCCCTTTCCTTCTCGCGCGCCATGAAACGCAGCATTTGCCTGGCTTTCCTGTCTTCGCGATCCCAATCACTCTCACTCTCAACCTCGCCGCGAATCATCTTCTTGGCCCCTACCTCGCGCGCCCACCTCCCGCGCTCGACATCCTTGTCGCGCTCCGCCTTGCCACGCTCTGCATCCTGCACCTTCTGCGCCGCCTCCCTCTTCACCTTGTCCTCGGCGTTCTTGCGTTCCGCTTCAACCTGAGCCGCGAACTTGAAGGCCTCGCCGTGGAGGTAGGTGGGGTTCGCGCCGTGGCGATGGTAGTGGAAGTCTGGGTAGTCGTTGTAGCTCGGGCGGCGGGAGGGTCGACGGTGGAGTGGGTGGATGTGCTCGCGTCTGAATTGATAGGCGCGGCAATCTGGGTTCGGGCAGCTTGGGTTGCGGCAGGGGTAGGTGGTGCAGCTGGGGTAGTCGTTGTATGGTTCGTTGAGAGGCATTGTTGGCTTTGTGGCTCGGGGGTTTGTGAGCTTGCTTGTGATTGGAGTAGTGGCTTTCGAAGGCTCTCGAAAGCTCAGTTGCTGATACTCTGCGTTTTGGTGCTGGTGCTGGTGTTTGATGCAGAGCGGAAGATCGAAAGCCAGAAACACAGGCTAGGTCTCGCCTCTCTTATGCTCTTTGAGACTACCCTTCTAGATCCATCCCACCGCTTCACATTGCTCTACTAATTATTGTTGTCTATCATGGCCATCCGAGACCTGGCTCAAAGAACTACCAAGCCACAACCAAAGACCTTCCAGAGACGGAAGGGATGTTGGACGACGAAAGTCTTTGGTGGCGGAGCAAACATTGAGTGCACAGTGATTCTTGAGTGCAGCAGGGAGTGCAGACAAGCTCAGATGTAGACTTTCTTTGTTCATGCGGCAAACTTGACGCAGGGTTAAGGGACAATGCGGTAGTGCTGCGGCTTCGGCACACCAACTGGATGGTGTCTCGGGTTGTCGCCAAACTTTGTGCTGTATGTGAAGCAAACCGATGTTGCGATCGTGAGAGACCGCAGACTAGTAGGCCATGAGCATGACATCAAAATTGGGTCTTTGTTGTCGGTGACGATCCTTTGCAGATGCCTCATTGCCTTGCTTGAGTGGATGTAGCCGCAGATCACTAGAAAGTCATCAACCTCTTGTATTGGCCAACTATGATGATCGGGGAAAGTTATCATTCTGTACAATCTGCCGTTCGGGTTGCTAAGTCGTGGGATCACCGTCCCGGGTGTGTTTTAGCGGATAGAAAGTTGACCCGGGCGGGGCCATCGCTTAAAGGACAACGAGATGCCCGAAAGATTGCCTACCAGGTACTCCGTATTAGCGGCGCTGCTGGTCTATAATGCTCCCGCACTCTGCAAGTTACCGGTCTTGCATTAGGACTGAAGCACGGAATGGAAGGCATTTGCATAGCTGGCACGGCTGTGTCAGACAGTCTCGGTCGAGTGGCTGCTGCAGTCTTCCATACATTTATCTACGGTGGCTGTATGGCGACCTCGTATGAGATCGTCATGCAGCTTAGGCCGAGGACCCGAGGAGCCCCAGATCTGTGGTTACACCAAAACGGGTTTGAGGGGCGGATCTAGTCGTCAATTGTTCATTCTCGGCTCCCACCAGTCCCTTTTAGGGGCCCCGGCCCAGCTCGGCTGGTGGCTCGCATCTCGCCTGCGCGCTCGCTTCCATCTCTGCATATTCGCGACTTCGCATCTTCGCGCCGGAAATGTGTTGACATCTGCTTCACACACGCTGATCCAGAATCGGGGTCTGTTGGACTTTCCACTACATGTGTCAGATCGGCCAGGATCGTCTTCGGAAAAGCTGCAGCGACCTCTTTTTGGGATCGACCACTCTTTTGGGTTAACCACACCGTTGGAAGCCCCAATCAAGCCCCATTCAAGTGCCCAGCAAGCCCCAAACTGCTGCACGTCAGTCAATGACAGATGTCAACTAGCCTTTACCGAGCCACTAGTCCCCTGAGCCAGCTCGTCTTTGACCTCATTGATTGAACTTTACACACGCCAGTTCCTGGAGAGGGTGCCACAAAACTTTCGCCCGCTCGGCATCCGCAGTTCCTGACTTTGCTGCTGAACTCTGTAGCCATGCACCTTAAGACTGCCCTCATCTGGAACGCAGCGGCGTCTGTCTGCTGTCGGTCTCAGTATCGCCTGCGTCGCCCACGATGCCAGGCAAGTATTCCCACAACGTTGTCCTCAGCGACTACTCCAGCCAGGGTCTCATCTCCATTCCCAATGACAAGCAAATTAATTGTCTAAGAGACTCGGCCACCCCTCGCGCCGCTTCCAGCGCATCCCACCGGACCAGAACTCACGCAGACGCTACTCAGAAGTCACCAAACACTGGCTCTGCGGGTCATGCGTTTGCATCTGCCTACAATCAGTACACCATCCACAGATCAACTCACAATCCCCAACGTCTGCTCATCATTGACTCCGAGAGCGATGAAGAACACCCTGAACCTCCAGAAAATGGTCGAACTTCGACTGCAGTCCGTACTGCGCCCACACGCCAGGCTCGCGCAGATACGCCCCAGCATTTTGGGCCAGAAGCGGTCCCGAAGACACCAGGACGCAAGACTCCGCGTGCGGGCGCACAAAACACCGTTCCTCCTTCCGAAGACAGTCCCTCAATTAGATCTATGCGCTCTTCGGTCAGCAAACCTCGTTCGGGGGGTGTCAAAGCCTTCATTGAATCAAGATATAAAGAAGAGGCGGCTGCTGATCAAATTGCGGATCCCGCTACGAGCACAATTTCGCTGCATGAGTTTCTTGACAGCGCGCCGCGCTCGCCGGCAAAGTCTAAACCGCAAGCTAGAGCACCACGTATGGTTCCGGATAAGACTGCCGATCTTCTACACGACCGTGGCATCTCAGTGGGGGAATTCCTAAAACTTGTGCCAGACCCTGCGTCGGCAGAGGCTTTGGAGGAGCCCTTGAAGCCATCTAGGTCAGAGACGCAGAGCAAACCGGGCCCGACGCCTGGAGTCAGTCGGCTACCAAAAGGGTTGCGACATGGAAACCCTACCTTACCACTGAAGCAGACTGAAGCAGGGCCTTCAAAGCAGCCAAGGAGACGACCGCCCATGCCTGCAGCGAAATTCGGCAGTACGTCAACCCTAACACGGGGCCCGCCCTCTCGTTCAGCCTCTACTACGCCAACTGTGATCAGGATTCCGCCTGGATCAATAAATTCGACCATGACGATGAAGAATCTTCGGCCCTCATCGCCGGCGCCGCGAATGTCGGTCTCGCAATCCCGGCTAGCTGCTCCGCCCCAAGACCAACACTTAGACGGCTACGAGCTCGACTTCGATGGCTTCACAGACGACGGGGATTCCTATTTTACTTCCATTCCTGTGACTCGGAGTTCAAGCAAGACTGTTTCCCGCCAAACTTCACTAAACCGGACCTGGAGCGTAAAATCTCCAGTCAGGCGTGGCAACCTTCCTGCCTCACCTTCCGCGCAGACTTCTACGAAAACTACTTCGCCCCAGAGTACGATCAAGCGTTCACCTAAAGAATCTCTGCGCGCAGGAGGCTCAAACCCACCGGCGGGACCTTCTCTAGATTCGCCCTTCGACGAGGCAGAGGTCCAGCCAGGTACCTCAGGGTCCTGGGGCCTACCTACCATTCAACTCTCGGGTGAAGATGGGGATAGTCTCAAAAACATGTTTGACGTAAGTGATGGGTCGGGCGATCAAAACATACTCATCTTTACCTCTGACGAGGAAGGGGAAGAAGAGGATGACCTTCCGACTCCACGCCTACAAAAGCTGGAAGAAGATGTTCAATTCCCATCGTCTGAATGGGGCATGATTAGTGCCGGTAGACATGTCAGTCCAATTGGAAAGGACACAGACGCAATGAGTGACCTCAGCGCTGTCTATCCGCCTGATATTGGCAGGTATACGTCTGGCGGCGAGGATGACAGCCCACTCGCAATGGCACTACAGAACATGCGACATGGTGGAGAGATGGGCACTTCATACAAGTCATCGGGGCGGTCCTTGTTCCGACGACGTTCAATCAACACTACAGAAATCCTTCAGAAACTTGGAGTCAGACCAACTGCCAGCAGTCGCAGCGTCAGCGGTGCTAGTGGCGGCGCAGACACTGCGAGCAGCAAGAGCAACCCGAAATCGGGACAGAAGTACTTCCCAGCATCATCATCTCGCAGTCGCCTTCCCATCACTCCATAGTCGCCTTCTAATGCAGCCGGGCATGTGAAGGAAGGTGCGACGAACATGTACGAAAATGCGACACCCATGGTATACAGAACTTCCATGTGGGTGTAATTTCTTCGAGTAGCATGCACATTGCTTGTGCTCCAATGTCGTTTCTATAACAGCCTCAATTATGTATGACTTCACTTCCAACATCTCTCATCTGCTCTGCTGTATTCCTTCGAAACGCAGAGCGGAGACAAGTGACGACAACGCTCCCTCTACCCTAACAACGTTTCAATTGCCAGCATCAACGCTCTCCGTCCATCTACCTCATAATACAGTACCCCACAGCTTGAGCGACTCTCACAGCGAAGATGCTCGAGCACTCCATCATATCTTCAGCTCCTCATCGTCCGTTAGAGGCTACCAAACAGCCGCAACGACCCCGGGCTATGTTCCCACAAGTCGGCCTTCACTTGACCTTGACTTCAAATTTGGAGACTCGAGTTTCCAAGTGCCGCCCAGCCGTGCAAGTCAAATTGGCAATCGGATCAAGCAGAGGCTTTCCGAAAGCCGTTTGAGCAAGGCGAGCTCGAGATTGAGCAAGCAAGAGTCGTCACAGAAGGACAATACTTTATCCGAGATCACGGAGACCCAGGCGAAACAGACCATAGACGGTGACAATATCGCAACCAGCCAATCGAGCGCGGGTCTGTCCGAGCTTCTAGCATCCGGCAATGTCAGCCGGGGTGGGTACGACAGCGACGCGAGAAGCCTCAATAGCCCAGTGCTAAGCAGTAACTCAGGCACGATAAAAATTGGCTCAGGTTTTGTCAAGCATGCCCTTGATAGGCTTGAGCACAATCTTCAGCCACTTGTGTCCCCAAAAGGAGATACCGATGCCTGGCCTAAGGCAGATGATGTGCGGTTCCCATCTCCCGCCCACGAAAAGGCTCAATCCTCGCCCCTACCTGTGACACCGAAGAAGACGTCTTTCATGGAGGCACTGCAGATTGGAAACAATGAGTCACCCACAGATGTTCTACGCCGTCTCAGCGCCGGACTGGCCAATGGAACAATCAATACACCTGACACACCTGAGCTTCGAGCCGCCCGCTTGCCCAGTATCAAGGAGTCAGACAACGGTTGGCGACTGTCAGCTCCGAAGCGATCTTCTAGTCTACCTCGAAGCCAGACCGACGTACAGACAAGCATCCATCGGCTTAGCCAGACCATCAATTCCGCCAGGAGAGCTGATCAAGCACATAGTGACCAGCATAAGAGGCGCACCAGTCTAATATCAGAGCTCGACCAGTCCGTGCTCGATTACATCGATAAGTATAATCAGAGATATTCCGAGTCTGGTCGGCGGGCCTCAACCGGAAGTGAGCAGGATCTCCCTCCTGCGAGGTCAGCTGTTGTCGCTACACAGTCGATGTCGCCTCCTGTCTTGGAAGCTGGTCAGATCGTTGTCAGTCCGGCAGCACCCCCTACAGTCGTCCGCGACGTCGATCGCGATTCCCTTCATCTGTTCAATATGCGCATCTCGCAACGACTTGCCAGTCACTCTCAAATTCCTGTCAGCTCCCCGGCCTCGTCTCTGAACGCATCATGTCAGTCCGTTGTACCCAAAGCCGAGAAGAGCCAGCCGCACAGTGAAAGAGTCTCTTCTAATTCTCAACCAAGACGTGTCGTCAGCGAGCACAATCGTCGGCCATCTGACCCTCAGACCCGTCGTTTCTTTGAGGGTCTCTGTGGCAAAGATCAAAGTCAGAGCTGGAAGACCATAACCTCTACTCAAAGCGGCAATTCTCGTGTCAATTCGCAAGGCATGAGAGCTCTAGCACAGGACAATGCAAGCTCCTGCTACTTGAGTAAGGACGAAGCTGATGAACAAAGCCACACCAGCCCTGTCAACAGCACGAAGCGGAACTCTCACATTAACCCTCACAGCTTTGCCATTGGCGGGAGATCGCTTTCAGGGGTGACGTCCTTGCCGAGAGCCGGTCCTCATCATCTGTCACCAGCTGACAGTAGATGGTCCCAACAGCTTACATCACAAAATATCAGGTCATCGGGCGATAGCTGGCTTGCTCCATCACACGTCTACCAACGTGGCCGCAGCGCAAGCATGCCTCAGAAACGACTTGGCCACGACCATGTGAGCCCAACGCCTATTTCGAGGAAGGGGATTCGTGAAGCTACTGCAGCTGCCGAAAACTTGAGCGAGATCAGCCTGGATCATGTACTCGATCGTCGGAATGAGAACATGACCGAGATCAGTGCGCAAGACGTCAAGTTGAAACCCGAGGAGCAAACTTCAGAGATTGACCATACGAAATCATCAATCGCAGGCGACGGAACCGCGCATTTGCAGACACGGCATCGACAGAACCCGGACGGCAGACCCGTCGAGGCCAAGAATTTGCGAGTTGAAGCCGCGTCGCCCGAGTCTGGGGTCAGTGCTTCGGATGCCCATGAGAGGGGCTCTAAGCAAGGCCTCGAGGAAAACAGCGTGTACAAGTCTGCCCTCCCTGCGAACAACAAGCATGAACATCAGAGCGGGCACATATCCTCGCCATCCAGCCTCGAGGCCGGCATTTGGGAAAGCAGAGGTCTACGCACATCTCTTTGTTCATCTCGCAGGTCACGAAGTGCAGATGACCTCCGACGGCTCTCGGCATATGTGGGGAATGTTGGTAGAGAACTGCCTGGTTTATCGACACATTTACAGTCTCTGAAAACGCTGCCGGCCATGCAAGATCTCCATGATGAAGCTGCGACGGCTCCGAGCAAGACTCCGAAAGAGAAGCAGCGAAAGAAGAGTATACTCGACCTCAAAAGACACTTTACAAATGGCACATCGGAGTTCATGGACAATTCTGGAACACCATTCAAGGATCTCATTAGTATGTGGTCTCGATTTCCATCTCATACGCGCATCGATCGAAATGGCCCGGCGGGTAAGGGTGATAGAGTCTTGGCCAGGGACTTCGTAATCCCGGTCACGGAACCGGATTCTAAGCAGGTTTCAACACCCAGTAAAGGCACCGGTCTCGGATCGGTAGGAGGTGTGAGATTTACAAGGCTGTGGACACACGACAAGGCTAAAGACAAGAGCATGACACTGAAAGAACCATTGGCACTCAACTCAGCGGCACGAGCACGCAAGGATCAAGGGGGAATCTTTAGCAAGTGGAAGCGATTGTATCGCAGCAGCAGTTCGGACCTACGCCAGTACGCCTTCAATCGTGGTCACCGAAGCAGCATCGGTCTAGGGGATGCAGTGGAATATCCAGAACTGGAGTGCTTGCCAGGCGAGGGCATGTTCACCGAAACCAGCGTGCAGCGTTTACAAGCAAGCCTTATGGTCAAGTTGAGTGAGGAAGCAACGGGACCATCGTTGGAAGCAGAGACTCCTACCGGGCCGTTGCCCAAGTCCAGGCCAGCAGCCGTCGACTGGGGAAAGTACTACGGTGACTGCATCGGCGGCTTGTCAGCGTTGAAGAGCGAGACCGAATTGGAGGTCAATAGTACGTTGAGTAGTGGCGGGCCCACCGACACGAAGAGCTTGGATGTGCGTGACAGCACTGTCAATTTTCAGGAAGCACTAGATCGAGAGCAGGATAAGCTGAAGGAACAGCTGATGGAAAAGATTAGCAAATTTGACGGTGCTGCGAACGATGGGAACGATCCGGAGCACCGCCGTGAGAAGAGGGCCAGCACGACTACAACTGCGACGAACGACACGGTACTGGCGAGCTCAATCCGTACCAAAGACGTCAAGATCCCAGGCAGTTTTAGTTAGTGGTAGTCGTCATTGGAAGATATGGTTAACTCGAGGTGGGCGGGCACGACTGGCGAATTGTTGGATTACCTTCTCTGAGTAGCATATGTCTTGTCTCAAACATGCTTAGTTGCCGCATAGATAATTGGCAGACCTCAGCCGGCTCAATGCCCGGCAATACCACCTTTGCTATCCAGATTCTCCATCTGTTCGTCGGCAACCTTGATCACAACCTTTCCAAAATGTTTCCCCTCCCACAAGTAAGTCAAGGCCTCTCTCGCGTCCTCGAATGCAAATACCCGATCCACCACCGGTCTGATCTTCTGCTCAGCCACAAACGCCAACATGTCCTCCATTCGATCTCGCGGCCCATTCAGCAACCCTTTGAGCGTCACATTCCTTGCCAGCGCCAGCACATTGATATTAAGCCGATCCTCATGATCATCGGCCTTACCCGCCAGCCTGTCCACCTTCCCACCCACATACCCGATAGCGGCAATCTGGCCCCCAAACCGAACGCACCGGAACGATTTGTCCGTGCTCCCCGCCCCGCCATTCTCGAAAATGACATCCGCGCCCTCCCCCTCCGTCAGGCGCAGCACCTCTTCATCCCATGCGGGCGTGGCGGCGTAGTTGATGCCGGCATCGGCACCCAAAGCGCGCGCCCGCGCCAGCTTATCGTCCGACGACGACGTCACGAGCACGCGCATCCCCATCGCCTTGCCGAGAAGGAGCCCGAAGATGGACACGCCGCCCGTGCCCTGCACCAGCAGGGTCTGGCCTGCGCGTGGGGAGGTGATTTGGGATGGGGCCGCAGGGATGCCGAGGGGGAGCGACCATGTCAGGCCCATCCACGCGGTGGTGCCGGCGATGGGGAGGCAAGCGGCCTCGCTGGCGCTGAGGTGCGGGGGGCAGGGGAGCACGGCGTCGGCAGAGAAGACGCGGTGCGTCGTCAGGCAGCCGTGCGTGGCGCTGCCGACGCCGGCGGCGAGGTAGGTGGGGAGGGCGGGGCCGGTGAGGTATTTGGGGTAGGAGAGCGAGAGGACGCGGTCGCCGGGCTTCCAGGGCTGGGATGTTGTTGTTGTGGCATCGGGGCCTTGGGTGCTTGGGCGGCCGGTGGCGACGACGATACCGACGCTGTCGGCGCAGGGGATTAGATTCGGTGGGGCGACGGAGGATTTGTGGTGCTTGAAGAGGCCGGAGATGATTTCGGCGTCTTTGTAGTTGAGGGAGACGGCGAGGATCTTGACGAGGATTTGTGTGGGGGAAAGGGTCGATGGGGAGGGGGTGGGTGTGGTGGTGAGGCGGAGGGCGGGGATGCCGTCTAGGTTGGTCGTCCAGGACCGTGTCTCGGAGGACTCCATTTGCGAAGATGGGCGAGGTCAAGTTACATAGAGAGGTGTTGACCCAAGTAAGAAGTCCGCGTACGGGTATGTCTAAATAATAGACATGCGGCCGCTAGTGGCGGGCTTCTCCTTTTCTCCACACTCGCCAGGCCGGCATCAGGCGGCAAGGCGACAAGGCGACATCAGGCATCAGGCATCAGACATCGGGTGTTGAATGTGTATACAAAAATCATAGCGTCTGTGAAATACTATCCTCCCACGACGTTGCACTCCTTAAGCTCAAACATCAACACGCAATCAGTCCTCCGTCCATGTACACTCCCCAACAGGCGTACAAGTAATAAACATCAAACACCCCTCTTCACCACTCCTGAACGGCCCATGCCGCATCCCCGGCTTTCGATAAGCATACGCACCCTTCTCCCACTTCCCGCCCTGCACACCTCTCGCAGAATCGTCCTCGCACGACAGCGTGCCTTCGACAATGTAGATCTCCTCGATGTACTCGTGCACAAAGTCCTGGCAGACATTGGAGGTGTTGGGTGCCCAGCGTTGGAGCAGCGTCCGCCGCGAGGATGATGGGGACGAGTTCAGTGTGAGTTCGTGGATTGAGGGTTCGACTTCGATCCAGGCGGCGGAGGCGGTGGTGGAAGGGAGGGAGGGGTGGAATTCGAATTGTTGCATGGTCCGGTGAAGTCGTTCGAGGAGTCGACTTTGGGGGAGCGTGGGATCTAGGAGTACAGGTTTGTATTACGGACCAAATCGTAGGGTGATGGCTTTCTGCTTGTTGTGTCGAATGGCTCTTTAGGCCTCTGTAGCAGCGAAGGGTGAGAGAGAGATATATATATATGTCTGCAGCAGAACCAATGCCAAGAAATGGTGAGCACTGCGGCGTTCGAAGTCCGCAATGCTTTGTCAACATGAGTACTCGAAGTATGGTCAATTCATGTGGACCAGTTCAGGTCTATCGTAAGCAGAGTGGGCTACAGACTGGCGACATCCGCGTTTCATGCTATGATTTGGCCCCTTTCAAGACTTCCGACGCTCGCAACTACATCGGCAGCAGGACTCTCCTCACTGCCAGGTTGTTCCAAACTTTGTCGAACTTGCAGCCTGCGCCTGAATGAGTTGCTCTTAGCCTCGAGTCGCCTGGAGTGCCGTACACGTTCTCGCGAGCTGTACCGCCTGGAGCTGGGTAGTAGTCGCGCGCACATCGCTCCATGCCAACCGAAGTACGAGCGTTTACTACTTTGAACTCACTCTGGGCACGATCTTTGAAGGTGAGAGGGCAAGTGTACTTGCAGGTGCCCACTATCGCATCGGGTTGGGTGTTGTCAGGGTTCCACCCCAGCCTCTTCGCAGCCTGGAGGCGAGGTACTCAACTTTTACTCCGCTTTAGGCTGATGCCAGTGTTGACACTTCTACAAGTTTAGCTATTTAAAGCCTCTCGTATTCCCGTCGCTCACGTCTCTCCTCCAAGTACCACCCTCATCATGGATCGTCGCACGCAGCTACAAAGCAGTGAGGCTTCGATCAAGAGTCTGGCTCTCAACGCCCAGAATATGACTGCATGGACTTTTATGTCGGATGAGGACATCCGGAAAGCAAACTCTCATACCATACTGTCTCGCATGTTGTCGACGCGTACTCACATCTCAATCACTTCTACCCTTGCTCGAGAAAACGATGAAGCCTCCCGCAGCGTTGAGCTCAGGAAGTATGTTCACATCGGTCAAGGGCAGTGCGGAACCGTCCTTGCCTTTCAGGGTACTGATGAGGTGGTCAAAATTCCCAATGGCCCTCACAAACAACACGTTCTCTACCAGGACGCTCAGATCCATGCTGCTGTCGAAAAGGCTTTTCGAGAAGCTCCCACAGAGCTCCGCGCCGAGATCTCGGTAAGCTTGAAACCCTGCTCACAATCATGTTCTCCTGTCTAACTATGGCAATCAGATTCCTCGATACTGCACCTGGGTAACTCCAGCGATGTCTCAGTGGTGGAACTCACGTCTCAATCTATTCCCCTCCGAGTACCAAAGTCCCACCTATGGCCTTGTCTCTCAGCGCATATTCCCTCTACCAGCTCCTGTCCGAAGCGCCATCATCGACACCTTTTGTCCCAAGCAGTTGCGTAAATCTGTTCAGCAAGATCCGAGCAACAGAGACTGTCTGGTCCGGCTCTATCTGGGCAAGCGAGAGCCTGGAAAGCGAGCGCAGGAGAAGTCATTTCGACTTCGAAACTTCCCGCTTATGGTCAACGATCTCGAGGAGCTCAAAATCGAGGCCCTCGGTTTTGCTCGCGTCATGGCAGATGCTCTCGCCATTCTACATTGGTCAGCCAAGGTTGACGGCAACGACATCGAGTTTGTGCTAGGATCTGCGTCAACCGAAACACTCTACCGTACGGCGGTCGGTCCTGAAGAGCTCAAATACATTACAAAAGATTCTCCTGCTCATAATCGAGCCGATTTTGACTTCACAAAGCGCCACATCCATGTTTGGCTACTCGACTTCAACCAATGCGTCACATTCGATGAGGAGAATGATCCAGATTGGCTTCAGCTCCTGACTAGAGCGTTCTGGTTCAACGACCCCTACTATCCACGTCCGGTCTCCGACCACCCGGCAGACACAGCTCTATGGGAGTCATTCGCTGAACGATACCTCTACGCGTCGCAACACCTGACGAATTCGGCTGGTCCAGCCCGGTTCATCCAGAAGATCGAAGAAGAAGGCAAGGAACGTCGCACGATGATATCCAAGCAAGGCAAGGACTCTCTGCTTGGCGCGCTGATGGAAGGATGCAAGGAGATGCAGATAGGCATCAAGACGGGCTTCATCTCGAATGCGCTCCCTCATCAGCGGTGAGCAAGGAATGAATCACGCAGCTTCATGTTGTATTCGCTTCCAAGCACGGGGATTTGGTTGCTGACGGAGCCATAGTGCTTTCTGTCGAGCACCCAACCGCGTTGGACAATGGCTAGGTAGTTACAGTGGCTTACACAGACAAACAGCCCATTTTTGCCTAGCACACTTGACTCCTGCATCGTGCGGAAGCCATGACGGCCTGTGGCATTCATCGGCTTCCCCGCTTCCCTCTTAAGTAGTCCAGCGCCAAAGCGGGTCATCGACGTTGCCCGTCATGCGCTCCGTAGACACGTCACCCGCGCGCAGCTTGACGCCCTGGGCGCGATCCCGCTTCCTGTTGTCCCACCGGTAGTAGCTTGCCAGGGAGAAGATGAGCAGAATGCCGAAGGCCTGGAAGGCGGCACCGGCGATAAGCGCGGGAATGTAGCGGGGCGCGGTGCGTTCCTGGAAGGAGAGAGAGCTGACGATGCCGCCGGCGTTGGCGGCGCCGACCATGACGCCGGTCACGGCGGAACGGGCGTTCTCGGTTGTGTCGTTGTTGTTGTGCCTTGGATCTATGTTAGCCGGGGTTCAGAGGGAGAAGGGGGAGGGGAAGGGAAGCGTACCAGGTGTGGAAGATGGCGGAGGGAGCGAAGGCGCCGGAGGTGAGAAGGAAGCAGGCGAAGTAGGCTACGCCGAGATGTTCTTTGGGATCCATGGTGGCGAGGAGGATGAAGCCGACGAAGGTCATGGTCATGGCTGCCATGAGATGGGTTGACCGTTCGCGGAAGTAGTCGGACGAGGTGCAGAGACAGAGGAGGACCACGCATCCGACGGCGTAGGGAGCGACCGTGTACAGGTTGGTCTTGATGGTGGAGTAGCCCAAGCTGCGCACGATGATGGGGATCCAATTGCCGACGGTGGCAGATGCGATACCGTAGCTGAGTGCAATGACCGAGTTGGTGAAGACTCGCCAGTGGAAGATGGCCTGCATGCAAGCCTTGAAGCTGAACTTCTCCTCGGCTTCGCGCGAGCTGTCGGCGAGGATGCGTCTCACAGCAACCACCTTCTCCTCCTCGGTGAAGAAACGGCAGCTGCTGATGTCCTTGGGAATCCAGAAGTATGAGATGATGGCTAGGATGATGGTGACTGCGCCTTCGATCAGGAATAGCCATCGCCAGCCAGCCAGAGAGCCCTCGATTTGAAAGACGCCGAAGGCCAGCAGGCCGCTGAAGGCACCCGCAATAGTTGCCGAGCCGTAGAAGATGCAGATGCGCAGGGCTAGCTCGTTGCGACGGTAGAAGGTTGTGAGATAGTAGACAATGCCTGCCATGAAGCCGGCTTCAAAGGCACCCATGAAAATACGGCAAGCCAGCAAGCCTGCCCAGTTGTAGGCGCTGGCCTGGAGGATTGTCGTCGTGCCCCTGTGATTGTGTCAGTCCACACAGTCCTGATACGGCGTGCCATCTTGTACGTACCAGCCCAACATCATGGTCGGCAGTGTCAAATGCGGGCCGACCTTCTTCGTAAGCATATTGGCGGGCAGATCGAGGCCACAGAATGTGACGTAGAAGAACATCAGCGTCAACTGTAGGCGTGAGTCAGCCTGCGAGGCTCGTCAGGAGTGGCCGACCATACCAGGTATTGATTGCCGTGCATGCCGAGGTCCTCTTCCAGCGTATCAGTTCGAGCGTTGCCCAAGTTCGATCTGTCAAGCGCGTTGAAGAGGTACATCAGCGCCAGATAGGGTAGAAGTCTGAAGGTGTCAGTTTTGGATGAGGTCCATGGGTCTCAGGGCGCTGACCTGGTGTCGAGCTTCCATCGCAAAGACTTCTCGAGCGCCGCATCGTATGGCAGCTCCTCGCTGATGCCCTCAACGTTGGTCTTCTGGGCCATTAATTCGCCCTCGCCCACTTCAGGTTGCTTCTCGACATCGCGCTTGCTCTCTGTGCTGGGCGCCATCTGCAGAATTCTTCAGTGTGACTAACTAAGGAGTGCTGTAGCAAGCCTGGAGACGTGCAGCAGCGTCTGACCGAGATATATCCTCCTTTGACGACGTCGCTATCTCGCCCATCGATGCCAGCCATAGCGCTAACCCTTTACACGAATTCGGATTCTTCCGAATTTTCCAGGTTATCTCCAACGCCATGCATTTGCCATGGATGGCTAGCTATCGCCGTGTGGCGCCATTGGCCATAGATCGTCGGCTTCTACCCCGCGTTATCTGACGGTCATGTCCTAAAAGGCCTGGGCTCCGGGCTCCTTCGGCTCCCTAGGCTCCCTGGGCTGTGGGCTTATCACGCGAGCGCCACGTGAGGGCACCATCCCTTTGGGCTCGAATCAACGCTGGGCGCTGCACGATTCTGCAGGTTTCCGGAACAATGCTTTTTGCGTTGTCGTCGCTTTCTATCACGGTCTTATGCCTTGTATACAATTTTGATAGCGCTGATCCTGATTTTTGGTTCTTGGCGTGAAAAACGCCGACATGTCAGCCTCCAACACAAAGCGTCCGCGGCTCGGAGAGCGGACGATGCTGGCCTGCGTGAATTGCAAGCAGAGGAAATTAAAGTGTGATGGCCAGACACCGAGGTGTCAGAATTGCGCCAAGGTTGCGAGGGATTGCCTTGTTGAGGATCCAGCCACTGGGCTACTCAGGCCACGCGACTACATGCAAAGCCTGGAAGCTCGAGTCGCGTTTCTTTGAGGGTCTCTTACAGCAGACACGTCCGGACGTGGCGACTGATCATTATGTGGGCGACCTACCTATGCCGGAGTTGGTCCGGCATCATGAGCAAGATACCCTGCTCTTGGATCAACACTCAGCAAACAGGTTGCTCAACTCGACATATCCGCAGTCTCCCAACGACGGCGGCATAGACGATGCTGACGATCTAGCATCAGATGTTGCAGTACTAGCGTTGAGTGCCGCTGGTCGAGAGGCTCAATACTTTGGTCCGTCTTCTGCTTTGTCCTTTGCGCGGGTTGCTGGCGCGACCTTTGGACTGCACAGAAGACACGATGGATCGACAGTCGATGCCCACAATGACACAAGATCTGCAGACCAGCATCGCTCGCTCGAACCACTTCAGCTCCCTTCATTTGCAGTCTGCCAGAGATTATCTAGGGCGTATTTCGAAAACATTCATCCTCAATACCCTTTCCTGCACAAGCCAACCTTCGGCGTCTGGGAGGAACAATGTCTCCATGCCCAGCAACGCGGAACGCTCGAGGCCGCTCCAAAGGTCGCGTTGCTGTTTGTGCTCATGGTAAGCAGGACTTGTAGCTGGCAATGCGCGTGTTAATAGGAACAGGTATACGCGATTGGCTCACTGATTGTAGATAATGCGCAGCAAGATGCGGCCGAGGTTGGTACTGCCATGTGACCGACTCGGGCTCGAGCTGATCTTTGCAGACGTACTACGAAGCCGCCCTTGACCGATTGCAGCCCGTGGTCGACATGGATAGTCTCGAGTCAATACAGGCGGTGCTGGCGTGTGCTGTATACTCAATACGATCTCCGGCTGGAGCCTCGATTTGGTAAGCTATACCTCAGGAGCTGTGTCCAATCTATACTCATAAATCGGCTAGGAAGCTCTCAGGCATGGCGATTCGTCATTGCATTGAGCTTGGATACCACCGTAGTGCAGCACGCTTTCGTCCCAAAGTTGACCCTCTGACAAGCGAAATGTCCAAGAGGGTATTCTGGGTCGCGTACGATATTGATCGGGCTGCAGCGTTTGCCTTAGGACGCCCATTCGGTATACCTGATGAGCAGATTGATGTCGAGGTTAGTTTCTGCCACAACCTCCAACGTCTGGAAGCGCTACTGACTACTATCACAGCTTCCCAGTGACATCGATGATTCTGCGATAACATCGAGCGGCTTGGTAGGTGTGCCTCGCACCAACGTAGCCGAATCGCCTGGACCGCTGAGCGGCGCTCTGCATATAATCAAGCTCCGCCAGTTGTGGTCGAAGATGAGTGACTCGTTGTTCTCCGCAACAGCCACCACAAGTGGCAGCGTCTGCAGAAGAGCACTTGCCGCAGTCCCACTTCTCCGTAATCAGTTGGACAGTTGGAAAGACGCCATTCCGCTCCCATGCGAACCACCCGCCGAAGGACATAGCACCGTGTTTGGCTCGAACGACTGGTTCCGACTCGCCTATTGCCACTCCATTCTACTGCTCTATCGCCACTACCTCACGTGCTCGCGCAACTATGGACCGGGGCACGATGGGATGCGTTGCAGTCCGGAGGAAGTCGATGCTGCTTTTCAGGAATGTTCAGATCGAGCTCGAGAGATTTGCCTGCTCTATCGACGTACTTACCAGCGATCGCCCGTACGTTACACCTGGGGTTCACTCCACATTCTCTTTCTAGGTGGCTTGACTTACCTCCACTGTCTGTGGGCATCTCCTACGGTTCGCAGAAAAGTCCCTCAGAAAGACGTCATCAGTACATGTACAGCCTGCGCAATGGTGCTGGTCATTATTGCGGAAAGATGGAGTAACGCAGCTCCATACCGTGACATCTTCGAAGAGCTGGCTGAAAGAACTGTCGGCATGATATGTGAGCCTCCTGAGTCCCAAAACCGGTTCCAGGTTGCCAGCAGCCCCAAGGAGCCGGGCAAACCTGTATTATTTCATCGAAATTCGCCTCCTTTCACTTCACTTGATGACTCCGAAGTCACACAGGTGGACGACTGGATGCTGAATTTGGGGCATCTGAACGTTCCAGATGAGTCGGAATGGCTCGTTGAGGATTTGCTGCGAGGTTTCACTGATCCGCAAGACGATATGCAAGGACTCAACAATCAAGGATTTTGAGGGAGCGCTTCGTAGCCAGACAAGAAGCTCTGCTGTATTTCTAGGCTTCGTAAGGGTGACTTCTCAAGCAGAAGTCCGCTGGTCGGAAGAAGCCGACTTTCAGCACATCACGCCCTGTGTGTCTGTCCTCACGGCTCGGTGCGACCCCGCATCTGATTCTCAGACAAAACTCTTGCAGCTTACTTACTGTGAAAACTGTTTGGGTTTGGCTTTTAATCGTGTAGAAACAATATCTTTTATAATAGTGTCGCTATCCAGTACACAGATATCTGTGCTGATCAATCATTTCAACATGTCGACAACCGCAACCACCACCACAACAACCGCGGAGGCACAGACCAGGCTTTCCACAGCCGATCAAGACACCCCTGCGGCTGGGCAGAGAGCACATAAGCGTCTGCACTACATCCCACGTCCAGCTGACAAGCACGAGGAAAGGAAATGGCAGCTCGAGCACATGGCTGGTGCCTTCCGGGTGTTTGCAAAGCTAGGCTACTGCGACGGTGCCAGTGGACACATCAGCCTCAGAGGTGAGGCTCCTGTTCTTCACCACGATCTGCTGTTAATATTTTACAGATCCTGTTGACACCAACACATTCTGGATCAACCCCTATGGAATCCACTTCGGCCTGCTCAAGGCCTCCGATATGGTGCGCGTCGACGAAGAAGGCAACCGGGTCGGAGGCGCAGACCTTCCTGTGCCAACGGCTGGCTTCCTCATTCACAGCCAGATCCATCAGGCGCGGCCCGACATCAATGCTGCGTGCCACTTGCACAGCCCCTACGGACGTGCTTGGTCGACGTTCGGCAAGCCGATTGAGATGCTCAACCAAGGTAAGTCCAGCTCGTCCCATTCTCCTTGGGAGGCTCTGAATGACTTTACGACAGACTCATGCATGTTCTACAATGACCTCTCTGTGTATGCGGGCTTTGGTGGCGTTGTCTTCGCAAAGGACGAAGGCATTCGCATCGCCAAGGAGATGGGCCCGACCAACAAGAACATCATTCTCCAGAACCACGGCATCTTGACCGCTGGAGGAACCGTTGATGAGGCGGCTGCCTTCTTCATCGCTCTGGAAAGGGCGTGCCACTGCCAGATGGTGGTGGAAAATGCCGCGTTGGCGAATCCCAGCCTCAAGAAGACTTACGTCGGCCACGAGGAAGCCGAGTACACGAAGAAGGGCACAGGCTCACCTGAGGTCATGTTCATGCAGTTCAAGAACGAGTATGATATGATCGTGAAGGAGAGCGGTGGAGATTTCTTGCTATAGCACTTTCAAATACTAGAATGACAGCCAGGCTGATTCATGCAAATTCCTCTAAAGATTGCCACTCTACGCAATCGGCCCGACACCATTAATGGCGCCCCAACGCTCCGGCCTCCTCCTCACCAAGCCCTCGTAGAACCAGCAGCCCAGGGTATACACATCATAAACCGGCAGCCCCACGGCCTTCTGGATCCCCTCAGCAAACGGCGCCATCTGCGTGCACTCGAGCACAATCGCGCCCAACTCGGGATGCTCCTTGACCAGCTCCTGCGCACACAGCACCAACTCATCCTCGATGCCCGCATGGTTATACGGCACCTCTCCATCGCGCACCAGCCTCTTGAGCGCCCCGTTATCCGGCGGCCCCACGATATGCACCGCCTCCGGCCTCGCCACGCCCACATTCACCAAATGTCCCTTTGTGAGCTTGACCGCGTCGAACGTGATGACGCCCACGCTCTTGGCGCGCGGCAACCACGCCTGGATACTCGGGATCTGGCACAGCGAGCTGGTCGCCACGGGGACGGAGACGCGGGCCGCGACCTCGGGCTGCGCCATGGCGAGGAAGCCGCACGAGGTCATGATGCCGACGGCGCCCTTGTCGGCGAGGGATTGCGCCGCCGCCACGAAGCTGTCGATGAAGGCTGATGGGTAGGCGGCGTCGGTCACCAGGTGCGGGATCGAGGTACCGTCGGCTTCCTGGCGGATGAGGGGGAAGGGCCAGGTGTCGCTGTTGTAGGCGTCGCCGGAGACGCGCGTGAAGTGCACGTCGACGGCGACGAAGCCCATAGGGGGGAGGGAGGTGGGGGTGGTGCCGTTCATCGTGGGCATGGGTTGGGAGTCGGGGGTGGTTGTCGTTGGTTTGTTGCTGGCGCTGGAGTCGATGAGTAGTCGTCAACGATGTGGTTTGTCTCCCAAGGATGCTTTGTTGATTCTGTTCAGAACAAGTTCATGCAGGGCAGTTGTTTGGGGATCGCGGTACTTAGACATTGCTACACCCTCACCCGAGTGCCAAGAGGCAGTGAAATTTGGGGGCGTGGCTTTCTCCGACCGCCTCCACCTCGATAGTAGCCAATCACGGGACAAGCCGAATGGTCGGATTGAACCGATTAGGGACTTCCTCCGTGGTCTCGGTCTGATATCGGCTTTGAGGCTTGGGGAAACTGCCGTTGCTGAAATGTGTGTGTGTGTGTGTGGAACTGATGGTGGTCAAGCCGACAGTTCTCCGGTGTGAGGAGACCTGCCAAGCGAAGAGGCCTCGACATTGATCGAGAACTGCCTGTGAATGTTCTCGAAGCAGTCCAGAACTATCATTGCGGCTTAGTGTTTTGGGCCACGAGGGACTGCTGCTACCAGAATCTTTCGTTCCTTAGTCTATAATAAGTCGCTTGTATTGATTACGCTCAAGCTTCGAGCTGCCCAGGTGGCTATAACCCCTCGTGAGATGCATGGTCAAGCATGAACTCGCCCAGAGATATGGTCTTTTCCATCAGAAATTCGTCGTAGCGCCTGGTCACGTAGCCGACAAGTAGTAAACATCAGCCAACTTGTGTGACTAACGTAGTGTTCACATAGCGATTATTGTGGCCCCGTTGCCCAATCTCGAACAAATGCTTCTGACAACGGTGTTTGTGTGACCAATCACGGAGATATCCTGCTGTCGGAGTTTGGCGGGAGTGGGGCGCAAGGCTAGCAGCTACAGGGCGTGCTGCAGGGCAGCCCTTTCGCCTGAGTCTCTGTGGTCGTTTCTGTACATCGAAAGAAACACGGCAAGGCTCTTCGTCCAGATATCAGAGTCACTCAGTCAGCATATCGACGGCGAGCAGACAAGCAAGCAGTATTGCCAAACAACCTCGCACCCTAGCACCACACATATCCCAATCATGGCAATCAGCAACTCCACGCAGAAGCCGCTCATCGTCGCCCTAGGCGACCCCAAGTACGTCGGGCAGGACTATCTCGAAGAATTCAAGCGCGACCACGACTTCGCTGTCCTGCCCGCCACCAACCGCGCGGAGGTGATAGAGCAGCTCCCCAAATTCATCGCCGCCAACCGACCCATAGACGCCTTCGTCATCCGCATGGGCACCCCGCCGTACGAACCCTTTGACGAAGGGCTGCTGAAGGGACTGCTGCCGTCCTGCCGCATCATCACCTCGGCCTCGGCGGGCTACAACGAGTTCGATGTCGAGTGGATGACGCGCAGTGGTGTCTGGTTCTGCAACACTGTCAACGCCGTGGCCGAGGCGACGGCCGACATGGCCGTGTTCCTCGTCTTGGCGGTGCTGAGGAACACCAGTCTGGGCGAGAAGGGTGTCAGAACCGGGACGTGGAAGACTGGGTTGGTGCCGAGTCGTGATCCTAGGGGCTTGACGCTGGGAATTGTGGGCTGTGGCGCTATTGGCAAGTACACGGCCAGGAAGGCGGCGGTGTTTGGGATGCGCGTCGCGTACCATAATCGCACGAGGCTGAGTGAGGAGGTGGAGAAGGAGTATGGGCTGGTCTACTATGGCACGCTGCATGAGTTGCTTGGGGCGGCGGATGTGGTGAGCGTGAGTTGCCCGTTGAATCAGAAGACGACGGGGTTGATTGGACGGGAGGAGTTCAAGGCCATGAAGGATGGTTCATTCCTGGTGAACACCGCCCGAGGACCCGTGGTGGATGAAGAAGCACTGATCGAGGCACTGGAGAGCGGCAAGGTGGCACGAGCGGGCTTGGATGTGTTTGCCAACGAGCCCAGCCCCAACCCGTACTTCAAGACGAGTGACAAGGTGGTGGTGCAGCCGCATATGGGGGGACTGACGGATTTGGCATTCCAGAAGTCGGAACGGGAATGCTTTGAGAATATCCGAGCACTGTTCAAGACTGGAAGACCGGTGGCGCCTGTGAATGAGATTTCGGTGACGAAATTATAGGTACTATTCGTTTCTCCCAAAGATAGAGTCTATAGATATAACTGCTTGTTTTCACTTCCGTCTGCGACCGACGTCTTGCGAACCATCACACCTCTGTCTTGAGGTCTCCCTATTCGCGAGCCTGGCACCTGGATACCGTATAATACACATTATAGGCCCTCTCGCAGCGAAGTGGGGTGATCCCCTGAAGCATCGGACTTGGGCGTCGCGGCTAGGCAGCCTGCCCGCCTTGTGGCGAGACTAGTCGGATTCAACCGACTGGCTCAAAATCACCTATGTATCTTTGCTAGAAGCAGGTCGGCACGGTGGTGCGACAGCCACAACACGAAAAGGCAAACAGAACATAACAAGGCGTGGCGCACCCCCTCTTGTCCTCAGGTGCTACCATTCTCTATGCGCGAATAGCACGCTACCCGGCACCAGCGTCATCTCCCAAGATTGTACCAATTCACAACACCCCCGCCATGGCCTCGCCACCTCTCGCCAAGAACGACCCTATCGCCATAGTCGGCGCCGGCATCTTCGGCCTCTCCACGGCCCTACACCTCGCGCGCCGCGGCTACACGTCTGTCACCATCTTCGACAAGCAGCCCTACCACGAAACCCACTACGACTACTTCAAGGGCTGTGACGCCGCCTCCGCAGACTGCAACAAGATCTTCCGCTGCGCCTATGGCAAGCAGTCCGAGTACATGCGCATGAGCCTGGAGGCCCGCGACGAATGGATGGCCTGGAACGAGGAGCTGCAGACGGGGAAGCTGGTGCCACCGGGCATGAGTACGCGGGATTGCGTGTTTGTGGGGAATGGGAATTTGAGTCTGACCGAGGAGAGGGAGTTGCCGGAGTTTGAGGTTGAGACGGTGAGGAATATGGAGAGGTTGGGGTGGGGGGAGACGCAGTTGGTCACGACGGACAAGGGGGATTTGGAGGTGGCGAAGCGGAAGGGTTTTGAGGGAATGATGGATCCTTTCAGGAGGGGCGAGCGAGCGAAGAGCTACCTCGGCGTTCTGGACACGCTAGGAGGCACAAACTATGCCGACAAGGCGTGCAGGTTTGCGCTGGCCAAGGTGGTGGCGTTGGGGGTGAAGACGGTCTTTGGAGAACGCGAGGGAACTTTTCGGGAATATGTCTATGAAAGTGGGAAGGTTAGCGGTATCCGGACACTTGATGGACACATCCACAAGGCGGCGAGAGTGGTCATGGCGTGTGGAGGCTGGACACCGTCCCTTGTGCCCGAACTGGATCATCTCTGTGAAACTACCGCCGGCAGCGTTGTTATCTTCCGAATCCCCAAGGACAGCCCACTGATGGAGCGCTACTCGGCCAAGAACTTCCCGAGCTGGACCTGGAACGTGCGTGACGGGCCGACGGGAGGCCTCTATGGCTTCCCTGTCACCGAGGACGGACTTTTCAAGATCGGATATCGCGGAGAGAAGTTCACGAACCCGAAGGTGCAACGAGATGGCAAGGAGAGGAGCGTGCCAGCCACAAGATACACCACGGAGGAGCAGATGAAGCAGATCCCGCAGCAGGCTTGGAAGGTCATACAGCACTTCCTCCAGCAGTACACGCCGGAGTTGCTGCAGGAACCAGGAGTCAAGGTCGAGATCTCGCGGATATGTTGGTACACTGACTCGTGGGACAACCACTACGTGATAGATTTCGTGCCGGAGCTGGACAGAAGGGTCTTGATCGCCACTGGCGGCAGTGGGCACGCCTTCAAGTACCTGCCCAACATTGGCAAGTACATTGCAGATGTTCTCGAGGGCAAGGAGTCGGATCGTGAGCTTCTGCAGAAATGGCGGTGGAGATCCCGAGCTGACAATCCCACCACGACGAGTCCGATTGTCAATACGTTGATGGAGGGACAGGAAGGGCCAAGGGTGTTGAGGAAACAGAAGCTGACGCAGGAGACACTGGTGCTGCCGGGCACGGCCCATTTGTAATCCGTTGGACATTGGAAGGAGAAGAGAGATTTTGGCTCTGCGCTCAGAGAGGCTGCTACTGGAACAAGATACTATCATGACTGCATGCGCTATCCACCATAGACGAGTTATGGGAGCTTCCGCGACGCTACGCTAAACCTTTTCGTGGACTTATTTAGGATACGTACACCCGCCGAACTACATGTATGATCAATCAGACCCACCAAAACCACATACCCATTGCAGGAGCCTCCGAGAAAGAAATCGAAGCTCGTCTTGCATTCATAGTCACTGTTCCCCCCGTTCACCATTTCTATCAATTCGCACCTCACATACATTCCACCGGCATTGTCCACTGCTCAGCTTACTCCATACCAAGAGGTCGAAGTTCATTGTCTATCATCCTTCCGCTTTTGGTATTGTTAGAAGCAGGACTTGTGGACTTACTCTACCGCTCGTATGCCGCCAACCCCTCATCGCTCATCCGCTGTGGCAAGACACCAGCGCAGTGAAGTGGCAAGCGTTGCCGCAGATCTCCCGCAAGCAGCCTATGAGTTGCTTCCAGCCGTCAAAACTTGCCAGGCTTCCACCGCTTCGGCGTTCACACAGGTATAATGTACTGGCCGTGATGGTTGCGATGTCGAAGAAGAAGCCCCGTGTTTCCACCACCTTGTCCTTGCGTCTATGAGCCAGCCGCGTCCTGGCCAGCTTCGCGTCCTTCATCATGGTGCTGCTGAAGGCCTTCTTGTTCCTGAACGCTGCTTGCCTTCCCGAATGTCGTTCAGTCTCCATTGCGTGAGTACAGAAAGTTGAAGTGACTCGCGACAGAGAATTTCTCGTTCACGAGTTACAAGATATCGTCGGACAGTGAAGATGCTGTACCAGAATCTTGATGGTAAATTCGAATAAGGGTTTGTATGGAGCCTGGTGATGAGGGCGAGATACGCCCGTAGGAAGTAGCATATTTATAGGATTCCAAACGGGGTCCCTGGAGGACTTAGATGTACTCAGTCAGAGGAATCGCAGGTGCCTGGAGCCTTGAAGACTTCGAGCCAATCCGTTAGACTCATATTGGCTGCTCATTGGCTAAATTCGTGCGTCCCTTCCCAGGGCAACGGTAAGGCGTCAGGTGGACTTGACTCCGCCATTCAGCTCACGAAATTCGTGAAACCCTCTGAAAGGCTGGCCAATTACCTTACCCTTGCCATCGAAGCACACGCCTTCGATTCTCAGCAGCCTGAGCTTGTCGTTGGCATATTTACCTTCGGGTCCCCATGAGCCGTGGAAGCCACCTATACTGCCATCGGCGGCCAGGACGCGATGGCACGGGACGTCCGGCGCAAAGGGATTATTCCTCATGCCGTTGCCTACGGCGCGCGCCGATGATTCAAGATAGTCCGACATTGCCGCATACGTTGTGAACCGGCCTCGTGGCACAGAAAGTAAAACGGTGTATAGGCGCTTCCGATAAGGCGTGAGAGAAGAGTGGTTACGGATCTTGTCAAGCGTCGCAGCGAAGTCTACATTCGGGTCCATGTCTTCCTTAGCACTTGCCGATGTGGCTTTCTCGCCCTTTCTTGGACTCGTGGCAAAAGAGAGTGTTGATTGTTGTGAACTCGTTCTTGGCTTCTTGAGCTTTGTCTCATCACTGGTGGCAAAGTCGTTGGCAGTGCTCTTGCGTTTGGTCTTTCCAGAATTGGTACTCCGAGCTGTATCGTACTTGGTCTCATTCTTCCCACGACACACCAGGCTGATTTGATCAAGGTCGCAAATGTTGATCTCGCCCAACTCGATTCTCTTGCCCAGATCGATCGCATCCTTAAGCTGGTGTTCGGACATGTGCTTCACCGCGGGCTTGCGTATTACTTTGTCCCATTGTTGCGTGCCCTGACCGACCGTGTTATCAAGGATGATACGCGCGAAACAGTGGTCAAGCGTGACGGGCCATCTCGGCTGAGCAGAATTCTTGGCGCGTGCGAACGCTGGGAGCTTGCTAGCATAAAGTGTCTTCCACTCCTCCCTCAAAGCTTCTATGTTGCCCATGCTACAGCCGAAAGGGAGCACTGAGAGCTAGGGAGTAGGATGTGGAGAGGACCAAGCAAGTCAGTCTACAATCGTGACGCGATCATGCAAGGCAAACACGCTAATGAGCAAGGCTGAGACCGAGGCTGAAGTTCGCGTGGTGACAACCTCAATTGAACCAATTTCTATTTCGAGTGCCGACGAGACCGAATGTCGGAAGAGAACAATGGCTATAGTAATATCCTACAAAGCCTGATGGCTGCTCTTTATCTAAGCTGGCAAGTTGATGGCCAGCGCCGTTTCCAAATTTGGCTCAAAACACAAAGCATTCTGTGAACAAGGGGATTACTTCAGCAGATTCTTATAAGCTCTCGGTACCATGTAGCTCGTAATAAGCATGCACTGATAAACAGGACTTTCGAAAGAAACTCAAACAACCAATACCCGCACGCAACCTCAACAAGATGAAAGATACTAATGATACTACCAACTGGACTGCCATTTATTGGACATCGGGCGTGATCGTCGGACTTGCAGTAATAACCGGTATTGGCTGGGTGTGTTCAGCAGGGTTGAAAAAGCGGCAGAAGAACATTGCCCGGGCTAACAATCCCGAGATCAGTGGGTGGTTTAGATGAAGCGTTGTTTCGCGCATCCGGCGGAACCACAGTGCCGGCGATCTACAGCGGCGGTACTAAGCAGAAGACAGCATGACCGGTAGCTATCAGATTGAGTATCTCCCCATTCTGCTACAGTTGAAAAATTGTTTAGCCAGCGTTGCGATTTTAGCGTTTACCCGCGGCGGGCCACGGGCTGTAGCCAGTATTAGCTCAATGAGATAGCCTCTATCGGCTGTTATGGTTTACCAGTATATGTGAATTGCAGGAAGGCAGCAGTCATGCTGTTCAAGACGTTCTTGGGGATTGACGAGACATTAGTGGGGAATGCAGAACGCGTGACGTATGTCTTGGCACGACGCGGTGCGCGACTTCGTGGACCCGCTCCGCAAATGCTTGGGGAATCGCTATGCTCGCTGCTGTTCCAGTACTACATTCGTATTGCTATCATTCTGCGTGTAAGAGTATGATACTGCCGACCATTATCTCAACATAGCATGGCTTCCTCACCGCCGCGTGTGCCTTCTTCCCCGAGTCCTTCGGAGAGTGAACCTCCCACACCAAAAGGGAAGATCCAAGCCATTCTAGCACAATTCAGCGATTCGGACTCTGGCGATGCGGTAACAGACGCTCGACCTGCGAATCCGAATCATCATAAAACGAATCCCCGTCCTGCTCCTCCAACCTCCGATGATGACTCCGACGCCGACGTCCCGGTTGCTAGGAAGAGCCGCATGGCAGCGCGTCTCGCTACCGGCAGCAAGGCCGCCACCATTTCTCCTCGCGCAGATAAACAAATCACTGATACGTCCCCACGTCATGTATTGGGGCAACAGACTCGAGACAATAGCAGCGATGAGCTTGCCAGACCTCAGCCTCGCCGCAGACTCTTGACGAAGCGCAAAAGAAGTCCAGCAGCCTCGCCGAAAGAACGGCCTTCTGAGCCAGCGTCGCCACTGTTCTTTCCTTCACCTACTCGATCCAGCGCCGCCGAGCCAGAGGATGACGGCGTTGAGATTCTCAACGGTGACGAACCCCAGCCATCACTTGCCAATTCCAGATTCAAAGCACTGGTTGAGAAGCAGCGGAAGCGTCGAGAGGAAAAGGAAGACGCTGAACGCGCAAAACGTGCCGCGAGGGAGCAGTCGGCTCTGGCACAAAGATCATCCTCGAAGCGCCCTCGCGGCTCGAGTCCTGCCGACGATTCCCATGAGTCTAGCGAGGGCTCTGACGCAGACGCGGCACGCAAGATCGCACAAGGTGCAAAACCTTCCAGAAAAGCAAGTAAAAAGGCCATGGAGGAGATGAAGAGAGAGACGCAAAGAATGAGCAGAAACATGCAACTTGCTCATCAAGCCAAGGTAAAGAAGAGGATCAGCAAGGATGCTTTTTTGGCACGATTTAAACTACGAACGGCATCAAATGCTGCAAATGAACGTGCGAATCTCTCCAGCTCCAGGACGGCCAGCCCTGAGTATGGCTCTGACGCGGATCGCGTCAGTCGCCACACGACGCCGCCAACCAGCCCACTCGAAGCACACGACTTGGTCGATAAAAGCGCGGAGAACGCCCTTGTTGAACCAGATGCTGTGAGTGGCTTAGGTCTCGTCCTAGAAGCGCCTTCGATGGAGGAAATCGGCCTTGATCCTCAGGCCAACACCGACAAAGGCAAGGGCAAAGCCGCACCTCTGCCTGCGATTCCTGACGAGCCGATACAAGTCTCTACTGGCATGGTGCCAACATCAGAAGCACCTGCAGCTGACGTAGTCGCGGCCAAGAAAGATAGAAAGTCTAGGATTGCTGAGCTCTTGAGAGCATCCCGTGCCAGCAGCACTGAGGACGATGGCGATGACCTTGAAGTCGTTACCTCGAAGGGCGATATGCGCAAGTATGCGGCCTTTGAGCGACTGCCGAAACGTAAGGCGAAGGAGATGCCATCTCACCTCGCCCTTCGCGCCCTGGCGCATGTGGGCGATTCCGAACGCAACGACAGAGCCTCCATGACAACTGCCGAGATGCAAGCGAGTCTCAGACGTGCCGCTCGAGAGCAAGCTCGCAAAGAGCGACAAGAGAAAATTGAAGAATTGAAAGCGAAAGGTGTTATCATTCAGACAGCCGAGGAAAGAGAGCGAGACCAGCAGGAGGTAGAAGACCTTGTTGAGAAAGCACGTCAAGAGGCGGCCCAGATCTCGAAGCGCGAGAAGGAAGCTGCCAAGAAGGATGGTACCTTTGTCAAAGATGGCCTTGATGACGACGATAGCGACGAAGAAGATGATGATTTTGCTACGGACGAGGAGGATGCTGCTCAAACAGATGATGAAGAATCCGACGATGAAGAAATCGAAGAACGAGGCATCGAAGACCTTGAGAATGAAGAGGGCAAATTGTTCGACGATCAGGCTGACGAAGACGGCTCGGAGGAGGAGTTAGAAATTGACTCTGCAGAACATTCCGACGTCGAAGACGTGGCCGGCCATCCTGAGGATGACAGAATGAAGTATCTGCAGACACCTGCTCCACGCAGATCTCGCAACACCCGCATCCTCAGCGACGACGAGGACGATGATGCACCAAGAGTGGAGACTCCGGTGCTTCCACAACCTTCCAAAACCCCTCAGTCTCTGTTTAGGTCTGCTCGAAAGCAGATTCCTGGACTTCACATGTCCGATGATATGCCGCTGGGCTTGACTCAGGCATTCGATGCAACGATGGCCGAATCCCAGACCCAGGAGGATGGACAGACTCAAGCTCCAGACAGCATTGACTGTGTCGCGGAACTACCATCTCCTGGTATTGCCATGCTGCCTCAATTGAACCGACTGGACTCTCTCGACATGGTGAGTGAGAGCCAGCCAGCATCACAGACACAGCCGCTCGATATAAGTCTGTCCTTCTCTCAAAGCCAGAGGATCCCCGAGTCGCCTACTATGACACGCCAAGCACAAGCAATGCAGGCTACACCGTCTCAGCACGTATTCGAGCCCACGCAAGATGAAGGCTATGTCTATAGCCCTTTCACAGGCAATCGCTTCGCTTCGGAAACTCCGCAGGCCGATATAAGCTCTACAGTTGAGACTGTGCCTTTGCATGAGGTTGAGGCTAGCCCAATCGTTCAGCGCAAGGGACGTCTGCGGAGAGGAAGAAATCTGACTGGCGGCCCGGAAGAGGCTGAAGAAAATCTCGCCTACGAGCCCACTGCTTTCGAGGTCATGCGCCGCGCAGCCAGAAACGTCCCCGAACCTTTCGACAAGAATACTTCCAAAGCACGAGACATCATTGACGAAGCGGCCGAAGAGTCTGACGATGAATATGCAGGTCTTGGAGGTGCTAGCGATGACGAAAATGCCAACGATGCCGAGAACGACGATGATCGTAGGATGATCGACCTCGATACGCAGGTAGGAAAGGGCGACGAAGCTGCGCTTGCAGGTTATCATGCGGATCGTGAACGCAGAAAGGATGAAGCCGATGTATCCAAATTGCTGCAGGACATCACTACCGGAAGACTGCGAAAAAGACGTGGTGCCAATGATGAGCTTGACCTGTCCGATGAAGAGGATGCAGTAGCCCGAAAGCGTGAAGCCAAGCGCCGCGAATTTGCTCGAATGCGTCGCGAGCTGCTCAAAGACGAAGCTGTGGGCAAGATCGCCGAAGAAAAGAACAAGGAAGCCTTTTTGCGGACCATCGAGGATCCGCGAGCGCTATCAGATGATGACGACTTCGACGAGCCTGATGGTATACAAGACGAGTCACAATCGCAAACAGAGCCCGAAGCGCGATCCAGACAGGACTCACCTGCTGCATTCGCAGGGACAAAGCGAAAGCGGCCCCTTGAATTGGCTTCAGAAACACAGCTGAATCGTCAGCCCCCTGCTTTGCGACGCAACAACGTCGACAAAAAACCAGCCACGCTCATCGAGATCCGCGAAAACCTCTCTTTCCTGGTTGAAGAATCCGAGTCACAGGTTAAGACAATGGACCAAGACACGTCGGATTCCGAGGAGGAGCCAGAGAAATATGTTGACCTTGACCGTCATGCTCGAGAAGCTGAGACAGATGAGCGTGTCGAAGACGACGGCGAGGGATTAGGCGATTTCATTGTCGACGACGATGACGACGAAGATGACCCATCCCGAGAAGAAGTCGTCTTCAAGAAGCCACCGTTGCCCACAGGATCGAGCAATAGCGGGCATAGCCAAAGTCGATCCTCGCTCGCCCATCGGCGGTCTCAAGCTACGGTGGTCAATCGCCTCTCGATGCTTCGGCAGTCGTCGTCGTCCAGCTCCACGACAAAGATGGCATTTAGCACCTCGACAAGCACGACTTTCAAGGTACCACCTCTTTTGCGGCGTGCTACGACCAACAGCAGCGTATCGTCCCTGATCTCGAACGAGAGCACCTCTGCGACCGGCGTCACGGTTGCGAAGCCGGAACGGGGACATGTTAGTGAAGACAAGGTCTTCATCCGAAAGAATAACACTGGCAGAAGAAATGCGGTCAACTTTCAGGCCGGTGAACGGCCGCAGAAGATGAGTGAGCGTGCCGGTGTCAGTAAGAAGACGATGAGCAAGTCTGGGAAGGGGAAGCGGACTGGCGGGCTATTGGGTGATCTATTGGGACGGAGTGACACTTGGGGCTAGGAGGAACATGGCGTATAGTGAGCTACCATGAAACAGAGCATGTGAGATCTATCAAATTCACATAAGTCAATTGATCAGTCTTGTCCAACACTGCCCCTGCGGTCCTCGCATTCCCATGAGCAAAGAGCCTGTGGAACTTCCACTTTTTACGTTTTCCTGTCCTTGTGCCGTGTTGCACTGCATCTGGCGACACCTACTCTTCGGTACCCAAATCTTTCGCGGTACACCCCAAAGCCCGCTCACAGATGCCTAGCTTCGTGAGGAACGATAAAACTCCTTCCCCTATTATCGCGATGCTAGCTTGTACTCGACGTCCCCGTGTTTTGGATCAGAGGACTTAAAGTGGCAATGTCCTCGAAGACGAAGCCAGGGTGGCCTGGAACGAGACACCAAACAGCTAGAATCATCATACTTAAAAAGAATATCTGCATTCCATGGCCGGGAAGGAGGTGTAGTGAAGCTTTGCATTGCCCCACGAGCATTGAGAGGAAATCGTCGCGCAAAGCTTCGCTGTGGCGAGGAAATGCCTTTGCTGAGCTCGTAAACTTGGTAGAAGTATCTGATCGAGATGAAGATGGTGGAGATGAAGAGCAATGCCCAGAAGACAATGCATATAAACCAAACGAGCACTGATAGCCTACGAGATCAGTATTCGCGAGTTTTCGAGAACTCGAGTAGTCAGACTGGGCGACTTTCGAGTATCATGTCCGTGAAAACAGACGCACAAGTGTCATTCCCGTAGCTAGAGTTACTTCCAATTATACCTTCGACGTCACGGCGGCTGCATCATGTTTCGCATGAAGATCCTCCAGAGGAGCATCCACATGGTAATTCATCGTCTTCCTCATGTCTCCCAAGAAGCAACAAGCGATACATGCAACCACGCCGAACGGAATGGCGATCAGGTACACTACTCTCAATGAATCGGCGAAGGCCTGCTTCAGGGCCGCAACAGCTGCGCCGATGATTGTGGGGCTGACATCTGGGACCTGGCCCAGGGCTGCCGTGTCGTTGGTCGTCAAAGCTTTCATGAAAGCCTCGAGCGAGCTCTCCGGAAGCCCGGCTGCCAGCGCTGCTTTGCTTACATAACTTGGAAGTTTTGTGTCGAGCCTAGTCGTGAAAGCCGCCGCGTATATCGCCGTGAATACGGTTGCTGCAACGGCGCGGGATGATGTTGTTACGGCTGTGGCAGTGGCGATGAGATGATGTGGTGTAGAGAGCTGGACACCTGAGATGATAAGGATGAGGGGTGCGCCAAAACCGACGCCAGCAAGAGCTGCAAAGGCCAGGGAGCTCAGCGAATCATCTGGTTCGATTGTAGCTAGACCGATCATGCCCGCAGTGAACAATGCGTAGCCGGCGAAAAGGGGAGTTCGAATGGTCCTTAGGCGAGTGCTCCAGTAGCCCCAGATGACAGTCGTCAGCATGCAGCCTATCCAGAACGGTTGCAATCTAGCCGTCGCAAGGAATGGATCGGTCTCGAAAAGCTGAGTAGTCCTGTTTGCAGCAAGTGTCAGGCGTATGCCATTGCAGGGGAGGGAGCGACTTACATCACGGGATAGAAAATGACATAAGAGAACAATAGGATGCCCTCAATAAAGATCAGGGAAATGCAGATGGCAAATGTTCGGCCAGCGGTTTTCCCTCCACGGAACAATTCGTGGTTCAAGATGCCAGACTTGGTGCCTTTCCACTCGTACGCTCCGAAGCCAACCAGGATGACCAGGCCGACCACCAGCGTAGCTAATACCCGGGAATTCGTCCAGGGGTAAAGGCCACCACCAAGGTTCAGACCTGTAAGAAAAAGAGCAAGGCCGGATGTCAGAAGGCTGAAGCCGGGAAGGTCAAGGTGTCGCAGCTTCTGGAGGAAGGAGAGATGGTCGAGTCTCGTGTGCCTCTTCGGCGGTCTGTAGCCAGCGAAGATACCGACCGCGGTCAGTCCCCAGAGTGCCATCTGGATCCACTAACACGCGTATCAGCAGCTAGAAATCTGATCAGGGAAGCGACTTACGTAGTATTTTCGCCAGCCATTCTCGACGTCACCTTTGGTCAAGGCACCTATGATTAGTGGGCCAGATATAGCACCGAGGGCGGCGGCAATGTTGATGCACGCTTGTGCCACTGTAGACTTGTCTTAGTACCAAAACCTTGCCGTCATGGAAGGAAAAGGACCTACTTGGTCTCCATCTTCTCGGTAGAATCTCGCTTGGGACGCAGTAGGCAAGTGGTACCGATGCGAAGCCGAAGCCGATCAATGTCTGAGCCGCAATGAGTCTGTAAATGTCCTTGGACCCAGGTGCGATGCCTGCTCCTATGAAGGAGATGATTGACGTTCCAACGAGCAAAGTCTTCCGTGCTTGGAATGTGTCGGACGCGGATGAAATCAGTGGGCAGATAACGGCTTGAACCAAGGAGAGCGAATTGGGCACCCAAGTCTGGGCTTGTGGGTTGTTCAAACTGGTGCCGATGTATGAAAGCTATTGCTCATTAGTGACAACCCATCTCACGAGGCTGGTTGGGTACTCACCACGGCCGGAGGACCTTGAAGAGCGAACACTTGGACCAGGTTGAGAAGGAACATCGAGGCCAGGGCGATCCAGGTCCGCATATGGATCTCTGGCTCCTCCTCGCCGTCGTATACAAGATTTTCGTCTTTCATGACATCTTCTTTGTGATGCACTGAATCCGGAGGGATCTTCTCTGAGACATCGCTCAGGTCCTTCTCCTGCTTTGCTGGAACGGGGTATTCTGCCATAACTTCGGCAATGTGGTGAGTCTGAACAACTATGGGATTCGCTTCTGGCGTCGACACGCGTAGTAGATGCAGTAAAGGCCTGCTGAGGGCACGCTATTAATCATTTCGGATGCGGCGGCGAGTGCAGGGGCTGGCCAACGAGTGACAGGGCCCAGGCTACCACTCCCATATAAAGTTTGTGGGGAAAGAAGGGGATGGTCAGGCGAAGGCCAATGACTTTAGTCTGCTACCAAGTGCGGGGACTTGCTCTGCTCCAAGCTAGTCCCGCCCTTGGGTCAGCCATTTGTGGGGAGAGCACGCGTCAAGCTCAAGAGGGTTCAGTATCGGCGCGGCTTTGGAGAATACGGACGTAGGTTCGCCCACCAAGAGTGTTAGCCCGATCCCGTCCATCTTCAGGGCGCGTTGACCATGCTAAAGCTTTTCGCGATACGGCGACACTTCGGGAGCCCTCACTTGGAGACGTTACTCAGTACCCGTGTAACCATGCCAGCACGCGGCGGTATGGTCCATGCCGTGATTGACGAATAACAGCCATAGCCAAGGAGGCGCCGTCGACAGCAGCCTTGATGGATTATTAGTATATCTGTACAGCCTTTGCACTTCGAAATTTGTACTCTGCCCATCATTCTGTAATCTTCGCAACAACTGCTGACAGTCTAAAGATGTGGTTCGTGGGCTCCATTGTGATCATGACTCTCCTAAACCATGCTTCTGCAAGTGGTCAGGGCCATGGTAACGGTCTCTTTACTCCGAAGATTGACACACACTCCCATGTGTATCCTGACTTCTACCAACAAGCTGTCATAGATGCAGGGTGGACGCCCGGGCCAGATGGCAATGCAGCTCCTCCTAATTGGACCCTTGAATCTCATCTTGCCTTTATGGACACCAACAATATCGAGAGGAGCATTGTCAGCTGTTCCAGCCCAGGAACGTTTCTCGAACCCAACAACACCGAAGCAGGAGTTGCCTTGACGCGAAGGTTCAACGACTTCATCGCAGATCTGAAGAGACAGCATCCAGATCGCATCGGGTTTTTCGCATCTCTGCCGCTTCCATCCATCCAAGATGCTCTTGATGAGATAGACAGAGCCATAGTGCTTGGAGCTGACGGTTTTGTGCTTTTGTCTAACTATCATGGCTTGTATCATGGTGATCCAAAAATGAAGGTAATCTACGACAAGCTCAATTCGCATGGAGCAGTCATCTTCATTCATCCGACCAACCCGTGTCCGAGGGACGCACCGATGGACAAGTCAGGCACTGCACGACTTGACTCACTCGCACCATTGATGAATGTTTTCCAGGCACCGACCCTGGAATTCATCTTCGACACCACCCGAACAGTTGCGGATATGATCACGTCGGGAACGGTCGCCGCCAATGAGAACTTGAGATGGATCATCCCACACTGTGGTGCAGCTATACCAGCAGTGCTCGATAGATTCGTTCGGATTGGTCGCATTCTCGGCCCCAAAGCAGGATCTGATCGCGATGCCGTACCATACAACACTACAAGCGCAGTGGCTCTTATGCAGCGACAATTTTGGTTCGATCTCGCCGGATTCTCCATGCATAGCCAGATTTGGACCATGGCAAGACTTTTTGGAGCGGATAAATTCCTCTATGGCAGCGATGCCCCGTTCACAGCCTTTCCAGCCGCTATTGCTCTTAGCAAAGAGATGAATATCACTCTTCCACAGCTTTTCAATGAGCAAGAAATAGGAATGATCTTCCAACACAACGCTCGAGCGTTGTTGTCAAAATGAGACCATTTTCTCCATACACTCAATTGGACTCGTCGTCGAGCCGTTATGGACGTTTACCATCGACGGAGAGCTGCTATGCTAAAGAGCTGCGACAGCTGCATTGGTTAGTACAGATGTTGATAGAATGGCTGGTAACGCTGCTGTGCCTTCAAATAGTGATCACGGCTTCTCAAAAAATTTCTAGTACCATTGAGCTATTCTTCAGATGCTATAGCAAGACTTTCGCTCGAGGCAATCGCATTCAAGCCGTATGCCTCCTCAGAACTCACGACAACCGAAAAACCGGACCAACTTCGGACATTTTCCGTACCCTGGTAGCGTCCCGCATGGAACCCCAGTGTTTGTGGGGAAGTCGATGGAGCTAAAGAGGGTCCCGCCAGTCACTTACCGGATCAGGGACGCGACGACTTTCCCCGCAAGCTTCTTCATGGTCGGTTAATGCGATCCACCTTTCCAGGCGGGATATGCACAATCCGGGATGGCTTTAAGTGTCTCTCCACATTCAGTGTCTGTAGATAGTGGTCGAAAACATGGGGCTGCGGCCTAGAAAAGGTGAATCGTCTGAGCTGGGTCAATCCCTGGGCTCAGCGTCTCAACGACAGCCTCAAGTTTGACTGTTTCTCAACATCGTGACTATTCCTTTATCATGGCGGAACAGACGGAAGTTGTTATTTGTGGAGGAGGGCCTACCGGTGCAATGCTCTCCGCACTATTGGGGCTATTTCGAGTTCCAAACATCGTGTTGGAGCGCGAAGAAGGCATTACGACCGATCCACGCGGCATCGCGCTTGATGAGGATGGAATCAGAACATTACAAGCCATTGGCGTCTACGACAAAGTCTTTACTGAGATAGGTTCAAGTGAGTTGCTCGAGCATGCTAGTGCAAGAAACTAAGTTGCGCAGCTATGACAAGATTCAACTTCGTCAGTGGATCACACAACGACTTCTACAAACAACCATTCTTATCTGTCAACAATAGCACCAGCGAGGGTGGCACTGGCCATCCCGCTTTCGTGTGCCACAAACAGCCCGCGCTTGAAAAAGCAATTCGAGATACAATCGCAGAGAACCCGTACTCTCATTTGAGATCAAGATGTCTCGTTACTGGTATCAGTGAAGATGAGGACAGAGTCACAATACAATACGTTGATTCTGCGGGCCAGTCGAAGACCATTCAGAGCAAATTCCTGGTCGGCGCAGATGGGAAGACGGGATATGTGCGCAAGAAGTATCTAGAGCCACGTGGCATTACGATGGATAAATGCGAAGGGCAAGTCCTTGCATGAAACTCAGGATGTCGCTAATAGATCCTAGGACAAACTATGAGGAGACATGGGTCGCACTGAACTGGAAAATCACGCTGCCCACCGAGAAAACTCATCCCGAGTTCCCTCTCTGGGCGTTGGGATACACACCACTTCAGGTTTACGACCTGTTCTTTCCATCCGAATTCCGATTCCTGTGCAAGCCAACCCGTCCCGCCGTCTGCGGGCGATTTGGACTACCGGAAGACCGACTATGGAGGTTTGAATTCGTCGTCCGTGCTGGGGAAGATGCCATGACTATGGCAACACCAACAGAGACCGAGAAAATTATCTTCCCTTATCTCACTCATCCTGCACATCGATACGGTCTCCGACAGGACGTGAGGTTCCCGAAAGACTGTATCGAGGTCCTCAGGTCTCGGCCATTCTCATTCCAAGCGAGAAGTTGTAACAGATGGGCAGCTGGTCGAGTAATTCTTGCAGGAGATGCCGCACACGTTTTCCCGCCATTTGGAGGACAGGGAATTACTTCTGGATTTCGAGATGTGCTGGGTTTGGCGTGGCGACTTACTTTACTGCATCGAGAACCCACTGCTAACCATGTTGAAGTGATCAGAGCATGGTACTTGGAAAGAAAGCAGCAGCTCGAGCGATCGCTTGCTGCTACTATTCAAAACGGAGAATATGTCACACAGAGCAACATACTGAAGGCATTCGTTCGAGACTGGTCCCTATGGCTTATGCAGATGATACCGAGCTGGCGAAGAATGCTGGAAAAAGGCCCAAGAGCTGCAGGCATGGTTCGTTACAAACACCAGGCAGGCTTTCCCTTCATACCAGATGGCCCCGGGGGTATGTTGCTACCCCAAGTCTACGCCTGGAATCCGATCTCGGAAAGTGTCTACTTTAGCGACGACTTGATATTCGCCTCCAAGAAGCAGGGACTATTTCAGCTGTTGTTGCTACCCACATCGGTCACTGAAGCGAGAGAACTCTTGAGGGAAGTTCGAAAGCTGCCTAAGAACAACTTCCTGCTGCCAGAAGAGACCACAGGTATAGTCCAAGCTCATAATGTCAACGCCGCAGAGCTACAGCAACTAAATGGGGGTGGCGCGCTCATCGCTCGAGTGGCTACAGCTGAAGAATTTACTGCCAGCACCGACCTATGTCGAGGCCGGCCTCCACCAAAGTATTACGACCCCTACCGAATCTCGAAAGATATTGGTGGAATGAAGTTGGCTGTTATCAGGCCTGATAGGTTCATATATGCGGCCTGCGAAACAGTCACAGAGCTGAGAACTGTTCTCGATAGTCTGGCTGTGGCACTTTTGCCGTAGTATGCTGCTCAGAATTTTATCTAGTCTTCACACCCTGATAGTCCGGCCAAAACAATGGTTTGAGCCCAAGATGTCGTCATTAAGAGCCATCTGTCCAGAGATTGGGTTCAATACTGGACGAGATCAAGTATGTAGCGATGCGTGTTTGCAGAAAGAAAACGCCTAACATACTAGTAACTAGAGCAGCAAAATTGTGAAATGTGCACTTGGTAAACATCGGATCTTGGATAATGATCCAAGAGATCTGAACCTGGACGCTGAAATTGGCCCGAAAACATCCCCATGGGCAAGTTCCAGTTTAGGCTAGCTTGATAGCTCCCATGCTTCCCCGCTTCCCGGCCCAGCATGACCTCCCTCTTCCCCGCCACATCCACAAAGCACTTTTACATTGCACACAAGATTGTGCTGATGCTTGTGATGGCTTCACGTGAGACCATTGTAGAGCAAAGACGAAATCAGCGGGACAGCAAGCGCAAATGCCCTGTCTGCGCACGGACATTCTCCAAAACCGAGCACCTCGAACGTCATGTTCGATCGCACACCAAGGAGAAGCCTTTTGAGTGTCAGTATTGTGGTAGGAAATACGGACGCAAGTACATTCACCGGCCATTGAATTGAAGCCACTGCTCACTGCCACAGTGACTCACTGCTCAGGCACACCAAAGACCAGCATAGGGATGACGCACCGCCACCATCCGCATCGAGCAAAGATCAGAGGATGTTGAACCAGTCTCCTAACGACCAGCCTCTAAGCAGTACCTCGAGTCATGATCCGAACATCGGAGTCTCGGTACTAGATGGTCTCAATGGAATGCCCATGACACCATATGAGGCTTCGCTGGAGCCCCAAAATCCGTTCAACACAAGGTCCGCTGGACCATCTCACTGGAGCTCCAGTCTCGGTGTCCACGACAATCCCTCCTGGGATAACTATCAGACAACGTTCGGCTCTGTGAACTGGCTCTCGTACGGTAATCTCGACGACAGTCTTCTACGTGACTGGCCTTTCCTCATTGACGACTCGGATCCTGGGATAATCAGAGTTGATGCCGCCCACGGCAAGAGTAAGGCTATTGCGGATCTGCAGCAGTCGTGGCACACACACCTTGAAAATGGTGAAACAAATGAGGCAGGGGTGTCCGGCTACACGACTCCTTTACCAGGTCAGAGTCAGGACGTTGACGATAACTATCGACAATCCCTGCATCGCAGACTGCAAATTCGAATCCCAGACGAGAATTTGCCTTCCGCCGACTTCTTGAACCTATGTGTCAGGACCTATTTCGAGCGCTTCCATCCTGTCTTTCCCATCGTTCATGCTGCAACTTTTCGCCCTTCGAAAACGAATGCGGTGCTATTACTGTCGATGTGCTCAATCGGCAGCCTGTTCACTGGGCATCCTGATGCTGTTCCGAGGGGCATCAGACTATTTGAACGCTTAAACAAAGCGATTCTCTCTAACTGGGAGATGCTCATGCGCAGAGGTCCAGATGACACATTCGCCATGATGCAAGCTGCGTTGTTAGGCCAGACCTTCGGGCTGCTGACTGGTCAAGGGAAGCATCTGGTACTCGTTGATACATTCCATGGTACTATTGTTGCATGGGCTCGGCGGTCGAAGATCTTCCATGAGTATCATCAACCTTTGAATGACCAGGATTTGGAGGCGCGATGGCGAAAATGGGCACAAACTGAGGAGAAAATCCGACTTGGACTGGCTATACGCATTCATGATGCTGAAATCGCCAGCACTCTCCACCACGAAGCCTTTTTGCCCTTGAACCCTCGAAGAATGTCACTCGCTCAGACCGATGCTTTGTTCTTGGCACCAAACTTCCTTGAGTGGGCGGCTCTTTCTCAAGATGGTTCTAGCGACCTTGCCACGCCGTCCTCCGAAGTCTCTCCTGGATCGACAATCCCAGAAATCCTTCATGAGCGACTCCTTTCGATACCTCTCAACTGCCACTTCTCGATATACTCGACATTAGAAGATGTTCTTTCGGCCATTCTGCAAGCCAGGATAGACGAGACGCTTACCGAAGATTACGTTCATAGCGTTCACGCATGTCTTATGGCATTTCGAAGACAGTATGGTCAGAATTCTTCCGCAAGCCCAGCGGAACCACTGCGAGGTGGGAATCTCATTCTCTGGCATTTCAATTTCATCAACCTTTATGCCGATATGAATCTGCTAGAAAAGAGTGTCGGTCGTGATGGACCTGAGCTGAGGCCTTCGGATCTGGCGAAAACTATTGAGTGGGCGAGATCGGATGATGCAAAGCGGAGCGTCGCCCATGCACTCGCCATCAAGAAGAGCCTTGAGGGGTTTCGTCTTACTTCTGAGCCTGGAATTCATGTTCCCCGGGCTATGTTCTGCAGTGCAGTCTGCCTATTTTGTCAAGCCAAATATGGCGATGGAGGAAATCAATCACTCCCTTGCACGTTCCCCGAGCTTCAGCTCTTCGATACCAACGTCACGTCATCGATAAGGACCGCTAGAGAGCCTCAGTCCACGGGTGGTGATGGATCCAAGTCTGTGTATAACTTTGTTGATCTGTTACAACGCATTGGACATTGGCAGATCTCACGCAAGTTTGCGTCGATTTTGAGTGTGTTGATACACACAGAGACCAGTCAATGACGATTAAATGATAGACCAAAACATTGAATTTGATAGTCAACAATAAATTGGGAAAGAGTGCGTGGCCCATCATCCGCAAGTGAGGCCAAGTTCTTCACTGCCTGGATGGGGACACTAAGCTATCTAACCAAACTCGGGAGCCTAAAAGGCGTCTGTTGTGCCTGGGCTTGCCCCATTTGAAGGCGCCTGGACTTCAGCAGCGTTCCTGGTCTGCTGTTACCCGGCATGTATCTCCTAAACATCAGCACAATGAAGCTCGAATTCGTTGCAGACGAAACGAAAAGGCCCTATGCAGCATTGTCGCATCGATGGAACGAAGATCCAACCGAAGCGCTACTCTACGGGGATCTGGAGAGCTCAGCATTCTTTGGTACGCCCAGAGCTAAGAAGGTCGAATCGTTTTGTTAAATTCTCAAACATGGCAACTCCGTCACGATAGACTCGCGCAAGTGCCCATATGCTCGGGTCGACACATGCTGAAGCATGTGGGTTAATCCAAATGCTTTGTCACCTTTGAGTAGTTCGGGACCCGTTAACCGGCGACGTTCCTCGCTTGAGTTGCCTTCATAGACGCTCAATTTTTGCCCGGAGTTTCGAGGTGCAGTGTTCCAATCCTTTCTGCTCTTTCTCTTTCAGACACATCGCATCTAGTCATCTCTCAACGTTCGTCAATTTCTGCAATGACATCTCCCCGTCCGCATAGCCAAAGAGGATTGGGGCATTATGCGAGAGAACACACTTGATGTACGCATATGCCGACACAGAGCAGAACAGCTCTGCCCTTCCTGGTGGCAAATTCAGCAGCCCGTCAAGTACCCGCCGTGGTCATGTCAACCGTTGGCGGTCTATTGATGTACGGCGCGTTAATCAGCTTCGGCCGTAAGCTACATGATGATGTTGAGGAGAGTTTAGGTAGTGTGCGGAGCAAGGACGCTCACGGTGAAGGTGTCAGCGGTTCGCGGCGGATCCACCGTGAGGAAGTTCGAAAAATGGCTGCACAATGAGATCTCTCATACCCCGTTCCGGTGGTCAGGGAACTTGATCACTGGCGACGGTCGAGAGGAATCTGTTGCGAAGAGGCACCGACTTCACCATGTTCTGCCTGGGAGAGTCGTGCAGGCGCCTTGCCATAGCTGGAAGCAGGCTACCCTCATCGTTTGACAGATTTCTTGGCCAGATCATTTCGATGTCTTCGTGACATCTCGTGAAAGCTGACTGTCCCCATCTCACCTGGGCTCAATGAGGGCCCGACACGATCTCAAATTATTCGCGGCAGATCAGGGCTGTTACTGCGCCTCGTGTGAGTACCCGACGTAGTGTGGAGGTATGTAGAGAGGACTAATGCGAAATCTTAATATGACATTGATATATTTTGTTGTTGTCTATGTAGCTTTCACAAAATTAATTTTGGATGTCGCCATCCAGTTGTAACCCAGTCGTATATCGTGTATGGGCATGCAAACCGCAATTCGTGTAATGCCCTTCATTATAACCCCTCATGCCTTCTCGATATTGCTTTTGTCGTCAACAGCATACTGATCAACGGCGCTGACAATGTGCGGGTTGAGGACGAAAGGTAAGCTGCAATGACAGACAATCATCAGAGCCATCGGTACGATCGCCACAGGTTGTGTAATCCTCCATGCCAGTGGTGCAAACAACGCCATGTATATCACGCCACCAGCAAGCGGAAGCATAACAAGGTACATGTACTTGAACTTGCTCACAATCTTTGGGATCTCCTTGAAGAAGTTTGAATTCTCGACTTCCTTCTTGGTCATTTCCCAGGTCATTTCGTACCCGACGATGTGGGCGATCAAAGCTTTGTTGACGTGAAAGCTGAGGCCATAGAAGTAGAAGCAGTACATCGGCTGCCATCTGAAATTTTCCCAGAGCGAACTAAAGAATGATCGTTCGCCGATGCGAAATCGCATAATGGCTAGGGCGATGTTGCTGAGGATCCAGAACACCAGGACCACGGAAAGAAAGATGGACCATGAGGAGGTGTAAAATTTGTCCAGTTCGTTCCAGTAAAGGCCAACCACAACATAGTTGGCAATAGTGTAGAAGAAGCCACTACCGATGGCATAGTCTGTGAGACAAGAGTGTCAGCTCGTGATTCCACTATCCGCGAGTGAAGATACTCACATGAAGTCATGTATGATATAATGCTAAGTTTCGAAGACCAATGCATATCGCAAAACAAAAATTTCCTGAAAAGACGAGTGAAGGGTCCTCTCCAGAGCCAGGTCCAAATAGGATTGAACAAGAGTTCACTGTCGCCGTAAGAGTATCTTTCCCATCGACTGATTTCATCGTATATCGTCAGAGAGACTTGCTCCTTGAATTCGTCTTGATGATAGGAAGCGTATCGAGTGACCCAGTTGGCGCTTTGAAGTCGGATGCTCATGTTGAAATCTTCGGAAATGTGATGTTCAGACCAGTACATGACATAGTTTGGATCATCCGTATCTATTGCGACGTCTTGGAGCGCTTTCCAGCGCACAAAAGCGTTGTGGCCGACGAAAGGGGCGCATTCACCATTGCTGACTTGGAACCGAATCTGCGCGTAACACATTTTGGCAAAATAACTAGCACCGTTCTCGAAGAAATCACCGGACACCTGGTAGACACCGGCGTGGTGTTGCACGACAGCAACTTCTGGCGAGAGGAACATCTCTGCCGCACCACTGATCAGGCAGTCCCGGGGCTGAGGGCACACGTCAGCTCAATACTCGCAACCAGGCGTCCGTGAACTTACCACCCGAGTATCGGAATCACACATGAGGATGACTTCACCTATACGGATGTTTCCAGCGGCTTTGACTCGACTGTCCTTAGCCAGTTCTTCTGTCAAAGCCTGATGATAGAGAACGTCCTCTACCGCCGGGTCGATGAAGACTGGGCTTCCATCTCTGACTTGGCTGTGGGCATGCACGAGTCTTGTGAGAGCTTGCTCGACCCTATTGGCAAAATTCATGCAGAAGTTCGAATTTGAGGCTTTCTTGAATCGCCCGGTGCGAAAGTATCCGTTCTCGCCGTTCATTGGTCGGGCTACCCAACTGTGGTGAAAGTGAGTAAAGGAGTTGCTCGGCAGCTGTGTATGAGGCTTACCCAATGTTGGCCGCTTCGTACCATTCGATACGAGCTTGTGCGGCAGCAGGGTCGCTATGAAGTAGGTACCCGAGGCCATCGTCTGTGATGAAAATATTGGCTTTTCCTCCTTTCAACTCATAGTCTGAGACTGCAGCCATCAGACTTCGGACCGTTGGAATAACTACCAGCTCCATTGACTCCTTGTAAACAGCCATTTGTATTGTAACTCGTGGAGGAGTGAATCCTTGATCATACGCCTGCTTGAGGTTTGGTCTCTTGCTTGAGAAGAATCGTGTGTTGGTAAAAAGACCAGTGATGGGTCCAAAAAGCTGGAAGGCATAAGTCATCAGAGACAGAGAGAAGAACATAGCCACGATTAGGGTTAGTGGCTCGAAGACAACCCAGACGAATCGCATGCGATCGCCGTCTGTCAGCATCTCGAGGACGAGATGGGATGTGGTGTAGCCAAATATGAGGAAGACCAGGAAGAATACCGAACAAGCCATGATGATAGCGCCATAGAGCTTCACTGGGCGGTCGAGGGATTCTTTTTCGAGCTCTTGTTCTTCCAAGTCTGAGATCTCTGTGACTTCGGTTGTGAATCCCTCCCTCTTCGATTTGTCCCACACGCTCAGGGAACTCGCAGTCAAAGCTCTGGATGTGTTATGGGCGGTGGTAAAAGCACCGTCCCCCCATATCTAATGTTCAGTCAGCAATCTTCTGGCTGCCAGACAATATATACCTGTCTCGGTTGTCGGAACTCACTAGTTTCATCAATTGCTCTTCCGTGGCGACCGCTTGTTGCAACACCTTGTCAACTTCGTCATGCCATACTAGAAGAATTCTCTCGCTTCTGATTAATGCCGCGTAGGGGAATCTTCGTGCCTGAGCAAGCCCAATTCTCATGAGGTTGGCCATGCGGTCGACGACTTGGAGATCCTGGCCATCACCAAGCATGATTCCATGATCTTCGTCACCAATGACATCGAAGATCGCCTCTGTGGAATCTGTAGCAATGGCAAAAGCTGCCTGAACGCCAAGTTTTGCAACCGTGCGAACTATCGTTTCCGGAAGATCCTGTGGCTCGACGCTGTACGTGCCATTGGATTGACGCAGGAGGACACCGAGTGGTCTCTTTGGCAGGTTGGTATCGAACCAACCATTGGCAACACCTTTTCCATAAAGGAACTTTGTCATCTAGGATCCGATTAGCTCAGCTTTCCTAGCATTTGCGAAAGCTCTTACCGTTCTGTGCCTCAGTGCTTCATCGAAGTTGGCTTTGTCCAAGCGCCTGCTCCGATGGCTTGACACTGACACTGCTGAAGAGTTCGGCTGCGAAAGATGCAGATATTGAGGTCTCGCCAGAGGCGTAGAGGCACCTGCCTCCGTGAATGAAGCCATCGGTGTTGTTGGTAGAAGCAAAGAAGCTTGGTCTCTACATCAGCCTGACACGTCGAGTGCACCGAGCCTTGTCCAAAAGAAGAACGATGAATTACAGATGAACTGAGAAGATTCGTTACGATGGCTTTTCGCCATCTCCCGGGCTGGCTACTATCCACGGACACCCCTGAGTGCGAAGTGTAGACTTCCCGCATTGCCTGATTGCAAAGGCATAGTCGCGTGCATCTAGCCCAGCCCTTGAACTTCGCGCGTCTCGCTTAGACGGACAGTCACGTTCGGCAAATCTTAGACTGCCGTGATGATTGGATATGTTCCTACTGCAGGAACAAATACGAGTTCCACCTTGGCGTGCCAAACCCCGGATAAAGAAGCTTCCGCAGGTTAAACCTGGGGATCCCGTGGCTATTACTTTCTGGTCTGAGACACTGCGTGGTGTCAGAAGTACAACCTCTAAATCAGGCTATTCATGAACCTCTGGCCTGCGACACAGCAGTGACAGCACATTGTCAGCTCGCCACGCAAGACCTAGACGGTAAATCAGAAGGTCTGAAACATCGATATCGCTGATCACCACCATGACTCTGCTTGTTTTACCAATGATATCTCACAGTCAGAAGGTCATCAACTCGGATCAGCACTGCTCAGAGACATTGTGTCTGCTTTCTCAAGCGACATCGCCTGGCACCCCCCCTCAAGTGCGATAAGAATATCACCCATGTTGTTGGAACCTGGTTTTCAGTTCCTCGCTAACGGTTTTTAATTTCACGGTCAACTTCTGAACTGTCCAATTGAGCATCGTACAGGGTTCATGCACCGAGAGTAATCTTGTGGCTGGCATGGCTGGACATGCGCCTGCGATAACATGAGATCAACGTTTCCAGAGCTAGTTTCGCACACCGGTAACGTTCAGCCAGTACTAATCTGGAGTTCAGTGACAGTCCTGCGCGTCGAGCGTATGTCTCACGACTCACGAGCGTGTCTCATGAGAACATGCTGTAAGAACACATGAAAGTTGCCACCCATGCCGATCGATTTTGGTGAACCGCCAACAACAGCTCTACGCAATAGTTGAATGCCGCTACATTATCATTGTCTCGCAGTCACCTTTACGACTTTTGCGTGTCAGTCAGTCTCGGGCAAAGACGTGAGAGAAGATGACATCGCCGATTGCAAATTCTCGCGACCCCGACTTCGTCTATGCAGGGCATCAAGCAAGTCATCTCAGCCCCCAGGGGCCAAGTCACAGCAACAGCGAGGTCGCATCGATAGAGAACTATGGCTACAGCCGTTCCCGAAACGATTCCGAGGAGGATCTCTTCCGAGGCCTCAACAGCTATCGTATGAGTGGTAGGCGCAACCATGAGTTCAAGACCTATCTGCTGGACGGAAAGTTAGTTGCTCTTCTATCTGTGCCCCCTCCCTAACTATTCGAGCATCATTGACATAAAGCAGGATTGAGAAACCTTGGACTGCGGACAAGAAATACAAAGCGCCTCGCAAGGGCAATTGGTATATCCTTGGAGGGCTTCTCCTTGCGATAGCCCTCAGCGCTGTTGTGAACTGGAGGATCGCGGTCGGCGTTCCCAACCACGAGGTTCGGTTTCCCATTCTGCGTCTGACTGTGGTTCACTAACACATGTGTTTATCTTTGCAGTATTGTCTAGTCTTAGACGATTCCTTCAGCAACCTCGATAAATCCATCTGGAGTCATGAAGTGCAACTTGATGGGTTTGGTACGGGCTCATTTGACTGGACAACAACCGATGACCGAAACGCCTTCACTGATGGAGATGGACTTCACATCGTTCCCACTTTCACAACTGCCACAACCGATATTACTGAAAGCCAAATACACGATGAGTCAGTAGTTGCACGACCCCTGGGCTGCTGAAGGATTCTAACCTGTGGACCAGTTATCATTTGAACTTGGGCCAGTCAAAGAATGGTGACGGGTCATGCACAGCCGACGAAAAGGGTCAATACTATGCCGCTGCATGCAGCAGGAACACTAACATTTCCTCCCACGTAATCATAAACCCCGTGAGATCAGCACGCCTTACTACGCAAGGTGCAAAGTCGATCCAGTATGGTCGTGTTGAAGTCGTGGCCAAGGTGCCAAAGGGCGATTGGCTCTGGCCGGCAATCTGGATGATGCCCGAAGATTCTGTATATGGAATCTGGCCGCTGAGTGGCGAGATTGATATTATGGAAAGTCGCGGTAACGCACGTGGCTACAGAAACGGCGGAAGAGAAACAGTCTCAAGCACGATCCATTGGGGTGAGCGAAAATTCAGTCTCGGTTTCGAGAGTGATCTTGTTGAACTGAAACACGTCAGGTACCTCGTGGAAGACCGACAACTTTTTCAGAACTACACAAAAACACAAAATTCAAAGAACAGACTATTCGGAAGGCTTCCATACCTTCGGTCTGGAATGGTCAAAAGATTACCTTTACACATGGGTCGACAATCGACTTCAGCAAGTTCTTTACGTCGACTTCAAGAAACAGAATCTATGGCAACGCGGCCAGTTCCAAGGTGCCTACGAAAATGGTACTCTACTGACCAATCCTTGGTACATCAGCGGAAACAAGAATGCACCTTTCGATCAAAAGTTCTACCTGATTCTCAATGTTGCGGTTGGAAGTCGCAATGGTTGGTTCTCGTACGTTCTGGCAGCCTTGCTCCGGTGTTTCACCATCGCTGACACATGTTATACAGGGACGGGGTTGGTAGCAAGCCATGGGTTGACGGAAGAGACTCTGCAGCCTCTGACTTCTACGGCGGTGAGTCCAGTGTGACCTATTACCTCTCAAAATCTATGCTGACACATCAACTAGCCAGATCGGATTGGGAACCGAGTTGGGGAACGGGAAACGAGCGTGGTCTGACCGTCAAGAATGTCAAAATGTGGCAGCAAGGTAAATGTAGTACATAGAACACAAACGGGATGTAGATTAGCACATAAATGAGAGGTAGACTAGCACACAAAATGGGGTGTAGAATAGCACACGAATGGAATGTACGGCTGGTTATTGAAAGAAATGGAGAGAGTGGCCGAGAACTCAACGCAGCTGAAGCGCCGTACAAGGGGCACGGAACCAGGACCGCCTACACACTGCCCTTCCTCTCCGTCGAAGGTCGCAGTGGGACGTCCTTCGTCGACTCGCTGGCTCTCTGCCTGATCACCTTGGCGTCTGAGAAGATGGTCCATTTCCGGGACCTCGACTGAGTGCTTCATGACATCTTGGCAGGTTCGGAGCTGCGGCAACCCCAGTCCACGGTCGTCGCCGCTCTAAGCGCCCCGGCTGGGCATGGGGGCCGTAAGGCGACCACGAAGCCCCGGACAAGCTGAAAACAGAAAGAGGTTCATCTGTATCATCCTTACATCTTCTGGTGGGCAAACGTGGTCACGGACGATTACTGCTGGTAGGTCTCGAGTGCTGTACACGTTGCCGGAAGTCAGAAAGTCAGAAATACACTCGCAAGAGATCTTGGTCAGACATGAAGAAGCGTCAAAAGCTGCGGCTCCGATTGGTCTTTTCGGTTTTGAATTGACCTCTATTGCCAGGCTCTTGTCGTGGATCAGTGTTGTTGCGGCTACTGACAGAAACGTCGTATCTGCTGCCCTGCCGCAAAGTCGGAAGCTCGGCTATTCATCCAATACAAGACTCAATCCTTTCGGACCAGTCTGCAATATAGATTGCTCCAAGCTTTCGCGGCGCATTCAGTTGATACAGCTCTGATTCTCTAAAGAGTGTTATCCGGTTTGTGTTGTGGTCTTTGAGATGGGCCAAGACTCTCAGCTATACGGCGCTGCTGGGCTATCGTCAACGGTGGCGAGGATAAAGAATTACGACGCCTCCGTGTATGACGAGCTTTCATGGCCACGATTTAAGCTGGAGGCCGCACCAGGTCCGGCCCAAGCCAGGGTTGAAGCAGGTTCAGAGATCCTAGCCATGAAAAGGATCTCGCAACGATTTGAGACTGATTTGTGAGCTCCCGAAGGCTCCAAAGAGCGCCCACTTCTTCCAGCTAAGCAAGCAGGAAACCCTGGTGCTGAATATGTCGGGACGACGAGATTGTGAGCTTGGATCTGCCTGGCATTTCCAGGCATTCATGCTAGACTAGGCTGAGCAGCGCCCCTGCTGACAGCTCGTCGCATCATCAAATGGATACATTTCAGCCTAGAGCGGCTGAGAATGATTTTGAGTGAGATGATCGTGGTCTCTTGCCCCATCAATGCCGAGTGCAGGTCTATCTTTTAATCCCTGCCTTCTGCCAGCTGTTTGGCCCCATTCAGAGTCACATCGGTCCGGTCGTCAACCCGATCACAATCTAACGGCATGCTACGCGAAATCAAGCTCGGGACGCGTTCACGTTATGAAAGCGAGCCACACGGTAGAACCTTGAATTAGGTTGTATCATATTTGGAGCGAGACTACGTGCCCGACTATTGACTACAATTTTTTCCCAAGGTACCCCGACCTATGCTGGAGATGAGCCAGGAGCAGATGAGCTCAATAAGACCTTAACCAGCCCTCATGCTGCATTACTAGGTCATCGTCTTCTTCACTCTTCTTTGATTACTACCTTGACATCTCCAGGTCTTTCTTCACTGAAGACGCAAGCTTGATACTCGGTCTCGCATGCTCATTTCTCTGGTCTGACAGGACCCCATCCCATAAGCATTTCATCCAGGCAGCGATAAAAACGAGGACCACCATCGGCAGCCACACGGGTAGCCAGGTGCCTACAAGTGACTCAACATGCGTATCAGCCTCGCTTGGAGCTTTGCTGGCCTTGTGGCTCTACCATCCACGTGTGCTCAGCTTGATTCCAACACCACTACAACAACCAGTCAGACCTCATCTGCCACTAGTTTTGGATGTCCAAACATCTCACCCGGACCAGTGAGCACATACGAACTGGCTGAACAGCTCCCTGCTTCATCAGTCGTGGATCCCTACAGCATTGAGGCAATCCGTCAGACTCTTGCACTCTACGCCCTCGCTCTTGATGGACGCAACTTCGAAGCACTAAGAAAAGTATTCACCACGGATGTGCGCGCAAACTATTCCGACCCCATCGGTGTTCTCGATGGCGTGCAGGCAATTATCGACACTCTGCCGCCAGGTGTCACTTCATTCGCCTCGACTCAGCATCACTATGGATCCCAGTACATCCACATATGCGGGCGCAATACCGCCGTGTCCGTGACGTACTTTCAGGCGACGCACTTCTTTACGCCCTACGCCGGAGTGACGAACCCGGTCAACAACAGCCAAGTCCTCATTGACAAGGCCCAGTATCAGGATCTATGGGCAAGACAAGGGGATGGAACATGGAAAATCACCAATCGGAACTTGGTCCGTATGGTAAGTATCAATCCTTCTTTCAAGAGGGTTATGGCGAACAATCTACTGACGACGGTGATGCACAGGGTCCACCCACTCTCGACGGCACCTTTCCGACGCAGTGAGAGGCAGATATTGCTACTCTGGCTACTACAAGTGAGCAGGGCGTTGATAGCGTCTATGGCAGATAGCCCGGGCCTGGTTGGTTGGTATATGTCTGCTTCGAAGGGCGCGAAGAGGCCCAGGTATTCACCGGGCTAATGGCGCAAACTCGATAGGCTCCGGTACCAGGCTCTCACCAAAGATGTCAGTGGTTCAATCTCGTGCGAATGCCTTGTGAGCTTTACTTCGATCGCAACGAATCAAAGGCTGAAATAAGCTCAGTGAGGCAAGGATATCATTCTCCTGGCTTCTGTAAAAATGCTGGGTTCGATTTACCTAATCGGTCGGGATCCAGGCACCTGGAGTGAACACTTCCGGGAGCTTGGCGGGTTTCCCCGGGTGCCAGAGGACCAGATTTCTCTATTTGGGTTAGCGTCACTGCTGGTACCTTCACCCCAACCACGATATGTTCATTACCAAGCTCGACTGTACCTGATAACTTTCTCATCTCTCTCTTTGTTGCAATGGCTCAACGCTTCCAGACTGCTGCACTGCTCAGTCGATTAGCGAAGCCCGGCCGTTGCGCAAGTCTGAGCAGGACGTACGTCACAGGCGTTCAATATGGTGGGCATGGCTGGGCAAGGAGGCCTCGATTGCGAACCGCCACAGCTATTGCTGAAGCTGACCCTGGCAGTGGCCTTGGGCTGCGAGATCTGAGCACCACTGCGAAGACCTCCCGGGATAGCGACGGAGGACAAGATGCCGCGTCTGATATGCCCGAAGATGGAGACCAGGAGCACGCCATCATCTCTGCCTTCGATCTTTTCTCTGTGGGCATTGGTCCATCCTCGTCTCATACGGTCGGTCCGATGCGTGCCGGCAACATCTTTGTCACAGATCTGGTTGAAGCCGGTCTGTTGCACAAGGTCCATCGAATTCGCATATCCATCTACGGCAGCTTGGCACTCACCGGTGAAGGCCATATGACGCCCAGTGCCCTGCTTCTTGGCCTCGAGGGAGCCGACATAGAATCGGTAGACACAGCCTACGTCCCCAAACGCTACGTTGAGATCAAGGAAAGCAAGAAACTACGTCTTGGCGGAGGATCGAGCGAAGCCCGCGAGATCGACTTCGACTATGGTCGTGATTTTGTTTGGGAATGGAGCCGCAAACTACCGACACACAGCAACGGCATGCGATTTAGAGTGTTTGACGAGAGTGGGGACATGATTGCCACGAACGATCTCTTCAGCGTCGGCGGAGGCTTCGTCATCAATGGACGCATGGCAACTGCATCTTCCGGTATTCTGCCAGAGATAGAACCCGCTGCGGAAGGAGCCAACGGCGAGAGCCAGATCGATCGAGCAGAAGAACCCAACTCTTCAGAGGCTAAACCTGCCGCTCTTTCGGAAAACCTGTACTACAAGGAGATCAAGCGGTCCGATGCGGCAGAGGAACGCAGATCAGGCTTGGATTACGACTCGTACCGAGCAGCGACATCCGACCAAGTACAGCAGCCAATGCTACCCGAGAAAATGTCAGAGAATTTAGAAGTCGATCAGCAAGGCCCACCCAGCAGTGAAACCCGACACACACCCTACCCCTTTCGTACCGGCAATGACCTTTTGGCGATCTGCAAGAAGCACAATCTCACCATTGCCCAAGTGATGTTCGAGAACGAAAAGGGGCTCGGGCTACAAGAGCACGAAATCTTCGACAAGCTCTTTCATCTCTGGGATGTCATGGATAACTGTATCCGAGAAGGGGTTCAAGCGCCCTCACATGCAGCGTTACCTGGATCACTAAAGCTGCGGCGAAGAGCACCGGCTTTATATCAGCAGCTTACCCGCGGACTCTATCCAGAGCACGCCCAAGTACAGCCGGCGGCAACCTGGCCACAGTTGCAGAAACCTGCGTCTTCTGCGGCGCAGGATGCGCTGGCAATAGAAGGGAAGGAAGCAGCTGTGAGCCAAGCTCCAGTATCAGGACGTGGACTGTCCAAGCAACGGCGTCGAGCGCCACCTCGAATGCACGGATCCCCTCACCACCCTATATCAGTCTCCCCTCCACGCAGTGCCACGCTGGCCGCAATGGATTACCTCACGGTCTATGCTATAGCGGTGAATGAAACCAACGCAGCTGGCGGCCGCGTTGTAACCGCACCAACAAACGGAGCCGCGGGCATCATCCCAGCAGTGCTGAAATACGTCGTCGAGTTCGTTAGCGATGATCCAGAACGAGACATTCCAATCTTCCTCCTAACAGCCGCGGCTATAGCCTCTCTATTCAAACGCGGCGCCACCATTTCTGCGGCTGAAGGTGGCTGTATGGCCGAAGTAGGCGTGGCTTGCTCTATGGCAGCCGGTGCATACGCTGCTTGTATGGGTGCAGGGCCCGAGACAATCGAACAGGCCGCTGAGATCGGAATCGAGCACAATCTGGGTCTGACTTGCGATCCCATTGCTGGACTGGTCCAAGCACCGTGTATTGAACGCAACGCATTGGGAGCGATCAAGGCCGTCTCGAGCGCCAATCTTGCACTGAATTCCGTGGCTGGGCTGCAGAAGGTCTCGCTTGACGATGCCATCGGCGCGATGCGTCTCACAGCTAAAGGCATGAAAGACGAGTTCAAAGAGACCAGTCTTAGTGGACTGGCTACAAGCGTTCCGTACAACATCCCCGTCAGCGTTCCGGATTGCTGATGAAGTGTGTGCATGGGTCTAGACGAAGTCTAGCCTGCTGGTTTAAAGGCAACAATTGAAGCAATGCTGCGACGAAATGAACGTGCTCGGCCGCGGATCACGATAGCGAAATGCCGCACTACGATCTCCGGCGTGTGGCACATACAGCCAGCCGATGTCGTCTTGTCTTGAGCCCGCCCCTGAGGTGTTGGCTCGAGCGGATATGGCGAGACGGGGACTATGTTTACGGCTGAGGGGATCCGACACCTGTAGCCGCATTGGCTTGGTTGTGAGACCATTTTGCCCGCTCAAAGAGTCAGTCACATCTTGCCGATCCTGCGCGTCCGTGTGTGCGGTTGCTCGTCCGCCGCCGAGTCACAGGCGACTTTGCTGCCACGATTCCAGCCTTGCTGTTGCGGCGACTTAGCACGCAACCCCCGCTCCAGCGTTTGCTACAAGAGCTTACTGGGAGGTTCAGCTCCCCTGCGGTCCAGGAAGCCCAGGTAACAAGCAAGCACGGCAAGGGTTACCAAATATGCCCAGCTCTCAACCAGTCTCACCCTCGAAGGGACACTGGAGAGAAGATTTTACGAACGAGAGCCTTCATATTAGCTCTTGGATGGGCCCAGCTGTAAGGGCTTACTGGCTTGATAATGGACATAGACTTGGTACGTGTAGTAGAGAGAAGCAAGATCTGGACAATATCAGTCTGGCTCCTCTGTCTGAGACCACCTGTGGGTCCCAAATATATTCACATCAGAACAAAGCCTACTAGTACGAATCCTTCAGTCTCAGACAGACGAGATGCCTGGAAGAAGACACCATGCACATTCAATGCACTCGTGCGTTGTAGCAGCGCCCTCCTCCTGTCGAGGTCGTCGGCTTCTCCAAGCACCAAGGGGGCCTCAGCCTCATTTGTGCCAGAGGGCTCAAAATTCTGCCTCGTTTCACCGCCCGGATTTAGGCGGGGGCAGCCCCCGAGGATGACTCAATCGGTCTTGGCGGAGTCATGCGCCGCAGAAGGCGATTCTGGAAGGTGATCGATTGCCTGCGCTGATCTACCTCTGGGAACTGCTTTTTATTTCACTGAAGCCACGACTCTGCATTCCCTTTGTCTCCCTCCATACACACACATTGCATCCGTCCTTTGACTCTACCTCTTATCCGGCCTCCTCCAACGATCAGGTCTCAAACCTTCTACCATCTCGTCGACATCAACGACCCCGCCGACCCCACACACCGCCACCTCAGCCCCATTAGCCGCAATCATGGCCGACAATGACTGGGAAGGCGTCACCCGCATCGGCAGCAAAGTCCGCAGTGGAGGTGGCGCCGCCGTCGACCGTGAGCGTGTCGTCAAAGGCAAGTCTGCCATAAATGCCGCCCAGCGATCAGGCGCCATTATTGGCACAGAGAAGAAGTATGGCGGTACCAATACTGTAAGTTGTCATGCTTTCGACACTCGTCCCCCCAGCCAGTAGTACTGACAGGATCAAACCAGAAAGCCAACAGCGAAGGCCAGCACCTCACAAAAGTCGACCGATCAGACGAGATCATCAAGCCCAAGACCGTGGGGTCCCAGGTCGGCCAGGCCATCATCCAAGCCCGCAACTCCAAAGAGCCCAAGATGACGCAGAAGGATCTTGCTACCAAGTGCAACACGACCGTGACGGTGGTTCAGGATATGGAGAAGGGCTCTGCAACTCCAGACCAGAAGGTGTTGGGCGCCATGGAGCGCGTGCTGGGCGTCAAGCTGCGTGGCAGCGACATCGGGCAGCCGAAGTTCCCCAAGAAGAAGTAAATGCGCTGACTTATCTGCCGCTCACAATTGAGAAAAGCGGAGTCGAGATTGAGCGCGTGTGTATATGCTTCTTCCGGTGAATGCGGCTGCCCAATGATGACGAGGGGACGAGTAGGATGGTTTTCCAATTGCAAAGCGATAGACGGATGGGCGGAGGCGTTTCGTTCTCTTCGGACCGCATTGCAAGTCGTGTGGCGGCCTCTTGGTTGCAAGCCAGATTGGAATTCGAGGCTCTCTTGTGGAACGCCTGCGAACGCAGCCGCAGAATTGCAGCTAGGTACTACTACTAGGCACCTGAATGTTCATCAGCTATTCGACTACAGTCTCCACCGACAACACGTCTTTTGATATTCAATAATTGCGCGAGTGTGAACGGAGGAGGCCGAGTTTTTGAGCGACACCACTGCATGTACTCCGTATGCTTGTTTATTTCCAGAGATATCTACACTAGAGTGCGAAAAGACCAGAAATTCCTGTCTAGGCATCGCAACCAAAGCTTGTGTGGGACGACGCCCTTCGATCTTCTTTGTTGCCAAAAGGCACATATGCGGCCGGTTGCGCATCGATTAGCTAACCGACATGAGGGTCTATCATCCATGCAATGCGACCTTTCCAGACCAGCGAACGGCAGTATGGTCGACCCGGCGGCATTTCCTCCTCTGCCCCGGCTCGCGCATGAGGGCTGATCTGATGTTCCCAATCGTAGTGTTCTGCACGCCCGTCATCTCTTCTTAACCCCACGCAATGCAAGACAAAGGGACGGCCCAGGCCAGCCGCTCAAGTGTTCTTCTCCAGCCCCTCGGCCGCCAAATTCTTCTTGAAGCGGCGCTCAATGGCCTGCATGAACTCGCTGGTCGTGACCCATGCCTCGCGCTCCTTCTTGCCACACGCCAGGGCCAGATCCTTGGTCATGATGGCATCCTCATCGACGGTCTGGACGACGGCGCGCTCGAGACTCTCGGCCCACGTGACCAGCTCGGGCGTTTCGTCCAGGTTGCCGCGCTTCACCAGCCCTCTCGTCCACGCGAAGATGCTGGCGATGGGGTTGGTGCTCGTCTCCCGACCTTTCTGGTGCTCGCGGTAGTGGCGCGTGACGGTGCCGTGCGCGGCCTCGCTCTCGTACGTCAGGCCGTCGGGCGTGATGAGCTGCGAGGTCATGAGACCCAGGGAGCCGAAGCCTTGCGCGACGATGTCGCTCTGCACGTCTCCGTCGTAGTTCTTCATGGCGATGACGAAGCCGCCTTCGGACTTGATCATCTGTGCCACCATGTCGTCGATGAGCCGGTGCTCGTACCAGATCTTCTTCTCCTCGAATTGGGACTTGTATTCGGCTTCGTAGATCTCCTCGAAAATGTCCTTGAATCGGCCATCGTAGGCTTTGAGGATGGTGTTTTTCGTGCTCATGTACAGCGGGAAGCCGCGTTCGAGCGCAAACTTGAAGCTGGCGTGCGCGAACCCACGGATGGAGTCGTCGGTGTTGTACTGCGTTTGCGCAACGCCACCCTTCATGTTGAAGCTGTAGACATCGATCTTTTGCGCCGGCCCGCCGGACGCCGGGTGGAAGGTCATCTGCAGAGTGCCAGCCTCGCGCACCACGATGTCCTTGGCCCGGTACTGGTCACCGAAGGCGTGGCGTCCGATAACAATGGGATTCGTCCAGCCAGGCACCAGGCGCGGTATGCGTGGAATTACAATCGGCTCGCGGAACACGGTGCCGCCGAGGATGTTACGGATTGTGCCGTTAGGTGAGAGCCACACTGAACGGATGTTAGCAAGAGAAACTGCACTGGGAGTATGGGGACGAACTCTTCTTGAGGTTGAATTCTTTCACGCGCGCCTCGTCGGGCGTGATGGTCGCGCACTTGACGCCGACCGAGTGCTTCAAGATCGCATTGGCGGCGTCAACCGTGACTTGGTCGTCGGTCTCGTCGCGGTAAGGCAGTCCAAGATCGTAGTACTTGAGGTCGATATCGAGGTATGGGAAGATAAATTTCTCTTTGATGTCGGCCCAGATAATGCGGGTCATTTCGTCGCCGTCCAGTTCGACGACAGGGTTCTTGACTTTGATTTTTGTGCGGCTCTCAGAAGCACTGCTGGAGGCATTGCGGGTCTGTTGCTGACTGCCGCTGCCGGTGTTTGAGGAGGAGCTTGGGGAGGCATATATGCGAGCGCTCTCTGCGGCGAGGCGCGAGCTGGTTTGTGAGGCCATGGCGCGGGAGAGGCAAGAGAACGCGGCAGATCTGGAGGTGAACGTCCGAGGACGGAGGGACGCAGCTGCGCGTGGCAGTAATATACGAGAGGAATTCATCGCTGGGGTTGGGACGGATAGCGATGACGGTATATGCAAGAGCGGAAAGGCTTTTTTGGAGAGCTGTCAGTGAGCTCTATCCGAGGTTCGGAGTGTTCAGCCCTGCATACACGACAATCGCCAGAGAAGAAGATGAGTCGGAGCAACTCTGCCAGAGAGGGTTTAAGGGTAGCTCTGTGGACTGTCCGCAACGAGATCGGAGGTCTAATTCTTCAGCGTGGTATCCGCATGACTCCTCCGGGAGGAGAGCCAGAGTCCCACAGCCGATACGGCATCAACAGCGCATGGTGTTGTTACCGAGGGCCGGGGTCTTGGTGGGGAGAAGAGATCTGCGGTGGAGGGGTAGACAGGCATCAAACGCCCCCAAGTTCCAAGGCTTCGGTAGGATGAGAGGAATGCAACGTTCCCCAAGCAACTCCTGCTAGTCACTTGGTGTTATACAATCTACTTTGTCCTTGAGCATATCGGTCAGGACCTCTTCCACGTGATCCCACATGGTGAGCCATACTCGCCATAGGATATGAGCCTGCCATCAGGCAATTCGAGGACCTCTGGCAATCGTCTAGGATAGGTATCTTTAGGTGCTCTTTGGGTACCGGAGGACAGCTTGCCGCTGATGCATGGCGACGGGGAGCGTTGAGACGTTGATGGAGACTATATAGGAAGTTGTAAATTGATGCAGTACTACCGCTGCAGGCTTGTCCCAGGGGTACACGGTCGAAAGTGTCCTCCAGAGACCATTTCGCAGACCTGAGTTCATCGATGAGTTCTACAATTAGCGGCCACAATGATTCAGTTTTCCTTGCGGTATTCGACACTGGAGATTCGCCAGGCGTTCTGAGGCACGTAATAGTACCAAAAGCTCGCCTTTCATACAGCCCTCATCATTTGAATTCTGCAGCACTCTACCTGGTTCTGTGATCCTCAGAGACCGCGGGCTGCGACTCAACACAAGCACCGGAGAATGCCTGGAGCTATGCCACCGACTCAGGCACGCCAGTGTTTACATCGGTAGCAGCGTGACTCACCTGGGAAATTGACCAGGACCAAGACTCGTCCTATTTTCCACGCGTCTCTGAAACGCGAGTGGCTGACCCGATCGGGCCACGGAAGGGGTAAAAGTTCCAGCCTCGTCAGCCCGGCCGAGCAGCCTTGCGAACATCTTCCGAATCTTCCACGATGATCTGCGCATCGAGTTATTCTCCCACCTCCATACCCAGTCGCATTGTTTACCTTGACTATACTGCATCTCCCACTCAATGGCCGACAAGCTCCGCACCTTGCAACAGCTCGAAACCCTTCAGGCCAAGTATGTTGGCACGGGCCATGCTGATACAACCCGCCACGAGTGGACCAACAATATCGTGCGCGACAGCTACGCCTCGTACGTCGGACATCCGCCGCTACTGGCGTACATGGCTCTGGGAATGGGCGAGGCCAAGGACAAAGTACGCGGACAGATGATCGAAAAGATGGTGAGGGGTGTGGGTGCACCACCGGCGCGAGAGGGAGAATGATAGCCATGGAACAAGTGGGAACTCGATAATTTGTCGCCCAAGACCGAGGACGGCGGTTAGGATGAAAGCCCCTGGGCTCAACACGCTCTCACACGCAGCGAGCGTGGGAGCTAGCTCCTGCTCCAAGACACGGCAGGCTGGTAGCAGTGCATGCAGAGTCGGAGACTGTCCAAACTATGGACTTGCCTTTCCGTATTCCTACAAAGGCGGGCATATGATGCAAGGGTGCTCAGACCAAGGGCGGACACACCGAGCCAATACCTGAACGCTCACGTATCGGAGAATTGCTAGAAGCACCGGCACTTCCACCACGCCGCCAACGAGCGTGTCAAGCACCCGCATCTGCCAAACATGGGGCTACGGAAAGTATGGGACACGCCAATACAGCAATACAGCATGCATAATTCAAGTCCACAAGGCAATGCAAGAGCCCTCCTCCATCAAGCTTATTTGCAGTAGTCTCTCATCGCCTGTATCTGTCTAATACCATCGCCATCGCTATGTTCTGCCATTTTGCGCGCCGCTCCCTCGTCCAGCCCCAGAAAAGTTGTGGTGTCGAAGCGTAGGTACGAAGATGTCGGAAACGACACATAGGGAAGAAGTGTTCTGGTCCCGCCATTCAATTTCCGCTGCCCTCATCTCCCCAATCGGCAACCTTCCACTTCGACCCTTGAAGCCCTGAACTCCCCAGAGCGGCTCGAAGTCGAGAAAGAAACGCTCGCGTGAGGCTGACCTCAGTATCTCAAGTTTACAACGCCGCCATCCATGCACGCCACGATTGGCATCTTGTGCCCCACTGTACGCCGTCCAGAAGGACACAATGTTCATTTCGCCAGTCGGAAGGCCAATTATGCCAGTCGCCGAAGGTTTTGAATCCGTCCGTAGTTCCATTTGATCGTAGCCACATTGGGCTGATACATAAGAAATCGTAAGAGCTTCGTTCTTAGAAAATGCCGTTGACAATGTTGCTGCCGATAGTGGCGCCGGCGCCGAAGATAGCGGCATTGCCCATCTTCTTGCCGAATTTTTTGCCATGCTCTTCTAACTTGCTCGTCTGCTTGCCAGGCTGCGATGATCCACCAGTGTTGGCGACTTCCAGAGGCATGTTGCCGTAACCAGTGGATTGTGGCTGATGTGGGAGAGGCGGCCGCCCCTTTTCTTCGACAACGTTGACATAGCTTCGCGGGAAAATTCCTTCAAGACCAGTACGCTCATTGCGTCCTCGCCACCCTATTTCGTTAGTTTGTGGTTGTTGATGTGATTGAATCGCTTACAGTCATTGTTCATGTGCTCCAGCACCTGAATATTGTCATTGGGCTGGAGTGCCAAGTCTCCGGTATCAGTCGGTTGATATGCGTATAGAGCCCTCGCTATTGCGAGAACGGGGGGTGACTGTGCATATGCTGGCGGCGGTAGAGGTGCAGGCGAGGTAGTATGTGTGTATGGATCTTTTAGGGAGAGGTGGTCGGAGAGTTGTTCAACTGGTGTTGACGTAGCCGAAGCGTGGATAGGGGCCAACGGGGCACGTAGCGGTGTTTGAGCTGGTAGCTGCGAGAGAATGCTTGATAGCTGCTGAGCTGAGATGACACCTGTATCGCAGAGGAACTCGAGTTCGGTACGGACCTGGACGGGTTAGCGGTGAGGTTGCGGATGATCGGGGAACGCATCAAACGCACGGTTCTGAGGGAGCGGTTGCTTAGGGCGAGGGCGGCCTCCGTGGCCATGTTGGATGGAGAGCCGAATGAACGCGCTACGATTGAAAGACGAAGGATAATACAGACACAGAAGGATGAACGAGTGTTGAGTTGGCAATGAAGGGAGGAGGTGAGGTTGTAAGTGCGGGTTTGGTGGTTGGTGTCAGCGAGTGGATGACAGGTCTCAGGTGGACTGAAATTAGGGCGCTCTGCTTAAACCCAAAACTGCCTGCTCCCGGCTCGTCGGCTTAGGTGCTTGGCTGCCGCCTGCACATGATGCCTGCTACGCGAGAACGCGCACCCAATAAGGCGGATTTTTATGCTCGCCTAATGCCCTGCTTTGAGACCTTCGCTTTCTCTGTTCGTTCCGGGCGTCCCCTCTTCGACCAGAGCAGCATCGTTGCGTTGAGTCCTGTCGGCTGGTGCCATGTTCCATTGCCTGCTTACGGCCGCCCAGCTCTGTTCCTGCGTCCGACGCTTCGCATGGACGGACGGGTTAAACGATTGTCATATTTTTGGGTTACACTGTGACACGTGTTCAGCGACTCGAATGGCCACTTTCCTCGCTCCTTGCGCTGATCAGATGCTGCCCTACTTTATGCGCCCCACCATGCGACGAAACTCCAATCCGTGGATATGCACGGCACAATTCTGCGATGCGAGGGTAGTGCAGGGCGCTTCGATAGGTGGTCCATTTTCGGCCTGTCCTGCCTGGATCGCTCATCGGTGCCGAATCTGCATGCAGGTCTCCTGTCAGATGACTCGTCCGTCTGTCGATACTGATAGCCGATCGATCATTGGCGCCGCATTTTTGACAGCGATCACAATGTGGATCAAGCTGCCAAGCTCGCGGGTCGATATGCAATTTTGACCTCATATTTCTCCTTTTGCATTGCTGTCCATTGTTCTCTGTCGTACATGTCGCGGATTGAAGGTGTGACCCTTGCTGTGCGCTGCCGCCGAGAGGCTCTGTCCGTATATGAACATCAAAGCTTTCCGTGAGCTTTTGATCGTGCAAGCCAATCGATATCGTAACGAATGCAAGCGATAGCATGCACAGCTCCTTCTGCATCTGTGTTTTTTGAATCCTCTTGGGCAACTTATATCTGATAGTGTGTGAGCAGGCTCTTGAGGCAATCATCGTGGAAATGGTATTGTCTGTCGGATTTACTGATGAAACAGCCTTGAATGATCTCCGGAAGGCCGTTCGTCGTTCCGTCGAGACGCCATGCTCCGAAGTCGAACGACTCGATTCGTGCTGTTGTGATGAGCAATGAGGCCAGCGTCTCTGCTACATGATACGTCCATGGGGGCGCGACATCAGAGTCATGGAGGAAGACTTGGAAGCAACTTACCTTTCCGTACGAAGACGAGCAAACTATCCTGTATTCCCAGATCAGAAACATGAACGCTATCTACAGATGACAATGGCTTCGAGCGAGTCTGACGACTTCTGTGCACGATTTGCTCCAGTTTTGCAGTTCTCTTTGAGTTGGAAGTTCGGGCATCTATCTGACAAGCTCGCTGAACGAGAAGACGAAGACGATCCCCTGATCTGGCAAAGGCAGCTGACCGCCCATATCCAGCCTACGACTGGTCGTCGCGCTCCGAACTATTGCAAGAGCCCTCAGATCGCTGCAGACCTCGAGAAAGTTCCTGCTAAAAAATTGTGCGGTGGACTTTGACCTCACCGGGGCCTCATCCCATCCCTCTACCCGTGCGAGTGATCAGGTCACCACGCTGGCAACGTGCCAAGCCTCTACCTGCCAGCGTAGCCAGTGGCAAAACTACAAAACCCACTCTTCTTTTGTAGCTTCATCCTCTTCTACTACCACCCACACTCACCTTTTTCCTCATAGCCTTTGTGCATCAACTTCCATCACAACTTCTTGCATAAAGCTTCATTCTAGTGTGAGTACAACCCAGCCACGCTGCTGAACATTCATCCTACCTAACTCAGTCGCGTACAGCTATTTCTTTGGCTTGGCTGATTTCTCCGCCAGACTCGAGAACAAATTTCTCCAAATTGACGATGTCTAGCTGGGACAACCACGGCACCGATGGTCAGTGCCACCTTCACATCTTTGTCTTATAATCTGCACCAGATCCCTGTTTGCTCCCGATTCTTCACCGGTCACTCTTCTTACGTTCCTCCCCTCGAGCTTGGTTGTCTGTCTTTTATATATTCTTGTTGGGATGGGCGACCACTTTTCTGGAAAGTGGATTCTCCCAAGGAGGAGCAGTCGCCGTGTCAAAAATTATTTGAAGCAATACTGGCGATCCGATCCTGCCTGGCCTCACAACGACCCCAAACGCATGAAACACAGACAAGTCTCGCCAACTTACAACCCCAGCCTACTTCGACTTGGCAATATTGACGAAGACCCTCTTTCCCTTTGTATGCTTGCAACATCCTGACTTCACTTGTCCACGGTACATCGATCATACTCGACTTCGACTGACATGTCTGCAGGGGCTGAGTTCTCCGGCGGTAACTGGAATTCTGGTTCTGTTGGCTTTGCCGATTTTAAGAACGACTCCTCTGATATGAACTTCGGCTCAGGTGGTGCTGATGGCTTCGGTGGTGACGACGGTCCCAAGGACGATGTTGGCTGCCGCAACTGTGGCCAAGGCGAGTGTCACATCCCTGTCCTCGAGCTTCGCTGACACATCGTAGATGGCCACTTCGCCCGTGACTGCCCTGAGCCCAAGAAGATGGGTGCCTGCTTCAACTGTGTAAGTCCTGACCCTCCCAAGCGTTGTGATCTTGCTGACCATGTCAGGGTGAGGAGGGTCACTCCAAGGCCGAATGCACTCAGCCCCGCAAGTTCACTGGTACCTGCCGCGAGTGTAACGAGGAGGGTCACCAGGCTCGTGACTGCCCCACCAAGCCCAAAGTCTGCAAGAACTGCAAAGAGCAGGGTCATGTGGCTCTCGACTGCAAGAACAAGATGAAGATCAACGTGGACCACGTCGCCGACAAGACCCAAGATGAGGCATGGGCTCTGCTCACCAAGGCTTCTGATGAGCGCGACCTTGATGACTTCAAGGATGCCGTCAAGATTCTCGTCAAAGCTGTTCCCGAGACCAGCTACGTAGAGCTCGAAAAGGAGTTCCGCAAGCGCTCATTCTCGATCTACCTCATCGGTCTCGAGAAGGAGACTGGTCCCACTTGGACCAACGTCGACCTTCAAGGCTACACTGGCAAAAAGTTCGCGGTCGGCTACTACTACAATGCCAACGCTCAGCGTCCTAATCTTGCTCCCAAGTGGCCTAAGGACGCTGGTGATAACCTTGAGCGTCTTGCTGATGCTGGTATCCCCATGGACCGTGGCGTTGAGCTGTGCACCAACTGGTGGGTAATCATTCCTCTATCTCTCGCATTACTAATCTCGTCTAGCAACGAGCTCGGTCACTCCAAGCGCAATTGTACTGAAGAGGTCATCCCTATCGAGCAGGTGACTGTTTCTTGCAAGCTCTGCGGCGAGGAGGGTCATCGTGTCCGTGACTGCACTCAAGAGCGTCAGAAGCCTCGTGCTCCCCGCGCTTGCAAGATCTGCGAGTCCGAAGACCACCTTGCGAAGGACTGTCCCAATCGTGAGAAGCGCACCTGCCGCAAGTGTGGCTCCGAGGATCACATCGCTAAGGAGTGCGACATTATCAAGTGTGACAACTGGTATGGCTTTCCTCCACACTCTTCCACAGATTCTAACAGCAATGCAGCGATGCCGAAGGTCACGTCTGGCGCGACTGTCTCGCTCCGAAGGATTGGTCCCGTGTCACCTGCAGAGACTGCAATGAGAAGGGTCACACTATCACGCGCTGCAAGCAGCCCGCTAAGGAAGACGAGAATGCTACTCCTGTCAACGGTGGTCGCTTAGACACTGTTGATGCCGTTGCCGGTGCGGGTACTGGCGGTGGTTGGGAGGATAACAACGATGTCGCTCCTGTCGCTGCTCAGAATGACTGGGAGACTGCGCCTGCTGCCGTCGCTGCCTCGGTTGGTGGTAAATGGTAAGCTGCTTTCATGTAAGCACAAGTACGTGCACTATTGGGATTCGTGACTCGAGTTATTCTCTCGTCAATCTCCTGAATAGTTTTGCGGCTATGCCGCATACCTGACCTTCTCACAAGATCCACATTGCGATGGCGAAACTGATTAGGTCATAGTTGCTACTGTGGGTATGGGTAGCTCAGAGGAACACAAGCGACCGCCGCTGAGGCCAGTCAGCTAGATACTCCACGAATGACAACAGGATGCTCTTCCATAAACATCTTTGCCAACATGTGGCCTGGGTTTTGCCCGTAGCCTCCATGCCACCTACTGCATATGTTCACGCCCTACGCCTTCGGCCTCGCTATCACTTCCGCATAACGTCTTCGTACGCGTTGCGCACCTTGTTGTCCTTGAACCACACCTCCGCCAACGGCTCGAGTGCATATGCTTCAGGACATATCTCAGCTGCGTCTGCGACTCACCGTGGCACACGCGTGGTGTGTCTCGCTACTGACAGTCCATAGTGTCATGCATCGATCGGTGGCGATACCAGCAGTCCTCGGAAGCGCATGTCTACAACGGTCTCAAGTTCTTCGCGCTGTCCTCGGGAAGGCAGGTGTCGGATATGCTTGTCGTGTAGAAAGAGAGCATCGCGGAGGACTTACGGCTGGCAATAGTCATCTGAAATTAAGGTATGTCATCTCGTAATTGCTGTTTGCAAGGCTCTGTCGGAGCGACACGGACTCTGACGCCCTACCCCGATCTCTCACGGATGCTCTGCACCGTCATCTAGCCTACGCCATGCGGATTCGGATCAATTGCATTTCCGCTGAACACTTTGCTGGACCTGCTAACTCGCTGCATCATCCACAGCCATGATTGCTTGCCTGTTCCCCTCGCCAATGTCCACTTCTCGAACAGCTGATACAAAGCGTATCGAAGCTAGGTCATCTCACGCACCCTCCCGCGGCTCTGTCTTCAATTCCTTCTCCAGCTTCGCCTTCAGCTCCTCCACCTGGGCCGAACGCGCTTGCGCGAGCTCCATCGCCATCGCTGCGATGCTATCTGCCTGCTCTGCTAACTGTCTTCGCAGTCGGCGTGTTGTTTCCGTTTCCTTCGCGAGTAGCTCCGCGACATTTGCTTCTGCAGCTGTTGTAGATGCTGTAGACGAGGTTTGAGACGATTGGGCAGTAAGAGGCGTTGCTGAGCTCGGCCCGAGTGGTTGTGAGGCCGTTGAGCCACCAGTGGTAGTCTGTGCCCAGGTTCGATCCGAGGCTCGCCATTGGGGAAGAACAGCCATCGTTGCTGTTTTGAAGGCGCCGTCCTGAATGGCCTTGACGACCTCGATGTGGTCAAGCGGTGTTGCCTTAGCTGCAGCAGCTGTTGTGTCTGGTATCTGGCTCGCTGCAGACGCAAGTCCATCATATGCCTCTTGCAGTGATTTGGTAAGCGTTAATGGGCGCGAAGTGCTTGTTCTAGAGAGCACAGCAGCATTGGTGTCTTGATCCGCGAAGCTATCATCGGAACAAGTCTTACTTGGTGACTTTATATCGTTTGAATCGGCCGACCAATTGGGCAAGGCGGGTTGAGCAAAGACCGATTCGATTAGTGTCTCTTTGACAACCGTCTTGGCAGGCGTGAGGGGCTGATGATCGTGAAGGGAGTCGCTCGATTGTTTTCGATGGTGCTTGAGACCCTTGGGCCGGTCAGAGTAATATTGCCGTGTCTTTGCGCGCTTCGACTATTGTAAGTCATTAGAGCCGCCAATTTTCTACTTAACATAGTGCAGCCGCTCAAGATCCAACGGAAATTGCTTGCTTGCGCCAGCATCTGCGGGAAAAGAGACATCATGGTCAACAGCATCAGCTTACTGTAATCTAACTTCGTGCACGAGGCCAGTCTATGAACCGTGGTAGCTGAAGATCAAGTGACGCTGGCGTCGTTTGGTCACAGCTTTCTGAAAGAGGAGAGATCTCATCGATGGATGCATGGTCTATCAACGTTGCCACGCTCAACCATGAAAGCATGAAACGGGCATCTGAAATGGGCAAAGCGCTTTTACTATCTGTAGATGCCTGGTTTGCTAGCAATCTGCCGTCAACCAACGCTGTATGACGGACTTTCCGTATAAAGCACTCCTTGCACAAATGTTTCAAACCTGCAGTGCAGAAGCCTACGACAACGGCAACGTGGTTCGATTTTCGTCTCAAGCCTCGAAGAGGCTCTGGCAATGCTACTTCAGATATATCTGATGTCATATTGATTCGCCCGGAACTCCTGATACTTGCGCTACAGGTTTCGGTGTTCATCTAAGCGATCTTGTTTCCGTTGAATTTCTGCGTTGACTCGCTCGATATCGTTTATCATTTTCTTCTCCTTGGCAGAGTGAAATTTTGCCTGATTCTCGAGGTACTTGATCGTCTACTCTGTAGAAGCTGGAACATCTGCCCCAAATTGTTCTGGGCATGTGTGTTCGCAGGTCGCTGCGCTTGGCCGGTTACGAACCACTGTCCACTTCAGATGCTGTCATGGTCTCGGCAATTGTGTCAATTCGGGCGACGACTAGAGTCGTACATTATTCCAACGCCCTCGTAGATATCTGTCGAATATTCTTGTCTCGAAACTTCTCTCGAAGATTCAGCGGAGAATAGGTGATCACGGCTTGGCATGGTTCAAAGAGAGGTCAGTCTATCATGGCGGCAGCTAGTGCAACGTACACCAATCAGAGGTTTCCAAGACTCGGATACTTCGCGCAGCTGGTTCGCTATTTAGCTTCGATCGCTTCATGGCTGCACTCATGGCGTGTACCTACAAAGTCGCTACAGTCGAGGATAAGAGATCTGCTCGGCAGCGTGATCGCTCTCCGCTACTGCCAAGACGAGGCTGCAACCCCTGAGGTGACCCGGCGTTCTCTCGTCCAAAATTCCAAGCGTCAGGGAGATGGATGTTCGATATATGTCTTCCTGCAGAAGACCAGCATGGCTGACCTATCGCTAGGTGGCTTTTACAGTCTGGCATAGGAATCTACTTCAGCATGCCCAATAGAGAGTGTACGCCCTGTCGCACGTTCTCCTTTAAATTGGTGATATCATGCTGCAGTTTCTCCTTATCAGCCTCCATTTGATGCTTGTCCATCTTCAGTCGCACCACATGCCTCTGCAGAGTCGTGATCTCCGCTTTATGGGTGCTACAGAACTTCTCCATCTGGTTCATCTGGTTCATCACCGGATCTGAGCGCTTGAGCGACTCCAGCGCCTGGCGACGTTCGAACTTGGCCCAGCTTGCTTCTTCTCGGAGCTGTATGACACTGTCGTTTGAGCCTTTCAACGTTTTCTTCAGCCTCTCATTCTTCCATTGAACTTCACCCAAACTCGTCACCGCTTGACTAGCGTTAGCCAGATCCACTTCGAGCCTTTGCACTTCTTGTTGAAGAGTATCGACGAGAGCATCGGAACTGTCAGTCTGCTTATATGCCTTCTTTACTTTTGATTGAGGATCTCGCACTGGCCCAGACTCTTCTCAGCTGCTTCGCTCCTTCTCAGGCAGTACGACAAGCGCAGACAAAGAAAGTCCTCGTGGCGCGGACCCAGCATAGTTACCCGGTCTATCGATTGGTTCCAGATTAACGGATATCGAGCAAGCTGAAAGGTTAGCAAAGGAAAGACGGCCTCTCAAACTCCTCGGTAGGAGTGTTTTTGGTAGATGAGGGTAGTCTGGTGCTATGAAGCTATTCTCCATCGCTTTATCGCTGCGTAAGCCGGCTAGACAGGCAGACTTTTGCTTTCCTGTAACTTAGAAGCTACTATGTGTGCGCGCCTCGGAGTCTACCGGCAGTTGGTCCTCTATCGTTGTCACTGCTGTCCGAGGACCTGTGTCGTGGGAAGCCGGCTTGTAGTTCTCCAAAAAATGCAAACGCATACCTCACCCAAATGTCACCGATGCTAGCGTTTCTCACCATATCTGACCTCTCCAGCTGCACCAACGTCATCTCAGTCTGACTGTTCAGCGACCAATTGCTGAATCAGAGCAGCCTTGCTCTTCTTGAGACTAGTGATCTTCTCCTGCAACTGTGCAATCACGAGATCCGTCTCACCCTCACTCTGGCGCTTAGCGTCCTCGATATCGGCCTTCTCCTGATCGGCTTGCTCCTTGGCAGCCTTCCACTCGTCACGCTCCTCCTGCGTTTGCTTTAGCACGGCCTCGAGATGAACATGCTTGTGCTTCCAGCCTGCCATCTCATTCTCAAAATAGCTTCGCGATTGCTGGAGCAGAGCGAAGTTCTTATTGAAGTTGTCGTGATTCCGCTTCAGGACTTGAAGCCGGACTCGATGACCTTGCAGCATAGCATCTCGCTGCTCTTGCTGTAGACGATCAAGACTGGTAAGCTCCTCCTCTTGAGCCTTGCTTACCGAGGCGACTGTAGCAGCTGAGGACTTTATCGCTTCATCTTCGGCTTCGCGATCAATAGAAGAATCCGTGTCAAGCTTCTGGTGCTTGTGAGCATGGTTCGACTCGTCTTCATCAAAAGTGCCGCTACCAGAATAGAGTTCCTCGATGTTCAGAAAGCGTCGCTTGTGTGCCACAGGTGAGGTATCTTCCAGGCTGGGATGCAATTCTTCCTCGATGCTCTTGGCATTTCCTGCTGTAGCTAAGGTTGAGGTGGCAGCTGTGAGTAGCTGAGGTTTGAAATCGATACTAGTAGCAGGAGAGGAGGGGCTGATATCTGAACCGTGCGGGGTGTTGGTTGGGAACTCTAGTGATGAGGTAAAAGTGCGAGTGCTGGATGGTGTTTGAGGATCTGGAAGGGCGGCGAGGATATGTTCGCCAGACCCCAGCTCGAGGCTAGGCTGACGACGCTCGTTGGTCATGGCGCTTTCGGAAAGCGCAGGTTGCGATAGCAGTGGCTGATCGTTGGGAATGGCTTCGTCAATAGCGGCACTATCACTTGCGGCTGACGGGGCTCTAGGCTTTTGACGCTTCTTGTTCTCGTTGTATTGTTGGTGGTAGCACTTGCTACAGAGTCCTCTGACAAACTTTGAGGTGCTTGTAGGACCACAACTCTGGCAATTACCGTTCCTCAATCTAGCAGGAGCGACTTTGCTGGCGTCCGCCTTCTTCGCCTTGACTTTTGGCAATGGCTCGGAGGGTCCGTCGAGGGAGGGTACTGCAGCCTCTGTAGTTTTATCAGCTGGGGTCTGTTGACATGGTTGAATTTGACTTACCCTGGTCAGCCATCGTGATCGGAGTGGCGTGATTGTGCGGTCGTGAGGATATGAAAAACTGCAACGGTCGATTGATCGACTGAAATAAGGACTTCCCAAAGATCTGCCACTCTAACTCATTCACTGGTCAAAAGAGCTCCTGGCGAGCGAAGTCACCTGCGGCCACATTTTGGCATTGTTCTAAGTCGTAGTGCTGATAGTCACTTCTAATTCCGATCGATCAAAGCCAGCTACCCCGCTGTGCAGTGAACTACGGAGTGGCCATAGCCTTTCAGCTTCCTGTTGCTGGTCGAGATCAGTTCTGTTGATCTTCGTGCTCTTCGTCGTCATCGCTGCCCACCATCATCAGGCTGAGTCTTGCCCGGTTATACTGCTCCAGCCTTGCTTGCAATTTCTGAACTCTTACTACCGAAGCGTCACGCTCCTTGCGAAGCTGCCGGGTGTCCGCTCTCAACTCACTGTTCTCTACGACCGTGGCCTCGTACCGAGATTGCAGCTGCGCATAGTTTGCTGCCACGGTGTGACTATCCTCTTCGATCATCCTAACAATTGTTTCCTGCTCCGTTTGGATGATACCTGCTTGTCTGTTCAGCTTGGGAAGCTTCTCAGTTGCACTGCTCAGGCGCTGGGCCGCTTCTTTGCTCAAGATCGGCGTGGACGTCAAAGCAGAATTTTGGGCACGCTCAGTGCTTGGGGCAACATGAGACACCATCTTGAGGTTGGCTACCATAGCGAGGCAAGGGACTGGAGCATCAACAATAATCATTGATGATTGTGGGTTGGTTTCTCGGGTGTGCCTTGAGTCCGTGGTAATTGAGCCAATTGTGTCTTCGTCTTCTGTAGCCTCCAAGTGATCGTCTTCGACACCTGAAATCCCACCTCCATACATAGTTGTACGCTGAGAATTTCGGAACTTGGGTGTCGAACGCGTTCTGGAAGTGTCTTCGATGAACGTGAATTTGTCCATGTGATTCCTGCCGCAATCGTTACAGAGCGTATCGGGATAGCTCGGGTCTTGTCGCCAGGCCGTATTCATTGCAGCTTTGCAGTTGACGCAATTGTAGAAGAAGCCGGAGGAGAAATCGTGGATTTGCTGGTCGAAAGACCCGTTGTGGCTGCTGGAGGCCCGGGTAGAAGGTCGGGCAGAGCGCGGAGTCCGGCGAGCCTCGGACGTGCGAGTGTAAGGAGTCGACATAGCTTTGTCGTCTAAATTGTGATCAGGTACCATGTGCTGAGTGAGAAGCTAGGCGTGTACGTGATAGGGCAATTGCGAGTGATGAATGTGCTGATGCAGTGGCAACATGTTGCTGGAATGATCAAGGCAACCGGCGACCACAATATATGTCTTGGCATTGCACGCGACTTCTGTGAATTTGAGTCGGAATCTTGACTCCGGCGAAGCTCTGACCTGTAGTCCAGAGCAGCCACTGACTATCACTGTCGGCTCCCGCACTTCGATTGCCTTCCTGTACCCTGGGTCTAATGCTCACTGCTGCTCAACAGCGCCCAACTCCGAATAAATTCGCCTGTACCGGGCCAGCTTCTCCTCTGCGGTCTTAAGCTGCTCCTCCGCGAGATTCGTCTTCGCTCTTGCTTGCTCCAGAGCTTGCTTGGATAGTCGCTTTTGTGCTTGCATCTGCTCATTCAAAGTGGAGATCTGTTGACTGAGCTGCTGATTACGCTTGTCGACATCGTGGAGCCGCCGATTTTCGGTGCTCGTATTATTATCCTTGACTATGAGCGATGCGTTGGCCGCTTGAAGTTCCTTGACCTGCAACTTGAGATCCGCTTGCAGAATATCTGTGATAGCTCTACTGTGCTTGAGCAATTCCAGAATACCGTGTTCACTACGGATACCGAGTGACTCGACTACCGACTGAGTGGCAACCTGAGCTTTGCCTGTTAGAGACGAGCCTCTAGGTGTTGATGCTTGACCGGAAGAGGGATTCGACATGTTGAGAGAGGATGTAGGTTCAGGCTTTATGTCCTGGGTAAAATCTTTGGGTCTCAGACTTGGATTAGTGGATGTTCCCTTAAAGATCGTTGGCCGACGAGGTATTTCCACAATCGGAATACGACTATGTGTGGGGCGGACAGCTCGATGTGACCGACTAGGCTTAACTTGAACGACGATGAGGTCCTCTTCGTTGTCTGTATCAGACTCTGTTATAAGAGGTATTGGTCTTGGCCTTTTTATGCTCGGTGGTGTATGATAAGGCCGCTCACGAGTCCGCTTTTGTGGCGTGGGCATTACCGGAACCACTGAGCGTTTTCTGGAGCAGCGGTCACAGTGAAATTTGAAAGGTGCATTTGAGGTGGGCTTCAAGCACAAGATGCACTGCGCGGTGCGCCTGTGCGGGATCGGAGATGGAACACGTCGTCTTGGACGGGTCATCCCTGTCCCATAGAACTTTGGCGGCTGGTTGTGTCGCTGGGTAGGTGGTAGTAGGGAGAGAAGTTATACTTTTTGAGGTCGTAGGGGCGGCTTCTCTTGGATTGAATCGAAGCGAAGAGTGAAGCTTGACGGCACCGACCTGCGAACGTCGGCTATCACTTTGTTCTGAGTCATTCTTCAAGTCGAGGGTGCTCGAATGCCCGTGGGATGTCAGCGGTAATTCACGTGGAGGTCACAGGATTGGACAATTCGCCTTCACAGTTCTGAAGAAACTTGTCATGCATGGTCAAAGGATGGCAACCTCCAATGTACCGCTCACTTTGCGACTGTATCACACCATGATCGAAGTCCAGTCTGAGTAACCAGTTGTTGGCTCCACATGGGGCGCACATTGGTGCGCAGCAGCTCATAGATCACCTTTATTCCACCCATCTACTGACATTTGTATACCAAGTTTCTTCTAGCGCATGTTGTCAGTGCTAGGGTTCGATTGGACGGTGGTAGTGGACTTCGAGAACAGTGGAGTCCTCATGGTGGATTGTGATTGGCGATAGTGTGGGCTTGCAACTGTCTAGTCTAAGATTCTGCCCCCTATCTGGTCTGAGCGTGAAGCAATGTTGATTCGACGTGGTTGGATGGCATCGTCCAACCTCTCGCGAACTTAGATAGATGCCGGAGGCTATCGAAGGATCCGCACCAAGTTCTCAAGGCTGGAGATATGTCGACAGTGTCTCAAAGATCGATCTCCAAGCCCAAGTCCATGCCAGCAATGATCTCATCATCCAACGCTGCCTTCCGGATGACGGGCAGACCCTTCTTCTTGCTGACTGGCTTGTACGGGATAGGTGTACTGCTCCGCGGAGTGCCACCAGCAGGAGTGCCATTGGCTGCCAAAGTCGGAGTTCCCGCTCTTGCGGGAGTGCCTGATCCGTTGACAGGGGTGGCCGCACGGCTGATATCGCTACCACCTTCGAATAAATCATCGAGATTCTTGTTTGAAGCGGCATTCGGAGCAGGACTGGCGGTTCGCTGCTGCTGCTTGATACGGCGGGCATGCATCTCGGCGAGTTGGGCCTTTCGGATGTTTTCGGAGTTGAGTTGGTTGTTCTTGCGGTTCAGAGCTGCAAGTCTTTCTTGTTCAGCATTAACGCGGGGGCCTTCCTTCTTGATAAGAATCGTGCCCATTGCGAGCTTCATCGGGACAATATTTTGAAGTTTTTCTTCAAGCTCGTCAACCAATTCAAACTGCTTCTTGCGGCGCGCTTCTAGAATCTGGTCTTGGATCTCTTCCTTGTCCTTCGCACGTGTAACCAGCGCCATCAAGTCGTTCTGAGCACGTAGCTTCTCAGTGATTTCCAGATCGACCCACTTGTGATTGATGAGCTTGTTCAATTCTTCGAGCTTCTTGTTGATGCTGCCTTTTGTGGGCATCTTGCAATCTTCATTGGCCATCGTAACTCTGTAGCGGCGCCATTCATCTTCAGTGAAGCGCGACATGGAGCACTCGAGGAATGACCACGGTCTTTGAGCTTTACCGTGTGTGGCGAGCACATACTTGTCGGTGAGAAATTGTTGACCGTTGGGTCCGACCATGGCGTAGGGTTTGCCTTTCTCGATACCCTTGATCTGGCAGAGCCGATACTCGTTCACGCCGGGAGTGCGTCCGGGTCCGAGGTTGACACGAGCAAAGCAGCCAATGATGGCACTTTCGAAGCCAGGAGTCTGGCACACCTGGGCGAAGTTATCTCGGCCGACACGAGCGTGCTGGACGTCGCTGAGTTCAGCTGGAGGATCGTCTTTAGCAGGGCTAGGACTGCGCTTCTTGTTGAGTCGGCGATCGTCGTAGTCATCGCTCTCTCCCTGGGCGTCGTCTTCGCTGTAGTCGTCGGCAGGTGAAGCACTGCGAGCAGTCCTCTTTTGACGGCGCTTCTCGTCTTGGCGATTCTTCTCGGCACGCTGCTGCTTGTACTTGTCGATGAGGTTCTTAGACTCCCCTCCGACCTTAGTTCGCTGTCGAGTGCTCTTGCGCTGGCTGTCGTCAAGACCCGCGTCGCCCGCTTTGCGCTTCGCTTTGGCCTCGCGCTTCTTTTCTTCACGTTCCCTCATAGCCACCAATCGATGCAGCTGACGGTTCTGCTCATGACGATCAACTTCTTCATTGCGCGTGCCGATGAGTTGTTCGCGCTCAATTTCTGGCAGGGCGAGGATCTTTGCTTTCTCTTTGGCATCATGGTAGATTCTATCGTATGCGTACAACGGCTTGTCTTCGTCATCGTCGAGGTCGACCTCGCCGTCGGAGGCGGACTGGGACATAGAGGCCGAGTCGGATGGCACAGGTGATGATCTCGAGTCGTCAGCAATGATTCCGGAAAGCGACACCATCGACTTACCCTTCGTCTTCGTCATCAGAGTAACGCGATCGACGAGCAGGCTTGCGGGCTTTGGTCTTCTGAACCGCTTGCGCGGTGCCTTTGCGAGCCATATCGGCTGGAGGAGTTGCTTTGTCAGAGGATAAAGATCGAGAGCGGCGGGAGGGAGATCGTTTCTGGCGGGGAGACGCCGGCATAGAATCTTCCTCGCCAGAAGAGTCGCCTCCGGCGAGCGCCAAAAGTTCTGCATCAAGGTCTGCCATTATGACGAGGGCGCAGGCAAATGAGGCTGAGGCGAACAAACAACTAGCCGATAACCAGGCAAAGATGAATCGAGTCTTGAGACTAGACTCTCTCTAGCAATACAAGCTCCGGCGTTCCAGCGCTCGAGCGACAATGAATTGGAAATGCAGTTGTCAAAGTAAATGGCTCGAAATGAAAGTGTCAAGCTCGAGAATCGAAGTCCTCAAGCGAAAGCGAGTATTGCGGTGGCTGGTCCTCAATAGGCCGCGAATCGAGACCGTCGCAGTGAATGCAGCTCGAATGGGGAGGTTGGAATGTGCTGAGAGGTAAATGAAAGGAGTGCCCGCTGCGAGGGACCGGGGGACGTCGTCCTGTTCCGCTGTCTTGGCATACCGGCTCTGGAGTAACGTTTTCCCGTGCTCGGGCAAAAGTGTCCAACGTCACTACGAGTACACGCGCATGCACGCACGCTTCATCTTTCTTTGCTGTAATTGCTATCTAGCGTAAAGATCTGGGACCCTCGAGTCACCCGAAAATGTCCTCCCCATTGGTCTGTCGAGCCTGTGCACTAGCTCGACGGCACGCACCAGCGAGAGCTCTACACATTGCACCCGTCGTGCCGTCCCACCATGCGCGCCGCTCCGCCTCCACATCCACCGTGCCAGACCAACCAGCCTCTACGGCAAAGCCTGTGGCACGCCTGACAGATGATCAGAAGGACTTCCTGACCTCCGCATTACGGGTCAACCACTCCGGTGAGCTGGCCGCCACGCTCATCTACACCTCGCAGACACCGCCTATAGTCAAGTCACATCCCAATCTCTCGCCTCTCATGAAACATATGTATGACCAGGAAGCTGGACACTTTAAGACATTCAATCGTCTATTAGCGAAGCATCGCATACGGCCTTCTGCCCTCTACCCTGTTTGGTCCGCCGCCGCGACCGTGCTAGGCTGGGGAACGGGCATGCTGGGGCGGGAGGCCGCGATGGCGTGCACTGAAGCGGTAGAAACGGAAATCGGCGAGCATTACAACAACCAGATCCGAGAACTGGTGAAATGGGGAATGGAGGCAAGAGAGCGTGGAGAAGAGCTGGACCCGGAATTGAGGGAACTGATGGATGATGTGAGAAGGATAAGAGATGAAGAGCTCGAGCATCTGGATCATGCTGTTGACCACGATGCGAAAGAGGCCAAGCCCTACGAAGCGCTGACAGGCGTGATTCGTGCGGGATGCAGGGGTGCGATTTGGGTCTCTGAACGTGTCTAGCGATATTCGGTAGTAATGGAGGCGGAAGGCCATGAGCGATTATACTCTCTGACTTATTATTCCACCAACGACATAAGCTATCCAACAGCTCCAGCTCAACGAGAGTCCATCTTCGGTGATGTGATTGCGCTGCATTGCGGCACTTCTGCCCCCTTATCGATCATATCTCGTCCTTCGCCAGATGCTCTCTCTTCTCGAAACCACCACGATCAGCGTCCGTCCCGCTGGTTCCTCTTCCAATTGGGCATGCACTCGACTGTTCAAAGATGTCGAGCGGAACCTGGCACGCCACCCGCTTTTCCTTGTTGTGAGAGCGGTGGTCAGACGGGACGCCATATTCCGAAGAACGCTTCGAGTACGTCTTCATTCTCTGGTCGGATGCGAGTGCAAGGTTGAGGTTGTCTTCGATGACGGTGTCAGGTGGTGCGGGTTGTGATGTTAGACTGGCGCGATAGACATGGTTCATCCATATCAGGGGTTCGTGCGGATCGTCGAAACGAAGAACCTCGAGATCGCGGAGCAGGGTGCAGGTGTCGCAATCGCCTCCAAGCCAGCTTGTGTAGCTCCGGGAGTGCTGGCAGTACTCGTTGGAGAGTCCGGCTTCATAGAGCGTACCGCTCAGGCAAGGAATTGAATTGGTGTCGCAATGTCCGCAGACCAGATAATAACTCGCCACAGTCATGCACATGTTGCTTGTCTTGAACTTGGTGTTCCTGGTGACTGCTGGAGAACGTTCAGAGAGGGTGGTCGACTCTTAAAGATGTCTAATGAATACTTCTGTCGAATAATGGGTTGACCTCGCTATTCATCGGAACGAATGTGCGAGTGACTTGCTGGTGACTTAGCAGTCATGGTCAAAGGAACCATGGACCAATAATGGTTGGCTTTGCAATTTGACGTTGAGTCATGCAGCTCTTCACCTACAAGGCAGTTGCGGTCAAGTGTTTGCACCATGAGGGGTGTTGGTGTGGAGACAGGCTGGATTATTGTCACTTCCGTTGTCTGTGACTGCCATGAATGACACTGAGATCCTTCGGCATTCCTTGGGCCCCATGTATCGGCCCTCCGCCTGATGTGGGCCTTCTCATATATGCATATATGCAAATGTGAGCGGCAGGAGCAAAGCAGAGTACAAGCTGGGCGAATTCATACTTTGCCCTGTGCTTTAGTATCCTTCAGACCAGCAACCGAGACAAGCCTGCACAAACTTTAAGGCTTGCCACAAACTCCATTCCCAAATTCGGCTATTTGGCACCCCTGTTTGCAAGCGAGGCCCAGAAGCCATCAACGGTTCTCTAGACCCTAAGCAGAGATTGTCAGTCTACAACATCGTCAGGCTTAGATATCAGATCCAGTTCCAAGCTCGGAACTCCGCGAACGAACACGTGCAACGCCTGTACTACATTGTACATGCCAAGTCTGCCTGCCTGACGCCAAGCTTGCCGCCTTACTTTATTCCTCGCTAAAGACGCTACCGTCAATGCACCTCACACTTTTGATAGTGCGTCGCCGTAGCTTTTCGTGCAATGGCGCGTAAGAAAAGTTCGACTACCAGAAGCGTCGTTAAGCCAGCTGCCGTAGTTCAAAGCCGGCGAGTGAAGTTCTACTTCGTCACACCGACTCTAAGCGACGCAAGTCTCGCTAGCTCATAATGCAGTGCCTTCTCGAACCCTCTGCGTAAATCAGACTAATGATCTAAACCGAACTTCTCCGGTGCCTGCAGAATGACGGGAACGGGATTTTAACTCGCAACTACAGGCTCGCCTTACCCCGGCTTTCGTACGGCAGGACAACACAGATAAGACCAGCTGCGATGAACAAAGCTCCGCTCGTATAAACAGGGGCTGAAGTTTCCAGATTTGCGAACATCTGTCCATGAGTCAGCTGGGATTGGGAGAGGGTCCGAGTTGAGAGGATTTGCAGAGACGCATGTACATGCGAGCGGTACCGGTTCGGCCCCAGCCCTGAAGCGTGGAATCTCCAGGGTGCTGGAATCACACGGAGCAGAACAACTTACTGCCGACGTATTAGTACAGCGTCAAGCACGTAATTGGGACTGGGGAGATGGTTGTGACGATTCTGGAGTTTGGTAGGCGTCCAGGGATTGCCATCGTCATTATCACCGCTGAGCACTCACCAGCTATAATTGGTGCCATTATGCCAAAGATACGATTAGAAGTGGCCGTGAGAGCATTGCCCGTGCCTCGATCCTTGGTTGGGAAAACTTCAGGCTGTATCGGTTGTTAGCACTCGCTAAAGAGAGCGGTGAATTGACGGTACCGTGTATGCGTAAAGCACAGCGTACATCACGTTTGATGTGAAGTTATACGCACAGTTCCAGCCTAGAAGGGCATCTGAGTTGGAAGCGGTGGTAGAAGCGTAGAGGAAGACTCCGGTCAAGACTGTCGAGGCACTCAGAGTTCCGCGTCGTCCGAGATAGTTGAGCTCGACGAGCCATCCACCTAGCATTGCACCTGGAACACCAAGAACGGCGATGATAAGCGAGTTGCGATACGTGATGTAGGTCGAACCGTCTCCATCCTCTGCTCCGCGGGTTGCAATAATGTAAGGAATATAGGCGTTGTAGAGCGGATAAGCAAGCCCGACTGCATCACATGTCAGCATCTGAATAGGTCGGAATGCAACGAAATGCAAGGGCACAACGCACTGAAGCCCCACACGGCCATGATCAAACTTGTCGAGAAAGCCAGGCGCCTGTTCGAGAAGAGTGCGCGGACGTGGGTCATGTTAAGCTTCTGTAACTGGCGTTTGATAGCAGCAGCGTTGCTTGTATCGACGCCCGCTTGCGCGCCCGCAATAGTCTCGCAAGCTTTCAGGTCTTCAACAGTCAACGGCGAGGTCTTCTTGTTACGACGTGCAACTTCGTGAACAATCCTGACGGCTTCTTCATCTCGTCCTTTGCCCATCAAGTACTGCCACTCTGGTTAGACCGGAATCGAGAGGATTTCGGCTGATGCGGGAAATGGAGTTTTCGGACTTACTTTTGGGGATTCATAGATGGTGAACAGGAAGAAGCGGGTTGCCCACATGAGGAGAGTCAGTCCTCCCATAGTGATAGTAAAATAGCGCCAGCCCATATTGTCGGACCTAGTACAGACCGCATCCTGTTGGCAAGTCAAGTTTCCCAGAAGCGGCCATGCGATCAGCGTTGCAATTAACTGGGCGAGAGCCCAATCGACGGAGAGCACCGTAAGCAGGTACTGATGCGTGCCTGGCAAGAACTCGAGAAAAATCGCACTGTCAACAGGCAGGTTACCACCGACCCCGAACGACCAAAAAGCGGCGAATGTTCCGATGGCAGCAAAATTGGGCGCACTACCAGAGATCATACCCCAAACTGCAGCGAGGCCCAGAGTGATATTGAACGCCCATCGCCGGCCTGTTGAAGTTAGGAATAGACCAGCAGGCAGCCAGACGAGGGCTCACCGAAGATGTCGCAGCCGAATCCCCAGAACATGGCACCGCAAAGTAAACCTATGTTCTGGGCCAACTGCAGAAGAGGAGGTCTGGAGGGAGCGAATTCGTTGACAATGGGAGTGAAGATTAAAGATGTGACGATCGGCCACAAATTGTCAGTAGCCCATCCGAAGCTGGTACGATGTTAGGATAGCGGTGACAACGACGAGGGGCAACAGAACCCAATGACGATAAAAAGCTGCCATTGATACCTGGGATCCGTTAGACGGTGACAGTGCCGAACGTCTCGGCTCGCCTACCATCCCATCCCGATATCCTGAATCTAGCACTCCGTCAGCTGGATAGCCATAACCTGCATCGGAGATACCTACTGCACGGTTGAGGACCCGAGCCTTTGCCTCGTAGATGGGATCAAGCGTGCCGGCCGGAATGGCCGAATCATCATCATATCCGGCAGCAACATCAGCGCCGAGGCGAGCATTGACGGCTGTCTCAACACCTTTCTTGTCGTCGGTCTCTGACATGATAAGGTACTTTAAAACGAACAATGCGGCAAGAGCGTGAAAAGAAGGTAAAACGGTCAGCGCTCAGACACGGCACAGCTCAACTATGTATCCAAACCTTGTAGAACCATAAGCGTTCCTCAGTGGTGGGGTAGATGCTGCAAAGTGACATGGTGTGGTTCTGCCATGGATGATGTGCTCGTCGGCTCCCAGTGCTGATTGGTTCGCGTTCAGCACCAAGCCGTATTTTCGAGCGATCGACATTGGAAGAAAGCACTGTACGCGCGCCTCGCAAAGGGGTCGATCTCACTAACAGTTAGGCGAGCACCGGATGCAGAAATCCTGCACCCACGCTGTAGAGACAGAATCGCGATTGCGGAGGGCAGAACGATGATGCCAAGTGATAGGAAGCTGGAAGGCAGGGAAGTCGCGTTAGGCTTCCGTGCCAAGTGCGCATGGAAGGGAAGGCCCGAGCGTTCAACTAACTTTAGGTCTCGCTTATGCCTAGAACGCCTTTGGTTGGGCTCGAGATCGCAAAAGCAATTATACCCACTCGCCTTGCGTTGTTGTAGTCTTATGCAAACCATCCCGCTTCCATGGTCTTGATCGAGTTACGGGATGTCGCGTCCTGACAAAGTACTAAGCTTGAGGTAGCGTCTTCAGGTGACTTGCAGGTACTGACTTCCTTCAGACGCCGGCACCCGCACGGCGGTTCGTTCGTCCATCGAGCTCGGCGACCCAGCCTCCAACCTCAGCCAGGAAGTCAGCACCACCCTTCTCCCAGTTTCGTACACCAGGCTCGACGGCGTCTCCCCACAGTCGTGTACCGCAGTTCAGTACCCCAGCGCCAACTCATAAGGATGAGATCAATTCGAGTCTAGAGGATGATGAGACTTCTCCGTCACTACCCCTACGGAACCCTCTCGGTCACGCATCAAACCGCGATCCTATCGACGATGGTCTGAGCGACGGTGACGACCCTGCCAATGATGCGCTAAGTTCGGGCCGGCTGAAGCACGACTCACCACCAATCACTCTCCACACGGATGAAGTTGATGGTGTTGATTTGCCCTGGCAGTCAGACCATCGTGACACCCCGATGCCAAAGAGGAGAAAGGTCTCGCATCCTCACAGGCCCGGCGATGAACCAATAGCAATATCGTCTTCACCATCTGAAGGAGAATCTCGGAGCCCGCAGATGAGCGACGACGAATTGCACGAAGCGTCACCACCTGCCAATGTAACGCCGCACACGACCGCCCGCTTCCGGACTCCCGCGCCTTTCAGAACCCAAGAGGCCAGTCGTTCTTCAAGAACGGTATTCAGGGCGACGGACAGCAGCTCGACGGCCAAATCTGAGATTGTTAACACCCTTCCTGATGCGTTCACCCCATCCAGAAGGAAAGGCAAGCACGCCTATGTGCCGGGAAGTCTCGCGGACACGGTGAGGAACTGGATTCTCGAGGTTTCGACAGAAGATGGTAAGAAGGATGCAAACGATGAGCGAGAAGTCTTGATCGAGGACGCCAGGCTGGAAGCATCTGGTCGGGCAATCACAGCGATCGATCAAAGCGGGCTTCATTGGCTTCTGACGGGTCCGCAACGGTGGAGTGCCTCGAGCATCTCACTAGAAACCGTCCAGCGAATAAAAGAGAAAGGTAAGGTTATTATTCGGAGCACATCCAAGAGCTGGACCGTCCCATTGCAACATCTCGACAGAGGCGCTGACATACAAGTCGCTGGACACTGGGATCTACCGCCATAAGAGCGTGTCGTTTAGGACAGCTTCACGACTCTGACATGAGAAGAGCGTAACTCAAATGCTGATCGGCCACTTTTGAGCGCATGCGGCGCTTGTTTCTTTTACTGAACTTCCCAGCGCTTTTGGTAGGGCAGCAATGGGCGACAACGCTGAAGTCTGTTGATGGGGTCTTGTCGAACACTAGCGGCAGTCAAGCTCCCGTAGCATACACACAGGTCGTGTAGCTTGGCAAAGTGGGTCTCCCAACCCGATTGCACGGCGGCGCGTACTACGTACGGACGATGATAACATCACCACTCGCCCACAGTGCCCATACACCTCTCAACGCATTGTGCATTCACCTAGTGTCTCAAACGTCCATTTCTGCTTTTCCCGCAACGGTGTCTCCCATCTGACGCTGGGTTAGACATTATCTGTGCGTCGGCAAGATACGAACATCCATGACGTCGACATCCTTTTAGCACACTCGCGACATCAGACCATCGGTGTGCTGCCGATGCTGCAAGTAAATGGCACCTTCACGGGGCAGATTCTGTGGACTGTTGAAGATGCCAGCTTTTACGCCCTTGCCGGCGTGGCTAAGCCTTGGATGCTGCTCTGCTGTGTAGTTGCTGGGTTGTGTCTGCCGGTCCCTTTATGGTTGCATAAATCTTACCGTGCAGTAATTCTTACGACGCTTTTCGTTTGCCGCAAAGAGATTGTCGGTACCATCTATAGTGCCGCGACGACAACCGACTTCCTCTGTCCGGTCATTGTAATCGCAATTCAATATGCCATCGCTTCCGCCCACGAGAGCTCTGGCGCTCCGGTGAGTGGCAAGAGCAAGGCTCCGACGCCGCTGTTCTCAGCAAGGATTCTGCCTTGCCACACGACTCACACGAGATTTTTTCCTTCTCGACATTCGTTCGGCTACGCCTACCTTCTTGTCGGGATCCCAATTGGATGGCGGCACGAGGCTGGTTTGCTCACTTGCGATCCAGAGCCCAGTTCGCCGAAAAGATCCTGGTTCTCGGTCCACAATGAAGACTACCTTGCTCGAGGGTCTCATGTTGGCGGGCTTCGAGCGAAGCTTGACGAGTACCTCCAACAACAGAGCGTCGATCCTTCACTGTATCCTCACGCTTACCTGATCACCGTGCCTCGCTTTCTAGGCTGGAGCTTCAACCCGGTCTCCTTTTGGTATCTGTATGACATGAAACAAACGCTCAAGGCCATGATTCTTGAAGTCAACAACACCTTTGACGAACGAAGAATGTACCTCTTGCAGCAAGCCGCTTCTGAAAGTGGCAGCAAGTTCAGGAACAGTTGGAAGAAGGACTTCCACGTCAGTCCGTTCAATGATCGAGAAGGAGGATACTTACTCGTGGCCATCGACCCATTTGCCCGTATGAAATCCTCAAGCGATGGTACAGCGGCTTCTATCGATAACACTATCACCCTGTCGTCGCCAGCCCCTGACACAAAAGCAAAACTTGTGGCTCGTGTCAACTCTATTGCTCCTCCCATCGATCCTACTCGGCTGTCTTCGATAGAGAAAGCCAAGTTCATGCTCAGATGGTGCTGGTCGGGCTTCCTAACGAATCCGCGGATCTTGGTTGAGGCCCGTGTGCTATGGACGAAGAAGAAACTGCAGCTGTTCTATCGTCCAGAAGTCAATACTGGAAGCATCGGCAGACAAGAGAGCCAGGAAGAAGTCATCCTAGAAAGGGCCTTCAGACATTGGTTGACCGCGGTTGCTGAGGAGAGTAACATCACAGTTGCATACACAAGCGCGGCTGGAGTTCAGCGCGGTCACAGGCATGCGCTACCTGGCAACCGAAGACTCCCTCTGACACTTGGGCCGGACGAGGCCGATTTCGACTTAGAGGTGCTCACGCCGGAATGGTACGCGGAGCTCGCGCGGGCTCGGGACTTGAGAGAGACTTTTGCGAGGAGGTATTCCGCGGCACAAAGTGGAGACAGGATGGTCATCGTCAACAACTACGGACAGACGATCTTGAAAGGAGGCTTGGACCGCGCCATCGAAAGGCGAAGAACACGGACAAATTCCAGCGTACAGGAGACCATGCGACGCGCAGCTGCTGATCATCTGCGATCAGGCAAGAATCTACTAAGCTGCATCATAGCCACGTTTGTGCAGCCTTTGATTCGCCCTGTCGAATCAACCGGAGATTCTTGCCTGACGTTGAGCGATTTCATGGATCTTACTGAGGTTGATGGAAGGCACGAAATCGAGTGGGCAGCTATCATAGTGCTACTCGCAGACCGGCTGGCTTTGGGGTTCACTGGCCTTCTCAAATGGTACGCGAAGCTGAGCTGGTACGGGTTGATCTTCATCGTGGTGCACCAACTCAAAAGAGTCATCGTTGCCTGAGCGGGCACGACCAATGTCCGAGTCAAGCATGTCGCTTGCCCAATCCGGAGGATTTTTGAGCTTTCATTGGCCAAACGCATGCAATTTCATCGTATATAAGGACTTGCGCCCTACCATCTCTCCAAGATTCTCTACTTTGCCTTGCAGCCAGAGCCACGCCAAGTCTTGGGACGGATGCGGAAAGTTGGTAGTCTGTCAACAGCCTGCACAAGTTTGGCTCAGCTTTAGAGGAGAATCAAGTCGTGGTTCGACTTATATGGAACATATTCATAACACATCAGATATAATGTGTTACCAGATACGTCTGGCGTCGAGGGGCCTATATGTTGGCTCGCTTTGGCCGGTAGAAAATCATCGTTGAATGTGGTGCAAATCAAATCTAACGCATATTCGGACACAGGATCCCTAGTTCGTAGTCCAGTCCAATAACACTATGCGGTATCACAGTGTCACATGCGTAGGAAATGGGAAAAAGAGTCATTTGTACGGAGCTTGCTGTCGATGCAGATGGAGCGACGGGGAGACTAGCCACTCTCCGGACGATTGTGCGGTATCGGACCGCCAAGACCCTGCAGGTCCGCGCCAGTCATTGGCCGCAGTGGTCTGGCTCGAACTGGTGAGCGTGAGCTTCGGCGGCCGTCTCAAAATTATTATTACCCCAGATTCACCGCTGCAATTCTCTGTCACCGTCCTCAATCGACTCTCTGCTCTTTCACAATGGCTTCCAAGTCTTTCGCACGAACTCTTCGCGCTGCTTCCAAGCAAAAAGTCCCTTCGGGCACCTTCCAACGCAGCTTCTCCTCCGCACTGGCTGCTCGACCAGCTGTTGCTGCCCAGCCCAAAGCTGCGCTCGCTGCGCCCGTGCAACAGCAGTCTCGTGGCATCAAGACCATTGATTTCGCCGGGACCAAGGAGACTGTCTATGGTATGTGTACTACTTTGGATACTGGCCACAATGCTGACTAGAAGCAGAACGTGAGGACTGGCCCAGAGAGAAGCTCCACGTACGATGCCTCCCCCAACACCTTCATGCAACCGTCGCTGACTCTTCCAGGAATACTTCAAGAACGATACCCTTGCCCTCATTGGCTACGGCTCCCAGGGCCACGGCCAGGGCTTGAATCTCCGTGACAACGGTCTCAATGTTATCGTCGGTGTCCGAAAGAATGGTGCTTCGTGGAAGGAGGCCGAGCAAGATGGCTGGATCCCCGGCAAGAACCTCTTCGAGGTCGACGAGGCTATCTCCAAGGGTTCCATTATTATGAACCTACTCAGTGATGCCGCTCAATCTGAGACCTGGCCTGCCATCAAGCCGCAGCTCACCAAGGGAAAGGTAAGCTCTTACTTGGTCTCACGTGAGCACTGCTGACATGTATAGACCCTCTACTTCTCCCACGGCTTCTCTCCCGTCTTCAAGAACCTGACCAAGGTCGACGTCCCCACAGATATCGATGTCATCCTGGTCGCTCCCAAAGGCTCTGGCCGGACCGTCCGCTCCCTGTTCCGTGAGGGCCGCGGCATTAACTCATCTGTCGCTGTTTTCCAGGACGTTACTGGCAAGGCCGAGGAGAAGGCTGTTGCGCTGGGTGTCGCCGTTGGCTCCGGTTACCTCTACAAGACCACCTTCGAGAAGGAGGTCTTCTCTGACCTCTACGGTGAGCGTGGCTGCCTGATGGGCGGTATCCACGGCATGTTCCTCGCTCAGTACGAGGTTCTCCGCGAGCGCGGCCACTCCCCATCTGAGGCCTTCAACGAGACTGTCGAGGAGGCTACTCAGTCGCTGTACCCTCTCATTGGTGCCAACGGCATGGACTGGATGTATGCTGCCTGCTCGACCACCGCCCGCCGCGGCGCCATCGACTGGTCCAGCAAGTTCAAGGACACCCTCAAGCCTGTATTCAATGAGCTGTACGACAGCGTGAAGGATGGCAGTGAGACTCAGCGCAGCTTGGACTACAACAGCCAGCCCAACTACCGTGAGCTGTACGAGAAGGAGATGCAGGAGATTCGTGACCTTGAGATCTGGCGCGCGGGCAAAGCCGTCCGGTACGTTATTCTTCACGCTTCAATCGTTACGAGAACTATGCTAACTTTGCCCACAGCTCCCTCCGCCCCGAGAACAACTAAATAATCGGGCCTGCCTGCTTGACTTTGCATGACAACCGAGATACCAAGGCGTTGGTGTGCACATCCAAAAGTTTACTGGGAGGATTTCAAGAGGATAGGACGGTCATCAGATGTACCATGTTTGAGGCTGTCGCGCTGCGCTATCATTTCTACAGTCGTGCTTGGTTAGATATTCAGACCAATGAGACCGATCTCGGAGATCTTGTACAAGACCCACAACTTTTTAACGACACTTCTTTCGAGATCTGCCCGTATCCACGAGATAAAATGACTTTTGTAGTACTACGCCCTTTCTTTGAACCTGCACTAAAAACAACTGGCCGAGTCAACACTACTGACATTTGTAAATTATAGAATTCTACCGAAGGACTCGCCTGCAGGTCTTCGTCCCTGCCCGTTTCTTCCAAGGTGCCCTAGGGAGCAATCGATGCTTCTCATTCTTCGCCAAGTCGAAGCCACACCCTCAAAGTAGGCCGACACTTCGGCCCAGCATCACCAGTACTTACCATCATATCCATAACCACAATGGCCGATCCTTCCACATGCCCGCCTCTAACACCCGCCTCCATCGCGGCAGCGCACGCCAAAATTGCGCCCTACATCCACCGCACACCGCTCCTAACCTCCAAGACGCTCGACAAGATCGCGTCGTCACCCAACCCACGCGCCTACCTCACCGACAACCCACCGATAGGCAGCAAGAATGGTGACCAAAGCAGCAACACGGTCGCCACCCCGCGCCTCCGGCTGCACTTCAAAGCCGAAAACCAGCAACGCATCGGCGCCTTCAAAGCGCGCGGCGCCTTCCACGCCCTCATGCGCCTCAATGAGACGATGGGCCTGGACGAGCTGCGGCGGCGCGGCGGCGTCATTACGCACTCGAGCGGCAACCACGCGCAGGCGCTCGCGCTGGCGGCGCACGTGTTCGGCGTGCCCAGCTGCATCGTCATGCCGGGGATCAGCACGCCGAGCAAGATCTTGGGCACCAAGGAGTATGCGACCGAGGTGGTGTTTAGTGGGAGTACGAGTGTGGAGCGGGTGGAGAAGGTCAAGGAGATGCAGGCGCGGAGTAGTGGGGAGGGGGCGGTGTTGGTGCCGCCGTATGATCATCCGGATATTGTGCTTGGGCAGGGGACGGTGGGGTTGGAGATGGGGGAGCAGTTTGTCGAGGGGAGGGGAAAGGATGAGGAGAAGAAGGAGTTGGATCTTGTGGTGGCGCCGATTGGGGGTGGTGGGTTGTTGGGCGGCATAGCGACGTGGTTCTCGGATAAGCCGACCAAGGTGGTGGGTGCAGAGCCTAGTTTTCAGGGGGCGGATGATGCACGGAGGGGGCTCGTGGAGAGGAAAAGGATAGAGAGTGTCAAGAGTCTGACTATTGCGGATGGATTGCGGACGCCGGTGGGGGTGGTAAACTGGGGCATTGTCAGTGATAAGGAGAAGCTGGAGGCAGTGTATGCTGTGAGCGAAGAAGAGATCAAGATGGCGATGCGTTTGGTGTGGGAGCGGATGAAATGTGTGGTTGAGCCGAGTGGGTGCGTGGCTTTGGCGACGGTCTTGTTCAACGAGGAGTTCAGAAAGTGGATCGCAGAGCAGCAGAAAGAAGGAGAGTTCTGGGATGTTGGTGTTGTCTTTAGTGGTGGAAACACAACGATGAAAGCAGTCGCCGCGCTGTTTGGGGAGGAGAAGGAGTCAATTCCCGAGGAGAGGGAAGAAGGTAAGGTCGGCAAGGGCGGTGAGCGAGTTGCAGAGAATGTCGCTGGCTGATAGAATGTGCAATTGAAGACGTTCCCGAAAGTCAGGTTGTCTGTATCGCTTTGTGGCTTGAGTCTTTCAATCTTAGCGTGCATAATGTACACGCAATCCCGCAGCAGCTCAACCTCTGAGCGCTGTCAACGCAGCCCAACAAACGGGAGGCCATTTCTGTTGACCAGCGCCTCGCGTGTCACTCGGACAGGCCGACACTATGCTCGTTACGTGATCAGCACTGGAGCCACTCTGGCTCTTGACAGACCCTTCACTGGTGTGCAGCTGTTTTGTGGTCCTGATAGGCCCTGACGATCAGATGATTGAAAGTTCGATCGGCAAGAGGGTTCAGCAGAGTATCTGAAGCATCCGGGTACGTTAGCACAGGGTTGGAGCGTGCTTGAGATCAAGGCGAAGGGACAATCACGTATTTTCAGAGTATTGAAATCATGCAAGGAGCGTCTATTGCAACGGGGTGCAGACAACTTTGTCCACTCCAGCCTCTCGTTCTTTCGACCAACATTATTGCTTTGAGCCATACCCAACAGACATCAATTTGGGATCTAAAGGCGACTTCTACCTTAACCCGAAGTCTTATTGAGAACCAAAGCTTTCCATCCAGTAACTTTGATGACTCCAGCCTCCTCGTGCCATTCAAAGCCTCCTCCAGTTACCTCGAAAGTCTTGTCGTCGCCTCCACCGTAGATATTCGTCCATTCCACGTCTTTGATCTCGACTTTGTTGTCGACATCGTAGGAACCTGTCTATATGAGCAGGATTCAGTTATTGAAGTTGTACACTTACCAGCATCAAGTAAACCCTTCAGCTTGGCGGGAAGCAGCTCGCTGTTCTTCACGATGTCGGTCTTGATCAATGTGTTGATGATGAATCCAGGGAGAGCCCAGAAAGGTAACTAACATTCTCGGTCAGTATCCAGATCTTCTTCGAGCGGATTATTTCATACAATGCCGCTCAGGATTGCACCGCCGATACCCAGTTCGTTATCTGGGCCCGTGTTCACTTCCAGACATGTCAGAGTCCAGGTCTACAACAAGCAGTGGGGATGGACTTACGTTTTGCGTGTAGATCGTACCACACATAACCTGGATGGTGCTCCATTCTGCTCTCAGGCTTGACGTTATTGTCCCAATCTATACCAAACTTAGTGAGTCATACTGAACACAGTTAGTGGGATAGATTGCATACATTTCGGACCTCCAGCAATTACTAGCCACAAATCTAGAGGGTGGTTCTGTACATCGACCAGGTTAGTGCCCGTCTTTCGATTGTGTTCAGTGTACTTACGGTCTTATTGACTATGGTTACTGTCATGCTGACGGTGGGAGTATTGCCTAGTCCTCGGGGCACTGATGTACGCGGGATGACAACCTCGACTGGGGCATCATCCAAGTTAAATGGTTTTTGAGTAGGCTTATGTATGTCGCTCCGTTCCGGGTCCACGGAAGCATGATGTTATGAGATGTGGCGCTGCTGAGCATTGCAGTGTTTGAAGTCTTGGCTACATGGTTGTGTACCCATACTACGTCCTGTCACTAATTGCTCTGCGGGACTCAAAGACCTGGGCCCTGTCAAAGCCGTCAGTGAATGATGCGAAATCTCGTATGAGTCCAGTACCTTACATGATGTGGAATTTTATGGAGTAACCGCCGTCTCGACTCTCGAGAATGTAGAATTAGGGGTTTTCGATCCGGCTACATGCCTGGCGCGCCCTGATAAACTGAATACTAGTATGGCATATTCCCATTGTGCCAAGCGGCTCATTCAAATCTATCATCAAATCTGCAAGAGGGTGCCTCGATCTTGTCACTTGCAATAAAGATGGGCGACAACAACGTTGATATAACCAGGTTTCTAGTCAAGAACGAAGGACAACGATTTACGAAAACAGCTGTTCTGAAGAGCCGAGGAGAGCCTGTTGCGCAATTTGCGTCAGCGTGGAACATTCAATCTCAGATGACAGCGATTGCGGCTCTGGACACACTGTCCAATCAACTCTGGTACGTTCTGGTAAACCACCAGATCTCTGTGCCATTACCAGCTGCTTTGTCGCTGGATGGAAGTTCCGGGGGAACAAAACTTGGCTTAGGGTTAATCACCATCACTGTCGCCGCGGATGCACAGAAGCAAGGAAAGATCTTGAAGAAAGGCACTGGCAGTCATGAGCAGCCACCTCTCGAAACCTTGGAAACGGAAATCGAGATCGAGCAGGTTGGCCCAACTGCAACTCAGCACTCGCAAAGCGCGTAAGTCGTCTGAACACGACTCAAGCGGATAAGTCTGTGCTGAAAATTACATCAGGTCAAATTCGATCAGTAAAGATTTGGGTGCTAATATCGGAATGTTTGGAAATACTCGTAAGTGCAACTGCGCTCTCAGCTCGTCTCCTATGCTAACGTTTTTGAGCTACTGCTGGTGTCTCAGCAAGCTACTCGGTATCCCAGAGCCTCAGCAACACCGTCTACGACGTCGAGATTACTAGCAACCTCGGAGATCGTCGACGTAGCCAAGTGTGGACTTTCGATCACACTGGAATGGACAGTAATGCGGCCAAAAGTACTTTCAACTATCAAGTACAAGAGCTTTGGCGTGTTTCTGGGGCTGGACCACCGGGGAAAGAATGGACAAATGTGCTTGAGAACTTCGCAATGACCTTGAGCATAAAGTGGCAGCCTGAGGTTACCTACAAAGTTGGGGGGACTGCTGCAGAACCAAAACGGTTTGTGGACACCATGGAGGAAAATTTCAGTTTGATTTGGACGCAGAAGGATATTCCTGCGAGTCTGACTGCAGGTCGGATGTCTCACTAGCGGGAAAATTACCTCATCCTGTAACAAGTACTCGGGGTTGGCAGTCATTGCATCTTTCTGTTACCTAGAGGCTTCCATACTTTAACAACTTCATTATACTAATATGAATTCTTGCATCTTATTTGGTGATGCTGTACATCGCTAACTGTGCATAAGGGGTTCGACAAGTCTCCAAACGGGTAGTGATTGGCCAGATTTCGATGCAAGTAGTTGAAAAGTGGTGGCTTGGGCTGTCATGTAGGCAGGGGAGCTGTCACCCAGCATCGAAGCCAGATCTAGATCTTTGAGCTCGGACCATTGATGTGTACCGGAATGGTTGGGGAGCGCGGAGTACATCTAACAGCAGCCATGTTTTAGTTCCTTGCTGTAGAAAATCGAAACACTTCTCTCGATCGGTTTCGTGACTCTAATCCAGCCTCGCGTCTACTACTTGTGTGTAGATACTAATAGGTAGCAATCGTGAGCTTGCTCATCGCAGTTCCCTAAGAATCGAACCGAATCTCAATCCACCTCCACTATGTCGACAAACGGCAACATTGACCAGCCGGACGAGGGATTCAGGGCAGACAACATCATCAGCCGATGGCAGAATCCCAACCGAACTTTCACGACATACCATCCTGTGATCATCCCTCCAACACAACCTTTCCAGACAATGGCAGACGCGCAAGCTTGGGCTCAGGCAACTTTGTCGTATCTTATCACCCCTACTTTGGAATTAGATGGTCGATGCCCCCTGGACGTTCCCGCAGCTCGAGACGGTAAAAGCCACGTCGTTATAGGTAAGAGTTGAGCGAACTTGAGCTTTTCCCGATATACTTTCAAGGTCCTCTCTGACTCAAACATACGTTCAGTCCAAAGCACAGAGTTTGCTTTCAACAAATATCCTGCCGGACAAGATATCGATGGAAACGAAACGTTCGCAGCCGATGCTTCTCATCCTGTAACATATGAGTATTTCCAGGAAGCTTTGAAGATCTTGGAAAAAGGGGTCAGAGGGTCTCAATTCCAGGATCACGCCATCGTGCTTTCACTCACAGCTGTGGTCGACTATGGTCCCATTCCAGGTTTGAATATCAATTTGGCCGAAAATGCTTCCTTCGTGGTTAACAATCAGATGGAAGGCTGTCAGAAGATCACGAAGTTTACTGAATCTAACATAGACAACTGGGACACGTCACGATACTTCGATTGGAACATCGATCGTCAAGAAGCGGTTGATTCCCCAGAACGTCTTCGGGAACATACTCACACTATCCGTGACTTTCTTGGACAAGGCAAAGATCTGGCAATTGGCGTTGGCATCTGCCTCGACTCGGCTCTGGAGACATACCCAGGCACACATCTCTTGATGTTTTCGGGTGGATCGATGAATGCTGCAGCTGTCAAGGACCGAACCAAGGGAGGTTTTGTGTGGGGCGATACTATTCATTTTTTAGGCGGCATGAAGAACCCAGGAGAACGGACTTTCAAGGAGCCCATTCGCTTGGGCGAACATCGCAATGGAGAAGAAGCGGCGCTATTCGCTGAATATGCCAGGCACTTGGCTGCGGCGGGCTTACCGCAAGATCAGATTGACAATCTAAGAACCGTATCCCCGAGTGACGTGGATGCTTTCATGTGGCAGGAAAGAATCGGTATGACATGGCCCTTGACAATCAGAGAGGGACAAGCATACTACCGGCGAATGGACTACAATCGCGTGGGAGACTCTGAGATTGTCATGGGAAAGCCGCGACCGCTGCCAAAGGAACCCATGGCGGCTGATGGTCGGATTCCTCTCAACATGGTGCAGATGAACGAGTTTGAGACGGCAGAAGAGTTTATTGAAGTTTGGGACGATGCTCTGATTGCAGCCGATAGGAGAGGTCTCGAGATTTCGTATGATCAGCTCTGGGAGTTGCATAACTTTGCTGTGGAGGATGCTGTGGCCGAAGGCCGGTCGGTCGGGGGCTTGCACTGGGCCCAGCGTGTTCAGGAAGCAATGCAAGTGAGCGGCGAACCTGACGGCTTTCCTATGGATGGTGCAGCCGGAGGTGGGAGCGCTGACAATGGGCACAACCATTCGCTAACCCCGGAGGATCTAGCAAGAGAGAGACAGAGGGAGATCGAGAGACAGAGGGAGATCGAGAGACAGAGGGAGGAAGCTCGCCGTGCAGGGGAGCGACGTCTTGACAGAGAGCGCAGAGAAGCAGAACATCATGGCAGATGAGATCTCTGAACAGCCTCTAGCACCAGCTTCCGCTACTACCAAATCCAGTTTACCCATTTAGCTTATTCATGGCTCATTAGAAGTTCTATTCCGTACACTTCATCCCTTTCGGTGCTTTCTTTCCGAGATGCTGTCGGGCGCCAATATTTCAGGTCACTTACGAGCAGGACTCAGGAACTGGGATGGCTTCTCCAAATCTACTTCAAACAGTGCTAGGCCTCTCTTTCAAGCCTGGCCATGCAAGAATCAGCGTGTGAGGCTTCTCCAACACCGGGAAATGCTTGTCTACGTTAATTCACACTCGGAGAGGAGAGATCTTTAAGCACTAGCGGGCCGCTACACAAGCCTCGCTATAGTATGGGGGTGGGATCCTGCTCCGCAAAGTCCCACTTCATGCGGAGAACATGAGAGTCTGGGGAGCTCATCGGCTGCATGAACGAGATGTCCGCCTTCTAGTACTAGAAACATGGGGGCTGCAGCGATTGAAGGCGCCCATGCTCCTCATTAACTCTTTGATGTTCGTTGCTCTCCTCTGCTAAGCGATCTCTGGTCAACTCTTGCACATTCACTGTAGCAATTATGGGTCGATCCAAGGGCCGTGAGACATCCATTAAGGACAATTGGAAATGCGTGAGCATTTGTTTGGCCATGGCTCTTGCCAACTGCCAGTATGGCTACGACACAGCAACTATAGGCGGGTTTCAAGGCAAGCCGAACATCCTCTGCTGGACAGAATGTGTCCGTTGACGTCCCTCAGCAATGGTAGGCTTCCTCAAAGTATTTGGCTACCCCGACCCGGAGCGACCCATCGGCTACAATATCGGCACCAAGCCACAGCAACTCATAACGTCGTTCTTGAACGTCGGCACCATCATCGGTGTCCTTCTCACAGGGCCCTTTGCGCACTTCTTCGGTCGTAAGGTGGGAGTCTGGACTGCCTGCTTAGTTTCCTGCACCGCCTGCGCTATTCAAATTGGAACCTCCAACCTCGCCGGCCTCTACGCCGGCCGCTTACTGATCGGAGCCAGCAATGGATTTTTCATCACTTTTGCCAACACCTACACTGCCGAAGCGTCGCCAGCGCACCTGCGGGGCTTCATTGTCTCCTTCTTTGGCATCTGGGTTTCTGTCGGTTCTCTACTTGGCACCATTGCGGACAACTACAGCAAGAGTCTCGATTCCAAACTCTCCTACCAGATCCCCCTCGCCACCATCTTCGCCATTCCCGTCATGCTTTCCATTCTGATATTCTTCATTCCAGAATCGCCTCGCTGGCTACTTGTGCACGATCGCCCAGAAGACGCGCGCAAGTCTCTCCTGCGCCTGCGCGGGAACAGCATGTCTCCTGAGCTCATCGAAGAGGAGTTTGTGGAGATGAAGCGCGGCATTGACGAGGAGAAAGAACTCGGCAGCTCTGTCTCTCTCCTGGACCTGTTCCGGGGTCCCGACCTCCGCCGCACGCTGCTGTGCTTTGGCGTTATCCTCTCGCACGCCTCGTCCGGTATCTGGCTCGTCATAGCCTACGGTACTTTCTTCTTCCAGATGGCCGGAGTGGATAACGCCTTCCAAGCATCAATCCTCTCAACCGCTGCCTCTTTCGCAGGTGTTCTTGTCGGCCTGTACTTTGTGCACAAATGGATCGGCCGCCGCTTCAGCATGTGCTTAGGGAGCCTGGGTGCTGGCCTTTGCATGCTTGCGGTTGCTATATCGTACCACGTCGCTCCAAACACGAAGCCTGCGGGCAAATCATTGGTGGCGTTCATTATGATCTATGGATTCGTGTACAATGGCTTCTCCGGCACTCTGAGCTGGCCCGTTACCACCGAGGTCGTATCTTCTCGGCTGCGAGTCATGAGCATCGGCTTCGGCACCGCAATCAACTATTTCTTCAGCTGGTTGGTTAGCTATACCGCCCCGTACTTCATCAACAAGACGGAACTCAACTGGGGCCCTCGTTATGCTTATATCTGGGCTGGGAGTAACTTTGCAACTTTCTGTACGTTGACCCTTCCCAGATTGTCCGTTCCATCCAGCACGACACGGATGTATTCATGAGAATTTCCCATACTAATGCGCCACATAGTGTTTTTCTTCTTCTTCCTACCGGAGATGAAGGGCAGGTCTTTGGAGGAGCTCGACGAGCTGTTTCAGAACAGGGTCAGCGTGAAGGATTTCTCAAAGTATCAGTGCGTAAGTTCGCAGCGAGCAAGGGAGATCGTAGAGCAGCAAATCCATGGCGATGAGGCCCATAGTAAGGATGGGGAAGTTGAGGTCGAGCACCACGAGGATGCCGCGGGGAAGGTGTGAATTGAAGTCTCCTGCGAGTTTCGAGGCAGAGAAAGGCGCGTCGGATGTGCATCGTGACGACAGGGGTGACTGTGGCACAGAGTTGGTGGCTTCAACACCACGGAGGCATACATGGCCTTGTAGAGGTAGAGAAAGGTGCGATATCTTTCAGTAGGATGATCACGGCTGTAGGCTTGAATAGGTATTGCGGATTCTATACTCATGAAAGTTGTGCTATGGATGGCATCCGTCTTCTCAAGCATTGACATCAACAGTCTTCGGCGCCTCGTGCTGGAAGCCCAACTTCTTAGCAATTGCCTCGTGCGCAGCATCCGCCGTCTTCTTCGGTTCGGTGAAGCTCATGTCGACCTTGTTGAGACCCCAAGCCGTCGGGCTATCGTCGTGAACGGTGGTGCGCCGCAAGTCACGCTTGTACTTGCCCTCGAACGCGCCTCCAGCGGCACGGTGCAGTGTGCACCTGTTGTCCCAGATAATCATGTCGGACTCGTTCTCCCAGCCCAAGCTGACAGTATACTTCTCCTGGCTGACGTGGTCAAGAAGTTTATTTCTGAGCGCCGTGGACTTATCCTCGGGTAGGCCTTCGATGTGATGCATATGCGCTGCGATATACAGGTTCATGCGTCCGGACGGCTCATGCTTCTGCAGGATCCTGTGTCTACTGAAGCCGTCCTTGGTTGGGTCCAGGTCTTTGAAAAACTCGGGGCTTCCAAGCTTGCGAGAGTAAGCGATCGTGTGGGCACCAACGTAGTCATTATCCAGGAGATCTTGCTTAGTAGCATTATCAAGATCGTCCCAGGCGGTACGGGAGTCGGCAAAGTCAGTGTTGCCACCCAGGCCCTGATTTGGTGGTGGGATGGTGATTGCTCGGAGGCAGGAAAAGGATGATCGCCGAGGATTAAAAGATGAATCGACATGGAAGAGTGCATTACCCTGTGATATTTAGAGGGTTGGCATGTGGTGCGTCTGGAGGCTCACCTTGCCGAACTGTGCCTTCGGGCTATTTGGGTCTAGGACACCACCATTCTCGTCTATATTGCCAGCGTCGAAAAGCTCGTAGAATTCATAACGAGATTTACGACCAGCTACCATGTAGCGCCTCGTGTGGTCGAGCTCACCTAGCCTTCGGGAGAATTCGACGTGCTTAGCGTCACTCAAACCAGTCTTGCGAAAGACGCAGACGCCATACTACGCTAGATGTCAGCCGAGTTCGCTGTATCGCTCCTGGGATCCTGCCTTCGCTAGCGCAGCGACGACCTCGTCAAACTGCTTGTCTGACAAGTTCTGGAAATCGACACCTTGCACTTCGGCGGCGAAGGTAGGATGTAGCTCCTTCACTGTGATCGTGCTGAAAGCGGACATGGTGGGATGACGGTGAATCAAATTCTGCGTGAGCGATGCCAGCTATCACTCCAGTCAGGACTTTGCAACCGAGTTATACAATGGCCGTGTCTCCAAATGCGTTGCTTCCCTTCAGGTACTCCACAAGTGGAAGCCCCATCGTTGTTCCACGGCTCTTGATGTTTGACCGGTCACAACTGCGGCCGACTTGGTCTTCTCCGCACACGTTGGTGGGGCGCTTGCGGGGCGTGGCATTGAGTCTTTGGGTCAACAGGTTGCTATGAGGAGGTGATATACCCCGAGTATGTCATGGGACATGCGGGGCACTACTGTGATCTGCATATTTCTCCACGCGGAGTAGCATGGGGAACGCGGGGGCATTCACTGATTCAATATCAGCTCAGCCATGTCGGGTGTCGCGACATGGAGTCTTTCGGCAACGAGCATAACGCTGTATAAACAGAAACCGCCGCTTCTGATCCAACCTGCCGCAATCTTGCGGCCAAATGCGGTCCCAGACGCGAAGCGAGAGGACCCAGTCACCTAGATCCAGTGTGCCCACATCGCATTCAGTATTCCAATAGGTTGAATACATTTAGAAGTTCTACGCTTGTGACTCCGCTTTCATCAATGAATGGCCTCCGCCTTTGCGAAGTAGAGAGGAGATTGAAAAGGGCAAGCAAGGCAAGTTGTCAAGGTAGAGTTTCGATAGTCACGTGACTCTCTTGGCAACAAGCCACCTCCGGTCGTCGCTTGGGTTCGGTGGAACATGGTAAGGATGAATTCTGAATTGGTGTGAACGGCACTGGTGCAGGCCAGATAGATCTCAGTCCGTCGGGGCTCTTACTGGCAGTACCGTTTTTGCTTTTGCAATCTAGCAGTCCATCAGGTATCATTACTCTGGGGTCGATCTATCGACAGCTTCAGACTCTGGTCGCGATCAGCCTCGACTTAGAACCTCTCCTCGCCACTCGCAGCACCCAGATATGTCCATCTCAAAGCCGCCCCATCGCCAACATCCTTCTCGAACATCACCACCTTCTCCTCACCCGGCATGACATCAAACCCATTGTCGCTAAGTGCGCCACCACCCCTGAACTCCTGAAAGACAAAACCCTTCACCGGCCTCTCCGCCGTGAGCTTCACTGCCTTTCCCCCTTCCACCACACGAAGATCCACCCCTCTTCCATCCCATTCCAAATACTTCAACGGGTCCGGCCACGCTGTATCAGTTCCCAGCACCTGCCCGCTCTCGTCCATGACCTTCGCATATATCACATAGGGATCCCACTTCTGCACCTCGAACGGCTTCACGCCCTTCTTGTGGCGCGCCGGGTACTTGAAGTAGCCCGCCTGGTTTTCCACCCACGTATGCTGGTCTTCGGGCACTATGGCTTCGTGCGCCAACTCCTGCGTTTCCACCTGCACCTCACCCTTCAGAACCTCAGTGGTAGCATTCCCCTTCGCCTCCACCATCCTCACCACCCTCTCCGCCACCTCCTCCCCCGTCTTAACCGACAAGAACCTCACTGCTACCCTCACCACCTTCGTCTCCACCTCCGCACTCGCAACCCAGACCTCATATCCCCTGTCCCCTAAGACCAGCGTCGGATCCGTATGTCCCACCGTCCACGGCACGAACGGCCTCTGCACCCCCACCGTCACCCGCGCCAACGCGCGCTTGATGGCGTAGTATCCTGGCTTCGGCACCAGACAGTAATCCACGACCGCCCAGCTCATGGTGGGCCAGCAGTCGTTCAGCTGCCAGACCAGGACGCCGCCACACTTCCGCCCGCCGGGGCTACCCCACTGTCGACGCCAGGCACGGTACGCGTTCGTCATGGCCTCGGCTTGTACGAGTTGGGTGAGGTGCGTGAAGCGTGCAAGATCGTAGTCGATGCGGAAATTCTCGGCTATATAGGTGAGGAGACGGCGCTCGTGGTCGATAGCACGGTTGTGGTGGTCCATTAAGATGGAGCCAGGGTAGAGTTGTTTAAGGTCGGTGATGGCGGATTTGATGGTTTCGAGGTGTGGATATCTACACAGATGTTAGGATGGCAGAGCTGGAGGTCAAGGAGGAGGAAGGTTCAGCTATGGGAACTTACGCCTCCATGCCGAACTCGGATACGAAGCGGCCGGACATGCCGGGTGCTTGTTGGTAACGCTGCATGGTGCCGTGCCAGATGTGCCACTGATGTAGGTCGCCGATCGTAGGATCTGTTGTCCACTTGCCATCTGCGGCCTGGGTCTGCTTTCCGGGTCCCCAGGGTGAGGAGGGATGGTAAGCTGCCAGACCTGAGGGGTCCTCTTCCGCGCAGACACGCGGCAGAAGATGTTCGTAGATATACCGTGCGGGGAAAGTGGATTTCAGCCAGGACTCGGGATCTTTGTCGGAATCGTAGTTGTATTCCAGCTGATAGCGTTCCTGGATCTGGTAATCTTCGTTGTTGCCAGCCCAAATCACCAGGGACGGGTGATTGCGTAGACGGCGGACGCTGTGTCGAGCTTCGGTCTCGAGTTGGGCAAGAAAGCAAGGATACGTCGGAGTGTTCTGGCACGCCATGCAGAAGTCTTGCCACGCCAGGATGCCCAGCTCATCGCACGCGGCGAAGAAAGCTGGATCTTCGTATATACCGCCGCCCCAGACCCTGATCATGATCTGGTTACCTTGTAGGATGAGCTTGATCCAGTCATGATAGCGTCTAGGGTGGATTGAGGGAAGGAAGCTGTCAGCCGGGATCCAGCAGGAGCCCCCACAGAAGATATCGATATTGTTAACACGGAAATAGAAGGAGGTCCCATGGCTGTCGTGCTCTTGAATGAGCTGAACGCGCCGGAAGCCTATCAGCCTGGACTGAGAGGCGGCGCTGTTTGAGACGATGGATGCTTTGAGCTCGTAGCGTGCTTGTGGACCGTAGCCTGCCGGATACCAAAGGGCTGGATCATTAACACGAAAGTCACACGTCGCAAGACCGTGGTCATCGGACTCTGCAATAGTATCGAGCACAGAGTTGCCATCCAAGATCAGCGAGAAACGTACCTTCGACGCTTTCCCGGGGGCTATCTTGGCGAGCAACTTCCCAGTAACGACTTTCAGATTGTCACTAACATCGGCCTGAAACCAAACGTCTTCTATTCGAGATGAGTAAGTTTGCAAAAAGACTGGCCTCCAAATTCCCACGGATACTAGGATCGGACCCCAATCCCAACCCCAGTGATACTGAGCTTTGCGTATGGGCAGGCGACCGTTCTCAGTCTGATGTGCGATGAAGCGATGCTCGTGCTCGTGTTCCTTCACCATCTCTCTTCCCCGCAAAAGAGCGGAAGGGAAGTCAATCTCAATGACGTTGTCCCCTGTGGAGTTCATCTTCCCCGTGATGTTTATTCGGTATTCGATGAACATGTTGTCTGCATCCAGGATCTTGGCACCATTCAAGCTCACGGTGGCCAGTGTATCAAGTCCCATAAATACTAGGTCTGTTGTCGACCCAGCGTCCACAGAGGGTGTGGGAAATGTCGTCTTGTACGTCCATTGCTTTTCTGGTATCCATCGCGTGGTGAGCTCATTCATGTCAACGAAAGGGTCTTGGATGACGCCATGGTGTTGCAGGTCCTTGTGTACAGAGCCCGGGACGGTCGCCTCTAGCCATGGTTGGTCGTTCTCTTCTCCGGTCTGCTTAAACGTCCACCCCTCTTTGAGCTCCTGTACTTGTACCATGTTGCTGGTGGTACGTTGGTTGGCGACTTGGATGATAATGCTGAAAAGAAGAAGAGCGCTCTGGCTGATTAGTCTCAAGAGCGAGGGCTACGCAAATGATTGGTCTGCGTGGATTGATCGTTGTGCCTGCCGGTCCGATGGTATCCAAACATCGAGGGTTCGGTACCCGCTCGATATCCCGCACCATGCCCGTGCAACTCCTAATAATACGTGGGATATGGGGGTGTCCCACAGTTGGCTGGTGTCTGATACCAAGTTCGGGCCGCTTGAGCTACTCTTGGTGGAGGGTGGGTAGGATATGAGCGTTTTAATTACCCGCCCGGGACGTGGAATTTCTTGGGATCATCTCCAGCGGTGTTACCGCCAGCATTTAGGCAGGGTTTCCATTGGAACGAAGGCCGATTTCTCGGCACACATGTGCTGCTGGGGATCATGCTTATGCAGTACGTTAAACGAACGTGAACTGCTGTACAGCAGGACACGGGATAGGCAAGGATTCGAAGCGGATGGAAATTGTCGCTTTGTCATTACAAGATGATCGCAGCTTTGCTAACAAGGCTGGTTCTCTCATTCATACTGTAGATCGAACACGGAAGCATCGTGGATAGCAGACGAAGGGTCATTTGAACTAACATTACAGTCAGAACGTGTGATGGCGATCTTGTCTCCAAGGAGCCTGGTAAATGTTACATTGTCGCCCCTCGCTTCTCTCCCCAAAGCTATCCCCCGACAACCCCCACACCGTTGATCGGGCTCGGAATCAAGTCGTGAGCTGTCGGATCTTCCATTTTGCGCCCGGGAAGGCACTTGCTACGACTTGGTTGGTGGCTTTGGCCTGAGCCGGACCATGCTGATCATACGACCATGCCTTGCATCCCTCTCCAGGTGGACATGTCCAATCTTTTCGAATCGGTTGTGATAGCAGATGGTGTGGGAGCCAGGGTAGCGCAACTGTCGAGGATTCTTGTCGGGCATGTTCAAATACAACGCGCAGCTAGAGCCTTCCGTTTCGTCCCTCGCCTTGTACAGCTGAACAAGTCCACCTGTTATGGCGGACAAATCACCCGAGAATGCGGCCGACCGCAAGGCCAGCGTTGATAGCGCGGTCAAGGTGCTCGAGACCAAGGAGTATGAAGGCGTTAATCTCGACATGGCCGAAGTCATGGCAAAACACAAGCCTAATCCTTTTGGTGTGGGATACGTCAAGTTATATGTGTTAGTCGCGTTGCTCTTCCTCATCGCAACGATGAATGGTTTGTGAAGCGGTTTCCAATATGTACTTTATTGACAGGGTTTCAGGCTTTGATACCAGTGTCATGTCTTCGATCAACGCCCTGCCGAACTACACTCACTACTATGACCTTCCCGAGAAAGGAGCCGCATCGACTGGAATAGTCTTTGCCATTTGGCAGATCGGTCAAATGGTTGGGTCTCTGTTCACCTGGCTTTCGGACTGGAGGGGTCGCAAATTCATGATCTTCTTTGGTGCAATTGGCGTCCTTGTGGGCACTGCCATCACTGCTACCGCTCCGACACTGGGAGCGTTCATCGGCGGCCGCTTTATTCTGGCCTTCTTTGCGACGCTGGCCCATCTAGGTGCCATCATCTATCTGGTGGAGATGGCACCCACCAGATACCGCGGTACAGTCGCAGGCTTGTATAATACGTTCTATTACGTGGTGAGTAAGTCGGACATCAGATCACACGCTACTGACGAGGATTAGGGCTCCGTCATAGCGACTTCATCTGTGTACGGTGCCCATCTGCATCTATCTCATCAAGGCAACCTGGATTGGAGACTCGCACTGTGGCTGCAGATGGCCTGCCCGGGCATAGTCGCTTGTTTCATTCTGTTCTTCCCGGAATCTCCTCGATGGTCAGTCTGTCCCTCTTGAGACGGGAAAGTCATTGACGAAATCAGGCTTGTGATGAAGGATCGCCACGAAGAGGCAGCCAAGGTCATCACGAAGTATCACGCCAATGGTGTCCAGGACCACCCATTGGTCAAGCTTGAAATGAGGGAGATGATTGCTTCGCTCCAAGATGAGCCCCCCGTCTCTGACTGGAAGTCCATGTTCAATCTGAAGAACCTCGTCAAGACTCCAGGAAGACGCTATCGACTGATGCTCAACATCGTGTTTGCGTGGTTTGGGTAAGTGCTCCGCTCCATTCAACTCTTGACGGCGTTAACGAGGCACACAGTCAATTTTCAGGCAACAAGTAAATCCGGCTAAGAAGAAGCTGTGACATCCCCTGCTAACAATCAAACAGTGTCATCTCATACTACCTGCCCTCTCTCCTGAAGAACGTGGGAATCACGTCAACGAACATGCAGTTGCTGCTGAACATCATCTATGCACTCGTGGGTTGGATCTTCAGCACCGTTGGCACCCGTTTCCACGATATAATTGGCCGTCGCAAAATGTTCATGATCAGCACCGCCGGAATGGTCTTGTGCCTTAGCATCACGGCTGGCACCGCTGCAGACTTTGTCAATAGCGGGAGCATGGCATCGTCAACTGCCAGCATCGTCTTCATCTACATGTTTGGCGCAGTCTTCAGCTGGGCGTACACCAGTATGCAGCCCATTTACCCGACCGAAATCATCTCCAACGATGCCAGAGCAAAGGGCGTGATGTGCTACAGTGAGTGAACCTGTGGTAGTGCTGACACATAGCTAACTTAGGCGACAGAACTGACCGGCGGTGCCTCGGGTTTCCTGAATACCTTCGTCACTCCGATCGCCCTGCAAGATGTGAGTCCATGTTACGTGCAAACCGAGACACTGCTGACGAGCTGCAGATAGGGTACTGGTTCTATGTCTTCTTCGTTTTCTGGGATCTCTTCGAGCTCGTCTTCATCTACTTCTTCTTCGTTGAGACCAAAGGCATCAGTCTAGAGGAGCTTGATGAGATCTTCGAGGCGCCCAACCCGAGGAAGGCTAGCACGGCTGTCAAGAAGATGCAGACGAGAACGCTCGTGACTGCTGAGGGCGAGATTGAACAGGAAGTCAAGCAAGTTTGATACAGCTCATCTAAGGCTTCGCAAGTGCGACATCGGCAGCCCGTCAGTGAGTGTTTTGGCGCGAGGACACTCCGTGGCTATAGCGTATAGCTTGTTTCTGCCCCCGCCAATTCCGGAGTGTCCGCGCTGCGACCGAAGCCGACGGCCGACCTCGCGAAAGGTGTGCAGTCAAAAACCGCGCAACTCCATGCGGTTCTAATGCCTCAGTTGGCTGACCGATGTCCGAATACGTGGTCTTAATCTGACTCTGCACCGTCGCTGCCGAGAACATGCGATCTGAGTTCCCAGCTGATGCCAACCATTGAATCTTATCTTATCAATCTTTTCACTGCCTTCTTTCCCCTCTCCTTACGTCTCTTTACTGTACATGCTTACTCAACAGACCACGGCATTTATGCGCTAAACAATGGCCATTGACTTCTTGCGCATCCTCATCCTCTATGCGCGTCACGCTTTCCCTTATCTCCTTCGCTTAGCTCGCCAGAAACTCCTCGCCGTGCACCACCGCTACACTTACCGTCCCACCGAAAAACCACTCAACGTCGTTGTGATCGGAGCTTCTTTTGGTGGTTTACACGTCGCACAACGCCTCGCAGAGACTCTGCCGACAGGCTACCGTGTGGTGCTAATCGAGAGGAACTCTCACTTAAACTATGTGTTTGCATTTCCAAGATTTAGTGTGGTGTCAGGGTACGAGGAGCGGGCCTTCGTGCCGTATGACTGCATCGCCAAGGATGCGCCAGAGGGTGTTTTCGAGAGGAAGCATGCAGAAGTGGCGCGGGTTACGAGCGAGCAGGTTGTGCTGGAGAGCGGCGAATGCGTTCATTACGCCATGCTCGTCGTCGCTACAGGGTGTAGCCAGCCGAGGCCGGCGAGGCTGCGGAGCAGGGATAGCAATGGCGGCTGTCAGGAATTGAGGAATCTGCAGGGCAAAGTAAAAGAGGCTGGAAGAATCGCGGTCGTCGGCGGAGGAGCGGTGGGCGTCGAGCTCGCTGCTGATATCAAGAGCTACTATCCAGACAAGGCTGTTACGTTAGTGCATTCGAGGCAGCAGTTGCTCAACAGCTTCGGGCCCGGACTTCACAAGCACACGATGGAAGCTTTGGAGAAGCTAGGTCTCAAGATCAAGCTAGGAGAGAGACCGGCAATTTCTGATGCAGGTAATGAGGAAAAGAAGGGAACCCTGACATTCTCTGACGGCAACGAAGAAGAATTCGACCTCATTGTAAGTCATCGAGAAACCCTTGAGCTGCCGCTGACACAGTTTAGGTACCCTGTACGGGACAGCGTCCTAACGCATCTATCCTTGCCGAACTCGCACCCGCATCCAGCTCAAAGCAAACGAGCCGCATAATGGTCAAGCCAACTCTCCAGATAAGTGACCATGACGATACCACTCCATACCCGAATATATTTGCTCTTGGTGACGTCGCAGAGACCGGCGGACCCAAGATGGCGCGCGCCACCATGATGCAGGGTGAGGTGGTGGTGAACAACGTCCTCAACATGATCAAGCATGGAAAGGCTTCGGCGACTTACACGCCACAGCCTGAGATTGAGGGTGCGATCAAGCTAACTTTGGGCATCGTAAGACATCTCAACACCGCCTTTACTGGACGAAGCTGACGCTGCCCCACAGAGAGATTTTGTTATGTACACCCAGGATAGCATGGGGTCTGAGTTGCTATTCAGCGGCAGTAACGGGAGTGAGGACATAGACGCAGCCAAAGGTTGGGCTTGGTATGGTCCTGGTGCGAAGGCTATGCCGAAGCGTCGGATCACCGAGATCGATGAGTAGGTGGTATGAGCCTCAGTCCTTGATTCAGCTCAATCCCATTCACGAAGGCCGAATGGGTTGTCTGCACTGGTATCACCAGTGGTACCTGCTGGCCGATACGCAAAAGCTGGGACATGGGAAGTAGCATCCCCAGATGTCAGTTATCACCAGCTGCGTGAGCAACGCATTGGACGGGCGGCAGTCACTACTTGACCAGTGTCGACCTCACTGGTCCACATCAGATTCTAGTCCGACACCACTTACTGCTGCACAATACTCTGAACGATACTACAACATTCCTAGCACATATGTTCAATCAACTGCAGACTCTAGTGACATGTCTTCTCGCGCACTCTTCATAGCTTTCGTTCTTTCGTTCATCCACGCATACCTGAATAGAAACGCACAAGTCACGACAAAGGCCTAAGCGTCAGTCTACAGACTCCAGTCTCCTTCATCCCACCACAGAGCAAGACCGGGCATCAACGATCAGAGCTCTCACCCAACAGACATACCCGGCAGTCCTTCAATCTCTTGGGAAGTCTGAACAGACATGATCAAGTGTCTTAGGCCCTTTGCGGAAGCGTGGTAACATCCCACCCTCCACGCCACCCCACACTGCTCCATGAGCAAACACGCTGGCTAACGATCAAACATAGGTAGCGTCTCCTCCACCCCATCCAGCGCGAACAGCAAGAGCACCAGCAGCAATAGTCCGGGAGACACCCACGACCACGCCCAGACGCCTCAACGCTCGCCCAAGACTCCTAAGCCACGGCGTGATCGCCGTCACGGCAATCGGTCTTCACACTTAGATGTGCAGGCTCCTCGGACGCCACCAAAGCCACCCACGAAGCCTCCGGAGCGGCGCTGGTACTAGGGGTGGAAGGAGTGGCTCCCGGGGTTTACGATTGGTGTGTTGAGTTGCTTCCTGGTGGCAACCGCGGCGTTGATATGTGCATGGAATGTCCTGAAACTGATGTGCATCTTGGTTAAGAACACAATGAAAATTTGCTGGCTCAGTGCGGTTCCAGCCAGGATGGGCCGCGAGCAGCGAAACAGCACGATCGTGTGGCTGGATGTTGCATGGGCCGGTAGGCGTTAAAGGCCAGGTGTGGCCTTGGTCTCAACACGTAAACATAAGGGTAACAACACCAGATAAGCGTCGAGACTAAGCTTAACTTCAGTATCCCCGTCACTCAAGAAAACGACCGTTGTGTTTGGAGGAATCTAAAGCCTTGTGATGTCCCTTGCTTCTACTCGAACTCATCTCAAGATAGGTTCTGACTTCCCTGCCTCTGCATTTCGTATCTCTCCCCTCTAGCCGCTCTCCTATCTCCGGCTCCCCTCCCAGCCTGCTTCCGCCTCCGCTGCCATCGCTTGGCCAGGACTGCCACAATCGCGAGGATCAGCAACGCCAAGATCGTGCCCAGCACGGCCGCTGCGATGGTCGACGGTCTCGCGGGTGCAGTATTGAGGCTCGTCTCCGGTCGCTCGGAGGGCGCTGATGAGTCCACCGGCGGCAGGCCTGTCGATGAGTGGGACTGGGAATTGGTTGCGCCGGCTGCGGTGGTGGCGGTGATGGTAGTCGTTGGGCTGAAGGTGAGGATCGTGGTGGCTGTTGTTCTGTCGGTGGCGGTGAACGTGACTCTGGTCGTTGTTGCTGTAGGTGTGTCAGCCGGCACAGTGCTCGGCGTGTCCAATGTGGTGAACCAGGCGGAAGTATCCGTGGAGTCGGCGAAGGTTGTCATTGTGACCACCATGTCACAGAGTGGTATCGAAGAGAGGAAGTCAGCGCGCGAGGATCCTCAAGTAGACTGTTCTGTGCTCGAGAGTGACCGTTTTGTGCCCGGTCAGATTCGTTCGCTGCCAACGTCCTGCGTGATGCTTGATCGGTCCAATGCCTCAGGTGATTGTTTTGGAAACGAGGTCATGGATAACTTGGACAAAAAATGTCCCATAGGATCGAAGGAGGGTTGTCCGACGATGATCACGGCAGCTTATGGTATCAAGCTAATCAAATGCTGGCCATATCTTCACAGCAAAGATGTTAGATGATGCCGAGACCACTCCACTTGCGAATGGCTTTCTGCCGACGCTTCTCGTTCAACACTGCACAGCAGAGGACGATGGCTTGCTCGAGCTCTTGTCCTGATAAAAGCCCTGCGCCACTGAGTGCATCATCGTACAGCCTCAGTTTCCCTCTCTTCTTCCAGCTAGTCATGGCTTTCTGCTCGGTATATGCAGCAAGTGCAGCGCCGAGTCCGACATCCACGAAGCGAAAGTTACCGGCTGGTCCTTTGGTATCGTTCGCTGGTGCCAATGAGCTGGGAGAGTGTGCTGAGGGCGTAACTGAAGCGAGGGGGTCTGAGTCTGCGGCACTCTGGGCAGATACGAGTCTGAACGAGAGACTGTCGGTACCGTTGGGTACCGTCAAAATCCAATCGTCGTTGTCACCAGGCCGATTGAGTTCGAGCCACTTGACTGTATTCAAGTGCTCGTAGTCTCCCAAGCCAAGTCGTACCAGTTGCGGCTTCTTGTGAGGGAACTGGGCAAACGCCACGTTGGGACAAGTCTTACCCTCCTCTGCCGTCAACGCGTTTCCCTTGGAAGCTAAACCGTCAGTGACGCTATGCAGTACAACATCTTCCCTTCCCTTAGTGAAGCCGGAAACTTCGATGAGGTACATGGCATGGTTGTTGGGGTCTATGACCACGTTGTGGTTGAGTTTCCAGGCTGTAGTGTGATGGAAGGAATACTCTCGGTATGAACGTGAGTGTGATTTGAGCCGGGGTTTATCAATCAGTGATCTGGTGGATGCCAATGTTTCGTGACCGATTGTAGGTATTTTGTCTGATGATTGATTGTCGACGAGTGCAGAGATGGGAAATTTGTCGTTGGTGTCGAGTGTGGACATGGCTTGCTTTTGAGCGCCTGGAGCCGAGATCTTGTCGTCGTTGTCCTCGGTCGATGCTGCTTGTTTGTCGCTAGGAAATCTGCCGTCGTTCATGGCTAGTATCTTGTCGTCACGCTCTATGGATCCGAAGGCTTCTCGGGAAGATTTAGGCTTAAGGTCGCCAGGTTGCCCAGCTTTACCGTCCACAAGGATCTTGTCGTCCGAATAATGCGTTGTGCTCGTTGCCATGCTTTTAGAGATTTTCTACCGGTGAATGATCGCCAAAATTGCCGTCTCTGATTCAGTAGTTGGATTCGGGGGTCGCAGTAGCTCAGGCTACCTCTTTGTCGGGGTCTTGCAATTTCAAAATGGGGGCGGTGAGTACTCCTGGATCCGGAATCTGCGACGCGCGGCTCCGAAGCGCCAGTATGAGTGAGAGGTCGCAGAAACGCTGTTGGACCGTAGACAACAGTGTACCTGTCACGGTGGGCGCCTTTGTGCGGTCGAGCTCTGCAGCGTGACCTTGATCCAATGGCGGCGCTTTCTGAGGCAACGGGACAGGTACCAGGTAGCTGCTGGGATGAGCAGGCTGCCATGTTAGCTGAGGGGCTCCTGCCCGCTAAACTTTGGCGGAGTTAGTGGGCGACTGCCCGCCCGAACGCTCGCAACCAGCTTGCTTGTCATCCTGACCTCGCAATTCATGCCAAGCATGTTGACCGCGGCGACCCAGATCTATTCGTCCGTGGATTCTGAGGGGAGAAGCGTCAATCGTGACAGATGCTTGCAAGCCGTGGTTTTCCGCGGGCACCAAGCTGGCGGAACTGCGTGGCTCTCTGACTATGGTGTCGCGGCACAGGCGGCACTCTTATCCGGGAGAGTATAAGGCGTGGATGAGGAACTGAAGGAACAGGCGAAGTGGGCAAGATAGCGTGATGGCTCGGAAGGGTAGACACAGTCCTATATGGGCACAAGAAGCATGGATTTGGAATGAAAGTAATGACTTTCGTCTAGCATAGGCGTTTATTTCCAAAAGGGCATTACCCAATAGCACCTCCATGGCCACCAATTGGGCATCTGCGATCACAGCTCCGTCTTACCCTTCCACCAAACCTTTCCGTGCTCCCCAATGGACGCTGCTCCACAGCGCTCGCTTGTGTCGGCAGGTACCTCTTACAGACCCGTCCGCGCCTCCACGAACGCCTGGGACTTCTGCTTCTTATCCAAGACTTGATCTGCCATCGAGGGTCGAAACACTGTGCCATCATGCAGATCTCGTGAGCTCGCTCCCACGGCAATGTAGTAGTCCTGACTGTTCTGCAGCTTCCAGCTCTGCGCTTCTACATCCCAGATGCTCAGATCGCGCCTAGTGAGGTAGAAGGTTTCGTACCGCATGAATCCGGGCTGCAGTGGGCCTACTCGGTCGAATCCCCGAAGCTGCATTTTGGGAGCGTTCGGGATGGAGACGTATAGCTGGGGCACGCCATATCCTGCGCGGGTGCCCGTATTGCCCACACCTACACGCACTGACAGCACAGGGTCCCAGAGATCTGGGTGGCCGCCTTGGACGACAGGCCGGCTTGCGTTCGGATACTCTCGATGGTCTGTCCAGGCGGGCTCACTCATCAGGTTCTGGATCCAGTATTCAAAGGTAGTATAGCTGAGACCAAAGCCAAACTCGAATCGCGGTTCGATGTTGTCGCGGTCGAAGGCTCGATAGTCGATGTAGAGGCCCTCGGTAAAGTTGTCTTGTGGGAAGGGACCTTCGCTCACAGTCGAGTTGAGCAACTCGCCATAGTCGCTTTCGTTCTTGGCTACGGTATAAGGAAGTCTGCCTGAAGGGTTGACGTCGCCCCATAGAATATCAGCAATCGAGTTTCCTGCCTGCTGTCCAGGCACACCTGCGAACAGTACAGCTGTGACGTTGGGGTTCTCGATCCATGGGTCAACGACTCTAATCCCTGCGCTGTGAACAATGACTACCACATTGGTGAAATTTGCCGCCAAATTGTTGATTAGCCGGTCCGAGAACTCATCTGTCAAAGACACCCGGTCAAACTTTTCCGAGGCGTAGGCATTTATGAACACCAGACAGGCGTCAGCATCCGGATACGGCGGTCCCGGATTATCAGAAATGAAATTCCAGCGTACCGTACCTTGAACGGCGGCCATTCGTTCAACGATGGCATGGAAGGGACTGATAACGTACGCAGGAGTTGTGGAGCCTGAACCACCACCAGTGATAAGTGTGCCGTTGTAAGTGTTCCAAGCCCAATTCTCTTCAGGACCGCCGCCGAAGATGCCAGGGTTGTTACCCCAAGGGTTCGGTCTTGACTCAGCATCGTAACCATAGATCGTCAGGAACCTCGGGTTCTTCAAAGGTAGAAAGTCGCCCTTGTTCTTCACCAATACCGTACCGGCAGCACCAATTTCACGTATAAGCGCGTCGTGCTCTGTAGTAACGGCAACGAGTGGAGTTTGATCTTGCGATCTTGGCCGATGTATCGAACCGGCCTTCTGCGCCTGTAGGTCAACATAAAAGGCTGCAGCCAAATGTCTGACAACCATGTCATCTAGTCTGGCAGCATCAACGGAGCCGTTGTTGACCGCGTCGGTGAGATTGCCACCCCACCAACCGGCATCTGGCATGTTGAGATCAAGACCTGCGTTGGCAGAAGCGACTCCAGCATATACGGCATTCCAGTCGGACATGATCATGCCTTCGAAGCCCAGCTCTTCTTTGAGAACGCCGTTGATGAGCTTCGAGTTCTGGCATGCATATGAGTTGTTGAGCCTAGCCCAATTAGCGATAGATCTTGGGTGCATTCCAGAGAGAACTCACCTCTGATAGCTGCACATCACAGCTGCAGCGCCTTCCCGCAATGCATCCATGAAAGCAAATGCATACAGCTCGTGAAGCGTCCTGTCGTCGATATTGGACGAAATGGCTTCGCCTTTACCAAGCTCCGCCCTACGGCGCTCTTCTTGCTCGTTGCCGAGCCAATGCTTCGCAACAGCAATGGTGCCCGTCTCCTGCATGCCCTTCGTGACGCGTCCCATCGCAGCTCCTGAAAGATATGGGTCGTTGCTGAAACCTTCCCAATTGCGCCCTCCACGCGCGATTCGACCTAAAGGGCCCCCCATAGGCCCAAGCGCGATTTTCAGACCCAAGTCGCGATACTCCTCACCGACGGCCTTACCATAGCGGTACATGAGATTCTTGTCAAACGTCGCTCCTAGATGAATGCCGGCAGGGAATCCTGAAGCGAACTCAAAGTCACGCACACCACTCGGGCCATCCGACAGACACATCGGTTCCCAGCCAAGTCGTGGCACCGCGGCAGTGTTGCCCACACAGCGGCCCACATGACCTCCAGTCAGGTTTACTTTCTCCTCGAAGGTAAGTTCGGAAAGCAGCTGGCGAGCTTTGCTGTACGCATCGGCCCAGTGTTGGTTGCTGGACCCCTTGGCCTGCGGTGCGGGATACACAGGCGGGCTGAGACCTAGATAAGGGTCGGTCTCGTTGGTGTAGCTTGGGGCAGTGTATGAATAGCAGTATCCATGTAGAAGAACGACGAATACTATGGTAAGCCACATCTTGAGACACTTGGCGGTCAAGAAGAATGGTGAGAAGAAGTGCGGCATGGTCGTCCTGGGTACCCGCCCTAGGTCTTTCCCGATTGAGGTTACACGGCCATCAAGTTTGCGGGGAGCGACTGACAGGGATCGTTGAGGTGTCAATTGTGGCAGTCGCTACGGCTTCATAAAGAAGGCAGCAAAGCGTGCCCGAGTCACCGCATGTCTCGTTGCCATCGGTAACCGCACATTACCTGGTCAGTTGGTCTGCGGCCTACTCAGGCAGGACTTTGGATCACTTCACGTCACATAGTCCACCTGAAGAGAAGCTCATTGTGACTTCTCCGGGTTCAGTGACGACACTCATGTCAATTGCGAGGAAAGCATTAGCGAAGGTCCTTATCGAAAACCTGCGAAATATTTTGTCAGATGGGAGCAAAAGGATGGACGTACCAAGGTCATCACAAGAGACTGAGGTACTTCTCTAGTCGCACTACGGTTGCCGGGATATTCGATCAGCCTCAGGCCAACGACAGACATCTTACCAGCAATACACCGACTGCTTGCGCCCGTAGATGAATATCACACACAAGCATTATCTCCCTCTACTCTCCTGAACCCGTCTGCCATGCCAAACTCCCCAGCATGGCAACAATCACCTCCCCACGCGCCACCTCGCCGGCCCCCATCATAACCTCCCCATCGCTGGCGAGCCTCAACTCACCAACCAACTCTGGCACGCCCACCTCCTCACTACGGCCTTCCCTCGACGTCTCCCGCCCCTCCGATACACCCTCACATCCACAGCAGTCGCAGCGGCGTAATCGTGCCGCCCTGCGCGACTACTACAACCTCAAATCCCGGCCCGCGACCGCGCAACCGGGCCGCAAGAGCTCCATAGCCAGCACCGCCAGTGACGCCACCACCAACACCACCACCACCGTCAACGCCGGCGGGGCCGAAGACAACGATACGTCGCCGCTCCTCACGCGTCTGGACGGTGCGGACTTTGACGCCGAGGCGTTCATCAAGAGCCTGCTAGAAAGTTCCTCGCTGCGCGATATCCTCAAGACCGAGTCGGCGCTAGTAAGTGAGATACGAACGCTGAACGGAGAGCGGAAGGCGCTGGTGTACGACAATTACAGCAAGCTGATTAGGGCGGTGGGGACACTGGGAGAGATGCAGCGGGGCATGCGGAGGGATCAGAATGGCGTCAGTGGGTTGGATGGGGTGGAGGTCGTGCGGGGGAAGATGGATGCGTTGGAGGAGACGGTGAAGACGATGGGTGTTGATGGACACGAAGGAGGTGCGACGGACCTCGGTGCAGGGGGCGGAGCTAAGGAAAGGAGGAGGAAGAAGGAGCAGAAGGAGAGGGTGCGCTGGGTGCTGGAAGCGCCGAGACGGCTGGAGGGGATGGGGAAAGCGGAGGCCAACGATGAATTTCAGCAAGTCAGAAAAGCGCTGGATGCGTGGGAGGGCGTGACCGGCGTGGAAGAGCTAAGACACGCCTGTGAACGAGTTATGGCGGCGAAGCGGGGCCCCGAGGAGGAAGACGAAGAGGGCGGAGATGGAAAGACATGACCCATGCTGCTCTATCCTGGTTTCTTCTACAGGAGAAATCCACCATCGCGCCTCAAGAGCCTGCGAAAGACCACGGCACACCACACTGGTCCGATCAACCAGACTTCGCACGTCGTCGGTATCGTGGGGGAACACAGGGCTGACCGAAAGCAGCCAAGCGAACCCGATGCGCCATGTCTGGGCATGGGTGAAGCATCGCCTCTCGACGACATTGCGCGAGTAGGGCACGATGCCGATCTGCATAGCTCCGTTGGCAAGAAGCGCAGCGAACGGCGGGAGAGGTGTTCCGTTCACGGCGACTGACGTTTAGGATCATGTACTGTTCGGCTCGGTCGATGCTCGATCGGGAATCTGGCTGTGTCGTAGGACCGTACATGGTTCGGCTCTTGGACCACTATTACATCTGACAGAAGGACGTGCGTTTTGCGCAAGCGTTTCACTGAGACTGCGCGTGCTATTCAGAGTCACCTTATATAGCATATGATGTGGATCCCCAAAAAGCGATCTTCTATCTTGTATCGAGCATTGAGCATTGAGCATTGAGCATTGAGCATCGAGCATTATATACTCTGCAGTAGCTATTATATCTGCTGTGGCGCACTGAATCCCTGGTATCTGCATGCTCTAACTCCAGGCGTCCTGTGCCTGGTCGTATGTCCGAACTGATCTGTTCTACTACAAAAGTGCTAAAACGATGAAAGTCGATGTTATAGACAGCCTCGCGGCTTGGGGTATCTCTAGATTGGCGTCGCAGAGCTTCGGGCCGCCTCCGATTGCTGTGGCATGATGTGCTGATCGACGTGCTGGCTTGTAGCTGAACAGACAGCAGTGTCTCGTTGTAGCGATGCGTCCATGCTCGATTCAATGGCGCCGAAGTATCAGCGACATATTCGAAGCTTCTCAGGCGAGATGGGTCTGTACGGAGTTCCCCCTCCCCGGGGGAGTCTTACCCGTCCTCCAGAAGCGATTAATATTGCAAACGAGGCGCGCCTCAGCCGAAACAAGCACAGGTGAAAAGTTTCTTCCACCAAGGCTTGCTGCTGGGCTCATCATCAAAGCGGCTTTTCTCGTTAGGCGCTCGAGGTGTTGGACTGGCGGGCTGATTGGCTCTCATCTGAAGCGGCTTTGAGTAACCAGATGTCTGGCTTAGCTGGCCCGTGTGGCCGAGACCATTAACACCGGCGAGGCCAGTGTTCCGTCGGGCTTCGACAACGCGTCTGACAATGACTAGACCAAGTTAGCAAAAGCCAATCGAAAAGATCTCGAGGCGCGGAACATACGAGCAAAGGTCTCTTCAATGTTGACCATTTCTCTGGCACTGGTCTCCATGAAACCACAGCCGTGATCTTTTGCCCATTCCCAACCCATCTTGCTGCTGACAAGTCTTGCTTCTTTCAGATCGCACTTGTTGCCTGCCACGATTTTAATGGGAGGGAATTTCCAGCCTTCTTCGCGCTTTCCTCGCACTCTTTGGCCTTTCTGGGTTAGTAGGCGATTGTTATCCTCGAGCCTGTTCTCGGCCTCGATATCAATCATGTCCAGGAACCACTGGAGACCGTCCAAAGAATGAGGGTTTGTGATGTCGTAGACGAGTAGGAAAGCGTCCGATTGTAGGTTTGAAGCCGCCCACAGGCTCCGGTACTCCTCCTGGCCGGCAGTGTCTGTGAGAGATAAATGGTAGTTGAGCCCGTCGACGGTGCGAGTGACTGAATAAGAGTCTTCGATGGTAGGGTCATATTCTGACGTCCATTGCGATCGGACCAGTCGCAGCGTAATCGAGGATTTACCACAGCCGCCGTCGCCGCAGATGGTGATGGAGATTTTATCTGACATGTCGTAGTCTTGGCCGAAGCAGGACCAACGTCGAGAACCCAGCTTGTCGGAAAGGCCCCTGAGAGGCCTCTTTGGACGAGGTAGAACCTACACAGCCGGAGAGGTGTTTGCGAGGTAGAGGTTTGTTCGCGTCAGTGGAGCCTCGTCTTGGCGTGTCCTCAACTTGGTCGACACTGCGATGGTCGCAAACGATGTGGCGAGGTCGATTGCACAGTGGATTGCAATGGCTTCAGAGAGCGACAAATGTTGCGCGAGGATGGTTGGTTGATATGAGGACGAGCGCCGCGATTCAAGACGATTGCGCAAGGCAATTCTCGGAAGCCGTAGCAGGAGATTGGCCGTGTATCACTCGGTGTATCATATGACCTTCTGACTGTTCTGCAGCTTGATTTGGTCCAGAGAGCACGCAAAGGTTCCGCAGACTGAAGACTTGTATGAGGCGATTCTGGTGAACGAGGATGATCGTTGAAGGAGCAGCCAGCAACTAAAAGGGATGGCTGGAGCGGATGACGAAAATTCGAGAAATGAAAGCCCTGGGGTGACAAGGGCACGACAAGGGGCACCACCGGCTGTTGGACCGACAAACTATTTCTCGCTAGACTGGAGCAGGGGTTTGGGCGCTGGGTTGCAAGGTGGAGGAGAAAGTCAATGTAGGGCAGTCAAGTCGAAGTCTGGCCAGGCGCAGAGTGGGTAGTTACTCTGTCGGTACATGCGTCGCTCTGTCTTTGCCATGTCCTGCCTTTTGGTCGAGCATGATTCGAGGATGATGCGGAAGCGACCAGTGAGGCGGATACAAGAAAAACGAGCAAGGAACTGCTGCAGCTGCAGCTGCGGCAACGGTGTGGGCACGCCTAGCTCCACCCCTAATAACTGGGAGTCATTCCTCCTAATTAGCTGCACTGCATGCAATAATGCTACTTGCCCATACTGCCTTGTGCTTTCTGATGAGCTTGTGCATTCTAGCGCTGGCTACCCATCTCATGCTATGCACCGTACTCCAAGTCCAGCAGTTTGAGCCAGAGACGTCTGTCGCCCTCCCTCACTCTGCACTGCCGTTCTCCCATCCCGATCATCCCTGCATCAAACTTCTCCGATCCAGCATCCATCTGGCCCAATATCAGGGTTCACGACTCCACTGGCTGGCTTCCGCGTCACGTCCCGCGCACCAGACGCATTGCAGCGTAAATCGGCACTATTGCCTTCCGGGCTTGAGACGTTGGGCATACTTCCGGGCAGCCAAAAGCTTGTCATTAGGGATCCATGGCTACTGCAGAGGTGCCGCCCGCTGCCCCGGTATGCAGTATCCATACCGCTTTCTGGATTCACCCAGATAGAGATTTCATGCAAGCTCATCGAATAGTGTCCTGCATTCACTAACAGTAGTCGTCAGTGGCTGCTCGCCTTCTACATGTCTGTTGCCGCGGCATTCAATCCGCCACCGGCACCCGTCCATAATCAAATTCAGCCAAGTGTCTGTTCTGTGGCTGAAACGACGGCGGAGTGCTGCAACGCTGATCTCCCATCCTCCTGGACAATTGACGTCAATTTATCCCACTCCCCTATTCTACATTGCGCAAGCTTTCGGGGCACTTGGGCATCCATGATTCTGGTATCCGGACGGAGGACTCGCGGAGCACAGCACTGTCCACACGCCGATCAGGCATCGATGCATGGATTTTCTCCCTCTGCAGTGAACTCTGACCTCGGTACACAGCCGATGGGCCCTGTTGTCATGCACAGCAGCACCACGCGACCCTGCCGGCGCTCGTGGACTGAAGATCATACCCCGTACGGAGTACAATGTACGTACAATGTTGGCTATCTTGGACCGACGCTACACTACTCACACTCCTCTGACACCGTTCTGCGAAATGACTGCCTTCTCCACAGAGGTACAGTACCCCTCCCTCGGCTATCGCCTCATTGTGCCCTACCATGCATAGTACTGTACTCTTATCAGATCCTATGAAGCAATTAGCAGGGCCAGTATCACTTTCTCGTGCCTTTTTACGTCAAGTCCAGACCATGGCTCTCTGCGATGTACTTCTCATCGCGAACATGGGCTCTTCGCTCGTGCCTCACATGGCTGCTCAGCGGGCAGTGGTTGGTCCTCCCGAGCAATCTTAGCCATCACAACTCTCGCCTTCAGTACTCCTCCCCTGACGTCCATTCATCAAGACCTCTCCACAACATGTGCAGTTCACCCACATCAAACCCCATCAATTTAGCCTGGTTGGCGGTCTGGTGGCCCCGCGTACCTGAAGCCCCTGCATCAAAACCCTCCCGCACTGCAGCCCTACAATTCGCACCTCCATGTATTTCCCTGCATTTCATTGTTTTCTTTTTCTAGTCTCGTGCTGCAGCCACACACACACACGCACACACATCAGCCCCATGCACGCGAGCGTGCGAAAAGTGCCGTTGAGCTTGGCAGGCACTGGACCGGGGGTAATTATCCACTTGAAGGCAGGGTATATACCCGAACGTCAGCGTCTCTGCGAAGAACCTGCGGGGAGGTCAGTTAACGTGAACGTGCATCCATTCAACTGTTGCCATCTATAAATCTGCCGAACGGACGGAACATCCACACACACACACACACACACACACACACACACACACACACACACACACACACACACACACACACACACACACACAGGTAAGCCGCGTGGAGTGATCGACATCATGAAACTGGTACGTGCAATGTCGGTTTGACCAAAGACATGGGGTTATCACGAGCCAGAAGTACCGATGCAGAACAAACGCCTCCGTCGCCCATGACGTTGACACCGCTAGAGCCCCAGATCAGACACACCGTAGACTTTCTTTTGGGGTACTGGAGATATCAGGTATCAGTCGAGTCATTCTGACAATGTTCGGTGACAATCAGTCCTCATGGTGTAGGTAGAATAGGCAAAAGCAAAGACAGGAGGAGTCCATCTAATCATGCAGCACTGGCGTGCTGCTCAAAATAATCTTTGTTCATTTTCGTTGCGCGTGGTATCTAAACTTGTAAAATGGGTCGTAATCCAAAAAGAAAAAACATATTCAGTGCTCCCTCCACATGCTCCTCAAGGTGGTGGCAGAGTTACGTTTCAAGACGCACCTGTCTCCTGTGCTCGCTCACTTCGCCGACAATCGGTTCACTCACTCAAGCGTCACCTTTCTCATAGTCGCTCTCTTACTCCATACTCGGAGAAGCCCGCCAGCGTGTGTGGCAGGCGGTTCAGCCCCTCCTCGCGTCGCCCGAGCCGTCTCCTAGCGATATAGGGCAGAGATCAGGCTCGTCCCTGGAACGAAGTTGACAGGGCGCAAGTGGTTGCCTGACAACCCGCACATCACGGAATTGCAGTCCTGGTTCCCAAGAAAGAATCTAGGGTGTCATATGGCGAGGAACCCGTACCCACAGCCTCAACAGCAGCAGCTTGAGGAGCTCCGCGTTCTCAGCTTTTCTTTGAGCTTTAGCAACCGTTTGTGCTTCGTCTGCATCCTCGATCAGAGTCGTAGTCACATACCGTTTGGGGCTTGATCATTTTCACAACAGTTCCGCTTTTGCTTTCTTTCTGTCAAGCAGGTAAAACCTGTGATCCCGGCGGTTCTTCTCCTTCGTCAATGGTTTGTGGCAGAGTGCCCCTCTGCGCGGGTTGGCCCTGCTCTTCAGCACTTTGCGCTTGACTGAGAGGACTCTTGTTGGATATCTGGTTCGCAAAGTGGGGGCTCTTGCGGTTATTATCAGTCGATGCAGCTCCAATCCCCTGTGCTGTATTTTCGCCCGAGACATATGGCGATGATGTCGAGTTCTTTTCTGAGGTACCGGTCTTATTTCTAGGGGAAACGCGCCCGTTCTGTAACTGTTAGTGTCCGGGGTCCCGTCGCTTGTCGCGCGAGAGACTAGAAGAACACAAAGGGTGAAAGAAATGGGCAAACCAACCTGTTTCGCCCACCGCAGCCCACAAGAATTGCAAAGGTCCCTCTGCCCACTGGGACCCCGCCGCCACTCCGGCGTGACCCGGGTGTGGCAGTTGGCGCAATCCTTCTCTAACTGACCCAGTCCCTTCCTCCTCTTCCGTTTCTTCCGGCGGCTTACAAGGCCTTGAAGTTCCTCAGCCAGCATGCGGTTCTGGCGCTCCATTTGTCGCAACTCAAATTGCCAAGATGTGCTCCGGGTGGTCTTCAATTCGTCAAATATGTTGTCCTCGCTTGCGAGTGCTTCGTCTTGGTTTCCGAGTGGCAAGCCGCCACTCCCTGCCTGTGTGATGACACCTGGATCGGTTCGAGGCGTAGTTGAACCAGCGGCAGAGCCAGCGGCGGCATCCGACATTCGATTCGGGGTCGTGCTGCCCTCACTCGCGACCGAGGAAGTAGGATTATTGTTCTTCTGCTGCAAAAGCATAGCTCGCGTCATTTTCAGCAAACGCGTCTGCGCAAGAACGAATGTAGGTTTGGCACCCTTTTTCGCGTCGCCAGGATAAATGGTGGTCTGTGCCTGCAGGACTTGACCCCGACGGTTCTGCAAATCATGCTTGAAGGTTCCCTTCTCGCCCACGCGGGCTCGCTCAAGGATGCGGAGGAATTCCCGCTTCGACTCAGGCCGCATCAAAGATTGCATGCTCACGCCGATCATGTCTTCGGGGAGGCGATCGAGCATAGCGCGCGAGTTGGAGGAAATATACAGGAACATTCCAGAGGTGGACAACTTGCTCCAGAGCTCGCTGTCACCGACGCCGCCGTCGTTGGAAAGTTCCTTTCTATCAATGGCGTAGACAGGACGCTCGCGGCCAACCATAATCATGCACTTACGACCTTTGCCTTGCTCGGTATGTAGGCAGCCGTGAGCTTCAAACCAGGTATAGCCTGAGTGTTTGCGTCGGATGCGATAGACTACATTGACAGGCGCCCCGCCAGCCGAGTCTTTAAGCTCCCGCGTAACAGGGACGATGTCACTGGGGTGGCAGACAGATGACAGCGGTGTGCCGACAAGTTCGTTCGCATCGTATTCTAGCACCTTTCGACTTGCTGGAGAGAGGTACAAGAACAGACCTTTGAGTGAAAGAACATGTACGACATCGTCCGTGTTTTCCAGGAGCACCTTGTCGAATATTCTGCGTGTCTGGTCGGTCTCACCGGCCCCGATGGCGCTCAACACCTGTGAAACTTCGTCCCTCGGGATTGTCTGGCCCATGTCGGTCAAGCCGGAGTTTGGATCTGGTGGAACCGGCAGGGAATACGCTGGCATAGCACTTCGATTGTAGTTGATCGCGTAGGTTCCGTCTGGATTTCTGCCACTTACGCTGTTCGGCTGCTCAACCAGGTCGACTTGAAAGCCCACGAAGTAGCGATACTCCTCCGTGTCCCAAGCGATTGGGATCATGGTCAATAGATTCATGAACGGCTGGCCACCCTTCCGGTAGTTGATCAGGCTGAGCTGTGCCTCGGCACGTTTGTTGATCTGGTTCTTCAGATAGAGCACGGATTGATCGTCGACATACTTGCGCTTGACGCCCGATTGAACTTTGCCATCTGGAGCTTGCAAAAAGCGGCAATTCCGGCCAAGGATCTCATACCGTGTGTAGCCTGTAAGACGCTCGAACATATCCGAGCAGTACACAATGGGAAGATCGTGCTTGTCGATGTCACAGACCACGAATGCGCACGACAAATCTACTGGGCCTATGTTGATTTCGGGTTTCCTACGGGTTGCGACCCTCATCTATGGGCTGTCAGCTCTTGCAACGATGGGAACTGCAAAGGGCTTACCAAAACACCAAGCATGTCGAAGCCGCTGGATGAGTAGGCATTGTGGAAACGAGATATACCAGGATCGGTAGGCCCCTGCATGGTTGGAAGTTGCGATATCTGTTCCATGGTCATTTCACCACCTGCGCGAGGTTAGTACCGGGTACGTTCAAGGAAAAATCACCTATACCATTATTTGTAAAAGGTGATTGCCCTTCCACCGACTGTCGTCGTGATAAAGGATTCTGCGCGTGGAGCGGTGATGGCATAACGGAATGACCAGCGGAGCCGCCAACCATAGATAGTGGGCTGGGTGCCATTGGCGCAGAGGGATTCCTGCGGAGAGATGTCTTCTTGTTTGAGAAGTTTTGCGGCATTTGACCAGCTGAAGTGCTGTTTATGGGTGTGTGAGGGCTCGCGACGTCCCCGTCCGGGTCGTGATTTGGGTGAGCATATGGGACGGGAAAGCCGGTCGACAGGGGAGATTCGCTATAAAGTGGTTGCTGCATGCCGGGGTGAACACTCATTGGCGTCGCATCGCCTGCCATCGCATCGAAGTCCATCGACATGTCCATGGCAGTAGGTATGTAGTTGTTCGGCTCCCCCGCCATTGAATGGCCCATCATTGCGGGCGAGTAAGTGGTGACATTGGGACTCAGGTCATAGCTCGTATTCATCTGCCGAAACTGGGTATTGAGGGCGAGATCTTCCTTCGACCGGACTCGGCGCGGGTCCAGCGCTTTCGAATGCGACACGATATCTGGCATTTGTTGCAGCTCAGGAGGGGCAGGATTGGGGTCAAACTGAAAGTCGGCCAAGTCGGTTGTACCGAAGGCCATCAGTGATGCTCTTCTTCCGCGGTTTTGATGCGCATGTTGGTTGAACTGGTTGGGATTATATACACTCCGTCGACGCATGAGCTCTTCATTGTTCTGGGATAGGATCTGATCCAGCGTCTCGGCGCCGGCATCGAGATTGTTTATGCTTGCGTCCTGCGGGTAGCTGCCAGAAGGGTCCATCGCCGGGTACGGCTGCCCATAGAGGTCTTGCATTCCATTCATGGTGGCTGCGGGGTGTTAACGGAGGGCTTCGACGATGGGAGATCAGGGACAGCTGAGGATGCGTGGACGGCCGATGAAAGGGCGAGTGAGGATCTGCTGTGGTGAGAGGTGAGGCGGATCAACTGGCTGCATCTCGAAAGCTCCAAAGAGCAGCGGTCTGAAGGAATGTAGGCGATGGATCAGCGATGGCGAGTGTCCCAACGATGCCGTCGACGTCGACGTCGGGTGTGAAGAGTAGAAGGAGATGCGACAAGGCAGTGCGGTGCTCGGGCTCAATCAGACCTCGGGAAGGGGTGGCTCACACTGGCTTGCTGTGCGACTTCAGATTAGGCACGCCCCATGCCCCGATTGAACTCTACTGCAGCCTCTTACAGCAGGGTTCCAGTTGGCAGCCGGCTTGGGTCGACATAATGAGAGGGCTAAAAGGTGGGCAAACCGCACGCCAGATTACCCTATGTCCCTGATTCGCGCATTGTGGGCGCAAGTGGCGCTACTGGATTCGCCTAGTCCAGCAAACATGGGCGAGTTGATTCCCATCTGGCACCTCCGTTATCCATCTGCGAATGCCAATGACGCCCACCAGGACCCCTAAATGGGCCCCCAGAGCCTTGGTTACGGGGTGGGATGAATGCAAATGCCGTCATATCCTGATCTACTTCTCATATCTCAATGACTGCTTCAAACTCGTTCCAAAATGTTTTGATTTTACAGATAAGTGAATGCGCTTTGATAAAGCCGTAACCATGATGGAATAAGGCAGCCATGTTAATCAAGGTGTATGCGACGCGCATACAATACCATTGTGGCCCACAAAACTGATGCCATCTACGCCCTGCTAAATTCAACAGGTTCAGGAGGGATGCCGCCATGCATCCCATTGCTGTTCAAATCCCAAACAGTTCATGCCCGACATATTCGTACATGATGCAGCAGAGCACCGCAGCTTAGGCATTGAGCAGCACGGGTTTCGCCTCGGGGGCATTGACAAGATTTTCAACGCCGAGAGCCTTTTGTGTAGACGCTTGCTGCCGATCCTCTTGCGGTGCCATCCTCGCTCGAGGTCTGCGTGTGATCTTGCCGCCTCTGGAGCCTGGTCCCGACTTAGGCCGTTCTTCTGCGTTCGGTGCGTTTGGCGTGGCGACAGAATCCCGCGCAGCAGCCGCAGCAGCACGAGAGCCTCGACCGCCGCGTGATCCAGGACCGCCGCCTCTACCTCGACCACGTCCCCCACGTTTGACGGTGCCGTCAGCCCTAATGAAACAGTCAGCATGCATGTCACCGGCAGAATATACGTAACATACCTCTCAATGGTCGGCTTCTCGCCCTCGGCTACCAGCGGGCCGCAGTAGACAAAGAACCCTTCTTTACTGGTGGCGGCTTGTGCCTCCCATACTTGCTCACTGTCGTCGACAAAGTCATCATCGAGGTCATATTCTTCGACCTTTCTCCTGCGTTTGGCTTTCTTTTTGGGCTCCTCTTCCGTAGCACTGTTACCCTCACCAGTGCCGTTAACACCTCCCATGGCCACATCGCCATCGTTCTCTGAGTCCCGATCGATGTCGACACTGCCGTCATCGTCGCCACTCTCGCCTGCTGAGTTGGCCTTGCTCCCGGACCCGGAACGCTCCAGCGCCGCACCGGCAGCAGCTACTCGAGCCAGTCGCTCACGTTGGGCAGCTTGTCGCGGGTAGAGAGCTGCAAACCCGTATTTCTCTTCAGCCATGCGGGCAAAGTTGACGACCTTATTTTTGGAGTCTTTGAGGTCCACATGAAGAACAATGTTCGGCCCAGTAGCGGTTGGATCGCTTTTCTCAACCAGACTCATCTCGCCGCCGAACATGCTAGCAGACAGCAGACCTGAACCAGTCGGCATTGGCGGTGGCTGCTCCTTAGCGCGAGGTTTGGGTGACGCCTGGCGTGTCGGTGCTTCCGAGGCTGGTTTCTTGGTCACAGATGTCTTGCGAGAATTTGTTGTGTCTGGCGGATCAACATCCATTGTGTGGTTGGGCTGTGGTGGGGATGTTCGTGGAGGCGCAACTTGGGGTTCTGACGAGGGGGTGACATATGTCCGCAGCGGTGAAGGAGCTGTAGGCATAGAAGGCGCAGGAGGGTCAATGAGGCTTGATATAGGTGAAGCACCAGGCCGTGAAACTGGTCTGGGCGGCGTGTGAGCCACATGCGATGAATACACAGGCTGAGGCTCTTGGACAGTCATAGATCCTCTGATAGGGTCATACATGGAAGTCACTCGTGGAGGTGTTGGTTGGGGTGGCGGCGCGGTGTGGTATGGTTGCATCGATGGAGTTGTGTTCGAGAAGCCGTTTTGGGGAGGCTTGGCAGCTTCAGTCATATCGCTTCGTGGCGCCGAGGTTGGGTGGCTCTGTGGAAATTGGTACGGTTCTACTAGCCTTGATTGCTGCAAGTTCGTCGAAGGTGGAATTGACTGAATCGTAGGTTGACTTTCCGCAGCTTCAACTTTTTGCTTCTTGCGTGCAGTGCCAGTCCCATTGGCGGCACGCGGTTTTCTAGCCGGCTTGGGAGCATCAGGATCAGCCTTGGGTTTTGTGGTGCGTGGCTTGCGAGTCTTCTTGACAGGTACAGAATCTTGGCGGTTTGCAAGCACTTTGGCCGGAGCTTGTGCATTCTGGTAAGGGTCGCCAGCAGGGTAATGCGTCGACGAGATCGACTGATGAGAATGGTTTTGCAAGCCATGCGGTGGTTCCGAATCGCTGCCAGGAACGCTGGAGAGGTCGACAGACGAACTCCGCTCAGGCGCCTGCATCATGCTATTTCGGGTGACACCACCCTGCGATCATCGAAAATAACTTCGACGTTGGTAGAACCGTGGTTTATGAGATGAAGATAAATCTCAGGAGTTCTAACGGAATCGTAAAAGTCGTCAAGAACGCGTAGAATGGAGAGAGACGATGCAATGTCGCGCGCGTAGCCCCTGGGTCGACAAAGTTTTGATGTACAGAGCGACAAACACCTTGTTGGACGACAGATTCGAACAGATACTACCCAACGGTAAGGGTGGGAGCGCCCTGGGGACACCCGAAGCAAGGCGGCAATTAGCGCGGACGATGGAACATGAAATTGTCCAAGGACACGGAATTGAGAAGACGGGTAGTTGACAAGTCAAGAATAAAGGCAGCAAGTGATGAACAGAGAAGAAAAAGCGATGCAAAAGAGGAGAGCGGATCATAAAAGACAGAAAGCTGGGCAAGGGCGAGCGAGAGCTAGATCAAGATGACAATCAGAGGGGAATCCGCCAGAGAAACTTGAGAGAGGTTAATTGACTTGACACAAGGACACGCCAGGTCCGACTTACGAAACCAAAAGCCTGCAGGCAAGCAGCAAAGCTGGAAAACTAAGACCATCTCCACGAGGAGGCAAGCACCAACGGCAGCCCAGCACCCTAACTTCGCCCTGGACCCGGCGCAAGCACGGGGCGATGCACAAAGCGTCAGACAAGGCCCGGCCAGATACTGGTACCTGAAGAAAAGAGCTGAGTCGAAGATGCGTTAAATGCATGCTGCACTGGCAGTGCACGAGGCAGCGGGTTTGGGGACGGAAAAGCGGGGCTAGCCTCATCTGGTTCTACATGGCAAAGAGCCGCGTTCTCTCCACATGGTCATTTCCACTCCTTGCAGCCGTAACGCTTGGATCGAGGCTACGACTACATCGTTGTTTTTGTTTTGTAGCCCACTGGTGACTCCAGCAACTGCCAATATTGGCAGTCACTGTAAGATATTAGGTAATTTTGCTGCCTGTTGAAGGAAGCTGCGGGTGCCTGGTGCTCCCAATGGTTTCCACTATCATTGGTTCCCAGAGATTCGTCGCCTTCCCGATCTATGAGCAAACAGCTTCATCAAGAGAAATCATCCCACGACAGAAACTCGCGGTACTTGCCCAAGCATCAATGCTCTTGAAATCTGCTTCGTCACCTACAGGATAAACGGTAGATGAAGGCATAGCTTCGAGATCATTAACCCGATCTTGGTGGACCCACCATAAATATTGCCTATTGGCCAACCGAAAACGCCTCCCGACTAGCGCGCAGATCCACCGGCCTTTATATCCGTCAAACCTTGGCGCTCTAAACTTGCGCCTCACCCTCACCAACGTCTGTTATTTCAAAGCATGGCCATTTCCGGGCAGCGCTTCGAGCTCGATCTCGATGCAGAGGACTTTACCATCAATCCCATCGATGAGTCTTCCCTGAGCGAAGCGTTCCGGATCAAGGATATCCAAGAACACGAGCCCGCAGACGTGCCCGCCCCTCCGCAACCGAAAGCCACAAGTACTGGCTTCCCCGAGCACAAACAGCGTAAAGTCTCGCGCTTCAAACAGAAGCAAGAGCAAGTGCGTCACAATGGAATTGAGCAGCTAAAGTCCCGCGGACCGTCTGATGCGGCTCTGGCGCATCGGCTAAGCCGCAAGCAGGGCGTTGGCGCTGAAGCAGATCAAAAAACCGAGATCAGTGAGGAGAATGATCGCCGCATCGCTGCCATGTCTACCCAAGAGATCGAAGAGGCTCGAGCAGAGATAATGGGGACCTTGAGCCCAGCACTCATTCAGCGGCTAATGAAGAGATCTAGAATTGACGACGATGAGATGCAAAATGACATAAACCTTCCTACACCAGGACAAAACGTTCCATCACACCCATCGACCGAAGTAACAGAGCCGCCAATCAGAAAGGATGTTAAGACCGCAGCAGAACTTCTCTCCAGCTCTGGAGCACAGGATGTCCAACCTCCTGCAGACATCGGGGCTGATGACCCAGATCCTCCACCAACTACGATTCACCCCGAGCCATCAAACGTCCACTTCCCCGTACCTCCGCGCTCGCCCTCGGACTTTCGCCCGCTCGATCCCAACTCGCCCACGTTCCTCTCAGACCTGAAGTCCACATACTTCCCCGAGCTGTCACATGCGCCGTCCCCAAACGCCCTCGAATGGCTGCAGTCACCGTCCCCACAAGATCTCGAAGCATCCTCATATTCTCCCGCCCTGACCTCATATCCCGCTTCCTCCATCCGCTTCTCCTTCCGCGGCTCTCTCATACCTCCAGCTACCTCCCTGCGACTGCCAACCAGTCTCGGCCTGCATCACCACGGCGACGCTCCGGATTCAGCAGGCTACACCATCCCAGAACTCACACTCCTCTCGCGCTCGAGTCTGCCGAACCAGCGGTGTGTCGCCTACCGAACACTCGGTCGCATCCTTTACCGGTTGGGCAAGGAGGAGTTCGGGCGGCGGGGTAGCGAACTATATGAGGCACTGTGGGCAGAGTTTGAGAAGGAGCGTACACTGGAGTTGGTCATGACCGAGGCCGCTAAGGAAAGAGGACACGTCAGTGCCAAAGCGTACGCGACAGAAGCGCTGTGGTTGTGGCGCAAAGGATGTGGCGGCGAGAGAGGCTTGAGGAAGCCGGGCGAGAGAATGGCGATTTAAACGAATTGATCTCCCTACTCCTGAACACAGAGCGTTCTATGCGAAAGAGACATGAGCAAGCTGCGAATGTGTTCCTCGCAAAGTCTTGAAGAGCCGCAGGCACCTCATTGCGTCAGGCTCAGGCCCACACCCAGCACCCTGGGGAGCGCGCAACACGACCTGCCAGCGGCGTTGTGTACTTTGGTTTCGTGGCAGGGTTCGTCGATGAACACAGACTTCGATAGATACTCGTCAAATCGACGATAGAGCAGAGAATAGAGTAACTAAATGACTAAACCTTTCTGCATTTCAGGCCTGTTCATCTGCCGCGGCGGAGGACATGTGTCGATAGTTATATTTCACCCAATACACAAAGAATTGCACCGAGATCTCTCATTACATTCGCTGCAAGTCCACATACCCAGAATGCGGAATCCCGCATTCACGTCGATTCCATAACATACTGCTACGCAAGGGAGGGGACGCAAGCAGCCAATTATGTTCTATAGCCGCCGTCTGGACTGCACGCAAATACGCTGATTATGAAGGTGAAGATGAAAAAGCTGCGCTTTCGTGTCTGTGCTTCGCGTCCGGAAGCAGGATATGCGTTAGTTAACCCGCTCATGCCTCACTACCCTCGACTTTTACAATAGCCATGCTAAGCTTCTCGCACGTCTTTGTAGTACGCACCACCCGTTGAGGTGGCCACCAGCCCCCAATGCAATGTATCTGGCACCTGTGACCTCGGCTGGACCCGTACCGAAGGCGCCCCTCCCGCTATGCTGCCGGTAACGTGGCTGTGGTCTCATTTAGACGCTATGGCATGTTAGTGTCCGACCACACTGGCGAGGGGAAGAAAGGGAAGAACCCACTAGATTTCAATCGGACTGATCTGATCAAAGCTGAACAGCCAGTTGCTGCCGGCTTCGACTTTCTCGAGCCTGTTCCGCGGTCAGTGCTCTTCAAATCATATGCGCCGACCCATTAAATGTCGACCCAGGTCAGCCAAAAGAGGGGTACATACCAGTCGTAAGGCCAGGCAACCAAACGCCCCTGCACGCATTCTAACAACTCCTCTGCCTCCTCAACGCTGAGAATATCGTCACTAGCCGAGAACTCCCGCCTGCTACTCCGAGTGGTCGCTCTTCTTCTGCGCTTCTGGGTGCCACCCGCAGCGCTTGTGCTGGGCCCGCCTGCGACGCCCATGTTGTGGTTGAGAACATCTGAGTACGCCATTATCTTCTCACCGCTGCTTCCCGACGCGTTCGTCTGGGGGCTGTTGAGGGGCGCGAAGCTGATACTGTCGCGCCGGGAGGCAGCGGTCGCGGTGGCATCCTTGTTACCATCCACGCTTGCGACAGCTGTGTCGCCAGCAGGGATATGATTGCTTTTCTCGTCCGTGATCCCACCACTGGAGTTGGGTTTGCTGGAATCGCTAGCTGATGTTTCTAGACGACCGGGCTCGTGCTCTGGGACAGTGGGTAGGCCGGCCGCTTTCTCATCCAATTCTTTCTCGGGCATGGTATCCCGGCGCGTCAGAACCTTACCCTGCCGCTCAGCCTGTTTCTCATTTGCTTCCTTGGCCCAAGAGCGCAGATCTTCCTTCTCACGGCGCACCAAGTCCTCTATGGGTTCCTGCCCTGCGATCTTCTTTCTGAGGGCTTCTTTGACTTCGGATCCTTTCTGGGACATGTCGGTGGGCACCTTTTTCAAATTGGCAAAATTGTTTGCAACGGCCATTGATGGGCTAGTCCCGGCGCCAGGCGGTCCTGTGCGAGTGGCCTGACTCGAAGGAACCTTGTCCTCTACGGTATCAGTGCCCTGCAGTTGCTCAAAACGCTGTTCATATTTGACGTATTGCTGGTATTCGGCCCAATCGCGGACAAGGTTGTCGGGCATGCAGCGAAAGACGGTGCGGTAGATCTTGGTGTTGTTCTCAGCAACAGCATGCCAGGTGTCTTCTACGAAAGACTCAATCACAGGATCAAGCATGCAGTCACGATCGACGAGCGGCCGACGCAGCTCGTTCATCAAGGGATGGTGTGGATGATAAGAGTCTCGAGTGTTGAACTTTGCTAGAGCCGGGCCCCCTATATCAGTATCGTCCTCTTGCGGAAGGGCAGGTAACTGAGAAAGCATGGGAAGACCCAGTTCCTCGGTGTTCATACGTTGCGTCGTCGGACGTGGAGGCATAGGCGGGTTTGGTGTTTCCATCTTGGCAACGTAAGAGGGTAGGCGAGCGTGTTCGCCTTTTCGCCAGGGCGTTGAAAGTGAAGTGTGGCCTTCGGAGTCGAGATTGGTCATGAGCACTTCCTTGGTGTCCTTGACGAGAGCAGTGTCGCGACCAGTGCCGTAGCCTTTGACCTCAATATCGTGCATGTGGTCAAAGCCATGTCCTACAACGTCCTGTCTGTGGGTGTCGTTTTTAGTCACTCGGTGATCCTCAGTCACCTTACGATTAGCTTTGAGATTGGGGTTGTCCGCTTGTTCCCAATCAACATCGTGGTTGAAACTCATGAGTTCTTCGTGTCTCTTCAAAAGCTCCTCACGCAACTCCCCACTCGAAGTTCCACGGGTGGTACGTCCAAAAGCTTTCTCAAAGGCGGCTCGAGTGCGACTATCGTCGTTGCCGAGCGGGCTAATGTTATCACTGACAGCCGACTGTGGGGACAGATACTGGCTCTCATCATCCTGTGGTGATTGAGGCCGTCCCTCGGCGGCAGCTGTCTTGTTATGTTCTTGCTCCATGGCTTGCGCGTCTTCCATGATCTTGTCAACATCGAGACCTAGATGCTCCCGCATCAAGCGCATACGCAATGTGTGGGGAAATCTGCCGACTTGATACGGTTGTCCGTTCATTCGTGACCAAAGCATGTCTGTATCGCGAACGACAGCGGCACATTCCGAATCTCGGTTCCCAAGCATAGATCGTTCGTTGATGTTCGCAGAACCTATGATGGCCACACGGTCGTCGACTATCATGCATTTCGCATGAATATAGAGCTGCTCTGTAGCTAGAGCATTGTTGGGGCCGATGCGGCCCCACTGGCGCAAGCTGTAGAATTGGATATACTCTTCGGGCTCGATATTTTCTGCACGTAGACGACCGAAGATCGATGACTCGCCACGACAGATACTGCGGTACTGGTACTGCATAATGAGACGGACGCTGGTGCCTCCCTCCTGTTCGACTGTGTTCTGGAAGCCAGGTATCAACGGAATTACAATAACCGCCCGCCATGTCTCTTCGTTCTTGTGCGCACGCGTTATACGTTCAATAAGAGCATCTCCAATCTGGTTGAATATTGTCACCCGTTCTGTTTCACAGCTTGAGATGAAGAACTGGTTTTCGATGTAGACAAAGTGCTCAGACTCTTCTATCATCTTCACATAGGCGTTCATGATGCTATGCTCTGTCTTCTCCGGAGTTCCTAAGGACCAAGCGCCAGCAGAGCGAAGGATTTGTACTTCACAAGTGCCATCGAGGCCGAGTGCCTCCAGGTCTGCCGGAACAAAATCAGGCGGGGGGAGCAAGAACGGTGTAGGCCGTGTCGGCTTTCGCTGTCGCAGGATGTAGTTCCACCGCTGTACAAAGTGCCTAGTGAGATCTCGGGCTGGCTGGCCAACGACTTGCATCGAGATATCATGCCACGGCATACGGGCAGTCTTCTGTCGGTTGTACATCTCTTCGTAAGGCTTGTTGAGCTCGTAAAAATCTTGTATCCGAGGATTCGAATAGTCTTTACCCGGCCAAAGCTGGCAGTGGTCTGCATCTTTTGGCTCTTCACTGGGCTCGAAACCGGTTGGTTTATCATCAATCAGAGTGTGCTGAGGAGTATCCCACCTTCCGAAACAGAGGTCGATACCACCAACAAATGCAACAGTGTGGTCGACAATGCATATCTTTTCGTGGTGAGCCCAAAAGAAGGTGTTCTGGCGAAATTGATTCGGCGACCGCTGAACGAAGACGTTGGGATGCAGGTCTAGTAACGAGAACTTGGTGTATTGGGAGTCGATGGGAATGGCAGATTCAACGTTTCGGTAGACGATGACAAACACTTTCACACCTTCTTCAGCTTTTCGCTTGAGAAGTCGATCGAGACGCCACTTCTGGCTGATAGCTGGCGGTCGTCTCATGTACAACTCAGGGCTGAGCCACCAATCGTGGATATAGATGACGTCTTTCGCCTGATTGAGGGCCCTTGAAACAACCCACATATAGTCTCTTCCATCAACTAGCCACTGGGCGAAACATTTTGTTCTCACCGGCGCAAAGCTGTCAAATCTAGTTGGGTCACACCACGGTGAAACGCTCACAGTTGAACGAATTGACGCTTCAAACTGGTTCAATTGCCGCTCGTTGCGGGCCAGCAACTTGAGTCTTCTCTCGCTATTGTAGAGCTTGAGTCGGTGATGTTGGGGATGCTTTGCCGTTTCACGAGCAGCTTCCGCGATTTCTTGTGCTTTAGAGCCCTCTTTGATCCGTTTCCTATAGGATTGGATGCGAAAGTCGGAATCGAAGAGAAACACATCGTATATGTGCATCTCTTCCGGCGAGTCGACGCAGACCACATAGCTGTGCCTAACCAGGAACCATTTCGGAGCGTAGCGTCGGGTGACAGTCTTGATGTTTTCTGGTGTCAGAACTTTGCGAAAGTCGACTCCTTTTGCGGACTGGATCATCAGATACCCTTCTTTGCCATGGTAGCTACCTTCGGCTGCTAAACGCATGCCCAGAGCCGAGACTTCAAGAAATTTGCACAAGCGATTGCTGTCTGCCCGGAAGAGCATGAAGCTGATCATACGCTGGAGATATATCTCAAGCCGTTTGCGCGCTTGTTGCCGTAGCCGTTCGGATACAACAGGATCACGTCCAGAATTGTCGATGCTGGATCTGCGGCGGATGAGTGCAAAGGATGGACGGTTCCAAGGTCTTGGTCGTTCTGTGTCTGTTTCAGCGCCTTCCTGTTGCTGTTCATCGTCCTCATCATCTTCCTCGTCGTTGAAACCGAAGTCTTTTAGAAACGGGAAGGCTTTGCGGGGGAACTTTGGCATCTTCTCGCCAGCATCTCCACGACCTTTGAGCTTTTCTGAGCTGAAGTGGAGCTTGTATCTGGCATGTAAATTTACAAAGTCTCGCAGCGACCGATTGATAGTCCACTTCATTCGGTTAATGCCGCTGCCGTACTCGAGCTCGATCCTGAAGATGATATGGCGGTCTCCAGGCGTTGGATTCTCAGGGTCTCTGAACCGATCCACCTCAGAATCTGTGACCTGCACCTTGAGCTGCTCGAGCAGGACTGGTACCCTTCTGTTGTTGTTCTCGTCTCTCTGAAACATGCTGGCGAGCATCAGGGCCGCTGGACCTCCAGCTTGAAGTTCGGCTAATAATTGTGCTGACTTCTGGTGGTCCTGCGTCCGCTCTTTCTTCTTGCTCTGCCCTAAAGTTTGTATCTTCTGTCTGAACTGTCGCCACTTCTGGGCACTGAGTGTTGTACCACGTTCGGTAAGCATTTTGCGACGAGATGTTTTGGGTGTTTCAGATGCTTCACCGTCTCTTCCAGGTGAGCGCTCACGTGCTGAAGGGAGCGTGGTTAGCATACGCAGGCCAGACAGAGCCGGTCTGCCTTCTCGATTTTCCACACCTGTATCACTGGGTTTCCGCTGACCCCCGTAACTGAGGCCGCGAAGGGGATGTCTGGGCGTCCAGGTCGCCCCGAGCTTCTGTTTACGTCCTTCATCCTCCGACACCCCTAAGTGATCGTTGTGGGCATCGTTATCCGTCGCCCGTCTCGTTAGTCGGCCGGGATGCTCGACATCGGAATGCAGAGGTGCACTGACGAGCCCAGACCTCATGGGACTGTGCGGCGATGGTGGGGCGGTGTCTATCTCATCGACGAGGCGGGACCTTGGTTTGCGGCGCCCTCTCGAAGGGCCCGTTCGCTCATTGTTTGTCTCTGCTCCGCTCTCCTCCGCATCCGCATCAGCGTCACTATCAGCCTCTTCAAGAGTTGCGGACAGACCCGTGCCCTGTCGGGGAAGCGGAACAGATAGATGGCCGTCTAACTCCTTCCCGTCGCCGGACCTTGCGCTTACATTACTAGGGGTGCGCGTATGGGCGAAGCCTTGAGACGTGGCGAGTGCTCGGAGTTTCGAATACAGGGATTGTGACCTCGGCTCTCCACGGTCTATTGCTGACACCGGTGGTGTCTCCTGGCCTGCATCCGCGGAATCGTACTCTTCTGTGTTACCGGAGAACTGGACGCCTTTCCGCCCAGTCGGAGGCGTCGCAGTGCCGTTTTGATCTGCATCTCTTTCTCCTGTGTGCCCATTGAGGCTCACCGGTGACTGGTCGGATAGTTTCGACCGGCCTGGTCTTTTCAGAGCCGAGAATGGCTTCGAAGTAGAGGTTCGTGGTGAAGTGCGATCGGGAGACTCATCGTTAGGGGTCCGCGCAGGAGGAGTCGGGGATAGGAACGAGGTAGCATCGCGGGCAGGGGTTCCTGACGGCGGGACTACCGAACCTTCCTCTTTCCGAAGAGCATCATTATTGACACCTTCACCCAAGGACTCCGTATTGGTGTCCAGCTTCAGCTCCGGCGGAGGCGTTTCGGTAACTTGGGGTGGTGAGGCAGCAGTCGTTTCCGCCATTCGCGGCGAACGGAGATGATGGAAGCCCAAAGATCCTTTTAACGTCCCATGAATGCCAGTGATACCCTCTCGATTGCGGAACAAGGCAATTCGTGCGACCGCGACTCAGAGGCGCGGCTCGAATAGTTTTAAGACGCGGAGGAGGCGTGGTCCAGCATGTGATACCTAGTCCTCCGGCAAGCGTTCAGGGTCGATGCAGTCAACTGGCCTGGGCAACGACGTCTCTTTCGTGAGATGTAGGGCAATTAAATGGGCACGTTGTACCGGCTGGGCCTGCGGAGTGATCACTGCACCAATATGTCTTTGTTGCCAGTTGACCCTACAGACGTGCCCAGTGGAGTTAAGATGGAGCCAAATCTGGGAAACGAATCTCGAGCCGTCGACTCAGCACTGCAGCTACAGGGGTCCTCCATGCCCCACCCACCTCCCCCAGCACATTACAAGCACAGTCTCGACCATCGTTGCCATTAGGTTACTTAGAGGTTTGTTTCTTCAAGCTGCAGTCTTGCACGTTCATACGTTAATTCGTGGGGTATCAAGGTCGGGCTCAGAAATCCCGCTACGCTTCATTGCACTGTATCGTGGTAATGCTGCCACCAGCATCCCATACAAGAGGCCACTACCAAATCACCCATCTTCAGCCCCTCATCCTCCAGTATCAGCTTTCCAAGTTTCGCACTATCACCCTTGAATCCTCCTCCGGCCTTTTCACGGCCGAGCTTCAGACTCAAGCGATAGTTCTCATCGACAAGCTCAGCGCCGCTAGGCAGCTTCCGCTCGACTGCATTATCATCGCCGGAAGACTTGCCTTCCCGTAACTCTCGCAATAAGTGTTTCGAGTCGTGCTTGAGCATCTGCATGCTTCGACGAAATTGCTCCTTCTTGGATTTACCGATGAGTTCAGATATTGGTAACTTCTCAGGCTCCGATGCAGACTGCCGGTTGGCTTCTCTCGCGCGCAGGATCGACCATGGGAGATTCAGCCGGAGCTCTGCCACACCAGCTCCTTGCTCGCCGATTGCATTGCTGTTTGTGGGGAGAGAGTGCCTCAGACGCAGACTCTTGCCATCAACCCCGTTACTGAAAATGCACATTCCTTGCCATGGCGAAGTGAAAGAGTAGACCTGGCGCGGCTTCTTGTTGCTCGATCCTTTTGACTGTTCGCTGAACTCGTTGGAACTGACTCGTACGTCTTGCAGGCTTGTCTTCTCGTCGGCAACAGTGCGAAATCCGACGTATCGCCAGAACGGGTTGCCCCTGGGCGGAGAAGGGGATCTCAGTAGATCGAATGAAGCCCGCTTGACAGGCGAGGCAGTATCCGGCATCTGCGCAAATCGTGTGTATCCAGGGCTCGTGAGCGTAACTTCGACAGGCTGCAGGGGTGATAAATGATGGCGCCGAGTACCTACCCGTATGCTACCCACATTCCACTGAGCACCCGAGGTCGGATCCCGTCTAATTAACGTCAACTTGGTGAAGTGGCTCGGAATAATATCCGGAGATGGACTACTTGGGCTCTCTTGCCGTGTAAGCGCAGACAGAGTTGCTGCATCGAAGGAAGGTGGCTGCTCAGGAATCTGAAGTTTGGTAGGAATATTGGCGGACTCGTCGACAGCATCGCGGGGAGACTGATTATCGTGATATGCGACTCCTGTCGAAGGCATCGGTCTTGCGCCACGGGGCTTTGACTGCTTTGCTGTAGTGTCAACCCCTAGTCTGACATGGCTACCTCTTGCAGCATATCGATCGTACTGCTTGTTACTATTATCGCCCGCGGGTTGGAAATCGGGGTAGCTTTTGGGTGGTGTAGGCGGCCTCCGTGAAGGCGGGTAGTTGGCGAAACTTGTAGGTGGCAAAGGCTTGCGCTGAATGGGAACAGGAGGTGGTCTGTTTTCATCGGAGGCCCGTCGTTCAGCCTCGAGCGATTGTTTGACTACTTCATCATCGGCGGTTTCGACGTGTAAATAGTATAGACTCGTCTGTATCGCATCGAGGCTTATCGAAGCCTTCGTCGGAGGTTTTAGAGGCGTTAGGACAACGTCTCTACTGCCAGGCACCCGGACAATGTAAAGTACGAGGGGCTGATGCGACTTGTGAGTTGGATTGCGGGGATACTGGGGCGGCTGCGACAGTAGTGCGGTCAGCGACGCCAGAGAGAGAGCTTCAACAGTCGCGGTGGTCATCGGTATACAATTCGACAGCTTGCAGATGCGCCCTGGAGACAGCGCATGTCGCGGGAAGATCTGTGTGAGAGTTCAAATTGAGAAACAAAAGTGAATAGACTTAGGAAACAGTGATGCCTGGTCAGTCAATTTCCCAAATTGGGGCAGCCAGCGACAGCGAGTCACATAAGGACACCTTGGGTCATTTCGAGCATCATTGGCATCATTTGAGCTGCTGCGGTGGCTAGAGCCAAATGTAATCCTCGGAGGCTGTGTTGATGATGGAAGTCCTTGTCTTTTTCTGACCTTGAGGCAAAAGGCCTACGTCAATCGCCTACGCACCCTCGTACTCCTAACATCATCTTACAACAATAGCCTCCACTTGCCCCCGTCAGCGCCACCAGAGGTCGACAAAATTGACGAGCAGGCTCTCTGCTGTAAGTTCGCGGGGCCTGCCCGTTAAATTTGAGCGACTCTTGTTGTAGGCAATATTCTGTAAGACCAACACCAGGATATCACCCGCTTCCTGCGCCTTGTACCAGGCTTCTGCTGCTTCACGCCTCGCTTAACGCCTCATGGCGGCGTAAATGAATCCCTGCTACCGAGTTGGTGGAGTAGGGATCTGCACGACAACCGCCCAAGGATGTTGAGCATCCTCAAGCGGATCATGAAGCTCATCGCCGCCCCTTGTCACGTCAGCTAGCCCGGGCAGCGCTTAAGGGCTCAGCGCGTCAGCGCTATCTCACCGTCTAACTCCGCCCTCTCGTCGCCGAGGGCGATCATGGCATCAATGCCGACGCCCATGTCCGGGGGCGTCTTACCCGCGATCTGTGCCAACGGCCAAAGCACGGCGGACCGTTGTCTTTATCTTCCCCCACTCCTGCAACATCAATGCCCAGAAATGCCCAGCTCGCCGCCTCCGCCCCCAGCGCTGATAACGACCACTCCTGAAGTGCAGACTTACCAGTCTGTTTGTGCCAGGGGCGGGAAACGTGGAGCGATCTGCACCGGTCCCAGTTCTCCGCAAGCTGGGCACATCTTCCGGCTGTTTCCCAGCAGTATTGCAGGTCGCACAAGCGACCTTCTGGAAGTTCTTGATCTTGACAAGGTCTTGGTTGATCCAGGCACGAGATAAGGTCTGCCTCGCGCGGGCAACGGTATTGACGCGATAAATGCCAAGGTAGGTCAAAATATAAGTTGTGCAGGCCGCCCCATCATGCTCAAGTGATGCTGTGACTACTATTTCTAGGCCTTGTGTGCACAGGACGTGAGTAGGACTTTACACACTCATGGCGGCAAACGACAGCTCGGCGCCATCATCCACCATAGACGCGGAGAAGGGAGGTGGCGGCTTCAAAGATGACGTGGTTGCTACACAGACAGATGTTGAGACGGGCCTGGAAATCAACACAGTCGCTGCAACCGCTCTGGTCCGCAAACTTGATCGATGGATTATCCCACCTGTGATGCTGCTTTACTTGTTCAGTTTCCTCGACCGCGTTAACATCGGCAATGCTCGCCTCTACGGCCTGGAAGCAGATCTCAACATGAGCGGCAATCAGTTTCAGCTAGCCGTGTCTCTCCTTTTCGCCACCTACGTGCTTGCAGAAGTTCCGTCGAATATGGTTATCAAGAAGTTGAAGCCTTCTCGCTGGATTGCGTTCATCACCGTGGGATGGGGCCTGGTCGCGACCTTGACGGGCGTTGTTCAGAGCTACGGAGGTCTTCTGGCCTGCAGATGTACGTCGAGACGTCAAGATTGAAGAAGCAAATGCTGATCAAAATTCGTAGTGGTGCTCGGCGCTCTTGAGGCCGGCTTGTTCCCCGGCAGTAGGTATCACTGTGATACCAATCTGATCTGGCTGACACGGTGCAGTGTGTGTCTATTTGACATTCTTCTACACGAAGCAAGAGATAGCTCTAAGGATCGGCTATCTTTTTGTATCTGCGGCCGTTGCCGGCTCCATGGGAGGTCTCCTCGCCTACGCTATTGGCTTTATGGATGGCACGGCTGGTTACAGTGGCTGGCGCTGGATCTTCATCATCGAAGGGATTCCGACCGTCGTCCTGGGCTTCCTGGCCTGGTTCTGGCTTGCAGACGACTCGGACAGCGCTTATTACCTAACCGAGGCCGAGAAAGAGCTGAATCGGGCTCGTAAATTTCGCCAGATCGGCTACACGGTTTCAGCAGACGAATTGCACAAGGAAGATGTTATCAAAGGTATCCAGGACTGGAAGATATGGGCTTTTTGCTTCGGAATGTTTGGTATAGACACAATGCTTTACGGCTATTCCACATTCCTCCCGACGATTATCAGAGGTATTGGCAGCTGGTCTGTGGCTCAAGTACAGGCTCTGACCGTCCCATGCTACGCTTTGGGAGCTGGGACGTACCTGCTGGTGGCATACTTCTCCGACAAGTACCAGAAGAGAGGTATTGCGGCGGTGACTTTCTGCTGTGTTGCAGCCATTGGCTATGGAATACTCATGACAGACTCGTCGCCTGGAGTCCACTACTTTGGATGTTTTGTCGTTGCTTGCGGTATGAGATCCAGCAACACCCGAGAAGTGACGCTAAGCAAATCGCAGGCCTCTATGTTGCAGTTGGCATTCCTCTAGCCTGGCTTCCGACCAATAATCCAAGATATGGCAAACGAACCTATGCCACAGGTATGCAGTTGACATTCGGAAACTGCAGTGGTATCATGGCTCCTTTGTAAGTGGATTCAGCGATATTTCATAACGAGCACACTAACAATGAGACCAGCCTTTATCAGACACATGAAGCGCCCCGCTATATCCGTGGACATGCTGTGACCCTGGGTGTGGTGCTGGCGGCTGGGGTCATTTTCCTCTCAATGAGCCTTTACTTCATGAGGAGGAACAAGGCCCGCCGGAACGGCGAGGAGGACTATCTAATGGAGGGGAAAAGTGAGGAGGAAATTGCCGAGATGGGTGACGAGCATCCAAGATTCGTATTTACATACTAACGCCAATGCATGTCAGTTAGTCTAGATAATAGATTCTATATGCTTACTGCCAGAGGTAGCTTTACATACGATCAATGATTCGCTCTTGGGTAAAGTGAGAACCACAGTGATTGATGATCGTCGTTTGCTGTTATAGCCAATAAGAGTCTTGTACGAGTGTGGTGTGTTCGCGGAAGCCGAGCCATGGGATCGCAAAGGGCTGCCTCATAGTTACCAGAGCCTGACAAAACTGACGGGGAGGCTCCGTGAAGTTATACCAGACCACACGCAGAAGCCTCTGTTGAGAGCCCAGGGAGCCTATGCATCAATTTGTCGACCCCTCTTTCGTCATTGTGGGGGCTGCTCGTTGGTAACTGACATATAGTGACATGATCGAGGCCACTTGCGCGTTTCTGCGATATGGCATTGTTGCTGCTCCAAGTTGGGCACGGAAGACTCAACCGCGCCGATTGAAAGTGGCTCGCCCTATACATACAACTCCCACTCACCCGAGATGCAGGTCTGAGTGATCAAGTAAGACTGAACAGGAGATTGCCGAACGGGGTGACGAGCATCCAAGATTTGTGTTCATATCTTGACCATTTTGGATTACCGACGTGGTGGGTTCCGTTGTACTTGTGCAGGGGTGTCAAGGTGTTAGAAGACGAGGGCACGAGGCCCTGGGTTCTCGCGTAAGGGGTCATCCACCCAATTGGCAAAGGGTCATCTGTCCATGCAGAACCTGTCACTGTTCATGATCGGAGGGCGTCTTCAATCCTTTCCATCTTCCCGTCTAGCTGTTGGTGCTTTATGCTAGTGACGTGTCACAACATCACGAACTGATTGATTGGTTAGTCAGGACAATCACTCGATATGAGGCGGTGGGACTGCGGGACTTGATGAAGGCGCCCGGCATCCAATCCCACCTGTACTGACCCAGGCCGCTGTCTGCCTGAAGTCTTGGACGAGGCAAAGGCAGAGCTCGGCGGCTTTACACACAGCAGGCAGCTAAAGAAGCGCCAGAGGGGCAAAACCAGTCATTGCACCGGTACGACGAATACTCGTGGCTCATACGGCGCCTCCACCTCATTGCATGGGGGCCGTGTTCGACTGTGCCTGAGTCTTGAATCTGAGGGACTAGCACACCGAGGTGCGCGACCATTGTGACTGTAAGCAGTATTTTGCTGAACACATGCACTAGGTGTCATCCTAAAGACAGAGCATGATTCCAAGACCCGGTCCATTGAGCCTATTGCAATCTCGATCCCTATTGCTCGGTGGGTGGAACGAGACGAGCGTTGGGGTCTCCTGAGCCAACCGCAGCATCATTGGGCGCGGGAGCATTAGGCCTTTGCCCCGGTTATGGTCAGAGAAGCCTGGCTGATGGATCCCGGTTTCAGTAGGTCATTGGCTGACGAAGCTCGATCAGCAGCTGTGCAAGCTCGCTATTGGAGGCAGGGCATCAGACAGTGGCCAGAAGCAGCCCCTTGAGAGCCCAAGACCAGCCGCGACACGAAGCACAAGTTCCTCCCGGCGCCAGAATCCACAACAAGGCTGCTTTATCATTGGCAAAAGCTGCCTCACTGCACCTGAATTTAATTCCTCTCATCAGCCCACCCCGCCAATGTGGGGGATATCACTCATCAACATTCTCGAATTCCTCAACCAGACCAATTTCGAACCACGACATCGCCAAAATACTCACCCCTGAAATTGCAGGTCTTCGGCGAAATAAAACGCCTGACGGAGGCCGTTACAGTTCGCTAGGCTTCGGTAGAGGACCGCAGCCGTTCCCAGCAGTAACCTGGTCCAGTGTTAGTGGGGCCAACTTGGCGCTTAAGCGATTTGGGTGCCCCAATAACACGCCCGTCCCGTTCCTCGCCGTTCCTTCAACTTATTAGCGTACCTTCACCAACAACACTCTCTTTGGGTGACGACCACAGTATCTTCTACGCGACCATGCCATCCACAAGCTCGAACTATCCTTACACAGTATCTAATAGTTACAAGGGGTAAGATCATACTTGCTTGACCAGGCAATTGTCTCACTGACGTCTTCAACAGGGGCCTCTACATGCGTCAATACTCTAGAAACGTTCGACGCGCCTGGGATGGCGAGGACTACCGACCACCCAAACGCATGCGACTGCAGGATGATTCCACATCGACCGAAACGCGGCAGCCTGTCCACGACAAGGAAAATGTCTTTGATCTTGAGGACAACCTCGAACGCGCTATTCGCGAAACCAGCATGACCGCGCTCTCTTCCTCACCTTCACGCAAGAACAGTACCGTCTTCTCAGGCGAATCGCTCGAAGACGATGGCGCCAGTACCATCACGCCTCCATCTTCGCCGCCACCTCTTCCTGCCTTACAGCTTACACCTCCCAAAACCAAACCGCGTAAGCCCACCTTCGCCTTCCTTGAGAAGTCCAAGAAAGACAAGCCAAAACAGCCGCTCAAACGCAAGCACGACGCGTCAGCAGCTCCTCGACGCGAGGAGTCCGAACCTTTGGTGGAAATACACAATTCATCCAACATTCCGACACGCGCAGAGTCAACAGTGCCTTCGTCCTTTCAATCCATCAATGGCCCGTCCCGTCCTACGCCCGCGGCCGCGGCCGCGCCTACCTTCCCAGGTCTTATCAAATCTGCCACACCAAAATCCCTTACTCAGACGCGTCTTGATTTTGGGCAATCTCTTGCGGCTATCACTTGCACCGCACCCGACTGCGCCATGACCTACACTCCCTCCTCGGAATCCGATACCACGTTGCACGTCATGTACCACAACCGGCACAGCTGTGGAATTGAATTAGGCAAGCCGTTTCTCAAATCCGCCATGAAGTGGTGCTACGAAGTCCCGAACATTCCCGGTTCCGTTGTTGTGGTGGACCGTAAAATCTCCCTTCCGTCCCGCAAAGTCGTTCAGAAAGTACTGGAAGTTGTTAACAAGGAGCTGGGAAGTGTTGACATATCTGAGGAGGAACTGTGGTCACAACGACCAGTGCCCGGTGACACGGATGAAAGCCGTAAGTGCGACCGCTACAAAGCATTCCTGCACGTCATCGATGGTAAATGCGTCGCCATTGCACTCGCCGAGCGAATCAGCAAGGCCTACCGTGTTCTGCCTTCCGTGACCTTGGAACCAGTTGAGAAGATGGATTTGGACAACAATACTGGTGGTGCGCCCGCTGTGCAAAATCCGCAATACCCGACTCCAAGCCCGGTGGAGCATCATGCCTTGAATCTGTCTAAGGAACAGCACCCGGCAGTGGTAGGTGTGAGCAGAATCTGGACCAGCAAGGCGTTCAGGCGAAAGGGCATTGCCAACAACCTGTTGGACTGCGTGGTCAACCAATTCATCTATGGAATGGAGATTGCACGAGAAGAAGTGGCTTTCTCTCAGCCCACCGATGCGGGCGCCAGCCTTTCAAAAGCATGGTTTGATGAGCCAGCCGGATGGGGGGTGTACGTGGAGGAGTGAAAGACGTGGACTCAGCCACGAGCGAAGGTCCGGTGTCCCGTGGCTATGCTGTGGCGAGAGCAGGCTGGGGGATCTTCCTCCGAGACATTGTTTTACTATTACGACTTCAAACAAATTCTACGACTTCGGCGTGACCTTCGCGGGCAGCTCACAGGACGAGCTGATGAGGGGGGTGCAGAGAGTCAAAGCGTTCACTTTGCGTGTGAAGTCGGGCACGGATATGGATGGCGTGGACGAAGCACACTGGAGGGAACGATTGCATAGTTGACATTGCATTGCATGAGTGACCGGCAGCCAAGATCTGGAAAATCGAGTCAACGTTTTCCTGGAATCCTTGGGATATGGGCTTCCAGAATAAAACGGTGGAATGATTTGTAACAGCAGTACAGACAAGACGAGACATACAGACACCAAAAGGCAAGACGGGCATCGGGAGAAGGGGCTACTTCGAGCTTGTAACCTTAGACTCCCATGAAGACGGAGAAATACTCGCGAACTGCAAGCACATTGGTGCAGTGAAGAGAAACATGCAGATAACACGAAATGTGAAGATGCAATGATAGACCAGAACCGTACGTCCGTCTCAATGCCTACTGTGTGTACTCCCCTTTGGTTCAAGTCTGCTACATCTTCCGCGCCCCTTTGGGATCCTCGATCGTCTCCATCGCGAGCTGTACTGTACAATTAATTCCTTGGGAGCAAAGTCCGGCTGCTGACACTTCCGGTTCGGTGGGGAAGCCGGCGCCACACCACCGTTGGGTGCCGGGAGGGTGGCGGCGGCAGCCTTAAAGCGTGCAGGCTGCTGCAGCGCGGGAGAGTTCAAGGGGGAGTGGAGATTTTCGATTCAGACGGCAGACGGCAGGCAGTGCAGTGGCTGTTTATGATTTCGATGCAGGTGGAAAGGGGGGGGGGGATAGGGGTGGAGTGGGTGTGCGGGTGACGAGGCTGTCAGGCTGCACCAAATGGGCGCTTGTAATTGGTTGGTATGGCTGGGGGTTTTCCTGCTGGTCGAGTCTTTGTTGTTCACGGTGGATAAATTGTGTTTGGGCAGGCCTCTTCCGGGAAAGTATAGTGATTGGGTAGTCATCACGAGACATAGTGGTTGCTTCAGTCGAGACGTGTGCGAAGTTGGGGTTGGTCAGAGCGAGTTCAGATGCGAGTTGGTGGCAGCCTCTGTATTATGCACCAGGGATCAGGCTGCGAAAGAGCGCGAGAGCTACTGGGGGGACGATGCAACGGATTGCTAGCGGCGAGATCAACGTCTGGCCAGCGAAGAGAAGTCCGAGCTACTTGCCTGCACGGCACGGCGAGAGTTGACGCAATTTGGTCCTCAGGCTCTCTCTCGAATAGATGGCTCATCTGAATGGTCAGAATATATTTGTTTGCCTATGGCTTGGGACGGATTGATGCATCACCCGTGGTCGACAACATTGATGGACGGAATTCCCGGATCATCGCAGCTCACACGTAGCTATCTCTATTGAAAACTAGGTGAGCCTCACCGTCAGCTTTGTGGACCACTCGTGGAACGTGCTGGTTACAATCCTACTACAGCCTCATCATGACCTGTGGAGCTCTGGGACCCCCTGCAGGTAGAATAGGCCGCGAGTATTGTTCTGCAGCGGGATCTGTCCTGCAGCGGGTCACGATAGCTCACCATCAAAGTGCGATGTTGTATTCCATTATCGTGGTATGGCTGAAGGTGGTGGACTGAACGATCAACACATGTTCTAGAAACGACCGGATCAGGCGTGCCGGAAAGAAATATCAAATATCAGAGTGCAAAGGATGACGGCATGTTTACTTGTTAGCCTGGACTCTGGCTTGCCTTATTGACGGAGTTAGGGATTCCGTTATCAAGACTAGTAGCGGCTTGAGCAGCCCTTAATGCACGCCAGTAAATAGAGTACGGCTCAGGTGCTTCAGGCATGGGAAGCTCTATCGCACTTCTCCGGCAGCACTGGACAGAAGGTACGTTCTTGCATCGTCTCGTGTGCCTAATAACACGGTCAACAATGCGATAAGACTACGAGATGCTCTTAGAGACGCACTGCAGCACTATAAGTAAGTATAGATAAGGTAAGGCGTCGGCCGCCAAAACACCGCGGGTTGCGTTGCCAAGGGGTTGGCGGGACTCGAGAAGCAGGATATTCAGAGTCAGCGGTGTGGTTGGCGTGCCAGGTATGAGCCGGATTCCCTGCTTGGAAGGCTCCGACCCGCAGAAGCGAACGGCTGCATAATGTAAACGATCTAAACGAGTAGGCATGTTCGTGCGCTTGCCTGTTGTTATTGCAGAACCTCCGAAGCCAGGTAGCAAGAGAGTTTCATGGTGAATCATGGTGAATCATGCAGAATCATGGAGATAGATCATGTATGAGATAGCCTTACAGCGATTTGCAGTGCAGTAAGGCTAGATGGGAACACCTTGTTGAATACAAAACCTCCAACCTCGCAGTCTTGATTGGCGCTAAGGGTATTGACACCCCGGCTTGGTCAATTTGCACCATTTGACAGCTGTATGCACAGTGGGTGGCGGGAGAAGCGAGAAAACTTGGCGCATTACGCGGCCACGATAATGGGTCCTCTTCGGTGCACGGAGTACGGAGATGTCAATTCTGAATCGGTGTCGTCCCACAGAGCGACAAGCTGTGGCAAACCAACTCACAAACAGGCATTGAGCAGCATTCTTTGGTCCACAATGCGTTTGAGAAATGTGGTTCTCGCAGTGCTTCGCCGCAGCTTGACGCGTTTGCCCTGAGGGAAGCGAGACTCGAACGACGGCAGATCTTCACCGGACAGTGGCAATGGAGCACGGCCCACCATCTCCGGGGCTATGATCATTGGCTGCAGGAGTTGGCGCCGTCGAGGGCGATAAGAGACTCTGTGTCGTGGATCGACAGTGTTTCGAGGCTGCTTGGATGACGACAAGATTCAGATCAATTCACCATTAGGTCCACAATGGTCCGCACGCTCAAGGTAGCACTGTTCATGTGTAGATTCCGCTGCTCGTGCTAGCCAGAGTCCCGGCTGTTGGCATGCTGGCTGCCGTGGCCCGTGGTCTGTTTGTTCAGCTGCGGCGAGACTGTGCTGAAAGTTCTGGATCTAACTTTGCGAACGAGCTTCTTTCGTTCTCTTGTTTGTGGTGAGTAAGGCACCATGTCAACAGGGAGCTGCATCAGATCCAGCGGTTCTCCAGCAACGGTGGATCTTCAAGAAAAATGGCTGGCCGAGACGCGATAGGCACTAGCAGCGACACATGCATGCGAATTGGGAGTGGATACGAATTTGCCCTTTTCTTCCCCTAAAATGTCTAAGCTAGTCCGATAGATGGGCGGGCTTGGATTGCGCATTTTCCTTGGATTCAACCAGACTCAGACTCCGGACTCGCTGCACTCTTTACACACCACCACCCTAATAGTCTTTCGCTTGTGTGTTTTTTCTGTCTCTCTCGACTCGTCCGTGCTTGTCTGCGACAAGACCTCGGTGTCTCCAGCAGATGCGTACCACGCCTTCTGCATCGCTCGTTCCACGCAGTGTTTGAAAGGAGGGTCCCTTCCGCGCATCACTTGCTCCAGACTCGTCACGCATGTCGGAGCGCGCCTCGCCTCAACTCGTTCCTCACGCCCGCCCACCTAGTCACTCGTTTCACTGAAATACCCGCCCTCTACCTTGCCCCGAAATGACAAGGAGGTTGACCATCACTTCTGCAGAGATGGGCAACCTGGTCGAGCGGCCCGACCTACAGCTCCCCGTCAGCGGCGACGCAACTCCCATCAAGCAAGATCACTTCTGGCCTAGGACTTCCAAATGGCAAATCTGTATGCCTCGGTTACGCTTCATCGCCAAAATCCTGGCCTTCCTGCTCTTTACCCTCCTGTGCCTCAAGATTCTTAGCCAAGGACCGCCGAAGTCTCGCGATCATGGGCCGATCGCCCCTCCACAACCGCCCGATAACCCCGAGCAGAATTTTAGAGAACCTACAGAAGCTGAAATGATTGAGAGGTCCAAAAGAGAGGACTGGATCTGGAAGGACTATGATCTGTACGTCACTTCTCGTGTAACTGCAGGTACCACGAACTGACGCCCACCCCAGTCACCACGGGTTAACCCGAGGCCTGACCAACCTCAAGACTTGTGTCACCGAAGATCCCAACTGCATCGAAACAGCACCGCAACTCGTGCGCTACAACGGCTATAAACACCTTGCCGAGGACGAGTCTGAGATCGTGTCATGCATTGGTCCGCGTGGGGTGCCCATGAACGAAAGTGATGACGACGCTATCTGGGCATACCACGGCAAGGCCCAAGGTAAGCCAGGACCCCAAGCCGTCCACCTCGCAGCAGGCTAATTCATACAGGCGCGGTCGACCCTATTCTCGGCTCCTACGAAGCTGCTGGGCTCGATGGCGATGTCTCCTTTGACCGCATTGGACGCTTCCAGGCCTACGGTCTTGCTCAATTCGATGCCGCCGACCACGAAGAATTCCGCCTTGCGGCCGATGTCGAGTGGGACAATATCCGATGGGGCGATTTACAAGACAAATGTGTTACTGCGAACAAGCGACGCTTTAAGCCCCTACAGGAACGGAAAGATAACTCGATCCAGTACTCAAATATCCGTACGCCAGGCGACGATACAGATCACAAGGGTCCAGCCCAATCGAAAGATCCTGGCTTGGCCACCAAAGTCAAACGGACCGCCATCTTGATCCGAGTCTGGACCGGCGCGAAATGGACGGCTGACGCTGTCATGAACATCCGAGCCATGGTTGCCGAAGCCTCGTTGGCCAGTGGTGGAAAATACCAGGTATTCATCCTCCTGCATGTGAAAGATGAAGGTGTCCCGCTCTTTGTTGGCGAAGATCAGCCAGACGCCACCATCAAGAAATATGTGCCGCCTGAGTTCCATTCCATTACCGAAGTTTGGAATCATGCTCAGATCCGTTCGCTGTACTCAAACATTGCAGAACATGCCTTTGTTGGAAGATCGCCATGGATGATCATTCAATGGTTTGCTCGTAACCATCCGGAGTTTGATTTCTTCTATCAATGGGAGTTTGATGTGCGTTTTACCGGTCACTACCTGGACTTTTTCGAAGGCGTCTCAGAGTTCGGCAAATCACAACCTCGCAAGGGCATTTGGGAAAGAGCTGGACGTGTTTACATTCCATCTTTCCATGGTGATTACGATGGTCAATTCCGTCTATCCACCAAAGAAGAGGACCCGCATCATATCTGGGGTCCTGTACCGGTGGAAGGAGTGAAGCCGCGTGGTCCGAAACCGCCCCATAAGGAGATCGACGACAACTACGAATGGGGTGTTGGGGAGGATGCGGACTGGATCGGGTTCCTTCCTAGCTTCAATGTGACAGGGACTGGATGGTGGTTCCGCAACTACCTCTGGGGCTACGCTCAGGGCAAGTCAACACCTCGCAGAGCGACTCTCATTGCTCAAGGACGAGTCAGTCGGCGTGTTCTTGAGATCATGAACTACGAAAACGCCGAGAACGGGCATCACATCGATGCCGAAATGTTCCCCCAGACAATGTGCTTACACCATGGCCTGAAGTCAACGACGTACCCCCACCCCGTCTTTGCCGACCGCCACTGGCCAGCCGATGCATTGCAAACAACTTTCAACGGAGGGCCATTTGGCCAGGCGGGAGGCCACTGGAACAGCACGTTCAGCAAATGGAACGAGTACGCTTGGACTAACATGACCTGGTACTACAGCTCTGCCCAAGCTATGCCTATCTTCCAACGTCTACTTGGAATAACGGCTCAGGAGATGGGTGGTTCAGAGTGGGAAGACGTCTACGGCAGAACCATTGTCCGACCCATGTTGATTCACCCTGTCAAAGGAGCAACAGCATGGCAATGGTTCGAAAAGGGCTGGCACCAAACCAAAGACGGCAAATAGAGGCACATAAAGCAAAGCCCTTGTCGATATCTCGCCTGCACGGTAGGCTGACATACGCGCCATGACGGAGTTAGGGACTGGATCGAATGCGGCTGGCACCATCGAGGCCATTTGAATTTGCATAGAGGATCATGACCATACAGCATTGACAAGCGAGAAATGAGGCGCACCATTACAACAGGGGAGCATTGCATCACACCATATCATGTGGATGTTACATTGATACTCTTCTGAAGGAGAAGGAGAGTGTAATTCTAATGTTCAGAACAGAGGATGCAAAATCCTAGGGCATACAGTCAGCCACCCAAAGGGCATACAATAACAATCTTAGGTAGAATCAATACAAGTGAAGATGCATGTTCTCAGTAGTCTCTATACGGACTACCTGGCATAAGTTGCATGTGCTTGCAAGTCCCCATATGATAGTCTTGGCCCAGATAGACGTCAGATCCGTCCGCCTGCGGAGGCTGACCGCGCAATATACGCATCCTCTTGTGTCGGCAGGTTCTTGCAGACTTCGGTTCTACCCACGTGTGGCTGGTGAACCACATCTAAGCCTGGTACCGTATTGATGGACTCCCCGGCCTGATGTCCAACCCTTTCCGGCGCAGTAATGGCGATGACAACAGGTCGACTTCGGATCCCACCGGGACCGAGGGTACAGCAGGCCCTCCACTATCTGTGAACACTCGGAGTGCGTGAACTGCTCCAGGCGTATGCTATTGTCATGCTGACTTCGTCGCCGCAGTTCCAGCATCGCAAAAACATGTCAACTTCGCGAGTCCCCCAGCCGTTCCCATATCGCCTGCGTCGTATCCTTCCAGCCCCGAAAGCACGCGCCAGTCTCCCGGCTTTCACCACGCGCAGCCAATTTTACCAGAGACAAGTAATTCTGGTCAGGCTTTATATCACGACCCTTTTCAGGAGGAAAATCTACATGATGAGCATGACCTAGTCATCGAAGAAGCGCTGCGGAACGCTCGACTTAACAACACGCTGCCTGCCGGCTCAGTCACTGGAACGACAGCTAAACAGGCGAACGTCAGAGACACACTGAGTCGCTTCTCGTCGGCGCCGAGGCGGGCTGACACAAAGATTGAAGACAGCGCGAAGAGGCCGACAATGGATGTCAACGCATTCACTAGGATGTTGCTGACCGGACAGAGTCGGAATGCCAATGCTGGCCCAAGCGCCGCAACGCAGCCGATCAACGACAGTGGTTCAAGTACCGACACGGCTTCAATATCACAAAGATCTATATTCGACGCTGGGACTCGGCCAGTCGCGGAATCGTCAGGTTCATCATCTGAGACGGAGCGAGACGATGAGGGTGTGACGCTCAGCAAAGAACCCCGCAAACCACCCCCACCGCCCAAACCACGGCATGGGAAGCCTGTAGCTGATTCAGAGCCCGCCGCGGCAGGAGATCTACGCCGGACGAGCAAAAGTCTGGACACCGAACAAGGACTTATCCAAGGTACAACGGAAGAGACGGATGCGAGCAGCTCTGATATCAAGGGCTCGAAGAAGCCTCCGCCGCCACCACTCGCTCGGCGAAAGAGCCAGAAGCAGGCTACAAGTAGACCTGAGATTACGCGGAGCAGTTCATCAAAATATTCGCTGTCAAGCGACGCCGAAGAACCGCTGAGTCCTCCACCTCTATCTGGAAAGATGGCCCCGCCTCCACCCCCACCATCACGGCGGCCGAACTCACAGTATGGGCGCAGGCTGTCAACAGACCTGCCAGCACCACATGAACAGGACGAAGAAAATCCCGACATATCCTCCAGTGCAAGGCCGCCATCCTCCAGCAAACGAACATCGCAGCCCTCACTAGGAACGCCACCACCAGTGCCCCCTCCACGCAAGAACCGAGGCTCAGGCCGCAGCAGCATGGACAGTCAACACCGGCCGTCTATGTCGGCACTAGGGATGACAGCCGGTTCAGCACGAAATAGCTCGGATCTGGGAAGGACTGGCAGTGACAGTCGCAACGTGTCGGGTAGCTCTACCGCGGCCGACATTCTGGCAGACCTTGAAACCCTGCAGCGGGAGGTAGACGCAGCAAGGGCCAGTGCCGGGCGTTGATTGAGAAGCAAGCATGAATACCAATATTATTCTCTTGCATGTACAGTAGGCCACTATACTCTAGCTATCGCACGCCTTTAGAATATGACGGGAAATACTCCCGTGGGTAAGAAGGGTGTGCCCTGGCTAGTGCTCGTAGGGGCCCGCTCACACCATAGCAGTCCACCACGGGCGCTGTGGGTGAGGCTAACGGCGCCAACCAATAGGTGGCGGGGTCGGCAGCATGACGTCGCATGTTGTGGGGAATCTGGGATCTCGTGAAAGCGAAAGTTGAAGCAAGTGACAAGCAACTCCCGCCTCACTTGCCAATTGGGAGCATGCGCTGCTTCCTGAAACCTGATCCTTTCCACTTCTCAAATTTGCCTTACACTGCAAGTACTGTTACTTTCCGGTCTAGAGTCTCCACACGTTCTGCGCCCAAGATCTTCAATCGACGCGATCATTTGCGCGACAGTACTTCGGACCAAGTATTCCTCACCCCGCATCCTTGCGTAGCAGAAAATCCGCACCTCCTTACTCCCTTCTCACCACCACTGCGACTGCTTCCTGCGAGTCTTCTCAAGACCCTTCCGAGACCCGGCATCGCCAGCGGTGTCTGACGTGTGTGGTCTTTCAGACATAGTCCATACTCGGATCTCGCCGTCATGAGCAAAAAAGGCCCTACCCTCATTAATCGTGAGTAGCCTTGTCCGCGCATATGCTCTCTCCGCTGACCACTTCTCAGTCCCTCCTCCCCCTTCCGACCCTGCCACCCCCAATGAGATGGGCCCTGGCACCCCCAATTCGACCACTACCTCACTATCTGCGCTCTCAGTTGTTGCGATCAAAGACGGCGCCGTTGGTCATGGCGGCCGTGGCGCCGCTTCCTCCGCAAACACATTAGAGGCTGAGCGCGCCGATCGAATCTCGAGATTAGCCGGCCTAGAGCGTGTTGCTACTGGCCGTCACGGTGCAGGTGGCCATCTCGCCCCTGGTGGTGCCACTCAGACTCCTCCCAACTACGTTGACAACACTCCTCTGTACAAAGAGCGAAGCACGGTTGGTAGTGCAAGCGCTACTGGCAGCGTCGGCGGCCGAACAACTTGGGCTAGTGGAAGTGTTGACTACGATGCGGACAAGATGAGCGAAGATCAGGATGATGGCGTCTCTAGCGTTGGCGGCTTCAGCGACGAAGATAAAGCTAGCCTCGTTGGATTTGGTGAGGGGGCAGGCAGCACAGTCAGCGGTCCAGTATCTACAACGAGCGCCAGAGCTATGGCTGCACGCAGCATGGCTAGTCCCTCCACGCCACGCACCAGCTATCCGCCTTCTGGTTCAGGTCAGAGCACTCCCATGAGTGGCATTGTACCCACAGCGGCTGCTGGCAGCACCGATCCTAGGATGATGGACGGTATGTCGTACGACACGAACATTGTCGACACCACCATGCAACCAGCCCCGCCCATCAATCAACCATCGCAGGGAAATCGGTTCAGCGGTGTCGGTACCGAGATGGCGGAAGGGATCATGAGAGATAGAATGAATGAGTCTAGTGGCGGTCGGGCTATGAACACTCCAGATACTTCTCAGACGCTCGGCAGATTCCCTTTCGAGCGGGAGTAGTCGCGAGATGCTGGATCCTGTTTAGATACGGATGCTTGGGCGTTAGGATCGGTTTGGAACGGAGATGTCTGGTGCCGACTGCAGGTCTCCGTAGATGCTATGTACAACTACAATTGATGAACGAGAACACCGTCGGACGGCGGGCTTGAGGAGTTCTTTTGTTTGTATTGATTGTTGCAATTCGCGTCACAGTTTCAGCCTCGTCACGCGGCCAGCATTTGCGCGCTCTTGGCGAGATCCGCCGATATTTTTCTGGGGCATCCGCATCATCCTCCTTCGAACACCTCTTCCATTCTGCTTTCGTCCACGCCCAAACAGTTTGACGTCTTCTCACGCAATCGCTCACATTGACTTGTGAAGTACTGAGACTCGCTCAGACTGTGGCAATTCCACTCGACACCTGCCGCAAGCCTTTCCCTGCCCTTCCAAATACCGCCTGAGACATCCGATCCTCAAAAAACGACAGATCTACTATAAGAAGTTCAACCCTGAGAATTTGCTCTGCCGACTTCGTACTTGAGAAGTACCACTGTCTCTACACCATGGCGACTACCCAGTTTGCCTGTAGGAACATCCCCAGATTTGAAAAAGACCACGAAATTGACAATATTCAGTCCGTACGCCTAAGAGTATTGGCATGGTCAACGGTGAACCATCCTACGAACCTGTGCCTGGCTTTGATAGGTATGTCAGTCGAAATACCTGAACCGGTCAAGAAACTAAATATATTCTTACAGACCCGAAGGCAACCTTCGCTGCTGCTCTTATTCTCCCTGCGGCCGATACTTCGCTTGGGCATCTCCCGAACAGTGAGTCTGGATTACCGCCATATACGAAAAACCAGTTCTGACAGTTGGCAGGGTGAAGATTGTGGACGCTGACTCAGGATCAATTATCTCTACCCTCCCTGCGGAGAACGTCTACGAACTTGGCTTCTCCCCCTTGGGCACTTACATCATCACGTGGCAGCGTCCTTCCAAAGACGAGAATGGCGACGCTGTGAAGAATCTCAAGGTCTGGCTTGTGATCGACGACAAAGCTATCGCCGAAGGCGTCGAGAAAGAGACGGTCGGCAAGTTTGTACAGAAATCCCAAACAGGCTGGAATTTGCAGTACACTTTCGACGAGAAGTTCTGTGCAAGGGTCGTCACAAACGAGGTGCAGATTTATGAGAGCCAGAACTTGACCCAGGTGTGGAATAAGCTGCGCGTTGAGGGTGTGGCGGACTTTGCCGTGTCCCCTGGCAAGAACCACTCGATCGCTGTCTTCATTCCCGAACGAAAGGTGAGACGGCCCCCGCTTGTGTGCAGGACAAGACATGCTGACACGAGGATCAGGGCCAGCCAGCTGCCGTGCGAGTCTATAATGTCCCAGAGTTCACCATCCCCGTCTCTCAGAAGAACTTTTTCAAGGGAGACAAGGTGCAGCTGAAGTGGAACGACCATGGGACCTCGTTGATCGTCTTGGCTCAGACTGAAGTGGACAAAACGGGCAAGAGTTACTATGGAGAGACCACTTTGTATCTCCTGAGCGCTAACGGCGGCTTTGATTCGCGGATCGACCTCGACAAGGAAGGGCCAATCCATGATGTGTCTTGGTCGCCAAAGTCCAACAGCTTTGCAGTGGTCTATGGATACATGCCAGCGAAGACTGTCATTTTCAATAATCGAGCGCAGGTCGTCCATACTTTCGCCCTTGGGCCACGCAACACGGTCTTGTTTTCGCCCCACGGTCGCTATGTCCTCGTTGCAGGTTTCGGCAACCTTGCGGGCCAGATGGACATCTACGACCTGGAGAAGGACTTCACCAAGATTTGTACGATCGAAGCGAGCAACGCCAGTGTTTGTGAATGGTCGCCCGATGGTCGCCACATTCTCACTGCCACCACTTCTCCTCGTTTGCGCGTCGACAATGGTGTGAGGATTTGGTATGCTGGTGGACCGTTGATGTATAACGAGGACTTCTCGGAGCTGTATCATGTCTGCTGGCGCCCTCAGCCTACATCGGCACACCCCATGCCGTCCAATGCACTGTCCACGGTACCCACCCCTCACATCAGCGCCACCCAGTACCTAGGCACCAAGAAGACGCCCAGTAAGCCTGTTGGCGCGTATCGCCCACCCGGCGCCCGAGGTCAGGTCACACCTCTCTCATTCAAGCGTGAAGATGAGGGTGGTGCGGTCTTTGTCAGAGATGACCCATCTTCGTTCTCTAACCACGTCAATGGCTTTGGCAAATCACGGCAACGAACCGTACCTGGAGCAGAACCCACGGATGAACGTCAACCACTTCCTCCTGGTGCTGCTCCTGGTGGTGGGGTTAGCTTGACTGGCACTGGCGAGGGCGCTGATAGCGACATGTCGAAAGCAGCGAAGAAAAATGCGAAGAAGCGTGAGGCCAAAAAAGCAGCTGCGGCCGCGGCGAAGGAGCAGGCTCTTAGCAGTGCCCTCGCACCTGAAGGACAGGGCAATCGCAACCGCAACGGTAGCAGATCACGCAGTGGCAGCAATGCCCGTGGCGACGGAGCTGGTGGTCAAGGCGGCCACCAACGCAGCCGCAGTAAGGGCTACGTGCCTGCTCCTGGCCTAGATGGTAAAAAGGACAGGAGCCGCAGCAACTCGCGTCGTCAGAGAGGCGAATCGCAGGTTAATGGCCTACCTCATCGCCCCAATCCAAACAACAACCAGAAGAAGTCGCCTCTGCCCCCTGCTATCGACACGAAGCCTCCTCCACCACCTGTTCCGCAAGGTGATGCACCGGAGATTGACATCACCCTGCCGACGCCAACCACTCCTGGGGGCGCTTCGAACACAGAGAAGAAGGTCAGAGGGTTGCTCAAGAAGATCCGCGCCATTGACGATCTAAAGATGAGACTGGCGGCGGGCGAAAAGCTTGAGGATACGCAGATGCGGAAGATTCATAGTGAAGAATCAGTGCGATCGGAGCTTAAAGCATTGGGAAGCGCTGGATAGGCACTGGCGTACGAGCTCTTGGAAGTGGCCGATGACTTCGGACAGCTTAAGCTTGAGTCTCACCCTCCAGCATCACTCTAGCGAATGTTGACAGTCGAGGAGAGGCATCCGCGCCCTCGGCTATCCTCCCGCCACAACACTCAGCCGGGTCTGTTCCGTCGAGGGACAAATAGCTTGCAGGCGAGTGTGCTTACTGCGTCAGGCCCAGGTAGCGCAGGATGTGTGAAGTGTTGGACCCAGGTCACACAACATGTGCAGGTTGTTCGGTAGAATTGCTGATGCATAGCGAAATACCGAAAAGGGGCCGTTTGGATCACTACTGTGAGATTACAAAAAAAGAATACTAGAACCTTTACAGGATGTCTCTTCTTCAAGTTCCTCTTTGCAAGAGCATGTGGTGGTATTGTGGCGGCGCCGCGTTTGGATTCGTAGTATCCACGCTCGGCATGGTAACGGGCAAGGCGGAAAGCTGCGACCCCGAAGCACCAGAAAGTCCTCGGAGCATCTCTATTTCTCCTTGCAGAGAGGAGCTAGCTTGTGCTGTCCTCGTCTGTGTCTGCCGCTCCCAGTGTTTCAGAGCACTGAGATATCATGCTTGGCCATTTGATGTTACTGATGTGATTCTGCAGTCGACGACTGAAATGAAAGTGCTCCGCGTTCAGAGATCCAAACAACCGGTTCCGACCTCGAACCAAATATCGCTTCGCAGCCTGCTCTGCCGTTGCCATCTGTCTGCCATCAGTGCATCTTGCGACGGCCTGATTCCTCCCCATCCCCAGCACTCACGATCTCGTCACGCAACCTGTTCCTACCTTTGCCGACCTCCTCCCCCCCTCCCAAAGAACCCATTGTCTCTCCATACCTCACCTCATTCCCCGCCAACAGGCGCCAACACACAACAGCTAAACTCCCCCGCCAGCCCGTCCCCACCCATCTCCTGCTCCACATACGGCAGCACCGTCATCTCCAGCGCCTTGCGGCCCAACAGTCCCCCGCCCTCCACACCCTCGTCCTCCAACTTTCCCAGACATTTTGGCCCCTTCCGACATCCGTCCATCTCATACAGCATCCCGTCCGCGCCGCGCACGAACGCAATGAACGCGTGGCCCGGATCCTCGCCTAGTGCGGGCGGGACGGTGTCGCCTTTCACGGCCGCGGCGGCGTGTGCGGCTTCGATGGCTGGGGAAGTTGCGATGAGATCGGCGCGAGGGCCGGGGCGCAGGGGCAGCGCGGCGGCGCGCAGGTTGGCGAGCGTGGAGTCTGGGAGGATGATGGGTGTGTCTGCGGTCGAGGTAGCGGTGGCGGTGGCGGTGGCGGGCAGGGCATGGTGTGCGTTGAGCGTGCAGTGAATGATGCCCATGAGGCCACAGCCTGTGTTTGATGTGAGTTTGGTCCAGATTAGTCCAAATCCAAGGGGGGGATTGACTAAGCAAGCAGAAAGGGAAAAGAAAGAAAAGGACGTACAGTTGACGACGATCTGGCGGAACCACAGAACGGGGTCCTCGTCACCACTCCCATTGTAGTCCTGCTCGGCTTCAACCTCGGCGCGGTGGCGAGCCTGAGCGCCGTCGGTGTGAGGATACACAAACAGCAGCGCCAGAGCTGGACGCGGAACGAGTGCGAGCAGGTCCGCATCTGTGAAAGAGTACAGGTCGTGCAGGGCGTAGGATGGAGACAGGCCGAGCGTATGGGCTAACGGGGTCAGTGTTGAGGGGTTGTTCTCTGTTGCGGATGTGTTAGGCCCGATTTCACAGAGTCATGGTACGTACCCAGCGGAAGGAAGACTTTGCGGCCTTCAGAGTTGATGCCAGACGTGGAATTTGTGGTCGACATCGAGCTAGGCTCAGGCACACCGTTAGTCGACATGGTGTAAGGAGGGTCGCTCTATTGGTGGCAGCAGACACGGCAGACTTTTGTTTTGAGAAAGCTTTTGTCCAGGAAAGATCATCAATCCTCTGTCGATTAATTATTCCAGCTACAGGAGAAGATCAGAAGGACTGGGCGGAACGTGGAGGTGACTTAGGGTAGGGCGGGGAGAAAGCATCTCAGCTGGGGAAGGCTGGTACCCCTTTCGAGCCATTACAAATACTTGTGGGGGAAAATCATCCGATTCCGTCAATGTACAGATGTCTTTACATCATATATTAGGCAGCCATCACCACGTCAGCCTGCCATTTATAGCGTGAGTAATTGCTGCATTCTGAGATTGATGAGACCCTGGATTTAGAGCGTTTAAATGAGTAGTATGGACCAAGAGCATCCACGAAGCGATTTTGTTGGGCTATAGTCTTTATGCTATGCTACAGTACTCCATAATTCGCATTACAATGATGCAGGTCCTCCACGACATTGCGTGAGCTAATACTAGTCTTGGGCACCTTACTCTTGTTATACATGCAACCGATTATCATCATGGTTCAGCCAATCGAAGCAGAGACCAGATCTTGTCAAGCCTGACACTGGCTCAGATGCTCAGAACATCTCACAAGTAGGTTCCTTGGCTGGACAGTTGAAAGCGTCGAGGAATTCTTGGGTATTGGCAATTGTGCCCTGCAAATTATCAGTTTACACCAGTAGCGGTACAGGCTACAACTTACCAAGATGCGGGCGGGCTTGGGAGCATGTTTATCAGTGAGAACACGCTCAGCCGCTTTTTCTGGAGTGGTTTTAGAGCACCATCGACCTCCGTACGCGATCCAGAAGAGTTGTTGCTTGGTGAACTTGTCGAGACCAGGTAGTTTCTTCGATGACTGTTCCTTCTCTGCCTGCTGCCAGGCGATATAAGCAGCATGAACACCGACCGCATCGGCAATGTTTTCTGACAGGGTCAAGTTGCCGTTGACTTGGTACTCCTTGTTCGGGCCTTTCACGGTAAAGTCGGAGTACTGTTGGGCGAAGCACTGAGCCTTGACATCAAAAGCAGCACGTGTCTTGTCACTCCACCAGTCTCTTAGCTTGCCGTCTTTGTCGAAATGTGATCCGACTGGACCGAAGCCGTGCGACATCTCGTGTCCGGCAATGGAACCCAGAGAGCCATACGACAAATACTCAGGTACTGAATCATCATAGAACAAGGGAGGCTGGAGTAGCGCAGCTGGTAAGACCATCTCGTTGGCAACATGGTCGTAATATGAGTTGACGGCAGTGGAATACATCTGCCACTCATCATATGCGGTGGTACTTCCAAGCTTCGACCAGATGCGCTCGGTCTCAAACTTGGCAAATTCTAGCTTGTTGGCAAAATGTAAATCACTGATGTTCAGCTTCCTGTAATACTTTTCGATTGAGGAAGGGCTTTGAATGTCGGGATGCTTCCCCGGATAGCCAATTTTATGTGTCATTGCTAGAGCTTTCGTGATGGCGTGTGCTCGGTCGTCTTTGGTCATCCAGTGTGCTTCGTCCAGCATGTCGACGAAAGCCTTCTTGACTCGATCAGCAATGACATTGGCAGCTGAGCCTTTCGGATCGGTGTATTTCTGCTTCACGAAGAAGCGAGACATAACCCAGCCAAGGATCTCGTTGACTTCTCGAACGCACTGACGCCACGGCTCCGCAGGTAGCTCCTGAGCGCTACCTTTCAGCTTTGCTTGGAACTGATTGAGACGCTTCAGCTTGGGATGATCGATCTCCTCAGCAAGCTTGTGGATGACTTTCCATGACATGAAGGCTTGTAAGATCTCGATCGGAGTGCCTCCAAGAACAAAAGACAGCCGCTCTAGATATTCTGGCGACGCAGCAATGGCTGAAGTAGGATGGACTCCAGGAGCCAAGTCTTTAATGACTGTCTCAATTCCAATCTGAGGAAGGATGGCCTCGAGCTTTCCAATCGAGATCTTGCTGTAGGTTTTCTCGATGTTGCTAAGGTCTTCAGGCAGGGGAAGTGCAAGAGCCAGCTTCACTTCCAGATCGATCACACCTTCAGCGATGTCGAGAACGCTCGAGTGGATGTTCTGGTGCCGACGAAGAATGGACGAGGAGTTAAGATGAACGTCGTAGAAGACTTTGAGAGTTTCGGTAGCGACATCTCGGTATTCCTCAACCAGAGCGGCATCTCTGTAGTTGTCCGGAGCAGGTAGGCCAATAGCAAGGACGGGAGACAGGGCCACGGTCTGTGTACTAGGTTCCTTGGGATCAGGCTGTAAAATTAGCGAAGTACAGACGGCGCGTGAGCTAACTTACAATGACATCCATCTTCACTAGGGTATCGATGCCAGTCGTCTTTAGAAAGACAAACACCTTGTCAAGACCCTCAACACGGCCGAGTGTCGTGATAGTGGATTGGTCCAGCCGGCGGGCACCACTTCGTCCATATTGACTTGTAGGTAACAGCTCTTTGATATGATCGACCAGAGCTTCAAGTGGCTTCAAGCCCGACTCTCGAGCTTGGGTGTGGTCCATGCAGGCAAAGTAGGCTTTCTTGAGCATCTTGAGAATTGCCAGGTCGTTGTTGGGAACCTTGGAGTCGTCCAGCATCACGATACGCTTGAACAGTGACTCGGCATGATCAGCCACGAGGGTACCTGGGATTCTTAGCATAACTCGGCTCAAAATGGCAGAGACCTACCAGTGTACATATCCCCTTGATCCTCTCTGAGATCATACTGCTGGCCAAAACCACCGCACGCGAACTGGTCGAAGTCGACACAGGGGTCAACGGCAACTGTGTGGTAATTCAGCACCTGTGCACTCTCTTGAGCAGTAAGGCGTGGGTCGAGATTTCGGAGAATGAAGTTGGAAGCCCGAACACAAGCGGGAGTGGTGCAGATGTCAACCTGGTGTTTGTGCTGGATCTTGTCGATCATGACCGCTGTGGTCAGGCCGGCAACCGCAACAGCCAGCACGCCGATTGTGACACCCATGACCTTCTTCGGGTTGTTCTTGACAGACGAACCGCCCTTTTTGGCACCAGAGGCTATGGCATTCCCAGCTGACTTGGCAGCTTCGCCGATGTTGGCTAGAGCGTTCTTGAACCGGTTGCCAGCTCCTTTGATGAAGTCAATGGTGCCTTTGGATGCTCCTGAGCAGCAATCTCTGCAGCGCCGTGGCTCTTCTTCAGGTTCAGATTCGGCTTCAGAAGGAGCAGGCTCTTCCGCGTTGTCGTCGGCAAGGAGGGGGGCATCTTCCCTCCGGTGGTGCTTTGCATCGTGTTTGCGGTACAAGCGAGCAGTCCAGCTTTTGCTGTGCTGGTGATGATCGTTACCATGGTGATGTCTGGAAGGGCCAGACTTGGGTAGAGGACCAGGCCTCTTGGTGCTGGGAGAGCTCATGGCTCGGGTTCAAAGGCTAAGAAATGCTCGAAGTGAGATGTTGGGACAGTCTGCAATGACCACAGGGATGCCGGAACAGAGGTGGAGAGAGTAAACAGATGTTGAGGTGATCAGGAACGTATTGCAATGCTTGCAAGCAGAATGGGAGCAGGGAAAAAGAGGAGGTACCAATGCCATGCGCTCCTACCTTAAAACTCGATTTGCACTTACCTCATATGTACATCACTTTGGGCCGACAAGGGCAGGTACGAGACCGGTTCGTGGTCATTAAACGTGCAGGACTTACGAAATGCGGCACAGATCTAATCGCCTGGTTTGCGTGGGCTCCTCGACCGATATCTTTGTCGATCCCTGCTTCTGCTTCGATGTCTGTGATGGCGGTGTCGGCGATGATGTGTATCCTTCGACCCTGTCGCATGTTTATGACGACGCTTTGTGTAGCCATCGTCCAGGTCGAAACCCTCAATGCTATCGGCGTCGCTGTTTTTCCTTCGGCGCTGAGCAGTTTCTCTCGCCAATGTTTCAACCTCGTTGAGATCACGCTCTCTCTGTGCCTTCCACTGCCTCCTATCTTCTTCAGCCCTGCGCAACTGCTTTACCCCCTTCTTCATGGCTGCCAGTGGGTCACTGGCATCAATTCTCTGCTTCTCTCGCTCTTGTCGTCGTGGATCTGCATTACCCCACACATCCGTACTGATCCTGTCTTGTCGGTAGCTACCATCCGACAAACTGCTGCGGTACCATGGGTCACCGGACTTTGCGCCATATTCGGCGGCATCAGCTAAGCGCATGCCCCGGGGCTCAACGGTCTGTTCTGCCGGCTTTGATTGATTCTGACGCAGCTGCGCGTGGTCTGATAACAGGTCGATATGACCGTCGCGATCAAATAAAGCTGGTCCCTTCATTGGTGTGTTTAGAACATGCTTCTGCACCTGCGCGTGGGTACCATTCCCACCCCGATCGGCTGTTTTCCGTCTCTTTTGAGAGTGTCGGGGCTCGTCGTCCGGCAGCGTAGGTACTTCAGCCTCTGTAGACTGCTCGCCTCGCAATATGGCGAGCCTCTTATTGGATTCCGCATCTTGTTTCTGGCGTTCTTGTTCGGCTGATCGGGCCTGGGCCTCCGCTTCATCCTTTCGTACACGCGCGATACTTTCTGGGTTATAGACATTCCAGGACTTCTTGCCTAGGAGATGACTACACGATCAGTCTCCGCGGTAAGAACCAGTCAGTGCACACTCACAGAGGCATCTCGACGGATGTCGCAAGTGCTCTATAGTGTTAATTGCCGGGTCATTTCCAAGTGTTCTGAGGTGCCTGGTCTACCAACAGTAGGGACCATAGGTATATTGAGACCACAAAGGCTCAAGGCCAGCCAGGCGATCTGCTACAGAACTCGTTAAGCGAACCGAGATATGCCGTGAAGGACAAAGAAATCGTGCGCAGGTGCGGTGCCCGAAAAATACCCCACGATTCAGCCTCATTGTGGCGGCGTCGAGTGTACGTCACAGCCTCACCATCTTACTGTTTCATGCTGCAGCAACATCGGCGTTTTCTGTCTCTTACCGAATCTCAAAGCCAGTGTTTGAGTAGAAAGGACTTGCACCATCGACCCACCTTGGAAAGTGGGCGTGCGTGGCTAGGAATACGTGTCCTTCGGCGGTCCAGGCAGCCTTGATAGATCCGCCATCCATAAATTGGGTACATTGCACCTCAACTTCGAACTCCGCACTACCACACGAAATGTCATACGGCCGGGATCTGTTTGGGGGTCGCGGTCGCGATACGCCGCCGCAGGGCCCTCCGAGCTACGATCGACGACCGCCACCGCCCGGTGCGTTTGGCGGACCTCCTCGGCCTCCTCCACAGCAGCAACAGTACCCGCCAGCCATGCGAGAAAGCGGCGCACGTCGGCCAGTCTCTGGCGGCCACGGACGTGGGTCGTGGTCTCTTACGCCTGTCAAAAGCCCAGATAATACCTTCACCTTCCGGAACTTGTGAGTCCTTCTCTTGGGTCAAATGGCTCGTTTACTAACTGACCCATAGAGTTGCGGTGTCGACTCAAGACATTCCACCCTCCCGCGATGGCTCTGACGTCCTTTTGCTTGTCAATGGCATGTTCGTCGTATCTGCGCGACCGATCGACCAGTTCCAACCCGGAACCATCGGCCTTTCTGAACCACAAAGATCATGGATGGGAATTGCTTTGACAGACCAGGTGCAGGTTGAGGTGTACGACGTCTTCAGTCAGGGTTCACAGGCATATCTAGGTTCAGTTGATATCGAAGTTGGCTTTGCCAGCAAAACAAAGACCCCACAAACACCATACGACCAGGATGATCTAGCGAAAGAGGTTTCGAAGGTCTTTCAAAATCAGGTCTTTGCCCCCGGACAGCGATTCCTTATGGACCTGCGAAGCGTGCCACTCAACCTTGTCATCAAGACAGTTCAATTGATGGATTTGAACGAGAAGGCGTCATCCACGCCGCCTGCCTCCGACCCACGATCGCGGGGCATACTCACTCCTCATACTCAGATGAACTTCTTCAAAGACGCAAAGACCAGCATCAACATCAAAGCGTCCACCCGTCGACCGGCCGCCAACGCAATTATCGCGCCAGACTTCAAATTTGAGGACATGGGTATTGGTGGTCTCGATGCCGAGTTCAGCACCATCTTTCGTCGCGCATTTGCTTCTCGCATCTTCCCTCCTGGCTTGGTGGAGAAACTCGGAATCCAGCACGTGAAAGGCATGCTGCTTTTCGGCCCTCCTGGTACTGGCAAGACGTTAATCGCTCGTCAAATTGGCAAAATGCTCAACGCTCGGGAGCCCAAAGTAATCAACGGTCCGGAAGTTCTCAACAAATACGTTGGCCAGTCTGAGGAGAACATTCGGAAACTCTTTGCGGATGCCGAGAAGGAGTATAAAGAGAAAGGCGATGAGTCAGGGCTACATATCATCATCTTCGACGAACTCGATGCCGTGTGCAAACAGCGTGGTAGTGGTGCGGGTGGTGGCACTGGTGTTGGCGACAGCGTCGTCAATCAGCTCCTGTCGAAGCTGGACGGCGTGGACCAACTCAACAACATCCTCCTCATCGGCATGACGAATCGAAAGGACATGATTGACGACGCCCTGCTGCGGCCTGGCCGTCTTGAGGTGCATATGGAGATCTCGCTTCCGGATGAGCACGGTCGACAACAGATCCTCAACATCCACACCACCAAGATGCGTACCAACAATGTGATGGACTCGGACGTTGACCTGGCCGAACTCGCGAAGCAGACCAAGAACTTTTCTGGTGCCGAGATCGGTGGTCTGGTCAAGTCTGCAACCTCGTTTGCCTTCAATCGACACGTGAAGGTCGGCACGGTGGCCGGTGTTTCCGACGATGTGGCGAACATGAAGGTCAACCGAGAGGATTTCCAGCATGCACTCGAGGAGGTCAAACCTGCGTTTGGTGTGAGTGAAGAAGAGCTCGCCAATTGCTTACGCGGCGGCATCATCCACTTCTCGCCATATATCCAAGACGTATTGCAAGAGGGCCGTTTGTTTGTCAGCCAAGTCCGCAACTCGACATCCACGCCTGTGTTCTCGGTCTGCCTTCACGGGGCTCCAAACAGTGGAAAGACAGCCTTAGCAGCGCAAATTGCGATCGACAGCGGATATCCCTTCATCAAACTTATTTCGCCCGAAGATATGGTCGGCATGTCTGAGACTATGAAGATACAGCAGCTCACCAAGGTGTTTATGGATGCATACAAGTCTCCAGCCTCGGTCGTGGTGCTGGATAGCATTGAGAACATTCTGGAATGGGTGCCCATCGGCCCGCGGTTCTCCAATCCCATTCTGCAGACCCTGATCACGCTATTGCGCAAACAACCACCGCAGGACCGTAAGTTGCTGATCCTAGCTACCACTAGCGACCGGTCTTTGATGCAGCAACTTGGTATCTGGAACAATTTCTCGTCCGACATTCCTGTTGCGGTGGTGAAGACCTACGATGAGCTCGGCTACATCATGCACGAAAGCAAAGCATTCAGTCAGCAGGAGATCCAGGCCTCGATGAGGGAGATTCAAGAAACCACGGGCTCACAAGAGGTCGGCGTGGGCATCAAGAGAGTTCTTCTGGGTATGGAAACGGCTAAACAGGACGCGGATAAAGCCTCGAGGTTCGCGGGCGTGATGGGAAGAGCGATAGCAGAAAGGTAGAGAAGAGACGAGCGATAGAGCGGGGGGACAAAGGAGACATAGAATCCCGCCTTAAAAAGAAGGCAACCACGTGATAAGGACCTGTCTTCCCACGTACTTGGGCCCTCGCTCCTTCCTCCCACCGCTGCGCCTTCTGTGACTATATCCTCACTGTTCAACTCTGCGGATACTCTGCGGACACTCCTTCCGGAAAGGCAGAGACATGATGGTCCCTGCTCACGGCCGATCGGACGGTGGATCCGCGGTAATTACGGGTAAATTACAATGACGCAGTCTGGACTTGGAAGGGTAATTTGCATATTTGGGCCCAAGTGCGCGAGGCTGGCTTGTTCGCTCAACGTCGTGCGTCAAATTGCCAGCTCACCACCTACCGAGGACGGACCAGGGGAGGGAGGGATCCTCGACCGGCCACAGGCGCTTGTCCCAAAGAAACGGCGGCGGTTGCTGCTTTTTGGGTCATGGGCTCGGCTTGGGGAATTTGCGCGGTGTGTGATTGCGGAAGGCTAATCGTGCCCGCCAGCACCCTAATCCTCCTCGACCACTCTTTGCTTCTCCCTCTCCCACACCACCATCCACATGGCTGCGTCGGTTGCAGCGCTGAGCGTCTGGATTCCGGGACTAATGCTCATCCTCGACTTGTCCTGCCTTCCGCCGTCCAATCCCTACTTGCATGTTCCGCCCACAATGCCGTATTGTCCAGACCTTGTCTGCCGTCCGCTCTTTCGGCTCGCTTCCTGCCGCTACCCTCTTCGAAAACTCTGCTTCTCTGCTCACCCCCCACCCTGGTCCATGTCATTGAGAGATTATCCCTCGTGTCTGACTGGCCTTCTCCAACCTTGTGACTGCCGTGCCGACCTGTCCATGCCACTCGGTCTCTTGGTCCTCCTCCCCCCGCCTCGCCTTCCTCTCCGACGCCCCTTCGGATTGGACCTCTGTCACCCGGAGCGGGGTCAAGTGGATGCCATTACACCAGGATGAGATGATGAGATACTCAACAGCTTCCGCATTGGTCCCGTCACCCCCTGATGCTTGATGAGTTGTCACGTTGCTGCTCTGAGGGGCCCGCCTCGAGGAACATCCCCTCGATGCGGTCCAAGGCCCTCCCGCTCGCGCCTATAAATTTGTGGCCTGGTGCCGGACGGGAGTCTGTCTTTCCTTCCTTCCTTCTCATCACTCTTACCCTGTCCAGAGTTTCCAAACACCCAAGTACCAGTCTGCATTCATCATATCACCTCCTAGCACAGCAACATCCCAACACACCATCATGGCTGCTTCATACTCTCGCCATGGCGTTCACTATGCCCCTCCTAGCAAAACATTGCCCATCACCATGCCCTCCAAAGCTCCTGCTCTGCCATACCCGACTTCGCGCGTGGCCATGTCGCCACCGGAGTACTCTGATTCGAGCGTCTATTCTTCCCAAGGCTCTCGTCATTCGCCCAGATCGTACTCGGCACGATCCTCCACCTCGCATGCTCCATCTCATTCCGACTACGATGTCTACCGCGAAAGCGATCGTGACGTTTCTGAGATGCTCAGCAAACGCATGCACAACGCTTTCGATCCCATCACCATGGATCGCTCCCTGGCAAAGCAGGCGCAAGAGTAAGTACTTGACGCCTCGCCGAACTGTGACAACATTCTGACGAATTCTGCAGTTCTGGCAAGCTCAACTCAAAGGAGCGCGAATTGCGCGAGCTGCAGGAGAGGGCTCGTGCGCGCTTGAAGACGGCCCGTGTAAACTTTGCGCAGGGTGTCGAGGACGCTCGCGAGGTTAGGCGAGACCTGGACTATTGCAAGGAGACGACTCAGTGAGCGCCCTTGAGACGGACCACTGCCCATCATTCCTGACAATTTGCCAGATCTGTGAAATCCAAGGCTGAGCGACATCACTCGGATGCGTACGCGAAAGCATCCAAGAGCCGCTCCCGGCACGCTTCTTAAAATTCACGACTTACGACATTTACGACTTTACGACGACACGAATTTCCTACATTTCTTTTTGACATTCATTGTAATCTACAACAACCTTAGCAAGCGGCATGTTGACATCTGTCACTACATCCGATTTGGCTCTTTGCGAGAACACAGGTGGAGCGACGACCAGCGGTATCTCCCCGCATTCACTGCCCTGACCACATAAACATGTCTTTGAAACATTTTCGAGGCATGTCGTCCGATTACAGCAAATCACAGCGCCTCATTGCCTTCCAAGACTCCCATTCGCGCGGAGACGAGATCAAGTTCAGCCTTGGCAGATGCCCGAGGCGATGTTGACGTGGCAGTGTCCGAGCGCCAGCGGCCCCAGCTTAAGTTCCGCTCCACCCCCCAAAAGCGGGATAAAAAGTTGCTGCTTTTGTCGGACCAGCGATCTGCGACCAGCGGCACGCCGTGGCCGCGCTTGCGGGGCCGTGATCGCGTGGCTGATGACGTGCAGACGCAAGCCGAGCCGAATTGCCTGCAGCAACTACGCATGGGACCTGCATTTGCGCGACCGTGCTTTCTGGGCGGCTGCAAGAGACCCAAGGAGACGGTCAGTGCGATGCTGAGGCCGGTCGATTGGTGGCAGGGATCCCTGTCCGGGTCCGGAGGTGAGTCTGTGGGAGTTGGGAGAGAGGGGGATCAGGTGCGGGTGGGCATACCCTGGAGCGTGACGAGCCGGGGCTCCTCTTGCAGGACCATGCTAGGTTGTACCGCACTGGTCTGCGTAGCCTAAGCCTGTTTGGGCGCTGGTGGGTGTGCTGAGGGCGAGTGAGGGGGCCACTATCCGAGCAGGTGGATGATTCAGACCGTGAAAGGGTGAGAATGTATGAAAATGCTGGGACTGGTGGCACCTCTGCAAAGTTCGGATTGGTGGGTATGGAGAGATGAGTTTCGTGGCTTCTTTCGTAGGCGCGGGTCCAGCCGATTAATTCGAATTCTGTTTTAGTTAAGGCCCCTGTTCAGGGCAGCCATGGTACCGATGTAGGGAGTCAACGTACCCGTAGACTCGGTCCTCGGTACCTATTCTCGCCCCTGTAGGCGGTCCCCGCTTCCCCGTAGCCTATTTGTATCGGGCATCATGAAGAGGTCGTAAGGCGCTGAGGGTGCCGGGAATGCTGGTCAAGCTGGGCCGGTAAAAGGGAGCTGTTCCGGCGGTAGCAAGGCCAAAACGCCCTAAGCACAGCTTTCCCCTGGTAAGTGCTCTTCTCCTGTACTTGTCCTAGGCGATGACCGAGCACCATCTCAACGCTCAGTCGTCGGCCTCCCCACTCATTCCTTGGACAACGAGGCGAGTTGAACGGACACCATGCGGCATAGCATCATAGAACAACCCGGAACTTTGAGGCTGACACTGACCTTGACGAGCAGCAACACCACGCTTAGCTGCTTCGAAAAGCCCAGGATCCTATTTCAGCATCAGCACGAGTAACAGGCAACTCACGGCATCATCACTTCGGCAAACAAGCCGCTCCGTCAAAGCTGTTCGGGGCAATGCCACACTCGACACGAGCTGGGCCCGAACTCGTGGTCCGTGCGCAAGGCTGGCCTCTCCTCAAATTTTGAGTGCTCATCTCAACTTCAGCTCGACTCCGGCAACCCTTCTTGGCACCGGGCATCAATAATGTGAGCCGCCGCAAAGATTCACGACATCGATGGCGTGCCCTTGATCAAAGTCGAAGCCCGGTCGTTGAAAGGCGAATCAGACTCAGCTGAACAAGCTAGACCTGCGGTACGGCCCGCTAACCGGTGAGTTAGTGCTGCGTGGTTCCCGCACGTCAGATACCTTGCAGGCAACGACACGAGGGATGCTCGCGAGGTGTCTTGACGGCAGAAGGCAGGGTGTCTAGGAGGATGACCTGAGGGGGGCGCCGGCCTCACTCCAGGCAACTACTGCGTACAGGACATCTCGCTCTCGACAAGCCACGCGCGGCAACGACTGCGCCGCCCAACAGGCTTCTATCGCTGATTTGTAACATGAGACACACTCAGTGCAGCGCCAGAACTCAACGAAGCTCGTTCCGCTGGCTATGTCTGCCAAAAATCTTCCGCGGCGTCATCTGGACACCGATTGCCCTCCCCAACTGCTGACTCCCAGACCTGACCAGTGTGCGGAAGTTGAGTAGAAACACAGCCCACATACTGCCTGAATGGGTAAAGGGCAACGAATTCAGGAAAGCATCAACCGTTCCACACATCATTTCTGGATCTGAACAGGGTATCGCGACTATCAAGGAAAAGGGAAAAGAAAAAAGCAAGTCTCGATAAAGACAAATCCACTTTCAGAAACATCTCCACGTCTTTAATGAAAACGTAGCTTACTTACTACTCCCTACTCTGCACACATGGTCTCTACCCTGATCACGTTTAAACCATGTCTACCTTCTCCGTCTCATCTATTCGTCACAACAAGCTTCACTTCAGTCATACCATGAGTCGCATGTTCTCATGTCTATAGATACTTGTACCCTATCTATCTATCTCCTCTCTACTTCCTTCCCTCCCTCTCCCGCTTTCCCCGGTCATTACCACCTAACTCGGACCCCTCCTCCTCTCCAACGCTCCTGCTCAGGCTCCTCGCATTTTGCTTGCCATAGTATATATATGGCTATGCCCGTCGCATCGTCATTACTTCCTTTTCTCCGTTGCTCATTAATGTGTTTGTGTTGTCGTCTCTGGGAAAAGAGGACAGAAGCAGAAGAAGAAGACAGAAAAAAAAAACACGCCTGGTTTCGGTAGAATGGTTCATGGGTGTTTGAAACCGAATCGCTTTTCCCCCTCTGGTCTTTCAATCTTTGCTCCCACTGGTAGTATGCTCAACTCGCTGAATTGCACGCTGTCATGTCCAGCATGCACGCTCCATACAAAAGCATATCTGATCGCCATAATCAAAGTATTTTGGACCGTGAGGCGTGATTCAAATCTCCAGCGGTCGGTCCCTCAAATAGACGTGCTCCATTCCCTCCGCCAGCAATCTCACCATCATGGTCCCCAACAAGCCATATTCCACCGGCTTGGTCATGTAGTCGGAGAAACCAGCCGCAGCGGCGGCCTGCCTCTCCTCGGGCATCGCATTCGCCGTCAATGCCATGATGGGCACCGGTTTCAGGCTCCTCTCACGCTCCCACTGCCGGATCTCCATGCATGCCTCATAGCCGTTCTTATTGGGCATCTGTATGTCACAGATGATCAACGAGTAATAGTTAGGCGGATGGCTCAGAACAGCGTCGACGCACTGTTGCCCGTCGCGCGCCTCGTCGTTCTCCAAGGCCACTTTTTGCAGATACTTCCAGATCACTTTGCGATTCACGTCACTATCCTCGACGAGCAGCACGCGGTGACCTTTGTTGCCAATGGCCTCTTTGACTGAAAGCGCAGTATTTCGGAAATTGTCCGTCGATGTTTGCGCAATCTCCCGGGCGCGATCTTTGCTAAGGTTGCGTAGCTGGGCAGGGTCAAAGATCATGGCGAAGACCGAAGGCTTGACCGGCTTATGGATAAGATAGGCTTTCCGATTAGAAGCGGTGAGTGCTGCAAAGTCCTCTTGGATGTCGCGCTTCTGGTAGTGGTCTGTAATGATCACAAGAGCTGGGGGGGTAGGCTGCATGCTTAATTGCCGCATGAATAGCATGATATCAGAAGATGCAGGTATGTCAAGGACAATGTGCGTAAAGGTTGGTGAGGTTGGACCGTTGAAAAGCTCCAGGAATTGACCAACGTCTGCAATTGTCGTGACATTGGTGGGAATTTGCAGAGGCACAACATGCTCTATATGTTGTCTGATGGCTGCTCGTGCGTGTTCAGCTGGGCAGATTACCACGATTGAATACGTGGCAGGGTGTGCTTGATCAGCCATGATAGCAGCATCATTGTCACTCCGAGTGCGCCGAAGAGATGGGTGCATGGCCAAGGCCTGTTCCGACATCAGCTGTCGATCCGTAGAATTGAGTCGATAGGGCACATCCTTGGAGACGCTGTCTTTGCCTCGTTGAGATTCTGGTGTTGGTACAAGTGATGATGCTGGCGATAGAGTCGCACCATGGCTGACAGAATCCGAACGGAACGATGTCTGAGCTGATGTACTCGAAGTGATGGGGGGCGATATCATATTTGGAGACACGACATTTGGCGGCACTACGTCCGGTGACTGCGTTTCTGGAGAAGTAATGTACCTTGAGAGGCCAGGGGTCTGGATGACAGCCGAAGGCGCCACAGGAATTTTGCCAGCAACCATGGTCGAAGTTTTGGTATCGGATTGGGATCGTGAGCTCATTGACGAGCTCTGCCGATGTCGAGCTCTGTTCGTAGGTTGTGGCGAGGTCGCTTCCTCGCCAGGTGCCGGCAGCTCGACACGGATGTAGAAGCTGAACGTGGAACCCTCTCCAGCCTGACTCCGAACAGATAATTCGCCTCCGTGCATCTCGACAAGTTGTTTCGACAAGAACAGTCCCAAACCGGAGCCAGCATCATGATTACTGCCCATGCCAATCTGACCAAACTGCTTGAACAGTCGTTGGAAATCGTTAACATTGAAGCCTCTGCCCGTGTCCACGACCTCAAAGTTGAGTAAAGCAGTTTGAAGACCTGTAGCACTGACCTCCTTGTCTTCTCGTAGAGTGCAAGCCATGTGCACTTCACCTTGTTCAGTGAATTTGACAGAATTTCCAAGCAGATTCAGCAAAACCTGACGCACACGGAATGGATCGCCCTTGACGTTCATCGGCACGTTGGCATCGAGCGAGTAGTTGAGTTCGAGGTTACGCTCGATAGCCCTGGACGATACAGTATCAATTACTTCTTCGCACAAAGTCCGCACATGGAAGAATTTGGGCAATAATGTCATCTTGCCGGCTTCAACTTTGGTGACATCCAGAATATTGTCGACGAGCTCCCGAAGATTATTGGCGCTGTTTTGGATGGTGTCAAGCGTACGTCGCTGGTCGATATCGAGAGGAGACTCAGTCAGCCAGGGCATGCTTCCCAAGATACCATTCAGAGGTGTGCGAATCTCATGCGACATGTTTGCGAAGAACTTTGTCTTGGACTCCATCTCCGAATGAACCTTTTCGTTGGCCTGATTCAGCTCGCGCTCCAAAGCCTTGCGGATCTCGATATCGGTACAGGTGCCATACCAGGAGGCACGCCCACTCGACAGCAAGGCAGGGTCAACTCTGACCAGCCGCACAAGGAACCAACGATACTCGCCTCCCTTCGAGCGTAAACGAATCTCAGTCAAATATGATACACGGCCGTTTTCGTCTCGCTCTTCTGTGACTGAGCCTTGCTTGATCATGCGGTCTAACGATGTCAAGTCGGGAGAGAACAGGTTTTTCTTGACCGGTAGCTGGCCAATAGTCTTGTTAGATGAGCCACTCGAGCCTGAATCGCTTTCTGTGGGTGTTCGACTGATAGCAGCCGCATCTGACGGCGAGAGAATCCCACATTTATGGAGATCGTCCCGATGCACATGCCTGGCAAAGCCGAGGCCTCGAGCATCCTCCAGGTTTTGACCGGAGAAGGTGTGCCATTGTTGATTGACAGCCACAATCCCCTCGCCTTCAGTGGCTTCGAAGAGGACTTGCGGAATTGCATCAGCCATAGCTCGAATCTTAGCATCGCGGGCCATTGAAGACTCGCGCTCGCTTGCTTCCAGGTTCTTCATGTATTGCTCATGGACATCTAGGAACGACCCGATCCAGTAAAGGAGCCTGCCGGTATTCGACAGGAGGGTGCTGGCTCTGAACACAAACCATCGGAAATCCGAATCACTGTTGAACCGCTTGACCCGGATGTAATGAGTGAACTGGCTGCCAGACTTTAGAGCGTCAGCCCAAAGCTTCATGAGGCCGCCGCGGTCGTCAGGGTGGACATTCTTCCATGGATCTCTGACGCGTCCCTCGCCTTGACTCCTGAACGCATCGAATTTTCGATTCGTCCACACGAGATCCCCGCTACCTGGCTTCGCCAGGAAAAGCTGCAATGGTACCGCGTTCAACATCAGCGTTGAAATGAGGTCCGGTAGTGGCTTTTCGCCTTCTTCTCTCGACATAGAGCTGCGATGCAATGACGACTTCCGCAGACCATGTTCGTAGCGATCAAGTGCTCCAGACACATCGCCAAACTCACTCTCCGAGGTCTGACTCCCCGGTCGAGGCGATACAGGCGCGGAAGTCTCAGCATGCCCTTTGGGGGGCGGTGCCTCTCTTCTAGACAATGCTCTAGAGCCACTTCCGGGCTTCTCGTGGAAGGCTTCGGCTTCGAGGGATTTCCGTCCGGACGGAGTCGCGGCTTTGCCGCCTTTTGCTCGCTTTGCTGAGAAGTATCCTTCCACGATCTCTGCGCCTGACCGGCCTGGGGTTGGTGGAAGGCCCGCGCTGAAGCCAGTATGCTCGTGTAGCGGAGTGCTGACGATGGAAGAGGCTGGACTCTCGCGCAGCCTGCTGCGCTCCATTTGTGGACTGGGCTCTCCCGAAGGGAGCGATACAGGAATTTTCTCCTTGTCTTGGGTCAATTGACCACTTAGCTCAGCTACCAATTCCAACTCGGAACCTTCATCAGAGAATGTACCCCCCAGGCCGAATGATGCCTCATGTCTCTGTGCAATGCCCCCACGTGCACGGTCCTGAAGATTGCTGTACTGTTGAGCCAGGGAGAATGAGCATGCCAGGTGAGGCAGTAGATAGGCAAGAGAGTATCTCAACGTCATTGGATAGGGATTCATCGGTGACAAGAACGAGAGTACAGCAATTGGAAATCTCAAAGTCGAAGGCATCGGGCCTCTCGACGGTTGTATCAGTGGTATGTGGACCAATGTTCTTGCTCCATCACCACCTATGGCACTTAAGCTCTGGTTTGCCTCTGCGGAGTAATCATACGGTGGCGGATCATTTGTGAAAGCGGTCTCGTCTACTGACGTGCTTTGAGTGAAGAAGGGTGATTCCGCGGGATCTGGTCTCGCGGCTGGCGATGGCGACGGGCTTTGAGACCACGGAGAAGGTTCAGGTTGTTCATACTCATCGACAAAGCGCATCGACGAGAGTCGCTCGCTCCGTTCGCCAGGGCGGCGCTTTCCCTTCAGGTCTGTTGCTGATTCAGGCGAGCGAACAGGGTCGCTTGGCTGTGACCGAGAGGGTGCCGAAGCGTCCTCGCTATAAGTCCGTGTTAAGACAACAGGTGTCAGCTTTCCAAATAGCGGCGAAACGCCAGTCCTGACAAGTAATGGATCGATCTCTTGCTCAAGAGGCTGTAGGGCCCTGAATACAAGGCATCTAGCTCTGTCTTCGCCTGACGCTAGATCTGTGGGTGCGGACGACGGGACGTCAAGCGTAGACTGAGTCCGGGGCGTAGGCGCCTGTCGGGTCAATCTGGGTGCTGCCGTTGTGGTTGTTGCTGTTGCTGCCGTTGCTGAGGGCTGCTGCTCACCCGTCTGGGGGTCCATGCTACTGTTCGACCGCAAGGGGCCCGCAGGACGATGGCGGGCGCGACTCGCAATATCTGGCAGGGGACCAGCGATTGAATGTCGACTTTGCAGAGCCGGCCGCCGCGCAGAAAGGGAAGCTAGATCAGAAGATGTATCCTCCCTACCACCATGCGCGGTCCTGAAATCCATTTCAGATGTGCCTAACGAGTCAAGTGCCGACATCCCAGATGCGTCGCTCCCAGCTAGATTAAAGGTGGCCTTCTGACCCCAGGGCACATTCTCCAGGTCAGTGATATCCCCCGGCAGTGCCAATGAAGCTCGATCGGCTCCGTATATTTCAGACAAGATCTCACAAACGTTGGCCCACCACATGTCTAATCCAGGCTCAGCGTTCAACGCTAAGATGATCTCAGAAAGGTCAGGCATTTGATATGTCGTGTCTTTATACATCTGGTTGATGTTTGACGTACGTCCGGTGGGAGTATCAGTATCGGCTGATGAACGGGTGTCGGGGTGCATCGCGAAAGCGGAGATGTTGTCCACAGGCTCGTTTGTAGGCGACAGTAGAGTGAAGGGTTTATGCATTGGCCCTGACCGGTGACTGAAGCCTCGGCTGAGCTTCATTTGCATGCGCGGGAACGGGTAAGAGGGCGTCCTGATGGAGCCGGGTGTCACGTTGGCGGACGGCCTGATGGTACGTGCTGAGTCCGTAGACATCGTGCCTGAGACGACAGACTCGTCCCCCGAAGACAAGTCAGCCTGAGATACAGCTGGCGACTGTTCGGTGCCGCCACGTTCTCTGGCTTTGTTGCTGGCATTATTGACGTGCGCGGTTGCCATCAATTGCTGTTTCTTCTCCAGGGCTGAAGCCATCTTGATCCTCATAGCTTCCAGACTCGCGGCATCGTGTACGACGGCCCCTGTGTGGGCTTGTCCGAGCGATGACGCCGAGGGTTCGCTGATTGTCTTGTTTTCTTTCGATGCGCCTGCCGCGTTTACGTGGTTGTTGTCATCGTTTGCTTTGTAGGATTGGGCGCGACTGGGTGGACGACCAGGTCGTGGAGATCTGGCCGGATTCATGCTGAGCACACCCACTGCGACGGCCTCCCCTGATATTTCTTGCGAGTTTTAGACATGAAAAGTAACGTTCATGACGGTTGCCACATCGCAAGTGACACTCGGAGGCGATTACGGCAAGGCTAGGAGGCGAGCAGTGGCGCGAATACCGAGCAAAACGAGAGACTTCGAGTGTGTATCTCGGCGCGGCGAATGAGAGTCAAGTAAGACTTCGGGAAGCAGGCAGTCTTGCACAAAGAAAGTGGGTAGCGGAACAGGAATGGTGGGCTGGTAGAGGAGTTGGCGCTGGATCAGGTCACGATCGAGTGGGTGTGGGAGCAGGGAGAGAGTGGTTTGAGTGGAAAGGCTTGCTGCATGCAATGACGTCGATCCGCCGCCACGCCTTCGCCTGCAGCGACCACTGATGCTTACTCTGGGGCCTCTCAACACGCCATCCGATTTGGTGCCACACTAAATGCAAGATCCTATCACACGGATTACCTGTTGTGTGGCCCCCAGCCCAAAAGCAGGCATTATTCTTGTGAGGGACCGGATGTGTATGCCGTGTCCGAATCCCAGGCTCGACGCCATGCAATTCGACGCTCAGCCAACATTGGGCAGACGTCCATTCCTCGGTGGCTGCCCCAGAAATCGGCTGGACCGCCTGGCAGGGGTGCCTGGATGAGCCTAGCTCTCTTCCTGAAGAATTTACATATTATTATTTTGGGCTCTGCATACTTCAACTTTGGCTTCCCGTCAAACTCTGGGTCCCAACGGTCGGATTTGGACGGAGCGCGATGTGGCCACGTGAGGTACATACAGCAAGGGTCTTGGTCCTGCACGCTAACAAGGAGCCTGGGCTGCCCAGCCCACCAGCTACGGAGGACGCAATCCGTCAATGTCTTTTGTACAAAATCCTCGTGCTTGATCGGTGATGTTTACTGTATCGCGCTTGCGGCAACGAAAACACGTTTCCCTACGGCTTCTAGTTGCCGATCGCCGAGCCTCTCCATTCCGGTCAATGCCGATCACTTAGACATCATCTCGCTTCTGGTCTTGACTAGTAGTTGCCTGCACGAGGTTTGACGATACTGCCGTCTTCTAGTCGATCTTGATCGAACTATAGATGCGATGTGAGAACACAAAGGCCGCGAAGAAGCCAATGGTGCCTGGATTAGTGTCAGCGTGGTTGTCTCGCGTACGCAAGAGCTGAACTTACCACTCAACAAAAAGACCAGAAACGCAATCAGCGCCGAGTAGCCAATGTACAGTACCGTTCCCGTCAAGCCGCCAAACGAGATCTTCATCGCCCAGAACCCCAGTGCGTTCAAGAATACATAACCGCCAGTCATTCCCGCGCCTGCAAATGCTCGCCATTGCCACCGGTAATCTTCGGCGCAGAGCATAAAGTAAACCAGTAATACAGTTGTGCAGGCCGACGTCAGTAACATCAGCCCGTAGCAGATGAAGAGAAATCCAAACATGTAGTAGATCTTGCTCGTCCAGAGCGAAGTCATGATGAAGTACAGCTCCACGAAGATGGCGCAGAATGGAAGCACCCCCGTCATCAAAATTGATGGCCACAGGCTGAGCGACCGCGAGACTTGTGGAATCTGCCGAGGAATCTGGTTGACGCGAGTTGGGGGCTCGATCCCTGGCTGTTTGAAACCAACCCAGCTTCCTGCCACACTCAACGGGACGCTGATAACAAACCATATCCCAATTATGGCTAGCATCGTTGACAGCGGCACTGCACCGCTAGAGCCCTTGGTCCAGACGAACAAGTTCATGAGGAAAAAGGTGGTGAAGACGATCCCCGGAACCAATGCCGGCGTGGCTGCAATGTTGAGCTTCCAATTCTCGCCCCCAAATGTCTTGTACGCTCTTGACGACACATAACCTCCGACGAAGCCGAACAAGGTATACAGCAAGAGACCCACGGTTGTGAGGAAACCTCGATTGGATGGTGACAGGAATCCGAGCATGGCGAAGAGAACCGTGAATCCCACCATGAAAAACAGCTGGGCACCGTTGCCAAGGAAGACACTCAGAAGGAGAGCGTGACGGGGACTGCGGAAAATGTCGCCGTGCACAAGCTTCCATCCAGAATCTTCCTGGATATCATCCTCTCCCACAGCCGACGTACCGGAGAGGTCATCCAAGTTGATGTTGTCCAACCGATTGTATCGCGCAATATCCTTGCGGAGGGCGCGGATCAGAATCGTGCTGACCATACCCAGGAGAAAGACGACAAATATGGTTGAGTTGATCAGGGAGAACCAGTGGATCTTTGGATCCTCCACATGCAGGTATTGATCCCAACGCGTAGCCCATGGCGTCGCCGATTCTCTCCAGTAAACGCTGTAGGTGTACGCCACGGGCGTGTTTCCGTTCTCGTTCAGCACCAGTTCACGACCACTGCCACACTCTGCCTTGTCCTCGGACACGTATTTTGCGTCTGCATCTGACCGCGGTGCCACCAAGACACCCACTACACGGTACTTGCCTCCACGTAAGCCAGCCCGGTGATAGTCCACAATGATGTCCCAGTGATTGTGCAGTACTTTGGTGCCATCATCTTTGACTCTTCCTAGCGGGAAGCCTGGACTCGCATAGATCTCGTGAGTATATGGATCTTCCCGAAGCTCTGCGCCTGGTAAACCATCAATGAGTAGGTTGATATTATACGCCTGCTCGATTCTGGTGTTCACGAATTTTGCCGCCCGCTCGTCGAAGTCCCTACTGGCACAAAGAGATTTACACGTCTCGTTACGTCCCATATGTATCTTGAATGGAGATGTGCGGATACGGTCGCCGAAGATGATGCTTCCTAATGATTCTCGCACCCATTGTGGCCCTTTTTCCGGCCGGCAAAATCGGAACGCAGGGTGATAGTAGTCGTACCCGACTACAGCGTGAATCTGTTCATCGTGTTGTGACACAGCTGGTGTGAGGCGGTTGACAGTCAGGGGGACAAGGTCATCGTGGTCGAAGGATGTGGGCGCGAGACCGGGAAGATAGAAAGCTTGCACCGGTGCAGTCGCGAGTGTTATCGCAATCAGTAGAGACGACACTTGCATGATCGGAGGCAAGGGGTCGTTCGGTCGTTCAATCGTACTTCATGGGAGGTGTGGTATCTGCCAGCTGTTATTGGAAGCGGCGCATGCTCAACGTGGCTTGATGTAAACGCCGGAGCCCACCCAGAAGGAACACAGGGCAATTGCTTCACCTGTGAAAAACCTGTGAAGTAATGCAAACGCAGCGGAAGTACTAACTAAGTGCTGGACAGATACGGGGATGCCTGCTCGTCAGGTCGAGCGATGGAGTGGTCTACAACTTTTTGGGGAAACTTGGCGAGGACCCCTGCCTGAGGCTTACTCTATCAATAGATCGACCGCGGTCTGCCGCAGCCAACATACACTGGAGGTGCGTCTCTCCCTGGTTTAAGATTGTTTCGACCAGATCATATGTACTGAGCATGCAGACTCGGCCGTTGCATCCTCCAAAAGGTCCCATAAGTTCGTTCGCTGAAGTGGCTGCAGAAGAGTAGTATCCAACCCGAACATGAGGTCTCAATGCACGTGTAAATGACCACTCGGATCCAAACATAAGTCCTCTGAAGATGTGACTCGATATCGTCCCTTTCTGTGAACGTGGGGGCCCCGTATATCGCCTCCAGTGCTCGTAAATCTCGGTGCCTATCATTGTACCGGATTTGCGCCAGGACTCCTCGGCTCGAATAGTTGGGTCCCATTATGGCGTGTTGTTCCAACGATGTAGTCGCGAAAGTCGGCGAATGATCACACCAGACCGTCGTACAGCGAGAGTGCAGAAACGATGGTCTCGTCCCTTTTGCTTCCTTCGCGAAACTCTTCCCGGTCAAGATATGAATTCTGATCTTTATCCATCATCGCAAATATTTTAGTTACTCGCTTCTCGGGAGTGTCCTGTATTTCTGTCAACCAAGTCAATGGAAAGGGTCTGCTAAACCTACCTCGTCTTCCGGTAGTTTTACCATGGATCCAACCTGCAGTCACCGTCAATACTTGCTTGATCTTTTGGAGAGAGTATGCACCATTTTGTAGATCGCGGTAACGATAGCCAGCATCTCCTCATACGAGATCTTGCCGTCACCGTTGATATCGTACAGTTGGAATGCCCAGTCCAGCTTGTCCTCCAGTTTGCCACGGCTGGTGACGCTTAGGCCGACGATGAATTCCTTGAAGTCAATCTCGCCATTCTTGTCAGCGTCAAAGACTGCGCATCGTCAGTAAATGGTGTATATAGTCTCTTATATGGTCACACCATTGAAAACATAGTCGGCGAACGAAGTAGGGTCGCCGTAGGGGAAAAATTGTCGATAGATCTTCTGAAACTCGGATTTGGAAAGCTTCGCCGTTGGACACTCCTTAAGGAAGCCCTTGTACCAAGCCTGTAACTCTCTTTTGTCGAATTTGGTCGATCTCTGTAAATCCTCGAGTTGCTGAGGAGATAGCTTGCTTTGTCTGTTGAACAAATTAGGCATGCGACAGAGCCGGGGAGACGGAGTCGCTTACTTCTGGCCCATCTTGTATCGCGAAGGGCAGTCAAAACTGACTGACTGGCCGCCAAAGGTAAAGGCTTTGTGTTTCAATCACGGAAGGGGGCTGCCTCGTGTGATTACAGCACCCGTTGGCGGGGCAGGAGGTGAGCGCAGGCGCGAACACTCGTCGGCGAAATGACGTCTGAATGACTCGGAGCGATCCTCGAGCCCCGGAGAGCCTGGAACTACGGTCGATCACAGCTTTGAAACGGTTCTAGACACACAAAGAAGTTGTTTGCAAGTGTTTTCATTTGTAGTATCGAGGAGCGTCTGGCAGTCAGCTAGCCTCAGGTACACTGAAATAGTGACGGCGGAGGGGGTTTCGTCCGTGGCCTAGCCAGGCGCACCCGATACGCGCCTCGCGAGCACGCTTAAACTTTCTCTGTTTCACGTACGTCCCCCTTCCTGCATTCGTCAACGCCATAAGCAAGTCCAGGCCAAAGGCCGATGTCTAGGATGCTGCAGAACGCTGGCATGTGTCTATCCCATTGCCGCGGCTTTTCGCTTGCCTGCTTCTTGCTGAAGATAAATGCCCCAACGCCGATGTCCTGGCGATGGTTCATTCCAGGGATGCAGCCTTGCCCGTGAACAGAACATCCACCACGCTTGACAGCTTCTCAATAGTTTCCAGCGCCGCATCGTAGCCAGCGTCCCGCTCCACCTCATCGTACACAATTAAGCACCCAGAACCCTGGTCCAGCACGCCGATGATGACCTTGTCGAGAATCATCTGCGAGAGTTTGCGCTCCACTTGTTGCGTGTCCAGACCGACCATCTTAGCGACATGGTCAATCTCTACTCGTGAGAATGGCTCGATGACCTTGACCAAGTTGGCTTCCAGCATGGCATCATACAGTCTGCGGAGGTGGTTCCGGATGAAAACGTCGCTGCCTAGCTCGTATCGGTAGTTGCTAAGCGCCTGCTCGTATTCGTCTAGCGACCGGTTTGCGTGTGCTCGCGCAACAGCCTTCATCGCCTCGAGGTTGGTCCCAGCATACTTTTGCGCTTGTTTTGATGCAAGAATAGAATTGACGTCGTCGACCAAGTTGAGCATGATCTTGCAGAGAAGCATGTACTGAAGAGTCGACGTGGCACGTGCATGGTCATCCTGTGAGTGGTAGCCCTCCAGAGCCTCGATGAAGTAAGAGAAGGCAGTATTGAAGTCTTTATCCTCCGCGTGGAGCATGCCACTTTGCAAGTCTAGGCCAGCTTGCAGCACAGGAGGTGTGTAGACCGAGGCGGCTGATGTTCTTGCAGACGTAAGAGCAGCCCTGGCTTTGGGCTGGTTGGTGAGCGCATGGTACACTCTTGACTCCAGCAGTTGCACTTCAACCAAGACAAGTTTGTCGTCCATCCGCTTCAGTTCCCGGAGTAGTCCATTGATCAACGTCAGGGCGTCGTAGTAGGACTGTTTCTGCATGTAGAGCCCTACTAACCTAGTCTCAAGGTTCTGTCGGAGGAATGATCTTCGTTCAGACGAGGCCCATTCGATACATGACTTGGTTGTGGAGATCTGGGTCTCGAGAGAGTCTGGAACATCGTTGAAATAGTCAAGTAACTGCCGGACTGGCAAGTGGTCAGCTTCTTAGCCCTAAGTCGCATCTATGTACTTACCAAGTTTGGCGGTCTTCGCTTTAGCATACGATGAGAACGCTGATCGCTTGTCTTCGACGAGTTGCCGGAGGTCATCCGGACGCTTTCCATCCCGATACAGCTCGCCTAATCCGACCAGTGCATTCTCATAGCTTCGCTGTGCGCTTTCCCCGGTCCCTGGTGGCTTCACCAACACCTCTTTGAAAAGGGCTTCCGCTTTGGCAGGATCCGATTTGATGAGCTTCTGCGCTTCTTCTATCTTCGTTTCGTTGCTCGGAGGGGGCGCCATGGTGATCTGAGACGGAATGGAGGTGAAGGGGGCAACGCGACTGTAGAGGAGCTGTAGAGACAAATGGATTCAAGCGTACAGAAATCACAGCCGCCGCAGGCACTCATGCAGACGACGCGTGCAGGACGCTCATAAGCCTAACCCTAAATTCTCTTCCCCGCTTAAGGACTCCAAATCGATATGGCTCAAAAAAAAGTTCCCTGCGTACTTCTTCCTCCACATCGCTTCGTCATGCGACATTGCGGTCCTGCGACATGAAGATCAAGACGCTCAGTCGTCCTGCGGCGCCTCCGGGCGAGGCTGCCCCAAAGCAGCCACGCAATCTCGACCCTGCCGCTCACCCATTCGAACGCGCTCGCGAGTACACGAGAGCATTGAACGCAGTAAAGATGGAGAGGATGTTCGCCGCGCCTTTTATTGCTCAGCTAGGCGACGGCCATGTCGACGGTGTATACAGCATGGCGAGAGATCCTGGGTCACTCGAAAGATTTGCAAGCGGGAGTGGCGATGGCGGGGTGAAAGTTTGGGATCTGCCTAGCAGAGATCAGGTTTGGTCGGCAAAGGCCCACGATAATATCGTGAAAGGAATTTGCTGGACACCTGAGCGGAAACTAGTGTCCTGCGCCACGGATAGGACTGTCAAGATATGGGACCCCTACAATGGCGAGACCAAGGGTAGGCCGATAGGCACATACCTAGGCCAAGGTGCTTTTACCGATATCTCCCATCACCGCGAAAAACCTGCGGTGGCCGTTTCTTCGAGTTCGATCTCAATATACGATCTCTCAAGGCCGACATCCGGACCGACACAAACGCTACAATGGCCCACTTCGACCGACACCATCACAGCTGTCTCCTTCAACCAGACGGAGACGTCCATTCTCGCATCAGCCGCTCTCGATCGGGCTATTTGTCTGTACGATCTTCGCACGTCTTTACCAGTTGCCAAGACTATTCTCACACTATCCTCCAACGCGATTTCATGGAATCCGATGGAGGCGTTCAATTTTGCTGTCGCCAACGAAGATCACAACGTGTATATTTTCGACTCGAGAAGAATGGATCGGGCCTTGAACGTGCTCAAAGACCATGTTGCGGCCGTCATGGATGTGCAATTTAGTCCCACCGGCGAGCAGTTGGTCAGTGCCTCATACGATCGCACGATCAGGATTTGGAACAGAAGCCGTGGGAGAAGTGATGATGTCTACCACACGAAGAGAATGCAACGCGTGTTCTCTGCCAAATTCACGCCAGATAATAACTACGTCTTGTCGGGATCTGATGATGGTAATGTCAGGATGTGGCGTGCCAATGCCTCCGACCGCTCTGGAATCAAGAGCGCAAGACAGCGACAGAAGCTCGAGTATGACCAAGCCCTAATCCGTCGGTATGCTCATATGCCAGAATTGAAGCGCATTAAGCGGCATCGACACCTGCCGAAGACGGTCAAGAAAGCGAGTGAGATCAAAGGGGAGGAAATCAAGGCCATCAAGAGGAGAGAGGAAAATGTACGAAAGCACAGTAAGAAGGGTAGTATGCCTCGTGTGTCGGAACGGCAGAAGATGGTCCTTGCGAAAGAGAAGTGAGCGACGTCTGGGCGGATGAGGAGCAGTCCAACAGAACCCAAAACTTCACGAATACTGTCATACAGAGCCAGAAGGTCGACGAATGGAGATTCAACAGTGGAAGCCTCAGGCGGCCGGCTCATTGCGCGTGGCAAAGCAAATACCAACACCACGCCAGCCACTCTGAGCATCATGCTTCTTTGGACCTGAATCTGATTATTCGGAACCGAATGACAGCATCAGTCTAAGAACTGGATATGTCGCCGAGCTTGATACAAGCCAAGTATCCAGTCCCGTCAGAGTCAGCTCAGCCAGGTGGTGCCTTGGTCATGAAGCCAGACACATCTAACAACCGTTATACCCAAAATCACCGATGGATGGGTTCTAACTCGTCGTGAGAGTAGTCTTTATCGGTGGTTCCGCGCGGCTCAAGTACGCTGCATTGAAGCTGCGAGCGGCCGCAGTCAGGAGGTGCAGCATCGAAGGGCGATTGACCCTTTGCTCGAAGTCGATATGCATGAGACGTCGACAACACGTAGTCAAGATACTACCAACGAATTGGGAGCAAGTTTTCAGCGCTTGCTTACCCATTAGATGTGGCGCAGAGGCTAGATCATGAATGGTTCAGAAAAGCCAGCATATGGAGGCGCTTTGTGGCGAAGATAGTAAAAGATGCAATAGTGTCAGAACGCCTGCCCATCCTAGTCGTGACATCGAGTCTCAGGGTATCTTTGCTCCTATACAAGAGGTATGTCGTCGGCCGACAAGTTCTTATGGTGGTCTAGCTCTTGCAGGGGTAGAAGGCTTGTCAGGCAGTAAAAGGCAACGAGGCTACTAGGCAAATTTTAGTGTTTATATTCCGGAACCTCGCACGGACACTTGCTCTCCACCACGAACTTCCGCACACCTAAAAATTGCTACAAAGTAGCGACTTCGTCTAAAGGCTTCACACCGAAACGAAGGATATTGCATCACACGTCGTGACCGGCCGCAGTTCCGCTCTCCTCACTTTGGTCGCTCGAGATCCGACAACTACAGCCAGCCACTGACATTCCATTCAAGTAGCGAAAGCTACGGGTGGCGCGCGGGCCAGACATCGCACAAGCTGCTGGTGATGTCTCTCCAGAGCTTCTTAGAGGAGATCCACAATTCATTGCACGATAAGAACGGTCAGCGTATAGCAGACTTGATCCACCTGGATGTTGAATCACTACCGCCTCAACGCCAACAACCCTATGTGCAACTCAATGCGGAGCTCAACAGTCAATGGCCTGCTAGCAGCGACGCTCAGTTACTACAGCGATGCAAGCAAGAGTTCTCGCAAGAGGAATTCGGCACGTTTTCGTCCTCATTCAGTGATAGCATTGCGCGTTACTTTCGATACCTACGAGACATTCTCACAGCCGACAACCTCACTAAAGCCCTAGAGATCCGACAACTCACCAGTCAATGTGTCACTGCCCTCGGAGATGCAAGATGGGGGGTGGTCATGATTCCGATTGTTCTCAGCTTTAGTCGCACACTGGCATTTATCGCCACCAAACTCGACCGCAACCCGCAACTCATCAAGCAGAGCGCACGGAGCGACTCTTCTGCCCCCCGTGGCGGCTTTGTCGAAGATGCTGCCAACGTGCTACGGGATGCCTTCATCAAGTGTCTCGCTGGAAGCCCAGGCACGCCGCGCACCTCACGCCCTCAGTCCGACGACAAACGTGTCGGAATCTATCTCACCGCCAATTCCACCCTCAAACTCCTCTTCCAATGCCTCAAACACCGCAATGCTCAACAGCTCTTCTCATCCATCGATGCGCAATCCCCGCCCTTGGCCTTCTATCCGGCCGCCCAACGCGTCAGCTACCTCTACTACCTGGGGCGATATCACTTCGCCAACAACCACTTCTTACGCGCTTCCGCTGCCCTCAGTGCCGCCTACACCTCCTGCCATCGCGAGGCTACAGCCCACCTCCGGCAGATCCTGACCTACCTCCTGGCATCCAATCTCATACTCGGCCTTGTTCCCAACGTCTCCCTTTTCAGCCGCGCACATGCCCAAGCCCTACACCCGATATTCGGTCCCATCATTTCCACAATCAAATCCGGCGACCTGGGCACCTTCCACGCCCTTCTCTCCCTCCCCATCCCCACCAGCCCCACCACAGCCATGACGCCCAACCCCATCGCCGCCTTCCTCCTCCGCCGGCGCATCCACCTGCAACTCCTCAACCGACTCACCCCCCTCCTCTGGCGAACCCTCATCTACCGCACCTTCCTCATATCCGGCTACCACGCCACCGAGACCACCGAAACGCGCAAGATCCCCTTCCTGCGCCTCCCCCTCGCCCGCGCCGCCGCCCGCTTCAGCTTCACACGCGCCCCCATCGCTCCCGGAACCCTCCCCTCCACCGCCCCTCTGGACGCCGAATTCGCCGACCTCGACGCCGCCCTGGCAGAAACGGGCTTCGACCTCGACACCGGCGCCTACAGCGACGCGCTGATCGACAGCCAACCCAAACCCCACCCCTTTGCGCCCAGCGCCGCCGACGACGAGCAGAGCCCCACCCTCGCCGAGGTCGAGAGCGTCTTCCTCAGCCTGATCCAGCAAGGCCTGCTGCGCGGCTTCGTGCTGCGAAACAGCCCGCGCTTCGCGGTGCCGGGGTCCGTGCAGCGCGGGGGCTGGCGCAGTGGGTTCCCGCCCGTGCACCGCGCGCTTCTGACTGCGCAGGGCGCGCAGGAGGGGCGTGGGCTGGAGGGGGTGGAGGTGCCAGGATGGGTTAAGGAGGGTGTCGCTGCGGGAGGGGGCCGGGTCATCAATCTGAGTGGCGCACGGCCCGTGGGAGCGACGTCTTGAACGGAGGCAGTTGAAGGTTTGAGCTCGAGCAGGGGAAAAGCATGAGAGCACTGTTTTTCGGTGGTCTGAAACTGGCCCGAGAGGTTATAAGCAAAAGGCGCTGGCAGGGTTGCAACGATGAGACTTGTTTTAGATGGCATTACAATTCATTTTATAGAACTCTCGGTTCTCGTTTCATGCCAATACCTGGAGTATGCCATGGCGTTATGCACTACGTAGCTTGCTGCGATTTTTGATACTATACAAAGTCTTCCAACGCGGAACAGGGGCCTCTTGACACGTCCCTACATTTTTGGTAGACCTCCTATTTCTCTCCTATGCTCGAAAATGCGTCGATGGCTGCTGCTTGATAGCTGCCCAAATATAACGGCCACTGGCCGGTGTGACCGCACGCCGACTATGCGACAATGCTGGGTATCTCGATGAACAACGCACCAAGTGCGTAAGAAGAATGGAAAATATGCCGTTGGGGGGCCAGTGGCTGCTGAACCCGTCATGTGTAGACGAGCTAGGGATATCTCCAAATATGCAAAGGTTATGCTAATGCCGTAATGTCGTTTCTTTGAGACTCGTAAGTGGAGTCTTTTGGGTCGTCTCAATGTACTGGTTGTTGTTTGATTGCGAGCGAGCTTCAAGGCGCTCGATGATTCTGCGGATTCGTCGATTTGCCAAGACCAAGGTCAAGTGTGTTGAGAAAGCTGTCCCTCAAAGACTTGCTCTTGCCCCTGCCAGAGCGCTGGTTTTCCTCCGCGATCTCGAAGTCGAATTTGCCGAAGCTGCTACCGCTCAAGATGGCTGATCTCCCCGAGTCGGAAACGGGGTTCTGCCGCCGTTGTGGTGACATCGTGTCCGGAGGAGAATCGAAGGGGTTCCTGCTCTCTTCGATTCCGGGCGTAGCGAAGGGGTTCGATTTGACTCCCTGATTAGGCGGTGTGGTGAATGGATTCGGACTTGGTTGCGAAGTTGAGACCGGGAAGGCAGGTGGTGGTGTGGAGACCTGCAGATCGAATTTGTTCTTTCTTAAGCTACCCATACCCCTGCCCACTGCATGTTGCTCAGTGAGATTGGTTGATGACAGACCGTCGTTACCACCACTGTAAAGATTGTAGAAGGTGGTAGGTCGGCTCCGCCTTGCTTCACTTGCTTGCACCACCTCAGCCTCTTCGCTGTGGATGGAAGATACGCTATAGATGCTAGCTGCATCGGAATATTGCGATCTCGTCGGAGATTTCTGAACGATGACGGCGGAGACGGGCTTGCTGGCTGAGGATGGTAGGGTCAGGGAAGTAACGCTGGCTTCAGCTCGTATTTTGTCTCCAAATGGGAATGGATAGGTCGATGTCTGCAAGGCCTCGGATGGGCTCCGCTTATGTGGCATGTTGTCTCTCTGACGACGTTCGGCAATGGTTGGTTTGCTCTCGCGTCCCTTCGAAGGGGCTTGGGACCGCTCGCTGGACTTGGGTGGGATAGCCGCTAGGACGTATTCGCTCTCCTTCTCGTCCGTTTTCGAGAAGGATTTGAAAGAGCTTGATGCCCCGTCATAGCCAAGATTCTTGGACTGAGACTCGACCTCCTTTGCCATTTCCTCGTCCGCATCACGCCGCTTGACATATATCCAAATGAGGCCAGTAATGATTGCAACAACGATAAATGCGCAGCCAGCGGCGATGCCGGCGACAGTGGCAACAGACAGACCGGCATCATCATTGTCTTCTTGTTTGTCTGCATCGTCACCTTGATTGGATGCCGAAGAAGCCGTGGTGGCGGCAGATGGAGAAGCAGTGGAACTGGAGGATGAGGAGGAGGCTGTCGGGATTACGCCAGGCGCTGTAGCAATGGCTCCAGAGCTTATCGCCAGCGAAGGTTCACCATTCTTGTCGAGACCTAGAGCCCGGCAAACATCTTCGTAGTATGAGGTAGCCTTAGATGTATCTTCCGGAGTACAGGCGTTGGAGGCGACTAAGCAGCCTGTAACGGAATTGCGAACGTCTTCTTGGTGGGAACATAGACACCTCGAGTCAGATTCTTCGCAAGGTAAACCGCCAGTGGCAGTGGCCAGACAATCGGTGGCGCAGGTAGGAAAAGAAGGCGCAGTGGTTGCGAGAGGGCCAGCGACTCCGATCTGTGAAGGAAGGGTTGATTGCGCGGTTGCGCTTGTAAGGAGTGTGGCGGCTAGGAGGAGCCGTAACCTGGACTGCTGTCTCATTCTTTCGACTTTACAGCATCACGAAGGACAGAATTGAAGGAGTGCAAGTCCTCATTGGAGGGACATGGCTTGTTGTTGCTGTGCAGCACCGAAGGAGGTCAGGAGGCCGCGAATAGACGAAGCTCAATGCGAAGCTGGCCAGCAATGGCCAAGTTGAAGATCTGCTAGGTTAGCATACGGTTAGAGGCCTATGAGGACATCGAAGAGATTGGGTCCATGAGAACATGACATCAAACGCGGTCAGGCGAAAGTGAAGTGACATGCAGGTGGAATCGTAGCTGTCTACAAAAGGAAAGGAGCGTGCAGCTTGGGAGCGTGTCTCTCCACATTCAGGGCGATCAGAATTTCCCGACGCGCACACTGATTTCACCGGGGTCAAGTACGTCAACGCGTCCATGGCATCAACAAGCATTCGAAAAGCGTTTCATAGACGGTATGTGAGAAACGACATGTTATCAACGATTTGAATTGCCTCGTAGATGTTGGACAAGAGCGACGTGAAGGGTGCTGGTCAGATGTGATGAATCCTGACCATGTGTTGCTAATTTCGGCGACGATGCTTAGCTCGGTGCGGCGAGTGCTGGTCAAACCACTTGTTCCACGTTGGCTCAAAAGATGTAGAGATGGGCGTCGCATTCCTCACGGATGCCCGTCAGAGCTGCAGGTCAGAGAAGTCAATGCAGCAATAATAATGCCATGTTTTCGACTGGCCGTTAGGGGACTCGAGAGAGCAATACGTGCCAAGCGGGCATCAAGACATGATCAGAAGATGCTGATGTTGCTGCTGCTCTTTACTGGTAGCTGTCACGTCTACAAACATGCGCACTTCTAAGGTGCAGCATCGGGGAGGATGCAACTCGTGCCTCGCTGCTTGCCGCTGCACCATATACCATGTAATCCGGATATCGCCAAATGATACATCATACTGGTCCCCTGCATCACTCTTATCGAAATCCTGTGTTCCCCTGATAAAGATAGCACCATGGAGATAGCGAACAGCCTGGACTGCGCGTGCGCGGGTCGCTTGCCGGAGGGTGGGGGGAAAGCCCATTCCACCCCTACACAGTAGCCGGGCTCAGCAGCCGCCTCTACCGTGTAGCTGTGCGGAGCCATCTTGAGGACCGACCGACACGTCTTTGGATACACAGACGTGCGTCGAAATCGCTGCCTTTTCAAGCATCGTCGCCGCCGGTGCGACAACACAGTCACGTGACAAGCAATGAGCAGAGTACTCTTTTCGTAGCTGCTGATCCGTCTCTTTGATCCCGTTCATCATGATTACACCAGATATGTTTCGTTCCATCGTGATTCCACAATAACAAGTTGCGTATACAAATGCTCTGTTCCCAAAGTTCAAAGGCACGCGGATGTTGGCTGTTAACCGTTGACCTCGGTCCGTACTGAAGTGCCTAAACGACCCTGCTCAGCCCGGGTTCCTTATGGCTTAGGCCCGTGCTTTTTGCCGGCTACTTGCGCCTAGTTGGCGGCGATTGTGGCCTCTCGTTCGTGGGAGCCCCGGTCCCTGAACCCTCCAACAATGGACCCGAGTTCCAGACTACCCCCAAGACTGGGTCAGCCCTTATCTTTCGGTCTCCAGTTTCTCAAGCCACGAGGACCCGGCTCACAGTCCCAGATCCGTTGCTGACCCCCAGCCCGCCGCTATCACAAGAGACAACCGCCACCATGCCGAAGTCCTATCTCGGTCCCTGCCGCAGCTCCGTGGCCTTCGTCTTCACTCTCCATTCTCTGAAATACGATTGACATTTCCCTCGCCTACTCTTCTATACAGCATCCTCGTCCATTCCCTTCAGGCCTCCCGATTGCACTTCGCGCGATCCGCTCGCGTGCTCACGCGGCCACGTAACTCTAGCCGCCGATCGACAACCATTGCCAGGCGCCGACATACCCTCAACGAGCAGCCCACGTACCTGCAGCAAATTCCTCGCCTTCGATGGCTACACAATCCGTAGTTCTGCAACAAGATCCGCCCTGACAAGACCCGGCGCATGGGCCACTGCGCCTACTGCCGTTCAAAGTCCACCTATGGACATACAATTTAGCCTCTTCCAACGAGGCATAGATCACAACCATGTTTCGCTGACCGTGGAACATGGTCTCTTTCCAAGAGGAATATACAACCACTCGCCGCCGGACTTCCAAGATCGCAATGCTCGGAATCCAACATTACTTGTCTCATGGTGGTGCACCATTTTCGCACTCGTCACCATTCTCATTCGCATCATGGGCCGTTGGGTGCGGACGGAGAAGCTCTTTGTCGAAGACAAGATCATGTGCTGGGCTATCATTCCGCTTATGGTTCGAATGGCTTTCGTACATGTGGTCCTCATATGGGGCACGAACAACACTATTACAGTCGGCCTATCGCATACGGAGATTCTTCATCGAGAAACGGGAAGCAAGCTAGTTCTAGCTGCAAGGATTATCTATGCCGCCTTCATCTGGATGACCAAACTCTCCATTCTCGAATTCCTCAAACGAACCACGACCACGACTTGGTCTCGAACTTATAACTTTATCCTACGCTTCACCTATGGATTCCTGCTCCTCACCTTCGTTGCCATCATAATTGGCACCCTGACGGAATGCACCCCTTTTCCGCACTACTGGCAAGTCACTCCCGACCCAGGTCCACAATGCCGCGAGGGCCTTGTGCAGCTTATAATCATGGGTGTGTGTGACATCGTCACAGACGTTGTGCTGATTGCCTTTCCCATTCCGGTCGTGCTCCGGTCCAGTATGCCCTTCCGCAAGAAGTTCTCCATGATCATCCTCTTCTGTCTCTCCGCCATACTTATCGCCATTACCTCGTATCGGATTCCCTCTACAATCGACCGCAAAGCCGATCAGCCCTATCGCTCGCTGCTTGCGAGTCTGGAAATACTCGCTGCTACAGGTGTTTCCAACGCTGTCATCATCGGCTCATTCATCCGCGACAAAGGAGTCAAGAAAGCAAAATTTCGTGCCGCCTCCATTGGCGACGCTGACTCCAGTATTGGCACCGGAAACGGCCTGCAGCGTGTGATGACGGCACGTAGCGCGGCCGTGACTTTGAATCATTGGGGTAGCGATGAGGATCTTGTGCGCGACCTGGGCGTTGCCCTTCCATCGACTTTGCGGCACGGCAGCACAGTAAAACAGGCCCGCGCCCCAACTGCAGCACCGCCCTATCAGGCTCCTGAGGGCGACAATAGACACGAACACTCTCACTCACCATCCAAGCCTTTCCACGGTCGCAGATCGTCCCAGTTCGATCCGACCTTCTCCTTCGCCATCCTTCGCGCACCCGGGGTGGCGGCCGCCGAGGCAGCGACTCGTCTATAAGCACCACCGATACTGATATCAAACTCCGTGATCTGCAGGCCTCTCTCGATGAACCCGTGAGTCCTGGCGCCGACTTGGACACCGAACCCCTCTCCAAGCAGATGTCATTCTTTGATGTTGGTGGGCTGGTGGATGCGCCTAAGACTAAACTACGGCATTCACAACCAGGTGCACGAAACCAGACGACGGATTCCCACACAGCAGATAGTGGGAGCCCGGCACCTGGTGCCAGGGGCCGGACTGGCTCCAAGGCATTCTTGAGTGACATTGGCGGGATTCTGGGGCGACATAAAGAGGAAGATGAGAGCGAGTCCGGCACACCAAAGAGCACGAGCCGCAGCTTGACGCCAAGTCGGATTGTGGAACGGCGACGGGCAAGTAGAAGTCCGAACCCCGTGAAAAGGCTGCAGGAGGCGGAGAGGAAGGGCGCTGCAAGTGCAACCGAGCGCAGTCCGAGGGTGCAGCCGACGGATCAAGGACCAGATTCGTTGAGCTTTGGAGATATTGGCGGTCTGCTCAGTCGGTAGTGCGGCGATACGACGGATCATGTCGACTGTCGGTGGGTCTTATGATGGATATGGCTCTGGTTACGCGTGTTGAAGGTTGATCTATGATGGGCTCGGCATTTTCAAGCGATGGTGTTGGACGGGTCTGCTCACTTGTTTCTATTTCTATTCATCTGATATCTTCAGGAGCCTCACGATGTCAGCAGTGCACAGATGCACATAGTACTCGCAGTCTAATGGAGGAGTATATATTGGTACTACAGTACAGAGGAATGATCGAGGTTGCGACAGATAGGCATTGAAACCGAGGCGAAGCCTTTTTGTACAGCTAACAACCCAACGGTATTGAGGGAATTGTTCAATCTACCACCGCCGCTGGCTTGCTTTTCTTTTGAGCCCATCACGAGCTGCCCCCTGGACCACGGCCCTGCAATCAAGATGACCATTTCAGAACACTCCTGGCTTTGATCCGGCATACTGTGCGACCCGAGACAGAATCGCCACTCAAAAGAGGCAACTTCCCTGCCCGATCTGGCAATCACGCACTTCCAGCAGCGCGGCCTGGACTTTGATCTCAAATCACCCGCCACTCAACGATCTTGGACTCGCCTAAGCCGCGGTTGGTGATTGGAAAGTGGGGAAGGGGAGGGCAGCGAAGTTGTCTATCTGTGGAAGCCTGCTTGCTCGATCTAGTAATCCTACCTTCTGACGTCCTCGGGAAAGCCAGTGTGATGCTGAAAAGGACCAGTTTCGCCTTGCTTGGCGGTCGAGAACCGACAATTTGGGGATTCCTACTGGCGGGATGCGACGAGGTCTGTGTGACTACAACGTTATGGAGGATAGTAGGTGGGAGTAATGATGAGATGCATTAGGTGGGCTTGTTCGAGTGTTGGTTCTTCGTTCTTTGTCATTGGCATAGCTAGTTGGTATTCTTTACCGTTGCTATGGAAAGTTTGCATTGCAAAGGTCAGGGAGAGCTACACTCGTCAATCCCATGACGATTCCTCCTGTGATGAGACATGATATCCTGGGACAAGGCCTGGCCGCTCCTGAACAATAAATTCTGGCGGATGACTCCTAGCAAATATTCGTTCCAGGCATTACGGTTTGATGCCAGACGTTCACACCGAATCTCTTGTCCTCAAAACGCCGGTCCCGAAATACCCAAGGGGTGCGCTATCTGCCCCGAACTCCCGACGCCTCGCCCAAGTGAAACCCGGGCTCACTATGCAGCCTCCCACCCGAGACCAATGCCATGGACAACTCGCTCCATTCTCATCAGAAAGTAGACCCATCCTCCGTACCACACCACCCCACAAACCTCTGCACATTCACAGTCCCCAGCCCTTGAACCTCCCTGCGCCCCATCTCTTCGACCTTCGCATTCGCATCCGCCACATCCCCCCGCCGCACGCCCTGTTGCGCTCCCACGTCGTCGTCGAACCGCTTGAGCCGGAAGGGCATGTGGCGCGGCAGACAGACGCCCACGCCCTGGTCGTGCTCGAGGTACAGGTGCGTGCCCAGCAGGAAGGCGCTGTTGGTGTCGATGAAACGCAGGAGGCGGGACAGCATGCCGTCCATGCCCAGCGAGGCCAGGCCGCCGCGGGCGCGCAGCAGGCGTGAGGCGGCGTTCATGTGTGTGTGATACTGCATGGGCGGAGGGTCATTAGCGGAACTGATGTGGAGCAATGAGTTAGGGGGGAGGAGGGATGGATGGGCACTTTACCGAAGCAGGGTCGCCGAAAATAGCTTCATAGCTCGCCATCTTGGCGATGGCGGCGATGAGGCACTCCTCCTCGCCATTGGAGAGCTTACCACGCGCATTGCCACCGCCCGCGCTCTTTGCACTGTCCAGGTGCGCATTTGCGAGCCGCAGCCCGCTCAAGAGACCCTGCAGAGCGCTTTGCTTCAGCGCCAGAATCTCCGAGTACAGTGCGGCGTGACGGGCGGGCTCAGCGTAGGTGGCCCAGTGTGCGGCGGCAAAAAGTGCGATGACCTGGAAGATGGCCGCGTTCTGCATGACCATTGGTAGCCATACTGTGCGGAGCAAGGGCCGTGGAGAGTTGTTGTCAATCTCTGGTATTGGAAGGGCGAGCTTGGTCACGTAGTTGTGCAGTACGGCGGCGATGTAGGGTTTGTGGTAGACGGCGAGGTGGGAGATGGGTGTGGAGGTATGGCTGGAAAGGATGTGCACTGGAGAGGCGAAAGGTCGTGCTGTAATGTTCTTGCTCGAGGGAGGGTATTGGAGTTGGGACTCGTGCTGGCAACGAGCGACAACGTCGGTGTGAGCGGGAGGCGGTCTGTTAGACACCAATAGCTTCCTCTTCGGAGGGCTGTCGTCGTCATCTTCATCTTGCAATGAAGTAATCTCAACGTCGACTACCACAAGGTCAGCCAGCAGCTGGATGACCCACACCTGGTCTAGCTTGTGGTCGTGGTTCGGCATAGCTCCGGGGGAAGTGTGGGTGGCCACGGCTAGGCCTGACTTACAAACAACAGTGCTACGGTGCTTGTCTCCCTTCAGACGGGTGACTTTGTCTTTGGTGCCGGCTGTGTGTGACACACGAGCCACATAGGAGCGAACATCTCGGCGCGCATCTTTCGAAGGTTTGCTGCCATTGCCAGAATAGGAATTGATGAAGCGATAATTGGTGGCGGCAGGCATCTTCAGCTGACTCGTCCTCTTATCCCCAGCGTGCCTTGCAAGACGGTTTCAGGCGTTGAGGTGAAGGAGAAGGTAGACGGCCATAAGCACGTGAAGGGACTCAGAGAGATGAAGTACCACTCACCTACAAGCGACGAGAGAAGAGAGTTCCGCGGATACGGCTCGTACGGTCCAGCTCAATATTTACCGGGGCGTGGGGATCTGCAGGCCCACGCTCGGATGTGAGCAGCAGCCACCACCATCACATCTGAGATCTGACCCACCAATACCGAGTTCTAGCGGGGGATCTCTTGGAGTGGCTGCATAAAGTGGGCTTGGGAGGCGATGAAACATTCGCACACGATCTCCAACAAGGCGTGTCAGCTCATGTTGCGTTCAAGTTTGTGATCAGAAGTTGGTCTACCGATAACTATATCCAGGAGGGTTTGAGGATCTTCATCCACGTGCTATTATTTTGCACGCGAGCCATTCTGCTGGTCCGTAGCTTAGCAGGCTGGAGATGTCTCTAGGATACCGCTGCTGGTCCGAAAGTGAGTAAGACTGTGTAACCTCTAGCGTCAGGTCTCGTGCAATAGTCTAGGCAATGGCTACAGCAGCTCCACTGTCTTCTCCGCAATAGCCTCGACCGGAGAATGCCGCTGTCAATGCAGAGTAGCAAATCCTTGAGCAGTCTGTTGTGCCTGAGGACCCACGTTGAGCACGATCCGCCTTGGACACTCTTCCGTGCGTAGCCACTTTCGAGACGCAGATGGCAGTTGACCTGTAACCCCGGGCCCATTTCCGAGCCATGTAGGCTAGCTCGCCTAATGCCAGCTGGTATTACATGAAATGAGGATAAGAAGAGGACCAGGTCCATGCGGTGTGCCAAGCTCACTGTGCCTGGCTTGTGTCGCCGTCCAATCGAGAGGCGTCAGTCAGTCGAAACCCTCGAAAACGTCGTCGTGCAGGTGTGGCATCTGCTGCTGCCGCCGGATCTGCTCGATCATGTTCTGAGTCTCCGCTTCCCGTGCCCTCTCTGTTTCGGACATGTTTGCGACTCGTTCATGTTCGCGTTTGGCTTGCTTCTTGGATCGCTTAACCTCTTTGCCGACCTTACGTTCGAGGTTCTGGGACCAAGCGACCGAGACTCCGCGTTTGTTGCTGGGTAGCTTTGGTCGGTCCGCCCCTGAAGCAACAGCCACTTTTCTGTGCTTTTCTCTTTGCTTGTCTTTGTACTCATATGATTCCCAGTTGACCTCTCGTGCAACAAATGCAGTTTTGTCGTAATTCTTGAGTTCGGGCATTTTGGGGAGTTTCAGCAGTGCCCAGCCTCTCGCGAGATCGGCCCAATCGAGATCGGCCACTCTGAAAATAGACGAAGCCTGGTGCTTGGAGTAACTTCGGACCCAGCTCACAAATGCCTTCTGAGCTTTGTCATGTAGCGCCCTGTCTTGAAGGACGATGTCAATGTAGGCTTGCCTGATCTGGTCTGCTTCATCATCCGAGACTGATATCTCGGGCATTTCAAGTTCCTCGATAGGAGTTTTGCGCACCTCAAGAAACGACGCATAATCCTCCTCACGACCGGGTTGCAAGAGGACCACACTTAAGCCTCTTCGACCCGCTCTGCCTGCACGGCCGCATCGATGCAGAAACACCTTTGGGTCCGAGGGAGGGTCGATTTGCACAACCAAATCAACTGATGGGATATCAAGGCCTCGGGCAGCCACGTCCGTAGTGAGAAGCACCGCAGGTGACGCAGAATTGGCGAATTTGGAGAAATTTTTCTGTCGAACATTGGCGGGGTGCTTCCCATGTAGCGGGACCAATACCATGCCATGGGGTAGTGTCGACGGCACTAAGCTCTGGAAGTAGTCAACGGCTGCACACGTCGAAAGATAGACAATGACTCTGAGTGGCGTGGGTTCAAGCTGTCGTAGGAGCTTGGCCAACATTGGCAGCTTGTGAGATGGTTTTGCCAATGCATATGTCATTCTCAAACTCGCGGGTGTTCTCTTGTCTTGTACGCCGTCGGCACCTTTCACTCGCACAGCAATACGCACAGGATTACGCAGACCTACTCTGATGAGTTGGTCTACTGCTTCTGAAACGCTTGCACTGAAGAGGCCAGTTCGCCGCTGCTTCGGTAGAAAGCCGAGAATCTTAGTTAAATCATCCTTGAAGCCCAGGTCTAGAAGGCGATCGGCCTCATCCAGCACGAGTACCTCAAAAGAAGACTGCGGACAGTGCACGTAAGGCGATGAGAGTATCTCAAGCAGTCGCCCTGGCGTCGAAACAAGTAAATTAGGCGAAGCCTTGAGAAATGTGCTGAGATCTTGAGCAGCCGTCCTTGACCCACCTAGAAGCAACTGAGGCAGTATCTTGAGCGTTCCTGGGGGGTATGTTTGCATGTCTTGGTGATCCTCGGCCTCCTCAACTTCCTCTCGGTGGAGAGACCGCAGTGCAGCTGCTGACGGTCCATGAAATTTGAGGAGCGAGAGCAAGACCTGATGAATCTGCGTTGCTAGCTCACGGGTAGGCGAGAGAATGATGGCGCCCACGTGATGTTTCTTCGTAGGCTCGTCCAGTCTGAGCAGCCGCTCAACAATGGGAATGAGAAACGACAAGGTCTTGCCGCTGCCTGTTACCGCCTCAACCACCACATCCTTGTGTGCCATGAACAGTGGAATAGTTGATGCTTGGACTGGCGTCATGCGATCGAAACCCATGGCGGCAGTTGCGGTGAGGATCCATTCGGACAGCGCAGGAGTGAGCGCATCCCAAGCCCTGGAGGAGCTGGGCTTTGTCGCTTTACCTCTATCAGGTGCCATGGGAAGTGATAGTGTGCGCAGAGTGACTTGCAGGACTTCGAAAGAGAAAAAGCTGGAGCGGCGACCTTGAGATCTGCGCGACGCAGGTTCCGCCGGAAGCAAGCCCTAACCCTCATCGTTGGCACCTCTCGCCTAAGGTAGCCTGTTCAAACAACGACGCCCCCTCCTTGGGTGCCACAGTTTGATGCCTAAGCCACAGCTCGGTTCGGCTGCTTCGGCGACTAAACAGCGCGCAGCACTTTTTTTCCAGGCTTGTGGCCCTGCACATCTAAGCATGTGAATGTCATCCTGCACAAGCCAACTTTCCTCTTCCATCCTCACTTCCCACACCACTATTCGTCACCGCCTTTAAAGAGGTTCCTTGATCCTGCCGTCATGCTTGTAACCATCCCTAGAGGTGATGATATTTAGCAGGAGTCAGTCCTTTAAAGCCAACTTTGCCTTTCCTTCCGCAGCCTCCCGCGCCTAAACTCCACCTCGTACTGATCCTACCGCACATCCCACCATCACCAGCACGTCCTCGGTCTGCACATTGTTCGCCGACATGGCAGATCAGTACAGTATACCAGCGACTCCGAGAGTTATATCACCGTCTCCCACGCCTTCCGATGCGTCCGAGAGGCAGGACTCCTATTTCGCTCCTGTCACACGATCAGCTGCCAGGAAGCAGCGACAAAGGTCCCCTCAGCCAGGTACCATTCAGGAAGAGAAGGATGGCTCGGGATCGGATTCTAGTCTTGAGAAACGCGCTCGGACGCGCTCGAGGAGCCCCATATTACAGCCTGTCAATGGCACCATCGCATCCGGACGCAACAGCAGGCGAATGAGCGGCCTTCGCAGGAAAGGCTCGGTCGCCAAATCACGCCCTCTTACCAATGGCCACCTGCCAGAAGAGACACAAGAGTCAAAAGGCTTTCTATCTCCATATGATCGCGTCAAGAAGTCCTGGCGGGAGTTTTCGAGATCGCCATCACCCCTCGGCCTCATCCCGCTCCATCGGCATTACCGGACCTTGATTCACAAACATGAAATACCTCGAAAAGCGCTCCATCTGTCTATCGGCTTCCTGACCTTAGGGTTATATGTCAGTGGCACAGCAACCCGGTCTGTTGGGCCATGGCTGCTGGGTGCACTGGGCATCATTGTTCCTGTCGAGGTCCTCCGCCACAGATCGGAGGGGTTTAACCAGTTTTATATCAAGGTTCTTGGTGCTCTGATGCGCGAAACCGAAGTTTCCGGCTATAATGGTGTCATCTGGTACCTTGTAGGCGCTTACATTGCCCTCACATTCTACCCTAAAGACATAGGTGTTGTTTCCATCCTGCTTCTAAGCTGGTGTGACACGGCAGCCAGCACCTTTGGTCGACTATATGGCCGCTATACCATCAGATTGAGGAAAGGAAAGTCCTTGGCTGGCACATTGGCAGCATTCCTCACAGGAGCACTGGCAGCAACCTTTTTCTGGGGGTGGCTTGCGCCTCGAACCGCGCCTCGAATCAACGAGCCAGCCGACGCCTTCATGTTCCAGGGTCAGCTGCAGCTGCCATCAAACATCAAGAAGAGTCTTGGCTGGAGTCAAAGCGAGGGCATCATTGAGGGCGCACCCGCAATGGTCATAATGAGCCTGGTGACGGGACTCATCGCGAGTTTGAGCGAATTTGTCGATATCTTCGGTTGGGACGACAACCTTACGATTCCTTTGTTAAGCAGCATGGGCATGTACGCCTTCCTAAAGATGTTTGGATGATTTCTTTTTGTAATTCTGCAACTGGCGAGAAGAGGTTACAGCGGGGCGTTTCAGGATATACTTTGGTTGTTGCTCTGTGTCCATCAGGGACTGGATAGATACCACGATGTGCATATGTCGGCGACCTTGCAAGGATCGCCATGAATCCGATTCTACTTCAAACGCCTGATTTCCCTTCCAACCTACCAAACCGAGCCGGTCGATGAAGATTGCGCATTTATTGGCGTTTATCAGCATATCATTGCCAAGCCTCTCTCTTCAGATGCTGGATGTTGCTGAGGTACAGACTGCAAGAACTCCCAGACACACATGATGGCTGAACTCTTTGCTACGGCGTGAAATGCTCACTTTGGACAGAGTCTCGAACCGCATCTACTCCTTGGACTTCTCCGGTCTGCTTACAACACGCTTGAGGTGCAGATGGCAGCCTCGGCAGTCCCCTATTTCTCCACGTGTCCTCGGCAATCAACGCACGCGAGAGTGACTTTCGACATTGCCTAACAAGCCCTGAGTGTCTCCAAATGCTGATCTTTCCACGAGCAGTCGCGGTTAGTATGGACAATCGCAGCATTTCCGAGGTAATACTTCGGGCTCTCCAGAGTATTACCCACCCCATATGCGGGGATGAAGCGATCTATTGGACATGAATCGACTTCCTGCAGCAGAGCCTCGAGGTTTACTCGACTTTTTTGGAGACTTCCACCTGGCTAAATATGCTTAACGGTGAGCTTGAATGTTTTGAGTCTTTCCACGCTCTGTACCTTGACCAAGGACGTTCGCCATCAATCGTTCTCAACACTTGAACATCATGAGGGACCAAAGCAAGAGAGCCAGATACGTTGTCCCGCGTCCCAGAAACTTGTACAACTTCTTCGTTGCTCTATTTGTCGCCTTTGGATCGCTCTGCTACGGCTATGCCTCCTCAATCTCAGCAGCTCTGATCGGCCAGCCTTCCTGGTACGATTACATGGGTCTCGAGGCTGGCAGTGCTTACAGCCAACGCATTCTCGGCGCCATCAATGGAGTCTATGCTGCCGGTGGCGTCTTTGGCTGTATATTCAACATGTGGAGCTGTGAGGCGTTCGGGCGGAAAAGGAGCATTCAACTCGGCTGCCTCATCAGTATCACAGGAGCCGCTATCATGACAGCAACTGTCAGCATTCCACAGTTCATCGTGTCCCGGTTCATCATGGGGTTCGGCATTGGCATCCTTGTGACACTGGTCCCACTGTATCAATCGGAAGTGTCTCCGGCAGAATCAAGAGGGTTGATGGTCGGCCTTCACGGCGTCTTGATAGGCTTCTCATATTCGCTCACAGGCTTCATCACATATGCGTGCTACTTTGCGCCTTATGGTCAATTCCAGGTCTGTCATTTCTCCAAGCCATCCCCTGCTTTTCTGACATCTATAGTGGCGCTTTCCTCTCAGTGTGCAGCTGATCCCTTGCATTATTCTCTTCGTTGGCAGCTTCTTCCTCCCAGAATCCCCTCGCTGGTAGTTGACCACGTTCCTCCACCTGACCTACTACTAATGGCAACTAGGCTTATTGGAAAGGACCAAACAGACCTCGCTTGGGAAATCACACGAAAACTGCACCGGAACAAGAAAGACCCCGAAGATACATACGCGCATGCAGAGTTCGCGCAGATGATGGCCCAGATCACCTTCGAACGTCAGCACAACGCCGTCGGCACTATTGCACAAGCCCGTCTCGCATTCTCCCAGAAATCGTTTCTCAAGCGGCTTGGGTTGGGATTTCTCGTACAATTCGGCAACCAATGTACAGGTATTTGACCTCAGCTTGTTCTTGCACCTGGTGGCAGACTATGCTTCTAAGCTCCGCCTCTCAACTTGGCACTCTTCAACTGGCACTGACAGTCTTCCAGGCGCTCTTGTCATCAATAACTACAATGCCCAACTATTCGCTGGCCTCGGGATCAGCGGAGGGACTCCGTTGCTATTACTCGGCTTCTTCAATCTTGTAACAGTTCCTGGTAACCTCTTGAAGTGAGTTGGGGCTCTAATAGAAAGCTAGACCTAAGTGCAGAGACTGACTACCTATTTTAGTGGCCTGTTCATCGACCGCTTCGGCCGTAGACGATTTGTCCTCACAGGTTGCCTTGGTAGGTTCTTCCACAGACATCTTCCACGCGACATGCGGTACACTGCCATTCCAAGCATCATCTCAAGCTTGGGTCTTGTAAATTTACTGATGTTGCTCTCGATAGGTATCCTGGTCTGTCTCTCTGGCGAAGCCGCCATGACCGCCGTGTACGTCGAGACAAACAGCGGCAATCGAGTCGGCCTAGGCTTTGGCGTTTTCTTCATATTCCTTTTCGTGACATTCTACAGCAGTTGTCTGGACGCCACGATGTATCTGGTACCGAGCGAAATCTTCCCAATGGTGATCAGGAGCTTCGGCATGAGCTTCAGCATCATGGGCCAATTTGTGGCCACGACGATTCTGCTGGAGGCGGCACCCACAGCGTTCAAAAATATTGGTTGGAAGTTCTGGTTGATTCTCATCATCCTGACCGCCTGTTATGCCGTGCTTGTGTATCTGTACTTACCTGAGGTTGTTCACACCGTATCTCGCATGAAGGCGCTTACTGACACTTGGCAGACGAAAGGTATGACTCTCGAGGATATTTCCGTTGTCTTTGGCGACCCAGTCGAGTTGAGCTTTGAGCAAGCGCTTAGCAAAGAGAGTGCGGCTGGAGCGGGTCGCGACGTGGACGACTACAACTTTGAGGGGGGTGTCAAGGACAAAGATGTGCAGATCGAGAGGGTGGAAGGCACTAAATGATTGTCAACTAGCCCTCATCTATGTGTGCCTCAAGTTCCCTGCAAGCCGATCCACCTCTCCGAGCCCTAGCTGCTTCGCAGCCCAATACTATTCCAAAACACACCTCAAGTCGTCCTTTCATCCAGCGCCGAGAATGACGACTCCGTCACAAATTGCTGTTGAGACCTGACTCAACCACTGCGCAAAGTCTGACTTCGACGAGGGCTCCTACCACCTCGTTTTACAAATATCAAAGGGATCAAAGTTGAATCTAGGTGAGTGACGATGGGTGCTACGGTGGACAAGTCTGGTGAAGCAGTCGACGGCTTCTTGTTCAAGGTCAAGAGCGAAATAGATGATGATGTATCTTATGAAGATGCTTGTCCAGATGTTTAGGCCCTCCTCTCCTGACACCGTTGTAAGCTAAATGTTGCTCAACCATCTCCCTCGCCAGTATTGTCAGCTCGTTCGATTCATTGTGCCTTCTTGCTCTCAATGTGCATCTGTCCATCGAGCCACCACTCCGGCAAATTTCGAAAGCCATAGTCTTTGACGGCCACCTTCTTTGCCGGCGGCCCTAGATACTTGATCGTCTGGATGATCAGTCCGGAGCATTGGAGCAGCCATACAAAACAGTTCAGCGCCCACACGCCCCATGCTGTTTCCGGATTGAAGAACCACGGCATGCCCGGCGCCAGCTTCTGCGCACGATCGACAATGGGTCTCATTTCCGCCTCGTACTCAGCAAAAGCCACTCCCGGATCTTGAGGATGGCGTTTCAAGGCGCCAGCTAGGTTGTAGGCGCCCATGAGTGCCAGCGTAGTGCCCATGCCAGAGAAGGGCGAGGCACAGTAGCTGCATCTGTTAGCCGACTTCGTGGTAGAGATAGGAGCACATTCACCCAGCGTCGCCCAGTAGAACAACCCTGCCCTTACTCCAAGCGTCCATCTTGACTTGGCCGATCATGTCGTAGTAGAAATCCTTCGCTGTCCGCATCTGCGACAGGACCCTCTCACATTCCCAGCCAGCGCCGGTGAAGTATTGCTCCAAAAGATCCTTCTGCGCCTGCAAATCCTCTCTGCCCTTAGCAGCGACTTCTCTCAGCCTCGCATCCTTGTTGTTGACGACATACATGAACACGGTCGTCCGCCCGTTCTCTCGATCCGGTCTCAACATCACGCCCCTTCTGCCGTCAGCATGAAACCACCGCCGCCACTCATCATCGCCCTCGCTCTTTGGCATGCTGAAGAACCCTCCGTACGCACCCAACCTCTTCACGCGCTCCTCCTCACCCTCCTCGCCCCACACCATCCTCCTCGTCAGACTCTGCAGTCCATCTGCCCCAACCACCACATCAAAACAGCTCTCCCTCCCCTCCCCCCTAAACCTAACATACACCTTCCCCTCCCTCTCCTCCAACCTCTCCACCCTCTCGCCAAACACCTCCTCCACCCCCTCTCCTTTCCCCCACCCCTTACTCACATCCCTCAACCTCCCCAAACACAGCTCCGCCAGTCTCCCCCTCAATATCTCCACGTCCGCCGTCGGCGCCCCCGCGCCCGCCCCCGCATCTCCTCCTCCCTCCGGCTCCTTCCCGGCCCCAAAAGCCGCCCACACGCGATCCCGACCATCGACCCACTTGACGCCCTTCTCGCCCGTCGAGGCGGCGCGCACCGCGCCCTCCAACCCCAGTTTGCGGATGATGGTGAGGCCGGCGCCGCGCACGTCGACGTTTTGGCCGTGCGAGATGCGGTGTAAGGGGCGGCGCTCTAGGAGGGTTATCTTAGGAACAGGAGGAGCAGGAGGAGGAGGGGAGGACGTGGAGGAGGAGGACGAGGGGGACTGTTGTAGCAGGAAGGTGGCGAGTGTGGGGCCAGCGATGCCGGAGCCGATGATGAGGATGGAGAGGGGCTCTGTGGGTGCGGAGGGAGTGGGTGACGATGTTGCCGCTGATGTTGAGTGTGACATGGTTGGTTGGGTCGAATTGGGGACTGTGCTGCTGTGATGTTTTCGCGCAACAGAATGTGAGTCAGTCTCGGTCTGTGGTGCTGTGGTCTCTCAGAAGACGGGCAGCTGTCTCTTATATACACCCAACCATACTCCCCCTGTAGCTAATTGAGAGGAGGCACGCCAGCAGCGCAGAACAGGGCACCACTCGTCTCATCACAACGCAACGGAGCTAAAATCGCCCATGGCAAGTCTGGCCACAACTCTCGATGGGGATCCTACGGCTACCTCATTCGCGTGACAAGTATCGAGCGGTGCTCGGCCTCGGCCGCGAAAGCCCAGGTTAAGGCTCCGAACAGCACCTAAATCCATGATGAGAAGAGCGGGTCCCAGCGCTCGACGTGCCGGTACCCAAAGGCTTGTGGCCCGGGGTGGGTGGTGATGATGCTTCTTTTTCAACCTTATCGAATCTACGGTTGCCGGATGTGGTTAGCTTTAGCTTTGAGGCGGCAGGCCAGAGACGTCGGCTGCTTCGGGGGAAAGGGGGGAAGTGACGACATTTTGAGCAGGGGATCTGCAATGTCTGATTTTCGCACTGGTTGGAGTGATAAGTGCTGGACTGAAACTGCTTGGTCTGCGGTGAGCAGGAAGTTTTTAGTCTATCAGACCATGTTACTCGGCCTCTGGCTTGTACGTGACGTCGAGTAGCTGCCTCTGCCAAGTGAAGGCAGGCAGTGAAAACTTGGCGGGGGGAGCCAGCCTCAGCAAAGCGAATGAAGTACTATTATGGGATCTAATTTTCTTCTATGCTGATATAGTATTTATCTACTGGGCTCACACCAGATACCTGAAACCCCTTTGCAGCTTCTGCCCTTCTTCGACCGTGACACCCTCGGTCGCAGCCGTCTCTGCTGCGACATCGCCTCTGGTGTCCCATGCCCGCTCGCCTGCTTCAATCTTCTTGTTCAGATCAACCAAGATCATTCTGAAGATCCAAATCCCAATGATCGTCACCCCAAACATCGCCGTCACAATGCCATAGCTCTTCCTAAAGCCATTCTCGGGCAGATCCCACACGTACGATCCTGCAATGTTGCCAAGTTGCGAAAATGCGTTCACCAAGGCGATGGCCACTGCCCTCTTTGCTGGGGGCCGAGGGAAGGACGAAGATATCCACGAGTAGAAGACGATGAAGCCCGCATACGCTGAGGCCTGCAGGAAGAGCGCCACATAGCGCGCCGCGACGTTAAGGGTCGACATGGAGATGATGAAGCCGACGAGGCCGCCAGCAATAGGTAGGACCATGTGCCAGAATTTCTCTTGAGTGCGATCCGTGTGCCAGGCGTTGATAAGTGACACAATGCAAGAGAATGCCCATGGTGGAGAGCTCATGAGCAGGGTCGGGATGTAGGAGAAGCCGAGCGTCTCCGTCAAGGTAGGGAAGAACGCATTGAAGGACAACCCTACTACATACGATGTGAAAGTCAGCATCATAACGTAGATCTTCCAATCCTTGAGGCACATGTACAATCCATCCAAGGGGCCCATTTCATCGGAGTCCTTATCGGCTTCGCCCACATCCTCGGTCATGCGCAACACTGCTACTTCGCGTTCTTCGGCTGTGAATCCCCGGGTGTTGTGCGGCAGATCTGGCAATATGAAGGCCGCCATAATGGCGATGAACATGGTGACTGCGCCTTCGATCCAATACAGCCAGCGCCAGGCACGGTGGCCTAACGTGCCTTCCATGTTGGAGAGAACAGCAGCGCCCACAAGGGCGGAGAAGGCATTGCTGATTAGGTTGCCGCAGAAGAGGATGGCGTTACGCGTTGTGAGCTCTCGTTTTGTGAACCATTTGGACAAAATGAGTAGAGCTCCAGGCAGAAAGGCCGCCTCGACGAAACCAATGCAGAATCTCACCGCTACCATACCGCCAAAGTTCTGTGTGTTGCCGGAGAGCGTGCTTATCAAGCCCCACAAGAGCATTGCTCCACTGATATACCAAGAAGGTCGGGATATCCTATTGATGAGCATGTTGGAGGGAACCTGCATTAATATGTAACCGACATAAAGGATCGATAGACAGGTGGCATATTGGGTGTTGTTGATGTTGAGGTCGTCTTGTAGACCGCCCAAGCGTGCTGCAGCGATATTGTTGCGATCGAGGTAGTTCATGATATAGATCAGAACGAAGATGGAACAGCGAGCGTCTAGTTTGCGTTTGAGAGATTTCTCGACCTGCTTCCTGCGTTCGGGGTCCATAGTGATGATACGTTCGCCAGTATTGCTTCGGGCATTGTCATCGTGAGAAGTGACCTCCTCGAGGTCACCGTGTCGAGCGAGGTTCGACTTGCTGTCAATTGGGGTCATAGTCTCGTTTTGGCGCTGTGATGGTAGATGGACCGAGTTCAGAGTCCAAGAAGGGCGGAAGCAGCATGTTATAAATCTCTGATGGCCCCGCTCGACATCGTTCAATAGCCGACACCAAAGGTTGGCCGGAGGTAAAGCCATTGCCGTTCATACTTGGCCACGAACACGATCAAGGATAAGATAGTCGGGACAAGGCGAGCCAAGACGTCCCGCTCGCGTGTGATGCAACAGCAGTCTGCAAAAACTTGACCGTGTGGGGTTCGGTGTAGCAACGATCGAATCGCCTCCGCCCTTCAGCCAAGACCCCACGGGAAGGGCATGGTAATGCGGGCTAGGGACACAGTCGACCTGTGGGAAATGCCGCGGATCCTCGCATAATGGCCACGAGACTATCCAAAAGCTAATCGTTGGACGAAACTTGGGGGCACCTCGATCTCCACTCACGAGGATACGTTATCAGAAGTCAATGCTGGGCAAGCGAGACCACGATATGGCTTCCGCTCTGCCGCTCAGGCTTCATGCCTGTTGTTGGTGGCTACGTGATGCAGCAATGCCGCGAAGGGAAAAGACTGGGGCGCTCAAAGCTGGCAGGATTGGCGCCAAGACTTTTTCGTGAAGGTAATCACGTCGTCGTTCTTTTCGCTTCTCCTCCGTTCGTTCCCTAACACCACACCCGCGTCAGTAAGCAAAGACGATACAACTCAGCTGTCGGCCACGAACTTGTTCATGTCCCGTCTGTCGGAAGATGCGGCTGACTTGGCCCCAACGTGAAAACTTTGACTCTGCCTCATCAACTTGGTCGAGCGAGAAGCAAACCAAGGAGCGATAGCGTAACTGTATCGCTTCCGGACCTATGCCACTGTCAGTGTCACCACCGATATCACCAAAAACTATCAGGCACCCCAAACGTTCTCGCCAGTCTTCGAAATGCGAACTGTCGGTAGAGGAATTGAATCAAGACGATATTGGATATGATGGAGATGTCGAAGTCATCCGACCAGAACAGTACGAGGAGCCATCTTCCGAGTCAGATGATGACAAGCCAGCACCACATCTCATTCCAGACGTTGATGAGGAAATAACTCGTGGTATGCGGCAATTGGGATGGCGGCAGTCTTCATCAAAACTGCAGACTAACGGTCTCGGCGGACCACAAGGTCACAACTCAGATGGCTTGCAATCCAGTCCGCTCAATCAACATGGGAAGCGAGGTGAAGTCGATGTGGCAGACTTCGGCGACGTGCAGAGCCGAGCACCACCTGCTAAGCGCCGGAAGAAGCGAGGGTCGCAGTCAAGTATCGCCCATCGTTTGATGAGAGGCAAACCCCACCAGCAGCAGACCGACAGCTCTGATAAGACTGAAGGCCAGCGTACACCTCTGGTGGACACATCAACAGGCTCAACAGGATTCTCAGAAGGGCCACCAGAAGCTTGCAATGACGAGATGGTTCTTGACTGAAAATGTCTCACTCGGGCCTGCAGCAGTGGCACATGATATCTTAACTTGACGACAACAGCTATGTAATTACGGCTGCAGCGCAGGGGCTCAAGGATTTCATTGGATACCCTCCATCGGTCAGACCCTGGAAAATGAGGGTCGAGTTATGATTGGCCTTGGAGGTTCGCTGGAGTCGGCACGTTCGGTTGTTTGCTCAACTGAATCTCTGGACACTGGCATCAATGTGCCTTGTTCTCTGATTCATACATCAAACATATCTGTACCGGTTGATAATAACTAATTCTCAAACGGCACACTCCGGATTTTGGTTCCCCCGCATTCTGCCTGGCAAGAACGGGTTTAGCGTTGCTGCTTTTTGTAGCTTGTTCCTGAAGCTAAAAACTCGGGGCGATTCCCACGCGACCCCGTAATTGCGTCATTGAGGCAAGCCGCTCGATCAGACCTGCAGCGGCAGCTCCAACTTCAACTCGACCTCTCCCCTGATCTGCTTTCCATCGGTACCGCCATCAGCTTCTATCAAAGTCGCAATTATGGTCACCCCTAGGCGCTCAGCGCGTGTCGCCGCATCCGACTCTAGCCCAGTCTACACCGATCCGCCCGAGTCTGGCATTGTCAGAAAGCGCAAGAGCGATGCCGCTGGGAGTTCCCCGAGCGCCAAGCGCGGCAGGAAGAGCTCCCAGAAGGGCGATGAGAAACAGCAGAGCATTGAAGACGCCATGGACGTGTATGTCACGCTCTAATCTCGCAGTTGCGACGCTAACTCTGATTAGCGACAAGAAGGAAGACCCTAAGCCAGCTCCCGCTGAGAATGGCGATACCGCTCCTGCTGACAAACCTGACACGGATCAGCCATCTGCCGCACCTCAGGCCACGTCAGAGCAGCAACCAAAGGAAGACGATACGACTCTCCAGCAAAACGCCGCACCTCAAGCCGAGCCTGAGCAGCCAAAACAAGAGAATGCGAATGAGCCAAAGGCGAGTGGTGCACTGCAGCCGGAAGCCAACGAAGAATCTAAGCCAGGTGACAAACAGGCGGATCATCAGTCTGAGAAACAGTCAGAGCCGCATACCAACCTGGAGCCTGCGCAGGACAAGTCACAAGAAGCTGCTACAGCTCAAGAGCAGTCAAAGCCTATCGAATCGCAGCCTGCAGCCGACTCAAAGCCTAGCGATGAATCTGCCAACAAGCCTAAGCCTGAGCCCGCGGCGCAAGCTACCACTAATGGTGACGCGGTCGAACCCGAGGCCCGCAATGACGAGGTCCCTTCGGCTATCCTCGAGAAAGGCATTGTCTACTTCTTCTTCCGTGCTCGCGTCAACATTTCCGAGCCGCAGGACGTCAACGACATCGCCCGCTCCTACATGATTCTGCGACCACTTCCCAAGGGCGCAAAGCTTGGCGACGGTCCTATCGGAGATGAAGGAAACTGCCGCCTAGTCGCCATTCCCAAGAAGGTGTTACCGCTATCTGGCAAAGATCGCTTCATGGTATTCATCGAAGGCGCAAAGAAGTCCTTCAAGGACCTGAAGGAATCTTTTCTGTCTGCCAGCGACTATGCAACCAAAACTGCCGGAACGAGCCATTCCCCTCCTGCCACGCCTGTCGCTGAGGGCGTGTATGCCATCACTACCACTGGCCGCGAGAGTCATTTTGCTTACATGACGACCATCCCGTCCTCTCTCGGCGAGGTGCAGAAGGATGTCGGCATCAAAGAGCAAGGCTCCTTTGTCATCTCCGCCAAGAACCCCAAAGCACCAGGCCCGGCCAATGCCTCGCTCGACAAGGATCCCGAATACCCGCAAGAAATCCTGGATGAATTTAACGGCCGCAGGTGGATGCCACTGCAGCCAAAAGTGTTGGACTACGTTAACACTCAATTCCTCCTAATTGGCGAAAGTGGTGGACCTGACAAGGCGCTGGAAGGTTTGCCGCGAGATGAGAAACATGGACTGGACACGCCGAAGGAAGAAGTAGAAAAGCTAGAGGGTGAAGATGAAATCCGCGTTAAGCATCTGAAGGGTGAGTGCCTCTACCAGGCTACGGAACAAGCTGACCATACAACAGGCGATGATGCCGTCTTCGCTGATTTGGGAACCAGCAAAAAGGAGTACCCGGCCATACTGACAACTTGGGAATCTTAGACTCAAGTCGTCGCTGCTATTGGGGGGCAATTGTTTTAATGCTTTATGGCTTACGGTACATGAAAACGTATGGACGGGCTGGAAGGGAAGCTCCCGTGGAAAATGTGGGCGTAGCAACCCGTGTGCGCGAAAAGGGAGGCAACTTCGTAGGATGACATGCTTGTTGCTTGACCTTTCTTGAGAGACGGTGTTATGGCCACCCGTATAGTGTGTCGTACCATGGTCTATGCTGCGGCGAAAAATAAAAGCTTTGTGCCTTGTTCGCTCTTCTATGACGCTGCAAAACGAGTTAGGTGTCGTTGTCGTATCGTGGCCAGCCAGGGCTATGCTTAACCCACGTCCTTTCCATTCTCCCAGTACATCCCATCTCCCGCCCTCGTACCATGGTTGTCCCCACCCGAAGCCACGTCCTTTAGCTCCAACGCCTCCCTCACCTCTTCACAGCGGGCCCCTCCCCCTCCTCTTCGTCACCCTCCTCATCACCACCATCGCCGTCATCCAACCTCCCCAAAACCTCCCCCTTCCCACTCCTCACCTCCCCCTCCCCCTCCCCATCAAACCAATACATCACCTCTCCATCCCACTCCTCCACACTCCGCGCCCCACTCCCCAGAAACCCGACCAACTCATGACAGAACAGCTGCGCGTTCTCCCGCCCCAGATACTCGCCCAGCAGCTCGACCGCCTGGCCCGCGGAGCCTTTCAGGTCGATGCGCTGCAGGACCGCCAACGTGAAGGGGAGGAGATGCGCGGCTGTGGTGCGGCGTTGTGGGGGGCGGGTGTATTCCCCTCCGTCGTTGTGAGATCGCGGGGTAACTCCTAGTCCCGTGGGGAGGGTGGGGGTGGTTGTGAAGGAAGAAGGGTGGGAAGGTTCGGGTGAGGTCGGGTGCAGGAAGGGGAAGAGCAGGAGTTCGCGCCGGATCCAGATCGTGGCTAGGCGGTGCAGGCGCTGGGCGTCAGGTGCCGAGGGGCCGAAGGATGCGGGCGTGATGTTGGGGCGTATGGGACGTTTGCGCGCGCCAGACCGAGTAATGCCGCGGCCCCGGTAGAGGCTTGGGATGCGGCGGGCGTAGAGCTGGCGGCGGAAGGCGAGGGTGAGCTCGGTGGCGGTGGGGGGCTTGGCGGGGCCGGAGCTTCGTGGGTGGAAGAGTGTGGGTGGGTGGAAGCGACGGCGGGGTGGAGGGCGTCGTTGTGGTAAGGGCTGCGAGGGTGGGAGGGTGATCGTCTCGGCTTCGCTTCCGTCATGATGGATGGTGAGGCACTGGACGGAGGTCTTGCAGAGCGGGCATGTTTGGGAGTGGCTGAACCACGTGCCCAGGCAGGAGTAGTGGAATTGGCTGTGCTGACATGGCAGGGCCGTTGCTACCTTGGCTGTGTCGCCATTGCTGGTGGTGAGCCTGGCCGCTGAGTGATCTTGATCTGCAGGCGAGGCAACGCTGAGAAGATCCAAGCAGATGACGCAGATCTCAGGCGACTGAATCTCGATAGCTGAGGGGTGCGACGACGTGGATACTGGAGGACGAGATGGCGGCGGTGTCAGGTCCATGCGTCGTGTTACGGATGTCGTAGCATGACAGAGGAGTGAAGAGAAGATAGATGCAGAATCAGCCGCCTTAAAAAAGGCGTCGGGGTTGAGTGGCGATGTCAGTGGGCCAATGGGAGGGCAGCAGTCACTGCCTGTCACTTGGCATCAAGCATTCAGGATTGACGACAGCACTCCTCTACGATCCTTGGTCTTCCGCGGTCTCTACGGGCTATTCGACATCGTATCACGCAAAAGCCAGGGTCTTACTGAGACTGAACATGCCTTTCTGTAATCGACTTTTCAGGAGTCTGTGTAGGAACGCTGATATTATCCTTGCTGATATGCTGCTACGGTACATCAAACAGAATCACAGAGCCCGAGCCGAAGCGTAGGATGGTCTCTACCTGTTGGAAACTGTGCTGTCTTCATAGTAGAGGAAGCTCCAGGTTTCAGGCACAGACCTTGAGCGGAGAGTCGAACTGCCCTGAAGGAGATTAGGGAAGCGTACCAGGCAGTAGGTCTGTCGGCATTGATCATTTGAGTTATCATTGATATACACATTGGCACCCTTCGAGGCTATTCGCTTCAATGAGTCCCTGGTCACGCTCAAATACACTGGATCGCGTCGTCCTACTTGCATTGCGCGACATCAACGTCCCAGTTTATGTCGAGAAAAAAATAGCCGAATTCCCCTGAACCGGGAATGAATCACTTTTGTTTGCTACAGCCCTCGAGCAGGCTGACCCGAAACTGGTCTCATGCCGGCAGAATCGACAGGGTCTTGAAGAGAAAATAAAGACGAGACAGTATGGTGACCGCACTTCAGCGCATCCAATCAATGTCTAAATCAGCCTTGTATTCGCCATCTTCGCCAATTGAGCTCAGTACGCTGTCCTCATGGGTCCAGGTCATTGGCGTACTTATGCTCTCACGAGATGCATGGCCTGTACCATTGCTTCGGATGCTGGCTGCTTTGCTGAGAGTGTCTTTACCGCCATGTTGCTGCCACCAGCGGGAAGCCTCCTGCAACACCTTCGATTCCCATTCTAACACAGGTCCAATCACCTCGACATCGCGCTGACCGGCACGGAGAACCGTTCTGCAGGGCAAAGACATTGTAAGGTTCTCATCATTATTGTCACCGGTCAGGTCTTTTAACTTGCTCTCGCTAGCGGCGTAGATGACTCGGCCAATTCCAGACCAGTAGATAGTACCAGCACACATAGCACAAGGCTCCCATGTGCTGACCAAAGTGCAAGAAGCCAAGTAGCTAGAGGGAAAGTGATCTGAGGCCAATCGGGCCAGCTCAGATTCGGCGTGGCGAATATGAGAAATTGAGAAGTGGCTCAACAAGGTGGTGGAGTTGTCGGGCCCGAGTAGCAAGGCTGTAAACGGTCTCTTGTCATGTTGAGTAGATGCTGCGTTCTGCAAGGTCAAAGCGGAAGACAGGGCAGACGAAATTTGATCGGGTGTAATGGCTGTTAGGTTGGACTGCTTGATTTTTGGCAAGTCAGGTGGGTGACTCGCTAATGGAGTTGCTGGCGGCTGTGGAATGTTGGAGACAGACGAAGGTGCCGTGGATGCAGGCGTGCCACTTACGCTGCGTGGCTGTGTGTTGGGAGTTTGCGGTGCATTTTGCGTGTGTATTGGTGAGGAGATGCTGGCAGGCGAGATTGATCGGTTCGCAGGTTTTCGGGGGATGGAGGTTGTCGGTGAACTAACAGATCGGGCTTTGTCTTGAGCTCCGATTGCCTTGAGATATGATTGATAGTGGCTAGAACCCATCTTAACGTCTTCTCGCTAGTGGTGTGGTCGGCTCGGCTCGGTAGGGCGTTGTCGCGTGCGTTCGTGGATGAAGAGGGGTTTGAGGCCGTGTGCTGATTGACGTCAAGGGATTGGTATGGCGTTTTCGGTCTGTGGAAGCTCTGATAAAGCCAAAGAAGTTGTCGAATGATAGCTACCGGTAGAGTGAAGCTTGAGAAAACCGCCTGCATATGGCAGAGTGCAGGCGCAGGTACGGCTTGGAAAAAGCGGGAGCGAAGTTGGGGCTTGTTTCAGGCTTGAACCGGCGGCTCCCCGCTCGCGCTTAGCCCGGAAAATTCAGGCAGCTGCAGCCGAAAGAAAAGTCTGGAAGCCGCGTAGGAACTGCCAAGGCAGTGCCACGCAGGATCAATCTGCGCCAGCCTTGTATTTCTTTGGCTAGAGACCGTCCTGACATTAGAAGACGAGTAGCGTTGCTCCATGGCTATCGTCCAGTCTGGTTTTGATGCTGTCTTGTCCGAGAAACTCGATCAATTGTTTGAATATTTCTGCCATGTCGGTGAGCATCCTTCGCTTCTCATCTTGGTACGAGGCATCGATGACGACGGCAACAAGAGATGAGGTTTTGAGTGCGCCGTGATTGACGAGATCTCTGAATCGTGCTGGCGTACTCACCACTATGCCGGTCTTCGTTTTGGACAAGTAGTCGATGTTTTCCTTCAGCTTCTGATGTTTGGCGATGAGTTTTCCCACTTTCGAGGTAGCAGTAGTGTATTCTCGGAGCTCTCGCACAACGTCTGCAACTCGAATGCCAGATGGCGAGATGATCAGGGCTTTGGGGGTGCCGTCGGCGTCGACGGTTGTCAAGGCATCTCTGCCACCTTCCACGAACTTGTCCAGATAAGCGGGCAGGTTCTCTGCAATATGCGGCTGGTCAAACTCGGTTGTATCCAAAATCCAATCTCTGGCGATCCCAATGTCTTGTTGTTCAATGATGGTAGTGTCACCATAATGTTTCGCCACTTTCTGTGCAAAGAAGTCTGCCAGGAGTGCTGGATCTCTCTTTGCGATGGATTCGTCATGGCTGACAGACCGGTGCTGAGCAGGCTCTCCTTGATGCGGCGTTTTGGTCCTTGCTTCCGGCTTCTCAGACACCTTTTGAGCCTTCGCTGGTGGCTCCTCAGAATCATCTTCCGCCTTACGTTTCTGCGATTTTCCTTGCTTCCGCGCGGCTTTCTTCGTGCGTGACATTTTGTTCAGTGCACACAGTCAAGTCAATTTGGTCAGATCTGGTTCACATGCACATAGATAAAATCGTTGACGCTTCGACCAAGAACAAAAGTCGACCGGGATTAGCTGGACCTAAGTCCGGAACGTGCTTACTTGGCGGAAGATATGGTGGGAATTCAGTAGATGATGAAATGCCCCCACAGCTACCATGGACACAGGGTTATCTATTTTATCCTCTGGAGACCTCCAGAGGTGCTATATGTCGGTGGAGCTGGTCGCAGCGGCTGTTCTGGCTACCAGGTATTACCGGCCCCCTATCTCTCGAAAAATCTCAATGACTCGCTTGCAGCTGGAGATGTCGATGTGCCGTCTGATCATGCAAAGCGGGGCATCGCAGGTTCGAAGTGAATTGTGAAAGCAGTGAAAGACATTCCGGCCCTTTGGATTCTTGCCAATCACTTTCAATTCAGGGAATGGTTCAGCACTACCACAGCATTCGAAAAAGCGACTCCGCTTTATAGTCGATAGAGTATGGACCGGGCCCATTTACACTTTCAGTCATGGAGGAGCCGACATTTATGATCTCTTCCAGCATTTTCGGTGACCATGAAGCTCTGTGTCTCCCATAAAGCTCTACTCCAGCAGACAATTGTGGCTTGGGAATGCATTCACTGCCTGAGAATTCTTGGCAACAGCATTCTACTGCCTGACTCCACTACTCTTCAGTCTAACGCAAATTAGTTAGGGCACCGTTGATAACACCCGACACATCACGGACTTTCTTTCTTCATCATAGAACGTATGGGCATGTCTTTACTCTGAACTGCCCATCTTCATCTCCTTGAGTGCTAGATGAAACATCTCTTCAACATTTGTGAAGTCCATACGCGCCGATAAGCGCAAATTGCCATACACCCAAGCCGCATCATCCGACCCAACGTCAACTCTAAAACACGTGCAGAATCAGCATGCCCTCACCGCGGGCACGTAAAAGTGCAGTCCCTTTCTCAAATGACGACCCACTGGAGGACCCATCATGGGGTACTCGAAAAGAAATGCGCGAAAAAGAGGTTTTCTTTCTACGGCACAAGCTGCAGAGGGGATTTTTGATGCCAAATCATCCGCCCAAACTCGAGGACATGTCCGAGATGTCCCGCTGCCTGGAGCGGCTCGAGGACTACCGTGATCTAGATGCCGCCATCATCCACACTACCAAGGTTCACAAAGTTCTCAAGGGCTTATTGAAGCTTGACTGGATCCCCAAAGATGAGGAATTCGATATCTCCTCCCGATCTAAATCCCTTTTAGACCGATGGAAGCAGCGCCAGAACGGCCCTGTCGACATTGGGGATCATGACAACGCCGAAGACACGACTGCAGCGGACACAACGACGGAGCGAGCCATCGATGCACCACAAGAACAGCCTGCTCCTATAGCTGAGCCTGAGCGCGCCGGCCGTCGGAGATTCTGGCAGACTCTTAGAGATATTGTTGACTCGGAGAGTGAATCTTCGTCGGATGACGAGGCAGAGAAAACGCCGAACAAGCCCACCAAAACATCCGCTTCTGGCGGGCCAAGAAGAGGCACGAGGAGTGCTGGCAAGTCTGTCGATCGTCCGAGTCGGATTGTTAGTTTCAAGTCGGATCGACTTCGACAATCGCTGCCACTACCAGCGCGCCCACGTCTAAGCACTGACCATGGCTCGCCCAGTCGCGACTTCGAGCCTCCTGCTGGAGAAGAGTTCACACTACCTGAGGATCTCCCCTCTCACCTCAGAGAGTTACTCGAAAACGACAGCCTCTTACAGAAAGAGAAGAACGATATCTACCTCGACAAGCAAGGTGTAGAGCACTCGCCCAAAGTACCATACCTTCCTTTCGTATACACACTCACGAGAACTGGTGAGCGATTAACAGTAAGATTTTACCGCTGTTTCAGCACGCCAACTCGGCAGCTGGGCGTCTGCGTTGCCGTCGGAGCCTCCTTTCCGGAACCCACAATCCTTGGACGCTCGCCTGGCAAGGCCAAAAATTACTTCAGACCATGGCATGGTAGCGTGAAGGCCTTCGCGGATGAGACCTGGGAGGTTTGGAAGCGGCTTGATGGACCGAAGAAGCGCCGCAAGCGAAGAAAGCCGGTGGTTGGAGCAAGGAAGAGGGCAAGGGTGACGGACAAGGAGGACTCGCTTGCTGACACCATGGATAAAGTCCAACGAGGTAACAAGATCTTCTCCCGGAGCCGCGGTGGTACTAACATCCTACAGAAGACTCGATCATGCTATCTGAGGAGGAGTCGCTTGACGATTCACAACTTAGGAACCATGCGGAACCCCTTGGTCAGAATCAGCATCAGGCCAGCAGCGATGATACTGGGAGTCTCGTAGAAGTACAACAAACTTCATCCAGCTTTCCGAGGGTCAAGGCTGAAGCGATCTACCCTTCACCTGCCGGTAGCCGCTTGGCGCAGTTCACACCCCAGCACGGCGAAGATGTAAAAGGACTGGAGGTTGATTTCATCGACGAAACGGATACCACGGTGCGGCGAAGGGCGTGGAGTGAATGCAATTCCAGCAGGAAGCTGTTCACCCAGGCTGTGGTTGCTCGCTTGTTGCAGTCTGGCAGAGATGTTGCGGCTCTGAGCGTGAGAATAGCAGATCTCGAGATTCCCCTCATGATGGGAGACGAGCTGGATTTCCAGGAGGTCGAGGATGCAGTTGCCCATCAAGTGACGCTGGCCCAGCAGTCTCCGTCGGATGCTGTCGGGAAAATCGAAGTACGTCTGCTCTAGGATTGCCAAGGAATGTAAGGGGCCGTGGCGGTACGGCCGTAGGCACTACGAATTATCCCTTTCACCAATGATGCCGCACCGTTCCAGATCCCCCAACACTACTATACGTCGGGGATGTCATTCACCTCGGACATAGCATAATGGTTAATTATTCAGCGTCCTTTTGCTAGCGTTCTTTTGCTACACACGTCGAACCACCCACGACTATGCCACGATAGCACTGCGCCCACCTTTATAGCAAAGAAGCGCCGCCCTCGTACTGCACATCCCAACCATCTGAAACCACACCATCCCACCGCTTCACCATGGCCGACCTCCCAACCATCGGAAGCTACCTCTTCAAGACCGCCGCACTCCTCAACGCCATCTCCGTCCCAGGCCACATCATATACGGCTGGAAGCATCTCGACCCCGTCTTACACAGCACCCTCACCCACACATCCGAGCACCGCGTGGCGGACGCCTGTGCGAATGTCGGCTGGGATCACATGACCGTCGGAATCCTTACAGCAGGTAAAAAGCCCAATTTATGTCTCCTCCTTTCCCCTCAAGAGAGCAGTCGGTCAAGGCTGACGCGCAGACCCCAGCCATTTTGAACTACCGTTGGAGCATGACGCGCGGACCGCAGCAGACGGACGAGAAGATCATCTTCTGGTCTCTGCTCGTCGGTGGCTGGTACGTCGGCCGGCGGTTCTGGTCCTTGCGCGAGTATCGGCCGTTGGGCTGTTTGTGGGTGGCGCCCGTGGCGGGACTTATTGGCTGGAGCCTCGTGTGATGCAGAAGATGTTGTTGATTACCGCCCACTTTCCCGATTCGGAGATGTATGAGACACATCCTCTCTGTGTCGGGGTCGATTAGCGACTTCCGCTGCTGCTGCTGCTGCTGCTACTTACAAGGCAGCTAATAAGCCTTCTGGGCGAGCATGGGTGGAGTGGGGCTCCTTAAAGCGCGAGGCTTCATGGCCATCGATAAAGCTTGTCGCGACTGTACAACACATAATGCAAGTTCTCTTCTTTCACTCAACTCCATCTATTCCTTTTTTGTCGAGCTTTGACGTCTGCGTTGCGCGACTTCCGGGTTTCCCCCCGACATTCATTGGGCAAGCACAGGCTTGCACCGATATTGGAAAGGTTTCTAATACCTTAATCGGCTGTGGTAACATGTGTCCACCACTGCTGAACCTCGAATCCCTATCTGCTGTTTCCTAACCGCCGATCGTCCTTGCATCATCCAAGATCCAGTGCCCTTCAACCTCCACCACCACCCATTGCCCAACACCTACCAATTCTCTGCCCACAACCTTTAGGAACTCGCCCACGCCGCTATGCCCCGCACCAAAACCATGCGCCTGAAACGTCTGCCTAAACCCCATCACTCCTACCCGTGATGCTCAGATGAAGAATCCCTCACGCCCGAAAAAGTTCAGCCGGAAAACGACAAAGTCTCTGATAGAGATGACAGTAGTTTTTCAGTGGTCCAGCCCACTTCCAGTAAGGTCGGGGATGATGAAATAGTTGGCGGTGGTGCTTGCTTTACACAGTCCCGGTTGCAACGAGACGATCCTCATAGCGCTCAGGGGAAGGAGCCTCGTCACGTGACGCACCGTTTGCCAGAATCTTTCCTATAGATCAAGATGCCATGAGCGAGAGGAAACACTCAAGTGCTTATCGGCGCCGGCATTTACTCCCAACGCGATATCGTAGCAGTTGCATTATAGGCTCAGAAGCTAGGTAATTCCCCATCCAATAAGTTGGATCCATCCATTCCGATTCCTGGTCCTCGGTCTGTGCCTTCGTGGCCCAGTCTGTATGTAAATACGGTGATCATGGCAAGAGTCCCATCACCAATGGCCCATGTTGCGACGCCTACCGCCAGATGTGACAACGCTTTATCTGTCACATTTGAAGTTCCTTGAAGGTGAACGCCCAGAACGCCTGTGCTTACTCTTTGCAGATTCCATGACGGCATCAACGTGAAAAGGATCGAACTTGAATGCTCAGACGCCTCGGAACTAGAGAGTTTGTTAGCCCGGATCTTATAACGGAATGCGGGAGGAGACTTACCATCCTCTTCACCAAGAACCACATCGCCCCCGCGAATCTAAAGAGGGAAAGACCAGCGACGGACCACAGAATCACAGCCAGGTAGATGGTTGCGTTCGTTTCGGAGCCTCCTTCTTCGGTATTGATCCTGTCAAAGCCCGACACATTAAGCACGGCAGCACAGAGGATGAAGTTGCTGATCATCCAGATGACGACGACATTACTCCTGAACGATTTGTAGTAGTCCTCTTGCTTCTCTGCTGCCGACTGAATCTTGACCTCTTTCTCCGGCTTCGTTGCGAATCTGAGGAGCTCGGCCTCATACTGCGCGTTCAGATCGCCGTCATCTTGCGGAATCATCACTTCGACGTTGCCATCTGGCTTCATCTGGACCGTAGGCAGTTTCTCGGCCTTGTCGTCGCCTTTGGTGCCCCAGGAGATATCGTGCGTGTTACAGAAGGCGTAAATGTTAAGGACGTTGATGTAGGTTGGTGTCAGCACAATGTACTGAAGAAAGCAGGTGAACATGTGCCACGGATCTAAGAAAAGACACGATGACACAAACCATAGCACATAGGTGCTACCGAGGGAGACGATCAGGCTGAAAAAAGTCCTGTTGTTGAAGATGGAGGAGAACGTGAAGGAATTTTCCTGGGTCTCTGCTCGGATCGCCTCAACAGTCACGTAGACGGCGGCGAAAGTGAGCCAGACCATGAGAATAGACCAAAAGATAACCATGGCCAGATAGGATTTCTTTGACCCTTGCGGCCTGTTACCCATAGATAGGATAAAGCAGTAGAGGAGTGTGCCAAGGTAGACGAATTCGAACACTATACCGAGAACCGTGCCAGCTGTGCCCAGAGGTCCAGGACTACCGAGGGAGGTCGTGAGAAGCTTGAAAACCAGGAAAAAATTGCCAATAGCGAACCAGGCGAAGAGCATGTTGATGGTTTGATAGATGAACTCAATGATCAGCATGAACTTCCGCATGGCGCTGTGGCTGCTTCGGAAGAGCTGGTGGACATGAGCTATGGCGTAGACGGCAGCGAAAAAAGAACCGTTCAGCCATCTTCGCCGCTGCAAAACGAACTCGGCGATTCGATTGGGGACGTCGGTCTCGCCGTTGGCAGACTTGACATATTGCAGAATCCAGCGACAATTGCGCTTGCTGACGAGCTCGAAACAGAGAATTCGATCTTCGGCAAGATACATATTCGCGGTGAAGACACCAGCATCTGCGTGCATCGACTCGCCTTTGAAGTACTTCTCGAGCGGCCCTTCCCCATTCTTGTCGTTCTGCAATGCCACATAGCGATAAGCAGAGAAGGCACCAGGAAGGACAGAGATGAAACCAAATGCAGACTCCATGGGTTTGTCGAGAATGTTAGACATCTTGTACTCGAAGTTCTGAGTGGCCACCAGGGGGTTTCGCAGATTCTTGCCGTGCTCCAACATGACTTTGATTTCACCAGCAGCGCCACCACACATGGGTTCAAGGTCGAATGCCTTCCAGAGCTGATAAATGGAATCTTTGCCAGGCCTCGTACCAGCGTCGAGCAAGACACAGATATTAGGATCCAGCACACGACCAAAGGCAGAGAAGAACCATCTGTGTGAGTTGATTTTCTTCTGGTTCTTCTCCTTGAGGCAGAACAACAGCTGGACCGGCGTGTTGGTTCGTGGTTTCAAAGAGACCTGCTTGCCCTTGAGCTCCAGGCCGACTTGAGTAGTATACTCGTAGATATGGGCAGTGACGTCCTTGTCATCGACTCGTTGTTTCGCAATGCCGTCTTGATAAACACCTAGACCTGCGAGAACTGCTCTGGTCCGTGGATTGATCTTAGCGCGACCATCACTGACGATGCAAACGACAACCTTCTTCCACGCGTCCTTGCCCCAAGTCTTGCTGCTCGTTCTTGAACAGAGATACTCGATGTTCTTGAAGACGCCAATCATGGTACGCGCGAACAGGAACTCGTCCTCATTGTACATGGTGACCACAATGAACAGCTCAGTGTGTCGAGGTTGCCGAAACAAGCGCTGTCGTAATGTGAAGCGCCTCTCGAAGAAATCATTGGGGTCGCAAGTGGCTGCTGAATATCTCATATGAGTAAACTCATCTCTTTCGGGCGGTTGCACGTGCGGAACCTGACTCAGTAGCCTCGGTGGCACAGGACAGTCAAGGACGAGATTGCCTTCGAACAACGGAACTTCCTTGACAGTTTTCCATCTCCTGATAGGCGCGGGTGACGGCGTCGGTTGAACATTGGGATCATCGTAGTATTCGCCTTCGAGAGGAGGTTGAGTATGGGGGTCTGGACCGTAGGCGCTATCTGGCTGGAGGATAGGTCTATTATCATCTTCGCCGTAACGATTGTCTGGTGTCGGGTAGGGGTCGAGTGCATAGTCTCCCTGGGGATGGGGAGAGTATGGCTGATTGTAGTAGGCATCGTGGTGCTCTTCCGGATTCAGGGCATAATCTCCTCCTGGAGCGCCATAAGATTGCGGCTGCGGTTGTCCTTGCTGGTACTGTGAATGATGGCCATGTGAGTTTGAGACGTTCTCGACGGAATAGGTCGGCTGGAATGCAAGCCGATCATTCGAGGCGGTAGGCATCTGGAGGTGCAGTTGGGGAGGTTGCTCGTAGACGTCGTCTCGGTCGTAGGCTTGTAATGGACGACCCGGGGAAGGGGTACGACCATCATATTGAGGATTCAGATTGGGCGAGTATGGGTCATTGTCGGCATGGGAGCCTCCTGCGACAGGTTTAGAGGGCGCGCGGAAGGAGCACATTCACAGGGGAGGCTTACCTAGCCGATTGTAGGCCATAACGGCCGATGGGCAGCGTGGATGTGGCCTGTGTCAGTCGAGTGGAATGCAACGATACAGGACTTTTGTCCAAGCTCTGTGATAATGCCTGGAATATTTGGTTGCAAATGAAAGCGACGCCTGCGACAATTGCGACACGGGCAAAGCGTGGGGGGTTGACAGGACCTGGTGATCGAACTTTGTTTACTGGTGGTACAGGGATGGTCGAATGGAGGAACGAGAGACGAAGGTGAGAGAAGTTCTGTAATCACTTGATGAAAGGCTCGAGCTGATGTGAATGCTATACCACGAACTTCTCGTCTGTGAGATTCGCTAGACCCCTCTTCATACGCAACGCCACGACTATTCAGCTGCTTCGTAGCCAACTTGCCAGCCGAGGCGGGTATCGCCAAGGGCATCGCCCCGGAAACACGCAATTCGCTCAGGCAAAACAAGGCTGAGGGTTTGCCTCCTGGGCGCTGCTATTTTTGGTGGCTTAGACGTGCAACTGGGGGACTTGGCCACGTGCCAATTGGCGATTACAGCATGACTCCAGCTCTCCATGCTTTGCGACAGATGTTGCTTCTACACGTCCATCGTTGCCAATAACGATACGGAAGGCACTTGCGATTTTGAGACCAGGTGGCCGTGTCCAGACAGCTCGTTTCTCGTTTCAGATTCAGGGCCTGGAGTGTTTCATCTACCGAGACTTGCGGCTCCCGGTGAATGTGCTCCGTAGGCTCGACCCCACGGCCGCTCGCTTCATCGAAAGTACCTAATCGCCGCTGACCAGAACGTTAGTCATCAACGGAGAACGTTTTTCATCTCCCTCTCACACCCAGAGTATACTGTCCGGCCCGAGCTGAGCCTCATGCTGAATCGAAGAAAGTTCAGACGACACAGCGGCTTACGCACGCTCTAACCCGCAAGCCAATGCTCCCAGCATCGTACCAAGTACCAGTACCCCCGTCCGCATATTATTGTGCCACTGCCACCTCCTCACCAACTGCTCCGTTGACCATGCCCTCTCTCGTTCAATGCTTCTTCTCTCGTGCCGAGCATACGTCAAGGCCATCGCAGTCGGATCTTCGCCGTCCCCCACGATCTTCTTGGCACGAATACTGAGCGCCCCATTCGTTCGCCTGAGGAAGGTAAGTGCATAAGGTACGCCGGAGGCTGTCAGGACAGCTGCAAGTACATGCAGGGCTTGCTCCAACTGCGATGTGGACTGAAGCGCCAAGTATCCAAAAGCAACGAGGTTGAAGGCGCACAGCGGACGCGAGATGTAGAAACCGCGGAGGTACTGAGTTCGCCACGCGCTGGCGAGCACGATTTCTGGTGTCGAAATGACGCACGGGATAGTCGCGTGCGAGAGTGCCCAGGTATATCCTATTGCAATGTTAATTGTCGGCCGACTAAGCCGTTGAAGGCAGCTGTACCTGCGAATATCCCACTGGAGCACACTGCAACCACAACGGCGACAGAATGGACCTCCATGGCCTCACAAGCAACACGGCTGGATCTGACTTACTGGGGACTCGCAGTTTATGAACCTACAGGATCCTTTCCAAAGGATTGTGCCCCCACGCGGCAGTTCTTATAAGGAGACCAATGGGCTGCTATGGCTGATAGGTGTAGAGATCCACGAGGCGTCAGGCCCTCCAAGCCCCCAGAACAGATAGAGGCCTCTCTTCGGAATTCGCTTGCACCGATATGCACGATTCCAGGGTGGAATTGTGCTCCGCATACATCATCGGCTGCTTATGGCACCCCGACTGAGTGCCAGGAATTTGTCAATGCACGCACTGCCAGGTACCGTATAGGAGACCCATGGTCCAGCTGCTCAGAACAAAAAGCCCGCGAGGAGAATCAGATGCGAGTTCATCGTCGGCTGACCATGTGTCACTGCGGTGCACGGGGTGACTGCAACATGTTTTCCTTCTTCATTGTATCTGCGGACAGGCGGGCCTGGCCGTCGACATCGGCGGCGAGAATGAATTGTCGACAACTTCTGCGAACGTTACAGGAGGCTCTCGCTCCGGTTCTCGGTGATCTATTCAGGGTGCTCTCCGGCCGGGTCCTTCATGGATGCGAGACTTGATGTCATTGTCGTCGTGTAGGAGAATGATACCGATGTAGCATACATATAGGTCTTCGTCTCACTAGTTGGGAACCAGCGTCCTGGTTGAGACTTGGCCCCACGGACATGTTTATCCACGAGTGAGCTCCGGGACTTACCTCAAGATAGGATCCGCACGAAAGGGACATACATCGGGCATCAGCCCCAGCTTCAATAGGGTAATGTCTGGAGTGCAGTTGCCGGCATGTGGATTGATATGATGAGTTACGATAAGCGGCTTCGCCTAAGCCCTACCTTATAGCCGCGAACAGTGTATGGAGAAAGTCTCCGGGCTTCCTAGCCAGCCCCGTAGGTCTCCGAGTTGGGGCAATGTTAGGTAAGCAAGCCGCCAAGTAAAGCTAACCCCAACTTTCTTCCGTTGCTGTCGGCTCGCGATATCGCGTGCCCGGCATCAACATTGCTCATCCAGGTCCCAAAGCACTTACGATGTCATCGCCCGGAGAAGCTGTACCTGGTGTTGTAGATCCAGTACCTTCGACGCCGTCACCCTTCGCGTACATTCTGTCGTTTCTATTGGTTGGCATCTGCTGGGGTTTCACAACCCCCTTTATTCGGCGCGCGGCTGTCAGCTACACTGCACCTACACACCCATCAATCACTGATCCATCTCGGAGTTGGATCGCCAGACAGGTTGCCAAAGTGTTCTTCACGGTTGTCGGTCTCGTCAGGAAGCCGAGTTATGCCATTCCACTGGTTGCCAATCTGACTGGCAGCATCTGGTTCTTCTTGCTTGTTGGGCAAGCCGGTACGTTCTGCCCCCCCGGACGTTGGTACAACGAATGTGCTGTCAGCCTTGTTTCTAGGAAAGACAGAAGACTGATTGTGGGTCAGAGCTCTCATTGACAGTTCCCATTACCAATTCATTGGCATTCCTTTTCACTGTGCTTGGTGAATACCTGGCGGAAGGCAAGCTCATTACTCGAGACACTTGGATTGGAATGACGTGTGTTTGTGCTGGCATAGCACTCTGTGTTGCGTCTAAGCTGTAGCATGGCCATATGACTGTCGCTTCGAGCTCGATGAGAGGTTGTCTAAGCGGACCTTGATGGAAGTAACAAGTGCGATGTCTGAACAGGTTGGTCCCCGAATCTCGGGTTCATCAGACCTTGTTCTTCGGTGCTCTAGACAATTTTTCAAAAGTCCCGCTTCCCTGCGGAGGGCCGCTGAAGAAATAGCTTACGGCCGGTTCTCTTCAGCTAAGCCAGCAAATTACGCCGGCTGTAGAAAAAATCAGGTGTCCCTATAGCGACGAACGCGAAGCTTGTAGACAAACCCACCACATCACAGTCGACGGCACTTGCCGTTGCCGATAACCGTCCTCATTTGACCTGTTCGCTCGAACAAGCGTTCAGCAACTGGGAAGCCTGGGCCAGAGCGCGCCCACGGCAACGGCCCCTCTCGGAGCACTCTCGCACAGCAGCCGGACCTTGACCGATCTGGGCATTCCAATCCGAGCTAGAAATCAAGGCTCTGGCAGGTCATCGACCACCACCTTGGTTTTGGCTGCGAAAAGGAACCGCCGTTAGACCCTGTTAGCTTGATGGGCCGGCGCGACTTCTGGCCAGTCTTGATCAGATAAGATGAGGAAAAAAAATTCAACAGGACCCCACTTTAACAACGCAAGTGCCGCGAAGCTTGAGCTTGATTGCTTGATTGCACTGACGCTTTAGCTTGTTGAGCTTGAAAGCAAAGCAGTCTCCTCTTTACGAACCCACTAGTGCGCAAAGTGGCCGGTTATCGGCCTCGGGTGTGTCCCTCGATGCAACCCGCAACAGCCACGTATGTGCTGGGTGTTGCTTGCTTGCAAAAGGTGCAGCACCTCGATGACTACGGCGAGAGTGAACGCAATCCACCAGCCCAGCGGTTCCGCAACAGGATCAAGAGCGTCGGTGCATCGCGATTACGGTACTATGTCGGCGAGGAGGGTTCGAGACAGGCCACGACCTATCCACCCACCACGCGTCGCTAATGACTGCCCACTTCCCAAACCGCACCTTGACTAGGATAGTGGTGTAACCCCACCAGCAAAAATGCTCAAAGCTAGCGAAGCAGGGACCTGAAAAGCATGCGAGCTGCCGTGTATTTAGGATCTTTGATCCGCTCGCTTTTTATCGCATCTTATCAATCGCTTTGCATCGGATCTATCCTCACCCTGTACCACTCATCTGTCTTGAGACTCATCTACTCATCATGAGATTCAGGATTGCCGGCCTGACCACTTCTGCAGCTGCGGCACCTAGTACGGCCACTGGCAACGATGCTGCTGTCCCGGCCGCAGAGCATCGTGGTCCCAATGACTCCGAAATCGCCAACGAGAAAGAGGCTAGGATAGGCGATGCAGCATCTCGAGACTCTTCGGATGACGATGCTTCGCTTGAGAAGCTCGACACCAACGCCGAACATGGCGTCCAGGCCATTCAGGCAATGACCCAGGTCTGGTCGAAATCGCATATCCTGATTGCCTATGTCATGTACGATGCTCCCAACTATTGATTGCCGTCATGCTAACAGCAGACTAGGATCTGGCTCATTGCCTTCATCCTGGCTTTCGCATCGGGCATTGTCAATACGATGACCCCATACGTCACGTCTAATTTTCAAGAGCACTCGCTTACCGCTCTGACCGGCGTCATCTCCTCACTGGTGGCAGGCATCTGGAAGCTCCCATACGCCAAAATCATGAATGTATGGGGCCGCGCTCAAGCGTTGACCCTGGGCGTGATTTCAGTGACGCTTGGTCTCATTATGATGGCAGGCTGCAATAACGTCCAGACATACTGCGCTGCCATGACCTTCTACTACGTTGGCTACAACTCGATCGACTTCTCCATCACTGTCTTCATCGCCGACACCTCGAAACTGAAGAAGCGAGGTTTCTTCCTCGGCTACGTCTCCTCGCCCTACCTCATCACCACATGGGTCTATGGCTATGCAGCTGCCGATGTAATCGGCGGCATGGGCTTCCGATGGGGCTTCGGCGTCTTCTCTATCGTCGTTCCTGTCGTTTGTGCCCCATGGGTCATTCTCCTCTGGATCAATCAGCGCAAAGCCGAGAAGGCTGGACTCCTCCCACCCCGGCCCACTGCGCAGATGTCCCTCAAAGACAAGACCCTGCACTACTTGAAAGAATTTGACGTCGTTGGACTCCTCGTCCTAGCTACTGGCCTCGCTCTCTTCCTTCTGGCCTTCAACATCTACTCGTACCAGCCAAACACCTGGCGCTCTCCACTCATCATCTGCTTCATCATCTTCGGGTTCTTCCTGATTGTCGCTTTCGGCCTCTGGGAAGCCAAGTTCGCCCCCATCACCTTCGTGCCCTGGCACCTGCTGAAAAACCGCACCGTCATCTTCACCTACACCATGGCCTTCTCCCTCTACATCGGCTGGTACATCTGGGACTCATACTTCTACTCCCTCAATGTCGTTCTTTTCAACCAATCGATCGTCCACGCCACGTACATCGGCAACATCTACACCGTGGGATCCTGCTTAATCAGCCTCGTCTACGGCCTCTGTCTCATCTACGTCAGCGGCCGCCTCAAGCTCTGGTCTCTCTTCTGGGGCGTGCCGTTGACCATCCTCGGCGTGGGCCTAATGATCCACTTCCGCCAACCCGACGTCAACATCGGCTATATTGTCATGTGCCAGATCTTCGTCGCCTTCGGCGGCGGCGTTCTCGTCATCAGCGAGCAGACCACCCTCATGGCCGTCAGCAAGCAGCGCGACTTCCCCGCCCTGCTGGCCTGCGAGAGCATGGTCATCGCCATCGGCTCTGCCATCGGCAGCACCATCGCCGGCGCTATGTGGACGGGCATCTTCCCAGCCAGGCTGCTCCAGAACCTGCCTGCTGAGGCCCAGTCCGATTTCGCGGCCATCTACGGCGATATGGTCACGCAGAGCAGCTACCCCTGGGGCAGCCCCACCAGGGATGCCATCAACTTGAGCTATGGGCAAACGCAGCGGTACATGCTCATCGCGGCTACTTGCGTGTACACTGTTACTCTTGTGAGTGTCGCGCTCTGGCAGGATGTGGATGTGAGGAAGATGAAGCAGAGAACCGTCGGGCTGCTGTAAATTCGACAGAGCGCAAATGAGGTCGGCGACTGGGCATCCGTGCTGCCTTTTGGTCTTCACATGTATGTATGTATATATGCATCGACGCTAGCTCGTTTAGTAAATTGGGCTAAACGCCAAGCCAGGAGAGCTTACTCCTACTAATACTACTCCTGAGACTTGATATAATCCACGATCAACGGATTCGGCCCGGCCCAACTATGCCGCGCACGCAGGAACCACGACCCCAACGCAAATAGCAAGACCGCCACGAAGATGGGCCCCGCGTAGTTCATATTCTCTGCCGTCACCGGCAGGGTCTGCGGCAGCGGCAGCCAAACCCACATGTAGACGGTATGCACGAGCGCATACGCGTTGATGTATACACCATAGCTCCCCAAATTCCATTCGCCAAGCTCCAGCGGCTCGTTTCCGCCGCTGCGCGTCGACGTCCAGCGCGCAAACAGCATGGACGAGATGGCGATGGCGTAGGAGAAATACAGCGCCATGCTGGACAGCGAGGTGATGGCGCCGAAGGCGGCGGTGCTGCCGACGTTGAGCAGACTCAGCAGGGCGACGACGAGGCAGGAGAACCAGACGGCGCGCACGGGGACGAGGTGGCGCGGGTGGACGTGCGCCAGGTAGCGGGGGAGGCCGCCGTCGCGGGACCAGGCCCAGGTGAGGCGCGAGACGGAGGCGATGGAGGCGATGCACAGGCAGAAGGAGAAGATAAAGAGCCCCGCGATCAGGGCCGTGGTGGCGGCGACGGAGCCCGTGATGCGCTGCAGGATGGTCGCGACGGGGAAGCCGGATTCTAGCACGGTTTCCATCGGGCCCATGCACGTGATGAGCGTGATGGCCATGCAGTAGCCCAAGGCGCCGTTGAGCATGATGGAGTACAGGGTCGCGCGCGGAACGGCTTGTTTGGCTTTCTTGGTTTCTTCCGACATGTGGACCGTGCCGTCGAAGCCGGTGAAGGACCAGACGCAGGTGAGGAGGCCGAGGTTCCAGGCTACGTATTCGTTGTTCCAGCCGGACGAGACTTCGCGGTGGAAGAAGGTGTAGTCGGTGCTGTGGCGGGTGCCGAGGACGAGATAGACACACATGAAGATGACGAAGAGACAGACATAGAGGATACCGGCGAGGAGCTCGAGCCATGGGACGAGCGCAAAGGTGTAGCTCGTGGAGTTGATGGCGCCGTGGATGATGAGCATGGCGATCATGATCAGAGTAATGTGCCAGTTCTTCGGGACGTAGTTGGGGTTGTTGAGCATCGCCATCTGTTGAACCATGATGGCGGTGATGTTTGCTATTCCGCATTCGAGAGACACCCAGCCGAACCAGGTGAACCAGCCTTGCATCCAGGTTGCGAAGCGTCGGATCCGGCGAGGTGCGAGATGATGGGTCCAGTGATACTGTGCCCCGGCTATTGGAAGGGTAGAGCTCATCTCTGCTATGCTGGCAGCTTGCGTGATGGCGCCGATGTAGACGATCAGGACACCCCATGCGAAAGTTTGTGGTCCGCCTTGGTATAAGGCGAAGAAGATGTTCCTGTACGGGTGTCAATCAGGGTACAAGAAAGGAGAATATGGTCGACGAACGTGTTCATTCCCACCCATGTTGACATGAACGTCAAAGCAAATGCAAAGAGCTGAGCCTCGGAGAACAACCGCCTAATGCGAGTACTGTTCGACAGTCCCTCATGTTGGCGGTTAGTCAGAGTTTCCTGCTTCGATGTCGCACCTGATTCTGACTGCGGTGAAGGGTTTCGGTCGGCCGTTACTGATATATCTTTACCCGTAGATCGCAACTCATACGCTTCCCCATGAGCTGCCATGTCGAGGAACTTTGCGATGATGTTTGCAGTGGGTGGTGAGGTCGAGGCGCTTTTGGGGGGGAGATGTGCGAGTTCTCTGCGGAGAAAGATAACATGGTTAAGCGAAGTGGATCGTCCAAGTTCATCTTCACCGATGGGTTCTGTTAGCGATCTTCAAACGTGGCAGGGGAAAGCGTCGATCATGTTACTGTTGTACAACGTGGATTCCAAGGCTCTCGAACATTGGCCGTGCTATTAGGGTTTCGGAATGGCGGGGGGCTTGCAGTTCCCGTCTCCACTTGGGGCCGGCTATCACCATCCCAAGGCGCGCGGACTCGGGGGGCCTTCGGGTGGCTTTGGTCCCCTGGATGCTGCGATAACTCATCCACGCAATCGCGACCCTCGATGCATTGTGGTATGCTCGATTGCTGGTGTATTAGATCCTAGATGGTCCACAACGGTCCTTGGAAATAGCTGTGGCAATGTCGTGATCATGTATTAGGACAGTCGCTCCACAGATATGCTGTGGGTACCTCGCTAATTGATCCTTACGGAGGCAGTCCGACGAACCGGAGGGCCATCTCGGGGCCCGACGAAAACAACTCGTGTCTAGTGTGCACTTTGGCCTTGCTTTAGCCAGCTGAAGTCTGCTCCAGCTCTGCTGGGCACAGGGGGGTCCTCTTTTGAGAGTTCTTGGATGAGTTTTGTGTGTAAATAGGTTGCAGTTCGAAGAACATGATTCGATATCCTACTGCCCCAGCTGTTCGATCAGAGCCCCTGGAACTGTAGAAACCCGGCATTGAATGGCTGACTCGCCACGCATATCGTCTGCATAAGGTGAGTTGATTGACCGGCATCGGGTATGATGATCCTTGAGCCAATTTCCAGTGCCATGCGGTTTCGCGTAAAGCACAGTCGTAAGAGCTAAGACAGCGAGCCCTTGCACCCGTCATGGTAGTCTCCTCATCACTTCGCCTGTCCGCTTCGCTCGCCATGCGGTACTTTTGCATTTTAGTGAATAACATAACAACACTGACTTCTCTCTTCGCACCTGGTTGTACAGTCTGACGGTCAGCATCGTCTTGATTTGAAGTCATGGACAGAGAATCCCCACCATTTTTTGAGGTAACACCATCCGACCGTTCGGGATGGGTGGTGATAGTCACAATCATCTTCTTGGTCTACTCGATCCTAGCTGTTGCAGCAAAGATTGTATCCCGTATGCATCTCACGGCGCTGAGGAGTTTTGACTGGATTATCGCGACAGCTGTGCTAATGGCTATGAGCCAGTCAGTGCTGCTCGTTAGATCGTGCTACCATGGTCTCGGGCAACACGAAGCAGATCTCCAGGAATCGTCTCTGACGGCCGCTCAGAAGGTAGGGACTTCAGCCGATAGATCCCAGCAGCTGACGACGTCTAGGATCTATACGCCGCCTCGTTGTTAGCAATTCTTGTTCACGGTCTGTCGAAGGTTTCCGTTAGCATATTCATCCAAGCCATCAACGCACGCAGTGATCTGAAGATCGTCAACCGTGCTCTCTTTGCAGTCATCGCACTTTGGTCTGCGATCAGTCTATTGTTGGCTGCGTTTCGTTGTTCTCTGCCAAATCCATGGCAAGAGGGTAATGAAAGCTGCCTGGATGCACTAGCTGTGAGTATAGGGATTAACGTATTCAACATTTTAACGGACCTTGGGCTCGTCGTACTGCCAGTCGTGATGATGTGGGGTGTACATACCAGCACGGATGTCAAAGTTCGCGTCATGTCGCTCTTCAGCTGTCGTCTGTTGTGAGTGGACCTAGTCACCTTATGTGCGAGCACTGACAAACTCTCAGGGTACCAATCCTAGTGATCCTCGAAATTGTATACTTGAATAAACGATTCGAGTCGAATGATATAACTTGGTCGGTTGTTGATTCCTCGATGTGGGCGCAGATAGCCATGAACATGTCAATTGTTACAGCTTGCATACCCAGTCTTAAGGGTGTCATCGATATGTTCTGGTCCGGTGCTTCGCTGTTCACGATACCTGGTCAGTACAGCTCACAAGAGGCGGACGGCACTTTCAAACTTCAATCGATTTTGCCCAGTCAGTTTCGCACATACCAGACAGGGAGCGTCACGCGAACGAAAAATGGAGATTTTGACCCCCGACCGAGTCAAAACGAGGTCATCTCCGCTGCTGGAGACCTGCGACAACGAGCCAAGTCGAAGCCTACGCGGAGCGAAAGCCAGGTCAGCTTGAGAGAAAATGCCATAACGCGTACCGTCGAGTACGAGATCTACCATGAGCCGGGCTCACCACCGCCTGCTCCAGGCGCAGGGCGGACAGCGGTCTCTGACAGCTTCTCGCAAGATTCTGTTGAGCCTGAGGAACGACTTCTATAAGCTGGGACAGCTTGTGGGTGAGGTGTCGGCATGACGGGGTCGGAAATTCGAAGAGAGCATTGGCAGTGCCGGCTACATGGTATGACACACGGAGTTAAGCAGAGAACGTTGTCTGCTGCTGCAAGCTCGGCGAGATGATTGCACGGTGTCAACGCATTCACATACAGAGCAGGGCTTCGCCTCAATCATGCCAAGTCTCCCGCCATTTCCGCGCGGAACCTGCGCCGCTCCGGCTCCCCCAATGGCGAACTTTCGACCCCATATTTTCACCCGGAGGAAATGCTCAATGGCTACTTCATTGAGCCTAACCAGCCCTTCGGATGTCAAATTGAAGCTCCGGATAATCGAGCTCAATGTACGCTACCACCGATATCCCCGGGCCCCCATGAAGCTGACTGTGAGTCACGCTTCCGCATTATATACAGCTACGATGGCCACTTCATGATGAACAGCACGACCCCGGGCTACAGCGGAGAGGAAATCATCTGTGACGGTCACAATGGACTCTGCTGATGGTCGAGCCACTTCTGGGATGGAGAGCAAGCAGTCGGCTGCATCAGAAGCGCTGGAGGACGTTTGTAGGTCTTTCCTACGAGCGCGTTCCCAAGTCTCCTCGCAGCGCATCGTCGATGTGGCCAACGCAACCCAAATCGCGGACATCCGGTCACGAGCCACACCGACTAGGGAAGGCTTACTGATCTCGGACACTATCCAAGAAGTGCTCGACATCTTCTCCCATCGAGTAGCCATGGATGACCCGAGATTCTTTGGATTCATTCCGTCGCCAGTTCACCCTAGCGCCTTCCTGGGGGACATACTCACCACCATGTTCAACACCCATGCAGGGAGCTGGTATCAGAGCTCCGGGCCTAGTGCTGTTGAGGACACGTTGTTGACATGGCTCGCCGATCAAGCAGGCCTGCCATCAACATCCGGCGGAGTTTTCGTTTCGGGCGGCTCGATGGCAAATCTGTCGGCCATCATCGCCGCACGCGATACGAAGCTGAAGTTCGAAGACAGAGCTAGAGCTAGGATCTACCTCTCTGAGCAAACACACTCATCGGTGCAAAAGGGCCTATCGATCGCAGGATTCCACAGCACTCAGACCAAGGTTGTGCCCTGCGATGATCTCTATCGTATGAAAGTAGGATCTCTCCGAGAAGCCATCTTGGAAGACCGAGCCGCGGGCATGCTACCGTTTCTAATAGTGGCCACATGCGGTCTGACGAATACAGGAGGCATCGATCCTCTACCACAGCTAGCGGACGTGGCTGACGAGGAGGATCTTTGGTTGCATGTTGACGGGGCTTACGGTGCATCTGTTGTGCTATCGAAGAAGCATAAGCACCGCGCCACCGGAATTGGACGAGCTCACAGCCTCTCCTGGGATGCACACAAGTGGCTTTTTCAAACCTATGCTTGTGGTGTGCTCTTGGTCCGCGACAAGCTCAGCTTGGTGAAGACTTTCTCCACCAATGCCTCCTACATTCAGGACGCGGAAGAGATGGAATCGAGTCACATCAATTTCTGGAATCGCGGCATGGAGCTCACCCGGCCGGCACGGGCAATGAAGCTCTGGTTCTCCCTCCGAATGCTAGGAACCGATAAAGTTGAGGAGATGATCAACCATGGTATCGCCTTGGCGGAGACGGCCGAAGAGAGTATACGCAGCCGCCCTGACTGGAAGCTCGTGACGGCCGCCCAGCTAGGAATCGTAAATTTCAAGTTCAGCCCTGCAGGACTCAACGAGCGAAATGCAGACGATGCTGCGGAAATCGAGAAACTCAACGCCGAGATCTCGCGACGAGCAATCGCACGCAATATTGCTGCTCCTCTCACAACGAGGCTCAAAGGTGACCTGAATCTGAGAATGTGCGCCATTCACCCAAATCTCACGCACAACCACATGGTTCAATTATTGGGACACCTGAGTAATATAGCCCAAGAGGTCATCGAGGGTGCATGAGCGACCCACTAACGAACATGAATTTACACAGCCACACCTGAAGACTCGGCGCGTCCGAATGCTCTGTTTCATACCAAGACTTATATAGCCTTGACTTGACGGACCAAGTATCTTCGGATGAGATCACACCTGCAAGTCTCTTTGACCCTGCCAAAGCGAAGATTGATTCGGCCAATCAAAGAGCGGTCGTTCATCCGCTCCAGCAATGAACCATGTAACTGGAGAGCACCTGGAGCGCAACGGGCCTGAGTAGCCACTCTTACACTATACTTTTTCTACGCAGCATCAACTGTGAGCCAGTAGAAGTCACCTCGAGGAAAAGCAGCAGTGCGAGCAAATGCGCGGAGGACCAGCTTCGACAAGAAGAGGCGGACTACAGGTCTCAATCTTGACCAGATGATTGGTGCACCTAGCTAGAAATCGCCGAGATACTCGCTCAATGTACGGATGCACCAGCGGCAAAAAAAGGCCTTTCTTTTCGGCAAAGATGGAACAGCATCAACATTTTATACTCGTCGATGATCACTCTTTCAAGTAATAAATCATCAGCCTGTCATCTGATCTTCCAGGGCGGGTGGGGAAGGTTCGTCAGGAACGTAAGCCTGGCCCCTACCCGACAGCCTCAGTCGTATGGACCTTGACGCCGCTCGAGCAGGAAGGGTTAGACGAGTATTCAAAGCCGACCCGGGCCCGAGTCTCTTCTTACCGTCCACTTTGTACGTTCAGCAGGGCGGCAGCAGAACGTGCCGCGTCTGAAGAAAGATTCCACGAACGTGTGGAGTCAGTGTCCATTTGATCAGTTTTGCTCTACAAACCATATACAACGAGTAGTGATAGCATTGTTCCATACAAACTACTAGCGCGCTGTTCTGGACCTCAGAGCGGTTTGAGATCCTCAGGCGGATTCCGGAGCATTTCCAGATCGATCGTCTGGCCGTCAAATCCCCAGTTGCTCTCCGCGACCTCCCGAATGATGACATAGACACGGCGGGGCTCGTCCGTGGGCAAGTCACCATATTTTCCCACCGTGTCTGTGACGCGTTTGATGAGCTCCTGCTTCGTCGCGGCGCTGTAGCCGCCTTGGATGACGTTGATGTCCAGCGCGACGAAGCCACGGGCGCCCGTGCTCTTGCCGCCGTGGAAGACTTGGGCGCGGGGATACTCGCGGGCGAAAACCCACGTGGTTGAATGGACCCAGGGCGTCAGCGGCAGTTTCTCGAGCGAGATGCCGTCACGCGTGATTTGGTCGACGACCTGGTTGAGCGCGTCGGGGGTGAAGGTGCCTTCGGTGTAACTGAGGTACATCAGCGGCATCTTGTCGAGTGTTTCGAAAGATCGTCAGGCCGAGCTGGAGTTCGAAAATACTATTTGTACTTGAGGACGTGGTCGCTAGGGATGCTCCGCTTGCTACTACTGGTAGCTGGAGAAGATCTGTGTTTTTTTGTCGAGGGGAGCAATGCGTTGTCGTCTTGCTGGTGTACCTCAGTCTTCGCGCCCTACGTTCCTTTTATAAAGATGTTGTGACTAGTCGCGCTTCATCATGTTATAAGGCTTGCTCATGCTCCGGTTACGTCTTCACGGCGACTGAGTAATAGTAATAGAGTTGCGGAGCTCCCATTACGGTATTTCGAACATACGCTTTTGGGCATAGTGTACGATAGAGCGCCCCTCTAGTAAGCGTGGCGCTAGTCACCTCATGTTATAGTTCATACCAATATATCGTGTCAATGGGACTCTTGTCATTCTTTGTTCGCGGGTTTCATCAATCGACTCCTCCTGCTGACAGCTGAGTTTACGGCACGGATGGATTCTGATGTCATCATCAACGTCGTTGCCACGCCCTTTTTGCCGCCATGTGCCAACAACTTCAGCTTGTTGCCATGGATTTTGTGGACCATGGGTTATTGCTAATTGTCATCATCCACTACCCATAGGCCGTCCTTGGCGCCTCTTCGTGTCGGTTGGGTCAATGACTTCAGAGACTACCATGCATACTGACACCAATCCAGCAGGTATCAGTTGCCTACCTCGTGGCTCCCGAGCAACCGCTCCTGATAATACGCAGAGCACATAGTAATGATGGCGCGTCCACTAACCACCCACGACATGCTTCTGATGCAGCTTCGCTTGATGACTGGATAACATCTCTGGCAAGCTGGCAGACCTCGTATGTCATCTACCTGGGGTCTGCAAGATTTCCAATATAAGAGTTCGGGACGACTTCTCCTGTAGTCAAGCACGCCAACAGCACACTATATAGCTGATGGCCTGATTTTAGTTACCCGGCAACCTACTTCCACGGCAGACAAGAATCATTTCCACTCCCCCAGTTGAGCCAGTCTCAAGTCACAGAAAGCATGGCTACCAACTTGCCCAAGGATATGCAGGCCGTGCACCTCGTGAAAGTAAGTCTCCGGGGCAACGAGCTACGCTTCTTGCTCATCCTAACGATGATCAGTACAAGTCAGACTATGAGGTGCGAATAGCCCCTGTCCCGACGCTGGGGCCGAACGATCTTCTGCTCCGCGTTCGCGCAGCTGGCTACTGCCATACCGAGTAAGTACTTCACAGCAAGTACTGTTGTGCACAACATTGGCAGTTGAGTGTGGACTTGTAGCCTCAGTCTGACCCGTGTCCTCAGTTACCAGGTATGGGAAGGAGTATACGAATCACCGACACCCTTGATCCCGTCCCATGAGCCTGTTGGAGAGATCGTGGCCATTGGACCACAAGCAGAAAGGTTGGGAATTTGGAGACTTGGCCAGAGAGTCGGTGTCCTCCTCTTCCGACATGCATGTGGCCATTGCGTCAATTGCAGATCGACCAACGATGTGCGTTTCTGCAAGAATGGCGACAGAGCAGGGCTCGTCAACGATGGTGGTATGGCCGAGTATATCATCGGAGATGCAGACAACTGTGTCTTACTGCCAGATGAAGTTTCTTGGGAACAGGCGGCGCCGCTGATGTGCGCTGGAGTACGTTCTGCCTTCTTCGAACGAGAATGAAGAGCAAGCTAACTTCAATTTCAAGTCTACTACGTGGGCCAGTCTCATGGCTGCCGATGTCAAAAGCCCGGAGCCGATTGGCATCATAGGCATTGGCGGGCTTGGCACTCTCGCCGTACAATTCGCTAAGGCTCTGGGACACCCAGTGGTGGCGATGGACAACCGTCAAGAAGGACGAGATCTTGCCACCGCCTTTGATCTAAAGGCAGACCTAGTCGTTAATCCTGGGAACGATAATGCAGTGAAGGAGATCAAGGCTTGGTCCGGCAAAGATGGCCTAGCCGCCGTCATCACTTGCACCGATCATGTTGATATCACCAAATGGAGTCTCAATTTGCTGCGTCCGCATGGAGTGGCAGTTCCCCTGGGACTCCCTCCTGCGGGATTCGCCTTTGATGCCTTCACTATGATCTTTAGTGAACTGGTTGTGAAAGGGTCTCTAGTGTCAACCAGGTTGCAAGCCGAAGCTATGATGGAGGTCGTTGCCCGCCACAACATCCGGAGCCATTTGACCGTACTGAAGATGGAAGACGCACCACGTCTACCCAAGCTGTATATGGACCCTCATCTCAAGGGCAGGCTGGTCATGAAGATGGGTTAGTGCTGTAGAGAAAGGCCGTCAAACACCTTGAATTTCTTTCATCAAAAAGATATCAGACTTTGTTGCTCATCTTCTCGCAAATGATTCAACCTAGTGCCGAAGATATCGAACAGTCAATTAGTCACTGACTGACTTGAACGCGCAAGCGTGTTTTTCGTGCGCTATCTGAAAGCCACCTTACCAACAACCCTGAAGGAACAATCAGGTACTTACGAATACGAACACGAGCCCCAAAAGTCACACCCGAAGGAGGTCTGTATGCTCTATTATATGCCAAGACTTTTACTGCCCAGGCTTAGCATGTCCACCAAAAAAGTCTGCCATGCGGCAAAAATGCAAAACAATCAACAATCAGGATTCGCTGATGGTCACCCACTCAACTACTAACTGATCGGCCTGTGGTTTGAGTTGCCTGAGCGGACGGGAAGGCCTATTTTCCGCAGCCTGTGGTCGATTGCGAAAGTAATTGTTTGTATGGATGTATATATTCAATGTATTTATTGCCGATGTCCGGCTCCTTCATTCACGATCTAGGTCGGGTACACCAAGCATCCCCAGCGATATAGCATGTACATACCTCCTTATCAGCTCTATCAAGTGCTTCTTATAGCGCAAGGCAACTATTCTGCCGCTCAACATGGGCTGTACGTTACTCAGGCGCGCCAAGGACAAGCGAGTGCCAAGCAATTTACTGCCTGCCAACGAGCTGATGGAGGCCGAATTGCTCCTAGGCTGCTATTTGTCCCCGTCTACCTCACGAACATAGGACTGTTTGTGGCACGCGAAGTCTCTCAATCGCGGGCTGATTCGATGAGCCAGGTGCACAACACAGCTTCTCAAAAGGATGGAACGGTCAAAGTAGATGGACACGTGTGGCAAGATATGCTCAATATCAGACTGAGGGCTGTCGACGACACAACTTCTGAGACCACAAGTGGTGCACAGTCGCCCTCGATTGCTATCGTAAGAGTAGCATGAGCGTGTCTCGCAGATCGGCACACATGCCGACCACCCCGCCCCAGAACCCCACATGGGCCCCCACCCACTTCTTTGCCAGAGCCCGTTCTCCATCGGGATAGACGCCGTGTCGTGCTGGACATCTCCAAAGCCAGAAGGAAAAATACCCGGTGGTCTTACCCGGCATGGCTTTCCTAGCGAACATCAACGTCAGCAGTCTCTCTTTAAACCGTCGTTGCCCACTGCACAGCATTGGTCGAAAGAGACACCATACATCTCACGAGCATCCCTCCTAGCAACAAGAGCAGAGACAAGCATAAAGAGCCTAGCTAGCACCACAGTTGCAACTAGAGCCCCACTAAGGACCACCCGCAAACATGGCGCCAGACCTCTCGCAGAACAAAGCAGCCCGCATCGTCAACCACGCGGCAGCGCACAAGTACGCCATCGCGGCCATCTGCTGCTACAACGTCGAAGGCATCCTCGCCACGGTCCGCGCGGCCGAGGCCAAGAAATCCCCCGCCATCATCCAGCTCTTCCCCTGGGCCATCACCTACGCGGACGGCATCCTCGTGCACGCCGCGGCGGAGGCGGCGCGCAACGCCTCCGTCCCCGTCGCCGTGCACATGGACCACGCACAGACGCCGGACATCATCAAGCGGGCGGTGGCGCTCGGCGGCTTCGACGGCATCATGGTGGACATGAGCCACTACGAGCGCGAGGAGAACCTGCGTCTCACCAAGGAGCTGGTGGGCTACTGCGCGGAGCGCGGCATCGTGACCGAGGCGGAGCCCGGCCGCATCGAGGGCGGCGAGGACGGCGTCGCTGACACCGCGGACCTCCAGGGCGTGCTTACCACGCCGGAGCAGGCCGAGGAGTTCGTCGCCACCGGCATCCAATGGCTGGCGCCGGCGTTCGGGAACGTGCATGGCAAGTACGGCCCCAAGGGTCCGCAGCTGGAGTGGGATCGGCTGCAGGGCCTGATCGAGAAGGTGGGCGACCGCGTGCACTTTGTGCTGCATGGCGCGGGCACCGAGTGGTTTGGCGAGGAGCTGATTGGGAAGATCGTCAAGGCCGGCATGGTCAAGGCGAACTTGAATGACGCGGTCAATAACTCGTTCATCAAGACTATGTCCGAGAAGGCGGGCAAGGTGGGTCTGACAACGCTGCTGGAGGAGGCGACCAACGCCATGCAGGCTGATGTGGAGAGGCATATGGATTGGTTGGGAAGTACAGGGAAGGCGGAAGGTTGGGCGTGACGCTAGTAGGCCTGGCAGATGTAAAGTATCTCTATAGATCAACTTTTATTCTTGAGGTTAAGATTCGCACCTTGATTGTCAGACCTCAGCACGGCAAGTAGCGAGTCACCTCTGTTCTGGTGACTGACCAGACCACCTCACGACCCCAAGTCGATCCACATCTTAGCAAAGCAAGCATTCGACCCGCACGACTGACAACATCAATTGATCAATTCAAGCGGATAGGCCGCAGTCTTCCGACAAGATGCTTTTTCCGACTTTAAAAGTCGGACATGCCTGTTTTGCTGTGTTATCGCATTTCCCATCCGGTCATTCAAGTCATCGACGACGTTGATCCACCAACAAAGACGCGTGACTTTGAGGACACTACAGACCCTGCACCCATAACCTCAATCCGCTCCCATCCTTTCCAATCTCGCAAACCTCACAGATCCGGCAAACTGAACCCTTGTACTGCTCGTGATACTTGGCACCGTCGTAAGGACAGCTCACGCTGGGTGTGCCGCCATAGATTGGTGTATATGAAGCAGCGCACACATCAAAGTCGGCGAAAGGATCATACTCAATGTCGAGCTTATCGGACGATCCCGACCGCTCAGACTGCGTTTTGACCTTCTTTGCCTGTGGAAGCGGGTTAGCAATAGTTCGGGAAATGGCAATAGTAGCATACCTGTTCAAGGAGCTTCGCGGCGCCGCCATTAGCCAGTACGCGGTTGGCGAAGGAAAGAGCGCTCTTGTACTGCTTGTTGGTGAGTGCCAATCTCATAGCAGCCATAAGCGCTAGCTGTCGGTGCGAAACATCAAGCTTTGGTACTGTGAAGAAAGCAGAGAGTTCGAGCTGCCTCTTCAGGTGGTCCTCCGAAGGACTATCTCCAGCATCAGCAGCAAGTTTGCGTCTCTCGAGCTCCAGGGACATTGCCAGTGTATATTCGACAGACTTGGCTATCAAAGCTGTGGCCTCATCAACCTGGCTTTGGGAGCCAACAACGTTCACCAGCAGTGATTGAAGGATGTTCTTGAAGGTAACGACGCCTGATTCGAGCTTATTCGTCCGCATAGCAGCGTAGCCCTCCTGAAGATCACCATTTGTTAAGGTCTCAAGGTCGCGAGGGATGATAGGAAGGAACTTCCGACTGTCAGTCTCGTCGACGTTGCGCCGGATGTAATTGACGATCGACGGCAGACTCGCGTTGGCGGGTAGGTAGGTTTTCGAAGCAGTGTAAATCTCAAGGAACCGTGGCTTGAGAGGCTCAAACTTCACAGCACCGATTTGTCGGTTTAAGAGCTGCATGGCGCTGTCGAATGAACCGGCGGCAACATGATCGGCGGCGAGTGGTGAGTTCCTGGCCCACATGTCGGCTTCCGAGCTACCTGGTCCGGCGGCATCCACAGGAGCATCGGGGTTGTCGACATTGACGAAATCAGAGTCTGTGCCAGCAGCATCGGCAGCAATGTCATCGCCCATGTCCCAACCATCACCAGCATCTTCGTCATCATCCGCGAGGGCGTCCCTCTCCCCCGTGACTGGCGCATCTTCGTTAAGCAGGTCAGGTTCGCCATCCTCGACGGCCTCGCCAGATACTTCGCCGAGCAGAGCCTTCTCAAATGAGGAGTGGGCGGCTTCTCTAACTGGCCAATTGGCCTTGTGTGTCGGGATGATCGCTCCTGGGGTCTTGAGAGCAGTGCCTATTTGTGGTAAAGCAATCTGGTCCTCGGTAAGGCCAGTCATCTCAAGAATGGATTCGCACTCCTCAGTCAACCCATGGGTTTTGGCGGTAAGATATGCCAATGGATACAGGTCGATCTCTTTGAACATGTGTATCCTACTTTCAACATCGCCGAGGTAGAGCGCATTCTGGAACCGAGCAGTGAAATCGTTGCGATGCTCGGCAATCTTTGCCATCCGCTGCAACTTCTCATTATCGCCAGTGCAAAGATAGAGGAATGATAGCTTGTCGAAATTTCGCAGCTTCTGGTACGTCATTTCGACGGTCTGATGATTGCCGTGTATCAAAGCCTCGGAGCTCAAGCGCTGCCAGATCAAGGGACGGTCAAGCTCTTTCGCCATCTCAGTTGCGACCTCAAGGTTTCCGCACTCAATAGCGAGCTCAAATCTGGTCTGCGGATCTTGCACGAACTGCAGCGCGATCTCCGGGTAACCTTTCTTCTGGAGGTACGAGATGATACTCTGGCCGACGAGGCTGGAAGTCTTGATGATCTGAAGCATCTCGTCATAGTTTCTTTTGTTGAGCGCCAGCTTGAAGCGATATTCTGTGGGATCAATTTGCAGAATCCGGGGCTTAGCCGCGCGATCCAAGCAGTAAACACTGCGAGCCTTGACCTTGACCAAGTACACTGTGTGATCTAGGGTACGCACGATACCGTTATCGCCATTAAGCAAGGTGTACTTGATGTGATTCAGTGTTGAGTACAGAAGTACACCCGAGTCGTCCCATGTAGCACTCTTGATTCGAATTGTTTCGTGCAGCGTACTGACCTGGTCCAAGTTTTTGTTCACAATGGTAACATTGTGCTTGCTGAGTAGAGCACAGTACAGGCCGTCGTTTGACCATGAGACATATTTGACGCCAGTCACGGCAAGCTCGGCCAGCTGCTTCTTCTGTTGAATGTCATATAACACAACGTTCGAAGGCGAGATGAGAAGGAGGCAGCCAGTACCGCCGAAGCTGATATCTGTCGTTCCATGCGGCGCCTTGAAAGATTTGGTGGTCGAATTGCTTAGGTCTTTGATCTCCACCAATTGCGTAGAGGTACTGAAAACGGCAAAGCGGTTACGCGCGACGAAGACTGCAGAATTGCCTGAGCCGCGCTTGATATCGGTCGGGTCCGAACCTCCAGCTCCGTCGCGAGGCAGACTCACCAGCTCATACACACCGTTATCCGAAGGAGAAGTTACGAGCACGGATTTTTCAGCAGGGTTGTACGACAACGTCCTCGGGGGCACCCAAGGGCTGCCAAATTTGCGTAGAGATAGCAGCGAAGGTGACTCAACGTTCTTGGTGAAATCGTAGGACTTGACCTGCTTGTCTTTGGCAATGTAGAACAGAGTGTTCTGATAGATGGAGGAGGCAGGCCTCTCACGCTCGAGTTTGAAGACCATGACACCATTGTCGTGGCCAGCAGCGAAAAGGTTGATCTCGGGGTGAGCGGCGATCACCCAGAATCGATCGTTCTCACGTTTGAAAGACTGGACGGACGTCCGCTTGTTGAGGTCCCAAACACGGACAGTCTTGTCCTCGCCGACCGACAGGATCAAGTCTTGATGGGGGTGGAATAAGCAGGCTGAAGCATTCTGGAAATGTCCGCGGCAAGTGTCGACTTCCCAAGCCTTGGTCTCGCTCATGCGCCAGAGCTTGATGAGTCGGTCATCACCGGCAGACACAATGAGTGGTAGTGTCGGATGGAAAGCGACCCAGTTCACACCACGATCGTGACCCTCAAGCACAAATTTCACGACGGCATCGGTGTTGCCGAACATATCAGCCTGTTGCTGATTGGTCCGAGCCATCTGGTCTTCATAGCTCATTGAGGAGGGAGAGTAGTGCTTTTTACGGAGCCCTGAGATATCCCACACTCGCACGGACTGGTCTAGCGATGCCGATACAATCAGGTCTTCCTTAGGATGAAACTGCGCGCACATAGCGTAATGATTGTGCCCGGTCATGGTGCAGATGAGTTGACGGTTTTGCCAATTCCAAATTCTGATCGTCTGGTCATCGGAGGCTGAGAGAATCCATGGGTACTCATGGTGGAAGAAGACTGTGCGGACATAGTCCAGATGCCCATTCAGGGTGAACAGGCATCTCCGAGACTGAAGCGACCACACCTTGATTTTGTAGTCATCGCCACCAGATACAAAGAGGGGCTGAGTTTTGTGGAAATCGATACCTCGAACGGGCCCGTCGTGTTCTTCAAAGCGGTCAATCAGGGTTCCCATGCGATAGTCCCAAAGTTGTATGGTGCTGCTGTGCAAGCTGACGAGAATCCATGGTCGCTTTGGGTGGAAGGCGATTCCTTTCGCTCGCGAAGACTTCGACTCGAACTATGACCATTGTCAGCAGAGAATCTCGGCTTCCTCGACTAGAACGTACCTTCGTGAGCATCGAGGGAGAGGCCATGCTGGCCGCACAGTGGTAGGACTTTCTGCGGATGGGGAGTGCTGCGTTTGTAGATGCAATCAAGATCCTACCATGTCCATCGGCCCCTTAATGAACGTTGTCTTCGGAGAAAAGAAAGGCCAGCTGGCAAATGTGTCTATTGTAGGTACTCAATAATGGACAGCGGTGCAGTTGCGCCGCATCGTGGGGATCCTCAAAGTGCGGCGAGCACAGAGACCAAAGGCGCAGTCCGCGATTTCTTGAATGTGGCCTCAGCAAGTGAGGGCGAGGTGGCCGCAAGCCACGAGTACCTCAAGTGCCGTGGGACTCAATAACCACTTGCTCGCCTTTCCTTCGCCAACCCTACTTCTTCCTACTCCGCACTATGCTATCTTGACACCAACGTAAACGCCCGTTGCTCTCACGATCCGCCCGCATCCCTCCATTTCTCCCACCGCCGACATGGATCAAGCGCAATATGATCAGCTCAAGGATAGCTGGGCCGATGTAGAGGACCGCGATGGCGTCCGGCTCAGCTGGAATGTCATCGCCTCATCGAAGATGGAGGCCAACCGCCTTGTTGTTCCCATCAGGTATGTTACTTGTGGACAATTCGCAGCACATGCTCACTGCTATACAGTGCCCTCCTCACGCCTCTGAAGGAGCTCGGCAAGCCACTCTTGCAATATGAGCCTGTAGTATGCAAGCCGCCCTGTCGAGCCGTCCTCAACCCCTTCTCCAATGTCGACGTTCGTGCGAAGATATGGATATGCCCCTTCTGCTTGCAGCGAAACGCCCTCCCGCGCCACTACGCCGACATTAGCGCTGAGAACGTACCCCCCGAGATGCACAGCATGAACACAACGGTTGAATACCAGCTTGCAAGACCAGCTCCGGCTCCACCGATCTTTCTCTTCGTAGTCGACACATGTCAAGAGCAGGAGTCGCTCCAGGCCCTGAAGGACACACTCGTCATGAGTCTCTCCCTTCTTCCTCCGAACGCACTAGTCGGCCTCGTTACCTACGGTACAAATGTGGCCGTGCATGAGATTGGCTATGGGGAATGCCAGAAGGCTTATGTCTTCCGTGGCAGCAAAGAGTATGCTCCAAAACAAATTCAAGAAATGCTCGGTCTCTCTGCGCCTGGCCTCAGACCCAATCAGCCTCCCCAGCAAGGCCGGCCCCCGCCACCACAGGGTGCTGCTTCAAGATTCCTTCTGCCGGTCCAGCAAGCGGAATTTCAGATCACCAACGCTCTAGAGCAGATGCAGAAGGACCCGTGGCCTGTCGCCAATGACAAGCGTGCACTGAGATGTACTGGAGTCGCGGTGAATGTTGCCGTTGGTCTCCTGGAAACCAGCTTCCAGAACTCCGGTGCTCGGATCATGCTCTTCGCCGGTGGTCCTGCAACCGAAGGACCTGGTATGGTGGTTGGCCCCGAGCTCCGTGAGCCCATCCGATCGCACCACGACATCGATCGTGACAACGTCAAACACTTCAAGAAAGCGCTAAAGTACTACGATAATTTGTCGAAGCGTACAGCCCACAATGGCCACATCATTGATATCTTTGCTGGATGTCTGGATCAGGTGGGATTGCTCGAGATGAAAGGCCTGGCGAATGCCACTGGTGGGCATATGATCCTCACCGACAGCTTCACCTCCTCTCAATTCAAACAATCCTTCGTTCGCGTTTTCGAGAAGGACGACAATGACAACCTCCTGATGGGTTTCAACGCATCGCTAGAAGCCATCACTACCAAAGAGTTGAAGGTTACTGGTCTTATCGGTCATGCTGTTTCGTTGAATAAAAAGTCCAGCTGTGTGGGCGAGACCGAATGCGGTATCGGCGGCACATCATCCTGGAAGATGTGTGGCATCGATCCTACATCAAGCTACGGCGTCTATTTCGAAGTAGCTGGTCAAGGTGGGCCCACGCCCGTACAACAGGGCCCCCAGCGAGGCATGATGCAATTCCTCACCTACTATCAGCACTCGTCTGGCCAATACCACTTGCGAGTCACGACTGTTGCTCGTAATCTGAGTGGCCCAGCTGGCGACCCGGCTCTCGCACAGTCGTTTGACCAGGAAGCTGCGGCTGTGTTGATGGCCAGAATAGCTGTCTTCAAGGCTGAGGTCGATGAGGGCCCAGACGTTCTCAGATGGGTCGATCGCATGCTCATTCGGCTCTGCACGCGATTCGCTGACTACCGAAAAGACGATCCTACCTCTTTCCGCCTCGACAAGAACTTTACCCTTTATCCTCAGTTCATGTTCCATCTACGCAGGTCACAGTTCTTGCAGGTCTTCAACAACTCCCCCGACGAGACAGCCTTCTACCGCCACGTTCTAAACCATGAGTATGTTGGCGATTCGCTGATCATGATTCAGCCTACGCTAGACTCGTACGCCTTGGATCAGGAAGGTGGTCAGCCCGTTCTGCTGGACTCGGCGTCTATCCAGCCTCAAACCGTCCTTCTGCTCGACACTTTCTTCCAGATCCTTATCTTCCATGGCGAGACGATGGCTGAATGGCGCAAGGCTGGCTACCATGAACAAGAAGGCTACGAGAACTTCAAAACTGTGCTTGATGCACCAAAGGAAGATGCCCGAGAACTTGTTCAAGATCGTTTCCCACTACCTAGATTCATCATCTGTGATGCTGGTGGCTCACAAGCTCGTTTCTTGCTGTCGAAACTAAACCCCTCGACCACCCATGCCAACAGTGGTGCCTATGGCGGCGTTTCACAGACCGCTCAAACCATTTTCACTGATGATGTTTCGTTACAGACGTTTATGGACCACTTGATGAAGTAAGTTGTGCCATGTCGAAGCAAGTCACACGACTAATGATTTCTAGGCTCGCCGTGTCAGGCTCTAGCTAAGACGTCTCTGAACTGAAGTGAGAGGAGGAGTCTAGCCAGAAGTAGAACCAGTGGGACTAGATAGTAGGCAGTTGATAACGAAGTGTCCCACGATAGCAGTGTTCACATATCTTTGGTTCCTTTTATACAGCCAACGACTCCCTTGACCATGACATACATGTTCGCCGTTGCACTAGCGAGTTCCAAACTCGCAGAAAGAACTGGGTACTGCATATTCTAATGGATGTCTAACAGCAACACCCTCAAGGACAAACAATTTTCTGCTGCCTATGCGAGCATAAACTGAGACAGCGACCCGGAGCCACGGCATGAATCTATGTGCATTTTTTGGTCCCTGTTGCATTACATACCTCGACCCACAAGTAATGCTGAAGGTGCCTCAAGATCTTGGCGGCTTTGGCCTTTGCGGGTCGCCCTAGAGGTGCAATCTTGGCACACAAAATCGGAGTAGAAACTTGCGGTACATGCTCCGCCGACTTTCTTCCTCTCTTCCAGGTCAACTTCAACTCCCCAAAACATATCCTCAAGTGAGACAGACTACCTTTCGCACTAGCCATGCGTAAGTATCGTCCTCTTGAGCGGCTTCGGCCTGGCTAATTTTCGTGTGTTCAGCTCCCAAGTTAGACCCCAATGAGGTGAAGATCATGTACGTTCACGTTCCGTCAATCGCTGCTCGAATATACCAGCTAACAAGCTTGATAGCCACCTTCGCGCCACTGGCGGTGAAGTGGGTGCTTCTGCGACCCTCGCTCCCAAGATCGGTCCCCTCGGTCTGTCTCCCAAGAAGGTCGGTGAAGATATCGCGAAGGCGACTGGCGACTGGGTAAGGATTCCATACATACTCCTAAAAGAAGAGCTACTGAGACTGACGTTTTCCACAGAAAGGTCTCCGCGTCACCGTCCGCTTGACCATCCAGAACCGTCAAGCTGCCGTTTCGGTCGTCCCCTCTGCCTCTTCCCTGGTCATCCGTGCTCTCAAGGAGCCTCCCCGGGACCGCAAGAAGGAGAAGAACATCAAGCACTCCAAGTCCATTCCTCTGGATGAGATCATCGACATCGCTCGCACGATGCGTGAGGCCAACAAGTCGATGGCTCGTGAGATGAAGGGCACTGTTCTTGAGATTCTCGGGACTGCCTTCTCCGTTGGCTGCCAGGTCGACGGCCGGAGTCCCAAGGATATCTCTGACGATGTTAAGTCGGGCGAGATTGACAGTAAGATTCCTTGAAGCCCCAGCATTCGAGTAGAGACGCTAACACGACTACAGTTCCCGAGGAATAGATGGTTTACCATTCAGAAGTTCCGCTTCGACCGATGGCTACAGAAACCGTTGGAAGAGGACGGTCATGATACCCACGTCCAACCCGCGCTAATGCGATAACGCAAAAGCTATCGCAGTTGAGTGCACGGCACGACACATACGAAGCTTCTGCTCACGACAATGCAAAAGTTTCGAACCTTTTCCCTTTCCCTTTCCCATCCTTTCAATTCGCGGGTCTCATTCCCTCCCGATCTCCCTCTCTGTGGTCCCGGTCCCCCACAGCCATCCTTTACCTTTTCCCTCTCCCCCAAAAAACACACACACCTTCGTCACACTCTGAGTCCAGTCCCTCAAACCCAGGACTAGAATCTATTTTTATGCGAAGAAGATCATCGTACCTTATGACACAATACTCACCGCGGCAGCCTTGACATCTCACATCCATGAGATCCGTGGATGCAGCGGTCCATCCTATCCGTGTCTACATTCATATCATGACTTTTTGAAAACTCTGGTCCCCCGGCTGTGTCGGCGGAGACTCTTGCTTGCTTCCCTGCTTGCTCGTTTTGCTTGCTTGCCTCATTGCCTACGTGATCTCTCCACTCGCCTTGAACATCCCGTCGTATTCGCTGGGCCACGAACAGCTTCGTATTCGGGAGACGAACGCCAGACGTCGAACCAGTTGATATCGGTCCACACGAGCCTCGCGACTCGAGACTCCCCATGATGGCCCGAACGGGCACGGCAGAGCTTCTGCCTGCCATCTTGCCTTTCGACTGGCAATGCTGCCCGGCAAAGGTCTAGGTATCATAGCTAAGTAGGTAGGTACCAAAAGAAACTACAGTAGCCTGTCAATCGAAAACCCCCGTCTCGCAATATCCCACAAGCTATGATGCCATTGCTGCTGCTGCTGCTGGTGGCTTGTAGACAGAGAGGCGTAAGCGGCAGAGAGCCTGTCCGTTCCCCTGCTATCGAAGGCGTGTCGTTATCATTGAATGATCCACGGGGTCGCTCTTCTGCTGTCACATCTCCATCCGAGAAGCACGCATAGTGCCAGATAGCTGCTGCAGGAGGACTAGATCTCCGTCCGGAGGGGGCCTTGACCCATACGGCACGCGTACGGAGTATCTTCGCACGAGCGACGCCGATGGTCAGAATAGCATAGCAGAGAACGCTTCCAATCTATCACTGTCCCCAAAAGTCTCGAGACATCCTTCTATAGCAGAAACGCAACGTCTTCAATATGAAAGGCGTTTTTAAAAGCCCCCAAAAGGTGAATTCGGAAATCAGGAGAGACAACTCTGTTTCTTCCATCTACCTTTTCAAGACTTTACCTCCTCTATCTAAGATGTCTATTGCCAATACCCCCAATCTTTTCCCCTTTCACAGATCAATAAAGTTTTTGATACAATGCTTTCCTTATATCACAAGGAAAGAAAAGCCCAGTCAAAGCAGTAGCCGCCTGTGCATGGCGAGGTGGACCAAAAACCCAAAACTCCCAGATGTGCGCCACTCAAACAAGTATCGACAAAAATGAAATTCCCCATCCCTCACTGCCGAGGGGTCAATACAACAATAAATGCCAATAGCAATTGGCTCTTAAACCTCCTCCCTCTTGACCTCCTTCGCCTCACTCTGCGACCTCGACGGGCCCGTCCTCGCCGTGGACATCCTCTCGAGACCGTCGCCCGCATTCGCGACCGGCACGGTCTCGCGCTGACTCTCAATCTGCTTGATCTCCTTCTGGGCGGCAACCTCCTCGCTCTGCTTGCGGGCGCCCTTGGGCACGCGGCCGAGCCAGTAGAAGAAGACGGCACCCGCGACATTGACGGCGATGTAGACCCACATCAAGCCAAAATCGCGCCACATGTTGTCCGGGTTACTGGCAACGCTGTTGAGGAAGACGTTGGTGTCGGTGATCATGCAGTACGAGCAATTTTCGGTGGATTGCTCGGTGCCGGGCTCAAGGTCGCCGCCGAAGGCCCCTATCCACGGAGCCATGTATTCTTCACAAGTGGAGCCGGCAGGGGGTGAGAATTGAAGTAGCTCGTTGGCAGCGCATTGCACGGTCGTGTCGGCGACGGCGGTGGTGAGGAAGCCTTCGATCAGGTAGGTGAAGGGGGAGACGCGGTACATCCAAATCCAGAAGCCAGGGAAGGTGCTGGGACCCGCAAGGACACCGCAGAAGATGAGTGAGAGGGAGAAGAGCAGATTGGCAATGCCACCGCCAGCTTCGGCGGATTCGAGAGCGGCGATGATCATGTGCGCAAAGGTGGAGGTGAAGATGAGGAAGACCAGGATGAATAGGAACATGAGGGCGCCGCGTTCGTGGACGGTATTGGAGTCCTCGGCATTGCGGTACAGGCCGATCGGGTAGTACCAGACGAAGAACAGGATGACGGAGCATAGGATGGACCAAGGGATCTCGACCAAGATGTTGCTGATCATGAAAGATTGCCAGGAGTAGGTCTTGGACGGACGCTCGCGAACTTCGTACAGAGCGCGTTGAGTGACAAACATGGGCATGATCTGCTGCACAAGTTGGCCGAAGATGGTCATCAACATGAAGATGCCGAACATTTGGTTCTGGAGACCCTGGATGGTGTTGTCGGCCATGTAGAAGGAGAAACCAATGAAGAGACCCGAGAACAGGATGAGGCCGATCTTGGAGTAGATGTACGAGGGAGTGCGCCAGTATTGCTGGAAGACGCGGACCTGAGTCTCATACAGTTGGGTCCAGAACGGTGCGGCGAACTCGCGGTACTGAGCCTTGTTATCCTGAGTTTGAACCCGGGTCATTTGGGTTGCGCGCTCGTCTCTGATCTGCTGGAGCTCGGCGTGAACAGCTTCGTATTCGGGAGACGAACGCCAGACGTCGAACCAGTTAATGTCGGTGTAGGAGCCAGGTGCAGCACCGATGATCTCAAGCATCCATTCAGCAGGGTTGGCTTCGGTGGGACAAGGGGGTGCGCCGTTGCGCTCAAAGTAACTCGTCAGAATCTTGGAGCGGTCACCGATGGGCCCAAAGTAGACAGTCTTGCCGCCCTTCTGAAGGAAGAGTAGACGATCGAAACGTTGAAATAGAACTGCGGATGGCTGATGGATGGTGCAGAGGATGGCCTGGCCGTTGTTCTTGAGCTTCTCGAGCAGATCCAGGATAGACCATGAGGTTTGCGAATCCAAGCCTGACGTAGGCTCATCGAGGAACAAAAGCAGTTGGGGTTTGGCAGCCAATTCGACACCAATGGTGAGACGCTTGCGCTGCTCAACGTTGAGACCTTCACCGGGAACACCGACAACGGCGTCTGCGTAGTCTTCCATTTCCAGTAGCTTGATGACTTCGTCGACATAGGCAACCTTCTCGGCGCGAGAAACATGGGCTGGCTGACGAAGCACAGCGCTGAAAGTTAGAGCCTCCCGCACTGTCGAAGTTTCAAGATGGAGATCCTGTTGCTGAACATAGCCGGTCTTGCGCTGGAAAGAGCTGTCTCTCTGCTGGCCATCCACAAGCATGTCGCCAGAGATGACACCCATGGTGACGCGGGTAGCCAAAACATCCAAGAGCGTGGTTTTACCAGCGCCTGACTCACCCATCAGAGCTGTGAGGGTACCAGGCTTGACCCAGCCATCAACGTGATCGAGAATCCGGCGTTCTTCTTTCTTGATCTTGATATCGTAGCAGACATTGCTCCATTGAAAGATGGCGGTCTGTTTTTGGATGAGGTTAGAAATGTCCTGCTTGCGAACTTCTTGTTTCTCAGTCACAACGTTGTTGCCGCTACCACTTTCATCATCGTTGATCATAGCCTTGGCAGCAGGGGGAATGTGTCCACGGCGGAAGACCAGGACTTCACCCTTGGACTTCTTCGCAGAGACGACTTCAGCCGCAGCGAGATAGCAGCACATCAAGCCGATCAGGAACACCCAGAGAATGCCAAAGTTTCGCCAGCGGTGGCTAGAGGTGTAGCGGTACAGTGATCCAATATAGGCATCGCCGGAAACTTCGGGTTGGCCAACCACTGATCCAATCGTTGTGCAAACTCGGTTCGCCAGGCTGCCGTCATCATAGCCGAGATCAAACCCGTTGTTTGATGGGATGTAGCTTGCGCAGGGGAACATGCGGTTTGAAAACTCGTTGATCATGAGTGCTTCGAATCCATACGCCACGGGATCGATGTAGTTGATCCAGCGTGACCAGCCCAACATATAGGTGGTCGGAATAGCGAACCCAGTATAGATGACAATAGCCAGAATCAGAATTGCAGCTGGGGCAAGTGCCTGGCTGAGCGACCGTGATACTGAGGCGATTGTGCGAAACATCATGCTCATGACCAAAGTTAGCATGAAAGAGATGAGCAAGAAAAAGAAGAATGCTTGCGGCGTTCTCCTAAGATTCGTCATGAAGTAGATGACCAAGTTGAAGGTTATGGCGTTGCAGATCTTGTACGGCATGTCCGTGAGCATTGACGCAAAAGCTTCAGCCGACGGATGGTACAAGGCGTAGCGTTGATGCTTTTCGACAATGGGCCGTTGTGCATAAAGAGTCAGGATCTCGAGGGCCGAACCGAAAGCATTCATCAGGATAGCGAAAAACAGTAGCGCACCGCGCGAGAAGAAGGAATTCGTAGTTTCGTCAAGGTTGTAGAAGACCGAAGAGATGATTAAACCGAGTAAAACGTTGGAGAAGAGCATGAAAGCCGTGACCGAAGGGTCGGCAGCAAGACGTCGGAATCCACGCCAAAGTGTAAGCTGGACCTGCTGCTTGTAAGAGAGTGTGTAAGGAGACTTTGGTCGAAGGGCCTTGGCTTTTTGAAGCTGGCGTGAAGCCTGGAACTTTTCGTAGTGCTCGCCACCGATTTGATGATCCCTCTCGTACTGCTCGATGTCCTTGATAAGGGCAGCATACTCGGGGCTTTCCTTCCAGCGCTTGGCAAATTCGTCCGGAGATCGAGGAACTCGGTGTTCAAAGCCTGAGCGGACCTTTCTCTCAGCCGCGCTGGTCATGGAAGTCAAGAAATCGGCATCAGTTTGGCGATGAGGGCACTCGAAGCCCATGTTTTCGAAAAAGGCGCGAGCAGTCTTGGTGCTTCCAAAGTAGATCTGCCGACCCTCATACAAGACGAGAGCCTTATCGAAAAGATCATAGGCAGCCTGCGGGGCTTGATAGATTGCAACCGCGGCTGTCATGTTCTGCAGCTCAGTAGACATTCTGAGAGTCCTGCAAAATTCGATAGCATTGGCCGAGTCGAGGCCTCGGGTTGAGTTGTCCCAAGCTTGAAGAGGAGAGCCGTTGAGGCAAGCTTCAGCAATGGTGACGCGCTTTCGTTCACCGCCGGACACGCCACGGACGAAGTCATTGCCAACTCGGGTGTTGATCGTGTGGCGGATACCGAAAGTGGCCATCATCATATCGCGAATGTGCATCGCGTACTGCTTCTTGGAAATGCTGCCGGGAATATGGCGAGGGGCTCTGGCGCGAGCAGCAAAATAGAGAGTCTCGCCGACAGTCAGCTGTGGGAAGTGCACGTCAACCTCGGCGGTGTAGATTGTTTCGCCGCGGAATTGCTTGTGCATGTTCTCGTAGCTGATGCCCTGATAATTGATGCGAGACTCAGGATCAACGTTGAAGCCATGAGTTTCACCGGTGACGGTCTTCAGGAACGTCGAGCAGCCAGAACCGGGAGGGCCCAAGACCACCAGCATCTCACCAGCATGAACCAGACCATCGAAATTCTGGAGGATGTCAATCCTTCGTTGAGAAGCTCCCATCAGTCTGCGAAAGACACCAGCGGCCTGGAGGTAGATGTTTCCCACTGATTTCTGATAATCGGTACCGGTGCCGAAACCGTGAGCGCTGAGATTGCGAAAGGAAAAGCCAGCACTTCTGGCAAGGTGTCGCTCTTCGCCTTCCTCCTGTAACAGCTTGAGCATTGATCTGGTGAAAGCTCTGGCGCGAAAGTTGTCGGAATTGGGGTCCAGGATCGAGTCCTTTTCGTATTCCCAGGGGTTTGAGGCGACATTGGAATAGGTAGAAGCTCTGGTCATCTCGCGGGCAAGGTGTTTGATCTGCTCGGTCTCATCGTCCTCCGAGCTGTCGCTAGTAGCCTTCTCCTCGGGCACAGCCGGAGCGTGGTTGCTGCTATGTCGTCGGCCGTCCATGGAAGGTCTATGTTGAGAGCTGTTGGAATACCGATGAGGCAAGTCCTCTGCGAAACTGGTGCGGCGAACATGGCCAGGCACCGGGACACCAGCAGTCTCTTCGGTCCTGTCCGGGCTATTGACCAAGCCGCCCACCAGCGACATGGTGGCAGTAGTTTGCAAACGATGAATTTAGTATGGGATTGTTGATGTCGATTCACGAAAAGGAGCGGGAGGTGGCATAAGAGATATATGAAAGAATAGGGCAAGAAGTCAAGTCGCCACACAGAAAATGACGAAGGTGTGTGATGCAAAGGAGAGTATAAGGGCACCCAAGAAAGGTAAAGAAGTCGCGTCCCAGGATTCAGAAATAGGCACTCATCCGTATGTCGCCGGGCGATGAACGGACGAAAGTGCTTGCATCAAAGACAAGAGGTCGCAAGAGTCATTGAAAAAAGTGTAGGGAACGAAAGATTCCCGAGGGTTCACGCGAGGGTGCACCGTTGTGACTGCCACTTCTGGAAGCCCGGGTACGAAGCCAATCGCGTGGCGACAAAAGAGAGCGAGTGCATCGCTCAGGATCCACTTGTGCACTCGGAGCTGCCCCCTTCCAGGCCCTTTCAGGCCGCGGCGGGGCTCTTGGAGTGCTTGTGCAGGGCCCGGCTCGGATGCTGGAGGCGGCTGCCAGACTTGTGCAAGGCGGAGGACTTGGCTGAGTCGCCCTGGCAGCACCGATTGGCCTTCGCCCGTCGCTAAACAGATCGCTTCCTCCGGTCTCCTCGTAAATCTCGCCCGTTATGGCTTGGCTAAGGCTTCCAATCTTCGAGCCTGTGCCCACGCGCGCATGCCCATTCTCCTTGAATTCTGGTCATTGGTTTTTTTTTTTTCAGCCGTGAGCGGCCGGTAGGACTGCTTCAGTCCTTCTTCAATTTTCCAGTACACATAATCAGCTGCAGAAATAGACTGCAGTCTACAGCCAGACTTGCCACAGATCGCAAAATAGCATACAGATGCCACGAGGCGCACATCACAAGGCTACGTGCTTTTCCCGGGTGGCTGCTGCGGCTGAACCCGACTCACGCGGGTAATCAGCATTTCCACTGCTACATCGTATTTTATGCACGCGCCTAGAGTAAGGGAAACAATTCCGAGCGGTTCACAGTTTCGGATATCGTTCTAACCAAAGTGCATCAACGACACAAACATGCGCATCTCCTCCATCCCAACCAGGCTGCAGACTCCATCGCCAAGCCCATCCAGGCACCATCGTACGAGGCCGTAGCTTTCGAGCCGAACAGCGTGGCATAAGCAGTAATTTGCTAGTCTTGCGCTATCGCAGTCGGTTACATTTTAAAAATGATCCGAGATCATCAACAACATGCACAACTCGTTCTCGTCTCCCTCGCAAGATATACAAATATGGAGGCTGTTGTGCCTTCCAACGCGCGTCTTCTCGCAACCTCATCAAATAATGCGTATTCGTTTTCGTGATGAGTCATGTTGGCAAGACGAGGCGCACGGCGGGTTTGTACCTAGTGCCTAAACTGGCAGTGCATACACAAAACCCCTCCACCCTTTTGTCTCCGCCGCCGGCGCGACTCATTCTCGCAAAGGTTCCGACCGCTCTGCTAGTAAGGCGTACCAAGGCCTATCAAGCTACTGTATCGAGACATGCATTTGTGCCAAGTCATGACCGCCAGGTCTGTCGTCGTTGCCTGCTGCGGAGTTTAGCACAGGCATAAGTGTCCGATGCTCCGAAGAGGGCACTTGTATCTACTTCTTCAAGAATGTGCAATCTCAGCGCTGATTGACCTACTCATGAACGAGCGACCTTTTCATCGACCATACCGAAAACATGCTATGCACGATAGCTGCCCAGTCGAAATCTTGCCCATTCTGCTTGGACACAAATCTGCTCACCGTGACCCGGATATTTTGGCGGCTAGATGAATCTCAACTTTCGCAGATGACTTGAAGAGACAAACTGCAGCAGAGCAAACCAGTGAGTGTGCAGATGTTGGTCGCGTGTTCGGCTTCAAGTCACCCTGTCCTGATTGAGCTGAAGCATACCGGCAACGCTCACGCGATGCTGCCATGTTGATGTACTGCTCCTTCCCCTTAGTCTACCAGAGTTGCGACTTCTGCATCAACAGAGGTAGTTTTCGCCGTCTTCAACATGACATCAAAAGTACAGTTTCAATTGTCGCACCTTCAGCCTCACCCGTGAAGGGTCAAGCGCCAGGCATCTTCGTTTCCCTCCTTCATGACTGGCAGCGAGGGGCATCACCAGCCACAAAGAGTGTAATTCAGCCAATCAGCATGAACAGAATTGTACTGCCTGAAGACTGAAGACGCCAAACTCAGTTTTGGGCGTTCGTATTCGCGTATCCCGTCTGTGACGCGGGCCTTCTCCAAACCCGCTGCCACCGCTATTGACACCAACAAAACCAAGTCGACGTCGTTCAATGTCGTTGCCTTGCTCGTTGCCAATCTCATGACATGTTGCTTGCTTCGCTACACTACTAGCTTTGGCACGCTCATGCCAGTATAGAAGCTAACCTTTGCCCTTATTCACAAGCCTACGTTGGACCACCGACAACAACAGCATCTCAAGTTGAGCAATCCGAGACCAGCCCGCTCGATTGGAGAGCATCCAGCGGCAGCAACGTCACTCCACCAAAATCACCCCTCTGAGTCTCGTCAGTGCACCATACACTTCCCAAAGATGGGCAAGAAAACACCACTATCGTCTCCCACATCTCCCACCTCGCCTTCAGCAGCATTCCCACGCATGGACGCGCCTCCGCCCTATGAACAAGTCGTGTCATCATCACGCCGTTCCTCCGGCATCTCATTACACAGCGTCGACCCCTTGAACCCCACCGACGCCGATGGCCATCAAGCCGCTGAGCTACCCACTACACAGAACCGCTCGCCTACGCCAGCCGCCGACGTACCATCCGCTGCTACTGCTCGGCAGAACGGCCAACAGAGGAGTCGCGACCACAAAAGCCGGCTACACGAGGACGGCGGCTGCTTGCGAGTTTTCCCCCGGTCTAATCCCGCGTCCACCCCTGCTGACTCGCTCTAGAAATTTCGGGCAAAACGTGGATGGCTGTTGCAATATCGGAGGCGGCTGGAACTCAGGGAAGACCTCAGGCTGCATGGTACGTTTGTCTCTGGTCTCGTTTCGTCTCGTATACACAAACACGTCCGCTGACAACGAGCTTTGTGCAGAATATTGGTGGTGGCCACACATACCAGAAAACAGATGGCTGCATGAACTACAGTGAGTACCTCAAGCTACACGGTGACTATGCTGGGACGCTCAGCTGACGGGCGCACAGGATCGCCTGGTAAGTCGCCTGAGTTGAACCTGTATGAGTGAATGTTGAGCGAAGCCCTGTCTCTTCCAGACGGCTGCATGAATGTGAGTCGAACCTGCCCACAGCTGACGCACCCCGCTCGCTCCACTGAAGGCTAACCACACGTACAGTACAAGTCCAGTGGTGGCTGCATGAACGTAAGTCGTGCTCTCGCGCGTTAATGACCTTATTCACGAACGCGGATCTGACTCCGATACAGTACAAATCTAGCGGTGGTTGCATGAACATCGAGGTGAGTTGAAGGGACGGCCCCCCGCCCAGCGGCGCTGGGGAACATGCTGTTCTGAGGCCTAAATAGGGGATTGAAGGCTGATGAGAACACACGCCTCTAGGTCGACGACGACTGGCAGAACAACGAAGGCTGCATGAATTTCAGAAGAGGGGTAAGTAGGAAACAGCTGAGCCGACTTTCCGAGCTCTACCGCGTTCCTGGAGGTTGCGCGGAGGAAATGCTTTTTGACCTAACGTCCTCGCCCTTTTATGTTCTTTATACTGACGTTTGGCCAGGGCGGGTGTCTACTTCGAGCGTAAGCAATGGGTTTGCAGTTTGCAAATCGGTGCACACCCACCTCTAGCCCCCAGCGACCAGCCACCAGCTTCGAGCGGCGGGTGAAGCAGGCGGAGCCGCTCGGTGTATACATTCAATCACCGCCGAATTGCCACCAGGCAGTCCAGTGCAACAAAACTCCCAGATCGAATATTGTAATAACCACGCAAGACTTTCCACCACAATCTTCGCATATCACCCCCCCCCCCCCCCTTTTCTTGACCTGGTCTGATGTCCTCTCTTCACCTCCGGCCCAATAAACGGATTACGGATTACCCCCTTATCTCGATCCCACTCAATAACACCACCACCTTCCCACGTCCATCTCAGCCTCGTCCGCCACCTTCTTCTCTCCTCCCTGCCCCTGCCTCTGCGACTTCCCCTCCTTCGCTTCCGCCTCCCACCGTCCACACTCCACCAACGGCACCAAAATGACCTCCTCCAAACCTCGCCCATTCTCTTCTTCCAGTCTTCCTTCTCCTTCTCCCTCCGCTTCCCCCTCCATGTCTCCGCCCATCTTCTTCTTCTCATGAATGTCAACCTCCCCACTAACCTCCCCCCAACTCCTCCCCAACGGATTCCGCCCATGCTCTGCCAGCAGGCGCTCCAGTGCCGCGCGCTCTGCGTCTGGGCCCTGGATCAGGCGCATGATTAGGTGGGCGTCGAGGGGGGTGGTGCTGCCTGATGGCGAGGCTGGGGCTGGGGCTGGGGCTGAGCCTGGTAGTGATACTGGGGACGCGGGTGGGGGTGGGGGCCGTTCACCTGCAGGTGGGGGAAGCAGTGTTAGTCTGATGGCTGTTGGCTGATGGTGATTGCGCACTCTTGCAAGGGTGCCTCTTGCCCCGGTGGAAAGGGGAGTGGGGTGGGGGAGGGGAGGGCGAAGTGCGCAGAGGACGAAATGATGAGGAGGAGGGAGGAAAAGAAGACACACACACACCGGTCAACATACTACCCGCCGTTGAGGCCGAGAGGCGGCTATCCGCTGCAGGCTCGATGGAACGGACATCGTTGTTGTGGAGGGATCCCGCGCCGTCGTGGTGGTAGTGGTAGCTGATGACGGGTGCGGCGAGACAATGAGGGAGAAGCAAGAGGATGTGGGCGATGCAGTTGAGGATTTCAGGGACGAGAGACATTTTTTGGGTGGGGGAATGGATGAGGGACGGGTCTATGGGTTCTGGTTTCGTAAGGTGGTGGTGATGGCGGGTGATGCTTCTGCGTGCTGGTTGCGTCTTTGTCATGCAACAAGTGCTGTGGTGTGGTACGAGGAGTTGGGTGGGGATCGTGTCAATGAGCGCTGTGTGCGAGAGGGATATTCGTGAGGGTCTTTGTGAGATGAGGTTTTGCAGTTGAGTAAGAGAAGGGAAAGGCCAAGGCCTACTATTTAACATGATGCTGTTTTTGTACCTTTTCGCTGGCGCCTACGGCTCAAGTGCAGATGTTGGGTTTGGGTGGGGAAAGGAAAAGCTACCACACCAGACCAGATATTCGGGACGGGAGCGGATGTGTTGACGAATGGAGTGGATGGTGCTGCCTGGAGCTGGAGAGGGTGTGTTTACAGTGAAGAGCTGTTTATCGCTGTGTTGGTTCTACTTTTGGGGACGGCTTCCCACCTCATCAAACCAATGCCAACAGCCACTGCGCCACCTCCCTCGCATGGCTCACCTGCGCGAAATGCCCTGACCTCAGCGTCTGCTCCGTGACCTCGGCGCCGGCCTCGCGCGCCCGTCCGATCAGATACCGCTGAAACGCCTCGGGCTGGCCCAGATCCAGCTCTGCGAGGATCAGGTACGAGATGCGCCAGGACTTGGGCAACTCGGGTTCGTCGGCGGGCGTGGGTGAGAAGACGGTGCTCAGGGCAGCGGGACGTAGCGACGTGCGCATGGCTGAGTCGGTGATGTCGTTCATCCAGATAATCTCGAAGCCGGTGGGAATAAGGTATGCATCCTGTTTTTGAGCGGGGTATCTGTTAGTTAATGGGCCCTGCTGAGGGTGGGATGGAGAAGATCAGAAGACAGCGGAGGACGCTTACATTGCCAACCATCTCAATCTTCGCCCCCTCGTCAGCGGGCAGGCTGTTGGCTTTCAGCCACTCTGCCCTCTCCCCACCGATGGTTCCGCCAGGCAGCGTCAGGGAGCTCGCGATCAGGGCGGCGCGTATGACACCCCCTCGCTTTCCCGACGTGGCGCGCTGGTGCTTCCATAAGCCGGTCGCGGCGTACAGCGAAGGGGTGGCACCGTAGGAGTGGGCGACGAGCAGAACATCACGGTGCTCGTTCTCGACTAGGTTCTCCAGCACGCCGCGCAGCTGCTCGGTGTCCTTCTGCAGGGCGTTGCCGTCGAGTTGTGGCGGGTTTGAAAGGTTTTCTACCACGGAGATGTGGTTGATGGTATGGAGTTGGTCGGCTGGGAAGCCGAGGTCAACTAGGGTATCGCAGAGCGGTTTGTAGACGACGGTGCCCACGCTGGCCATGCCAGGAACAAAGACTATCGCGGGCTTGGAGTTTTCTGCGGCCATTGTGATTTCTGGTGTGCTGTAAAAGTGTACTGAAGTTGTAGCTGATGTTCTGAGTCTAGGGCGTGGTTCCAAGTCTTCGAAAGGCGTCAAGAAGCTTCAGGTGTCCTATTTAGATGCGGCGTTGCGAGACAACATGCAGGTAACGCTACGTGCATAACGCAGTTCCTGCATACGTATGGATGATGAGATGGGGAACGAAATATGAGCCGTGGCTTACTGTTATGCCACGATGCTCCAGCTCATATGCTGACCGAAGGTAAAAGTCCTGGTGGCGGGCCTAATGGCCGTTTCAGGTTGGTGCAGCATTATGGCCGTGAGGCTTGGAGAGGGTTGTGTGGAGGACGGAGTTCGTCGAAGCTGTTCTCATGTCTAGAGTCATCTTTCGATGCTCTGATGGATCGAGGTCAGCATGCTCGCAGGGCAAGAAGCAAGAGGTGCAAAGTCCAAGCCATGTCTCGGCCACTATCATATGCTATTCTATCCTCGCGCCGGCCTCACCTTTTACCTGCTTATCGACCATCAGCACCCCGCTATCGCGCTGAAATCAATAGATCGCCAAATACACTGTATCGCTGAATCAAGCTCTGTGGCTCAATCGTATCTGTGAGTTGCCTTGACGCCCAGCAGCTCCTCCGCATTCCCGTGTGCCACCAACTCCAGAGCATCCTCACTGAGCAGCCCACTATCCACAAGCTCACCCCACCACGTGAGCCCGTCCTCGTTCTTCGCAAAGGGGTAGTCAACCGAGTACAGGATCCTCCTTACACTGGTATTCCTAAGCAGACATGCCATGGGCGCTAACCCCCACACGCCGCTGGTCGTCACCCACACGTTCTCGCGCCACACTTGACGGAAATCTCGTGTGTAAGTGCCCCAACGCTTGCTGAGAGCGCCCACACGCTCGACCATGAATGGCAGCGTCTCGCCGAAGTGGCCGAGTATGATCTTGAGCTTAGGGAAGCGATCGAAGACGCCTGCGGCGAAGAGGCGCAGGAAGTGCGTCGCCACGTCCGCATGCCAGCCGAAGCCGCTGGAGGACATGCTCGTCGTGGCCGCCTGCGGGATGGTCTCGCCGGCGTACAGCAGCTGGATCTGCTCGTCGGTCGCCCACGTGGGGTGGATGTAGATGGGCACGTCTAATTGCTGAGCCGCTTCCCATAGTACGTCGTAGGCCGGGCCGTCGAAATAGGCGCCTTCCGGGGTGTGCGAGTCGACCAGTGTCCCTCTGAAGCCTAACTCTGTCACGCATCTCCGTAGCTCCGCTGCCGCTGCCGCCGGGACCGACACGTCCAGGGCCGCGAAGCCTGCGAAGCGCTCCGGGTGCTTCTCGATCGCGTGGGCGAGCTGGTCGTTGGCTGCCCGGCATTGTGCAACTGTTTTGGCACCGGGACAATGCGAGATGACCTGGAAAGAGACATGTCCGGCGTCCATGTGGTGTATGCGGATGTTGTCGAGGTCGGTGAGCTTCTCGGAAAGGCCTGGGATGTGCTTCAGCTGTTCGGTGTACTTGTCGTCGCCTGAAGGATCGTCGGTAAAGGTGGCGGCGAGGAAGTGCTCTTCGAGAGTGATGAGTGGCGAGGTCATGGTGGACAGGAAGGAGATGGTGTCAAGGTTGTACAGCCGGGTAGAGTATACGTGGTGATGTTGTCGAGACGGAGGAATTGAAGTCTCCGCGATGAGAGAAACCACCGACCTTTCCCATCATGTAAATGGCGATTGGACACTCTGCACTCTTGCCTCACCCGAGGTAAACACCGACCGCGGAGCTGGATGATGTTTTGATATCCGCAACTGAGGGACTATGTGTGGTCGTGCAGGACCCTGTTGTGTATGGTTTCAAGGGCTGCACGTCACCCCGCATGATAGCGTCCAATAATGCCGCGCACGTAAGGGTTGCTACTGCAATAGGAAGTAAAAGGATTCCGCGCTTGCGGGCAGCCATCGCGGGGGGAACAGACTTGCTGACATCGTGACAGATCTGTGTCTAGTTACTAGTATGAGACCACTGCTACTGATACCTCCAGCGCAGTCACTCCCCACCAGATCAGTGCTCCAAGCCATCCGAGACCGCCTTCGGCGCCTGGACTTATGGTTCTTACTTTTTGCCGAAGTAGTTACCCAGTGTATTCTTCTGCGGACTCTTTTCAATAGTCTTCACTTTCTTTTTAGGCGGGCTTTCCCCTTCCTTCTTCTCTGGCTTCTCGCCCACTTTCAGCAACGCCATAAGCTCCTCGAATGCTTCGGTTGGCACGATTCCGCCACTGGCTTCCTTGTGACCCCGCGCAAAGCTCTCACCCATTCTGTCTCTGAGGCCGTCCATCGAGAGATCAGCAGCTGCTTTCAAGCTTTCTATAATGTTGACAGGCGGGTCGCGGCTGCGCGCACATCGTGCTATCCGGCATGAGAAGTTAACCATACCGTCGAGATAGCCGTAGTTGGCGCAGACAACGATCTCGAGTGCTTTACTGTTCAGGTACCCGGCCCATCTGGTCGCAATGACTGGGTGCACCTGGGCCTTGGAGTTGATGCGTAGTACGGCGATACGTCCATCTTGACTGAACTTCGGTGGCGTGTGTGTATTCATTTCCACTTCTTCGTTGATCTCGAAGCGGGCAGACTGTAGTCGAGCATTCTTTAAGAGGTCTTTAGGGTCGCTGGATTCGAGGAGAGCGCTCCAAGCCGTGATGACATCGTATTTGGCGGTGCGGCGAGGAGCATTTAGTAGGGACACCGCGTCGTTAACGGACTTCTTGGTGTAGGTCTTGAAGGTCTCAGTCATGTCCGGGAAAGGAGGTGACCATTTGAGCGTATTGCCAAGGTCACCGTGCGTGCCGATGCAGGCCAGATAGGCACAGGAGGTGCTGACGTCTGGATGAAGAGTCTTACAGAGCTCATAAGTGAGCAATGATGTTGTTGATACGGGTGGGTAGTGACAGGCCGAGACGACCTGAGCGCCTTCTGGGAACTCGTCGCTGAGGTGGTGATCAATGATGAGCGACTTGGTCTCCGCTCTGTCCACAACCGCAGGTCCTCCTCGCGAGCCTTGATCGAGAACAACCACGAAAGACGGCTCCTTCTGAGCCATAGCCTGCCTCTCGTCTTCATGGTGGATATTGCGGCCTTTCTGAACGAGGTGAACGTCGATCTTGGCCTCGTCTAAGCCCAGGCTGCGAAGCGTCCGGTGGAGGACAACTCCGGACGAGAGACCATCAGCATCTTTGTCCGGCACGAGTAGCACCTTTTTCCCACTGGTAGCACTACAGGGGTTAGCTGAGTAGCAGGCCAGAAAATTGCAGACGCACCACAGCCTTATGAAATCTCTGGCTTCCTGCATCGCCTTTGCTGGCGCTGGCCAGATGATGTGGCCATCTTGGTCGCACTCCGGCTCGACATCGCAGTAGTCGGGAACCTTTGGCCGCGGCTTCTTGGTGCCTGCTTTGCTCATGCCTTTACTCTCGGTGGCGTACCATTTCCCCTTCCCAGACTCAGCGAGCTTAGGGGTTGCTGTAAGGTACACGGGTGGTTTCGGGAGCAATGTGGATTTGAAGTAGCAAGCGACAGGCGAGAAAACGGCACCCGCTCGTCGAACGAATGACATGCAGGAGGTATATACAAAGGAAACGAGGTGCCTCATGTCGTCGGCTTTGCATGTCGTCATCATCGATGAATGATCCCTGGTCGCGTATCTCGTATCCCCACACTACGCTTCACGAACACTGTACTTCATGCTCTTGACGGCCTCCGCTTCGCCGGAAGCTCTTGTCTGTTGTGGAATCTTTGCCCGACATGAATCAAACATGGTACAGTGTTTTCGTGATAGTTGGTATTGAGTACCTCTGAACTCCAGTCCTCATCCTCGACCAGCTTGGGCTCCTCACTCATCCCCGAGAATGAAGCTCCCCGAATGCTCGCACTCATCTAGCATCCTCCTGCTCTTCACAAGTCTCGTCCAGCCATCTGCCACCCGCTATTATGCCGCCCTGAGCGACTCATACGCGGCAGGTGACGGTGCCGGGAGTCCTCGCCTACCACCGCACCGCGAATTTGGCTGTGGCCGATTCGACGGTGCCTACCCCGTGCTGCTCGCCAACAATTTCTCCCTGTTGATCCCTCCCTCGGGCTTCACCAATGTCGCGTGCGGTGGCGCTTCCAGCACCAGCGTGCGCACGACCCAGGTACCATACATTGGGGACGCCGACTTCGTGACGGTGACGGTGGGCGGTAACGAAATCGACTTCTTCGTGGTTCTGAATGCTTGCGTGCATCAGTGGTTTCCGGGTGGTGACTGCGACGCTGAAATCGTGCGGGCCAGGGAGGCTGTCCAAGCGGGCACTCTTCTGAGGAGGTATGGCGAAATGATTGCGGCGGCAAAGAAAACCATGAAAGACGATGCTAGGCTCCTCGTCACTGGGTACGCGCGATTCTTCAACTCCCAGACGACACAGTGTGATCATGTGAGTTTCAGTAGGCGCGACCCAGACCGAGTTTTGAGCCGGGAGATGCGAGTACAGTTCAACGCGATTGTGGGAATGCTGAACGACGTTATCGAAGCAAGCGCAGAAGCTCACGGCGCAAGTTACGTCGACATCGATCAAGTCTTCGATGGACACAGATTCTGTGAGGAGGGAGTTGTGGAACCGTCAAGCACAAACCAGACGTGGTTCTTCAATCTCGAATACCCGCAGCCACGCACCGCACCGAGCGCTGGTCAGCACGTTCTACCGGGGCCCATTAAGGACTACCTCGATATGACTCGCGCCTTCCATCCTAATGCTCTTGGACACAAGGCAATTGCCGAGAAAATCGCTCAATTAATTCTCAACCGATGAACTCCAATCACTTCCAGCTTATTTGCCATGCGTTCCCAATGACACCACAAATGCAACGACGAGCGCCGTTCAGATACCGGAAATTCTCCAATGCTCTCTCCAGAAATGGACCAAATGCATATTCAAGTCTCATCCTCCTCATCAGGTCGAGGAGGCCGCTTCATGAATGGGATCAATGCTCCCGCAATGATCGCGGCGGCACCAATACTCCACCAACCTGCCGCTGATCCGACAGACCCATAGATGAAGCCGACCAGCGGAGGTGCGATGGTTCTCGCTCCCGAGCAAGCGGCCATTGCAAGCCCGTTAACTTGGCCCAACATGGCCATCGTTGGGGTTGCATCCTTCAGGAGGATAAGCAAACATGGATAGATGATGATCAGCAGAAAGTTCTGGAGGATTAGGTTGGCATAAATGCCGATCGGGGCCTGCGCGTGTGGTATCATGGTCAAGAATGGCGGGAAAACGTATGCCAACGGTGCCAGAACGGTCAGCAGGACGAATGTTTTCCACACGCCCAGCCATTCGACGACGGGCGCAAACAGGACGCCTTGGACGAAAATCGCCACGATGCCGTTGATTGACATGAAAGCACCGACATCGCGCAGCGTGTAGCCGAGCCCGCCGTGCAGATCTAATGCCGTATCGGAGATTCCGGGCGACGGCTCATCCAGGAGGAAGATGGGCATCAGCGAACCAAATGCCATGGAGTGGTACGACATGAGGATGAGCTGAAGGATGAAGAGAATCATCCATCGGTTATAGCCTTGCGCGGGTGGCGCATCGTCCAGGAACGAGTCCTCGAGTGCGCTACCGCGTATATCGTGAGCGGAAAGTCTCGGTTTGACCGAGGATGCGGTCGTCAAGTTTGACAACCGTCGCAGGTCGACGGTCGTGCCTGTCGTTACGGGTTGAATGCTGGCCATTGATCGTCTTCGAGCTACCGTCTTCTGCTCTTCTCCCTCTGTTGGTGGTGCAGATTCTGGCTCTCGGATAAGTGGTGTTCGTTCGTCGGCCGAGCCATGCGAAGTCTTGGTCGACGCCATGGCGTAGATATTGGTCTCTTTGAGCCATATTATACCGACTACAATCGCAATCACAATATAGGCAGCAGCGACCAAGTTCGGCAGCAGATATGGGTATTCGTCGAAGATTGTGTCCTTGAACGCTCCCCAGGTGTCGGCTGGTCGAGCCAGAAGCCCGCCCATCGAAGAGCCGATGATGGAGCCAAAGAACCACATGAAAGGGATCATGCTGTAGGCCCGGGCTGTGCATTGTCAGTGTATGGGTGTTGGAAGAGGCCAAGCAACTTACGCTCATGCTTGGGATTCTTCACCATCTCGGCCACCATGGTTTGCATGACGGCGACATTACCGTTGAGCAAACCTCCGACCACTCTAGCGGCCAGCGCCACCCAGTAGTTGGTAGCCACGCCGAAGATCAAACTCGACAAGGCGACACCTGCTAATCCTGAGAGAACGATGGGTTTTCGACCATATTTGTCGGAAATGGTGCCCCACAGCATTGCAGTACTGGCCTCGGCAAGGGCGAATCCGGATACCAGCAACCCGGCATAAAAGGCGGCATTCTCTTCGGTGTGTCGCACATCCTGGACGTACAGATAGTTGTAGGCCGTAATGGACGTGAACGCTATGGGCTCAGCTAGTCGACATAACGCTATGACAGGTGAGCGGGAGTTTGAGGGAGAAATTTATAGGCACGTACCAAGGACAGCGAGTTGCTGCCAAGGGAACTTGTCTTCTTCCACCGCCGTCGACGTCGACGTCGAGCTCTCCGCCGGCTCCGACATGGTCTTGTGAACCCTCACAGCGATACCCAGTGCTTGTATACCGCCTTTCTCCCCACGATTCTCCGGTCCAGGTTGCTTCCGGCCTGAAGATGGCTCCTGCACGCGAGGCCGAATACGACGAAATATAATCGTGCCCTTGTATGTGTATTCAAAAGATTGTTTTTTAAAAAAAAAAATTGTGCTTCAAGCAAACAAAAGCAACAATAACAATAATGATCATCGCTCTCAAGGCTTCAAAGACTCATCAACCCACGCCCCCCCCGAAGCGGGGTCAACGGGTCACCCAAAAAAAGTCTTGACCCATTTTGCAGGGGACGGGACCTCATCATGATGGATACGGATCATTTGGGCCGAGCGAGTTGGCCCGTAGTGGCAGCGCAGCACAGCACTGCACTGCAGTATGCATTGCCCCACCTTTGGAACACCACTTCCGCTCAAAGTTGTGCGTTGCGGTGTGTGTCTTTTTTGCCATTTGGACTTGGACGGAGCACGGGGACTGGGAGCAGGCGGTGTCTTGGAGGTGCTTGGGTGCTTGGGTGCTTGGGTGAGCGCGAATCAGGCTAATTGTTTGGCTCTTTGAGTGGAGGGCGATGTTTCGCCGGGTACTGAGTTACGGACTACGCGGGGGCGCGTCGTTAGCTCTGAGATGGATGATCTCGTGCTTGTGCGGCATGGCGTGCAGTAGTACTGTGCATATGCAGTGTACGCCGCGGAGCTAAAGGAGATGGAGTTCCCGCCTGTTTTTCTGTGGGCGTGTGTGGGTGCCGATGTTGAGCCGGCTGCTCTGACTGCTGGTGGGGGATGGTGGCGTTCACCGTTGCGGAGGTTGAATGCGAACGTTGGATTTGGCCGCTGGGGATTCGTTGTTTGCACGTTTCGCGTTGCGGCTTCAGTCTTGAGGATATATCTGCGAAGCTGGCTGTTGTTGAACAGCTTCGTCAGTAACTAGAGATTGGCTTGTTGGCCGAAGCAAGGTGGAGCATCTTCTGCATTTGACTCTGGTAGAGTAGAAATCCCAGCTCATGATATTCGGATAGGTGCCTACGGTAGATTTGGTCGCGGGCAGTTCTTACTCTTCGCGCCCAAGCACTCTCAGTGGCCCTCGTTTGAGGCTGACCTCTGATTCCATATCCCCTCATGTTTCTGCCTGGGTGAGCTTAAGCTGTCGCCGCGAATCTGCCTTGAAAGTAGTCCTAGCAGGAGATGCGTAGCTTCGGCAGTCAACCGGCTCTAACCTTCCTTGCCACTGACGATGTGGCATCGGAAGGGATCTCGAGGATCAGTTGTGCGGCCCTTCGAGAGATATTCAATGATAAACAGCGCAATCTCGCCATTATTCTCCAGCAAGTTTCTCCATTCGGCGAACTTCAAGAGGTCCTCCGACAGATCCTCAATGTAAGCACATACCAACCCCCGAAGCGAGGTGGTAGCGGGCAATATTCCATCGCCATCATCGTTATGATTGATCGTGTTCTTGAAGGTGTACTCGACAGGCTAAACAATTGCTGGTTGGCTCAAAGGCGCAGTGGTCTCGGTGCTATTCATACAACGCTACGGCTTCCAAATCAGATACCGACCACTTGTCTGCAAATACGGCGACTTTCGCGTGCTCGACCACGTCCTCAGAGATTGAGTCGTTGGCTGGCGTGCCATGTCGCATGGAAGCGTGGAACTGTGGCATGTCCCTCGCAACGAACTTCAGCTCAAGGAACTGGTTGGACAATTCTGAGTCTATCTTCGGTGACAGCATTATTCAAAATAGTGTCTCAGGCTGTGACTACTCACAATGAGGCCAGCCAAAGAAGCAAGTCTTGCGCTTCTTTTGCAGATTAGTGCCAGTAGTACACATACTGCGCACATCCGGCTTATGCGCTTCACGCATTTCCAGAGATGTACCGCACTTGCAACAACAATGCTTTCTCGTTCGGGCAGAACTTACATCAACGGCTTTGCAATCCGCAGAGCAGAATGGAAAAGTGTCGTTGAACGCCTCGCTTGTCGTGTGCGGTGCCCGACAAAAACAGCACGAGAAACGTGTGAGACCATGAAAGGGCCGGTCATATTCGGACAGAGCATCATCTGCGTCCAGCTGCATCTTTGATCCGGTAAGAAAATATGCACCGGTGTACATGAACTGCGCAAAGCAGATGAATGTCGAGGCCTCTTCCTCAGGTAGCTTAGCTCTCCGTTCATTGCCTTCTTTCATGGACAGTGTCATCAGCTTATGGATACCTGGTGCTGCGTTCTCGCTGATACAACCTGGATGGATGCAAATCTCGTGCTGGCTGGGGCCGATGATGAAGGTGAATGGCGGGTCGAGCAGGAACCTATAGTCGCTGGTAATACTACGGTTGGCCGGAGTTGCCGCTGGATCTGCAAGAGCTGCCATTGATAGGTTGCCGTGTAAAGGACAACTGAGGGGGTCGTTGGATCTTGAGGCGCGGCACTAGGGTAGAAACTAAGAACGGTATCGTTGATATTCGTCAAAACGGGATTGTGGTGGCTTTGATATCGCTTGAAGATCACCGAAGATGAAGGCGCGGCGTGGATATCGAAGGCAAGAGCGGTGTCTTTGGTCTCCGTCGAAGTGGAGGTAAGATTACTGTGAGGTTGCTTCTCGATGCCAAGACCCCTTTTTCACGCAGCCTCGAGGCGACATCACCTGCCTGCAGTCTGCTCCGTTCTTATGGTTCCCAACAGCTTCCACGCTCAGAAGCTGTTTCAAGCTCGGAGATTGTCGTCGGACTTAGCGCTTGATTTACTCACAATGGCGGCTCCCTCTTCGCAAGCTGGCTCAACGGTAGAGAAGTGAGCCCCAAGAAGACACCTTCGCGGAGAAAGCGTGCTGACTCGCATCCACAGCGAATGGCTTTTTGAGAAGCGTTTTACTTTCATCATCGGCCCGGGTGAGAAGAAAGCGTACCTTCGTCCTAAAGTCATCACACAGGAGTTTTCCAGGCCTCTCCATACTCTCATAAAAGGACCTTTCAAGGAGGCTGAGGCAGGTGAGGCGACGCTCCCCGATTGCGATGTGAGCACTTTTACATACTTCGCTTCGTACCTGTTCACCCGCACGTACAGTCTTCCGGTGAGTCAACCGGTGGTCCATCGTCAGGGCGGTCAGCAGCGCAGCTACCTCCCTGCATATAATTGACCGTCAGTGGTCAGCCTGGTGGAATCGAATTCTGACTCCTTCTCCAGAACAAGTCACAGACCCACCAACTGGCTCCCGAACACGCGAAACACGCGATACTTCGCTTGGGGTTGGTTAGGTTCCACTGTCGCTGGTGTAAGGCAGAGGTCCAGATCTTCGAAGATCCTGAGATTGTCAAGGCTGCTGAGATCTTGGAAGATCTTGAGATCGTCGAGGCTGCTGAGATCTTTGAAGTTCCTGAGATATCCGAAGATGCGGACGACCTCTTCCCTTTCTGCAGCACAGGCTGTTCAGCCCTGGGGAGATACAGCCATCATGTTGGCTACTGCACCGGCTGTGGCTTGTTTTCATCGACACGTGCATTACCATATTCGGATGGAGTGTCAACCATGTGCGGTAAATGCACAGCATCGTTGCAGAAGGTATCGACAGTCAACTTCAAGCTTTCCACATCATACCTCGTTGACTTACCGATGAAGTGGTCATTACCGCAGCCAGGTCATCTACTACACGAGTACGAGGCGTCAGACGACCTCGTGGAGCACGCAAAATTAGCTGTTTTTGCCGACAAATGGGACGTTCAAGGCCTAGAGAAGCTCGCGATACAGAACCTCTACAAAGATCTTGCGACATATGCACCCACATCAGAGAACATCAGCCAGCTTCTCGATCTGATCGCATACACCTGGGAGAACACTCGTGATGACACTGGAAACGATGATGAGCGTTCTGCACGCGTTCTTACGCTCAGAGGCCTGATAGTTGCTTATGTCGAAGACACGGCGGCTGAGCTGAGCAAGATCGCAGGCTTCGCGGACTTCCTAAGAGAGCATGGCGAGTTCGCTCAGCCAGTATTCATGAGACTTGTTGCCAAACGCCCAAGACGAGATAGGCATAGTTGACTTGGGCATTAAAGCCACAGAGAGCGCGCTCGGGTCTGTGGCTGCCAAAACGGAGACAGGGGTGCAAGGTGGATGTCAAGGACGGGCGAAAGCACCGAGCCTAGTGCTGCGATCCGTGCACAACTCACAACGACTAGGCAGAATAGCTCCGAGTTCGTCGATAGTGGGAAGGGAGGAATGGGCGACCTTGATTCATTGCGTAAAGCGGTGAGACACCTTGTGGTTGCCCATGCCAGACTGCTGCTCATCCACGGCGGGGTTAGCGAGATGCTGCTTTCTGCGGATAGAGCCTTCCATATGAACCTGTTGTCAGCAATGGCAGAGAGACTCCCTTGATTGTAAGGAGAATTCTTGGGGAGAATACAAATCTACGGTGGCCCATTAGAGCGAGATACGTCGCAACGTCATGAAGTGCAACTGTGGAGCAACGCGTTCTCAAGCGCGTTCTGCCTTCTGCATGGCCCGCTGGCTCCCTCACAACACTTCACCTTGTGCACCCAAGCATTCATACATCTAGTGAACATTTTGAGCACTCTGAAAAGCGAAAACCTCGAGATTGTCGCCTCTCTTTCGATCGGCAACAGGTACTGCCCGTAGTATCCACAAGCCATGCCACAACGCATCACCAAACACGACCCGGCCATCGAAGAATAGTACAGCAGCAGCAGCATGTACCTCCCTCGCTCATTGATCTCCCACCTGTACACTCAGCTAGTCAGAACATATCACCCGCTATCTTCACCTGTGCTCATACTCTCCTCGCTTGATCCCGACGCAATATGCGCGTGTCGCATCTTTGCCGCGCTGCTCAAGCGCGACTACATTCCCCACAAGATACAGCCAGTCGCCGGATATGACGACCTTGCTAAGGCCGGCGAGACGCTGGTCCGACCCATGAAGACTACGGAGGGAGGCAGTGGTGGTGTTGTTGTATGTCTCGGTGTCGGTGGGCTGATCGACCTGTCCAACATGCTCGGACTCGACAGCGAAGACCCGTCCGAGTCGATGGGCGGAGTTGAGGTTTGGCTTTTCGACGCCAGAAGACCGTGGAATCTGCATAATGTCTTTGGAGGACAGCCGCCTATGCAGGTACTGCAAGAGACGGACGCGAACTCAAGACGAAGGACAGCTGGTGTTGACAAGGGTTGTCTACAACGATCATACAAACCTGGAAAGGGCGGTATTATCGTCTTTGATGACGGCGATATCGCCGACGAGCTCAATGCTGAACGAGACGCCTACTCTGCTCTGGCCGAGATGCCTGATATTGATGAGGACGTCGAGGACGATGACGATGAAGAAGATGAGGAAAATGAAGAGCGGCAAGACGAAACGAATAGCTCAAAGAAACGAAAATCTTGGTCAGACCGCGACGAAGAGGACATGAGCGAAGATGACGGAGAGCGACCACGACAGCGGCGAAGAAGCAATTCTGGATCTTCGATTGCTTCACCAAACAGGACACCGCCATCATCACAGCCCTCCTCCCCGCCTGTTGTCCCGAAGCAACCCACGGCTAGGCAGCTACGAAAACGGCTAATCAATCTTAAACGATCTCATGAAGCTGTACTGGACAAGTACTACTCCATAGGAAATTCCTACTCTGAGCCCATCTCGTCACTGGCCTATTCGCTCGCTTCTGAGCTTGGTCGAGAGGACAACGACATGCTATGGCTGGCGATTGTCGGTGTCACTTCATTGGAACTTTCCGGCTGCACGTCCACGGGCTTGGGTACATCACGGCCCAAAGCTAACCACCTGCCCAGCGACTACCACAAGTCCTGGAAAGCCACTCGCTCCTCTCGTACATATGCACTCCTACGAGATGAGGTACGACGTCTCAATCCGCCGCCGCTAGGCGACACACATAACTTGGGATTCAGCAGCGCACCATCATCTCCCTCCGACCACTCGATACGACTGAGTCCAGACCCTCGCTTTCTCCTTCTCCGCCATTGGTCATTATACGACAGCATGCTGCATTCGCCATACCTTGCGGCCCGCCTCCACATATGGAAGGACGATGGAGTGAAGCGTCTTCATAAACTTCTTGCCAAGATGGGCGTGTCCCTCTCGCAGTCCAAACAAACATACACACACATGGACATGGACTTAAAGAAGGTGCTGCGCGAACGCCTGCTGCAATATGCCGGTGCCTACGGCCTCGATGAGATTGTCCCTTCAGGCAGTGGTCTGGCAACCTATGACCAGGAGGGCTGGGGCTTCATTCGCTCATGGGGTTGGAAAGCTCAGCTCAGTGCAACCGACGTTGGTGTCGTATTGGCTGCAATACTCGATCTTGGCACGGGACCCAATGCTCACTTCAGATCTATTGCGACCAACCCCATGTCCGGCTCCTCTCAGATGTCAAGCAAGACCGAGGATGTTGCCGACCGCTCTGAAGTGCTTGTGCCCCGATTCTTCGCAGCTTACGACGCTCTGGCCCCCAACCACCCAACACAACTTCTGGCCGCGATTCCCACCGCACAGCATTTACTACGTGCCATACAAAGCACAGGTTCCAGCCTTTTGCACAAGCGTCAGCTTCGGCATTTACGCGCTTTTCGCATGAGTGTCCTCAAAGAGGGGCCAGATTTGGCATTGTTCGCCAATAGCCCAGGCGCTCTGACGAAACTGGCTTTGTGGCTCAGTGAGTCCATTGAAGTTAGTGAGCGCGATCGCAAGGGCATCGACGAGGCCACGCCTTTCGTGCTAGCCGCCTTGGACGAACGAAGGGGCACGTATCTCATTGTCGGCACTGGTGGTGGCATCGGCTCGGCAGCAGATAGCGAAGCCAAAAAGGAAAAGGCAGCCGCCAAGGAGAAGAAAAAGGCCGAAAAAGCAGAGGCTCGTAAAAAGAAGCAGGAAGAGCGTGAGAAGCGGAGGGAGATCAGACGTGCGGCGCTGGGAGAGGATGAGGAAGATGACGACACGGAGAGCGAGAGCGAGGCGGAATCATCCGAAGACGAGAGTGATGATGAAGTTGAGGATGAAATAACCAAGAAGCGTGGCTACGGCCACAACAGGTTCGGAATTGCGTTCCAGGAGGTCGTGGAGGAGACGAAGGCGAGAGTCAAGATCGACAGCTTTGACCACTGCGTTGTGGAGGTGCAGAAGGAAGACTTGACCGGCTTCCTCGAAGGCCTGAGTCTCAAGAGCGTTGTTGGCCGGTGATGGGAACAAAAAGTGGCAGGCGATATTGTTGCAATCTCTGCCTCGTGGCAAGCATATCGTGTGGTGAAGTGTCCATGATCAGTCAAGCATAGCACGGCGTTAGAGGAGCTGTTCATTCAAAGACATGTCAATATTGTTGCAGAAGTCGTCACACAGATAGGTGTTGCGGTGATGCGCAGTGACACTAGTGGTGCCAGCAATACATATTGGGAATGTTGAAGTTGATTCGACAAATCTGGATGCCTCGAATCATGTAAATGCCTTTCCGTCGAGATCGAGGTCTGAGCGAGAGAGCTCACGACAACAGCAGGATGTTCAGCCTCGTCTGCTCATCCTGCCTCACCTGCCGCCGCCTGTCCACTGTGAAACTTAGCGATAGCACACAAGGAGAACGGGTTGAGGCGAGGGGAGGCGAGTCGAGGCGGTTCCCCGGTCGGACGCCTGATGCCAAGAAACGTCCAACAATTTGCTGTAAATCGGGCGGGAAATAGCCTAGACTGCTTCCTTCGCGAGACACGCGTTAAAAAGCTCTGAAGGATTCCGAGTCGCAAGACTGCGTACCCCTGTCCCGCAAGCTCGAAGAAGATCAAACTATGAAGCAAACCGTTGGGCCACGACGTTGGCCAGGCTGACTAGGGACAGCCTCGTCTCCAACTCGGTGTCGAATATCGCTCTCCTTTACAGCTTCGAAGACAGCCTAAGCACTGCTCCGTTGTCCATCCTTTTGCTCGACATGCTTTTCCGGGCCTGGAAAAGGTTGCAGAACCCCAAATGAGTGCGGAACATCCCACTTTTCTCCTCACCCCTACCATGGCGCTGGTGGCGGCTTTAGCGTTCCCCTGAAACACAGCTAGCTGCGAGCCTTGCCCGTCCCGCACGTCTATCAAACAGCCTCGACCAACGCGAACGGGGTGTCAAATCTGTCTATCAACCACCTCCTGCATCTCGCTTAACATCAAGGAGCCAGTCTCTTGTGCTGTGGGACTCTGGCACGTGTTTCCGCCCCATCGCGTACCTGACCCTACCCGAAAGAGGGCCACTATCTGGCATGTCTCGAGCAGACTGGTGGGAATTCAACATGATGTGGACCCTGGTCGAACTGTACACCTAGCGCAATGGCCACGGCAGTGAATTTTGATGCCCCGACCGGTAGGTCGATGTTGAGCCATTGCTAAAATAAATCGGCGGCTCGAGGGCTCGTCGTGCCATCCCAGCATTCCCTTTGTGGTTGGAGCCCACATCTATACAGCAAGACCTCCTCTCAGGTGGCGATGTTACCTTCTGATGACTCTACTGGACGTATAGCATCAAGCTCAGTGCGATCGCCATGAGGTTCCTTTTACTCGGCCCTCTATTATTCGCCGGGCTGTGTTATTGTGCGGATCAGGATGTGCTCACGATCCTGAACCAGCAGGCCGGCATTTCCACCTTCATCAGTCACCTCGAAAGCTATCCTGACCTAATCGACACCCTCAATAATGGCACCTTCACAGGTACATGTCGCCACTGCCAGCCGTGACCCACACTGACAAGCTATAGTTCTCGCTCCAAGCAATGATGCCTTCTCAGCGTTTGCGACAGCAAACCCCGAACATGCCAACGACACCAGCTACATGGAAGCCCTGATACAGTACCACATCGCTCTCAACACGCACCCTTCAGCGGAGTTCGGTCTCACGCCTCTCTTTCCACGCACTCTCCTGACCTCGCCGGACTTCACCAACGTAACAGGTGGCCAGCGCATCGAGCTCACAATCCAGGACTCCAGACCGACGATCCTCTCCGGCGTCAAAGCCGCCTCCGCCCTCCAACAACCAGATATCTTTTTTCAAGGAGGCTTAATTCACGTTATCGACAGTGTCCTGACCATTCCGGACTCATTTCCCAGCACAATCACCCGTGCGAAGCTCAACAACCTCATCGCCCTCCTCAACAAAGGTGGTTGGCTCAACCCCTCCTCCCCTGCCATCACCATCATCAACGACCTGAGTGACCTGACCGTCTTCGGACCAGACTCCCCGCAATTCGGCGCCGGCTTTACCGGCTTCGATGCTCTGAGCGAGAATGAACTGAACGCCATTTTCCGGTACTCCATCGTCCAGAACTCACCACCACTATACTCCTCCGAGTTCAGGAACGCAAGCACCCACCGCACGCTGCAAAACCTGAGCCTGACCTTCACCGAAGCAAACGGCGGCTTCTACGCCGACGCCGCCCGCATCACACAGGTCGACTACCTCGTCTCCAACGGCGTTCTACAGGTGCTCGACATCCCGCTAAACCCCGACACGACGGGCATCGGTCCCGTGGTCAACACACCGGAGCCTAAATCCTCATCGAAAGGTCTCAGCCCAGCCGGCGCGGCAGGTCTCGGCATCGGCATCGGCGCCATCATCCTCGGCGGCGGTATCGTCGTGGCCCTCGTCCTGCGCAGCCGCCAGCGCCGCGGCCTCCCCCTCTTCGGCAACCCCCGCCGCTTCGGCCAGGGCCAGATGCGCCTCCCCGAGGAGGAGACGCCGGGGATCCCCCGCAACCGCCGGCGCAGCGGTGGCAACAGTGGGCGACACAGCACGGCGCGCGCACTCGAGCTCAGCGACGCGGCACCACCACCCCGCTACGGCGCGCACGAACTCGACAACAAGGGATCCACCCCGATGGGCTCACCGGGCGGCGGCGGCGGCGGGCGGGGAACCGTCCACGTCGTAGAGCTGCGCTCGCCGCGGGAGGACGGCGCGAACGGGCGCTCCACGCTCATGACGACCGATGTCGAGTACGCCTCGACCACGGGAGGCGGCGGCACGGTGAGGGCGGTGGACCGCGATGGCCGCACCGTCACCGTCTACGACAATCGGGGCCGGCCGTTGCCGCCGAAGCCGCCGAGTCCGCAGGAGATTGATGGCGAGGAGCGGAGTCGCATTAGTATCAGTATTACGGGGGAGGCGCCGAGGCATTTGGGGTTTCAGGCGAGGTTTAATTGAGGAAGAGGAGGCGGCCGAGGAGGAGGCGCGTAGGAGAGAGAGAAGGTCTGGTGTCTAGCCTGGGCGGGGACAAAGGCTGTGTGTCGTGGTGTTGTGGCGACAGGCAGACATGGACAGGACATTCGAGTATAGAAAGGGGTGGGAGCAGGGCGAGAAGGCGACCACGATGAGAAAAGCATGTTCATCAATGTGCCAATACGGAACGACTGTACGATTATTTTCTCCCAACATACCCATCTACCTACCTACCTACCTACTTGCCAGGCTAGTGGGTTGGGTTGGGCTTTCCTTTCCCTTGCGTGTTCCTTGCGTGTATGCGTAAGCCTCACTGCACGCATGCCTCACGAAGCGACGCGGCTCTAGCTGTCAAGATACGAAGCTTCTTCTCTTATCCTTTCTCTTTCTCTTTCTCTTCCGCTTTGAATGGCGCAGCACAGCGCAGCAAAGCGATGAAATGGAGCCTCGCGTCGAATATTGGATGACACCAACAAAGTGAATGGCTACTCGTTATATGTCTACCGGTGACCGATTTGTCGATAGAATAAAGGTACTGTACTTTGCCACATTCTACCATCAGTATGGTGCACCGCCAACGCAGATACACTAAACGCCTCGCAATTGCACCTAAACCATTTCAAACGACACTGCTGGCTCTCGGATCGATTGTCTGTTGGCGCCCCTACCACAACCATTTACATCGTGTAACGTACAGCTGGAGCGGCTGGCGTTCCAGATTACCGGCGAGTCCCTTTCGAGGGACACGGGAGTTGTGCTCGCCATGCGCCTGCTCAGCGGCTGCCGCCCTCTGCGTCTGCTCTAGTCGACGCAGCACTTGCTCGTCCTCGCTTCCACAAGGTCAAACTGCCTGAACGATGCGACCGAGCACCACCGCTTCCACTCGAACAGCTCTTACGTCTGTGCTGCTCTCGGTGTCTTGCGTGCCCACCTCCGCCCGATACTGCTCCTTTCCTCCTCACATCTGACTCCTGCGATCTCCACCCAGGCCCGCATCCACCGGCCCACCACTCCCATAGCCCGTCTCCACGCCGTCATAGGCTGAGCCAAACTCATTCTCGCGGAACTTGCTGCCACCGACAGTCAGGCTGTCGTTCTCGGTGGGCTCCAATTCCTTTTCTGCGTTGAACACGTCGCGCGTGGAGAAGGACTCGCGCGCCGAACGGGGAAGCCCGGAGGTGGAGTAGCGACGCAGGCGCTCCGAGTCGGTGCCCTCGATCGGGGGTGTGGCGATGATGGAGGGGCCTCGGTTCTGGTTCCGCTGCGAACGTTGCATCCAGAGCTATTGGAGAGAGTGCACGTCAGTAGGACTTCGTCAAAGGACGTGCTGAACAGAGTCCAGAGATTGTCTTTGGCTTGTCTAGGTGGACCACCGGACTCGGAGATGGGTAGCAAGATGTGTTTCTTCCCGGTCTCTGTTGGGGTCTCTGGTGCATGTGTCAGAGGTGACAACTTACCGGCATCAAGCCGCCGCTCATGCCAGGCCCTCCAGGGGGCTGAGGCATATCCATTCCTCTATGGACTATGCTGTAGGCCTTGCGCTTGCGATATCTCCTCCAATAGACCAAGGCCAGAGTCATGGCCGTCAGCAAGACTACGCCGCCGATAACACTGCCGATGATGATCCATTTATTGGAGCTAATACGGGAGTCGACATCGTCAATAGCATTGTTTGGATTGTCATCGGAGAGGCCAGCGTCCGTCAAGCGTGAGACGGCATGGTCGATCTTCTCATCATGAACCGACATCGTGGCACGTTAGAGAACAAAGTAAGACGCGCGAAGTCGTCAATCAACAGCGATGAGGAGGAGCGACACAAGGGACAGCACCAGAGGCACCAGATAAAATAAGATCAATCCGCAAGCTACAGGCTCAACGAAGGTGCAGTCAAGAACCTCGCAAGCCCAAATTCGGGCTGCCTGATCATCAAGTATGTTGCGCGCTCACCCCCACCGGCTCCCGGCTCGCGGCTCGCGTAGACGATCCTTGGGGAGTCAGCTCGACTAGTCAATAGTATGAGTATTCTGTCAGAATCCCAGACGCAGAAGTCTGGATGTGGACAGAGCTGAAACTGCAATAAAAGCCACAAACTGCGCTACGAGACAGTGTTGGCACAGCGAGGTAAGCACTTGTCCTGTAATGAGAGGCTGTACGTTGCTAAAAGAGGGGACGAGATGTGTAGGTAAGCAGGAGACTGGAAATAGACCAGGTCGATAAGGCTGCTTTAGACTCTGTATGGCAAGGAGGTCCAATGGCTTCGCCAATCAAATGTGGCCGCATCGGGCAAGCTCTGGGGCTGCTTTGCTGATTTCGAACATTGAGATCGAGAACTGGATGAGATACATCGCACTCATCGTTCGGTCGGATGATCACAGTCAATGAGTTACCGTGCTTGGGGCCGGTTGCAGAGGCTGCATAGTCGCGTCGAAGTACTTCAATCCTGCCGCTTCATTGTCGCGAGCGTGGACAGCTGCTCACGACAGTGGCTGCCAAACAATATCGCAGGTCCGCTTGAGCAATTGAGAGGGACATTGAGAGCGACAGTCATTCCATGTAAATGAGGTGCGCCTGCTTCCCAGCGGTGTGGAGCTGTGGGCAGTATCGTATACCCACGATCCCGATCCTGGCGTATTGCTTGGATGGGCGGCTCTGCAGGGTGCATGGGAACCTACAGCTCTGGTTTGCCCAAGCCAGTGAATATAAGATAAGACCGGAGTTCATAGACTGCGCACGAAGACTTGCTGACGGAGACTGGCTGATAGTGAAGACACAGCACTGGTCCATTGGCGAGTCGATATGCAGGTAAGAGGGCCAGAAGCCATATAGAGCAGAAAGAGCATCCTGGAATCGGGTTCGAGAGATGGCTAGAAGCAGAACAGAACGTATTGTGGCCCAATTCGTGAACCCGGTGCTGCTGGCTGCTCACATGGAAGAGATGTCATGGTGAACCTACCAGAGGCGTAGTGAGGAAGTATTATGCGGATCAACCGGTTCCAGCTCGTGCACACATAGGAATAGTAGAGTCGTTTCATGTGCGATGCAAGATGAAAGGCTGCGTATACTGGTGACGAAATGGAGAGGAAAGAGAAATGGTGAGACCTGCGGAGCAGCGACGAAATGCTGCGAGGCTCAAAAACGGTACAAGGTAACCTGCGACGCAAACTCGTATCAGAAAACCACGCAACCCTCTTTTTCCCACTCCTGCTGCTGCGGCTAAGATGAACGTTCCTTAGCCATCTCGTTATTCGTCCTTCTACTCACTATGGCTCGCTCAGCAGGCAAACGAGGCTTCAAGTCTGGCGCGCGTTCAAACACCACGCCTGCATCAGCCCCGGCACCCTCGAGCATTCCCGAACCTTTTAGGCTTGTTCCCTCCGCTCTCGTACCATTTGTGTCTACGCTCCCAACGGACCATGTCTACATCACGCACCTGGACCGAAGTCCAGTATCGGTCAAGAAGCAAGCCTTCCTTGTACCACTCATTCTCAATATTATAATCATTGGCATTCTCTGCGTGCGAGCTTACTACGCTGCTCCAATCTATCTCAGTCTGATTATCACTGTCTTCCATTACGAGACCTCTTACCAGGTCGACCCATCTGTCGCTGACAAGGGCGATATCTTGTCCGCTATCGTCTCAAGAACCTTCCTGATGATGACCGACTATGCTATATTCTGGCTACTTGGGTCGTGGCCACGGGAGTTCATCCTCGGCAGCATACCGAATCGCTTCGTGGGGCCTCTCGGGTGGAAGATGAACGTTGGCTTCGAAGAGACGGAAGTCATTGTCCGAAGAGGTAGGAAATGGGATAGCGGGCTTCTAGAGGGCGTGGACGACAGAAACAGGTCATGGGCCGTAGACGAGGAGTTGCTGCTCAAGTTCAAAATCGAGCCTGCTATGCGCAAGTCATACACAATCAAGACGGGATTGTCTTTGCTTGACAAAGATTGGGACCTCGACTATTGTGCCATGTCGGACGCACACCGACTAGCGGCGGATGGCAGAGCTAAGCTCGAAGACCTACAAGAGCTAGCACTGGTTTACTACCACAAGCAGTGGCTGGTCTGGCGCGTTCACGAAGCAATAGAGTTGCCGGTCACCGACATCGAGGGAGACACGAAGGTCCGCAAGTTCAGAGAGACATTGACGGATTTGGGTCGCGAGGATATCTTCTTTCGCTGGATCGAAATGATCCAGTATGAAACGTCGCAGCCAGGTGGCTTCGTGGAGGGCAAGAAGGCCGAGGCGCTGCGTGAGCTTCAACGCATGCTTACCAACAAGGGCGTCGACGAAGAGCGCTTCTGGGATGGAATCGGTGGGCAGAAAGGCCTGCCAGGCTTCGAAGAATGATCAAGACGCGCAAACAAGCCGAGTGACAGGCATCCAAACCACACTCTACAAACTGCGCGCACATGCCGCCGCAGTGAGGCTGAGCGCAGGCTGATCCGAGGCTGGGTGCGCTTCCGGTTCCGGTGTCTTGGCTATCACGTGAGGATCGACCTCCGAATGCCGCTGACCGGTTATGCAACCCTGGAGAAGGCGGGTGCGGGTGAGTCATTGTCGAAAATTCTACACAGCGCACCGCTCGCATCACGTCCTGTGCATCGTACTCGACTGATTGTACGACTCTGCGAATAATTAGTGGATGTCGCTTGAGGATTCTGGGGGGCAAGAACTGCTTCAGGGGAAAACGATGCGATAGTGCGATGGGTTTTGAAAAGTAACAGGCATAGCTCAGGGGCTCTTATCGTAACCTGGAGGGGTGACCGGGGCTAAGCGACGCCCTCGAAAGTGCCAGTGTTCCAAACAGGTGGCCAATAACAAAGAGGGGAAGGCGCGTGGTGGGGCGCAGGTAAGGTCTGTTTTGCCCCCCGAAGGCGGACTATAAGTATCTCCAGCCCGCCCGCCTGTCCTGAATTTTCGACCTCTTCTTGCATCCTTGGCATTTCCTGGCCGCTCTCTTTCGCCTGGCTCCACCTAAATTCCCAGCCAGAAACCCCCCAATTCCCCTCCCATCGCATTTTGCACGCATTTCATCTCGAAATCGTGCTTTGCATCAGTTCTGCACCTGCCAGACTCCCGCGCGGTGCATTTACGCTCTCTAGGTCCGTTTTCGGGTCCAAAATAGACAGACGCGCCCATCGCGCCTACCGAATTGTAATCTCAAAAAATCATCTCCATACCTGGTGTCATCTCACCTACCTCTTACCTGATCACTCTCTTCCGCGACCGTCCTCACCGACCGTCAAGTCCTCACATTTGCATCCTCGACGTTGTCGACGGGTTGCTGCAGTCATCCTTGCTAGGTCTGCGCCTGGGCTTGCAAAGCAAGCAGTCCTTTGTAGGGGAGACATTCAGTTGTTTATCTCCCACTTCGTCGGTACGGCAACCATCTTTCCCTCATCTCACTCCCCAGCCTTCATTGCCGTCACTGTCGTCCATCGAAGTCCTCGTTGTCACCGACGCGACACTTCACTACTGCCAGCCTCCCCACTCCGCCGTCTCCACAACTATTTAAACCATCGCGCTTTTTCCTCTCCGACCTTGATATTCCTTGACGAAAACTCTCTGACCTGCGATACTCCAGACTGCGATCCTTTCGATCAATCAAATTGACACCGCGACCGAGACCTGTCATTGACATCTCTTAAGCCACGTCGAGAATCTTCTCACACCGCAAACATGGACTCTCTTACCACACACCCCGCGAACGCTCAACAGGCTAAAGCCTTCACCTCACCTGCATCCTTGTCATTCCCTGGTGGAGCCGGAGACCTGACCCCACCGTCTGAGAAAGATGGACAGAACCAGGACGCGAAGATGAATGGTCAACAGCAAGGTAGTAGCCAGCAAGGTAATGGGGTGACTCCTGCCACGCCCGCTGCTACTCCTGGTGCTGGTCCGGGTACAAGTGGTATTGTTCCAACTTTGCAGTGAGTATGACCTGTTGGCTTTCCAAGTCTGCAGTGTTAACATGTCTCGAAAGAAACATCGTCGCTACTGTCAATCTTGATTGTCGTCTGGACCTCAAGACTATCGCGCTGCACGCTCGCAACGCTGAGTACAACCCGAAGGTACGTAACTTGCATATCGTATCTCACCTGTATCGTATACTAAGTTCGACAGCGATTCGCGGCTGTTATCATGCGTATTCGCGATCCCAAGACGACCGCTCTCATCTTTGCTTCTGGCAAGATGGTGGTCACTGGTGCCAAATCGGAAGATGACTCGAAGCTTGCTTCTCGCAAGTACGCTCGGATTATCCAGAAACTGGGCTTCAATGCCAAGTTCACCGATTTCAAGATCCAGAACATCGTCGGCTCGTGCGACATCAAGTTCCCGATCCGTCTGGAAGGTCTTGCGTCTAAGCATCACAACTTCAGCTCCTATGAGCCTGAGTTGTTCCCTGGTCTCATCTACCGCATGATCAAGCCCAAGATTGTCTTGCTTATCTTCGTGAGCGGCAAGATCGTCTTGACTGGTGCCAAGGTCAGAGAAGAGATTTATCAGGCCTTCGAGTTGATCTACCCCACGCTTTCTGGTAAGTGTTGTTCTGTTCTCAACCTAGCTACACAGTACTCACAATACGTTAGACTTCCGCAAGGTCTGAGCGATGGTCGATCATTCTTGTATCACCATACCCCTCCAGCTAATATCTGCGTGAGACGATGATTCATACAACATCGCCGCAGTTGTTAGACTGGCAAACATTGTCATGATTACTTACGAGCATTGCACGGCGTCATAGCGAAATGGTTTTGCTTTTCCCTAGCCTTGACCACTTGAAAGGAAGTGGCCTGAGGCTTTTCGACTCTACTAGACTATTCTGAGTCACATCGACATAAAGGCGTCGGAGCTGGTATTGTTGCCGCCGGTCGATACCACTGCCGGCTCAGGACTTTTGGTTTCCGAGTCATCAAACTACCAATGCTCGTCACACAAGCATTGAATGAATGATTCTTATCTCATCATCATATCAATTTCACGCACACTACCCAGGCGCGAAACCAGAAAAATATTGGGGAGCGAGGGAGGCGAAATTGCCAAAAGTGGATTGTGATTGCGACTTGCGTCCGCGATTGAGGGTGACCATCCGTTGAGAGGATTGTTTTGATACCCCTTTCAGAAAGCAATCGAATCGATAACAAAAAGTGGCTTGCATTCTGCATTGAAGTGTCGAGGTTGATTCCTTCGATCACAAGGAACACGACTTGAACACTGCCCGTCGCGGGCAAGGGATCGTTGCTGACGAGGCCTACCTCGTCGGCATCAAGGCAGTGCATTCAAGTCATGTTCTTTGAGTAGACTCTGTCTGTTAACGATCAATGATAATATGTTGACCTCCATTTCACAATGTTCCTCACTACTTGATATACGTGCGTCCCGTTAGTGCCACACAATGAGCAACCCTGCTCTCATCTTCCCGTAAGAACTACACTTGACATATACATTAAATATTCATCGACGATAGGAGTCCTTGCTCAGTCCGGCTCGTCTGCCTTGCGATGTGTGCTAATTGCTGCAAGTTGATGCTGCGTAGCGGTGTGCGACCCAGCCTACGGAGTCCGGATCTATATTCGTCGGACATTGTCGGTCCGTGCGCATATTGAAGTATGCGGCGAGCTTTGCTACAATCACATAGTTCTCGATCGTTATGCTACGAAACAGCTCAGGGAATCGAGTGTGCCCTTTCAACCGTGCCGGGTCAAAGAGTGTTGCGAGCCGCGAGCCTGACTTTCGTGCCTTTGCGAGATGCCTGGCGGGCTGGATCCGCATCGAGAAGGGAGATCGTGATGATTTCGTATAGAACGCGTGGACAGTACTGGAGATCACTTGTCTACTGCCGTCTTACGTGAGGTCTACGAATGTGAAATGGAAAACCAGGCAAAGATGTCGTTGTGCAGTGCAGTTTAGATTGACAAATGGCAACGATGATTGGCTGCCGATCGCGGACGTGGTCGCGGACATGGTCGCTAGACAAAGGCGTGGAGGGCGCACGAGGGCGCCGGGAGACTTTTCCCCACAGTCTCTGAGCTCAGTCAACTCTCTCAAGGTTTATATATATATATATATATATATCTGAGCCACCGCACCGTCAGCGTAGGTAGCTGTCCGACCCAGAACCATAGCTCTCTATCTGTGACCATGGCGACACCGGAGGCCCCAAGGACTGTCCTCATTGTCGGCGCCGGCGAGTTCGGGCTCTCCACGGCCCTCTCGCTGCTCAAGCGGCCACGCTTTTCCCAGTCTCGCATCACGGTCATTGATTCCGCGACGCAGCTGCCCAACCCTGCCGGCTCCAGCGTCGACGCTTCTCGCATCATCCGGGCCGACTACGGCAATGCTCTATACGCGCGCCTGGCGGCCCAAGCACAGGTTCAGTGGCGTGACACCTCCGACGAGGGGTGGGGAGGCCAGGGCCGGTACTTCGAGCCGGGATTCGTGCTCACGGCGGACTCGGACGAGACGGCGGGGTATGTGAAGCGGAGCTTGGTCAATGTGAAGGAGATTGCGGAGCAGAGCACGAGGGAGGCTGGAGGGCGGCTGAAGAGGATTGAGGTGTTAGAGGGCCCGGCGCAGATCAAGAAGGCGTCGGGCCATGAAGGGGTGTCGGGCACGTGGGGCTATGTCAATTATAATAGCGGGTGGGCGGATGCGGAAAAGTGTGTGGCTTATGCGCTGAGGAAGCTGAAGGGCCAGGGCGAAGAGAGGGTGCGTGTGAGGAGTGGGTGTAAGGTGCAGCAGGTGCTTACGGACCATGAGGGGACGGGCAGAAGCAAGTGTATGGGGGTACGGCTGGAGAGTGGCGAGGAGTTGCGGGCGGATCTGACAATTCTCGCGGCGGGCGCGTGGACGCCGAGTCTCATCGATCTACAGGGTCGGTGTGTGGCAACCGCGCAGGTGTTGACATATACGGCGATCACGGACGAAGAGCAGAAAAGCCTGCAGGATAACCCTACGGTCATGAACTTGAGTCGTGGCATGTTCATCATCCCACCCCGAGGCAGAGAGCTAAAGGTCGCTCGACACGGATATGGCTATCGAAACTTGCAGCGGATCTCGAAGCAGCAGCTCCTGAGTGGGAGGGCTGACGAATATGTTGAAGTCAGCGTTCCGTGGGTGGGCATTCCTGCACCCGACGAGGGACTTCAGGCTTGTCGAGAGGCATTGCAAGAAATGCTTCCATCCTACGGCGACAGGCCTTTCAAGAACAGCAGGTTGTGCTGGTACTGCGATACCCCAGATGGGGATTTCCTGATTACCCACCATCCCGAATACCAAGGGATGTTCGTGGCCACTGGAGGAAGTGGGCATGGGTTCAAGTTCTTCCCAGTCATTGGTGAGAAGATAGCAGACGCCATTGAGGGCAAGCTGGACCCTGAGCTGCGGCATGCGTGGAGATGGAGAGGGGAGACCTTCCCGGACTTTCAAGTCTGTGATGATGGCAGCAGAGCTGGCCCGCGAGGAATGCTTCTGAGTGAGGAAATGGCGAAAGGGTCGAAAGCGAATCTATAGCCTGCGCTAGCCCTATCAGATATTTACCATGTTGCAAGTCTTGCTCAAATCGTGTCACAAGCACGTAGAGCCTATACATGTAATCGACTTGACAGCGATGCTTGATGTTCTAGCAGTTGGGAGCGACGTGGTTGGGATTGGGGTCGCCATACCGGAACGGGAGAAATGCTTCTCCGGTAAGTTACCTGCGCGTCACCCGTGTCGTGGTTTTTGGACTTTCGATCTGGATCTCATTTTTATTAGCAACAGAGGTGTTCTCCGGCCATGCAACGACCGTCGGCCATACCGCACCTGGTGGCCTGTCTTCGAGCCCGAAGACGTCCTCGACCATGTTCGCAAGGACTGACAATACACAAGGACTACATACAAGCCGCTCCTCAGCGATGCAGCCGAGGCAAGCACCGATTTGCTTCCACACAATCACCACTACTTCCTTCGAGGAGAGCGCGATCGCCGCCATCTCCGTCATCAGTAGATACGAAAGCCTCGGCGACCTCGAGCAAGCGCAGCGGCAAGGGCTACCTATGGGCTTGTTCCGTCTTCGGCGTCACACTGGGCATCTACTTCGTGAGCCTGGGTATCAGCGTCAAGAATGCAATGCAACAGAACAGAGAGCTCGACATCGACCAAAACGCGGATGTATCCTATCGATGGAAGGACGAGAAGCGCAATTTCGATCATGAGGTGGACAACGCGGAATCTGCCATGCTAATGCGCGCAAAACGTCGCCGACTAATTAGTGAAGCATATGGCAATGTGCTGGAAGTCAGCGTAGGCACCGGCCGCAACTTCGAGCTCTATGATTTCCGACCCTTCGACCCGAAAGAAGATGCGAAATACGGACGCAGCAGGACAAGGATTATAACAGATGTCACCTTCAACGACCAAAGTGAGGTCATGGTAGATCAAGCCATGAGCAAGTTCATGGCGATGGAAGCTGAACGAAAGGAAGATCAGAGATTCAGTGGCAGGGTGCGGTTCATTGTGGGCGACGCAGGCGTGGATGGTGTGATTGATAGACCGAAAGGAGGCTACGACACGATTGTGCAGACATTTGGGATCTGCAGCATGGCTGACCCGGTGGGCTTTTTGCGTAAGCTCGGCAGTCTGTGTCGTCAGCCCGGAGAAGCTACCACGTCGAAGCTATCAACGGAAGACAACGATGGCAAAGGTGGGCGGATACTCTTACTTGAACACGGACGTGGGCGATATGGCTGGCTCAACAATCTCCTGGACAGCGTCGCCAAAGTCCACGCGCTGCACTACGGCTGTTGGTGGAACAAGGACATCGATCAAGTCATTGCTCAAAGTGGGCTTGAGGTCGAGCGTGTCAGGAGATACCATGGTGGCACGACATGGGAGATAGTTCTCAGGCCGACTCCGAAGTGAGGTCAGGCCATCGAAATGCATCTCATGCGTGACATCTTTTCATGCCAGCTTCGCTAGGCGTGGCTCGGTGATCATCAGGGGAATTTGGACATGTCCGCTCGCTCTACTTACTGAGCATACGACTGCGCGAGTCGAGCTCAGGGGGTCAGATAGAACCGAGCGTCATTCCCGATCGAGTTCTGGACGTAGCTCGGGGTTCCAGCTGAAATTGACGACCAATGTCTGAAGCTGGATGCTATCAACGAACAGAGAGACCATTGAAAGGATCGAAGATGATAGGCACAGCTTGACGAAATAGCCGGTGAGACTTTGCCAAGGAGAGACGATATGGGTGGATCACTGCCTGCATCGATCCGGGGGACGTTGAGCCGCCGCAGGCTAACAGCCGATGAGCCCGCCCAACTGTTGGAGCAAGCAGCTTTATCCCGTGTGGGGGGAAGTGTGCTATAGAGGTAAGGCTATGGCTCGGAAGATGTGATCGATGATGAGGCCGGCAAACGAGCACTTTAGCGGAACCGTGCGTTGATCGTCATCAGGAGGTCGTGGTCTCTCTTTCACGAGACAACTTCAGCATTACTCAGACCACGGCGGAAATGCTGAGATACGAATTGAGTTCACGGTTCACCACCATTTTTAGGCATTGGCACTGGTGTTGTTCGTAGGAGGACAGTATGGCTGGAAGGCGATTCGCCGACAGGAGCGGCTGATGAATTAGACTCGTGGTGCGATTCGGACTGCCAATGAGGCTTGAGCTCTGACTACCGTTCAGAGACCCCACGGTACCGCTAGCGTCTGTATTTCCGCGAGGTTATCCTGGACATTGACTGTGATGCTGACCGCTTGGCATGATGCATACCTCGATTACCAACTATGACGAACGGATGGCCAGAGTGGGCATCTGATGTAAACAGTCTCCAGTGTAGTGGACAATGTATATTCTGTTTGCTCGAGAGACAGTCGCGTGAAATGTGTCTTTGCAAAGAGGAGGACGGTACCTCGAATCCCCGGAGGCTCTGCCGCGTTGGAGGGATACCGGTCAGGATAGGGAGTCACAGAAGCTGACAACCAATGAAGCTCCCGGTGTTTGAGAATTCCGGCCTTATGTCAAAGAAGGATGCCCCTCCATCGCATCCGTCACGGCCTGGGCACGTAGCCAATCATCGTGGTGCGAATCAGGCAGCAAAACGGTCTCACCTGGCAACCATGCTGCAATCCACATGGGCCCTTTCCGACACTCTATCTCACGAAGCGTCGCATTGACCAGCGCTAGATCCGGTGCCCAGGGCTTGATCAAGGGCAGAGGTCGGTAATTTAGAGCGACTACTCCGTCACTGGTTCGAGAGACACAATGATTTTCGTTTCTCGATCACAGCTGCGGCCACGGGATACGTAATGGTGGCTCGACCAGAAAAAAAACTCTTCGACAAATTTTAATCTTCAGGGCCTTGCGCAGCATCCGCCTCGGCCGGGGCTGCGTTTGGCATCGCCTGGGGTCGCCCAGAGCGCCCATGACTGGCCGCCAAAAATGTTTAGGCTGCTCCAGCTCCACCTGAGCAGCTTAGCTGCCCAATCCATTGGAATCCATTGGGCTGGCCTGCCGGCGCTGCAACCTTGAATGCTTTTTCCACGCAGGGGAGGCGCCGAACCTGAAGCCTGCTACTCGTACGAAGAGAACTTCAACAGGAACTGTGGCATCGTTTGTCTGACACGGCTGTCGCGTAGCTCTTCCCTTTCGCTTTCGCGTTTTGACTCTCCGAACCATCACCCAGTGACCGGAAGTAAGCCTGGGCAATTGCATCTGTATTTCCATACATTCAAGGTGGAATCGCCGCCTACCTTTGGCATATCAGACAGCCACAGCAAACATCTACCACTACCCGTGGCAGACGCTGCAGCCAACCTGTTCATCGCAGTCTGAGACGATTCCGTCAGTCGGTGACAGCTACACCGCGCCGCCCGCAACGCAAAAACTGCCGCAGCACGCCGTCCTAGAAAGGACAGTCGCCTAGGAGCTTAAATCAGAAAAAAACCAGGGACCAACTCCCGCCACTGCCACACTACCTAGGGGCCGTCTGCAAAGAAAAGATACAAGTCTCATCGTGGCGACGGCAGCAGTTTTGTTCTGGACCAACCCAGCTGCATCTCGCATTTAACGACAACCATCGGTTCTCCCACCGCCATTTGCGCCAACCGCCCCAGCAACACCGTGCATAGCTAGCCCGCCAGATCTGATCCTCTTCCGACCTGGCTCCTTGCATATCCTGGCACATTCCTGCTGACCGCTTCCGCGAATCACGTCGGCCCCCTGTAGGCGCACCTTCTGTCACAAACTTGGGTCCTTCCCATTGCAGCGCAGTCGCCTGAATCATCCAAAAAGTCCGAGTTACACTACCACGTCGGCCCCCTTGAGTTGCCTTCCCTCACCCCTCTGACAGTCTGTCGTCCCAACATCTACACAACCGCCGATATGCCGTACAACACCCGTCGCAAGTCCCTGTCACTACCGTCGCTCGGCATCCAGCTGCCTAACGCCTCACGTGTCCACCGCACCAACTCCAAGTCGACCGTACAAGACCAGCCACTGCAGGCACACTCGCCACCTCTCAAGAAGCAGAAGCGCTCTCACCCAGACGATGCTCCCTTGTCGCCAGTCTCCTCGCCACGATCAAATGCCGCCACGCCGTCGGCACAGACCATGTCTCCTCCCCCCCAGCAGAGAATCAAGCTAGAGCATACACCTCCACCGTCGCCTGGAGACGTCGAAGTCGGTCTTGGTCGGAAAGTCGATACTGAAGGCATCAACGATGACATTGTGATCGCTGTTATCGACCAGCTGGAAAAGACTGCCAACAGACCGCACCTCATCAAAGAGCTGGCAACTGTACTGGCCTCTACGAATCACAGCATTGCACAGTAAGTTGCGTTACTCTTGATCGCGTTCCACGCTCTGACCTTTCTGTAGATCTGCAAACCCAGCCGCCCTTCTGTCATCAAGACTCAGTCTCTACCTGAAGCGCCCATGGACCGCCCTTTCCCCTTGCCCGCTGGCCAAAGAACTCATTCCTGTGCATCCTCGCAAGGTCTTCTTCTACCTCACCACCCAGACTCGCATGCCTTTGCCGGAGAACTCAGATGACATCATTCCCCCTGTCCTCGCCGAGATCAAGCAGTTGACGCCTAGCATCTCCGACCCTAGCGTGACAGGTGATGAAATGGACGCCGAGATTCGAGCAAGATCGCTCAGCCCCGAAGTTGAGCTCTTTTCGCCCGATCTAGAAGACGAGATGTCTATCCCCACACCGCCCACTCCCGGTGAGGCTTTCAGTGGCCGGAGCAGCTTGAATCCTGATGGGACACCGGACATCCGCTCGTGTAGCCATCGAGCACCCAGCCCGGCTCTTGAAGCAGACGAACGCGGTTTTACTGAGACTGCTACCGCTGTACGGGCACGTGGCATGAGTCTCCAGAGCGCCATTCCCCAGCCCTCGGTTGAGGTGGATAGATCGGCCATCACGGAGGAAGACGAGACCCCGGAGCAACAGCATAATCGGGATCAGAACCTCGCGTACGCACTGTTTGGCAACGAGCGTCTTCAGGCCCACCAAAAAGCACTCGGCAGCAGTCCCATGATCCAACCCAAGCCAGAAGCCATGGCTAAACCTCATCCAATCCTCATCTTGGACGACATCAACATGATTGATGGTCACGACAACCTTTTGAGCCCGGAAGTCATTGATGTGGATGAACTCGACTCCATGTTCACGGGGTACTAGGTTATATCCCATCTTACACATGCGACGTGTCTCGCATCTCATCATCTCCAATTCGCCTTACGAGACATTTGACGATTTTCACACGATTTGCTAGATACCCCGACCGATTTGGGTTGTTCACGCATTCTTCTACAGCATGCTTACGGACGAACCGCAATCTTACGGTTATCACGAACGACAGAGCATCATAGATACATGATCAGCGCAAGCTGTGCGCGCCGTTTCTGAGAGGAGCAGGCGTATACTGGAAAAGGCGGAGCACACGGGGTTTGTAGCAATAGCATGCATCTAGAGCTCAATGGAATTGTATTAACAGCTCAATTATCGCCCATGCTCTTTCTCTGTTTAACCCAGGATGTACCTAGCAGGGAAAACGAGATGACATAGTTTGCTGGAGTGCTTTCCTTGGCCCTGGCGGCTGATCGCAATGCAACTCCTGGCAATGCAGACCCTAGATAAATGTGTTCCAAAGCATCAGGCGTGCATTTCATTCACGAGGTAATTCACTGGCCAACGCTGCCGATTTACGATCGCAAGTTGCAACGCCATCTCCGACAAGTCAATAGTGCCAGCATTCGCTAACTCACAATATGGATTGCTCGCCATCTGTCGATGCTTGCGTGAGATTGACCTTACTGTCCACCGAACTCAGGCAGTAAAAATTGCCAAGCATTCACTGCCTGAGACACACCCGTGTCGAGAGTATCGCCAACAGAGGGTACGACGTGTCAATATGCATTTTGAGAACACCCTGAAATTGTTCAGGGGTAATCTCAGACATGGCCGGGCGATGATGGGCTGCTCCAAAGAACATAGAATAAACACTGCCACCGTTTGGTTTATTACGTCATGACTTTATAGACGCGCTTAGCCTGCGTCTGGAGATCTGAGTGAAGCATCAGCACGCGATCTCAGAGCGTATGGGCGCAGCGTCAACTCTAGCCACAAGCATCCCCAAAGAGGATGTGGTCCCTTGCTGTGCCCCTAGCAAGATGCAGATAGCTGCTCCTCTCGCCCAAATGCAGCCCCATGAGTTGCTGGCAGACGCGACCGGAAAAAGCTTCCAAGCCAACCGAACGTCGCCCCTGAAGCCATCATTCACTTTTGTCGACGTCGCGACTTCGGCCGGTCCAGTTTTTCTCCAATGTCATACTGCAGGTTCCGGGATGACGTAGATGGAGTGACGGCGGCTTCTCTGCGATTCTGCTTGAATACATCTCTGCCCGCACTGCCACTACGAACTCTCACCTCTTCTGCCACTTAGCACTTGCCAGACACTCTGCCAGTCGAAACTTCCAACTAGGACACATAGCACAACACCATATTCATCACCTCGTTCCGCAACTATGTCTACCGACCCGTACGTCTCGACCTCACTTCAACCCCCTCCTTTTCTTTCATCGAATGACCACTAATACCATCACAACAGGTACAAGGAAAAGAACAAGGAGGAGCCCGGCACGGCCGAGAAGATCAAGGACCTCTCCGACTTCATCAGCAGCTCCAAATTCGGCATGATGACCACCAGGGCACCCTCCGGGGGCCTCCTCGTGTCTAGAGCCATGGGTGTTGCAGCACAGGTAAGGAAACCCCACGTGTCTCGAAAAGAAAACGCATCTGCACCTACTGTTGCCCACACCCCCCATCTGAACGACCTTCATCACAAACCCCCCATCCACCCCGCCCTCTAATATCCTTTCCTCCCCACTAACCTTCCTCAGGAAGCCGACGGCCTGGACCTAATCTTCCACACCAACACCGACTCTGGCAAGACCGACGACCTCGCCTCGGACCCACACGTCAACATCTCCTTCCTCGACGCCACGGGAAACTGGGCCTCCATCTCCGGCGTCGCCAGCGTGCTCGACGACCGCGCCGCCGTGAAGAAATACTACTCCCCGTCCCTCAAGGCGTGGCTGGGCGACCTCGGCGACGGGGTCCACGACGGGAGCGAAAATGACCCGCGCATCGGCGTCATCAAGGTCGCGGCCAAGACGGCGACGTACGCGGTCAATCGTGGCACGATGGTGGGGAGGGCGGTGGAGATCGTGAAGGGCGCGGTGACGGGCGAGGCGGCGCAGGTCAACAAGTTGAGGGAGATCAGTGAGGGCGAGATTGCCGCCTATCGCAAGGGCTCGTCCTCGACTTGAGCTGGGATGGGGGGAGGCAGAGGAAAAAACGAAAAAGTAAAGCCCGTGTGCATACAGACCGAGTGAGTCGATGATTGGCGCGAGAGTCTTGTGGGGGGGTTTGGCTGCCAATGCAAGCCTGCTCAACAATACCCATGCTGAGTCAGAACCCGGACCAGAAGTAAATGGCGGCGAGCTTTACGTGAAAGTTTCTCCCCCCCCCCCAGAAAGGCGTACTGTAGACCCCCCGGCGCACGATATCAAATCACAAACAGCATAGCGGTACCTCAAGCATCCTACTATCGAGTCCAAAGCATAGGATGAAGTGGAGAACTATTTTCTTGAGATCCACCCTCACCCTCATCTACCTACACGTACCTGTCTGTACCTTATCTATAGTCACCCATCGCCAAGTATGTCCGCAGGGCCTTGTCTTATCTGGTCTTGTCTATCCTATCCGCCCGTCGGCGCATCTCACAAACTGACTCCCCTCCTCGCTCCGGGTCCATGCTCCATGCTGCGTGCTCCATGAGAAGCAGTAGCAGTAGCAGTAGCCAGCGTATGTAGCCGTTAAGAAGTCGTTCGTAGCGCCGTGGTACCAAATGAAAAAACAGGTGACAGTTAAGTGACAAGGTAATATAACAAAACACATATTGATGCCGCCCACGAGCATAAATGACAAAAATTAAGTTCTGGTCGGCTCCGATGGACTGGTGGAGTTGGATTTGGCGAAGACGAGAGCGTTCTGTGTCTCCTCCTTCAGGAAGGGCCGAGATGGTGTGGGGGATGGTGTGCGATGATCTGGTGTGGTAGTATACTGTACAGAGTTATCGGTTACACAAGGTAGTTGTGGGCCACGGTCGATGCCGAGGCAGGGGTATTGGTTGCGGCGCCTGTAGTGACCGTCCCCGACTTTGCTGCCAGGGTCGAGTGAAGAGAGTTGAGGTGAGCGTGGGCTGAACTGAGGTAGGGACAGCATGGGAGGCTGCATGCCAGAAACGCGTTGGTTTGAGCCTGGGTATGACGCCGCGGACTTGTCTTTGCGTGGATGGTGAATGCGCCGAGTAGGAATTTGTGTGCCTCGACGCCGCGGCCAGTGGCTGCTGCTAGTTTCGGCCATTGCAGATGGTGCTCCGGACTAGACTGCTGCCGTGGCGGTGGTGTGATGCTGAAGCGTCGAGTGTCGGACTCCATACTAGGACATCACTGCCGTGTCTCGCGCGTGTTCACGCTCTCGGGTGGCCTGCCCAGGATGAACAACGCTCAATCACCCAAGTCACGCTGTGCTGCGCTCATCTTGCGTAGCTCAACGCTCAAAGAAGGGATCACCCTGGCCCATTCGGCTTCCACCACCATTGCGGCCGCCGTCACGACCGCCGTCTCGGCCGCCAAAGCCGCCTCTTCCGCCATCCCGTCCACCAAAGCCACCTCTTCCGCCACCCCGTCCGCCGAAGCCTCCTCTTCCACTGTCTCGGCCACCAAAGCCGCTGCGCCCGCCGCTACCTCCTCTGCCGTTATCGCGGCCACCGCCAAAGCCTCCGCGAACAACGCCCTTGCCGGCTGAGGCACCCATGCCGAAGGGATCGTTCTCGTCAAACGCGTCTCTTCTCCGTGCACCACCGTTTCTGTCGCGCCCACCGCCAAAGTCCTGCCTCTCAGGCCGTTCATCCACGTTCAGCCCCTGTGCTCGGCCGAAGCCCATTTTCTCAATTAAGCGGCCCGACACCGGTGGCGGCTGCTCTAGACCCCATCCCCATCTTGATAGCTCGTTTAGCTTGTCGACAATGCCCTGCTTGCCTCTGTGTGCTCCGCTCTGGCCCATCACGCCAAAGTTAGCGCGATAAGCGTCGGCCTTCATGCCGAAGGGCACATTCCTGATGCCAGCCTCTACCATGCCCATGATCTTCGCAATGGGCGCTGGTAGACTCGCGCCTTGGCTCATGTCTAGCTTGGGTGTGTGTAGGCTGGTGTCCTCCTGCAGCTTCAGGTCGCGGGCAAACTGCTGCTCCCAAGCGCGACGCTCGTCTTCCTGCAGCAACAGATATCCGACACCAGACTTGCCGGCACGGCCTGTACGACCGATACGGTGAATGTACTGATCTTCTGATTGGGGGAAATGCGTCTGAATCACGTGAGACACATTGGGGAAGTCCATGCCTCTAGCTGCAACGTCGGACGAGACGAGGATGGCAGACTCAGCGCGCCGGAAGTTCTCGGTGTTCATTGAACGCTGGGCCTGTGTGAGCTTCGAGGACATCTCGAACATGTGGCAGGGCGCAAGTGGGTGTGGACCAAAACGGCCGCCAGTCGAGTGGCGCAGGTTGTCGAGCCACGTCTTCGTGAGGTGCACGTCACTTAAGGAGGGCATGAAGACGATGGCCTTAAAAGGTGGGTTGTTTTCAGGGTCGACTTTATGCGCCTCAATTGCACCAAGGGCGATTTCGACAATCGCAGGTGTGATATTCTGCATGCCTTTCAGGAAGGCGACCTTCTGCGGGATACGTTTGTGGGTGGGCTGCTCATCAGGATCGACAGCCCGGATGAATTTGAAGTCCGGCTTAAGAGTCTGACGGACGAGGCCGACGACAGACTTGGGTACCGTGGCACTGAACATGAGGGTTTGTCGGTCACGCTGGTCTCGGGGTGGCATGAAAGACTGGATTTCTGCAATGTCCGGAGCGAACCCAACATCGAGGAGACGGTCAGCTTCGTCGAGCACAAAGGTCTGGATGTTATCGAGCTTCACGCCAGAATAACGGTCGGAGATCAGGTCCTTGACACGGCCTGGGGTGCCAACGAGGATATGGCAGCCGTGGCGCTGCATGAGTCTCAGGTGGTAAGACTTCTGGGTACCGCCAACCGCAGTCTGCACTTTGACTCCTGTACCAGCAACGATCTTGTTCGCTTCCACGGCAATCTGCTCTGCAAGTTCGCGGGTAGGGGAAATGATAAGAGCGCGGGTGTCGCCGGCGGAAGGCTTATCTCGGGTCAAGGTGGTATCACGCATGAGGCGTTGAATGATAGGCATGAGGAAGGCAATAGTCTTGCCGGTACCCGTTTTTGCTTGGCCGATCACGTCTGAACCATCAAGGCACTCGTTGATGGTCATCCGCTGAACGTCAGTCATAGTGTGGATGTTCATCTTGTCCGTGATGGTCTTGATGATATGTGGATGTATTATTCCATTGTCGCCGAGTTCCTTGAAAGTGGTGAGTTCAGGAGACGCATGCTTGAGATCCTCGCTGGCTTCGGCGACAGCCTGTGCTTGCCGGAGTTGTGGGAACGAGGAGAACCTTCTTGTCGATATTGACGCAAATTTTGAAGCTCTGATAGAGATGGGAGCAGATCGAAGAGGAGAGGCGGACGAAGTGGAAAGGAGTCGCAGGGAAGAGCGCGACAGAAGGCGGCCCGTAAGGGCTGGGGTGAGCATGATGGCTCGGATTAGGGTGATGAATGAGTGACAGCAGTAGACGATGGAGCGACGACTAATAACACAGATGGGAAATCAGATGAAAGGAAGAAGGTAGCGTGGTGATGAAGGATTCGCGTACAATGCAGAATCGAATGCGCGACCGAAGCCAAAACTTTTTCTTGTCGAGTCATCCTACCAGGACAATCCGATATGCATGACTCGTGGCTTAGTAGAGTGGAAGCACTCTGAGGCCACGGGCCAAACCCTACCTACCTTAGATATCAATCCGGCCACTCCTGAAGTCTTCAAAATCAACGGCTCCGGACCTATTACGGCACTGCAGAGTGATTATCCCCTTCCAGTGCACATATCTTGCTGGCCTCATGGGGAGTCGTTTTATCCCTCGTCAGACCAAGTGACCTGAGTACCCTAGAACCAGAACAGCAGCCTCAAGACTAGAGGATCAAGAGTCGTCGCGCCGCTTACTGACGACAGTTCACGACAAGCCTAGTTCTCTTGACATGGTATCGAGCTGTTCTGCTTGGTTATGTAGAAGGACGAAAGAGGAAGGCAGCGCGGCCGACTCCGCTCAGAACCTACTCACCGTCCGCCTCACCTTCTTCCCGACTCAAGATCCCTCATGAGTCTGCAGACGAACGCACCGACTTGTTAAAACGCTCACTGACAGGCTGCCGTCATCTTCGTAGGAACCGCTAATACCAGCAGCCTAAGAGTTTTCGACTGAATCCTGGATGGTTGATCATTCTGCTTGTTCATTTTTGAGGCTAGTAATCAGGTACATATGCTGGTAGGCAGCGAGTGCGTAACGTGTGGCTACTTTCTCTTGCCGTGCTGTCGTCAGGACCACTCTCCTTTTCACTACTCCCTAGTGCGGTCACCCCTTGCCGTTGCAGCTGTCCTGCTCACTTCAAATATTCATCTCCGATTTCGCGGATCATCATGTCAAAGTGAGGCAAACCACTGAACCATCCGGCCCTTGGCGTTCCAACAGCCTTGTAAGTGAAATCAGCATCCTCATCGTCAATCTTGATGGTGGCTCCGCCCCTCCCAGCAGCGGCGGCATCAGCCATCAGCTGGGCATGACAGCACTTGTCCAGACTGACGAACCAGAAAACCGCTGCCTCAATGGTCTGACCTGTGGTCAGGAGACCGTGGTTCTGCAGCAAAACGGCCTTCTTGTTGCCAATGGCACGTGCAATGTTGTCGCCTTCTTCTTTGGCGAGCACCACACCCTTGAAGGAGTTGTAGACGGCAAGATCGTTATAAAATGCACAGCTGTCCTGGGTGATGATGTCGATGGGCCTGCCTAAGGTGCAGAACGACCTACCATAGAGCGAGTGAGAATGCGCGGCGCACATGACATCCGGCCTCGCCTTATGCACGGCTGCGTGAATCATGTACGCCGCCTGGTTGAGCAGTCTGTTGGGGCCACCGTCGACCACTTTGCCATCATGGTCCACCAGGATCAGGTCGCTCTTCTTGATGAGGCTGAACGCCAGACCGAAGGGGTTCACCCAGAAGGAATGCGGGTTGACAGGGTCGCGCAGTGTGATATGGCCAGCAACGCCCTCGTCGAAGCCCAATTTGCCGAAGATGCGGAAGGCTAGTGCCAGACGTCCCTTCAGATACTCGCGCTCCTCATACTTGTCGGTGAACTTGGGCGGAGAGGGGAATTTCTGCGCCTGCACCTTGACGCCGCCCTGCGAAAGGCCGGGCTCTAGTGGGGCAGTGCCGGCGGGCTGGGCGTCTGGTGCGTTGAACCCGTTGGAGGGGGTGTTGTCGGTGGCAGTTTCGGTATAAGTGGCGGAGGGTGGAGACATGATTGAGAGATGGTATGGAAGACCCGCTACGTCGAATGCTTGATGAGGTGAAGGAGGGCGCGCGTCCTAAATCTGACTAAAAATCAGTGCTGAAGGACAAGGTTGCTGAGAGCAGTCAGCTCTCTTATTCAGGTCCTGCGATGAAGTATTCGAGCCTTGAAAGAGAAATGGTATATCACTTGGTGGTCAGAACACTCAAGTGCCGAATGTATCCGGATGTAAAAGTGAGGATGAGGGTAGTGGCGAACACCGTCCTAGGGCGCAGTTGATATGGAAAGTACAGACTTGCCTCGGATCTCCCCACCTCTGACTTCGCTTGTCAGCAACTCCAAATCAACGGTCGCTGGTTCGACAAGAGAGGTTGCTATCGGCACTCGAGGGCGCGAAACCCCGCCGTGGTGCGGGGGTTTCATCGCACAAGTCCCAAGACAGTAAACCGTATCGAGTCGTTTTAAGGCTGGAAGCTGATAGGGGAGAGCAGCGCCTATTGCGAGACTCGGCATGGCCGGATAACAACGCCGATATGGTGGAATGCCAGCATTTCTGGTCTTCCGTGTATTCCGGCTTGGTGGCTTATTTTTTCATGTGCCGCGGCTGGTCAGTGAAGTCTTGAAGAAGGCGAGCGTTTAGACAGATGAATAGTGGAGGCAGTGAAGACGTTATACAGCAGTCGTCGGTATCTTGACGATGGCGCATATCATCATGCGAGACATGCCAGGCGAGGCCGTCCACAAGGACGACGAGTGGTTGCGAGCGGTAGCGAGCGGTAGTGTACAGCGCGGCCCTTCCATTAATCGGCTGGTCTATTACACAGAGGACTGCACCAACTTTCTAGGGTTCAAGATCAGGATGAGCAGCACTTCCTTGACTCAAATAGTCTCATAATCCGCCCGTGCGATGTGATCATGATGGGCAGATGGACAGAAGAAAGAACAGGAAATCGGAAGCTCAGTGACCGCTGGGGGGAAACTTTATGGAATTTAAGTCTATCAACAGGTTCGGAGGGTAAGTAGAGTGTTTTCTCGGGATTCCTGGCGCCCAATATCACATAAAGGCCCTTTCTCCTGTCTCTCGCTGGTTCTGTTTCCTAGCTTTGACCCGTCACCAACCCATAACGCAAGCCGCTTCGTTGCTAACACATTGGAGTATGCCCTTGGAAGGGGAGGGGCAGGTGGGTATCAATGTCGCTCATCAAAGTGTACAGTAAGTGCGCCTGATCGTCAACCATTCCATTCTTTAGTTGTTGGTCTTCTCGGCCACGACTTGCTTGGCCTCATCCTTCTTGGCCTGCAGGAAGCTGCTAAGCCACTGCAGAACTTCCGATCCAAGGACGAGGGGAGTGGTGACGGCAGCCTTGCCACCAGCAACATAGCCATCGCCGCCACACTTCTTGTACTCGGAGCTGTAGGTATCGAAAGCCCAGTCCTTGGTCTCGGTAGCCTTGGTGAAGGGCCAGTAGATCAGATCCGAGATGGACTTCTGAATGTCTTTTGTCTCGGACTTGACGATGGGCACACGCTCGTCAACCTTGGTCAAGAGCTTGTCACCGATCTCGTCGGCCTTAGCGGCATAGGGCTTCGCGTAGGAGGCAGGGGCCTCGAAGTAGGGGAGAGCGGGCTTGATGAACTTGGCGTAGCCAGCATTGGTCACCTCGATAGATTTGGCGCCATAAGGGTTGCCCTTGAAGTAAGAGATGCCGTCGCTAACGGCAGGGTATGAGGAGATGTGCTAACCATTTTGTCAGATGGGCATTGGTTATCTGGGTACAGGCTTACTCACGCTGAGGACCTGGGATTGAGGCATATCGCCGTTGACAGTTGCGTCGCCCATAATGTCGCGGTTGGTCTGAGTTGATGCTTGTTAGTTTCGTGGGAAGTTGTACAGAATTCAGCGACGCTGTGATATAAAGAAGGCCAGCAGGGAGAGTGCTGAGCAGAAAAACATGTTGGGAAGAGTCGTCGCAGCCGTAGCGACGTGGCGGCACACTTCGAAGCATGTGAAAGTGGGTCACCAGAACTCACCTATCGACAAAGCTCGGGCTCGGATGCAGGGATCAGGCACGAGGCTGATGCAAACGTCGATCTGGGGCTTGGATGGGTTTGTAGAGTAGCGGTAGCTCGTGCCGGTTTTCGAGAGTGATATAAAGTCGCGAGAGAGAAAGTGAGCAGTGGCAGTAACGGTACAGGATAGCTATCTCCTGTCAAGCAAGCAAGGCAGCGGCAAAGTTATCAGGAATGCAGGGCAGAAGGGGACGCTTGCGGGCGGCAGCTTCCCACCTTCCGCGGCGGCAAATAATGACATGATTTCTGCTTAGCGAACGTGCTTTGACATGTGATTCTTTCGCAGGCTCGAAGCTCGACTGAGCCACAGACACGATGCCCATGGCCTGCCCTGCCAATCCCTGTTGCTCAATGGGTCTTTTTTAGCGATGCGATTTGCTGCTCTTGATTCCGCAGAATCAGGCCCGGGGACACCTGTACATCGCTATTGTGTTACCTTCCCTCGCAGGTTACTTTGCAGGCACTGGGGCGTCAGTCAAGGGCGGCTATGCGGCGCGGACAATGACAGCGGCACATCGTGCCAATGCCAGCCATTACGCGTTATCGAGCGTGCGGAGGGCAGGGTGGTTCACGCGTGCTGGACACTGACGGCGGCTTGAGATTGCAACAGGCATAGAAACGCACATGTCGGGAATTTGTCGTATCTTTGTTACTTGTCTTAGGCGTGGGATGATGATCCCGCATCCGACGCTGAATCGAGATACCCATCGGACTCCTACTGCTGTTTCTTGCACGGGTGCTACCGTCCGTCCACTGTTGAGCCTAGGTAGCTAGCTGTGGCTGGTGATATGTCGTCGCTGCTGCAGACGTGGAACCCGGTTACAAGCACGGGATATTCACGATGCATGTGGTGCTCCAGCCTCAACCGTTGTACTCATCACTCAACAAGCAGTTTCGGCCCATACCTCCGCTTCTCCCTTTCAATTCTCTCCATGCTGACGACCGATTGACCCCCAACCAACCCGCCAACCATCCCCTGGTCCGGCAAGCACAGTACTCCGTGCCTTCGAGGCTCCCCGTTTCCCACGCTTGCCCCTCTCCTCTATCCACATGCCAAAGCATGTGAACACTTCTCCCCCAGAAAGAACCTTGTCTAGCCCAGCACAACCCCTAACCCCCCGTGTCGCTTCCGAACCTATCTGAGCCCTGATATCGCCTTCGCCACCACAAGCCGAGCAGCGTTTACCCTACAGGTACGCGCGCGCAACAGCACAGGCGAATCTTGCCCAACTCGCCGATCCAAAGCCAAAATACCTCCTGCAGTAGCAAAGGGTCGAAGCGGATCTCTGCGGCCCCCGGAAGGAGTTGCAGGGGGGGGCTAGGCTACACAAAAGCCCCGCCGCTGCGCTTCCTCAGAGCCCAACTAAACGCTATCAGGTAACGAACGACTCTGCCTAAAAGTACTCCGCACCTCGTACGTTTCTTGACATGTGGGCAGCAGGGGGGTGTGGGCGAACAAATTCAAAAAAGTGATTTTAGCATGTGCAAAAATATAAAAAAATATCGTACTGTATAGGCATTTTCATAATATCTACGCAGATGCGTCATCCCTATAATTCGCTGGCTGATCGATCGATTCAAAAAAACTCTTCTACGATTCGAAAAGGCCCTGTCCTGTCCCATCGCTAGATTGGCGCCGCCCGGGAGGGGATTACTCAACGTGCTGCATATGGATTGATGCTGGTGGAAACGAATGGTGTCATTGTTGCGCCCCTTTCCCTGCTGCCACCAGGGTAGTTCGACGCACATGTATGTGGTCCGTCGAACGTTTGTCGACCGTTGCTCCCGCAAACAAACAACAGAGTGTTTGATTGAAACTTTTGCTGCCTTATAGTCTGCAGACTACAATGAGAAGAATCCGGGGAAATACTTCGAACCCGGGAAGATGACTACACTGGCAGTGTTGACCTCCCGGAATCTGTCAGTCTTGCATTTCCTATCTCTGCTTGACTATCGAGAGGCTCGCGATCCCCGTCACAGGCTTACTGGCCCTCGGGAGCCCTTCTTATCACCTGCTTTGTTGCGGATAGAACGGGGTGGCTTGTCCCCTCTATCCTCGTCCCGTTAATCGTTACTCATATCTCATGCGAGGAGGGCGCTGAGTTCCAGCATCCTGCAGCCGGCTCTGTCCGTGGCGGCTCCCGTACCCTTGTGACTCCGCATATGTGAGCCCCGTACCAATCACGCCATTTCGCTATGCATGAAAGCAAACAACTCTGCCTTCACAAATGGGGGCCACCTGTCTGGGTCATCGCAAACTGGCTGAAACCCTCTGGAATCTGCCAACCATGAGCCCGACATGCACGCTCGTATGCAGCCACAGCCTCTCCAACTTCGTAGCTGTCTCCACGGCCACCAGCATGACCCTTGTTCTTCTGAATCAATCGAGCAGGACGCTCTTCATCACACATGGCCAACTGAACCTGCAACAGCACGCTTTCAATTGATGTCACTGCAGACCACCCAGTGTTGGTCAATAACTCCATGCAGATTGCACCACCTTCTGTGACGTGCCCACCTCCGCCTTGATTAAAAGGCAGAAAACGTGGCTTGACTACCCGGATGAAGGGTGGGGCGAAGGGGAACTGGTTGGTGAATCGCATCTCGAGCACGATCGAAGAGATATCAGCCTTCTTCATGTCCGTTGCCAGGGGTAGTGTATGATTGAACGAGTGCAACTCGACAATCCACTGATAGACGTTCTCGATGTAATCTGGGTCAATGTACCACCCAAGCTTGTGCAGCGGAGTACTCTCCTGGACCTTCAAAGATTCCTTGAAAGCCCCCATTAGCGCTTTAGTGGCAGACGGAGTAGCATCAGCCGGGGGCGGGAGGAATTTGATGTTGCTGACGTCCACCGTTCCTGGCTGGAAGTCAGTTTCGCCCGCGTCGAGAGGTCGCTTCTTGCTCGAGGTCGTTGAATCTGTAGTCTGCAGAGCACCCTGGAAGCCGCCAGAGTAGTCTTCATCGATAGACATCTCGTCGGAGTCCTCGCCATCGGTAGTCAACAACGCCAGATCTTCCTCGTCTGAAACAACGCTGTTGGCATCATCTTCGAGCTGCTCGGCGGTAGCCTGATCAATCATGGTAGTCGTCTTAGACTTCTTGCTACCATGCTTGCTGGAAGCTTGTCCTGTTGCCGGTCTCCTAGATTTTGACACCACAGTGGTTGGAACGCGAACAGCCTTGCCAGATTCGCCCAAAGCGGCCATCTTGGGGTCCTGGACATACTCCATAGCAGATCCTGTGTTGTTGTTGATGTGTTTCAACTCTGTCTTGACAAACAGATACCGAGTCTGGACCCAATCGATATCCGAGACCACGTAGTGAGGATATCTAGCCACAAACTGATCTGGAACATTTACAACTTCTTGCAAGGACAAAGCATTCGTGATCTTGAGAGCGCTGCCAGGCCAAGTCATTGAGCCATCACCGTGGTGCATGTTCGAATATCCGAGGCTTGTAAGGGCCTGGTGACTCATGTAGACCCCGTTGCCATAGGCTCTGCCGTGCAAGGTCTCATCGTAACGCAAACCCTGCCGAATGATGGAATGCCAGTTGCCGATTGGACTACCGTGCCATGCGAAGAAAGTCGGGTATTGCTTGCCAGAAGACTCACGGTTGACCGCATCAATGAATCGCTGCTCCTTGTCCGGTGCACCCTGCGCAAATCGAAATTGCATCCACTCGTCCATACCGCCGACGCGGTCATCGTTGGTAGGACCCATCATAGAGACACTCTTCTTGTCTTGGGCCAGATGATCGACCTGCATGATGCATGAACGATTCGACGCGATTATCCATCGGAGGAGATTCAGCGCAGGCTCCGGAAGGCGATCCCGCCACGTCTTCAGGGAGGCCTCGTGGCCGACCTGCTGTTGGAGGTACTGTTGCATATCTGTCACGCGAGGCAGGACATCGAGGAGAAGGCTGATAGCATGCTGTTGCTCAGTGGAGGAGATCTCATCGAAACGGGAGTCATAGCAGTAGCACTCTACCGCATCCGTCGCAGAAGGCGTGGCCCCCGGCGGCGTTGAAGGTCGGGCAGTAGATTGGGCTGCCGGATGCTTTGCCAATGCTCTTATGTCTTCAACAACGACATTAGATTTCACAGCACCATTGGTGTGAACGGGATTGCCGAGCTTGATAACTGGAAACACAATACCTTCCACTCGGTAATGGGAGTCTGTGGTGTTGTCCTTAGAACAGATAACCATCCAATCACCGACACGTAAGGATGCGATCTGCTGCTGTTGATCGGTTTCTAGTACGAGCTCGTTGCTTCTGTGGTCGATCTTGGCCGCAAATGTGCAGGCATAAGTTTTCGCCTTCGCTTTGGAAGAGGAAGTGTTATGCTGGTAGTAGGAACGATAGGCAAGATTGTTACTGTAGTGAGGTAGCATGGGTACCTTGAGGTCAATGCCAACTGGGAATTCCTTCAGGCGACCTTGCTTTGCTGCAGAGTAGCAGAAGCTCACCAAAAGGTCGACAACGTACGGCTGCGATAGGACCTCCCATTCGATACTTGGTCCAAAGCCTAGAGCCATGTACTGATACAGACACAAAGGGCGTGAGCAAACGTAGGGCTTGAGAGCCTCGAATGTGTCTTCGACCTTGCAGTGGCAAACCAAGCAGAACTCAGTACAGCGGACAAAGTGGCGAAGGACAAACTGCATGGCAACCAGAGGAAGCGAGACGTTCGTCAGATTCTGTCCATCAGCAGCATCAGCTTTGACGATGTCAGGGAGCGCCTTGCCTGAAGTGTCGTCCGGTAGCATGTAGTCATCAACGGCGAGGTGGTCAACAGCAGATACAGCCTTGCCTTGGACTCCGTAGACGAAGGCTTCGGCGGATGGCCAGTTGGATCCATAAGACTCTCGAAACTTCAAGATTCTCGAAAATCGGTCTCGCAAAAGCTCGTTTAGTGGTGACCCAATGAACAGAGCTTCAAGAGCAGCTCCTTCTTCCGTCTTCACGGCATGGACATGACCAAAAGCTTCGAATGCAGCTTCTCTGCTAGGCTTGTAATGCTCACAAAGAGCCACTCGCATCTCAGTCTGCCCAGACAGAACAGCATCTGCTCGGACTTGCCTAAGATCCCGGTAACCACGAGGGAACCTGATCATGAGAGCGAGGTAGTGAGATCGCCGCAGCCCCCAAGCTTGCATAGCTTCTTCGGAAATACCCAGCCTGGTGACCCTGATTGACACGCAGACGATGCCGCCGGTGAGTAGGTCGCCATGGGTCCCAACTCGGAATCCCGCCTGCTTCGTAGCCCGGAGGTCAGATCGAATTTTCTGAAGGTCAGCAACGCCGCCTAACGACGTTCGCTGATGAGATCCCGAAGCAGCGCCTAAGCCTGTAGTAGAGGCGGGGCGCGTTGAGGGGATATCAAAGCCGAAGTCGTCATCTGAATCGTAGTCGAGAAATTCGTCTTCGAAATCTTCCTCCTCCTCTTGCTCCACGGGGTCGGAAACATCTAAGGCAATGGGGTTGCTAGCCTGACCATGTGTTACTGCTGACAGTAAAGACCGGGAGATTTCGATTAGGGCGTTCGCAAGAGGTTGTCCAATCAGCACGGCAGTCATGGTGTCGAGAGTATTCGTGATGTTCTGGTCGGCGGTCTCATCGTCTGTGAAGAGCATGTATGTGTTGCCTTCCGGATACTCGTCAACATCTGTCATGAGAAGCTTGAGGTTACACGAGCAAGGTTGGTCAGCTTTGGTGTAGGAGAAGATAAATGCCGTCAAGCCTTCATCGGGTGAGTGGATGCCAGAGACGCCGGTGGGAGGGGCGACTGCCACCTCTTCGAGGTGCGAGAGGAAGAGTCGCCGGCCCATGATTAGGCAAGTTGGAGCATCAGACCGTGAACGATGCAGAAGTGGTGGAACGAGTGGGCAAGGCGGAAGAATTCGTGGACAGCATTAAGTAGTAACTTGGCTTCGCAAATAAGTAGCAAGGTAGGTTCTAGGCACTAGCAGAGAGCCAGTCGAAGGCTACTCTCAAACCGAGTCACAGTGAAAGCCGTCTGCAAGTGGGGCAGCAGTAAAAGCACGGAGGCAAAGAGCGACGCAGAGAGGGCATCGGGTTGGTGCGGCGCAATGATCGAGGGAATTCGCGACACAACGGCACTGTCTACGACATCAAGTGTGAACAGGGGGACCAACCTGCCAGTGACATAAAGACCATTCTGAATCGGACTGCAAACGAAACACGAACGACAGTCATAGGCGTAGCGAGGCTGCGGGCGGGGCGGTTGCCTGGCAGCCGTCCCTAGGAAAGAAAGCCAAAGGCAGGTGGACGCCTACTCGGTATCGAGGTGCCTTGTGGGCAATCTCCACCATTTGCAGATCCTGCGAGTGGCCTATCGGATATGCATATCCGCGGCATTCATCCGATGGCTCGTAACGAGACCCTACAATAGCGCTACGGCAGAGACAATATTTGGCGAATCCAATGGTCTGCTCTCAATGTCTGTTCACCATGGCTCGCTCTTGATGGTACCAGTCTTACATGGCCGCTGATCGCCCCCGAAACCCTGATGGCACTTGTCCAGACCACATCGCTGATCCCGGGCAGACGTAGTTCGACCACTGCTACTGCTTAGGTACGCCGCAGGTGTTGCGAGATCCTTCCTGAAAGTGTCAATATGTCCGACTCTGTACTCATCCCTCTATCGGACGCTCGCTTCGACCCTGTCGATTACCTCAACGATATTCTACCATCGGTCAATCTGTCCTCGCAAGCGTCCAACTCAAAAACATCTCGAACAACCCAGTTGCAATCCGCATCCTCCGAGCTCCAGTCACTGTTGTCCAAGCTCAACACTCACAACGTTCGGTCATCCTCCGAACTGACCTCTCTTACGGATGAAATCCTGCGCAGCGGTAATCGTCTGGCGTACGAGGTGGAGATCTTGAGAGGGGACGTGAACAGCTTCTACGACATCTTGACGGACAATCTTAAGGAAGACATTCAACATTTTTTGCGCAATGGGATCACGACCGATGCTGCTGGGCACGGCGAGAATGGTACACAAGTCGCAAACGCCAGCACTGTGAGCGACCCGGCCTTTATTTCACAGCTACAGAGGCTCAGTCAAGTGAAAGCAAGGCTCGAGGCCGTTATTACGTTATTTGGGGAGGCCATGAAGTGGCCTGTCCCCCCTTCCGACCTCTCATCGGCGAATGCTTTAATCTCGGTTTCTGCGCCAGAGCTGGGCATGCAGACGACGGAAGAAGACGACAAAGCGAGGGAAGCTACTAAAAAGATTCGAGTGGAGATACAAGATTTGCTCGAGTCTGATGGTGGTGGACCCGCGGGACTTCAGGCCGCAACCCAGAGAGTAGAGGAATACAGACAATTGGGTGCAATCTGGAAAGGAACCAGCGAAGAGAAGGCAAGAATTCGATTTCTGGAAAGTCTCAGCAAGTTGGTCGAGGATCGCAGAAGGAACCTTGAGGCCAGAGGCATGAGCCAGCGGTCAAGAACTGGCAGTCCCCATGGATCGTCTTCACAGCAAAGCAGACCGGCCAAACAAGATGGAGGTGGGCTGTTTCGGAACTTGGCTCGACTCAAGGATGATCTCTATCTCGAATAGCGACGAGAACGCTCACATCAGCTAGACCTCATACATCCTTGAAGTGTTTTCATTTCTGGTATGAATTTGAGGTATCATGCCTAATCCCTCACACCAGCCGTCGCCGCTGAAATGCGTAATCGTGTTCGACGTTTGTCAATTCCCGTCTCGATCCTCTGCTTCTTTTCCTACGTCTAGAATCTCAAAGGCTGGAAGAACCACTTGTTCTTGCCCGACAGGTATCTCTCCTCAAGCGCCTTCTTGACCTGCTTCTTCGCATCTTCCCGCTGGCTGATCTCCTTGAATGTGTCGTTGTTGATGACGTTCTTCAGGCCCTCGAGTTCGAGAGTGTAGCGCGTGGGCATGATGTGGTTGTAGTTGATCTGCTTAATGAATGGCTTGACTTTCGACCGCTTCTCGACTCGCTTCTTGCCCATGCGGCGGGTCACTTTAGATGGATAGCGCTCGATGCCAGCCACTAGAGCGAAGGAGAAAGGGTGCGCCTTGGTGCCGGAGTCGACGGGCTGGATGATGACGACCTTTACAATATGTTAGCTACAGTTCCAATGCCATGCTCCAGTCGCCGCAGTCTCGGTGTCTTTGCGATCGTGCGCGGCTTTCGATTGGGGTATTTGTCGCACCTTCTTGCCAGCATATCGTCCACGGGTGATGATAGCCACACGGCCGACTTTAAGGAACTTCATCTTGAAGTCGTGGAGGGGATGAACAATCGGCGTGTAATCGTGGTCGCCAAAAGTTTCGAGATTGCAGTCAGAGCGATGCGGACTTGAGCCTGTGTGCGCTAGACGCTTGGCATGGCAGTCTAGTCTGCTTCGGGAGGCCATTCTCAGAATTCGCCAAACCTACTAGATTGGGAAACAGACGCTTGCCAATACAGTTTCAGCCCTAACTGACTGCCCTCGTTGCCGCGCCAACCGCTGTTGGGGTCGTGGGCGCGACTTTGGGGACTTGGGCAGCGGTCCAACCACAGTCGATCCCACCCCGGTCGTCAGATACACAGTGTACACAAGAAGACGACACCTTCATCCTCAATTTGGTATCTCAGAATATCGCATGCGCATAGAGTGTCGAGAATTGAGATGTTAACCTGACATTGGCATACAATGCACATTGTGCTCCGCATCGCTTGATCCACGCATTCCAAATCACAACATTCCACGAGGACGGAGACCCTCGGCCTCGACCATGTCGTCCCGTGACGTTTCTCGCGACAGAGCTGACTCGAGGATGGTCAAACATCAACATTCCTTCTCTGATGTTGCTAAGGGCCATGTACCCATGTGAGTGCTCCGATAATGTTGCGACCCCTCCGCCGCTTACATGCCTACAGGTGGGACAGCTCTGATCCCGAGCGAGCTCCTCCCCCACTACCTCTGAATCCAGGCAACAACAGTCCGGTCACAAGATCAGGCACATCAGCTCGCATCGAAGAAGCTGCTGCTCTCATTCAGGCTAGAGCTCGCGAAAATGCTCCAAGCTCCTACACCAGCAATCCAGCACCAAGTCCCTCGCCCGAAAAGAGTCCCAGCAGGCCCCATCACCGTCGTATGCAAACGATCCAGACTTCCAGCATCAGCAGGCTGAGCGACTCACTGGAACGAAGATCACCGGATAAAGGCCTGAGATCTTCAAAGCATGTCGAGTTTGAAGACCTGAGAAAAAAGGATCGCAGCCCAACGAGAGTGCCCGACTCACCCACGCCTACTCCAAAGCAACTGAATTCAGAGAACACTCCTCCAATGCTGGCCCTTCAGACCATTCGATCGCGGCAGGATGCCCTGCCGCCGCTGAGCGACATCAGCAATGCCGCTACGCCTGCAAACCCGTATTCCTTCGAATCGCTCTCTTCTCAGATTCTTCACATGACAAGTATCGCGACAAATTTGCAGAAAGAAATGACTAATCTCAGTAAGAGAAGCAAGGACAACGCAACCGATCTGCTTAATTTGAAAGAAGCCACCAATAAGCGGGACGAGGATATCCGAGATAGCCTTCGCAACCTCATTTCAGGTCTCGACGGCCGGTTTCAAGGTCCTGAGCATCGTCTACTCGATGGACCAGAGGCATCGCGATCGACTCCAAATCTAGGTCTTTACTTCGACGAGAAACCGCAGACGCCGAGAAAACACTATAGCCTCCCGCGAATAGCCAGCCCATCAAGCTTATCGGCGACACTGGACCGCGACATCACTGCTTCACCTTCTCTGACTTACGTCGATGGAGCCGCCAGCATTGCACTGCTGGAGAAGGTGCTGAGAGAAATGGCCACCAAGGATGGTCAAGAGCGAATCATGGAGATCTTGGACAATGTGAAGTCTCAAGCTCTGGTTCCGGCTTCTGGATCGAATGGTGCATCACAACAACCGTCTTATGACCCGAGAATGATGGCAAAACTGGAGGACATTCTCAGCTCTCTGCATCAGCTACAAGATGATGCGAACAGCAAGACTCTTGTTCGCAAAACCGAGGCCACGAGGCGCGGATCGCAACTCGATGCTGTTTTCGATGCCGATAGAAGAGGCTCCAGCGTGAGTGTCAACTCAGATCTTGCAAATGACGACATCATGAAGATGCTCAAAAGCGTCAAACAATCACTCACGCAAGGTGGCGGCCTTACGAACGAAGTCAAGGCTCTAGTGCGCGAACTCCGGGGCGAAGTACTGGGCATGGGAAGAGAAATCGCGAAGAAGCTCGAGCAAGCCCAGAAAAGTGCTCGTGAGCTTGAGCCCAGTCCCAAGGGTCCAAACCGCGAAGAGATCGATCTCATTGTGGACGATGCTCTGGCCGAGCTGAAAGAGCACATGCATCAGATCGTGTCCAACAATCAACAACAGTCAGCTCGATCAGAGAAGCCAACTGTGGATACGGCCGCGGTTGTCTACGCTGTGACAACTGCTATTGCCGCCATGCCCCGTCCCGAGCCAGTTGAGAGCCGCGACATCGCTGCCGAACGCCACGATATGATTACTGCCGTCAAGGAAGCCTGGGAGGAGTGCAGACCAGAGGTATCCCTCGAGCACCATGGCCTGGAGCGCGACGAGATCCTCGAGACTCTACAAGAGGGGCTCAAATCGTATCACCCAGAGCCTCTGCAACCCACGGTCAACGAAGCTGGAGTAACTTACGATGACGTTCTCGAAGCCGTGCGAAAGGGCATGGCGGACTTTGCACCGCCAAGGTTCGAGTCAGAGGAACCCCAGGTCACGCGCGATGAAATCCTTGCAGCTGTTCGGGAAGTGCTGGAGAATTTCGACTGGCCACCGCCATCGCTTGCACCCTCTTCGCTCAGCACATCTACCGGTCTCAGCAGGCGAGAGGTGGTTGAAGCCGTCGAGGAGGGCATGAAGAGCCAACCTCCCGTCGCCAAAGAGGTCGAGTTCAACAGAGAAGATCTGTTTGATGCCATCAAATCATGCCTTGAAGGCGAACAGAACCCCCTTGGAGGAATGGGAGAGCGTGTGGTCGAAGCAATGCACGAATTTCTAGGCAGCATGAAGAACGAATTCCAGCAGTACTCTGCTGCGAACGGACGTGACACTGAGCAAGTGCTTGATGCGTTGAAAGATGGCCTTGAGGACCTTCGACAGGACGTTCAGAGCTACGTAGATCGTGCTGCTGATGTCACAGGCAAAGAGGAGATCATCGATGTCGTCAAAGCAGGCTTCACTGGTATTCAGGAGGATCTGGAAAGGGGCCTCAGTAACCGCCCTAATCAGCCAGCAGCCACGACACCCGAGCTCCTAGATGCCATGGAGAAAGAGTTTCAGCATTTGAGAGACACCATCAGCAAGTCAATGGTGCGAGACCAGCAAGGTTCAGACAAGGACGACATCTTGGACGCAATTCGCGATCTGAACGACGACCGATCATCGGCGTTGGGCAGCAACATCAGCACAGACGACATCGTCAAGCAAGTCAAGGAAGAGCTTGAACACATGAGAGCCGCCCTGGCGGGTACCTTAGTGTCAGCTGGTGCTTCGCTCCGCCGAGAGGATGTCGTTGAAGCTGTTCGCGAGGGTCTAGAGACCCATCGTGAGGCGCCACGTGGAGGGGATGGAGAGAGCATATTGTCTAATACCAGTGAGCTGCTGGACGCCTTCCAGGACGGAGTCGAGAACATCCGAGCGGACTTGCAGAAGGTTATCGACAGACCTGTCGATTTAACAAGCAGTTATGAGATTCTCGACACTCTCAAGATCGGCATTGAAGATGTTCGTGCGGACATCGGTCGTCTGCAAACCAAACAGGACAGCGATAGCGAGCCGGCCAACCCTCAAGACCGAGCAGTCGTTGTTCATGATGAAAACAAGATCTCAACGGAAATCGAAAGCCTCAAAGTCATGATCACACAGTTGCGCATCAAGGTTGAAGCTCTCGATACTATGGGTGTACCGGCTCCTCAGGTAGAGGTTCCCACCGAGATGCACATCCACAAGGATGATATTGATGAACTTCACGTCGCTCTTCAAGGTATCCATACCACCGTCCGTGAAGTTCGCGATGCCCCGCCTCCCGTTATGGAGGCTGCAATGCCACCAAACGCTGCTTGCAAGGAAGACACGGATGCTATCGAGACTCTTTTGCGAAATATGAAGGCAACTGTCGATGATCTGATCTCTCCCGGTATAGACTCGGCAGCGAAGACCGAGACACTGGCTGCCATGGAGGAGACTCTTAGCGAGATCAAGATCGCGGTCGAAGAAGCAGCTACCCGACCTACTGAGAACAATGATAGCGTTGACTTGGAGCTGATGCTCCTGACTGTCAAAGACATCCAAAAAGCAGTCGAGGAGATGCAAGAAAAGATGAGTGGTCTTGCAACTGAGGGCGGTCCACTGTCTAAGGCAGATGTCCAGGTCGTTGAGTCTCTGTGCGGCGATATTAGGACACAGGTCGAAAGTCTTCCGCTACCGGATCCCGCAACACTCCCGACGAAAGATGAAATCTTCGAGATCAAGGAAAACATTCAAGCTTTCAAGCAACAGTACGAAGCTGATAATGAGCTGACAGCTCAAGCTTTCGAAGCTAGAAAAGTCGAGCATGGTGGCATTGCCAGCAAGGTCGACGACGTCAAGACAGTTCTCGGTGATCTACGAGACGAACTTATGTCGAAGCTGGATGGGAGCGAAGAGGGAATTGTTGAGCTCAACAAGGTCCTTGGAATGCACCATGACGGTATGAGTTCTTATGCAACCGCTGAAAGCATCAATGAGCTATCTGAACTTGTCAAGGCAGAGTTTGCCAAAAACATGGAGGCTAGCACGACCATGAAGACTGACAGCGAAGAGAAGTCATCAACCCTGTTCTCCAAGCACGATGAGACTAGCTCTGAGATTAAGGCCGTGATCGAAGAGAAGTTCAACGAGCTGATGACGAAGTATGACGATGCTCAGCAGTCCAACGAGACTAAGATGGGCACTTTCGAGGAAGCAAGCAGGAGCCAAGGAGAGGCCGCTGCCGACGTCAAGAATGCGGCGGCTGAGGTCAAGACTCTTCTGGATGTCCTGGGTTCGACAGTCACAGATACATGTGAGAGGATCTCCGAAGACTCGAAGACTGTCTTTGAAAAGGTGGATGAATCATCGACCAGAATTTCCGACCTTCATATCGCGAATGCTTCAGAGCACGGCCAGACTCGGGAAGAGATCACAAAGGCTGTTGATGCCGCACTTCGACTCGAAGGCACGGTTGCCGAAAATCAACCTGCTGTCCTTGGTGCCATCAAAGAGGTTCTCGACGCTGTCACTCGCCACTACGAGCACTCCCAACAGCAGAGCGAGACATTCACTCAGACCACTGAAGAGATCAAGACTGGCGTCAGGTCCATTCCAGAGTCCTTCCCCACTCTTCTGCCTGCTCCCGCAAGTCCGGTTCGCGAATCCCCGCCACACGAGAGATACGACGATTCGCAGGTGCACGATAAGCTCAACAATCTCATCTCGCACGCAGCACTTGCGAAGGAGATGTATGCAAGCATCGAGTCCCATCAGAAGACCACTCAAGAGAGATTGGGCGACATGGACAAGCTTGAGAAGCTTGAGAAGCTTGACGAGATTCACGGTCATGTCGTCGCCGCGGCTAGCGAGATCTCGTCAATGGTCGCCACACAAAGTAGACTCATGGCTGAGCACCACGAGTCAAAGACTCAGGCCGCGACCGAGGCCGCTATTGCCTTGGAAAAGCGGAACGCTCAGAAAGAGCAAGTTGAGGCCGAGATCGTTGGCCTGCGGCGCGAGAAAGAAGAGCTGGCTGCGTCTATGCTAGCTCTACGGAAGGAACATGAGGAGCTTAGTAGCCAGACCAAGAGACTGACTCGCGATGTCGCGAAGCTGGAAACTGCCCTCGGCATTCGTCAAGAGGAGATGCGCGACATGAATAACCGTGCTGAAACCTTGGAGCGCCGCATATTCGAAGGACTCATGAACCATGCCCGCACGATTCGCGCTGGCAAGCCCGCGCATGCCAAAAAGATCTCACCGCAAGAGCGTGACGCCTCGATGTCGCTCAAGCGCGTCCCAAGCTCCGCCTCCAGTACTGTCACAACTAGAGCACCTCCAAAAGAGCCTCCAACCATCGGGTCCGCTGTCGGCATGACGCTTAAGAAGAGAACACCCCTAGGCTCAGGCGCAAATTCCATTTCGGGACGCCAGTCCAACGTCGACCGACGCATCCTCAGCACCAGCCATGTCACGGGCCGCAGCACACCCGATCGTGGCGCGCTCGTCCTAGCTCCGGCTCCGAAGGCGAGCAGTGGTTTCATCGGCCTCAAGCGTAGCCAATCTGTCAAGAGCAATCCAAGCATGTACGCCGGGAGCCGGAAGCCGAGCTGGAACGGAGTCATGACCACCACAGCAGACAAGGAGAACCATGGCGATCTTGCTGAAGAGGCGATGATGAGCGGTGATGATGATCTTAGCGACTCCGGCACCGAGCGCAGAACGAGCATTGCAAGCGGCACAAGCTACATGTACACCGACAGTCTTGCATACGGCACAGGAAGTGAAGTCAGCACGAGTACCAGCGGCAGGAGAACGACCAGTTACGCTAGTAGCATCGGCGGGACAATCAATGGCCAGACCGAGTCCATCGCCGAGGAGGATGAAGAGGATGCCGAGGCGGGGCAGAGTGCGGCCGAGGAGGCTGCGCTGACACTGGCCGAGCCGCAAGACAACATACAGGCTGGCAAAGACAATTCGATGGCGCTTACAACGCTGGATGGAGTCATGGACGAACCCCACCATCCAAACACTTTCGACGCCGTCGATTTCGCCAACAACGAGGCACAAGCGGCTGCAAACCATGATGAAGACGCAGCACTGGCGCTTGAGTTGGCGCCTCCGCCGACCTTCACCGAAAACGCAGGAATGAAATACGGCGGCAGTGACATTCACGGTAGTGACAGCGGACTGGGCACCGAGCCACCAACTGCGACAGAAGAGAGACCTCACGGTGAGGCGGAGGAATACTTCGCCATGAGCAAGGCCGACGGGGTCGGCGTGCAAGTTTGAGGGGGCAAGTAAAGAGTTTTCATGACTTATGCAACGTTTGGTCTTTGGATGTGATTCGTGGCCCGGGTTTTACAGCGTTCAGGCGTGTCTAGGTAGCAAGCAGTTGTTTTGAGAGGGTCCTCGAACTGGCATTGGTCAGTCATGAGCTGGCTATTTTCATTGTACACTCCCCACAAGGATCTCATAGCCTTGAATCATTATCTTTCTAAGCAATACCTTTCGCCAAGCGGACACTTATATTTGTGCTTGATACAGACCTCCGAAAGGGTAACGAAGTACAAATAAGGTCACGTGGTCGGCTGAACGTCTCAGGTGTTTCGTTGGCGGTGTAACATAGTAGCGTGCAAGCAGTAGTTTTCCTTCTTCGTTCGCGATCCTTGTGCTGGGTGCAAACGACAACAAGGCATCGATGGAGTCAAGTGCCAAGAAATTTGCCTCATGCAGCCAGCACCACAGTCGGAAGCCACTTCGCTATCACAGCACTCAGGACACGACACAATTTGAAAAGTCCGTCATCCGATCACAATAAAGACTCGCAGATCTGTTCACTTTACTGATATCAACAAAGGTGTGTGATTGTTCAAGCCTTGTCAGGGACAAGTGGGGCACCAACAGGCTCAGGATGGCCCACAACCATAGCCATAACCACGACCATTATGATGGACATGGCCACGATCACGGAGACCACGATCATTCACACGACCAAGAACCTGCTCTACAGTCTAATCTTTACAAACAAATCAACTTCGATGCCATCACCACACTGAACGAAGAGGTGCCCCGCTCCGGAGCCGCTATCGTCCAGAAGCCTTGGACTGACCGCCTCAACGACGAGCCGATTCTGAAATCCGACGCTGATGAGCAGTTGCTGATGCACGTTCCTTTCTCGGGCTCTTGCAAGATCTATTCCATCATAATCCGCACCTCGGACACGCCTTCCGCGCCCAAAACGCTCAAACTCTTCCGCAACCGCGACGATCTCGACTTTGGCGCGGCTGCTGACCTCAAAGCGACGCAGACGCTCGAGCTGCCGAGAACCAGCGAGATTGCCGAGATTGCCCTCAACCGAGCGCAGTGGAACATGACCACCTCGATCAACCTGTTCTTCGAGGACAATCATTCCAATGGCGAGGAAGATGTGACGACCATCAGCTACCTGGGCTTCAAGGGGGATTTCATGGCGTTGAATCGCGAGCCCGTCAATGTGCTGTATGAGGCAGCCGCCAACCCCAGCGACCACAAGATGATCCAGGGTCTGACCAACACCAACGCGTCAATGCCCGGCCAGTGATGCTGCCGCCGTGACTGTCACAAATAGTCGTAGCAATAGCAAGACCATAGCTCTGCATGAAATGTACCACCAGCAGCACTAAGCCGCCTCCAACGCCACCCTCCTCTCCTTGGCCCTCTCTCTCTGTCTCTGCCTCCTCTCCTCCTCCGTCCCCTCCACCGTCCGCTGCGGCACATCCGGCAACTCCCCCTCCACCAACACCGTGCCCCCCGGCGCCTCCGGCAACCCCACCACCTCCCTCTCCAACGCATCCAGCTCCTCCTCCACCTCATCCTCCTCGGCATTACTCATCCTCCCCGCCAACGCCTCCCCCATCTCCCTCACCGCCTCCCTCTGCTCCTCCACATCCCCCATCAACCGCTCCACGCCCTCCACCCCGCCCATCTCCCGATTGATCTCCTTCAGCACGCTGGTGCCCTGCTGCAACCCGAACAGCACGTCCTTCTGCACGAGCGCGAACTCGACCGAGCTCGTCAACTGCTCGAGCTGTTCCAGCTGCGCGTCCGTGCGCGACAGCAGCGTCTCTTGGTATTTCTTGCGCCGCAGCGCCAGGAGCGCCGCGGGCTTGTTGTTTTGCGCCAGGCACTGTCGCGCCACCTCGGTCTCGCGGGATGTGATGGTCGTTAGGCGGCGCTGGTAGCGGTGTAGGGCGTCGCGTTGGTTTTTGAGGTCGAGGATCGCCCTGCGGTTTTGAGCGGGTATGTCAGTACAAACCGGGCAGACACAGTGTGGTGAGGGAGTCATGAGTGGGGGAGGTGGCCTACTTGTCCTGGGCGGAGATCTTGCTGCTTCCTTGACCCATGGCGTTTGCATGGCGGTGAGAAGTGTATGCGCGAGGGGGGAGGTAAAAAGTTATGGATTTATGCCATACTGGCGACAAACCTGGGATTACTGGTGGGAACCCGCACGTGCCTTGGAAAGGTGACGATTGCGGCCGCGGGTAGATCCGCCGCAATTTGGGTTGACGGCTTCAGCCTCGTGCAGCCTCGTCGCGATTGCGAGCGTTTTGACGTTTAGAACGAAAAAGCTTCCCAAGACATCCATCCGAGCGTTTTCTCCATGGCTGTCCGGAACAGCAGTCGTTTCAATGTTTGTTCCAGTCTCTGGATCCGGAGGGAACTCGAACTCGGACTGCCGTCTGCAACAAAACATGATCATCACGCTTCTGCGCGGTTTTTACTGACACGACAAGCTGGCGACCGGACGCCGCGCTGCGATAATGGGCACTTATTGCGAGCATACAGCACTCTGTGGGAGATCTGTGGAGGAGAGCAAGATTGGTTATTGGCCCACTGCGAGCAATTTTGAGCTCAAAGTATCCGTTGGCAACCCTTCAGAGCTAATGGCACACCTTAATAACCCCGTGCTGAAGCATATCCTGCATATCCTGCATCTGCTGCCATCTTGGTGACTGGAGCGTCTGCTGCGCACCTGAGGGTGTAAGAAGGTGATGTATCAAGGCAATGAAAAGCTGCTTTTACGGATCCACCATACGTCCGACCGGTTTCAAGCGCTTTTGCCTCTGTCTTGTCCGTTCTGACCCTGGCCAAGACCGCCAGTCTCGGTAGATATTCCCGCCGACTCTGGCTGAAGCAACGAATTCTCGAGGCCGATCTTGCTCATGGCGGTGCCCAAGACCTGCTCTGCGTGCATCCCCGCATCAAGGTGTACAGCGCCCATGATTGCCTGGACAACCGATGCCATCATCTTGTCGCTCACTGTGGTCGTACCGCCGGAAAAGACGGCAGCCTTGTCGATGCCAGCGCTGGTCCCGATCTCTCCCAAGTTCTTGCTTGCCAGTGTCGTGCTGCGGATATCGGCCCAGTCGCCTAGAAGTTGTCAGCTCAAGGCGAACAGCAACATGTGACGGAGGGGGTAGGAAGTCGTACCGAGAGTCCGGTCCGTGTCGAGCCATTTGGCACACATCAGCTGAGTCATTGCGGTGTCGCCATAGGTAGCCAGTCTCTTGTTCGGCTTGATGATTGTTCCGTGAAGGATGTGGTTGGTGCCGGAGGCGTTCAGTGCTGAAGCACAAAGCGATTTGTCGTTGAACTGATAGCCCAGGATCTCCTCGCATTGTGGTACGTTCTTCTCAGGGAAGATAGACATGGTTCCAGACTAGATGGTGTTCGACTTTGTGGTGTTGGAGCAGCGGATGCAAGTTGTCAGGCTGGGAAAGTAACAGACAGACTGTTCTTACTGAGGGGGGCTGGCTGTGAATGTGATTGATGCGTCACAGGTCGAAGAAGTGGGGCCGTTATGCAGAGTGGTGTGTTTGCTCCAGCCAAACCCTGCAGTCTTCTACCTTGGGAGACTCAGCCTTATAGCTCTCAGAGCTGTGCAGTGGTTGAAGGCCAAGCTCTGCATACATGGTACGTTAATTGTGTTTACTGTAATTGTCCAACTGTGCAGCCTTCCTGCCAGGTCTGAGCCACAAGGCAACAGCTCCACTAGCAGCTGCCATACAAAGTACTTGCCAGTAGCCACCCAAGTAACATGCCAGTTGGCGACTGCCCTTGCATAGGTGACAACAGCATACTGATGCCGACCGAGCCCTTCATTTCCTTGACAATGTCGACTTAACGATGTCGGATTATCGATGTAGAGATGCCTAGCGAGAACTTTGTGATTGGCCCAACCTCATTCGGGGCACTCGTAAGCTTTTCCGTTTTGGGAATGCTACACGGTTCAGCTAACAGCTAACGAAGGAGCATACAACGTGAAACCATTTCCAGACGATGAGACCTTCGGGCCTTGTGTGAGCGGATACAAAAACCAAGGACAAGGCGGAAGTCCGATGCAGTGTGGCTAGCCACATCTACCGAGTCCGTCGTGGGCATACACGAAACGTCCAGCCTACGGACCGCCGAGACTTTCCCCACCAGGCAAATCAGGCAACACCGCGATTTTTGTTCTAGACGTTAACTCAACAACCTCTGAGATAGATCGCCACTTAGACTGTGCGCACCTGCTCGTAAATCACTCTGTCAATTATCCAATGAGAATTTCGCTAGTATCCAGCGCCGACGACCGTTTATATACATTCATCAACAGCTTTGGCCGTCCTCGTCATCAGAGTCTGAGGCTCAAGCTGGATCCTTCCAAGGGACTGACATAGAACCGCGACGCCACTAGCGTCGGTGTCTGTCTGCATATGCCACAGAACTCTCCGTTCCGGTGGTGGAACTTGCGGCGACGGCGGAAGACTCGGTGATGGAAGTCCCTGTTACGGAGCTGGAAGACACTTGGCTTTCTGAGACTTGGCTGTCGCCCTCTAAGGCACCGCTGGTGTCGTCATGGACATCGCTACGTTCTTCAGCGTCGCTGCGTGAACGCGACCTGCTCCGGCGGCGCATCTCATTCTCCTGTGCCTCTTCCTCCGCGTCGTAGTCCCTTGCCTTAGCCTCCTCGAGCGCCACCTCCATCGTACCTTGTAGCCCCAAAGCCCTAAAATATTGCTTGGCTCGAGCGATGGCGTCCTCACGCCGTTGATCCGTAATGTCAGACCAGTGATTGTGTTGCCAAGTCTTGAGATTGGTGTGAGGCCAATCGATGTGGACGACGTTGGCGCCTGCGTTGAAACCCTCGTTGGGGCGGTCATGGAACCTCATGGGGTGTATATAAGGATCGGGACTGCGGCCCTCGGCAATATCGCGATCGTACTGCTCCAAGAGCCAATCACTGAGGGGGTCTTCGCACAGTGGGTGCGATCGGAGAAACAGTTTGCTGTGCCATTGGTTTCTCCTGATGACGGTGCCGTCGGGGAGTTGCTGTTCGGGCAGGTGACAGAGGCACTTGGCGTAGATGTGCTCGGTGTCGCAGGTGCAGTCGATGTTGAGGTGCGGTTCCTCGGTTTTATGGCCGCTGTGGAGGATCTCGAACTCGCGCTTCTGGCAGACCCAGCAGACCCAGTAGTACCCGAAGTGGACGTGGCACATCGTGGAGGCTGTAAGAAACAATTCCCGACAATTGGAATGTGCTTTTCGATGATTGACTGTTTGGGCGGCTGCCAGTTTCTGCTTTTATGAAAGTGGAAAGTCCGATCCACACCTGAGGCTTTATACAACTGAGAGAGATGATGACCCAGTCAGAAACAGCAGCCATGCAAACGATGAAGTGCTGGGTCGAGTTGAACTCATGACTGCAATTTGCCAGTGTTTGGCGCACTGTGTCACCTTTGTCGCCAGGTCATCCCCGCGAACATACTGTTCACAAAGCAGACAATCTTGGCTATCAGAGTATCGACTCAGAGTCGGTATCTGAAGCCAAACGTCTTCCAGTCGGTCACATCGTCGTAGTCCTCAGCCTGTAGCTCGACCTCGCCAGCGTGCTCTGCCAGGTTTCGTCCATCATCAACGTCTGCCAATTTACCACCTGCGACGATGCCCCCGGCGCCGGAGCTGCCCTTGACGCCCTCCAGCTTCTCCCTTCGATGGTTCATATACTGAAGATAGAACCTCAGGATCACAGCCAGACCGACGACGAGCGAGTAGCAAACCAGGATTGCGCGGAACGCGGTGTTATAGTGAGGTGCCTCCGAAGCGTGAAAGAATTGTGGTCCGGCAATGTTGCCGGCGCAGTATGCGATGAACATCATGGCCGTCATGGTCATCTTCTTGGTCACGCCTTTGTAGTTGGCGCCAACCAAGGACATGAGTAGAGGGATCCCTCCTGGCCCTGTCGATAACAGGAAATAGCCGAATAGTTGGACACCGGACGAGGTTTTCGGTCGTACATAGATAAGGGAGCTGCCAACCACGGCAGGAATGACCACACAGACAATGAGGATACAATTCATTTGGCGAAAACGTCCGGCTAGATAGCCCGTGCCTGAGATTGTGGCAGCCGATATGACGGATGCGGGGATGACGAGAAGTGTGGACTGGAGGGACGTAAAGCCAAAGGACTTCAGAACGAGGTTTCCAAAGTTCTGTGCTAAAAACACGGAAGAGCATGAATCAGTAACCGTGTCCAGAATAGGATGTAGGAGAAGGAGGAGGTTCGGGTTTTGAGCGGGACAACATCTACCGGGGCTTGACAAGATTGACGGGCAGGATCCTCGGTGTCACAACAGATCACGACCAGGTCTCTGCTGAGAGTCTATGAGCCTGCTCGTTAATCTTGTCGCTCCCTCGTGGTCGTCAAGTCAACGCGCAATAGGGCTTGCTTGGGACCCTGCTTGAGGCGCCCGAATAGCAAGAAGAGCAATATATGGAGGCTTTGAGCCTCACAGGGCAATGGGAAACTTACTGCCACCATTTGGAATCTGAGTCAGCAAGCTCATGCTGAAGATCATCCAAGTCTTTGGGTCCATGAGACATTCCAACGCTTGTTCCTTGCGCCACGTAGTGTTCTCAGTTCTTCCCGTGCCAGCGATCACAACACGATCAGCTGCGTACTTTCGTTCTTCTTCGGTGAGGAACTTGGCTTTGCTGATGCTGTCCGGTAGGAACACGAGCAACGGTATAGCCCATACAAAGGTTGCCACGCCAAGGATGATGTACATCCACTGCCAGGGCCTGAGCGGGTACTCAATGTGGCCGGCACCATACGCGACAAAGCTGGCTACCAAGCCGCCAACGGAGTTCCCGGCAAACCAGATGCCAGTTCGGGTAGGGATCTCGTCTCTCAAATACCAGGTCGAGGTAACGAACATGAACAGAGGTGTGATTGTGGCTTCTGCCACGCCCAAGAGGAATCGAACGGTGATAAGGCCGCCATAGTTGGTGCAAGCGGCTGTCAAAGCCACGACGACGCCCCAGAAGAAAGTGTTGGCAACAAGATACTTTGCTACGGGGATGCGTGCGATGATGAGTGTTGTAGGGTATTCCCAGAAAAAGTATCCTGGAGCGAGAGTCAGCAGATATAGACTCCGTCATCAGGCGCGCAAAACCCACCGAAGTAAAAGACCGAGGCAACCCAGGAGTACTGCTGGCCAACGAGGTTCTATACAGCGTTAGTACAGCTCAGGTAGTGGACCGACATGTCACTTGCAGTGTCTTCGCGTAGGTGGAAGACGGAAGCGGACGACAAGATGGTCTTGTCCATGAAGTTGAACATATAGGTGATAAAGAGCAAGGGCATCAGCCTTCTGTCAATCTTGCGAAGCACCCGCTTCGCCATGGCGGCGTCGCGCTCATGTTCGTGGTTGACTTGTACCGGCGCCGCAGCAGCCATCGATACATCCTTAGAAGCGTCCATGTCGTTACGATAGGCACCAAATGTCACAGCGTCCAGATCTAAAACATTTCAGAGGCAAGAGGCTTGCCTTTTAGAGCGGACGGCACACGCGCCCAATTCCGCGACGGTGCAACATCGCAATCGTCGGTCGCATGATCGTCGAACGGGAGGCTGGCAGCTTATCAGACCTCGCAGGAAGAAGCGCGTTGAATGCTTGCTTGTTAGGGCGTGGATCGTGCCCACACCCGGGTACACGGCCCTGTCTCGGTGGTGACAGACTCTGTGCGCGGGAAGCTGGTGGGGAAGCAGATCGGCGCCTTACCGTCTTGTCGGAACACGCCGTCTGCTTTACAAGAGGGGCGAAATCAATCAGGATGCTGGTGCATTGAGCGCGTGTCGCCCAAGAGGTGGCGTAGAATCAGTCTGCTCTCGCAAAGGTGACGAGTAGTCAGCATGTAAGAGGTGATCTCCAAGCAAGCCTGGCAAAGCCTGGCAAAGCCTTTCTGACAATGGGTGGTGGCGTTCCACGGCAAAGCTTGGGGGCTCGAAGTTTTCTAGGCATGGGAACCTGGCATTTACAACGGCTGGAGATGGCCGCCCAGGGTGCCCTTCGCCAAACAGCCGGCAGCGTTTCCATCAATACAACATGGCCAAAAAACGCTTCCTATATCGGCCCCCGTAAATTGCCAAACAATTTCAACACCTATAAGCCCGCATTAAGCCTTGGCCGTTGCAAAGAGGTCATCCCGAACCCCGGCGGTAAGATGAACGGCCTTGAGATCTCACCGTTCATTCGCTCATTACCGAAAGTCGAGCTGCATGTCCACATTGAAGGAACGCTGACGCCGGCACTGCGCTGGAAACTCGCCAAGCGGAACAACGTCCCGCTCAAGTACGCGACCTTTGAGGAACTTCTTGACTCGTACAAGGTCACATACAACCACCGGAAAGAAGTCAACGGGGACGATGGACGCCCTACCTTTCTGGAGGCTTACTTCGCTGGCTGCCAGGTCTTGTGCACCGAACACGACTTCTATGAGCTTGGCATGGCATATCTGGAGCGATGTAAGGAGATGAACGTGCGGTATACAGAGCCCTTCTTCGACACGCAAGCCCACACCGAGCGCGGTATCCCGGCAGAAGTCGTCCTGGACGGCTATTTACGGGCTCAGCAGGAGGGCGCCAAACAGTTCAACGTGCAAAGCAATTGGATCTTCTGCTTCCTGCGAGACCGACCATTTGAGGAGGGCATGGACGCCTACGAGGCTGCCCGGCCCTGGGCCAGGGTGCCAGGCGGCAAGGGTCTCTTTCATGCCGTCGGCCTTGCATCGAATGAATTCGACAAACCACCCCTGCTCTTCGAGACGGCCTTCCTCAAAGCCAAACAGGACGGCCTCTACGTCACGATGCACTGCGACGTCGACCAGAAGGATGCGGCCGATCACGTCCACGAGGCCATATTCGACGTCTGTGCCGGGCAGGGCGCGGACAGGATCGACCACGGCCTCAACGCCATCGACCGGCCCGAGCTGCTCCAGGGTCTGCGGACACGGAAGATCCCCTTGACCCTGTGTCCGCACGCATACCACCGACGCCAGCAGACGGAGGTGCTGTTTCCCAAGATAACGAAACTGCTCGATGCGGGCGTCCAGATCTGTATCAACAGCGACGATCCGACGTACATGCACGATGTGTGGATAGATGGGAACATGCAGAAGACGTACACGTACTGTGGCTTGTCCCAGCGCGACATGGTGCGGCTGGCACGCAATGGCGTCGAGGCAAGCTGGGCGTCGGACGAGGTCAAGTCTAGACTGAACCAGGAGCTAGATGCAATAGAAATTGAATGAGCTTCCTCACCGTAGCAGTTCGATGATTTTGTCGTTGACCTTGCCCTGCCCAATGCCGGAGCATGCGAATCACAGGCAGTGAAAGCTTGGCAATGACCTCCCCCTGTCCTCACGAGTCACCTTGACATTGGAACCGTAAACAAAGCACTTTTATATCTCGATCGTCTCGTTGCTTGCGCAGCGGCGCTATATCTCTGACTGTCGGCCCCCAAAGCTTCGGGTGCATATATCATCACTTCGAAAAGCTTTCAGGTCCACATTGCAGATGAAGAGGCTCGGTCTTTAATGAATTTTTGCGATTATTCTCGCTTCTGGCGGTCGACTTTACTGTGGCAGAGAGATACAATGTCAAGATTGGGTATCTCCGGACCCCACACTACACTCTCTTCAGCACACCCTTCTGCACCTTGACCCTCGCCAGCAGCACACACAAACTGCTGACGAGCGCGACGCCTCCCGCATAAAAGATAGCCGGCCTGTAGAGACTGATGGTATGTCCTTTATCTGCACCGGTTGCTTGTAACAAGTAGCCCGCGATCGGCGTTCCCAGCAAGTATCCCGCCATCCAGCCCGTGGTGTTCATACTCATAGCCATGGCGGCGAGGCCTGGCCCTGCCATGAATGCGACCGTGGTCGGCACCGCCACAAAGAAGCCGCCGTTAGACACCCCGTTGAGTATCGCAAAGACGACCAAGGGCGCCAACGAGTTCGAGACGGGCCAGATGGCGAGCATGCTGACCGCGTTGATGGCCATGGTGAGGAGAAACGTGTTCATAGGGCCGATACGGTCGCACACCCAGCCCGCGCCGATGCGGCCGGTAGCTGCACAGGCCTGAAAAGCCGACACCAGGGCGGCCCCCGTTTGGGTCGACAGTCCGGCTGACTGTGCGAAGAGCGGGAGAAAGAAGGGTGGCACGAAGAGGGCAAAGGTCCCGAAAGCCGCGGCCACGAAAATGGCGACGAAAGGCAGGTTCTTGAACATGCTGAATTCCACGAGCCGCGTGTTGGTCGGCGGAGTCCGCTCCTTGACGAGGTATGCCGCGGGCAGACCTGTGGCCAGAGTCATGAGGCCGAGGATCCGGAACATCCACGCCGTACCGACTCTATCGATGAGGCTTTGCAGAGTGACGGAAAGCACGGTGGCCCCGACGCCGCCGCCGAACTTGACGATACCGTTGGCCAGACCAAGTTTGCTGGAGAAATATTGTGGCGGTATGGAGTTGGCAACCGCGTAGACCAAGCATGTTCCGATACCAAACATGACGCCGATCAGTGAGAACAGCCCGCCAATATTTGAGGTTGTGAAGCCGGCGGCGATCTCACCCAGCCCGATGAGTAACATGCCCATCAGCGCGGCATAGCGGGCTCCGACGATAGCCATTAGGCGAACACACAAGAGGCCAAAGGCCACGCAACAGCAAAGGCTGAGGGAGCCGACAAATGTGATGGTCGAGGTTGGTGTGCCTTCTAGAGAGGAGGAGAGCAGTGCTGTTTGTATGACGCCCCAGCTGCCGGAGAAGCCATTGAACCAGAAAGTCATAAGAGAGCAGGAGCCGACGACGACCCATCCGTAGCCACCATCTGGGATTGCGGTCGTGACATTGGTTGAAGTTGGCTCTGGCTCGTTGGGTGATGAGGAGATGATGGCTTCTTCGGATTGATTGCGGCCTGACACAGGTCCTTGGCTTCCTGAGTCGGCGGTGAGATATGTGCGCAGCTGGATCGTCTGAGTCGACGACATTGTGCTCTTGGAGATGGTAGACCTGTCTATCACAATCAAAATGTAACAAAGTGAGTGCATCTATATAGGTAAATAGGCGTTCCCCGCCTGGCCACATCGACCATAAGGCGCGCTGTACGCTTGATGTACATGGAGGGCGCAGTCGGACATGACTTCCGCTGCGGAAATCCGGTTAGTCATGGTTTCTATCAACCTTTGATGCGAGGATTCTGTTGTTAGCAAAGACGAGAGGCATCTCTTGCGACGTTTTCAGCTTCACGTCAAGCGCACATCAGGAACCAGCCCTGACGTGACGAAGGGTAGGCTCCCAGTCAATGCTTTAGGCTGGAAGCGGTCTTCTGGTTGGATTGAGGTTCTTCCAGTGGCATGCACCTCGCATTCGGACATGAGCGATACAGCTTGCGACAATACAAATCATGTAAGTGAGGGTAGGTAGCTTGGGCTAGAATTACATCGGCGTGCACAAGCCAAGCCTTAATTGCCCTTCGAGACCTTAATCTTAAGCACGCTGCCCCTCCATCCCGCTTCTCACACGATCCTTTTGCGCTGTGATATCCTCGTGAAGTCTTGAAGTGCCACTGCATAAGATCCAGCCTTTGCCAAAGACAGTCTGCATCAGTCATGTCTCCCTCCGTAGCAAATCTAACAGAAGGTCTCTCGGAAGAACAGATACGCTTCTTCTGGGATAACGGCTATCTGCTCATCCCCGATTACCTATCCTCCTCACAATGCAGCACGCTCCTCTCCCGTATCGAGCAGATGCTCGCCGACTTTCCCCTGAAAGATCACCCAATGACCAAATTCGTCACCGGTCAGGATGTCGATGGGACAAATAATGGCGAGAAGCACGTGGGCGATGACTACTTCTTGAGCTCCGGGGATAAGGTGCGCTTCTTCTTCGAAGAGGACGCTTTCGACCAGTCAGGTGAACTTCTGAAGCCAAAAGAAAAGGCCATAAACAAGATTGGACACAATTTGCACGGACTCGTAGACGAGTTCGGCCAGGTCAGCCATGCAGGTGAGACCGGAAGAAAGAATGCTGCAATTGCGCGGGATCTTGGATATAGAGATCCGCGACTATTACAGAGCATGGTAATTTGCAAACAGCCCGAGATCGGTGGCGCAGTGCCTCCTCATCAAGACTCAACCTTCCTCTACACAGATCGGCCGAGTGCGGTAGGTTTCTGGATCGCCTTGGAGGATGCTACGAAAGAGAATGGCTGTCTAAGCTTCGCGCCCGGCAGCCATCGACGAGCTCCAATCAAGGAGCGGTTTGTGAGAAACAAGGACAGCACTGGCACCACTTTCGACAAGGTTGAGGGCGACCTCCGGTGGCCTTGCGCGCTCGACTACGAAGAGGTGGATAAGCAGGAAGAGTACGTGCTAGGCGAAGTCACGGCTGGCACTCTGGTGTTGATACATGGCAACATTCTTCACAAAAGCGAGAAGAATACTAGCCAGAAGGGCAGGATGATCTATACTTTCCACTGCATCGAAGGCGAAGAAAAGTACGATGATCGGAATTGGCTTCAGATACCTGGGGGACCGTCAGCTTTCACCAAACTGGACGGCGTGGCAACATGACCGGCCTGAAGTGTCTCGCAGTTGCGCGCACCTCCATGCTCTCAATAATTCAGCCTCGCGTCTCATGGCGCAAAGATGCGTCCGGTCTATTCATACCAGGTTCCTAGTCATGTCGAGCGAAAAGACGCCTTACCGAGGCTCGGATTGCACATCTCGCCTTACCTAGTACGTATTCAAGGAAGAAGCCAGCGCAACTCTTTACGCAGGATCCTCCCTTCTTACGATCATGGTCAAACTGGCACGCAGCCGCAATCGACAGATCGCTGTCAGCGCAGACGCCACATAGAGACCCACATCGTTGGGAGCAGCGGCACGTTGATGTGCTACCACAAGGGCTCGAAGTATCGTCCTCCAAACGAAGTAATTACCGCTGCAAGTGTTGGTACCCGCAGGCTGGGCCGTGGCTGGTCTACTGCAGCAGGGTGCAGATTTTACCGACCAGTGACGAGGCTTGGGACAGGAAGCTGGAGAGCTTGTCAGGCTGTGACGTTTCCGATCAATACCAGGACTGGCGAGTCCAGACTCGAGATTGAACACGAGGCTGAATGTCAAAGGTATCGCTCTGGATGTCCATCGTGAAATCTTTTTGAGTGCTCAGGCTTCTGCCACCCACCCCACTCCTTGTTGCGACACATAGATATCGCGAAGATGGTAGCACCAGAAGCCAAGTATAACGTGTTGAAGTCCCCTCTCCCCGCACGTAAATGCCGAGATGGAGAAGACGTGATAGCCTGCCCAGGCCGGTCAAGAACCATGGCACCACGCCGATGAAACGCTGTTCTTTTCGAATGCCATGCTCTCGACGGACTACTCGTCTCTCTTGTCTCTGGAGAGCTGGTAAGAGCAGCCGGATATTCGGCGTACTGTGAAATGTATAGCATACGGTGTAGAGCAGCGGCGGGCCGCTACACTCGCCATCTCCGAGTTTCTCCAACACCTTACACAACACTCTCACAGCCAGCGTGCATCGCCCTGCTCAGAAGTGCCCCACAAAAACGACAGTTCTCATTCACTCAATCACCCCAGAGGAGCACCAGTGGCAGCAGCAGCAGCAGCAAGAGCAGTCGCCGTCCCGAGTTCTTCCCCACCGCCACGGCCGCGGTGTCGGACCTCCACAACGGCATCACAATCCTCAGCCAGGGCTTCGGCCTCTGCGGCGTGCCGGAGACGCTGCTGGACGCGATCCGCACGCGCGACCTGCGCGATTTGACGGTCGTGTCCAACAATGCCGGCGCGCGCGACTGTGGCCTCGCCAAGCTGAGCGAGAACGGGCAGATCGCCAAGATGATCGGCTCCTTCATCGGCACGAACAAGAACATGGTCAAGGCGTTCCTGGAGGGGCGCATGAGCGTCGAGCTATGTCCGCAGGGCACGATTGTGGAGCGGTTGCGCGCGGCGGGGGCGGGGATTCCGGCGTTTTATACGCGCACGGGCGTCAACACGCATGTGCAGACGGGGGAGATACCGGCGAGATATGATGCGCAGGGCAAGGCGGGGGAGAGGGCGGTGGTGGAGTTTGGGAGGCCGAGGGAGACGAGGGTCTTTGAGGGGCAGATGTTCCTGATGGAGCATGCGCTGCATGGAGACGTGGCCATCTTGAGGGCGTGGAAGGTGGACAAGGCTGGGAACTGCGTCTTTCGGTCGACGACGAGGAACTACGCGACCGTCATGGCCAAGGCGGCAAAGATGACGATTGTAGAAGCGGAGCAGGTGGTGGAGTTGGGCGAGATCGATCCCGATCAGGTGCATCTGCCGGGCATCTTTGTGGATCGTGTGGTGCCGGCAACGTCAGACAAGCACATTGAGATCCTCAAGGTTGATCAAGGCGGTAATGCGGACGAGGCTACTGCTTCTGAAGACGAAATCAAGCGTATACGCATTGCGAAGCGTGCGGCGAAGGAGCTGAAGGACGGCTCGTATGTCAACCTGGGAGTGGGCATACCAACACTCGCGCCATCATACCTACCTGAAGGCACCCATGTCACGCTACATTCGGAGAACGGCATCCTCGGCATGGGCCCCTATCCTGCGTCCAAAGCAGAAGCGGACCCAGATACGGTCAATGCCGGCAAGGAGACTGTCACATTGATCAAAGGCGCTTCGGTCTTTGACACAGCCGACTCATTCGCCATGATCCGTGGCGGCCACATTGACGTCTCGATCCTGGGTGCGCTCCAGGTCTCCGCGTCCGGTGATCTGGCAAATTACATGGTGCCAGGCAAGGTCTTCAACGGCATGGGTGGTGCGATGGACCTGGTCTCGAATCCGGATGAGACCAAGGTCGTGGTGACTACCTACCACACGGACAAGAATGGGAAGAGCAAGGTTGTCGAGCAATGCGATCTGCCGCTCACGGGCAGGAATGTCGTCAGCACCATCATCACAGAGCTGTGTGTGTTCGAAGTTGATCGGGGCAGGGGTGGGCTTACTTTGACCGAGCTGGCCGAGGGCGTAGACGTCGAGACGGTGAAGCAGAAGACGGATGCTGCGTTTGCGATTGCGCCTGAGCTGCAGACCATGTCGTAGAGCAGGATAGAGTTTACATGAGTCCATCAGTCAATATGATCTTCAGCTGGTGGCCGGTACCGGTGAGCCTGCGATAATACCTCGCCCATCGATATGTCTCGCATCCCGTCCTTGCACTGGCTTTATGGTAACAGCCAGCATCCCTAGAGCACAAGTTGATCCTCAGACCTATCGGGCCACACCGTCTAGCCAGTTCCTCCGGGCTCGTATTTATCCATCGATGGCTGATTGTAGCAACACCTCCTGCGTCCCCACTCCACTTCTCCAACGGTGGCTGAGGTGAGTTTGGGACTTCCCTTCTCCAAACCGCCTCTGTGTCCCTTCGAGCATCACTACATTGGTCTCCTCTTTGCACCATCCCCACTTCCAAAATGTTTGCGCACCTCGTGGAGCGTGGAGAAGCCGTGGAATGCCATCTCCGCACCCGGCTATATAGCTCCAGCGAGCCTCGCTACTCCAACATGCGACTATCCGTGCTGGCATTGCAACGAGCTTCTCTCCCCAATTCTAACCACAACGACTGCGGTAGACGCCTTCTAACCAAATAGACATATCCGTAAGCTTCGATAATGGCTTCTATAGACGCACCTCCGGACGCGACTTATGGATTTGTCGGCATTGGCGTTATGGGGTACGGAATGGCCATGAATCTGCGATCAAAAATACCGTCTACATCAAAATTCATCCTCTGCGAAATTAACGGGACCAGACGAGACCAGTTCATCAACGAAGCCTCAGCGAAAGGCAAGGTTGAAGTAGCCCAGTCGCCTAAAGAACTCGCGCAGTTGGCTGACATCATTGTCACGATGCTCCCGAAAGCCCGCCATGTTGAGACCGTCTTCAAAGACCCGAACACTGGCTTTCTGAGCATAGGAAAGCCTGAAACGCCAAAGCTCTTCCTAGAATGCTCTAGTATCGATACTGCAGCTTCCGTTGCCCTAGCCAAGGAGGTCGATGAGTCAGGTATTGGCCGGATGATCGACGCGCCTGTTTCGGGAGGGCCTCAGGGCAGCGACGCAGGTACCCTGACGTTCATGTGTGGTGGGCCAGAAGACCTCTTCCAGCAAGGCTTACCTATTCTCGCAACTATGGGGAAGAGGGATAGTATCGTTCATTGCGGCGATCAGGGCGCCGGCCTGGCGACGAAGCAGCTCAACAACTACCTCGGCTACGTCGGGTACTTGGGGCTCTGCGAGGTCATGGCCACGGGTGTCAAGTACGGGCTGGATCCGAAGAAGCTGTCGGATGTGATCAACATGTCCAGCGGCATGAATTGGAACTCGTTGCATCACAACCCTGTCAAGGGAGTCAATCCGAACGCATCATCCGCCAAAGACTTCAAAGGTGGCTTCAGCGTTGAACTCGCACAAGGTGTCATTGAGGATGCAACAAATCTTATGAGCCAGGTCGGGACGAAGAAGGTGCTCGCCGACAGTGTTATGGACGTCTATACCAAAGCGCTGCAGGATCCAAGGACGAAGGGACAAGAAGCGAGAAGCGTTTGGCGTTTCTTTGAAGGTTCAGAGAGTCCGAATTGATCGCAACAGGTGCCAAGATGGCGGGTACCGACAGTAGGCTGAGGCTGTCTTTGTCTGCCAGTGTTGTACAAGTCTCCGGAGAATGGCATCCGCCCACACCGATCCCGTCTGCACCTCGGCAAGCTGCGTGGCTGCGCAAGGCAACTGCCACTACACAACATCCACTTGTCTATCTTGTATCTCCTTCGCATCTTTGTTTGAAACTCCGCAGCCTTGTTGTTTGTGAGTTTGGCATGGCCCAGCAATTGTGAGCGCGCAAGGTCGTTTGCCGGCATAACAAGGACCTTTTGCGGCCTTGTGGGTGAGTATTGATCTCGGCCGCCTCAAGGACAAAGTACAGGAGCATGATGCACGTTGTGAGTGGTGAACAATGGTATGCTGGCAAAGTCTCGGTGCTCTGCAGGCAATCATGCAAATTCGAATGGGTCAAGATGACATGCCTGCTCTACACAAGGAAACAGTCGCAAAGTATGGGGGAACTCCTTCATGCCCGGCAACAATCAATTGTTACCCGCCTGATTGAGTCATGTAGCTCTTGCTGCGGGCAATGGCAACGACAAACGGGGAAGGCAAGCAGGGATTTTGGATAAATTCATGTCAACAGTCTGCTCTTTCCCATCCATCTCCATTGCAACATCTGCCCATCTACTGTTATAGACGACACCGAAGCAGCGAGACTTGTCAAACCATTATCCCGATTCCAAGCGTATTGCATCCCTCCGGATACCCACCATCACATTCAAACAGCATGCCCCCCTCCTCTCCTCTAGCCCTCAAGGCACAGTTCTACGTCATTCGCCCAAATGGCAGCTTCGTTCCTTTGATCGCCATGGATGAACTTCCAACCACCGTCCTCGTTGGCGATGTGCCCCGAATCCTCGAGCCGAGAGCCACATATGGCCTCCACAACGTAGGCGAGCATGAGAGCCGTCATATGCACCATGCTGTCGAAATCGCTGGTAGCGCGCGTCCTCCCACCCGCATCGAGCCTCTCACCACGACTATCCCTACGTCCGATCGATCTCTCCTGGCTAGCAAGCATGCCTGTGCCGGTCCCACTCTCGAACATGGATTACCTGCGCCGCCCGAAGCTTACGGCATCGAAGAGTACTCACATTCTGCTGCCACCACGCCAACTCTCGGCCAGACTGCCCTCGTGCGTGTCGATCGGAAGGCCACTCCAGTTGCGCAGGCCGGTCCCGACAGTTCACTTGCTCTCACACCTCAATCTCCAGCTTCCACCGCCATGAGTAGTCATGCCAGTCTTCCAAAGGTAAACGGCGTCAAGGAATACTGCAGTTACTGGCTGCGGCACGGTGAGTGTGACTATGCGCAGCAGGGCTGCTTGTACAAGCATGAGATGCCCACCGATCCCGAGGCTCTTGCACGCTGTGGGTTGCGCGATATCCCTCGCTGGTATCGTGAGAGCGGCAAGTACGGAAGTCTCCTGGCGGTACCCGGAAGCGGTGCCGCTGGTGGGCCTGCGAACATCGAGAAGAAGGTGGAGATGGATTCAAACTGGCGGCCCATGTCGGAAAAGAAGGCGCCGACTGTCAGTGAGGTTGCCAGGACTCCTGTGGCACGCACGAAGACAGGCATCACAACCGTCGCCGGCACGGGTATTCGTACCTCTGCAACAAATATGACGACCAAGGTCAATAGCAGCAACGACCCCAACGCTACCCTCAAGGCCCACCACAACATCTCCACAAGCAATACCAAGCCCCGCAAGGTCGAGCCCTACCTCAATTTGGAACAGCGCGTGGCCATGAACGCCATCGAGCAGCTGCAAAAGTCTGAAACCTTGGAGGCCAGCCGTAGGGCCAAGCTCCAGGCTCGCTCCCATACCACCTCTGCATCACCTAGCACTGTCCAAGCCGCCGATGCCAAGCCTCAATCAACATTCAGCCTCATCGACGCCAGCGACTCCGAGAGCGGCAGTGGAGGTCGAAGCCCTGGAATAAATACACCCGTCACAAGCACCAGTAGCGAGTCTGATAATGATGCGAAGGAGGGCCGCGAGACCAGCACGAGAGCTAGTAGCAATGGCCTGCGTCAAGCTCCAACGAACCCCGGCCCAGCGGGGAATTCTCAACGCTTGCCTGTCAGTGTCGTTACCAATCCCACCGTTGCTCAAAAGGGTAAGGTGGACGAGGTCGTCCACCGCGGAACGAAGGAGAAGTGCAGCAGCAGCAATGTCACCACCAACAAGAAGAAGACAAACATTCTCCGGCGCCGGAATGGGCATGGGCAGCAAGCTGGTGCGGGAAGAAGAGTGCGCAAGGACAGCAACGGCAGTGGTGAAAGCGGAATCGAAACCGAGCAGGCGACTGATCTTTTTGAAGGCTTCGGGTTTGGCAACGGCAACGGCACAGGCCCAGGCACAGGCGAGTTGAGAAATGCTATCGATATCGATCAGCAGCAGGCGGTGCTTATGGGCGTGCCGGCGTGGCGGGCTGGCGGGTATGATCACGATGACTGAGGATGGAAGAGGGAGGAGATCCGTGTGGCAAGCAGCATTGACTGGTTGAGGGCCAGTCGAGGACTGGGACTGGTTGTAACGGGTGGGTGGCCAAGGTGGATTACTGTACGGCGGTGGGAGTTGCTTTTTGGTCTTTTTGATAGATTTCCTTTTTGTCGTCAGTGGTTTGGCTAAATGGTCCTCCTCATGGAGCAGGACTCTAGGAGGCTAAGGATCATACATCTCTGATCTGAGATGAGTAGGAAGACGTATGAAGCCGGGAACTGTGTGGGTGGAGCGGTGGAGGTGGGCGGCAGGAGAAAAGGAGCCAGCGGAAAAGAGCAAGCAAGGGCTCAGCAGCAGGTGTTTTCTCCATACGATATGATAATGACAACGAACGATGCGATGAGTGATCGGCTTTGCCTGTAACAACTCATTTTCTTGGGGACTCACATCGTTCAACCAGACAGAAGTGGCGTCAGATGGGATTGGGATTGGGATCATGAAGGCTCAAAGGGGGTTGAACTGGCAAAGCAAATCTTGACGTGACTTGCTGCGCTCTGACGCTGTACATCCCAGCTAACGAGACTTGTATGCGAAGCTGGAATATTCCCGAGCTTGTACAGTAGATACTGGCGACGTACGCCATGCCGGGAGGTGTCGTCGACGGGAGGGAGAGTTGCGTCATCAGTCACAGGAACATTTGTTTGTTGGTACGCTTCGCAAGGCTTGCAAGGAAAAATCCATGCCTTTCTACGGAGTACTTGCTCAAGTTGTTCGCGTAGCTGTTGGACTCAAGCAGCCATTTTCAAGTCGAAATTCGAGATGTCCAGGAGAACCAAGAGGACCGGCCCGCCTTTCAAGGTCATCTGTGCTGATCGTCCCGATGAGCGTACCAAGCCGGCACGTGGGTGTTGAAGCCAATGATTGGAAGCTCCAGCGGGCAGGAGAGCGGCACTGTAAGCCTGGGCTCACGAGCGCTTGGGGTTCTGGACCCAGCGTTGGCGTGTGTGCAAAGTGTGCAGTGAGGTGAAGTGATTGACAGACAGGGGCAACCGAAAGCGGAACTCTTGGCTCTTGGCAACCAAGTTTAGAAAAAACGGCAACTTGATTGAGACGTTTCTGTAGGGCCGCCACGGGGCTTCAACGCTATGGATGTACCAGCAGCGCCTACGAGACATCAATCACGCAGCCATCAAAACGCCTCGAGCGCTACTTGTGAGTTACACAATTTCCCATCGTGGTGTCAGATGCTCAAGTGCTTCGATTGACGGAGCTGCAATTTTGCTCGCTTCTTCGGCCGCCCGCACGACGGGGGACCAGAGGGATCTTTATGGCTTATTTCTGTGCGGTATTTTCTTCGCCCGGACCAGCAGCCGAAGGATTCGAAAGATGATATCCGAGCACCCGGCCCTCCATCTTGTTCACGACTCCAGCGCGAGGTTGGTTCTGGAGACGACCGGTTTTGGTGGTGCCGCATCATTGGCTCAGGGGCCTGGGAAATTGGTACTTTCCTCTCTGGGACTAGGGCAAACATAAATATCACCTACCCCCTGGCTAGTTACCACAGCACCCACAGCACCCACTGGTCAGCCTGTCCGGTTGCCTGCTTCTTGTGTCAATACCCGAAAGCTCCTCTCCTTTTTGCCTGATGACCGGGGCACAATTGCACGAACCTCGTGCTTGTGGCCCTCGGCAGTCCCCAACTTTGTGGCGGAAAATAGACACCGCGCCGGTGCCGTCACGCCATCCTTTGGGATGCACCACGATCCACCAAGCTCGAAATTGCCTTGGCTTAGCTTGTCTCTTGAGTGGAAGACTGTGGGAAAACGCCTTGCCCCGGCTCTTGCGGCTTGGTCAGTCACCGCCCTCTGCAATTTCCATCATGCAACCAATGATCCCAGTGGTGGTGTACCCGTTAGAGCACGGTTTGCTGGCGGGAGATTGAGAGCAGTGGCTGTACCGGTTTCGACTCGGGGCGTCACTCGCTCTGCCGTCAGGAGTGGAAAGGTGGGATAGGCTCGTTATGCCTGAAGCGGCATGAATCCAGCGAGCTTGCTATACGCCGCACCGCCTCTAGCCCCCAAAGCGCAATTTGAAGCTCCAGCCCAACGCCAACGCCGTACTTGTATATCCTCCCCCAAGCTCACCGTTCTTGTTTGTCCTTCTCTTCTTCCGACCTCTGTCCCGCAAGCAAACACTACCCAGACACTCGTGTCGTTCCGCTCTTTAGCCCACCTGCCAGGTTCATTCCAGAGTCATTGACTCTAGCCACTCTTTCGAACCCATCCCAAAACTTACATTCATTAATATCATCAAAATGAAGACCGTTGCTGGTATCGCCATCGCGGCCCTTGTGGCCAGCGCTCAAGCCACTGGCTGGGAAGACAAGCCTGTTGACCCAATCAAGAGCAGCAGCACCACCACCACCACGGCTGCCTCGACTTGGATCGACTACGACCCATCGAAGAGCACCACCACCACCACCACCACCAAGCCCGTCGAGGAGACCGAGACCCCCACCTACTGGGGTGACGCTCCAGTGGACCCGACCAGCGAGTCGACCACCACCACTGCTGCTTCCACATGGATCGACTACGACCCATCCAAGACCAGCACCACCACCAAGCCAGTCAAGGAGATCACCAGCACCACCACTAAGTGGGAGGACTACACTGTGTCGACTTCCAGCAGCAAGCCCGTGAAGCCGACCACCACTTCCACCAAGCCCGTTGTGGACACCACCACCACCAGCGCCGCGACTTGGGCTGACCCGACCGCTACTTGGGTTGATGCCGCTGTCGGCTCTTGCAAGGTCGTCACCGTGACCAAGACCGGCAGCTGGATCTGGGTCCCTGCCCCAGCTGACCCGACCACCTGGGTTGAGGTCCCTGCGCCGAGCAGCACGACCACCACGACCACCAAGCCCGTGGCGCCAACCACCTCCGCCTCAGCTTCCTCCACCTGGATCGGTAAGTGTCGACTTCCATCACCCGGCTTCCAAATAGTCCACTAACACAACCCCCCCAGACTACCCCGTCGACCCCACCACCAAGTCCACCACCACCACCGTCGCCACCTCCACCTGGGGCGATGTTTCCACCATCGCGCCCAGCACGATGCCCACCCCAACCTGGACCAAGCCAGCCACCACGCTCTCGACCTCAACCAAGACCAGCACCACAACCACCACTACTTCCGCGGTCCCCAAGCCCACCGGCGCCACGTGCCCCAACGACAACGGCAAGACCCTCGCCGCCGAAGGCTCCTGCGGCGGCTCCTTCCAGGTCAACTGCGGCGTCAAGGCCAGCCCGGGCCCCAACAGCAAGTTCTGGCAGCGCGCCAACGGCGAGAAGATTGCCACTCTGGCCCAGTGCATTGCCATCTGCAATGACAACTCGTAAGTTTTCTTACACAACCCGGGCGATTGAAAGGAATGGGTTTGCTGATAAAAAGTGAAATTAGTGCCTGCGAAGCCGTCCTCTACGTCAACGGCCAGCCCGGCTCCGGCGACAACGAGCTCTGCTGGCAGACTTCCGGCCTGGGACCGGTCACCGGCACCAACTATGCGCAGATCGCGTACAAGACTGGTGCCAAGGGCGGGTGCAAGGCTAGCTACAATGCTACCCCTTAAGCTGTTGTAGTGTTTTTTTTAAAGGTTCTTTTGAATCGTAGGTATGGTAGTTTGGGAGAGGTGTGGGCGGCATGGTTTTGCGGAGGAGAGGAGGAAAGGAGAAGAGGATGATCATGTGTACGTCTTTTGCATTTGCAACTGTTGGTAACTCATTGAATCTTGGGACTCGGCCCGAATGTCGAGTTTCAGGTTTTGGGCATCAACATCAACAACAACATGTGTCCAAAGAACCTCTTTTTAATATTCTGTTCGATTCTTCTTTTATCAACATGATTGTTTTTCTCTTCTTTTTCTTGCCCGCCTCAGTGACTTGTGACAGATGATGGGGCGCAAGCCGAGGGTCTCATAGCGTTGGGAACTGCCAGTATCACCCGTGTTTGTCTTCCGGGGGGTAACTCGCTCGCTTACCTGTTGCCCTTTCTATACGAATCTTCCCCGTTGCTATAGCCGATTAAAGGGGTTGCACTCTGCCATCCATTTCCATAAAGTGTCGAGACGTTGCTGAGCTGGTTGTACGATCGACCGCACATATAGTAGTAGATTCGATGAGAAATCTGGTTGTGTGCTCCGTCGACTGCGTGCGAGCACGGGACGCATCGTAATGTAAATCTGGTAATTTTCTAATATGGACGTATACTACACCAAAACGTCAGCGTGGCTTATATCTTCCGATCAGCGAAAGAATGCTGTTGGTCTTGATACTTTGGGGGGAGATGTCAAAAGTTGAGCGAGGCAAGCTTCTTGACGGACGGAATCGTAGTGATCTTCGAAAAGTCCATCTTGGAATTCGGTCTCGGAGATGTATCATAGTGCACACCATTCCCATTCTCGATCACGGTTCTAGTCAGGTTTAAAGATGAAGTCGATTCTAATAAAGGCGGGCTTCGGAGATGGCACCAGGTAGGTTTCTTTGGTTGGCCAGACAGAGGAGTGCTGCAACTGTTGGCGCTCTTGGATTGTTCGATTGGTTACGAAGCTGAGTACGTGTGTACGACAGCGGCAACATCATATGCGTGCTCACGCTTTTGTCAACAAACGCTGTTCCAGAGGATTGCGTGAACAACAATCAAATGTCACGAAGGTGAGGGAAGACCCGTGAAGAACTTGACAACATTAGGGGCCTGCACCAAGCTATATACCTCGAGGAGGTCCATAAGGGGCTGGAAGGGGGCTGGCAGTTGACTTCCAACATCAAGCACGACCAGCCGCCCGGTTCCCTGCATTGTCGATCTCCTGAACGTTTCCTTGCAGCTCAGCCTTCGCATCAACATCAATCTCTCCAACATGTTCGGTGGCCAATGTATCACCGAAGATCTCGGCGATCTCTTCCAGAGTTTTCCCTCCCTGGTGGAGTTTGTGTCAGCCCTACTACTCCTCCTTGTCCGAGCCGTGATTTGGTAACTTACCGTCTCTGGAAGGTAAAAGAAATACAGCACAGCAGCAACGAAGTTGCAGGCGATGAAAAGTGAGTAGTACCTGGTGAAAAACGTCAGAACTACTCTTAGACCCCAGGAGGAACGGAGGAACATCTTACCGCCACCCAATATTTGCTAGTGCCGTTGGCGTGATCTGCGACAGAACGATGGCAACAATTGACTTGAGGCAAACAGCGAATGCCAAACCCTTGGAGCGCAAAAACATGGGGAACAACTCAGACGGCACTACCCAGATCATGGCGTTGAAGAACATGGCAAACACGGCCGAGTAAATGAAGATGAAAGCAATGGCTGCGCGAGCACCGTTGCCTCCGTCGTCGCCGGAACTGCCGAACCTGGCGCTGAGGGCCATGCAGATGGAGATGTTGACGGTCAACGCTAACGACCCAGTCCAGAGTGTCCGGGCGCGGGGCCACTTGTCGGCCACGAGAGTGAGATACAGTGCAGTTCCGATGACGCCCATCATGCCATACACGCCTGAGATGAGGAGTGAGGTGCGTCCGGTAAAGCCGACTTGAGCGTAGAAGATGGTTTGGTAGTTCTGTATGACGGGGGCACCAGAGAGCTGTGCCTGGGCCACGATGAAGCCGGCCGTCAATGAACGCCGGATATAGCGGCGTGAAAACATGGCCTTGAGTGCATAATTCCACGATGCGTTGGACTGCGATTTCTCCAGCGAGATTTGCTCACGTATCTGGATCAGCTCTTGGGCAATTAGATTGTCATCCTCGGCGCCGCCACGAAGACGAGTCAATACTGTCTGCGGGTCAGTATCCAAGCTATAGGTTCACATGGGACCTGCTAACCTGCTTTAGCCTCTTCATAGCGTTCTTGTTGCACCACTGTCGTACGGTTAGTTGCCGAGCAGTTTGCAGTTGCGGTAAAAACTTACGCCAGCGAGGAGTGAATGGGATCAAGAACACCAATCCCATCAGAAGCAGGGGAATAGGAATTTGCATCGCAAGAGGAATGCGCCAGCTCGCGGACCCTGCAGCAAAGGAGCCGGAGTACCCAACCCAGTTCGCCAGCGCAAAACCAATGGCAACCATCATGCCTTGTAGGCCGACAAGGAAGCCTCGCTGTCCGGGAGGGGAGATTTCGGCAATGTAGGCAGGAACCACGGCCAGGAGCTGGCCACAGGCGACACCGGCGAGGAATCTGCCACTGATCATCATGCCAACATGCATGGCGGCAGCCTGAAGCACCGCTCCAACAACAGCTGGATTTGTTAGAAACCACAGTTCTCACACTATCTAGCGCGACAAACACTTACAAATGAGCGCAGCGAGCGATATGGTGTATTTCCGACTGTATTTGTCCGCCAGATAACCCACCATTGGACCGCCCAATGCTTGTCCGACGTTATACAGGGACACAATTGCCCCTGTCAATGGCGCGTTGACCTGGCTCGGGCCATACATGGTGACACGGAAAGATTCATGGCCAAAGGTCGTGGCAATAATTCCTGCGAACATCAGTTTGAGGACTTGAAGCACAATCCCAGATCCTAGGATTTCCTCACCTGAATCAAAACCAAACACCAGGCCACCGAGGGCTGTTGTAATGGTGATCAGGTAGATGATGGTTTTCATGTTTGAGACCGTTGAATGCCAGCGAATGCCACTGGGCAGTGATGAAGAACAAGTTGGACCGGTCGTCTTATATAAAGGGCTACAGGCGTCCGGGGGAGCTTTCACAGGTTCACATACCCCAAGCTTACCCCCTGGGGTCTCCACGCGGTGGAGCAGTCGTGGGGCTTCTGATTCTGGCCTACCCTGTATACTCCTTTTAGCAGCTGGCAGCAAAGCCTATGATAACAGCCCCATACTTCTACTCCTTGCGATGACCGAGATGAAGAGCGGGTCGGTGGGGAGGGAAGCCCAAACTCCGAAGAAAGGCCACAACCACCACGGACGAGGTGGGCAAAGGGGTTGACACATCCCACTTTGCTGTCTACATCGACACCAGTATCGGCTTAGGGAAAGCTTGCTGAGGCGGCGCGGGACAATTCGGCCAGAGCTAGACCGATCCCGCGACAGCACCTCCAATCCGCCAGCTACCGGGCCGGGAGGTCAACAATTCTGAAGTCCTGCCGAGAACACTCACATCAAAAACGCGAGTCGGATCCAGATCTTCGGGTCAATATATGCCGTCTCTACCTCGACGTTGGGAATCTCTATCGGACTGTGGGGCTCGGTAGATTGCGACAGACGACGGCTGCATCATCAGACACGAGAACAAGTCAGGACTCAAACGAGGGTCGCGGTACGAAGAGTATCAGATGCAGAGCCTCTACGCTGCCACCTCTTTCACGTGCCGGTCAACAAGGCAGTGCGTCGCTTCTCATGAAGTGTAGTACTGCCCTCCGAAAACCATCCATGACACAACCGGCCTTGCAAGCGCCTCAGTTCGAGCATCATCCCACCGGCTTCGGCATTGGCTGCGCGAGTCCACGGCTTTCGTGGAAATTCGACACCGACTCGACGACGCTGCCCGGATGGACCCAGAGCGCCTATGAGATCGAAGTCGCCCTAGACGACGGTACGACCGAAACCTTCAAGCATGATGGCTCAAGCAACCTCCTCGTCCCCTGGCCACATCGGCCGCTTCGCTCAAGCGAGCGTGCCCAGGTGCGAGTCCGAGCTTTTGGGCATGCAGAAAGCAGACAACCCGAAGCCACGACATGGTCCCCTACTGCGCATCTGGAAGTCGGCCTCCTCGAGCCCGTGGACTGGAAAGCGTCATTCATCACACCAGCCGAGCGCTTTGGCCCGGAGTTTCCTCTCCAGCCGGTCCGTTTCCGGCGGGAGTTTGAGCTGCCTGGTGATTCATCTGCAAGTCCGGTACGGCTCTATGTCACCGCTCTCGGCGTCTACGAGGCATCCATCAACGGACAAGTCGTGAGTGACGAATGCATGGCGCCGGGCTGGACCAGCTACGGCCATCGACTCAACTATAGTGTGCTCGACGTGACCAAGTTCGTGATGCCGGGCAAGCCGAATGTCCTTGCCATCGAAGTGGGAGAAGGCTGGTATGCAGGAAAACTCGGCTTTCGGGGCGGCACGCGCTTCCTCTACGGAGGGAAAGAGCTGGCGGCTTTTTGCCAGCTGCAGGTAGATGGGAAGCCTGTTGTCGTGACAGATGAGAGCTGGCGGTGTATGCCGAGCGCGATCGTGTCCAGCGAGCTGTATAACGGGGAGGTATACGATATGCGACTCGAGCAGGCTGGGTGGAACGCCGTCGGCGGTGACACGTCGAGCTTCAGACCGGTCACGCGGCTCGACTCTCCGCCGCAGCCGTTGCTGGTCGCGCCGAATGCACCACCAGTGAGAGTCATAGAAGAACGACCCGCGGCCGCGGTGTTCCGCTCCAAGAGCAACAAGACCATCATCGATTTCGGCCAGAACCTCGTCGGCAGAATCCGCGTCAAGTCACTGCACTTGTCCACAGGCCACAGACTGACCGTCCGTCACGCCGAGGTCATGGAGCACGGCGAGCTCGGCACGCGGCCGCTGAACGAAGCCCGTTGCGAAGATACTGTCATCGGCTCCGGTGAAGAGCTTCGGAACTGGACGCCCAAGTTCACCTTCCATGGCTTTCGGTACGTGCAAGTCGAGGGCTGGCCGGGCGGCGATGAAGCGCTGCAGGACAACGTCGTGGCACTAGTCATGCACAGTGCGATTCGACGACGCGGCTTCTTTGAATGCTCAAACCACTGGGTGAATCGGTTACACGAGAATATTGTATGGTCGATGCGAGGGAATTTCTTGTCCATCCCAACCGATTGTCCTCAGCGTGATGAAAGGCATGTGGCCCTACTGCATTCTTCCCATAAAGCCCCTGTACTGACGCCTCTTTTGTGGTTCCAGGTTAGGCTGGACAGGCGACATCAACGTCTTCGCCCCCACCGCGTGCTACCTCTACGACACCATCGGCTTCCTCGACGACTGGCTCTCCAGCCTCGCAGTCGAGCAGCTCGCCGATCCCAACGGAATACCCGGTCTTGTATGCCCCTTCGTCCCTCTTCCCGACTGGCCTCGGATCCCCCAAGCAGTCTGGCACGACGTGACCATCATGCTGCCGGAGGAGCTCTTCCGCTTCACCTCGGACGTCACCGTGCTGGAGCGGCAGTTCGACTCCATGCGCGCCTGGCTCGACAAGGGCGTCGACCGCGGCGCCGACGGCCTGTGGGACTTGTATCGCTGGCAGCTCGCCGACTGGCTCGACCCGACCGCCCCGCCTCAGCAGCCGGGCCTGAGCTTGGACAGACTCCGTATTGGTAGCGGATGCCTACCTGGTGCGGGCCACACAGATCTTCGCTCGGGTCTGCGAGCTGCTAGGCAAAGACCAGCTGGCGCGCGAGTACGCACAGCAAGCGACAACTCTCCTAACACGGTTCCAAGACAAATACATCACCCCCAGCGGCAACCTCATGTCCAACACGCAGACCGGCCTTGCCCTTGCCATCACCTTCAACCTCTACCACACCCCGCACCAACTCACAACCGCCACCCAGCAACTCAGCAAACTCGTGCGCGCTGCCCGCTTCAAAATCGCCACCGGCTTCGCCGGCACCCCGCGCATCCTTGAAGCGCTGACCCAGACGGGGCAAGCGCCGCTCGCCTACCGCATGCTCCTCCAGAAGGAGTGCCCGGGCTGGCTGTTCCCCGTCATCGCCATGGGCGCGACGACCGTGTGGGAGCGCTGGGACAGCATGCTTCCCGACGGCAGTATCAATCCGGGGAGCATGACCAGCTTCAACCACTACGCGCTGGGGGCGGTGGCGCAGTGGCTGCACGGTCGCGTGGGTGGGCTCGGTATGCTGGCGGAGGGTGAAGCCGGGTGGCGGACGTTCAGGGTCAGGCCGGTGCCCGGTGGGAACTTGACATGGGCGAAGACGGCGTTTGATGGGCCGTGTGGGATGATCCGCGTGGAGTGGTGGGTGGGGTTGGAAAAAGACGACGACGGGAGGGATGCTCGACAACAACAACTGGGGGGAAGGGAGACGAAGTTTAGAATGAAGCTTACCGTGCCGCCGAATAGTCGGGCGGTAGTCACGCTTCCTAGTGAATGGGCCGCCGCCGCCACCGCCGCCGCCGCTGCTGCGGGTGAGGGTGAGGGAGCAAAGGAGGTCGAACGCGTGGTGGGTTCTGGCGTGCATGAATTTGCCTGTGCGTACACGGCCGCCGAGTGGCCGCCAAAGGTGCTGTTGCCGCCCAACTTGACTTATTCGGCGGATATGGACGAAGTGGCTGCATAGCTGGCTGGAGTAGACAGGGCATTTCCTGTGATCGAGGCAAGACTTGGTGCTGCTGCTGCTGCTGTTGTTGTTTCATTACTTGAAACAAACGGATGGGCGCGCATCAGGCAGGACCATCAAAGAGCTTGCAAGGCATCCATCCCATATGAGCCTTTGTTGCAGTTGCCATCGTGATTGGGTCAGCGTCCGGGGATCAAAGACTAGTTTGTTGTGCTGTAGCGCATACTATCGAGCAGATATACTGCGCCAGTATGAGGACAAATTCGACGCCAGGCAGTCGGAAGGTAAACATGTCTGTGGAATACCGACCGACGAAAACGAAACTCGCATTCACTCGTCCCCTCCACCAACACGAGGTATGCACTTTCCTGACCACACGGCCAAACTCCTATTTCCCATCCCATCCCATCATCGCCTCACGTGGGAGCCCTGTCAAGCGACTCCATACCCTCCTCACCCACCCCCTTTCTAACCCTCAATAGGCGGCACGTCCTTCACGCCCCAATACTCGGCAAACGGGGTCATCGCGCCAATCCGTGATCCTCGGATACTCGATCCCCACGGCCAACTCATCCGCCCGCTCCTTACGCCACACGTCCTCGATCCACGCACTCACGCCACTGCGCAAATACACGTTCCCATCCCTGACCCAGCGCGCATGCCCGATCCAATTGGTGCGCGGGCCGTGGCTGACCGTCTCGTTCCACATGGCCTTGTTGGTTGTTGCGTTGCGGCCGTCGAGGACGCCGGCGCCCGTGCAGGTGGAGATCAGGTGCGTGAGGGACGGGTACGTGGTGGTGATGTAGTCGATCCTGGGCTGAAGGTCTGGGGTGGGGGCGAGCGTGCCGACGCCGTCGGGGACGAAAAGGGCGTGCAGGTCGAGGTCTGCGGCCGTGGCCAAGGTGTCGGTGGGCACGATGGATTGCGAGAAGGAGGAGTTGTGTAGGAGTTCATCATTCGGGGTTGAGTGCTGATGGGGGAGAGGGTGGGAGCGATGAGGTGCAGATTTAGCTGGGTGCTGTAGGAGAACAAGTTGAGGATGTCGAGCGGACCGAAGACGTCGGTGACTGAGAAAGCTGGGAAGAGGAGCATGCCGATCTGAGGGTGGTGCTGTTGCTGTCGAGGCTGAGGGCGGAGGCGAGGGCGCGCAAGGGGTCGTAAATGTATACTTAAGCAGGGTGACGGCGTCGTGTTCGTGACCAACCATCTGCGAATGTGCATGCTCCTGTGGAACGACCGGGTAAGGAAAACTGCTCAGACTCGGGGCTCGGGGTAACATGGAGAACATGGTATACCTGCTCATGTGACTCGCGGGAATAGGACGAAAGGCTTGTTTGGCGGCCAAGCCTGCTTTAGCAGAATTGTTTGAGGCCAAGCATGGCCGTTGCGTTAGATAGAATGCACGCGCCGAGGAAGATGATGCGCGATATTGTCAGGCTGTGTGAGTTGCCTAAGGAGAAACAGTCTTGGGACGTTGGGAAGCGGCGTAGTGCAAGGTTCAGAATGGGTCGAATACTTCCTTTCATCTTGCAGATTGATCGCCTTTTTGTACCATCCTGATGCGCCCCTCCAGCCGTGGAGCAATAGCCTGTGAATCGTCAGCGTGCTGTAATTGCTTGAGAACTTGAATGTTTGAGACTCACCCTGGTCCAATCCGCATTGAATTCGCCTTCGTCAATGTTGTCGCAGACGTTAGGATGCAACTTCTTCTTGGTCAACCCGGCGAGCCGCCACCATTTTCTCATGACTTTTCGGATCAGTTGAAGTTCTCTTTCGTTGAATTTGATGTCTTCAAGCGCATTTGCATCGTCCACTTCCGAGTCAGAGTCGGACTCAACCTCCGGCGGAGGCTTGGGGTTGGCCTCGCTGTGAGTTCGCTTGTGTGGACCCTTCTTGTGGTGAAAGGAAAAGGATTTCACCCTTTCTGGCGATGCAGGAGTCTTGGGTTCGACCACGGTGTGGATGTCGTGCAAACCTTCGTGGACGCGGTTGAAATGTCGACCCAGACTGTTGCTCCAGTGTTTCCACTGGCCAAGAATCTTTAGGCTCATAAAGTACTGCCGCAGAAGCATGCTCAGGAGGATACCGTTCTCTTCGTGGACAAGCTCCTCACACTCGCCTCCCTCCGACTTGACCAGTAGGGAGTCGAAACCGTCTTTGCCCCGCCCCATATAGCCTCTAGTGACTAGAGTATACTGTCTCTCGTCGTCGACAGGAGCGTCACCTACATTGGTCCAAAGAACTCGTGAGCCACTTGGCCGCTGAGGGTCAAATTCGAGGGTGATGTTGGAGACTTGTGGGAAGCGTCCTTCTAGAGCGGGATACTGGGAGACCGAGTTTTCCAAGGCTGCCTTGAGTGCTTTTCCGGTCACCTTGATCACTATGCAGGGGTCCTCGAAGGGAAAGCAGGTCATGATATCCTTGACCTTGAGAACGCCTGGTGGATAGATTTGGTCGCCGCGAATGGTGCCGGCAGCCATCAGTGCGCAGTCGCCTTGATAGTGGAAACGCATTAGGTCGCAGACAAAGTTGCCAATGTTGGACTCCTTCATACGCACGGTTGTGAATCGGGCATCAAGAGGCGCCGCGGTATATCCTAGTGGCTTCTCCAGCTTTGACTTGAGAGAGGATGATAGCTTCTCCTCAAGCTCGACCATCTCCGGATCCCGCGAGATACTCTTGACCACATCTCGACGCATGATGTGGAAGCTCCACTTTGAAGATCCACCTTTGCGCTTCCGGGCTTCAATATAGCTCAGCTGCTTGAAGTCGGTGCCGGATCGAAGGATGTGTGTGCCATTGATGACCGAATGTGAATAGTAGTGGTCGTGCCCGCCAAGGATCAGGTCAACAACACCGTCAGGCGTCTTTTCAGCAAGCTTGTTGTCGTTTGGCTCGCGCTGATGTGTAAGAGCAATGATGATCTCCGCTCCCTGCTCTCGAAGCTGCGGGGCTAGCTCTATGGCTGTGGCAGAGACCGACTTGTAGATGAGATTCGGTGGAAGAGAGTTGATGGTGGCCAGCCATTCGCGTTCGACCAGTCCAATGACACCCACCTTGACGCCATTGGAAGCGGTAAGCATGAGTGTCTTCTGGGCGTTGGCTAGTGGCACGCCTTCGCCCAAAGCCGGATCGAGGACATTCGCCAGAAGCCAGGGAAACTCACACTGCTTGGCCAAGTTGCGGAACTGCTTGATGCCGAAGTCTAGATCATGGTTGCCTACGCAAGCCACGTCCGTCTTCAGTTTGTTGAGTACAGGGACCATGTGGCTTCCCTTGGTGACCGAACTTTCGAGACTCGGGTTGAAAGCATCACCCGAGAACATTGTGAGAAGCTCAGGCTGCCCTTTGTAGCGTTCATCGTTTCGGTAGTGCTTGCATAGAGTCTGGAAGCGTGGAATGCCACCCACCGGCTCCGCTGATCCACTCTCGACATGATAGACATCGTTGAAATGAAGCAGGCGTAGATCTGGCGGACCAGATATGTCGTCTTCGGTGAAAGTGACCGACTCACCCTCGCTGGCCATGATCAGGGTAAAGTCGGCCGGATACCAGAAGGACGGTGAGTGCGGTTGGGGCGGAGTGGCTGTGTGAGCCAGCTATGCCATACTGGTGTTTCTACTTTGCCGTAATTGTGCAGCTGCTTATGCTCCGCCGTAGCTCACCAACGCCAAGAAGGGCAAGCCGAATTCGTTGTCGTCACGCTGCAGGTCGCCATTGCTTCGTCGTGAAAACGTGTGGCAAACCGCCACTTCACTCGTTGCTCAGTGAAGGCTCACTGTTGTCAGGTAAGGCTGCCGCGGCGAGCAGTAAACCATGTAGTGGCTTCGCAGACTTTTTGTCAACACTATTTGCACCTCCCGCGCCTGTCCTCCGTGCTTTCCCTCGATGGCTTGATAGACTTGAACTACCTCATCCTTTCTTGCGAATCGCTTACTTCCATCATCTGACCATAGTCTTTCCTTTGGGTTTTCGAAATGGCTTTCGCTCACACCCGTGTGGCGGTTCTCTCCTTTGCGGTCGCCGCCTTGGCCATCAATCTCAACCTCAATCACACCGCGTCCGTCATCGACGCTGCATCGATCGCCGCTCGAGGTCTCCGGTCCCTTTACAATGGCGACACCGCTGGTGGCGTACTTGGCAAATTCCCTTACCCGCCATACTACTGGTGGGAGTCTGGCGCGGCCTGGGGGGGTATGGTTAACTACTGGCACTACACCGGCGACGATCAATACAACAACATCACGTGGGAAGCCTTAGTCTCGCAGATGGGCCCTCAGTCCGACTGGGTTGTGCCTGTTGAGGCTTTCAACGAGGGCAATGATGATCAGGCCTTCTGGGTCTTTGCTGCGCTGTCTGCTGCCGAGCACGGTTTTCCAGAGCCACCCGCCCCCTTTCCCACCTGGATCACCACTGCTCAGAACGCCTGGCAGCTGTATGTCGAGAGATGGAATACCACCAACTGCAATGGTGGCCTGAAATGGCAGTTCTATCCGGAGAACAAGGGCTACAACTACAAGTAAGCCATCGTCCAAGCTCGCGAGCTCATGCTGATACTCTTAGACAATCCATCGCCAACGGAGCGTTTTTCCAAATCTCGGCTCGTCTTGCTCGATACACTGGCAACAACACCTACCTGGACTGGGCCAACAAGATCTGGGACTGGACAACGGGTATTGGTCTGATCGACAACATCTACAATGTCTTTGACGGCTCGGATGAATTGATCAACTGTACTCGAGTGGATCACCACCAGTGGACATACAACGTCGGAGTCTTCTTGTATGGCGCCGCTGTGTTGCAAAACTACACCAACGGTAGTGACGTCTGGTGGACGCGAACCAACGGCCTCCTCGATGCTACTTCGACCTTCTTCTCCCCTTTTCCGAATGCGACCGGCATCATGTTTGAGGCTCAATGCGAGCTTGACAACAGTTGTAACGTGGATCAATTGTCCAAGAAGGCCTATCTCGCACGCTGGCTGGCTGGTACATCGCTGATGGCCCCAAACACCGCCGGCAAGGTTGGTGCTTTGCTAAAAGCTTCTGCTGCCGGGGCTGCTGCCGCTTGTACTGGTGGTTCCGATGGCAGAACTTGCGGATTCCGCTGGTACACTGGTAGTTACGACAACAACACTGGAGTAGGTCAGCAGCTTTCTGCCATGGAGATCATGTACACATTACTTGTCAACCAGACCGCGCCACCCAAGACTTTGTCCAATGTGGTAATCAGGGATGCTCCTGCCAACTTGACCACTCCCACCACGGATCCGGACTCAAGTTCGACTCATCGGCCTCTCCATGATGGCCAACCTCCACTCGGTACGGTTCCTGGACTGGGTTTAATGTTTACTCTAACGACTATTCTCAGTTTGATCTGGTCCATATGAAGGCTTTACGGCACGGATGCAATGAATGAATGATTGCTAGCTCGGTGTTGCGGCGTTGTGTCATAGACAAAGAGACATCAGTTCTGTCTAATGACAATCTCTAGGATGTTTTACTCTGATCTTTCGGGGCCCCAGCCGTGCCGAAAGTATCAACCTAGCTAGGTTGTGGGCATTCTTCTGCTGTGTGTTAGCACATTAGGGCATTTTGCCAATCCTTTACAGCATAGATGAAGACCATCTCAGCAGAAGTGTTTGATCAGTCTGTTCTGTCTTTTCCAATCCGCGACTAGCTTTCGTCCGCAGTGCCTTCACAGCGTTGAAAATCTGTCTCCTTACATGTCTCCAGCTGACACACACAAAAACGAAAGGCTGCTCGCTCCCCCCGCGTCTAGCTAGGCTGCGCGGCCCAAGCCACGCCGTTGACGAACTCTGTTACGAAAACGCAGACTTTTGCTTTTTCATCGTGCTCCAAACCCAGATGAGATGAAACGATTGCCCGGAGGTATTGCAGACTGGGGCTGGAAGGATTGGTGGGCGCGCTTACGAATACAGACAGCGCTAAGGGGGGACAGGGGTAAGGCTCGAGCCGCACTAGTAGAACGGGGGTGAATGGCAGCACGACTGATGAGCAAGCATTGGCGCGCAGGAGAACCTCGTGGCCTTGTCGGTCTGGTCAATTGTCCCTAGGAGGAGGTGGTGGCTTTCGAGAAATCATGGGGCTCTTCACCTACGAAGACGGAAAGGCTACTGTATGTTCGAGGTCTTGGGGTGGAATGATTCTACGTTGCGAAAACGCAACATTGAGGGATTCACAGACGAATGCCCCCGTTGACTTCCAGGAAGTCCCTGAAATTATCCGTCGCTGGGTCTCTGGCTGAAATGCTGACGTCGGGAGGGCAATCCGGCTTCGGACGCCACGGCTCGGTGTCCATTTTTGGCCGCTGACCTTCTACGCGCTCGGCCTTGACCAGCACGGGGATGATACCGCCAGTCTCCATCTTGAATACGCGGTGACCGACGCCGCGAAGAATTGCTGCAATGACGCCGGAGTGGACGGTGATGGAGATGACGGTGCTGTCATCGTGGCGGAGAATGTCATCTAGAGCATGGAGCATCCGCGCCGTGTGTGCCGAAGCTGTTTCTCGTAGATCAGGCTTCCATAGCTCGTCCTTCTCCGAGAAGCCCTTTTCGATTCTGTACGGGGGATCGTGCCAACGTGCCTTGATGGTGGATAGTGGTGAGCGCCGGTCGCAAGTATGCACGCCGTTAGTCTCGCGCAGCATTTCCTTGATGAGAGGGCTAAATGGAGCTGAGCCCGGAGGGAAGGTCAAGCTTCGATACGTGATATCGGCCGTCTCGATCGCCCGATCAAAGGGACTGAGGTAGTATGCGTCCGGCGTCTTCATCTTTTGATCTCGGATCTGCGAGTCCCAGAAAGCAGAGGCGGTGCGGGCCTGTCCCTGGCCCACGGTCGTGAGGTGCGCATCAGCCCACGATACCGTTTCGTTCCCTTCCAGAGTCGACCAGTAGCAGTCCCACTGCACTGTGCCGTAGAAGCTTTCGGCCACGTTGTGGTAGCCCTGACCGTGCCGACCGAGGAATAGCAGCCGGTATGTTGTTGAAGGCGGGGCATCCGCGTTCAGCGTATCAAGATGGTGGAAGAAGAGCTCCCACTGCGTCGGGTCGGGCTTGTCTGATGGGTACGAAGGATCGGAGGAATAGGATCGAGAAACGAGGCCGAAATTGCTGGTGAGGAAGGAGAAGCTGGAGTCGTTCGTTGTAGGGTCTGACTGAACAAAGTAATCCGGTACTGCCTGCAATCGGAACCACACCGAGCCATCATGCCCCGGCTCAGCGGTGCCGGGCGTCGTCGGTAGTGACGCGGGTGCTTCCTTCATCATGAACAGGATCGAAACAGTCACGGTCAGGAACACGAGCGCGGGTATAATCGTCGTAGTGCGGAGGGACCAGCATCGATGGCGAGGTTTGGGGGCGTACAGGTATGGCGGACTGTAATCTCTAGGCAGCATCGTGAAGTGACAGGTCTGCTGCCGCAAGTACAACACTCATCTTTACAGAACCGACTTGCTCGTGGAGGTAGAGGCGAGTGAAGCGGACGAGGTCAGATGCGCGTCGACACAGCCGTCAGTTCCTGGTGTTATCGATAACGGGCACTTGATTCTTTCACGTGGAGATGTATTGGATGTCGTGCCATCTCACCGACATATCCGTCTTCAAACATAACGACTTGTTCACTATTCTTGTGAGACCTGCATGATATAATTTGCTACTCCGTGCCAGAGTCTCGCTTGAAACGCTCAGTACATAGATGGACACGCACAAAACTCATCCTTTGCTACGCCATCTGACTCTGTCCGCATCACCATCGTCGTCCCATCACACCGTCTGCACGCTGCTGGGGCAACTTCACCATACAATCATCCTAACAACGTCGTTGTACTGGATGTTGTAAGATTCTAGGGTTCGGTCATCATCGCTCAACGGCTGATCTGCCGAGAACAACGCCTGCTGGGCAGGCGGAATCCTGTTGTAGCCACGGATCTTGTCCTTCACGGCCCTGATTGTATAGGAACGTAAGACGTCTATAGAGATGACTTCGCTTCTCAGCTCGCCGATGCGCCACGTCACCAAAATAGGCATCATGCCATCCGAGTCAGGTTGCACAGTGTGGCGACGGCCCGTGACTAGGTAGACAATCGCTCCGTCTTTGATGCGGCATGATTCGAGGGTCGAGTCATTCTCCAACTCCTTGCCATCGAACAACAGCTTCTGAGAATGATGGGGAATGTCTTCCAGTGCCTCGATCTCGTTCTTGAGCATCTGTATAGTGTCGGAGAGCTTGAAGTGGATCTTGCATGATCTGCCACCCACATGCTTCACCTCAATGTGTGCCACTGAGTGCTGTCCTGGTTTTGTATTTCCTTTTGTGAATTGGCCGTCATGTGCGGAAGATTGGTGCGCCTCGAAATTGGCGGGTAATGTCTTGTTTGTAGAGTTTATTTCCCTCTGCAAATTTGAGCTCAACCTGTGCTTCATCCTACCGAACATTGATCTCGTCTTTGGTGGAGGGGGAGGTGGCTTGGAGAAGCCGGCGTTCGCCGTCCTTGTAGGCCTATGCGCCGATTGCTGTTCTCGACCATATGTGACGCCGGAGTGATCGGACTCACCAGGAGTCGGGACACTCCTGGCTCGTACTTGTGGTTGCGCTTGTATGAAACTGTCCGCAGACTCGGAGCTCGAAGTTGCAACGCCGGTTGCTGTGCCCTTGTTTGAAAATGCGCTTTCCTCTCGGTTTCGGAGCACTGGGTCGTTTACTGGGTCCCCGGCTGGCAAAGGCTCGGACTCGCCCCTATTCGGAGCCTGAAATCCGTCGCTGCCAGGCTCGACCTCATTGTTGCCGGAATGTCGCCAGGCGTTGGGCAGTGCCATCTCGCCATTTTGTTGGTCGGGGTGAATTACGAGGTATTCAACAGCCTGAAGGCGTTAATTAACTTCTGCCAAAGTATTTCTAGTGACTTACCTTATCAGCATCAAAGTCAGCTGTTTTCAATGCATTCAGAGACTCGGGGCCGCTGAATCCCATAGCAGTTAGTTGCTCAACCAAAGCGTCGGTCTGCCCAGGGGCAGTGCTAGCTTCCCGACCCGAGACTGCGTGTAATTGCTCAACTCCCCCATGTTCAGCATATTCCGCGGGCAGCCTCCAGGCAGGCGGCCTAGCCCGCTCATAGGATGTTCTCTTGACTGACTCTTCCACTGGCTCGGACTGGCGCGTTCCCTGCTCCTCGGAGAGTCTTACACGAGACGCGTATGATCCGTGACTGCTCGGTGATTCTCCGAAGTCTTCTGTGGTATCGTCGCCATGGACTCGCTGAAGTACCGGCCTCGCTGTCATGTCGTCTCCCGTATCACCTGGAGTGGCTTTTGTTTCTGGCTCGGCCATATCAGGATGTTGGATGGTACGAGATTCCAGACCGGGAAGCTGTCCTCGTTGGCCATGAGGCAGCTCTTCTACTTGTGGTCCTTTCTGTGTTCGGGATTGCTGCTGCTCCGCTATTCTCTCTTCTCTGAGATGAGTTTCACGTATCATCTCTGCTGGTGTATCATACTGATCTGACAGTGTATCAGCGGAGGTAGCGTCGTGGTTCTGCGTCGCTCGGTGCCGATCATTTTTTAGTCGACTCTCGTTGTTGATGTGCTGTAATGGTGCATTAGACCCTGACGCATCCGCTTGTCTCTCTCTCGCTCCCTGGGTAACTTCGCTTCCGGACTGAAGATCAACGGGATGATCTTTCTCGACTTCTTCTGGCCTTTCCCCGTCCTCACTCGGGGGGCCCTGGTTTCGTGAGGAGTTGGGATTCGTCATGCAGAGGATATCAGTACTTGCTGATGCTTGGGATACCTTTGGGCTCAAGGCTTCCACCTTTCCCAACGAAGAGCTAGATTCTGTTTCGGCAATTGTAGTCAACCTCTGTTCGGAAACCTCTGATATCGGCGGTGAAGAGTAGAACATCGTGGTCATGTCTGGATCACCTCCCCCAATATGATCTTGCTCTTGATCTCGATCGCAGCAGAAGTCATAATACATCTGCCCCTCGAAATCGAGAATGAGACTAACCAGTTCCGTTGCAGTAGGTCGATTCTCGTGAGCATGGTCACACATATCTTGAACGAGATCAAGTACTTGGTGATCATCGTTATCGGGTGATAGCTCTTTGAGATGATTCACCCATAGGTCAGTGCCTTCTGGGTTGTCACGAACATAAGTGCCGCCGGTACCGTGGTTGGCGAAGAAAGTACGCATTTCGGGCACTCTTTTGCCACCTAAAACGGTGCACATCTCTAGAAAGACGCACCCTAATGACCAGATATCAGCCGAAGTGTTTCGTGTCTAGCCATTGGTTAGCGCGGAGTCCGGGTGGCCCATACGACTACGTACCTCGTGCATTGCCACTTCTGGGGCGCAGTATGCTTTGGTGAAAGCCTGTCGGTTGGTACCAATAGTGGTCCCACGTGAATCATCCGCCCAACTTCTTGAAGTCCCGAAGTCCGTCAGTAGCACTCGACCACCTTTCACCAAGATGTTTTGAGGTTTGATGTCTTTGTGTCGAATTCGCTGCTGATGCAGATACTCGACCGCAGTGGCAAGGCAGCCAAAAAATCGCCGTAATCTAATGATTTGGTCCGGAATCTCATGTCTGGAAGCCAGTAAATAAGTATGCAGATCCATATCAGCGACCGGAGTCATGATAAGGCCCACAAACTTCCGGTCAGTGTATGAGCCGATCAATCTGACCAGGTGCCGATGGGACAGAGCCTTGAACGTAGTCAGCTCGTTCTCAAACATCTGGATGGCAACCTGGTCTTTCTTGAAGGACCTGCCGCGGGGAATGCGCTTCCGAGCGAAGCTCTGCAGGCTTAGTCGACTGAAGACATGGTCGACGGTACCAAAACCACCACTCCCAAGATCCCTGTGCAAATGGAAATGGACATCCGCGTTACCGTCAATGTTACAGTGGGCACCCCCTGGACGTTCTAGATCGATCGCCTGCTCGGAGAGCACCTTATTCTGATGGGCGATGAAATGGGCACGCTTGGAGCCTCTGATTACCCGAGGCAAGTTCTCTTCTGAGTAAGGCAAGGCGATGTCGGAGAGTCCTTCATTCACAAAGCCATCTATTGCCTCTGGACAGCCAATTATGTGCAGTATGACCAGGGTTCGAGGTCTTTTGCCCCACTCGTGGAATCTGTTGGACTCGCACCAATGGGTGACGTGCGTATATTGTGTATCACTCAATATACCACCTTGGTGTAGCGCGCCTGCCAATGAGGCTGGTATGACTTTGCCTATACCTTCAAAAAGGCGAGCCCTTCGCGAGGCTAGATCGTCTTTGGGTTCGAGGGTAGGCCCAGTGCCATTTTGCGATTGCATGGCTGATAAAGTAACTCATCACAGGCTCGATGGGCGCGGAACAGCCAGGAAAGAATACGACTGCTGGAGTCAGCCTGAGAGACAGTAGGTTCACACGCTGAGACTCTGTACCAATCCGGAGAACCGTAGCTCAACGCGCTGGCGGGGTGGAGGCAAGCGACGATCGCTTCTCGACAGCTGTGTTGCTACAGCAGTTCTTCATGCTGCCTAACATAGACTCATGAAGATAGGGGCAAGTGCGATCGCAGTCCACAAGGCGGCTGCAGTCAATATTGTAACTGCTGCGCCCCGCATGAAGTCGAGATGCGCTTGACTGGTTTCAGATGCTCCGGCGCTTACGGAGTTCCAGAGCGGGTTTGGCCCCAACTCGAGCGCCTCAATCCTACAACATCGAGCCTTGTTGCCGACTTTACTTCTCAGCACCCATTGTGTTCATTGTAGCACAGACGGGTATCTTTTCTATCTACGAGAGGAGAGAAACCACCGATGCGCGAGCTGAGGAAGCTCCGACTGCCCCGCTCTTGCTAAGCTTTGTTTGCCGCCTGAATCAGGCGAACAGGGTTTCCTCCAATGGACCCGGTCTCGGCTACTGGCATCGGGTTGAGTGTTGTTTCGCTCGCTTTGCAGGTCTTCTCGGGCTGTCTGAGAGGCATGTTCCTATGATATTTACACGGCATGCACTTACCGGATTTCAGGGTATCAGATCTTCACGGAGGTTGCTGATCTGCCCGCAAATTACCAGCATCTACGGACCAGACTGAGAATCGAGCAGAGCCGACATCTTAATTGGGGAGAACAGATTGGCCTCCTGGAAGATTCACTTCAGTTGCCTAGCCAGGTGCTCCGCCTGCACCGCAACTTGGTGCTTGATGTCCTCCTCGAAGTGAGCCAGGCTTTTGCATCTGCCTTGCGCATTGCCGGCAAGTACGAGGATCTCGGTGTCCCTGATCTGCAGATTTCGAAAGGTTCCTCGCCGAAGCAGACCAGGTTTCTCGAGCGAGCCAAGAGTCTCTGGCGAGCTAGTGGCCAGGCGGCGTCGCAACTCCAATGGGCCATGATCAAGCATGAGGACTTTGAGGCGTTGATCGTGCGCCTGGTCGGCTACAATGATGCCATGGAGTCGATCCTCGACAGATCCGCCCTCGAAGACCTGCGCATCATGCAAGAAAGGTCGAATTTATTGCTGCTACAGCTGACCGAGGAGATATCACATCTTCATACTCTGACCGAAGCACTTGACATCAAACCACCTCCCGCAACAGCTGTAACGAACGTCACCTTCCAAAGCTTGACCTTTGGGGGACCTGCCAGTTCAGCTGTACAGGTCAGCTCTTTGGCCGCATTCAAAATCCAGAACATCAGTGCTCCTGCGAACTTCAATGGGAGTGATCTTTACATCCAACACGGCCTCTCTGATATTGCTGACCCCGACCACGACAAAGATCGGACAATGACGGTGCTGGACGGCAAGCAAGTCTTCGTTGAGTGGCGTACGCTTGTGAATGCGAATATTTCTATCGATGACAAGCACATTCTCGAGACTCGACTGGCCAAGTTGGCGCTTTTGCTCAGCAGAGAAGACAAGCCCGTGGAGTTCCGCTCACCACGCTCCGCGGGCTACTGTAAGAGAGAGATTGAGGACGGCATTCAATACGGCCTAGTCTACGAAGTACCTTCGCTCGGCAACGCCTGGGTCGGCATAGACACGCTGAGAGACGCCTTCGCATATAGTCTACGGCCCACGCTCACAACACGCATCCGTCTCGCCAACAGCATGGTCGAGTCCCTCCTGTATCTCCACGCGGTCAACTGGCTACACAAGGGTTTCCGAAGCGACAACATCATATTCGCGTCCCCAGTAGCCGGAAGCATCGGCAGCCACGAGGTCCTGGCAAGCCCTCTGATTTCTGGCTTTGACTTCTCTCGCCCAGACACGTCAGATGAGATTACCGTCAAGAGCACATCGCAGGCGCGTCACGACTACTACAAGCACCCGCAACTGCTGCACCACTCGACTGCTAGGTCTCAAAAGTCCCACGACATCTACGCCCTGGGCATCGTTCTCATTGAGCTCGCGCTCTGGTCCCCGATCGAGACCATTATGGCCACAATCTTGGGGAAGCCATTGACGACATCACGAATTCCTCATATTCGGGAGCGCCTCCTGATCGCACCGTACGGCGACTTCGCCGACGCGCTCGCAGCGGTCGCAGCACAAGCGGGCGAAGTGTATGCCAGCGTCGCCAGACGGTGTATCGAAGGCGGTCCATCTCTCGGCATCGACACCAACGCAAACCAGGCAGACCCGGTCGTCGCTGCCACCCTTCAACGTGTCTTCTATGACGACGTATACTTGCAGTTGAAGTCGATACGCGTCTAGCTAGCTGCCTGGAACCCCTGTTGGAAGTCAACCTCCAGCCTCCTCTATCAGGGTCTATAGGATATATAGCTCGGGCCTCTCACCCCAACCATGTCAGCCCTTTCACAAGTTTCCTCTCACCTTCGTGACACCCCCGCCGAATCGCGCCCGTTCTAGCCTTTCAAACGTGGCAAAACCTACACCTTCTCTATCGAATATATCTAACCTTTCACCTGGTAAGCAAGGACCATCAGCTATTGATGAAGAGACGTTAACAGACGCCGCCCGACGCATTGCACGCGTCACCATCGCCCATTACCAATGCGAGGGCCGCAAAGCATCTCAAAAAGTCTCAGCCCCCACGCCAGAGGTCCCCCGGCGTTCCTCGCTAACCCTTGCATGGACCCCTCCCACCCCCCCGGGCAAGCGGCCCGCAGCGCCGGGTGGAGCTGGTCCGCTTGAGCCAGGGACGGCACGGGCTTCGGTTTCGGCATCTTCCGCGCCTAGTGGCGGGCGACTTTTGTTCACTTGCGAGTGCTTGCACAGGGGTGTGAACCATATCGAAACTCAAGGGTCGTCGCCTTTTCAGTCCGTCCCTCTTATAGAGCAGAATTCTGGGCAAATTGTAGATACGAAAGCAGTCGTGATTTCGGTACGTAGTGGTCGGTAGTGCACATACGGTATAGAGTCTCTCCCTCTACAAGCCATCCCAAAACCAGCCCCCACCCACGCCCCCCGCGAGCGACACAACACTCACGCCACGATCTTCCACCTCGTCCTCGGCGCCGTCCTCGCATTGATCTTATAACTCCGATGCCTCTCGCGATGCGCCGCCGTCCAATGCAAATTCGGCTCATAGTCGTCCACGCCCCGATAGCGCCCCAGATTCATGCCCGTGACTTTGACGACCTTGCCCGGCGCGACGGGGACTTTGTACTCGACGGGCCAGGCCTCGAGGATCCACCAGCGCGGGCTCTTCTCCAGCTGGTCGTTCAGGTCCTGCATGGCGTCGTAGAAGTCTTCGGTCTGCTCGGGCGTCCAGTCCTCGTCGGTCTGGCTCTTGAGGTGGTACAGGCGCTCGCCCTGTGCGTCGTAGCGGTCGATGGGCACGAGTTTGCCGCGGCGGATCGCCTTGGGCGGTAAGTTTGATTCGTACTTCTCGAGGAAGGAGGGTGGGGGTCCGTGGTCTGGCGTGGGGAGGCGCGAGTAGCGCGGCCAGAGCGTGTGGATGTCGAGGCCGAATTCGGCGAGTTTCTTGGTCTTGAAGATGATGCCCGTGTCGCATTCGAAGCACTGCCGGATCATCCAGCGGAGCGGGATCTGAGCGAGTTTGTGTCGCTCGTCGTTGGCGACGGCGCCGCCGCCCACGTCTGAGTGGCAGCCGGCGAACCAGACTTCGTAGACGTCCGTCTCGAAGGGGGCTTCTTGCTCGCGGAGGATTTCGTACTCTTCGTCCGTGACGTTGGGGTGGTAGTCGGCGCCGTATTTCTTGTCGATTGCCCACCGTGGTGACACGCTGTTCTCGTCCTGGGAGGTCGGAGGCTGATTCTGCGGCGAGTCAGGCTCCAGAATGTCGTCCAGGTCTCTGGTTTCATAACGGCAGACCTTAAACTTGGCGCGCCGTTCATCGAGAGCCATGGCGTGCCGGAAGTACCGTGCTTTGTTGGTCGGAGTGGTGCTCAATGGCAATCGTCGAGGGATGAAGCCCACACTGGCAACGCTGTCGAAACATCCCAGATAGTATACATTGATGTCGATACAGAAAGCGGCTTTAAAGAGCCGGCTTTGCCGCCAGCCCTCTCGGGTATCGTCCGCGTAGAACTCATACGCAAATGGGATTTGCTGGATGTTGCGAGGTGGGAGCAGCCCGACCTTGTGAACCATGCCGGCCAAGCAGCGAGCGGTGTACGCGCCTCGAGAGAAGCCAAAGATGCAGATCCGGTCACCTTCTTTGTAGCTATGCATTAAGAAGTGGTATGCGTCTCGGACATGAAGGCCCAGCTCTGACCCTACGGCCATGTCGAGTGCGGCTGAGAAGCCGGTGTTCAGGCCGCCCTTGTTGTAAGTGCCAATTCCTGCCTGATAGTACGACACTTGACGCGGGTCGTCTTTCTTAAGAGCGCTGATGAGATGGACGATGTTGCTGTTGTCATTGTCAAACTTGTCGCCAGTGCCGTCCAAACAGACAATGATGGTGCGGCCGGAATTGTGCTCGGAGGACGAGCTGTCTTTGACAGCACGAATATTCTTTGGCAGGTGGATGGGACCGGTGTTGGTCTCCTTCTTGGACTCCTCTTCGGGCGGCTGTGGGGTTGGTGCTCTCTGGAACGGCGGCCCGTTCTCAGGTGACTGTAGCGGGTAGACCTGTCGGCGCCACAGCCCGACAGCCTTGCGAGCTAGATCCTCATTTCTCGATTGCTCACTTAGCACCTGCGCTGGGCCTTGCGGGTCCAGGTTATCCTCCGATGGTGACGCCGGTGAGACGTGTAGCGCGGGAACGCTGGCCTTTGACTGGAGAGGATAGCCGTGGCGGCGGTGTGACTGGGGACCATCTGCGGTCTGGTCTTCGGGCGTATTCACAGGACGCTGCTTATCGGTCTTCGCGAAGTTGGTCTCTGTCACCGAGGGCAGCTCAATTGCTGGTCGCTTTAGGTTCGCAGTGCTTGCCGGTGATTGAAGAGGATAGCCCTGACGACGGGCGGCGCCACGCTCGATGGCTATAGGCCGAGATTCGATGTTGTCTGTAGACTCGCTCTGCCCACGCCTTGAATCGTTCTTTGTTTCCAACGACTGCGGTGTTAGAGGACGGTTCAAGTCAGCCATGCTGGCCGGTGACTGCAAGGGATATACATGACGGCGAAGTGCCTTGCTACTGTGCAGGATTTGACTCTGCCCCGACAATGTGGTGGAGATGCCACTATTGGGATCTACAGCATCATCGTTCGGAATTTTCGATTGCGGTGTGGCAGGATTCTTCAGGTCCACAATACTGGCTGGCGATTGCAGTGGATACATGGTACGCCGCAAGGTCTTGACACTTCCTACAGGAGAATCGCGTTTGTGATGCTCAATTGGGGAAGTCTTCTCATCAGGTATGGCCTCTCGGTCAGGTGATGATGGCGGCGAAGGTGACGCTCGTAGATTCGAGATACTGGCTGGCATCTGCAGAGGGTAGATGTGGCGTCGGTGCAGCTTCATCTTTGCCACATTTGGCTCTTGTGTACGATTTGGAGCGGAGTCCTGGCCCCGATCGGATGCTGCCTCTCCCTCAACCGAGGACGGCGGGGACGGAGAGCTCCTCTGAACTCGGCTGCTCGCCGGATTCTGCAAAGGATACATCCGACGACGTAGAGGGTTGTTTACCTCCTCAAAAGTTGCATGTATTGGTGAATGTCCTGGGACAGCGGTCTCGGCGTCCGACAGAATCGGCGAAGTGGTCGAACCATTCGAGTGGATCGTCGTGGACCGCGCCGGGCACCTCTCCATGCCGGAGGGAGCATCTTGAGAGAAGGAAGCCCCATCAGCAGCACCGGTGCTCGAGTAGGACCCTGTGGGTAATGCTGTAGCATGGTTGGTTGACAGATACAGTGCAGCAGAGTCAGCTGCAGATTGCTGCAAAGGGTATGCGCCGCGCTTCCAGCTGCTGGGTGGCGGAGCAGCTACCACTGGTGCTTCTGATGATTCACCATGGACCGGGGTCGAGGCTTCAGGCTCGCCCAGCGGAGGGCTTGGTGCGCCTATGGAGGAGGGAGCCCGTTCAGAAGATTCAGAAGCCTCTTCGTGGAGTCGTTGACTGCCTTGGGTTCTCCTCAAAGATCGTGTTGTCGTTCCAGTTCGCTCAGGTTCCGGTACATAGGTAGATGCTTCTGCATGCCCCTCCTCTGGTCCTGCAGAAGATGACAGAGGGTTGAGCTTAAGCTTGGTGACGGAAGATTCCGTTGGAGATGGGGCAGCCTCCGCAGACTGTGGCGGCGGTGGCCAGCTGGGTGCATTCTCTGAGTGCGATGCGATTGAATATCGCTTCATTGAATTCTCTGTAGTTGTCCCGGTCGTTGAGGGCTGAGTAGCTTGAGCATCCTTGAGACTCGGGCCTGGTGGTCGACTTGGTGCTGGGCTGGAGCCTTTAGTTGAGCCCTGCAATGGATATCTGGCTCGGGACCAAGTACGGTGTTCAGAGACATCCATCTTGCGTGCAGGTGTCTCTTTCTCGGTAGAAGGTCTGCAGAGGAAGCAACAGAATTTTGAGAGTCCCATGGGTGGAACTAGGTCTCAGGACAAGAGGCGAAGATTCATCATCGGAGGTTTCGGGCTGGGATGGTGCGTAAAGAGGCCCGAGCAGTGACCATCTTGACCGGATGAAGAACGATTTGCACATGGGACGTGCATGCTCAGAGGCTCTTAGCAGGCAAGGGGCTGGAGCGGGGGTCGACGGATGATTGCCCTGTCTGTGATCAGAGCTGCAGCTCGCCGGAGCTTGTGAGGGCCTGCGTACGTCACGTCGTGCCATTGGTGAGATGCAGATCGGATGTGGACGAGCGGTCAATGAGAAATGTGGCACCGTACGGAGCTACCAGAGATGTGCGGGCCCCGTCAGACATCAGATGGACCTGTGGTGAAGAAGATGATGAAAATCCCAACTAGCTGCTCGGCAATTGGGCGACAAGGATGCCCTTGTCAACACGACCAAATCTCGATTCGGGTCGATTGGCGACGGTCGCCTCCGGTTTTAGGTCAAACCTTGCAGCCACCTTGCTGGTTTGGTGTGGTCCCCACCGACACCGTCGACTCTGTTTGTCTGCCGTGCAGCTTAGGTTCTGGTCGATAACGAATCTCGGGCGTTGCACGACTCCTCGCTTCTCCGCCCTTTGTGGTCGTGCCACGTACAGCTGTCAGCCTATCACTCCGAGGGTGACGATCTCACACAATGACGCGAGAGGCTCCAGTACGCTGCAGGACGAGCTGGCAAGATGGCTGGTCAGCACAAGCAAACCGTCACGGCGTGATTGAAAAGAATCGCTGGGGTTTGGTGCACTGCAGTCCGGGCATATAGCATTTCCTCTCCCACGCACATCTTCCCAACCCTACTCCTCGATCTATCCCTTGAAGACAGATCAGTCGCCAAGATGGTTTCATTACTATTCACAGCTATCATTGTCATAGCGACAGCTCTAGCCTTCACTTTCAAGATGCCAGGTCCGCTGGGCAAAGTTCTGGAAATGGCCCGCCGAGCTGCTCCCACGGCGCCGGACGGCAAGACGGATGAGCATGCTGCGGGAGGGGCGTCGGATGAGAAGACATCTATTCTATACGACCTGCTGCATTTGGGCAGAACCAACAGAAGGACATTGTATCAAGCGTTCAACACCCTCGCTGCCGGAGAGCCGCTTGACGACAAAAAATGGCTACTCGAGAAGGGTGTATCCATGCTTCAAGGCCTACCTCCGAATAGCGGGCTCAGTGCTCGCGTTTCCGGTGGCTTCATCAAGATGCTATGGCACGACCTCCCTCAGTAAGTAATCCACTCCTACGAAAGCCTGAGCGGATTCCGAAACCATGGCCTGGAACGGTTGCTGATATGTGTGATACTAGTCCACCTCCTGCACTGGCGGGACCCGAGAACCGCTATAGACGGCATGACGGTGGAGGCAACAACCACTGGGATCCTGAGATGGGCAAAGCCGGCACCCCATACTGTCGGAGCGTTGCACCAGGCAAGGCTACGGGCCCTAATCTTCCGGACCCAGAGCTGGTCTTCGAAAAGCTTCTGAAACGTACCGGCGCTTTTAGACCGCATCCATCCGGACTAAACCGACTGTTCTTTTCCTTCGCCACTATTGTCATCCATGAGTGCTTCCAAACCAACCGAAAGAAGCAATGGATCAACGAAACATCCAGCTACGTCGACCTCAGCACTCTATACGGCAATACAGGCGAGGAGCAGAAGAGAGTCCGAACATATGAGAATGGCATGATCTATCCGGACTCGGTTGCATCAGAACGCATTATGCTGATGCCGCCCGGGGTCATTGCGGTTCTGCTGATGTTCTCACGTAATCACAACGAGATTGCATATTCGCTGTGGTCTGTCAACGAGCAGAGCAAGTATGGCGACTGGGAGGACTTGACAGAGGAGCAAAAGAAATGGTAAGTTGTCTCGTGAGTTGCGACACTTTCGCTAATAGCTGTTCTTCAGGCAAGATGAAGATATCTTTCAAATTGCTCGAAACATCAACGTTGGCTTCTTTGCCTCGGTCGTCCTCAAGGACTATGTTGCAGCCATCTTGAACACCCCACGAGCCAACTCGGAATGGTCTCTTGATCTCGGCGGCGAAATCAAATTACGCGGCGACCGTGTTGAACGTGGCGCTGGCAACGTCGTCTCCGTCGAATTTGCCGTTCTTTACCACTGGCATGCTGCTCTCAGTGCGGCTGACGGAGACTGGATGGAGGACATGCTCCGATCAAATCTTCCTGATCTGAAATCAATTGATGACATGACACCCGAGCTCTTCGCCCAGGTTGTGAAACAAGAAGGTCACCGACTTATGTCGACACCACCAAAGGAGTGGACCTTCGACGGCCTGAAGCGAGGACCTGATGGAAGGTTCAGCGATGCTGACCTCGGTAAGATCCTGAAAGACTGTGTCGAAGAACCCGCCCACGCCTTTGGTGCCCATGGCACACCCGCAAGTCTGAAAGTCGTAGATATCTTGGGACAGCTGCAAGCCCGCGGCGTGTTCAATGTCTGCACCTTGAACGAGTAAGTAGTCAAATTGTGGCTTTGTGCTCGAACTAACGAAGTCGCAGGTTCCGCAAATACCTGAACTTGAAGCCTTATGAGAACTTCCTTCAATGGTGTGAGGATGCAGAAACTGCTCGCACCGCCGAGTTGTTGTATGGCCACATCGACAACATGGAGCTCTATCCAGGCCTACAGGCAGAGTGCACCAAGCCTCCTATGCCTGGTAGTGGTGTGTGTCCCGGTCAGACTACTGGCCGTGGTATTTTGGACGACGCAGTATCACTTGTTCGGGGCGATCGTTTCCTTACCTACGACTTCAACAGCAGTACCCTCACAAACTGGGGTGTGTCAAAGCTCCGCTCCAGTACTGCAGGTGGTGCTTATGGCGGTGTGCTTCCGACCCTGCTCTTCCAAGGACTTCCTGGCGAGTATACTGGCACATCCACCTACGCTCTTCTCCCATTCTACACCCCGAAAGCCGTGCGAGGCATTCTGGAAGGCAACGGTGTAATCCAACAGTATGATCTCCACCGACCCCAACAGAATACCACCAAGATCGTTGGCATCCATACCCAGGATGGGGTCAAGAGGATCTTCGAGGACCGCGACAATTTCCGTGTCATGTATCAAGCTGCCATCAAGAACTGCACTGATGGCCACGACTTCATGATCGGCTGGGACCAGCAACGTCGCCACGATGAACGCTCCAAGCTCCTGCATCATGTCTTCTTCGAGAAAGGGTTCGAAGCCAATGTTGCCCAATTCTTCCGCAACAATGTGCAAAAGCTGATCGAGAAGAACTCTTTATCATACCCTGATGGCCGGCGCTCGATCGACATTGTGCGCGATGTCACCAACGTCACCCCCATACTCTGGCTTGCCGAGCGATTCGCTGTTCCATTGAAGTCCGAGGAAAACCCTCGCGGTCTCATCACCCGCGCCGAGCTCTTCGACATCTACCTCGTCCTTTTCATGTATCAGAGCTTCAACATCCTGCCTCAGAACGAATGGAAGCTCCGCGAAGGCAGCATGAAGGTCGCGCCTCTCCTACGCGGCGTTCTCCACGGCCACCTCTCCACCCAACAGGGCGGCTACAAAGAAGTCTTCGCCGACATCGTGGAGAAAGGCACCGCCTACGAAGTCAAGCCCGACGCCGACCGCCTATACAAGGAACTCGCCAAGTCGGGCCTCCCCGCGGGCGACCTCGTGGGCGACTGCATCGGCATGGGCGCCCCCGTAGCCGGCAACCTCACGCAACAAGCCTCCCTGCTCATCGACCTGTACCTCAGCCCGGGCTACGAGAAATACAAAGCTCGCATCGTCGAGCTGGCCCATCGCGACGACGCCGCCGGCGACAAGGAACTCCTCGGCTTCGTCTACGAAGGCATGCGCCACGCCGGCGTCGTCCCCGGGCTCCCCCGCGTCGCCGCGCAGGACATCACCGTCAAAGACGGCCAGCGCGGGCCCATCCGCATCAAGGCCAACCAGACGGTGCTGATCGCCACGTCGCGCGCCGCCATGGATCCCGTCGCCTACCCGAACCCGGAACTTATCGATCCGCACCGCCCCATCTCGTCGTACACGCTGCTGGGCCACGGCCTGCACTTCTGCTTCGGCGCCCGGCTGGTGGCGCCCAGCCTGGTGTCGACGCTCAAGGAGGTGTTCCGGCTCAAGAACCTGCGGAGGGCGCCAGGGAGGCAGGGGAATTTCAGTACGTTGAATCACCATGTGGCGGGTGTCAATATGCGCGTGTATCTGGATGCGAACTCGAATGAGAGTCCGATTCCGACCACGTTGACGCTGCTTTACGATGGGGAGGAGGAGATGCAGATGAATGGCGTGGCGGATGGGGAGGTTACGAGGATGGCTGCGTCATGGGCTTGAGGGATTTAGGGAGGATGTAGCTCTCCGCCATTTGCGCGGTCTCTGGATGAAAAGTTGGTGTATGGGTTGCTAATGGCTGAGGTATTTGCAGTAAGTAGCTCACTCATGTATGAGATTTTGTGGAACACCCTATGTTTGGACAACTTAATACAGTCCTTCTCGCTGCACATAGATGCTATTTTCCCTCTTGAACAACTGTATAGAGCGTTTATGCTCTCTTGTGGCTCTGTACATCTCGTAGTTCTCTTCTATGCGAAGAGATCGGCACATAAAACGAGACGAGCTAAGTCCGCATATTCCTGATCGAAATTATACTAATCGTCAATCCGCAGAAACTGCGACTCTTTGCCCACGGGTACCATTTTGGAATACTCTCCAGTGCAGATGCGGCGTCTATTGCGCAGCAGAGCTTGAACTTTGGCGCTGGAAGACGGTCACTCGGTTGCCTTGTTGCCTAATCGGGCATGGTGAGATAAGGCAGACAAGGCTATTGTGGCTGCGGCGGCCCCGGCTTTGCCCCCGGGCAGATCGTGACATGGAGATATGTCCACTCAGATGAGGAAGAGCTTCTGATATTTTGCGCAGTCGATTACATCTTTCTAATGATTCTACTACTGGGACCTGACGCAATCCTGCACCGCTTCGGCACTCGGTCTTCAGCACGCGGTTTGGTGTACGATTTCGACCACACCCGGTCTCCTCCCCCCCTGCTTCAGATATAATGGATATCACATCGGGTCTTGAGCTCTCTATTGAAAGCCCATGGCGTTGAGGCCGCAGTAAGCAAAGTCATACATGTCACAAAATGGGTACTGGAACAGAGGTACTATGCGGTGCATCATGGCTTTAGACTGCCTCGAAGTATGACGGACAAGCATATTACGACATGGGTCTCGCAGATAGGGGCGAGCGACGCATACTAGTCTGATCTAGTCTCATTACACTCCTAGGAGACTAGGGATTGATAGAGGATCAACGCTGTGGTGTCTCCAAGGCGGAAGCTTAGATACTGGAGCGACTGGACATTCTTATATAAATAGCTATGGCTGTCTGAACAAGTTTCTCCATGCAACTGTCTCTGCTCATACTAGATTGCGAACTTCACTGCTCACTCTTCACTCACCTGCGTCCGGTGTTGCCCTAGCCTCGTTGCGGCTTTGGGTAGGTAAGGTGTTTCACGGCAGGTGCTAGGTAGTGACTTCCATCCCCACCACTGACTTGCAATCAACAATCTTCTCACGCGTCAAACTTTTCTATCTAGTTGCATCCAGCACACTTGCTCAACTCATTTGCAGTGTAGCAAATGCCGTATCGTTGGCAGCAACTTCACATTTTCAGAGATTGGACGCGATTCTACCTCTTCTTTTTCCTCCTCGACGAGTCCCACCCCCTTCTACACGTTTGCACTCGAGGGCACCTGTTTTTCTGCTCCTTGCCATCGTTTGATGCGCTTACCTCTCGTTGATATTCCTTTTCATCTGATTCTCTGCATTTGAGCTTGGCACTTTCCGAAAGTGCTGAACCCGATCACCTTCACCGAGCTCATCTCGCCACGACTTTCAGCTTGTGTTGCTTCAGCAGCCTCACATCGCGAAGAGACAGAATGGATGTTACCTCTGGTCGAGAGATGGTGGAAGCCACTAATTCGGAGCGCTCCTTGCGGTACGATATACGTTCAACCACTTTCCGTTGACCAATACGTTACTGACTACTGACCCAGCTTCCTCCACTCCCAGCAGTTCGCAGATGTCACGGTCACATGCCACAGCCATACCTGGAAATGCCACAAGGTTAAGCTTGCTGAGAGATCAGACTTCTTCTGTGCCGCTATCTGTGGTAGGTTTGTTGAGGCTCAGAATTCTATCATCGACCTTCCGGACGACGAACCCTGCATCGCTGCAAGAGTCATTCAACATATCTACACCGGCTCCTACCCCAATAAGCTATCCAACGAGTTCGGAACACTCTTCGAGAATGTGAAAGACCTCTACACCATTATTGAGAACGAACATGTTGACAAGGACGGCCAAGGAGGCAGCGGCAGTCTCGCAGCCCCCCAAACCAAGAAGAGAAAGATAGACCCCAGCAAGGCCAGTGATGCTACACTCAATACTAACTCTGCGAACACCGAGAAATCTGGATCTGTTGCAGAGCCGATGACTGATTCTGCCGCATCTAACGTCTGGACGGCTCTCGACTTGAGCATCGCCCTGTACGCTGCTGCCTTCAAGTTTGGCGTGAAACCACTCCAAGAACAAGCCGGTGCAGCATTTCGCAAGAATCTCCTTGAAGAGTTCTCGAGCGGATCCACAGCGGCCATGCAGTTGCACGCTCAAAAGATCGTTCAAGCCGTCTACGATAACACAATGGGCACTGAGCGAATGATTCGAAATAAATTGCTTCATTTTTGTCTGTCGCAGGAAGACGCATCTCCCGCACAAATCGACCAAAGCACTATCAACGACATGATTGCGCGAATCCCCGAATTTGCCGCTGAGATGGCAATGTGCTGTTTGTCAAGCCCCTCGTGGTACTGTCGAAACTGCCAGTCGCGGCAGAAAGTCCTAATACGCCCATGCAGATGCGGCAAGCGGTCCAAGGTCTGCAACGACATCAAGTGCAAGAAGCAATACGTCCAGGATTCCATTTGCGGCGCTTGCGGTACACCAGGCGTTGTTGCTCCGGCGGGATTCTGGTCGGACGTTGGATGGGTATACAAAGCACGTTCCACATGGGAAATTGTCTCATGGAAGGAAGCCTGGACTGGCGACTCGAGCTAGGCGGCAAAGCAATGAGCTACACAGCCGGTCTTGGATGTCAGCAGCTAGCCCCTATTGAGCGAAAGGTCAGAGAGTGTGCTTTCGATGCAGGGGGAAAAACCAGTGCGATGCCATAACATTGCAACGACTGAAGAAGCAAGCATACAAAAGAGGTCTGGCGCACCTTTCTAATTCCAACAGTGCATCTGATAGACACAACACCACCAACACCAACATCTTAGCAGAAAGAGAATATCACAAACTGAGCTCCATCAAACTCGCAAACACATCCCTCTTGTTCCTCATCCTCTCCTTCGGCTCCTTCCCCGCTCCCTCCCCACCTTCAATACCTTGTACAACACCCCCCAACATCTCCCTCTGCCTCTCCAGCCTCTGATACTGATAGCCCGCCACCTCCAACCCCTCCTCGTGCCCATAGTCCAAATGGTGCCCACACCTACGCCACTCGATATCCTCCTTTTTCGCGCCACCCGCACAACAATGCCCCCAGCAATCACCCACACGCTGAATGATACTGCCTCCGCCTTCGACGCCGTACGTGGCATCCAAAACATTCAGCATCGTCGGAATCGCGGCTTCGTGGAACACGCGGTACGAGTCCATGATGGCACTCAGGTAGATCCAGTCCGCGAAATAGCGCCGGGGGATGTAGAACATGTCGCTCCAGCCCTGGCAGAGGAGGTGGGGATTGATGCTGTATTTCCTCCCCCCTTTAGCTCTGCCGCTCCCATCACCATCATCATTGTCATTCGTGTTCGCAGCGTCAAGAGCCGCCATGGCTTTGGGCAGCTGTTCCGGCACGTGCTGCGCGCGGTAGGCGCCCCAGGATTCGCCCTCCCGGGGGTCTGTGTAGCAGCGGTAAGGGGGGTTGGGGGCGTCGGGCAGCCAGGTGCGGTTGTAGTCCATGGCGGAGGCGGGGAATTCGAAGGGGTTGAGCCACATGTCGAAGTGGAAGTAGAGGAGGCCTGTGATGTTGGCGCCCCAGGTTGGGTTGTCGTCGGCGGTGGCGACGCTGGTGTTGGAGGTGGTGCTGGCGGGGTCGGTGCCAATGGCGTTACTGGCGTTGGGCGGGGAGGAGGAGGAGGGGGGAGGGGATGCGTCGAGGATCTGCTGCATGGAGCGCGCGGCGGCGTTGTACGGGTAGAGGCCGTCGATCCAGGCGTCGTGGGTGCGGTTCGAAAAGAAGGGGGTCGGTGGGTTGAGGCCGGCGGCGACGGCGATGGTGGGGTCGGCGGGAGTGTCGGGGAGTGACTCGATTTTGGGGATGCTGAAGTGCAGGGTGTGGAAGAAGGGGCGGTATTTCTCGAGCAGTGGGAAGCGATCCATTCTCTCGAGGGCGTTGTAGCGAACCATGGCGAAGGTGTTTTGAAACGGGGAGGTGATAGGCCCCGATCGGACGGCATCGGACACGGGGGTAGATGGGGGCGCAGCGGAGTCCCAGGCGTGCAGGCCCGCGATTCCGGAGATGGCTAAGCAGGTGGTGATGATGAGGCCGAGTTGGCCGAGGACGCCGGTTGGTGCGAGAGCGGAGAAGACGCCTCGGCTGGAGTCAGAAGAACCAGTCTTCTCATCCATGGGACAAGGTTGTGTGGCGTCGGCTGGCGGAGGTGCGGCTTTTGGTGGAGCGCTGTCCATATACAGCCATGTTGCAGTGAAGACGGTGGCGGTGCCGGGGAATATGAGGAATGAGAAGTCGGCCCCGAAAGCGATGGGCGAAATGTATAGAAGGATCGCGGTTGAGAAGGCTGTCGCGAAGCACTTGATGAGGGCATCGGCGTACTTGTAGACCGCGGTGATCACCAAGCCGTTGAGGACACTGCTGACGATCACCAGAATAGGGCCGATCTGGTTGAAGCCGTGGAAGAAACCGGGTTCATCGGACTTTATCGTCGAGATGATGAAGTGAACAACTGTGTTTATGCACATGCCAAAAGTATACAGAGCCATGTTCTGAGCATGCATCGACGAGTCCTGCGATTTCAGCAAGTGCTGATTGTAGACCCCAGCGACCGCTGAACAGAATGTCTGGAAACCCAAGATTGCATAGGTGTAGATGGGGTACACGGATCCGGTACCAGGGTGGTACTGTGTAACGATCAGTCCGCAGACTTGCAACGCTATGGCAATCCATTGTAATTTTGCAATCTTCGTCCCGAGTGTGAGCATCAGTACCAGTGCCGTGATCAGAGTGATGCCGGACTTGATGAGAGAAATGGTGCCGGGATCTGCTAGTTCGAACAGGACGAAGACGGTGTTATTGATGGTAGCATAGAGGAGAGCCAGGTGGCCGTAACCGATGATCGTCTGGCGGTTGAGCTCTTCTTTACAATGCTTCAAGAAGAGGGACAGTGTTAGCCGCTGGGAATTCCAGGCAGGTCGCTCCAGCTCTTCCAGTGAGACACCCTCCTCTTCTTCTTGGTGCTGACCATCTTCGAGCAGACCTTTGGAGCTGCCATCGACCACCAGAGGTTGACGCTGAGAGCTAGCTCCTTCTTTCAATGGTTCAGAGGCCTCGTGCAACGAGATATAGTCGTCCTGGTTGCGAACTCGTTGCCGACATGATTGGTAGAAGAAAACTGCTGATATCCAGAACTTGAAGAACTCTGATATGGCGACTGAAGAAGAAATTGAGAAGGGATAGCTGCAGCTCTAGTTAGCCAAATGCCTACTTATTCAACAAGGTCCTTCTTACTGTCCATGATTTTGCACAGCCTTGAACAGCACGCCCATACCGACTTGAACACATACGAGCGCCGCCGCAGCCAGGAAGCTGGGACTGACCAGTTGTAACATCGAGTCTCTGAATGGTGCCATAATTGTTGCGGCAAGCAATGAAGAGGAAGCATAGCGAGTCCGAAAAGAAGGGGTATCGTTCTGATCCCGAGCTTGTAGGGCCGATCCAATTGTCGGACGCTTGGGCCGGCTCCCTGCCTGGCCTCGACCACATTGTGGCAATGTCTGACATACCTAAAAATCGAAGAGGTGCAGTGCGCCGCCCTGTCAGGTTTCGTGTTCGCAAGTCATCAATGCAGGGGTTTGCAGCAGCCCCAGCCAGCCTCAGCGCCACGTATCTGAGGTTGGAAAAAGACCATCCACTGTGTGCATTTGAACCCGTGTTTGGCTGATAAGTGACATGACGTTAATGAGTCCAGATGCTGCCATTGCTGTAGGTAGTTCAATTTGAGTTTTGCTGGCGGCGTCGCATACCGAGAGCGTTCGCTGTCACATGAGTTTCATGCAAGGGGTTTCCGGGTACTTTGCCCATAGGCTTGTGCGACGCTTTGGGAAATACCATCGGATGACCTGACACGAAGGAGTCGACTGGTCAGTAGTCGTCAATCCTACTTATTGATCTCGTAAACACGCAAACGCTTGCCCATCTACCATCATTATGCCTCACGCCGAGTATCTGAACTCACCGCTGACAATCGTTCCAGTGGAATCGCCAATATCGAGAACCCAGACTCCGTTCGGTCTCGATGGATATTTCCCACAGCTAGAGAAAAATCGGTCGTACGTGCAACACAATGGCGCCGCGACCCCTGACTCTGCGGTGTCCATGTCGATGGGCAATCGGCCGCCAGAAGGCCTCAACGTGATCATCCCAATGGGTGGCATTGGATCTCGATTCCAGAAAGAAGGCTATCGGTTCCCTAAACCCCTCATCAAGATCGTCGGGCGACCCATGCTGTGCTGGCTCATTGAGCGACTGAGCCTGACATCCCAGGATACACTCTGGCTAGCGGTCAACGAAGAGGTCGAGAACGAATTCCAGATCGCAGACCTGGTCCGGAAGTGGTTCCCAAAGATTGACGCTCGACTTCTGAAGCTCAATTACCTGACCAGGGGCGCCACAGAGACGCTGTTTATCGTCACGCAGACAATGTCTGCCAGTCACCGGCGCCGTCGGACCGTATCTCTCGACTGCGACACGATCTACTTCAACGACATCCTTTCTCAAGTTCGCAAGCTGCCTCAGTCGCACGGGGGCTGTTTCTGCTTCGAGGATCTCGGGTCGCAGCCGATCTTCTCCTACATCCAAGTCGACGAAAAGGATGTGATCACGGATGTCCAGGAGAAGAACGCCATCTCCACCCACGCGAATACTGGCGCGTATGTGTTCCCATCGGCGGCTGCGCTCAACCATTGGGCGACCATCTCCCTGGATTCCAAGCTCGACGGGGCAACAGACAAGGTTGGAGAATACTACACCTCGCAGCTCATCGAATTGATGATCAAGACGGGCGGCGTCCCCTTCTCTGCCCTCCGCCTTGACAACGACGAATTCAGTTGTGTCGGCACCCCTCGCCAGCTCGACGACTTCCTGGTCAAGATCTCCCAGAATGACAGCAACGTCAAACCCAAGCTCCAGCGCTTCTGTTTCGATCTCGACATGACTCTCGTAGGCATGCCCGAGGTTTCTGGCGACTACAGTACCTGCCCACCCCTCTGGGACAACATCGAGCTGGTACGCTCCCTGCACAAGGCGGGTCACTATGTCATCATCCAGACCGCACGGCGCATGCGCACGCACAACGGTAACGTCGGTGCTGTCATTGCCGACATTGGGCCTGTTACTTTGGCGCAGCTTGCCAAGTATGAGATCCCCTACCACGAAGTGGTCTTTGGCAAACCGTATGCTCACGTTTACGTTGATGACCTTGCCGTCAATGCCAACCTGGACACGCGCAAGGAGATCGGCTGGCTTGGAGTGGACGCCGCCAACGGTGAGACCAATAAACTTGCCGAGTTGAAGCACGCGAAAAAGGCCGGCATCGTGCCATCGCGCGACTTCAACCACGTGCAGATCCTGGGCGAGCGCGTCATGAAGAGCTCCAAGTCGCCCAAGCTGCTTGCCGAAATGTTCTTCTACAGCCACATTCCGGCCGGGCTGAGCGACCTCTTCCCGAAGCTATATTCGGCGAGCTTCTTCGAGGAGACGTCGACATACAGCTTCACAATGGAGAAGCTGCAGGGCGTGTCGTACTCGCACCTCGTGACCGCGCGATCTCTCACCCGCGGCCGACTCCGGCTGATGTTGGAGGCGCTGTATCGAGTCCACAGCACACCCACGCAACACAGCACCGCCAGCAACGTCGATCCGGAGATCGCAGATATGTTCGCTGCCAGCTCTTCGGGTGTCGTCAACATTTACGCCAACTATGCGGCCAAGATGAAGTCGCGCTACACACAACACGTAACCTGCTATCGCGCATTGGGTGATGAACTGACCTCACGGCTGTACAACACGCTGCTCTCGCGTCTGGAAACGTATGAGACCAACAAAGAGGCGCTGCCAGCGGCACTCATCCACGGTGATCCAGTCTTCTCAAACGTCGTATTGAACGAGAGCGCGCGTAAGGTCTCCTTTTACGATGTGCGCAGCCAGCAGGGCGACACGCTCACCACCGAAGGCGACATCTGCTATGACCTCGCGAAGGTGCTGCAGAGTCTGCAGGGATACGATCATGTGGTGCTGGCGGACCCCGAGACCCTTCGGAAAGCGAGCGCTGGGAACGGCTGGGGTCTAGGATTCATGGTCAAGGCGGAAGACAGGCTGTGTCTGCGTGGACTGCAGGAAGTGTTCTGGCAATTTGTCCAGGTGAAATACGAGGGGAAGGTGGAGTACCAGACGCTCTTGACGTTGGTGGCGAGTCTGATGTTCACGCTGATTCCCCTGCATCGGGAGGTGGTGCGGCCGATCTTCTTGCAGATGTGTGCGAATGTGCTGGAGCATGACGTGGGATTTCCTTTGTAAAGGGATGAATGGGAGAATGTCTTCCGGACTTGTTTGTCTAGAAATGACTGACAACTTCCAAGCCGTTGAACTGTTGAGCCATATGACTAGGTGCTCTGGACGTGTCACAGTGAGGTTGATATGACGTGCGCTCAAGAGGAGCAGGTCCTTGTAACGCCAAGACAGATGTAAGGGATGACAGTCGGTCCAAACTGGGGTTGTTCAGGGGCTGTCAAATACCCTGGACCGTTTCCCTGCAATGTGGAAGCCTCGATCATAAGTCAAGGTGCCCAGGTGAAACATTTGGAGTCTCCGTGCATTCTCTGAGTGCGCTATTGGGCTCGATGGCCCGTTTGTGAAGTGGAGACTACACACCAGATGACAGCGGATGTAGAGTATCGAGCAAGTCGGCGCTCCGAGGCATACCTCAAGGCCAAGAGAAGGCCTCGGTCGGGAACGACCACTGCAGGTACTCGTCAAACCCTTCCGGCAGAGTCATGCCAAGCGGGTCCATCTGTTGCGCGGTGGGATATGCTGTTTGATTCAACGCTTGTTGCACCTCCTTCGCCATCATCTCTTCGAAGAACTTCTTTCGCTGCCTCACCTTGATAGGATATATGGCAAACTGCGATGCCTCCATGTCTGGGAAGCGCGCTCTTTCGTTTAGGAAGACCTCTTCAAACTTATCTATCAGTCGGTCGCACACATGACCGAAGTTCAGATGGGTGCGGACGTAGTTGACATCCCAGCCATCTAGACCAGTGAGTGCTGACAACTTGGACAGCACTTCCAGAACTTGAGAGATTTGCCCTTTGCATGTCGAGGTCATTAGGGGAAAGCTTTCCAGGGCGATGGCTAGATAGGCGTCAATGTAGTTGCTTACCAGTGCCAGTAAAGCATGAAGTGCCTCAATCTTCTCGGCATGGTGGGGGCAGTCGCTGGTGAATATGCGGTCGTACAAAGCTATTTCGAGGGACTGAATGTCCAGCTGGAATTGGTGGTGGGTGACAAGCTGTGGTGGGAGCGCGCTGCGAAACTTCTGGATATCGGCTCGGAAGCAGGCCACATAAGCTCTGACGGTCATGGTCTGAGATGGTTGCACGCCTTTGGGGTTCAGGTAACGCTCTGCTAGCTGTAGCAGGCGTATAGAATGTACTGCTTGCACATCCAAGGGGCCGTTGGCGTGCTCCTCAACGTATTGACAGCTTGTTTCCATGATCTCGCTCCAGTGCGGAAACTCTGATCTACGCAGGGTAATGGCGTAGTAGCTTCCAATGTAGTAAAGCCCCATCATTGCGCGATAACCTGCACCGAGATCGTGTGGCCCGGAGTTCCTCCCGAAGATCAGGTGGTTGATATCGGCCCAGAGACGTGGAGGAACTCCGTTTGGATGTGGTGGCTGTGCCAGGCCAAGATCTACTATGAGAGCTCGGCCGAGATGTAGAAGATTCATCATCTGTGGATTCGCAATCAAGTGAAAAGGATACCAGGCTTCCAGTATGTTAATGGCGAACAACATGTCCATCGACTTGCGACCATGAATCAGCATTGCATTGACCAGTGAAGCTAGTACTTCACGTGCGACGTGCTTTTGAAGAACGCAGTGACGATGAAGCGCAGCCATGATTGCAACGGCGACGCTGAAGGGAGCTTTCTCGGCGCAGGTGGCGTAGTCAGCTGATTTGCTGTAGCTGGCTGCATCTGAGAGCTCGAATTGGGAGGTCAAGAAGGGGAATTGGTCAGCCATGTCTCTCCGGAAGTCGTCCAGGAGAGTTTGCTTGAATTCGACGTCGAGGTCATCGAGGGTCGCGCTTGCAAGCAGGGCTCCCTCCTGAGCGCTTGAAGCCTGAACGGCTGCTATGGCCGTGTGGCGATTGCTGGAGTTCGGGGTCGCGGCCGGAGTAGGCGGTTGACGGCCACCGTGTACTGCTGTACATGTACGAGGCCTTTTACGGGCTACTGGGGCCGGAGTGCTGCATGTTTTCTTGAGGCGATGGCATCGCTGGCAAATGGTTGCAGTCGCTGCGCTATCAGTATCGCCAGTGAACGGAAGACATCTCTCCTTCACTTGTGCACAGTTACGGCAAGCACGTCCTTCACGTAGGCCGGGTGTATCTGTATCGGAAGATGCACTGAGGCCGACTAAGGACGGCATTACGCCTCACCTGGAGCGGCGGAAGTCACCCGGGGGTCCCCCGGAGTGCTCGAGAAAGGTGCCGGCTTCTTGTTGTGGCACGCTCCAAAGTTAGTTATCATTCGTGGTACAGCACTCCCCGGTGGCAAGTAGAGTGTAGATTGTGTAAGAAGGCTGCCGAACATGAACCCGAATGCTCGGCCGAGATGCTGATCGAGAGTTGTGTCGTTCGACCGGAGTGAAGAGTAAATAGCACGACCCGGACGGAACGATGGGTAGGGCGACGTATTCTCTCGTAGCCGCTACTAGGCAACATTAGCAACATCAAGATCCCCTGGCAACGTTCTCGCAACTGCCATATATGGTTTAGCTCGACAGATTCATTGTCGGCGTGGGAAGTTCGCCCCTACACATCTGAGCAACATCAGGGCGGTACGTGACCCAACTGGACTTTGTGCGTAGCTCGGTTGATAGTGTAACAGCAAGTATGAATCACCTAGCGTTTTCAGACGTCTTTGCAGGTCAATATACAAAGTGATTTGTGCGGAAGTCCCGCGGAAGTCACATGACCATCGTCTCGCCAAGCCTTCATGAATGCCTCACCCCTTTCGGCATTTAACGTACGTAAATTGAGCTTGCAGAATCACCACGCAACACTCCTAAAATGCTCATTCTTGCCCATCCGGACCGGTTGCTGCCTGGCGCTCCGGGTCCGGGCACAAAACACTACCATTCCCCTGAACCACCAATAACCCGGCCAAGTCACAGATCCTGGTTGCAATGGCGGGGATCACGGCTCGGTAAGGGCTATGGGCTATGCGTACTCGGATTGTGATCATGCACGACTGCCCGGTAGCCCAATGCTGCTTCTCAGGCAGAAGTCATTATATGCTTGGGAAGCCGCAGCTTGGCTCTTGCTCAACGCTCTCTCGCATGCCTCACATCTCCCGTAACTATGGCACCTCAAAACGACTCTCAAGCAGGCACTTCTGTTCGGCCAACCAGCGACATCTCGTCCGACATGGATCCAGCCCCCCGAGAAACGACAGTTGCAGCGGAACCCGTGGCTGAAAAGAAGGAGAGCAATAGTGCAACTCATATGTCAGGCTGGCCACTCGGACTATTACTATTCGGCCTCTTCCTCGTCATTCTGATCGTCACTCTCGACATCTCCATCGTCGCTGTCGCAGTTCCTCGAATAACTGATGAGTTCCAAACGATCAAAGACATTGGCTGGTACCCGGCCGCCTTCTTGATCACGCAATGTACCCTGCTTCCTCTGGCCGGCCGAATATACACTTTCTTCCCATTCAAGGTCTGCTTTCTGGCCTTTCTTGCTGTCTTCGAACTGGGCTCGCTTCTATGCGGAGTCGCTCAGTCCTCGATGATGCTGATCATCGGTCGGGCAGTCTGCGGCATCGGCGGCTCCGGACTCATCAACGGCGCGCTCGCCATTGTCGGCATTGCAGCCTCTCCAGAAAAGCGTCCTCTGATGATGGGTCTATTCATGGCTGTCTCGAGCTGCGGCCAGATCGTCGGCCCATTGATCGGCGGTGCGCTGACGGAGCACGTGAGTTGGCGCTGGTGCTTCTATATCAACTTACCGGTAGGGGGAGTCACCACCATCATCTTCCTCTTCATCCGCTTTCCACCCTCCGACAAGAAGACCTGGACCTCGAAAAGCCTTTTCTGGGATCTGGATCTTCCAGGCTTCGCCGTCTTTGCCCCAGCCTGTGTCATGTTACTGCTGTCCATCACCTGGGGCGATACCGAATACCCCTGGAAGTCAGCCACAATAATCGGACTGTTGTGTGGGTCCGTCGGAATGTTCGCCGTCTTCATTCTATGGGAGATACGACAAGGAGAGCAAGCGATGATTCCGCCACCAATCATGAAGCTGAGAGCAGTCTATAGCTCCTGCATCACCGCCTGCTTCCAGGGGGGAAGCATGCTTATCCTCACCTATTACCTCGTTTTGTGGTTCCAGATCATCAAGGACGCCAGTCCGGCCCAGAGTGGGGTCTACACGCTGCCGAGTTTCCTCGGACAGGTGCTGTTCTCGGTTCTGACAGGTATTGCCAGTAAGCATGCATCGTTCGTTGTTGGGAGGGCGCCTTGAACTGACATCCCCGGTAGTGATGAAGATTCGTTATGCTTTGGCACCACTAGTCCTCGGCAATGTACTCACCATTGTCAGCTACGGAATGTTCAGCACCTTCAACCCATCGACCGGGTCTGCCGACTGGATAGGCTGGCAGGTCATGGCTGGCTCTGGCCGAGGCATGGCCCTCCAAATCGTATGTATAAGCTCTCGCCATACCCTTGCCAACGGTCACTAACGGCGACTGCGTAGCCTCTATTAGTGGTCCAAGGTGCAATCTCCAAAGCCGACCTAGCGACAGGCACATCGGTGATAGTCTGGGCTCAGTTCCTAGGTGGCAGCATCATCCTAACTGTGGCGCAAAGCGTCTTTGTGTCCTTCCTGCGCGCTGCCCTGCGGCGCTACGTGCCCACGTTGGATGCATCGGCGGCAATTGAAGCAGGCGCAACCAACTTCATCGCCTCTGTGCCGCCAGAGCTCCACGCCGCGGTGCTGGCCGCGTACAATCGCGCCATCACCCACGTCTTCTACTTGGGCGTCGCGGTGTCCGGGATCGCGCTGCTCACCTCCTTCGGAATTGGGACGGTCACGGTACAGGCGGGCGGTGCTTTGAAGGCTGGCAAGACAGATGCGGCGGTGGCTGAAACGGGAGGAAAGACAGAAACGGTGAAGGCAGAGCCTGAGAAAGCATAAGAAGTTTTCAGAGGCGTTGAGCACTTATATCTGTGGTGTTGCAATATGGTCCCGGACTCCCTTTCTCCTTGGGCATTCGTAGATAGATTTGTTCGCGTTGAGGTAGAATAATATACTGATGACACGAGTGGTTCGACGACAGTTAACGTGCGCCTGTTTCCATACCATATACTATCTCCCCTCAAACCAACGGCGTGAAGGTGTCATCTCCCGTAAGTCCACGGCAGCCGCCCCTCAATTTCGTCGACGACGCCTAGTGAGGCCGCCACCTCCCCTATCCTCATCCACAACCTCACAACCTCGCCTGCCCACCCAGCAACTCCGCCCCCGCCCCACTAATACACAACTTCCCCGTCTCATTGACCTTAACCTGATACACGACTTTTCCCCCCTCCCTCCACATCTCCGTCACGACCGTCTGGCCGGGCAACACCGTCCCCGCAAACCTGACTTTCACATTCCTGAACGGGCCGTACGCCTGAAAGACGTGCTTGCCACTGATGCCGAACGTCGCGAGGCCGTGCAGGATCGGCACCTCGAACCCCCCGACCTTGGAGAACTCCGGGTCGATGTGCAAGGGGTTGCGGTCGCCCATTAGGCGGTACAGGGCGGCGACGTCCTCGCTCGTCTTCTCCTCGACCACCCGATCGGGTTTGCGGGAGGGTGGCTTGTTCTCGGCCGTGGCGGCACCGCGGTCGGCGCCTTTGCGCTGGCCGCCGAAGCCGCCGCTGCCGCGGATGAAGGAGACGCTTTCGTTGTAGAAGACGGGGGTGCCGGAGGCGTCGGTGGTCGTGGCGCCGCGGCGGACGAGGGCCGCGGGGCCTTTGTCGACGACTTCGAGGAGGGTGGTGGTCGTCTTGAGGGTGCCGGAGGTGGGGATGGGGAATTGCTTGATTTCTAGGTACTGCTCGCCGTGAAGGAGCATGCGCATGTCGAAGTTGGGGAGGATGTCTTTGAGCGAGTAAGGGGCGCTGGAGAAGTAGGTGGGGACGATGCCGAAGGTGGGCAGGACTTGGAAGTTGGAGTCGTTTTCGTAGACGAGTGGTAGGTCGGTGCGTTTGGCTCCTAGGGAGATGTTGTAGAGGATCACGTCGCGGTCGGTGTACGTGTATGGGGACGGCGTGCCTTTCATCTGCATGGCCTGGTCAATCTTGGAGATGTAACGGCGATTGGCGCGGTTTTCCTGGGACAGTCCAGAGGCCTATCACGCTGTCAGACTGGCTAGAAAGAAACATATGTGGGGAAACTCACGATCTTCTCATCCTTTAGGACATTGCCCATTGTCCATCTACTTCCGTCCTGGGGTGACTCAGGGTGATCGCTCTTACCATTGTCGAAGTTACAGATTTCAGGGAAGGCCTAGCTATCATCAGCATTCACTTCTCGGCTCGAGACTTGCTGATATGTCCATACCTTTGCGACATCTTCAACAGACATCACGCCTTTAGTGTGGTCAAAGTCAACGCCTCTTGCACGCTGCCACCTCGTCCCTGCGAACCAGCCTGTGCCAGCTTCGTACAGCTGTCCGTTGGCTGGAGGCTTCTCACTGCACAGAGCAGCCACGAGAGGAGCAACATACTCGGGCTTCATGGCCAGCACCTCGTCCTCTGGACGTACAGTGCGTGTCATGTTCGTCCCTGCGGAGGGCGCAACTGTATTGACAAAGATGTTGTACTTTGCACCTTCCCGTGCTGTTGTCTTGGTGAACCCAATGATGCCGCATTTCTGGACTTATATCAGCTCATGAACGCCTCTCGAAAACTGGACGTGACCTACCGCTGCCGCATAGTTGGCTTGACCAAAGTTGCCGTAGATGCCCGAAGTCGACGTAATGTTCACAATACGGCCATACCGCTGCTTCAGCATATAAGGCCACGCTGCTCTGGTGATTGCGTAGGTTCCTCTCAGATGAACATTCATCACTGTATACCACATGTCGTCCGTCATATTCATGAAAGCCTGCTATTTGTCAGTAGTTGTTTCCACGGCATACTTCCTACTAACCTTGTCTCTCAAGATGCCGGCGTTGTTCACCACGACATCGATGCGCCCATACTTGTCGATGACGGCCTTGACAACACCAGCGCCGTTCTCAACCGACATCTCAAGCGGCATGGCCTCACCACCGATGGCCTTGATCTCATCCGCCACTTTCTTCGCATTCTTTAGGTCGTTTACCACAACTTTGGCGCCCAGCTTAGCAAACCACAGAGAATATGCCCTGCCTAAACCATCTCCGCCTCCGGTAACAAGCACGGCACGATCTTTGAACTTTAGGGGCTCGCCTGGCTGGTTCTTCGGCATGCTGTTGGCCTTCTCCAGCATTTCCAGGCTATTCGCAACACGTTGCGGGTGCTCCGCACCTTGGTAGTTGACGATGCTCGCATGGTTTTTCAGCACCACATCGGCGGTCAAGCTGTCGTCCGGCCTACCCCACCAGCCCTTGCTCCTCTCCCAACGGATCTTGCTGAAATGCCCCGCGGCTGCCTCGAAGATTGACCCGGTCTCCTTGTTTTCCTCGTGGCAGAGCACACCCACGAGAGGCACTACCCAGTCCGGCTTCATAACTTCCATCATGTCTGGACTCCACACCGTCTGTGTCAGACGACTCGCCGCTCCAGGCGCCAACACATTGCACAGAATGTTGTACTTCTTGCCTTCAAATGCCAGCGTCTCGCTGAATCCCACAACCGCCATCTTCGCCGCGGCGTAGTTACTTTGACCAAAGTTCCCAAAAAGCCCACTTGAGCTGCTGGTGTTGACGATCCTCCCGTACCTCTGCTTCCGCATATGCGGCCACGCGGCCCTCGCCGTGCGCATCGTGCCGTGCACATGCACATCGATAATGGCATCCCAGTCCTCATCCGCCATGTTCCGCAACGTCACATCCCGCAGAATTCCCGCATTGTTGATCAGCACGTCGACGCGCCCGAATGCCCGGATCGCCGTCTCGATGATCTTCTCGCCCTCCTGCACCGCATGGTAGTCGGCGACTGCGACACCGCCGGCATCGGTGATTTCTTTTGCGACGGCGTCTGCCACGCGTGCAGAACCGCCCCGGCCGCCACCGGGACCATCTTTGCCGTTGAACGTGCCGCCCAGGTCGTTGACGACGATTTTGGCACCGCGAGCGGCGAAGAATAACGCATAGGCGCGGCCGAGGCCGGCGCCGGCGCCGGTGATGACGATGACACGGTTGTCGTAGCGAATAGATTGAGTCATGGTCGACTGGTCAGTACATGCTCATAACACACAAACGATAAGAAGTGGTCGCGCTGGGCTATACGGCAATAATATAACAGACGCGGTGGAGCTAGAGTTTCTGTTCCCTCAAGACGGGGTGGCTGCTGCCGTGTACCGAGGCTTGCGGTGTGCTGGTCCGCAGATCCTGGGGTAAGACTCCAGAGCGACTCCGCATGCAGCGGTTGGCCGAGGGGGTGAGCTACAGTCCTGAAAGGGCAGTCGCCGAGGTTAGTAGCAGCTGAGCAAGCGTTTATCATCACCACTCCATTTTTGCTCCAGTCCTTGGCTATGATGAGAGGGGAATGGTTGAAGGCAGTTTTCGTGAAAGGCGGTCCGCCTTGTGGTCGCCTAGTGCCTAGTGCCAAGCCCTTTCTGAGGCAGTGAATGGTGAGTACCGATCGGCATTTATGTGGCGGGCTAGCGGTAGAACCTACTCTCATCTCCCCGCTCCTGAATGAGTGGTCTGGGGGGTTTCAGCGTGTCTCTATTTTCGGGTCTGTCCATTGTGTGTGGGCTCAATGCCTCCAGCACCTACTACATCACCATCCTCAAGGGATCCTTCGACCTGTCGTCAAGTACTCGTCGACTCAAGCGTTTGATGAAACCACGTAGCAAAGAACTCCCGTGAGGTCTGGGCTTAAGAACCCATCATCTTCCACCCCTTCAACCCAGCCACCACCTGACCGTCCAAACTCCGACGGCACCCACCCCCAGCACCACAGCCCACACCCCCAACCCCATCTTGACCGCCCACGGCTTCAGCGCCTGAATCTCCTTCCCCTCATTACTAACCGGCACGCCCACCCCCTCGGGAGGCACCTCGACGCCCAAAAACCCACACAGTGGCGCCCACCCGTCCCCCGCCTCCCACTCCAACACCTCCCTCCCCCTCTTCCTACACTCCTCCCTCACCCACTCATTATGCACGTCATAAAAGCCCGCACTCCAAATATCCGTCTCCGCCCCAAACCTGCGGCGCGCCAGCGCATCAAACTCCCGATACAGCCGCCAATGCGTCCAGCACATCGGGATCAGGCCACACACCAGCACATAGGTCCAGGAGGACCAAAAGCGCAGCACGTCGGCGCTGCGCGCCCACTCGGCGGCCCCGCGCCGTTTGTTGAGCACCACCCGCATATCCGGATACAGATCCAACAGATCCGGCAACAGCGCGAAGCCGGGGAAATCGGCGCTGCCGTTGAAGCCCCGGTATAGCTGCGCGACGAGCTTGCGGCGCGTCGCGGGGTTCTGCTCCTTGGTGGCGCGCACGGCCAGGCGCAGGAGCGACAGGTCCGTCATGATGACGCTGCCGTGCATGCTGGGGCGGAAGGGGAGGTGGGGTGCGCCCAACACGGTTTCGAGCGCGAGTTGGAGGGTCGAGGTTTGGCAGCGCCAGAGGCCCGCGCAGAGGCACTTGGGGCCTAGGGACGTGGTGTCGAGGGTGCGGGATTGGGGCTTGGTCCAGCGGGCTTGGCCGCGGGAGAGGGCGGTGGAGGCGTCCGGGTTTGAGGGGGTGGCGAGACTGGTGATGGCGGAGTTTAGTCTGTCGGTCGCCATTGTGATGGAGATGGGGCGGGAGTGGACCGGGGGTTAGGTGTTGTGTGCCAGGGCTTGGGGCTTGGGGCTACCGGTGTCGGAACAGTGTCGTTGGTTGTGTTCGCGGAGGAATGAAGACACAGAGCCACGTGGTGCCGTCAGCGAAAGGGTAGCACGAGACGAGCAAGGCCAGTGCCTGACTAGCCTTCTTATACTGCTGCTGGGATACTGTACTGATGTAGGAGGCTTGCCGCCGAGAACACAGCCTACCTAAGGAGTGTGCGGCGCTGTAACCCTAGAATCCGTCTTGGAAGGATACGCTACGTAGCTAGTTACAAGCATCAGACGTCAGGGTGTCGCTATACAGGCTGTGCGGACTGTCAAAGCAAGCTGGCGGGCCTGATTAGCGCCCAGCGCCCCGTTTATACATATCTAGTTAGTCCAGCGAAAGGTTTGATCCTGGACCAATCGCTGTGCTTAAAATGGCTATAGTGGAGGAATGGGATCGGAGTGTACAGTATGTCGAGGTACGAGTATCTTATGTTGGAAGTGCAAAGCATCGGCGACGTGGAGTACATGACATGGCAGATATATGTGCACTGCCACGGGTAGGTCTGAAGGCGATCGTGACTGTGACATCTTCACTCAGGGTCGAATGGCTAAGACAGCTGGGCGTCCCAGTGCGAAGTCCGGTTATGCTTGTCAAGCTGGTAGGTGGGTGTTGGTTAGCTTCCAGACCACAGTATGCTCGTCTGGAGCGGACAGATATGTGAAGTTGGGACTTGTCGAGAGAAGAGTTGTCAGATGAGCAGATAGAACGTCATTTGGTGGTCTCGCAAGACCTTGTACAACCTCGCCTAGCCTAGCCACACTCGAGCCAGCGTCATATCAGCGACAAGCCATGGCCCATCACCTTCCAGACTTCGCACTTCCACTCGCAACTCCATTTCCAACCTCAGATGACATATCTGAACCCCTTATGCTTATCGCCCAGCCTCAAGAGCTCATCCCTTGACAAGCTCTGATATCCCCAACGAGCCTTCTCGTGCTCCTCGTCCAGACGCGCGGGATCAACGTCACGGCCGTCCGGATGCGCGAAAGAGATGGCGTCACGGGCGCGGTTGTCGCGCCAATTCACAAACATGATGAGGGATGTCATGATGAAGGTCAGGCCTGCGAAGCCCAGGTTGATGGCGTGGCCTTTGATGAAGCGGGGGGCTTCGGGTGTGGGGTAGATGTTGCTGTGGAGGGTGAGGAGTTAGTCAGGTGTGCGAGGGAGGGCGGCGAAAGAACGAGAACAAGGAGGAAAAGAGGGAGAAAGAAGGAGACTCACGAGGAAATGAGACCGGCTGAGTTGCCGATCGTGAAGAAGAAGCCCATGACGGTCGCACGGACGTACAACGGACCAAAATTTGCACCGACGTAGCTGATGGCTAGGGCAATGTTGGGCGAGACGCCAGCAACGGTAAGGAAAATGGCGAAGTACTTGACGCCGGCTGACACGTCGGAGATCAGGATGCCGTAACCCACAATGACGAAGCAAGACCAGAAGAGAATGAATGGTCCTCGCATAATGAATCGATCCGCTAGAAAAGCCGAGGCCATGGTTGTGATGAAGCCAAGCACGTACGGTGGGACTGAGAGCAGGTTGGCTGAAGCGCCTGAGAAGTCGAGGTCGGCGATGATGGTGGGCGTGAACAGTGCCAGGCTGTACAGGGGTTCAGCGATGGAGATACTGGATTCTGATTAGACTTGTATCGAATAGAGGGAGAACTAGGTGGGTAGATCAAAGAAAAGCTGTTCTCATGACGATCTGAAAGAGAAGTCCCAGATGTCATACAACGCTTCGCCGATCGTGCCGCTGGGATATCTGGGGGAGACTTACTACATGATGGCGTACATATAGGTGCGATAGTCGGCGAATGCAGTGCGAACTTGACCCCACGAAAAGGGCACATTGGCGTTGGTTACACCCTGACTCTTTGCCAGGAAGTGGTTCCACTTCTTCGTCTCTTCTGGGGTCAGGATCTTGTTGTCGTCTGCTGGGAAGTCTACCAGCAGCCACCAGCCCGGTATCGCCGCTATCAAGGTAACAAGACCTTCAATGATGAAGATCCATCTCCATCCACCTGGAGTTGGCACCAACTTTTGACTGGGTAGATCGCCAAATGACTCCCACGACGGAAATGGAATGTACTTGAGACCATACGCGAGGACACCGCCGAAAGCACCGGCCAGCGTGGCGCCCGAGAAGAAGATGCCGACGCGCAAAGCTTGCTGCTTTCGAGCGTACCAGCAGGTTAACATGAAGTTGATGCCAGGAAACAGGCCGCCCTCGGCAATCCCAAGAAAAAATCGTGCGGCTTGGAGGCCCCCAGCAGACGTCACAAGGCCCATGAGGGTCATGATGATACCCCAGGCGACCATAATAATGGGGATCCAGCGGTGCGGCTTCACCGCCTTCAGGATCAGGTTGGACGGCACCTCGACGACGATGTAGCCAATGAAGAAGACGCTGAGAGAAATAGCGTAGGCATTGCCCTGTACGATGCCCAAGTCGCCTTTGAGCCCGGCGACAGCAGCCTGGCCGATGTTGACTCTGTCGAGGAAGGACAGCAGGTACAACAGCGAGCAGTAGGGGATGATAGCCCAGTCGAGCTTGCGGATAATGTGGCGGTATTCGTGGTGGGACATGGCCACCTCCTCGGCGTCGACGCCGCCGCCATGCGCCTCGTCGATGTGTTTCTCGTTCTCGGGCTTCGGAGACGCATTGCTGTCAGGCGGCGAAACCTGACCGTGGCCGTCGCCATCCACTCCTGGCGCGTGGTGGGTCGTCGACATTGTGAGCAGTGAGACTCGCTTAGGGGTCCGAGTACAGGCAGAAAATGGTCGCCGTGCAAATTGGAGTACGCGAACACCAGCAGTCGAGTTGAGAAGGAAAAGACGACTGGACGCACGAAAGAAATTGACTGCTTTGTAAGGCCTGAACAAAACAAGGAGGGAACCTTAGGACCGACTACTCCGAAGGGCGGGTCGGGCTGTTCGCCTCTAGTATCGTGGTGCGCCACCCGCCCTCATCTCGCCCCCTCAGAGTGGAGGGTGGGGGTGTCATTCCGGGGTCTCCACAGCGGTAACAGGGCGTCGCTAGGGCGCTGTTGCAGTTAGGCATCCGGCATGTCCGGAACCGAGGCGCAATAACGATTCCGATGGTTTGGGATTTTCAGTGAAGCCGTCATCATCACTGCGCGACGTTACGTTGGAGGTTTGCGAACACGAGGTGGCTGTTGTGATGCGCAGACCAAGCATTGGAGGGTGGCGGCATGGTGGTGGCTTGCCCTGACTCAAGCTCGCGTGCCCAGCACTCGGCAAAGCTTTTCTCCTAGCTCGCCTGTAGTAGCCGAGCTAAGCGGCCTGCAGCCCGGGTCGCCTTTTCTGAGGCTCAGTTGAAGTCTTCACGATTGGAATTGCTAACATAATACCTAGTACTGATCAGTGTCGACCAACAAGTATGATGAAGCGTTCGAGCGCCAGAGGAGCGTCAAAGACGAGGCTCATAGACTGTACAATCACCTACAGCTGCTGTTGTCTATCGCCTGACAGGACGCAAATATATTCGTACTGGTGGTGGAGTGCGCCCGCGGACTATGGTTCAAGATTGAGACACTGTTTCACTGCATCTTCTCTATGCAGCCTCGTCCGTCGTCTGCTGTGATAGTAGTACATAAGGTGCAGAGTTGTGTCCATCGCTCGCTGACTCATTCGCCGGCGTAGCCCATCATAGGAGTTCCATCATGCCGTCGTGGGTATCTATCTGTCAGGGAATGCATCAACGCCCAAAAATGCATAGTAATGTACACCTCAAGTCGAGAAAGCGCCCCTCTTTTAATATCTCCAGTGTCGTTGCAAGCTCGAACCCTACTTCGAGTGTCGAAAGTTGCAGTCGTCGCCATAGGTGCATGTTCCCTTCTCCCAGAACTCACACACTTTCGTCTTGTAGTTCAGAGGACGTCCGTTCTCGTCCACAGGCACAGACTTCTTGCCCTTCTTGTTCTTCTTTCCACCATCGTAATCGTCAACTGGCGGCTGATAACTCGGCTGCATAGCGCTTTGAGTTTGTTGAAGCTTAGCCATAATGGCTTGCAGCGTGTTGGCTGTGTCCGGTGGCAGTTGCTGGGCGGGGGCCTGATAGGTTTGTGCATTGCCTTGTCCCGCAACACTGGCAACAAGTTGACTCAGGTCGAACGGTGCCGGCGCCGCCGCGGGTGCCGGTGCTGGCGCTGGGGCCGGCTGAGCTGCTGGCTGCTGAAGAATGCCTATCGCTCGGAGCTGCGCAAGCAAGTCGGTATTATTGGACGGTGTGCTTGGCGCTGCATGTTGTGCACTGGCCTCACCAGCCATGGCTTGCAACGTGGTCCCGAAATCCGCATGCCCATCCGAGCCAAAGCCACCCTGGAAGCGCCGACGCGCGTACATATCCTTCTCACGAGCCCGCACTCTTTCTTCCGGCTCGCCGAACTCGTCAATTGGCGTAAAGTCGTCGTCGCCTTCATCGACTGGCTCTTTGGGGGTCTCAGGCCGATCAGACGCAGTTGCATAGATGGTCATGATGCTAGTCTCCTCTAGCTTGTCCTGTGCCTCCTTGGACTTGCTCTCGGCCACCATCGTCCCGCCATGCTTGATGCCGTTCAGAGCAGGATCGCATTCCTCCGAAGCGAGCTCACTGAAGTCGACTTCGTCTGGTTCAGTATAACTATCGGGGTCGAAGTCACCTTCTTCCTCCGAATCATCCTCATCATCTATGGCCATAGATCGCTTGAGCATTTCACCCTCCTTGCCCGTGTCACCGGCATCCTTCATCGCGCTGTCTCCACGCTTGATCTCCTCTTCCGGATCATGGGTGAAGAATCGAGTCTCGACAAGCTCATTGTCATGCTTCCAAGACACACGCAGCTTTCGTCTCGACTCCTTCCGCAGTCTCTTGGTTTTCTCTTCTGGAGTCTCGTTGAGTGCCTCGTCTTCCTTCTTTGGCTTGACTTCTTTCTTCTCCTGAGAGAACAAGCCGCTGAGAAAGGACGATCCTTTGCTAGCTGCCGCAGCGGCAATAGGGGCAGGAACGCCGCTCGCTGGGGGCGATTCTCGCTTGACCGGCTCCTTTCTCACTTGCTGGAGAGCAGGGGTGACGCCATCTTTCTTGACCGCGGCAAGACGCTCGGCATTCGTTGTGCCAGGCTTCTTAGAGGCAGACATCAAAGATGCAAATGAAGCAGCTTTAGTGGCCGCAAGTGGTGCCTTTGGCTTGGCAGCTGCAGGTGTAATAAGTGTTCCACCCGTGGTTGCAGAACCTGTCTTGCCCTTCTTTGCCGCCTCAGCGGCCTCCTGGGCCCGTCTCTTCTCCGCATTCTGAAGAGCCAGAGGCTTCGAAGAGGGCTTGACCATCTTCTTCGCCGCGGGTCCAGCAACTTCACCTTCACGCGCACGTTTGACGCCAGCCGCCGTTTCGCCAGCCCCTTTTAACTCCGCCGCCTTCTTGTTGCGAGCAGTGGCAGCTTTGGCATTGTCCATGATTTGTTGCGCTAGAATCTTGGTCTCACCGGATGCCTTCTTCGATACTCGTTGAAGTGCCTTGATCCACTTTGAGCTTTCGAGTTTCTCTTCATCAAGCGTGGCAAAAGTCTCTGCAAGCTGCAAATTATTATTAGTTTGACTATCCAGATATTCGGCAGGAAAACAAACCTTTAGAGTAGCGAGAAGGAGCGGGCTTTCGTAATCGACAGCCGTGACCCGGTCGAGAAGGAACGAGTACAAGGCTGACAGGGTATAGAGATTTTCGCCGAGACTGGAGAAGGCATCAGCATGTCGAAACACAGTAGTGGTCTTTGCCAGATTAATCTGGCATTGCAACAGTAATAGTCACGAGGGATGCAAACAGAGCTATCTGAAGGCCTATAGATACTTGGGCGAATGATACGAGCTGCAAGACTCAAGCACTGTCTATGGCAACAACAGACGCATATGACAGGTCAAGATGCTGGTGGCACGTTTGCACATGTTTCACGCCTTCCGCCATGGCTAGCCAAGTATACGCGATCGCTAACAGCCAAAATCGTGTCAAACGTAAGAGGGGAGGAGTCATAAGTAACATACCTTCTGATGATGGCGGGATGAGCGAATAACATGGACTTGTTGATGAGATTTTCCATGGTCTGGCGATACTGGGCGACTTCGGCTTTCAGTCTAGGTGCATCAGCAGCGGTCGACGATCCCTCATGCTCTGCTTTCTTGAGGCTTTCGTTCCGGGCTTTCCAGGCGTCTCGTAATGTCTTGATGGTTTCACCAAAGTCAACGACACCCGATTTGATCTTCTCGACCGGTGCGGTCTTGTTGCGCGGATACCAGACAGCCTTCACAGCATTGAACACAGCTCGCACACGCTCATCAGTAGGAGGCGACACCGAAATCATTGCTGGAGCTGGCTCGGGCTCCTCGTCCTCGATTTCCAAATCTGAGCTCGAAGCACTACCGGAACCGCCATCAACGCCAGGAATCGAGCCATCCTTTCGAGGACGACCTCGGGGTTTCTTGGGTGCATTGGGATCCTTCATGCCTGGCTTGATCCCAGCAACGGGTGCGAATTGTGACAATGCCGCTGAGAGGTGATTAGTCTGGTAGCTTCAATGGTTGGACCACAACTTACCCTGCATTGCGTTGGGCTGTAAAGTCTGTGACATGCCCGGTATCTGTTGCTGTTGGACAGGTGGCAGGCCCTGGTAGTATTGCTGCTGAGCTTGTCGTTGTGCCGCTGAACCATAATGACCATTGGGGTTGTTGGGTTCTGCGTTCAACATGGAGGGATTGACGAACGAAGTCGAGGGACCCTGGCCAGGGTTCTGAAAGTTCGCAAATTGTATAAGATCGGCATCCTGACGCTGAGGAAGAGTAGGTCCGCGAGAGTCGAAGGTCATAAACGGTGAATATTGTTGCTGCCTCGGAGGATACTGAGGAGCGGGCGATGGAGAAGGACGTGGCTGAATGTTGAGCTGACCTTGGTGGCTCTGAGGTGTGTAGTTCTGGCCAGTGAAAGGATACTGATCTAGGGGTGAAGGCGAGTGCGAAGGCTGTTGCTGAAATATTCGAGGATCGTATTGAGGCTGAAAAAGCCCACGGTGATCAGGATACATCTGCTGTCCATATTGGGAGTGTTGTGAGTATTGCTGGGATTGGTTGTAATTAGGCATTGCGGGGCTTTGAGTACGCTGCGCAACATTCTGACTGAAAGCTGGACTAGAATAGCTAGACTGGTGTGACTGTTGTGGCTGCTGTTGAGGTTGTTGCTGCAGGCTACTGTTGAAGTCTTGGCTACCTGTGTCGAATAGGTCAGGGTGGAAGTACTGCTGCATATCGTCTTGATCGCCATTGTTGGCGAAATTCTGGAGGCTTCCTAGGAAGTCGACACCGAAGTTGGTTCCGTTATCGCCGTGGTGCAGGTGCGAATTGCCAACGTTATGAGCAGGGCCCGAGTCCATAGTGATGGTGTTGATGGACGGAGGAACGTTGAAGTTGGAGAAAGATCACGTGATATGGAATGCGGGACCTGCGCGCGGGGCGGCAAATTGGCTTATGCCCAGCCCGCCGCAAAGCAGGATGTTTGTGCCTCGAGTCGGCAATTTTTTTGCGTTGACGCGATAGGCGACAGGTCTGTCTGAGCGCCCGACAACAGGGCCGAGTTGGGATTCTGATCAACGTGCAGAGACCGTTAGAACTTCAGACCCGTCCGTACGCAGTGTGCTCTCCAAGTGCCTTGGACACCCGCAGTCATTCCCAAATCCGTCAACCTCCGCAAACCCCCCTAAACTTCAAACGAATGACCTTTAGCCTCGCAGGACGCGACAATAAAATCTATGTCTCGCGACGCCCTGTGACAAAGAGTTCTCGAGTCGGACACATCCGCAAATCTCACATCAATACATCCTGCAGTCGAAAATGAAGAGAATGAAGATTATGACGCGATCAACACGCGACAGGTTCACGCTCAATCAGACTTCGCCCGACCACTGTAGACGCCGCTCACTTCGGCAGAAGCAGCCAAAACTATTACAATCCAGGAGAAGAGACTGCGATATTACACAGATGGAGTTTGCGTGATGGATAATGTCGTTGCGGATGAGGAGTTGATGAGGAAGATCGAAGAGGTTGGAGGATGAAAAGAGATGACTTTGTCTTTCCCGCCACCAAGCCAAACACGGTTGTCTTGGCACCCGGGCCAGGTTTCTCCGGCAGCCGATCGACCTCAACCGCCCTCACTCGCACCCATCTATTTGGAAAGGACAGATTTTAAGCGGAACGTGGCCACTACCAGAAGGCAGCACATCTCAAAGAGAGGCGCAAATGGCCGATTCTGCTGCAACTTTCCACTTCGTTGTCTCGAGGTGAACAGCAGCTGTGTAATCTCGACATGGCTACCAGAACGCAGACGCTGCGCGACCGTCAAATAGGTGGGCAAGGCCAGCGCTTGCTGAAGTTCGTGACTGATCACAATAGCGTCCATCGAGCGAATACTAAGCCTCAACCACGATGCGCCAGTTGCCGAAGGTGCCAGCAAAGACCCGAGCACCGGGCAATACCAGATCGATGCCTTACTGAACGAAGAAGGCGAGCCAGTGTGGAAGGTCCTGGTGTTCGACAACCTTGGACGCGATGTCATTAGCAGTGTACTCCGAGTCAACGATCTACGCAGTAAGGGGATCACCATTCACCTGTAAGATGGTCTCTGCCGCTCGAATCGCAAGAGTAACAAGCTGAACAGCCCAGTAACATAAACTCGACCCGATTTCCCATTCCCGATGTGCCAGTGTTATATCTGGTGGAGCCGACAGCTGTCAACATACAGCTCATATGCTCTGACCTAGCCCGAGGCCTATACTCGCCAGCCTATGTCAATTTCATCTCCTCGGTACCCCGAACAATTCTCGAAGACTTCGCTGCGCAGATTGCGTCGACAAATACTGCTGAGAGCATCGCGCAGGTCTATGACCAATATCTAAATTTCATCGTTGCAGAACCAGATTTGTTTAGTCTGGGAATGGGAAAAGAGTCCTACTGGACCTTTAACAGCGCAAAAATCGAGGAGGCTGTGCAAGATGCGGCCATTGACAAGATTGTCAGTGGCCTTTTCTCGGTCAGTGTCACAATGGGTGCGGTACCCATCATTCGCTGTCCGCAGACCGAGTTGGCGAAGATGATTGCAACAAAGCTGGACCGGAAATTGCGGGACCACGTTCTCAACTCGAAAGACAACCTCTTCACCAAACAACAAAGCAACACCTATGCCACGCCGTCGAGGCCGGTATTGGTTATATTGGATCGGAATGTCGATTTGGTCCCAATGCTGTCTCACTCGTGGACATATCAATCTCTGGTTCATGATGTGCTCAAAATGCATCTCAACAGAATCACCGTGGAAGTGTCAGATGAGCAAAATCCTGAGGCGAAACCTCGGTCTTACGACTTGAATGCTTCAGACTTCTTTTGGGCGCGGAACGCAAGCGCGCCTTTCCCCCAAGTTGCGGAAGACATCGACAAAGAGATTACAAAATACCAATCAGACGCCGAAGAGGTGACCAAGAAAACCGGTGTTAATAGCATTGAAGATCTCGACGACTCTTCGGCATCTGCCGCACAGTTGAAAGCTGCCATAACATTACTGCCCGAGTTGCGCGAGCGGAAAGCCACTCTTGACATGCACATGAACATCGCCACGGCGCTTCTGAAGGGGATCAAGGACCGTCAGCTGGACAACTTCTTTCAGATTGAGGAGGATATCACGAAGCAGAATGGTAATGAAGTCCTCGCTTTAATCAAGGCCGCTGACAAAGGTGCGAATCCTCTCGACAAGTTGCGCCTTTTTATCATCTGGTACTTATCAGTTGATCGGGAGCCCACGAAAACCGAGCTAGCCGAGTTCGAAGCGGCTCTGAAGGAGGCCGGATGCACAGAGACGGTGGCGGCCATCAAACACATCTCGAACGTGCGACTCGAGACTCGAGGTACCATGATGACTTCGAGCGTCTCATCTCAACCACAACAATCAGCCGCGCCCCTTTTTGGAGGCTTATCATCGCTGTCGAAGAATTTTACGGACAAGCTGGCCTCCAACATTCCAGGTGTTAATGTAAACCTTGATTCTTTGCTATCGGGTGTCAAGAACTTAATGCCAGCAAACAAGGATCTTACTGTCACCAAGATCGTTGAGTCCATCATGGATCCACCTGCAGCTTCGTCATCTGCTATCGCCATGACGGAGAACTATCTTTACTTTGACCCACGAAGTGCGCATGCCCGAGGTACCACCGGCGTGCCAGGATCTGCCTCACGACCTGGCACAGCACAAGGCGGCGCCGGTGGTGCGCAGCCTAGCTTTGGGCAACGGAGACAAGGCTATACGGAGGCTATTGTTTTCACTATCGGTGGTGGTAGTATGGACGAATACGGAAATTTGCAAGAGTGGGTGAAGCGGACGACCGCACAAGGACATGGTGGGAGCGGTGTTACGGCAAAGACTAGACGGGTCGTATATGGCAGTACAGAATTGGTAAATGGCGAGGACTTTTTGGGCGAGCTGGTGAGATTGGGGTCCGAAGGCTGATCGCAGTGTTGCGTACAGTGAAATAGACCAGGCAATTATCAAAATATCAGTCCTCAAATGTGTCTTCGCGGTGCCGTGCTGCTAGGTGCCTCCGAAGGGCTCTTATTGTTAACATTCTTTGGGGCATGGAAGGTATGTACCAATGAAGAAGGCCTCAAGAAATGACCTGTGAGACAGAGGCACAGAACTAGTGGATTCTGGACCTCGAGTTATTGAGTCCAATAGTGAAGGTTACCTACCATGGCCTAATGCAATTTTTAGATCTAACGACCGAATAATAATACGCGGTAACAATCTCATCCGAAAGTGAGGTAGAAGTGAGGTACAGAGTGAGGTGAATAGTGAGGTCTAGGTGATGTGGGATGCTATAGGTACTTAGGCGACTCGTGCGGCCGCGGCTCAGCGCGCAGTGTCTTCCCGATGTAAATTTCAGGAATATGCAATGACCTACTGCCCTCCGCATCGACTTAGTGTGGTAACGGGCTGTAAGGGCCCTAAAATTTATTACGTGGATCTCCCACTCAAGGAGCAGGTTTAGCGATCTATAAACGCAAGGCTGCAGCCCTGCCAAGATTTTGTGCGCACACCTGCAGGATTTTGGCAACCGTGCTCCTCGTCGTCGCAGGCATTCATTTGCACCTCTTAAGACCTTTTCACTGCACCGTGCTGTCGACCACCACCATCATTCTCCTGCGACAAGTCGTGCCTCTGCATCAATTTGGCGAGACCTCCAATCTCTCGTCGACGAAGTTCCTATTATCCCACATCGAAGCCTCTCCACAACCGCCCACAATGAAGTACATCGTGTCCACCGAGACCTTGAACATCCCCGATGATGTGAGCCTCAAGATCAGATCGCGTGTGGTCGAAGTTACAGGTCCCAGGTCAGCTCGCCCTTTCCGTAAGCTCAGAGCTTATGGCTACCACGCTGCAAAACCACATCGTAGCAGCAGACTCCCCGAGCAGTATATTAACCTAGAACAGAGGCAAGCTGGTCAAGGATCTGTCCCACATTGCGGTCACCTTCACCATCCCTAAGAAGCAAGTCGTTCAAGTACGTTCCCGCCATCCTCGAAACCGCGCACAAAGCATTGCACGTTTCCAGCAATCCTCAAATACTTACAAAAGCGCAGATCGAGATCCACCACGGCTCGCGAAAGAACGTCGCTACCCTCCGCACCGTCAAGTCCATCATCCAGAACCTGATCACCGGTGTGACCAAGGGCTACAAATACAAGATGCGCTACGTCTACGCCCATTTCCCCATCAACGTCAACATCGAGAAGAACAAAGAGCAGGACCTGTACGAGCTTGAGATTCGGTACGTTTGACTTGCCATACCTTCGCGCACGTTCACGCACAACACACAGAGTTGCTGACAGATGTCTTACAGAAACTTCTTGGGCGAGAAGATCGTCCGCCACGTCACCATGAAGGAGGGCGTCACCGTCGAGCCGTCCAAGGGCGTCAAGGACCAGATCGAGCTTACCGGCAACAGCGTCGAGAACGTGTCGCAGTCCGCCGCCGATATCCAGCAGGCTTGCCTCGTCAAGAACAAGGATATCCGAAAGTTCCTGGATGGTCTGTACGTCAGTGAGCGGGGGACTATTGCCGAGGATTAGACGTGAGCTGTTCTGCGTTGGTGGCTCTTTCGTGTTCTTGGTGTGTTGAGGGCATTGCAGTCCGGGGACTGCATGTGGTGGAGGCGATGATGCATATGTGGAAGTGGTGCACCCGCGGTGAGGGTCTGTGTGGAGAAGATGAACCTTCTGTTGGCGCCCTTGCGTGGCGGACCTTCAATGGACGCGGGCGGCAGCGGAAAATGGCTTGATCGTGCGTACGAAGAGACAGCATGGTCGGCGCAGTGATACCAAATACGCCACGCTAACGAGCTCACGGATGGAGGTTGCTCAAGATAATGCTCTGACAACTTACGAGCATCCGATAATACTCCTGACAGCAAGACTCAAAAATCAAGATCTGAAGATTTTATGATTCAACAACGCCCCAAGTCCGGGTTTGTTCGTTTTCTCTTGCCGTTGTCATTGACATGTGCCCTTCTTCCCGGCTTTTGAGCGCCTCATTCGCCATTCCCGCTCCCAAACACGCCTACACAAGAGTACCAAGCCAAGCCAACGGACCATGACCAGGGGTCGACGAACCTGACGAGCGGGCTCCCCGACCTCACAGCAGACCACTCTCAAAACGCCAATGATGTGACTCCGGCGAGGCCGCCCGTCGATTTCCTCAAGCCCCGGCGCACCAATCCAAGGCTTTCGCAACCCACTGCTCCCACTCACCCCCTAAACTCAACTACTCATAACAAGTCACCTCCCACACGCCCTCGCCCTTCCCATCCTTCCCTCCCTGCGTCCTCAGAACCAAACTCGCCTTATTAGACTGGCCATAGATGACACCACCCACGTACCCGCCCTTCTCCTCGATGCCCTCCGGCAGCTCCTTCTCCCATAGCTCGCTGTAGCGCTCGATCGTCTTGCGCGCCCCATGCAACTCGCCCCTCAGCCACGTGGGGAACAAACACAAATGGCGCAGGGACTTGTCGTAGACGCCATCGAGCAGGAACACGTGACTCAGGCCGTTCTTGGTGTGGTAGTACTTCAAGCCTCCCCTGCGCTTTCCTCCCCCATCAACACCACCACCAGCGTCACCCTCCTGCTCCGCATCCCCAGCCTTCCTCAACTCCTCCATACTTGGCAGCGGGAACGAATTCACCGTGCCCGCCACGTCCCACAGCCACGGCATGGGCACGACGCCGCGCACCTCGTTCCACGCGTCGGCTTGCAGGCCGTGCTGCGACACGTGCCGCGGCGTCGTGTACACGTACATGCTGGCGCGGTTGGTGTCGTCGTGCCACTGCATGAGCGGCATGGTGCCCTCCAGTCCCGAGATCATGAAGGCGATGGGCTTGTGCGCGTGCACTTTGGCCCAGACGCGCGTGGCGTGTGGCAGGACGGATGTGACGAACTTGGTGAAGCTGAGGGGGGTGGGGGGAAGGTCGGTTTCGGCGGGACGGGCGGTCTTGGACGCGGGCGTGGCGGCGGCGGCGGCGGCTACTGAGCCAAAGATCTTCAGTTCGGTCTTGGGTTTCTTGGGCCGCGTAGTGGCTGTCTTGCGCCGCCAGAGGTAAATGTCGTTGGGGAGCTCGTCTATGGACATGAAGCGTCGGCGCATGTCGTTTGCGGTCAAGCCGAGCTCGGTGAATAGTCGTTCGGAGGCTTCGACGTTGCCAGTGCTGGGGGTCGCCGTGGGACGCATGTAGTTCTCTGGCGCCGTTAGGGACGTCCATTGCCGCTGGATCTCGCTGAACGCGGTGTTAGACTCCAGAAGGCCGAGCAAAATGGACAGGGGGCCTGATCGTAGCTGTGACACACAACCCACGAAAGCGTTTGCTGCGTCGCGGTGCAGGAGGTTGTGGCGGACCGCACCATCTTCTTTGGGGATATGGTTGTCAGATACGATGTTGAGTAGATATTCGGCCGCGCTAATGTGATTGCTCGCGTTCGGAAGTTTGTGCTGTGTGAGTATCTGTACTGCTTTCTTGATAGAACCTAACGAGTAGTCTGCGAGTACGCGGTTGAGCATCTCGGCCGCTTGCTGTGTCGAGAGCACGGAGACGCCGCGAGGGACTGCTTGGGTCGTACGATTTCTAGGGAAGGTGAACTGGAAGTGTCGGAAGCCGCCGCACAGTTCCTTGCCAGCCCACTGAGATTTGGACCCTACAACGGGCTTATATTCGGACACAACTCTGGCGATCTGGAAGTGTTTTGCGAGGTTGTCAACAGCGTCCTTCATGGATTCGGGGACATCGCGGGTACTCCAGAAGAGGGGGGTGAGAGTGCCATCATTGCTGACGAGAGCGAGGTTGCCCACTCGCTTGACAAAGGACCGACATTGGTGGCAGGTGTACTCTTGACGTTTTGATGCCGGGAGGCCTCCAAGGAAGCTTGACCAAAGGTCGCGGTAGTTCAGGTCAGTGGTAAAGATCCGGGAGGTGTGTGTCTTCAATTGCTTCTGGGCGTACTTGTCGACTGCCTCGTACAACAGACGGGCTTCAGTTGGGGAGGCTCTGGCTTTGGCCTTGCTGCGAACAGGCATGGATACCTCCTCCCAATCATCATCGACGAAAGCCATGTTAGCAGTTTGACTGTCTCCTGCAAGAGGCAGCTCGTTCGGATCTATCTAGCTGGTTGCAAAGTACAACCGGGCAACACGACGACATTTGTAGTTGGAATCTTAGTCACAGCAGCCAGGCAACCACAGCCTCAGTCATAAAGCCACAATGAACAGTCTGCCTTGTAGAATGACTCACCTGGTTCTTAATGAAGTAGCTCTGAGAACTTTGCTTAATTGAATAGCAACGAAGGAGCGCTAGACTCTGGCTGGGGAAGAAACAACAGAGGCTCAGCTACTGTGGCTGAGGCAGAGCAGAACCATATAGCTCCGCAGTACTCACCGTCGATGTTTGTTGTGGCTTTGCGTTTAGGCTCTCCATTGTTTGCTAGGGGTGAGACGTCTCGGTCAGAAGTCAATAATTGTTTTTGTCAGTTGAGTTGGGAATCCAGCCAGGTGAAAAGGCACCTCGAATGTGAACTTCCCCTACGACACTCACCCCCATTCTCCGCCTTCGTCTGGATTCGAATCCGATCTCCAGTGGGCCATGGGATTGGCAAAGATACCCGACAATGCTGACTCGGGCTTGAATTGGATGATTCGCAGAGGTACCCATTGATCGACAATTTTGGTGAATTGAGTCGCTGACTGGCATCACTAGTTGGGGTGAGTGGTAACATGACGACTCTGTCATCGGCGCTGGACCAGGATCTCAGAGGCTTTTCAGGGCGCAGCCGGAGCTCCATCACGCTTAACTGCAATAAAAAGTTGGGGCCGCCGTCTCCTCCGCCACAGCCATGCACATGTTGACTCGCTTCATCAGTCCTCCCACCCTGCTGCTATTCCGAGTACCTATCCATACAACCTTAAGACCGACTGCCTAACGCTCGCTTGCTCGCTATTACGGCCTTATTTTCCTCCCATCTTGACCATTCTCACCTCGATATAGAGCCGTGCCTGGACCACGAGTCCGTTGGTCGCAAACCCGTCCACCTTATACCTCGCTCGGTTATCGTCAACGAAACAAACACGTTGAGCCTCCAAAATGCCTCTTTGCGGCGGCAAGAAACCTGTACAGCGCAAACTCGTCTTGCTCGGCGACGGCGCATGCGGGAAGACCTCGCTCCTCAACGTCTTCACCCGCGGCTTCTTTCCGGTACGCCACGACGCCAGCAACTATGCGCTGCAGGCAAGCATACCATGCTAACATTTAACCAGACGGTATACGAGCCCACCGTATTCGAGAACTATGTACACGACATCTACGTTGACGGTGCTCCTATGGAGTTGTCATTATGGGATACTGCTGGCCAAGAGGAATTCGATCGGCTACGGTCGTTGAGTTATGATGACACGCAAGCAATCATGCTATGCTTCTCCGTACAGCTTTTTCTTTGCGCAGAGGGAATTCCTGAAGACTAATGCGCCTTAGGTTGACAATCGCGGCTCGCTAGAGAACGTCTCGTCGAAATGGCTGGCGGAAATCAACGAACACTGCCCGGGCGTCAAGGTCGTCCTGTGTGCCCTGAAATGTGATCTAAGAGAAGAGCAAGAAAAGGACGACGACGCGGAAGAGCCAGTTCCTCAGGCGCCGCCTCAGCGGATGATCCAATACAATGAGGGTCTGGAAGTGGCGCGCAAGATCGGTGCGCTGCGATATCTCGGTGTGTGACATTTCCGTCTCGCTGTGTCGAATACAACGCGAGTGCTAACACGCTGTAGAATGCTCCGCGATGCGAAATCGAGGCGTCAATGAAGCCTTCACCGAGGCGGCCAGAGTCGCGCTGCAGGTAAAACCCGCAAAGAGCAGCGACGACAGCAAGTGCACCGTTATGTGATGCACAGATTAATCCTTCTGTCTTGGACACGACCTTGAACACGATATTTCTGACTGGACGACTGTCCTGCTCTTTCCTACGTCCACAAGTTTACAACCGTCGACACGCCCAGCACCGTTGAGTGTACACACGCCTGCCGGTCGTTCCGGTAACAGCAGTTTGGCTACCTGTTTTGTTCTTGATGTTGTATTTAGCGAGCCACTTTTGCTTTTTTGGTTTGAATCTCTGCATTGGAGATTCTACTCAGTTAGAGAAGGAGCACAGCACCCGGTCTCGAAATTTCTTGCGATTTCGAGATCTCAATAATCGAACATTTCCACCATCATCATCTTGTCTACCCCAAGATTCCGTTCGGTAGTGGCCTTCCTCTCTCCTGCTCATCCACTACTGCACCATTCCCAACCCTTGGCCCCTCCAGTACCACTCTCCAGTCCTTCACGCCGCCCTTCCAGTCCGCAATGCGCCCTTCCCTCACTGGCACCACAACGACTCTCACATCGTCCCCCTCGCCGTATCCACTACTAGCCGGACCTTGCGGATCTGGGAGCGGTGCACCAAACATACCGGCCTCCTCTTTTGCCTGATCCCCAAAGGTGTTGTTTGCGAGATGGGTCTCTTTACACCACCGCTCCTCTTCACTCCCCTGTTCCAGAAAACGTGCCTCGCCCGCGATTGTAGTCGAGATGCTGCTCAGCGCACTGGTATTCATGTTCAACAGCAGAGTGGCCAGGCTGGAGCGGGTCGCAGCTGCAGGTGGACTGCCCGATCGCTCCCCTGCAACGCTGGCTGAGGTAGGTGGTCGGTGGCTGACCCAATCGTGCACAAGTAGCGATACCCGCGGGTTATGCACCAGGTTTTCTGTCTTTAGAGAGCGAGCATTGGTGGTCATGATGATGACAGGTCCCGTGGCACGATAGCTGGGGAGGAAGGTGTAGTTCATGAGAGAGACGTGAGGAGTGGGCAGCGAGCTCTGCGTACCCGAGATAGTGGCGAGATGAAGGAAGCGAGCATTCTGGAGGCATTGAGACACTTCGGGTGGTAGTGTGGCCGAGGTGGAGGGATGCGTCGTGGTGAGCGAGGGCTCGTAGTTGAGTGGGGGATTGTGAGGCTCTGACATGGTGGCGGTAGCGAGGGGCCAGGTCAACGACTAGTATTGACGAGCCCGAAAGAGAGTAATAACGGTTGTCGACGATGCTAGTGGCACGATCGCACTCGTATGACTTTTTGACGTCTCTTCACATGCGGGCGACACTTTCTAGGCCCCGCATCCGCTGCCACTGTCCACCAATTCCAGACCTGTTTGTTGTTAGCGCAGCTAAGCCACTAACCCGCCTGGAGCGGAGCTCTGACGTTGAGGTCGGCTGGCGCACCCCTACAACCCCAGCTTCTCGTTTTCCAGGCATCTGATCCTCCATCCGCTATCCCCAATCAGCTGCCTGCAACTCCTCAGCAGAAGGTACTACAACTGCAACTCTACCACTCTCTCCCCTGCTGTGCCTTGCTTAGTGGATTCCCCGCTGAGTCGTTTACCCGTCGGCATCAAACAAGACGCACTCATCCTCACGTGTCGAGCTACATCTCACCTTCTATCCCTTCAGCAAACAACTGGGTGAAATCAACTTTGAGCTGCCTCCTCCCTCAAGCTCACCTTACCCGTTCCTGTGCTCGACCTATACCGAGCTTTGTTCTCGACAGTACCGCCGCAATGCTTGCTCGCAAGCTCCCCCGCACTACCCAACTACCGTCCCTCCTCCGCTCCTTCACCACGACTTCCTGCCAACTCGATGGCATCAGAGCACCCGCTCTAGGAGACATCCAGCCCGGTGGTGCCGAGACCTACAACGCCAAACAGAAACAGTTCCGAGAGGGCTTGGAAGCTGCTCGCAAGGCGAAAGAACAAGCTGACCGTCAGTCTCTCGATCCCGCCCATGGCACCCCTGCATCTGCTTCTGCTGCTGCTGAATCGCGTGATCCTCGCTCCCCTTCTGATATTCCTGTCGACGATCCCAAGCTGGGCCTGGGCTCACTATCAACCGCAACAGGCGAAGCACGGCAAGCCGAAACCGAGGCTACCACCTCCCACCGCAAGGGCACACTCTCTAATCTAATCTATGGCACTCCCGAAGGTAGACAGCTGGACAAGGACATGGAGCGCTCGTTCAGTGAGGTCTTGGCTCGCGGCAAGTACGTGCACAGTATTGTCTTCCACCAGGTCAAGCCCAAAAAGGTGGACGAATATGTAGAACTGGTCGGCAAATGGTACCCCAAGATGGCTCAGATGCCCGAGAACCGCGTTAATCTCGTGGGGAGCTGGCGGACAGAGGTGGGGGATGCTGACACTTTCGGTTTGCCTGCCCCCAATATCCGTGCCTTGACTCCGTGCTGACTCGCTGGCAGTTCACATTTGGGAATACCAACGCTACACCGGTTACCACGCCTCGTTGCACAGCATTCAGCATCATCCCGAGTTCCCCGAATTCGATCACCACCTCAAGAAGCTTATTGAAAGCAAGAACGTCTCCCTAATGCAAGAATTCTCGTTCTGGCCAACTACGCCCCCACGTCAACTTGGCGGCGTCTTTGAGTTGCGCTCCTATACATTACATCCTGGTAATCTGCTCGAGTGGGAGACGCATTGGCGCAAGGGTCTCAAAGCACGACGACAAGTGATGGAGGGTGTGGGTGCTTGGTTCGTACAGATCGGCGACCTCAATACCGTGCATCACCTGTGGCAATTTGCCGATCTGGAGGAGCGAAAATTGAAGCGTGAGCAGAGTTGGGGTGTTGAAGGATGGGCGGACACGGTCCACAAGACCGTTCCTCTGATTCAGTCCATGAAGTCACGCGTATTGGTGCCAATGCCTTGGAGCCCCGTGGGCTGATCAGTAAAAAGACATGTCCAAAGCCGGTGCTAGGCATTTTCGTGTGGCGCGAGGAGTTCAAACGGGAGTGGTGTGAAGATGCCTCTGGGGCTGCGGTGTGGGCACGAGGACGAAGTCTGGGAGATTGGAAGCAGAGAAGAGCAGAGAAGAGCTTGGGTCTACGAGTGAGTCGCTCAACGGATAAGCCCTGGCTGTCCCCAAGTATCAGGTAATGAGAGCTCGACTGGCAGCGTAGTACTTGGGATATTGGCGACTTGGAGGCCAACTTTGAGGCAGATATGCACAAACCAGAGGACAGAGATAGAGCTGGAGTTGCGTCTCAGCATCCTGTAGCATGCAAACAGATAGCCTTCAGTGCCAGGATGTCAGGAACAGAAAAATGAAAGAAACATTTGGGAGAGCCATAAACCCGATCGTAAGTTCAGCGCCAGCCGAATGGAATCGACAATAACTGCGACTCCGCCTCGGGCTGCTCTTTGGTTTCCTCAGCCAAATGAGGCTATCAAGACCATCAGACCCGGCCTCGTCTACTAACAGGACAAAAGGGCACAAGCCGAGGCCCTGACAAGGCAGCAGCAAGGCAAACATGGCACTGGCCGCAGTGATTGGCTACCTCGTCACCTTCCTTGCAACTCCATGTCGTCACCACTCTTTGATTTCTCTTCCAATGTCATTGCTTCAATGACAATGACATGCCGCAGTGCTCACGTCGATGATCATCCGGCTGATGCGCTGCAGCTCGTTCGCGCCAGATCTATGAGTCTCTTGCCTCAGCGAAGGTTTTTGGGCGTGTGCTGTTGCGAAGTCCAGAAGCCTGCGGGTCAATCTTGTCGACCCCGGTAATGCTTCAACCAGCAGGCGCACATGACCCATCAGAACTTGCAAAAGGTCCCGCATGATCCCCGGACTGACCATGAGTCTCAAATACGTGTCTCATGCTCCTCACTCCGCACCCTCTGATGCCTACTCTTCAGCCTCACAACCTCGCCATGAGAAGAGACTTCCAACAACCGGCTATACCGCCTCAGTGCAAGCGTGAAGAAGCCCAGACTCATATCCAGAGAATGTATCTGCGCCAGGCTGTACAGAAGCCGGATCGGGATCCATGGAAAGGTAGCTGCTGCGGCTGAGTCCAACGCCTGACGGCGGTGCGGCATGCCCGGCAGCAAGGGTGGAAGCGACACGCCCAAGGCGTGCAAGTGCGAGAGGGTATCGACAATGGATGCCTTGCAGACGTGCACCTCTTCTGCGCCGGGCAGGGACGACGGTGTGGGCGTTCTGGGTAACGCTTCGGGTATGCTGCCGCCGTGGGGGCGGGCTACCACCCCTATGCTGCCCTCGCTGACTCGAGCAGAGGACGAGGAGCAACAGCGACATTCTCTCTCGAAGAGATTATCCGCCGCATTTGCTGCCAGTTCCATGGTCCGGGAGATCTGCTGATCATCGCCAGAGCTGCATTTGGAGAGCCAGCGGTAGACGTCGTCAACGTGACCTTTGCTCAGAGGTGATTCGGCAGCTGCACATGTCGCTTTTGCAAGTGGCAAGATCGGCTCTGCAACTGCAACATTTTGCTGCCACTGCCCTGATCCACGCTGCAGGAGGAAGACCTCCTCATTATCAGAGCAGACCCTAGTGTCCAGACCCCCACCCGAACCATCCGCGAACTTGGCTACAAGCAGCCGCAATTCATCTTTCTCGCTATCGCTCAGGCCGACGGTGGAGATCGTAATTGTTTGCCGATTGCTTTGGGTCTTGTCGACTTTGTTGTCTCCGTCCTCCACATGGCTGTCGTCACCGCTGCCGTCCAGGGAGGACAAACATCGACGCAATTCCTCGTTCTCGCGTTCCAGATCATCTATAACCTGCCAGGGATCTGCAGAGGTTTGGGGCGCCATCGGTCGTCAGGAGATGTAGCTGCAAATTCAGCTACAGGTCCAGGTACTAGTCTCGCGTTCAAGATCATGGCCGTGTTCCATCCGGTAGTGCTCAGTTCGAGAGCGACCTGACAAGTGACCCAGTATCAATTACGAGCTACCACTGACAAGCAAGTTGGATAACGGCAGGGGGAACTCCCGCATGAGAGAGCCGCGCTGCCGTCGTTGTGCGCAAGACACGGTGCCACAGATCTTCAAGGCTCCGCCAGGTTCATGTAGGACACCAGACCCGCAGAGAAGCCTTCCGCAGCAAAGCACTGTGAGTCTCTACACAGCTATGATCGACCATGCGGGCAACTCGACGGTAACGATAAAAAGGTCTAGAACCCGTCAGTGCCTAAGCGGAAGCGAGACTTTGCCACCGTGTTAAACGAACTTTCCAACTACGCAGCTCCTGCAGAGAAAGCTCTGACTCGCTCTGGCCTTGTCGCCAGGAACGACGGCGTGAGCATGAGCGCGGACACGGACATCGCCTCTGTGAGCCAATATAAAAAACGAAATGCGAGTTTTGCCGGGACCGCCGCATGAGGCAACTGATCAACGCAATCTGGAAGGGTCGGTGGGTTTAAACCCAGGCGCTGGTGGCGAAGAACACGTCACATTCTATCAACTTTTGTGGCGCAAAATACAAACAAAACTCGAACTTTGTCGCCTGTTTGGTCTCTTGGAACGTTGTCTGGAACAGCGGGAACGGTCCGTCCACGAAGGCGAATCGAAAACTGTGGAAGACACATCCGCCCGCCGGCTGGTATATTCGGCCCCCTGGACCGTACTCTGTTCCTGTAGATCGCGAGAGCTAGCGGAATCGCAATTACGATCGTCCTTCTACTCGATAGACCTGCCGTGTGGTGTGTGCACAGGCTTCTGGACTTGAGGCCAACGTTGCCAGTGGTCAAACCGCCGAGCCTCCGCGAGGGCAGGGCACGGCGTCTTTTGGTAGAATACCTCTCCCGTTGGTCGTTGGCCAGTGAGCCAATCAGCCAATTACACAGCGCGGACCACCCACCCGCCTCCGCCTCGGGACCTTCTGACTTAGACTTGAATGCTATACTTGTACTGCCTTGTACTGCCTTGCACTGCAGCAAGACACTGAGTTTCACTAAAGAAAAACCCTTCGTGTCGAAAGAAAAGGTAAACAAGCAACCATGACACCCCCCGGGGTACAACGTACCCACGAGGATCCCCTTGGCCATCATTTGAGATCGCTGGTTGATTCGACTTGGTATACTTTAGTGTAGTGAAATACTGCCTTCCCTCCCTCCCTCCCCTCACAGCTCACAGACTGTCAAATGTCAAAAGTTGAATTGCAAGTGTAGCAAGTAATACTTCTTGCCCTCTCTGGGTCTCCCTCTATCCGTGTGTATGTGTGTCTTGTCTCTATCTACAGCAAGCGCTGTTCCTGCGACGTATGACTAGTAGAATCCTCTGCAATACAATGCAACGCTGAGGTAAAGGCAAGGGCAAATGCAAATGTAGATGCAACCAACATGTAACATGTAACATGCAAGTTGCCGACACCCTGACAATGACCGAGGGGACATGAATTGAACAAGTGAAGAACAATCAATCCCCATTATGTCATGTCATGTCTTGTTCTCATGTCTACCGCTTTCGTCGTTAGCCTCCTCACTGCTCACTCCCAGTAAATACACCACATCAGAGAAGAACTTATCAGAAGAGGAAGAAGAAGGAAAAGAGCGAAGAAATGGCATGCCCACGCGCCCATCTATGTCGTGCGTTTCCACCGAATGCATCCATTGGATTCATCCATTGAATTCTTGTCGGAAACCATATCTCCCCCCCAGCGCCGGTGCTGAAACGCTCGAATACAACATCATTGATCAACACAACACAGCACAAAAAAGCCCCCGACTCGAAATCTTTCTCATCGTTCCATGAGAACGAAAGGGCTGTAGGGAGGAGGTAGAAAACGAGAAACCCCTCCGCCCTCCCCCTCTATCCTTGTCTTTCTCCTTCCTTCTCCTTCTCCTTTCTCCCTTGACCTACTCCTTTTATTGAAAAGAAAAAGTCTTCAGATTTTAAATCACGCCCAAATCCCCCATCAAGGCCTTCAAGTCCTTGAACCTCAACGGCTTAGTGACGAAATGGTCGATCCCGGCGGCGAATGCCTTCTTCTGATCCGCCTCGGACGCCAGCGCCGTGATGGCGATGACGGTCGTGCTGCGCAGCGGCGCAATGTTAGCCGCGACAGCCGCCGCGACCGCCGCACCCACCGCCGTAGTAGACGCCGTGGACGCCGTGGGCGCCGACGGCGGTGTTCTCGTCCCGTGACCTGCGGTCTCATGCTCGTCTTCGGGCGACGCCCACGGCTGCAGATTGGTGACGCTTTTGTCCGCCTCGGCCTCTGCCGCGGTCGTGGGGGTGATGTTCCCGTCCTCATCGTCAGCAGCAGCAGCACCAGCACCACCACTACCCCCATCCAGCACCAGCACCCTGCGCTCACGCTCGAACCAGCGGATCTGCCTCGTGGCTTCAAAGCCATCGCAGCCGGGCATGGTGAGATCCATGAAGATGACGTCGAACGGCTGCGAGCCGTGGGGCGGGTCTCCCGGCTCCGCGGCCTCCTTGACGGCCTGCACGGCTTCGAAGCCGTCGGTGGCGGTGGCGACGCGGCTGAAGCCGAGTTTCGTACAGTACGTCTGCAGGAGGCGAAGATTGATGGGGTTGTCGTCCACGCAGAGGACCGAGACGCTGCGCAGGGCGGGCGACGAGGTGGTTGTGACGGCCGCGTCCGAGTGAGAGTGGATTAGTGGAGAGAAGTAGTCGGTGGAGCGCTTGGTGCGGTGTTGATGGATAGGAGAGTCTGGGGAGGCGACACCAATGTTGGCGCTGGTCAGAGCGCGTAGAGTTAGAGTGTTTGGGCGACTGGACATCTCCGATTGAGCCAACTGAGACGGGGGCTCAGGAGCGGGGGTCGTTACAGGTTGTTTCGTTGGGAATGGGAACTCCCCGTGGGAAGGTAATGAGAGCTGCAATTTGCTCACACCCTCGTTGATGCTGCTTGATGAAGAGATTCGCCGGCCCGGGGTAGCCATCTGCAGCGCTTTGGACAGGGCTTTGGGGCCGAAAGGCACCTTCAAGTACGTATATGTGCTGTTGCGCGTTTTGAGCAGCGCGTCAGTAAGTGGAGAGTGCGTGAGGACGATCAACGAGCGCGACGGAGGCAACTCGAGATCGAGGTCGCGTTCGTCAACGAATGTCCAATCCACTTTTGTGGTAGTATCGTCAACTCGTTGATAGAGCCACCAGTCTTTCAGATATACACCCAGAGTCTCCGCATGCCTGAAAGAGCGAGCCAGCGTTGGGCCGAATTTGCGGTATGTCTTGCCAGACGGCTGCTGAAGCGCCCGTAGCTCAATCGGATCGTGCTTGGAATACTCTGCTTCGTAGCCGTACAACGGCCGCCTAGCGGGGAACTTGACTGTGATGGTCGTGCCGCGGTTCTGCCCACTTTCAACGTGGATGCGTCCACCGAGACTTGCCACAGATGCTCGTACTATGCTAAGTCCAAGGCCGAGTCCAGGCGCCAAGGTCGATTCTTGGGAGAAGGGCACGAATAGTCCGTTCTTCATGAAAGCGCTCGACATGCCCTGACCCGTGTCCGAAACGGTAAGAACAATAGTCGTGGAATCGTCCTCGGTGCCCAGGTTGTCATTCGTGTCCTGTGTGAGCTCGATTTGGATGGAGCCAGCCGTCGTGTATTTCATGCTGTTGCTGACAAGATTCATCACAAGTCTGCGAATGATTCCCGGGGAGCAGATAAAAGTCCAGTCTGCTCGCGAGGCTCTGAAGTCGACTTCGACCGGTTCTTCATCGGTCCTCTGGACCCCTGTGCTTTTGGCCAGATTTACATAGGCGGTTTTGGTGATATCAATGCCCTCCTCGCATATGGCGGCAAGGTTGCAGGTAGACTCGAGATGAAGAGATGACCCAGGATGAACAGTAGGGCCGGCATTTTCCCTAAAAGGGTTCTTCGAACGTCCTTCCACGAAGCTGTTGACCATGGCGTGGTCCATGACAAGGGACATGGTGTCGAGCAAGGTCTGACTGCAAACGTCGATGCTATCACATAGCTCATACTGTGACTGGCTCAAATCTGTGGCTGACAGCATCTCAACCGAGGCAATGATGCCATGTAGAGGCGAACGCAGCTCATGTGAGATGCTGGACAGAAGTTGATCTTTCTGTTGCTCGGCAAGCCGCATGGTGAGATGGCCACAGACGACGCTCAAGCTATTGAGAAAGGCGCGTATGAAGGGCACTTCGGCTTGGGCGGTGAATTGCGGAGCACTCTTGTGGGATGTAATAAAACAAGCTGAAGGCTCGTCGGTAGTCAATGGGTCCCAGAGGGGAACGAAAATGACTTGCTCGGCCTTGGGAAGCCAATTGTTGAGCCATTCGCATTCTTCTGCATCCGGTTGACTGTCATTGGACCTTATGGATCCTCGACGTTGGTCTCGAGGCATATTGGCAGGGCGGAAACGATCATCGTCGATTCCCAAAAAGTTTCGGTTGTCGTCTCGTATCCAAATCTTGCCGAGGGGCCATCGATGACAGAGCGTCTTGATAATGTCTTCAGGATGCTGATACGACAAAACGGCATCCATGAAGGGTCGTTTGCCGGCGGAATACGACACACCTAATCGAAGCTCCTGTGAGGTGCTCCACGACCTTAGATCTGTAAAATTCTCAGCCAAGATTGCGAGATCCGAGTCCAAACTCTGGCGTAAGATATCAGCGGCCGTTGTAAAGACTTTGCGATAGGTACGTGGTCCAGAGCCGAACGTCGATGGTGGTGGTGGCGGCTCTTTTGAATCCAGATTCCATGACTGGTCGCTGTCATCTGGTGATTCAACAGCCTCGACTGACATGGTCTCATCCTCTTCATCAAGATTTTGATCTCCGAGGTAGGCACTTTCGCGGGTTACCAAGTCTGCTAGACCACGAGACATCTTGGTGTAGCGTGAATGTAGCTGCATTTCGATCTCTGAATCAAGATGACGCATGAGTGAGGTGGCCATGAGGCCCAGAAAGTTTTGCTCATCGTCGGTCAGCAGAGGATGCGGCTGCTCGTCCAGGACGCAAAGAGTGCCAACTCTTATTCCTTGGGGTGAGACCAGGGGAGTGCCTGCATAGAAGCGCAAGTGAGGCGGATTGCAAACGGCGGGAATATGCTGAAAGCGAGGCTCGTGCATCAGGTCGGCTACTTGGAACACGGCATACCCATGGAGGGGTGCTTCGACGGCCATGGTATATTGGCAGAGGGTATCCTCGCGGCTAAGACTACCCTGACAACCAAGCCATAGCTCATCGCCTGGATCAGAAGGCGGCCTCACACCTTCGATATCAGAGGTTTTTGTGGATTCAGCGATGGTAAATTGCAGGTCTTTGTCGATCAGCGAGACCAGCGCTCGTGCAACAGATAGGCGCCACGGGATGAGCTGTAGCATAGCATGTAGAGCGACATCTCGAGTCTGACGGCCACTGGGGCTTTGCGTCGGTCGATATTTTCGAGCCTCACGAACCCGTAGAGCTTCACGCTTGGCTTCCGTTCTGCTCATTGTGCCAGCGGGTAGACGTGTCCTGTCGGCGAAATCATCATCCGGGAGTTCGTCGTTCGTTAAGGGGCGACTTGGGCGTCGAATAGCGTTAGTCGCACAGGAATTACCATCAATGGTAAGTTCGACAATGGTTGTTGAAGTGCCGTGTAAGTAACGGGCGACATTCGAATCGCTGAACGGAAAAATGCCCATCAACTTGCATGGCGCGCGCGCGTTCGAATTTGCCACCCGGCACTACCAAAGGCTCGAATTCCGGAGTCCATGGGCATGGGTCCCACCCCTGGATAAACAGGACGGCAGAGCGCTTGTGCAAGTCATGTTAAGCGATGGCAGGCCCCGCCAGCGATTGACGTTGGGCCGAGGAAACTGCAACAAGGGGGGCGCGCCACGTGAAGGGTTAATTGTTATCGCGTTCTGGGCCTGGACTCTACTGGGTCGGCAAGCCCCAACACTGCGGGCAAGCCAGGAACATACGGAACATAGTTCAACTGCGCAACACCGCCAGTTATACAGCGTAACAACATCTATGCTGCACTAAGAGGACTTCCACGGATTTATACAGAGCTATATTGGTACAGTTGTATGTCGGCAACGTTGTTCGCACGTGGGGTTGAAGCGTTGACACCGCCGCCTCATGGTTCTCTTGTTGCGCCACACTTGGAATTATTGGGGGCCGGAGAATGGCTATCAGCATGTGCTTCAGTGCTTCGAGTTCGCATTCAAGGTTGGCGCCGTTTGTGAGCAAAGTTATTTTTCACTGGGTACAGAGTGCTCGTGGAGGCTCGTGGAGGCTCGTGGAACCGGGGTTCTTCCCTGCTTGTCATTGCCCAACCGCCTAGGCAGTCCGCCTAGGCAGTTCAAGTTTTGGCGAGCTACGGAGTACATGTCCGCCATCCCACCACGCCCCTCATTTATTCCACTCATCCTCACTGTCACTGCTCTCGTGCTTCTCTATCTCTGCCTCGCTCAGAAATGGACTCTGCTCCATCTCAACCTGCGGACCTGGCACTGATCGTGGAGGCGCCGGACCCGGAGGTGCTAATACAGCTCGCGCTGGAGGCGTCACCTCGATCTGTGGTTGATTTCCTCCAACCTTGACCACGGTGGGTGACGTCTCTGGTGTCTCAACGAGAGTCGTCTGCTCCAACGTCTTATCAATGCCCTCTATGGCTTCTGCTTGTACTGCTTCTAAAGCCTGACTGACCGATCGTTGAGGCTCCGACCCACCTTCGTCATCCGCTCCGTCTGTCGGCAACAGTGTCTTCTCCTCGACTGGCGAGAAAGGTGATTGCTCTACGGGAGCTTGCCCTGTTGTTTTGATCGATGGTAGCTTCGAGTCAAACTTGCCAGGCTCGCGTGACCTTTCCGGTTCGACTTCTTTTCCTCGCTTGAACTGCCATCTACGCGTCTTTGGTGCCGGAGGGGGCTTCTTCTGTGGTTTAGTAGCCGTTGGGAGCGGCGGAGCAGTGCTTTCGTCTGGGCTCCCCGTGAGCGTGGACTTGCTCTCATCACCAACTGCGGCTACTACGTCGCCAGATTCCTCACCAGTCTGTTTGTCGGGACTGCTGGCCGAACGCGATTCTGCAACCGTGCCCTGCCCCAGAGTCTCAGGCTCAGTGGCCGCCTTCTCTGCTTTGGCCCGCGCCCAGCCAGATCGTCTCGCTTTAGGCACCGGAGGTCTGACCGGCTTCTCACTTGTGTCGTGTTTCTCTCGAGCATGAGACTGCATGGTCGAAGCACGCATGCTTTGCTTCACACTAGCGTTTCTACTCGGCGTTATCACTCCAGGCTTCTCTTTCTGTGCGGCCATTTCCACCATACTTAGACTCGACTGGCGTGCAGATTCCAGCTGTGGCGCGAGAAACTGTCCTATAGTCAACGTCGAGCCTTTAGACGAGTCCCGCTTCTTCAACTTCCTCGGAGCTGGAAGAGCTGGTGGCTGAGGTTTAGATGGAGAGACTGGTGAAGATGGGCCAGAAGCCTCGTCATCGACAGGACTGCCAGTTTGTTCAGGCCCTGCATCGGCATCGGCATCGGTGAGCCAGCTGACGCCTATGCAGCGCTTTACCAGTCGTTTGGTTGTTTGGTCAATGTCCTCGAAATGTGACCAATTGTTATGAGAGTCCTGGTGCGCGTCCTGGTCGATAACTTGTCCCCCACCAAGGACGGTTAGGAGCTTCAATACCTCCTCTCGTTTGTAGTGCGGGGGATGTTGTAGTTGTGTATGTTCCAACAAGGGATAAAGGACCCGTAGGTAGGTGTGTCGCAGCGATGTCGCTTCTTCCGGCAGGTCCAGAAGATTTCGTATCAAAATGTCGACTAACACGCGCAAATCGTTGGTGTAGAAATACTCGTACGTTTGAGGTGTCGTGAAGAGCAGATACAGTAGTTTCAAGGTGAGCAGCTGGAGCGACGTCTCATCTGCACTTGTCAGACCCAGTACTAGGATAACAAAAGGACACAAACCTTCACGATTCAAGAGTAATATGATGTTCTCGCCAAACGTCTTGTAGCGGCTGCCTTGAGCCGACAGAACCTTGACCACTTTATTCGTTAGAGGTATTGGCCGTTGGATGGCTTCAGGATCGTGCGCAGCGACCATGAATTGCTCGTTGAGGACGAGTAGGACACGGATGACCGGATAATGGTAGGGATCGTTGACATTGCCCGCGACGTGCTCAATGAGATCGAACAAACACTGCACGAACTCATCCGTCACACATGCTAGCCCAGACGTCAGCCATAAGTCTCCTGTCAGCAGGATACGAGGATTCGCACCAAGGTCGTCGTTGGATATCCTCTGAATTCTGGACATCTCATAGAACAGCTGCATGAGCAGACGATGGAGAGCCTCTTCATCGTTCAAGTGCGGACTTGCGATAAGATCAACTAATCGAGGAAACGCGCCCTCGTTTTTTAATATCTCGAATGTAATTTCTGTATGCTGCGCATCGGTGAGGAGGAAGGACGACGTAATGAGTAGGATATCTGCATCATCTTCCTGATCCAAAGTCAGCCACTGCTTGCGGATTGTGTACCCGTAACGCACCTGAAGAAGGCTATGAATGAACTGGCGACGGATGTAGTCGGAATGCCGTACGAAGAGAGGGGAATATGCCAGTTTATATGCGCATCGAGGAAGGACTTGCTCAGCGTCATCGAACTGCTCTGTTGCATGCGCTGTCAGCATTAGGTCCAGATGTGAGAATCGCATTTCCACCTTTTGAACCAGCAACAAGGCCTAGGTAGGATCGCAGGGCGTCATCGATGTGACTATGGGTGGCACATTCTTGAGAGATTGTCTCGTCGAGCGCTGCAAGTCGGCCGTCAGTTTGCTCTGCAATTAGGCAAGCGGAGGATTCCATACCGTCCCAGAACTGGTCCTCTGTCTGGATTCCATGGTCGGCGTCGTCCGAGTCCATGCTACGCGCAACTTCATGTCGTCTCTGAGATGGCTAGTGTTGAAGCGCGCGACGGTCGTAGAAGACCAGTGACATGTTGGCTGCCAAGATGTTCAGGGTGCGAAGAGGTCGTTGCAGCTAGAAGAAAGTCACGACTGAGTCGCGAGAATGTGTCGTAGAATAGCGTGAGCATGGGACGGGGAACGTGACCCGAAATATCTTGGTGTTCCTGGAGCATGACGCAGGTGGGGGAGAGACGATCCAGACACAAGGCGTCGATGGCACTTTGCGCGTGCCGATCCAGCCGTTCGCACTCTGACCAGAGTCTGGCTTGAGGTAGCTTCAAGTAGATCTGTTCTGTCTTATACAGTACGCGCAGTCAATGTTGATCGAAATTCAAGCCCATTCTCTGGCGTCTAAACATTGCTCATCGGAGTGACGCACTGACCCGCAAGAGGAGACTTTGGCAATCAGCGAGGCAGAGGGCGTGTCGTGTTTGCGCATTGCACATGGCTTTTTATATTCATTCTCTCATCATAACATTCATTGACAATCACATCTACTGATGGCCCCTTCACGACGGATTCGGGGCGCCAAATTAGGTTCAAGAAATTGACCATGCTGCCACGAATATATTTACACCCTAGCTTTTCGCAGCGCATCAGTATACCCACTCAGTCCGGCGAATTGAGCGGCGATGTTCCTGTAAACAGTTTGTCTCGCAAATCTCTGGCAAGGGCTTCAATGTACCAACCATCGGTGGGTATAGGCCTTTCCTCTGGCCAAGTGGACGCCCGAAATGGAAACCACATGGCTTCGTCGATTGACCGAGACACCGTGCCTGAATGGTGTAGGCGGCGCCGTTCTACGGTATCTGACTGTGCTCTTCTCGTCGCTAGTCGTGGACTGGGAGGCTCATCGGTCGGTGAACTGGGGACCGTCCCAATGACAAATTCAATGTCTAGCAGGCTATCCATCGAGAACAAGTCCGCCAATGTCAAATCAATCGCTTCGTTCATTCCGTGCCGGAGCTCTTGCCCGGTTGGTAGGGGTTCTTCAAATAGCCAGACTCGAGTAGTAGCCGCCAAGGTATCAGGACCTGAGCCAGCTGTGTGACCAGGGTGCTTCAGATAGATGTATGTGTCGCGAAAGAGACCCTGCACGCGGTAGATGATATCGGTGAGCGATATTGGGGTCAGTGACACACCCAAATGGCCAGTCTCAGCGCAGAACAGAGTGAGTCCTGCAAAGTCCGCCCCAAGCGCCACCTTCAGCTCAGCATAGATCTTCTGTGCCCACTCTGCGGCTCTTTCGACCCGATCCGGGTTGTTGAACTTCGCCTCGAGCGATAATTGCCAAGTTTCTGTGTGGATCAGTTGCTCTGACATGATCTTGATAGAGCCGGCAGTCGCAAGAACGTTTCCCATCTTTCCTGCAGAGCACGATACCGATCTACCTCTGACCGAGCTGTTCGCCCAAGTGCGCCCATCTATGCGTAAAGCTTCAAGGACTAGATGACTGTACCTCAAGCAACGTGGTGTCCTCGGCTCCAAACCCATCAAATCGGCGTATAGGTCAGGAAGGGATTTGTCGTAATCGACCTGTAGAAGCTCGGCATCAGACGAGATACCTGTCAAGGCATACGCCTTGTCGTGATTGACCGAGCATTTAGACTCTCGGTAAGTCTCCATGGTCTGGAGGAGACGCTGTTTGGTATTGAGGTTTTGCGTATGAAGCCAGACACTGAAGGGAATGGATTGTTCGACAATGTCCCATGGTCCTTGGATCTGAAAGGAGGACCGTCGAGTCTGAGCCGCTTCATATATGGTACGAAATGCGATGGACAGCGCCTGCCAGGTGATCTGCTCGATTCCCCAGAGCAATAAGAGCTTGTTAGCCTTGATCAGCTCCTGCAGAATCCAAAGCCTGTGCCAGTACGTCTGTTCGCATAGCAACTTCAGGTGGTTCCACATTCTCCCGTATGGTTCCTGGAGGCTTAACGATGAAGGACGACCGCTGGCACCGCGGGTGGAAAGTCGCCTGAATTCGTCGGTTTTCTCCCAGTCCCGTAGATGAACTTCAGTCTCCGCCAGAGCGCCATTCTCAATATGATGAGATCCGATCCAGGTCAGGACAAGTGATGCGGCGGAATAGATGTTGCCCATGATTTTCACCTGCTCGTTACGCTCAGCCACATTTTCTTGGTCGATGCATATTGCATCAATCCACAACGGCCGCACGAAGTCCCGATCACCACTGGCTATGCGATCGAGGAACCGCTTGAGGTTCTCACGAATTTCGAAGTACTGGCCATCGATAGTGATGGGGTAAGTCGGTTGTGCTGGACCCCATTCGTAGGACAGAGCATAGAAGTGCGGGATATCTCTGCTACCCAGGATATAAGTCGTCAGTGAGTAGTCAAAGTCGCCGTCGCCAAGAGCTGCCACCTCCAGTAGTCGGATCTGACGATCTGGAGAAGTAAGTGGTGCGTGCACAAGCGGTCCACACTCCTGTGTTGCCATCGCGTCGCGGGATCTTCGGAAAGACGTCCCTAGACCAGAAACAGGACTACCGAGCGGGCCAAACGAGACCAGGCGGATGTGGCGCTCATTTTCGGGCGAAGTGAAGTAAGGCGATCTGTATGTGTCAGTAGCACAAGCGAACGAAAAACTGCAGTTGGTCGCATCAAAATAAGTAGAGGAACGTTGCAACGGAAGGAAATCTGATAACGCTTCACCGACAATTTGAGAGCCTTGGAACCTATGCAAGAGACTGCGACACCGATGTGAGATAAGCTAGCAATATGGAGCAGCGTCCTGAGTCGTAGTCATCAGAGTTGCACATGGTGGAGGAGGAAAAGCGGTGGGGGTCCAGACCTCAGCGACCAGCAGGGAGTGCAGCAGGACCTCACAACGATTTCTCCGAAAGACAATGCGGCTCAGGAACGAAGCCCTAACCCTCATGGATCAACTACTTCGGGAGTGGGGACCAGGCACCGCCGCAGGCAGCCAAGTCTCGTAGGTCTCGGGATCAGTCACCGACGACGGAACGACACGTCAACCGCCCGGCTGTGTGAGGCTGTGAGATTGGCATCCAGTCATTCATAACCCGATCCACGACCGCATCCGTACCTTGACTTCTTTGTTGACCCTCTACTGGCCCGGTACCACCAAAGCTATCTGTCATCTGTACCATCGCCGCAAACAAAGGAGTGCCGTATGCGAGCATTGAAGAAGCACCTTTTCAGTTCTCGTAGCAAGCAGTCGCCCGATTCTTATCAAGTCGCATACTCAACGAGTTCACCAGGTGACCACCCCCAATGCTCCCCATATACCCTTGTGGTGAAAGAGTTGCCATCTTACCCTCCTTCCTCATTCCTTGATTCTTGCCTGGAGATACGATGCAATCCTTCAGAGGCCTCGTTGCCCTCGCCCTAATGACCATGGCGTATGCTCACTCCTTTGGGCGGCCATGGCATCAACACTTGCACGATAGACTCTTACGCCGCGATGACACCACTGCTGACCCTACTTCAGCAGACACGATGGGTGGTGGCCAAGGAATCCGCACCGTCGGCTACTTCGTCAATTGGGCTATCTACGGACGCAATCATCAGCCCCAAGAGATACCTGTTGACAAACTTACCCACGTTCTCTACGCATTCGCCAACGTGCGGCCCGAGACAGGTGAAGTCTATTTGACCGACTCCTGGTCGGATGTGGAGAAGCACTACCCTACCGACTCGTGGAATGATGTTGGCAACAATGCTTACGGCTGCGTGAAGCAACTCTTCATCCACAAAAAGAAGAACCGCAATTTCAAAGTCCTACTGAGTGTTGGTGGATGGACTTATTCATCCAACTTTGCCCCAGCCGCCAGTTCTGCTGCAGGCCGTCAGAACTTCGCCAAAACGGCTGTGCAAATCATGGAGGATGTTGGTTTCGATGGCATCGATATCGACTGGGAGTATCCCAAGAATGAACAAGAGGCCAACGATTGGGCTGCTTTGCTGGCAGAGACTCGCCAAGTGCTAGATGCCGCCGCAGGGAAAAGGTCGAACCGACCCAAATTTCTTTTGACTGTCGCCTGCCCGGCGGGACCTCAGAACTTCCAGAAGCTCAAAGTTGCCGAAATGGATAAGTACCTGGACTTCTGGAATCTGATGGCCTACGATTATGCCGGCAGCTGGGATCAAACATCGGGTCACCAAGCCAATCTCCACTCGTCTCATAATACACCAGCATGTACTCCCTTCAGCACGGACACAGCCATTCATTTCTACACCAGTAACGGCGTTGCTCCACACAAAGTGATTCTTGGCATGCCTCTGTACGGACGGACCTTCCAGAACACCGCGGGTCCTGGTTCATCGTACCAAGGCATCGGCGAGGGTAGTTGGGAGCAGGGCATATGGGATTACAAAGCCTTACCCAAACCGGACAGTCATGAACAGTATGACGACAAGGTAGGTGCCAGTTGGAGCTATTGCTCTGCCACCGGTACCATGATCAGCTACGACACGCCTCAAATGGTCCAAGTCAAGGCCACCTACACTCGAGACAAGGGCTTGGGCGGAGGTATGTGGTGGGAGACTTCGGGTGACAAGACGGCGGGGAACGGCAGTTTGATCGAGGCCTATGTGAACTCGCTGGGCGGAACACATGCACTGGCGGACGAGGCCAACTGCTTGGAATACCCCGAGAGCAAGTACGACAACATTCGCGCTGGTATGCCGGATTCTTGAGGAACACCGGCAGCTCTGATACTGCGCCGGAAGCTTGGTCGTCTGGAACTCTCAAGCGGTTGGTTCGGACTTGGAGTGTGACATAAGACACCGACGCAAACACCTGAGTCCTTACATTTGGAGAATAACAAGATCTCGTAAAACGGATTGCTCTATATTTCACGTAGCTGAAGACAACTGGGACTACCTGTAGTCCCCCAAAATCGCCACCGTGACCAAACATGGACTCGTGCACCTCTCAAAGTCGGTTCAGTATAGCAAGAACAGTTAGTGACAGAAGTCCAGGTGTTGTAGCCATTGAGGAGTGGTGGTAGCTTGGTTACTCTGGAAGAATCCCTCTGAGTGGAAGACCAAATTAGACTTTCATTCACTGCCTGAAGCTTACCTAAGCTGGGGTGCTGTCCCCACCCAATAGTCTCCAAGCATCGCTGCCACTTTACGCGCAGACGCGCCTCCTCGCGTCCATCACCCACCAGGCGTTTTCAACACCACCCGGTCCTGATCTCGGTCTCAAGCAATATTGTTGACATTGGAGCATGCAATGAAACGAAAATGTCTCTTATCGACACCCCTCTCCGTACTTCCCTTACATCCCAGTCCACTCAAATCCGAGCCGACCTGAAGGCATTTGAGCGCGACTTTTTCGCGACTCACGGCCGCAAACCGGGCAAAGACGACATCAGGCAGAACCCTAAGGCCGCAGCTAAGTACAAAGAATACAACAGAGTGCGCGATGTCCTCAGTGGGAAATTGCCGGCCTTGTCGCTTCAGGCGTCATCTCCATCACAAGAGCGAAAGCGAAAGAGATCAAGGCACGATGAGGGAAAGGACGAGGGCTTGGAGATGCAGACGCCGAGAAAATTGAAGATGTTATCGACACCACGGAAGGCCCTTGGTATGCTCCAACCTCATGAGCTCGACCCATACGATGCGCCCTCATCGGCCTCTCCACGTCCACCGATTACCGCACTAGGACCAACTCCACAAAGAGACGGTAGAGTAATGGGCATATTTGACCTGCTTGAAGCAAGTGGTGGTAAAATCGGATCAAGTGGAAAAAAGCGAAGATTGTCCATACTGTTTGACAACGATGTCGTAACGCAGAGCCCAGAAGGGCGACCCAAGACCGCAGATAGAGATCAGCCACTGGAGAACTTGCAGACGCCCGCTCGAAACAGGACAAAACAACCAGATGATGTGCTGGACCATCTCACCGGCACTCCCACGACTAGTCGTCACCACGGTCGTGCGCGCACACCTGCTTCTTCGGCGAAAAAGTTCAGACTCAGTCAATTCTTTGCCACGCCCTCAGCGGAACGTTATGCCTCCATGCTACAGGACACGGATCCAGACAACTCGCCTCGAGCGCGAATAGGGGCAACACCTGACGCGCAGCGGCGACAGTCCCAGGAGCAGGGCACTCCTTTGCTTGATCGCGTCCTTGGGCGCACTCCAACCAAACGCACCCCAACAGCCGATGCCCACAGCCAGCACGGAAACACGCAGGGAGAAGCAGAAGGCGAAAAGACGCCCGCATATCTGAAACGCAGCTACAGCTTCAAGCAACGACTACTGTCTGCGTCCACGACGCACTCGGCAAACCATTCGCGGCACAATAGCCTTGACGGGGCCGCTGGGGAGCCGCCGGCAGTGCAGAGGCTTCCTCCAGGCCGACGGAGAACGAGATTCAATCCGCGCCCCCTGAGCCAAATCGCGAAGGAGATGCAGCAACGCGAGGTTGAAAAGGAGCGGGCAATGCAAGCCGCCGCCGTCGACTCCAGGGACGGCAGGGAGCGCAATCAGAGTGATGCGGAAGATGGTTGGGACGATGATGAGATGGAAGCTTTGAGGGAGATTGAGGTCAACGACGATCGCACGCTTCTCGAAGACAGCCAGCTTGCCGATGCCGAGCAAGCGGCCAGGTCCGTGACGCAGCTGGCGACGACTAAATGGAAGAAGAAGGGCCAAAAGCGGTCGACAAGAAGAGTCATCATGCGGCCTAGCAAGATCAAAATCCAGGATCCGGATCCGAAACGTCGCGCCGCGACGCCAGAAAGCGGCGGCGATCAAGACCCCGACATCGACTCCGACGGCGAGGCAGACGCAAGCGGCGCCCGCATAGCTGATACCCAGCTGCATCACCCCATCGACGGCTTCTCCGACGACGAACTACTTGCGCAGGCCTTTGCGGACAGCGACGAGGAGCTCTTCGGCGCGTCTAGTTCTGCTGCTGCTGCTGCTGCCGCAGCAGCAAAGACCAACAAGGGAAATTCGTCACGCAATTACGCCAAAGACAAACTGTTTGGCAAGCCCTCGAAAACATCGAAGCGAGCCGCAGCAGGCAAAGAGACGAGCTGGAACCGAGGCGGCGAAGAGAGCGATAGTGATGACGGTGAACCCATGCGCAAGATCAATCCGAATGCGCAAAGCCACATGAATTTCAAGACGCTGAAGATCAAGAATAAGAACAGTAAGGCGAAGGGGAGGGGAAGGTTTGGTGGGAGGGGGAGGGGAAGACGCTGAGTTACTGTGTGCAGCATCAGCAGTGGGATGGCTAGTGGGCGATGGACGGATGCCTGGTGCTGAAACTGACTAGGGATGAGTGTTGTATGAGTGACGAGTGACGTGAGATGAGGGACGAGTCAAGACAGGTCACGCAATTGAGACATGAGATCCTGTAAGGAATGGCAATACATGTGGGTCAAGACTGGTGGTACAGTTGTTTTTGTTGCGTGTCCTTTTGAGTCGTCTTCCGTGACCAGGAGGGAATGGGTATCTTTGTTCTTGCTTCTCGTGCCGGTGAAAATGTGCCGTAGTCTACCAGTCCCACCCTAACGCCGCCTTGTGCCCTCCCATGCCATGCTGAAGAAAATGCAAGAATCTGCCGTTTGAAACCACTCAACCATTTCTCATACGCCTTCTGCGCTTTTGTGTCCGAGGGGACACTAGCCCACCCTCCGCAACGCGTTCGCCATGCCTTGATCTCCGCCGCCATCCTCGATCCGTCCCTCCCGCAGCGCCTTCTCGTACCGTTTGCGAAGACTGGTTTCCGGGTCGTCCCTTTCCGCATCCGGGTAGTCCTCTGGATCCATATCTTCATCGTCCTCATCAGCTTCCCCCTCATCCTCCTCCGCTGCCTTCTTCTTCGCAGCAGCATCAACGCTCATGTCGCTCATGAATCGCGTGAGATCGCGCTGTTTCTGCTCCTGGCTCTGCTGCTCGCGCTCCCTCCGCCTCCGCTCCAACTCCGGCTTATAGTCCCTGTTGAACTCCTCGCGCTTCTGCTCCACAGCCTCGAAGAACTCCTCGATGCCGTCGCCCGTCATGGCGCTGACGCCCACCATGCTCAGATGCGCGTAAAATTCCTCGAGCATGAGGCTCATCGAGTTCAGCAGCGAGGACATGTATCCGCTACCTCCGTGACCTTCGCCGCCAAAGACGCCCTTCTCCTCCTCGGTATGCAGTGCTTCCTGGAATTTTTCGAAGTCCGTCATCCACTCCTTCGCGAAGGCCGCATCCTGCACGTCTGTTTTATTGAAGACCAGGATCATTGGCAGTTTGGTCTTGTATAGAATGCTGCATGCATACAGCATGTTGCTCATGAACGTGCTGGTAGAGCTCGTGCGGGGTGTGTCAATCACGTATGCTATCACCGTTGGGAAGCTGCTGGCCAGCGATTCGAGGAGGATGCTGCCACTGGCCGACCACACGAACACTTCGATTTGGCCCGGCGTATCGACGAGGATGTGTTTTGGAGGGGCCGAGGTGCTGTCAGGGGACGGCTGCGCCCGCTTCTCGAGCAGATTTATAATCTGGTCGATCTTGGTTGCGAAAAGGTTGAGGGATGTGAGAATGCCACCGTTGGGACCAAGATTGTACTGCTTCATGACTTCTCGGTAGTTGATGCTGTCGCGGATGTCGATGTTGGGCGCAAAAGGCACGCGGTTCACGGCAGGATCGAGATTCAGTGTGTAGGGTTTGCGGCCGGTCGTGTGTAGGTGATTGGTGATCCGTTGCATGAATGTCGTTTTGCCTGAGCCGGCCATGCCGATTGTGACAATGGCCACCGGAGGCTGAGCAGACGCGGCAGGGGCCGGAGTCGCCATATTGAAGAGGATACCGAGCAGAGTTGGGATATAGAGCAGGGTCCAGGAGTGCGGTTGTCGAGTACAACAAATTCATGGGTTGCGGGGTGAAGTGGGAAAATTCGCGAGGCTATTGTTCAGCCTTGCTTGATGTGACGTAGATTTGTGATTTTGCAGGTGAACATGTGAACTCATTATAGCCACTGACACATATTGTGTGCCTGTCTGCGCTGCGAATATGGCGCTCGAAGACTTCGAAAAGCAATTGGCCAAAGACAAAGAGGAAGAAAAGCGTCGCGACCGTCACCGATCCGACCGCAAGTCCGAGCATCGACACCACCATAGGCATCACCGCAGCTCGAAGCACCGTGACGAGGATGACGATCGCGACAGACGTCGCTCGAGACACCATGACTACGATGATGAAGACAGCCATCGCTCAAAGCGCCGGAGACACTCGCATGACGAGGATGACGAGGATCGTTCGCACCATCGACGGCACCAACACCGGCGGGATTACGATCAAGACGAGACTGAAGGGTCTGCGGGAGCTTCTGTGCTAGCGGCAGAGCCTGAATTGAAACGAGCATCGTGGATGGAAGCACCGTCTGAGCTGCATATCGACTACGTCCAGCGAAAGCAGACCGAGCAATCTCCACCGCGGTCGTCGAATCTTGGTATGGACCATGAGCTGAAAATCCATGAGAAAGAGATCAATCATCATTTACGTGATCTCAAGAATAGCAGGGAACAGGAAGAGCTCAAAAAACTGCCGGCAAACCACGAAGTCGATTACACGATTGGCGACGCCGGATCTCACTGGCGAATGACCCGGCTGAAAGCTGTCTATCGTAAAGCCGAAGAGACGGGTCAGAAGGTCGAAGACGTGGCACTTGAGCGATATGAGACACTGCGAGAATTTGATGACGCTCGTGAAGAAGAGACCGAGCTCGATCGTCGAAATACTTACGGCGACGGCTACGTGGGCAAGGATAAACCAAGCGGTGAACTCTACCAAGAGCGGAAGCTGAATGCGGGCGTTCACAGAAGCAGCACGCGAGACCTTGATGATGATCTCGACGAGGTCGTTGAGAACGTCAAGGCGCCCGCTCCTGAAGTCGCTCCAACACCGAAGCTGGACTCTACCTCATTGAACCGAATGAAGGCTCAGCTGATGAAGGCCAGATTAAAAAAGGATCCGAAGGTCGACGAGCTACAGAAAGAATATGACGCAGCTGTTACGGCTTTCAATCAGATTGATCCTACGGTGGTGCAGCTTTCTGCAATGGACAATAGAATGCTTTCTTCTGCACCCCGAAATGAAGTCAAAGCTGTCCAGAACCGCCGTGGAGCTGAGCGTGGTAATGTCGAAGACAACGAGGATATGACCATTGAAGACATGGTGCGCGAGGAAAAGCGAACACGCGATCAAGCAGGTGGCGATGCGAAGCGCTTTGCTGAACGTATCGCCAAAGACGGCAAGTTCGACAACGACCTCGATTACATGGATGAGAACGCAGCGAAGCTCGCCAAACGCGTCCATAAGTCGGAGGGAAACCTCCGCAATGTCGCCGTAGGCGATTACCAGAAGCTCCAGAAGGTTCTAGAGAACTGCCAACTGTGCCACCACGAGGATACACAAACTCCACCAGTCGCGCCAGTCGTTTCTCTCGCCACGAGGACCTATCTGACGTTGCCAACAGAGCCAGAGCTCTCGAAATATGGCGCGATGATAGTTCCGATTGAGCACCGCACCAATCTCCTTGAATGTGACGAGGATGAATGGGAAGAGATCCGGAATTTCATGAAGTCACTTACACGACTCTACCACGATCAAGGCCGCGATGTGGTCTTCTATGAGAATAGTGCGCGGCCTAATCGAAGACCTCACGCTGCGATGAACGTGGTGTCTCTCCCATACAGCCTGGGGGAGACCGCGCCAGCATTTTTTCAAGAAGCGTTTCTCACCACAGAAGACGAATGGAGCCAGCACAAGAAGATTATTGACACTCTCGCCAAGAGCAAGCAGGGCTTGGGGCGAGCCGCATTCAGGAAGTCACTGGCGAAAGAGATGCCTTATTTCCATGTATGGTTCGAACTAGATGGCGGCATTGGGCATATTGTCGAAGATCCGGATCGTTGGCCTCGAGGCGACTTATTCGCGAGAGAGGTGATCGGTGGCATGCTGGGTCTAGAGCCAGATGTGATCAAGAAGCAGGGGCGATGGCATCGCGGCCATGACCCTCGACTCGAGTCGTTCCGAAAGAGGTGGAGGAAGTTTGATTGGACAAGAGTGCTGACGGAGGGAGTCAATTGACGAGATGGGTCGACTGACGAGCAAATCGGGTGCTCACTGCCATGAGCCAAGGCTCGTTCTAGTAGACGCCTCATACCTGTCTCTAGAAAGTACCTTGCGGTCTTTTGGACTGGAACTTTGGCAATGCAGGGGCCTTTGATCCTGTGGCTTGCACCAGCCTGACCGCCCAGCTGGAAAATTGATCTTCAATAAATATGTCTCAGCCGCGCAGACCTCACTCATTTTATCACGAAAATTACCCTTGTACTCTCTTGGATGTGGTCGATCCCTAGAGTACGATTTAATGGCCCGCACCAGGTCAGCCCGTCGATCAGTCACGAAGAAGTCACCACTTGTCAAGTCCGTCCCAGGTTCCGTTCACGCTCGATCATCCAAGGCCTCTGCAAACGTACCCAAGGTCTTCACCTACAGACCGGTACGAAAACCAGATTACTTTCGCTACTTCGTCTTGGAGCCTGGGACCAAGAGATCTTTACTCCGAGGTCGCCTCGTGACCTGCAAGATTGCCACGGCTCCGCCTTACGATGCCATCTCATATGCCTGGGGTAGCTCCGTGAGATCCCACAAGCTCATCTGTAATGGTTGTCTGGTTCCTATTACTTCAAGCCTCAACAAAGTTCTACGCCAGGTCCGATATCGAGACGAGTCTCATGTTGTCTGGGTTGATCAACTCTGTATCAACCAGGAAGATGAAGCGGAGAAAGGACACCAAGTAGGCCTCATGGCTGAGGTCTATCGCGGTGCTCGAAAGGTCTTGATGTGTCTTGGAGGCTCCAAGGCACAGGGCATCCGCCTCACATCCCTGATCAGCGAGATTCGGGACGTCTACGAAGAGGATGTGAGGAATCGAGGCGAATCTGTCATATTAAGCTCGTGCAAGACTTGCTTGCCGGAGGGCTTTATGTCCGATCCACGATTCGAAGATCTCGCTATCATCATGCGGCATGGCTATTGGCGCAGATTATGGGCGATTCAAGAGATAGGGCTTGCACGCTGCCCGAAAGTTTGCGTCGGCAGTAGTCATATCGATTGGCATATTTTTCTCGAATCCATCCAATATCTGATGACACATAAACGTTCCTGGCTTCTTACGCGGGGATTCTCTCTGTCTATCTCTCACATGTACACTCTCGAGGGCTGGGGATCGGTTGACAAGCGCCATCTCTTGATCGACATACCCACTAACAGCCTCGACTTGCTTAAAGTGGTCTCGTCGTGCCGTTGGCTCGACGTCTCGGATGAGCGCGACAGGATCTACGCGCTGTTAGGACATCCAGTTGCTACATTACCTTCAGGCGAGCCTATTATTTTACCCGACTACACAATCAATGCGCGAGACTGTCTCAGACGCTTTACGACACAGTACATACAAAAAACAGGTGATCTGACCATTTTGGCCATGACTGAATGGCAGGATAACATGCCGGAGAGCGGCAGTGCTTCGTGGGTTCCTTCTTGGAACGGACCTCGAGTCGTGCCCCTCGCGTGGTGGGGCACTTACGACGCTTCTAGAGATCTGCCTAGGCAGCCCGTACTCTCTGGAGATGTACTCCACGTCAAAGGCGTTGCGGTAGATGTGATCTCGGATTCGTGGGACATACTGGCTAAAAAAGCTAGGGATCGCCGGTCCTTCAGGATCGATACGGTGAAAGATCCTGCGATAGAGGTCTGGAAAATGCTACAGCGCAGAGGTAAAGTCTATACTGACGGACGATCCCGGCTTGCGACGTTCTTGTGTAGTCTTCTAAGAGTCGAGCGTCCTGGTCCTCCATATATCATAGGGCTTATTCACTGTGTGGTGAGGATTGTGACCTTGCTCCTCGACAGTATGATGCAGCAAGCTGCGAGAGAGATGCCACCGGTAGACCATCGTGTTTGGTCTGAATTTACTGGCACCCTTGACACGATCTGCTGGTACAGGAGGTTTATCTGCACACCAACCTCTGGGATTATGGGTCTGGTGCCTGAGGCCGCCAGAGCCGGCGACGTGTGCACCATCATAGCAGGCTGTCGCACCCCGATCGTTCTTCGCAGAGAGAACAGAGGCTACAGAGTCGTTGGAGAGGCCTTCCTCTACGGTTTCATGAACGGTCAAGTTAGTGAGTGGCTCAAGGACGGCAGAGCGCAGCTCGAGGAGATGGCGCTCTACTGAGCCTGTCACTGGCACGCCGCAGCCTTGCATTGTACACTACATCGAACGCAATGTTGCTACATGGCAGAAGATTGATTCAATAAGTCCTATTAAGAACCTGCTAGTTCACATCTCCACCACGTTGCTCTGTACCAGTATCAACTATCAAGATCCACCACCGTTGCAGCCATTGGTAAGCGGGACGAGATTCCTCTTTGGGCAGGTCCAGTGGAACCGAGCAGAAAGCTTCGACAAGACACTCTCAGTCCCCCCAACCAATATTCTTGGACTCTGACTAAGACTTCCCCTCGGCATGCCTGCAGGTGCCCTCGAGCCGTGCCTCCGCGGCTCGTCAATCTGGTGCACCATGGTCGGCCTGAGCTGGAGTGCGTTGTATGGACATTGATAAATATCACGGCGCCCACTTCTTCTGCTCCAATACTCCAACATTCATAGCCACTACATCTCTTGAAGCCTTCCAATAAGGGAACAAACATGGCAGACTCCAGCTTGACGATAGCTCAGCAGGAGTTCCGCAAATCGGTTCGCTTATTTGCCCGCGAGCACCTTTCTACCGCTCGAGACACTTACTCCCTAGCAACATCTGCGTCGCAATGGCAGGAACGCTTCCGGTCAACAAAGCCCATCTACCAAGCCGCTGTTGCTGCTGGACTGCTCAAAGCGCAGATCCCAGCACCTTTAGGTGGCACCTCGGCCGGTTTCGTTGACATGGCCCTCATGGTTGAGGAGCTGTACTCTGTCGACACTAGTGCTAGCTTGACCATCCTCGGTACCGGTCTCGGCCTCACACCCCTGATTTTTGGCGGCACTCCAGAGCTACAGAAGAAGTTCCTCGCTCCTTTTTTGTCGGGCGAGGGTGCACCACTGGCCAGCCTGGTCTTCTCAGAGCCATGGGGAAGCGCAAACTTCGCGGATGACTCTGGCGAGGGGTTCCGCACCACGGCGGTCGAGGATGGCGATCATTACATCTTGAATGGCGAGAAGGCAAGCAACATCGATGGATCTAAGATGGAAGCTAATGAAAGCAGATCTGGGCTACTAACTGCTCCGGCTGGGATGATCGCGGCGCTGACCTACACTGTGTCGTCTGCCGAATCCCGAGTTCTCCACGTGGCGTTCGCTCAGAAGTCGCACTGCTGCTTGTCACTCGCGACGACATCGCCGCCAACGAGCCCCAAGCCTACACCGTCATCGAGCATCCACCTACACTAGGCCACACGGCCGTCAACGGCGCTCACGTTCGCTTCACCGATCTTCGCGTCCCCAAAGCAAATCTGCTTGCTCCTCCCGGTGCTGGGGCCAGCATTGTCGAGGCCACATTCACCGGTTCGGGCGCCCTTGTCGGCGCCATGGCTGTTGGAATCATGCGTCAAACATTCGCGGCTGCACTGAATTGGGCGAAGACCGAGAAGCGCGGCAGCAACGAGTATATGATCGAGAAGCAATCCGTGGCTGATCTCCTGGTGCAGATCAAAACGCGCCTAGAGGCGTCACGGTCGTTGTGTCGACGAGCAGCCGCTGCTTTTCCGCATGCCAAGCTGGGTGCAGAGCTATGCTATCAGAGCAAGATCTTCTGTTCGGAAGCTGCAGTGGCAAGCGTGCAGGATGCCATCAATCTGGTCGGTGTTAGTGCCTACAGGAGAGATCTGCCGTTCGCGGGTCTGTTGGAAGATGCAATGGTGCTTCCGATCTTTGATGGAGGCAACGTAGGAGTCAGAAGGCGCCAGATCGAGGCCTTGATGAAGCAAGAGGACTATGATGGGTTGGAAGATTGAATGAGCCGCATCTTGGCTGGAGGAAGAGGGGGCTCGTGGGATAGGATCCACCTTCAGGCAGTGAACGCGCCAAGAAAGCTTGAGCTGACCAGCTTCAAGGCCAGGAGTGTGTCGACAGTCTTGAATATCTTCTCGGATCGAGTCGTTTCCCGCGCAACTCTTTAAGATGAAGTGACATGCAAATAACCATACATGCAGAAATTGCGAGTAAACATGACCGTCAGTCAACGTCACTCGCGCAGGGATGAGCCCCCAAAAGCAGCTGTTGAAAGCTCAGCTTCCCCGCAAAAGTTTCCCTGAACGATCTCTGGCTCCCTGGCTCGTGTTCCGTGAACATCCAATTGGATACGATGCCAGAAGCCACCAGCCGTCGTGATTGGAATCCTCAGATTTCACTGCAAGCAACGCAGCATGGCCCTGTCACTGACGATTGCGGGAAGGATGTGCATAACATCACGAGCCCGGCCCCTCCTTGGTGGCGCTACAAGAAAAAGGGCTGCGACTGCGCTTTCTGCGTTTTGGAACCTCAGAGTATACAATTAAGCTTGAGTGACGGCCCTTCCACGCCAAAGACCTTGTCTTCGACCCCTCAGCAACAATGGCAGCTCGCACACGCCCACTCACAAACCTCCTCACCGCCTTCCGCCCCTCGACCACCTCCACCTCCCTCCGCTGCCTCACCATCACCTTCCACAGCAACACCCGCCCCTTCCACCACTTCACCCCTCTCGCCTACCCGGCCGCCACCTCCCTCCCCAACTCCACCACCCAACAAACCACCGCCTCCACCCCTCCACCGCCGCCCCAAGGCACCTCGACACCCCTCGACACCCGCAACGCCGCCTTCCTCGGCGAATCCGACTCCAACGACCTGCACGAACTCAACCTCACCACCGACCCCCCACCCCAACCCGCCCTGGACGCCCAGCACGCCGCCTTTTTAGGCGAGGCGGACAGCGACGACGGCTTCGAAGCCCACAAGGACGCGCACGGAAAAGTCGAGGCCGTGGACGCGAGCCAGAGCGCGTTTCTGGGCGAGGCGGACAGCGACGATGGGTTCGAGAGCCATGTCGAGGTGTATCCCGAGAAGCATCGGCATGAGTTGGGCGAGGAGAGTGTGAGGGGGAGTGCGGTGCATGGGGAGAGTGGGGAGGGGGAGGGGAGGCTTTAATTTCTTTTTGAAGGAACGGTTGGGGAAGATGGCGAGGATGTTGTTTGTTGGATTGCATGAATGGATTTTTGGACTTGGATATAAAGGGAAGCGTCGATCTGAGGCTCGGCTAAGTCCATGGGGGGGGGCAGTCCGCAGTGCAGATACTTACGAGCCCTTCCCCTCGCGGAAATGTGAGGGCAGATAGCTACCGCTGGTGTGTTGTGAAAAGGCACTTCGGATGGACGTGTCCAGGTCTCTCGCAATGGATGTGCTTGCTCGCTTCAGCCGTCCGGGTCTCATTCCGTCCTCAATGTCCCTTGGACGTCGTGATATCGACTTTTCTTGCAGTGCAGGCGACGCCCGAAGCAATCTTCGCCATGCATTTCGCCGCCTGGCAGTCTTCCAGCTGCAGATGGCCATATGGTTTGATCAGAACGGAATCGATTTCCTACTCGATGCTCTCGCAGCTATCACATGTCGATTTCTGGTCGAAGCCGCTGATTTAGTGAGTGGGAAGGTCGATTCCGAGCTGCGGCGCACCCGGGCTAGCATCGAAAGTTTCGTGTGCATGGCTTTGTTGCAGTCCCGATCGAGCAATATGCTTAGACGACGATGTCTCACATAGCTGGCGATGGGTTTCTGGATCTAGGATCATCATATCTTCATTGGACTATCCGTGGAGCTATTTGCTCCCAATGTTGCGAAGGACAGTATATTCATCTTTGAGTAACTGCCTGATCAGGTTGTCGTCTGCATAGCGGTCGATTATGCCACCGTCGCCCGTCGGGCTGGCTGTAGCCTTAATCAACTTCGAGGCCTGTGGATCACAGCGTTGCTGGGTCTTCATTGTAAAGTCGATTATCGGATAAGACGATTTGGTGGGCATTCCGTGGTGATATATCCATTGGCAAATCAGTGCAGACCACAAACAGCTGATGCAAATCACCTGCAGAATGCAGAAAGTGATGAACATGCCCCTGTCTGTGTTAGTCATGGAAGAATCGATATTTGGCAACGATGGGAGGGTATTCTATACCTATCAATCGAAATCTTACTCATTGGTTTCTCCACCGTCGCAAATGTGTAAAACTCTGCTGGTAGTGAAGTGACCATTGTATCCGACTGGAGCCGAACGTTGCCGTAGTTGTTCTCGTTGAAGTGCCAGAAGGGGAACGCCAGTAGACTCTGAAACATCTGGTATGCTTCCATGGACCAATAATCATTGTCAAGCTGATCCTGCATCGACCAGAAGTACTGTGTGACCGAGGAAGGCATCGGGATCCCCTCGGCGGTAGAGTTGAAGAGCCAGGAAAATGCCAATTTCAGCGCATCGACAGAGACATTATCCTGATGAACCGGTGCAGAGACATCTCGTATTGCGGTCATTGTCATGTGATCACGCGCGGATGTGACTGTGGCGTGGCGCTGATATGCTGTGAAAGTTGTGAGAAGTTTCGGCGGATTTGTTTTCGTAACACATTCACCGTGCTCCGCTCCTTGCGTGCAAACGAATAAACCTGGATCACGTAAGCTCTCAACGACGAAAATTTGAGCTCTATACATACCTGCGGCCAATGAGTTCGGTTTGCTTTTGCTTTTGGCCAGGCAGAATTGCATGCCCACCAGAAACCCCTGGGAGCCAAAGGCTAGGCAGTCTTGAGCAACGTCAAAGGATTGGTCTTGCTCCTGATCACGTTCAAAATCGATTTGCGTGGCAGGCGCACTATGTATAGTGATAAGAGGGTGGTCTGCATGGTCCGTTGGCGGCCACGGCGTAGACATTGCAAGTCCACCAGGGAGGAGATACGAATCGCACCCTAGGGTTTTGTTGCAAGTGACGGGCGGTGTCTTCAATGAATGTCTTGGGTTGATCGTTAGCTGAGAGGAAGTTCTGATGATCGAATATGGTAATATTGTCTGATTGTACCCTGCGTTCGTCTCCTGGAGTTGTTGCAAGAACTCGGAAACATATGCACCTTTGAAACTTCCAATGCCTGCGGTGACATTGTAAGATGAGATCGACTGATTGACGACCACAATCTCGGTCTTGGCGAATAGTACGACTCCTGAGAGCCAAGTAGCAGCTAGGAGGCCAAGTTTTACCGCGATCAATGCCTTATCGGAAGTGCTGGTATGATGGCTGAAGAGCAAACCGAGAGTGCCCCATAGACCAGTTACAGACGAGAAGCCAAGCAGACGAAGGGTTCTTATGCCCGTGTCGCGCTTGGTGAGTATCCATGTGAGTATGTCGAAACTGTTGAGCAGCAGGGCCAGGGATGCTGTGGTCAGAAGGCTTTGGAGGACTTGGAGGATCGCCAGTGTGTCCGAAATTCCAAGCAAACCGAGCGCGCCCCAGATTCCCGTCCTAGGTTTTGAGCATTAGTTGCGTCTGCTGCAATGAGGCGAAGACGTACTGTGAAGAGGTTGCGGAGTGAAATGCAAAGGTAGCCTGAGAAAACCATGCTGTGACGACGAAGAGTGCGGTCACAGAGATCACACTACACGTGTCAAGCTTCGTGTTCGACACAGCTGCCCGGTAACCTGGAGTGTCGAACCCTGACAGTATTCTGTTTCCGAATTGGCGCAGCGTAACCAACAGGCCAACCCGCTTCACTGGGCTGTTTGGCATGACTTGATTAGTGTGCCAGTGATCTAAAAGAAGTGTACTGGATCATCGACGACATTGAGACGTTGAGATAGACAGCTGAAGTATGTCCTTGATGGAAGCTTTGGTGACAGTGATTAAGTGAGGCTATAGGGCATGAAGGACGAACGAACTTCAGTCGTGCTGATATATGAATGTTCTCTAGATGACTCAGGACATCAATTTGTTCGTTGATCCTTCGCAGCGGCTCCCAATACATGTACGACATGCATGATGAACGGTATCATGGCCGGGGTCCCCTGTCACAGGGGTCAAGGTTAGCGCAAATCGGCGAGCTGTCTCGGGGTGGCCCCTGTAAAACCTAATCCGAAATACAGGGGTTGAACATGGCAGGAAGTTCTTATGGCAAACGCATACAAAAAATCCTCTCTCCACCTCAACAACATATCGCCGCTGATCTGCAAGCCTGGAGACCGGCTACTAGATTGCCTGCCGGACCAGCGACGACACCAGATAAAGCCATGATATCGCTACATGACTTCCCTTTGTGGTGTTTTGGTATCCCTGCCGCCTACTGTACGCCCCTGTCGTCATAGCCTTGCGTAGCCTTGTGTGGCGATGGCCACGACTACGGTAACTTTCAACAAGCGCCCTGGGTGAGAACATGATCTACAGAATACAATGTGCGTAATTCACCGCAGGATAAGTCTCGCGGCTATGTTTCCGAAAGGGTTTAAACGGCCCGTGGGGGCTTTGAGAAGAAGCTGTCCGGAGAAGGCTCGCAAATTGGGTGTGAAGTCCCGAACTACTCTTTGCGGTAAGGTGTAAGGCAAACCCGAAATTATATCGCCTAGAAGAGTCGATGATTGTGACAGACCCTCCGTGCTGGGGGCCGACTTTGCCATAACAGGGAATATCTTGAGACGGACGCGAACACGAATTACTAGAATTTCTTAACCTCGGGCACGCGCAGATCATTCCAGGTTACGAAGTAGCACAGTAGACTAATCCCGAGCATTCCTGCTGACCAAATCCGCGATACCCTGGTCCACTGCAGCGTATATCAGGCCACGACGCTAGCAAAAGTACTCGTAGGCCGGGTACAAACCGGTGAATAAGGGGTTGAATAACCACGACTTTTTCGAGCATATGAGCTGCCATCAACGCTCGACATAGAACTCAGATCTAACCATAAAGCTGCACATGGTTGAGGAGTTTTGCACTTCTGGACAACGTATACGCTTCCTGCACTCTCAGTCGACTTATATCAGCCTGATCCTATATTTCCAACATACTCCAATATGGTCGATGATACGTGCGCGGCTTCCTGCCGGCTCTCTGGTCTCCCAAGCGGCTACATAGCGGGCTGGGCACCTATTTCAGTCAGTACCACTCTCACACATGCCACTATAATCGAAATCATCAACACCGACCTCGGTACAACGAAGACATCCACGATATACGATGACGAGGTTCCTTTACCCACGAATATCAACAATGACGGCTTTCGCACGCAAAAGGTGTCCTATACCAGGGATGGGAAAGCGATGACTACAGACATGTGAGTCCTATCCTAAGATTTCTAGGGTCTATCAGGGGCATACGCTAATGAGGTCTACTGACAGTGCGTTTCCCACATCATTCCAAGTCATCCCACAGCAATGGGTTTGGAGCGGCATTCTCTCCACGCTCAACGACGACGGCGAGTCCACCTGCGTCACGACATCAGGTGCAACCTTCTCGCACGACTACTACTCTCAGCCAACTGCTTTCACCGTACCTTCGAGGGCTGATGGATTAGACGATCCGCAGGGTTGGTTATGGCAGCCACAGCGCCTGGGAGCGGATAGGCCTGATAGGGATGCAACAGACCAGGACGCCCTAGTGTCTTGCGCAGCAACGGCTAACGCGCCTGTCGAGCCCGCATACGCAGCTGCGTACGTGACAGCGACAACGACTTCATATGAGAGTGGTTCATCCGCAACCGCAACCACAGCCACGGGGGACGATGACAGCTCGTTTTCGGTGCTGGCCACAGCAGCATCCAAGCCGACTACCAGCTCTGCAAGTTTGAAGGCGGCAAACGAGCCCACGGCTGTATCATCTTCATCGACGTCACCACCGACATCAACGACGAACAAAGCATCGCCGCGGACGACCCTGAAACTGCAGCTGCTACTGCTCAGTGTAGCAGCATTTGGATGGCTATGTTAGCACAGCTCCGGGAAGGATGAAGAAACAGTGGGACAAGATAGTCCCGCTGGATTTGACCCAGTGGTGTTGATACTCTGCCCAGACTTTGCGGCATTGCATTACACAAGCCAGATTCATATCGATGTCAGAGTCATCTGGCACCCCAAGTCAAGACATTCCTCTACGCACATCTCAAAAGAGCATCTGCCATCTAGTCAATGTATTCTTGCTGATTTTATCCTACGGTCATACCGGTCTAGCGCGTTCATTTTGCCTGCCTCGTTCTCGATCTTCAACAAACCACTCGCGAAGCTAGTGGCGTATTGTCGCAATATATATCCCAGAATCAGACTCCGGACCCCAAAGTCAACATCGAGGATCACCAATCTACCATGGCAGCGCTTGCGGAGAGATCGGCTTCGGGGATGCCGTACACGCTAGATATATGCTGTATGATCTCGCCTTGCGAAAACCTGTCCAGGATTTCGAAAACTTCAGCCGCTCTACGCCACCCAGTGATGTAGGAAGGCATATTTTCTTGCACGTGGTGGAAAGCTTTGAGCTGAAAGTGTCTGGTGCGTGGGGTATCAAGGGCTCGGATAGTGATACAGTCTTGCTCGAAGGGATGGTGATGGTCGACAGGAAGAGATGAGATAACGATATATATAACAGACTGTATGCGAACGCTCAAGGCACAGTCTCATTACTTTGTCTGTATTGCCCCGACTGTCTCGTGGATAGAGGCAGCAGGTGATGCTGCGTGACGCCGGCTGGACAGGACCCCTCTGGGACAACCCTTGTGATACTCGCATGTCTGCTTGGAGGATGTCACGGACAGGCCATGACTGCACTAGTACCGTGATACCAGGCACGTCTTGCGTCACTAACAAGGAATCCATAAAGCCAGTCGCATTGCGGCTTATTCGATGGAGGCTGCATTGTAGGTGACGAGGATGATGTGTGGAGAATGTGCTCGACGAGCCATGCATTGGGAGATGTTACATTGTATGCCGAAGACAGACCATCGACTAGATATTGACGACTCTAATGTATCGCTTTGCGGTCTCGCGCGATCGGTTTGTGTTTGAGCAATCACATTTCCCCATTGACGAAAGAGAAGTTTGGGCCTACGAATAGGACCCCTCTCTTCGTGTTGCAAGTAGTGACAAGCAAGATGCTATGTGTTCTTAGTAACTGTTTGCCAATAGGTATGGATATTTCCATCTGCAAGCTTCCAGGGAACGCCTCTGTGCCAAGTGGATCGAGGAGTCCCAAATGTTATACGTTTGTCAACGCTTCTGGCCAGGACGAGGCGGGGTATCGGGCACAGCTTCAGGCTCAAGATCCGTCAGGGTGATTGGCTGGTGGTGATCTTCGTCCTCGTCCTCAGAGCTCGTGGGTGTTAGAGGCTCCGCATTGCGCTTGGGTAATGGTGGCGCCCTCTCCTCATGCATTGGAACTGGTTTGCGTTTAGGTACCTCAGACTCTGGAACAGGGAGCTCAATGGGTGCTGGTTCAGGCTTCTGTTGCTTTTCTGCCGGTGGTTCATCCAAGGTCAAGCCCTGTAGATCGCGCATAGAAGCAGGGATGTCTCCGGTCTTGGCGGAACCATTGTCCAGGTCAGCAGCATCAGACATCTTGAGCTGACCATTCTCGTCTTCCTCGCCTTGTAGGCGTCCATTGCGTTTCGCCTCTTCGTAGATCGCCTGCTCTTTGATCTTCTCTGCTTCTAGTTCCTGTTCTTCGTCCTCAACACGGGAGAGGTCCAGATCGGTATATCTGATCTCTCTGAGGATTTTGCCGACAGCAAGGCGATACTGATTGTGACCGGTTACGGTCTCACTGACATCCACCGATTCGACGCCAGGCACACCATTGATTGCCTGTAGACCACTGACACCCAGTTGAGCGTTGCGTGCGCGGTAGAGGAACCCAAGCAGGTAGTCTTTTGAGGCGTAGACATTGAGTAACCGACCGACCACCATGGCCCTCATCGTTCGCCAGGTGCTCATATCACTGGGGACCGGCGCTCCAATTAGGATAGCACTTTCGACCAAGCCGAATGCTTTATGAACTGCAAGTTCCTGCAAGCATGCGTAGACGACTCTTCCCCCCAACGAGAAGCCAATTAGCGTGACTGGACGCTCACCCTGAGCTTTAGCGATCAAGGCGTGCGCAAGCACTTTTCCGGCCTTGTCGCTTCGCTCCATGGCAATTGTGAAGGGGTTGTCGAGGAATTTACCCGCTTTCATAAGAGTGACAGGTAGCATAGCAGCAGAAAGGACGGGTAGCAATAACTTCAAAGCACCGGCTTGAGCAACTGAGTATGCAGTGTCTTTCAGAAGTGTGTCGAGCATCGCGGTCAGACTCGTCATGGCGCCCAACTCGTAACGAAGACCGAAAGGTTCGAGGGCAGCATCCGAGAAGACCTTCCACGGCTGGATAACATCATGCTCTTCCTGAATCCAGCCGGCAACCCCTATAGCCACACGTAGCTTGTGTTGCTCCTCCTTACCGTCGGGCTTGGTCTTGGTAGGTACGAAGCGAAAGTCCTCGACTTCCCTGGCATACTCTTCCATGGCCTTACCAGTCATTCGACCACCCAGAGCGCCGAAAAGAGCTGCAATGGTGAGAGGATTTGCGATAGTCGCGCCCAGGAGTGTTGCGAGACCACCGAGGCCGACTCCACCCATGATAGCTCCAGCAGCACCAAGCAGAAGGGGTGCGGCTAGACCGCCGGTAATACCTATGGCGACGGCGCCGGCTACTGTTGCCAGACCGATCTTCCACTTTCGTCCCTGGCGATTTTTCTCGGCTTGTGCTAGCCGGGCTTCATCGGTCTGGACGGAAGTGTCGACGCCTGAGGACTCTGCTGACTTGAGCAGGGTCAATGCTGTAGTCGCTTCGGCACTGCTCAAGACGTCCACGGGAAGGTCAAAGCATTCGCACAGGAACAAAAGCAGTACCCGAGAATGCGCAGGGTAGTTCTCTAGACTCAGCAGAATGAACAGGACGGCACCCACCACAAGGGCTCGTTTTGAATCGTCAAGCTCCTGCATAAGCAGGGACGGAGGCTGAACAGGCCTGAATGGTAACCAGGTGTCTCGACTACCACCGTCAAGCATGGTTGTGTTTGTAGTTCGAGTCTCTGCCAGATATGCGTCCTTGCGGTGTTTGACGTCGCCAGACTGCACGCCAAGGGCCTCACCAGTCTTTCGCAGAACATCAGTTCGCCAGTTGTTCAGATAGGCCACGCCAGCATCTTGCACAACAGTTTCAGCTGCGCGATTGCCCCAGAGATCATCGCGATTCAGGGCGGACGTATACTCCGACTTATTCTGATCTTTGTTTCTCTCGAAGGTTGCGTTCAGCCCGTTACGCATGGCCTCGGTGCAGAGGGCTATGAGGACGACAAGCTCAACGCGGAGGGCTTTAGTGGGAAGGACATCGTCAAGCGATGGCTCCTTGGGCTTGTTAGCAGGCTCGCCGCCGGAGCCAAACGGCAGCTTCGATGGCAATTTCGACGGTAGTTTGAAAGGCATGTTTGCTGTAGTCAGTGAGACAGGAGCAGCGTCCAGCAGCAGACGATAGCTCAGGCCAGCTCAAGTCTCACCGCTCGCGTGCTACTTTCTCCGCTCCGGGAGCGGCAGGTTGACACGTTGGCAACTCCCCGGACTACACCATAGATTTATGATCCCATTGACGAATAGAGACGCCTTGCATCGCGCAGCGGATATGCTCAAAGCGGGAAGCAAAAGCTCAATTTCTGTGATCCGAACCGATCCAGAGGTCTGAATGCGCAGCCATGGTGCTTGCAACGCGCCAGAAGCGCGTCATACCGCACACTTGGCGCCAAGAGAATATCGAGCACAAGAGTGCTCACGGCAGTCCGCCTCGAGTGAAGGAAATCCATGGTCTACAAGTACGTACCTGGGGGGTACTATTGCACGACAAGCTGATCTAAGATCTTGCGCGCCAATCATGAATATATGGTCTCCATATCTCATCAAAGTCACGAGTAGGGCGCGTTCAACCTGTCGCTAGCTCAACCATACCCTGTAATACTTTCGTACCAACTTTGATCCAAATCAAAGTCCAACACCGAATCCGCAAAACCTCGATCGAACAAGGGAAGTTCTGCTGGCCAGGCCAGATCTTCTGCGAATGGCAGACCTTCTGGTGTTGACGGTGCCACGTTATCTGTTGCAGCTGATGCCTTCTCAATGTCCATCCGTTCGGGTGAAGTAGACGACGTGTCTTGTGGGTTATCCAGTATAGACTCGAGAAGGCCAGCTCCTTTGATGCGCATCAGGCAGATACCTGGCAAATTGTGAACGGAGCCTTTGACAGTTGGGTCCGAAGATCCCGTGTCCATCTTCAATGCTTTGACAAGCCTTCTCAGTAGAGGTACAACCGTGGGATGTGTGGTTCGTGAATCGATGAGTGCTAGAACGAGCGCGCATGTCACCGTAGCCTGTGTCATTGACCATAACCTCAGCGCTATGTTGCTGAATGCACAGATTTCGAGGAATGCCTCGATATTTGCTATCAAAGCATTGAATCCTCTTCTTCGCAGTTCTTTTTGTATCTTGTTGGCGTCAATGGCAGCGATGGAAAACATTGGGCGGCAAAGATCTGCCAAGAACAGCGAGTGGTGCAACTGTAGGGCATTCTGCTCGAGGCGTTGCTGCATTGTTCGTGGTCGCGCCCCGACTTGCAGGTGTGCACTGCAGCGGCCTAGCAGCTCATCCAAGTCCCGAACAATGCTCGAGACGTATTTCGGGTCCGAGCGACACGACTGCGGCTGTCGAAGAACGCCGCTGTCAAGCGCACATATAGTCTTCATTGCCTGGAAGTATGACAGATCGTAGCGGCCGCTCAGCTCTTTGGTGCCCGATCCATGGGATAATGGGCTGCGATCATAGCGACACGACAAGAACGCGTCCTGCCAGACGATAAGGCCCCAAAGCGTGGCCCCGGCACCCTCATCAGGACTGAGAAGATGCAAGCCTAGCGTCTGGGCCAGACGAAAGTTGAGCCCAAGAAGAGCCCAGGCGCCATCGGACTGTCCGACATTCTGTAACGCCATGCCAACCATCAGTAGAGCCTGCACGGCTTCCAGACTGGGTCGAAAGATGTAGTTGGCTTGCTGGGCATATGCGTTTGACCTGTGAATAAGATCCAGGGAGATCTGGCGGCGGGACTTTTGATGGCCAAGCTCCGCGAACTGTGCACCGAGAGCGAGTGAAGCTACTACCACAGCCACCTGCTCCGGCTTAAGCCCTACAGGATCCTTCAGAGCCTTGTACATGGTTGATTCGAAAAGCACAACGTCATAAACAATGGGATAAAGTGGCATGATACAGTCACGGAATGCTGGATAGTACTGCAACACTTCTTCGCGGCTGGGAGGCAGCAAGCTGCCCTGGAATGCGGCACCCAGAGGCGCCAAAGAAGGGCCCTGAAGATCTGTGTTTCCCAGCCCCATGCTCGGATGTATGTCTTCATCAAGCACTTTGTGTGCGCTACTGAGCCTTCCGCGGATGAAGTTCATGGCGGAGAACTTGCCTACACGAGGCTCGGAGGGCGACAGAGTGGTTGCGGGTTGCAGCTCTGTTAAACCAGCTGGCGTCGAGTTGAGTGTCTGGCCTTGCTCCCCCAGCCTGTCGGTCTCTGCGGCAGACCTGGACCCAGTCTCATGAGCGGATAACGGGACGGCAGCTGCGAGCTTGCTGCGCCGGTGTTGATCACCATCAAGACAGATCTCGGGATGGCCTCTTGCCGTGCATGGTCCGCAAGGCCGGCCACCTTTGCAACGGACCTTGCGCTTCGAACATGGGTAGCAGGCTGGGGTAGGCCGCCGCTTGCGAAAGCTCTGAAGAACTTCATCGGCGTGTTCTTTGCTTGCCGTCATTTAGCGTGTCTGAGCCTAACCGCGGCACGAGAGTCTCCTCGGCAATGGTCGAGCAATGGGGAAGTTCGACGTAGTGATTGCCTTACGCCAAGCATGTCTTCACACAGGGGAACCAAAACAGGACCGACGTCATGAGTCTATTTCTTTCCCTGTAGGCATCGCGCGAACGATTCGTGCTCGCTGACAGATCGTAGTGGAGTTAGCACTGATACTGTGTCAAGGTAGAGATCAGAGTTGTTATGGTGAGCGTTACGGACAGCGGTACCCGTCACCAGCCAGACCAATCAGCAGCCGCGGCGGAAGGACCGTCGCCCGTGAACCGACTGCCGAATGCCGAGTATCAACCTCCTTGTTTACCTAGGCATGAATTGTACCCGCCTTCCCCCATTCAATACGTGCTCAAGCTACAATGGTGCGCGTATTCCAAATCCGAAAACTTGCTATGCTGATAAATCTTCCCAGAACCAGTAGCACATCCGCGCAAATGCGCACATAAAGTTCGTTCAGGAGGCATTCCAAGAGTATGCTGTATCAATATGAACAAAGTTTGAGAACTAGTCAGACTGCGCTTCATATATCGAATAATGTCGTCGGCTGCGCAAGAAGACAAAGAAGAACGCGACAAGCTGCCAGAGCCAACCGCCGACCCAGCACCCGATGGCGGCTTAACTGCATGGCTCCAAGTATTCGGGTCTTTTTGGGCATGGTTCAACACGTTCGGCCTCACGAATGCCTTTGGCGAATTCCAGACGTACTACTCACAGACACGGTTTTCAGGCGAGTCTCCTGCGCTGATATCACTGATTGGTTCTATTCAACCTTTCGTCCTCATCCTTTTCGGCTTCCTTGCTGGGCCTCTGTGGGATGCAGGCTACTGTCGGACGCTCGTCATCGCCGGGACTGCCATAACTGCCTTTGGGTACTTCATGGTCAGTATTTGTGATGCATACTGGCAGGTTATGCTCGCACAGGGTGTCTTGATCGGCTTCGGTTCTGCCTTCTTGTATCTGCCTGCGATCGCCGTCATCCCGCAGTACTTCAACCGTCGCAAAGCGTTGGCGAATGGCATCGCTGCCAGCGGGGGTGCATTCGGGGGGGTCATTTATCCGATTGTATTCCGAAATCTTCTGCGAAACCTGTCTTTCGGGTGGTCTGTACGTGTCCTGGCTTTCATCGTCATTGGGACTGGTATTATTCCTGTCTTGATCATCCGAGCTCGCATTCGACCAACGACGAGACGTCCCCCCAAGCTCGATGTCAAGCCTTTCATCACCGAGCCCGCATACGGACTCTATACTCTAGCCCTCTTCTTCTGCCTCGCCGCGCAGTACACGCCTATCTTCTTTATCCAGGACTATGGAAAAGCAAAAAAGATCATGTCCGAGAGCCTTGCCGCATACCTCCTTCCTATTCTCAATGCCTGGTCAATCCTCGGTCGTATCGCTCCGAACATCGTGGCCGATCGTACGGGAGGCATCAACGTCCTTGTCCCTTGCATGGCAGTCGCCACTATTCTCACCTTCTCCTGGATCGGCATTACTAGTACGGCTGGCTGCATCGTCTTTGTTAGCCTTTATGGTTTCTTCATTGGCTGCATCCTATCCATGCCCGCCTTTGTCATCTCCTCACTGTGTCCTGACCCGAAGGTGGCGGGCACACGAATGGGGAATGCTTTTGCGGTTTCAAGCTTCGGCTTGCTGCTGGGTCCGCCAGTGGCGGCGGCGATTGTACAGAGTGGAAGCTGGCTAGGAACTCAGCTCTTCGCTGGGAGCCTGCTGGTTCTAGCAACAAGTGCATTACTGGTTGTGAGGGTGCATGTTGCGGGTTGGACGCTGCATCGCAAGGTCTGAGGTAGCGCAAATCGCGCAACGTCCACAATGATGACCATTGGAGAGGATTACCTTACCTCGGATTGCAAAACCTCTCTGCAATGACTATGCTCCTATCTTCTATAACTTGCTCCGATCAACCGAGGACGCGTGTTTAATCTTGGACAGTTCAGTCTCAACGCCTTTTGAAATGCTTGAAAAGTCGTCCGCAACCGAGATCTAGATGTAAATTAGATCCTTTTGGTCTGAAGCGCAATGAAGGGGTACGAACCATCTGGAAACCCATATTCGCGTACTTCATGGCCATATCTCCATCCGCACAGAAGATGCCAGACTTCTTTCCAGCTTGCTGTGCAGCCTTCAATATCCGAGCAATAGCTTGTTCTAGTTCTGGAGCGTAGTTTTCTCGGATGGGGTGGCCAATGCTGTTGCCGAGGTCGAATGGTCCCACAAAGACCACGTCAATACCGTCAACCTTCGCGATATCTTCCACCTGTATCCCATGTCAGCATAGGCCCTATGGGGCACCATCGTTAGGTTTCCTACGCAGTCCAGCGCTTCCTGCGTCTCAATCTGGACGATCGTCAAGAGGCTGTCGTTTGCAGTCGTCAAATAGTCCCAATCACTGAGTGGAGGCTTTGTGTTGAAGGCGCCAACCGAGAAGGGACTGCCAAAACCTCGCTTTCCTCGAGGTGGAAATTTAGCACTTTGCACCACTTTCTTTGCATCGTCGACCGAGTGCAACATTGGGACAAGGATGCCATGTGCTCCCGCATCAAGAGCCCGCTTCACCATCCATCCCTGGTTTTCAGGAATGCGAACAATGGGGCTCGCGCCGCATGATGCAACGGCATGAACCGCGTCGTGCATCTCGTTATCTAACACCACGTCAGAGAGGACATAACAGCAACGACTAGAAACGTACCACCAATGTTGCCATGTTCGCAATCTATCAAGACCCAGTCGACACCAGTTCGAGATAGAGTCCTTGCCAGATGCGCACCAGCGAATGTCTGCCAAGCACCAAATGAATGCCCTTGGTCCGTATTGAGCTTCCGCAGAAGAGTATTGGCTTTCTGCATATCGAGATATCGCGATGCCTGTCGTTCTCTAGATACAGCACGAAGGTCAAGGTTGTGATCTACGACGGTGTTTTCTAATGGCACCCAACTTGTGACTAGTTCCTGTGATCTCTGTCTACCATGGATAACATACCCGACTCCCAGAACGTCGGGAAGACCGTGCCTCAAGGTATATTGGCGCCAAACAGACCTATACCTAAGAGAGCAGGCCGGGAGAGAAATTGAGCCTCGAGACTAGTCCTAGATACATTTAGAGCGTTACCCCACGCTAGTGACCCTAGTGGTTGCGCGCTGAACTCCGAACCAGGCTCCATACCGAATGAGGCAGCCAAGCAGAGAAAAGGCGTCCAATGGAAAAATGGTTTAGGTGGAGCTTCGGATTAAACCAACAAGTTACCTGCCTGTACAATGCCGTCCAATGCGTCCCGACATGGACTCCACGAGTCCTAGGTCGTGCCACTTGGAGCAGAGTACCTCCCAAATTGCTACGGGTCTATTTGACAAACAGTGGTGAGTGAGTGAACGATTGATTGAATACGACTCTGCAGCGGAAAATATGCCTACCTGTGCCATGGAATATACGTGCCATAGCACCACCCTTGGGCCTTCAATACGTCTTCAGTGTCTTGTGTATTTGGAAACCCATCTGCAATCTACCGCGTTGACCGGAACATTCTCAGCAAGTCCGACGTTATCTTCGCCTTGAATATCTCCCCGAAGTCCAGAGACAGCAAACCGGGAACATGGGCTCAACGACGCCGACCTACACCATCGTGCAAGCCGATGGGCTCTATCCTGTACGAACACCTTGATGATAATGATCAACCGAGGCCACTCGCAGAACTGACCAACCCGAACCAGGACGATGTAGTTGAACAGGAGATCTTCAAGCCCAAGGATGGCGAGCAGCACATCATCAACTACAAGCAGACTTTCCTCTCTCCGCCAGGTATGGCGGACCAGAAACCCTGGTCTGACATGGACAAGGCTCTTAGGCAGCAAGTGGACGGAATCATGGTGCTCAAGATGACGTTCACGGCTGGGGATCTGGCGCTGTTTCCACGGTTGAAGGTGTACGTCGATGAGACAACGAAATCCTCGCCAGTTCACTGAGATCACAACAGAATCTGCCGCATGGGCGTAGGCTACGACCTCCTCGACCGAGAGGCCTTGGCGAGCCGCGGCGTGGTCGTATGCAACATCCCAGGTAAGCCTCCCCTTACGTGCCAACATAGCCAGACCTCCCCAATACACCTAACCACATCATCCACCAGACTACGGCACCGAAGAGATCGCCGACCACGCCATCGCGCTCGCACTCTCCCTCCGCCGCGGCATCATCGACCACCACGAGAAGCAACGCCACAACCCCCCGGCCCCCTGGCTCTACATCGACTCCCCCCTCGTCCGCCGCCTGCGCGACAGCACCTTCGGCATCTTGGGCTTCGGCCGCATCGGCATGGCCGCCGCCGTGCGCGCCAAAGCCTTCGGCTTCAAAGTCCTCTTCTACGACCCCTACGTGGCCAACGGCGTCGAGAAATCCATGGGCGTCGAGCGCACGCGCGACATCACCGATCTGTTTGCGCGCAGCACCACGCTGAGCGTGCACTGCCCGAGCACGCGCGAGACGAGGATGATGGTGGGGTACGACCTGTTGCGACTGATGCCCAAGGGCTCGACATTCGTGAATACGGCAAGGGGAGATATCGTGGATCTCGACGGGTTGGAGAGGGCGATGCGTGAGGATATCATCAGCGGCGCGGGATTGGATGTCGTGCCGCTGGAGCCGATTCCGGACGATAACGTGCACTCGCTGATTCGGGCGTATCGGAGGAAGGAGGAATGGCTGGAGGGTCGGCTGGTGATAACGCCGCACACGGCGTTTTATAGTCCGGAGGCGTATGATGAAATCAGAGTCAAGAGCGCCGAATGTATGCGGCGGGTGCTGATTGGTGGGGTACGGGGGTTGAGTGGGAATGAGATAACACCGGATATGGAGTGATGGAGGAATTGATGATGCTCGATTTGTGGCTCATTGCTGTTTTCGGACGCCTACACATATGCTGCAACTGAGTGCAACACGTATAGATGCAAGATGAATTCAGAACGCATTAGCAATGGCTCGAGCTACAACAAATGCGTACTCTGTTCTGGAAGTTGTCTATAAAGACCGATTGCTTCACTTAGTGACAGGGACCCGAAACCACTTAGAACCGGCATTTGAAAAATGTCTTAGGATGGATCATCTGCCGGAGGGAGTCTTAAGAGATCGGTCTACCATTCTACCAGCATTTCTCCCAACCTCTCCTGAAGACATTCATCTGAGCAAGTCTCTTCTTCTCGTTCTCCTCGATCCCACCATCTTCCCACTGTTTGCATTCGAAATCAATCTCCAATTTGCCCGAGTACAGATCCGCATCCTCTGGTCGCACAAACCTGGTGCGCTTGTAGTATTTGTAGCCGAAATAAACGATCACGGCGAATGGGATGCCGAAGTACGAGGTGATGAAGCCCTGGGTGTCCCAGGGGACAAAGCAATCAAAACCGAGGAAGATCATTATCACACAGCCAAGGAAGATGGCGACGTAGGCTCTGGTTAGGCCGTACGGGACTTTGAAAGGTAGTGTGTTGCGGTCCAGGCCCTGGGCTTTGCATGCTTTGTACCAGAACACGAATGTGACGATGTAGCCGGTGTACACTAGCAAGTATGTGATGGTGGTGAGATTGACAAACCCTAGGTGGCGTGTCAGTGTTGAAATGAAATACCGTAGGGAGGAGAACTTACACCAAAAGACGGTCACAGCTGACTCTGAGGCAACCATGAAGGTGACGCAACTGATCAGGCTGACGATTGTGACGCAGTGGACCGGCACTCCAGACTTGGTGCACTTCATGAATATCTTTGGTGCCTGGCCATCACGGGCCAGAGAGTAGAGGCAGCGACTGGTTGAGTAGAGGAACGCATTGCCGGCAGACCAGCCAGAAAGTAGGATGACGACGTTGATGATGGTCGGAAGTGTGTCAATGCCAAGGTTCTGGATACCGATAACCCAAGGCGACGCGGCAGCACCACTAGCACCACTCTCAATGGCTCCCAGGAGTCGGTTGTCCCTGGATTCGCAGAGGATACCGACTGCGAAAGCACCAATGACGTAGAATACCAGTAACCGGACGAAGACAAGCTTCGCGACCCTGGGAATGGAGCGTCGCGGGTTCTGGATCTCACCGGAGGCGAGAGCGATCAGGTCCGGTCCCCCGATTGTGAAAGCTGCGTATCTCAGCACAGCGAACCAGCCAAGGAACCGGCCTGCGCTGCCTGTGGTGTAGTATGCGTGCATGGCATTGCCGTCCGTCCAGTAGCGGAACCCGTAAGCATCGTTCCGTGGGTTTCCTCCAACCATGGTGATGAAAGTAAGCATGATCAAGCCGATGATCATGAGGACCTTGGTTGACGCAAAGAAGAATTCGGACTCGCCGTACCATCTGCAACAGTCAGAAGATTCTATGCGACGTGAGATTCCTGAAATGGACTTACCGAACAGCCACCACATTCAAAAGATAGCACGACACCAGCGACATAGCGATCCAGACGGCAGGATTGACATCGATGTTCCAGTACCCCATAACAGCAGCAACAGCGGCATATTCGACACACAGCACCATGCACCCAGCGAAGAAGTAGATCCACCCCAACGCAAACCCAAATGCCGGGTCAACATATCGACCCGCCAACTCATAAATGCAGCCTCGAACGGGCAAGAACGCCAACATCTCGCCAACACACAGTGTAAGGGGCCACGTGAAGAGCAGCGCATAGGTGAGATAGCCCAACAGGAGATTCGCCGGGCCCGCCCTGCTGAGCACACCGCCAATACCGACGAACAGACCAGTGCCAATGCCGGAACCGATAGCCATCAATTGCGCCTGTCGCGGGGAGAGACCACGGCGGGTCTGGCCGAGGCGAGCCCATTCTTCCTCGGAGAGCTGTCGTTCGGAAAAGTTGGTATGGCCGACTTTGTTGGGTATGTCGAATCGTTCACCCTCTTGAGGTTCGTTGCTGGGCACGGGGTGAACGGCTTCGTCGGCCATGCTCTGCTTGCGAGCGTCGGAATCGACACCCATTGTGTTTAGTTCGACAACAGGTCAGGTGTAAGGACTGTTGATGCTGGTGCAGTAGCGCAAGCAATAAATAGAGGGTTCATGGAGGGTGGACCGTCGGATTTATAGATCTGGGGTGAAACGGTCTGCTCGGCGAGCCGGGCAAAGATAGCGCTTCTGTCTGGCCCCGGGCCCGTAGTTGTAGAGTACCCTACATACTCCGATGTCTCCGCATCTCCTGGGCACAGCGCTATTTGCACGAGTGGAGGACCAGGGACTTGGTGTACTCCGTATCTCTGGTGGGGTGAGGTGCGGCAGGTCTAGGCGTGGATTTGGCTAATACCTCGTCAGATCCTGCCGGCTTCGGAGTTCCCCGACATCTTCCATGTATCTGGGTATTCAATTAATGGATTTTCCTAGAGTGTACCATAAGGAATTGCAAAGCTCACCTGCGCATCACATGATGCTCCTCGACCTCTGTTCATCGTCCGCAGATATGCCAGGCGATCTGTCTTTGAGATTGAAGCCTAGTCTACAGGACGAAAATGTTTTGAGCAATTTCGAGGCTTTGTGCAGTTCGACCAACTGAAACAAGCTGTCAACAGACCCACGTTAAGGATCGGTGGGATAAGTGCGCTGAGGCTCGAGACCCGTTTCGTCGACATAGTTGTTCGCTTTTGGGTACCACGTGCTGTTGGGAACTCTAGGCATAGAATAGGGCGTGGCTCTTAGATGCAAGACCGGAGCTAGGATCGAGACTTTCTCTTCCGTCCTTACAGTCTGGGTTAGGTGCAGAGCAGAGTCGTGGAGGAAATTTCCTGTGGAAGGGATCTGCCGGCGGATCTCTCTGCCGACCTTCTCAGTGTGGAAAAGTGGGCTAAAAGGCGATTATCCAAGCCTCAGACATCACACCCATGTGATTGGTTCTCTTGCCTTGGATGAACGTGGCTAAGAAGGGTGAGCAATCTCTAACGCCACGTGGGAGACCCCTCTTAGACTGCTGTATAACCGTATCTAGACGTCGTAGACTCCAGCCAAGAGGTGGATCAAGCTTTATAAACAACATCTATCCTCCTTTTCGGCGCAGAGTCGCTTAGTAAACCAGGAACGACTCGTTTGCCGTTCGACGGCTCCGGGCATAACGTATCCAATTATCATAAGGAATCATATCTGCTGCCCAGTACTCTTCCAGGAAACTCAAGGCCTCGGCGTTGCACCAGAAGCCTGTTGAGGCCATGAGATGCTGATAGTATCTCTGGACCAAGCCTTGACGATGCTTGTCGGAGCCAGACTCGGTGCCGGCAATGAATAACGGCCAGAAGAGATCATGGTCAAAGTTGCGTTTTTCTCCTTCCACTATTGATTGAAGTTCGAAGAACAGGCTGTCGACTGAAGACCGCACGAAATATGTGTCTCCAGTCGGTGGCGTAAGGGCTTGATATGCGTAGACTAGCCCGGCATAGTAGTGGGCGTTTGCTACCATGCGGAACACTCCGCGTAAGTGCTGCAAACTGTCCAATGTGAACGAAGGATGTGAGAAAGCCAAGGATCTGGCTCGGTTGACCTTATCTAACCAGAAACGCATATCGACTTCTGGATTCATGCGCCCTTGGATAGACTTGGTGTAGCGCTGTCTCTCCGTGAAGGTAACTTCTCGCACCACAGCCAGGAAGATCCAAAATCTATCCCGGGGTGCGGGCTGCGTAAGCACGCAATTTGACGCATCCGACTCAAGCATGAATGAAGACGGGCTCTCGAAGGCCTCGAGATCGGCCAGTGCCTTTTCAAAGAAGTCCATGATCGGTTCTGCAACCCTGGACAGATGTAGGGAATGTCTCTCATGGTCGCAGACTTCGCGGCAGGCTCGTAGATGCAGGGTCCAGTCTTTTGAGCCTGGCATCAGCATTTCTATGTGACACAACACCAGCATAGTCGCGATGATTTCGATGATTGGAGACGCTTTGGGCTTAGTGGTCTCGTACCGTTGACCTAATTGGCGATTGATTTGTGCGTTGAGGTTCTCTGTAGCTTTGAGGCGCAGATGGCAAAGTAGGTCGTGCATATCGTTGGATTGCTGACTTCGAATCATAGACGTCACGTACAGGTGAGTGGCAGAGAAACTTAAAATGGCAAACTGTAGAGCTGCCGAAGACCGAGATAGAGGGAGCAGAACGGCCCGCCATGGATTACTAGGAGCATCAATCCACTGTAGCTTTGGTGCAACTTGGTCTTGATAGTGGTTTTGGAGACGACACGACATATTGCTTGACACGAGTTGACTGGCAAGCCATCGTTCTTGCCGTAGCATGGACGTCTGGCTTTGAGCCAGGAAGGACCGATGAATTTCGTAGTCCTCGAATTGAGTCTTTTTAAGGGGAGCATCTACCACATTCTGGCATGGGCTTGCAGAATGGCCCAGAGCAATGGTACTCAATAGTGTTTGTCCCGTAGGTCTCGACTCTACCTTGCATGAAGGCTCTTGAGTGACAGCTTTAGAGACTGGCTGGGACTGCCCTTTGAGCTTTCCTCGACTCGCGACTCCCTGATCCCATCTCAGGCCCTTATCGTAGCCGGGACATTGGAGCTTGCGACTTTGACACTTACAGCATGCGGGGGCGGACCGATCACAAGCTATTCGTCGCTGAATGCAGGTTCGGCAATCTTGAAGGTCAGCTAACCTCGCATTGAGGTTCATCGGCTTCACGTACCTCGACGGCCTACCTCTCGATCCGCTGGTAGAGCACCATTGCGGATGTTCTTAACAACAGAGACTTTTCGTCGTGATGAAGGTGGCGGTGATAATGAAGTCTGACCCATTATTCTACACTAGTAGGGAATGGGTTTCACAGTAATGCAGAATTGTGTTAAAGAGGAAATACTGGTGGTATTGGAGAGGAGTGGTTGGCGCGTGCGGGGGCGCGTCCCTGCCCTGGTGGGAGAGCACCGGCTACGCGATGCCGGTCTCCGCACCGCCTAAGCCTGGGCGCTGGAAAACAAGGACCACTGTGTAGCTCGAGAAAATGATTGCTGATAAATTAGACCCTGTTGCAGAGGGTCTTGATATCTGCACGAGGCGCCATGATATTGCGCGCATATGCTCATGATCAACAACGCAGCCTGCAAATGGGTATTGCCATGACACATAAAGGTAAAGATAGCGGCCGGAGTGCTGACACAAGGCGCGTATAGTACGCACAATAATGTCTCCGGGCGGGCGAAACCGAGCTGGACCTCTGCATAAATTCCTTCCTACCTTGACCCCGACAAGCTACTTCATAGACATTTGTTGGCCGGACTTGATACTAACACACCATGTCTGCCACGGAGACTACGCGGCCTACAACAATCAGACTTAGTGGGAGCTCGTCCGATGATGCGATCCCTTTATCAGATCTCAATACCGTGCCCGACTCTGGAGTGTTCAACACAGCGTCGCCCACAAAAGCATCGAAATTGCGTGTAACGTTGACTATCCTCCAGCCCTCGCTTGTCAACTTCTTCTGCAGCTTCTCCAATGGTGTCATCACTGTCGGCCTACCGGTCATCGCGAGATCCATTGACCTGCCCAGGTCGCTCTACCTATGGCCGGCCTCGGTTGGTGGTCTCACTACTGGCTCGACGCTGCTGCTTGCAGGCTCTGTGGCTGATATGCTCGGTGCAAAGAAGGTCGACCTCGTTGGGTGTCTGTTGCTCGGGATCTTCACTCTGGCGTGCGGCTTCTCCCAAGCCGGCCTCCAGCTGGTCGTCTTCCGCGCGCTCCAGGGTATTGCCTTGGCCATGCACCTACCTTCGTCGGTCGCGATAGTGGCAAACACCGTGCCACGGGGTCGGCCCAGAAACATCGGGTTTGCATGCCTGGGCCTCAGTCAACCGTTGGGTTTCTCGGTTGGACTCGTCGCTAGCGGTGTATTGATTCGAGATGGTGGCTGGAGGTCTGCCTTCTACCTTCCTGGAGCTGCTCTCCTGGCACTGGCGGCTGCTGCATTTTGGGGCTTGCCAAAAGTCGAACCAGAACAACCTGCCGTTGAAGGAGTTTCGATTTGGAAGAGGCTCTTAACGGACATTGATTGGGTTGGTGGACTCATCGCCAGTAGCGGGCTTGCCATACTGGCATACATCCTTGCGTGAGTTTCACAATACCTCTTTACCTCTGTTGCTGACCACACGTGCAGTGTCCTCAGCGCCGACCTTACCTCTATCCGAACGCCGAGCACAGCTACGCTACTTCCTGTCAGTATCGTTCTCCTGGTCGCATTCCCGTTTTGGATGAACTATTGCGAGCGCCATCAGAGACCAGCACTTGTGCCCAATGCTTTGTGGAACAACATGTCTTTCACAAGCACGTGCATCATGGTTGGATTATCGTACGCCGTGATGAACGCAATGGAGCTTTTCTCCAGTTTATAGTGAGTCAGCCTCCACATCTCACGTTCTCACTGTCTTACAATTTGCAGTTTCCAAGAAATCCAGGATTCGAGCACCCTCGCAACCTCGCTCAAGCTTCTCCCGAATTTGTTGTCAGGCGCCGTGCTGAACCTGAGTGTTGGGCTCTTTGTTGACAAACTTCCGGCAAGATGGCTTGTGTCGATTTCGTCCCTGCTAGCCTCCGGAGCCCCGCTCATGATGGCATTAGTTAAGCCAGAGTGGAGCTACTGGTACATGGAATTCTGGGCCCAGATGTTGTCACCGATGAGCGCCGACGTGTTGTTCACAGTCGGGCTTATCATTGTGTCGGACGTATTCCCAGAAAAGAGCCAGGGGCTGGCTGGAGCAGTGTTCAACACTGTGGGTCAGTTTGGTCTTAGCCTGGGAATGGGGGTTTGTCAGCTTGTGGCGTTGGGGGTTACTGGCGAATCCTCGAGTGCTGGGCATGGGGGCTCGGTCGAGTCTCTTGATGAGACCGATCCTGCGGCGCTGCTCCGTGGCTACCAAGCCAGCTTCTGGACCATGTTCGCGTGCATGACAACCTGTGCAGCCGTCGCCGTCATGGGCTTGAGGAAAGTAGGGACTGTTGGACTCAAGCGTGAATGATCAGCCATCCCGACGGAGTACCTCCGCACCCTTCCCCGCGGGGGCTAGTACCGGCGGGCTGTTGTTGCACTGCCAACATGGCTTGGCCCGGAAAATAACAGGTTTCTCGTCTAAGATTGCCAGAAGGATAATAATCCATTGCCTACTTGTGGGCTGGAACAGAAGACCGCTCGAATTGGCCGCCTTACCGATCTCGAAACGAAGCCTGATCTCGGTATTTTGGGCCGGGAAAGCCGATTGCTGCTCTCCTGCGTGCGGCGAACACGTGCAGCACGTGTTCGCCAATGGCTAGCATGCAAGATGATGCGTGTCGCTACCTGTCCCAGAATCAAGCCAGAGATGTAAAGGTCTAGATCTCGAGCTCCGTGCGGCAATGCCTGAATCTACGACATGACCGGCACCGGTACCGTGTCAACCCCGATCGTGTTGAACAAGACTTGCCAAGAGAAAGCAAAGCGCGTGAAATTGCGTCTCGTTTGCGCTGTGACGAGCCAACATCCACTCACAAGCAGCGGGCCAAGTCATACAACGACTCGCCTAGTCCTCTGACAGTAAGTTCGACTGGGTGCAGCATTGCTTATCACCCACCCTCGGACATGCTACTTCCCACGAGGCCCGGCGGCGAGGGCCAATGGTGTAGGTAAGGTCCGGGGTAGCTCCCACCCTCCCTCAATTTGCGGGGATGCTGCCAAGCGCATATTGTTCCGCGCTTCTGGGCACCATAGGCAGCGCCAGAGAGGGATGAGTAGCAGGAATGGGGCTTGTCTCCGGTGGCAGACGGGCTTGGGTCGCTTAAGTCCTTAAAAGCACGGCTCATCCTCCCTTGAGGTCGCCAGGTATCTTGCCCTGCTCTTGTGCAACATCTCCTACTGGACACAAACCAGGCCATCATGTTGCCCAAAGACGACGTTCAGCCTAGTATGGTCCTCGATCATGAGATCTTGGGCGAGAAGGCCGATATCTCGCACGAGGAGGCCATGCATTTTGGCGTCCTTACGCCCGAAGAGCTTGTCACCGAGAAGAGACTGCGAAGGAAAATCGACTCCTTGATCGTAAGTGCAAACCTACCAAGCACACTGTGTCTTGGCGCAGGTGCTTCTGCGCTTTCGCAAAGCGGGACTTTAGCATTGCAGAAGCATGATGCTGACGACGTTGACTCTAGATGCCGATGGTTGTTGCAGTTTATCTGATGAATTATATTGATCGGTAAGCAAAACAACGAGAATCTTTAGACTGGACTGACGGAAGTAGCAACAACTACGCAGCAGCTCGTCTTCAGGGCCTCGAAGAAGACCTCAATTTGACTGCTTCTCAGTATCAGCTGGGTCTGTCGATCTTGTTCGTGGGCTACATCCTTGGCCAGGTGCCTTCCAACCTTTTGCTCAACCATTTCGGACGACCATCGCTTTACTTGTCCTTCTTCACGGTTGCTTGGGGACTCGTCTCGGCTCTGACCTGCCTTTGCCACAATTTCACCGGCATTGTCATTTGCCGATTTGTCCTTGGTCTCGTTGGTATGTTCCAAAATGTGGCCTTCTACGAAATTCTATGCTAACCACCTCACAGAGGCCCCTTTCTTCCCTGGCGTTCTGTTCTACCTGTCCAAATGGTATACTAAAGAGGAACTCAACCTTCGCATGTCGATCTTCTATTCTGGCAGTTTAGTGTCGGGCGCTTTTGGCAATCTGATCGCTGCTGGTATTCTTAACGGCCTTGGCCACGCTCGAGGTCTGTCCCCATGGCAGTGGTTGTACATCATCGAGGGTGCGATCACGGTCACCATTGGCATCTTGGTTGGCCTAATTCTCCCCGACTTCCCGCAGACATGGAAGCGGCTGTCACCCGAGCTCAAGCACGTTGCCGAGCGCCGCCTCGCCATCGAGGCTGCTGAGGCCGATCAAGATGAGGCGGGAGGCATGTCTCAAATCCGTGGCCTCAAGCTTGCATTCAGCGACGTAAGTTCTGCAAACCAACGACCTCCTGTCCCAAACCTTGAGAACTAAGGAGCCTCCTAGGTCACCACTTACATTCTTGCGGCTGCGTATATGGCTACTGTCGGTGCAGCTGGCTTTCAAAACTTTTTCCCAACACTCACTGCCACCCTGGGTTATAGGTGAGTACACATGCCCTCGTCTAACAGTCCCCTCTAACAATTCAAGCCGCACCATCTCACTCCTCCTCTGCGCCCCGCCTTACATCTTCATCACATTCTGGGCTCTCGCCCATAGCTGGTACAGTGACAAACTCAAGAACCGCTTCTGGTTCTTCATGTACCCAATTCCCATCACGATCATTGGCTTCGTGAGTGCCATATCATGTCCCTTCCACTCTCCACACTAACGCATGCTAGGTTGTTTTCATGGCCACTGACAACTTTGGCGCCAAATATTTCTCCCTCTTCCTGATGTGTTTCATCTTCAGCATGAACGGCACAACCTATGCATGGATCGCAGGCGCCATTCCAAGACCGCCCGCCAAACGTGCCGCCGCATTTGCTGTGAGCAAGCCCTTCAACCTCTCCTCTCACCGTCAAATTTCGCTAACGTAAGTCTCCTTAGTTCATTAATTCTATGGGTAACAGCGCCTCCATCTGGACACCATTCACCTACCGACCACAAGACCAGCCGCACTATCGACCCGCACTTGGTATCAATATTGCACTCCAGATCATCGCGGCTCTGTGCGGTCTGTGGCTCTACTGGGTGCTCACGCAACGCAACAAGCGGCTAGAGCGCATGGAGAACGAGGATGTACCCTTGAGCGAGAAGGACATGGCTCGCCTGCGGAAGACGGCCGAGGTCGAGGGTATCGATATCGCTGCTGCGAGACGCCTGCAGAAGGGCTACCGCTTTATGATCTAGTGTGTGAAACAGTATGGTGTGCGGGACTTGAGACACTCAAAAAAATTGCTCCAGGTGGCGGATGCAGCGTCAATGCACATAGCCATTGTCTTTGCGCGTGACGGGTTGAATAGGCGTGGGCTGTACGCAGACACCTACCATTGAGTATCTAGGCCACTGAGTATCTAGTCCAAAAGCCATGACTCGCCGCGATGCCATTAGCTACCCTAATGCCCCCGACTCCTGATACTATTATCAGTCAGCTTCATCCTCAGCGTCACAAATCCATAAAAACTTCTCACAGCACTGCCTGATCCAAGACCGAGCCACACCCTTCTGCAAAGAACCTTTTCCCGCGAAGCGCTCAATCATCCCAGAGCAAGAGAGTGGGGCTCATCCGTCCCTCTTCCATTTGATCTCCATGACTTCACATCGTTACACAAGCACATGCAATCCCCTGTCGAGCGAGACCTGTCAGGGAGAATGCCCGGCTTGGCCCTCGCCAGCCACCGCTCCCAACGGGGCAGGAGACCTGCCCAGAGGGGCCGGAGCAGGAGGTTCCAGTCGCGGCGACGCCTCGAGGAGAGTCGCACATGCTTGTAAAGGCTAGCATCCTCTGGAGATCTAGCTGCTGATTGGTGCCCACTGCCGGAAGGAGCATTCTTGACAGCATTGGCAGATGCGGCTGGGAAAGGAAAGCGGGCATGCTCGATCTAGTAAATTTTAGCTTTCATCAGCGGAAATTAGACTTCGATGGGCCAAGGGAGCCGGTCATGTGATTGATGGGAAATGGAAAACGAAAAATGGGCAATAACCGTGGAGGGGCCGCCTGCCTCCAGAGAAAGCAGGTGACCTGCTGCATTTGGAGTTGAAGCGGCGGGTTTCAGCAGGCTGGGGACTTTTGGCACCGGTTCGTGGGCTTGGTGCAGTTGGTTTATAGCGTCACGATGTTCCAGCTGGTGAAAGCTGCAATTACCATATCTGGCAGTGGGCCTGCCTTATCTTGGCGTTGTAGCCGTTATGTAGGACCCCGGGATTGCAGGTGGTATATGATGCTGCTTCAGGGTCGTTCAGCAAGTGTAACCCTCTGCATAGCTAAGGCTTTGAGATATCTGTGCGTTGAGCTGTGTTGTTCGCTGCCATCGGCTGTAAGTTGCGGACAAGGCGATGAGAAATCCTCAACATTCGTGCAAGTTTTTGATCGAGTACGAGCAGAGTTCAGGCAACGAGAGGAAAGTGGGGTCTCCCCAGGTACATTTTGGCCTGCTCGCAGGTTCAGCCTCACTATGGACCACAATCACATGGCGACAGCCGACTCAGCCAACTAGGCGTGAGTATGCCATTGGTCCCTGCGCAAGGCCTGGGGCCACGTCGCTTCTCATTCACTGTCGTTCGTGGGACGAACGATCTAGATCGCTCGACTGGGTTGACGGACTGGGGGCTGCAGTTTCCAACGCTTGCTGGCTCTTACAATAGCAGTTTAATCTTTAAGAACCCGAATGCTAAAGTTGGTAGTCTATATACGAGGTATCTCTATCTTTCTAGTCTGACCGATAAGTCAACATCTTCGTGTTGGTGCAATGACCACAGCTACTCCACGAAACGGCACCTACAACAGTATGCAGCGCATTTTGTCATCGCAACGAAGGCAGCCTGCCCCAAGCCCGGATTTCGTCGAACGCAAAGCTGCATTCTACCAACTGAAACGAAGCCCAACCTTTGATCCTCCAACGTACCCGGCACGTGCCTGCTGCTTTGCCCCGTCGCTCACTATGGCTGGTGCATGTCAGGCCTTCCTCAACAATGATAGTAACTACGATTTGGATACTTCATGTGAATTGCTTCAGTGGTCGAGTAATGCAGCCCCGCAGTGGACTGTCCTTGATGGGGCTGCCTTGCGTACCTACTTCGATCCGACGAGCCCACCGTCCTCCGCCAGAGTATCAAGAGTTTTCTTCGTCACTCTCGAAGACTGCAAAGATGCCAGCTACGGCTGTAGGCTATCACTCGGCAAACAGTCTGCAGGGCAGTTACTCGAGCTCTTCAACGTCAACCCGCATTTCTGCCAATCTATGTTTGGTAAGCCCGATCACTGGGCCCCACTGGATCATCGCTACACCAACGATGCAGCTCACGAAATCTTGGAATTTGTATCCCAGTACCAGCGCTGACGCATACATACTAGACAACAGCCTTGTTCCTCGTACCTGAAATGGAACGCGTCGACTTCAGAGACAACTTTCATCTAGTGGCAGGCAAAGGCGAGCCATTTATTGGGAAAGTCAAACAGCGACTGAAAGAAATTTTCCTCCTTGAAACACAGACCGATCTAAAGAAGACAATTGGCGGGACCACAGGTGACCACTTCTTCTTGAAAACCCTGATGTGCCACGAGTCCCTTGCGGATGCCGAACAGATTGTACGACAGCTCCGCCATCACCTGTACGACCAGCTGGACGTCGTCAATACGTACGCGGACAGACCATTCGACCGAACTAGTCTTCGAGAAGTCACGACCCGTCTTCATAAGATCAGTCAAGATACTGAGGCTCTCACCGCAAGCGCTCAAATGCTACAGATGACAACAGACACCCTGGTCAGCGCTCGCCACCTAGCCACCACTGCTTCCAATGGTCATGCCTCACGATTACCATCCAGGAATGGGGTGACAAATACGCTCACGTACCTCTCGACCTCAATCGCCTCCCAAGAGCGCTGGCTGCAGGCGCTCAGCTCCCGCAAGGATACAGCGATGAATCTAGTCCACAACCTCGTTACACAGCACGACAGCGAGACCAATACAGAGATTGCTCTGGCCACAAATAATGATAGCGCTGTCATGCGGGTCATCGCCATCCTCACTATGATTTTCATCCCACTTACTACCGTTGGGACATTCTTTGGCATGGCTTTCTTTGAAAGCACTGCGGGCGGTGGCTTCTACATAAGTAGCAAAGTGTGGGTCTTTGCGGCTGTCTCGGTGCCGTTGACTGGGTTAACTCTTGGGATATGGTGGATTTGGTGGCGTTGGCAGGTGATTACAACCCGATGGCGAGGCTTTTGGCAGCAGAGCAAGAAAGAAGAGGACATTGACACCCATATTCTTTGCCTCTCTTCGTCATTCAAACCGAGACTGGAACCCTAGCTTGAATGGGGGCAAGCGAACATGATCTCCACCTTCGGGGTAAATCTCGTATGTCTCGGAGGAGACGCTTTCGTTAGCCACCTGGACAAGACCTGTCCCGGCGCCGCACCACAAGGTTGTGACTTAGGCGACGAACGGTGAGAGTCGAGGTGTCGGGCTCCTCCACACAGTCTTAATAACGGCATCTCCAAATCCTGCACCGTCAGTAGATACATGAGCATCGTCCCCGGTTGAGACATCGCAACCACATGAACAGAAAAGCTGGCTTTGCGCAATCGAACTCGCACCGTGGTACGCACCCATAGACTAGAAATCCCGGAATTTGCATTAGACTTTTGCCTTCTTGCTATTTGGCATTGCTTCGGCTACGCCGTGTCTGTCACTGAACGCATCTGGGCATCCTAGTCTTGTGATCCCGAGTTTCAGGAGGTGCGAAGCTTCGTAGGGAATTGCTTTTGCTGATCCCTGCCGCGGCGGGGGTTGCCGGATGACTAGCTGGCAGTGTCGCGTGACCGACAATCCTGAGGCTTTGAAGATAGCGAGGTTGGCTTGACGGACACAAACTGGCTTAGGGGTCTTTGGACACGATTGGAGGCTGTGGACGTGAGATGGGTTGCACACTGTGATAAGGCAAGGCGTGAGTCATGCGGCGTTGTTGACCGGGTTTCTCTTGACTCGTGCAACTTACCCATTGTTCGAGCGGGCCTAGTGAAAGCTTGAGCCCCCGGCCTTCGCGTAGACCGTTGCATTTGACCGCCACAGAACGAATATCGTGCATCAGGAGCCGCACGAAAGCGTCGATACATTTCTAGCCCGTGTCGAAAAGCGAGCGATGGCTTTTGATATCGGACTCGCCTCGCGCATGTCTCCAGATTGGGTGCCTCGGCTTTTGCTAAGGAGCAAATCGATGGATGACTGGATCCTTTGTGACCTTCCAGGGCTGGTATATCAATGTTGCTGAGATTGTGAGATGCCACATGGGAGTTGAACGTCCCCAGACGGATGCTCTTCTTGAGAAGAGCGTCCATAGGTTACCTGGCAGTCGTGTCCCAGATTCCCTGCGCGCCGTCTCACGAACAAGAAACTCAAGGGTCCAAGACGCGCTTGGCCACCCGCAGCACTTGCTTCTGCAAAGAACTGACCCTCCGTGGCGATTGACAGATATCAGTGGACGCCACGCTGATAAAGACGTCTCGCAGGGCTCCGCATATGCTGTTTGATGACGCTCTAATGGCATGCCAGTGTGCACGAGAACGGTCGGGGTTTACCGAACGCTCGGAGACCCTGGTCTTATCTTCCCGGCTCAAGGTTTCCTTTTGGGACTGTACCTGCATTTCGGCTCTCATATACCAGGGAACTTGATCCAAAGTCAGATGCAGATGCAGCTGACAACAGCTAGAGAGCTGTCATCTGTCACCACGAGCTGTCACCATGGGTATCCCACCACCGGACGGGTCTGATGTCAACCGTGGTACGTTGCAACTGCCGACATGAGGCGGTGGGTTGTGCTGATACTATGCAGGAACAGCCGTTGTGATTGCAGGCTGGGTCTTATGCGCTGTGGTTGCTCTTCTCCTCGTTTTTCGAATTGCCGTCAAAACATGGATTACCATTGCGCTCCCTCCGACCGCTCGTCCGAGAAGGACATGGACTCTTGAGGATTTGTTCTTGTGGATGGGGTTTGTGGTTGATATAGCGCATCAGTCGTTGATATGGAAGAGGTAAGTACACTATCCTGAACAACTGTTCCCAGGCTCATGGATAGTAGCTATGAGCACGGCTTAGGCAGGCATTACTTCTACCTTACACCTGAAGAAAGGCGTTTAGCCATGAAGTGGGACTGGATCGCCGCACAGCTGGCTGTCACAGCCGTCTCCTTATACAGGACTGCAGTGATGTGTTTCTTGTATGTTTGCTTCGCCAAGACCAGACGCCGGCTGGCTATCACCCTACTCGCCTGCATTGCTGTACATACAGCTGTCAACCTCATCACGATATTGCAGGGTGTCATGCAATGTGGACCAAATCCGTCCAGGCCCACGAACCGAGCAGCGTACTACCACTACCTCTGGGATCCACTGCCCGAAGACGACTCAGTTGTGTGCCAGTCGCCAAAAGTGCAGACCTACATTGGGTATGGCCAAGGAGGTAAGGCCAGGTCCCGACGGGAAGTAGAGGCAAGCTGACACTGTCTGAAGCTTTCAATACAAGTATTGACTTTATGCTCGTCGGACTTGCTGCATTCCAGATCTGGCAGTTTCTCGTCCGTGCCCACGGGCAGCACCTGGCGTCGGTCATTCACAAGTTCCGAGCCTTGGAACCACATGTCCGACGGCAAAGGATTTCGCAGACGTTCTTGGTCTGCTTACCGCTGTCATTGTCGGGGGTTGCTTGCATCATCAAGTCTCCAGTAAGTAGTGATATTCGATGACACTCTTTTAGTTGCTGACCGGGACAAACAGCTTGTTGGTGCTATTGGGAATCGAATGGACATCACCTGGAACATCATCCCTTTGGTACTGTGGGTGAAGATCGAGAACAGCACGATTCCCATCGCAGCGACAGCAACAGTCATGAGACTGTTTCTGAAGGTCTTTGTCAACAAGGAGAAGAAAGCCGCAACATATGCCTACAGCTCTGAACGCTATCGAGGGTCGGGAGGGCAAGGTGTGGAGCTTGGTAGTCATGTACGAAGCGGCTGGGGTATCGATAGAAGCCACAGTGGCAGACATGACACCGATGATGCCGGTGATCGATCATTGAACGGCTCCGAGACCGAGCTTGTGGACGACAGTATCCATGTAAAGGTTGAATATGAGGTGCGTGTCATGAATAGGATTATTCAAGACATGTCGTCGGATGGGCGTTTGGATGTGGCAGCTGGCCAATGACAAACGCTCATATTTACAACCGATTGTACCATATCTCAACCATCGATGCATAGCCCTGTATCCAACTACTGCGCCTGCAACTTCTGAGTGGCTTCCGCGAAGACATCGTATGTGAACCAGAATTTGTTGTATTCTGGATCAAATGTCTTCGCAGTCGGACCCGGGATCTCGCCATCATAGTACTTTCTAACTTCGGCGATCAGCTTGTCCGGCGGGCCCATCATCTTGTTGGACATCGTCTGCCCAGCTCGCACGCGGGGCAGTCGTAGATCGTTGAAGATGTTCAATCTGCTTTGGACCTCACCGGCCGTGGAAAGTCTTGAGAACAAGACCTCGAGGGCGGCAGCATCCTCCATGGCCATAGATGCACCTTGACCATGTGTTGGAAGCATCAGGTGTCCAGCATCCCCAACTAGGACAGCCTTACCCTTGACGAAAGTTGGTAGCGGGTTGCGATACATCTGGTTGTAGACTCTGACATCGGTGGCGCCTTCGCAGATAGCCTGGACTGCAGGATGGAAGCCTTGTGCATCTGCAACAACGTCTTGATAGTCCGCGGGAGTACTCCAGCCCTCGAGCTCTCGCTCCTTGTCCTTTGTGGGATGCAGTAACGCACAGTAGATTAGGGAACCGCCACGACATGGGTATGTGTTAAGCAGGTGTCCTGGGCGCCCGACTTGGGCCTTGTAGAAAGTAGAGAAACCTGGGGCTTGGTCCTTGTAGAACTGCGCAGTCTCAGGGCGCGCCATGATTTTATCAATTGGCTGCAGAAATCTGTACATGGACATAGGCAGCCGGACCACAGGTTCCTCTGTGCCCGTGATCTTGACGATAAGTTGGGAATGTGATCCATCGGCTATAACAACCAGGTCCTTCGCCACGATAGCACCGGTGGCAAGGGTAATGGTACCACTATCAGGGTCCACATCGGATACGGCAGATCCAAGTCGAATGTTTGGCGTTGGGACAGGCAGCTTCTCAACCAGATTTTTCAAGCCAGTATGCAGATCTGCTCGGTGAAGGAGCAGCCACCTGTCGCCATACTGCTCCTTGATATTGTCAAATTTGGTCTCCGAGTCCAGCTGGATGGTGTCAGCTTTGATGCGGCGCATTTGGCAGTAGTCGAGTCCGCCTGCTGCCTCGACATCGAAACCCCAGTTTGAGAGGAGACGAGAGCCATTGGGGCCAATGACAATAGCAGCGCCAGTTTCATTGTTGAATCGAGAGCGCTCGAAAATGTCAACGGCGTGACCGGCCCTTGAAAGAGCGATGGCTGCTGTAAGTCCAGCGATGCCGCAACCTACTATGCCCACCTGGAGCTGTACTACTCTCTGCGACTTCATGATCTCTGGGCTAAAGAGGTGACACGCTTCGGTGGATCGAGAGTGTGATAAAAGGATGATCGGTATCGTGAAGGGTTGTTGAAAAGGGGTCTATCAAGTATTCATTGCAATCGGTCGCCTAACGTAGTCCCGACTAGTTCTGCAGGAGGCGAAGGTCCAGGAGCTCGCAAGCACTTAATCCAGTAGTAATCCTCCCTGTACCTCTTAGCGGAAAGATGATCCCTGTTGTGAGCGGCGGTTTCTAATGTACGCGATGTGTACTCGCCTTGAAGTCTCTTGATTCCAATGTTGTTGGTGGGGTGAGACTTGCGTACTCCGTATACACACACTTTACCTGAGGGTTGCCATCACTGCTCAGCCTGGGCCATCGTTTTGCTTGACTCCCAAACGTATCGAAACTGTACAGATCTCTTTGCTGGGAATGCGAGTGATGAGGTCAGCATGAGCAAATACCCACTTTTGACCCCTGAGAATCGGCTCTTCGGTGGCCCGCCATAATTCAAGGCCGACAAATGACCTGCAAGCTGGCCTTGGTCTCCCCTAGAGCACGGTACGGAGGTAAAGTATCCATCACAGCATCAACAATACAAGCTCGACAACATTGTCCTGTATCGACGTCCACAAATTCAACAACACGCTTCATCATCAGTCATCAAAATGGCCTCCGGTGACCCCACTTCAGGCACACTGCTCCCCGCTCGCGCTATGCTCTCTGTCCTAGCCACCCTCACCGCCGCAGGTGGCTACCTTGCCGACTGGAACGAAACCCATGTCTTCAACCCGCGCTGGCCGCCACACGCCAAGTTTCACAACGGGCAGACCATGTCTACGGGCCTCGGCCTGGGTCTGCTGACGGCGTATTTCACCTGGCGTAGAACCAATACATCGACTATGACGGGTGCACTGGATAACCTGTTTATCGCCACACTGTTCTCTAGTCTGTACTGGGTCACGCAGCTAAGTGCGATTTTGTATCCCGGCTCCGACTGGTGTGATGAGGAATTCAGGCATTTGGGCACGCCGCAGAAGAGGGGTGCGCCCGTGCTTTTGGGTGCGAGTTGGTTGGCATATGGCGTAGGCTGGTGGAGGGCTGGCGGCGCGAAGGTGAAGGGACTATGAGTGTGCAGGGGACGGTGGCGCCGATGGCTTTGTTTGGTGCTGCTGGTTGCCGGTCTGGCAAGAGGATATGCTCAAGGATCGCATAGAATATTCGCTACTTCGCTGCATTTCTATAGGTGTGCAGACGAACTGTAGCTAACTACTTGTGCGGCCTGGTCTTCGGAATTCGGACTAAATTTGTCGTCTGAGCACGAACAGCCATTTGAAACAGACATCGTGATGCTTCCGTACTCGGCGGGGGGGCATTCAATATTGCAAGTATTAAGCAACCTGGTCTGGTTGTCGGTGGTCGGCGTTTGCTCATGCGACGCTTACGCAATCGGGTCGCGCATCTAGTTAACGGATCAAGTAGTGTGTGTATTGCGCCGAGCTGTCCAGGCTCTGGCCGATGATTAATATCGAACGCTCATCTTGGGTCGGCGCCTGGTACTGGGCTTGGGTCGCTGCCGATATAAGGATCCGGATAGCCAGGAATCTGAGAGAAGGGTGCAACGAGCAAGGCAATCCCGAAATTTATGCCACGGCGAGAGCACCATCGACACGCAAATAACAGCAATGACAGAGGAACATCTCTTCCTTCTTGGTGGCTCAGGCGAGACCGGCATTATCTTCATTAGCCAACTAATTGCGCTGGGTGACGCCGCACCACTTGTGACGCTCTACATTCGTGCTTCCGGACGAGCAAAACTTCCTGCGGGTGTCCACAGCAATGCCAGATTCCGGGTGACTGAAGGCGAGCTGACCGACCGCAAAACACTGGTCAAGTCTCTGAGCGCGGACGCGAAGTTCCCACCCGTCACCACCGTCATTAGCTTCCTCGGAGCATACATGAGCCTCTATTACTTCCTGACCAGGCGGAAGCCAACGCCTATAGCAGATGCCTTCAACACATCGATTCTTCCCGCTATGAGGGAGGCCGGCGTGAAGCGAATTATCGCTCTGTCGACTCCTAGTGGATTCCAGTATCCTGAAGAGACCAGCAAGATCAGCTGGGCCTGGTGGGCGAAAATTCACATCCCGAGAATCATGGTTCCGCAAGGCGATGCTGAAATGAGGGACATTGCTAAGGCAGTGCTGTACGCTGGTGCCGAGGATAAAGATCTCGACTGGACAATTTATCGAGTTGGCTATTTGGGTGATGCAAACCCAGATATTTCCATCGTGGTCAAGGAGACACTGCTGAACTTCGAAGGAGACAGCGTGACAAGGGGGAGCTTGTCGAAGTGGCTGCTGCAGGAAGTCGAGGAGAGAAAGTGGTTGCGAAAGGCCCCTCTGGTCGGCAACACGGCGAAGTGATAGCTAGCAGGAGAGTTGCATGGGCCAAGTTCTCGGCACATCAAGTGCGCAGGTGTCCAGCTCCGTTATAGAAGCTGTACTGGAATTCATCTGAGCTTCATCTAAGAGTGCCTCTTAAGACAGTCCGCGGAGGTACCCAAATTTCATGCTTCTCAATTATCGAAGAGCTTCATAGCGTTGATACTGCCAATGTACGTCCCTTTCGTGATCCGGTCTATTAGGTCATACCGAGCCCGTTGGTTCGGGCGACTAGTTGAACGGAGGCGGAAAAGTTTCCAGACCCTCACAAGCTTGCGGCTGCTTCTACAGCTCCCACCGCCTTGAATCGTGCTGAGTTCGTAACGACAATTTCGACAGGGTATTTCCATTCCATAAATCGTTTCCAGCCATAGTAGGCGAACTTTCGGCCAAAATACTTGCCCAGATATGGTACTATGACCATGGACAACAGGAGCTCCAGTTGCTGCAATGACTCTTTCCATTCGCGCTCGGCTTGAGCATATTCGTCGTCGTCGGACACACTGAGGGAGTCGTCCGTCGTTGGTGAAGATGGTAGGGAATCCATCTCTTCAGCGTTGTTCGAAGGTATATCAATGATGGACGGCTGTGAGCTGGCGGAGGGGGCGTCGATGAATGAGCCCGAAGCAGATAGGTCATCAGACATGGTGGCTGTACCCGGTTGACATATATGCAGAGTCAAATCAACGCCACCGGTGGCAAGGTGATGGACGAGTGAATGAAATGCGGACTGCGCATGAAGTCTTCCATTCGAAGTCGCATGAAGTTCGAGTTGGAGACAAAGCCTCAGGCAGATTCGATCACGTGACGTCGCTGTCATTTATTGAGTCATGCCTGCAGCCGCAAATCTAATAAGATATCCGTGTGCGAAAGATCTGGCGCATTCTATCGTTCAGTCACCGAGTACCTACACCGTAAGACAGTTGTCTCCAGCCAAGAGACATTGTCTATCCTCGATCAATATCACCCAGCATGGCAGAAGTTGTACGTCAAAAGTCCTCGCACAAACACCAACCCCACCAACCCGCATCGGAGGAGGCGACAACCAAAGTGAAACCTCCTTCGTGTTGCTCCACAGCCGCTGCCACACCTTTGACTCTTGCTTCATCTAATGCGTTTTCTCGACAGGAACAGCCCCTAGCAGATCGCAAATCCCGCAAATCCGTTGCCTTCAGCGAAGACACCACAGCCATGGATGCCAACGGCGAGATCTCAGAGTCTGCTCCTCTTGAGGATAAGACCACCGCCGACAGTCATTCACAAGGTACGTCTGATGAGTCCTGCCCCGTACCGACGCTGACAGAAGCCACAGACAAAGCCGTCGATGAAGTGACCGACATGTTTGCCGGCCTCAACAAGAAGAAAAAGAAGTCCTCTAAACCCAAGGCCGATGATGCCGCCGACGAGGCACCGGTGGCAGCAGATGGAGAGTTCGATGCATCTGCGCTCAAGAAGAAAAAGAAGAAGTCTACCAAGCCGAAAACCGACGACTCTTTCGAAGCGAAGCTTGCCTCTGCCGGTCTTGAAGACGAAGAGGGTGCTCCCACTAAAGACTCCTCAACGGAAGGTGCCACACAAGAAGGCGATCTTAACGCTGGTACTGGAATCTGGGCGCATGATGCCAGCACACCCATCTCTTACAATCTACTACTCCACCGTTTCTTCAAGCTTGTCAACGAGTACAACCCGGATATTCTGGCCAGCGGAAGCAAGTCATACAAAATTCCTCCCCCGCAATGTCTGCGCGAAGGCAACAAGAAAACTATCTTTGCAAACATCGCCGAGATCAGTAAGCGTATGAAACGCAACGATGAGCACGTCACCCAGTACTTGTTCGCTGAATTGGGTACTTCTGGCTCAGTTGATGGATCTAAGCGTTTGGTCATCAAGGGTCGATTCCAACAGAAGCAGATCGAGAACGTTCTCCGAAGATATATTGTGGAATATGTCACCTGCAAGACCTGCCGCTCGCCAGACACCGAGCTGAGCAAGGGCGAGAATCGCCTCTACTTCGTCACGTGCAACTCCTGCGGGTCCAGACGGTCTGTCACGGCCATCAAATCGGGTTTCACGGCCCAGGTCGGCAAGAGAAAGAGGATGGCTGGTTAAGTGCCTTTCTGACAATGTTCCCTGTGGTGGTTATCGCTTCGAACTTTCAAGGCTGGGCTGCTTTATGCGGCGTATGGTGCTATGCCAGGATTCCATCCAACGATATGAGCAATGAAGAAAGTCGAAATGCTGTCAGGGTATGCTTATCGCCTGGCATTTGCAGAGGCCAAGCAGCGGATGGCAGGCTGGAGAACGAATTCGAACAAAGTTTGTGGGCGAGGACATTTAGAGATAGTTCGCAATGGTGTGCCTTGCCCGAAATCATGCATTGACTCTTGTTGAGTTAATGATATCCTTTTGACACGTAGACGAGTCGTAGCACTACTGTTCTGCAGGAGCAAACAACAATTCAACGGAACCTCTTTTGTGAAGCTGGCAGCAATCCACGCATCCAGGAAACAGCTTCTCGCGGACACTTAGAGCCACTGACAAGGTCTTTACCAGCTAGATACATTTCTAATCAGCTCACTCAGCTCATCAGCACCATCGGCACCCACAGACACTGGAGTTACCAGCCACAAGGCTGTTCCCATGGCGGTGACATGAATGCCCCTTGGCACCGCGGATCCCAGGAGTATCACCGCGGAGATTCAATTGCTGAAGTCAAGTCTCAGTGTTACTTGCTGCCACACAAAACCCCTTCTTCACCGGTAACATTCACCTGGAGACTCTTGGCCTTTCTAACCCTCAACTAGTCCTCCGCAATCGCCTCGCACCATCCCTCCCCCTTCCACAGCACGCGACGACAATGTCGGGGCTCTTGGCCTATCTGGCATCCAAGCACAATGTCGTCAACATCTTCGACGACACCGTCAACCTACCTGCGCTCCCAGTGGAGCTATGGGACAACATCATCCGCCTCGGCATCACCGATGATCCGGTGATCATGGACGAGAAGTTGGACCTCATCGAGTTCGACGAGGGATATTTCAACTTCTCCCAGATCTGTCGTGGTTTCCGCGAGTCGGTGCACAAGTACTCCGCTGGTAGACTTGTCATTCGTGCTGGTCGCGCAGTCCGAGCCGATCTTGCTGCAGGTCATTTCGGAGACTCTGTCGTCGCCCGTGATGTTAGCGGGGCAGGAAACTACAGTCGAATCATCCCATACAGCGTCTCCCCGGTGCCGAGCACAGATCATCCGAACCAAGCCGGGGTCAAGTTCCTCTTGCAGTACGCCACCCGGCTGCAGGTAGTGGCCATCGAACTTACCCACCCATCTCAATTACTGGCAGTCGACGCCCAAGAGCAGTCCACCTGGGCCACGGTCTTGGAGCACCTCCGTGGTTTGGAGCAGCCCCTGGCGAAATACTTCACCAATATGGATTTCGGCTGGCGAGAGAAACCCCTAACGGTCATCTTCATGCCTCGGACACGGGTGGAAGACTGCGATACCGAGATTCTGCGCTTCGAGGGGTCGCCTGATACACACTGGAAGTATCAGCATGTCCAGCAAGTCTGCGTCACCCTGTCGTATCTCAGCAGTCTCGTCGACGAGAGACCTTCGAGCATTATGGTAAGTGCCGCCATAGGCCATGTTTGCCGCCATCGACTGACTATGAAAGCGCATTCCAGCCATCCTGGCCGCGAAGCCCACTCTCCAGACTGTCACAAGCGCAGAAATTGTGCAGCATACGTACGACCTGGCTGCTTCGCTCAAACGTGCCTTCATTAATCAACCCGTCGGCAACACTGGCCAGGTGTACAGCGCCCATCATACCTCCTGGCACAGCGATCTTGCTCAGTTCCATTGCTTTGACCGAGGTTGGCATGACGGCTCTGACTGGACGCCTGCTTACCTGGTTCGCAACTTGCATGAGATTCCCTTCCTTACTGCTGGCAATATTCCCATTGCAAATACTGGCAGCTTCGCCATCAGCAAGGTTATCCTGTCCACCAATACCGTCATCGGGCAGTGGAAGTCAGAGCACGGTGTCCTCGGCCAAGCATCGACATATCTGTCGCAGCTCTCGATTTACCCACAAGGTGTTCCTGAACTGGAGCGTCGCTATGGTGACCTACATCGCCAGCTCGCGGCCTTTCGAAAGCTGCTGAGTCCTCCAAATCGACTGCCTGCAGATCTCAAGGTTTTGCGTGACGGCCCAATCACAGATTGGTATGATAAAGCCAACATTTTCAAAAGCCGGGTCGATTACTTTGTGAAGGAGTTGCATGAGGCTCAGTTGCGCCAAGGTCGGGCACAGACTTCGACCATGATGGATGCCTGGATGGTGGAGCGCGAGGATGGTTTGGTTGATCTCGCTGCCGAGCTGGATGCTGTTGAACTGGCGGACGAAGTCTAGATGCAGTTCATGCACATCGAAGGACTTGTTGCAGCGGCAAGGGGTTCCTCTGGTGTAGTCATTCGACTGTTGCAGTAATGACCGGCGGGATGAGAGATGAGGTTCGATGAAGCTTCGCTACTATTGGGGTGTAAACAGCGCTTATGCTCCAACGTAATCCGTAGCCGCCCACTGAGCCAATCATTCTGCCCGACTTGGACTTCATCCAACCACTGGTTGTATTCAAAGTCCAAGGCGCTCAAGCAATGCATCCGACGGCGCTTACCAAGGGTTGCGCGGCGGGTTAGGCTACCCAAGAATAAATGCAGCTCATGCACTGATGTCTCCTTCTGTCCCTCCTGGTGCTAACACAGCTGCTGTTTCCGTGCTCCCACGTCTGTCATCCGTTGCGCTGATAACCGAACCAAGTCACTGTCCCCTCAACCTCACTCACGAACAAGTGCAGGTAGGACATTGAAATATCTCGAGCCACGACGGCGGAGTATCAGTGATGTCGTTTCCACCTCCTCCAGGCTCTGGTCAGCAACAAGGCGGCGCCAACTACTTCCCTCGTAAGCGGGCAGGCAATCTTCGGGTGTGACAGGGCTGACAGACGTTGCAGCTCCTCCTACAGGGGATCAGAACTGTGCGTCTTGCCTCGACGAGTTTATTCTGAGCTGACCTTAGCAGCATTTCCGCCCCCTCCGAGCTTGCCACCAGCGAACTCCTCATTTCCTCCGCCTCCACAGGGTTCGAGTAATGGCCAGTTCTATCCTCCCCCACCAATGGGTGCATCACCCCCTCCATCAGCCCCTCCAACTCAGACCTCTTTCCTCCCACCCCCACCGACACAATCACCACCCATTCAGCAACCGAGAGCACAAAAGCCCGTGAACTATAGCTATGGATCGGTCCCACAGTCTGCTCCTCCTACGCGTACGACCTTCGACATGGGTCCTAATAGACAAGATTCCTACAACATGACCCAGATGCCGAGGCAAGATTCTTATAACATGACTGGTACAGACTATAGCAGTCCGCCTCCGCCACAGCTCGGGCAAGCCCCCTCTCCGCCGAATCTCAATGCCATACCCGAAGAGAAGCAAGATGGGAAGCAAGGCCTCGGTTCAAGACTTGCACCCAAGTTGAACAAGCTCGGGTCGACCATAACCACAGAGCTAGGATCCATGAACCTTGCTGATCCCAGCAAGCAGCGGTCCGTGCCGGCCATGCGTGGAGTTCCCGAGCAAGGACAGTTCACAGGAGCCCAATCGACTTTGGTCTCCGACGACGTCGGCACTTTCAATGGTGGTGCATACAGGGTCTCACACCGAGACACAAACTCCATTCTTACTCTCCAACTCGCCATGGGCTGTCCCATTGCAGCAAAGCCAGGCGCCATGATTGCCATGTCACCGTCCATCACCCTTCGTGGTGCGGTCAAATTCAGCGTCAAGAAAATCTTCGGCGGCGAAATGTCGCATTCGACATTCACCGGTCCTGGAGAGCTTTTGCTCGCTCCTCCCGTCCTCGGTGATATCCACCTCCTACGCTTGAACAGCGAGAGTCAGCCCTGGAGTGTTGGACGAGATGCTTTCCTGGCCAGCACGCAAGGTGTTACCAGAGACATCAAGAATCAGGGCATATCGAAAGCTATATTCTCCGGTGAAGGCCTGTTCGTATTCCGGGTGTCTGGCAACGGTATCTGCTGGGTCAACACCTTCGGGGCCCTGATCAAGAAAGACGTACGTACCCAGGTTCCCTAAGAAGACTGAGCTAATTCTTATGTTCTAGCTTGTGGAAGGTGAGAAGTATATCATTGACAACGGCTATCTTGTTGCATGGAATTGCAAGTATATATTGGAGCGCGCCGCTTCTGGCGGCATCATCTCCGGAGTAGCATCAGGCGAAGGGCTGGTTTGCAAGTTCACCGGTCCTGGCACGGTGTACATGCAGACGCGTAACGCGGAGGCCTTTAAGGCGTATCTTGCCGCTGCGACAATGCATTCGCTGTAACGTGCGAAACCTTGAAAGTATCACTTCTTCTCCTGTCGCTGGGAAGCGAACTCCAACCGAGTTTCTAGCCAGTCTTCCTACGTGTTCGTGGCACGTTCCGATCGGAATTCGGTTCTGTATAAGGCTGATGCCTGATACGAGGCCTTTTGGGCATGCGTCGCTAGCGCGAAGACTTTCAATGAACAGTTGCACTTTTGCGAGCCGCACGCATCCCCACCGAGAAGACTTCATACAATACACGGCCACCTTGGCTTGCAAATGAGGAAGCATTCCATGTATGTGGCTCACGCCTTGAAGCCATGCCCAGAAGATCCAATGTATCGGCTAAGCGCTTTGGCAGCGTCTCCGTAAGTCCCCCACAAAGCCTGAGTCCCATGAGATCAGCACCCTGGACTAGCAAACGCCTCGGACCTTTTCAGTATTCCCCGCTCGCAAAAGGCTGTCTTCGACTGCTCACGATTCTACCTGGATTCGGGAACGAATCTCTCGAATGCGAGTTATCAGAATGCACTCTCACAGAAGCCGCTGCTCATACGTACGGCGCAGTTTCATACGCTTGGGGAAGACAATGCCGCTTGCACCAGGTCAGTCTAAATGGACGCTCTTCGATGATACCTGAGTCTGCTTTTCAAGTGCTCTGCGTTCTTCGCGAGAGGTGCATTGATCATCCCTTCTGGATTGATGCAATCTGTATCGACCAAACCAATGACGTTGAGAAAGGCGTGCAAGTCCAGCACATGCACCAGATTTACGCTCAAGCAGCGCAGGTCCTAGTTTGGACAGGGCATGAATCCGCAGACATCCGCACTGCATTTAACTATCTCTCTCGAGTTGAGACGTGGTGCAGACAACGAGATATTGTGCTCACGAGGAGAAACGTCCTTCTGATCGATTCAACATTCATATCAGATCTTGCCTCGACGAGCAATGAGCTCTTGGCGCTCATGCAGATGTTCTCAAGGCCATGCTTTAGTCGAAGCTGGATCCTTCAGGAGTTGTTGCTCAATGATCACACATTAGTGCTGTGTGGGAATTATAGTTGCGACTTAAACCTATTCTTGTTCGCGCTGAGAGTATTCAACGAGGACGCAACCGAAGATCAAATTGTCTCTGCCACTGCATTCCAGGAACGGGTAGCCATGAAAGACAGTTGCCTGGTTACAGATATCAACAGCGGGAATATTCGTTGGCTGCGAAGAATCCTTGATGCAAGAGAGAGGCGTCATGTTGGAGTCACTGGAATTCTATACTCGACGCGAGCTCTGAGCGCTACTGATCCGCGAGACTACATATACAGCATCCATGGCCTTCTCAAGGCATTACAACGTGGTATCGAGAGTTCCACAGCAATACTCGAAACTGACTATTCGATCAGCGTCGCCGAAACTTACATTAGAGCTACTGTGTGGTCAATTCGACGTGATAAGTCGTTCAGCATTCTTTGGCTAGCCGGACGTCGCACAGACCATCTACATGCGGAAGTGCCAGCAATCGAAGGCCTACCAGGTTGGGTCATGGACTTTTCTCAACCAGCTGATCAGTCCCCTTTCGGGAGCGGACGATCTGAGTATGCTGGATGTATAACAGAGCTGTATCTCTCGTCCGAACCTCAAGAGTGGCTGGTCGAGGGTACTGACTTCTGCCACGATCAAGGGTCGCGAGTGCTTTCTGTGCATGGTACAATAAGTGATACCATAACAGAGTCGTGCCCATATATGATCGCCGACAGTTGGGGTACTCCCAAAGATGGCAAGTCTCAGTATAAATACGACGAGACTCTCATAGATGATTTCTGCTCCAGGGTAGACTACAACGTAGTTGGACGATCCAAGTCGACCAGCGAAATTGTACGTTTCATTAAGTCAGGGGGGTTGTATTTCGCCAGAAATGGACCAGCCGCTCGCACAAGCACGTCCTTTCAGATATACGACAAAACGTATCCAAACAGGCCCATGTGGCGGCATCTCGCGCTCACGGAGTCCGGCAGACTCGTTCTGGTCCTCTGGAACGCGAGAACAGGAGACAAGCTCTGTTTTCTGCCCACGGTGCCGTTGCCACTTGTCGTTCGACCCGTTCAGAAGTATGGCATGCAGTGTCATGAGTTGATTTGTGAGGGGTTCGCGCCGGATCTGATGGCGGATGAGAGCTTGAGGGAGAATAAGGAGTGGATTCAGCTGTGCTGACCCAGGTGGTTACGAGGCTGATCGGGCGGGACACAAGACAAAGCTTTGGAAGACCACCTATCTTACGTTCCCTCGTCTCTTTGACAGAATTTGACTCGAATGCTAGCTGCAAACGCTCTGTCAGCGAGCGGAATGGAACTGTAGGCCGCTACAGTAGTTCTGTCTTTGCATTAATAGCACAATTTCATGACTGATTTGGTTCCAGGTCAAAGCTTCATCATTATAGATCAATACCTCAGCCGCTGACCCTGAGCCTCGACCAGCATATTGAAGCATCGTACGATTGATCGATGATTCTTCTATGTCAAAGAGCCCAAAGCTTTCGTTCGCGTACTGCCTAGCAAAGTTCGTGCCCCATCAACCGTGCAGATCGTTAACTAAATCGCTTTTCCCGATCCATGACTGCCCCCGTAGCAACATCCTTATCCGAGTTATTCTCTGTAGCAACGTCATCTGCGAGGCCGAGAGTAGTCTTTGCGGTCTCAATCGAAATGTCGTGTGGGAGACGCTGCTCATTCTTGACCGGATCTCCGGGGGTAGCGAAAACTACGTCGAGCTCTTCCAAGGACCGCTGCCTGGTCTCTACCAGGAAGAAGTAGATGACGGGCACGAACAACGCATTAAATACGGCGTAGTAGATATATGTCTTCCACCCGAGGTTTGAAAATGATGTGGGAATTGTCATGACCACCAGGAAGCAGAAAGTCCAGTTGCTTACTGAACCTAGTGCGGCGCAAGGGGCTCGAGCGCGCAAGGGCGCGATTTCGGCGGCGTAAAGAAAAGGGCCACCAACCCATGCTAAACCTATTGTTTACCTGGTTAGGGAACGGTATTTGTGTGGAGGAGAGGGCTTGGTTCTTACCGAAGAAGGTGTTGAAAAGGAAGAGCAGGCCAGCACCAGCAAGTTGGTTCGATCGAGAGCTAGTGGACAGCAATATCGGAATAACGATAAAGCAAGCGGCCATACCCGAGGCGGTCCACATGAACGCCTTGCGACGGCCCAATCCTTCGATCAGAAAAACGGAGAGAAGCGAGCAGAAGGCGTACTCTGTGCCACCGCAAGCGGCAATCAAGTGTGACATTCCAGGACTCAGGTCGAAATTAGTCGATAGGATTTGGTTCGCGTAGGTCGACACCATGTTAATGCCGGACAGTTGTTGAGCAGCGTTTACGAATACACCCAGCAACATGCGGCGGAACGTCTGCGTTTTACCATTCTGCAGCAATTCCCGGTACGCAAAGGGAGCTTGAGCCTTTTGTGCCTCGTGGCTAGCCAGGATACCGTCGAACTCGGCAATAAAGACTGGATCTGACTCATCTGTGCCGCGGAGCTTTGACAGGACCTCTCGAGCGTCGGCTAACCGGCCATGTGAGACGAGCCAACGAGGACTGTTTCAATTCAGCGATCTGTAGAAGGAATAAGGGGAATAGTGTTTAGCTTACCTTTCGGGGAGAAACATGATGAAGCAGAAAACGATTGCTGCTGGGAGCAACTGGATTGCCACAGGAGCCCGCCACTGGACTTGACCCGAGGTGTAATAGAAGCCGAGTCCGACCCATTGTCCACAGGCAACGCCAGAAGTCTGTAGACCGCCTTCAATCATGACCCAGCGACCGCGAGACTTCGGTTTCGCACATTCAGACTGCCATGCAGGCACGGTCGCAACTTGCAAGCCCAGGCCAATCCCTGAGATTAGACGTCCAACGACCATCTGGGCGATGTGCCATGCTGATGCTTGCAAGATACCACCAACCAACATGAATGTCATGCCGATGAATACAGTGCCTCTTCTTCCCCAATTATCTCCACAGAAGATGCAAACGATCGCTCCGAAGAGAGCACCCAGCTCAAGACAAGCTATAACAATCCCTTGTATAGTCGCGTCGGTGGTCTCGGGGAAGACAGACAGGAAGGGCTTCTCGGTGATGATGCCACCCATGACAGACATATCATAGCCAAAGAGCCAGAAGGCGCAGGTTGCGATGGTGGCGATGGCAAGTTGTAGTCGCAAGCCACTCAAGCCCATGGTTGAGGTATACGGAGTGAGCTCCATAATGGCTAGGCCCAGTATAAAACCTCAAGAATGTTTAGTAAGCTGTCACTGAGCACTGGGAGAATTTGATCGTTTTCACAAATGAGGAGCACTACTCGACGAACTGGACGAACAATCTCGCCGTGCCCCAAGGTGTTTATGTAGATATAGGGCACTCCTAGGAGAGTATACAATGGATTCGTAAGTTTATCCCGATCTACACCCAGGGAAAGTTATCGTTTGTGGTCCCCGCAATCAAGACTACCTTAGGAGGGAAGGTGCCCCAGAGCTCAGAGCGGAATGAGCAGGTCTTGACGCTGAGATTGTACAATTGGAGAATGTGAGTGGCGTTGAATACTAGATCTCAAGGTTGAGGCCAAACTTTTGGCAAGCATCGAATTCCATTCTGCCGTCCCGTTTAAGCGATTTAGCCGTTGACTTTCTGTCCGCAAATCGGCTTGATTCCGACTGCTCCTAATCCGTCATTGTGGCTTCCTAGCCAATGCTGTCCTGGCACACGTCCCCGCATTATACCCCAGTAAATACCAATCAAAGCTTCATCTCGGAGACGACATCCTTCCATAGCAATCAACTTGGCTGACTCTTGACCCTACACTACCTACCGTTTGGGCATTAATGCTGATTGACAGCCTACCTTGTTGTGCCACCGGACAAAGTTCAAGTCTTAAGACTGAACAACGTAACTTGAATGCTCCGAAAACGTTGCATATAAGGATCGATAGCCCTCGAAGCATGCGTTGGTGATAATTCGTCTCTCTGGCTTGGCAGTCAAGACACAGACATTCTTCCGTGTTTCGCTCTTTTGCTATTTAGTACTAAAGTTTGTATCAATTATGGCTATCTTACCTTGGACAGGCAAGCCACTGAGCCTCAAAGTCATCGGCACCAATGCTGGTACCTCAATGGACGGTCTTGATATTGCGCTTATGCATTTTACTCAAGAGACGCCTCAAAGCCCATTGAGAGTACGCCTGGTGCACGCAGGTGAAGTGGCGTTCGATGGCGACTTGAAGAAAAGGGTCATGAGACTGATCAAAGAGAACAAAACGTCGCCAGAGGAGATTTCGATTGTCAACATCCAGCTAGGCGAGTTTACAGCCAACGCCATCATTCACTTTGCTGAGCAATATGGCTTCTCCTTACAAGATGAAGTAGACATCATCGCTGGGCAAGGTCAGACGATTTGGCATCTTCCTCTCCCCGAAATGTTTGAAGGAGATCAGCAAAGAGCACATCTGGACATGGCAGAGATCTCTGTAATCGCTGCCAAAACAGGTGTGACCAGTCTCTCTAATTTCCGCGTCAGTGACATGGCGCTCGGAAGACAGGGATGTCCTTTGTTTGTGGCATGGGATGGACTAGTGGCAACACATCCTACCAAAAATCGCGCGGTCCAGAATATCGGAGGAATCGCTAATATCACCATGCTCCCTATGGGCGATGTTCGAAAAGGTTACGATTTCGATACCGGCCCAGGAAACGTCTTCATCGACGCTGCTGTCCGCTACTTCACTTCGGGTCAGCAGCAGTACGACAAAGATGGGGTCCTAGGAGCAAAGGGCACTGTCGATGAACGTATCGTTGATGAGGTCCTGAAAGACCCCTATTTCCTACATGATATTCCCAAGACCACCGGACGAGAAACCTTCGGAGACCACATGGCCGAAGAGATCTGCAAAAAGATGCTAGCTGAAGGCGCTCGTCCTGAAGACTGTGTAGCGACAATCACACGTATCACAGCAAAAGCGCTAGCAGATGCATATGACCGATGGGCACCGAAAGGTGGAATTGACGAGGTCTATCTTGGTGGTGGAGGATCCTACAACCCAAACATCATCAACTATCTCCGGGAGAGGATGCCAACTACAACCTTCGCTTTCCTTGATGATTTGGGGGTGCCAACAGGATCTCGTGAAGCTATGGACTTTGGATTTAAGGGCTTGGAATGTATGTTAGGTAGGTCATTGATTGTTCCGCAGAGAGTCGAAAGTTCGCGAGCGGGAATCATTGGCCATATACAGCCTGGCTCGGGCCTTTCCTTTCATCGACTTATGAAGCATGTACAGGATTTCTGGGGCACATATCCGCTGGAAAGGAGGATGGATCCCGTACTAGAGATGGAGGTTCTGAGAGCGTCGGAAGCGGAAGGGCACAACGGCTTTGAACACACCAAGACATAAAGCGATCGTGCTATAGCCCGGAGTAGTGTTTTCACAGTGGTGCAAGCCCACCCAACTCTCCCTCAGAGGAACGTCCGCCAATCTAACACATTCCACAGAGAGATGTGTCTTACATACTTAAGCATTCCGGCTAAGCTCCTCCAAGACCGCATCTGCAGTCTTCCAACCCAACTTCAGCCAACGCGTTTCCTCTCCTTCCCCATCGACGAGCTGACTGCTCCGAACCCATCGCTTGCCGAATATCATCAACCTGGGAATCACCTGCTTCGCAGCCTCTAGCCGACTGAATATGTTCTTCACCGAGACCGCGTCGCCTTTGCACAATACCAGTATCCGAACGAGCAGCAGCTCCGCCCACAGCTGCGCCTTGCTCTCGCCCTTCAACGTATGCAAGTCCACCACCCTTAGCAGCGCCAGACTCACACACCCCGCATGGATTAAGCTGGCATACAGTCGCGCAACATTGCTCAGCTCCTGCATCTCGACTTCGTCACTTTCCTCATCGTAGCTTTCCGCGCCATCGTCCTCGCCATCGGCATTTGTCCCTCCAATCTTTCGCAAGAACCCCCAGCCCGCAAACTCGAATCCCTTGCTCAAGCGCTTCGCTTTATCTCCGAGCGTGCACAGCCGCCGCGCAACAACGTCGTAGAAGCCGTTGTACTGCGGCTCGGCGCCACATGCACGTACCAGCACGCGCGGGATCTCCGGGATCTGGGCATTTTTGAGGTTGAGCTTAAGTAGCCGAGCGTGTGCTTCCAGCGCCGAGGGGGATGTAGCGAGGGCGGTGAAGATTGTTACTGCTAGGGGAGTGGTAAGGTGCAAGTGGCGGGCCAGAGCAGCGTAATCTGGTTCAGCGGCCTCGGCAAATTCGTTTGCGAGCAGGTCGTTGTCCTCATCGGTAGGTCGAACACCAGGTGTGGAACTACTTCCATCATGCCCCTTCCAGCTAGCGCCGACCAGCCACCATTTTCCCTTCCTGTCTGAGTTGCGGATGTCGTTCAAATCGATCCGGAGTGGGGCTTGCGCCGGCAGAGAGCCGAGCGCTTTGCGCATACGGCTGATGTGTTCTTTCGTGGTGCCGATGTCGACAGTGCTTTGACGGAGCTTGTTGTTCTTGAGATCGACAATCGTCTCGAGCATGAACTTTGTGCGCACACTTATAACCTTGCCTTGAGTTTGCAGGTCAGCGGTAGCTTGCTGAGTCAGGGACACGATGGTCTTAAGCGCGCTAGGGTCGTCGGACCGTAACTGTGGGCCGCAATCCCGGATCAGGCGGAGGAGAAGCTCTGTGTTGCTTTCGGAAAGAGGTGTGAGGAGTAGGCGGATGAAGGAGTAGATTAGCGGGGTGTCTGTAACACCAAATGTGAAGAGGTTGGAGAGAAGAGATACCAAGTTGAGAGGCTCCTTCGTGGTTGCGTCCGTGGTATGGTAGTTGAGAAAGCGGTCGACCAGACCGGAGAGAAGCGAGGCCCCGAAGTCGACGCCCATGGTGCGGTAGATTGATGCGGCGAAGGCGCCGTGGAGAATGCAGAAAGTATTGCTGAGGATAGACGGTGTGGAGAAGAGTGACAAGAGCAGGTCGATCAAGATGTCCGTAACGGTTCCACGAGGATTGGTGCGATAGAGTCCTTCAATTGACGAGTGAATGGATATGATATTCCCCTCGGAGAGCTTGTTGAGGTGTCCCTGAAGCTGGCGGCGGAGGCGAGTGACAGACTCATGTTCCGAGTTCTGCATTTTGCGAAGCGATGGCGGAACATATTTGGCAGTGGCCGTCGAAGCGGTTACAGGAGCCACGTAAGGATTTTCGCGAATTCTCGGTGATGGACGTTCTGGGGCAATATCGTCCTCATCAGAGTCGAATCCAGTAAAATCGTCATCCGCATCCAGATCCATACCGCCATCCTCGTCTTCGCTATGACCATCGTCGCTGTCTGCAACCTCACTGTTGGAATCGTTTGACCAGGACATGCCCTCATCCAAGTCACTCCCGGTTTCACTGCCTGAAATCCCATTCACTGCCTGATGCGCTTGACCTTGACGCTTGGCCTTTCGCCGTTTGTCTTTGAGCCACTCGTCCGCTTCTCGCCTTCTACTCGTCCTCTCGTCTTCCTCTTCAGGTTCGAGTCCGAACAGCTCCTCCAGGCCGTCATCATTGCCCGCTTTTCTTTTCTTGCCTTTGATGCCAAGCCTTTTCTCAAGTGCTGCAATCTCATCGTCATCTTCAGCCTGCTTATCTTTATAAGATCGTGAACTGGCATCCAGCACGATCTCGGGCGAGTCTCCCCGATATAAACGCTCGTAGTCCCCATTGGCTTTGTTGGTCTCTTCACCTAAGTCTTCTGGTGGGGACGTTTCTGGTCGCTTCAGCATAGACTTCGTCTTAGGTTGTTCTCGTGGTGGTGATCGAACACGAGACTTCGTCTGAGTCTCCTGGGATGGAATTGCAGGATCATCTGAGACGGCATCAGACTCCTCAAATGCTTCGTCCTCGGATTCAATATCCTGTCTCGATCTCCGCTTCCCTGGCGCAGGTTGCCCTTGACTATGTCGCACATGCTGTCTCTTCTCGATTCTGTGCGCTTTGCGCTGTTCCTTACGATTCTGAACACCGTTATTGCGTCTTTTCTGGGATAGCTCAAGCCCGAGCTCTTGCTGGAGGGCCTGCGGCAAGTGTAGGCCTCGCCGCTGGCGGGACATTTTAGGGCTGTTTGTGGTGAGCGGCGGCAATAGCAGCGCTGTCAGAGCGCGTTGAGACTTAGATACAAATAAACATTTTATCACGACTCGCAAAAGCCCTCCGCATAGCCATGCAACGTGCTACATGAGTGCTCGCCGGCGAACGTTGCGCGGACAACTTTTTTGAAAATGCGGGGAGATAATCGGAGATAAAGATCCCCCCACCACGACATTGGCTCTCATGAATCTGCATGCTACTTGTTACCACAAACTATTCTTCACCCGATCGGCGCCACACACCCCAGTCCAGCTCTACAATCATGGCGGAAGCCAACCGCCTCTCCAACGCAGACTTCCTCTCTCGCCTCGCCGACCTCTTCGCCTCCACCCACACCGCCAACCACGGCTCCGTCTTCCTCACCCAGAAACCCTACAACCCAAACTCCTTCACCTCAGACGCCGATGCAGACACAACCTCCGACGAAACCGAACAGCCGCCCTCATCTCAACAGATACTAGTCCGCGCAACCAACGGTCTCTCCTCCAAGCCACGCCATGGCGTGAAAAAGTCCCCCGCGAAGACGAAGCCGAAAGTGAAGATCAGCACGGTGGTTGACGCCGGCGAAGTAGAGGGCTTCTTTGCGCGGTACGCAGATGTGTGCAAGGGAGGCATGCAGGGGTTGCGGAAGCGGGATCGGAAGAAGGGCAAGAAGAAGGCGAAGGGAAAGGGAGGGAAATGAGTGGGCGAGAAGCGTGTGCTGGAGGAGAATGGAGAATGACATGATTCCAGGCAAGCAGTTTCTACGATTGAACGCCTGTGTCTGTGAATGGCTTTGACGGCTTCTTATCAGGCGACGAAGAGTGATAGTGCGCTGCCTGCATCGAGACCGCTTGCCCAGATCCCAAATGGCTCGAGCAGGTAAACCGGCCATGGTGCCAGTCTGAATTACAAGGCGAGCTATCAAAAGTCAAGGGCGCCCGACTTACCTACATACCCTTATGAGGCGCTAGGCCACCAACTCACAGGTTGGCAGGGACTCAAATTGGAGGCATGGTACGGCTGAAGCTTCAAAAGTTGTTAAATCTGGTATCTCAGGTATCTGCTTGCCCCTTGCCGCTATGCTGCTATGCCGCGCACTATGATGTCGCAATAGAGGAATGGACATTCAGCAAATGAAATCCCGCATCTGTTCTGTTCGAACAGAATTGGTCCCTCGCACCGAATATATTACAATGGGTATGTGGCATTTCTGCCCGTTCGTCAAATCGTGAGATCTTTCTTAATCGAGATCGTCTGCGAACAGAGAATCGACATCCGTGTCACGTTCTTTTTCCTTTATCGTCGCAACCTTGGGCTTCGCTGCGGCTGAGACTGGGCTCCGCGTCCGCCCTCTTATGGGGACACCAAAGTCATCTTCTTCCGTGTCATCATCGCGGGCGATATGGTCAGGAAAGCTTGGATTCCGAGCATGTCGGCGTGGCTGCTGAGGTCTTTGGAATAGTCCACCGCTCAGAAGGTCGTTGAGAGTAGCGCCGCCGGCTATCCTGGACAGCACGTGAACAACCAACGCTACCATCTCGATTGGCTTCACGACTGCAATTGAGGCAGCTTTCTGGATTATGGCTGTTACAACCTGACTGCTTGGCTGCGGTGGTGGGGGAGTGACAACGATACTGGATGGAGGTAATGGTGACAGTGAGCGTCGAGAATGCAGCCGTTGTCGCAAGCCATCCTGGATATGGGCTGATGGGGTTTGTACGTCTGACCAGGAGTCGTCAGACGCTGTAGATTGAACCAGATTAGGTGTTCCTGGCTGATCTCCATCATGCTGGTCCTGACAGCCGCTCAGGGAGGATGCAGTGACTGTAATGTCGGATATATCTCGTTTATGTGAAAAACGGCTTGTGCCTAGAGGATCGAAGTGTTCTGCCATCGGCGTCGGGTCGGTGTCGACTAGAACAGGGTCATGTTCGGGAATTGTGTCAACGGTATGAAACGAGTCAGCCGTTGAAACAACGCTTTCCGTATCGTCTGCGATCTCTGCCTCGGGCTCTGGGGCTTCCGTTGATACCTCGCGAAGCAAACGGGTGTATAGCGTGTCAATTGAGCCCATGGGCCTTAAACCGGGCGATGGTATTTCAAGGAGATAATTGGGCTTGCTCCCTTGATCGCCATTTAGTGCCTCGGAAACGGGTTTAAGATCCCCAGCAATCGTCTCGACCTTGGGTTCCAAGAAAGATTGAACCTGTGGAGAGTCCGAGCTTTCGACCACGGACCCTTGTGTTTCGGTGGGGAACCTGCTCCCCGTAGATTCAAGGTTCACAAGGGTGGGCACAGGGTCGCTACTGCTGGCCGGGGCTTGATCGTTGGGTGCTGCGCTGACTTGGGCATCTGGCGCAGAGATGGACGCGACATTGGGTTCATGTTCTGCGCTCTGTTCAAGTTGCTGACCCACAACGGGGGCTATTCGGGGCGCGAGCGGTGTAATATTGGCTGTGCCATTTATAGTTCTCTCTGCGTCGCTAAATTGGTTTGCTACTGTGCGAGACCCATGGTCTGTGGCACGTACAGCTGTCGACTCGGCCTCCGAGTCTCCGCAGTCTTCGTGCCCGAGATCTTCGCTCGAAACAGCACTTGCGGGTGTTCGAGGTCGTGAGGGCGGCTGGGAAGATGGTTGCGGTTTTTCGAAGGCGGCGCGCCTTTCTGCAACGGATCTTCTCCTCTCCAGTTGGAGTGGTCGGATGGGCATACTCGTGTCCGATACGTAGTCGGATGCGCGCCGCTTGCTGAAGGACCCCGGGAATGAACTTGGCGGCGTGTATGAGGTCGGTGGACGCGAAGTCTTCCACACCCTTGGGGCAGGCGAATCGACATCGGGCGATGTAACAGCCTCGCCTTCGCGTCTTGTCCACTTTCCCTTGCGCCTCGGGGTGATGGCATCGTCGGGCAAATCGACGTGGAACGCTCTTTTGAAAGGACATGGTGTCTTCTCATACTTGAGGACCGTTGGTAGAGCTGCTTTCAGTTCTTCAACTTTTGCCTTGTCGTCGGCGGTGGTGTTCGGTAGCTCGATCCTGTAGTACTGCAGACGCCCTTTTCTCAACACAAATTTGGACTCGCCGTCAACACACCAGCTTTGCGAGTTGCGTAGAATGGAGTGGACAAAATTGTGACCACACTTGAGGAAGTTAACAGATCCCTTGATCTTTTCTATTCTCATCGGACCAGACGCGATCAGGTCTTCTGTGCGGGAGCGCCATGGCAGAGTTTCGATAGTGTCGATGGGATAGTCGGCGTCAACGTGTCGCTCGCCGGATTTCGACACGATGGACTCGCTTGGGGGCGCGAAGCTGAATATGCGGACCGCAGGATGCTGATATAGGAGACCAGAATCCGCATCCGAATCCTTAAGGCCGGCTCTTTCGTGATAGGACAATTGTCGATGCGGGACAGTAAATGACCTCCGAAAGCCCTGGAGTGGGGGTTCCTCGCCGTAGGCTGGCTGATTCGACATGGCGCATTTTCGGAGGTCGCTAGGAGAGTCTCACGGAGGGGGTCGGCGCATTGAGGGCGATTGCGCAGTCGTGGGCAGAAGCTGGCGTGAAGTGGTGAGCGTCGTGTTGGTGTCGGTGTCGCTGTCGGTGTCGGTGGTTGTGGACGTGGATGTGGGCTGCACCTGCCTTTCGCGAAAGTGTCGCGCGACTGCAGCCAATGACGTCGCGACGCTGCACCGTCGTCATCAGCACACGAGGCACTTGCCACGGTTTTCCGTCCTGGACTTCTACTACCTGTGCTCTCAAGTGACAAGATTCGTAGGCCTCTGGACCTCTGTCACTCTCAACATGTCGAACTTCGATCCCAACGCCATCTTGAGAGGTGCCCAACTCACCTTTGTGGGTACCCATCGAGCTCTTCAAAACCCAGGTCTGTTCACTACCAGTCACTACAGACAAGCCGCCATTGCAGTCTGTGCTGGCCTAGCCATCAGGATTATCATCAATGTTCCTATATACGGAATCAAAGTCTTGATCTGGTGCATTGGCCTTTTCGTCAACTTGGACCAGGAGTCTTGGGACGACACTGTGGTCAATGGTCTCGATTTCATATCCAAGTCCGTGTTACAGGTCCCCTTCTTCCTGATGATGATAATGAGTTCTATCACTCCTACCTTGGACAACATGTTCATGGACAGTCTACAGTGGGTCGACCAGACCTATATCCAGAAGCACAAGTCGGATGATCCCACTGAACTGCGTGCCATGTATTACCCTGCCTTGAAGATGTACTCAACTCATGGCGAGAAGGAAAAAATGGAGAAAAGGGGGATCATGGATGGCGTCATACTCTTCGCGACGAAGTACGGCCGACGAGCAGCTATCTCTCTTGCAATCTACGCCCTCACCTTCGTGCCAGTCGTTGGTCCATTTGTGCTTCCGGCAGCTTCCTTCTACACCTTCAACAAAGCCGTCGGTCCGGTTCCCGCAGCCGCCATTTTCGCCCTAGGGCTTGTTATCCCCAAACGCTTCATGGTTCAATTCTTGTCGACATATTTCTCATCTCGCAGCCTGATGAGGCAGTTGCTGGAGCCTTACTTCCAACGTGTTCGTTTCAGCAAAGAACAAAAGAAGATCTGGTTTATTGATCGAGCCGGCGTCCTCTTCGGTTTCAGCGTTGCGTTCGCTGTCATGGTCAAAGTCCCGCTCCTAGGTGTGCTCATATACGGCATTGCGGAGGCTTCTACCGCTTATTTGATCACCAAGATCACCGAACCACCACCTCCACCTGGCAATGAGAAACCGTTCATCGAGAGTGAAGTTCGATGGAAGAACAAGCACTTGTTCCTCGATCTTCCCATGGACCGCCTAGACGAGTTCAACGCCAAGCTGACGGGAGCTGACAAGATTGATACTATCCCTCAGATGCCCCGCAAAAAATTCTCATGAAGTGATGAATGCCAGAAGGAGTGTTCAGTGGAGCCGTATGGGTGATGCTGTCTCATAGCAGTATGCGAGAATGTCCAAATACATTCTACAGGCGCATTCAATTGCAAGAACTCTATCTCGTATCTCCCTTGCCCTCGAACCTATTTGTGGCCATTAACCATCACCCCATTTACGCCGTTGGTTCGGTGGCCAGATAGCTTCATCACATAGCGAGAACGACCCCGACAATCATCCTCAACCCTCGTTAGAGGGACACCTTCCTCCGACACGATGAAACGCTGGTCTTCTGGCAGCAAGATGAAAGTCAGTGACTCCAACCAAGGCAGCTCTACTGAGTTCTTCGCGTCCTGGTGGAATCCCACCGTGACTTTCTCGTCACTTGAAGTGTAGGTAACAGTGAATGAAGAGATGTTTTCCTCCGGCGTGGTGCCATCGTCATCATACCATGTGCTGGAGAATACTTGGCCGTGTGAGCTCCCCTTTGGAGGGAAAATCTCAACGCCACGATAGTCGTCTTCAGGAAGCATTTCGCATGCTGGGCCCTTCTCCCCAGCGGTGCGCGTCTGCACATTCTTGCCCACGGGCACTGCACCGCCAATCTTCGCAAGGATGGGAATGCTGTTCCGCCATGAAGACTCAACGGTCACCCACTGGCCGGACGGGAGGTATTCATAAGGCGCGTTCGTGTTGACGAAGCCATAGTCGAATTTCTCACCCTGGTCATTCTTCCTGGGTAGGTACAGCGTCGCCTTGGTCTCACCGGGTTGGTAAACGCCACCAACCATTAGCGAATCACCAAACCAGTACTGCTCCTCACCATTCTTCAAGAACTTCGTCCACACCTCCGGATCGCTTTCGTAGCCCCAGCCTACCCATCGCTGAGGCGGAGCAGCTGTTAAGTGACCTTCCAACGCTAGCGAATAGATGTACGGCAGGATCTCATACCGTCGCTTGATTGCATCCCTGATGTTGGGAATGATTTCAGGGTACATCCAAGGCTCGATGACCTCGCCAGCCTGGTTATCCTGTGGCGAGGTCTTGAAGCAGTTGATAGCAAAGCGTGGAGAGTGGATGCCGAGCTGGACCCAACGAAGGAGCAGCTCGGGAGACGGTTGAGGCCCCTCGAAGCCGCCAATATCATGACCGAAGCAGTGCAATCCAGACAAGCCAGCGGTCAGGGAGATGGCGTTGGCTCCTTTCATGGCTTCCCAGCTGGTCATGTTGTCACCACTCCAGGATGAGGCGGCATATCTGAAGGTGCCCGGTGTGCCGCTCCTCGTGAGGACGAATGGGCGCTCATTCGGTGCCGCCTTGAGTAGGCCCTGGTACGACGCTTTTGCCATCAACTCGCAGTGCAAAGCTCGACCCCACAGCCCGACGTGGTTTCGCTCTTGTGAATTGATCGACCTCTCGTCGTTCAGAGCCATCGTCCAGTTGTCGTCGGGTAGTGTGTATTCGTTGTTGTCATTCCACATGGCGTCTACACCCTGCTTCTTCAGCTTCTGAACACCCTCACACCACCAGTCGAATGCAGCTTTGGAAGTGAAGTCCAGGTGACCTCCGAGGCCAGACTCGCCACCACCGGCACTCCACAGCTTCATGGTGCCCATCTCGCCGGTCACTGGGTCTGTGAACATACCGTTGTTTTTCTTGAGGTACTCAAAATCCGGATGCGAAGACAAAATGAAAGGCTTGATATTAGACAGAAGTCGAATGCCCTGCTGATGATACTTTTCCAAGAAGCCCTCTGGATCTGGGAAACGGTGCTTGTTCCATGTGAAGACATTTCGCACCTTCGGCTCGACATCTGCAATGGAGTAACCCGAGCTCATCTGATGGGCGGAGCAAGGAATATCGTGCTCCTTTAGCTTTTCCGCAAACTCGGCCAGCACGACGTGAGAAGGCGGGTTATCTTTTGCGCAGTACTTGTAGCCGCCAGACAGGTAACCGAATGCCCACCGAGGTGCCAGCAGCGGATACCCAACAACCTCAGCATACAGACGCACGACATCTTTCAAGGTCCGGCCCACCATGAGATACTCCTGGAGGCCACCATATTCCTGGCGGTAGACCTTGAAGTGGCCCCAGAGACCGTCGATCTCGGAACCCACTGACCAGAAACCTCTGGCATGGGAGGTGGAGAAGACTCCCACCACGCCTTCCGGCGTAGCTTTGATCAACAACGGGACGTGCTTGTACATAGGATCTGTCCGGTACGCCTCGTACCCAAAACAGTCGGTGGCGGACAGGATGAAGGGCCGTGCAGTGAGGTCCATGGGCGCCGCCTTCTCTCCGAGCCCGACATGCAGTGCCTGTCGGTCATGGTTCATGTAGTGCGATGTTCCCTCGCCATCGAGAACGTATGAGCGGTCCGGAAGATCGGAATGGATTGGGACCTGCTTGTCCTTAAACCGCAGAGAAACAAGCGGGGCTCCAGTGAAGTCTATTGTTGCTTGGACATCGTCCACATCGATAGTCGACTCCGTCTGTTTGCCGTGATCGAATGTAGAGGTGGGCTGAGTCTTTGGCTCTTCGCAATTTGGGTATGGCGGTAATGGCGACTTTGCAGTCCAAAACTGGGTTCTGAAGAGTCCTGGGCGGATGGCCTCAAAGGTGAAGTTGGCCGTGCCTTGCCTCGACTTCGATTCTAAAGTAATGCCATTACCGGCTTTGGTGCTAGAGGCCTTTCTTGCCCATTTAGTAGGCACTTCTTCTTGTTGCGGCATGATGGGTGTTGCCGTGCTTTCGATTGTTGTCGTTCTTGGCTCTATCACTCCAGGCTAGAAGGTTTGACAACGGCAGGAGATTTTGAGGTCGACCTTTTCACATGAAGACTTGTTCCCTTGGTGACGCTAATTCCGAGGAGGGCGCCCTGTGAAGTTGGATGGGTCTTGAACGGCATCTGGTCCGACAATTACTGGCACGTGTACGGTACTGCATCGGAAGCCATCTTCACGTACGGTCCGAAACCCCGAGATCTTCTTTGAACAGCCGGGTCATAATTGGCGAATGCGAGGACTGCTGTCAGACCACTTCTTTTCGCGGTCTCGGCACAGCGACTGGGCAATCAAGGAGCCCTTGGCAAGAGTATTGGGTGTCAGACTGTGCGCCATGCTCCCCACGATCACCCCAGAACTCCGGGCAGCCGACCCTACACTCCTTGCCAGCTTCTTGCTAGCCCCGCAAGGCAGTTGATCCGAATCCCGCAACAGCGGTTTGACTTTTGCTACGGTCCTTAACTCCCGACCGCTCTGCTTCGCTCCTTACCCCATTCAAGTCAGGATCATGCTGTGGGGGGGCAACATCGGCCCACGGGGCGACAGCTCGCTCCAGATTCGGGACATGGCCCTGCTTTGAGACGATTTAAAAGCTGAGGAGTCCTCGCGGCAGGACGATCATTGAACAGCACTCACTTCCATCGTATTCCTTCCAGAGCAGCCTCATTGGTGGTCTTGAGCACCGTGTCATCAATCATGGAGGACACCATCACCAAATCCCCTGCCCCCGGCGAGCCCAACAGCACTGCTGCACAAGAGCAACGCCGTAGTCTGGACAAATTGAATGTCAGCGACAAGGAAAAAGACCGCGCCAAAGAGCTCATTCAGCGAGTTGGCCACCGAGTCGAGTTGACGCCGGAAAACAACAAGCGCGTGTGCCGCAAGATCGACCTGAGAGTCCTTCCCGTTATCCTCTTCGTCTATTTCCTACAGGCCCTCGACAAGGCCACGCTTGCGTATGCGTCGGTCTTCGGCCTCATCGAAGACACAAACCTCGTTGGGAACGAGTTCAGCTGGCTTGGGTCTATCGTCTATGTCGCCCAACTCGTTGCGCAGCCTCTAGTTGCCTGGTGCTTGGTCAAGCTCCCATTGGGCAAGTTCCTGGCAACTACAGTCTTGCTCTGGGGAGCGATCCTATCCATCATGCCTGCCGCGCATAACTTTGGTGGCCTGATGGCAACCCGGTTTCTGCTGGGTCTCTTCGAGGCTGGAGTTGCGCCTACTTTTATCGCAGTCACTCAGATGTGGTGGCGTCGGCGTGAGCAGCCTGTCCGTCTTGGTGCTTGGTACGCGATGAACGGCATCACCAACATGTTCGGCTCTCTGATAACATATGGCCTCGGCCACATCGACACCCCGCACCTGAAGAGCTATCAGATCATCTTCCTCTTCTTTGGCCTGATCACCGTCGCCTACTCCGTCGTGGTGTTCTTCTTCATGCCCGATAGTCCGACAAAGACCAAGATCCTCAACGAGGAAGAAAAGATCATTGCCATCGAAAGACTTCGGCAGAATCAGCAAGGTATCGAGAGCTACTCTTGGAATATGGCACACGTCCGAGAGGCGGCTCTGGACTTCAAGACTTGGGGTTGGGCAGCTATGATGTTCTCCATATCGGTCCCTTCTGGGGGTATTTCCACCTTTGGTCCGCTCATCATCCAGTCTTTCGGCTACAACCGCTTCGAGACCATCCTCTTCAATATTCCTTTTGGCGCGGTACAGATTGTAGCCACCCTCGGTGGCGCGTGGGTTGCAACAAAAATCCGCAGAAAGGCTCCTGTCCTCATGTTCTTGAGTCTGCCACCTATCATTGGATGTCTGATGCTGCTCTTCCTGCCCCGCGGTGCAGGGCACAAAGGACCACTCCTGGTGGCGTACTACCTGATCTCCGTCTATCCCGGAATCACGCCCCTCATCTATTCCTGGTCAGCTGGCAATACAGCTGGCGAGACGAAGAAGAAGACCACCACTGCTGTCCTGTTCATCGCACAGTCTGCTGGCAATATTCTCGGCCCAAATCTCTACACTCCAGCAGAGAAACCACTCTACCGTCGTGGCTTGATCTCAAACCTGGTGCTATTCATTGTTTTGATCCTTCTGTACATCTTACAATGGGGCTACCTACTTTGGCGCAACAAGAAGCATGCATCTCGCCGAACGGCTATGGGCAAGAATGCTGATCGCGTTGACAAGTCGATGAACAAGGTCACTGAACGCCAAGAGGGCGACGAGAAGCATGAAGTTGAGGAGGTGGAATCAGGAGATAACTCTTTGGACGACCGCACTGATTTCGAAAACGAGGACTTTATCTATACTTACTGAAGAGTACCTACTTAGCTCAGTCTGCTTGCATGCGATATATACTTGAACACACGTTTTTCACGGCCTTCTATGTCTCTGTGATGTTCTCTGTAACGTGCATAGTCTAGCCACCCGACTACAACGAGATCCTGCGCGCACTTGGAATATAATTGCCCAGGTTTTGACCCTAATCGACCTGCCGTGAAGCCCACTCCCTCGGACGGGCGACAGTCACCCTAGACATGATCCACTACTCCCAGTTCCGAGCGCTAGCTGCCATGCTGAAGTAGGGTGGTCGTCGTTGCAAAGACCGAGGTGCATCAAGCATTCCACATATAAACGTGTGCCAAGACACGGGAGCTCTCTCCTTACCACGCGACCTCTCCCCATTTTTCTCCGCCCTCACCCCGACTTTCTCCCCTCACTTACCACGCTTTTGGTGCGTCAAGGGTCGAGTTTGCCCCTCAAAGGATGAATCCAACGTCCCCTATGCGGCGATGGCGGACACGGCCAGCTCAGCGGATGAAGTGAACAACAGCCCGTCGAGGAGTCCCCCAGGCACAAGCGCCACCCGGATCCGCAGAGTCACAAAAGCCTGTGGGCCATGCCGTCAGTCGAAGCTGCGATGTGATGGCCAACAGCCATGTACTCGCTGCGGGAGGCTCGGCAAAACGTGCATCTATATGGCGCGCCCACCAGACCCGACTGAAGAGCGATTCGAGCGCCTGGAGGCTGAGGTGCTGCAGTTGAGAGAGCAGATTGCTTACATCCAAAACCAACAGGCAGCCAGCGCGCAAGCGCAACGCAGTATTCCGCAGCACGACGCTATGAATAGTTATGTAACTACTTCCACATCCTATGGCGCCGGAGTGTCGTCGCGCTCCCTGGTCCAACCAAGTCCTCGAGGCAGCTATGGCAGCGCGGCCGGCGCAAACACTTTCAATGCAGGCCCTCCTACGTCCTATCGAGCAGCTACTTCTTTCGATCGGGCCTCGCCTTCGATCAACAGCAACGCCGTCACATCCCCACTCTCGGGTCTGGGCGAGGGCCGCAAGCGGAAACGAAACCAGATCGAGCTTCGCCGGGATGTACCTTCCGACTTCGTCACCAAAGGACTCATGAGCATTGAACAGGCGCGAATGTTCTGGGTATCCTTCTTCCAAGGCTGCGACAGGTTTGTCCCAGTCTTTGATCCCAACTATGACACCTTTGATTCTGTCCGCATGCGCAGCAGTTTCTTGTTCAATGCCATCTGCACGATGGGTTGCACCGTATCTGGGAGTGATGCGCAACTCCCTCATGTGCTCAACTTTGAGCTCAAGAAGCTTGTCAATCAGGTGGTCATGACGCAGGAGCGGCAGTCGCTAGAGGCAGTTCAAGGCTTGCTGGTCATTGCTTGCTACTCGCCCGAACGGTCGCTGGTCTTGTCATTTGCAGCGCGCCTCGCCTTGGAGATCGACCTACCAAGTGCTTTTGATGACCTCACTGCTTCTTTAATGGCTACGGAACAGACATCGACCGTTGACAAGGCGCATCTTATACGCTGCTCACGGACATGGTTCGAACTGCTCGTGCTTGAGAACATGCTCCAAGTCGACGCCGGTAAGCTACCAAGCTTTGCGTCCAAGGGTTCTGCGAGACGATGCAGAGTACTCTTACAACAGACGGAGACTACGCTGCTTGATCTCCGCCTGCTTTCTCAGGTTGAGCTCAACTATCTTCGTACCAAGATTCACGATGCCCTTGAAAAGCGGGACGGCGGTTCTGATGAAGATATCCTGGATGAGATCCGAGATGCACGCATCGACATCGATCTCTGGTTCAACGATTGGAAATCACTTATGGAGCACTCGTCAATCGCCGGCGCCGAGCGTCCAATGCTATTGATCAATCTACGTGTGCAGCGCCACTGGTGCGAAGCCATGTTCTACTTTCGCGGCCTGAAGTGCCTCGGCATTGAGAACATCGATGCCATGGGCCCGGCCGGCCGGCAGCTCCTAGCTATGGCCAAATCGTCGCTCAAGGCTCACCTCGCAACCACACTCGAGGAGCCGAATTTCTACCTCGCCAACCTGCGCTTCGCTATGGACTTCTCCTGGGCAAAATGCGCCTTTTGCTTCCTCCTCGTCCTGAAGCTGACGCGCCTCCTCCCCGAGAGCGAAGAGGATAACTACCGCCTCCTGGAGGACGGCAACAAGCTCTACCAGCACCTCAGCAATGCCGGCACCTATGCTGGCAGCAGCACGAGCCGGCTCTACGTCCAGGTCCTGGGCGTCAGTCTCGAAAAGTATGGCCGTGCCCTACGACAGTATCAGCAGGGTCAGCAGAGCCAGTCGGCCGGCCCAACCTTCTTCTGGGAGTCTAGCGACGCCAACTTGGAGCTGCAGAGCTTCGTGCCCGAGCAATTTGTCTTCGAGTGGAATTTCCCCGGTTTGACCTTGTTCTCGAGCCCGACGGCTTGGCAGGAGTTCTTTGATGACTATCTTTTGGGGTTTGGGGGCGAGAGTGGCCAGCAGACTAGTGTATGAGACTGTTGAGAAATGGCTGTCGTCCACGTAAAATCCAAATGCTCCATGATGTGGATGGCACGATGCGTGACATTGGGGTGCGGAGCCCCAGCAGACGAAGGAGAATTGCGGAAGCATGAACGATGTAGAGCAATGTGCTAGTATCGTGACTGTATTGCAAGGGTGAGGGTTGATGATCATTAGGTTCGGAACGAATTCCACATATAGCTGGGAAATTAAGGGGACAAGCGTCGCTGAGACTCCTCAACCATGTGACCAGCGATGGACAGATCCTGGCCCCAAGCTGGCTTCTCTCCAAGGGTGACAAGGCTAGCGCGCAGCATGCCTCACGTCACACAAGGTGGAAGACCTTCTCTTCATACTTGCCATTCGAGAACTCTTCATACGTCTCCCCATCCATGCATTTGTTGAGGTAGCACTCCTCCACCAAAAGATAGTTGCCCTTGTCCGTAGGCCGCAGCACATACGGCATCTGCGCGCCGAAGAAGACCACGATGATATCTCCCAACTTGCTGTTATCAGGCACAGTCCCTATGCGACCTCGCTCCGTGACCACGAACCGATCATGGCTGTTCAACAGGTCTGAGCGGAACTCGAGACTCGGGTATGTGTTGGTATTGGAGGCGCTGAGCTTCGCGAGCGTCTCCTCGAATTCGTCGTCCAGATAGTTGAACCGTCGTGAAAGATTGCCGTGGATGGTCCGCCAGAAATCTTCGTCTTTATGGCCGGCGCGTCGAGCTGCGGCGCGGGATTGGAGGATGTCGGGATCAATCTTCAGGCCGCTGTCGGTTTTGCTCTGGCGACATCGGTGGACCTGCACAATTTGGTCGATCTTGTAGCCGTAGACACTGAGCGTGTCGTCCTCGGCGCCGGCTTCTGGAGGCAGAGTCCGGGGCGTGGTGGATGCAGCTGCGCGGTAGAGGGGATCTCTGCCGTCTAGGCCCAGCAGATGTTCGTCATCTATAAAGAAGGTCATGTAAGTACCTTCGAGTTCTTTCAGCTCGCCCTCGTCGTTTGTTGGGATCCAGGATGGTGCGGCCTCGACGCCACCAAAGGAGAGGACAGAAAAATCTTTCTTCAACTCAATGTATGTTCGCACGAAGCGCTTGAAGACCGCAGACGCAGACAAGGTGTAGTCTGGTGGATTCAGAGCGTTCAGAGGGTCGCTTGTTAAGGTCTCCATGGCGAAGAGCCGATCACGGGGATCCGCGCATTTGGCATCTCTCATCAGCTTCATCAGTGCCAGCAAGGATAGATTGTCTTCAGGTATACCAGCAAACTCGGACCCGGGCGGATGCTTTTGCTTCTTCCCGGCTGTATCAGCAAGGTAGTGACCTGCGAAGAACAAAGGACCGGCTGGTATGAGGCCGTTCAGATCGTCGTCATGTAGAGTCATGGTCTCAACGAAACCATAGCCCAACAGGACTTTGTGCACATCCGCGACGAGGTTGTTGGAAACGAATGACGCTTCCTCAGAGAATGCTAGCTCGGGCCAGATCCACAGTCTTTCAAAGTACGAGGAGTGAAGAGCAGCAGAGACTGCTTCCCAACCGCCATCATCAAGCACTGACCCGAATCTGGAGAACTGACTGTGGCGGCGGGATTCTCTCAAGAGCCTCGTCAAAGTCTTTCTACTAGAGAACAGCGGCGAGTCGCCCGAGATTCTTAATAGAAGTCGCGCCTCTTCTGCCGCTCGACTCAGGCGGAGGCGTCCCGATAATAGGTTCCCCCTTTCCCGGCGTATTTTCTGCAATTCGAGCCGTAGATCGTTATATTTGCCAGAGCCCAGATGTTCAAGGAGCCTCATGCCACGTTGGAAGTCCCCGTTGGACTCATGGTAGTCTAACCAGGCGATTGTGTGCTTGCTGCGTTGGTAGATTTTGTACATGCCTTGTACCTGGTAGGACTTCTCCAGGTCGTCCGCCTGGTGTATACATATGGCGTCAGCCCAGATGACCCTGGGTCGATCATGGAGCCTGATATGCTGTAGTGCCGTAGCCAGCGTTGCGTAGATTGGTAGAGTTGACCCATCGACCATGATAGGGCGCGTGTCGTTCGGATCCCCGCAGACGTATGAGATAGCTTCGTAAGGTGGAGCTTCTCCACGGAGGTGTACACCAAGTTGGCATTTCAGAGGGTCGTCGATGGATGCTGCTGGCAGAAGCCTCGCTAGTCTGATGTACGTACTATTGTCAGGAAGCTTGTCGAAGCTGTAGGCAGAACCGGGCTGCTCTGCGGCTCCGTTCATAGTTGTTTACCCCGTTGGATGATGTTTGGGCACACTTTCTGGTTGCCTTAGCTCACTCTGCCGCCGCAAGTATCATCGACGACCAGACGGGAATCATTCGAATAAATGACGCGGTATCTTGCCATTAGGCTGGAAGAGCTCGAACAAGCTGAGGTTCATGATTGTGGGGAGTGGGGGCCACAGTCGGCCGCCTTGCTACTAACCCTATCAAGCTACGATATGCATAATAGCTGCATCAAGAAGGTTCGATGTTGCACGGTTTACGTTCAATGATGGGAGAAGGGTGTTGATTCAATCATCTCCTCGATACTTGTCGTCCAGGGGGCCTTCGCGCGTCCATATATTCATGCCCGTCTTTTGACCCTTTGTGACGGGTAGTCCCGCGTGTAGCGTCCGCTCATCGCCCCGACCGCCTGGGAGCAAGTTCATCCAGAAGACCGCACTTCTCTCAACGGGTCGGAAAGTCAGACCATTGTCCCACGGCTCGTCACAGTCAACGTATCCACACCACTCTTCGGTGGCGCCACCGACTCCTGGCTTGAAGAAGCCAGTGCCGAGCGATTCGACCTTGGGTACACCAGGAGCATCCAAGAATGGGAAGCGTGTCCCTCCGCCCACAATGTCTTCAGAGACTTGAACGTAGACGAAAAAGCTCGACAGGCGATTTCCGCCAAACTCTGGGCCCGCTTGGAGTGAGGAAGTGAACCAGTCGGTATGCTCATGGTACTGTTCGCCTACGCCGTATTTTACGAGCTGCAATGGCTCTAGGTGGGAACGGGGTAGTGCTGGGCTTTGGAACGTTCGTGCACGCTCTTCGATGCAGCGTATGATGTCGTCGCGAGCAGAGAGCGAGGCTGAGGATGACGTCCGGGTTTCGGCTTGGCGTTGAGCGCCGCTCTCGTCAGCGATGCCGGAGCGGGAGAACTTGTCGCTGGTGCTTTCTTGTAGGTGTTTTGCCTCTTCAGCGGTAATAAACTCTGGGATGTAGATGACCAATGGATCCCTAGAGACCAGATGGACCTTGTACTTATGGTCTGGGCATGCGAGTGCTTGAAGAGGCTTCTGCTGGGACGTCTGGCGCGCCCGAACGGGGAGAACAAGGAGACTGAGGAGCGTAGCTGGCAGCATCATGGCCTGTATAGTCGAAGTGCTGTATTTGCTGAGCTGAAGAGATTGTATCAGATAGTGAGAAAGGAGTGAAGCTCGAAAGGCACAGCTGATGCTTGGGCCCGCCCCGCCAAGGCTTTCTGGTGAAGGACGAGGCTGAGACTCCTGATGAGCCAGATTCATACCAGATGTCTCAGGCCCGTTTCATGCTGCTCACGCAACTGCAGGGTCCCATCTTGATCACGAGAAGCCATCGTACATCTTGATGTATTCTCATGATTATGGAAAAGCTCTTCGCATCTCTCGTGCCCAGAAGCTCAGCAGCCACAATGGGTCCTCTGTCGTTGTATCGCGTTGGGATACTGAGCCTACTATCTACAGCTATCGTTGCCGCGAAAAGTCCGCACGTCCACGAACATGTTAGCTCAGATGAGCTACTGTCTTTACTGAACGAAAACCATGCCATCCTGGCATCCTGTAAGTTCATCGAGTGAATATTTTCTATGGATGTTCTCGTTAGCCTGAAGCACTAGACACTAATGCCTCCCAAAGTTCAGACAGTAAGTCAGTGTCCGCAACTAAAAGGTTCGTAAGCTAATATAGTGATAGCAAGATGAGTGAGTTGCTCTAGCTTCCCAAGCTGCTTACGCTGACCTGGTGGAGTTGCTCAGCATGCTCCGGGCTTCTGCCGGAGCTGACACGCTTGGCGGAGACATTGCCATCAATCAGTGCCATAGCAGACCAGTCTATCGCAGTTGCTACCATTGACTGCAACGACAAGCAGTCCAATAGCATATGCACCGAATACGGGGCGCTCACCTACCCGGCCATCAGGCTATTGCACGGGTCCGCGTCTGGAGAACCTGGAAAGTGGTTGCGCTATCGTGGCCTACGCAAAGGATATGCGTACGTTCCAACATATGCGTGTTGGTGCCTGCTGAAAATCGTGTAACAGGCTGTCTAATTTCATTTCACGCGAAATGCTTTCGGGTATAAACCGACCCCAGTCAAAAGAGGCTCTGGACAAGCTGCTCACGGCAGACTCAAGCGTCGTGATCTTGCAAACCACTGACCCCAAGGATGCTATACTCGTATCAGCAGTGACCGAAAAGGCTGCTGGCTCCGCTGTGTTCGGTGTGGTAGACAAGCCAGAGATCTTGGGCTCCAAGTATATGTCGCCAAGCCTGCTCTGCCACAAGAATGGTGAAGACTATGCATACAACCAAGTAATCGAGGTTTCTGTCAATCCCAAGGAGCTCTCTGGTCAAGATATCAGGAATCTGGCCAACGTCGAGCTGTTTGTCGAGGACTGTGTGACACCGCAGATACCTGAGTTTGGCCGGCGGAAGATGAACCACCTGTACTCTGTAAGTCTACCTGATGCAACCAGCATCTCCACATTAACACCATTCCAGCTGCGAAAACCAATCGTCTACGTCTTTCACGATGTGCCTATGTCAATATCACGAGCACTTAACCCACTGACCAAAGCCTGGGCGGGAGTAGTCCCGTTCGTGCACTTGGACTCCAAGCAGCACGCTGAGATGGTCCTGGCCTTGGGTCTGGACCCCAACGGGGGATTCCCTGCTGTCACAGTCGAGGGCGTCATCAATGATCAGGTGTACCCGATGCCGCAGGACTGGGCAGTGGAGCCTGAAAATGTTGATGCATTTGTGGGGGGAATATTGCATGGGAAGGCGACTGGTGGCAGGAAAGGAATGGGCTGGGTCCAGCAAGCTGGTTTGAAAGGTAATCACAAAGGGCGAGATGTGAAGGACGAGTTGTAAATGTCAAGTGCATGCCGGCAGAACCAAAGTCCATGACGAGCGAGTTGACTTCAGGGGGTGATCTTTTCAGCCTTACGTCACAGGCTCCCAGTGCGCACTTATACGGCTATCTCGATCAACTATCAAGCCTGACTCTTTGTACTTACCCATTCTCACAGCTACTTCAGATGTTTTACCCTGGAATTGGAGGGAAGCAGGTATAGGAAGAGTGATCTCGACGAGCTATACACTATCAACAATCAACACAGGTCAAACTAGCCTCGGCAATGAACGCGAAGCGTTTGCGGTCCTTAGCCTGGTCCAAGGACGAGTACATGATCTCCACAGACTCCTCACTTGTATCTCTGGATATTTTCAATCAATGGCTCGTCACGAGCGACATGCACTGGGCCAAGCCGGTCCCGCCTGATGTCCTGCAGGAGATGCTCGATCATTCTCTGGTCTTCGGACTCTACGAGAATCCAGATGCTGTGGTCATGGGTGGAGAGGGCGCCTCAAAAAGTAATCTCACGATGGTTGGTATAGCCCGATGTGTTACCGACTTTACAACATTCTTGTACCTGACAGATGTGTATGTTGGACCGCGGCTCCAAGGTCAGGGACTTGGGACCTGGCTGATACTGAAGGTTCAAGAAGTCATTGATTCTATGCCCAATCTGCGCCGAAGTCTACTCTTCACCAGTGATTGGGAGCGGTCGGTGCCGTTCTATGAGAAGCACATGGGGGTCGAAGTCATCGAATCTACCAGAGGTAGTGGCATGGCTATCCTGTCCAAGAAGGGAGCAGGACATGTCGTTGTAGACGACGCAGAGCGGCAGTAAAGTTGCTTCGTATGGCGGCTGGTCGGACAGTTAGGATAATGTGCACAACGCAGCGCTCGTACCAACTACAGACGTTAGTCGTGGTTGACTGTAATTCAGGCAGGTGCGTCCTCCTGCCCATTGCCTGTTGCATGGATAGGCAGTCGTTTTCAGGACAGCATTGTGGGCCGTCCCGTTACCGAGCTCCGCCAACAGCCTACCATGACAGGGGAACGCGATGCTGCTAAGAACGTGATCTGTACCCCAGATATTGCCCCTCCTTTGGTTTTGCGGGGAAGGGTTCGATAGGTTGAGGGGCCGAGGCTATGCTCACCTGAACTCTGCTCCAGCCACGCAAGCCACTGTCAAGCGCCTTTCGAATCTACCTTCCTCTTGCCGACTTACCTTACCAACATAGTTAGAGTCTCTTGATGTGATTATCAGTCCGACTGCGGAGCAAGAGATTGCAAGATGAATCAACACGAAAAACGAGGTTAATGATGCTTGATTGGATGCCAGGAGCTGTCCGCGAAGGCAGCGTCCTCAGTCGGCAGTTGGGATCTTACAGGAACTCAAGAACCGAGGCATCCTCTTTGTGACCCTGCATCAAACGGTCACTAGAACCTTGAACGGCGCATATTGACTGGCTTACACTACTTCGTCGGCATTCCCCCTCCCCGCTTGACTTGACCTATTTTCGAGCCTCGGCGCTGCGAGTAGACCGCTGTGTGCCGCAAGGATCAATGCCTGGCTAAAGGTTTGGATATGACAACAATCCTCTCCTTAACTCTGATCTTAACATAGACTTCAGGACACAAGTGAGCCTGTCTAGACAACATGTCCTCGCTCGCGAACGGCTTCTCCCGTGCTCGCACCATACCTACATACATTCTGCGCCAGCTCGCCACAGAGCCTCTTGCCAGTGGCGCCCTGCTGTACTTCCTCACACGCGCCTCACCACACGTCCGTGAGCGCGTTCTCGGGCCACTGCGTCCTTACATCCTCTCCAAGAATGCCGACGCGCGCATAGCCACCGCCGTCCGTATCCTCAAAGTCCTGCTCGCCATCGGCGTCGGCGGTCGGATCAGCCAGCTCCTCGACCGGCTCGCTCTCAACAACTGGTATCTTCGCCGCCCTGGTGCAGCATGGCGTTTTGGCGATGCGCAGAAGAGTGAGCTAGTGCTCATCACCGGTGGCTGCTCCGGCTTTGGACTCGAGATGGCGAAGCGCTTCTCGGAGCACGCGAGGGTGATTGTGCTGGACGTTGGTGCTTTGCCTGACGAGTTGGCCAGACGTAAGTAATCATATATTACCTGACGGGAAGTATGCTCACAGACGGCAGTGAACGACGTGCACTACTACAAGTGCGACATCACTGACTTCGATGCCCTCCAAAGCCTTGCCGCTGAGATCAAGAGCACGCACGGCAATCCGAGCGTACTGATCAACAACGCCGGTATTGGTCAGTTCCACTCCTGCCCGTTCTTTCCCACATTTGTGAATAGAGACTGATACTTAGGCCAGCTCAATCGGGCCCCAGCCCCGTCTTACACGACCTCCAGCCCCACGCTGTGGACCGGCTCTTCAAGGTCAACCTCGTCTCGCACTTCGTCCTCATCCGGGAGTTCCTGCCCGGCATGCTCGCCGCGCGCAAAGGCCACGTTGTCAGCATCGCCTCGATGGCGAGCTACGTCTCCGCCCCCGGCCTGCTCGACTATGCGTGCAGCAAAGTCGGAGCCTTGTACCTCAATGACGGTATGTAGAGCCCAGCCTCGCAAACCCCCATTGCGCCCCAAACCGCAACGCAGCAGCAGCAGCAGCACCAGCAGCAGCAGCAGCACGATACTAACAGCCCGCCACAGGACTCCGCGCAGAGCTCCTCACCCGCCACGGCACCGCCGGCCACAGCATTCACACGACCTCAGTACACCCGTCCTGGCATGCGACGGGGATCGTCAAGCCCTTCGAGTCCCGCCTGCGCGAGCTGGGCGTGCGCATGGACCCACCATCCAACGTGGCCAACGAGGTCGTGCGGCGGGTTCTGGCGCGAAGGAGTGGACAGATCTTCATGCCGGCCAGCGAGAGCCGTTGGGCCAATCTCAGGGCGTATCCTGTTTGGGTGCAGGATTGGGCTTTTGGGTGGGCTTGGGGACGGTGGAATGCGTGAGGTGGGCACGAGGGGGAAACCTTGTAAGATGTGGCCGATGAGGAGTAGAGCTGTGGTGGGAAGAGATGGCACGGGTTCGTGGTTCCGCGGCGAAACTGAGGCTGGTTGGGTCATGAGAGACGGTGCTGGGCGGGTTGGACTATCAAGGGTGAGGACGTCAGTGGGCGTGCGGTCAACTTGAACAGAGTGGGCGTTTTTCAGTCTATCTTTCTACCTCACCCCGCCAACCCGAGAGGCCGTCAGAGACAGTCCCAAATACGGAAGCCTGGCACCGTTCGAGTTGACCGGTTGCCAAGGTATTAGTTCCCACCGAGAATGGCATATGCCTCGCATTCTGCCACGCCAGTCCTCCCCGGGATCGTGACGCAGATGGGGAAGTCGCCATAGTCTGGATCGTCACTAGGCATGATAACGAACTTTCCGCTCCTCGTCTCGTCCCCATTGAGCATTCGGGCGGTCTTGAGCACCTGTTTTCCGTCCACGTTCATAGGCTCCTTTTCTTCGAAGCTGAGAATCCCAGAGAATGTCGCTTTGGAACTCGTAGACTTGAAGGTAACCTGGAAGCCGAAGCCGATAAGAAGATAGCGAGAGCGATTCTCAGCAGCGTCAGATAGATGAATGACCATTCCGAAGCCAGGGGCAGGGTGTCCAAAGACGAAAGAGCGCTTGATCTCCAGCTCGAAGTTCCCGAGGACTATATTGTGCGGAGGAGTTGGGTCGCGCCGCAAAGGGTCTCGTGGCTGCTCGTCAAAGTAGAAGCCGTAGCTCGAGCCTGGCCTAGTTTGGGCGGCCAGGACGTGCTGTGACACTGTTTTCAATAAGCCGTAGTGTCGGCGGAAGGGGTTTCCTTCGAGATTCAGAGTGTCGATGCCGAATGGTGAGCAACCAAGTGCACCGTACGTGCCATAGGCAGCCCAGATTCGCCGTGCCCCATGTTCATCACGTCGTTGCTCTGGAATGAACAGCGGGTTGTTGCGGTGCCGATAGTGGGCGCAAGACTTGCTGTAATTATTGAGGTAGACGTCTGGTGAGATGAAGTCGAGCGAGGGGGCGAATTCCTGCCAGATGTCGATCACGTTTGTTACGGCACCACCGGACGGGTAGTCCCCGGGGGCACCTCCACCACCGACAATGGCTGGGAAAGGGTTTTCACTGTCGTCCCCCATATAGTTCTGCCATACATTGGTGTACAGTGGGAGTCTATAGGCTTCTTGACCAGCAGAAGCAACCTGCTCGACGTACAAGGTATAGTGGTAAGCCATGAAAAGTTCGTCGGTATGAGCACTTGTCCCGAAGATTTCAATCCAGCTCTTGCCTGACGTAGACTTGACACTATGAAAGTGAGCGAGATTGGCCTTGAGGTCAGGATGCAATACATCCCAAGAATCGTGGAGTTGCTTAATGAGGGCATCTGGCACTGGCTCAGAGAAAGCCTTTTCAGCGAGGGCACCACCATCCCTAGAATCACCCAACAGCCCGATCTCATTCTCAACCTGTACCATGATGACCGTCGAGTACTTCTCGTCGACCTGTTGGAGGTGATTCATTAGTCCTCGAAAGGCCTTGGTATCGGCTTTCTGTGCTTCAGTCCCGAAGATTGAGAGGACGTCTGCTGTTTCCAGACGCCCTCCAGCCTTCCTCAGCTGTGCTCGTGGGAATCTCTTCGTATCCAACTTGACCCATGACGGAGTGTATGTGGATAGACCTTCAATTGATGAGCATTAAGCCCATCCTGGTTGTTCGGAACCTACCATTCTTGAAACTACCAAACCAAAGTAGCACAAGCTTCAATTTGTGCAAACGGGCGTCTGCGATAACTCGATCGAGCTCCTCGAAGTTGAACTTGCCTTCCTCAGCTTCAATCTGCTCCCAGGTCACGCACCCGAGAACAGTGTTGATGTTAGCTGCTGCAAGTTTCGGCCAGACAGACTGCATGTAATCCGCAGATGTAAGCGACGAGTTCTGTAGCTCGGCACCTAGGAGCAAGAATGGATGCCCATCAACAATGAGCTGTTTGGATCCATGGACATCACGAAGATGCGGAATGTTCATATTCCTGACGGTCATCTTGTGATCACGATGCTGTGAGGAAAGTCCACGAAGTCGAAAAAGAAAGAACAGCAGTAAAGACGCCCAGTAGGATGAGATCTGTATTTCCCAGTGATCCCGACTGTAAGTTCTTGGTGCACCCGCTAGACGACATGACGCATGGGAAAATATAGTTGGATACAGCCTCACTTATACATATGAGAGACCGTCAGTGTCAGGGCTAAATAGCCCACTGTCGACCGGCAATATTCCTCATTCGGCGTTGGAGATACGGTCCACACATCGCTGCACTCTCGTGGAACGTAGGTTGTGCTCCAGCCTGGGCTTTCTCCGCATCAGCTGTCCAACTTGGAGGCAATCCGCAGCTCCATGGCTGGGACGGAGATTGTCATTCTGCAGAGCGCCCACAGCAGTGTAGGCTAGAAGAGGACAATCTCTAGCATGAAATTCGGTAGACTCAACTACGATAGTCAAAGAACGGTTAAAAGATATCCGATCAGGTCCCGGCGTGATTGACGACGCGACGAGGCTACCAGTCTTGGCGTTCTTATCGATACAGAAACTTTTCGCGGCGTAGAGGCAACGGGTAGACGCTCAAACGCTCATTTGCAATCCCTTCTAGATATTGATACGGCTGCAGGGACGGGAGAGGAGGATCTAGACAAAGATGGCCGCCGAAGTCAAGCCCATATCTCACATCAAGCTGCCCTCGCGGCCTTCCGCAGCCACCCCGGAGCAAACATACTGGCGCAGTTTCAAATCTCCGCAAAACCTCACCTCGCCCGCGAACCAAGCAATCACACATATTACACAGCCAGGAGCGCCTCTCAATGCGGCAACAAGTCCCTCAGAGTTCTTTGCAGTGACTACGGGCGCTCGCGTGCAACTTTTCTCGCATCGTACCCGCAAGCTCGTCAAGACGATAAGCCGATTCGATGACACTGCATATAGTGGCGAGCTCCGAGCCGACGGCCGTGTCCTGGCTGCAGGAGACGAAACCGGCACGATACAAGTTTTTGACGTTGGCTCACGCGCGATTCTGAAGACATGGAAGCAGGCAAAACAACCGGTGCGGACAGTAAAGTGGCACCCAACTGAGCCTACGTCCCTCATGTCTTGCGGCGACGACACCACGGTTCGCACATGGGATCTACCAGCAGAAAAGTCAGAAACAACACTAAGAGGGCACACCGACTATGTGCGGTGCGGTGCGTACCTGCCGAGCTCAAATCTCTTAGTTTCGGGCTCTTACGATACAACCATAAAGATATGGGATCCACGAACTTCTGCGGCAGTCATGACCTTCACGCACAACGCTGGCATCGAATCTGTACTTCCCATGCCCGATGCCCAGACATTGCTGGCTGCTGCAGGTCCCACTATCGCTGTCCTCGACATTGTTGCAGGCAAACCTCGACAAATTCTCACAAACCACCAGAAGACTGTCACATCGCTATGCCTTGCTTCACATGGCAGCCGGCTCGTGTCAGGTGCGCTAGACGGTCATATGAAGGTCTTCGAGACAGTGGGATGGAATGTGGTCGCTGGTTCAAGGTATCCATCGCCGATACTAAGCCTTTCGGTTGTTGTCTCAGGTTCTGCTCGTGAGGACAAGCACATTGCAGTGGGTACATCGTCAGGATTGCTGAGCATCAAGACGCGACTTTCTGGTGAACAAAAAGCGAAAGAGCGCGAGAGACAGAGAGAAATGGATGCGCTGCTAGCTGGTAAAATTGCTGATTACGACGCCAAACAAGCCAAGAAACGAGGGCGTGGATGGGAGAAGCGTTTCCGTGGGAAAGATTACGATGGCGGAGATGCAGACCTCATCATCGAAGGCAATGACCGAACGAAACCAAAAAAGCTGAAGAAATGGGAGCAAAGCTTGCATAAAGGCCGATATGCCGAAGCACTCGACTTTGCCTTGGATGGGCGTGACAGAATGACTGTCTTTACGTTGCTGAATCACCTCAGGTACCGTTCGGCTCTCCGGGCGGCTCTCGAGGGCCGCAATGAGACAACACTTCAACCTATGTTGGGCTGGGTCTACGACAACATCAGCAGCTCCAATGAACGCTTCGTCGGTCTCTGTGTCGAGACTTCGATGACGATAATGGAGTTGTACGCCCAGGCCCTGACCGAAAGCCCTGTGCTAGAGAAACATATCAACAAGCTCCGACGACGAGTTCTAGAAGAAGTGGAACGTGCAAAGATGGCCAGCGAGACAATGGGCATGCTCGGTCTGGTATGGGAAGGAGTTGCGGAACCCTGATGCGAATGAGCGCCAATGCGATGATTTGACCTGAGACTGAGGGACTCTGGTACTAACCCCAGAATGTCTAACATTTTATGTCCTTCATCCCGGAAACCAGAAACAAGATCAACAGCTCACGTACACTCGGTCGTGATATTTGTCGTCACATTGCCCTGCGTGGCCCTGGAATACGGACATACCTCCTTGGCCTTCTTAATGACCTTGTCAAAATCCTCCTGGCTCAATCCCTTAACCGACACTTTCATATCCACCCTCAGGCCCAGCTCTAGGTCGCTCATATCGCCCACGAGATGCACTGTGGTCCTGACGACACTATCCTCCTTTTTTGTGGGCATCCGGATACCCATGCTAGCAGCTGAGGCATTCATGGCAGACTGGAAGCACGCGCCATAGCCAGCAGCAAACAGCTCTTCAGGATTCGTCTTGCCTTTGTCACCGGTGCCACCGAGGGCTTTTGACATCGTCAGATCAACCTCGAGATCATCGCCCACGACGTGTCCAGTGCGGGCGCCGACGACTTTGGCGGACGCCGAGTACAGCACCGGGGCTGTGTCGGTATTGAAGGCGCGACGGGCAGTAGGCTGGGTGACACAGGGCTTGCAGAGCTGCCGGGCGGCGGGGCGGAGGAGGCGGAGGGAATTCATGGTGCTATCTCAAAGTTGTAGATATTCCAGAGGTCAGCTGCGCAGAAGAGTGCAATGCACCGACAGCTCCTGCGAGCTCCCTTTATATTCGAGCTGGCATTTCTGGGCTTGCTGCTTTGGGCTTTCGTGACGTAGAGACTTACTGAACATGCTCGAAAGTCTAATGCGACTGCGCATAAGTCATTGACAAGCTACAAGGTACCGATCGGTCCTGTTGGTTGACCGCTTCTTGTCCAGGTTACACAAAGCCTGTCTCTCCTGCCATCCGCAGATGGTTTGTTTGCTAGAGACACGACGCGAGGACCCGATACGCGAAGTCAAAGCGTGCGATGGGTCACATCGCGCCAGGCTGTTTCTAGAATGACGGTCATTTGATCTGAACGAGTACTTGCGGGCAGGCACCCGATGAAGTCGACCGCGTTAGGATCAGGCCAGCAACTTTTCCCCCGATGGTGTCCGTCAGCGTCGCAGATCCGTCTCAACATTGTCCAGGTCGCATGTCTAGTGCATTGTCCCGATCCTACATGCAATCGTTGAAAGCGTTCAAAAGGTAGAGATCGCCATCCTTGGAGCAACTTGGTGGACGTATGTATTTCCACACTCAGTATTTCTCGACCGACCCAACATCTTTCCAACTTCACCCTACTACGTACCGACATCCACCACACCAGCAAACTCACTGAGCCCATCATGGCCCCCTCCGCCGACTCCATCATCGCCACCTTGAACCTCACCGCCCACCCCGAAGGCGGCTACTTCCGCGAGACCTTCCGCGACGACTCCTCTTCACCACAACAATCCCGCCCAGCCTCCACCCTGATCTACTACCTCCTCCGCTCCACGCAGTTCTCAGCCCTACACCGCCTCGACGCCACCGAAGTCTGGCATTTCTACGCCGGCACGGCCGCGCTCGAGGTCGTGGAGCTGCCTGTCGACGGTGATGGCAGGGTGGGGCCGAAGGTGACGAGGTTGGGGATGCGGCTGGAGGAGGGGGAGAGGCCGCAGTGTGTGGTTGGGAAGGGGACGTGGTTTGGTGCGCGGCTGGCGAGGGAGGGTGGAGGAGGGGAAGGGGAGGGGGAGAGGTGGGCGCTCGTGGGGTGTACGGTGGCGCCGGGGTTTTTGTTTGAGAAGTTTGAGATGGGGAGCAGGGAGAGATTGTTGGCGGAGTGGCCTGGGTGTGAGGATGTGGTGAGGGAGTTGACGAGGGACGGTTGAGGGGAGAGGTGCTGGAGTGATTTATGTGAGGCTGAGTGGGATTTGCGTGCTCATGGTGTGGACACGTTGCACGCTGCTATTGTCTGTCCTGGACAAGAGGCGATAATGGAGAAGGTATTGATTAGACTATCTGGTGTAATTATGAAGAGAACGCTGCACTGTATTTGTGGCTGCCACTAGACGTGCGAGCTCGTATTCGCCGCATACTTCATGTTGTTGTCCAGCTTGTTGACAGCGTTATCACTGACACCCTCCTCAAACACATCCACTTGAGTGCTGGCGAACTTGCGAGCTGAGACCCTCTTCTCGAATCTGTTTGTCTTGGTTAGCGATGCGCGCACGATAGTCCTGTTGCCACACTTACAGTAAATCCAGTTCAGCAAATGTCCTTCCTCGCGGCTCCGGCACTCGGAAGTACGTGTAAATGATACTCAGGAAGCAGATGCCAGCCCAAAAGAATCCAGCATAGTTGCCCCAGTCCCATTCCTCTGGGTTGAGCATGTACGGGGTAAGGACGTTGCAGATAATTGCCACGATCGCGTAGCATACACGACCGAGTGCCACGGTCTTGATCTGCAGACGGCGTGTGGACAATTCTGCCACCAGCGAGTAGCAAACAGTCCCGACGGTGAGTTGATAGAACAAGGCCCACACGAGCATGATCGAGCCCGTAGCCAGCGAGGCGGCGTCTCGGTCCGCAGGGATGCCGAGGAAGCCCAGGATGAGTAGCATGCTGCACAGACCCATCAGACCGTAAAGATAGAGGCTTCGGCGACCGACACCCAGCGACATCAGGAACCAGGCACCGAAAACGCCTACCATGTTGATGCCGTGCTTTCCGAGTGTGAAATTCATGGCATTATCGGGGTCCAGGCCTGCCTGTACTAAGAAGTAGGTCGCATAACCAGAGAATGAGTTGCCAGAAAGATTCTGGATCGCCCACACCATACACACGATCTCCGTACGGCGCAAGTCGGTGCCCTTGAACAGATCGACGTAGCTGGCGCCCGAGGTTATTTCAAGCTCCATGGCGGTCGTGTGTGCAATCATGGCCACGGTTTCGTCGGCATCGAAGTCATGCTGTCGGTTGAGGCTCGTCAGGCGGATCAAAGACTTCTTAGCATCCTCGACGCGACCTTTGCGGACTAGCCACCAGGGCGACTCTGGTGCTAAAAAGATCCCTGCTGCGAGAGGCAATGGCCACATCCACTGCAAGCTGTAAGGAATGCGGTAAGCATTCCGACCCTCGATATCCAAGCAGCCGCGTACAGCACCCACGCCGATTACTTGCCCCAGGCCCCAGCAGAAGTTGACCCAGGTAGTGAGATAACCACGCAGCGCAACGGGACATACTTCGCTAGCGTAGGTGATGCAGAGCGTCTGGAAAACACCCCAGGGCACGCCGGAGAGAATGTACGCTACTAGGAGTTGGTTCAGCGTTGTGGCGGTGAACATGATGGACACCCAGCAGGTGATGAGGGCCAGACACACGATGACAGTCCAGCGATAGCCAAAGCGCTCGGATGCCCAGCCGTTGATGATTAATCCAATGATTTGTCCACATTGCGTACCATTGGAGAGGCCGGACTGCCAGCGCGCGGGAATCTCGTAGCTGCCACTGGCAGTCTGCTCTCCAAAGACTTCAGTGAATTGGGGCATGGCGTAGAAGGTGTTGAGCAGGCACAGATCGAAGGCTTCCATCGCAATACAAAGAGAGATCAGCATTGACCAAGCAATTGCCTTTGGATACGTTCGCAGGCCTTCCATCAGAGTCATCTGGTGTTCCTTGTCGGTGGCAGCTTTGGCACGTCTGACGACCAAGCTGCCGGCCCTTTTGGGATTGTCATACTGGTCGTCGCCATGGGTGTCGATGTCGACACCGGTCTCCTTCCTTTCTGCCATCGGTGTCGGAGCTCACAGAACAAAAATTAGGGATTTCCGCTGGGATGTGGCCGGTCGACAGAGCTAGCGAGCACGCGATCACCGGAAGGTAAAAGGCTTTTAAAGGCATGTGGACGTGGCCCATATTGCCGCGCCTAGAGGTTGCATTAGCAGTATTTGCAGTGTGGAGCGGCAAATATCCTCTGCCGAGACGACCTAGACTCTCGACATGAGTGGTCAATGCCGGTCTTTGCGGTTGGCTCCTTACTTAACAGGGGCAAGATGGGCATAACGATCGGCAATGCGTCTGGGCAGCAGCACCCCGTGCTTTGTGCCCCCATGGGACAGCTTAGAGAGCCCCGCAGGAACAGAGCCAGCGTGTGATCCGGTGACGCTGCAAGTAACATTGAGCCGAAGCAAGGATTTTGCGCCCACGGACGTTCGCCAAAGCGCGCAGCGGTTGAAGTTTGCATCGGCCACCATTTCATTGGTTGGGAAATGAGCGCCAAGGCTTGGCGCGGAAGAGCATGAGAAATCACGAAATTGCCCCTCTGGAAGCTGCTCTGCCAGGGCCGGGTTAGTGCACCGTAGAACTGCTTCAGCATTATTGTCGTCGAGCAGTGTCGTAGCGGCACGACCATGTGAAGTCCATCCTAAGAGCTGGAACGATGACTGCCTCGATTTGATGGCTCCAGCCGCTGTCCCGGAAGGAGCGGTGACCAGCGGAGGGTGCTCTCAAGAGGTAGGCGCGGCCAAACTGAATGTCATTGGTGGTAGGGTCGTCTCGAATATCTCTCATGGATCCTCCTCCAACTGTTGCTTCCCTATATACACCACTCAGGACTGCAACGGCTATTCGACTGCTAGCTATCCAGCCTGGTGAACATGGGTCTGATCTCATATGCGAGGTCAAGCACGATGACCTTGATGCCAAGCCGGCCTACGAGGCCCTGTCGTACGTCTGGGGCAATGCTAAAGACACGATTGAGGTCATCTGCAACGACCGCAAGGTTTCGATCACGAGGAATCTGGCAGATGCGCTCCATCGCCTAAGGCAGACCGGTCAAGTCCGTATCCTCTGGGTGGATGCCCTCTGCATCAACCAGACGGATGTTCACGAGCGCAGCTCCCAAGTCAGAATCATGCGTGATATCTACAGCAGCGCAGTGCAAGTCATTGTATGGCTTGGTCCTGATATGACCGTGGATGTGGCACGGGCACGGAACTTGATCGTGGCAATCTCTTTGATGTGCCAGGAGAACAGATCAGCAATTGAACACTCCGGGATGACCGCCGAAAAGCGATTGGCGTCATTGGATATCTCTATGCTGGACAAGTTTAGTGATGCTACCGAGTCAGAGGTTGCCATAACCTGGAAAGCACTTGCTGATTTTTACGCTCGACCATACTGGACTCGTGCATGGGTCATCCAAGAAGTTGCTGCGGCCCGTAAGTCTACCATAGTATATGGCGAGCTTCATTTGGAATGGCAGGATATCGGATGGACTACGGATTGGCTAATCGCGCAAGCTCTTCGCTACGACTTCAAGATGCCGCCGCTGCTGGAGCTCATTAAGTCTGATGATCCGCAACGTGTTGGCGTTATGCGAGACTTCTCAAAACCAGACTCCGAGGACTACTACGACACGCTCTTGGAAGCACTGCGGGCCTCGCGAGTGTTGCAAGCCACGGACCCAAGGGACAAGGTCTACGCATTTCTTGGATTGATGCCTAACGATGTACTCACAAGAGCCGTCGAGATTGACTACGACTGCACCGTCGTTGAAACCTATACGAGGTTGGCAGTTGCGTCGTTGGAATGCTACCAAAACCTCTCGATCTTGTCCTACACCCAGCACTTACCTGAGTACCAGGAGGACTCCCCGTGTCCATCGTGGGTCCCGCGGTGGGACACAGTTTCAGAAGCGGGACTCATCCAAATCTCGAGCCTCGAGGAGCTCGACTGGTCCACATGCGGTACACATAGACTTCAGAAATGGTCTTTCGAGGCTCCTAGAATCTTACGATTGCAAGGCTTCACCTTCGAGGCCGTCGGATACACCTCGGCGTCCATGAACTACCTTGACTTCGACCTTGCAAGAAATAAGCAGACGTTGTCACCCGTCCTGGATCAAGTACACAGATTCTTAGGGTCCGAGTCCCTCGATCTTGCGATCAAGGACACGAAGCAGGAAGTGCTGTCGCTAGCCAAGACTTTCACGCTCGAGTATGATGCCGACTGGGCCGGCAATGTGATCGAGATGGATGAAGACAGGTACTGGGCAGACTTTTGTGATTATGTCAGGCATGCCTACGAGACCTACCAGAGCGTGAACCCAGCAGATCCAAAGGAGGGAGCCTTGGCGGAACTTGCTGCAAGCTTCGCAAAGTACGCTGACGGTGGTGACTGGCAACGCTACGAGATCGCTGCATCGCGTGATGCCGATGCGCGCCGCTTTTTCTGCACCAAGGATCTTCGCGTATTTGGTCTCGGCCCCGATACGATGCGGAACGGCGACATCGTTGTCATTCTGTTCGGTGGGCGAACGCCATATATTCTTAGGCCGCATGTCGAAGCCGACGGCTCGCGATGGTACACTTTTATCGGCGCGGCGTACGTCTCCCATATCATGAGGGGAACACTCATGCCGTATTTCGAGCAAGGAGATTTCGAAGAGGTGGAGTTCGAGGTTCGATAAATCCCAGCCTTGCAGGATGGCGTCCTCTCTCAAGACTTAAATCTCTTCCACGTCTTCCAGACCACGCTCCATCCGCCAAAGACACTGCACAGTCCTGTGAAGACGATCAGAGGACCATATTCCGTTTCATACGCACCCCCGTGCATGCCACTGCCCACGCCAGCTTTCAACAGCGGCACACCCGCCAAGCCACCACCAACGTATCCTATACCCCTTGCTCCATTCAACATGCCATACAGCACACCCGTATCAATAGCTTCATTCCGCTCGCGACTCTCCCGCTCCAACTCATCGATTACCCCTCCCCACGTCGCACTATACCCGCCCGCAAAGAAGCCAAAAGTGATGCTGAACAGCGTCAGCAACGGCATAGCCGACGCATGCGACGACGCCAGCCCCCACAGCAGAAAGGCCGAAAGCGCGGAGCTGAAGGCGGCAATGCACGTGACGGTGCTGGCGGAGAGGGAGAAACGCTTGCCGTCCGAGAGGTAGCCGAAGAATGAGGACGACAGGATGCCAGGGACGTTGAAGAGGGTCAGGAGCAGCGTGCTGGCCGTGGTCGAGAGCGTCGTAATGTCCGCGGCGTAGCTGGGTAGGTAGGTCTGCGGGATGCCGTAGCCGGAGGACTGAAGCATCGTGGCGACGGCGTAGATGTGGAAGGTGCGGTGGCGCAGGAAGTGCCAGGGGACTTTGCGCTGGCGGTGTGGGTCACTGCCATCGTTCGCTTCGGTGACATCGCCAGCGACAGAGGCGGCGGTCGGTGGTGCAGCAGGGATCAGGTAGATGGCGCCGAAAGCGGAGGCGGCGGCGATGGCGGCCCAGATGCGCAGCGTCACGCGAAAGCCGTACACGTCAAGGAGATGACGCACCAGGAAGGGACAAGTGCTCCCAACAATGTTCTTGCAGGAGAGCACCACGCCATAGGCCAGCGCACGGCGCGCGTCCGTGAACCACTCGCCCAGCGTCAGCGTGGTAGGCGAATAGACTAGCGCGCAGCCCAACGCCGCAAAAACACCCTGGCTCACGATCAGGTGCGACACCGAGGTGCTGAAGCTGGAGAGCAGGAATGATAGAGCGGTCAGCAGCACACCGAGTAGGGAGGCGAGGCGGCGCCAGCGCGCCCAGCGCCGAGCGAAGACCGCGAAGAGGAAGGGCATGCTCATGTACATGACGCCGTTTTGCGTCGTGCCGATCACGCCCGTTGCGGAGGAGGGACCCGAGAGCGTCCAGTGCGAGATGTAGTATTCTTGGAAGATGCCGTAGGTCATGGCGAAGCCTGTTAGGGAGGCGGTTAGTGCGTGTGGGTGGGAAGCTGGGGGGATGTGGACGTGGAGGTGGAGGAATACCCCAGATTGGGAGTTGCAGGATTGCTTGGCCTATCAGTGTGGCAGCTCGCTTTCCTGACGCTGATGCATAGCGGCTGTCGCTATTCTGAGGTTGTTGTTGATATTCTTGTGTTGTGGTTGAGTCATCGAGCTCGTGGAAAGCCCTTTCGCGGTGAATGGCATCTCGTTGGGGAGACTGCATCTCCCACGTTCCCGATGTAGAATCTGCCATGTTCAATGAGAATCAGCTGAGGTCTCATCTACATCTTAATCAAGACAGTTTGAGAACGGAAAGACGTCGCGTGCTCATATACCCTTGGCGGTACAAACGCCCTGTGAAGAGCGAGTGGGGGATGCGGGGGCAGCCCTCGTCAATCACTGCCTGTCTTGGCACGCTGGTATGCAGGTCTGACAATGAATTGCGGCATTTACACGGGCAGATGCCGCTGATGAGAGGGACAGTAGATACGCTCTAGCAAATAAGATCTACTGTATGGCCAGAGAAAAGGTTCTTCAAATGACCAGACTCTCACCCACATCCATCAAGCCTATCTCCCAATCCTCCTCCTCACCACTACGATCACCACCCTCTCCCCTAAACTTCAAGCCCATCTTCTCCGCCTCCTCGCGCCACTCCCTCGGCGGCGTGCGCACGTCCTCGTAGTACTCGCTGAGTCCGCCCCTGACGGTGCCATAGTGCATGCCTACACTCCGTTTGGCCTTGACATCCCGGTGCACGCACATCGAGTCGGCCGGGTTGCAGTGCACGGGCGCCATGAAGGCTCGCGGCTTGCAGAGCCCGATGGGCAGGAGGGCGAGGTCAAAGGGTCCTAGCTGTTCGCCAATCTCAGCGAAAGCAGGGCAGACGGGGAGGGCGGGGAGGTCGCTGTCTGGGTAGGGGTCTGGGGAGGAGGGGATGGTGCGGTAGCCGGTGTCGCCGGAGAAGTAGACGGATCGGTGGCTGCTGTTGTCCGTGGTTGATGACGGCTTCCCGGATGACGATGATGATGTTACCTCACTGGGGATTTCGAGAGCAAAGCTGCACCACAGGTCTGCGTCTCTGTCGAAGGGGCTGCGAGCTGAAGAATGTTGACAGGGCGTGCACGTTATTCGGATGCTTGCGTCAGAATGTGTGCTTTTTGAGGACTCCGAGGTTCGAATGGAGGCAGCCTTCTCCTTTGACGCGGTGCCGTCCGACATAGATACCTCGAGTCGGTCCCACCAGTCGCCCTCCCATATTTGCTGCTTGGGGATGCTCAGAGGTAGTAGCCATCTGGAATTGCCCAGAGCAACGCAAAAGAGGACATCGGGTCCTCGATGCTCGTATATCGCTTTCAGAGAAGCAGTGTCGGCATGGTCGTAGTGGTTGTGGCTGATGCAGACAACGTCAATGGGGAGTTCATCCAGCAACTCTGCCAAGGTACACGGTGTAGGGGTATATCGTTTCGGACCGAAAAATGAAAATGGTGATGTCCTCTCGGAGAAGACAGGATCGAGCAAGATGTTCAAGGTGCGTGTAGAAGACGGTAGAGCACACTGAAGCAGAAATGAGGCGTGACCGATCCAAGTGACCTTGAATGCGGCACCCGGCGGTGGGGGGCTAAAATCCGGACGGCGAACCTGAACCAGTTCTGCTCGGTCGGCCGGTACAGGGACATATGGCGGCTTGTTACCCCCGAAACGAGTCCGGAAGACGTCGGCGAAACTTAGTCCTCGATTGGGCCATGATGGCCAGGGATTTTTATAGCCTGGCTGCTTGTGGTGGGACTTGTCGCTCGACGGTGCTAGTGGTGGAAGAGTGTGGATGGTTGGCATCGAGTCAGCTGCGCGAGCGTACAGGGTGATATAGGTTTAGGACGAGCTTCAAAGTGCCTTGAGTGAGGCGGGCAGGGTGGGATGGCTGAGTCTGATGGATTGCAGGCTGGAATGTATATCCAATCGATGTCTTTGTGGGCGCCTGGCTGTCCGGAGTTAATGTTAGGCCGAGTTAAGGATTCTAGCGTTAACGTACCTGATTGAGTTGATACACACGTCACGATAAGTGTTATACTAATTGATACGCATGGCAGGGCGCTCCGACCTACGGATTGTTGTCTTGTAAGCGTACCTGTGTGTATAGTTGTCCAAGCCCCTCCACACATCCCGCTCCAAGTCGTGTTCCTTAAATCGCCCGTTCTTCAGGCGGCTACCCCGTTCCCGCGCCGATACTCATGAGCACGATTTTGGACCCGTCCAAAAAGCTCTCTTTCGTCAGCCGCAGAGGCTGATGCTACTTCGAGTCCTCGGTTGGTGAAATTGCTGGTCGTGCGCTTATAGGCATTTTGATCTTCCCAAATCATGAATGTCACGCAATCATACGAAGAGTCGACTGCATTGGCTGTGAGGACGAGTGCTGGGCCGTTGTGAGCTGCAACATGGCTACCTTCCGCATAGTGAAACCGAGGAGATGAATGCGGACCTCTCAGAAGGCGAGAAAGACGCCAGAGAACCGATAAATGATAGGTTCCCTGGTCAGGCCGGCTTCGATGTCCTCGTATCGGTCAAAAAATGACAGCTCACCGTTCGCACATGTAGGTTGCCAGGCATATCACGGCAACTTTGCTAATTGGAGTTCTACAAGCGAGGCGCTTGACGGGCAGTCGCCTAAGAGTCGCGCTTCGCTTCACGTGGTTGCGGGGCACTACCTCCGTATGTATCCCTGTCTGGGGCCGAAGAGGCTCGAGGGCACGCACAGTCGATGTTGAAGCGCTCCTCTGGCAGACACTGGTCATGTATAGCGTGCAGAAGACCAGCCAAGTCACGACCGAACCATGTCCTCCGGGAAAGAGAGTCGTTTCAGGGGCACTTTATCAATGCATGGCGGCCATCGTCTGGCACATGGTCGTCCAACCACTGAGACACCTGCGTTGGGCTTGCATATCGCTTGCTCCTTGACGACTACCACTCTTGGATGAGAACGAAGACCTTAGGCGAGTACGGAGTACGGAGCTACGGAAAGCAACCTCACGGACAGGCCAACCCGGATATCTCGAGGCCCCTGGGGAGCGGAAAATGGGTCAACCCTAACCCTTGCTCGGTCCAATGAGTAAGTAACTAGTAACTACACAGTAAGTCACTGGATCAAGCCTCTAGCAGCCGCAGGCCAAGGAAGCTCCGGGCGGAACGTGTTCGGCTTCTCCTTTCCTGTTGGGCCTCACCTCTCCCCACCTTTTCCATTCTTCTGGGCCTTCTCGGCGACTGGTCAACGTGCTCGAGGCCCCTCTCTACAGAGGCCACGCACTCTCTTGGACCGTCTATTGTCAAGATTGTGGCTGTGAGCCAAGTGTAAGATATCGTTCAAAGGAGCTCCTGAACAAGCGTGTAACATACCCACCAAGACTGTGATGTAGGTCCGAACATGGGTTCCTCTCGCCTACTAATAGTACTTTGTCATTCCCGAATCTCTCCCTCCGTGTTGGCCCATGCTCAGTCAATGTCTATATGATTCTACGGAAGCTGTTGTCTACGACAGCCTGATCATGGCTTCGTTGCTGCTACGCCCTTGAACCCTCGGGCGGGCTCGTATGCTGCCTACCTGCTTGAGCCTTTTTTCCTCGAGCCAACTCGTTCCCTGCGATTCTCTTTTGCAGCCCATCATCCAATGGCGGTGGCGGCGCTCAGTCAGTATGACTACATATTCGCCCTTACCACCATTTTTGCTTTTCTCGATGCGTGGAACATCGGTATTCACAGTCCCTATCAGTGAGGACTTGCACAACTGACTTGCCCCAGGTGCCAATGATGTAGCCAACTCGTTCGCAACGTCCGTGTCCTCGCGGTCGTTGACCATGAAGCAAGCCATGGCTATTGCGGCCGTCATGGAATTTGCCGGAGCTGTAAGTGTGGGATCGAGAGTCGCCGCCACCATCCGCAGCAAGATCATCGAGCCTCATCTTTACGACGAGCAACCGGCTGTGCTACTTTTGGCCATGATGTGCGCAATTATCGGGTCCTCCACCTTCCTGACTTTCGCTACCAAGATGGGCTTTCCCGTCAGCACTACGCACTCCATCATCGGCGGACTCGTTGGAGCAGGCGCAGCCTCAATCGGCATCAAGCAAGTCAACTGGGAATGGGATGGTGTCTCGTCCATCTTCGCAGCATGGGTCATTGCTCCTGGTATCGCTGGCACTGTCGGTGCTGCACTGTTTCTCATCACCAAATATTTTATCATGACACGACGCCACGCCGTCCGAAACGCTTTCTACTCAATACCTGTCTATACGTTCATCACCATCGGCGCTCTTGTCATGTTGGTTGTCTGGAAAGGCATTCAGCTCGAGGTCTCTTTGAGCAATACCGAAATTGCGGTCTGCGTTGTTACTGTTGCCGGCGGCCTCACCGCTCTAGAGTGCTTCTTTCTACTTCCTTTCCTCTGGCGCCGCATCATGCACGAAGACTGGGAGCTGAGATGGTATCACTGCTTACAAGGCCCATGGCTACTCAAGCGCCCTCCTCCCTCACGCCCCCCACCTGGCACCAACGCCCTGAACATAAAAGACTACTATCGCGGACACCTCACCAAGGAGGAGCTCGAAACCATCCGCGCCAGCGAAAGTCTCCTTGAATCCGCCAAATCCCCCGACTCCCACGCCCGCACCGACTCCGAGGCCGATTCCGCCATCACTACCGCCCTCCCCAGCCCGGCCATCCAGGCCTCCACCCTGACCCGGCGCTCCACCACCGACGCCGGCCCACCCCTCCGCCCCCTCGGCCCCTGGCACTCCGCGCCCGTCCTCCTCTGGCGCTTCAAGCGCATCACCCTCCGCGGCCTCGAGCAAGACGTGATCCGCCTGCAAAAACGGCACCCGCAGTCCATCCTCAACTACAAGATCGAGGACATGCACGCGCGTGCGCCCCGCTACGACAACCGGGCCGAATACATGTACTCGGCCCTGCAGATCCTGACCGCCGCCTCCGCCAGCTTCATCCACGGCGCCAGCGACGTCAGCAACGCCATCGCGCCTTTCACGTCCGCGTTCCTCATCTGGCGCACGGGTCTCATCGCGGACGAAGTCCATGTTCCGCTCTGGGTGCTTGCATTCGGCGGCGCGGGCATCTCCTTGGGGTTGCTGACGTATGGCTACCATGTCATGCGCAATCTGGGGAACCGCCTAACGCTCATGTCGCCGAGCAGGGGCTTCTGTATGGAGCTGGCTGGCGGAATTACGGTGCTGATGGCAACGAGGCTGGCGATTCCGGTCAGTAGCACGCAGTGTATTGCGGGTGCGGCGATCGGCGTGGGGCTGGCAAACGGGGATTGGAGGGCCATCAATGTGAGGTTGGTGGGCTGGATTTATCTGGGTTGGCTTATCACTGTGCCCGTGACGGGGCTTATTGCGGGCGGGCTGATGGGGATTATTCTTTGGGCGCCTAGGTGGTGATTGAGAGGGTTGGGTCAAGGGTCATGCTGGGATGCTGGGATGCTGGCATAGCACTGTAAGATGAAGGAAAGGACCGCGGACTCTGAGTTACGTTCGAATGGAATGGCAATTACAGGGTACGGGTTTGGGGTGCTATGGGTACTTCAGTGTACGATGGATGATTCATTCTTATGCATTAGGCTTGCTTGTGTGGCTGCGTCGATCGTATTACTTTGGCCAACTGTCCAATTACCAGTGTCTTCACCGAGGGTGAATCTTGCCACGCGGAGAACGCTCTGCTTTGGCTTGCCCACGTGTCGACGATCACCGCGAAAGGCTGCTCTTCAATTTTTAATGACTTCAGAGTGCAGCCCGGTAGCATTTCACATCCGTTGTCCCGTGGGAGAGGATAGAGATCACGGCCCTCCAGACCTTGTCCGGCCACTGCTACCCTCGCTGAGTACATTCACGGTGCTTCGGCTTCAAACCGTACCAATATGTGGCATCTTTGCCCGGACCTCCAGCTTCGGTGCCCCACTCACTGTCTTGGTCTTTGATACCGGGACCTCCAACGCTGTCACGTTCTCGAGCTCTGCCTCTATCACCCCTGGCTGAGGACGAAGCGGAAGAACAGGAAACTCGGTTGTCATCCACGTGTCTCGGGTCTGGACCTTTACCCGCAGTAGGATCAAAGCCCCATGCCAGACCACCCAGCCACTGCGTTCTAGCCTTCTCATGACGCTGCGCCTCTTTCTTATCAGCCTTGTACCGCTGAACGCGTTCACGCGAAGCTGTGCGGAGTTCCTTGCGGGCGCGCCGGTCGCGAGTGGGATGCTTGGAAGTAGAAGGCTGTCTTTCGCTGTCTTCGACCGGATCCACGCTTTTTGCGCGGAATCGAGCGAGGAAGCGGGCAGTGCGGGACTCATGAGGTGGATCTGGCTGAGTGTTTGTAGGCTGAGGAGCAAGAGTGTTGAGTAGTCCTGGCTTATCTGGAGTTCCAGGTTGACTACTCGAAGGCTTTGAGGCAGGCAGGATCTGGTCGAAGGTCACTGGAGGTGGAATCTGCTGCGACGGCACAGTCGTAGAGGATGGAAAAGTGCTGCTGCTGCTTGGCCGGACGAGTGGGTGCTGATAGGGGGGGCTGCGTTTCTGCTCACTGGCATTTATCATGTTGGGAGTCTGGTCAAACGAGTGTCGAGACTGAGTTGGCTCGTGTTCGTAGGGCTGCTTGTTGGCGCTTGTGCACAAATGTCAGGATGCAGTGAATGGAGAGTGCTAGAAATACGACAACGAGGATTGGTGTGAGGAAAGACCCCGCAAGAATAAATGCATCGTTCTTGTCCATAGGTGAAATGACGGTGAGAGCGCGCAACGAACAAAGCGCTGAGTTGTGTCACGAACTTTGGCATTGTACCTGCCTTGTCTGACTGCCTCTGTTGACTTGAACTGCCGTGGAAAGCGCTGCGGCCGAGCCGCCACTTCCCTTTGTTTGTGAACACTGCCTTCGCGTCGTACCGAGCTTTCCGCTGAACACCTTCAAAACGTCGCTCGCGGCCATTCTGCCACCATCACTGACCAACGTTGGATCCATTTTATGCTCAACCACGGCGGAGAGATGCCCCTTGTCGTTGCGACCTTGATCACACACCCGCTGCAAGAGGCAGATGCGAGAGGATATACTTCACCGGCCTAGTCTCGTGACAGATCTTCGAGCGGTGCCCGAATGCCCATTCCAACCTGCCCCGGTTTCTGTCCTGGTGTTCCACCATTTCGCTTAGTGCGACTCGTGGTACCTTGCGCGTAGCTAGATGCTGGCTTAGCGAGTATTGTTCGTTTCGGTTCGCGTACACGCGATACCGTATGTTCGTAGGCTCTTGGTCTCTTTCTTGATTCATCTGACGGGCGATGTGACTAACGACGGGCATCTAGACCCGGCGGAGGTGGCGCAGCATGGTAGCCCGGGGGTCCTGGCGCAGAGCCTTGATGTTGAGGCCCGGGACTTGGACCACCTGGAGGGCCTGATGGATTTGGAGGAAACCCACCCGGTGCGCCAGGAGGTGGGAACGGAGGAAGTCTGCCACCCGGAAAGCCGCCGGGGGGAGGAAATGGCATGCCATTAGGAAGATTCGGCGGGGGCTGTCCGTTAGGTGGAAACGGAGGGAATGGCATGCCTTGACCTCCAGGCGCAGGTGGCATGGCAGGACCCTGACCAGGAGTCATACCGAAGGGTGGAGGGGGCATTCCCGGAAGACCTGTGAGTACTTTAGCGGGAGACGCTCAAGATATACAACGTCTGGGATCACGCTGCTATGGAACGTACCAGGGAAGCCATGAGGCGGAGGGGGAAAACCACCGCCAGGCTGAACCAGGTTCAGGTTGGGCTGTTGCAGACCTTCGGCAGAGTATGAGGAGGCGATGGAGTCAATGACAGATTGTGTTTTCTCGTGGCCGATCTGCTGGTAGTAGTCGATCACGTTGCGCAAATGGTTGCGACCACTATTGTGTGCTTTGCGCACCGACATGGAGTCGTGGGTGAGGTAGACATCGCAGTATTCGCAGAAGAAACGCGGCATGGTTGATCTTTTGATATGTCTTCTCAAGTTGTCGACTTAAGCTGCAAAGCGTTCCGCAGTCAGATCCGTAGAGTGGGTATGTGGACAGGACTTCAAGCTAGAAGGCTGTGAGGACCTGAAGTTGAACTGCGGCGGGAGACCGCATTTGAATTTGTCGCCGCCTTAAGGTCAGCTCGTGCCAAGGTTGCAGCTTGGCGCGATGTGTAAAGCGGCAAGAAATGTCATATTCATGCCTACCACCGCTACTTCGATCAGGAATTCCTTTCTGTTATTTGCAATGCCGCTGGACACAATTTGTGCAGACTCTACGTGGGAGAAGCTAGCGTATCGTTCTCCGCTGATCTGTACTCTTCCTGACTAATGCCTCACTTCATCGTAACCAGCCATTCATCTGATCGTTGAGTTCTGGTTCTATTTCTTTACTGAGGCAGTGCGTCGGTGATAGACCTTCGCACCTTGTTTCTGGCTCTCAAACCCTGAGCAGCTCTTGTCTCGGCGTGACCAGAATCTTCACGTGCCTCAAGCTGTCAGTGCTACTAATCAGCTGCTCGAACCCCTCCTGTACGACCTGCGCGAACCCGATTCGAGAAGTTACCATATCTGCAAGGTTTTTATATTTACCTATGTGCCAGTCAGTCGTGGCGCAAGATCTCGAGCCTTACTATCTTACCTTCACAGAAATTCCTCACCACCTCGGCGAAATCCTGGTCATCGTATGCCATTGAACCAAGGATGGAAACTTCCTTCAACATTAGAGGCGCAAACGGGACCGTGAACTGACCAGTATCAGTCGGCATCTTGGTAGCGATGCTTGCGAGGCTTGTGTACTTACCGGAGCCTGCCAGCCTGCGACAGTCACATACGTTCCCTTGACCCGGAGCGCGGAAAATGCTGCGTTCATTGCCGCCGCAGCTCCAGCGCAATCGAAAACCACGTCCACACCCACCCCCTGGGTTCTCTCCAGACAAACAACGGCAACGTCATCTTTGCTGGGATCAATGACTGTAGCTTTCATATTCCGCACTTGTTTCTGTCGTGCCTCGGCCGGCTCTGAAAGAAGGACTTGCCCAGCACCCTGAACTGCCAGGTCATGAACCACTGCTTGCCCAATTGGCCCACCTCCAAGGACCAGCACGGTCAGGTCATGGAACTTGTCAAGTTTCGATACCCGCACGGCGTGCCGTGCCACGGCCAGCGGCTCAATTAGCGCAGCTATCTCTAGTTCAGCGTTCTCTGGCAGTGCGTAACACTTATTGACATCGACAGCTACCGTCTCCGACAGGCCGCCACCGCCACCGCTCAGCCCGAGAAATCCCAGGTCCTTGCAGACATTCGACGCAGACCTGACGCAAGCGTCACAGTGTCCACACACGAGTCTGGGATCAACCATTACTGGCAGACCGACCTTCAACGCTCCCGTGTAGCTATCAGGCAGCTCTCGAACTCTGCCACAGAATTCATGACCCATCGTCACCGGCTGGCACTCCCCTGTCGTTGTTTGAGTGGATTGCTTGCGTTGAATGAATTGAGGTCCGGACTTGTATTCATGAAGATCTGAGCCGCATATACCACACCACTCGATGTCTATGAGTACTTGGTTAGGTTGGGCGAATGGCTCAGACACAGTCTCGACGCGGACATCGCGCGCTCCGTGGAATTGTACAGCTCTCATGTTGGTTCTGTCAAAGGTGCTCGACCTTTTCTGCCCCCCTAATTCCAAGTCTAGCTATTGAGAGCATGAATACAGGGCAGATCGACGCAGGATAATTGCACACGCAGCCAGCCGAGGCACTTGGGGATGTCAACAATGACTCGGATGGAGATGCAACCCGAAGCGCGGGGTCGCTATCTACTCCAACCAATCTTTTGAGGTATATTCTTGATTGGACATCTGATGCACGCCTCCTGGTGTTGATACCTCAGAGTAGCGGAGTATGAACTACGCTAAGCAGTATACTCATGCCTTCACATCTCAAGACCTATATCAGCTGTCACCTTGACATCCCCCATCCAGCACCGAATGTCCTGAACACAATGTCACCGCTATTGCTGTGCGCCTGGCAAGTTTGCGTGCGTAGGGTCAATCCACGCCACATTCTCAGGTTTCTCCTATTGTCGGAGATGCTGGTCAGCCATGATCCTCAAACCTTGCCAACCACAACCACCATCGAAACTACTGTACCGATGGCCTGACCAAGACAGAAGAAAACCACAGCCACTTACCACAGGTTCCAAATCCGGCAGGTTCACCGCCACCGCCTCCCCATCGCTCCTCACAAGCACGCACTCCAACTCCTCACCCTCCATCGCATTGATCTCCTGATGCGGTACGTACGGCGGCACGAAGATAAAGTCCCCCTCGCCCGCCTCGGCCACGTACTCGAGCTTCTCGCCCCAGCGCATGCGCGCCCGACCTTTGACGACGTAGATGATGGACTCGAGGTGTCCGTGGTGATGCGCGCCGGTCTTGGCGTTGGGGTGGATCTTGACTGTGCCGGCCCACAGCTTGGTGGCGAGGCCGCGTGTGCGGGCGGCGGTTACGGCGGCGGCGCGGTTCTGTTCGATGGGAGAAAGGGTGGCATGTTAGTTGCGGGCTCGGTGAAGCGGGCAAAAAGGAAGAGCGGATGGGATGGCAGTGGGCGTCAAGGGTTTGACTGTGGGGAAAGGGTCGAGGGTCCAGCAAAGAGGGACTGGTGTTGCAGAACTGGCGGGGGACAGCTATATTCATGCTCCGGGAGGCAGGCTCGGAGGTATTCACCCGTGACACGAATGAGCAAGAGGTTATCGTCGGCGTCTTGGCTTCTCGGCGAACCTCCGGAGCAGATGAAGGGGGAAAAGCACAAATACCTACCATGCCAGGAGTCTGGGCTGTATTGGAGTCCAGCGAGTCTGCTGGGATTACCTGCACGCCAGTGTGTCTCCAGTCGTCGGGCGGAGGGTTCCCGAACTCGTGGTGATGATCGTGGTCGTGGCTGTGGTCATGGCTGTGGTCGTGCTCGTGAGGGTGGTCATGGGAATGCGAGTGGGGCTCCGAGGAGGACATATCGGATGCAGTACGTCGTATTCACGGAACAAGGCAACAAGGCAACAACGTGTCTAAGACGGCACAGGGCTGTGAAGAATAGACCCAAGATCAGCGTGACTTGTCACTCAAGAAAACTGTAGGTCGCTAAGGCAATAGAATTGCATGATTATTACTGTAGAGGTCCTTTCGCATCCCCGCACGTCTACCACCCCGCCAGGCCCTCCAAGGCGGCTGCGGATGCAATTTACTCCAACTAGCCTCCATGCCAGATGAGAATGTAGCACTGGAAACCTGCTGCCGAACTATTGCTAGAGCTGAGCCTCCTTCACTGCTCCAGATCTGTCTCGGTCAACGACTGCATCGGCAGACCGTTCGTAGGCTAAGTTGATCTCATCTTCGAATCGCAAATATATTTGTGCTCGCATGAGATTGAATTTCCATGTTCGCGGTAGCCTTTTCCCCCTAACGTCAAGCGGAACAATCATATCTCGGTTGATTCCGACAGTCATCTTGCCATTGATACGCCGTTCGATGGTCTCCCAGACGCGACTCAACACCAGATCAGCGGTGACAGAGCCCGGAGAGGCAGCTGCAGCGAAGGCTAGCACGCCCAGCTTGCCGCGTCCCTGTCCGAAGAGGACGATGTCGTCCACCAGATCCTCGTTGTCATGCATCAACTCTTGCTCGTACGGAATGGCGTTCACTATCGTCTGACGGTCCCTCTGATAAACCTTGATCTCGTCGTCCTTGCGTCCGATGATCTTCCAGGCATCTGGCTTTGTTGGATGCCTCAAGAATAGATCCTTCGTGTAGTAGTGCCCGTCCTCGGCTGCGAACGCGCTCAAAACTTCGGGACACCCTGGAAGGAGGACCAACTCGAAGACGTTGTCGTGACCTTGGACGGGGCGCATGTCGAGAAATGCTTTCTTTGGTGGGGAAGGCAACAGCCACTTCCACGCTGTATCACGATCTGGCTTTGCGGACTCCAGAAGGATGCCCGTCTCGGTTGAGGCGTAAGTATCGAGTACAAAGATCCCTTCACGGCTGAGCATATCGCCCAGTTCGTCCGGACATACGGCGCCAAACACTGTAACCTTCTCGTATCCCCGCAACGTGCGGATTCCACCTTTCGCTCGGGCAATCAAGTTCAACGTGTACGGCGTTGTGGAGATAAAGTCGAGCTGCGCTTCGTCGAGAAATGACATGATACTGTCCGTGGTAAAGTTGACGCGATCATTATCGAAAAAGGTCGGCGCTGTTTTGGTGAGACTGCGAGTAAGTCGATTAAGCCCCACGATGTTGTACATGGCGGATGCGGCCCATTCGCGTTTGTCATCACGATAAATGAGTCGCATCGTCCGCTGTCGAGTCATCCAGTCATCGTTACTGAAAGGTAAGAGCTTCGGTAGGGATGTCGTGCCTGACGAATGGCAGATGAAGACAGTATCGCTTCCTGCAATGGTTTTCGGGTCGCAGGTTATTTCTCCCAAGGATTTCTTGATGGCAGACGTCAAGAGCTGCCCTTCGACCAGTGGCAATCGAACAACGCCCTCATTTGGCAGAACGACAGGTCGATCGTGAACCAATACATCGGGGTCGCTCTTCACAAGCAGCCTTGCCACATAGTCCTCAGACAATCTAGACGACAGGTTGAAAACGGCATGTCCCATCCTTGTGATGGCGAAGAACGAAGCCTTGACATGCGTCAGTCAGAATCAGTGTCAACGAAAACACCTACAGCCCATTCAATGGTTCCGTAGCCAAAGAGAGCAACCAGCAGAGGTCTTTCGCCGCTCTGTCGTGGCCTTAGACCACCGTCAACGTAGACAGAGGCCGCATTATCTGCCAGCCGTCGCAGGCTCCGAGCTGAGTAATACGTAAAGTCCGACTGCGAATCGCGGTGTCCAGGTAGAGCGAGCACCGGATGCTCTTCAGCCGAATTAGTAGCTATGTCGATGTATTCGACCCACGTCCGAGCTTCGTGTGCCATCTTGATGAGCCAGCCGTCAATGAAGACGTAAGATCAGTTGGAAGTCAAAGTTGTCGTTTCCAGGCTTCAAATAAAAAACTGCCACAGCACGTCTTACATTTGGCGCAGCTGATCATGACGAGGAGTCATCCTTTCTGAACGACTCCTCACGGCTGTCTTAGTCAAAGGATGGTCAGGCCAACTGAGAGTAGAGTTATTCATTTGTTCATCGTGAATAACGTTTTAAGGCCGTCGAAGGCAGACTCAAAATGGCGGGTGGAGGAAGAAGGACAACGCGCCACCTCGCAACACGCTCTCCAGCATGGCTGTATCGATGAGCCGGCTGCGAAGAGTGCTCTGGAATGAAGCTACAGTCCCACGGCTACGAGTATCGACCGTCAGGCTCTTGCGCATGACGTTTGAGATGTGGTGATCAGAACCGGCGTCCGAGCTCTCTGGTGACTGAATGTTGTAAGGCTAAAAATCCCTATGACATGAGATACTGCGTGAGACAGTACGCGTCAGTCATACAAAGAACATGTTAGCAATGCAGGAGGCAACAAGACTCCTGGCTGACTTTGCTCGTACAAGTAGAGCTTCACCCTTCGACCGTCATCAAGGGCCAAGTGTTGGAAAGTTATAGAGCCAAGTGAGATACAGTCGTCCTCACCCCAAGTCGAGGCGAAGGCCTGTTAGATTGGGGCAGTTAAAGGCAGTGCTATTGGCTGCAGGTCGGTTTCGTAGGCGCCCCTGCCGAGAAGTCATTTAGGCATATCGCCGGGCTTTGATTTGCTGAGAACCCCCCTGTACCGCTTGGCAAGGCAATCCCTCGACTTCCACTCTTCCACCTTCCTCGTCTAACGCAACGTCCGAAGCCACATCGCGGACCAAGACTTCGCGATCGTCCACGCTTGCCGTCGCTTCGGGCGGAGAACGGCCAATGGCGTGGGCCGCATCATTATCTTGTGGGGAATGAGATGCAGGCAATGCCTGCGGCACTCGAACCGATGTGCTTGAGCTTCCCCCAGAGCTGCCTTACAGATGCAAGCACGGAGATTAGGTAACATCAGAGCAGGCATTCGACCACCTATCCGTGTATATCCAACTCTCCAGACCTTGTTAACCGTAGCTACCGCGGTCAATACTCCAGACTATGCAGGCTCGCGACATGGTCAAAAGACTCGACGGTCGACTTCACTCGTCTTGGCTCGCGGGACGTCCCTTCCTATCAAGGCAGCCCAGTAAGTGCAATGCTTCACTGCCAATCTTACCTGCCCAGACTAGCTATCTCAGCATTGTATAAGACTGGATGATCGAGTATCAACACTGTTCGGTCCTCCAGCTGCTCTAGCCCATGGTCACTCGTTCAACATGAAGCTTCTTCAATCCCTGCCACTCATTCTGCCTTTGGCATCGTGCCTCGTCATCTCTCGCGATGAAAGTCCCGTGTCTTACGATGGGTTCAAGGTCTTCCGCATCGCTACTGGCGACAGTCTCGCCGCTATTGAAGAGAAGCTGTCTTTATTCTCCACTGAGCCATGGAATCGGGATCTCTCGCAGCACATCGATGTTGCCTTAGCTCCAAATCAGCTGGCCGACTTCGAAGCCCTAGGTCTCAATGCGACCATTATGCATGAAGACCTGGGAGCCGACATCGCGGCCGAATCGATCATCGACGACTCGTCTGACCTTACAGCTCGTCAGAGTGGTAGTGTCCCCAGTGCTAATTGGTTCAACAATTATCATTCGTACAACGATCACATTCAGTTCCTACGCGACTTACAGGCTGCCTTTAGCTCGCGATCTGAGATTATCACGTCTGGTACATCGGTGCAAGGACGAGCTCTGACCGGCATTCACCTATGGGGCAGTGGCGGTAAAGGTTCCCGGCCTGCTGTTCTCTTTCACGGCACAGTGTAAGCTGACTTTCACATGGTCCTGACTTCATCCCCTGCTAACTATTTCAGTCACGCCCGTGAATGGATTTCCACCATGACAGTTGAGTACATTGCCTATCAGCTTCTTACAACCTACGCATCAGACGCCACGACTCGCGGCTTTCTCGACTCCTACGACTTCTACATCATGCCAATTGTCAACCCTGATGGTTTTGCCTACTCTCAGACCAACGACCGTCTCTGGCGTAAGAACCGCTCTGCCGCCCCCTCCGGTAGCTCCTGTCTCGGCACCGATATCAACAGGAACTGGCCTTACATGTGGAACGTTCCGGGTGGATCTAGTACCAATCCATGTGATCAAACATACAGGGGAAGATCCCAGGGCGACAGCCCAGAGGTTCGAGGGCTCATAAGCCAGATCCAGTCACTTCAAGGGGGTCAAGGCATCAAGCTATACATCGACTGGCACTCGTATGGACAGTACATCTTGACGCCCTACGGCTATTCCTGCAGCGCGGTGGCACCTAACCAAGCCGAACATGATAGTCTAGCCGCAGGCACCGGCAACGCAATCCGCGCGCAGGGTGGTACGCGGTGGACAACTGGGCCGAGCTGTCGCACACTGTATGCAACGTCCGGCAGCAGCACTGATTATCTCGGAGACGTGGCGGGCGCAGAGTACAGTCTGACGATCGAATTGAGGGATACTGGGGCGAATGGCTTTGTGTTGCCCGCCAGCCAGATCTTGCCCAGTGGCCGCGAGCAGTGGGCAGGAATGCGTTATTTGCTGGGGAATATGTAGAAAGGTGAGCCTTGAGTCGTCTTAGGCGTACAAATGGTTTGCACTGCATCAGAGACGCGCTCAGAGGGACGAGCTATCATTTGGACGGGCTCTTGGGATGGCCTGGATGGTGAGGCCTAGCGGTGCTGGACAGGATGTGGTCTAACCTAAATCGCATAGCAGTAATAAAGCAGCGACACTATCCTTGAACCCCCCTGGCGCGTCCTGTGGCGCGAGCGAGCGCGGACACGTTTGTTGACGTATCACAGGACATGAGCATGAGCAATATACGTAAGATGATGATTGAAAGGAATGGATCGTGTGTTTCGCCACCAAGCCGTGATATGCATATGCAACCGCTAATATCGCTGACTGCCACAGCTGTTCCGTAGATGACGATGATAGGAATAGGAGGCCATACCTATCGCAACCATTTCCCAGTGCCATGCAAGACATCATAGACTAAGACTGGCCAGAGGTGAGTACCTCAACAAATCTTTATGGCCGTAATTAAAATGTCACCCCAAACTCACCCTCAGCTTTTTGTCGTCCCATGGGGTACCGTCCCATCCATTTGTGAAAGCACCTTGCTCGCTCGCTCGCTGTCATGTCCCATGCAAACACCCCTTCGCTAGAGTAAATCGGCCCAAAGATATTTGTGGATGAATCGATCAATCGATCAATCAAGAAGGCACCCAACCGATCAAATCGATTCAATGCCCACCAACCATCTTCTTCCACGCCCTCCCCACGGCCCTCGTCGCCACATCCGCCCCACTATCCACCGACCCAACCGACTTCTCACTCCTGCGGTCATCGCCCTCGCTCTCCGAGCCGCTCCTCCGACCAGCTTTGGGATACGCCGTCACGGCACCACCACTGCTGGCATAGACGTTGCCGGCACCGCCACGACCGACATGGTACACGGGTGCCGCCCGCCGCTCCTGGCCCATCTGCCGCTCGAGCTCTTCGTCAAAGGAGAAGATGGCGCGCTCGGTCGACGGGTGGACGTTGCCGGCGCCGCCGCGGCCGGAGTGGAAGCCCCCCGACGTGGACGAGGAGGAGCGGGACTTGGATGAGCCCGTGGTGGAAGCGTCTGATGTTGACGGTGAGCGAGGGGCCGCGCTGCTGATGGAAGAGAGGTGGATGCGTGAGGGGGGACCTTGGGCGGTGGCGCCTGAGGTGAGGTTCGAGGGAGCGCGCGTGTAGTTGCCGGCGCCGCCGCGGCCGGTGGCGAGGTAGGCTCGGGGTGTGGCGTGTGGGTGGGGTTCGAGGAGGGAGTAGGTGCGTGATGAGGTTGAGGATGGCATTGTGATAGTGGTTGTATGTGTGTGTATGTGTTGTTGGGCGACGGTGAGGTCAACTGGTGGTGATGGTGGTGGTCAGGAAGTATTCGACCTGATGATGTGATTGGACGGTGATGGCTGTTGCTGTGATTGGGTACCAAAGCTTATAGTGGGAAGCTATTGGTGGCGAGGTATTCAGATAGTGATGAGTAGCAGGTAGATTGTTGGTAGGTAATGAGAATAATAGATATTCGTAAGTTATCTTCAGCCAAGTGATAAGGGAATGGTACGGCACCCCGGGCGCCAGCTATATATGCTACCCCATTAACCAGCACTAGGTGATGTGTCAACGCAAAATTCTTCAGCGTTCTCTGGTCTCCTAGGAGGAAATTGGCGGGCTCCGCGTGTTCCAAGACGTCAAGCCCAGCAGCCCAGCAGGTGCTGCGTGATCTTGCCAACAATGGGTCGTTGACACATCGAAATGCCGCCGCCTGCCGTTAACTGGAAAGCGCCTGCAAAAATTTGCGGTCACGCTGGCTCTGGCTGAGACGCGCATGGGCCGCGAAACCCCTAGGGGGCAAAGAATGGTAAACTTTTGCCTTCGAACACAAGTCACCTGGGGCAAAGCATCCAAGCTTAGCGCAAGATGGCGTGAAAGGATTTTTGTCGTCGCAGGATGACGCAGGATGTCATATCCGGCGGGCGGCCAAGAATGCACGCATCACGTGGAGAGCGGAAGGGGAAATACGTTAGTCATGTGCCGCTGCTGGTCTCGCCAACTTGGTTTTCATGGGGTAAGAGATATGTCGCTGCCGGCGGGGACCGTGGTTTCCTGGGGGTAATGAGAACCACCATCTGCAGCATTCATTATTCCACCATCACGTCGGCCGATTGCAACATGATGACTGACAACGTGTAGCCACCGCCTCTGCCCATTCGATGGTGGGCGGCGTCTCATCAATCGCCCTAGACTGTACATGCCATGTAGCGAGTAGTACTCAAGTATACTTTTCACAAGTACCAGCAACAAACCTCCGGTACCATACTTGATGGTGAACATCTTCTGCGGACATTCGATCCGTCGAGCCAGCCGTTCCTTGCAGAAAATTCGAACCTTTCTCCTGTACCTGGGATCGACCTTCCCCAGATTATCCTGGCCCGGCATCCAGCCTTTCGTGCTCCCCCGCAATCGGTCATGCCAGGCCCGGCGCCAGCAGATCCAGCACTTGTTGCCCATAGGTGCTGATTGGCGCTGGCTCTTTTCCTGTCGTTTGGCCGGTGTTCTAGGCGGACGCTTGTCTGACCGCCTGGTCTTGACGTTGGACACCGCGGTCATGATTGTTGTGGTCTCCTCATCGGGTACCGCCCAGGGCGGGCCGCCTTCTGCTCACGTAAATTTGCTATGGATGATGTCTGGGTTCTCGTGCCAGTCGTCGATGCTGACCCACATCTGCCTTCGTGTTAGCATGCCAATAAACAATGCGAGGTGAGGATCCCTTACCTTTCTGAAGGTGCTCAATCCGGCCAAGATGCTGCCTCCAATCCACGTGCTGTACTTGCGTTCCGGTGGCGCAAAGATCTTGATGTGTGTATCCTTGACCGCCTGTCGCTGCAATTCCGTCAACAAACGATCACCAAATCCCTTGGTCAACGTTGTGCCGCCGCTCATGACGATATTCGCAAACAGATTCTTGCGGAGATCCATGTCGACCCGGCTAATGGAATCTACGAGCATCTGATGAACGCCTGGATACTCAAGGCCGATCAGCTCTGGGTCGAACAGAATCTCCGGCGCCCTGAACCGCTCGGCGCCGATCTTGATCTTCTGGCCGTCTGGTAGCTCATATAGCGCTTCCCGTTTGTCGGCCTTCCACAGACCTTGAGACCACTCTTTCTCTTCCTTGCGCGGGTCAAGCGACACATATGATGTCTTCTCCTTCATGATCCGAACGATTTCCTTCTCAGCGCTGGTGTGAAATACATGGCCGCTTTTGCGAAGCAGCAGCTGCATCTGCTCGGTGACATCGCGACCGGCCACGTCGATTCTTCGGACACTGTTGTTGATTGCAAAACCTTCGTAGACGGGTACGGCGTGTGTGACTCCGTCACCGCTATCGAGAACGATACCTGTTGTGCGACCGCTGGCGTACAGACTGAGGACAGCCTGTATGGACATGTAGATGGCCGGTACGTTGAACTGTTCAAAGAGGATCTGAGCCGCCATTTCTCTGTTCGTGCGTGGGTTCTGAGGAGGTTCGGTAAGGAGGACGGGATGTTCTTCGCTCAGCGTTTTGAGCTCATGTTCGTAGACGTAGGTCCAGATCCGCTCCATATCGTCCCAATCGGTGACAACGCCATGTTCAAGCGGGTATTTGACCTTGAGCAGGCCTCGCAACTCTTGCGCTCGCGGTCCAATAAACACTTCTCCCTCTAACGCACCCGCTAGAACTCTGGTATGTTTCGGCCTGCCGACGTATGATGGAAAGTAGGCAGCAGGGAGGTCTGTCCCAGCGAAGCCGGCTCGAATTGTACCGCTGCCATTGTCGAGGACCAGGGGTACATTGTGGAGGCTCCCGCCGTCGGCCATTGTTATCGAGTCTCGGGTAGGCCGTGCGGTGTTGGCATCGAAACAGATCTACAGCAAGGGCCCAGCGCTATCGGATCATGTCTAGTATCAAGGCAACAGTTGAAGCAATTGTTGGTAGAAGGTGATGAGCGCAGCGAAACGCGTTGAACGCGCCTTCGAAGGTCTGTCTCCAAATGTGCAGGTGCCGCTGCTTTTACAGATTTTCCCTTTTGGCTTAGTGGCAACCAATTCACTGCCTGAGGCTTGCTTCCAAGTCACCCCCGAGGCTTGACAACGATAGTCATATTGCAGTGGAATACGTGACAATTGAATGATTTTGTGGCAGTAGTCATGTTAGTCTAGCCTACGTTCTACACCGCTTTTGCTGATGGTCAAATACTTGACTCCCTTGTACGGCTTCACACCGTCACCCAGTCCTTTACTTCGTTTCGTATCCACCACCAGGCTGGAGACCTTGATGCCACTCGCAAGCCATCCCTTGACTGCGAAGCTGGCCGCAATAGATTGCGGCATCAAGCCTCTAACATTTGGCACTCTTCTAGCCTTCTCAGTGCTGTTTCCATTTCCATTCAATTCCGCACCTTGGCCATGTACGCCCAGACTTGCATCGTCATAGTACTCGGAGAGTGTCTGTGACATGATCTCAGTGCCATCATCTCCGTCGGAGCCAAGTGGGCCAGTGACAGTTCCATTTAGAGTTGCCAGCCCGCTCACAGAGAAGCCGTCCTTTGTGGGTATCCTCCATTCCACCACGTTACTGAACTGGTTGAAGGTCGCCTCGCCACGGGAGGGTTTCAGCTCTGTCACGCTTCGCACGTTATCTGGGAAGGGGATGCTGATCATCACGGCCTCGAGAGTTGGGGCGCTCGAATTTGCTCCTGCGGCGCTTCCAAAAGAAAAGGGTGTTGTAACAGAGCCTGCTCTTGTCGATGGGCCAGGTTTCTGTGGAGGAGGTGCGCCTGGAAAGCTGTTGTTCAAGGCCACTCGCGCCTCGAAGTCGGCGCCGTTGCGGCCGAGATTGGTGCGCAATTCCGGAACAACAGGAAGAAAGATTCGTTCGCTGCGTAGCGGCGGCTCGTCAGCGTTCAGAGGCGAAGGCATGAGGTCAGTTTCGTAGCTGGCCAGCATGAATTTACCATCGGGTGGAACGAAGGACAGCTCGCCGGGCGCATCACGCCAACGATTCAGTCGAACACTGGGGTGGAAAGACGGCAGCTGCATCGTCCTCGCCAGCCCAGCGGACTGTGATGCGCTGGTTCCTCCGGGTGCAGATAGCGTCATGAGGAGGTCTGGCACCCCAGATATCTTCGCAGTGAAGAGGATGGATCCATGTGCTCTGGCTGATATTGGGCGTCCCGAAGGCGCATAGATGACGGATAGACTCTCTACGAGATCAACGTACAGCTCATTGCTTGTATGCCTTACGTTCGATTTCCGCCAGGGTATTGCTGGTCCATTTGCCGTACTGGATGCCGCCTTTAGGCTTGCGGCTAGAGTAGTTGGTGCGACTGATGGAGATGAACCAGGCAGCCCAACTTGCGCAAAGAGCTTGCCTAAATTGCTGGCTACTTCGACCTGTTCTCTCAGTGCGTTACCCTCGGTATTGCAGATTATGCCGCCATCGCACATCTCTACCAAAAGCTGCGCTACGACTTCGTAGTTTTCCTCAATCTTGGTGCTAATGAGCGGACTACCGAGGAAGTCCTCGAAGATGTCGACCACTCGATAGAGAAAATCTATCACTGCCTGTGGCGGTGCGTCTTTTGATGACGTACATACCAACGAGAGGCCGCCGTGAAGAACGGTGTAGGCGTTGGTAGGTGGATTGAGGTTCGGGAGATGCAGGACCGCAGGACGCGGGGTCTGTTCGCGCAGTCGTGGCAGGAGATCTTTCGCTGTCGGCGGTCGACCGTTGTAGACGTGTTCAAGTAGGCATATTTGGTCGTCAAATATGTAGAACGCTTCGATAGCGACGCTCATGGTGAGTAGTTCGTGAGAAGTCGGCAGACCATCGGCGCGGGGATGCACTTTTGTCGCTGCAGATCTTAAGCACGCGTTCTTGATGCTCAGCATACATTCACCACGTCACTCTTGACACAATCGATACCATGGGTCTCAGAGATCTGATGCCCTGGAATAAGGCGCAGTATTCTCCAACTGGTGTGGATTTGGACGAAGATTGCATGTCCTGCAGAGTTATCGGTCAGTTTTTTGCGTTACTCCCCGTATGCCGCTGTCTAACGACCATAGGATCGACTGCTCTGGCCAGCCTCGGCTTCTATACCTATTACTCCGGCATGCGGCAATTAAGAGAGCAAAGGAGAGTGATTGAGATGAGCAAGTCCAGGTACAAATACAATTCCCGACAGCTAGGGATTGTGAGCATTTCCGCAACACTCATCGGTTTGGGGTGGTATCGCATGGTCAACTGAAGACTTGGAAGAGGAAGTACGAGGGCATGGACATGCTCTCCCCTTCACAATCAGAACTACATCTGCTTGCGAATTACAGAAGTTGAATGAACCAGATTTTCTCCCGAGGGCAAGTGGTGGTCAGGGCAGACTGCTGGCAACCTGCATCGACTTCCGCCAAATAGCCATAGCGCAGACCCACCGTGTCGATGGCGGCTCTCTGGCCGTCACTTCTATACAACCAGGTGGGCCTTGCCACGAGCGACCGGACGAGGTTATAGTTGCCGCATGGAGAAACAACGAGAGGAGAGGAAAGTCCCGTACGACTAGAATCGCACGAATAAGTTGTCTGAGAGCTGTACGATTACTATTGAATTTTCAATTATCGAAGCCACGGAGGCCTTGCTGACTACGTTGGGGGTATCTCGTCGTGAACCATTCCACCTATGCGTCTAATGCTACCATCGCTTGCTATGCTGAGATGCTGAATAGGACATTGAAGAAAATGGCGTTCCTGGTAACGCCTAAGCGAAACGACCTCGTTTGTTGCCGGGGTCAGGTCCGTCTCGTGGACCAAAATTCGAAATGTCGAAGAAGTTCAGATCAGGATAGGGATTCTTTCGTTTCGTTCCGGATGCCGAGCCCAGACTGCGGTTTGCTGCCCTCGTATTATGCCTCAAGCCACTCGCACGCTGGGACTTGTTGCCACGGTTGATGATATGAATTGGACCAGAGGATGCATGGTCTGGCTCAGATACGGGTGATGATGCAACGGGTCCAGTGGAGGTACCCAAATCATTTTCGGTGACCATAGATGATGCCTGAGCGGGATAACGGAACTTGAAGGTTGACTTTGAATCTGGTTCTGAGGAGGTAGCTCGGACATCGTTCTGTCGATGGGTTTCGGCATTCTGGAGGGTAACATCGGCATATTTCGGCTGCTGCTCGGACTGAGGATGGGCGGACATAGGATCTTTGTGCTGAGTAGTCTCTGGCTCGCTCTTCTCATCCTCGCTCTCGGCTGGGGCCTGGCTAGCTGTCCCCTCATATCGTTCGGTGGCCCATTGTCTGACCCTCCATCCCTCCCCATCCTGGAGACCGAGGTTCTCGGAGTCAAGGAAGCGAAGCAGGTCGTCTAAAGCATCTTGGTAGCCTGCAGCTCGGCTGCTGTTTTGATCTTGCGCGGCCGACTTATAGAGGTTGGTAACGGAGAGGGCAGCCGATTTGAAAGCCTGAAGGAGCTGCTCGGGCGGCACAGGGCGGCTACTATACGCCGTAGGTAGCGACGTGTTCAAGGATCTCATCGAGTCCATTCTCGTTCTGAGTAGGTGTGGTAGTTCTCAAACGGCTGTTTGCGGTGCTTGCAGACAGCAAGGTAGTCGATTTTGAATCTGGCTAGAAAGATCTGTAAAAGGTGGGGCTGATTGCAAGTATTGTATGCCGCCCCTCTTACATGCAACGAGGATTAAATTCCGCTAACGTGCTGGCTCGGGGGTGAGAGAGAACAAAGTGCGTCCCTGTCCGTCTTTGATCAGCCGGAAAAGGAGTGACAATTTGATTCGGGTGACGAAAGCGAGTCCTGGCAGCCGTTTGCCTCGAAGTTGGACTGTTTTGCCTGACCAGCCTGGCGCAGCCCTCTCGCGACGTCAGGCCTTGGCGATAGAACACTAACCAATAAGAGGCCGGTAAACGGCCCGCGAAATGTACTTCGCGTTCTGCTCAAGTCTCCCACACTCTCACTTCCATCTCGTCTCTCTGCAGCTGACGTTGACGCGACCAAGATATCTTCAGATACACTCACTTCTGCCTACCTCGTTTTTCAATCCCCAAAGGCAGAACCTGGGGCTTTTTCCAGTAGATCAGGCCGCCTTCGCGTCAAGTATTCCCAAACGGGCGCGACGCCCTCGTCGCAGACATGCCTCGACTTCTACCACAGTCTGACTCCGAGGCTTCCTCGCGTGCCGACACTCCTATGACTGACGTGAACGATGTGCCTTCCCGTCGGCCTCATCGCCCATCTTTCGGTCACCTCAATCCATACCTCGATGATACCCCAGACTACACAGACTCCGATACGAATCCAAATACCACTGCTAGCAGCGTGGCTGGGGATGTACCGCAGACCGATGGACGCAAGAAACGAACTGAGGCCTTGCAATTGAGAAAGAGTATCTTGGGCAAGAAACACGGCCAGCTGGGTGAATCCAAAGAGAATGACTCCATTAGACGCTTTAAATATTTACTCGGTCTGACCGACCTCTTCCGCCACTTCATCGACACGAATCCCAATCCTCGAATCAAGGAAATCTTGGCTGAGATTGATCGTCAGAACGCCGAACAGGAGGCTAAGGCCAAGAAGGGTGTGTCGCGCAAAGGAGGTGCTGCTGGTGCCAACAAGCGGAAAACCGAGCAAGAGGAAGATGCAGAGCTGTTGCGCGATGAGAAACGTGGTACAGCCTCTCAGACAATCTTCAGAGATTCTCCAGCCTTTATCCAAGGTGGCGAGATGCGCGACTACCAAGTTGCCGGCCTTAATTGGCTAATCTCCCTCCACGAGAATGGTATCTCTGGCATCCTCGCCGATGAGATGGGACTAGGCAAAACTCTGCAGACCATCTCATTCCTCGGCTACTTGCGCCACATTTGCGACATCACCGGTCCTCACCTGGTCGCTGTCCCCAAATCTACACTGGATAATTGGGCACGCGAATTCAAAAAGTGGACGCCAGAAGTCAATGTTCTCGTTCTACAAGGTGCGAAGGACGACAGACAGCAGCTTATCAAGGATCGCGTCGTCGACGAGAAATTTGACGTTCTGGTCACCAGCTACGAGATGATTCTCCGCGAGAAGTCCCACCTCCGCAAATTTGCTTGGGAGTACATCATTGTTGACGAAGCTCACCGCATCAAGAATGAAGAATCCTCTCTTGCCCAGATCATTCGCGAGTTCAACTCACGGAATCGGCTCCTCATTACAGGCACCCCTCTACAGAATAACCTCCACGAGCTATGGGCGTTACTCAACTTCCTTATGCCTGACGTATTTGGCGACTCTGAAGCGTTTGACCAGTGGTTCTCTGGTCAGGATGCGGATCAAGACACTGTCGTACAACAACTTCATCGTGTGTTACGACCTTTCCTCCTGCGTCGAGTGAAGAGTGACGTGGAGAAGAGTCTACTGCCAAAGAAAGAGCTCAACTTGTATGTTGGCATGTCGGAGATGCAGGTGAAGTGGTACCAGAAAATCTTGGAGAAGGATATTGATGCTGTCAATGGCGCGGGCGGAAAGCGTGAGTCCAAGACGAGATTGCTCAACATTGTCATGCAGCTGCGCAAGTGCTGCAATCACCCTTATCTTTTCGATGGTGCCGAGCCTGGCCCTCCGTATACCACGGACGAGCACTTGGTGTACAATTCTGGAAAGATGCTCATTCTTGACAAGATTCTGACGAGGATGCACGAACAAGGAAGCCGAGTGCTCATCTTCTCGCAGATGAGTCGTGTTCTTGACATTCTGGAGGACTACTGCGTATTCCGTGGACATCAGTACTGCCGCATCGACGGTGGCACGGCGCATGAGGATCGGATTGCGGCCATCGACACATACAATGCCCCTGGCTCGGAGAAGTTCATCTTCCTCCTCACCACGCGTGCTGGTGGTCTTGGTATCAACCTAACCTCCGCCGATATCGTTGTATTGTACGACAGCGACTGGAATCCTCAGGCCGATCTTCAAGCCATGGATCGTGCTCACCGTATTGGGCAAACTAAGCAGGTCAAAGTGTTTCGGTTTGTAACCGAGAATGCCATCGAAGAGAAAGTCCTCGAACGTGCGGCGCAGAAACTGCGACTTGACCAGCTTGTGATCCAGCAGGGCCGAGCTCAGCAACAGCAGAAGCAGGCTGCTTCGAAAGACGAGCTGCTCAACATGATTCAGCACGGTGCCGAGAAGGTCTTCGAGACCAAAGGCGCCGTTGGTGCGCTCGATGACATCGATGAAATCCTCCAGCGCGGTGAGGCACGTACTCTTGAGCTCAATGCCAAGTACGAAAAACTAGGAATTGATGACCTTCAGAAATTCACATCTGACAATGCCTACGAATGGAACGGCGAGGATTTCACCAACCGTCGCAAGGAAAATATAGGCATCTCCTGGATCAACCCGGCTAAGCGAGAGCGCAAAGAGCAGTTCTATTCCATCGACAAATACTACCGCAACGCCCTTAGCACGGGCGGAAAGAAGGAGGAGCCCAAGCAGAAGATCCCTCGTGCGCCCAAACAGGTCAATATCCACGATTGGCAGTTCTTCCCCGATGGTCTGCGCGAGCTTCAAGATAAAGAGACCGCGTACTATCACAAAGAGATCGGTTTCAAGGCGCCTCTGCCTGAAGATGATCGGTCTGACAGCGAGCGTCAAGCTGATCAAGAAATTGAGCAGCAGACCATCGACAACGCAGAACCTTTGACCGACCGTGAGAAGGAACTCAAACTCGAAATGCAAGAACAGGGTTACGGTCACTGGAATCGCCGTGACTTCCAGCAGTTCGTCAATGGATCCGGCCGTTATGGCCGCAAGAACTTCGAAGGCATCAGTATCGAAGTGGACAGCAAGACCGTGGAAGAAATTAAAGAATACGCCAAAGCTTTCTGGGAAAACTACGAGCTCATTGAAGGTTGGGAAAAGCATATCGCCTCCATCGAAGCCGGCGAGGAACGATTACGTCGCACTGAACATCAGCGAAAAATGCTGCGGAAGAAGATGCAAATGTATCGTGTCCCTCTTCAGCAGCTCAAGATCAACTACACTGTCTCAACCACCAACAAGAAAGTATACACAGAAGAAGAGGACCGATTTCTTCTTGTTATGCTGGATCGTCATGGCCTTGAGTCGGAGAATCTCTACGAACAGATTCGCGATGACATCCGTGAAAGTCCGCTCTTTCGCTTCGATTGGTTTTTCCTCAGTCGCACCCCCATTGAAATCGGCCGGCGCTGTACAACATTGCTCAACACCGTTGCACGTGAGTTTGGCGATCCGGACGAAAAGCTCACCAACGGTCATGCCAGTGGCAAGGGTCGGGGTAGAAACCGTGATGACAGTGAGGACGAGGAGGAAGAAGAAGAAGTGCCGGCGAAGAAGAAAGCCAAGAACGGTGTCGTGGTATGAAAATAATCCAGATTCGTTGCAAAGAATTGCACTAACCATTCGGCAGAACAAGAAAGTGAAGGCCGTCAAATCGGGCACCGGCAGCAAGGCAACAAGCCCAGCAATGTCTCGAGCCCAGAGCGTCAGTTCCACAGCGCCTGTCAAGGGAAAGAAAGGTGGGAAGAAGAGGTGAGCATCGGTGAAAAGCAACTTGCATGATTATGAATTCGGACGCATGGGTGTTCTTGTAGCTCACGGCCCTGCTTCTTCGGGTTTTGTTGTTGCTCGGCGTTGGAGGTAACGACGATGGGAAAGCATTGTATAACTATTCCACCAAATCATCTCATAGAATGCAGTGTTTCAAGGGGAGGTCGAGGTCGATTTCAGGAGGGAGCCTTGGGTTGCTTATGAGACGATGGAGCCGGCGCGAGCTGCACTCGCGATAGAGGGGATAGCCGCAATACTGAGTCATTGATAGTAAAGCAAGTTCTCGCATCATCTGCGCCGTCGTGGACCCAAGCTGTCTTGGGAAGTCATTTTGCCCGTGCGTGGGATGTTGTACACACGAGAGACCTATTCCAACTACCGTAAAATGCCGTCGCGCGCCATGAATTATCCAGACCGTCAAAATGTTGCTTGCAGCAAAGCTACCACGTCGACTTGTCATATCCGTCCATGTACTGAATGTAGTCCTTGCCGCCTTTCACCCAACCTTTGATGCCGCCCTCGAGCACCACACTGCGAACCTCGTCCTCCTTTACACCTTGATCATCGAGATAGTCGGCGAACCATCCAGCACAACGAGGTCCTCTTCCGCTGGATGAGCCTTGTTGTATGTGAGTGAGGAGGGAAGTGCTAGGTCTGGGAACGACATACCACAGTAAAAAGCCACCTCCTTGACTCCAGCAGCTTGACAGAGTCTTAGCAATGTACCAAGCGAGTGGTACAACGTCTGCGCAGGTAGGTTGATGGAACCTTTGATCGTGCCGCCCTAGCCGAACCCTTGCCATCAGTATCGCGTATTCGTACAAGCCAAGGATTCAGCTGACGAATTCGTCCTTACCTCGTGGTCGTTCCTCCGGACATCCACAAGTAAAAAGCCGCCTCGCGAGCCAGGCTCCTTTCCATCCTTCAATAACGCCAGGACATCCTCTTTCTCGACATCTGGAATGCTATCTGCTTTGTGACGGGGTTCCGGGAAAGCGGCGTGCCAGGGCTGCTCGTCTGTGGCAGTATTGCGTCGGGAGAGCGGCGAAGCAAGGCGTTCTATGGGCGAGGTGATACTCTTGGGCAGATTCGACAGCATCTTGAACTGAGGCTGATGATAATCAAGAAAGCCTTGTAGCAATGTGATCGGCTGCTGATAAGGCGAAAACGGCTTGGAAAGAAGGCAGAAATATTTTTGCGGACATTTTCCGCCTGGTTTCAACCATGTCTCAGATTTGCATGCTTTGCCACGCTCAACCATCAGCCGAACTTCTTCATTCTGACAAAGCACTGGCTTCACCAACACTCGAGTCTCTAGATTTTGCATTGCCAACGTCTACTGAGTCCGCGATGCGGACGGTCGAAACCTTTCTGGAAGTGTTCAAGAAGCAGCACATGGTGACCATCGCCCCTGCCTTGGCAGCTGACCTTCCCATTGTACAACACGCAGAATCTCAGATCTCAAACCCGAATGAGGTATCCCCCCTCCGGTTGGAGTGAGCGTGGTGTACAGCTGACCCATAAGTGCCCTGCGGAAGTGCGCAGGTTGCCGGTGCGTCGTGCTGTACCTGACGAGTAACTGCCGATATTTGCACCTAACAAGGTCGCTCCTCCCAGTTACAGACCGCCGTTAGCAGCCAACGCGTCATGCGGCACGATGACTTCCAATCAACACAGCAGGAACCCGTGACCTACGGAAGTCACAACCCAGCATCCAACAACTGCAAAAGTGCTGCGTGCTCGTTCATCCCATTGCCATCTTCTCTCCCATCATTTCTCGCATCACCCTTCATCACAACTGCTTGTGCCCATCGACTTCCATCTAGCTCATTGTATCCCTGTGTCTACTCTGATGATCCTTGCTCACTAGCACAATGGCTGCCACCCGCATCAACGTTTTCCGCAATCCTGCCTACAAGGCCAATGGACCCAAATCTCTCGTCTACACTCTTCGCAAGTATGGCATGACTCCTGCCAAGAGTATTGGCCGATTCTATCGTGACCCCAAGAAGACCCTCTACATGAAAGATGCCGATGGTAGCTCCACCGAGGTCACTGCCGAGAACCAGCAGAACGATGCCTTCTTCCTTTCCCCAGTCACCATCGGTACTCCTGGGCAGCAAATGCTGCTGGTAGGGCGACCCACCGCCCGAAGATCTACCGCTGACTATGTTTGCAGGACTTTGACTCCGGTTCCTCCGACCTCTGGATCTGGTCTACCGAATTGTCATCGGATACAATCAGCCAAGGGGAGCAGAACGGCAACGTGGCCTTCGATCCCAAGAAGTCGACTACCTACCAGCCAATGGAAGGCTCGACCTGGAAGATCACCTACGGTGACCAGTCTGGTGCTTCAGGAATCGTCGGTCTCGACGACGTAAAGATCGGAGACATTACTGTCGAGAAGCAGGCCATCGAACTTGCCACGAACATCTCGGCTCAATTCCTGCAGACTGCTGGCAGTGGCCTACTGGGTTTCGGCTTCGGAGAGATCAATACTGTCCAGCCGCAGCCGGTGAAGACTCCGGTCGAGAACATGATCGCTCAGCAAGACATCTCGAAGGATCAATCTCTCTTCACCTGCTACCTCGGCTCGTGGAAGGATGCCAACGACCCAGATAAAGGCGAATCATTCTACACCTTCGGCGGTATTGATCAAGATGCGGTCAAGGCCTCTGGTCAAGAGATCCACTACACTAAAATTGACAAGAGCCAAGGCTTCTGGCAATACCCCTCGACCTCAGCCTTCGTCAACGGCAAGGAGATCTCGATGCCTGGAAATACTGCCATGGCTGATACTGGTACCACCCTCTGGATGGCCAGCGACGAGCTCTGTGAAGCTATCTACGGTCAGATCGAAGGTGCAAAGATGGATCGAAAGCAAGGCGGCTATGTCTTCCCCAAGACCATCCCAACCAAAGACTTGCCTGACGTGACTGTCGACATCGGCGGCAAGCAATTCACCATTGAGAAAGAGCATCTCGGTTTCGCCGATGTTGATGAGACTGGGGACATGGTCTTCGGTGGTATCCAGCCTCGTGGAGATCAGCTTCCATTCGACATCATGGGCGATACCTTCTTGATGTGTGTCTATGCGGTAAGAAGTCAGCCTCCCTTGACCGGACGACGCTAACAGTAACAGATCTTCGACGTCGGCAACGAGCAATTTGGCTGCGTCCAGCGTGCGGATCCCACTCCAGCCGGTGGCGAATAGATTAGATTGGGAGACTCTGGACCTCTGCTCTAAGCTGTGGAAGAACGATAAGGGCTATGGCCGAAGATGATGACTGGTGATTGTCGACACAAGTATTGGTAGTAAGTCACAGAAGTCAGCAGTAGCGCAAGTAGCATCATTAGTCATAACAACATTCATCACGCATGCTCGGAGAATTTCAGGTGCATTGCTCTTCCATCCGCAGCTTGAGGTCTCGGAGGCTCCGAGGGCGCGCCCTTGCGTACAACACAAGCTTGGCGGTATAATGAAATTTTGTGAGCTAAAATGAGATCTTCAACGGCGTTCGAACCTCACTAGATCACCCCAAAGATCAACAAAAAGGTCACGCCGAAGCGTGATCAAGATAGTCCAAAGATTGATAGAATGGAGTATACTGGGCGTAGCCACGGCCATCTCTGGTAAAAGGCAAGAAATGGATTCTGCAATAGCTCGTCCCACTCCAACTAGCCAAGAATTTGATAGTAAAATATATTCCTACGACAGCTGTCGCCTAAACGTTTGATTCTGCCAAGCGTAGACTTCCCCGCAGCTTCCCCTCATTCATATTGTTGGCGCGTTGATGCCGTCCGCTCATCCTGTTCCTGGAGGTTGAACAACATCAGGCTCGTACCATTGCTCTGCTTACTCGACCGCTCCATCGCTTTTACATACAGACTGCCTCTGCAATCATGTCTGCCGCGGCTTGCATTTTCTGCAAGATCATCAAGGGTAAGGAGCAACAATACCTGGACCATATGACGACGCTGCCATTGCTAACCTCTTCCAGGCGAGATCCCTTCCTTCAAGCTGTTCGAGTCCTCCTCCGTGTTCGCCTTCCTAGATATCCAGCCACTCAGTGTAGGACATGCGGTACAGACCCCACTCAGACATCCCCACATTCGGCAGCCGCTCCTGACATTACGCAGCTTGTCGTTCCCAAACATCATGGCGCAAAGCTCACCGACATCCCCGACGACCAGTTGAAGGACATACTTCCTGTGGTAAAGAAGATTGCTGCTGCGTCGGGAGCGGAGAACTGGAACTGTCTGCAAAACAATGGGCGGCTAGCACATCAAGAGGTTGACCACGTATGTCGAGCACCCCTCGACCTGGATAATGAAGTGCACAGGCGGCATAAGATCTTCCACCGTGCTGACGTCTCCAGGTGCATTTCCACATGATCCCTAAGCCCAATGAGACCGAAGGACTTGGCATCGGATGGCCGGCGCAGAAATCTGATATGGACAAGCTCAAGCAATTACACGAGCAGCTAAAGAGCAAGATGTAAGTCGGTAGCATCAAAAGACGACCTTAGCAAGCTCCGTTGATCGCACTTCGATTGAGATCAACGGCATCTGCACCTCAACGCTTACGACCATGGAAATTAGATGTACACAGCAAATACCTTGCAGATACGTTTCTGACTCACTCGATTCCTATGATCTTGACAGCGACTATTCTGGCAATCGGCTTACTATGGCTTCTGGACTCATTGGATGTGTCGTACTCGGACTGAGATACAAGGTAACCCGACGCCTTGCGAGGTCGGACCGAGATCGCCGTGCTGGACCTTGTGCAGCTAACAAGACAGGCTCATGTGCCGATTCTGATCCTGTGCATTTCCGCTGTCCCAGATAAGCGTTTGCCGGTAAAATCGACATTTGGCGGCATGCCATGGCGTCGACAGACGCTAGTAAATGGGTCACATGCTATCGAGAGATGACGACCCGCCGCAATGTCGGGCCTGCTCGATAGGACACCACGCAGACCAATCTTTCTACGTAAACAATCTATGTGTGCCTGCTCACGGTCTGGTTGCGTCTGGGCGAGCAGATCACACAAGCCGGGCGATCTTGGCCAGTGTCCCTGGCATGAACGCTACTGCTGACGCTGTCGAACAGGTGTGGCTCAAGGCTGTCGTTCTTAAGCAGCCTGCAGACTCTGGCAAGTTCCACTTCGTGGTTCTTGGGCTGCAACATTGGGTCCAAAACCATGACCACCGTGGTGTTCATCACCACCCTCCAGCAAGTTGGCGATGCTGGCACATTTGCCTATGTCCTACCTGAGTTGAAAGCGAGCAAGCGGAGTTGAAGCCCGCCGGATCGAGATACGTCCGGTCACAGCTCCTGAGTCTTAGCGAGTTACGCCCTTCCGAGTCCGATTTAGATCATCCTCAGAAGCACCCTTTCTCCATTTGGTGACAGCGGCTGGCGCGCACGTGGGGTGGCGCTAATGACCACATGGTGATGGCGGATGTCAGAGCTGTTGACATTCTTCCAGGCATGCGATGGCATTGCGACAGCTTTCTGACCTGTCATCGACGCGAGTACTACGTCTCGTTCTGGAACGATACATGCCAAGACAGGGCCAGTGCTCCAGGCTTCGCTGCCAATTCTGGTCCGAGGACTGTCCGCAAGACCACTGTGTTGCAGCGAAGGCAAGGCATACTACAACGATGAAGGGTAGTAAGATCGTCCTCGCGGTCGATTTCGCAGCCCTCCCAAAACTCAATGTACGAGGCGGCTCACGCCAAGTCATGCTTCGAAATGCCTTCGCTGGTCCATGATTGAACTGCTATGTACAGTGGCACGACGACAGTGCACTTAGGTTCTCTGGACGACTTCTCTGGACGAAATCGTTCTGATGGAAAGATGTGCCTGTTCCTCTTTCGTTGAAATTGGCCATGTGTGACCCTGTCAAAATGTATTTGGAACATGTCGACAGCTCTCGATCCAGGTTGGTGCGGTACATTCAACCTGTCAATCACGTGGCTCGACTAACAGACCCTCTGATGCTTATGTTCTAAGCGAACTGAGGCATTCGAATGTTCGGAGACGACTTTTCGCAACTATAAGAAGGTTCTTCTCCCAACGTGCAGAATGAGAGGTCCACATCATCAAAGCAGTCAACAGCACTGACTGCACAAACTCCAATCACAGCCAGTTCTGCCATTACCGACGACTCGGCCGTCTGCTTGATCTGCTCATTACTCGGTTATCTCTCTTCAACAACATGCCTCGCTGCCGCAACAACTGCCTGAATGGATCCATCGTCATTACCTGTGCCGCTTGTGCAGGGAACCCGCCAAGGTACGTCACAACTTCCCATCTCATGCTCCCCTCGCAGAGTCCGAAGATCTTGGTTGATCATTCAGTCGATGTGGACATGAGGTGCTAAAGCTGCGATGCGCAACACTAGGAACTTACAATGTGGTCAGTGTCAGTCCAATGGCTGGGTCCGCAAGCCGTGTCCCTCTTGCCACCAACCAAGGGCAAAGCAACCAAGAAAATAGCATGGGATGGAAAGGAGCTACTTCCGCCCGGACCTCAGGAGGGAGAGGCACACTCGCTATGAACAGATTATTGTCCACAACTGCTACATTCGCTTCAACAGACCTGGAATTTAACTTGAAGAAAGGGAGGAAATGTCTACGGCTCGGTGGTAGCTCCAAGGCTGGGCCTCCGGTCGTTATGCCGCCCAAGATTCCTCGAGGCTACGGGCTATGAGCAGTAACATGCGCTTGGATTGGTTATTTCATACATTGTGCACCGCTGTTCTACGCTGGCATGTACTATCTCGGCACATCACTAGGCCAGGAAACTTCGCTTCAGTTACTAGTAATTGGTCTCCCCTCCCTCGGTCTGCCTTGCGAGGTTACGTGCGGACCATTTGTGAGGTCTTCTGACACGGCAACCGGTTGCCTTGGTCCTAAGCAAGCGCACCTCAAACTCGCTTCGGTACACAACATCGAAGTATGGGTGCAGTGTACCATGAATGCGTTCATAACACGTGCCCGGCATAATAGTACATCGGACCTGAGTCCGACGAGGCGGTGCCACGGAGCTGGACAACACTCTCAGCGAGTCGGCATTGACGACTATGTGGTGCAAGTCACAAGGACCAGATCTGCATTGCTTCATCGTCTTGGACCGCTTCCGCTCGTGGCCATTGTGGAGGATCAGGTACGGCACACGCCAACGGCACGACAGAACCCGCGATTTGGGTTGGGCGCAGTGGCTTTGTATTTGACAGAGCTTGTTGCCCGAAATACTGAAGAAGTGCGGCGTCGTGCCCGACCCGTACCTGTCAACCTGGTCCCAAGCACGGACAGTGAGTGTTCGTCGAGGCACCACAGTACAGAGCCGGTAGATGTAATAGCGAGCTCCAATTGCAACTCCATGTCATTCACAATCCCATTTTCTAGCCTCAAGTGTGACTTGTATACATTTACACAACTCTTCAAGCATATGCTCGCTTCGTTCGATGACTAGCTCAATCAGACAATGAAAGAATCAGATCTGGGGTATCACATTTTTCACCGTCTCCCTTTCTCGACGTTTCCTCCCTCGTTCTCCGTACTCGTGACCCATTGTCACACAGCAGCCTGTCTTCACGCCTGCTTGAACCTTCAAACAAACCCGAAAAGCGCAACAGCCTCGAGTTTTCTTCAAGGTTCGCAGCGCCAGCGAGTGCAGCAAGGCCACCGCCGGATCCGCAAAGCACGCGTTCCTCGGCCAGTCCTAGCCATGAAGCTCGGATATGGTCCATGGTTGTCCAGACCACGCGGCTCTCAGTCCATCACCATATCTCGCGGCGCAGAGACCGCATTCAAGTCTTGTTAAGCATTGCCCGAAAATCATCGTTGCTCCTCTTTCCAGTGCCAGCATCCTGAGTAGGAGCATTGTCCTGCTTACCGTTCTTCATGCTTAAGGTGTCTTTGCTCTGGGCGGAGTGGTTTGTTGTTGCTGGAGAAGCGCTCCATCCCAGCCCCAATGCTGTTCTCCTTCCCAAATTTCCGCCTTTCCTCCCACCGAAGCCACCAGCAGCTCCAGGTCGCCGGACACTGGACGGTGCCATCATAGCCCCTGCTGTCCCTCCTCGATCCACCTTCTTCTCTCCACCAAGCTTATCGCTCTTGATCTCGGGTACCCCTTGCTTCATCTCTCGCTCGTTGACTACTCTAATCTTCTTGCTGCCGCTAGCAAACTCATGTCCCTCCAGCCCGATCTCTGCCCTGCCAGCGTCGCCCGAACTTTCGAATTCGACAATGGCACCGGCGAACTGGGTCTTCAGTATTACCTTGCGCACGTTGCCATGTTTGGCAGCAACACCACGGATTTGCGCCTCGTTGACTGTGTCCGGCACATCCGTTAGGAAAATGGTGCGGGCGCGGCGGTCTTCAATTGCTTCTGCTGAAGGAGGCACAGGCGAAGATATTTTGGCGCCGTTCAGGTTGCCGGAACCAGCTGCTGAAGCTGGACTGGTTGAGCGGCCATCGACGCTCCGAGGGTGAGCAGATTCATGCCTAGCGTCTTTGTCCCTCGCGATGCTGACTTTGATGCGTCGCTCCTGGAAGAGCTGCCCGTTCGCATGCAGTGCTGCCTCGGCCGATGCCCTCTCAGAGAAAGTGATGAATGCGATGCCTTTGTTGCGTGTCGTGGAGTCCTGATCTTGCGGCACACGAACGCGCTCTATCTCACCGTACTGCGCAAAGAATCCACGAATATCTTGCTGCTGGGCCTTGAAGTTCAACTGCCCGATGAAAATAGTCCGCCCATCGGATTTGGCAGTTGTGTCGCGTTGCTTCCTGACGGCGGGATTGGAGATTTTGACGGTAAGAGCGAGGTCACCGATTTTGTGACCGTCGAGCTCTAGAGCCGCACGGGCTTGCGAGGGAGTTTTGAGCTCGACATAGCAGAAACGTCGGCGTTTGTTGGCCTGTAAGGAAGGAAAGCGAATCGTAAGAGTATCAGCGTAGGGGCGAAAGAGTTCCTCAATATCGGCCTCTGCGAAAGCAGAAGGGTAATTGGTCACGTACAAAGTGTTGCCAGTGTTGAGTGACACGGAAATAATAGCGCCATCGAGGTTTTGCTCGTTACGTGAGAGGGCATATTGTGCTTCATCGGCCTCCTTGAATTCGACGATGTAGCTGTGCTCCTCGTCTGCTACAGCTTTGAGGCTGATCACGTGGCCGCAATTGCTGAAGTACTGGCGGACTCGAGTTTCGGTGGTAGTTGGCGACACATTCTGGACAAGAACAATTGCGTGCTCTCGGTCTCGCTTGAGCTGCTCATGTACAGGCTCTTCTACCGATTCGGTGGGATCATCTTCATTCCTCACGCGCTTATTTGTTTCATCCTCGTTCATGGCATCCTCCCTTTTGCGTTTGCCAATATGGAGGCCACTTGCAACCTCTTCGGTACGCTGATCGGCTATGACTTTAGCGGGCACGGCCGCGGCCTGCTCAGCTGCCACCTCGGCCTCTCGTTGGCGACGATCCGCCAACCGCTTTTGAACGCGATCGACTAGGAGTAGAGCGGACTGTAGTTCTTCGGCATCCTCGTAGTCTTCGCAGTGGTTGACAAGAGCTTCCATCAAATATTCTGGATAGTCGAGCTTCGGGTTGTCGAGTCCCTTCTTCAGAATGCCAACTGCAAAGGGAGCAGAGGAGTGGAGAGTGACGCCATCTCGTGAATCCTGCTGAAGCGAGCTGATGTGCAAAGACGCTTGCATTTCAAACTCGTAGAAGCGGAGCCAGAACCGATAGAACTTGCCATAGACCGGTGCGGCATCTTCGAATTCTTTGCGAGCATTGTCGAAGCGACCTTGTCCTTTAAGGTATTCGATGTATTTGCGCTGCAGTCGAAAGGACGCATCAACGTTGGTCTCGCCGTCAAGTTTAGATGCAAGACTTTGGACAGCCTCGATAGATGTTCGAATGCCCATCTCAGCAACATCAGCATCCTCCTCAGTCGCATCAGGTCGCCGTGTTCGGCGGAGTAGGTAGCCACACCATGCGTCGTGAACCTTCAAGACTTCTTCAATACCAGCAGCATCGATCATGCCGGACTTGGTTGCATTCTGTTGTATAGCCTCCGTCTCGGCGAAGGGGAGATCGGCAATTTCAGATGCAAGAAGTAGTCTTTTCCAAAGCGAGCCTGACCACGGGCAGTGTTTGGTAGCTCGAAGCAGCAGTTCTAGTACCGCTCTATCGCCACGTTCTCTCCTCTCGGCTAGATAACTCGCATGCTCTTCCCAGATGGACAGCACAGTCGGTAAACGTAGTTCAGCTCGTTGATACAAAGCATTAATCATGCGGGCACTGGCGGCGGGATCTTGAATAGGCTCTCGCTTCTTTTGCTTCTTACTCATCTTGGCCAGTCGTTCTTCTTCGCTTTTCTCCCAAGCGATATATTCGGTGAAGCATTGGTACTCTGCGTACTTGTCCCCTGCATCCGCAGCTTGAGCGAGGGCATTCTCATATGTCTCTCGAATTTGATAGATGGCTTTTGCCGCAGCCGCGTTTTCGAGAGTTCTGGCCATAATTTGCTCGTATTCGTGAGAGGGACAGTTGGCGGAGACGAAGCTGGAGAACGCCTGGAACGATGATTCCCAGCGAGCGTGAGGAACGACAAGCCGGGACTGGAAGAGATCCAGGATTCGAGCAGACTTCTCCTCTGGAACCTTTTCCTCATAATCTGGAAAGCTGGTTTTTAAGTAGTTGTCCCAGACGATATGGCTCATTGCCATGTCGTGCCTAGTCTGCCGCACGGCGTCTTCCCACGTAGATAGCACATCACTACTGCGGAAAAGCTCGCGGCCAACCATCTTCTCTTCTTCAGCAACAGGAGATGTGGCAGGCTCGTGTGCCCAAGTATAGCAATGCAACACCCAGTCGCCGTAGATGTTCCATAGTCGAGCGCTGCCATACTCTTCTTCGACCGCTCTTCTGCATAGCTCAATTACCGCAACACGCTCTTCTGCCGACTGCGCAAGGATACTCTCATCCTGGAGCCAGTCTAGCCACTGCTCCTCTCCAACTGCGAACAGCTTGACCGCATTCTCTCGCGCTTGGCGCAGTTCCGGGAGGAGATCGTAAGTATTGGGATTGTTGCGGGCATTCGGACTTGACGATGGATAGATGTGGTTCACGAACCCTTGGTGTAAGAGTTTGATTATCTCAATATGTGTTTCGTAGGCGGACGGTGTTTCTTGAATCACCCCAACCAGTTCTGCGAGACGTTGCTGCCGATCAAGAGGAAGTGAGGTGCCGGTAAAATCTCCTCGTAAAAGCTGTTTTGGAGTCTCGACCATGGCGATGTCAAAGGATGGGCGTTGTTGGGGAATGGAGGGTCGTTGACTGTCTGACGAGCCAGAATTCCCGGTCGGAGGAGTCGATCGCGGGGGTTGGTGGTTTTGCATCGAAGCCAAGTCGGCCAATGTGTCCATGGAGTGCGTGGAAGAGGTGCGCGGCATTGGCGGCTGGCTCATGCCGGTCGGCACTGGTGAGATAAGAGGGGAGGAGTTGAGGGGCCGCTGACTCGGGCTTCGAATATGAGCAGGGATGCCTGAGGGTGGAAGAATCTCTCTCGTGAGAGGTGAGCCAGCGGCAGCAGCTCTGGACGCCCCCGTTGCGGGTGAAGGACCGGAGTGTGTTCGCTGGATGTACTTCAAAGGCGACTGCGCACTCGCACCTGCACCCGCACTGGCACCAACAGAGGATGAAGGTGTACCAGGACCGAGGGAAGTAGAGCGCGGCGTGGTGGCAGGCCCGGTAGAGGTGGGCGACAGTAACGAATTAATGTCCATCTTTCACCAATGTTACTGTCTGCTTCTCCTCATTCGACAGATATCCAACACAATGCTGCTTTGCCACTTGTCGCCCATAGCAAGGGCGGTCTACGCAGGCTTCTCGTATTGCACAAGTCGCTATTCGATCATCGCAGGCAGAACGTGAAACTGATGGTGTCTGGCGAACAACGACCAAAACTCGATAGCAGCCTGTGAGCTAGTCCTCGGAGGAAGTCAAGATTCGGGCAGACGGCGACGGATCAGGAATGAGAGACAGTCAGAGGTGTCGAATGTTCGAAGTCAATTGCGGGCTGGGGTCCTCAGGCTTTTGCTAAAGATCCGCCGGGCTGCAGTCGCGGCGTTGTTCGGTACACTTAATCCGTAGGGATCGGCTAAGCCAATCACAAGCGGAGACCCCCAGCTGCGCCTAATCTTTGCAAAGAGCTTCAAGGCATTGTTGGTTCATCATCCTCTACTCCGCTGGCGTTTTCACCATCGACTATGAGCCTCAGCTTGCCAGCCGCTGGGCTACGGAAAGGTGAGAATTCTTTACGCCCCTTATGGTCTGTCTAACGAATTCCAGCCCGACATGCAACCTCATACGCACACCTCTGTACCTCCCTAAGGCTGCTACAGCTGTCGAACCCCCGGAACTTCCATTCGAGCTCATCACAGAGTGCTGCTACGACCACTCGAGATAATGTCGCTACAGACCAAGCTGTTGCCAAACAAACCCCGGCCCAGCGAGCCGCCGAGATCGCTGCACGTGCTTTGCGGAAAACAAAATCGGAGGAACAAAAAGCCCAAACAAAAATGGCCATCGGTGGCCTGGCGGAGGATAGCGTCTTCGCAGACCACGATACTGTCAAGAGACCCTCGGTCGCCGCCGCAGAGGCTGGGCCCGCGACGGAGAAGTTTGATCGCCTCGCCTTTCGCAACATGACTAGTATCGCGCAAGGCCTGAATCCCCGACCTAACGCCCGCGCTCGTTGGCAGCGCAAGATGATCATCCGCCACGTGCGTCGCGGCGGTAGATTGACCAAGGAGATGCGGATTGCCAGGACCGAGAGGAACCATACATCGAGGTCACATTTCTTCAAGACGAGCATGAAAAAGTTAATGCCTCTGGCACGCCAGATTGCAGGCAAGAGCATCGATGAAGCAATTTTGCAGATGCGTTTCTCCAAGAAAAAGGTCGCTCAAGAAGTGAGGGAGCATCTGATTCAGGCGCGCAACGAGGCTATTGTGATGAAGGGCATGGGCCAGAATTCTCGTGCAGACCCGAACAAGACTCTACCTATCTCACCTGTAGTGCTAGACCCGGCCATCACACCGCCAGAAACCCATCAAAATCCAACTAAGACACTAAAGAAGGGTGAGGCTGCAAGCGAAACCGACATCTACGTTGCGCAGTCGTGGATCAATCGCGGACCATACGGCAAGCAACCAGAATTCCGCGCAAGAGGTCGTATCAACATGTTGAGGCCGCCGCATACGGGTATCAGCGTGATGCTAAAGGAGGAAAGAACGAGGACGCGAGAGAAGGCCGAGAAGGAGGTCAGAGCCATCAAGAGGCGACTTGGCAAAGGCATGTGGACGCAGTTGCCAGATCGGCCTGTTACCAATCAGAGCCAGTATGTTCTGTGGTAGATGACACAGATCTGTATAACACGACAACTAGCTATCGAGGTGCCAATTCTCCCGTTTCCTTCACACGAAGATCTCTGTGCTCCCGGATACTCCGCTTGACTACTATCGACAACGAGGTTGACGAATCGCTGACGGGTGCTAGTAACAACAGTGGAACGAAGCTACGAACAGTTGTTGCACAAGTGCACTACCAACAAGCAAGTAGAAGTCGTCATCTGGTCAGTGGCAACGAGATGTCGGTGAGGACTCGAAGTCCGAAGCGTTATAAATATAATTGCGTGCGGGATGGTACGGTCTCAGCTCGTTTACGCACCATGACAGAAACTAGCCCGAGCAGAGCCATGATAAGGAACCTGCTGTTTCATCACCCTTCCATGTCTGTGTCGGAGGCGACAGCTCTCGCCTTGCGCCCACGCCTCAATCTGCCCTTCGCCTCCTCCAGATCAGTCCCCCGATTGCTCTTCACCACTGCCGCCGGTGGCTTGTCGATAGCCTCAGCCTCGGACTCGATCTCGTTCTTGATATCCTCAGCCTTGGTCGTTCGCTTCTTTGGCTTCCGTCGGACTGGCAGCGTATCCTTCACGCCCTCCAAATCAGCAAGCGCAAGTCGGTACGACTCCTTAGCGTCGTTCAGCTCCGCACTTCTCTCGTCTTCGATTTCCTCCAGCCCCTTTGTGCTCTTTTTGCCCCTCACTTTCGCATCTTGAATCTGCTTCTCGGCCAAGTTGAACAGACGCTGAATGGGCTGTATTCGATTCTTTGCAGCATTCGCCTCCGCCTCTGCCAGTAATCCAGGTGTGACTGGCAGTGCCTCTACCGCAGGCAGGCGCGCATCGTTGTTGATACACCAGCTTTTCATGGACCGCACGATGCTGGCTAGCTGATCATAGGTGTAGCGACCGCCGCGGCGCTCGCCAACCGGAGCAAAATCATGCTCGGCGTGCTTGGAAGAGCAGAGGGCTACGAGCCAATCGGGGACTGGGGCCGAGGTAACTGGTCTGCGCTTACGCTTCCGAGTTGCAGTTGTGGTCTCCTCGATCTTCTGCTTGCCTTTGCCTATTGAAGGGCTTCCGTGCTCGGACTCGTTGCCGCTTTCCTTGCCAGCTTCCTTCGCGTGGCACAGTTGCAGCTCGAAGCCACACCATCGTGGCCAAACTAGCCCCATGTCATCAGTCCAGGTTAGTCTGCTCATCCGCATGAGCGTGATCGAGATGCAGTCGCACTGGTAAGCGGCTTCCTGACCTGGCATGTCTTTCATTCGGTACTTGCGTTCTTGGTAGTGCGTCCGGCATTGCAACGGATAGCAGAATGTGGGGATAGTGGAAGTGGCCCGTTTGTTTCGCCCAAAGAAATGGGAGATACCCTGCCGATCGTCGAGGACGACGGGGTTAGAGCAGGGAACACGGTCTGGATCGAGCGGATCGGGCTCACACAAGCCACCTGGGGGCTTGTAGGTGCGTTGATGGCGAGAGACTTGCTCCGGACTGGTCTTGGAGGTAGTCGTAGCAGATGGAGCCATGTTAAGTGTACGCAAAGATTGATGAGGCCAGCAGGCTTGGTCCAAGACGACTTCGTCGAGAGGAGTCAGATTTTGCTGGCTCGAGGATGGGCAAGTGGGCTGCTCATCTTAGGCTGGGTGGTTATTAACGGGGTATGAGTCATCTGTTTGCTACTCAGCTCGGACGATGCGATTGTAGCCGCGTCAATAGAGCACAATGGAAAAAGTGTACACAATGGTGATAGACTGGAAGGAAGGCACGGTGGCGCAGGCTAGTACTTCACTGAAGCGCTCCACCGGCCGTTTCTGCCTTTGACTCACTACTCGTGCGTTTGAGTGCATAGATGCACTTAATCATGGTGACATCTCCTAGCTCTGAAGCGTTGCCTTTACAACAAGACCTGTATCTGCGAGAGTAATGTCCGGAGTCGGGATAGCGCACTTGCCCTCCTCACGAGAGGACCGAACGAGATCATCTTGTACCTCCCTCAAACACAACAAGTATCATCTATGGTGCCATGACCGTGGTCGCGTCGTTCAGGGGCCAGCAAGTATACGAGGTATGAAGATGGTGGCACAACTCAGGTGAAGTCAGGTTAGACAGGCCAAGCCGGCGGTAACTTCCGGTGAAGATGCACTCTGGCTCTGGTGGCGGTTCAATGCAATGCGGCCTCTATGCCCCCACGTCATGGCACCTTAGGCGACGCTTGGCTGCGGTGCAAGCTACCATGTTGTTATCGCTCTTCGATTCACATACCTTTGCCAGCCTATCTCGATTCGAATTCTGCTTTTGACGGCTCACGGGCTTGCTAGACCGCGCGATCGACCCCAATATCCACTTTTTGCGCGAAGGTCAGCTGCTCAACCCATATCTTTCGCGGAGCAAGCCAGGCTTCCATCTTCTGCCACCGCTATTACAATCTGTGCCATCCACTTTCACGACCTGCCTCTACTGCACACATCTGCAATCCTCTGTGGATCTTCAGGTCTAAAGCTACGTGTGGACGGAGGTCGGGCACCGAGAGTCCGGTTGGAAAAGAGTTGCAGCCATGGCCACCTTTTCGCTTACGGCTGAGGGCCATGGCACCAATTACACCGGCATGCTCACGAGGAGCATTGTGTTCAGTGGGGCGCTTATACTGTTTCTCGTCACAACTGGCTTGACAATAGCCTCGATTATCGTTCCGGATTGGATATCGTACGACACAACAACTGTATGGTCGTGCTCTCAAAATCCAGTATCCAAAGCTAACGATATCCAGGACCAAGGAACCGAGCTGCACTGGAGTCTTGGGCTACATCGCAAATGCTCTAACACAAACCTACCGCCGAGCTCCGACTACTTCTTCACAAGTTCCAGAACCGAGTGCGTCGAGTTTCCTCGTTACTCCGAATGTCGAGGTGAAGATCGATACTTCTGTAGCATGTGGCGGTCGGTCGGCTTCCTCATGTCGTTCGCGGTTGTTATTGAAGGTATGACCATTGCTGCGTTTATCATCCTCCTTGCCGGCGGAAAGCAGCGAAGAGAAGCAGGTTGGGGTGCTCTCGTAGTTCTTGCCTTGATTTCGGCTGTTGTCCAGGCTATTAGCATGGGCTTGATGGTAAGAGCGCAACATCATACGTCCCGAAGCACTCGCTGACGAGAGCAGACATACTTGTTTGACAACGATGACCAGTTCTTCCCTGGCTGGTATCTCGATAAAAGTTGGTCCATGTGCACCGGGTCTTGGGCTGTACAGGCCCTGTGCGCCGCCGCGATTACCGCTGCAGCTCTCATACTACCCAGCGAGGGTGGCTACGAGTTAATACCAGACCACGCATGATCAACCTTCGGAGGCGTTAACGAGGTCGGGACTGGTCTCCGCGGTCGAGGCCGCCTTAATTATAGACGGTGTGAAGCAACACGGGACCTCAGCACTCGACGAGATAACTCATTCTCTAGCCAGAGAGATATTTTTTCGCCTCTTATTGCATGATTCGACACTGCTGGCAGATACTAGCTGCTTTCTTCACCGGGACCCCAGGTCCTCAACCTGGTTGACCGGCTGCAGATCTAAGTTCACCTCTTCCTTCTTCCAGTGAAGCGACGCATATCCTCAAAAACCCAGCATTTCGATCTCGTTCTCCACTTTTATCGTCATCAGCGGCACCGGGTCTGCTTCCTGAATCTCGATAATACGCTTCTGAGTTCCACCCGCCCAGTTGGGCGGCAGGCTTACTAGGATTTCGTGGAAGACGTGCTGCTTGGTTCCCTGGAACCTCGTCCAGGTGGAACTTGCCCGTATACGCCGTCATGAGCGATGCTGCCATCACTGCCTCTGCTGTCGATGGACGGTTCCAAAAGTCCCAGGGCTTGTTCTTTGAGCTCGACAAGAGTGATGACTTGTATCCATCCGATGAGTACATCAGCGAGCCTTGAAAGCTCTCGAAGAGCTCTTCGCGACCTCTTCCCCTTCTGTATCTACCATCCCTATCAACAGGAGACGCCAAGTGCCAACAAGCTTGGTGCAGAATGCCGTTGTGGAAGCTTTGAAGCGACGCACAACGGATGGCCACGGGCTCCAATATCTTATAGCTCCGTATAGCTATGTGGTACAAAATGCCGCATTACTGGCTTCGGAGTCAATGGGACGCCTAACGCCACTCAACGAGCTTACATTAACTGTAAGCTCTCGCAACACCGCGCTGTCCTGCAACTCGGTGTCACTGGATGTACGGGGTAAGCCGAATGCATCTACCTTTAGGGTGTTGCCTAATGGAGGCAGTTGTGCGAGCTCATGGCTGGGTAGCGAGTCGTCTCATCACTCGCAGGGCCAGTGGAAGGAGGGAGCCGCACGATCGACTAGAGGCCGACAGATGTACTTACAGTCAAGAAAGAAATGTAACCCGGGAGAGCAACAATATAGAACTATACAGCTTTTTGCCATTTTTGACAAGTGAGAAGCTTGTCCGCCCATGTTCATTCGTCGCCTACTCGTCGTCGTTTCAGGCCCATGCAATCGAGTGCTCCTAATATTACTTGCTCACATATGGACATCGCTCTGTGCTGCACATGATACCGGCCTATAATGCGCTGGTGTTAGCGGCATTGAAGGAAGTGGGATATGAACTTGCGGAAGGAACTACATAAGCCATTCGCGGCTCAACAGATTCAACGAACACCTGAGACCGCTCGTACCAATTCTACTGATGACCATGCCTGATTGAAGCGTTAACGCTTGTGCGCGGGTGAGCAACAAGCATCGATCAAAGCGCAACAAGGCAACCAAGTCCACCAACCGCCAAATCTAAGAGACGCGTCTGACAAACTCCTTCCACCGGGAACGGACGATTCCGACATCCGAGAGCCCACGTTCTTGGCAACCTGGTCAAAACCGTACTGTCTGACAGACGAATTATTTCGGAGGGCCCTGCCATCCGGCTTCCGGCCAGGCAAGAAATTGAAACCCTACTAACTCGAACAGACATTCATCGTCCAATCGACCAATGACAATGTCATGTTATCGTCTAGTTTGTGTGGTTGACAGGCATGATGGTCACTGGAAAGACCAAGTATGATCCAAAATGCGCTGTTGATGTCCACAACGCCTTTGGTGGGCACTCTTTGAATGACGTTCTGCACGCTATGCTGGAATGCCATATAATGGCTCAGACTTTGCAATATGTTCCTCTGTAGCATGCACTTGTACCAGCACCGCAGACACCATGGAGTATGGCCCCGTTGCAAAGGGCAGAGAGTATGTTACCCTCAGCAATTTCCACGACACACCTTTCTTTCACCTGATTCTGCTGCCCCAGTCAGTATTCTACAGCCCAGCTAATGTAGTCCTACACCAGTATGCCTGTACTATGCCCAGGTCATCCACAACTCCCATCCCAGCGCGGTATAATCACCTACCGCCTCAGCGCCAACCGTCTGAATCCACTTGCCGGTACCGCCCACGCCGCTGTCTTCAATACCTTCCGCAGATGTGCCGGCCAGGTTTGGTACGTGGTGCCGCCTTTTGTCGTTGCCTACCTGACGATGAAGTGGGCAGAGGAGAGGTACGACTCTGAGGAAAGATCTGAAGGAGGACTTATATGTGTGGCATAGCTGACGCCCGCGCAGGAACGACATGCTGAACTCAAAGGCTGGTCGGGCCTTATATGGTGATGAGGGTGAGGGAGGCTAGTGGCCATGGCGGAGTCTCCCTGCCCATGCGGCCAGCGGCTAAGCGCGGCTTCAATTCGAGCCCCTCAAATGGAGTTTATGGCTCTCCTTACCATTAGACTTTCCAGACATGCTACAGTGCTGAACGTATTCAGTCCTGGGGCTCATGTTTCGAGGAGAGCCAACACTTCTGCAATAGGACGCCAGAGACCGGATAAGATATTTCAGAGTGGATGCAGATGGAGGGATAAATGGTTATCGAAAATACTTAGTGAAATCAAACTTTTCATGCGCACCTCGCCGGTATTGTGTGCCTCTACCACCAGCCCTTCATTCGAGCTTCACACAACTTCGCCCGGGGGCCTGGTCGGCGCCGAAGACGACCTTCGCAAGCTCTCCCTTCGTTGTTGCGCAGCCGCATCGTCTCCTCCCAGATACCTTGTCAACTCTGTATCTAGCTCCGCAGCGTGAAACCGCGGCATACTCCTGGCCATCTTCACTGGATTGACACCTTCCGCATGCGCCTTCGCGAAATACAGGTCAATCTCCTCCAGGCTCCGTTTACTGGTCTCAGGAAAGAATAGCCAGACGGAAGGGATGATAGCGGCATTGAAGGCTGCGAACATGGCGTAAGTGCGCCACTGCAGATTTGCAAATGCTGGTGGCGTGATCATGACAATCAAGAAATTGCTCAGCCAGTTACTGCACGTGCTGAGAGCGTTGGCGTGAATACGGATACGGAGGTTCGTCACCTCCGCGGGATATAACCAGGTCATACCGAGCCATCCTATGGCGAAGAACGTGTTGAACCCGAACAGGAACACGACAGCAACGACACCGTACAAGGTGCTGAGCTGCGGCGCACCATTCTCATCCGTGGTGCCAGTAGACGTCGAGCCGGCAAGGATGGCCATGGAAGCCATCATGCCGAAAGCACCGAAGATCATCAACTTCCGACGGCCAACGCGCTCGATGAGTGGAAGTGCGACAAGTGACGCCAGAAAGTACTCTGTTCCGTTCAAGGCGGCGAGCAGCCGTGAGAGTTGTGGCCCAAAGCCTAGAGAGTTTTCGAAAACGAAGGTAGCGTAGTACGTGATAAGGTTGATACCGCAAATTTGTTGAAAGAACTGCGCGATAATGCCCAGTATGCAGCGACGAAGGTTTTGCTGAGGGCCCGAAGTGAGTAGCTCGCGGAACTTGAAAGCACCTCCACTGTTTTCAACGTTGAGGGCGGCGTTGATCTGGTTCATTTCTTCCACAACAAATGGATCATCTTCAGGTTTGCCCAAGAGGCGTGCAATCACATCGCGACCCTCGTCTACACGGCCTTGAGCCATGAGCCAACGCGGAGAGTCCGGCAGGAACAGCAGCCCTATCATGACGAGAACCGTGAAGAAAGATTGGAACATGACCGGGAAGCGCCATCGTACTGATCCTTCGAGGAAATAGAAGCCGTACACGACCCAGTAGGAGATCATGATGCCGCCGGTAATGAGCGCACCGGAGGTCAAAATCAACAGTCCTCGCTTCTCAGGCCTAGCGCATTCCGACTGCCAGGTAGGGATCGTAGAGGTGACCATGCCGTTTCCGATGCCACCAATCACTCGCCCACTCACGAAAAGTCCATACTCAAAGCTGGCCGCTTGCATGATTCCGCCAACGATCATGATTGCTGATCCCCAGAACGAAGATGATCGTCGACCTAACCTCTCGCCGTAAAAGAGGATGACGACTGCACCTAAAAAGCATCCAATCTGGTAGAGAGCAACACCAGCAGCCTGAGTATTGGCATCGCCGTGACAGTAACGCTCATCACGGTTCGGAGGTCCCTCATCGGTCCAACATAAGGGGTTGCTGTCGTCCAAGGGCGTCATCAGCGTCTGATCACGCTGGAAGTCGTCAAGGGTGAGCAAGCCGGACAAAACGCCTTGGTCGTACCTAGCAACAGTCAGTAAAACCTGCATCGGCCAGAAAGAGACTGAAGCAGTGTTGGAAATCTCCGCAGAAATATCGTTGAGACTGTGTCTTGGAGAATGCGACAAACGCAGTATGGTTGCTTCGATTCAAGTTTATTGAGGATTACTAACCCAAACATCAGAAATCCGCAGGCAGCAACGACTCCTATACCCCAATTCAAGGCCGCGCCTGAAAGGAGCTGGCCTCCAATTTTGTACTGAGGCAGGTCGTTCAACCTGTACAGCCAGCTTTTCGATGCATCGTTCCGAAGCGTTTGCTCGTCTGAGCTGCAGTCCGGGCTCTGGTTTGCGGTTGGCTTTTCGAACTTCTCGCTACCCATTGTGAGAGATGGTAGAATTCGAGATCGTCGTGGTCTTAGACGTAGGCTTCCGACATGCGCGGGACGGTTTTATATGGGTGATTGTTGCTCAATGCATGGCGGGCCGTATTTTTCCGGACGATCCAGTATGACATCGGCCAATGCTGTGGACGAGATTTCTTTAAGCATAACTCCAGTTCGAAATATGGTGGTGGAGACCCTACACCCTTCGCAGGCGGAGTGATGGTCATCTACAAGGCTTGACGTTGCGGCGAAGGCGAGGTACTGTGATCAAAAAGGTCTTGGAAGAAGCTCGCTTGGATGCCGAATGTGGTAATCCGAGAGCTCGGCCTACCTGTTACGACGGACAAACTTGCGGCAGCGGAGCGCCAAGGGCGTGGCAGCGGATTCTGTGGCGGAGCCCATTTTAATGACGTCTTGTCTCCGGAACGCGGTTCTTATCAACGAGGCGTCGTAGGGGGTGGGTTCCTTTGGGCGCCAGGAATTGCGGCAAGATCAGTAGGTCCTATACCCAAGACGGATTCCCGGACAATGTCTGGAGCGAGGGACTGATTTCCATGTGGCCGGGAGTCCGGGGGCACGGCTGACAGCGGAGAACCACAGGTCGGTAAAGTGATAGGAGGGCTCCCAGACCCACGGCGAATAGCAAACATTAAGCCTCTGCGGTGTGCTCTTGGAGGAGCCATCCTATCACTTTCGTTGACCCCGGGGCAAGAATCAACAGGGTTCAGAGTCTCGCTCACTGAGCGCCGACCTTGCCCTTGAGCGGAAATGAGCAGGCTTGACCGCCCCGTCGGGTGGAAACTGGAAAGCCCGGACTAGGGTATCTATCCACGTGGATACAGCCGACCTCTTTCCGAAGGTTTCAGGATTTCCACTTGATAACTTCGGTCAACTCCTTGCCCTCATCTTCGACCAGTCGTTCTCTAGAGTAAGACGACAGATATCGTTATATTATCTTCTTGCCGGGGAGAAAGTTGAGATCAAGTACGACAGGGTTGTGCAGGTCTACAATGGAATTGATGCGTTCTGTAATCTTGGCTGTGAGTCCGCTGTCCCATATACCTTCACCTCGCCGGCAGGTGTAGAGGAATAAGAACGCCATCTTTCTCTACGCTGCATCACTGATTTTGGTCGCCAGGAGAAACACCACTGACATAATACCGGTCGATATAGAGAATTGGGGGTCTTCATTATGCTGGCTGATCTGTGCGACAACGTCCTCCGTGAGTGTCATGGCTTTCCAGAGCACTGGGGGCTTGAATTCGTAGTAATTGTCGTCAAGTTCCACGATACGTTGACGAAAATGATTTCGAGGAAAATAAGATAGATGGCCAAAGTTTTGAAGCTGGAGCCTTTAGCATTCGACGGATCAATAGGGATAGCGTCGAAAAGGTCTTCAACGCTCGACTCTCGCCCTCAGCTGCCCCTTAGCTTCGAGTTCTCTGGCTAAGGCGTCCTAATATGCGAATCTTAGGGTCGGTGTTAGCTTTTGGTAGCGCTCCGAGAATTGTGAGAGGTTTCCGAGCAGGCATTGTGGTGTAAGAAGGAAACAGGTGAAATAGCCGGGGAGTTCTAAGCAAAAAGCTGGCAAATCAGTCAGCAGGAAGTGCTGGAAGGTTGGATCTCCGAACTCCATGATTAGGGCGCCGATCATTAGAACAAAGCGTAGCAGCTTCTTTCTGTCGATACAGCGACCACCGCGTGGTGGCATATGCGCCTGATCTTCACACAGAATCTTGATTCGGGAAGTGGCATGATTCACTGGCCACGTGACTACAACGTATACCTGAACGTAGGACTCTTGTCGCCTAGCTGAGACAGTTGCTCATCTGTCAACCGCTCAGCCTCGTCACTCTTCTCCCTCCTCGCATTGGCGGCCCCATAGCACACTCTGAGCGCCACGCAGGCCGCCATGCCAGCAACCACGAACCCAATCTCCAGCCCGTGGCCCAGGATATACTTTGGCGCATCCTGTTTGCGATAGAAGTTGCTAGCCATGGCACCGCCCAGGTTGCCAATGCCGATTTGGAACGCCATGCCTGCTGCACGCTTGTAGCTACCGGCCAAATTATTCGATATCCAAGTGATGTTGCCGGGGAAGGCGGGATAGATTCCGCACGTGGCGATGAAGACTCCAGCGTACACTACGCCTGGGACGCCGCCTTTTGCGGAGCCACTGATGGCCATGACGAAGCCGATCAGAATGACCGTCATGGGAACGAAGACGAATGGCCATCGTGAGGCGCCACGCTTGGCTGCACGGTCTGAAAGCCCGCAGACCACAATGGCGAGGACGGCTGCTGTGCAGTAGATTGGAATGGTGAGAAGCTGGGCGGTAGTGGCCACGTAGCCTAGTTCGTTGATGATTGATGGAAGGAAGAGTGAAATGCCGTAGAGCGGGCAGACTATTCCCCAATACATGAAGAAGGATAGATGCAGTTGCCAGTCCGTCAACGCTAGGGTCGTTAGTGGACAACTGTCAAATACGGTAGGCACTTACCTTGGCGAACATATTTCCACTGAAACTGATCACTCTCGGCCACCAGTCGGCCACTTCTCTTGCTTCCCTGGTACTTAAGGCGGTGCACAACCCACGCCTTCTCCTCGGTCGTCAAGAATCCAGCCGTGTCCGGGAAGTCGTACAGCAGAAAGAATGCAGCGATCGCCACAACCACTGTTAGTAGACCCTCCAAGATGAAGATCCACCTCCAACCTGCGTAGCCGCCGACACCGTCCATCTGCGCGATCGCATAGGCCAGTAACCCAGAGAAAGCACCAGCCATTGAAGCCGCGCTGAAGAACAGGCCTTGTCGGAATTGCAGCTCTTCAGAAACATACCACATTGTCAGATAGTATGCGACTCCAGGGTACAGACCAGCTTCGGCAACACCAAGGAAGATTCGAGCGATGAGTAGACCATGGTAGTCTTGAACGAGTCCCATCAACGTCATAACCGTACCCCACGCAATCATAATGCTTGGCAACCAAACAGAAGGTCGGAATCGCTTGAGTAGTAGATTGGATGGGATTTCGAACGCTGCGTAGGTAAAAAAGAAGACGGTCGCGCACAGACTGTACTCCGGACCGCTCAGATTGAGATCCTCCTGCATGCCCTGGATCTTGGCATTGCCAATGTTACTGCGATCGAGGAAAGAGAGAAGATACAGGAGCGCCAGCATAGGAATCAACCGTAAGTCCATCTTGCGAAGAGTCATTTTTGGGTCAACATTGGATGTATCGACATCTTCGCCAGTCCAGTCGGGGTTATGCTGTTTCATGTTCTTCTTTTGTCAGCACAGGGCAATGATATATCGAGAGCATGCTTACCAGACGGCCTTCGATGGACTCCTGCTCCGATGCGATGACTTTCTGATTGACACCATGATCGGCCTTAGGGTACGTATCTGCTGTCATTATTGACGGCTGGAGATAAGTGTGAAGTTGGACTCGTCTGGAGAAAGTTGCTGGGGACGGTCTTTGATATAGACGTACTGAGCCAGCGCGCAAAGCATGGGGTCTCCATGATCGACCACCTCCTCACCACGGTTCGGAACCGATCGCCAATCGAGGTCTCGCTTATCTGCACACTTGGCATGCCTTGGCAATGTATAGCGGCAACCTAATCGTAGGTTCTTGAGCCCTGTTGCAACGTGAAACCCTGTATGGATGCTACTTCCGTAGGCAGCACGCCTGTGAAATCATCGTCTTGAACAGGGTTCGCATGTTACGCCCCCAGAAATATGGAACACCATAAGCGACAGCTTTTGCGCAAAGTCTCATCCGCTGCAACATGGTCGTATTGAAGCTTCGCTCACAAAGCAAAGCGTATCTCGCCCCAATGGCGAGTGACGGGCTCAAAGTCTTCGAGAAAGCGTGGAGCATACGCAGTAACGTGTCTAGCCGTATGACGTTGGGAGGAGGTTTGTCCTTGGGCAGAGGCAAGCTTTGCCACCAAAAGCTTGGCACAATGAGCATCACTTGGCGATATACCAATGGCGTGAACTCTTCCTAACGGGCGGGAGTGCTGTTGGGCAACTCGATCTGATGTTATCATCGATTTCGATGGCCATCGTCGAGAAGAAATGTCATTCGAGCAAGGTGTTAGGCATATCCGCTGTGTGCGTTAAGCATGCAGTTTTCTGGGGCGGTGCAGGTGCTGGAGCTTCCTCGGAGATTTTCCCATACGAAGCATCATGCATGAAGTCCCAACGTTCATGAGTTGACTAGAATGGGAAAGATCAAACTTGGGACCGCCGTCTCCCACCAGCGTTTCCTGGTAGCGTAGTCTAGGTGGGGCTGTCGTCACATTGCCTGCGTGAAACAAATGCAGGAACCCTATCCGAATCTCACTAGGAACCGCTTTCCCCCAGGTGTGCGGAGTCGCGAGAAGAAGAGTCCGAAACTTCACCTAGTCGGATCAACAGCCACCAGATAAACGTAGCTGCGGTACTGGCAAGAGGTGCGTTGAACCGTTCCTTGGCACTTGTCATGCCAAGAGACCATCGGTTCCGACAACGGGTCCGAAGCGTGGCTTGCCATACAGCGTCATCGGGTATCGACCTCGGAGTTCTTGGACTTCATAGAGGCATGGGTTTGACGGAAATCCTTCGATGTGTTCCACACCGGAAAAGCAGTAGCTCAACTGATTGTCATTTGACATGGGATCTCTTGCGCTCGGCGAGCGCAGCTGTGTGACCTTGCTGGGTGCAGGCACTCAAGGCAGAAGACTGGCGTACATGGTGCGTTGACGAGCTCTGGGATGACGCAGCGCTGACCGCTCGGTAGTGGCTCAGCAGAGGCAAAGACGTTCATTTGGTTGATGGGCAGGAAAGCCAATTGCATGCCGCGTCAGATTTTATCCGTCATCTCCAGCAGGAATCTGGACAGATGGCAGCAGGAAGCATTGTCACTCATGCTCCAAGTAAGTTGACAACGGCTCTGCAGGCCTCATGGCTGGTGGTTGAGGTGATATAAGGCGTCTGAGCTTCAGCCTACGCTAACAACACGCAGTGCGTCCCCGAAAGAATCGAGTTGAAGCGCGATATCCTGCAGCAACTCGACGCGACAGCCCCAGATGATACTATAATTGCATCAAACTCGAGTAGCTATCCCATCTCGGAGCTGATCGAGGGGCTCAAGTTGAAAAACGACCAGCGAATCCTGAGCGCTCATAGTTGTAGGTCATTGTAACAACTGCCGCTAGAGAATGCTGACAATGTTAGATTGGCCTCCAGAAACACCTGGTATGTTGGCAAATCAAACCTTCGGACACTGCTGATGGCTGGCACAGCGATCGAGATCATGGGCCACGACAATACTAACCCAGCATGCGTCGACCTAATGATGGATCGGTGTCTCCAGCACGGCTTCGAGCCGTTCCGAGTCAAGCAGGACTCCATGGGATATATCTACAACAGGTATGCTTGATTAAATCACGCGGCACACTGCTGACAACGCCAGAATCTGGGCAGCCATAAAGCGAGAAGCTCTGCTGACAGCTTCTGAGGGCGTCGCGACACCCGAGGAGATCGACAAGATCTTCAAGAGCGTGCTAAAGACGCCAAAGGGTCCATTCGAGCAGATGGACGTCGTGGGATTGGACGTTGTGCTTGACATAGAGGAGCATTATGCTGCGAAAAGAGGGAACATTCCGGAGCGGCCACGAGCGTATCTCAAGAACCTTATTGATGAAGGCAGATTGGGTGTGAAGAACGGCAATGGCTTCTATCAGTACAGCAAGAGCGCACAAGGCCAATAGAACGTGCGGGGGATTGCGGGTGCCAGATTCGCGAAGGAAGCGTGAGCATGCCTGACCCTATTCATATGGTTGGTGTCAATGTCTGGAGAAATCTGGAAGTGTTATCCGAGCTTGCAATCCTAAGCATCAGCTAGCCTCGACCCTATGGGAGATAAAGAATAAGCCTGACGCTCGCAAACCCCTGAAAATTCCGTGCCCAGCCACGCCGCCAGTTTGCATGTGCGGGGCGTTTTGGGGCTTCCAGGCGGAGAAGCGGGGCAGCCATGCCTAACCCAAACAGGGGTGGGAGCTGTCTGTCTAAACAAATTGCCGTAGCCTGCACGGGACCCTCTCTTTTTCCTTTTGGCCTTACGGATCCGACGAGCCTCAATGCATTGTCTTTGAACGACATGTCGGCACTATGACGCGAAATGATCTGGCACCTCGCCGTATTCAATACTCCAGCTGCGACCAATGCCGAAAGTCGCGCGTCGCGTGTGATGCAGGGCGGGGCCGTCGCACCGGCGACTCTTCTGAGCTTATCACTTGTTCAAGATGCTTGAGCCGACATCATGAATGTACATTTGAGGTATGGTTCACCGCGTGTGGCTGCGAATATCGGCTCATCCAATCTAGTGGATCAAGGATGCGGCTGCATCTAACACGCCTCGACAGACCGCAAGGTCAAAGCAGGCAAAGAGCCGAAATGTTCGTAAACAGCGGGATGCGCCAGATCGTCTGCTTCCTCAGATGGAAACGCCGTCCTTACCATCCTTGAGTCTCTATAGCTCCAGCAGCAGCACCACCCGGTGGAATGGCGCAGGTGTCGAGGACATTTGTGATCCTCTGACGTCGCAATGGCTCCGGAGCATCTACAAGGGTGCTTTCGAGACAATTCTCGGCTCGTGGATGGGAAAATACAGTAATCCATTTGCGTAAGTGACGATTTGACTTCAAGTAAACCGACATTGACTCCTCTAGATTTGGGGACCACAGCTCTGCAGAGATATCGGTGAGCATCTCTCACGTTTGCGAGCAGCTGGACAGCTGGATGGACGAAGAGTACGACCTCGACTTCGGATCTCCATCGACTCGGCGAACGACCAGCACTCAGATTGCACAGTCTCTCAACCTTACTATACATGCTTATGCTGCACGATGGCTGCCTGTGGTTGAGTCGACGGCCGATGCTGAAATAGTGCGAAAATTGTGGAGAGCTGCCCGTCGCGACATGTTGAAGGTCATCAATCGGCCTTCTTACCGGTCAATGTGTACTTTGCTGCTCTTCGCACTGACGCCGATACCCGTTGGCCTCGAAGAAGAGGAAGAGATCGAGGGTATCTCCGGTCAGGTTTGTGTTCATGCTGCCCTCCAACAGATTCAACAGCTCCGAGCTCGCCAACGAAGTTTGCAATTCAACGGTGCTCAGGTCAACCTCACCGCCCCACCAACTCCAGGTCACGGCTCCAGCCCACGGACAATGACAACTGCCAACTTCATCACATATGAGAACATTGCTTACTGGGCTGCGTTGACCTTCGACACGTCTGCGTCACTAACATTGAGCTGTCGCCCACTTCTCTCCTCCGGGCTTTACGGCCTCGAATCCGAGTCGTGGTGGCGCATGGTCAAGACTTGTCGAGAGATCTTTCAGCAATCCTCCTCTCATTGGTTGTTGGAGCCTGAGTTGACGGACGACAGAGCTAACCGAATCATCGCTGCTGCCTCAGCATGGAAGCTGGTAGTTTGGAAGCTCACAGCCAACATGAAAGAAGCCTTGCGCGATGGACACGATGAACCCGAGGTCAGTAGAGCCTTTTCCGCAGTCGTGGAAGGGATCGACCTCTGGAACAGCACCTATCGAGATTTGCTGGCTGCGTGTCAAAGGCGCATACTCTTTTTCCAACAAGAGACGAAGCTCAGGTGGTATGTGTGCGTGATGCACTACCACCTCTCCATTTTGATCGGCGTCGATACACTTGCGGCGAGTGAGAGACAGGACTTGTTGGCCCAGTTCTCGGCCAAGCGAACGGAAGCCGAGAGCTGGGTTTTGAACTGCCTACAATTCGGCTTGAACAACAAGTACACCATTTCACGCGACGAAATCAGCGCCACTGTCCCGATCATGGCTATCGATCCATATGCACATCATGTGGTTGCCGCAGTCAAGCTGATGCAACAAGCTATCGATCGTGATTTCGCTGCGCTAAAAATTTCGGCGGACGCATACAATGATTTGGTGTCAACACTGACACAGGCACTTCAACATCTCCCAGCAAGTTCAAAATCAGTCCAGCTTGCTAGGAGCAAAGCTCAGTCGCAGCCCCTGTACTCACAGACCTCCATCGGCGGTTGACGCGCGTCAATTCCGCATTTGGCAAGGCATGCTGTTGCTGCAGCGTTTCAATCTCTCCTGCACTTGCCCGGTCTAATGGAGGTTGGTGCTGTTTTAACGGGTTTTGCTGTGGCCGACCCCAGGCCCGATCCCTGTGCACATTGGTGGGTCCAGACCGCGATAGACCTCGAGACGTCGCGTACTCGGAAGGTTCTGAAAGCCTCTGCCTGTGCAGTGAGTTGGGCTCGGAACCCTTTGACCTAAGGAAAGAAACCGAGCAGACGAGGAATGCGTTTGCAACCTGATGGTGGACCCATGCTCATCCGAGAGGCTGTGCGCAGCTGGGTAGACGCGCAATGCGAAGGCAGCCAAATATTGGACAACCGTTCGTCAGCCTCACGGGGCCGCAGCCGACTGTCTTTTGAACTCTCTATCGTTCTATTAGCTCGAGTGGCAAGCTTCAAGTATTGCTCGTGTATTTTTTCAGGATGATGTCAGACGAGCCTGGAATCGCGTTTGCCTAGCCAGCCGCGTCAAATCACAGGAGCCTCACCAACAAACATAATCGGGTTCCAACGACGGCCTGACTCGAATGTCGCTCGTATTCAATTTCCCGACTGGTTTTGGAAAACTGACAAACTCTCTTCGACGAATCCGGATTACGAGCCTGCTTCCACCAATTACAGCGGGTCTGACGCGGACCTCGTCGTCTGCTTGCCCTCTTGGGCAGACAAGGCTAGGAGGGTGGGTCCGCCTTTCATACTGGAAATAGGTGACCATCTAGACCACATCACAACGGGATTACCCTGACCGTGACCCCCTGGCGCAACAATGGGCCTTCAATTTGCGAGAGCTAGCTATAAGTATGCCACATCGCCATCATGGTTGTCGAAGGACACAGATTCTTCCGAGCAGCTAGCCGCGCAGAAAGGGTGCCGCCAATCATGCCCTCAAGCAAGCAGCCAAAGGTGCCAGCTGCTCGGCCCCTTTTTCACGAGGCCCTGGGTAGAGAACTGTCGAACAAATTCCTCGCCCTGAGTACAGACCCTCGAACCAAGTCATCAATCAGTGACTTCTTCAACCCCGAACCAGCACACGAACCGAACCTATGCCTCGAGACTATTGATGGAACTAGCCTTCGCAATGGCGTAGCTATTGCAGCTCAGATCCTCACAGCGCCGTCGCAAGTCATGCTGCCGAGAGAGCTAAGTCTCACTCAGGACAAAAAGCCGAATCTGCCTGGATGTATCTACAAACTTGATGACCTCAACGCCTTACAGGTCATCGAGAGGCTACTAGGGCAATATGGTCGTATGACACATATGGGCGTCCGCGATCATGCGTACCAATTCTTCCTCAATCCCTCACGCACCGGCGTCGTCTCCTATCGACTCATCGACAGAGTGGCCGTCGTCAGTGGCGACCCAATTTGCCCCATCTCTCGATATCAAAGTGTTCTTGAAGAGTTCCAGAACTACTGTCGAACTCGACACTGGCAATACGCCATCACCGGCGCCAGTGCTGAAATGGCCAGGATTTCGAAAGAGCTCGGCTGGACTACAGTGCAGTTTGCTCGAGAACGCGCTTTGGACGTTAGGAGCAACCCAGTCCTCCTTGGTGGTGAAGGCAAACGAATCCGTACTCAATGCAAGCAGCTCATGAAGTCGGGGACACAACTGAGCATATACTGCCCCACATACCAACGAGATTTGCGCCTCGAGCAAGAAATTTCTGATCTGTATGAGACTTGGCGAGCCGAACGTAACGACACGCGCAGCGTTCAAGCTTACGTGACAGTCTTCGACCTGTTCTCCCTCCACCGTCTCATGGTGTTTATCTACAGCCAAGATCCCCTGGGCAAAATCAACGGCTTCGCTGCGTTGCGGAAGCTAAAAGACGGTTATCATGTTGACCCTCTAATCGCAAGGGCGAATGCCCCTCGTGGCATGGTTGATCTACTACTTGTCGCGTCAATGGCATTCTTGCGGGAAGCAGGTGTCCAGCGACTCTTGCTGGGAGTCGAACCACTGGAAGAACTCGGTGAAATTTCGGGCATGTCTAGAGCGCTGGAAAGCTTGACCAGGAAGAGCCATAAGCTGGTCTCCAATGAACTGCCTCTGAGCGGAAAGAAGGGCTTTAACGACCGTTTCAGGCCGGCTAAGGCTCTAGAAGAGCAACTCTTTCTAGTATACCCAAACTCGCCAAGCATGAGACAGTCGGTTGCCATGGCTCACTTTGCGAACATTAGCTTTCATGCCGCTCTCAAGCAAAAATGTTCACGCAAACTGCAGTCACGAATGCGGAGGCTGCCGAGCTCGGCGGACCATTCAATAGAGAACGCTAAGCAAAAGTCAGTATGATAGCGAGTCTAGGGTGTAATAGCGTTTATAGCGACAATAATGTTATGGCTTCTACCTGTAGCACTATTTAGTTCAATCCAAGCGGCCCGCGAGAGTAGCCAAATAATGTACCACTAAAGAAGAGCTTCTCCCTGTAATAGATACAGCACTATATAATCCAAGTGCTACACCTTTGTATAGCACGCCACAATACAGGTTGCTTTACAAGTAGTTGTGACATAAGCAAGCACAGTAACAACACCAGTAATAGTGAGTATATAAGCCCAGACACGACCACAGAAAATAATAGCGTGTTAACCCTATTAGACAGTACTATAGATAGCAACTATGTTACCACTATAGATAATAGCAACTAGAAGATTAGTGATATAAATACCACTACAGGAGGGGGTGCCCGCGTAGCTAATGAGATGAAGGTCCACCTCTAGATAGGCGAGATAGAGTACAACACTAAGCTTAAAAGACCTTAGGTCTTTCAGGCTCTGGCAATGTCGTTGCTGCTTCGACTAGCTATTCCCGCATTTCTACCGCTCCTTATTGCAGATAGCAACATTCTCCGCGTTCGTGACCTACGACTTCTATCATCGTCTCTTAACCTTGTTTCGTCTAGTGCTGTGATTATCGCCTCCTGCGCTTTTCTTTCCTCCCATTCTTGAAGCCGCGATCGTTTGATCCTCGTTTCGGTCATGGTTCGCAACTCTTGGGCGGAAGTGACTTCGGCAGGCTAACGCGCGGCCTGATCTGTTGCACGATACAGACACGGCAACGCTCTCCTGGCGGCTCCTCGTGTACAACAATGGCGGCGCTAGCCGAAAACAACCTGGAGCTCATACAAGTTTGGCAAGGTCCAAACGCCGCCATAGTTGTGCTGTTTGACTCGCTCAAGTTGTCATCTGACGAAGAGGACTGGGGAGGTCGAAGGCGAAGAAATTGGCTGAACAGGTTTTCATCGTCGCCAACCTCAGAAGTAGGTGTTCGGCTCATGGTATCTCGATTTGGGCGCAAAACGGCGTCTGAACTGTACTCGTAATCGATCAGGCTTGCATCGCTCTCGGTACCGGACAAGTATGGGCCAAATAATATGGTCGAAGGCGACAGCCGCGGGCAGTGTAGTCGCCGGCCTTGCCATGCTGCAGCGAGAGAGCTGCAGTATAAATATTAGGTTCTCAGTGCTAGCGTCGTTCGTGGCCACGAGAGGAGAACACCTCTCTCACGTCTATGCTCGCATTGTGTGATGTGCGCGGGGGCTATCTTTCAGGAGCAAGAAAATAACCACGCTTTCATGCTTGAAGTAGATTTGCACGCGACATCCGGTGTTCAGAACACGCTCGCCATCGTCTGAGGCAGTAAGAGCTCCATGCACAGCAGGTATAAGTACTCTGACTCATTCCATTCATAAGGAATATGTAGCTGGCCTTATCGATTTGCTAATATTGTTGGTTGTACAGTAGAGCGAATGGCCGTGCAGCTGGCAAGAGGCAAATCCGCTCGGCAACAAGATAGAAGGCTTGATGTCGACATGTAACACGTCCGTGATTGTTTGATAGCTAGCATCGTTCGTCGGTGCTTAGCCGGGGCAGGATGGGTATCTCGCCACACGACCACGACATTGTCTTTGAGAATTGAAAATGTACGATACAGCAAGAGCAACTCTTTAGAGCTTGGAAGATCAACCGCGCATACTAGGCTGGCAATAGCCGCGACGAGCTCTTGCTGTATGTGTATCATAAAGGTATGTGGGTGAAAACATCCACCACGACAGCAGATCATAGCATGCTGGATGAAATAGTGCCAAGGCTGTCGGAACGTTGTTTCAGCAACCACAGGCAGCGGTATCCATGGCAAGTTGGGGCCTCGAGACCTGTCAGGCCTCATAGCGCTTGCTCATATCCCTTCCTATCTTCTGCAAGACTAAGCACGCCGCCTTCCGCTGCAGTGGACTTCTTGAAGCAGCTCAGAAATAAGCTTTACGGGTGACGCCCAATCTGGCTGCTATTTTACGCGTATAGAGTGGATCACCGCCGTTATACGCGTGCTCTCCGAAGCCACTAGATCAACCGCACGGCACTATATGTTGCTCAACTGATAAATAGATGGCAGTGTACCAGCGTCCTTCCTACTTATTCTGCTACTTTTTCTCTCACCGTAAATTGTCTAGAACAAGGCAGCCTTAGCGAACAAATTATTCCTCAGCATATACAAGGGCGGCTACAAGCACTTCCCACCACCAACATGTCATCCAACGAGCCAGTCGAATATGTCCTTTGGTCCTACACTCCATCGGTTGCTGGTGGTGTAATTGCGTCCCTTGTTTTCTGCGCCCTATTCCTCTTCCACAGCTGGCGCTTGTTTCGAACAAAGCTATGGTTCTGCACGCCCTTCGTCGTCGGTGCATTGTGTAAGTCACATCATTCGCGCAGCAAAGTCAAACTGACCAAGTGGAACAGTTGAAACCATTGGCTATGCTGCACGAGCAGCTGCCGCGAACGATAGCGAAAGCATTACGCCATACGTCATCCAGTCCCTCCTTATCCTTCTTGCGCCAATTCTGTTCGCTGCCTCGATATACATGATCTTGGGACGCCTGATTCGCATGGTTGAAGGAGAGCGATATTCCATGGTGCGAGTAAAGTGGCTCACTAAGATCTTCGTCAGTGGCGATGTTCTCTGCTTCCTCATGCAGAGCACCGGAGGCGGTCTGATGGCCAAGGCTGAGAACCAGGATAATGTCGACATGGCGGAGAACATTATTCTTGGTGGTCTCGTGCTTCAGATCCTGATTTTTGGGTTCTTCGTTGTAGTTGCGAGTGTGTTCCACAAGCGTCTGGCCCATAACCCAACTCCCGCCAGCTATGATATGAACTGGAAACGGTTCATGCTTGCCCTCTACACCGTGAGTGCCTTGATCACGGCTCGAAATTTTGCACGCTGTGTAGAATATGGCATGGGAAAGGTGAGTTCTGCACGGCAATACTGAGCTTGACTGACTGGCAACAGGAAGGATATCTTCTCCAGAACGAATGGTGCCTCTATATTTACGACTTCCTTTTGATGTTCATCTGTCTTATTGTCAGTATCATCTGGTATAAGCTTTCAGCGCAGGACACTCGAGTGCGAGGAAACAATATGCATTCACTTGGTCAGCAGAATTATGGCCCAAACAAATAGAGGGTTAGGCACATTAGCTTGGCATTTATGGAAGGGTTACCATGTCTTCTAAACAAATATCCGTAAGATAGCCTGTAGAACAAATCCATCAATGGGTCTTGGCGCAGACCTCAAGTTTCATGTACCGGCGGTCCTTTCGCGGGATTTGCAATCACTCCATTGCCTCTAGCATACTCTTCAGCCATATCAGCGTTTAGAATGAGGCCTGGGTCGGAAATGTGGCTCTCGGCTGATTCTAGGGGCAACATAAGCGTTGGTCACGCCATTTGGCTTTCGACTACCATGTATTTCACCAACATCTGCAATTGCCAACTGCGTATCCTTTCGTGTGAATTAGAATGTTATTCGTATTAATACATCAATGTACAGAGAGGATTTAGTCCCTCCTTTTGGCCACTTGTAACTTGTCTCGATTCCCTTGCATCAGTTGGAATCTGTTGACCACTGCCTCCGCGATAAAATCTTTGTGATCCTTGTGCAACCATACTCTGCCTTCGACTCGTTTAGCGTCTGCGATAGTATTGCGTATGTTGATGTGGAAAAGGCTGTGCATGCTCTTGGCAATGCCGTCGCCAGGGTACGCGACCAGACCAGTTATGGCTGTGAGCGCAAAGTTTCAGCTCAAGCGATGTTGGAGGGATTGAAAACTTACCACTCCCAGTTTTGGTCAGGCTTCCGACCAAACCTTTTACAAGCCCCTTGCCAATACTTTGCATGCCTTCTTCGGCGTACCCTTTCTCGGGCTGATCCCACAGGTCACATGCGGCTGATTTGGAGCTGGCAACAAAATGTTTACCAGCAACCACAGAGCCACTCTTCCAGTCGTTGACAGGCTCAAGGTGCTCCACTTTGTCACCATATAATTGTGGCGTAGCCCGTAAGCCTTCTGTCACGGCCAGAGGTACATCCACCACGAAACCCTTCAGCATTTGACCCATGAATCTTGGAGCGCTGGATAACGAACTACCCACCATCTGGGCAACATGAGCCGGCGAGTTCCTGGCTGTTTCTTTCGACTCCCTTTCATTTGTTGGACGAGTTTGCTGCGCCAGGACAGCTTCGGCAAGTCGTCGCTCGTGTAGATCCACTGGTCTCTTCCAGAAGCCCATGACTTCGTTCAACATACCAGTTGTCGTCTCACCCATGGCAGCCATTACTCCTGTTGCAGGATCCCATCGTCGATGTCGCAGGTGGAGAGGACAGGGTGAGTACCTGCATTGGTTAGTTTCTGACCCAATGGCCTCTTGCTTGATAAACTTACAAATCGAGATGCTTGGCCTTGATGCTACCATCCAGTAGGAGGGATTCAGCAGCTTGTACGCTGAGTTTGATAGTCTTCGAGCCATGTCGATAGAGCCAGGACGCAGGATACTCTGGTACAATATCGCAGGCCATAACATCGGCGGATAAGTGTCTGTAGAATGAAGTTGCGGCAGCTTGGGCCCCTTCCTCGCCACACATTCGTGTTGCTATCTCGTACGCCGCGACCTGCGCCTTTTCGCTTAAGCAGAATTCCAGCCCCTCTGCGAGAGTCTCAGCAGTGAGCGTTTCGAATGGGATCGGCCGAGGCCCTGCACCAGCTGCAAAGATCATGTCGCCCCAGAAAATTTGATCGCCAAAGAAAGACACAACCACTGTCGGTTTGCGATTGCGTAGTCCGCATGTGGTTGTTCCAGCTCCTCCATGATGTACTACCGCAGTGACTTGTTGGAACAGCCACTCGTGTGGACAGTCTCCGGTAAGGAAGAACACATCGCTGTTCGTATGCTTCTCTACGCTAGCAAGGGAGCTCCAGCCTGGAGAGACAATGGCACGGACACCCGTCGTTCCAATCGCTTCCAGTATGGTACTTGTAAGTTGTTGAGGGTCTTCGACCACGATGCTGCCAAATCCTATGTATACCGGAGGACTGCCGCCTGAAAGGAACTCCTCTAGCTCTGTTGGCGCTTGGTAGAAAGGCGGCTGCCTGAAGATGAATCCCGTCACGTCAATGTAACTCGGCCAATCCCTGGGTTTCGGTATCAATGCAGAAGACCAACAATAGGTGTGTGGAATCTGTAATGTCTCCAGCATCGTCGGGCCTTCTGTAAGAGGTATATGCGCAAGACCAAGCGTATGCTCTCGGAAAGCATTGATCACATCTGCGAGTCCTTGCCAGGCAAGGTACGAGACAAAGTGGTATGACCAGTAATTGGCACGTCCCATTCCGACCTCTGACCCCTTTATGTTCGCAAGCGGATGTGGGAATGACTTCGTCGCGGTCCATGGCATCGTGAACATAATGTGCAAAGGCACTCCAAGAGCCTGGGCGCAATGGACGTGAGCGAAGCTGACAGGATTTGCAATGATGGCGTTGGCAACGAAAGGTTCATGCGTGTCTGGGTCCGGAGATATGCATGATCGCCAGCATCCTTCCAGTGTCAACGCCATGATCTTTCGCTTCTTTCCGATTTCGCCGCTGCGCATCGCTGACATGCTTGGGAGAAGGCTCGGATTTTTCACCATGTACTTGAACGATTAATTTATTGAGAGTAGAAGACCCGTTCTCTCAGACTCACCGCCATCAACTCCTGGGGATCGCCGCCGGCTGGATAGAACTCGAGTCCTGATTCCAGAACGAAGGCTTTGAACGCAGCATGAGTCGCGATCCGGACACGATGGCCAGATCGACGCAGCTCACAACCCAGTGCGACAAATGGTTGAACATCGCCACGGCTCCCAATGACTTGCACCACAATATTGAGTCTGGTTTTCCACTCCCTCTCTAAGCACGGCGGTAGTGGTGCAGCAACTGTAGCTGCATCTTCTGGTTTCTTTGCAAACCTCAGGAGTGATTTTACAAGCTGGTTATCGAAGTCAATCCCGACTCGTCCCTCGGCAGTAGCCGAGAGGATCGCCGGACCATCATGTTGTACAATCTGATCGGACATGGAGTATATTCGTGGCTGGTCAGGCTGGACGATTTCGTTATGCGATGTATGTGAGCAACGTTTGGGACTTCAGGTGGCTGCTGTCGTGCAGAGCTAGTAGTGTTTCTTGGGAAAGATTGCATCGGACACCAGGAGCGATGACATGATGTTAAAAGGCCTGCATCTGAGAAAGCCTGTACTGCCTAAGGGACCGCGCCAGGCTCCATGTCTCGCGACAGCAACTCCTCTGAGCTGCGACTTCACACTAGTCATGGTGCAATATCGTGTTGCAAAGCTTGACAGCGAGCTCAGAAGGTTGTTGAGGAAGCAGAACGCGTCACAGTCGTGAGGAACTGAGATTTGTGTAGGGTCCAGGCTGCCGGACCCCACCCTATACGCGTACTCTCGCTGGTTAAAACCTTATCATCCCAGACAACAATGATGCAAGCTCTCCTAGGGCTGATCTTCTCCTTGCTTGTTCCTCTTCGACCTCGGCGGTGGGCGCACCGCTATTCAGGGAATCACATCTCAAGCTTTTCATGTAGAACGAATTGCTCAGTCTGTGCAAGTGTCTTTGCGCAGCGGACCACGCCACGAGCATGACGGAAGCTACAGGCACTCGCCCCAAGCGACCGCGCAAAACGCACACGAAGAGCCGAAAAGGCTGCCTAGAGTGCAAAAGATTTCATGTCAAGGTGCGGCTTTCGCGTAGTCCGCCCTCCATCTTCTCACGGCTTGACAGTGCGATGAAGAACGACCACGGTGTGTTCAGTGCGCCACGCGAGGTCGAGAGTGCTCGTTCTTTGCTGCCGCCTCTCAGTCTAGTCAGTTCTCTCTTACAAACGTGACCAGCGAAGCTTCCCCATCTGTTGGCGTAGCCTCTGATCTACCGAGTCACGATTCCAGTGGAGGGGAAATACAGCAGACGATCGGGCCCTCCATCTCACTGAACCTGTCTCACATCGCATTATTCCATCATTTCACTGCCGAGAGCTGCTACACCTTCTCGAATAGGGAAGGCCATGTACAGATCTTGCGGGGAAAATTCATCGACTACGGTTTACGACATGAGCACTTGATGTTTGAGATGCTAGCCTTTGCGGCTTATCACATCTCTATCGCACAACCGCACCAAAGCCAATTCGCTTATCAGGCATCCTTGCTCCAGTCTCAGGCGATGTCGACATATCGAGTTATACCATCAGACGCAGAGGGGGGCGCTTTCTATCCTGCGTTGTTGTTTCCTCTTCTACTGGGACAGCATGTGGTATTTGAAGCGATCAGAAGGCACCATGACAGCATCAAGCAACGCCTTGAGACCATTGCACAGGCTTTGGATCTGTTGAGAAGCACGAGGTCTGTGGTTTCGGGTTTCTGGACGGAACTCAGGAGCTCCGATCTTGCACCACTCTTGACGACCGACGACGACGCAGATACGCTGGCAGCCGGAGGACGCAGTATACTGCCACAAGAGCTTTTTCGGCAGCTGGAGCACACCATCATGGCGCTGGACTCACCTTCTGCTATCACAGCGTTGCAGACAGCAATTGCTCGTCTTGAATGGTTGTCGACTGTACTAGCTACAAGAAACGCCGCTGCAGCCGAGCCAGACAGGAAGAGCACCAGCCTGCTGATCGCATGGCCACTCTCGCTGACTGAGGACTATGTGTCGATGCTCCGTCAAGACCAGCCGCATGCGCTCGTGATTCTGGCATATTATTGTGCGCTGCTGGACGAACGAAGAAAATCATGGATGCTAGGTGAGGCTCCACGTTTCTTGGTCTACGCAATATCAGGACATCTGGGTGACACGTGGGCAGGTCTGGTCGAGCCGGTCCTGCAGCTTATTGCGAGGTAGGCCCTTGGCCCAGCGTCAGGACGAAATAGTAAGCCCGAACACCGCAGCAAAGGACTACAAAAGGAATCTAAAACTCAGCGGCCTCCTATGGTCAGGGGTCACCCAATCAAGCATCGATCAGAACGGATCCACCTGGCATAGCCGGATCGGAATACGCGTAAAGGATGGCAATCTTTGGGCTTCCCAAAAGAAAAGTCGGCCAGTCATCCTGCTCATCGAGCAGCGATATCTCACACCTCTGTATCGCGTGTCGACATGTGCCAAATGGTTTCATTCCTTTCGGACTCCGACCTTCTCTAGTCTGATACACTGCGTGCAAACTCAGGTTCCACAAGTAGACACCACCATGGCCGCGCTGTCGGCTTTCCGACTGATGCAGGGTTCAATCAACGACGACTTCTACACGAGCGAGGCCTTTCGAGCAATCTCATACGTTCTGATCGCATACTTTGCATGCTCGTGGCTATGGGAAACCATTTACGTCTTGTACAGACATCCTCTTCGCAATTTTCCGGGCCCAAAATTGCGCCTCATATACCCAACAGCGTTCGCACTGCTTGACGGCGTCACTGGCAACCATACTTGGCAGATACTCGACTGGCATGAGCTCTACGGCGAAGTGATACGCTCAGGTCCCAACTCGTTGTCATTTACGTGTCCCGCCGCATGGCAAGACATCTATGGTCGACGTGGTGCCCATGAGCTTCGCAAGTCTCGCCCTACAGGTATCAAGCTCGGTCCTCCCGATATCCTCGAAGCCGGCCATGAAGCTCATGCAAGGTATCGGCGACTGATGGGACCCGCATTCTCTCACAAGGCCGTCTTGCGGCAGCAACCTATTCTGGACAAGTACACTTACCTGCTTCTCAATCTGATAGAGCAGAAGTCCTTAGGCTCATCGCCTGTTGACTTCGTTGAGCTGTTCAACTACACCACCTTCGACATCATTGGCGACCTGGCGTTCGGTGCTTCGCTAGGGGGCTTAGCGAAAGGCGACACTAATCCTTGGATCGACAACATCAAGAGAACGATCAAGGTGTTTCCACGTCTAGCATTGCTGCTCCGAATGCCCAAAGCGACATGGGTTCTCCAACGCCTCTTCTTCTCCAGGCTGCGAGAGCAGCAACGGCAGCATCGACGGTACGTCGAGAACTTGCTCAATCATCGGCTGAGCAGCGCAAGGGAGTCAAGTAATATCGATTTTGTGGATCACTTCATGCAAGCCAAGCCAGACCAGAAAGGACATACTGACACATTGACCCGATCGGAGCTTGTGCGCAACCTCGATACGCTCATGGTGGCCGGATCAGAGACCGTTGCCACGTCACTGTCTGGTGTGACCTACCTCTTGCTAACTCAGCTGAGCTGCCTGAAGCAGTGTGTCAGTGAGATCGATGCGACGTTCGAGGACGAAACGCAAATCGACGCAGCAGGTGTAAGCCAACTCTCTTATCTCCGCGCGTGTCTGCGCGAGACGTTGAGGCTCTATCCTCCAGTGCCCTGCACCCTCGGTCGTGTAACTGGCAACGACCAGCCTATGGGCATTGCTGGCCATCTCGTGCCTGCCCAGGTAAGCTATCCGCATCGAAGCGAAGACCTGACTGACTGGTCGCAGACACATGTCGGTGTGCCACCTTTAGCAGCATCCCGGGCATCCTACAACTGGTGTCGACCACACGAATTCCGACCTGAGCGCTGGCTACCCGGGGCTTTAATTCCCAGCTCACCCTATTATCACGATAGACGCGATGCGTATAAGCCGTTCGGCTACGGTCCGCGAGACTGTATAGGAAGCAATCTTGCGTGGCAGGAGTCGAGCCTCATTCTCGCCCGTCTCTTGTGGAGGTTTGATCTCGAGCTGCATAGAGAGAGTCAAGATTGGATGGTCAAGCAGAGTGTCTTTGGATTATGGGACAAGCCTCCGCTGTGGGTGGAAGTTAGTCCACGCAAGCAGCGAGAGAAGAAGAACAAGAGTGGGAGCTGATTATCTATATGTTGAGATAGCCTTAGCGGTAGATTCTATAGGGGTTGAACGGCGTGAAAGTGTTACGGATCACGACCACCACCCGGTCAGGGCCGGTGGCCGTGGGGCCGCTAGGGCCTTAAGAAGGGGGGGGGGGGGGGGGGGGTATCCGGGGGAGGGTCCGGCACCAGGGAAGGAAACACCCTAGGGACGGTAAACAGCCAGGGAGTAGATTATGTGACATGCCCTGCACTGCTCCAGAACGTCGGGTCCAAATGTTATGAACCGCTTCGGACGTCGGGTGTAAACTGGCTTTAGTAGGTGGCCCCGGATCGGCGGCATGAACTGAAATGTGGGAAAGGCGCCGCATTGGCTGATGAAATCACCCACGCAGATCTGTTGCCCTGTCAGGGCCAGTAGTATTCCCCCCATTGCTTGGCTTTTCTACAGTACACAGCAGATGATTGAACGAGAGCTTCAGACGTGTCATAATGCAGGTGCTATCGTGTGTTCATCAATGATCCTTAGAGCCACAATCTTGTGGAACGCAACTTGTGATACAGTAACTACTAAGACTGTTAATGTAGTGACTTCTACCAAGCTGTCACATAAAAGCAATCCTTTGCAGGGCTGAAGTTATTAACAGATGTCCGAACCCGGCGCGTGATAACTCTAGCTTTCTGAGGCGTAATTTTAAGTGCCATGCACACAGCCCCGCCAGGGAGGAGGCACAAGTAGAGCGGGAACGTAGTGCGGGGTCACACCGGTCAAGAGCTAAATGCCTAGTCCTGCAACAGCTCAGAGTTAATTCAGGACGACAGTTACCTAGGTACATGTGCATCATGCAGCGTGGCTGCCTCAGAAATTGAGCTCCTGCCCGCAGCTGGCAGTAATTGGTATAAAGACAAGTGAAGCTGGCACCCTTGCTAGCTTAAAATTATGCATGTTGCGCGGTCCAATTAAATCATGTAATAGTGTGAGCAAGACGCTGCTGCCTGTCCTAACAATAAGAAACTTTGCATCTTTGGTCTGTCCCCTGCCCGCAAGCTGCTACCTAAATTGGATTGGCAGAGCTTCTGTACAAAGCTGAGACAAGAAATGTAGAGCGTGTTATCGCATGATGCTAGTCTCTGGTTGGAACAAGTATGGCCAACAGCATCATGATAGTTTGCTGAGCAAGTGGCTGTTTGTGGGCGGTATCACAAATAAGGCACCGCGAGGCTGAAGCAGGGCATTCTTTTGATTTATTATAATTGACGTTGCGGACTCCTGTGCTGAATCGTTTTCAACTAGTATCTTCTGTGAGCATCCATGCAAAGCTGCTTGCTAGTGATTCTGCTTTTCCTCCCCTTTTGTCCCCATAATGTCAGCGGTCAAACAATCCGAGGACAATCACAAGTTGGTAAACCTGCCTCAAGTAAGATCAGAGGAGAAAGAATGCGGCAAGCCATCAAAGCTGTGGAGGCTCTGCAATAAGGCTCTTGAACAGGGTCGCAAGGAATGTGTCTTGTTATGTTACCAGCGGCGCGGGAAATATCTGGCTCGAATAATCGATTTTTGCCCCGAAAAGCACCATTTCGAGATTGCAGACCTGAAATACACATTTGGTTTCTTGAGAAGATTCTCACTAAAGGCGCCAATCTCGATCAAGGAGGTCAAGGTCCGTATAGTGCCGCTGTTTGGCCCGAGTTACTCCTAATGATGATTGCAGATCTACGTCATGGTAGAGGGATGCGGAGATGAGGTTGAGGTCATCATCGATAACCCACTTCTAGCCCACCGTACTTTGACAGCAGAAGACATAGACTTTGTCGCCTATGAGGAGTGCGGCGCTGGTTTTGGGGTGGATGGCGAACTATATCCTTGCGAGAACTTAGCCTGCCCCAATATCACCATGTCGGACCACGAGTACGCTCCTGCTTTCTTCTGTGCCCAATATGAGGCGATGAAACTGTCCCTAGCTCGCCAGGAACTTAGCTTGAGACCTTGCACTCTTGCCTTCTACTGGAATGCAAAGGGTAAAACCAATAGCTCTAGGTTTATCCAGGAGGGTCAACTCGTCAAAACTTACGAGTAAGTCTAATAGTCCTGTCTATGAATGGGGCTAACCAAGGAAGGCTATTGCAAACGGCATGTTTTCGAGATGCGGCAAGCCATTATGGACCGGCCTTGCCGGCACTGCTTGTAGAACATTGCTGGAACAAGGACCGGATCATAATTATGGCCTCGGCTCTCGTTCTTGCGAGTGCTTGTGGCGCAGCGCTTGGGGCAGCCGTTAGCCGTAACATTAACGTGGGCCTTGCCATTGGAAGCTATATGCTCGCAATCGCTACAGTCTTCATGACTGTACTCACGACGATTAGCGCGATTATGTAAATGATACTAGTCAACGACCAAGTCTTAGTGCAGATGTAAGAGTGGATTAGAACAAAAAAGTAATTATTTCATTTATTCTATATATATATTAGTACTTGAATACTACGACCCAGATTCTTCGGACCCATTTTTCCGTTTCCGTTCTCGGGGGTGGGTGATGCCGCCCTAGCACACCTTCCAGGGTGGGCTAGAGGTGTTACGGATCACGACCGCAATCCGACCGAGGCCAGCGGCCGCAGGGGCGCTCAGCCCCAAGGGGAAGGTTACCTGGAGGAAGGACGGACCCCACGGAAAGCCATACCTCAGGGACAGAGAACTGCTAAGGGGTCACGTGATCAGGCTCTGGTGCTCTCCTTGCTCTGGACAGAGCAACAGAGCACACAGAGCAAGACAAGCTATACAGCACTATATAGAGGGATAACCTATCCTGACACTGTTACGGATCACGTCCGCAACCTGACCGAGGCCAGTGGCCGCAGGGACGCTAGGGCCCAAGGGGGAAGGTTACCCGGAGGAGGACTGGACCCCACGGAAAGCCATACCCTAGGGACAAAAGGAC